CACTTGCTTTCTAACGTTCTCATCATAGTCCAGTAATCGTTCACATAAGGCAGCTGGAAGATTGACACCATGACAAAATAAATTTACGGAAGAAAACAAAACACACATGAGCTCATTAAGCCAGTCAACACTCTTACATATAATTTGAGGGGCCTCTGCACGAAGAGGGTTTGAAAGCAAACAGCCTTTTACATGCTCGAGGACAGTCATTCTAACTTCAACTACCCTGTCAGTCAACCTTTTCAAGAATTCCAGAAATATTGGCTGAAACGTTTCAGTGATTGTAGACCCTGGCAAGGAAAACAAACCTCCAACTAGCCCCAGTGCTTTCAAACGAGTGTCTAGCTGATCATTCTGCAGATTTTGGTGATCCATAATGAATATTCAGGAAAAACTGGTATTGAAGGAAAAAGATACCCATAAACTTGAGAAAGTGAATCTGCAATTTACCAACAACTCTCCTGTGAGGTAAGGGACAACTCCTGACAATATCTGAGGGGCACTACAATAGATATCATAGACAACTTCATGGTAGTCAATTTTAATATCTGACAGCCTGTTATCTCCAGACATTAACGATACCAGGACCTGTTTGATACCAGATTCAAGTTTTACCGCACAATTCTCTATGATATTCATCGCAAGCCTTCTTGCAGCCTTAGAAACGTCCTGAAGAAGAAATTACGTACAGTAATTCATACTACGCAACATTAAACAAGTAGGAAAAAAAAATAGAACAAGAATATATGCACCGTAATGGAGAAACAATACTCACACTTCTGTTACGTCCCAAAACTGATAATATTACAAGTAACAGATCCTCTTTAATTTCTTCACTTTCTTCTATCAGAACGACCATGATTGTTTGCATAGATGAAAGCACATTTTCTTGATGGTCATCCCTGTATCAGTGAAAAACAGGCATGAGTTAGTTACCTGGTCAAGTAAAGTGCCTCAATTACTGTAAGTCGGTAACCAAACATAAATCAAGAGAGCCATTATGTGCAAACACTCAACACAATCTGGACAGCTTCTATATTTGAACAAACAGTGTGAACTGTGCTGTACAGTCAATTATTCCTTCCCTCAATCAACCAGCAATCATGTCAATGACTACCAATTCATTTTATACAAACAGTATACAGCATATTCAAGAAGGTTCTCCATCATAAGCACATGAGCATGTGAAAGATCTGGGAGAAGTCCTCAATAGCAAATCCAGGGCAATATAAGAACATTAATTTCTCTTAAACCAGACACAGCCAAGCTTCCTAAAATCACTTAACAGTTTTTCAATTAGTCAATAGCTTCTCACTAGTCAAATTTTAGCTCAAAAGATAAATGACAAACGCAAAAAAAGTTTGGATATTAACACCAACTTAGTTAACAGATGCAGAGACTTTATTTTGACGACAACAATTGACATAAAGCAGGAAATTAAATGCCTATCGGGTCAACAAAATGAGTCAATCAGCAGATCATCGGTAAGCTAGTTATAGTAACCCAATCGATGCACATTCCTAACTCAAAGTGAAAAGCAAAAAAAAAAAAAACAGGCAATCAAGATAATCAAACCTGGCAACAGCAAGAAATGTAGTGAACATCTCTTTAATGAGATCATCACATTCAAGATCCAACATCACAACAAAGGACCGGTATTTGGCAACAGTATCCAAAATGACAACTCTCCTCCCAAATGATGGGCCACCAGCAGTATCACTTAATCCACTAAAGGTACTCACAATCAAGTGAAATATATCCTGCACAACAAAACTAATCAGTAAGATTTAAGAAGCATATGTTGCAGACAATATGAGATAAAAGTGGCACGATGCCTATGAGTTTAACAAAAGGAACCACCTTTAGAACGTCATCGCTGTAAGGAGCAACAGGTGCAGTGATCCGGGTTATTTCACAAATGCAAGTAGCAACTAGAAGCTTTGCATCCCTATCTTGATGCATCAGCAGTTCTGGCTTCACAATTGCAGTAAGAAATTGCTGCATGGACTCCAACATTGTAGGGGATGGTGATTGATCCATCTCACAAAGACATGAAGCAGCTTGCTGAAGGAAAACGACAAATTGTCATTACTCTAGATACCGGTGAGTGCCATAATGACATGATTGAGTGCCATGTTAGATAATGAATTTGAGAGATAATAAACTGAAACCAATATTAAGAAGGAAATACCAAACACAAATGCATGATGGATAGGAAACATTTATGGTGACTTTGAAAACTAAACTTCAGAGATTATATTCGAACCTAAAACGCAGAACCAGCGAGCACAGCTGGTGAGAGAAATTACAAAACCATGTAAATTATCTCAGTGATATTTAAAAATTTCAAACAAGCATTTAATGTACCAACTCTTTTATTTGGAAAGTTTACTAGCCAAAATGTTTATCCATATCCTGATCATGCTTTTTATTTCCTGGTGGAAGTTCCAAATCGTGTTCAGAAAAAGAGGTTTCCATTCTTCCATAAGTTTAAGGGAGGAAACGACTTCATCTACAAAAGGTACCCACTTCCTAACATCTTTACTGGAGAACTAAAAATTCGAGCAAACATAATTTCCTAAGAAGGCAGTTTGTGCTACACGTGGGCTGAAGAGGAACGACATACTTTACCTCTAAATAAAAGCAGGGTTAGTTTCATCCTACAGAGCCCTGGATGAGTCAGGAGATAACACTCATATTGGAACATTGTTCACAAATTTTTAACATGAACAACAAGACAGAAAGCTAACCACTTTCTCATTGATTTCACTGGACTATACAACTCATCATGTCCACTTGTACATGTGTCTCCTGCCACATCTGAGACCTCCATAAGAACGTAAGAGCCTTCCTAATGTTCTTTCCCTTCCTGCTACTCCCCAAACTCCACTGACATCCTTTTCTACCACCTCACCGTTTCTCCAAATCCCAATAGGTATCAGGCCTCTGCCTCTCTAATTTCAGTTTCAGTTTTTTCTAGAGGCTAGTTCTCCTTGTCTCTCTTCAGTAAGGACTCAGAATTACCCCAGTAATGTTTATTTCCAGACCTTCTAAACTTATACCAGAAACCACTCAACAGGATACTACCCTTCACTCCTAACTCCTAATGGAACGAGACTAATTCCATGAGCTGCAACAACACACGCATAGAATGCCACACTGGTTCTCAGCACCAAGCCAAAAATTTCCCATCAAAACTCTATACAACAACAAACCCTAATCTCATCCTCACATGCTCACCACCCTCCACCAATGTATCAAACTAACGAAACAGCCTAAATCAACGCCAACTATCATCAATTGAGCCCCAAAGTTGATAACTTTCACGTTCCCGAAAGTCAAGAGAACAATTCAAACAAACTGAAGTCCACCACTTGGTCGAACTCAACAAGAAACTGCCACAATTTCGCTCAATAACCAACAAGAACCCACCACAACGCGAAGCCACCCGAAATCTTGTTACTCTCACTTCTATGCCCCCACAGTTCCATCGGAGACCAAACATGGAAACTGATTAAATGAAAAAGAGGGCGCCTTTTACCTATTTTTCAAACCAAAACCCGCGAATTATCTCGCTAACTAAATTCAGACAAACCCACCAACAGGAGGGAATTACTAACTAGGAGAAATGAGAATGGAGAAAGAAAGGGCGCCAAACCTTCAATAGCTTAACCAGCGCATCCTTTGAGGAAGGAAGAGGCTCCAGCTTCGATCCTACTTCCTTCAGCTGCTCCTCGAGCTTCTTCTCCGCCATAGTCTGAGAGGAGGTGAGGAAAGACAACGTTTCAAGTTCCTAACTTTCGACTGCAGTAAGCAAACAACTGGAAGCTTTCTGCTTACATCGAGCAAACAAACAAAGCGTTGCTTGCTCGCTTTCGATAGGGTTAAGCAGAGAAGCAGAAAGAGAGAAGAGATGCCAAAGAAGCAGATGAGAGAGAGAGTTTCGCTTGCCTTGCGTCCTTTTCTCTCTCCGCCTCTCTTTCAGGTCTCTTTTTTACAAAGCGGAGGAGATGCAAAAAAACTGAAATTGAAATTCACGGGAAAATGCAGCTGACTTTCGAGAGTTCGAATTTCCGAACATGTTTGTTGCTAGTGGTCGGAAAGAGATCTATATCGAGACATCGTTATTATTATTTCGAAGTGACCAACAATTATTTAGTATGAAAATGCTAACAATCCCTATACATATAGTCAATAATATTTAGCATAAACATGACTAACTTTACATAAGATAATTAAAAATATTAACAATTTGATTGGCGATAATTGTTAGCATTTTATAATACAATGTTTTCGTAAGTAACCTTCTATTTAGGAAATGTTAACAATGATTGTGTATATCATTAATGATGTATCGCTTAAACGTTGATAGTAAGAAATTGCTACAAATGTATGCATGCATGATAACATATACGATTCTCTCCTGCAAAGTTTGAGCATAATGAAATTTCAAACAAAAAGTCATGCAAAAAACACTCTTGCGTCCTAATTATCCGACGAGAATAAAACTACAAATTATCAACTTCGTACTGGTTTATATTTTGAATTTAGGAATTCACTGACATGGAAGCACAAAATCTCATTTTCATGTCATGGTAATCCAGGCGCAGAGGCGGCGGTGATGAAGCTTTCCCGGCGATGGGTTTTTAGAATTGTAGCATTCCCAGAGATGTGTGCTGATTGCTGAAGTTCTTCTTAATAACATGTATAAGCTCCCTAGTAAAATCAATAAGATATATAGACCCCCGTTTGGATGAAATGGATTTGGCTCTAAAAATTCTCCTCCGTTTGTATGACCCACATTTGGACATCCGATCGACCTCTCAAGAGTACAATGATCCAGCATAACAATGGCAGTAAGTAAACCAGAGCGCTGAAAATTCATCTCAAACATCTTTTAAAGCTTCTATAAACACACAATAACAAACTGTTTGTTTTCTAAGTACAACAAAAACTCCATCCTTCTCCCAAAGTAGGTACAGTTCAGGTCTTGCTGGTGTTCAGAAAAGCCAATTAACAGTGATGTTGCCAAGCCACATGAAAAGTGGGAATTGAGCCAAAGCAATGAAGAGCAAGAGATAGTGATGCCTGCTCGAGTCGTAACTCCTCACCTCGGCGAATAGGACGCGCTTCATTGTCTTCACCAGAAAGACCCCCATGCAGACACACGCCCAAGGCAGCACGAAGTAGTACGAGTAACCGAGCAAGATCTTGCCAAGGACGGCAAGACAAAGGCCGGTGAACATGTAGCCTCCATATGCGACAATGTCTAACAAGGGAGCTTCTCCACTGCCTAATGAGAGTAGAGCCATTTTCAGCAGGGCAACCTGCATGAACCACCCGAGCAGTCCCTTGATGAACAGCCAGTTGAGATTTTCAGGGCTGAACCTGTCATTAGTAGAATAAGTGGAGATTCAGTTGACTGAAGCAGCAATGAAAATGCAAGTAAAAGGCCTCGAACGAGTGAAGTGGACGAGTTTCATTTGAATGATTTAATACGATTGGAGCATAGGGCTACTAGCCAACTTGTAGTCTTGGAGCACTTCCAGGCTTACACTATAAATTATGAGTGATAACTAGGAAGCTGACATTCAAACCTCGACAATTATGGTCAGAACTAATCTCTTAACGATACATATTTGTAACTAGATATTTATGTGTCCAGGGACAAGCTAAAGAGATAAAAGTCTTATAACAACAACAAAAAAAGAGAGATTAATTTCGTAAGCTCAGTTGAGTCAACAGTAACACTTACTTTCCATAGAGTCCCAGTGACATGCCGGCAAGAATAACATAGGTGCCGAAAGCCATGAAGGGAATGTACAAATCAGGTGCATTTATATCATAAAGAGGAGGTTTGTACGATAAGCGGCCTCCAACTGGCTCAGTTATTCGTGTCCAGTGTCCCTAAGCAAAGGAATAGTATCAGGCCAGCAGATGAAAAGAACACGGAATAGCCAGGGAAACAAAGAAGGATAGGGGCGATTACCCTGTGCAAGAACGGGAATAGAACAACTTTCAGTTTGTTCCTTACATACTGGTCATTCACTTGAAAATAGTACTGAGGATCAGAGAAGTATCGAGTTATCTGTTCATTTAAGAGAAACGAGTCAATTAGAAAACAGGCATCCAACAGATGATACTCATCAAAACTCATAACAAATTTTGAGGTAACATTAGGCAAGAATCTATCTCTCCCGGAGTAAATTTTTTAGCACTTATGTTCAACATCTCCCTTCAACTTATTCATTACAATGTCATGCCAAAGTTGAATCAACCAGATTTACATTCATGTTCATCATTTCACTGGGACTAGTGAATGCAATCCTTATTCGCCATACACAAGCAATAATAGGCCTATAAAACTCCAAGATTTTTGCCATATATAGATTCTATTGCACAACTCTATGAGCACTCGGAAATTCTATTTTCCGGAAGGTGATTTTGAGGTGGCGAGTAGTGTGCAGGAAATTGATGAGACTTCGTGTAGACAGGTGCATGCAAGTTTTAGTTAAGAGTTAACAAGCTCAAGCAAAATGCCTTGTCCCATAAAGGGCAGACAGGCCAACTATACTGAAATTAACCATAATGTGTCCATATCATATAGAGTTAGCTTAAAACTTACATTGCTTTGGACGTATTCAGAGCTTGATCCTAATATTTTCTCTCCATAAGCACCAAGACCACCTCTTATTAAGCCAGAACCAGCTCCATAAAATGCATTACCAAATGGATTAGCTTGAGCATTTGCTGAAGGTATTTGACCTATTGGCACTCCAGGCATGCCAGGCTGCTGGGTTCCAACATTGTTGTACATACTGTAAGCAAGTCGAAAGAAAAAGGAGAAAATGAATTAGACCATCTTTCGTTAGCAGTAATGCTAATATAGAATAAATCAATCGCAAGCACACATACACTATCACATAATTACATATCTTCAGAGCATGCGAGAATCACTAAACAGCTCATAATGAACTAAGTTGAAACTTCCAACTAATATTTCAGCATAATTTTGACCGAATTATTTTCTAGTATAACAAGTAACACAAGAGGCTAGTTCCATATCTACACCAAATGCACAATAAACAACAGCAGAAGCTGAACACAAGCCCAAAGCAGACCCTTGACAGTGTGCAATCATATTCCAGCCGGAAAGTACAGTAACATGTAATATCCCATTTTCTATCGATCTCTTACAATCACTTGCACCCCGCCAACCAAGGTGATGAACCCAGAAGACACCGATTCCTTTGATTTCAAACAAAGTTACCATGTTCCACTAGAATTTGACAGCATGAAAAAGTTGTCAAGTTTAGCTTTTGACTACTTGCAAGCTTCTATACGAGAACTTCAGAAACTGTCCACATCGTCCAAACAAGTTAAACCTCTATTTCAGTAATTCATGTCCGAACTTCTATCAACCAGAGGATCTAACTCATTCCATAAACTATAAGAAACGACCCATAATGTCGCCATTCAGAGGGTACCCAACAGAGTAATTAAGAAATGCCATTGACCTATCATCACAAACTACCAAACAATGGCCCCATCGAATGCACCCCCTCCCAAAACTCAAAATTCATCCTTCACAGCTTACGAAATCCAATTTAACCAAACCAAGAGCAAGAATTCCCCACAAAGACACAATCTTTGCCGGAAACCCAAGGCCAACCCTCTCCCCAAAACTTACAATCCAATTCCCCGAAAACACTAGTTCAGGAAAACCCCAATTCATAAATGCATTTACCGAAAATCTCAGATCCACCTAAACAATAACCTAACTGACCTTAAAAGCTAGATTTATCCTAACCCTCGCCGCTTCCGCACCGTCAAATGTTGCAACCACCACGTCACCTCGCCGATTTGCTGACCGTCGACCTCTCCCCTCCTTACCGTCACTTACGCTACCTCGCCGCCTGTTCAATGAGGAATAGAGAGTTGAGAAGGCGAGGAGAAGAAAAGAAGGGAAGTCGCCCAAATTATTGTTCGGCCGTGTTACCGTCTTTTTATGTACATTTTTTTTGTTGTTGTAAAAATTAAACTGTTAGGGGTGGGTTTGTGACCTGACCCAATGTTCAGTGACTATTCATGCAATTGTCATTCATCCGTTAGTTGGTAACGGTTTTCACAGTAACCGGACAGGACCAGAGGCCGGGTCTCTGAGATTTCGGTCCGATCCTCTTTTGACAAAAACGAATCACAGAGAGTGAAAATTTTGCCTAAATGGTGGGTGGGTTCAAGCGTGTTCGTTAATTGATTGATCCCTTCATTAGTTGGTGCGAGCTCCTCGATTCCTTCCCCTTCACCCTAGCCGCTGCAATCGCCCCTTATTCCATCGCCGACATCGAATAGGCGTCCTGATAGAGCGAGAGGAAGCAGATACAGCCGCCGGCTTACGACGGTTGCTGTTATTATCTTTACCGGCCACCACCGCCAGTTGCGTAACTCCGTTTGTTATCTTTGAAGACATAGCTTGGTGGCGATCCCAGCTGAATAAAAGGAGCGATCAATCTAGAGAGTGAGTTGGGCGCCGGTTCGGTGAGCTGCGGCTGCTACCCCTGGTTTGAAGCTTGCTGGCCCGCCGTCGTCGGGAACTGTCCTCGCTCGACGTTACCATCGTCCCAGCTCGTCCTCTCTGACTGTGAGTGAAAACTTCTGATGAAGAATAGCGTGTTTCATACTATGAAACGATGAAGCAGCTAGGTGTTGTTGATTGTTGTTTCTGTTAGTGGATGATAAGTTGAAGCTGGGAAGCAAAATGATAGTGGTTCGCGGCTGTTGTGAGTGCTAGGGGAGTGATTCAGAATTCAAAGCTTGGTTCTTTTCGTTTATCTTCCATTTTTCTGATGGTTAGAATGTGAAGATTGCTAGGATGTAGTTGTAACTTGTAACTATAACCTAGGGGCAGAATGCTGGTAAATGGTTGTGTTCTTTTGGTCGAATGTCTCCTTTCCGCTTCATTATTCAATCTTCATATGCTCTGCAGGTGTTCGCGTTTTGGAAGTTTGGCAAACCATTTGGGTAGCTAGTGCGGAGTAAAGAAGGGTCAGGATAGAGGAATGGATTTCTCAGAGCAAGATGTGGATATCTTTGGGGAAGAATATGAACAAGATGACAAAGAAGAGAAAGAGGACAACGGGACCCACCGTTCTTCCTCGTCTTCCTCTTCATCCTCTTCATCCGCAGCATCCGGATCATCAGGTTCTTCATCGTCTGGAGCTTCCTCTTCGTCTGGGGGAAAGAGCAGTGGGAGTGGCAGTAGCAGTGGGGAAGATGAAGACAATGGTGAAGAAGCGGTGGAGAGTGATAAGTACCATAATTATAAGGATAGTAACAATACCGATGACTATAATGAGGAGAAAGATCTCTTTGGAGAAGACAACCTAGAGTATATGAAGACCACTGCAATTAGCCAACATCCAATTCCTGGTGACTCTTTTTTTCGTGTTTGTTTATGCTTTTCTTGTTCGGGTTGTACAAGTATTATATATTCTCTTAACCCTTTCCATTTAATTGATCACTCGATTTGATAACTTGAAAGAAAGCTCTTCTTTTTGTTCTGTTTTCATGTTAGGGAAGATCTTTCTCTATATGTTACATGTATTGAGAGTGTTAGCATCATATGCAACTGTATTGATATGGATGCTCCATTATGAGTAGGAAAGTAGTCCTATTTGAGTCTTACATTTTCACCAATTTGAGAAAAGGTGAGCTTGAGAAGTTTTATTCCGCATAAGAGTAGTGATTAAACTTGAAATGCATTTCCTGTTTATTTCTGACTTCCTCTATGCATATATTCCTCAGTGTTGCCTGCTATACGTGCCCCCAGTAATCCGGGTAGAGGGGGATTTGGACGTGGTCGTTGGCCAAATGACAGAGGAGCTGGGCTCCTGCCTAGACCGGGTTATCCTCCTAGGCAGGGCTATGGCGGATATGGTAATAAATTTCAAAATGGTCATCGTGATGAACGGTTTGTCTCTGAACTGAAGTTTTCAAAGAGTGAAGAAACCTTATCAAGAAAGCAAGTTGCTTTTCAAGCGGTGATTCTCTCTTTACCTATCTTCCTTGTGGAGATCTTTATCTTAATCATAATTTCATTTTTTAGATATCATGTTGCATCTTTCAGCTCTTATTTTCTGGTCCCTTTCCTACTTTCTGATTTTTCATTGCCAATCTGTCTACAAATTCATGATATTTTGTTTGAATTCGATCTTTAATCTGAAATCTTTGGGGATGCAAATACACTTGTTCCTTTCTGTAGCTTTCAATCAGAGGAGTATAAGAAAAGTTTTGACCAGAAAAGTCCTGTAAAGTCTAGTAGATACAGTTTCTTTTTGCTGTCAGTAGCTGCTAATGTAAGATAACTATGCATGTCTGTTATGTATCAGCATGCTGTGCTAATCCTTATCAGTGGAATGTTGCACTTCTAGATGATGTTTTTGGTTTGTTTTAGCTATTAATGGTATTTCTGATGATCATGTAGCCATGTGAGCTTGGTTGCTATAGTCGCATTGAAGGCGGAGAAGTCATATTTACTGATCGCAACTTGGTAAGCTCTTCAAATTGCTTTCCCAAGTTTGTGTTCTTTTTGCTGTATGCAATTGTTTAGCCCTAATTAACTCCATATTAATCCTTGTTCTTTTCAGAGGCTCTTTAAGCGTCTAATATCTGAAGATATTGGAGCGGATCTTAATCAAGGCTTTGATACTTTCATTGAAAAGAAAGGTAGTGCTCTAATATATTTGGTTAATATTACCCTTTCCTGAATACACATCCTCTGGTTTCTTATGGGGTGAAGACTTTTTTTCTGTTTACCTGTTCTGTTGCAGATTTGGGCTCTGAAGGGTTCGGCGACCTCCTTGGTTGTATAAGGGAGAAAAATATTCCGCTGCAAAATATGCATTTCGTGGTATGAATTGAATTTACTTGTAGTCTATGTCGTTATCTCGTCCAAATCAGTTTGCCAACTAATATTATTATTCTTTTCTTGTTGTAGACTTTCCGGAACAACCTAAATAAGGTAATGGAGGATATCTAATAGTCAGTTACTTGTCATAATCATATTTTTCTGTAATGCTCAGAATCATTTGTCTGCCTTTAAGGTTTGCTGATTCTTTACTGAGTCTCTCTTGTGAAAATAATGTTCAGCAACGATTGGTGATATCTTTCTAGAAGTGCGAGGTTGTCTGAAATCTTTTCATCATCTGCTATTATCTGCCGTGTAGAGTAGTTAAATATTTTGTGTCAACACTGAACCTTTTGAGAGAAACTCGAGTATGGGGTGTTGGAGCTTCATAATGCCCTTCAATGCTTGATTGCAGATCATGCAAACTGCTTATATTCGACACGAGCCATGGGAAATGGGGGTGCATAAGAGGAATGGAGTTGTGTACCTTGATGTACATAAACTTCCTGAACGACCCCAGAGTGACTTCGAAAGAAAGAGGTAACAGACTGGCTTCTAGTTTAAGATTTCATAGGCATGTTAGAGTGTCTTGATCTAATAGGAAATACCTAATAATATCTAGGTTGGGTACATCGTCAATGATACCATTACTCGACTTTGCACTAGGTTCTTTTTACTACTATTTGCAATATGTTGGAGAAGAACAATTAATAGGTCCCTTACTGCTAAGTTCCCTATTGATGAAGTTGAAAAATATTTGCATTATGCTGGATGAAATCACATGATACGCCCTTGGGATTAAATATGTAATGAAGCACTTAATTGGCCACCTGTATAATTTTCTTCAGTTGGTCTAGTTTCTCTTGGCTGTTCAAGTTTTCTTAATTGTTATTCTTAACCTGTTTCTTTCATTATGTTGCTTTTAGGTGTTACTGGGGATATTGTTTTGAGACCTTAGCCACTGAAGATCCAGGAAGAGCTGATGGAGAACCTATACATCATGTTGATGCTAACGTGGAGTATTGTGCTATGTTTAAAACCAAGTTAGGGGCTCATCGCATATTGATGGGTGCTGAAATGGATTGTTGCGATTCTACTGATGATGGAAGGAGGTTTTATGTGGAGTTGAAGACAAATCGTGAGGTTGTGTATGAAAACTCTGGTTTAACCCTTGGCCTTGTATTTCTAGTTTTGAACTTTTCATAATTAAATTCCCTTGCTGTGCAGTTGGAGTATCATACAGAGGAAAAATTTGAGAGGGAGAAACTGCTCAAGGTTTGGGTATGTATTGAGAGTAACTCTTTGAAGTTTGAATACTGTTACAATCAGAAGTATTAACTTGGGTTGCTGCCTCCTTTTGTCCAGCATATGCTGTTTGAGTTGTGGCATATCTTATTTATGTACAAGGATATTTTTATGTCTTATGGTTGCAGATTCAATCATTCTTAGCTGGGGTTCCTTACATCGTGATTGGATTCAGGTAAATTTTAAGCTGAGGCATTTTCCCCCTTTTTATGGGTGGTTGATATGGAGTTCCTGAAATTCTGTAGAGCTGTCAAATTGTTTCTGGAATCATGCAATTGATTCTAGGTTATCAAGTCAATACCATCATTTGGCTGAAGGTCATTTAGCTTAAATCAGTATGGCCTAAATAAGGACAAGGACCAGCAGAATGTATCTTGGAGATTGGAAGATACGCTGCAATAATGGTTGCCTGCTATACATTTACAAAATATATGGACTAGGTTGCAAGTCATTTTAAGAAGTCTGGTAATCCCTGCAGTATTATATCCCGTTGTTTATTTACTTGCAGGGATGATCACGGCCGACTTGTACGAACAGAGAGGCTAAAAACTAAAGATATAACACAAAGAGTGAAAATGAAGAACTACTGGCAGGTTAGTATGCTGCATCCCTCGTCTAACTAACTAGTGATCCAGTTCATGTGCATTTGGTTATGATGGACTCCATCCGGCTGTTCATTGAAATCACCCTGTGTATATGCAGTTCATTACGTGCATAAGATTCTGACTATCTGGTAAAATGGTTGGCAGGGAGGTGTCTGTCTAGCGTTTGCAGATGAGGTACTATGCTGGCTCTATGGAACAGTGAAAGAAAGTAAGCTTCTTATTCTCATTATCTATTTGTTTTTGCATTGAAACAACAAAGGCGCAAAGAAGAATTCATACGTATAACCCTAATACACGTTCTAGCCAGTTTTCCCCCCAACCGCTTGCACCTCTTCTCTAACTTTCCTTGCTCTCGTATCATTGCAGACGAAGATTACATACTGCAGTTTGCGCACCCTTTCATGCGGTTAGAGCTTCTACAAGCGCAATCTTGCCCCGAAGCTATCACTAACCATGTTAGTCAGTTGTGAGAAGCTCGTGTATACATACAGACCCTTTGTACTTTTGTATGGCCTTCAATCTGAAAGATCATCCATACACGACTAAGTTAAGTCCGTAGGATTCGGACTCCTGGAAGTTGGTTGCCAATACAATTGAGACAAGACTTGTTACTTAGTCTGTTTAAAGCTAAATAACAGGTTACTTGGGAAAATCTCCCTGTGGGGGTGGCTTTTGCCCGAGGTAGCAAATTGGATTGTCGAGTGGCTTTAGGTCTGGGGGGATTTTGTTAATGGGCTACGTGAATTGCAAGTTATCCCAATTTCATTTTTTGCTAGTAAGACCCCCCATTATCTATGGCTTCTTTTATAAATTAACACTGTAATCCAAGTGCATCAAGTTTCTTGAACAATATCGAAACTAAATGAGAAATTGAAAACCATAATCATATGAAAAGTACATTTGATTTGATCTGATCATCCTTTGTTCCATGACAAACATAATTGGTTAGAACTTAGAAGAACACATGTGATCGTGTTCAATTCGATCATCCGGTTTGATTCTAGTTTGTTCTTTTAACTTGAAATTCAATGTAATCATATCTCTAGAACATAACTAACCAACACATTGCATTCATTCAGGATAAGGAAGCAAAATCCAGCAAGCACGAGCAAAATGTCGATGCTCGATGTTTTACTTCATCCATCACACACTGAATTCAGTTCACCGACGGACCACCCCAACTCTCATTTCTGATCACGGTTATCGATATTCGGACAGTGCCAACGCCTGCATCCATGGCCGATGAGGAGATGTTGTCGGTGTGGTAGTGGTTGTTGTTGTTGATCTCTGCCAGCAGCTTCACTACACTTGTGACGGAACACAAGTAATGTAAACAATATAATTCTTATCTTAATAACTTGAGTTATTGTCTTAAAGCCAATGACTATATGTATCTAATTGGGCCTTTCATTGCATTTCCCATGGGCCCATCTCATTGATGTATATCAACATCCTTGTGATTAAGATCATCTCATTGATGTATCTATGATGCCAATAAACATAGAATTTAATTAAACTTTATAATCCATCATCTTTTTTATTCTTCGTGTTTACTTTTTAAGATTGTAGATTTGTTGTTCATCAAAGATACTACTTCTACAATAGCTAGGTCATCGAGTTGTCCAAATATTTTGGTGTCTTTCTGCGGGTTTACTCATGTTACACCATCTTTTCAAAGTAATTTGTACGTCCCATATTATGGTTTTGGAGTTACAACTAACAAGAAATCCGTTTTTGGATTAGCAAAATACTCGGAACAAACCCCAGAATGTTTTCTCTCTCTTTCCTATTCTAGTGAGTTCCCAAAACTGCTTCTTACTTGAACGAGTAGAATTTTTCATGAGAAATCTGATGAAATCGGTTAAAAACGGGAAGTAGAGAGCCGAGAAAGGGAATCTCCACATAATCCTTTTTTTTTTTGGCTCGTCGGTGTTGTGTCCTTCGTCGTGGTTTCTCGTGCTCGCCATGGTTATGAATTATGATGTTGGTCGCCCTACTCGCCTCCCTTCACATCAACGCTTCATCGTAGGTTGCATGCAACGGGATTTGTAGAGAGCCGAGAAAGGGAATCTCCATATAAACACAAAAAGAGTATAGTAGAAAATCTCATAATAACTAGCTACTTACTAATTATGTAAAAAGAGTATCGCTTATGCCATAGACACTATTACTTATGCTACTACTGCAACTACAACAACTACTAACCTACTAGACACTAGTGCTTAACTTATAACATCAAACCAATACATACCTAGCAATCCAATTCTTCAGGCATGGGCATGAAACTACGACAACCCACGTTTGACATTTCACATTCAGAGAGAACGAATCACTAATTAGGAGTGGCTGGGACTTTGGCTACTCTTCTGCTTACTCTTCCTCTTCCGAGGTTGAGGTCCACTCATCATATTCAAATCTTTTATGGTCCTTCTTCTCACTTTCGCCAAACTTGCAAACTCCCTTAGGAGGGTGGTGGAAACGCAATTTCCCTCCTAGTCTCCACGGGCAGTAAACACAGCCCTTGCCATTGTCTGCGAGCACCAAAATCATGGTTTTCATCATCATCATCATCGTTAACTCACACATGTCTATTTAATTTGTCCCTAAGCAAACTACTTACTACATAAACTAAAATACTCAGAGGATGTGTAGAAAACAAATCACCTGTTCTAGAGAAGTCAATGGGAACACAGCAAAGAACACTATAACCTTCCTGGTAGACTGACTCAGTCTCAGCGAAAAACAATCGAATGTCAGAAGGGTTGTATTGCCCGGCGGCGGAGGACGAACCATCAATTACATTGACAGACTTGGCAGTAAAGATGGCGTGAACGATAAGGGTACCGGGAAACAGAAAACACTTGCTGAAGATGGGTTCATCCAGCTCAAAGTTTGAGCCCTAATACATCAAATTAACCGAGACCCGATTATATTTCGACGATTAAGAAGCAATTACTATTTCGATTAAGAGGAACGTAAAACCAACCTCATTCATCTCATTGTAGTATTTCAGACCCGCTGTTCCAGCACGGGTGACTTGGTTCTTCATGATTCGTTCTCGTTCAGGATCAACATGGTCCTCATCCTCGGACCACCTACAACCCAAAATAACATACTCTCAAATCAAATGAACCGCAAAAACCAAACAACAGCAAAACTTACATGGCATCGATGTCGGATCCTATCTCCACCACGCTGTCCTCGTCATCAGAAACCTCCCACGGCAGACGAGCCGGAGCCGGAGCCGGTTCTCCCCCACCCACCTGTTGATCCGACGCTGACTTCTCGTCTCCGGCAGGCACTTGATCATCATGGTCTCCCTCCATCTCCAAGATTTGATCTTTTTGCTCAGCTCACGGTTGTTGTTTTTTTTTTTTACAGCTCACGATTGTTTTGTTGTGAACGGCAGCAGGCGTAGAAATAAAGAGTTAAAAAAATAGGGTTCGGGGACAAGGGATTGGGGTACGCCCTTTTCCTTTTGGAAACACAAAATAAACTAGCGTTTACCGATCTGTTGATCGAATGAATTTTGTTTGATAATTGGAAGTGTCACAACTTTTACACATTCGTGATTATGGGTTAGTCAATTCTAATATGATTCGTGTACAACCAAATACCAATATCCAATTTAGTCGTATAAGATGGGAAGAAGTCATACTATACCAATAGCTATGCTCTAGAATGAAACGACAATCTGCCACAAATTACCATATTTACAAACGTACTTCAATCTAACTATTCTTACCAAGCTAGAACACGAAATAAGGACTTTTCTGTTTCGGTTCAAATGACTCGCTGTTATAGTCCAATGATACTTCCCGCAGCTTTTACCCATCGAGACTTCCCATCTTCCCCTCCCGCTATAAAAGTAATGGCTGCTTTCTCTCCCTTTACAGCACTCAGCACTGCGGTTTCTCGTTGTTCTTCTTCTTCTGCATTCGATCGCTCGCTCTCGCTCTCGCTCTCTCGTTTCTCAATCACTTTCCATAATCATTCCCCAGTTCTCTGCCCCCGTACGCGCTTCTCCCCTGTCAACAGGTACAAACTCCCCGCCCTTTTTCATTTCAATTTGATAGTTTTGATCGCCTTTGTCATCTCAGAATGACGATTTCCCATCTGGGTATCCCACATTCGATGCTTTCCCTACTTGGGTTGGTGTCATTTTCATTATTAATAATGGGGATGGAGTTCCGTCAAGCCTTTTGTCAAATGGTGATTTTTTGACAGTCGTGGGGTTGTCTGAACTTTGTGTGTATATAAATTATCTTGATTGGAGTTAATGGTTGTATAACTTTAGGCCTACAGTTTCTCCCAACGTCAGGTGCTTGTCAAACTCGGTGAATCCACCAGCTGCGATGGAGCAAGTGGCTGCTACGATGGAACAAGTTAAGCTGCTTACTTCAGTTAACGATCAACATGGAGGAGTAATAGTGGAGTTGTTTGAACCTATTGACTCAGGGCTCTTTGCTTCAATGCTCAGAATTTCGATCAGCGAATGGAGAAAGCTGGTAACTTTTCTGTGGCCAATTCTAATCTGCTTCCGTGCGTAGATAATTCAGATTGTTTTTATAGAGGGAGTATGAATATCAGAAGTGAATTGTGTGACTTAAGACAAAGTTTCAAACTTGTTGTGCAGGGTAAGAAGGGGGTATGGATCAAACTTCCCATTGAGCTTTGCAGTCTTGTTGAAGTTGCAGTCAAGGTAAATTAATTATCTTCCATAATCCCTCATTAATGACTCAAAAGTTGCAATACAATCGAGTTATATAAGTTGTCCTGGACTGGATATGCTTTGTGGACTACTAACTGAGAATCTGTTGTTCAATGGGCAGGAAGGATTTTGGTATCATCATGCAGAGCCAACATACTTGATGCTTGTTAGTTGGCTCCCTGGAGGTGCTCACCCTCTTCCACCAAATGCCAGCCATAGAGTCGGAGTAGGTGCATTTCTGATGAATGAGAAAAGGGAGGTAATTCCATAAATCTTTATTTAAAAGTCTATCAGCTAACTTTCCTTTTTGTTTTCTCATTGATAATAGACATTATGATTTTCAATAAGAGCTGTCTTTTTGGTTAAGTATTTGAATGTAAACTCTTCATAGACTGTGAACAAGCTCTAATCCTTAGTTTCTCAAGCTGAATGTTCATTTTCATTATAGTTATCTTCCCGTTACGATAAGTTCCTGCTTATGCATGAGAGGCTTTGAATTGAATAAACTTTATTAGTGCATATCCTTTACCATATCTCGGGATCACGAACGCATCTAAAACTTTATTAATGCAGGTGCTAGTCGTCCAGGAGAACAGTGGAATATTTCGAGGAACAGGAATCTGGAAGTTCCCTACTGGAGTTGTTGAAGAGGTGTGTTCATTGTGCTGCAATGACCTCTTTTTTCTATCTGGCCTAGCAGCAACTCTCTGGATTAATACTGAATAGCTTTATCGTCTTTAGGGAGAGGATCTCTGCACAGCTGCTGTAAGGGAAGTCAAAGAGGAAACTGCTGTAAGTCATGTTGAGCAAATCTTTCAACTTTCCTTTTCCCTGACGTCGATTATGATTTAATCAGCTTTATTTTTCTTTACCACATACCAGATCGATGCAGAATTCATGGAGATTTTAGCTTTCAGGTATGTTGTAACCAATTGTGCTACTGTTACATTTTTGTATGCAACTGATACTAAACACTCTTGATGCCCATCCCATTCTTCTCATCTTCAGGCAAACCCACAAGGCGTACTTTGAGAAGTCGGATTTGTTCTTCCTGTGTATGCTGCGACCCATCTCTTTCGATGTCCAGAGGCAGGAAGCAGAGATAGAGGCAGCAAAGGTTAAACCTTTCTACCAAAACTACTTCACCAAACAACCAGTTTTAAGTCTTTTCTCTTACAGTATTGCTTGTAAATTTGCATTGCAGTGGATGCCCTGGGACGAATATGTGGCTCAGCCATTTGTGCAAAAGACTGAATTCGTGAAGCACATTAGTGACATATGCTTGGCAAAGGTTGACGGGGACTACACCGGGTTCTGTGCCATTCCCACTGCTTCTTCTGGTGGTCAAATGGGCCATGTGTACCAGAATGCACAAGGCCGGAGAAGGTAGTACTGCAGAGTCCTTTGAGAAGGAAGGAAGATGTCAAACTTCTAGTTTATAGAAGACGCAGTATTGGTTGGTTCTTGATTGATTGGGAGTTACTCATTCGGCAATAAGTTGATTTCATTCCAGTTTGCGGCAAGTGAAGGGGACAGGGTATGTCATTATAGTTCCAGGATCATTGCAGATTAAAGAAGTAAGATGGAAAAGAATATTGGCATTTTAGTTTATAGAAGTTAATACATATTGAAGGGAATTCAAGTTCAAAAAAATGTGGCCCATACAGGTCTCGAACCTGTGACCTTCGCGTTATTAGCACGACGCTCTAACCAGCTGAGCTAATAGGCCAATTTATGTATATTGTTGTAAGCAATTTTATATATCGTAAGCCATTGCTTAGAATTTCGACTAATTTATTTTCAACGATTAAGACCAAGATATCCGCATAAAACATCAGTGGTATCATATCAAGTGATTTGTTATTTTTTTAAGGATCTCCTCATAAGGTAATAAGGTTATTTAAATTTGAGTAGAAGGCAGAATAAATAGCGATACATAAGATTGACTGTGTTTTCTCTTATTATTGTTAATAATAAAGTTCATCATTCTTAATAAGAAAAAGAAGACACTACATCGATTGTATTGACATGGTTGTGACTTGGTGTACCTCATTATTTGTTCCATTGTACCCGTAATGACATCATGCCTTGTGTTAATTTGCTCCTGATTATCAGTAAATTTCATCCATTTCAACATTCCATCACATTTCAATATCCTTTCATCTACACGACCCTACCTATAAGTTGAACTTGTATGTAGTTTATAATAATTACATTCCTACTAATGCCCTTATTATCCTATGTAATATTTCATGTTAGCCGATAAGGATCTATGTAATATTTTCTAATGACATAATGCAGATAATTATCTTTTATGCTATGCTAATTTATGTAAGTTGACACATCAATGTGGAAAAGTTGGATGAACAAAAATAAATTTACTCATTATATTTATATGAGTAATTCCAAACTCTAGTGACAAGTTCGTTGCAGACGAAAGTTAAGTGACCGATTCAGCTTGTAATCACAAAGTACGGGGACCATTCATGTAATTGTTTTTGTCTGCTTGGAAATTGGAATAAGCGGGGCCGTTTAGTCAGTTAGGGTTCTTGTGCTTTTTTGCCTTTTGTGTTCCAGGGTTTTGTGAGGACTGCTGCGCGAGAACAGAGTCCACCAGAGGAAGAAGGACGGGTCCTGGGGCTCGAGGTCGACGTCCGCCGCCGGCTATCTGAGAGGAAAGACCGGGGAAAAGAAGCTCACAGTTTGAAGAGAATCAAAGGGAATCCTGTGAGGTACCTGCCAGACGAGAAAAAAAGAGGCGGCCTGAGGGGTGAACGTGGATTTCTGGAATTGCAGGTCGAGGAGATAGGTTCGCCATTTCAGAAGGACTCGGAGAAGAGAACGAATCTTTGGTTGAAGAGAATAAAGGGACTTCTGAGGAAGACGAGGAACCTTGCTACCTGCACGGTTCTGCCACCGCTGCTCTAGCAACCGTGTTCGCCGTCAAATAGAACAGTTTCTCCGATTCAATTGTTGCATACTTTGCTTAAGAAACTTAAAAGTCTTCGTCTTGGAAGTTTTATCGAAGTGGCTTATAAGGGTTAAGAAGGCAGAGAGGGATGGCTCGTCTACGAAATGTAAGCATTTTTATGTTAACAATTCAGTTGGTTGATTTCCTTAGTTTTGATGCTTTGTGTACTGTAAGCAGCTAATATCTTGCTGACTTTATTAAAAGCAGAAGAACAGGAAGGTGTTCTCCAAGCCGAGTTTGAAAAAGAAGGCAGCACCTACTGTCGATCATGTCACTGGCGACAAGATTCCAAAGAGCTTTGTCTTTTCCAGAGGGAAGATGCCTGGTTCTCTGAGGCAGCTGCAGATGGATTTGAGAAAGTTAATGCTGCCATTTACAGCTCTTAATCTTAAGGTAAAACTCAGCTTTGTTTGTTCTTCCTCGATGCCTCTTTTGTTATGGATTGGATGGTGTTGTTCTCTTGAGTTCCCTTAAGATCATAATGGCTTGTTCGGTTTGGCATCTTATTTTTGCTTGCAGGAGAAGAAGAGGAACAATCTTAGGGACTTTTTAAATGTTGCTGGCCCAATGGGTGTTACACATTTTCTGATGTTGTCTAAAACAGATGCAGCGCCGTATTTGAAAGTTGCTAGAACTCCACAAGGGCCAACGGTTACGTTTAAGATAAACCAGTATTCACTGGCATCTGATATTACTCAGTCTCAATTGCGCCCTAGATGTCCACCAGACCTGTACAAGAATCCTCCTTTGGTATGTATTTAATCTTTCAGCTTCCATATGCATCTGAACCTGTTGCTTCTCGTTGTTTTGGTTATTGGACATGTGTATATCAGACTGAAATTCTTTACGCTTTTGTGGCAGATCGTTCTTTCTGGCTTTGGGTCTGGAGAACAACATTTAAAGCTGACAACTATAATGTTTCAGAATATGTTTCCAGCTATTGACATTAACACCGTGAGAACTCACTCATCTTACCCAAGTTAAATATCTAAATCAACGTATTATTCCTTCTTGCTTACCGTCTTTGCTGAATGTTTTCAGGTCAAGCTCTCTTCTTGCCAAAGAATTGTTCTACTAAACTATAATAAAGATACAAAGCTCATTGACTTTAGGCATTACTCTATTCGACTCCAACCTGTGGGTGTGTCCCGCCGAATCAGAAAGTTTGTGCAGAATCATCAAGTTCCTGATCTTCGGAGTCTCCAGGACGTGAGTGACTTCATAACAAAGTAAGGCCCTTGTTGAAGTATCATAGCACAGTGGGTTTTTAGAAAATAAGTGTGCGTGCTGTGTGTCTGTATGTAACAGCAGTACCCACTATAGGTGTCGGTCAGATGCTAGGGGTTCATACTGACATTGCTGTAGTAGGTCCTGGGCATTCCTTCTCTTGATTGTTGTGGTTTAGTTTATTGTTCCTTTTTTTTGTGCTTGAAGGGCTGGTTATGGATCAGAGAGTGAAGGAGATGAGGAAGCAGCAACTGTTACCCTTCCTTGTGATCTTGGTAGAGTCAACCGGGCGACTTCGAAAAGTGCTGTCAAGCTTCAAGAGATTGGCCCAAGGATGACCCTTCAGCTCCTCAAAGTGGAGGAGGGCTTATGTTCTGGAACTATCATCTTCAGCGAATATGGTACCTATCTCATATTTCAAACGATATTTATGAATAACCTATTCATTTTTCGAAACCACTCGGTTTTCCCCCATTGCCTTTGTCCTTCATGTCCCTTTGTTATGATAAGCTCTACGTGCTTCCTTCTCCAGATCCTGGAGAATTGTTCAAGGCTATCCAAGCCATTAATCTTAACTTTATGTTAGAGCAATCGCCATTGTGGGGATACTTGGCGTACAACAATCTCTTGTTTATTTCCTACTGAATAACCCATTCATGAGAAATATGTATACTTGCTCCAAGCCCATCTGAGTCTTCCATTCCATTCATGAATCAGAACTAAGCTCCTGTTGTGGTATAATCCCCATCAGCTGTGCCATTACTTTGAATGTTATCTGTAGAACCATATTATATGAATCAGTCAAGTCTCTTGCCATGATCCCTGATGCCCTCCTATTTATATCTAAATGGTTCAGGAACTGCTAACGACAAGAAAACACCTGGAAAAGAGAATCAGAAGAATCAAGGTGATGAAGAAAATGAAGACGACGATGGAGATGACGATGACGAGCAAGAAGATGATGATGAGGCCTCTGAGTAAAATCAGCCGCCTGAGAGCCGTTGACCCACCACCACCGGAAGTGTTTTTGGTTTCTTTTATAGCGGGAAAGAAATGCATTCTTTTCTCCTGTCAAAAGTTTTTGCTATGCAGTGTTGGTGGAACAAATAGAGAAATTGAATGGACTCGTTATGTTAATTACTTCAAGTCTAATTGGCAAGTTCGTTAAAAAAGGACTGATTTGTTTGTCATAAAAAAGTTAGAGGGACCATTTATGTAATTGACCCAACTGTACCTTGCCCGCCAAGGAAGGAGTAGGACTCCCAAGTCCTAAGTCCTAACTCCTTAGTACTTCTACTACTTCCCGCCTCCCCCAGCCCTAACCAAAACGCTGGCCTGTAACGCCATTCTACAGGAACTCTACTTGGCTTAGGGTTTCCAGTAGAAAAACATCAATCTTCTGCTGCAATTTTGTTCATCTTATCCGCCGAAACCAGCCAGGTATTGCGTTGAGTTTTTCCCCTTCATCTGTATTCCTTCTCCATAACTTGCTGCTACCAACCGTATTAGACATATTTCGATGCACTAGAATTTGTTGAACTCTGTTCGTTATAACAGAATTTGCATGCTACTCTTTGGATGGAACATTCTACTGTAGTTTGCTTGGAAGACAAGGAGAGGCAGAACGAATCGATATGGCAGGGGTGAACTCTGGGAGGTTGAAGAAAGCTCCCAAGCTTAAGAGCCATGGTGGCATTGTTGCAACTTCTCAAGGAATCGACAGGATGAGCTATCTCCCGGACAACATTCTGCATCACATTCTGTCGCTCCTCGACACGAAATCCCTCGTTCAGACCAGCCTCCTGTCCAAGAGGTGGGGACGCGTGTGGAAAGAAGTTCCCGTCCTCAATTTCAGCAATGTCTGCTTCAAATGCTCGTCGAGCTTCGAAGAACACGTAATCAAGATTCTGTCTCTTCGATCCGACTCTGCAGCTGTCTCCCGTGTGAACTTCAAAGTCTGGAGTTGGATAGACTGTCAGTACGCGTTTTCCTGCTCTACAGACCTGTTCGACAGGGTCATGAAGTATGCTGCCTCCAATGGCCATCGTGGCAGTCTTCGCCACTTGTCCATCAGCCATTCCGGGAATTACCTTGTAGAACTGGCCCTGGCTGCCTCCATTAAGGCTCATCACCATCACCATCAGTCTCTCAAGACCCTCAATTTGGAATCATTCTCTCTGGAGTTGGATGGCGGTTCTGGTTCTGGTGCAACACTGTTCTCTGGCTTCAATCAGCTTACGAATCTTGAACTGCACAACTGTTGTATGACATCTTCTGTTTCGAGTGTCGTCGAGCCTTTCGTCGATCTCCCTTGTTTGAAACACCTCAGACTAGTCGATTCCTATGTATCACCGCCTTGCTTGTTGAAAGTGTCTGGACCCGGGCTGCTGGACCTGCAAATTCACAGTACGTTTGTGAGGTATCATAAATTTGAAGTCTTTGCTCCAAAGCTGAAATCCCTCTGCTTTCGGGGCGGTCTGGAGCAGCTCGTCCGGTTGAATCTTCCTTCTCTCGACCATGCCAAATTCGGAGTCCGGATTAAGCTGCAGAAGGAGATAGAAGCTATCCACGGAGCTTGTATGAGACTGTTGCCTCAACTGCATAATGTCAAATCTTTCAACTTAACCTGTTTTCTTGAAAGGTCTCCTAATACCATAATAAAGTCCTTTGAGTTTCGCCGAAATTCTACATAAACAACGAGGACCTGAGATCGACTGTAGCAGTAATATTGTCGATTATTTAACATATCCAATTTAATTATTATATTGTAATTCTTTCTTTTTACCACTAATGACATATCTTGAGTTGATTTACTCTTTCTATATAGACATGGAAGAAGAAAAGAAGAGAAGCAAATAGTACATAGAATGTTATGAAAAGTAGGCAACCTACCTACATTTAACTTCCCTTTCCAACTTCTGTCAAAAAATTTACCTATAACTCCCCCCCTTAAGATTTTATGTTCTTGATTTCTAAGCTAATTACCTATTTTGTCCCTTGTTTTGGTGGGAAACATCGAGCCATACCCTTCCTTCCACGTGCACCCTACCACCACCATCAGGCTATTAAGATGAATTATCAATATATGCTAATTAATAATCATAGTGATATTGAATAATTAAGGTGTGATGTCACACATTGATCAACCCACACAATTCCCATTGATGATGAGTAGCCATGTATATCGTAATTGTAACTTTTTTTTGTATTTATTTCTCTTCTCGTATGATATAACATTGTCATTTTGAATACACATGTTAATACGGCGCTACGCATCAAATCAATTTACAACTTCGATCATGGTACATACTTAAGAATGCTATCAAAAACTAACTTTCCGAGTGAGTTCTGAAACCGTCTGTAACTATCGGAAGGGACAGAGAAACTCAAACAAGCATTGAAGATTCAAATAGTCAATTAGCATTACTACATCCGTCATAATATAGGATTTTATCGGGGTGAACATATTTTCTAATTGATAATTGGTTGGACAGAAATGATCTTCATAATTATACACATCAGAGCTAAATATCATTATTAACCTACCCTCTCACGCAAAACAAATTAATATTCCAAACCATAATCATCTATGTAGACTATGTTTAAAATTTCTCCTCCTCAATAAAACATAAATCATATGATCAAATGGTAATAAAACCCCAAAACAAAGGGCAAAAACACCAAGATGAGAACTCCCCACTACATTAAAGAAAACTTCTTTTAAGTTCTTGGTCGTAAGTCTTAACCGTACACCTTTCCTCTTTCTCCTCTCTCACTCTGTCTCTTTGTTTATATAAATACCTCTTCTTGCAAGTTCTAACCCCTCACGAAACAAAAGAGACACACACACAAAGAAGATGAGCTACTCCAGCGGCCGCAGTTGCCACCACCACCTTCTTCTCTTCTCCTTCTTCTTCCTCCTCCTCCGAACATCTCCGGCCACCGTGACAGCCGTCGAAGACGATGGTGCCACGACGGCGGTTACTGTACCCTCTAGCAGAGAAGAAATGATGCAGTTGGCTGGTTACGGGGAAGAGAAGCTCTCAACCGTTTTGGTCACCGGCTCCCTCGTCTGCCACGCTTGCTCGCCACCACCATCTTCCCATGATCCTCCTCGTGCTAATGAGAATCATGATCATGGTGACGATGATCATCAGCTCCATGAATGGCCCATTCCAGGTACGTACGTTTTAGCCGTGCCCGTGATATGGTTTAAGGGCTTCCAAGATTTACTGCATAAAATCATGTGGGTTGAGGAACTTAATTGGGATTATATTGAACTTACGAACAAAGACAACACAACCCAAATTTTGGTTGGCTCGATCGTTTTGCTAGCTATAGAGTCTTGCACCACAATATAATTGGGTTATCTCTTGCAATGCAAGGAAGTGAAAGAAACAAACGTTGAAACGAGCTTGAAAGCAATTTCGTGTGATGTACATATATTCAAATTCTCCAATAATAAGTTGTGTTCGATTCACGATAAAATTGTTCCAGCGAGAATTCTTCTTTAGAATCATTCTCGAATGAAATAAGTGTCTAATGATCATATCAAGTATACATAAACTAAAAATTTTCTTGATGAGAGTAAGATTTGTTCTGTAAAACAAATGTGTCCATATAATATTAGGATGCATGTCGTTGTGCCTTATGAATTGTACATCTCTTCACTTTCTCTTACTTTTTTATTAGTTTTTTTAGGGCTTCTTTGTGACTTGCATGTTAAGAACTGTGGTTTGAAGCAATGAAAGAAGAAGAAGAAGAAGAAGAAGAAAAGAAGTTTGCCATTTAAGCTTGGGTAGATTAATAGGTAGCTCTAAAGCATTACCCAATTGATACAACATCTATTATTTTCTTACCTACCAAAAGAGATGACCTAATAGACAATCTTTTGTTTGTTCAATATTATACAACAAGCACACTTAGAAGAAAGAGTTTTGTTAGGAGAGACTTATTGCTCCATGGTTGCTAATTGAGTCATCTAATGTATGGTGAGTCACATAACCAAACGTCGGACAAAAAGAAAGATTATACGATTATGTTCTTAAGGTTTCAATGCCATATTTTAGTTCGACACAACAATAAATATCATCATTCTCAAATACAATTAGAGATCGAATCGATGCAATAATAAAAGATATGACCACTATTTGATGTCATGTCACCTTATAAATCCAAGGCCAATCTGATTTTGATGGCTCTAATTCCTTTGGATTCAAGCCTAATTCCCAGCTTTAAGACCAAAAGCCCACATCAACACAGTTACATCTCACCATAAATTTGCTCAAAGATCTATTTCTCCCTTTATAGATTAATACATAAGTAAATTCCCATTTAAATCATAGAAAAAGAGCTAGAACATAAATGATAACTTTACATCACTAATCGATTTCAATTCACCCCCTACTGAATGAATAAAAAAAGTGCAGTCATTACCAATAATAATGCAACATTTAATCAGTAATTTAATCAATTCATCATTTCTGCAGGTGCTTTGGTGGCTGTCAACTGCCTAACCAGAGGGAACAACAGGAGATCGGCTTCTGTACAAACCTTGACAGACGAATTCGGAGATTTCGCGATCGATCTTCCTTCGGAGCTCCATGGCATACCTGAAATGGACAAGACATGTTGTGTTAACGTTCTTAGGATGCCAAAGAAGACAATTTGCAGACCAGCTTATGTCCAGAAACACAAGGCCTTGGAGTTGTCCTCTGTTGGCAATGGCATCCGAAATTACTCTGCTGGGAAGATAACGTTCCTGCATTCAGCTTCTAAACCTCTGCAAGCATGTTCTAAGACCAGACATAACATTGAAACAGAGATTGCAAAATAGATGATGGGATGGCAGACCTTTTGGATTCCTTGTGATGGCGCTACTAGTCACAGCTGGGAGTTCCAAGGTTCCTTTTTCTCATTGTCTGTGAAGTATGTAAGATACACAATATAGGAAACATAGATGCGGTGTGTATGTAAATATTGAGTGTTTGCACATGATTTAAGTGTGGAAATGAGACACTACTGATGAACTGTGTGTGACAAAAAAATCTTACAATCCTGATCTTATTATAATCCATGAATGGCTAACACATAGTTGTGAAACTAGAAGATACAACATACAAGAACAAAGTAGTGAAACTGAGAAGCAATTGCAAGCTGGATCTCTTTATGCGCTGTTGCTCGAAGATATGTATTTGGCAACATCAGCACAGCAACAGAGTCTGTTTGCATCTTCATCGGGGATCTCAATAGCGAACTCCTCCTCGAAGGCCATAACAAGCTCCACCCTATCCAGACTGTCCAAGCATAAATCTTTCTGGAAATCGGCATTTTCAGTAACCTGGTTGAGTTAAGATATGTTAATTAGTCAAACCAAAAGAGATGATCCCATTGTTTAGAATATTGTAAAAGAGGAAGAGAATAATAAGCAACACCAGATGATGGGATGGAAAAATGAAAGAAATTTGTAGACTTACCTTATTGGCATCAATTTTATCAAATTTCTTAACCAGTCCAATCACCCGGTTCATAACCTGCTCAGGGATTGCACCTGTAGCAGCACAAAATGGCATTTGCAGTTGCTTCAACACAATAGCCCTCTGATAAGGCAACCATTGTTGAGGATTTACCCTCACCCTAATGTGGCTCAGAATTGTCTTTCTAATGATTTGCATGCTGAAATAGGTGAAAAGGAGATGCAGAATCTTAGTGCATGAAAGGTAAAATATGACACAGGGTCAAAGCATAGAATGGTGAAGTGCAGATAGAGAGTTGGTAGTACTGCACATTTGGGGTCTAAGGTTAACTTGGTATTCATTTAACAGCAAGACTAAAACTTCGCGACTATGTATAGCAAGCACATTGGAGAGTCCTACATCCATAGCTAATCATGTTCTACTAATGCAACAGCCCAATTGACGATAATTCAACATAAGAAGCGTAAGCTACAGCGAATATAGCAAATTCAGTTGTGACAAAAAAAGTAGACTTCACTCATAACCCAATCAGAGACCAGCGGAGGGTAAATGAATCATCATGATTGATAAGGCTTATGAATGCAGCCATCAAAATAGTTCAAGTTTCAGCATCAAAATTGCATTCCATTAGCAGAAAATTCAGAAAGAAACGACATTCATTCCCAACGTTGATTTCCACGGACAGGCCCCTCCTTCAAGCCTATGGTGTCAAATAGGCCTTAAATGATATGAAGATGAAATCTTTACAATGTCTCTATGCTGGGTCGAATCAAATAATCGACGGAAACTACCCGCCCACCCACCGCGAACACGAGATTGCATCCAAAGCAAGAAAGCTTGCTTGCTTACGGTAAATCGTAATGAAAGAAACCCAGCACCAAGGGCATGTAGGGCTGTTAATGAACCAAGCCGCTCATGAACGGCTCGGTGTGCGACTCGAGAAAAACTCGTTCGACACTCGATTCGTTTTAATCGAGCCGGCTCGCGAACAAGCTCGTTAACTAAACGAGCCAAACTCGAGCCATACCATGTTCAGCTCGAAAGCTCGCGAACAAGCTCATTTAATGGTTTGACATAAAAAAAGGATTAGAATTCATGGATTTTATGTATTGAAATTGGGATAAATATTGTGTTTTACTTTGCTAGACTTTGTTACAGGTTAGAATGTAATTTTGTCCGCAGTTCTAGGTCAATCTTGAGCTATCATGAACATTTTATGAGCTGAACACGAATTTGGGCTCGTTAAACTTATTTGACGAGCCGAGCTCGAGTCGAGCTCGAGCTTTCATTTTCATAAACGAGCCGAGCTCGAGCTTGCATATTAAAGCTCGTGACGAACACGAGCCGAGCTCGAGCCTGAAAATATATTAACGAGCCGAGCCCGAACTATGGCAAAGCTCGGCTCGACTCGGCTCATTAACAGCCCTAAGGGCATGAAAACAAATGTAGAGAATGGAAAACTCACGAGATCTTTATTCGTCAAGTTGGCCTTTGGGATTGAGGTTTCTGAGTCGCCGTTCAAGTGTTCGATCAATTGCCTGCACTGATCTGAAGTGTCGTAGACGGGAAGACAGGAGGTTTAGCGTTAGCCAGCCCTTAGCGCCTTGTTCCCGCCAAGTTAATTGGGTCTGGATAATAAAAGAAGATGGATTGGGCCAAACCAGTTTAGCTGGCTTCAAACTTGGGCCGAAGAATGGTACTTCTAGTTGGGTCCTTATGGAAAGGGTTAGTCACTATCATTGATGGTGGATATCTTATATAAATTAATTTAAGAAGCTTAATTATTGTGCTAGTGAAAAGTTCTCTTTTATATTGAAAAAAATATATATATATTTTAGAAAGTTTTGGGAACTAAGTTACATTGTCTTCAAACTTCTATCCAATTATGAGTACAATTTGAACACATAAACTCTTTCTGTTTAGCCTTCTTTAATATTTCGATCATATATTTGTTTGTGTCTTATAGAGTTGATTGCGAGAGAGTCGTTACCAGATCTTATTGAATTTGTGATTCGAATGAACTTAAATCTCACAAAAAATATCATATATTAAACCATACACACCAAACCAAAGTAATTCAGCTTTAAACTAAGTCTTGTGTGTTCTTGATACTCAAATCCAGCAACGTTAATTTACTATAACAACCTATTTGTTGTAAGATAAGGTCATCACTTATCTACACGTAACTTTCTAAAAATGTAAATAAAATTTGAAAATCAATGACTCTCGTCAATCCATCTCCGAAGTTCACGTCATGCAGAACTCCTAATTTTTATCAATAAAAAAAAGTTAAATGTACAACAAAGGTAAGAAATAATGGAGTTAAGAATTATTAAACTCAAGCTATGATTGGTTTATCTTTTCAAGATCGTAATTATTAAGCATCAAGAAACAAGAAAAAAGATTCACCAAGGAAGGACGTTGTCAAATGATGACGTGACCACCATCCCACTTCTTCTTCCCCACTCTCTGCTTTACCTCTCCTCCTTCCGTCCAAAACATCCACCGCCCACACTTCCCATCAATCACTATCTTCCTTCCCCCAACTTTTCGCCCACGGCCAGCCGCCATCGTCTTGCACCGGCGTGAAAATTTATCGCTGACACTTCCCTTCACCGCCGCCCGTCTCTCATTTCATCTCGCGCCAAACCCACCCACCAGGCCATATTCATCTTCCCTGGTGGCACAAATTCCATTTCCACTCTCCTCGTCATCTCCCAATAACCCCCGAACCAAAAAGATGATAAATTTATGAAATGGTTAGTTAACCATCACCAATTTCTTCCCCCAAATTTGGCATCTTTGCGTGGAATTGCCTGACGGGTCGCTGTTGGATTAAAAAAAATCGATTTCGAGGTAGTGGGGTTCGGTAATTAAACGAATTGATTGAACCCAGGAACTACCGGTGGTAGAATCGGAATCGGAGGTTCACAATCGTTTGTGAATGATTCGTAATTGGATTAGGCAGAATTTTGTCTAGTTTTGGATTTTTTTAGGTTCGTGTTTCTAATTTTGGTGGTGGTTAATTTGCCATGGGGAATGTGAATGGGAGAGAGGAAGATGGGGAAGGTGGAGGGGGAGGAGATGATGGGGAAGAAAGGAGGAACGGCGGTGGCGCCTTGGGTAGCTCCGGTGGTGGTGATTCGCTTGACGAACAAGGACGGCGAGGTGGGCGCCGCGGGAGTGGGGTCATGGTTGTTCCTCATGTCAGCCACCATGGCGGCGGCGTTTACCGGCCGCCGCATCCACAATTAATGAGTCATTCTCCTCCTCACAGTCCCAGAGCTAGCCACTCGCCTCTCATGTTTACTCCACAGGTCAAAATTACTCCATTCCTTTTTCCATTCACCCCTCTTTCTTGATATGTTTGAATGTTCTTAGCGTTTTCTCGAACTGCTTGCATGCAATTTAGTAGATCTAGTGTGTTTTTTGTTTTGTTTCAGGTTCCAGTGTTGCCGTTGCAGAGGCCTGATGAGGTTCAATTACCAAACCAAATGTGGATGCAGAGTTCTGCTACTTACGAGGAACCGTTACATGAGCAAGGGATTCCAACCATGATTACTTGGAGCTACGGTGGTAAAGATGTGGCCGTGGAAGGATCATGGGACAATTGGAAAGCAAGGTTGTGGAAAGTAGTGTGGTTTTACAACATTGTGAATTGCTTTAGTGAGTGGCTAATTTTTTGTTTATTTGCTTTGGTTGATCAGAATGCGGCTGCAGAAAGCTGGCAAGGACTTCACCATAATGAAGGTGCTGCCTTCTGGCGTTTACCAGTATCGGTTTATCGTGGATGGGCAGTGGAGACATGTCCCTGACTTGCCCTGGACCCAAGATGATGCTGGAAATGCTTACAACATATTGGATTTGCAGGTATGCTGGTTCGATATGTTGTTCCTGTTCTAGTCTCTTGTCTACTCTGATGTTCATTTGGAAGGAATTGACGTTTCTTCTATAGATGCTATTGTTTGATCAAGGTTTTGAGTAACTTCATAGTAGGATCAGAAAGTTACGATCTTTCCTGCATTTAGGTAACCAAGTCTCGTTCAGAGCTTTTAGATGAGGAATTGTTGAGTGAGTTTGCCCTCATTCCCTATTTAGCTTGCCAAACTATTATTGGTTGTTCCGAGATGATCGAGTAGTAAACAGAAAAGATTCAAAGGTAGCAAAGCTGTGTGCCTATGAGTCGGGGTATTTGACCATTGCATGCCTTACTTGCACGACATCACCTATGGATTGTGCTGTCTGTTGCTATATAAAGTCTACCTGTTGTGTCTGCATGTTCTTCCTTGTTATGCCTCTTGATCGAACAAGAGGATTAGTCGCTGAACCGCCCCCTTCACAATCTTTCTTTCCTTCCCTGGGAGTGCATGGACACAACGAAGAATACCATTATCATATTTGCACTAATAATGTGTGTCCAAACCATGATCATACAGTAATATTATATTTTGCTGTTTCTTGTTTACTATGACTCAAATTATCATCACATTGATTTTTAGCTGTCTTTGCATCTGAAAACCGTAGCTTACAATCCACAACACAGAGCTATCTACTTCAGTTGTTTCTAGGCTTAAGGACATTAAACTTTAAGGGGGAAGCAGAATACAGGTAGGAGGAGTCAGTAAGTGGTGAGGAGGGAGGCATGACTTAATATCTACAAAAGTTATATTTCAGGCATTGGTGTTCCTTCGAAGGATACTCAAGAAAGCTTAATTCTTTTTTTGTTTTCTATCTTTACGATCTACTGATATACTCTTCCACCTCTCCTGGGCAGGACTATGTTCCAGAAGACCTGGAAAGCATATCGAGCTTCGAACTCCTCAGTCTCCAGAGGCGAGCTACAACAATTCTCAATTGGGAAATGAAGATTTTGCAAAGGAGCCACCACATGTTCCACCGCACTTACAGATGACGCTGCTCAACCTGCCATCGACTTACATGGAGATCCCATCGAGACCTCCACATGTGGTGCTGAACCATCTCTACATGCAGAAGGGGAGGAACAGCCCTGCAGTCGTTGCACTCGGTTCCACTCATCGGTTTGTGGCCAAGTATGTCACCGTGGTGCTCTACAAATCCTTGCAGAGGTAAAAAAAAAAACCATACCTGGAGAGATTTTACAGTCCCCCTGTCAAAAACATGTAGTTTTTACTAGTAAATATACGTAGTTGTTGTTCAAAGAGGATGACAAAAACTTATGCACAACTCTAATAGCTCAGTTTATAAAGTGAGCTTTAGGAATATGGAGAGGATGTGGAGTCCTCCTTAGATTTGTAGCCACCATAATGCAAACTGCTTCTTTTATGACCCCTCCTAACCAAGCTTGGGTCTTTCTGCTTGATTTTGTTCTTACTTTTCAATTTTTGGTTGCCCAAAAGGGAACGGTATCTTTGGGTTGTCCTGAAAGGAATGAACTTTAGCTCAAATTGAGTTTCCATATTGGCTTATCTTGAATGGATCAAAGAGATTGAGGGAGATGGATAGGGATACCTTTGTTAATTGCAGAAACAGTCACTGAACTTCGAGCTGATGAACATAAGTGTCAGTCGATTGTTAGTATATGTTACTGAACGGGGTGATTGTTACGTTTATTAATCCACACTAATGATTTGTGGTATCGGTCGACTGAAAGTTTAATTATCTTAGTAGTAGTTAACCCCCTGAAGTTCTTAACAAACTTAACTAAAGAGATGAAAAAGGAAGACTTGAGCATATACTAAGAAGATGGAATTTGTCAAACATTTACCACCCATTTCCTTTATGAAATTTCATATACTACTAGGAGTAAGTCTAGGACAATAGAATAAATCAGAAGAAAGAGGATTCAAACACCCAAATGATCACCAGCTACACTTGCAGCTTCCAGCAGTGGTACTAAAACAAACTAAAGAAAAGAGATTTTTTCATAACAGATGTACAAAACTTAAACACCCATGCAAAACAATGGCCGCGGGTCGGCTGCCTCCTCTCTTCTGAATCCTCACTTGAAAACAGGGCACCCTTTGACCGCAATCCCCGGTGCAGTCGGACAAGAAGCCAGAGGGCAATGATCCACCTCCGTCCCCCACCACTTCAAATTGTGCCCTGAATTCTGCAGGGCAAAGAACAACAGAACACCCATGAAGGCCGTCCCTGCATCGAGCGCCGCGGAGAGCACGTAGTTGTACTTCTGCCACCACCTCTTGTGGTACTTGAACACGAAGTAGTTGAAGAACATCCCGGTGATCAGCCAGCTGGCGATGTTTGTTGGAGTGGCCGGAGGCATTCCTGCGAATCCATACGATATGACGGGAATGTTGATCAGGGCGATCCATTTCTTCTCAGGGAATGCCTTGCTCAGTGCCCAGATGGGGATCGGGAGCACTGCTCCGACGAGGAAGAGCCACACTAGGTTCCGGTACAGTCCTCCCGGTCCAAAGAGGCGGTGTGGTCCGATCAAGCCCCAGATGACCGACGCATCGAACGTGACTCTGTACTTGGGGCACGTCCATGGACTGTCTGGGTGGGTTCCTTCGATGTCGCATATGTCGTTGATGCTCTCGAGCATCCACCACGCTACCGCGAGGTTCACAATGCCAGATAGCAGCGTCCCGACGAGCTGATCATAGCAAAACAAAGCAGAAAACACGTTCTCTCATGTTAGTAATCAATCCGAAAACAGTCGATGAAATGGATTAATCTAAGTAACTAAGAAAGCAGTTACCTGAGCTGTGTACATGCACCTTGGTGGAATCTTCATGTAGTGACCAAGTTTGAGGTCAGACAAGAAAGAGAGAGCATGAACAGTACTAATCCTCCCATATATCTTGAACAGCAAGTTAGCTATCGGCTTCCCCGGCAGGACATAACCGATCATGAACTGAGCTATGATGTCATACCCCGGTTGCTGCATTCCCAAGTCACAATACGAAAATCGTTAAACCTCGCGTAATTTCGCGTATCGATCAATGCTCGTGGTAATGAACAAAACATGGTGATCAGCAAGTCTGTGAACCTATACCTGGTTGGTTGTTGCTTGAATGACACCAATGGGAAGTGTCACAATGAAGGCTAACACAAATGCAAAGATCATCCCCCACCATGGAAGCTGCACATCCGCCTTCCACACGAAAGACATAATCAGAGACAGAACGACGCTCCCAATCAGCAGGATCATGAACCAATACTCGGGCACCGGCTTGTATGCTTGCATCAGCTTAGCATGGATGTCGAGCTTCGCATTCTGCATCGCCGACCTACTCTGCCTCCATATATCCCTGCCCCCAACAAGGAAATGAAACAGTCAAACCACGGAGTCGAGTCCTAATCATAAAAATGTAGTTACGTAGTTACATAGTACGTACCTTCCATGGAAGAGCGCGACATGAACAATAGTCGCGGAGAACCTAAGGAACCCTGACCCAATCGACAGCGCGAACAAAGGGCTCAAGTAGAGCTTGCCATAGCTGTTGTAGGCACCCACATCGAGCTCGTAGTCCGGGGTCAGCACCTTGGTGGTGTCGTACTTCGAACCGGATGTCGTGAACAGCTGGTTCGAGAAGATTGGGAACTTGCGGGCATCGAAGGTGTTGTACTTCCAGTAGCAGAGTGGGACAATGATGTAGATGAACATGATGAAGCCGACCCCGACGTTGACTATGGAGGTCCAGGGGGAGATCAACGGGCTGCCGTGGTAGGCCGAGATTCCGGCCCAGTCGAGGGTGAACGCGCCAATGCCGAGCCCGTGGTAGCCCGAGCCGATCTGTTGGGCCGTGATGCTGCGCGGGAAGGCCCAGCAGACCCATGAGAAGAAGGTGAGGATGGGGAAGAGGTAGCCCGGGAGGGCGTAGTAGAGGAAGCTTAGGGTTAGGAAGATGAGGAAGAATTGCATTCGGGTGAAGCCTTTGCTCTTCACCTCCTTCTCGTGCAGCGCTCTGCATCATTAACAAAGAAACCACAAAACAAAACCATCTTTATCTATGTGATTCGAAATTTTTAAACAACACACATTCCATCATCCAAATGATTCATTCGTTTTTGGATAAAAGGTAGAATGTGTTATCGAATTCATTGGTTGTAGGGGGGTTATATTTCAGCAATCCGATCTTTTTATTGGATGCTTATGCATGCTTATACATTCTCGATAGCCCGATTTTTTTCACCATTTCGGGAAATAACCAAATTCGTGTTCAAGTGTTATACATCCTTATCAATGATTTCCTTCAAGGACCATAGAGGCAAATAATAAATCCGTTTAGCATCAATGAGTTGTCACCTTCAAAAATAGAACTTATTAACATAATGATCAAGCATTCAAGCAAGAAAAGAAAAGAGAAGAGTACTATATATACAAGTGAATTGACTTAAAAATGCACCACACAATTGTGAGGATCGTGAAAGGTTTGATGGGTACATTCACCGATTTATTTCAACGCGGTATTTCATTTTTGGCAACCACTTTATTCCATGGGACAAGATTGGGGAATAGTGATCAATCAAGATCAAGCATATGAATTGAATTTGAAACCAATACAATCCACAAATAAACAAAAGAGGGATTTGGAATTCAGCTGGAAAAAAACGCTCTTTCGAAAGTGATCGGTGCTGTTCGAATAATCAAAAAGGGCAGTTGCCCTTTTAGATGCAAAGGCAGAAGTTCAAAGGCAAAGCTCAAATTATTTTTTCTTCTCACCAACCAAACACTCCCCCGTCAGGAAAAAATGCGCCAAATAAGCTAAAGAATCATACGATAATCGTAAAAAACATCGTTTGATCATTTTCGTATTAATATTCATCATAATCTAATATACACCCGAAATAGACGAACCTGAAGAGGGAGACCTGAGCCAGGTTCGCCGGCCACCACATTTCGACCGGATCGACCAAGTACCTCCTCAGCAGTCCAGCCCATCCATATCCCAGCACCTGAACCCAAGAAAATTCTCAACCTTGTGACATAGTTGCGATTTCAATACTCCTAACTAGACGTATTACGTAATAAGACATTCACCGTCGCTAACAACAACTAACTCCTCACTGTACATGTCGTACCAAGTTACTTATAACCGTAAATTGCTCGAATTGATAAACAGTATAAAAAGGGATTCAGTAACATAATAATTGACTGCCCCGTGACCAAAAAAAAAATGTTGCAGAAATCATAAAAAGACAAAAGAACAGAGCAGCAGCAGCGGTGCAGTCTGTCTCCAATATCTAAAAATACGACTGCCTCCCCAAAACACCAATAAATGACCCAAATCGCAGAAAATAGGAAAGGAATAATTTTCGTCAAAAAGCCGATTTCTCGCCAATGATTCCCTCGGAAAATCCAAACCCAACCCACACTATCCAAATATCATACCAGTAAGCTCAATCATTCAAGAATTTCATATCATAAAAAAAAAATGCATCAAAATATTAAAAAACCCTATCACAAAAATAAATAATTACACCATATATAATCGGGTTTTCGCCGGCGACGAACCTGAGTAGTGACGACAATGACGAGCGCGCAGGCGAAAGAGAGGCTCTGCTTATAGTAAGCCTTCATCACCGTAATAGCTCCGATGGAGTAGGCGTCGCCGCCGCCCTGAGAAACCCCGCAATTGGCGAAAATCGTGATGATGACGTGCTCCTTCATGTTGAACGGGCCCGGGTTGAGGCTGAACTTCCAGACCCCGAAAAGATCCAACTCCCTCGTCGGCAGGGTCCTGGACATGAACTTGCCGATGGGTAGGACGGCGATCTGCATGAGGATGGCGGAGATGACGAGGGGCTGGGTCCGGTACGTGAAGAAGGTGTTGAGGACGATGAGCAAGGTGCAGCTGGTCAGACCGAGAAACCAGGACCGGAACGTCATCACGGGCAGGGTCGGGTCGTCGGTTTCGGGCACGACCAGGGCCACTTCCTCGATCTGGCACCGGTCCTGCGGGCCGGGTTCGGTGTTCGCGGGTTCGGGCTTGATCGTCGACGCCATTGTTTGTTGCTGCCGCCGGTGGGAGGTTTTTGTGTGGGGTGAAAAGAGTGAAGAGGGAAGAAAAAGAATAGAGGGTTTGATTATATAGTGGGAGTGCCTACGCCGTCCACGTGGAAATCCCGGGCCGACACACTCCCCGAATCTTCCTGGCGCGATGCCAGCGTGGATTTCCACGTCGAGCTATACGCCGGGCCCGCGCTTGGCCTACGTGGTGCAACAGGGTTTGACAAGTTTGACTTCTTGAGTTGCTTAAATATTAATTAAAAAAATTAAAAGAGTAAATCCCTTCTCCCTCCTTTCAAGCGTTGGAACTACTAGGAAAAGAAAACAACCGATTTAAATGATCATTGGGCTAGTTTAATTACCACGTCAGCATTACTGCCTGACACATCCGAATTTCCTCCACCGTATGTCCCACTTGATGCGGGAGCAGAGGACCGCATGAAGTTGCCACCTCGGATTGGGACTCGTGGCATGCTTGCGCCAAAGTGGATGCCATGAGGCATTAAATATTGCTGATTCTAGTTTTGACTTTTAAGACGTGGCGGAACTTGGGAAGGAAAGCAGAAAGGAGAAAGAAACTCTTTGGTTGCCTTAGAAAATGCTATCACCACTTTTTATTTTCTTTCCTAGTTGGTCTCTAAATTATATTCTCTCTTTTCCTAAAAAAATATATATATATTAATTTATTTGGTATCACCTAACAACTGATATATATTAATACTCCAAAAAAAAAATTTATTTGAAATGCAATGTCGACTGTCGAATGGAAGAAAAGCCCCAATATTTTTGTTATCGAGATACATTGGTTCTCGACTTGATATTTAATATATTTGAATCCAGGCAATTAATCTCCAACATTAACATTCGATCTAAACGACACGATATGACAAGGCTTTACGAACAACTTTAAATTCGTGAATTGATTTTTACTTGATATTCAATAAATAAAATACGATCTATTTGGAAGACGTATTCTAACGATGCGATTCACTTTTATATTGGAATGAGCATTTTTTTATGCTAAATTTGAGATATTTTATCAATGAATTCGACCTACCCTAGCTTGGATGATGGATAGGATGACCAAGATTTGGATAGTAATAATAATAGCCTACCACTACCAATCTCCAGTTAGCCGATCTCTGATTTCCTTTTCAGAAAAATTCCCATACCCTTTTATTTTTCCTTCTTACTTTACCTCGCTATTTTAGAGAATCGCGTACCTTAATTATATTTCCTGTGCAAGGTTTTTGGTCCCTAACTAACTAATCCTTCTTTTTTTGTCGTTGCTTTTGGAGTTTAGAGGAACTAAAAGGACATTATTAAGTTTAGCGATTGATTAATTAAGCACTATAAGTCTATAATATGCATGTTTGCTCTTCATTAATCAATAAATAATCAAGTAATCCAAGGGAATGTTTCGTCACGAGGATCAACCAAATAAAGCAGCTGCTCTTTTGCTAAAGTATGGGCCTTAATCAATTTTTAATATTTATATAAACTTGCTTAGCCACAAAGATCATGACATGCACCTAGCTAGTTACATCCTAATGTTAATGCTAATAATTTACAGAAAGCAAAACCCAAAAAGTGGGCATGATTGATGGATCATGGATGTATAAACAAGTAGTAATGACGTCTCGCCATTATAAAAAAAGAAGTAGTGTAAAGTGTTTAGGCCTAGTAGATTGCACTGAAGTTAGTGTTAACGACATGGGCGGACACTCATGTGCATTTGGATGTTTGAATCGGTGTGATGTATAACGTGCAATTTAAAAAAAATTAATGGATAAAGAGGGTTATTATTATAAATCCTCCAAATAGGCTATAAGATAGCCGAAGGAAATGTTAAGGGTGGTTCTCGGCGGTGCAGATGAGATTAGTTGGATCGAGTGATTTAATCTAATTGATTTAAATTGGAGTATTGGGTATGTCATTCGTATCAGCTAATTGTTAATGTACGTGTATAGGTGTATGTGACACTTTTATATCAAAGAAACCGAACGTAATGACTATTATCATAGTTATACTTATACGTAAGTTGTATGAAGGACTTACATTTGGATGAACCAAAAAGGATAAAGAAGAAGTATGGTAATGATATACATTGTTGACCACCTACATTTGATTCCCTTATTCTAAAACCGATAGCTTCTGGCCATCAAGAGTGTGTTTCAATGGACCCTCTTTCTAGCTAAGGATCACCAAGACACCAACCAAGCAAAGTTAACTCATATTTGGCTAGTAACTTCAAAAAAGGAATATATCGAGTTCGGTTTTATTTGTGTTGGAAAAAATATGGAAAGAAATATCCACGGTTAAAGGTGGAGAATTTTTCTTTGGGGGGATGAATATTAATCAATAACATGCACAATGGTGTTTCATTAAGGAGAATGAGGAGTAGGCTACATTTTTTATGTCTTTTGGTTGAATTTTGTTTTGGAGTGTAAATAGCATGGATTAGATGACACAACAGTGCTTCTGTATGAGACGAATGGGGATCGGAGTAGGGTTAAGAATCTTCTCGTGTCTATGATTAGTTTTGAAATTATTTTTGATAAAAATGTTTGGGTCGTTGGACACATAGATAGGTGGTTAGTTACATATCGTCTTATAAGAAATGTTTGTCTAATAAATAATAAAGTCTGCATCAGACTGCTGTTGGTTATACTTTTAGCTAAGCTAATTTAGTAGGTTTGGTGGAGTGATTTCTTTTACTGTTAGATAATGACGTGGCATGGATTTGATGACACAATATTGCTTTTGTATAAGACGAGTGGGGAAAAGGTTAAGGGGTCGTTTGGATTGAGTATTTAGGGGTGTTATTTGAGGTCAAATAACACAAAATCTGTTATTTAACCCCAAATAACATGTTTGGCTGACAAAAAGTGGGATGTGTTATTTGGATGTAGTGTTTTTCCAAATAACAGGTTTGAGACCAAATAACACAAAAAGTGTTGTTTGCCAAATACTTGGGAGGGGCAGGTATTTCCCAAATAACAAGTTTGAGACCAAATATCACATACCAAATAACAAGTTTTATATTATGTGGTATTTGTGTGGTAATTGGCCCCAAACAACAAGTTTATCAAATACTCAATCCAAACGACCCCTAAGAATCTTCTCGTGTAGTAGGTCCGGTGAATGACGAGATCTATTTTGTAAATATCAAACCCTTATACGAAGAATAGAGTTTCTAAAAATCTAAAAAAAAAATCAGAAAAATGTAGGCTGTGGGGTTCGAACCCACGCGCACTTATGTGCAAAAGATCTTAAGTCTTCCCCCTTAACCTCTCGGGCAAACCTGCCTATATTATTAAGTTGTGGAAATGTGGTATAAACACCACTAGAACTTATCGGCTACAATATAGTGGTTATTATTTTCTTTTGTTAACAAGCTAGAGTTATTATCATGCATGTATCACCTCAATTTTGCAAATTAAAAGGTCTTTCATCTACATTTTTCTTCCTGTGTCTCATGGTAAAATTTATTACATTTTGCTAGAAGTAAATTAATTTACTAAAATGGTACAAATGAATCATAATTGGTCGCTTTGGTCGAGTGCTTAAGGCATGTGCCTCTTAAGTATATGAGATTTTCTCGCGAGATTTTGAATCTCTCATGCACGAAGAAGGCATTGCAGGACCAAGTACTAAACCAAAACACGAAAGTGACCCAACAATAGGTAGCTCTTACCCTTTGATTCTTGGATTTTCATAACTTTTTCTATCTGTCAATATATGATTCTATCTAGTGTCACAATTACCACTACAATACTAGTGTTTTTGTGGTCCTTTGGTTCTATATATACTCGAATAAAACGAAGGATCGATACAAGGTTTGATTGTGGATCTTTTATGCTTCCAATGGCGTACAATGTTCTCTTGTCACATATACCACTCAAAATGTGTAAATATCACAATTCATGTGTCCTGCACGTGTCGTTGCTGCGATGAATGTATTATTAATGAATAATGATTCATTTAACATTGAATTATTTGTGCCGAGTGAATAAGATCAAAACATAAAATATCAAATATATTATTCGATTCCACAAATGTAATTAAGAATGATAATTTTGTTTGAGCTCAATCAATATCAATCATGGACTTAAATTATGATTAGGTGGAGATAAGGTGGTACAATTTAGGTGTAACATATCTATCAAGTGATTGAGTGGGTCTAGGATTAGTTACAAAACAATCATCATCCTTAAATGCGATTGACAAATGAATCAATCAATAGTTGGATGAATTAAATAAGTGTATATAAAATTGAATTTTAATTTATTTATAGAAGAATTAAAAAAAAATTATACAAGACATATTAGGATTGGCTCGTGAAATTTCTCACTACGGGCTAGTAGCAAGTAAAACTACTGGGCTTCTCGTTTCGGTCCTCACTATCACTCCAACCCAATCAAGTCTTCTTGGATTGAGCCCACCGTAAACTTGCCATCACAATACACAGTACACACAATTATCCTCTTGTCCTCAATGGAACACCATGTCACTTGAGAGTACGTAATGGGGAAAAAACATAAAATTAAAAACTAGTTAGAGATCTGACAAAAAGATTAAAAATTATATGCAATTTGTGTTGTAAACGGATTAGCAGCAACTGTCAGTCAAGATATATTGGCAGATGATTTTAAAGACCACCACATGTAGTCTTTGATCACTAAAATAAGGAGATTCGTCACACGAACAAGGATATTCAGACATCACAATTCAATTGTAATTGCTTATGTTGCGTGGTAATTAAACACAGGTTAGAGTGTCGATGCAACAAAAAGCTAGAGCTAACTTGCTTGTTACATACATGTTGTAACCCCCCTATGACTCCATGTTAGAGTGTCGATGCAACATATCAAAATATGTTGGGACAAGCAAAGAGTAACTTGCTTGATACATACATGTTGTAACCCCCCTATGACTCCATGTCTTATTAGAATACCCATTATTATATATAAGTTGGTTGTACAAAACTAAAACCCAACTAATTAAAAAGTTAATTAAGAAGAAAACCCACCAAACCCTCCAACACTAAAGTACTTTTACAGTTTAACATCTCATAATAATCACCATAACCACCATATTGCACATATAAAAATTAACACCACCTAACATGATCTACATTAGAGAACAAGCATTAGGGTTCTCATCACTGAAGATTTGGGGAGGAGGGTAAGAATAGTACTCCATGCTGTAATTCCTCGACGGCCAGTACTCACTTCTCTTGATCTCACTCTTCAACATCTCCTCCTCTGTTAAGGACTTCCCTTCTTCTTCTTGCTGCTGCTGCTCACCTTCTGTTGTTTTCTTCTCTTCCTCTTCCTTCTTCTTTTCATCTTCCTTTTCTTCTTTCTTCTCTTCTGCTTCCTTCTTCTCTTCCTCCTTGATTACTATGGAGACCTGCTTTCTGGTCTTCTTGTACACATCCTCTGCCAGCTTCCCAGGCTCCACCACCCCTTTCACTGTCACTGTCCCGTTTACCATGTCTGTCTCCACCGATTCCACTCCTGTTCAGGTTAAAAAACAACAAATGATGTTAACTAAAGTGAGATAATCTCATTTTGTTAAAACTATAGGCATAGCGGGGATAGCTCAGTTGGGAGAGCGTCAGACTGAAGATCTGAAGGTCGCGAGTTCGATCCACGCTCACCGCATTTTTTGTTTGTTTGATATTCTTTCTTCATCGAAACGGAGAATGTGTTATTAGTGTACCTGATATCTTCCGGATTCTCTTTTGCAAGCCTTGAGCACAAGCTTCACAATGCATTCTTATCTTCAAGACGACTGTTATAACTGGTGGAGGCTGCAAACAAGGGTAGGATTAGTCCCCGATTCGATTAACAGAAAAGTCACGAGAACTCGAATGAACACTCGTCTCGAGTCTGGTTTTGAAGATGCATCGAAGGCAGAATGAGCAAAAAAAACAATTCTGTTTGCTAAATTTGGTGAAAGGTTAAAAACAAGGGATAAACAATAATCAATAATGGACTGCACAATCGTGTCATGAAATGGAAAACCCGTGAGCTGCTGGAGTAGCAGTAACTGCTGCTGCAGCTAATTCACTGCTGCTAAGTTATAATAACCTTATATGAGAAAAAACAGAAAACAGAAACTACTGCTATGAAAAGGAGGCAAGTTGATGGGGTTGGGAAGAAAAGGCTTAAAGGGTGTCCCTTTTGTTGTGGGGTTGAATGGCCCTAAAAATAGTGGGGTGGGTTTTTATTGAGAAAGGTGCCCTTCCCCAATATTTTCCCCCACATAGCTTGTTTTGTTACTTTCATGTCAGCCTTGTAACACCCACGACCCTCAATTTCCACCAAGGTAGGTCTCAAATCTCAATGCTTTCAACTTTCAAATTTGTTCCCACATATGTAGCATTATGTCGATTTCAAGATTCGAATCCAGGACGAGTTTGACGTTTAAAGTTTCGTTACTGTGCTAGATCGACGGTATCAGCTTGCGTTGAATAGCACTCAATTGAAAATGCTAGAGGTAATCCAAAGTCTAAAACTTCAAGTCTCTCTAGAATGATCTTATCTTAATTTCCTTGAGTTGCAAATCTTTGAAAAAAATGACTCCAACCCTATATTTTCCCAAATTTGACTACACTATGTTCCTGTCCCCTGTCTCAATTTATTAGGGGCAGCTACCCTTCCAGACTGCCATTTTCTGCTCTCTACCATCATCATCATGAGGATATACAGAAATACTACCCACATATATATTGATCTCTTCAACATGAATTCAAAACATGTAAAATTGGCAAATATTTACACCTACTTTCAACGGTGGTGATCAGAAATGGAAGTAGTGCATATATAGAGAGCTAGAAAAGAAAACACAGACAAACGTTAAGAGTTAGTACTTTACTGATTGGTGAGCTTGGTAGGGCTTGTTTGGTTTGGCATCATCATGGTTTCTTTTGACTACCTACTAGTGAATTGAGTGAAAAAAACAAAAAAAAATTATTAATGTTTGGTGTGTGTAATGATTAATCGATATCTTTTTTTAACCTTTTGATTCTTATGAACATAAACCAACCCGAATTTTCGGAATTTTGTAAACAATCATACACGATCCAGTACGGTCAAAATTATGAATTATTCATTATTAATTGAATTATAATTTACCTCATCCTTTTTCTCAGGTTCTTTGGGTTGATCTTCTTTGGGAGGTTCTTCCTCGTTGGGTTTTTCCTCAGGTGGTTTAGGCAGAGGAGAGATTAACTCAACTTTCCTTCCACTCTTCTTCTGCAGCCTCTCCCACACCTTCAATGGGTCTGCTGTTTTCCCTTTCACCACCACTCTGCTTGTCTTGCTATCTGCACTCACTTCCTCCACTCCTACAACCCAACCAAAAAATAAAAACATTACAAAATAAAAACAATATATAATTATATTAATTTTGAAATTCAAATGAATTTTAAAAAAATATGCAAAAAGAGGAGAATTGAATTTATTAATAGTATTTCTTTGTATGTCTCCCCTTTCATGGGGAGTAGTAGTAGGACTAGGGAGTGTGTATAGTAGTAACCACTTTTTGACTTGGAAATGAAACAACTTTTCTTGGTGTTAATCAATTTAAATACATGGGTATTAGTGTTCTTCAACATTTCAAAAATTTAACCATGTATGAAGAGACTTTTGAATGGAGCTCCAAATTCGAGTGATTTATATCAAACCCAAAAAATTGGCTAGAATCTGAGAAAAGGGTAAGTTCCAAAGTTGAGCCTAGGATGAATATTCTTGAAAAGTTGATGACTTGATAGATAGAGAGAGAGAGAGAGAGAGAGAGAGAAAAAGAGTGAAGAGAGATGAAACCTTGGAAGCCTTTGAGGGCTCTAGCAACCTTCCTAGCACAAGCTTCACAATGCATATCGACTTTGAGCACAATCTCAGGTGGAGGCTGGGGAGGTTCCTCTTCTTTCTTCTCTTCTTCTCCTCCTCCATCCTTCTTCTTATTCTCCTCTTCCTTTTTCCCTTCTTCTTCTCCTTTCTTCTCTTCCTCCTTCTTTTCCTTCACAGAAAACCACAGCAAATCAACAGTAAGCAAAGCATGACAGCCATGGAGGTTGATGATAATATGGTGATGATTAAGAGAGAAAACTTACTTCACCCATTATTTCTGTGATGATTCAGAGAACAAACTCTCTCTCTCTCTCTCTCTCTCTCTCTCTCTCTCTCTCTCTCTCTCTCTCTCTCCTTGTGTGGGCGGTGGTGAAGAGGAGAGGAGGAAAGGGAGGATTTTTATTTATGGGGATGGTGTGTACTATCTGACGTGGATTGTCTTTGATTTCGGTGGGTGTAAATGGAGGAGATGGACAAATGTCCTTTTGCTGACTCACCATCTAGTAAGTTAAAACTTTGCCCTTCTGTTTCCTACTAAATCACCTTCTACTACTTTTTTTTGTGTGTATATACCTAGCTACCTGGTAGCATTGTCCATGAAACCGTATCGTATCGAAGGTTCAACCACGAAATACTAGTATTGGAGGCTAAATCGGTAGGGGGTATTTACCGGTATAACAGTTGAACTACGATTAAACCACAATTTTATCATAAAGTACCTTACCGCTGACTTTCCCAATACGGTCTCCGGTACGGTTTCATGGACCATGCCTGGTAGTATGATCGTGGACCATTTGCACCATGTGTTCTTTTGATAAGAAATTTGCCCTAATATCAGGCACCAAATCGCACTTTAATTCTGTTGCGGCTAGAGGTTAGATGGCAAATTCGAAATTGTGTTTTCTGATAGCTACATCTTTTATGGAGCGGTCAGTGGATACATATAGCAAATAGAAAATAAAGAAGACAATAATGGACCAGACACAAGATTCGTCGTGTTGATCACGTAATACATCTGAACGTATTTCGGTCGAAAAGATCAAATTCGGACCCAACCAATTATATTAAATGATGGTGGTTATCGATGATAAATTCTTTAAAATCACAAAGCCTTTTTCAGGTAATATAGATATATAATTTAATATATATGATGATTCTTGTTTTACATTGTACGTAATAATGGGATAATAGACCACGTAGTGACGTACATAAATAACTAAGCTAACTAGATTCCGTTTCAATAACTGTAAGTAGTTTTGTTTGTGCATCGAGGATTCCAAATTTGATACGTAACGCCAGCTGGAGCTGCATGGGAGAAATCAACTTGTAGCTCTAGATTCAATTAAAAAAAAGAAGCTATGGGTACGTTCGTATTCTAAAGTATATTTGACATCCAAATTGGATCAAAAGCAACATAACATTGCATCACTCATACAAACAAAAGGGAGTGCATATATTTCTTAATATTATAAAACCAGCCCACTCCAGTCAAAGGTTGTGCTAAATATCGCATAAAGATTGTTAAGTAATGTATTTTATTTTCTTCCCACTTGAGAAAAATTCTAATTATCATCATCTTCGATCGAATTGGATGTTTCTTTAACAAAGCCCAAAGTTTATTTTCTTAATTTGAATGATTAGAATAAATGTATGTATTATTTATTGAAGCATAATTATACAGGATATACGAGCATTGTAGTAGTGCATGCATGGTGAGATCATCACCATGTGGCATGTGGGTAGGAAATCATTGAGTTGGCAATTCAAAGCACAAACTTTATTGGCAAATGTACATATATACTACCAAAACTTCCTTTTTTTTTTTCCCTTGTACAAATGTAAAACATTTCTTGAATATGATAAAAGGGAAAAAAGGGTCACTTCAAAAAAGATAAAGCCGATAAGGTTTTGCTTTGCTTTTTCCTTCCATTCCCATTGGCATAATTAGGTTGACGAGAGCTTAGACAAAAAGGAAAACCCAAAAAAAAAAAATTGCGATGTAATTTTTTGCTATTTGACGTATGTTATATATTGGATTTGATATATTTGTTTCCCACCACAAATATATAACTTTAATTTCATGGTCCAAGCTTTTGCATATGATAAGGTTGTCTATCTCATGATTTCACTGTGATTTAACCCTTGAGAGTGGAGAAATTAGTGGAGAATGATCCATTAATTGAGTGAAACCCTAATAACATGAAGGCTAGTTATCGTTTATCGTAATTAAAAAATAAAAAACAAGTATTTCAAATCTTCATCATCATCACCCAATAAGACGTTGGGGGGTTAATTCATCAACACAACACAATAGTTATTGAGAGAAAAGGTTCGAGAAATTTTTATGTCAAGGGTTTTCAAATAAACAAATCTATTCAACCATATTGATGTATTAATTAGTTCAAGAATCGTTTAAATAAAAGGTTAGACTTAAACCACACACAAAATTCTTTGTCTAACCTTATTTTCAATGTTGTCAGAACCGAACCGGAGCATGCCCCGGTAATGCGAACGGCTCGCACTTTAGTGGTCCAACCGGCATTAGACCGTTTAAAAACCGTTAGAGAACCGGTACCTAATAAACGTTAGAGGATCGAAAAAAGCCTCTCTCTTCAATATGAACCAAATGTTACTTCCATCTCAATCCATTCAATCAAATTCAAGGATCTAAATCATTGTCCAATTCTAATCTCAATCCTATCATGTTTCTTCCATTCCCAATCAAATTCTCCTCCCTTATCCTATTGCTGACCTCCTCGATTGTGGCAATGGATGGAGCTCTCCTGAATATATAATATTAGCCCATAATAGCTCCGGGTTCCAAGCCACCATAAAAGGATCAAACCGCCGGCCTGCAACTGGTAAACCCTTAATTATCATCCTCAGCAGTATCTTGGAAAGCCGATCAAAGACGAAGAAAACAAAAGGTTAGGAAACCGGTGATGAATCAACACTTCCCCAAATGCAGTCCCCATCCATTGCATGACACGTGTCGTTTACCACTGTAAAATAAAAACACATTCACCGTAGCTAGCTGGCTTGTGATTTGGTTTTGTCGTGGCCCGGTGGATAGAATAGTATGCAATTCTCTTAACTTTGTCCTTACTCCACAAATGGGAAACATAAAAACTTTGGGTGCTGATCCAATTTCCAAGTTGTGTTCATCCGATAGCTATCTAGACCAATTTTATATATATCTAATTCGATTAACTATTATTTTGTCGAATTGGAAGAGGAGATCGTTTGTTTATCAAGACTAATAATGAATTCTGTTGGAATCGTATATCGAAATCTCATGCGATCTTTAAGAGTTCGAATGCAAAAAAAAAAAAAAAAAAAAAACGTGCATTCAGATCGATTTGTCCTAATTGTGTCTTTCTAATTGTAGTTTTATGAATCTCATCTCCATATATATAAATCTTAAGTGCCTTTTGTCAATATAACTTGACGGTTTTGACCTCAGAGAAGAATGGCGTTTTATTTAACATGGATACTGACTGGGACACAATACCAGCAAGTTCCGCAACATATTCGGCACTAAGTGATGGTAACTAGGCAACATGAGTATATGAACAACCATGCTTTTTATCGGCTACTGAATGAACCGTGAGCAATTTGCAAACAATGTACATATATGCATCAACAATATTCACAAAGGAGCGAGAACTCACTTTCTTGCCATCCAACGACACTCATACACGAAAGAGGAAAGATATAAACAACACCAAAGAGAAATGGGGAGTTTCGTGCTAGTTGGGAGATGTATGTGATTGAAGTTTTGCGGCCATCTATTTAGGTAAAATTTTCAGTAAGTTTTGGAGCTAGCTACACGAAAGATGTATATAAAGAGAATCTCAATAGAAACCAAGACAAAATGCCAAATCTTCCCTCTAGATATCTCATTGTGGTGTATGAAATGGGGTATAGGATGGCCTTTGTTTTTTCCTCTTTCTCATTTTTGTCAACTTTTTCATCACTCGTAGAACATGGAAGAAGTGGCAAAAAGGGAAACACAAACTATCAACTATTCTTTTCCACCCCATCCCCATGGTGGTCATGTTGATTGGAAGCTTGAGGTTGGTTCTTGTCTTGCAAGTTGCAAATGCTATTCTTGCTCGAATTTGTAAGGACAACAATTGTTTGCTCGATCGTGGGTCCTTTATTATCACATACAGTTTAGGAGAAATTGCACATTTGTGGGTTTATGTGTACTCAGCTAAGGTTGTTTGGTCGACTGACAAGTGACTTGTTACTATAGTTTTATTTAAAGTGTATTTGTCACTAAAATTATGAATAACTGAAAATATTACCATTTGGTCTCTTTCTCGTGAAATATTTTGGCAAAATTCTCTAAAGAAATAAGCCAGTTCAGTATAATTAATAAACTCGCCGTTTGCTCAACAACAACCTCAGTATCGCCAAAAAATTTGATCCGAAATCAATGATGATAGCCCAAAAACTCATCTTCAATTCTCGACCTTCTATTGGCCTTGGTATAAGAGAGAGCTTTCAATCTCTCCTTCCCTTCGTTCCCATATTCACACAAATTCCAACAAATCATACATGAAGAAGATGATGATGATGATGATGAAGAAGAAGAAGATGATGATGATAAGTGGGGCTTGATTACGAAAGATGCTACTTGCTCACGTTCGTTCTCATGCATACACTTGTGTGTAATATATGAACGATTTAGGGCTCCCAAAATGATATTTCTCCTCACTACAACATGCGTACATAGCTTCCAAACAAATTTGATTCGTTTGCGATAGATCCATGATTAAATAGACCACACATACAATAGGATAACTTTCTAACGATTACGTAATTGCATATTCCAAGAATCGATTCGTACCATTAACTTGATTTGTCCGGATATGCTTCATATATAGCTATCTGCCCGTTTCCATACTCTTCAAACGAAAGCTCGTTGCTCGAACATTATGGCAAACCTGGCCAACATAAAATCTCAATCCTAGAGATTACCCATGACCGGCCCGATCGACCACCTTCAGATCGTACGTTCCATATTTCAATATTTTCTAAAATATTGTATTTTCTATAACGTCGTCACATCATCGTGGACAAACGAAAGAGAGTTTTGAGTGAGGAGAAGAAACCAAGAAGTATATGAGGTATATAATATAGGAGGATGATGGGGATCGAGGGCCAGCCAGCTAGGCTAGGGTTTGTGGATGGAAAAAGTTGACAATGAAACATGGCGATACGAATCCATGGCAAAGCCTACATATATAGCAGTAAAAGCCATGGATGGATCGATCACAATGACATCACCCGACGCAATTGTTCAAATAATAGCACATTTGATTGGTGGTCCAAGAACATGATGATGATGATCACGATATACGAAAATGGCTGACGAAGAAGCTGGCCTAAAGCTAAGTATGTAGCTAGCTAGCTTCACTGAATCTTATACATATGTCCACACTAGATATATAGGTATAGAGAATGGCTAGAATCCACGTGTCAAATGGTTACAGGTCAATTGAGCCGTGAAGTGATGATCACGGTGCAGTTGTTTGTGACAAAATTGAATAAGGGATTAAACGATTGGATCAATTCAGTTATTGATTAATCTGATTAGAATTTGATCGAGTTTTCAAGCATTCATAACATGAGTGTATAATATTACATGTCAATTATTATATATTTGACATTTCGTGATGAATGCGTTTTAGTCGACACAGGTCACCAAATCATTCGAGTCCCAATGCCCATAACCAAGCATGTATGATATGTGAAAATGTTATTCTCAGTCATGCTAATGATTCTCTCTCTCTCTCTTTTTTTTTTTTTTTTTTGTGAACACTATGTATTTCTTTGAGCTTATGAGTGAATTACCTTTTGTTTAAAATCATCATGTTATTACCTGGCTGGCTAGAATCCTAAGCAATAACCATTTCATGAATTTGGGCAACAGCTTTTGCTTTCAAATTAATGGGCTTTGTGCATCCTATTTGGGCCTGCTCCTTTTCTTAAGCCTGGATTGGCAACTTCTCCCAATATGGAAATTCTACTGACACAAAAACAAAGAATATTGTTTGGCAGATCCAGACAAAGGAGACGAGTCATCACCCACGGGCCACGGGTTACCAATGAAAAATTGGGCCAGCCCAGCCTTCTTGTTATGAACGAAGTGGGCCAATTATGGACTGTCCTCTTCCATGGGAAGTCCATAGCCTGTGATGTCACTTGGTTGAGCCCACGGAGCACCGTGAAAGTGAACAAAGGGAATGTAAACTGAACCCAACAGTTCAGGATTCAATGACAAAACAATGAGAGAATCCTGATGTAATCGTACCAAAACCTATAGCGTGTCATTCAAATGGTGCAACTGATTGATACGGTACGATATAACAAATACTAATAAAAACATTTTATGTTGTGTAAGTATTGCCTCAAAGATGAGGTGCAAAATTTTAAAATTCGAATGATATGATACGATATAACAAATACTAGTAAAAGTACTTTATGTTTTTGTAAGTGTTGTCTAACAATCGGATATACAGTTTCAAATATTCTCCTGATAATAAATTAGCTCAGTTGCTTGGGTTTGTTCTTTGATATGGTGTGAAAACAGAGCATTATTTGGCAGCATCAAGTGGGTGCCCCAATAATTTGATTTCTGTTAGGCTCTAACTAATTTGAGGAATATACTCTTTAGATCAATTTTGGGGGGATTTATGATGCTGAATTCAGCCCCCCAAACTTCAAACCCTCTCAAAAGAACCCAATTTGGCTTTGCTTGCGAAATTTATCAAAAAATTGCAATCAAATTTTTGTATATTCCATTTTGATTATTGAGGTTCACAAAGATCTTTGAATGACCTGAAATTTCAAAGGAAACCCATGTGGCAATACATGAATATGCGGTGGCTTCCACCTTATCTTACATCTTACATCAAAGGCTTAAAAAATAAACAAATGCTAATAATTATAGCTAGGTTGGTTACTTAAGTTGCTTACATTCAAAAAAGTTTCAACTTTTGGAGAGCCCACAATTTTTTAAAGTATTAGCTCTTTGGTGAGCTAACTTGTTTCTTTCCCTCCAATTTTCTCATGGATAAATGAGTAGTTTTTTTTTAATCTTAAATGGTGATAATTTTGATAGAAACGGTTTTGAAGGACTAGGTGATAGTTAATGATGTTGAACGAATAAAAAATATGAAATCTGTTGTGGTTTGTCGAATCAAAAGAACTGAGATAAATCATCGCCCTTATCTTATTTTCAAAATTAAATCCAATCATATATATATATATATATATACTTTTAACGAATTCGCGACGAGATGATACAAATGGATCGAGTTTTTATCAGTTTTGCTACCTCCTAATCCAATACATGAACAAATGCATAGTTAACCATTTGTATTTGTGTTATGTGCACCGCACCATTCCTCATCCAAGTCGATAGAAAGGGATAAAGAAAGCTTTCTCTCTCACTCTCCATCAAGTATCAGCCCCCTCCATTAACATTTGCTTTGATTTCTCAAAGCTTTCCCTCCTCTCCTTCCCCAACCTTCCTCCAGCCTGATTGAGACTTGAATGTTCCATCATTATACATCCATAACCACAAGATATACATCACCTTTATATATCTCTTTCTATGTCAATATTTGTCCTGTTGGAAAACGATGGTTGCGGTTAAACTCTTGGACTTAAAACAACTCGTTTTTACTAATTTCAACCTTTGTGCAACGTTTTTACAAATACACATATAAAGACAAGTAAATTAAATAACCGTTAACCATGAGTTCGTAATGATTATCGAATTGGTATGATAGTTATTCTGAGTTGACCAAAAGATACATGGATGAATCATGTTTCATCATACGATAAGCTTAATTAATCAATTCATAGGGTTTCTTCCCACCTTTGTTGTTGTTGTAGCTATAGGAAGGTGAGATGGGTCAATCAATGGCCGGCACATGAAAAATGGAGAATAATAATAGTAATCAAGCGTCGTCACTCGGCAACCATAAAAGAATGGAAGAGAAAGGTCTCCCCATCTAACCACAACTTCTTCCAAGGTTCTTTTAACCAACTCTTGAGTTCAATTCAATTCAATTGCATGGATTTTGGTGCTACGCATTTACACTTGTCAAGCCAATACTTCATCAAGTATAACATACCAAAAGGAATGGAGTTCATTTACCTCAATGGATTGACTTCATAACATACCTCAATGAATCAAATATAACAAAAATACACTACTTATTTGAAAAAGATACGAAATCATATTGAAAAGTAATCCAACTTATTGTTAGATTAGTGCATAATTGTGTACTCGTACTAGTTTTTTTTATGCTTCAATCAATTTGAACCTTATCATCCCACTAAACACATATCATTTTAATACTCCCAAATTTATCTACAGCAGTCAATATTCTTCTGCCGATCCTACTACATATTCTTCTAGTGAGAAATACCATGAAGAAGACGAATCATGCTAACCATGGAGAACTACGGTCCAACCTCCTTCAATCATACAATAGTACAAACCAAGCAGGCGTCACATATATTGCTAGCTAGTACATACATATATATATATTTATATATATAACCATTTCCCCCCACCATGAATGAGATCCCCCAACAGACCTTAACTCACACCATTACAATTTACAAGTCCCTTCATTTAGGTCCTCTCTCCCCCTCCCTTCTTCCTATCTCTTCAAACCCAACTCCCTTTCCCCGCCGGCCGCCATGGGAGGAGAACAAAAGGTGTGTTAAGAGAACCCTCTTTGCCTCTCCATCATACTCTGTTTTCTCCCCTGTTTTGGCTAATGGTGTTTGTCTTTGTTGCTTCTGCAGCTGACGATGATGGCGATCAAGGTCGATCTGGACTGCTACAAGTGCCGCAAGAAGATCAAGAAGGTCCTCTGCAGGATCCCTCGTAAGCTTGATATTGATTGTCCGCTACAAGTTTCGAATTTTGATCTGTTCTTAAATTGAGAGTTTTTGCAACGACTGAGGACCGTCACTGATTCGATTCCGGGAATTTACTTTTGGCGACGGACAGAGATTCAGAATCAAGTGTACGACGAGAAGGCGAACGTGGTGATAATCACGGTGCTGTGCTGCAGCCCGGAGAAAGTGATGGAGAAGATTTGTTGCAAAGGCGGCGAGTCGGTGAAGGGAATCGAGATCGTCAAACCCCCACCGCCGAAGCCGAAGGAGCCGGAAAAGCCCAAGGAGAAGCCCAAAGAGCCCGAAAAGCCCAAAGAGAAGCCCAAAGAGCCGGTAAAACCCAAGGAGAAACCGAAGGAGCCGGCAAAGCCTCCACCGGCCGCAAAGCCAGCTCCGGCACCGGCGAAGCCGAAGGAAAACAACGATAAGCCGCCCAAACAGACCGAACCGGCTCCGAAGCCTCAACCAGCTCCGCAACCAAAACCAGCCCCTCCGTCGCAGACCGAGATTCCGATCGGATTTCCGCCGCCGGCACCGGGGCCGACGCGGACCTGCTGCAGGGAGTGCTACGAAGGGTGGGGCGTGGGGCCCTGCCACAGCATGCTGGGCCCGCCTCCGTGCTACGACGGGTACGGCCGGCCGGTGTACGACAACTGGGGCGGCGGCGGGTGCAGGGGAGGGTACTACGGCAGCAGAGGCGAGTGCTTTAGCGACGACAATACATCGGGCTGCGTCGTCATGTAAAGTCTAAATGAGACAAGAGCCTGTCGCAAAAACGGCGGCGTTCTGAGCGATCATCAGCCACGTGGCGCGATCCAGTGCGCATGGGATTCGTATCATTCGTTCAATTTTCACTCTTTCTTGATCCGTCGTCTCTTTTTCATTTTCATTTTGTGTTTTGGGGAAAATATGTGTAGACTAGAGAGTGATATAAAGAGAATTGGTGGCAAAAAAATGGTTAGAAAAGATTGAAAATGACTATAAGAGGTTGACAAATTTTAATCAATGAAATTTGTTGGAAATTAAAAGGTACTTTATGAAAAATGCTTGGCTATTGGTTCATCACTAATTTGTTGGAGGATTCTCTTTTTGTGGTGGTACATGGTGTAATCAATTACTCATCTAGATGTGTGGTTTTGTGGATATATAATTATAGGTTAGGCAAGAAACATTTCATTAGGTTGTGTTTGTTTGGAAGAGCTAGGAAACCTTCTAAATCTGTTACAACTTTGATGGTGCTACCTAGTGCACATGAAAAATAGCACCAAGTTGGTTAGCAGTGGACGAAGACTTGATCCAATATTTTTATATAATCAGAGTCGGTTTCAATTTTTAAAACTTAACGATCTAAGTTTAATTTGTGATAACCTTTTTAAGGTAAGAAAAAATGACGAATCGAATTTAAAGTAATCAATTGCTTTATTCTTTTTATTTATTTACAATTTTCCCTCTAACAAATAGATGAACCCCAATATCTTATACTATATGCGACAGAGAAAAGATGCTCGAAATGGTTTTGAAAATCGTACAAAATTGCAACTAAATTCAACTTCACCGTAACAGAAAACCTAATATCAACTCCGATACAGATTGATCGACACCATAAAAACAAATCACCTAGTGATATTTTGGTACACGATTATCTATAACCTACAACTATATATTTGCATGCCACGCTCAAAGCACAAAACTATGGCCACCCACCGTTAAGTAAGCTAAGGTTAAAGTGCACTAATAATAAAGCAAAACAAGCAGTGTTTTCCAAGCAAATATTTATAAAAGGACTTGTTGCTAATTCAAGCCAACTTCATCGACTTGAAAGAAAGAAAGAAGGAAGAAAATAATGAAACGTAACCATCTTAGCATCTTCTCCATTATATGTGTTGTGGGGAGGAAAAAAACAATAAAGTCACATAACAATAAGGAAAGCAACATGAGATTGCAACCTTTTCATAATTCAAGTGTGAATTGTGATTGTGAGGGCCACATCATCTCCATTGATGAGACACCCCCATCCACCACCTAGCTAGGCAAATCCAAGGTCTTGTTGTTTCAAGTTAAGTGGTGGTGATGGACCTTTTTCCCCATTTTCGATCAGATCAACTTCGTTCAAAGAAGGGTAATTATGTGCTTAACGCTCTTTTTCTTTTGCATATCTCTACGATACTTTAATCCGTAATTGTTTTTTGTGGACCAACCCGAATTGGTTGTGCGGTTGCAAAGAGTTTTAGGATGGTTTGAATGATTGATTTTTGGCGAATCATGGATATCTCTGTATATTAAGTGGTTATATATGTTACGAGTGAGAATCAATGATAAAGATACTTACTTTTTGAAAGAAAATTTATAGTTAAGTGCATATATTGTTATCAATATGCAGAAAATTATTTATAACAAATACTGATAAGATGGCGTCTCTTGAATCACCTATTATTATGATTGAATAAATAATACCACATAATGTGTAGAAAGAATGATCAATTTGGACTGATCACAGAGTTAGAAACTTACTTTCTGAATTTGATTGTTAGAATCCACCACGAAAACACATAATCCAAATAACAATGTGTTGAACTTTTGTACATTCATGATTTGGGTATCATTGCCATCTCCTTCCTGATAATTTTTTTTCGTTTCTAAATCATGATTTTAAAAATGTTTAGTGCTCAATCAAAATACCATCATCAATTTTGGCCAAATGCCTTTTTACCATTTGTCCTAAATGGACCTTCTATAAACTTCTTTTTTCAAATATGAACTCCACTTGTAATTGCCATATTCTCCCCAACTACTACCCTCCTACCTTTCCCTTATCTTCAAGCAATTGATTAGGACATAAGTAATTAATTAAGGTTCCTTACATATGCAATGGAATCTTGGGGCTTATCATTATTGTAAGTCTTATGTGTTATTTTATGCTTTAAATGTAACAATTTTTTTGTCAAAATTTATAATCATGCTCGTTTAAGCCCTGCTAACCTCAAACTTAGTGATATAGCTAGAGTTATCATTTGAAGGAATATTGTAACAGAAATTCATATTTGTTGCAATAATTGGAACGAGTTAGTTTTTGACAAACTTATGATAAGAAGTACAAGTTGATTGCCCATCACACTGTAAGTTCATACCACATGTTTTTCTTTCGAGTTCCCCATCAAAATGCTTGTGAACTCTTTAGGTGGTTAAAAACAGCTCAAACGAACATAAGGATTAAGGAGGGCCAGACCTCGTATAATTTAACAATCAGTAAGCACTTACACAGTGACAGACTTTTAGGTTAAGCATTCACTTTCCACAATTTCAAAGCAAAGGTCAAGTTGGATACAGGAAAAGGTTCACCGGCCTTCATGCACAGGACTAATTAGTACTTACCACCATCCTACAGAATCTGCTGCTGCAGTTTTGCTCTCTTTCTGGCCAACAACCGTTCTCTCGCTGCATTGATCTCATCTTGCTTTCTCTTATAATGGTCGGCTGTAGCTTGCTTAGCTGCTGGTGGCTGCCCTTCCGTGGTTACTTCTTCTGCGGGTCCTGAGGAAGAAGCATCAGGGACTGGCTTATCAGCTGCCGGCTTGAGATCTGTAGACTCGAGATGTGTTTGAGAATCAGGGTTCGGCGAGGGATCCAATGGCTTCTCAGACTCGGGTAATGATGGTAAGGTTGCCTTTGATTCTCCTCCTCCCCCTCCTCCTGCTGCCGAGGATTCCTCGACATCTTGCTTCTGCTCCTCCTCCCCCTTCTTGGCTTCAGTAGCCCGCTTCTCTTGCCGCCTCTTCTCTGCGTCTTGACCACCAAAGGCAACGTTCTTCCTGAGGTTGAAGTAAAAGTCGCTCAAATCGCTCTTCTTGGTAACCTTTCAAAGGAAAAAACAGTAATTTCGCCATCAATAGTAAGCCAAAAACATCAATAACTAGTGGTAATTATTTGCTTCAAGTTCAACATATTGAAAAGAGATCAGACATCACTCTTTATTGCAAGAGAATCAGCAAGCAAAGGAGAAGAAGTTGAACTCACGTCGTCCTTCTGCTCTTTGAGTTCACGGAGTTTTTCTTCTTTCAACCACTGCTCACGCTCTGCGAGTTTCCTCTTGTAGGCATTAGTAACGAATTTGTCCTTGTCGGCATATAGATGGTCATCTTGGCTTCTTTCTTTGGCAATCTTTCGCTCGAACACCACCTCCTGTTGACGTTCCCTCTCTTTTGCTTTCTGCATCAGAGCCTCGATGTACTTGGGCTGCAAAGAGAAGCACCACAACCAATCACATTCTGCAAATAAATAATGTTTTGGCCTGTTTCCTGTCTTGTGAAGATATTCGACCAATACAAGAACCAAAACTCTAAAACAAGAGTCAATACCTAAGCACGAGCATGGTCATAAGGATAAACAAGCAATTAGAAACATAGATATAACAAGATCTTATATAAGCCTCATTGAAGTTACTAAGCAGTAGCTACTTCTGATAAGTATTCTGATCTTCATCACATGATACATTATCATCATCCTCTATCAACAATAAGGACTGGAAAATGACAAATTATCAAAGAAATAAAACTCATCGATGAAATAAGAGCAAGTATCATAATTCTACAGCTCAATCATAAATTGCTAATAACTGAGTTCTTACTGGATTACTACTTAGACAAGAGCAAACAATTCGACAAAGCACCAACCACTCTTATACTTCGAACTCGAAACTAGGATTACTACTTGAGCAGAGTCCTACAATTGAAGAGATGTATGTACCTTTCTCTGTTGCTTATCTTCAATCCGTGGACGAACAACTGCCTGCTTCATCTCATCGTAAACTCCATCATAGTCAAACGCTGATGGATCCTCCTCCAATGCTTTCTTGTGTTGCTCCTCAATCTTCAAACAAGAAAAAAAAAAGACTCAAGTAAGCGGACACAGAACTATGAAAAATGGTAGTGAATGAATAACATTGTCTGTGGAAGCATAAAGTTCCCAAGGCTTACATCTTTGAGAGACTTGTTCTTGCTAGCTTGCCGCAGAATCTCTTTCTCCACATCCTCACCTTCATCGTCCCCGAATCCCAGGACCTTGGGAGGCGGCGGCCTTGGCGGCCTCTTATTCTGCTGCGACTTGGATACCCGCAGGTTTAAACCATACTTACTCATTCCCACTGCGACTGTCAACAACCCCACAACAAAAAGATTTGAACTTTTCAGCTTAATCACGAAAAATTTCATTCGCCAGGGCAAGAAATTTGAGTAACTCGGCAATTTAAACAGCAGAAAGAACAATCCAAATCCAAAGCTATAAAGAGAAAGACCCATCGATTCAGTATAATTACCTTCGGAATATGGAATTGATTGCTTGCAGCGCCGACGGAGGCTTTGGCGATGAATTCGCAGCCGAAGAACTTTCTTCCGGCTGTTTCCCGCGGCAGCAACTGAAAATTGCAGCGGGGAAAAGTAATGGGGCAGAGATTTGCGACGCCGATTCGCGGTGATTTTGCTCAGACTATCCGGAAGCTCTTCGGACAGGCTTCTGGGCCGGTAGCTCCACCTAATTTTATCTGGGCTCATCTCGTGGTGGCCCATTTAACAGAAAGGGGGTTGTTTGCCATCCAATGAAAGATCAGTGATTAAAGTCTATATTTTTCCTATCTCTTCCATTACCGTTCAGTTGATAAGATGCTTTTCTAGTTCTCTTCCCTCTGAAGCTCTGAGAAAACAGAGCAGAAGCAGAAATGGCGTACAATCTATGCGCTTCGCCATCTTCGCTCTACCAACCACTCTGCAACTCGCTCTCTTCTCCGTCCCGAGACCCAAAACCAAAGCCCTCAACCCATTCTTTCATAAAGCTCCCAACTTTCCCGCCTCAATCGAAACCTTTTTCGCTCCTGCAGCTCACCACCACGCACGTCTCTCTACACGACGCAGTCCCGCAGCAATCCGAGAAGGAGGAGGAAAATGTCAGAGACCCAAATGGGAAAGCAGTTGGGACTTCGTCCAAATCCTACGTCTGGGTGAATCCTAGAAGCGCCAGAGCTTCCGAGCTCCGCAGGAAGTCATACGACGCTAGGTATTCTTCTCTCGTTAAAGCCGCCCAGGATTTAAATTCATGTGAGGCGAGCGAGGAGGAAGTTTCCAGAGTTTTGAATGGGTTAGGACATAATTTGTTGGAGCAGGATGCGGTGGTTGTGGTGAATAACATGACGAACCCTGCATCGGCTTTGCTTGCGATGAGGTATTTTAGGGATAAGTTGAAGTTCAATCGGAAGGAGGTTATGTATAATGTGACGATGAAGGTGTTGAGGAAGTGTAGGAAGATGAGTGAAGCCGAGGAGCTGTTTGATGAAATGCTTCAGAGAGGGGTGAAGCCGGATAATGTCACGTTTTCGACAGTGATTAGCTGTGCTAGGCTTTGTAATTTGCCTGAGAAAGCCGTGGAGTGGTTTGAGAAGATGTCCAGCTATGGGATTACACCAGATGATGTTACTTATTCCACCATGATTGATGCTTATGGCCGAGCTGGCAATGTGGAAAAAGCTTTCAACTTGTATGATCGTGCTCGGGCAGAGAAATGGAGACTTGATGCTGTAACATTTTCAACCTTGATCAAGATTTATGGTATTTCCGGGAACTATGATGGATGCTTGAATGTTTACGAGGAAATGAAGGCTCTTGGCGTTAAACCAAACGTGGTCACCTTCAACACTTTGCTGGATGCCATGGGAAGAGCCAAGAGGCCATGGAAGGCCAAGATACTCTACAAGGAGTTGATCGATTCTGGACTTACCCCAACTTTCGCCACCTACGCAGCTCTAATGCGTGCTTATGGTAGAGCTCGATATGGAGAGGATGCTCTCATCGTGTATAGGGAGATGAAGGAGAAATCCATGGAATTAAATGTAGTTCTCTACAACACGTTGTTGTCAATGTGTGCTGATCTTGGATATGTCGATGAAGCTTCCAGGATTTTCGAGGACATGAAGAGCTGTAAAGTGGAGCCTGATAGTTGGACATTCTCATCTTTAATCACCATATTTTCATGCAGCGGCAGAGTGTCTGAGGCAGAGAAGGCTTTGAATGCTATGGTGGAAGCTGGTTTCGAGCCTAATCTTTTTGTTCTCACCTCAATGATCCAGTGCTATGGTAAAGCTCAGCAAACTGATGATGTCATCAAGACCTTTAACCAACTCCTCGAGTTAGGAATTACTCCAGACGACAGGTTCTGTGGGTGTCTTCTAAATGTGGTCACTCAAACACCTGTGGAAGAGCTCGGTAAGCTTGTTGAATGTGTTGAGAAGGGTAACCCTAAGCTTGGTTCTGTAGTGAAACTTCTTGTAAAAGAAAACCATGAGGGGAACTTCAAGGAGAAAGCAGCTGAGCTTTTTACCTCAGTTGCTTCTGATGTGAAGAAGGCTTACTGCAACTGCCTAATTGATCTGTGTGTGAATCTCAACTCATTGGAGAGAGCTTGCGAGTTGCTGGACTTAGGATTAACACTGGAGATCTATACAGACATACAGTCGAAGTCGACAACTCAGTGGTCTCTATATTTGAAGAGTCTATCACTTGGGGCTGCTCTAACTGCCCTACACGTTTGGATAAACGACTTGACCACAGCAGTGGAATCTGGAGAAGTGCTACCACCAGTACTAGGAATCAATACCGGGCATGGGAAACACAAGTACTCGGACAAGGGATTAGCTAGTGTATTTGAGTCTCACTTGAAGGAGCTGAATGCTCCATTTCATGAAGCTCCTGACAAGGTCGGTTGGTTTCTAACGACCAAGGTTGCTGCTGAAGCTTGGTTGGAAGCCAGAAAGGAAGCTGAAGTAGTAGCTGCTGCCTAGGCATAAGCATTTGTCATTAAAGGTTCCGCCTTTGCCATGATTTGTGACTGGTATGTTTATGATCACCTTACCTCTCTAGGTAGAGAACTTTTCCAAAAAAAAAATAATTGGTACTTTTAGAGACACATTATATATACAGATGTTTATTGCAGTTTGCTATGATAATGACTCAGCTGACATCCTGAGGAATTGGAGATGATATTACAGTTTTGTGGATTCCATGACTGCTCTGTTTTGTATGGTTATATCTTAGCTGTTCCTTACATTATTGCAAATAAGGCTTTTTCATTGACTTATTTGTTGGTGAAGGCATTGAAAAAGCTTTTCGAGTTTGTAAGTAAAATCCTTTTTTATGTGGAGGGAATCATGCTTATGAACGTGGGAGTGGCACAGACCCTCTTGACTTTGTGTCTCTAAAATGGGGTTCTAAAACATTAAACAACCAATAAACAAGAAACTGGGTCATGGCTAGCACGTCAAGTTGTTCACCAACGTGAAATCAAGCCAAACCTCTTCATCCCTTATAAATTAGTGTTGTCAAGTCTTTCTGAAACACAATCATCATTGAAACACAAAGCATTATTCATTTCATTCTACTACCATGGGAAATTGCATGAATGTTCTGTGCTGTTCAGAAGAAGAAAAGAGTGAAGCTCTCCTCTTCAACAAAGGAGACAAAGATTTCAGTAGTACTCGACTGCCGGTTAAGAAGGTCCATCATGGTGTTCATCGAAGCTCCAAGGTGGCAGACCACCAGTATGCTCGTTTGCTGAATAAGGATGCAAAGATGGAGCCCGGTAAAGTTAAGATAGTTTTGACAAGGCAACAGCTAGAATTGCTTTTGAAGAATGCGAAGGAATTGAGGAACAAGGGGATCACAATAAGAGTCTCTCGGAGTCATAAGGAATGCAATAGCAGGAAATGGCAGCCGTCTTTAGCCGCCATCCCTGAGGTGAAGAAATTTTGAGATGGGAAGAGCTAACATAATAACTACTTCACCTGCTGCATTTTGAAAGCAATTATATAAGGAATGTGTATAAGTTTACAGAGCAATTTTCACAATGCTCAAAACTTTTTTATTTATTTTTGCCCCTTTTCTTTGATTAAACAAGAGTTGTTAAACTTCAAATGGTTTTAGCTTTATTAGGAGTGTAGAAGGTTGTTGATCTTTGTTGAAGCAGAACTTCAGTTCAATACAAAAAATTGTAGTTTCAATGAGAATTGAACATCATTATAACAAAAGGGTTGCAAGCAAACTTATTATGTGTATGTGTATATTTGTCGGATCTCCTCTGTGTTGGAACTATGAACTCTGCCTTTGTTTACATATTCCTCACTGTTTTAGCTTTTCTCTTGCTGACTCATTTATTGAATGTACACAAACTGAAACCCAAACCATACTGAAAGTGCAGCAAAGAATCAGGAGAGATCAGCTTCATATTTACATTCAAGAATCAAAAGGAACTTTTGGTGTAGTTTTTGCACAAATTTTCTGCTGGGCTTTCTACTTTATCCCGTGCCTGAAGCAACCTCACATTACCTGCTTCAATCCAAATTATCAAAACACAATACGCCATTGATGATATCGTAAAATGGGCTGTTAAATGTCCAGAATCTTTACTTGGTAGTCTGAATGACAATACCTTCTGTATGGGTTTGGAGATGCAGCAGTTTTTCTGCTAGGTTCTAACTTTGATGACCCAGTTTCCTTTTCTCTTGCTGCTGCTTCTCTCTTCAGCTTCTTGGACTCCACTTCGATGGATCTCGTCAAGGAATCAACTTTTCTCATCAACATCTGCTTACAAGTTACAAGTAAGAACATTCAATCATACGGTTTTGTGTTTGCTTTCAGGGGAAGAATAGAGACACAGAAAGTGATGATTTTTACTAAACCTGGATTTGGTGGTCTTTGGCATTCAAACTGCTCTCCTTGGCCTCACAAGCTCTCCTTAAATTTATAACCTCTTTCTGAAGCTTATCATACAAGAACCCCGAAACCAAATCTTCAGCTCTAGGACTCACACTTTCCTTCTCTTGTACTTCCTCATTAGCTACTGCTGTATTTTCAATATCCTTCATGGTCTTATCAGCATTGAGATCTGCATTTGCTCTCCCTTCTGCATTTTCCTTTCCAGTGCTATCAACAACCCTACTCCTAGATGCCCACAAGCTCTTCCTCACTGTGCTTTCGCTGGAACCTTGTTTCCTTGATTCATTCCTCTCAGTTTCCACATTTGCTTGCTGCAGAAGTAACCCTCTGCCAGCAACCATGGAAGCCCTTGGCTGCGATGCAGATCTCTTCCTTAGCCCTGCATTGCTTGCTAAGAACCCTAAGATACTGCTGCCATGTTTTTCGCATTTAGGGGACTCACGGAACTTGTTAGAGTTGGTGGAGATGCTAGTTGCTTGCTTTAACCCTTCTTCAAAGGTCTTCAGCCTCAGCTTCAGCTTTTCCTGGAGGTCAGAATTTTGTACCAGTGTCAGAAAATTCAGAATCGTTATTGACAGTGAAACTGAAAAGTTCAGAACTTTGACCTTAATTTGTGCTTCTGCCTTGGCTGTTCTCTCTGAAATTGCAAGCTTATCCCTCAGTCTTTGTATCTCTGCCTGTTGTATATAGAATGGTCAGTAATTAGCTGACATGACCTGTAACTTCAGTTTATCAAGCGATTTTGCAATCAACAAGAACATCATGGGTGGCTAACCGGTTTCAGGTTTGGTCAAACCATGGATAGATTAGGGGTTTGATCCATTGGCTTAATGGTTTAGTTAACAGTTCAGTTATTGACTCCTTGTTGGGTTTTCGTTCGCTTATCTGAACAAGACCAGCTAACCTAATTTACAGAATTTACCTGCATCAGCCTTCTCTCTTCAAGCCATTGCTTGACAGGCATCACCCTATCATTCTCATCCTTCCATTCATTTGCCACAACTGTCGCCACCCGATTTGCTGATACTTTAGTCCTAGCTAGCTCCCTCTCCAGCATCCTCTTCTCCTCCTGAACCCAAAACTCAAAATCACCAAACCATTCCAGAAAAACAGAAGTTACCAACTTACAACTCCAATGTTCAGTAAAAAGCTCACATTTATTTCAGTGATCTGTCTCTTATAATCCCTAACAGCATTTGCAGCTGCTCCACTTGCTAGAACACTCTCTTCAAGCTCTCCAATGGTCTGACTCAGCTTCTCAACTTCCACAACTTTCTGCCGATTTGTCTTCTCGAGAATCCTGTTCTCTTCCTGACAAATCTCAATCTGTCTTCTCAGTTCATAGTTTTGGTTCTGAACTTCCTCAACTATCAAAACCCTCTCCAGGGCACTCTTCAGAATCGTCTCAGCTTCAAGTAGAGCTGATTCTTTCGACTTTGTCAGGCGCTCCATCGCCTTCTTGTCTTCCTGCAGTGCTGCAATCTGGAAGAAAATCGAAGAAAAAAGATCCAATTCTTACGACGATTTCCTGAAACTAAAGCTGTCTCATTTCTGCAACTGTGTTCAATCATTACCTCATTCTTGTACATCTTGATCTCGGCCTCAAGGGGAGCGAGGAAAGATTCTATGGGAGGAGAGTCATCATCCTTGAGATTTGCATGAACCCTTCTAAGAGTTGCTTCTGCTGCGTGCTGTGCTGATAATGCCTCTTTCTTTTCAACCACTAGCTTCTTGATTTCGAGGTTCTGACAAAATTAAGCAACCATGGAATTCTAGCTGACATTAGATCATCTTCAACAATATCAAACTTGAGCAAGAATGATATGGAACCAAACCTTGTTCTCGATTACATTCTCTGAGGCACGTAGCTTCTCGTCTAGTCTGGTCATCTGAATCCTCAGCTGGTAAGAAAATGGAACCAAGATTAAAATTTACATGATCAAACGCTAGAGTTCTCTGATAGATCAAAGATAATAAAGTGAAAAAAGGAAAGATTTTTCCTGTCGTTTAGCCAACTGACCTCTTCTATGGCCTTGTCCTTCAATGCATCAGCTGTTCTCAAACCTTTGTTTTCTCCATGAGCAGCTCCCAGCTCTCTATCTTTCTCTGGAATAATAAATTACAAGCGTTGTTAGAGTTTTGAAGCAAACAACTTATTAACATTATTGCAAGTCTGCAACCAAACCTTTGAGGAGATTCTGCAGACGGGTGAGCTCCAAAACAAGAGGGTCAGAGTGAGCAAAGGTGAACTCTTCCAATCCAATTCCAACTCCAATCAGCTGTTCTTCAAAACCCATAATTTCTTTAGCAAATAAGCTGTGAAGTAAATAACAGAAGGCAGTATATGCTCTTCTGAAATGAAATGGGAGAAATGCAGGACCAAGTTCCGAAGGCAAGCTGCAGGTAGAAGAAGTCTTGTCTCTTTGTGAACTGGTTGGAGTTTTGTTTGGATTAGATGGCAAGGTTTTGATCATATATATAAAGAGCAGAAAAGCAACAGTCCAAATGGTGCAATCCCTTTTTAAGTGAAATCGACCTTAAAGAGTGCCACAAAAAAGGGGGCTGTTGCAGATTGGATTGAATTGAGTTGGAGCTTCCTCTGGGAGGGAAGCAAAGCAATGTTTTCAAGTATTTCTAGTAGGCCAAAATTGTTCAGACTGCAGATTGTTCTCATTAGCCGGCCATTGCCTGCTCTCTCTCTCTCTCTCCTTTGAGTTATATAACTGTCTTCTTAGAAAGGAATCAATTTTGCAAAGAAAATCTCACCTTCTTATCAAAATTTAAATTTGAGATATAAGAAACTAAATCATCTTGATAATATAATTAAATTTATAGGCTTCTTTTGTTCGTTTATTTTGCATTCCTCTTTTTGCTTCTCCTTTAGTACAATTCAACCAAACATATAGTTGTAATTTGTAACAAAATATCATTGCGTGCATATATTTCTCGCATGGCTGATAGAATATATTCATCTAATAATACGATAATTTCTTTTTATAGTTATTTCATGATTCACTTGTTAACAAGTATTGCTTATAACTGGCATATGTTCCTCAATGTACTATTCTGTACATTTCACCTCAATAACTACATCTTTAGGGACACCAATCTTTCTCCTTAAACATTACAAGCAAAAATTTATAAAAAGTATGAAGGAAAATTTTGGGAGAGCATATCTTGTTCTTCAAATGGTTGTGAATGGTGATTTATTGGCATCTTGACTTCAAGGAAGAAATGAAGGATCATCTTTTGCACCTAATCCATTGAAAAGTATACCTTGGAGTTGGGGGTAGGGAGCAATATGCATGCAGTAGTATTTGATGAGTATTTGGTAAAGGGTATTGGTTGGTGGGTTTCTGAAATAAATGTACAACATAATTGGATTCAATTTTCTCACATACCCACAAATGAAATTATGAAAGTAAAGAACTCCCTCACTAAAAAATGACAGTTGTTAAAACAAGATGATGGCTGAAAATGAAGGGAAACAAAAGTTGGTCAGAATGGGAAATGAATTTTTGGTCATAATCCCTAATGTTTTTGCCATTGGATTCTCCAAAAGTTGGGACTGATTGTTTGACACATGAGACAAATCTTTGAAGATGACTCAATAGATGATTCCTACCTCTAGGTTTAGGTTTCCATATCAAACCCTATCTAGAACTAATGATGCTCATAATCTGACTTAACATAGTGAAAGTAACTCCCAACATTGGAGTAATTCTAATTGCTTAAGCGCTAAACCTTCCTTAAACCATGCTTTCTTCCTTTCTCTTCTTTTTTCCCTCCTCCTTATAATTATGTACATTGGAGGTGCCAAATTATCAACACAAGTCTTCATTTTGAACTCAAAACTAAGGAAATGAGGTATTCTATGACACTAGTGAAAAGGACTAGCCAATCAAAAGTGGCTTGAAAGAAAGAAAATCCAAAAAAAAAGGGGGGAGGGGGAAGAAAAGCCATTATAGTTAATACTCATTTGTGAAATTTTGTTATGTATATCCCATCATCATCTTTGCTTGCAAGTATAGATGACTGAAAGTTAACAAATAGTGTGCCAAAAATTTATGGTTTCTTTGTTGTTGTGTGTGATAACTTTGCCAAATGTGAGATTTTCAACACATTGCTTAAGCTTGGTGTCTTCATTAGGCGACAAAGGGAAGAATCTCCCCAAGCCACCAAGATCTCAAAAAAAAAAAAAAAACTCTTAGTAAAGTGGATTTCATCTTTATCGAAAACATAATCACATTTATAAATGATTTCATCAAATATGAGATATTCGGTCTCCTTCCATAGTTCCGCTCTCGATGATCTAAAGTCTATGTGTTATACTACCAGTTGTATCAATGTATTATTGTGGGTCTCAAAACCTCACGCGAGTATTGACACAAGACAGGGAGTCATCGACCTTTTTCACAACCAAAAAACAAGATGACTCATTGTTTGCTAATGAACAACCATGGGAAAATGATGGACTAGGGCTTAATTTCATTTATTTGTACTAATTATAATCCTTTTTCCACGATCATGGCCTGACTGAATTTTTTCATGAACAATGTGGGTTTTGATGGTGATGTAAGGTGGGTTCAAGCTAGCTTTGATATGTGCTTTATGGTATAATAATACAAGGGCTTAGCAAGATGACTTGGTTAAGGTACAATTGGCAACAATTGGAAGGCCATTCTTGGTGGGTCACTTACTAGGACTAGTTTTTAATTATGGGAAGTGGGATCCTTTTCTCATTATTTTTGTATAATTGTGTTTGTATAGTTTGGAGAGTTAAGTCTTTTTCGTGCTTCATTTCATTTGACGATATACGAAGTTATTAGTTCTAACTCACAAAGATATATTAACGACAATATTGTGTTCGTTTCTTATTCATCCATGACCATAACGAAAATATCTACTTTGCTATAGGATTCAAATTGATAGAGAACTTTAGGTCAAAACCAAACCTTGGTAAATGTTAATCTCATTACATATTTACCAATTGAAGTGATCATCAAACATTAACAAGTAGGCTAAATTCAAGAACTTTGACCGGGCTCCAGCCTCCAGATTTGGGCTTACCCCCATGTCCTAATCCACTTCCAGTTGGATGTTTTACAGGCCCACTTACTATTTCAAAAATAAAAGCCCATACTTCATCGATTTGCTACTACGAGCCCATTCTTAGATCCACAAAGCAATTCCCATGCATGCAGAGAAAAAGGGAGAAAGGAAAAGAAGTTATGCTTTCCTCCAAATCTTGCACTTTCTTTTCCAGGAGACAAAGGGGATAAAGCAACCGCCCATTTCCTCACTTCTGGACAAACAACTTGGTATCTCCATTCTCTTAATGATTCCAAATTTCCAATCAACTGATTTAATTATAAACTTAGATAGACTTAATACGAGTCTATCAGTTGTTCACAAAAATAATCGCGTGTATATTGTATTCACAAGTATATCGTTATATGTCAATCAATTGAAATCTTCATATATAAGAGAACAAAAAAACGACTAATATCACTAGAAAAATATATCTTATAAACCTGAAGTAACCTACAATGTCAATCCATCACCAATTGATTAAACTAATCTAAAACTTTTAGTGGTCACCATGTGAACAATCTAAATGAATTTAAGATTGAAGTCTCTCTGCAACCAAATGAAACTTCCTATGACAACTAAGGATCATACGAAGAGACCAAAGCCAAGGAAAGTATAGAGCAAATGTTCACAAGTAAAACACCACAATATTCCCCCTTCTACCATCTCTCCAATTATAAAGCACCAATTGCCTTCTAATTTCCTTTCTCCCTCCCCATATCTCCTCTACAATGGCTGATCCTTACCACCAAAGGAAGCAGCAGCAGCAGCAACATCACCATCCAGCCATGGAGATCTCAGAGAAGCTGTTGCTGCAATACAAGTACCATTTTGCAGTTGCAGCCGTTGCCTCCCTTTCCCTCTCCTTGCTAATGTATGCAGCTCCAAGGCTCCTCACCATCCTTGCATACTTCCTGCCTCTCCTGGCTTCCACAACTGTGTTTCTGATCTTGATCACGACCTTCGGTGGTGTCTCGACGCTGAACATCGATCCAAATCATCTGCAACATGGCCAGGGGCATGGTGCAGGGCTCCTAGATTATGTTGCAGGCCGTCCTGATGAAAACTACTATGCTCTGGAGGCTCATGGTTATTGATTAATGGAAGAGCTACTCAAGAGGAACATGTCATATTCCTTGGAAACATTCTCCTAATGTACATATTTGTCAATCACAGTGATCTTTGTTACAAACCATTGTTCTTTCATTTGATAAAGATAAAAACTCTGCAATGGTTTGGAAGAAATGGAAGACTAATTAATGCATGTTGATTGAACAGAACCCTGTAATCGATTGATAAAAGTAATATATAAACAAGTTTCATCACTAATCAATAACCTGCCTTATCGTGCAATGGAAGATGTGACCAAATCAGCTTTGGTCAAGGTACCAGAGTGATCGACATCAACCCTTTTAAGCCTCTCCATAGCCAGAGCAATATCAGCATCATCAATCCTCCCCATCTCCTTCAATGTAAAAACAATGAACTCAGAAGTACTAACAACGTCGTCGTGATCAATGTCAGCAGCCTCGAGATCCGAGGATGTCACGTTCCTCGTAATAACCCACTCCACAAGCAACCTCTTCCTCTTATCGGTATACCACTCTGCCACATACAGAAACAACTGAGCCAAGCAAATGGTGCTGCTGAGTATCCACACCACAGCAAACAACCTCCCTCCCCACGTCGAGAAGCTCCGATCGCCATATCCTAGCGTAGTCACCGTGGAACACACGCAATAGATCGCGTCAACGACATCCATGCCTTCGACAGAACACAACATTATGGTGCCAAAAACCATTAGCACCACCATGATTGCTGCTGCAAACATAGCTTTGTACTCGTGCTTGTGTGCTTCCACCTCCTTCATGATTTCGTGGGCTCCGGTTCGTGAATGGAATGCCTTGGCTAAAACAGTCTCTTGCTTCTCCATGAGGTAATCAGCTGCCTTGCTTAGAACAATGCCAACCATGGCCATTCCAGTGAAGGCATAGATGGAGGCGAGGAGCTTTGCTAGGAAGGTGCGAGGGACTAAATCGCCATATCCAACTGTTGTCATTGTGACAACACAGAAGTATAAGGCATCTAGGACTGGATTTGTTTGCTTGCCATCGATTTGGTTCATGATTAAGGAGAAAGTGAGGGTTCCCAGGCCTAGGTAGAGGATCAGAAGCATGAAGACAAGGTTGAATTTGAGGGATTGGATTCCAAGCAATGAGTCTAGCCATTGGTTCTGGTTCCCATTTGATTCTTGTTGTTGTGGGTTGTGATCGGACTTTTTTTCGATAATGGGGCTGTGATCAGATTTTTGGTTGATGGGTTGGATAGATCTTGCCCTTCTTTGGAGGGTTGCATCAGAAAGCAGAGGTCTTTCTGCATCATTGTTGTCTTTACTGGCCATCACGGTTGTCTACAATTTTGCCAGTTACAAGGAGAGTAACAAACTTTTCATGAAATGGAGATCGATGATCAGATTGGGACCTTGTCCTATAAACAGTTTCCAATCAAACCAAAAATGGCAGAAGCACGGAAACCTGGAAGATAATCGAGATCTTGTATTGATGTAAAACGTTCTATTCTGGTGGGGAGACGAGAGCTTGCAGGTGGCGGAAATGAACTGTCACATTTTCTTTAAGGCCCATTGGATTTTCGTTTGCAGGCCCGCTGCAGGCTTGTTGGGCCAACTGGTTCGGTAACTGACGAAATAACAACGAAGGGAAAGAAGTGAGCTTTGGCGCTGCGACTTGCTGCCGGGAAGCAGAGAATTCGAAGAGGCGGGCGGTGTTGCAATTTCCAGCTCCGCCATTCATCGAACTCAGATTCTTCTAACTCTCCATGGCTACTTCCTCTATCTCTCGTAAGTCAATTCAATTACTTTTCTTGCGAACTTGCCCCGCACTCTGCTTCGGTTTCACGTTATAATCAGAGCTCTCTTGCAACTTGATAAGACGAAGGTTCTTAGATGAGTAGATCGATAGATGATGAGATGGGAAGTCGTATATTCGATAGGTTGAACAACCCATTTCGTAAAGTCTGGTTCTTTCCCGCTTTTCTCTAGGATTTTCCGCACTTAATTCGAAAGTATAGGGGTTTGAACTTCTGTGGAACCAAATGGTATCGATATTTGGACTTGGTTCAGACAAACACATTGCTCTGCTCTATTCCCTCCGCGAATCATGGGCATTAGCTCGAATGATGACTCCTGCATACTTGAAATCTATAGATGCTTTTCTGAAAGGAGTCTGTTGTGCAAAGACTTGTTTTAGGAGCTCTTTGAACATGTGCATGTTTCTTGTTTCCTCGCAAGTTCAAAGGTCTTCCGGTGGAATTGAAAAGCTTCATTTACTAGCTCTTGTAGGTTGTGGTTTCTGCTAATGTCCATATCGAACCACGCCAAGAACTGCAGCAACTTAGGGTCCTTAAGACTTGCCTTCCCATTGAAGAGCAAGCTTCCTACCTGCTTTGGCCCTTTGCTTTCAAAGCTTTACTGGAAGTGTTGATCCTAGCCATACATTACGCTGTGTCTGAAATGTCAGATGGCCCTTATCTCATACACCGCTATGAGAAGATGGAAGGGGAGTTTTGACTTGTATGGATACCTGAAGAGGAAAAGATACATTGCTCGTGTAAAAATTCTACTCTGCTGGGATATGGTGCCGGCATGCTTTGCGTTTATTCACACAGAAGAACTTTTACAAGATCCTTGAAAAATATTCCATAAGCAGATGGAGGAAAGAAACTGGTTTGCATTGTGTTGTTCAAGAGATTCCAAACGATGATGGCAAGCGGCTTCAAGAGTACCAATCACTTACTGAAACCCTTTTTAGAGAATCATTAATCACAAGGGAACGGTCTGAGTATGTTTGTAAAGAACTTCTGAGAGAACTGAGGAGACTTCTTGGTGAGGCTAGAAGAATGCCGGATGGTGATGGAGTGACAGTGCTTTCATCGGGTGGGTAGTTTTCTGAGATAGCAGATAGGTGAGACCATTTGGGAGAGGAAATTATGAGCTACATGGTCGAAGTTGGTAACCTCACTATCTGAAGGACAGATCATCGTCTGCAGCAGCAGCCTATTAATGGTTTACTTCCCTACTCAAAGCAAGATGTTCGATTGGAGTTCTGCAAGAGACTAGACCTCCCTGAAGGCCACAACTCAACTAACAAATTGTTATATCATTCTGTAGGGATGTTATTAAAAGCTGAAATCCATTGGAATTTTCAGGATGATGCTCTATCTCATTGTCAGGAGCACCTTCAGTAAGATGTAAGAACGATCAATTGATCTACCATCTGTTAGTAGGCTCAGAAACTTACTCTCTGGAAAGAAATTCAGAGCTGATGCATTTAATGTTCTTTTCTTCTTTCAGGTCACTGGACCATCACTTGGTGGTGGCAGTATGGTGTTCTTTTTATAAGGGGATCGCAAGGAAGAAATCAAGAATCTTGTGCAATATGTGGATTCTGCAAGTCATGTTTGTCATACTAATGCCCAGCCTCTTATGGCAATGGTGCTGCAACAATTCACATGCTAGATAAGGTACCCTCAGCATATACATTACACCCCGATATTTCGGGCTGTGTTTGAGTTCTCTTTTCTCAACTTTCTGGGCCTTGTTCTTGATTTTAGGCTTCAATGGCCGTCATTACCATATCGTAGTCCTATCGTCTCTATCTAGCACATGTTCATGATCTTCCCAAAAATGAAAATCTTGTCACTGTTTCAACTTTTATTTCCCTTTCTCACCTTCCTGTCATCTACTAAGAGCTTCGTGGCCATATCGATAAGTGGACTTGCTGAAAATATGGTTAAAGTCGTGGTTCCGAATATTGCTGGCCAGTTTAGGGCACTCCTTGCTCACAAGTGTCCTCCAATTATAGATTTCATGGGACCTGCGCTACCCATTATTGCTGTACTGATTCTTGTACTATCTCAATGACCCAATTCTTCCATGAAAGCGGTTTTCCCTTTTGTTTTTTCCTTTCCATGATTGATGCAACTGTGTATGCACTGATAACTATTCACAATAACATTGACACTATTTCACTTTCACTCTTCTCCAGATGCAGACAGGTGAAAATGAATTCGTTAATTCTTCATTCAAGCAGGCTGATTAAGGGCCTTCTTCTAGATTTCTCCCACAATTTTTGAAGGTACGATAAGCAGCTCAAAATGGTACATTCATTCTTTTCAGTTTCAAGCTTTCTTCATCCATAAGGGACCCTCTTTAACAGTTAGAAGTCTCTGTCCAAGTGTCCATGATATTATAGTTGTATGATGAAGAAAGCAACAACACAGGAAGAATAATTGAGTTGAAAAGCCAAAGGCGGCATATTTCCAGCCACATAATCTGGGAACGAGCTTAATGGTCGGCTACAAATTGATAATGTACAATGTAGAACAGGACAAAGATGGGCAAACTAGTAAAAGATAACCATCTCTCTTAGGAAGTAGGTGTAGGCATTGATTGACTATCATGGGAAATATCAAGCTCTTGATGGTTACCAAACATTTTAGATTTGTCCATATGAAAAAACTTCAGCCTCTTCTGTTTGTGGGTATCAACCTTATTCAATTTTTCGTGATTCATAACTCAGATCTCTACTCCTGCTCTCAGGATGATCATTCAGGAGTGCTGTTTCCTGTTGCCGGTCAGGGTATTCAGACGGACCTGGTTCAAGCATGGATCGAACAAAATCGAATTAAAGCTGGTTGCTTCACACAATCATGAGCGACGGGCACTCGTCTTCGTGACGGGATCCACATTCTTGATTGGATTGATCTTCCTTGGCTGGAAAGGAACCACCTTTGCTTCTGTTCTTGGGTTTTCCTGCTGTTTTTCAGTACAATTTCAGGGAGAGTTTTCCTGATAGAAGGGAATGGAAGCTGCTGGACAAATGGTGGTGGGTCAGGAGACCCAGGTTGTCATTTTTTGTTTTAAATTGGTTGTCCCAAATCATGTGTAACAAGGAACTTACTTTTGAAAAGGATAGGTTGGTGTTAAATGAGATTAAAGCTATGATAAGCATGATTAAGCTTTAGAAGATTTCATGGCCATATTACATATTTTTAATATTGGGATTCTTTGTATCAGAATCTGGTTTTAAGTACTGAAGGGTGATCAGTGCCACTCTTTCCAATCATAAAGTTTGGAGTGTTGTGCTTGATTAGTTAAATAATTAGTTCTTTATCATTAGCATTTGACTTTGGACTAGATTATTCTAATTGGAATAAAATCTACAGGATAATAGCGTATTTACATAGCATGGCACCTACATATGGGCAGATTCCTGGCTTTCTCTAGCATTTTCCAGGATCATCATAACATGTTCCACCAAAAATAAAAAAAGCTGCAAGCCTGAATCTCTTTCATCACCATCACCATCTCCATCCTTTATCCATATTCCCTTTTTCTCAAAAGCAAGATAAAGAACATAAAAATTACAGGACCAGAGAAAGCTCCGTAGCATCTTCTTCAGGACCATCAAATCTATATAGAATGAGACCATCCCATAGAGTTTGTTGAGATGTACCTTTCTTGTATAACAGGGAAAAGATAATAAGAAACAGATTGAAGTTCGATATTTGTTCATGATGATCATATTAATGATGATTATTCCACATTGAGTACACTAAAAGTCTCAAACTAACTCCAACTCAATCATATGATGATGATGAGGTTAACTATCTACTTTCATTACAGCATGGTTTTACACTTAATTTAGCTAAACAGCTGCTACGAGTTGCTGTTGGGATTCAATCCTCATCTCTTCCTTCATCTTCCTAATGAACTCCTCAATCCTCCTGTTTAATTCCTCTGTGTTGGATCCCGTAGTCTCTTCGCCATTCCCTCCCTCCTTAAATACCAATCCTTCTTCATCTTCATGTTCTTCCTCTTCTTGTTCTTGTTCTTCTTCGACTATTTCCCTTCTCACCTCTTCTTGTTGCCGGAATTGATCATTGAGATCTCCATCCTCAACCTTATCCACCTCTTCATCATCATCTTCGCCACCATCCTCATTTCTTACTTCTTCCTCTTCCACCAGATTATCCGTGGCTGCTGTTGAATCCAGTACAATATCCTCATGATCATGATCATCAGAAGCTGATGAAGAAGAATGGCTGGCTTTCTTAGTGGCAGTGGAGGAGGTAACAAGGAAAGCAAGGATGCCATTGCATATCAAGAACATATACTTCCTCTCCAAACTGTGTGTGAAGAATGAGGAGAAGAATGGATTGAATGAAACATAGCTACTACTATGAGCAGTATTGGCTGCTGCAGCAGAAGAGGAGGAGGAAGAAGAAGAAGCTGTTGCTAACGGAAGGAAGGAGAAGCCCCAAGAGAAGGAAATGAGCAGAGAGAAGAGGGAGAATGTTATCAGGAGCTGTAAGCTCCTTTTCAACAAGTTGTTGTACTTGTACTTGCTGCTGATCATAACATGATGGAGCTGATGGTGTTGTTGTTGATGAGAAGGATCCATTTCCATGGATTTGTTGATGAGAGATTTCAGAATGTGGAGGGTTTGTGGAATGATGGGGAAAGTTTTGAGCTTTTGTGTTTTCCAAGTGAATGGAGAAAGGTAGAATGCAATGGTGGGATCATGCTTACCATTTTATACTACTCCCATGGCCCCAGTGAGCTATTTATGGCCAGGGACATGTTACTGTTATTTGCTCCTAAACTCTGGGCTGCATCAACCATATATCTATCAAGCATGTACAGTAAACCTTTGAGTTTGGAATGCATACAAAACGATATCGTATTCCTGAAGATAAAACTAAAGATTAATAAGGAGAAATAAAGGAACAGTTATTTGTGCAATGAATGAATGGGAGGCCACTTTGAAGGTTCTAGTAGATAGCTAGCCTGGTATCACTGTAGATCAATTCATCTTACACGTTTGCCCCATTCCACAAATGCACCAACGGGCAACGAGTAACAGTAATATTCTGTCTCTTTAGGTTGGTTGGTCTTATAGTTACAGATGTCAATAGTTGCAGAAATTACTGGACCATTGGAGTTCAGTGTAATCCACCCTATCGAGATTGGTCTCCATTCTTATTCGTGAAATTCGTATAATTAGTAATTCTAGTTATTGCAAAAACACATTTGAAAACAATTCAATTTGAGTTGTTGGAAAATCACATTCCATATAGTATTCATTACATGAGTGCCTTCAAACTAAAAATCAGAAGCTTCTGCTGCATTCATATCAATATACTATGCTTGAATCATATGGTTAATAATCCCAACTAATTCAATACACACATTTGAGTTACAGTAATTGGACAGAGTCTATGAGTTGCTGCAACAGCTTCTGCTGTTTGGATTCAGACATCATTCTTACCTTCATCTTCCTAATCAACTCATCAAACCTTGAGTTCATTTCCTCTGTGCTACATCCATTCTCTTCGCCATTCGCTCCCTCTCCCTCCAGTTCTGACCCTTCTTCTTCTTCTTCTTCTTCTTCTTCTTCCTCTTCCACTTCTTCTACTTCTACTCCTTGATGTTGAATTTGACTATTACAATCTCCATCTTGAACCTTCACCTTCTCTTCTGAAGCAACCTGATTATGGGCATCCTGATCACACTCTTCCACATCAGAATCATCATCAATCTCATCACAATCATCAACAGCGGCGGAACCCTCCACCACCAGTTCCTCCTCCTCCTCATGATGATGAGCATAAGAAGCCGAAGATTCTGACGAAATGTTGCTTCTAGTACTATTGCTATTGGTGGTGGATATGGATGTGGCGGAAGCTGACGATGAGGAAGTGGCAAGGAAAGCAAGGATCCCATAGAAGACCAAGAACATGTACTTCCTCTCAAGGGTATGCGTGAAGAAGGACGAGAAGAAAGGATTGAACTTGATGTACACATAACTCTTGGCAATCGTACCACTAGTGACCCAAGAGACGGAGATCAGCAGAGAGAAGAGGGAGAATGTGGTCACCAGCTGCAAGCAGCTCCTTCTCATGAACAAGTAATCACCCACAGCTAGGAGCCTTTGATGGCTATTAGTAGAATCCATTCTCTCTTTTTAAGGATTTCTGATGAACTTGTCGAGATTCTGGAATGTGGGTTTCGTAAAATGAAGGGGAAAGTTGTGAGCTTTACCTAGCTTTTGGGTAATGCGAGCGAATCGGGTTGAAGAGAGGGTAGAGGTTGAGGAAGGAAAGAAGTTAGCTTTCTTCATTCTTCTCTTTTCCATCTGGCTTAGATATAGAGATGGTGAGCGTGAGTGACATGTTACTGTTTCAGTAGTGGTTATTGCTTGCTGGCTGCTACTCAACTTTCAGCCTCAGATCTTTATTACTTCTTTCACACCTTTCTTAACTTGTAGCAAGATATTTTTGGCTATGGAGGAGGATATTTGAATAGTAAACTTGAATTTTTGGGCTCATATCAATGATGAAATGCAAAGACTTACGAAGCAAATCAGCTTAATTCCATATTATTAGTTATAAAAAAAAGAATCCGTGTCGACCATGGTTTTGTGGGTAGTAGCAGTTACTCTGTTCTTGGACAGGTAGGTAAATGTAGACAGCCAACTCTCTTGTCTGTGTTTGTCGATGATGTCGGCCACCCACTAAATGGGTAAAAAGCCCAGCCTATATTATCCCGCGGCCCAATAGAATGGGCTAAAGAGTTTGGGCCAAGTATCATCATTCATAACCACGATTCTGATCAATTACCGTCACCGGCTCCGGCGACGGAACATTTTGTATGGTAATTAGTAATTACTAATCACTGCTAATCATTCCATTCTATTAAAACCCAAAAAAAAACGCAACAGCAGTTAATACATATAATTCTTCTTCGAATTTCTTCCTTGCCCTCTCGAGTTTTTAGTTTCCGTTCAGTACTGGTCGGGCCAGAGGAATGCGCCGATGGCGTAGGCACGCTTCTCCTCCACGGTGCCGTCGAATCGGAGACCGTACTGCGACAAAAGCAGATCCAGCCTCCATTCTTCCATCGATTCGTAGTCCCGCTTGCTGTACCTCGGGTAATGGAGCGGCATCCTGAACCCTGTTTCCGCCGGCGGAGTCCTGTTAGCGTCATCGGTCTTGTATCCGGCGCCGGCGACGTCCTTGTTGTAGCCGCCGAGGATCTGGCACGCCGAGTGGAGAAGGCCTCTCACTAGTTCCGCCATTGTTGAGAATGTAAGAGAGAAAGAGAGAGAGAGAAAATTGAAAGTGGGAATTTGGGGAGAGGAAGTTTCAAAGCGAGGTTGAAGGGAGGGGGAGCGGGGGGATTTATAGTGGTGGTGTTAAGGCGGCTAGGTTTCCGTGAGCGGCTTGAAATGAATTAAGTAATCAATTAGGAGTTTTTTATTTGTTAAGAAAAGTGCTTAAAAAGGCGATTAAGAACTAATTTCGTTGGGTTTGAGGTTACAGTAAGCAACCTCCGTTTTTCTTGTTTCGCGCATACGGGTTTCGAGGGTTCCTTTTTGCCTTTTCCTGGTGCTTGCGGGAATAATATTTCTTGGGAGCTTGCACGGTCCGTTTGAAGACAGCTAATTCATTGTTGTTATTAAGAATTGTTAATTGCTGAAATAATAATATATTAATTACTACCAAAGATCCTCCTAATTAGTTTACCAACTGATATATTATTAAAGAGATTTACATTATAATTTTTAGTGATTTTTCTGGTTCAAGTCAATACATCTTAAAAGTCGCATTCCGTTATTTCGTTAAATCGAGATCAATGTAAACAATATAGCAATTTGAATGTAATTTTATGGGGGGCTGGTGTATTTTTACAAGAACTTATGCGTACGGACACGAGAGAAAAATATAAAATTAACAATTACTTGTTGTATTGATATTTAGCTAAACACGTTGAGTCCTATATCATCGTAGCAACCCATGTTCGCATTGAGAATTTTGATATGCACATAGAGTGTGGCGAGAGTTGGTCCATCCATTGATATACCCCACATGTTGAAAATAAGAAGAGATCGATGAACCTTTTCTTCTTTCAATATTTTCCTAAAGTGAAGAACCAATGGAAGTTTGTACATGCCATGTAACTTTCCCTATACATAACCATAGCTAGTATCCACACTTTGTCTCTCCATATATATTACGAAACATAGGTTGTGTTTAGAAGAATGTAGAATGGCGTAAATGCGATGGTTACAATCATTCATTGGAATACATCCCTTTCAATAGAATTAATTAAGGAACTCTCTACGTAGTTTTTTTGGGGTCTATAATTAATCAAAATTGTGGGGTTGCAATTCCTTTGGTCGTAGCTAGGAATGGCAATGGGCAGTTTCGAGGTGGGTTTCTTGGTACCCAGACCCGCCCTGTGGCAGGTCGGGTAATTTATCACGGGTCACAGGTCAAGGCAGGTCGACCCAATGGGTAAGCAATTTATATGAAAAATATTAGTAATGTTCGTTATTTTTATTATAAGACCATGGAAACAAACAATATTATGATAAATATAGTTAAATTATTGGAGAAATTGAGGTTTTCACTAATTTACAACTTTATTATAGCTAAAATTTGATTTAGTAAAAGGAAAATCCTAAATAATTTGACTAAAATTACGTGTAATTTAGGCAAGAACGGGTCGAGAATGGGGCGGATCAGGGCAGGTCGGGTCTATGAGAGTATCCATGCCCGCCCCGCCTACGGGGCGGGTTAGACCCGCCCCAAAACAGATCAAACAGATCGGGTAAAACGGGTCAGGTCGAAATTGCCATCCCTACCCTAGCTAATAAGCAATAAAAATAGCTAGGGAATGGCTTATTTGTGTATTTGCTATTAACCCTATAAGGGTGGTTGAGAGAGGCATCTGTCCTTTCGTGAGAGTAATGGAAACCCTACAAAATTCAATTCTTCCCCTAGGGTTGGGGGGAAAGGGAAAACCTTCTCCACCATGTAGAGATTTCTATAGCTAGTTACGTGTGGTGTACATAAGAACCCCTCTTTTTAGGTCATTTTTCCAAACTTAAATGATGATAATAATTGCTAATTTTGGTTTTTTTTTCTCTATTAAGCGTGATAACAATAAATGATGGCTTGGTGGGCAAGTTAGCTAACGACGGCACACATTCTACTTACCATTCTATTCTATGTGTGTATATGGTTGTAATTAACCTAGGAGTTGCGTTCTTTTGGGGTTAAGGAGACCAAAAAAACATCTTTGGAGGTAGTTTACATAACTTGCTAAGACCTATTTATTTGAGTGGTATTGATTTTTGTTTGGGTGAATATGTGGAGTCATATAACCATACGTGTCAACGTATGACATATGAACTAGAGAGATCGACTAAGTGTATGGGTAACCCAATGGTAACAAAGCGTGTTCAGCAGTTCTACGTCAAATTAAATAAGCTGGTTGAAAGATATTTACTCCTTTATATAGATGGTTCGATTGAATTTCGGTCACTCTATGATTCAAAAGAGATATGGACATTTAGACAATATAATAGTTGCCTAACACAGTGCTCAAAGGCGGGTTTTCGAGCTTAGTTGCGACTAGCTAACTCCGACATTCCTCTGTCCCAAATCTCAAGTGCATTTTCCATGCTCACAAGCACCCACTCTATAGTTCATAATTTATAGCTTCCTGCAAGTGATTGTGCATTGATTTGTTGGTAAACCTTACATCATTAATGTTATTTTGAAGCCAATAAAATTAACTTATTCAAGCTGTTTACATCGGCATTCTTTCTTATTTGCAGTGAATTAAAGAGTTACGACTATGCTTCTCATCATAAACATGACAAATGGAAATGAAATCCCAACACGGTAAAAAAAAAAAAAAAAAGTAAACCTAGGCACACCTCTACAAGAGTCACGCAAATTATTACCGTAGAGCCACACGTTATACCATGCACATATATGAATAGTTTGCACATATCAAACTCTGCATATTTTTAGTTAACTATACCGTTTTTAAGTTTCTTTGTCTGAGAGGATCCAATTGACCAAAAAAAGCATTCAGGACAACAGATTAATTAGGTTCTCCCCTTAATTCCATGCATTGTTTTGGGCTTAAATTCATAATTAGTTGCTTGTACTTAACTTTTCCACGAGAAAAAAAAACAACTATCCCCAGCCTCCCCCAAATAATTAAGTTCCTAAATTATGGAAATGGAACACTAATTAACCAGCCAACTAATTCTATCATTGCTTAAATTAAATGATGGGGTAGGTTTATCAGTAGTTTTTAGCCGATTTGAGCAGGTAGGTGGGTCACATTAAGGAAACATCGTTCCTCCATTTGTTATGTTAACCTTCTTCTTTTTGTTTTTCATTTTGTTTTATTACGAGAACCTCATTAATCGTTACAAAATGGAGTAAATGTTGGTTTTTATTTATTTATTAGTGTTAACTAAAATTGCATTGTTTGATATTAAGTTTTAAGCTTACACGTGGGAAAGAGGCTAAGAAGTTCCCATCTGGAATCTTATCCTACCGATGCCGAGTAAAATGACATCTAAACTAGTGTAGATATACTAAAAAAGACATTTCATATTGATACGTAGTTGGTTAAAAGCATCGAGACATCGTAAATTTGATTTATTGTTTGGTGGTCTTATATTACTAGGTCATGTGAACAGTTGTCACAATAAACGTTCAAATAAGATAGTAAAATAAAATTGACTAGCCGATTTTTCTTGGTTTGACAATTAATCTGTAAGTGATCTTTTGTTATTTCCTGATAAATATTTTACTTATTAATAGGTCATAGTGCAAAAATGTATTCCATGTAAACTCTTCACAATTATCTAGTTCTCCATTCATTTTATTTCATTTCTAGTTCTCTCCCTCTTTTAACTTATTCTCTAAACTCCAAAGTCCTAATAAATAGAGCTAATCAATACACTTGGCACCATCTTCATTTTGTGCTTCGACAACTGTGGGATCAATTGAAGCAGCTCTATGTAAAGTTTACAAAATTTAGGGGTGGTTTGGAAGTTGTGAATGTTAAATCGTTGTATTGTAATGAATCACCATAATATAAATGCATGTATTTATACAATGGATGCATTTTAACAATACATTGTTTGATTGTTGAGATTCTACTTTATGCATTGATTTACATAAAGTTACTTTTAAGGAGAAATGTCACATTTACTCTCAACTTTTAGAATAAGACAAAAACTATTAGGGATATAAATGGAAAGAAAAAGTTGACACAAATATAAAACCAACAATCACAATAATCTCAACTTTTAGTTGAGATTGTATAATGCATTATTTTTTGTGATTGTTGGTGGGACCGACCTAAAACAATGCATGCATTGTTTTACACTTTGCCACTTCCGAACATTGTATTGTGCACAATACATATATTCAACAAACACAACTCTAACAATCACAACTTTCAAACGAACCCTACCCCATTGATTAGGTGTAGTCCGAAAAGCATACGGATTAGCCACTGCTGAAATTCAAATTTGGGCCCAACGTGAATCGACTTAACGACTCCTGAAATGCACATTAGGGCCCAACATTCGAGCCCAAAGGTCAATTAGTGTAGAGCTATAGCCCAAACCACAAAACAATTTCCAAACTCGCGGGGTTTATTTCCCAACTAGTCTTCCTCAAGTGCGATTTTCACCTTTTCAGTCTCTTCAACCCTTTTTTAGCAATTTTTTCATATAAAAAGAGAAAATCAAAATACAGTGGGGAAAGCAGAAGAGAAGGAGCTCAGATCCGGAACCGTTCAAGCGACAAAGAGGCACGGCGACCAATGACCGTCCGGCTGCGAAATCAAGCGGCTAAATACTACAGCATCGCCCCGCCGGAACCGTCGTGGGAAGCCGACCTCAAGCGTCGCCTGAACCGATTCTCAGGAGATCTCATCACAGCCCCATTTCGAAGAACAAGAGGAAGAAGAAGAAGGAGAACCATATATTTATTATTATTATTATCATTATTCCCTGAGAAGCGAAGAGACAGAGAAACAGCAGCAGCAGCAGAAGGAGAAGGATTATATGTGGGAGGGAGGAGGAGGAAAGGCGGTGGCGGTGGTCGGAGAAATCATCGGCATCGCAGCCGTTCAGAGAGAAGGGGAAATCGGCGACGGAGCCACTTCTCCGCCTCTCCTGAGAGCAAAGCCTCCTTCCCGACTGGAAATCTCAGTTCGGCAGTGGATTCATTTTATATAGTTCCTCGTCGTCTTATACAGTCAGTTACGGAACTACCCCTTTTTTTGCTACTTTGCTTACTTGTAACTACCGTGAATGCTTGAGGACGGTTTGGTAAAACCAGGGAACGTTACGACCTAGGTGAAAGAGGCGGGAAATCGACGGTAGCTGACCAGTCTCGATGACACGCGTACGGCTACTATTGTTTTCACTTTATATATTTAGTCACCGAAGGGCGAAGACGAAAATTCTGCTTGCAGGCTTGGCAGCCTAACAAGAAAGGGGCGCGAAAAAAAAAAAAAAACGAACGCAAAAGAGGCATTGGGCCAGAAACTAGCCTGGCCCAAGAACCTGTGGCAATGATACTAATATCTCTCTCTGGAATAACAGGATGACGAACTGGCGACTGAGGATGGAAGAGAAGAAGTGAAAATCGAACTGAAACTTTATTGAAGCCGGCGGCCGGCCGATTCCTCTATTCAACTGAAGCTAATCTACAATGGCCGCATCAGCGGCGGTAGCTCCCCGGACGGTGCTCTCTTCCTTCCATCATAGGCTCACCTTCACTGTTCCCGCCTTCTTAAATCTCGCTACCAGCAGCGCCAGGTGCAGCTGCGGCGGCGGGAAGGTTCGCCAGTTCTCTGCGATCCGCTGTGTACAATCCACCGAAGAAATTTCCAGTACCGCGGGGTCAACGATCTCTGCCGCGGCGGCAATTGGGCGGCGCAATGTAATTGACATACTGGAGGAAAGAGGATTGCTGGAATCCCTTACCAGCGACAATCTCAGGTCGGTTTCCTCCACTCCAGAATCATCTCCAGTTAGGGTATACTGCGGCTTCGATCCCACCGCCGAGAGCTTGCACTTAGGCAACCTCCTCGGCATCTTAGTCCTCTCCTGGTTCCACCGCTGCGGCCACAAGGTCGTGGCCCTTATCGGCGGCGCCACCGCCCGAATCGGCGATCCCTCGGGGAAAAGCCTCGAGCGGCCCGAGCTGGGCCTGGAATCTCTCGAGAGGAATACCTTAGGGATAGCCAGTACCGTAACTAGAATCCTGAATTCGAGCAATTCCACCTCTTTCGTGGTTATGAACAACTACGATTGGTGGAAGGAGTTCAAAATGCTGGATTTTCTCAAACAGGTAGGCAGGTACGCTAGGGTTGGAACCATGGTTGCTAAAGAGAGTGTGAAGAAGAGGCTTGAATCCGAGCAAGGAATGAGCTACACAGAGTTCACTTACCAGCTGTTACAGGGCTATGATTTCCTCTACCTCTTCCAGAACCATGGAGTGAATGTTCAAATTGGAGGCAGTGATCAGTGGGGGAACATTACAGCAGGAACTGATCTCATCAGGAGAATCCTTCAGCCGAAAGAAGGCGAAGGAGGGTTCGGCTTGACTTTCCCTCTCCTGCTCAAGAGCGACGGTACTAAGTTTGGGAAATCTGAAGATGGAGCCATTTGGTTATCCCCTTCAATGTTGTCTCCTTACAAGTTTTACCAGCACTTGTTCTCGGTCCCTGATTCGGACGTGATCAAGTTCCTCAAGATGCTGACTTTCCTCGACATGAAGGTGATAGAGGAGATGGAACTCCAGATGCGGAGTCCGGGTTACTTGCCAAATACTGCACAGAAGCTGCTTGCAGAAGAGGTGACTCGATTCGTCCACGGTGAAGAAGGGCTTCGAGAGGCGATCATGGCTACCGAGGCTTTGAGGCCTGGAGCCGAGACTAAGCTGGACTGGAAGACGATTGAAGCGATTGCTGAGGATGTGCCTTCATGTTCCATGGCGTATGGTGAAGTAGTCAATCTGTCTGTTGTCGATCTCTCGGTGTCTTCCGGATTGTTGGAAAGCAAATCGGCAGCTAGGAGGTTGATGAAGCAAGGAGGTTTGTACTTGAACAATGGCAGAGTTGATCAGGAGAGTAAGAGAATTGAGGATGAAGACATTGTGGACGGGAAGCTTCTCCTTTTATCTGCTGGGAAGAAGAACAAGGTTATCATTCGCATTTCTTGACTTCTCATATGGCTAAATTAGAATAGGCAGTTGCCTTAAAATGGAGTTCTGTTTCGGTTTTTGTTCCAGAGATGTGTAGCTCTTTCATCTGGAGAGGTTTATGAAGCAAATTTTAAGCACTGTGTAACTGATTCATCAACAAAGTCTCTTCCTTTACCAATCCCATCGATTTGTTTCAGTTGTTATTGTGATTCCATTTAAATTAGGTATTGTTTATCTTATCTGATATGTGCTTTTAGAAGAAACCGTGCATCTTTATAGAAGTCCGTTGTGCTGCATCCAAAGCACACCAGCTTAAAAAGTACCGGTTGAATCTCACACCTGCATGCAATATCTGCAGCTTATGATCTAGCTAGGTAGTTACAGTGCTATGGAGTCTCATAACGTAGCTTTCTCAGCTGTATTACTGGAGGTATCACCATTGATGAGAAGCACAGAATCAAAGTTTTCTCATTTTTTTACTCTACTTAGTCGAGCAACCCAACCATTCCCTTTCAAAGACGTTCTGTTCTGGTTTTTTGAAACTTTGTAAAAACTTCAAGTAGGCGGGGAAGGCTCAGAAATCCGCCATTGTTAATCAGACAACGGCATACGGCAGCCATTAGCTGCGAAGTCGGAGCAGCAGCTAGGTGCTGCTGTCTCGATCGCCACGCCAAATAGCGCCGCCGTGGCCGCTCTGATTAAAAACTCTCAGGTGGGGGGTCATCACAGCCTCGATTCGGAGAAGAAGAAGAAGTGAGCAAGCGGAAGAAGAAGAAGTGGAAGAAGATTCCGTTTCCAGTTCCAGATATAGACAGACAGACAGACAGTGAACAAGAGCGCTAGCTAGCTAGCTAGTACGTACGTAGTGTAGAGTAAGAACGTGACGGCGGAGATGGGGGCGATCGGAGAAATCATCGGCTCCGGTGCCATGCCGAGAAGGGATCCCTTCCCAGAGAGCAAAGCCTCATTCATGTCCCAAATGAGAGTTGGCAGAGTTCCGTCGCCGGCGACTTCGGGTGGTGCGTGACAGTTTCAACTTTATACTCGCTTTGTCTTCATTTTGCTTTAGTTACGAGATTACCCTTTATTTTTCCTGTGATGGATACATGGAAATGGTCGGTGGTAATTCAGTGATTATTGTAAAAGCCAGGCCGGGGGTTTATTTCCCGTGTATTAGGTTAACATTTCAGATCAACGTACACGTGTACGACATGCGTGATCTTGACTCTTGAGCCCGTATTACATTACATGACCTTTTCTTATTAGATTAAAGAAGAATATAGCTGATTATGCAAATTGTTATGAGATTAGTTTAAAGCAAGTTGTAAAAAAATAGTTGGCCAGATAAATGAAATTGTTTGAGAGTTTGAATTATGAGTATCATTGTCAAAATACGAATATAAGAATTCTCCATCATCAAAATTATATTATGTAAAAAATCAATGAGATTTTTCCTATCAAGCTAGCCATGATGATCCCCAACCCAAGCCAGTAGTGTTCCCTGCTTGCTGGAGATATATAATCTACTAATTAATTCATTAATTGCATGCCTGCCATGTGTGCAACTTGCTTGACTCTTATCTGATCTCTTATCTTCTCTAATCCGGCCTTCCTCCTGCCCATGAAAGAATCTCCATGCATATATCCACCATGGCTGGACTACTCTCTATGATAACAATTACTAGCTTTTATGGCCGGGTTTCTTCCTTTCTCGTAGCTAGCCCGATCGATGGACTGCATTCCTCCAGGAAAGGCGCTGGATAGCTAGCTAGAGCAACGACATGCATGGAATTAAAAGAGACTAATTTCTAGCTTTTCTTCTTCCCCATATTCATTTCTTGGTCTGCCTGCCATATTTAATACATTTTCCCCCCATCGATTTGTATAGATTATCTATCTACACATTTATTACCTCTTCTCTTTTACCACATTACTCAAGATTGGTGCCTCTCCGCTCAACTACTACTTTAATACATCCCTCAAGCTTCATATATAACAAGATAGAGACAATCTTCTCCTTCTTCACACCTCTCTCTCCCCCCCTATATAGGACCTTTATCACTTGTAAATCCCATCACCATGACCAGACATATGGTTAAGTCACTTCTCCGGCCATGTTCTGCTACTTAATTAGCCTGCCGCACCATATTGCTCAATTGTTGTCTCAAAGTTAGTTAGTTCGCGTTGATGATGATGTTGAGATCAGCTCTGTCGAGATGCCGCCTTCTCGGCCTCGTGCTTCTTCTAGCGGCGGGTGCCATTTCATTCTCGACCTCATTCGGTTTCGGTAAGTAGGCTACATTCCATCTCGACCCGCCATCTCTATACCTGCTTCTATCATTACACAAGCTGGTCTGGTAGCCCTCCTCTGTATCCAACATGACTTGCCTCCTTTGTGTCATAACATTTTAGTCTCGATATATATTGTCGACATAATGACATACATTCATAATAATTCTCGCTAGCTCCTCGTCCCAAGACCGGCCGAGGCATAAATGAGTACTGCTTGCCAGCCTAACCATGCATGTACATTAACTACAGTCGTCTGTCTATCTTTTCTATGTAATAACTAATGTATTTTTTTAAATTGCTGCATGCAGTTGGGGTATGCAATGCAGAAGCTGCCTTCTTCCATGGTGGTGGTGGAGGAAATGATGGTGTAAATGTAAACCAGCCGCCTTCTGCTGCTCCTCCAATCATCTTCTCCATTGAAAATCGCACTACTCCTACAGCCATCACCACCACCGGTATAATATTTATTGCATTGCGCCATTGACCATTTGCTCCATCTTATTACTTGCTCCCATGGTCCCATGGACCATTCATCTCGTTCCGAAATTAATTAATGGTGGTGAGTTTTTTTTTTTTTTTTAATGGAAAACAGACTACGACTACGGTGGCGGCGGTGGTGACGGGAACCGCATAGGGACGGCGTGCTCGAAGGAGGACATAGTGATCTACCAAGGCGCGACGGCTCCCTTGCCCAACGGGATCCCGTCCTTCTCCGTCGAGATACAAAACGTCGGCGTTTCGGGGTGTGGCATCGCCGACATCCACGTCAGCTGCGGGTGGTTCAGCTCCGCCAGGCTCGTCAACCCCACGGTGTTCCGCCGCCTCTACTACGACGACTGCCTCGTCAACAACGGCCAGCCGCTGGGCCCCACCGCCTCCCTCAACTTCGAGTACTCCAACAGCTTTCGCTACCCTCTCTCCGTCTCCTCTGTTTCTTGCTGCTGAAGCAACCCGAAAACATATATATATATTTATACTTTTTCATGGGCTTTTGATGTCAATATTGGAGTGGACTACGTGTTTTTGGACTAAATGTTCTGAATCCTAACACCAAACAGGCCCACATATAAGCTGAACCCAACGGGCTCTCAATTCAGCCCAATGGAATAACAACGCATGAGAAAAAGTCCAATTCCATGTATTAAAACCCGACCCGATTCCCCCCTTGCAAATCAATCGTTGAAGATGAAAGGATAACAACAGCAACCTATAATCCTCTGTATAAAGGCCGGCCACGTCTCATCTTCAACCGCCACTCATCAGCTATAAGCTGCTAGTAAGCGTAAGAGTAATCAAAATCGGTGAGACCAGCCATGGCGGAAACCACCTGGGTCAAAATATAGAACCCACCAGCGAATATAACCAGAACCAAGATTGCAGAGATTGGGTTCTTCAGCAGCTCCCAGATGGGCAAGAATACAGTGTAGAGAGCCCCGGTGCTGACAGTCAGAGCATACAGAGCATACCTCCTCACATTGTCCCAAAACTCCTCCATCAGTGGGCCTTCCGGGCCCAAAGCCATCGCCTTGCTGCCGTGCTCATCCACGAACAGGAGATACAGGGCCGCCGCCAGCCCAAGCGATGCTGCAGCTGCTCTGACCTCGATCATTGATCTTGCTGCTGGCTCGCAGAAACCCTCTAATTCGTCGTGATCTTGACTGTCGTTGGGTGGTGATTGAGAAGGGATTGGGTGGTGAAGTGGGTTGTGTGAGAGTGAGAGGATTAGTGTTGTTCTTCGTCGTGGGTGGTTTGGATTATTGGGGAAATTGGGGGTTTGGAGGGGAAAGGGAAGTTGGGAATGGGTTTGAGAAAGGAAGTGGTGGTGGTGGAAGGAATGTTTATGGTGGTGGGATTGGATTGCAGAGATGGAGTTCATGGTTTGGATTTTTGTTTGGGGGAGGGATCAAATCATTTTTGGGGTTTGGTTTAGGAGAAATTTTGTTTGAGAGATGTGGGTGATGGGAGTTTGGAGAGTGAAGAAGAAAGGTTGAAGCTTTGGGCTATGGGTGGGGTGCTTCCTTTATGGCTATCCATATCTTATCCCAAAAAATCTCCACTTGGTTCAATTGTTTCTCTAATATGGTAATATTTCAAAAAGGAAAAATTGGTTTCTTTTTCCCCATTCCTTTGATTTAATTGAAAATAGATTTTTTTGTGAGCATTTTTAATTGAAGCCCCAATGTGATATTACTAATTGGATATAGTTGTAGTTGATAAATATACATTGCCAAAGGAAAAACAACAATAATCTAATGTGATCCCATATAGAGTTGGCCAAAATAATGTGTGTTAGAGTTCATTTTATATAAAAAAACACTTGTTCTTGTACTAATTAATTATCATAAAACACTTGTTCCGCGCCTCCTTAAACCCCATTATGCCCAAAACAATTTGAATTGAGAACTTCCATCGCCAGCGGCAAAAGAGCTTACACAAAATTCAAACTTTACACAAACAAACAAAGGAAGCCGCTTCCTTTTTTCTTTCCATTCAATCACTTACCCAAATTTCCCTCTTCCCCTGTCTCACTCTCTCTTCTGTCTTCTCCATCACTTCCCCTAATCTCAAAGCTCCCATCTTTGCCTTTACCCTGTTCATTAATGGCGTCCCGCTACAACTCCTACGACTCCACCCGCTCTTCCGCTTCTTCATTCACTTCCTCAGCTGAATTCAATCCTTCTTCCATTACTCCTACCTCCTCATCCAGAGCTCTGGTCAAATCCAAGCCCTCCGATCTCTCCCAGCTGAAATCCATTCCCAACAAATCCAAACCCAATGGCACTCACAATCTTACAGCTATGGTCAAGAAGTTTGTGGAGAAGAAGACCACTTTAGGGTCGTTTTCGTCGAATAAGAAGAAGGCGATTGGTGGGTTGGTGATTCCGGCGGATTTGATTGCGGAGGACTTGAAGAAGAATACGCCGGCGGCGAGGACAGGAGCTGCTGGGCTTGTGGGCTTGCAGAAGAAGCTGTTTGGGAAAGAGAAGGGTAGTAATAAGAAGGAAGTGAAGGCTTTGACGGAGGTGAAAGGGAATGGCTATGCTGGCAATACGAGGACGCTAGCGATGGTTTTGAGGAGCGAGAGGGAGCTTTTGAGTGCTAATAAGGACATGGAGGAAGAGATTGGTCAGCTCAAGTCGATGCTTGAGACCAGAAACAGAGAGGTAAGTAAGCGAGGTTAAAGTTCAAGCCTTTCCAGTTTCTGCTTGATTCCAAAGTTCTAAACTTTGGCAAATACTCTGCTTTTATTTTCTGATTCCAGTCTTTGAAAATGAGTTTTGTTGCAGGTGGACAAGCTGAAGGACTTGTGCTTGAAGCAGAGGGAAGAGATCAAGTCATTGAAGAATGCGGTACTGTTTCCCGACTTGTCAAACTCTCAGCTTCAAGATCTCCTTGAACAGCAAGGTTCAGAGTTGAAGCAAGCCAAAACACTCATCCCAAATCTCCAGAGGCAGGTCACTTCCCTCACAGGCCAGTTGCAATGTCTTGCTGAGGGTCTAGCTGAGGTAGCATTATCCGTATCATTTTTGTCATTGATGTCCAAGCCTGGTCGTGGCTTGACGGCTAATATTTTATCGAATTCGAGCAGGTGAAGGCTGAGAAATATGGGAGGCCTCGCTGGAGCAGCTCGCCCAGGACGCCCACATTCAATTGTGAGGGGTCTGCAAATTCTCTGGTAAGGAAGAACATTGGGAACTCTAAAGAGGTTCAGTTAAACTCTAAACTGAACGATTAACATGAATGTTCTTTTCGCGACCTTAAACACGTTCCAATCTTTGTGCAGGACTTCAGCTCTTGTGGCGTTAAAACGCCAGGTAGCCCCGATGATGATATGTTCGTTAAGGATCTAAACCCTTGTTTGACACCTTATGTTGCCAAGACCAATTCCAAGGTAGGTAGCATATAATCTGTGAAATGTCTAGAATCTCTTCATCTCCATGCTTAATGAGATTCACCAATGTACTTACACCCATGGCAGGAATTCGATGAGCTGGGCTGCCATTGCTCATCTTCTTACGAAGAACAATTGCCGGAGACCACAATGCACGTCTCTGATGAGCCTACTTTCAGTTCCAATCTCAGGAAGCTGTCGAGAAGCTCTGATCGCTACAAAAGCCCCAATGTAGCAGCAGTTGCAGTCAGAGCCGCCAGAAGATCAGATGAAAGCAAACCCAGATATGGGAAACAACAACTGCACCACAGAGCTTTCTGATTGTCTTTGTTTTCCTGTGACCAATCTTCTTCTATCTTGTTTTGAAACTACCTGGGTGGCTTAAAACAAGAAGGTCCATAGTCCATACCCAGTACCTACCAGCTGCTCTTGTTGTACATGAATGCTGAAAAGATTTATCTCTACATAAATGGAGCACTATCAACTATGATCTCTATCATCTTCTGTTTTGAGGGTTAAGATAGCAAAGCGCATGCAAAGATTCAAGCTTTTCGGTGCAGGATGATGTCCTCAGACTATGAATTGAGAAATGGATTCATAGAAATAGCAAACACAGGGAAAATGGACAAGAAATTGTTTGAGAAGTCTATTTCGATTGTTTCATTTCACTGTATCATCTCATTAAACAGGCTAAAGGATCTGCGCTCCTACAACACACGACATGACCTACTAATCCCGCGGGCTTGCTTACGCTGTTCCACCGGAAGTTGCTGTTCTGATTATCTGAAACAGAGCTGGAAAAGTAAGAGGAAATGAAGGTGAGTTCGGTTTCAGAATGTCAGTCTGATAAAAAAAGATAAACCATAAACTCAGAACCTGGAATCTTTCAGTACAGACTCTTAATATTTGTCCACTTAAGGCCCTAACTAGAGTCTAGATCAACATTTCGGATAAAACTAAACTGAGCGAAATCGAATTTACATTTATAAATGATCAAGTTGAATTGAAACCAGACCGAATCAAATCCACACATTTTTGGATCTGGTTTCTACCTGTCCTTCCTTTCATTTTTAGTTTTGGTACTATGCTAATTCCTTTTGATTCTGAAGTGCTATGGACCCTAGCCATCCAACACATAACAATCCAATCCAATCCAATCAATGTAAAACGAACACAAACCAGAGCATGCAAGAGGGGTCAGCTTCGGAGAATTAACAAGATAACCATTGTAGGGAGAGAGGGAGAGAGGCACATACATGATCCAACTACAACAAAGACGATGAATCCAAGCACAATTGGGCCAACAGGGTAGTCAAAGCCTTTCTTCCATGAGGAACCAGAGACAGATCCCCTCTTCATTATGTTCCTCTGGAACCTTTCATTCTTCCTCTCTGCAACCCTCTTTGACGTCGTCTGATGATTCAGCGCACAAATCCCACTCCCAAATCAAAAAGAAAGCCATGCAAAACCCAAAGTTCAGAATATGAAAACGAATAACAAAGTCATTTCCTTTTTACCATTTCGTTTCAGATACTGGTGCTTCTCTGGGACTTGGAAGGAGCCGATGAGAGGCAGACAGAAGTGGTTTTGTGATGGGTTATTGTTCTGAATGAAAAGTTTGGGACTTTCTATCGGTTTTTGTGGGAGGATTTTGTCGCAATAAATGGATAGTAAAAACTTTGTCAGTTTCAATTTCCTAAGAAACCCAGAAAATGTTTGTTTCTGACAAAGGGACATGCAGGCAATCCATTACAGCAACAAACCTGGTAACAAATTAATGAATTAAACTATGTTTACTTTTCTGAAGGAATTTCGAATATGAATCATTAATTTTATATTCGTAATTTTTTGGAAATTATTATGTAATTCTACTTTGAGGTATCACCTTCTCCTTATTCACTCTTGGTGGATGGGTTACAATTTATTACGTTGTAACAATTGTTATTTTATTTATCTGAAGAGAAATTAATAAAAATGTCACATTTTCTTCATTTTCACCAAGGGCATGCAACAATTACTAATTTCCCCATTACCAACAATATTTTCGATAACTAATTCATCTCAATAACTCGCATTATCAGAGATGTCCAAGAGCCTTGTGGATCAAGAGCATAATTGTAACAAAGAGACATCAGTCAACAAATAAACAGAAACCTTAAGAGTAGATCTTACATTACAACCTGTAAGAACTGAAATAGTGTGGTATTCCTTCTTATTACTTGGTTATAGTTTAGATACAGATTGATTGGACAAAACTGTCTGTTGGATCATCCAACACCCAAAAACAGGAACAAAGTTAACATAAACAAAAAGGCATGTACATCAATCCCAAAGGGAACACCAACTAAGGACCAAAGGGGCCAGGGGAGCAGATCACAAACGTATAAAATGCTGCCTTCCTAAATACTGCCCATTCTTCTTCATCATCTTCTACCACAGATAATGTACATAAGCAGTGAAACCGACAATCCAGTGAATAAGTGCAAGTTTACCTCATCAAAATTGAGCTTCAAATGCCTTCTCATCCTTAAAATGAATCGCCAATGAGCAAAACCAGCTATGGCTGTCTCATGCCCGAGATTCTTGCGCCTATAGATATATATCATGGAAGGAAGAGATACCAAGCAGGAGGTGTAGATGACTACTTTCTGTTGTCCATCGGTGGGGTCTGAATTCGGAAATTGAGCAAGTGCTTTACCAGTTGTGTAACTGTGCAGTTATGCTCTTAACGATGGGATGATATTCTGTGTGAATGTATAGCTTGGCTTTCTCCGAACCAGGTTGTCCAAGCCATTCATCATATAATCCTCGAACAAGAGGATTGTTATATGGATCTGCATTCACAACCTATTATGAAATTATATGATTAGTTCACAGTTCAATGGCCCTACAGATGGCATAACATTGAAGATATTTCAATCCCACTAGGAAATCCGACTATCTTATGATCTATGACTACTCACATTGTCCATGTAAACGGCTTCAATCGATTGAAGCAAAGCTTTTGGAGACTGCCCCTGGTTTGGCTTGATTTGACCGCCACCATTTAAGCAACCTGATTAAGCATTAAGCAATCAATAAATATTTCTGCTAGATTTCAGATTTTCGATTTCCAGAAATTCCAGCATAAATGGTGCGTAGACTGAATCAAATAAGAGGACAGACCTGCAGGGCACGCCATAACCTCCACGAAATGGTAATCACATTTTCCCATCTTGACTTTTCTCACTATGTTTTGCAGGTTCTGGAAACCATAACATAAGGCAAACTTCAAGACAGTTTTCCCATCCACCTGATATAGATCAAAACAGTACATTAACAATCACCAAGCAGTAGCCTTGCACCTTAATCGACACCAAGTTCGTAAGCCCTTACAGGGAGCAAGCAGAATGAATTTGCTACACTGCGGATAAACTCAACTCCATGGAAAGCAAATTGGAGGACGATGAGAACTAGAAACTAAACACATATTGGATTCTATGACTATGAGAAGTAAACACAGATAAGCAACTTACTTCCAGAGACACTTCTCGAAAATCTGTGTTTCTTATAGTTCTGAAGTTCAGTGGTCCTCCGATTTCTCTTCCAAACAAGGTTTTTGCGGCATTACGGAAAACTGTCTCTGCATAACCACCAGAACTGCCAGCGACCCCATAGAGATGCCCTTGTTCATCAACATTTGTCAACCTGCAGAATATGATGAACATTATCAGTTTCTTGGCGGCTTTTGGTGTTACATGGCTAAGCAATAAAGAAAAGTACTTGGTTTTCAGAAAACATTGTGGTCTATTACATGCTATCAAGAGGAGATTCTTCTACGGCTTTGAAATCCACTGCTTTTAACTGCAAATAAATGAAGAAAAGATTATAACTGCAAAAGATTTAACTGCTTTTAACTGCTTTGAAATTCACAGCATCAAAAGAACAAACGAAAAGAAAGATTATAAAAGCCACTACATTGTGAAACCTCTCACCTTTATTAGATCCAGAATTTCTCCAGATGTCAAAACCGAGTCTACCTCTGTAACCATTGTATCAGTGTCATCGGTTCGTTCCGGTGATTCAACTTCGAAAGTGAAGTCATCCCTTGCTGCCTCGAGCTTCTTATCATAACAGGGCATGACGGTGACATGGTAAATCTCATCCGGCCTATAAACAAGTTTCCACCAATCAGATCAATACAAACCTTACCTCAAACTACATAAAAGGAGATAAATGGGGAAGACAGAAAAATCACCTAAGACCCATGCTGTGGCATGCATGACGCTTAACGATTGCTCCCATTGTTTGTTGGGGACTCTTGACAGAAGATACGTAAGGGAGAATATAAGATCCTAGTTGCTTCTCGGCATAGCAAATCCAACCTGTAATAAGAGGGAGACATTTAAGATATTATGTTTCCATTCTGGAGCATCTCTAAGCAAGGCCTCCTGCCTTGTGTATAACCCATATCAATAACAGAATCTTAGCCTTACATCTTTTTCACTTTGGCATTCACACATAGAGGAACGTAAACAAACTGACAGGGAAGCAGAATGGATAGGCTAAGAAAAATAACCTGGACATGCAGATGAAAGCATAGGCAATGCTACTTTGGATTTTTCAGCTTCACTCAACAGGCTTTCTTTATATCGACTAACAAACTCATTGCAAGCCTCGATTAGTGCCAAGTCTCTGCTGCAACTTGTGTCAAATACAGCCTTTACTCCCAAGGACTTAAAAAATGTCGTGAGTTTCCTGAACACCTAGTGATTTATAGGGAAATAAATGGAAACGGCTACATCAGACATGCTGACAAAAGCACTTTGCTTAAATACCCTTGAATCATGAATAAGAACCAACCTGAGGTGGAGAGAGGCCGAAATGAACAGCAAGAGAAGCTCTGGACTGTGGTGAGAGGGAAACAATGATGGTTTTTCCTTTATCGAGATTAGATAAGAATTCATCCAAACTCTGCTTCTCCAGCATTACTGTCTCTGCTGATGTTATGCACCCACTACACCACAACAACAAAGTAACAAAGTATAAGTTATAGAAGCTCATTCAAGCTAGACATGTCAGGGCAACCAAATGGAACACAACCGAAAATTGAGTACAAAGAAGCTGACTTTCACAACTGGGGAAGCCCAAAAGAAAAGAATCCTTCCTCGACTAGGGCAAGCCAACATGGAAGCAGAAAGGTACAATTTTTACCTGCAAGCCAAGCAGTCCTTTAGAGAAATCTTCACCGGCTCCGTCTGCCGATTGATCCCAACCGCCACCTTCACCAAATTTAACCGTAGCCAACCCCAAAAACATCAGAAAGCTTAATAGCAACAATTCGCCGCACAGGTTATGGTAACCACACGCCCAAAAGTCAGTTTAGGGAAAAGGAAAGGAGTGGAAGTTACCTCAGGTTTAACAGGCTTCTTGGCAACGTTACTATTAGCCTTGAGCCCCTTCAAGGAGACCACACAAGCCTGAGACGGAGCTATGAAATCGTTGAGATCCCCGATCCTTAGCGTCGGCGAGAACTTCTCCGACATCTCTTCTACTTCCTTCCTTCGCTTCAAATTGGCGACAAAGCACGCCGGGGAAAAAATCACGAAGCTACGCAAGGGAGTTGTGGGTGCTGGGAATTCAGTGGGAACTTGGGAGCTGGTTGTGTGAATTGGATTTTTATTTCCGCCGCGACAAGTTTGGAGAGAAAGGAGGCAGAAAAAGAAAGATGCGGCGGCGGGATGGCGGAGGTAAATACCAGTACGCGGCAGAGTCGGTATGTTTTTGGGCTGGGCTTCGTAATTTCTTTCCGTCGCGTGAGGAAGGCGGACTGATCTCAGCCGTTGGATGTGTGGAAATCTCTGTAAAAGGTCAACAGACCAGGTTCGATTAAGTTATCGTGTAATCATGCTTACGTATCCCGGCTGAGCATTTAGCCAAATTTCTCCGGTAAGGTGGGTGGAAGGCACGTGTCCACCACGGTTCCGCCGGCCGGCGGGGGCCACCGCTTGCTGAAGATCGGACGGCATGTACAAAGGCGGGTGATTGTATTACGGGCCCAAAGCCCAAATATAGTTGACAAAGCCGAGCCCAATCATTTACTGGACCGCTAGTCGAATTTCCTCCCTGAGACAAGCTGGAAATAACAAAAGAATACACATCTTCACTTTATTCCATTTCCTTGAACCTTTCACCTTCTATATTACAAGAACACCAAACATAAACCTACATTTAGCTTTCAGAAACATTGCAGACCAAAAACATACACACACATACAAGAAGAACAGGTCTTTGGGGCTGGATCCGAGCAGGCGAAAAACTTGCTGGATACACAATCCTACCACCTGGCGTCGCTCTTGCCCTTGTTGTTGTACAGCCTGAAGAGGCCAAAGGCTGAAATGCAGGAAACCCCCACCATGCTGATGCAAGCTATGACAGCACTCCCTACTCCTTCTCCAACTTGGTTGCAGAACTTTGCATACATATCGCAAGTCTTCATCCACTGCAGCTCGGGCTGTCCTGTCTCTGCAAACACAGACGATTGGATCGCAGCTGCCAGTGCTGCCACGGTCATGTATGCCATTGCCTGCAAATGAAGGAAACCAGCAAAAGTTGGAGTTGATCATGAATGCAGATCAATGGAACATGACTCATGGGCAGAGTCTAAATCAACGGTAACTCTTGACTGAGATGTATGCATGTTCTGGACTTTGGAGTATCCATTTAATGTGTTAGATGACACTTTTCCTAGGTGCAGTTAGCCTTGCTATAGTGAGGTCCCCCTTTTATGCTTCTCTTGGCTTATCTCTACAGGTTGCTTGTAAGAAAACCAGGATTGCTATATACCGAAGCAAAGGGTCCCCATAGATAGTGGGGCTCAATAGGTAAATGATCACTATACTATGAGGTTCAAAACAAATTGATTACTTAACTAAAGATCTTAACAGAAAAGAAAGATCTTTGTGCAAAGGAAATCGCTTCGAGTACTATGTCACTGTATCAAATGAGTCATTGGATACTCTACCTAGCTAATGACAGATCCAAATGAACTGAAAGGAAAGTGTATGTTTTATTACCATTTAGGCATTTAACCCAACCATTAGTCTGCAATTAACCCTGATCTGTTAGAAAAAAAAAGTGCCCATTTCGATGCTCTAGAGACCCATACCCACCACAAACCGACATGCCATTTCCAGGAAGGATGCACTAACACTTGAATAGAAAGAACAACAAATTTCATCACAAAATGGTCATTTTGCAAGGGAAGCTCACTTACCCAGCAGCTCAAGTTGCAGAGTTTTATACATACATCATTCAATGGCTTTTGGTTATGAGTTGGTCAACATTAAATACTTCAACCATCCACTCCACTCCCCAATCTACCCACATGCCTTGTTTCACAAGTAGGAGCCTTCTAGCAATAATGTAAACCATCCTCTAGGGGTAACCACTTGCCAGAATCGAATAAGAATAGCCTTTCTCATCTCCCTTTCTAATTTAATCTTAAGTTCGAACAAGATAAGTTAAGTACCAAGCTCTCTTTTCTTTTTATAACTTTTCTACTGTTCAACACCTACTAACAAGGCCAGGAAGGAAAGAGTGCACTAACTATCAGCAATAAATGTACCCATCTGGGATGCAAAGCTTGGGGAAGATTCATACATTAAAGATTATTGATGGGTCGTCTTCAATCATGGCACACAGTTTAAAAAGCTGGTTTTTACTGTGTTCATTATAACTAGGGAACCAGTTAACAATTTTGGCTCTAACATAATAGTAGACCCCACATTGATTGGTAGCAGTTTCCATAGTTCAGAGACTAACTTTGAACTTCTTCACAGAGAGCACTAAATGCATTAGTTATAATACATAAACCTAACCATTATGGATTCACCTAAATTTTAAAAAATCCCCAGCACAGAGTTCTCTGATAGCAACAAAACACATCTAGAAATTCTTCAAATGTCTGAAATCCAACTTTGAAAACCACAACCACAATCCGAGTTGGAGAATCATGTTGCCAAGCATGGCTAATAAGAACAAGTTTAGTTTCTCAATTACCTGGTCTCCAGAGAAGATGAGCCAAGCCAAGGGCTTGTTGTACAGCACATTCCCTCTAACCATGCTCACTACACACCTCACCACTTGGACAAATGAGTATGCTGCTGCTATTGCATTTGCCACCACCAGAAACCTGCACACCAAGCAAAAGGGACAGAGTAGGAAGGCTTTCATATTACAAATCGACCCCAAAATTCGAAGCCAAGAGCTAATTAGAAGGAAACTATGCCTCACAGAACTTACACAAGGGCTTTCAAGTCAGTGTAGCTAGCTTTCTTCTGAATGGAGAAGAACTCCTTGGTCTGGCTATCAGTAGCTACAAGAACAACACAGAGAAGAGCAAGCCCACAAGTCAAGATTCTGAGAACCAGCTCAGCTAGCCTCACTCTTCTGTCAATCACCTTCAAGCTTGTGCCATGGTAGACTGGGACATTGCCAGGACTAACTCCAACTCCCAAATAACTCATCTTTAATCTCCCAAGATGCCAATGAAACCGAATGAAGAAGATGAACAGGTGAAGCACAGAAGATAACCTCGGAAGAAAAAAAAAATTACGAAGATGTATTTCTCTTTCCTTTACTAAAAGAGTGAACTTTTGAGCTCTTTCAGTCCCACTGGAAGACAGCCAAAGTTGGGATGCTTTATATAGTGAACCCATTAACCATTTTGAGGTGGGGTTTGTTTCATTTTCTGCCAGAAATGAAAAATCTTTTTTTTTCCCTCAAAATAAACAAGCATAAAATCGAATACAAATTTTGAGGTGTGAATTGGATTTTTATTAATTATTATTGCGTCTCTTCTAGTATAGAACTTTTGGTGGCAGGGCAGAGGGCAGGGGTTTCCTAATCCCCTGCTGCATAGCAAATTCCAAATTCGAAATGGATTTTACAATGCATCTTTGACACGTGTCTTTCCCTTCTATTTTCCACGTTAGAAAAACTACTAGAAAAATCAAATAAAAACCCTTTTCTTTGTAGAAAAACAACAATAGAACCAAACCCTATAAATAACAAACAATTCCATACACTCTTCCACTCCACTTCAATATCGACTCATCGATCGACATCAACCATGTTGCTCACCATGGACGACGTGAAGGAGAACCTCGACTTCTCGAACATGAAGAACAAGAAGCCGACACCTTTCGACTGGCTCCTCGCCATCACACCCATCGCCTTGGAGAAGCTTCACCTCCAAGAAAAACACGAAAGGCTCGCCCAAGAGAGCAAACTAAAAAGACCCATAATCGTCCCACCACCACCACCAACAACAACAGCCCTAGGACATCATGATGATGATCAAGAAACGACACCGTCGAAGAAGAGGAAACGTAACATTATGTTCGACGGTAGTAGTACTAGAGAGAAGAAGGCGAATGTCATGAGGAACAGGATGAGGAGGAGGATCGACAGAGACTACTTCGTCGACGATCCTCGGCTCGAGCAGGCCACGATCCCCGAGAGGTTCCGCCACCACATAGAGACGAGGCTAAACGGGAGGGACATTAAGTTGATAGTGCAGAAGCGGCTTTACGCTAGCGACCTGGACCCCAACGAAGGGCGGCTGTCCATCCCGGTGAAGAAGACGATGTGCGGAGGACTGCTGCTGACGAGGGACGAGGAGGAGTGGCTGAGGGACCGGGGGCACGACGGAAAGAAGGCGGTGCCAGGGATGGAGCTGAAGCTGGTGGTGGACGGCCCTGAGGTGGGAGAAGGGAGGATTGTGTTCAAGCTGTGGGCGATGAAGAAGAAGAACGGGAGGGCGAGTTATATGTACGTGCTGGCGCGGTACTGGAACGACGTCGTTAAGGCGCATAGGCTTGGTGAGAGGGAAGTGGTTCAAGTGTGGGGGTTTAGAATGGGAGAAGGCGAGTTAGGGCTTGCTTTGGTTAGGCTCGGTAAGGAATATGGTGGTGACTAGCTAGTAATGACGATGATGGTGCGGTTTAATTTTGAGTAGTTCATTCATATTGGAGTGTATGCTAAATGCAACAGGGATGATGACACATGAAGTTTGAATTTGATACAATTTGAAACAAATCTATTACCATTTCAGAACAAGGAGAAAAGCTGACCTAACACCAAATATAAAGAACACATCACTTTCCCTTTGGTTAAAAGTCTACTTGTCATTCCCATGTCTCCTAAAGTTGGTCATGAACCAGGGAGCCAAAGCATCGACTTGAACAAAGACAATCTTAGGGAGCACTAACAACGGGTTGAACAAAGACTTGTGATAATGAACCCGCCATCGGCTCAACCTTCCATGTCTCTGTTACAATAAGAAGCAACACAGGGAAGTTCCAACTCCTTGATAAGAAAAATGGTAAACCCTAAACTACAGATGCACAAAACAAGGGGTGTCCTCAATCGATAACTCGATACCATAAGCATCAAACAGTGGTTTTAAGGACATCTTAAATTCAACCCCCTCCTTCTCCTCATTAGCTAAATCGTTAGAGCAAAAGCTGCTGAAACTTGATGAAAGCCTCTCTCTAGTTTCTACTACGTTCCTAACCAAAATCACGGCCATCCTGTTTCCACCAGTAACTAAGAATAACAGAAGGACAATGGGTACAGCGAAGTGCATGAAACATTCTGCATTGCCTTTCTTTAGCTACAGCAGCCAAAGGCTATCACCATAGCTTATACAAGCACAATGCAACCCAAGTGCATCACGATCAACGAATAAGTCAAAAATAACACAGCACCTTAATTCAATATGCAGACACTGCAACCAAATGCAAATCAATTCTGCAACCATCTATGAGAATGCTTATACGAAATGCACAAAATGACACAACTCATAAGCACAATCCGAGCTGCCACTTGCCAGTATCAATGGAAAGTTCAGAGAATTCTGGTTAAAACTGACCAAAGCTAAGACAAATGAAGAAAGCCATACTGACATATTCCATTTCAGTAGCTGCCAAGTCAAGCACAACTGGCCATTTGCAATCCAAGCTAACAGAGGAAAGTGAGGAAATTTTTCACATTGCAGGAATCCCAGAATTTGAAGATTATTAACCGATTCACAAGCATCATTATCATAACCAAACCCGCCATGAAACAAAATCAAAAGGCAATCGAAGAACAGAAAAGCGAATTCATTTGCATTTCTAAAATTTCCCCCAGCCTCTTCAGTTCTTGAAACCACTCTTCTGGTAACGAGCAACCTCACCCTCGTTAGGGAAGAACCCCATCATTCGCCCCGCCGAGTTCTGGTACGCGTACATGAACCCTCCCATCAAACCAATCAATCCCCCAGTCACCATTGATGGGCCCTTCAACCCTGGCTTAATCCCTAATAATTCGATTGAAAACAACAATAAGCGCCACAATCAGAAATTCGTCCGCATCAAAACACGCACACAATCGAGGAATTCATTTCGGTTCCGGAAATGGGGGAGAGAGAGAGATAGCGAACCTGATAGGTAGCCGACGGTGACGGAGATGCCCGTGATGGTGGTGAACCGGAGGTAATCCAAAGTGTTGAAGTTGCCGACGACCTTGCTGAACGCCGGGTTCCTATCTATCACCGGGTACTCCGGCTTCGTCGACGCTGTGATGTCGGTGTTCATTTCTCCTCTCCTCCGGTGACTTCTCTCTCTTCACTCGGTTTCTCTGTTCCTCAGTTGCTGATCCAAAAATGCTCGAACCAGTAGTGGAAATGGGGAAGGTGACTTCTCTCTCTTCACTTAGCTCCTCGAAACTGGGCCATGGGCTCGTCATTAACAGTTGGGCCAGGCCCAGAGTCCCGATCAAAAAGCCTGAAATGGCCCACAACTGAAAGGACTAAAATGGGCAAAGGGACAGTCTTCATTTTCTTGTTACAGAAACCCAAAATGTTCATTTCGGGAATTTCTGCAGCTTTCACAGTCACCTCTCTGTTTACCCCGCAGTACCCTGTCGTCATACAATAGCCAGACAGTAAACTTGATAGGCAAGTAACCCAAGAATCCCCCAATTTTCACCCACGAAAATCCCTAATAATTCTTTACCACATTTTTGTTTCTCCTTTCTTTTCTTCCCTCCCAACTGCCTTCTTTTCCTTCCCCTGTTCATTTCGTTGGGGTTTTGAAATGGGTTTTCCGAGAAAGAAACAAGAACAGAGAGAAATGAGGAAACAGAGCACAATGCTGCTGAAATTAGACGATTTCGCCGGCGTGACCCAGCAGCGGAAATGGACTCGGTTCGACTACCTGGTCGCCGTGGCCAAATTTGCCCTCAAGAAGCTACAACAAGAAGAGGAGCAACAGAACTTCCATCTCCGCCGCCGCCTCTCCCATTTGCCTCCTCTGCCACCGACCGGTCGCCGCAAGTCGGGCTCTTTCCGTTCGATTTCCGTCGAACCCAGCAAGAAAATCGAAATGTATGAAATGGGAAAGAAGAAGATCAAGAAGGGAAAGGGGAGAAAGAACCAAGAAGCGGTTTTTGGCGGGATGGATTTTCGTCCGCCGCTGCCGGAGCGATTCGCGAGGTACATCGACGAGGTGAGGGGGAGGGAGGTGAAGATGGTGATCCAGAAGCGTCTGTCGAGGAGCGACCTGGACCAGAGCCAGGCTCGGCTGTCGATCCCGCGCGGGGCGGTGGAGGAAGAGTTCCTGACGGCGGAGGAGGCGGCGGAGCTGGGGAAGCGGTGGGGCACGCATGGATGCCGGCTAGGCGGGGTGGACGCGCGCCTAATTGTCGAGCCAATGGAGAAGGAATGGCTTGTGCATCTGAAGCAGTGGGGCACGGTCGTCGGCAGGGGGAACTACGTTCTGACGTCGCAGTGGAACAGCGTGGTGGAGGAAGTGAAGTTTGGGGAAGACGACGCGATTCAGCTTTGGAGCTTTAGGGTCGGAAGGGAACTGAATCTGGTTTTGGTACGGTTGGGTTTGTGAATTGAGGGGGATTTTGGTTGCGGATTAGGGATTTTTGGGGGGAAATTTTTTGGGGCGCCATTCATGGCGGCGGTGGTGGAGGACCGGCCGGAGGAAGCCGTTGAGCTGAATTTTGGATTAGCTGTGTTCTGTAAGTGGGATTAGTCTGTCATTAAGGGGTGGCTGTTTAGTTCTTCCTTTGTAATCATTTGAGATTAGAGTGTACATAAGGCAGAGATCCAAAGCTTTCTGATGACAGATTATTCGGGTTACTTTCACTTTTTTTGTTAGTGTTAATCATCAATGGCATTTTGATTGGGCTAATCAACAAAATGGTTTGAAATGAGATCAAAATGGTTTGAAGCAACCCAAATTAACTTGCGCTAATTGGAATTTGGAGATCAAAATTGTTGGCATTAGCATATTATTACTTATGACGTTGTAACAAGGCCCAAATTTAACAAGGCCCATTAAACAGTATAGTTAGACGGTAGAGTATATTTGTTACGTTTTAATATTAAAAGAGTAGATTTATACAAAATATTAATAGAGAGTTACGATTTACTTAGTTTGCAATAACACTAGAAGGTACAAAATGCTATAAAGCCTAAATATAATAATTCAATGTACAAGTTTTATAAAAGGCACGTAATTTTGCACGATAATGAGACTATAACTACTTGCCATTGATGATGTTCTTTCCTTTCATATGGATACCTTCTTATTTGTGGTAAGATCTGTCGTTGATATGTACCTTCTTCTTTTCCATTCATGATGCTTCCCTGGTTATGAGGTCGGACCGGATTGGTGGGCCAGACCAATAGAACCACCAACCAAATGCAATAGTAACTTGATAAAGAAGTAACCCAAAAATCCACAATTTTTACCAACCAAAATCCCTAATTCTTACCGTATTTTTTGTTTGTTACTGAAATTATTTTCTTGCATTCCTTTTTTTTTTACAAAAGATAATCATATATTGATTCCACAAAAATAGGTAGTTACATCCTGGAGATCAGCCAAGACTGAAAATCAAAAGAACGACTCGTGGTCGGGTACAAAGCAAGGGTCTTTCGAGCCACCAAATGGGCCACCCAATTACTACTCCGACCTACAAAACGAACACTAAACCCCGGCTTACTAGACAACACCCGCACCACCTCTTCCAGTATCGCGCCCATCCGGTTATCCCTTGTATCGGCCTGCAAGATCTTATCAATAACCACCTTGGCGTCCCCTTCAAATCTTACCTCCGTGAAACCATGCTCAAGACACCAAAGAATACCCTCGTGAAGGACAAGCAGCTCCACTATCATGGGATCATCAATTATCGGAAATTGGACACCTTTAGCCCGAAGGACATCTCGAGAGGGGGTCATCAAGACCAACCCCCCCGCCGAATGAGAACCTCTCCTAGTAGCCCCATCTCACATGCAAATTACCCCTGTATGCCCCGTCAAGCTTGGTTGCTGAGGCGGAGGACGAGCATACTGAAGAGCTTTATCCCTCGGGAGGTGAACCCACTCCTCATATTGCTGGGTAAACTGGCGCATCAATGCCGGGTACCCAAACTGCTTACCTTCAAAGACTACCCAGTTCCGAGACCGCCAGATTCGCCAGAGGACCGCAACTACGCCCATAAGCCATCAATTTTTTGAGGAAAAGAGAGAAACTATACCGAGGAAGCCCCTCCCCTAAGTATTCCAGCCCCGAATAGCCCCACGGGGCCCGGGCCACTGGACAGTCGAGAAACAGATGTTCCAGAGTTTCCTTACTATCCCAGCAAACCGGACACCGAGGATGCACCGGGACCTTTCTCTCAATTAGAGCTTCCGTAGTTGGTAAAATACGATTGAGGATTTGCCAAACAAACACCTTCAATTTAGGAGGGATATTGGCCTCCCACAAACGGATCCAACTTGTCCTATCAATCCAACTTCTTGCATTCCTTCTTAGCTAGAAGAAGCTCTGAAATTAGATCGTGGAATATAAACTCTATGATGGCTTGGAAGGGAAAAGGAAGGGAGAATTGCGCGGCTGATAAACCAATAGCATATGGATGAAATATCATTGGTAAAACAAAATATGGGTCGGTATTATTTTGGAGCGTCCAAGTTTAAAATTAAACGAGCTTGCCGGCGGACCACTGCCATCTCATTCTGAAGTGAGTACTCTATCGCCAAAAGAAGAGGTCAAATCAGAAGATAGCTGAACAAAGATGGATTGAAGGTAAGATAGATTTTTTTCCTTTTACAGGAATAGGACCTTTGATTGACCATGGAGCGTATTAATACCGAATGTGTCGATAGATGATTTTTTTATCGGCTCTGGCACAGTATAGATCAATAAATAACAAATAAGAAAAACCGAATTGGTCTTTTTTGTTTCTTTTTCACACTTCATTTCTTACGGGAACAGAGAGTTGATGATTGACTCAACAAAAAAGGATTACAATATTATTATCGCTGCTACGAATGGAATAAATCAATTCGAGTGACCAAACTTGCAATTAAGCCATAGATATTGATAGAAATACAATATCCTACTGATATTCTTCCATTTTGGTAAAATGAAAGATATTCTTTCCTTATATATTATTGTAATAAGTACATTTGTTCAATGCACATAGTACAAGGAAAATCATTTTGCACGATAATGTCATTGACGATGTTCTTTCCTTTCATATGGATAGTGGATACCAAATCCTAGCAATACAAAAAAATTCCCTCTTTGTATTATCGTAATTATCACGTAATATACACTTGAGTGTTTTTGGCTAAGAACAAGTGCACTTGTGCTTATCACATTTGTACCTCATATGTACTATCCAAATAAAAGTAGGTCAATTCATCTATTTGGACGACAAGCAGGTGGGTTGTTCACTCCGATCTAAGTTGTTCATTGGTCTTTGTGTATCGCACCAATATCGACGACAAATATACGGTTTACCTGGTGGGTGTGATTTCGGTCAAATATCAGACAAATGAAAAGAAAACACTCGATTTCTTATTGCAACATGGAATTCACCAACACAAGAAAAAGGAATAACATATAGAGGGATCGATCGATCAATGGAGGATAGTAGTGTTGAGCATCGGGTGTGCTGCTGCTGTGTGTTCTTCTTCGTCAAAGGAGCAACTACAAACCTTTTTCTTCTGGTCACAGTGACAAACTGTGCACTGTTGGTGATCACAGAACAGAAGACACTCTTCCGTCTTCTCGCAACTGTAGATCTCTGTCGTCGCAACCACTGCACAATTCTCCAACACACACACAACGTTACAATCAGTTCATCAAACAATCGATCATCGCGCGTAAAATAACAACCTACGCGAATACATACCAGCAGCTACGAGAAATAAGAGAGCGACCAAGAAAGCCAACTTCATTGGAGCGACGCCCTTCATTTTTGACCTCCTCCTTGGAATTTTTTTCTTCTTCCTCCTAGCAGGTGATTGATGATTTCTAGTGTTTGATGATTTTTTGTTTAGGTTTGATGGTCCTTTGGTTTATATAGATACATAATGAAAGATACAAATCTTATTGATATAAATGCCACACCGATGTTCTTTCCTTTCATATGGATACCGAATCCTAGTAGTATATCTGTATTGTACACATTTACATAACAGTACACTTCCCATTTGTATCCCATAATATACGATATGTAATACGCAATAAATACAAAGTCCCGTATGGCAGCCAAATATATACTTGTGTAGATTAATTGTATGGGATCGAGTTAATTTAGATTGCTTAAAATGATAGCTTGAAGCTTGAATCAGGACACGAATGGGAAAAAAAATTGCATCGTCTTACCCCCCTAAAAAAATAAAATTTGGATCGTAAATGAATTATAAATTATTACTTGCCTTTTATACATTTTGAGCATTAATAAAGAATAATTATTATGGTAATTAGTTATTGGGATTATTAGTTGTAGAATTTAGAGCTCCTTATCACCTTAGGAAGGGAGGACAAAATGGTATTTTTATGACATTTTGAGCTACCGACATGAGATATGACTAAAAGTAAAACCTTTATCGCGATCTTTAAAATGTGGTGTTGAATGTGTTAGAATCAACCTGTTTATCGATTTGAGTATCCCGAGCGAAGAAAGAAAGAAAGAACAATGTCAACGCTTCGATCAAGGTTTCCAAGGGTCGCACAATGAGGATACTTTTGGGCCAAACATGAGTGTTTCAATGATCCGAACTACTATTGTTAGTAAAATTATGGGACGATTCATCCGCTAATTAAGATGAGGGTTTAGAGTATTGTGGAGCGGTAGAAGGTATAAGAGAATTAAGGAAGAGATGCTTGTTAATATTGTTGTTGTCATATTTTGTTTCGGCCGAGTTGCTTCGTTCTTGTTATTGGGTCCGTTCCGTTGTGCTTAATTCATTGATTCGCTATTGATCAAACCTTTGATTTCGGTCAAATCCTATCTTAAATCCTTTTTACCGACGGTTATTTGCGTCGGGCAAACCGTCACGCTTTTCTGACAGTAGGCCACGTGAACGCTGAATGGTAAAAGGACCGTCGCTAAAGATCGCCAGGAAATCACAGTGCGGGACTTTCACGACGGTTTCTCCCGGCGACTAGTAACCAACGCTAGATTTAGAGAGGAAAGTTGCCTTCATGGATAATAACGATTGAGGTGTGCTCAAAGTGAGCAGTACCTAGGCTTATACGAGCAAGGAATGAATATTGAAAACCAGCTGGTTGGGTTGAACGTATTGTTAAAAGGCTCATAGATCATGGTGATTATCCATGCTTTGAGAAAACACAAACTAAGTAATTTGAGTAACTTTCCAGTCCTTGCCCAAAGAAATTGAGCACATTTGTACTATGCACCTAGTTTTCATCGTTCCTATGTATGGTAGAGAACTAGAGATGGTGTAAGATATCGATCGAGAACGAAACCGAACATGCTTTCAGATCAACTTGTCCCTAAGGACATGAGTTCGATCTTTGTTGTGTCAGGCAGACATGCACGAAATTCACGTCGGAGTGTGTCTAAGCATTCTTCAACGTACGAGTGAAAGACTGTGAGGAAGAGTAGAAGTTTAGAGAAACTACTAGGACTCACTGGACATTTTTTGACTGAAAATTAAGGTTACATGCATTTCTTGTGAAAAAAGAAGCGATGTAAGAGCAATCATATACAAATTGTCGAATAAGATCGAGGACATTAATCCATTATGTCGGAAGCTGATTTATCTGCCATCGATCTAGCAGCCCAATCAACTCTCCGATTCTATCTTCGAGGGATGAACACACCACGGTTAACAAGTGATGGGAAAGGAGGATCTCATACACGCGTAACAGCACGACGCCATGGTCTCGAATGAGGAGGGTCTTCTTTTCAAATTCGTGTTCGGTCAGGACTCGGCAATCCGATCGATTAGGACTTCCAATGCTGAACAATCGAAAACATGCCAACCCTACCGTCAGAAACTTGTTCAAGGGTGTTGAAAGCGACAAGCCTAGTATACCTAGCTATAATCCGCAACATAGGGAATCATGCACAATATAGTATTGGACCTTGCACAACAAACTTTGCAATGTCACTAGCCATGTCATGATAAGAAAACCAAGCCTAATTATGGTACCATTCCAATGTCCATCTAGCTATCTAGCTAGTGAGCAACGTCGACATCTGAAATCAAGACTTAAGAGTGAGCTTTCTAGGTGGTTTCCACCATCTCCTTCACGAGGTCACCACCACTAGTCCACTACTCCAAAGCAAGCTTTTGATCATCAAATTCAAGTGGCCGAGAATCCCACTACATACATTTCATTTCCCTCTAAACTCTCGTTGTTGCCCTAATTGGAAGAAAAGGATTGGAACCCCTAATTGGCTTCTAAGTGAGCATGCAAGCACAAGAAGGGACAAATCCACTTACTTGTACATGTGAAGCTCCATCATCTTTCAAAGTGGGAATCCCCCACTACATATATCCTTTTCCCCAAAACTCTCATTGTTCCCCTTATTGGGATTAAGGGATCCGAACCCTTAATTAGCTTCTATGAAAGCATGCATGCAACAAGAATGGATAAACCCACTTGCATGCTTACACATTAAGCTCCACCATCTTTCAAAGCAATCCCACTACATATTATCTTTTTCCCCCAATACTCTCATTGTTGCCCTAATTGGGATTAAAGGATTCGAACCCCAATTTAGCTTCTACCAACTCATGCATTCACAAGAAGGGACAAACCCACTTCCTCATATGCTTATATATATTAAGCTTCAATCATCTTTCAAGTTCCATATCATCTTTCACCCTCCATCATCTTTTTCAAGCTCCATATCTCCCCCGCCAAAAACTTAAGATGAGGAAAGTTTTCTCCTACCTCTTTGCTTTGCTGGCCGTTTTGGTCATCATCTCCATCGTTGGAGTTGTTCTCTTCGTGGCCTTCCGTTCTTCCCCTCCTTCCCCTCCCCAATTCTCGGTCATAGCCGTCGACGTCTACCGCATGAGCTTTGTTTCTGACCCTTTCCAGCAATCCAACCTCCACTTCGACGCCTTCTTCAGGGTCGGCCTCCTGGCCCGAAACCCCAACAAGTGGAAGGCGATCAGCTACGACTCGCCGGTGCATGTTTATGCCACCTTCGGTGGGCAAAACATCACCGGCGAGGGTTTCATCCACCAGTTCCACCAACCTGCCGACGACTCCAACGTCCTCGTCGCCTCTCTGGCCGGGTTCAACATGACGGCCACGATGGCACCTCAGGAGCAGCTGTGGACCGATCTGGTGGCGGGAAGAGTCGAGCTCGAGCTCGAGTGCGACACGATACTGAAGGGGAAGAGCTTCCACGTAGATTGCCCCGTGGTGCTGCAATACATCCCAGAGACGCAGGCCTGGAGCATGCAAAACACGGCCCAGCATGGCATCTGCGGGTAGAAGCGGCGGCGGGGGCGACGAAGATGATGAAGAGCATAAAGTTAAATAAATTGAAGTGTTTGTGTGTGCTTTAGTGTTTTAATTAGATGAAAATGTATTGCTATATGTGTACTTCCACATCATTTTATGGAACAACGTTTTTTAGTTAAGTGATCCTCCAAACTATATATATATATAGTTCTGATTCTAAATTACTATCTTTGACGAGATACCAACTAGCTCCAAAAACTCGATATTCTGAGTGGGAGAAAACGTGTGTATCAATGACGACACTTGCTCTTGCATTCCTCAAACTAGCATGCATGGTAGATGTTGAACAATATGCTTTGAATTTATGGGCGCAAGTGCTACAGTAATACAAGCCGCGCGAGCTCGTGGGCTTGTAGTTTTCATAATGGATGTAGCTTTGGTGTAGTGACACTGTAGTCGCAAGTTTGGGAAAGGAGATGAACTCTCGAGGCAAAACAGAGGGTAGTTTGATGGAAGAAGGTTAAACCAGAGTTAACAACTTCAACACAAAGGGGAAGAGGTTGATTTGGGTAGATAAACACCACGAGATCAATTGGGAATTGATTGATCGCGAGGTCTGAAATCCTTGGACTTCACCAAGAACCAAAACTGAAGCTCTCAAAGCTCAAGGAAACTTTTCGGAGTAGGGTTTTCTTTATTCAATCTCACGTGTCTTTTCAACCAAAAGAGAAGGCTATTTATAGCCAAAATAAATCTAATCCAATCCTAGATGAACAAGGAAACAAACAGAAACAAAAAAGGTTAAAGAATTGGTGCTAAACAAGGAAACTTGGACTCTAAGAAACAATCTTCTAACACAAGTAAACTGTCCAGAAAAACAGGCTTCATGCCAACTTTGAGCTTCTGGAAAATGGTCTTCTAGCTTGATCCGAACTCGGTCAATTCCTTCATGAGGTTTGGAAAGTGTCATACTTTCATCTCCAACTCGAATCTCCCTTATACTATACTCCAACCCCCACGAATAAGGCTCCAAATATGGTACCTCAAACACAGTTTGTGCCTTAGCCAATTTTGGACAGTGTTCCTGTTTCTTCATAGCAACTTGAGAAACTTGGTAAATGACCTTAGGAGCTTGTTTATGGACAATTAACCCTTCCAACAAGTAGAGTAACACTTGAAATTCAATATCACCCCTTCCACCTGCATTTTCACTGAACCAGTTGTGAGAAACAAACCTCCAAAGTAGGCACCATGATACTGTTTGACATTTAGCCAAATTCTAACTCTTTTCTTGCCAACTTGAATTGCTTCTTTAGCAAGCATTGAAAACTTGTTTAAGGGGCTACCTGATATCAAATCATATAGGAGAAGTACTACAAGCACAAAAATGTAGCGATTGCATCAATGAAGACAAGCAACCAGTACTCGAGCCTCTATAAAGCAATTGCTAATGCACGTCCACCGATGAAGAGTGGTTTGGTGGAGTATAAGGAATGGGGAAACAACAAGCTTTTAGTTTCATCCATGGTTGATGAATGGAACCACCCTCGACAACTTCCCACTTTAAGAAATCACAAACACGAAAAGGGAGTCATACGTTGTTGAATCCTGAATGGACAACCGAGAAAGTGAGTTTGACTAGAATAGGTTGAAAGGCCTTTTCCTTTGAAGAGATCCTTAATATGATTGAAGGTATGGAGACCCCTACGCCCTATTCAGAGAAAGGATAAAAACAATTTCAATCATACGGGGAAAGCTCAAGGAAAATATGGTGGAAAGAAATGTCAACCTCCAGCGCAAGGAATGGTTGCTGGTGAATCTTATGAATGGTGAAAATGGTGTTGACTTATACATATGGTTTTGGCATCTATGAAATCAAAGAAATGAAGAGGTTATGAAAGATGAAAGCTTCTCTCATAACAGGGCGAGTTTCATTCCCATAGTTCATATTTGGTTGTTTTATGAAGTTATCATAACGAATTGTAACAATGATGACCATAAACATGAATTGCCGAACTTGGCGACATACTCACGGAAGGCTACATAAGTCTTTCTACACTATATATATATATGGTGGCTTCTATGGTACCCCGGGTGAAATCCGGGGTACCGCATACCTCGAGTATGGAAACTCTATCTAGACCTTGAATTACCAGGATTTTTGTGTCTGATATTATACCCTAACCCTTAATGAGTGACCCTTAGGTCATAATTATCTAAATCATAATCTATAAACCCTAAGATGGTGCATTCCTTTTTGTGCCTATATTTGGATGAATAATAACCGTCGATTATTGTTTCTAATTAAATTGATCTTAGAGTATAAGATTGGGAGAGTTAACACCTAGATTTTGATCTTTAAGTGTTAGAATATAGTATCATGTCCGAAAGATCGGTCAATTCAAGGTCTAGATAGTGTTTTCATACTCAAGGTATGCGGTACCCCGAATTTCACCCAGGGTACCGTAGAACTCGCCATATATATATATATATATATATATATATGACCTTAAAATAGAGCTGAGAGAGTTTAGAGTAACGTGATTATATATTTGGTTGGGCTTGCAATTTATTTTTATTTTTTTTTTCTTAAAGAGAATCGGTGTATATCACTCTATTACTAATTATCTTCTTCATTCCAAAATCCAAATACTATCCGGCCAAAAGCATAAATCATTTCTCTACAACACATGTAATGGTAGAATAATGAAAATAATTAATTTGAGTCCAAATCAAATTAAGATGGATCTTAACTTAAGTAGAATCGCTCAAAGCTGTGAGATTGATATCCCAATCTCAACTCTAATATAAAGAAGTTCTCCACAATAATATGTTTAGTTCTAAATTTTCAACCTTCTGAATGATTTTAGGAAGAATGCTTTTGTATTTTTAATTGAAAAAACCCGGACATTACAATTGAGAAACATGACTCTATTAAAAAAGTAAAAAACAAGGCTTTTTAACTATTATTAACGGTAAAGAGACTTCGTAAAATACTATGTCTTCTATTCCTAATTCCTTATTTTTTTATTACCAACAAATACAAAAAAAATTAAAATCCAACCCATCTGCAATGATGATAAGTTGGTTGAGTGACTAAGGGTGAAGAGGTTTATGAATGTAGTTACCAATCATTTTTTAATTAATTATTAGTTTATTCCTCAAATTTTTTTCTAAGTATTGGTTTTTTCTTAGATCGATGAAATGTAGATCACTGTTCTTATCTATAAGTTCAAGTTTTGAAACCACTAGCTAACATACTTTCTTTCCTAGGATTTTTTTTTTCGGCCAACGATACATAATCATAAAATTATACCACTTCAAGCTTAGGTTTCTATGTATAATTTTCTGTTACCATAACATCAACTCATTTCCCTTTTTATATTTTTTGATCTTTTGGTTTATTGGGTATGATAAAATCTTAGTGAGAGAATTATATTGGTTCGGTGATAATTCCGATCAAAATTTTGTTTGACACTAGCACATTATTCGATATGCTATACCAGCTTTAGTATTATTTTGATTTATTGAGTTAATTCGTACTAATATTAACTATTGATATTAATGGTTCTATGCTTCGAATAATATTCCCAGTGGAGAATCATCTGATAATAATGCTCCAGTTTGATCTTAAACAACCAAGTTAAAGGAATGAGACTTTGGTGCATAACCTCCTTTAAGCGGTGCAATGGTGGAGATATTCAATCTCCCACAAATTTAACGGGCATATCTTCACTGAACTTTGGTTTTAATTTTTTTTTGGGTGAAAGTGAAACAAATCATATTTGTTAAAGTCTGTCAAAGAAAAGTTCAAGAAGGTTAATACGAGTACTTTTACAAGAAATACAACATCAAAGGTAATAGTACTTTGGTAACAATCTACCTCCACTATTCCATTCTTTTTAACTTGCCAGTATCAATGGAGAGTTCAGATTTCTGGTTCTTAGCTGCCAATTCAAGCACACCTGGCCATTTGCTTTCCAAGCTAACAGAGGAAAGTGAGGAAATTTTTCACATTGCAGTAATCCCAGAATTTGAAGATTATTAATCGATTCACAAGCATCATTATCCTAACCAAACCCACCATGAAACAAACTCAAAATGCAATGGAAGAACAGAAAAGCGAATTCATTTGCATTTCCAAAATTTCCCCCAGCCTCTTCAGTTCTTGAAACCACTCTTCTGGTAACGAGCAACCTCACCCTCGTTAGGGAAGAACCCCATCATTCGCCCCGCCGAGTTCTGGTACGCGTACATGAACCCTCCCATCAAACCAATCAATCCCCCAGTCACCATTGATGGGCCCTTCAACCCTGGCTTAATCCCTAATTCGATTGAAAACAACAATAAGCGCCACAATCAGAAATTCGTCCGCATCAAAACACGCACACAATCGAGGAATTCATTTCGGTTCCGGAAATGGGAGAGAGAGAGAGAGCGAACCTGATAGGTAGCCGACGGTGACGGAGATGCCCATGATGGTGGTGAACCGGAGGTAATCCAAAGTGTTGAAGTTGCCGACGACCTTGCTGAACGCCGGGTTCCGATCTATCACCGGGTACTCCGGCTTCGTCGATGCTGTGATGTCGGTGTTCATTTCTCCTCTCCTCCGGTGACTTCTCTCTCTCTTCACTCGGTTTCTCTGTTCCTCAGTTTTTTTTTTTTTTGACAGTACTCTGTTCCTCAGTTGCTGATCCAAAAATGCTCGAACCACTGAAATGGGGACGGTGACTTCTCTCTCTTCACTCGGCTCCTAAAAAATGGGCCGTGGGCTCGTCATTAACAGTTGGGCCAGGCCTAGAGTCCCGATCAAAAAGCCGGAAATTTGGAGATGCATGGGCCGTCGTGGTGGCACGGAGTAATGGGCCCAAAAAATTAAATCCTCATGGCCCACTAAACTGATTTAAAATAATATGATTAAGTTGGCTATAAAGCCATTTAATTTCTTGTTTTTTAACCAATGTGGTACAAGGTTAGTTTTTGATGTAAACAGGATACCTTCTTATTTGTGGTAAGATCGAGTGATTTTGTTTAGTCGTTGATATGTACCTTCTTCTTTTCCATTCATGATGATTCCCTGGTTATGAGGGTCGGACCGGATTGGTGGACCAGACCAATAGAACCAGCAACCACTTGCGAGAGATAAGAGTGCAACTGAGCAAGAAAGAAGAAAGTCAGTTTCATTGTTGCAGCAGAGGTTTTCATATCTTCCTCTGACTTTAACACCTCTTGCAGTTGCAGGTTTTCTGTGCAGTATTTCTTCAAGGATACGATTTTGGTTCTGATGGTCACGGTTTATATATATGATAAAAATACCATTTCTTATAGATATTCTTTCCTCTTCTATTCTTTCCTTTTATATGCAATGCACAGAATGTACAAGGCAAATAATCACTGATGATATTCTTTTCTTTCATTAGGATACCGAATCCTAGTAATAAAAGAATTCCCTCTTTTGTATTGTCGTAATTATCACTGCTATATGCTGTACTTCTCTTCTTTTATATATAAAAAAAAAAATCAGTCTTCTGGCTAAGATCAAGTGTAGTTGTTCGTAATTTCGTATCACTTCTGTATCTCACATCATCATGTACATATGCACTACATCCAAATTGGCCTGGTTCTTATAAAAAAAATGATCAATGTTCTAATGAAGCGAACCACAAATAAAATAAACGTTACACGATAGTTCTTAAACTATACAAATTTAAACACATAAGGCCTATTAACTAATTATCGTACGTGTAGGAAATAATTGGATGGATTCCTCCAAAAGAGGGCTGGATTCAGGTACAAACTACTGATGGATCGGTTATTGGATCAACATGGTCGGTTGTTGTTGATGGACTCCTCAGAGATTGTATTGGGAATTGCTTGGAGGCCTTAACACAAAAGTATATATCATTAGAAATGAGTTGAGCTCGAGCTCGACTCGTTTAATAATACCTTAGCTCAAGTTCGGCTCGAGTCGACTCAAACTCGGCTCATTAACGAGCTCTGACTTAACTCACCTTATTTATGATTGTAAATTGTTGAACCTCAAACTTAAAATCTGTAGTAATTTATACATTAGATACCGTAATATTTGTATACCATATATATATATAATAAAAAAATTATTAATATGCTGATAATAAAAGCCTGATAGTAAATTTTTCATGACAAATTGATCCCACCTATACACTATGTTGGAATCATTTTTAGTTCTTATCATCTAAGCAATTTATAATACATAGATTCTCTTTCAAATTATAAATTTTATATATTAATTTGGTCACGTACTCAAACTCTTTAACCATTATATATTGTTAAATATAAAACCTACAGATTTATGAACTATCAACGAACCAAATTATAAGCTATAGATCGATTCGCTAATACACCGCTGTTTCGTAATGGAATACGAGGCTTTGGTCAACAAAAATCTTTATCAATCTTTTCAAAGAAAAGCCAGTGGAGAGCCACTCACAGTCACAGTCACATACTTCAACTTATTCATGCATTATGTTATGTGGACCAATTATATTTCTCCAATCTCCAACGGTGGTAAGGTAAGAACTAAGAAGCAAGAGGTATGCTTTTACATCGCTTGATGTCTATAGTAGAAATTTGTGTGTGTATTTCCACTATCTTTCTTTCTTCACGAGCAGAGCACCCTGACAACTCGTAGATCTCGGGATAAACTCGTTCTTCCATGTTGGTCTCATGATTCGCCACCCCAATAAGAAGTCAACATCCACTATGAGCCAATTCATGTTTATGCTACCTTCAAAGAGAAAAACATTTCAGCGAGGGGGTCTTTCGTAGCTTCTACCAATACCTACAGTATCACATAATAGTACTCGTAATATTAGAGCATAAGTATGGTACGAATAACATTATATTATACTATATGTATTGTTATATTGAAGCATAAGTATAGTACAAATAGCATTATGTTGTACTATAAGTAATGTTATATAACTTTATCAGAGTTATATTCCTCATTAGGCAGCAGACACATTTTAATATGTAATTACTTGTAAGTAACGTAGGCAGCAGTGTATGTGTTGAATTTTGGAAGGTTTGTGTGTGTTTTTATTAATTTGTCTTACTAGCCATTCCACATCAATTGCACGGCGCTAGACAAAACTAATAATATTTCTCATTTATTAAATTGTGCCTAGCTCTTGAATTCAATTATTTGGTATTTTATATTTTGAAATAAGCAACTAAGCACATACTAAAATTTGTCTCTTTTTGCCTTGTATATATGTGTATCCGTAGAGAATTTGTCATCTTCGTACAAAGAGAATAATAACCGGTTGATATCAAAGAACCCCATGTACATCAATCATCTTTTCTTCCACTCACATGATTAACTATAAGATAATGTTTAGAATTCAGCAATTTCGTGTTTAAATTATGGTAACCCTGATATCAACATCGTTTGATTGTAACACAATTTGATAAGCAGAAGCAAACTTCTAGTAAAGTATGCATTACTTTGCTAGACTTTGTTAACTTTAGGTTGAATCACATCCAATATAGTTAGCTATATTAAGCTCGACATTACCATCACTATCTCATTTTGTTCATTGACATTGAAATACACACGTAATGATCTCTTGATCTAAGTCTGTAAAACTGTCCAACCAAAACACTGTATATGTGAAGGTAAATGGAATGGAATATATCAGCCAGAAGCACCTAAGCTATCAGTCGGCCACGAATCACCACATCATTATAAATTGCTAATTAGATTTTTATTAAATTGCCGAACGAATTCCACCCATCTTAATCTAATTAATTAATAAGCTATCTTCTACCAGAGGGTTTCCAACTAACCCATCTATCTTTCGTGGGAATTCTTGGACCGATGTTCTTGTCCGCCGGCGAAGCATCCAAACACAACCGGCCGTCGTTTCCAAATTAGAAAAATACCATATTATTGTTTGTATATCGGGGTAAATAATAATATTAGTAATCCCTTTCTATCATTTTTGCAGCTTTGATTTCAGCATGCCGCTCCCTTCCATTCCCTTCGCGACAAAACCGAATCTTTCCTTTTCTTTGCCGCAGAATGTTCAATCGGCTGCCGGTCTTCTTCATTTGAAAATATCCTCTTAGCTAGCAAATGCAATTCTATTGCATCTCTTTGGGAATGCCGAACATCAACATCATCGATATTTTTAATATGAATGTTGAATTGTTTGTCACTACGACACATATATTTGAGGTTAGTTACCGAATCGTAAATATCCGATAAATTCATGAGAGCGGGACGATACTTACTAATATACGTTTTACCAGTGATTATTGTGAGTATTTTTCATATAATAATGAACGCTAGCAATCGTACCCATAAATATGTTTAATTAGCTTCAAATCGTACTATCATGACAACCTGTTTTGCGAGAACGCTATTAGAAATGGAAAATTGGAGATACTACCTATAATCTACAAAAATTTGTTGGTTTTTTTTTAATCCTTCTCTTGGTGCATTCTGTTTGTAGATCCAATCTCTAATTTTTGTGCTGAAAGAAAGAAAAATAGTTGATCTCTATTTTGGACTTTTGAGTTATTGTTGAGTTGAGGACTTTAATATATATATATATATATATATATTAATGAACATTTTAACCAATAAAAGATCTTAAGGAGTAACGACATTCCCATTAACATCACATCTCAATCCAACCATGCATATTCTCGGAGTAATTTTCATGTAATACATAATTCTGATAATCGTTTTGGAATAACATAGCCGGATTGCATACTAAGTTCCAAGTACATACGCAATCGAATTTCTTGTTGGACATTTTTAAACAATAGCATAAAAGAAATTAAAGGCATGTTTGGTCGACATAAAGATACCTACCAAACTGCTGAAAACTGAAAAGGAGAATCGAATCGGCCAGAGGCATATTGCTAGGGCAGCAGCAGCCACCCTCTGATTCCTCCAAACACTCCCTTCCATTAGCTAGCTTCCCAAAATCCTCCCTAACAGCACACTACTCTTCATTTTTTTTGGGAACTCTTTTAGTTTCTTCCACCCATTGAATTCCCAACCTTTTCTCCCCAACATTTTCCTCCTTTGCCTGCAGATTCCCTCCATTCCTCCAAAACCCCTCCCACTATATATACCATGGTGTAAGAAGAAGGAAGAGAGGAAACAAAAACTATTTTGTAAACCACTTCCTATCAATAGCTCTAAAGGCGACAGAGAAATCAATCGTTCGTCTCGTGTAGTTTTTTTCCCCGAAAAGTACGTCTTTCGATATGGCTAGGCCAGAGAGCAGCACGACCACTAGGGGGATAGCCCAGTCGTCGATCACGCTGCTGCAGGAGAGGTTCAGGCAGTTGCGAAGGGCGAAGGAGATGAGGGAAGAGAAGAAGATGTCCAAGGTGTTGGCGGCGAAGCCTACTAACAATCATACTACTAGTAACAAACTCCATCTTCATCCTCATCAATTCAAATCCTCCTCCTCGTCCTCGTCCTCCTCATCCTCTGCGGCGGCCAAATCCAGAGCGATGATGATGGGGTTTGATAATGTACGGTTTGATGGTCGTCGTAACGAGTCATCGGGAGCGAGTCAATCGAGGTCGCAAATGTTCTCATCGTCATCGTTATCGTTCAGACACAGCAGCAACAGTTCGCATCATGACGAGGAACGGAGTAAGGAGAAAAGTTTGTATAGTCGTCTTCATCATCATCAAGAGAAGGAGAAGAGGAGTTTGGAGTACTATTGTGATATTGGCAAGTTTTTGCAGGCAAATAATAATGATAGTGATCATGATGAAGAGGTTGTGAGGCAATATGGTATTGTGAGGAATGTTCATCATGTGGATCAGAAGACGATGAAGAGATTTGATCATATGGGTGGGTGTGATGATATTGATACTTCTCTTCATCTTTGAAACAAGTTTAGTTTTTTTCTTCTTTTTTTCTTCTTTTTTGGTTTCCCCTTTTTTAAAAAGGGGCAGGAGGAAATGTGAGAGACTGAAAATTTTGATGGATTAATTTTTTGTCTCTCTTATTTCCTTTACTTGTTTGGTATAGGGCTAATATTTTTGACTTGGCGGTCAAAGTCTAATCATCTAATAGTAAATTTCAATTTTCCCATGTTACATTAGTGCGTCAAATAATTGTATGATTGTGTTTTATTTTTGTACTATCTGTGGGAATTAAATTAAGGCTGTTATCCGATGGATTAAGGGATAATTAACGAAGCCCAGAGAGAGAACGCATGGGTATGATTAGCAGATTAGGAAACAAAACCACGATCCTTAGGCCCAATGCAGTTGCAGCGGCGGCCCAAACCAGGTAACAAATGCACGTTGCATTTACACTACAAAGGCCCGATTATAAGCCCACGTCATGCTCTCAATCTAAATCTAATTTGGAGTTTTGAGAATAATATATTTTCCCCAATACAATAAGGTCATGGTAGATGCATCTCACCATTATTATTATATTAAGTCCTTAATGTGACATTTTTATCATATTCCCTTTATTTAGTTTATGAAGATTGGACTCAGGAGTAGATTGGAGGTTCGGGTCCTATACTAAAAGGAAGATGAAAATATAAGCAACGATAGACCAGTATACGTATCAGATTTGGTTCATATATTTCTCAAACTTTTTTGCGCTTCAAGTTACAGTCTAAGCATACAATACTATACAAAGTTGAGTCTCATTTTTTCGGGGTTTTTCTGTTATTTTAGTTATGGTTTTGCTAAAAGTGATTAGATTGAGGCACACGGTTTGGCTTTTGGTTCAACTTCCATATTATTTTATTTTAACTAGGGTTTCACTTTGTTAATTCCTTTCTTGTTTCCTCTGATCTGGCTAACATCATTCCCCACCAAGTTGTGTTCTTTCCTTTTACTCGCTTTTTCCATTAGAATCACATTGTAAATCCAGCTTACGAGAGGTGAAACAGAGCAAAGGAAGGAAGGAAGAAAGTGGGGCAAAGGTGGAAATCAAAGGCACATGGGAAAAAAAAGGTAGGTAGATGATTATTCCTCACACACACGTAGTCCACCAAAAGCAAAAGGGAACATCTTTATACATTTCTCCATTCCCCGAAAGTGATCGATGCTACATGGAAGGGAAAGGGATAATGCAAAATCGTACTATTCGATATCTTGTATGGAGTTTTATGGAATGAACTGGACGTGAATGTTGGGAGATAAGTGTTTTGTTTTATCGATGTCTTTAAAACATGCATTCAAGGGTGGTTATTGATCGGTATTAGTTGATAGGTTGAAAGATAAGAGAAACATAACAGGTTCAAGAATAGAGGTCCGATGGGTAGATAGATTGAAAGATATAAGAGAAGAAGATAATTCGATAACATAAAGATAACAATGGATTTAACTTCTCTCATCATCACGGATTAATACCCTGACCGTGAGTGAAATATATGTAGACGAACCTTACATTGCCTAACATAACATGTCTAGCTAGCAGCTACTACATAATGAATGAGAATTACCATTGTGACTCCATCATGTTATCCTTTTATATATACTCATCCTTTGAGTTTGAAGTTTGCATGAATTCACTACCTTTTTGTATTAAATTGATTGTTAATATCAATCGACAGATTGTCTTGTTATCCAACTTCAAACCGTAGATTATGCCAAATTGATAACAAGAGAAGAGGCTAATATTTTATAAACTAATAACAAATATGATGGCTAACTATAAAAAACCAATCCAGCTCAATAACCACTAGTTGTGAAGTTGTGATTCCTATTGTTGAACCATAGTAATTACCAGCACGTGGCACAGAACAAAAGAAGGGGGAAACTGCTAGGTATTTTTCCTAAAGGTGATGATGATAAGGAAATCAGTGTTTCTCCAGTCTCCTGCCATCACTCATCTGGGTTCCACCTTAGTGACGTCGAGCAACTATTTGCCTTTTGACACTTTCCATTAGTGGGAGAGATGGTCTAGATCACTCTTAATTTTGTTTGTGGATATGTATATACGTTGCTTGTTATTATCTTATGGTCTCCTTGAGGAGCATCACTAGGGAACTTAAACCTCATCTTATGCATATGCTAAAGCTAGCAATTACTTCAAGGTCTTGGTCAAGAATGGTTGTTAAAATCGTTCTCACGGTTAGCTCACGGTACTTATCGTTATGATCGATAGTTATTAATATGTAACTAACACGGTTGTCATTAAAAGAGTTTTTACCTTTCACACCACATCTCCTGATTAACAAACTAGAGTTAGTATATCGATCTTGTTATCTATATATAACCTAGTCCATGGAATTGAAAATGACATCAACCCTACCAACTTAGGATCATTGAAAAATGTTAAAATGGTTGTCCCCTGGATTGTTGAACCGGGTGTTGTTTAGCAGAAGGAGAAGCTACAATTGGTTGTAGGAGAGTAATGTGCAAGCAAATCGGGGGTGGGTCGAACCGTTGTCGTCCATTTTGAACTTGTGGTCTATGAAGTATGTAAAAGTTCTACAAGTTTTATTTTTTTATCATTCGATAAATTTATACATCAAGGACGAAATAAAACCATAATAATAATCCCTAGAATTTGAATGGATAACCTAATATAACTAAATCAATGGACCCTTATTTTATTGCATATATTCATTCCATTTCTAACACATTAGTAATAGAAGAATTTTCTTCATATGGCCCTATTTGCTAACCTCTTTTCCAGTAGAACAGTTGATGGATGAGGGGTGTAAAGGGCTTGAAGAGAAGGGTGAGTGGGTCGTTGTTTTTATGCCTTTGGTTATCTTATTACTAGTAACCAAAGAGAAAGCACCAAGATTCTCCTTTTTCTCTTCATTCTCTTCCAAACCGCTTACAATCATCATTCCTCATCCTCCATTCATCCTTTTCCCGTTTAATCCAAGATACTAATAAATATTGGGTACATAGAATTAGCTCGATCGCTATTACACGATATATTCTTCGATTGTATTCTTGCATTCTATCGTCTGAATATAATATTTTTTTATTGGATACTGATATGACCGTAAGTTTGAATCATCTACCTGTATACGGATTTATCAGAGATTCATGGAGGGCGGGAATTTAGCTTTGGTCACTGAATGACCAAGCTCCCCACTTGTTAAAAAAGGTGAAATCATACTCTACTTGGATTAAAACATGTACACACGTAGATTTTAATAGTGTACTGCATCCTCAATGTCAAAGTTATATAAACACTTTTTGTTATCCTCAATAGCATATCCTCAATTTCAAAGTTATATGAACACATTTTATTATCATATAGAAGACATAGATTATGATAATAATTTCCGTACATTGTACCTATAATCGCACGTAATCGTGTTTATAGCTAACCATATTTCAATAAAGATGGAGTGCTCGATCAACAACTAGGACTTTGGGAGTACAATTTGTCTCTTTTAATAAAATACATGTAGCTTGTGTTGAACGAGAAGGAATGGCATGGAATGGAAGTAAAGAAAACACAACCCGATCTACTAATATCAAAAGATATACAAGTTGATATGGACGACCTGAAATTTATGTGGGTTTAAAAAGTACAACTGAAATTACGTACGGAAGTCAAGTACTGATTCTAATCATCATCATGTGGGATCATACCAAGGACTGTAATGTAGTCAAAATCGCGTTTCTACGTAGAAATGTTTTGATGATCTAGAAGCGTAAAATCATAAGTTTTTAAAGTTTTAAAGCGCGTTTTTAACTACATTAGCTATAAAAACTTATAGCTATTGAACATGATGTTGGAGCATCATCTTATAGACTTGAATCAATTGTTAGTTTTAGGATTTTACAGAATTCAAGTCACGAAATTTCTTGACCGATCAACGACACCGATATCTGGTCATCAGATACCATATTACATAACGCCTAATACGTTATACATGTTGCAAAATGGAAAACATGGAAGTTTTAAAGTGTGTGAAAGATGGAATGGAAGCCAAAAAATGACACATATGTAAAGGCAACCAAATGTGGACGGACCAACAATCGACGTCAACCATATGGCCTCTTGGTTCGTGACAAATTAAATTCAACTGTCGTCCTCTATATTATATATATTCCAAATATTAAAGTTTCAACTACTTACTTCATTCCTCGCCTGCATATAAATCTGTTGAATTCCTGCTGTCTTTATTTGACCAAATGTTACATTTTCCATTCTTGGCTTAAGCACCATCAATTGGTACACATTTCCTTGTCCGTGTATTTGTATAGTTTCTCAAACTAGGTAGTAGTCAAAGTCGCCTTAGCCTTCCACGAGCTTGAATACTTTAATTTAACTATACACACACTCGTTGCTTTTCATAAATGAAAATAACGGCTAACTACCAAACCTACCTAGCCAATACTGTCGGGCACAGACCAGATATTGATTATTAGTGGTGGCATTGGTCAAATCTGTTGTTTTATAGCAGTACCCTTGAGTTCAATTACAATCAATTGGATCGGTATAGCCGATCTATGAGTTAGTGATCGGGTTATCTGTTTTATTATTATGACTGATTTAGTCATTACTTGGCGTTGTTGTATGATGAAAAATGTTCTCGAGTTTCGGTTGGACTTAATCTTGACGATTTCCATCGTCCTATTGTATTTTGAAGTTCTTATTATCAGTTCATTAACTTTATAAATAATTTCCGGGTATCTTAGATGGTTGACAATAGTACTCTTATGCGTAACTATAAATTATAGCTACAGCTAGTCAACATTATTGTACCATAAAACACCATGGTTGTCCTAGTTGTCGAACAGGTTACTATATAATACAGATATATATTGGTCTCTTTACTGAAATCAAAACCAGTCATGAAATCTCTTGTTTTGTTGTTTTTTATCAATGAGGTTGGTAGGGAACGGCGGATCCACATTAATCCTATCCAACCATCATCACGTCATGAATCGGCTCTTATCTAGAACTACAAAATGGTTGAACCAATATGGTCATCTGAAATATATTTTGGATTTGGTTCGACCACAAAATAGTGTAAAACTACGATAAACTTTATGAAATTGACGGCACTCTCTAATACTATAAGTCGTTTCATATGTAAGTGAATACTATAACATTTGTTTCGATTTTTTTTGCCAGTTTGGAGGATTTCTATAGCATCTTAGAATAACCCAATATTTATGTGATACATAAACAATATTGAGAATTAATTGATGTAAGATTAACACAGTTTTCCGATGAAATCTTTGTTTTCCAAGAATTGTGATTTATCGAATTGTACGTCATAACTCTACATCTCAACAAAACCATATACCGAATTGTACGTTATACCTCTACATCACATAAGAACGTAAATCATATATATGGTCACCATTTCCAGGAATTGTGATTTATCGAACTGTAACACCTTAATAACAAGAGGAGAGTAGTTAAGCTTAAGCCCCCTGCTGCCCCCATCTATATATGCACTCATCACTTACGTAATGGTGACTCCATGATTAGTCAATTAACTAGAACAATAAGAAGTCAAATAAATAAATTGACATAACTTGTTTCAAACCCACAGAATTTCAATTCCCGTTCAGGAGACAAAAGGAAGAAACAAACAAAGAAACAGTAATAATCAAAGACTTATTGATGATGAAAATAATAGATGGAATTTTTAGTCCAAATCCAACCAATTTATCCTACGTAGATCTAGATGAATTAAAATGATCGAATCCGTCATCGTCAAGATAAAAAAAACAACAATTAACATAGTCTGATTTATTTTATTCTTACATGGTTATTAAAACGAGTGATTTATGTTTATATTCATGGTATTACGATTTTCTACAACTCATTCATGTATATGATCGTTTCATATATGAAACTGTAAAATGTTTAATTTCGTAGCTTCGATTTTGCGCTTGAAAGAGACCAGACTCCCTTGACATGTATTACATTGAGCATCATTTTTTCGAGTTGAGACAATTTAAATCATTGATATTCCTTCTATATTAAAATTTTGATTCCTCGTACACGTAAATCTAGCTTCATCAATTTATTAGTATGCGAATGTAATTGGAATCTCGACATTTTTTTAGCATAATAAAGACCTTAAAATTTCCGAGTAAAAAATTGTAACAGTTATATGCTGCCGTCCACGGTGACGGTAACACCTTTGTTCTTATTCCCCGCGCCAAGTTCTAGAAAACGAAAGCGCCAAAAGAAAAATCTCCCGCACACGTTGCGGTGGCAGCTGCGTAAATCCTTCGGTCTTCCAGGGGCCATTTTCCGCCCATCAGAGATGGCAAGTGTTGTTAAATAACCAGCCCATCCCCCATTAAAATAGTCTGTAGAAGCAAGCAAACCTGGAGTCCCCGATTGAATTGACAGAGTGATTGATGAATGAATTGAGAAAGAGATTTGAAATCCCGTGAACAGAAAGAAAGCTAGAAAGCAACTAAGAAGAAGAAGCAAAAGCCGACACTTTCGCTGTTTGCTTGACTCCAGAAGAGAAGAATTATCTGTACCAGGGACGGAGCCGAAACCCCAGCGGAGATTTGAGGTGAGGAAGTGGAGCCACCGATCCATGTCTGTCATTTTGCGATTTCTCATCTGGGTTTTCATATCCTCGGCCTAGATTGTCTGTAAAATTCGGTTTCTTGTCTAGTTCCCTTTGGAATTCTGTGTTCAAGTTCGTTGCTTTGTGATGGATTGAACGAGTTTTGAGATGGATTCTTGTTGGGAGTTTTGGGGCTCACGAGATTGAACCAAAAGTTGATTCTTTTCCCGTAATGGGCTGTTGCAGTTGCTTTCTGGGTTCTGTTTTTTGGAACTGAGAAAGTGATTGTTTTGAGAATGACCTCTGGCTATAACTCATGGAGAGCAGATTTTATCTTTCTTCCTGTTCTTATACTTTCTTTTGTGTGTTTATGTATCCTCCGCCATGTTTTGCTGTCTTTTTGTGTGAGTTCTGAAGATTTCATAGCTTTGGTTGTACTCATCTCTTGGCTAGCTACTTTATAGGTAGGTTGCTTTCATTTGATCAAATAAGGTGGAAATCTTCCCCAATTTCTGGATCCATGATTAGGTGGCTTCATTTCTGCCCTAATCTGCCAAGAATTCTTGTGTGTATAGTTTGTTTGATTGATCGCATAGCTGCATAGGCCTATCCCTTTTTGCTTATGTGCGGTTAATGTTTACTCATGTGGTGTCGTGAAATGCAGTGGTGTTTTGGTGTTTACTCACGGTTCATCAATTCATTAGAAATCTATCATTTCCAACCGTATACTACTACCTTGTTGCTAAGGCTAGCCTGTTTTGGATTGACCAGCTTTACGGTCAATTGTTTTGCTAGTGGCCATCAGCATATCTTGTTTTTATTATCTTTTATTGACTGTTTGTTTGACAATTCGAGAAGAAATTTGGGGCGAAATTTCTTCGGTCCATCATCCATTACACTGTTTGCTAGCAAATTAAAATAGGACCCTAGTGGAAGTGGTTTCATCCAGCTTGGTTTCTTCCATCTATCCTGGACAAATCTGTCTTCTGCATCACGTGCTTTGCAATCTTGTTTGAATCTAATGTTCATGCCATATACCGAGTCTTATGAATTTTCTCCTGCTGCAGATATCGAACAACCCTCTTCCAATTAGCCCCCAAGAGAGAGCCACTGGTGTTGCCTGGTGAATTTGCTAAAAAAAGCTCATTGCTTGCCTGAGTTTCTCACGTCATCCCGTGCATTCCTTTTAAGATGACAACATCACAGAAGCGTCGAAGAGGATCAGCAGCCATCCATGGCTTCTACCACCAACCCACGAAAGACACCGACCCGTATAGTCTCTCACAGATCCAACTCCTTGACGAAAGCATGTTCTCGGTTGACACAAGCCAAGGCCCCACCATCTCCTTCCAAACCTACAAAGATGAAGAATACTTCACCCTCGAATCATCCCCAGCAACCACCAGCAGTAACTTCTTCATCTACGATTCACCAGCTCAAAGTGTCTCGTCTAGCAGCAGAAGCCCTATCTCCCCACAAGCCTCGCATTCTTGTCTCACCGATCCTCACCATTCTCCTGATAACACATATGGCTCTCCTGTGAGTGGATCATCCTCTGCTGATGAAGACCATTTCCTCCGCCAGAAGCTTCGTGAGATGGAGATGTCACTAATGGCTCCTGAATCCGAAGCCACAGACAGCTGCAACTTCTGCTTCGCTGGTGCCCCTCAGCACCAAGCTGGCCCATCTTTGGCCACCTCGATGATCCCCAAGCTAGACATCAAACAAGTCTTGGTAGCATGTGCTCAAGCAGTTGACATAGTTGACATCAGCAGAGCAGCAGGGCTAATGCATGTCTTGGAACAAATGGTATCAGTCTCCGGAGACCCAGTCCAACGAGTTGGCGCTTACATGCTTGAAGGCCTTCGAGCGAGATTGGAGCTCTCTGGAAGCAAAATCTACCGAGCATTGAAATGCGAGTCTCCCATAAGTTCGGATCTCATGTCGTACATGGGGATACTCTTCCAGATTTGCCCGTACTACAAGTTTGCCTACGTGTCAGCCAATGCAGTCATCCGAGAAGCAATCCAGTACGAGCCGAGAATCCACATCATTGATTTCCAGATAGCTCAGGGAAGCCAGTGGATCCCAATCATCCAGTGGCTATCACAACGTCCAGGTGGATCCCCAGTACTTCGTATAACAGGAGTAGACGATTCTCAATCCGCGTATGCTCGTGGAGGCGGGCTGCCCATAGTCGGCCAGAGGCTCTCTAAGCTGGCAGCCTCGCTCAACGTGCCGTTCGAGTTCCATGACACAGCAATGACGGGTTGTGAGGTCCATCAGGAGCATCTGATGGTCCAGCCAGGCGAAGCAGTGGTGGTCAACTTCCCGTACATCCTCCACCACATGCCAGACGAGAGTGTCGACACGTGGAACCACAGGGACAGGCTCCTCCGACTGGTGAAGAGCCTCTCCCCCGTGGTTGTGACTTTAGTAGAGCAGGAGTCCAACACAAATACGACTCCCTTCCACCTCAGGTTCCTCGAGACACTGGACTACTACACAGCCATGTTCGAGTCGATTGATGTGGCTCGACCGAGGAACGACAAGGAGAGGATCAACGCCGAGCAGCATTGCGTGGCAAGAGATATAGTGAACATGATTGCATGCGAGGGCGGCGAGAGGGTGGAAAGGCACGAGCTTTTGGGGAAGTGGAGGTCGAGGTTTCAGATGGCTGGATTCCAGCAGTGTGGATTGAACCCTGCGGTGAGTGGTGCTGTGAGAGATGTGTTGAAGGAGTATGATAGGAAGTTCAGGGTTGAGGAGAGGGATGGTGGGTTGTATCTTTACTGGTCGAGAAGAGCTATGGCCACTTGTTCTGCTTGGAGATGAAAGATGAGGATACCCCTTTACAGTTAGGTGATGAAAAGATGATGGCATCTGTAAATTTTTTTGGTCATGGTGGTTTTGTTGTCTGTTTTTCAGAGGGTATGAAATGAGATTAGCCTGTTGTGTTTTCTGATGCAAGCAATAGTTTGTTGGTAGAGAATGGTTGATCTTTGCTTCGCCATTTTTCCAGTTTCTGGTCCTGATTCTGCAAGGAGCAATCAGGCCATTGTAAATACTTTAACCGGATTGAGCGTGAAATGTTTGTATGCTGTTAAACTGGTTTGGATTCGCCCATATTATAATTTGTTTCTTGAGAACAAACAAATTCAGTGACTAAATTGAACCTACGCATAAGTTCAGTGACCAGCAGAGCCATAATTAGTCCTTAAAAAAAAAAATATCATAGGTTATCTCCCGGTCAAGCACTTGTGTATTCTCAGTTTCTCACACAAGACGAGCATCTCAACTCATGTAAATGCTTATCTAATGATAAGCATACCTAGAAACCTATATAAGGAAGGTTTGATCCTTCAATTCTAAACTACTAAGCATTCATAGACCCCTTCAATCGACATTTCATTAAACATATCAGACGATAATCAGTAGGACTTGTAATGACGAGGCTAACATTGGTAGACTTTAATGTATCATGGATCTCTCTCTTAATTGACCACACACTTATCATCTTGTACAAGATGAGCGCCTTAACTCATGTTTATGTCTAAGGTAATTCCTAACTTTGTTCTAGAACTATTAATTATATCTTTAAATTGAACTCAATCAACAAAGCTTTCATAGCTCAGTTGGTTAGAGCACCCGTTTAGTAAGCGGGAGGTCTTGAGTTCAACTCTCAATGAAAGCAAATTAGCAATTTTTTCCGGTCTTTCCTCTTTTGGGCCCAAAATGCTATCGAAGCCCACCTCACCAGGCCAAACTAACATAAGGATTCAAAACTGGCACTCGGCCCACCGAGCAACAAAACCCTAGTAGCAGCTGCCGCGAAATCTACCTTCTTCTTCTTCTTCTGCTTTTTTTCCCGCAAATTAGCAATTTTTTCCTTTCCCTCTTCTAATTCTCTCAACCACTGTCTTGTATCCTCTCAACCACCGTCGCCGATCTGAGATCTCCATTCCTTTTCTTCCTGTTCTTCCCCTTGATTTCCCTTATTTTCTGTAAGTCGATTTGAATTTCACGTTTTCCTGTAACTGGTATCTCTTCTACAAATTCCGACGTGCTTTACTCGTAAATTCGGAGCGAGCCGACGAAAGTCGAATGCTTGTAAAATCCGGAGTAAACGTCGAATATCGATGGCCCCTTCTCCGTGTAGCGTTGAGGTGCTCCTTCACCGGAGTGTCTCCGCTGGGCGGTGTACTTTTGAGGGACTGGTCTCATTCTCATGAGCCTTTCGGAGCGGCGTCGCCGCCGTTACCTACTGGGACTAGGCATGAGACAAACATTCTTTTTAACTCATTTTCGTTTTTTCACTAAAAAAAGCTCCTTGGTTTGATGCCTGTGAGGAAATCTGTTATAAAAGAACACCATCTTTCGGGACTGAATGGCCCTTCAACGGGGCCTTGCTGTCAATTCTGCAATTCTGAGGCGTTGTTCAAGAAGTCTGAAACTTTGTATTGTTGGTTTTTATTGTTTGTTTGATTTTCAGAGTATCGGTAATTGAAGCAGGAGGTAACATGGAGTTCAGAGATCATGACCTGCTGTTCCTGTGGTATAAAACCAATGGAATATTTCCAATGATGAATGATACGTTTTTCATTGCATTAGTCCATAAGGAGCATCAGGATCATGATCATGCATTCTTTCTGTTCAGACCTAGAACAGAGTTATTGATTCCATTGTCAAATCTGTTTTTCTTCTGCAGCGAAGATGAGGAAGCCTTATATGCTATGTGGGCGAGTATCTGTGAGCCTAGTATCATATTATGATGGATCATTGTGTACTTCCATTCTAGAAGTCGACAACCGATGGAATGTTTGCATGGTCCGAGATTGGAGAGCTTCAATGGAGTTGTTACAAGATAGAGGAACTGAGTGTAGATTGTAAAGGTGTCGATACTGTGAAACTATGTATGACTATCTTATGTTCGTTTGATTCAATATATTTACATTTGTTGTTGGTTTTGTATCTTCCAAGCTGGTTACCTGATTTAATTTGTAATATTTTGTTATCTGTTACTAACACAAATATATAACTGATTTGGTATTGTTGGAGAGTAAAGAATGAATGTCAAGTTTCATGAAGCATTGTGATGTTTTGAATAAAGGAATCGAATCTTGAAACTAACATCACAGAACTACTACTCCTCCCTCTTCTAAGTTTGCAAGTTCTGGGGAGAACGAATCAAGCAATATTTACAGACTATCTTGCCAGTTGTTCTTGACAAGGTTTCAAAGTTCCTAAATCTCATCTAAACTGATATATTTCCCCATCACAGGGGATATTATAAGTTGATAGCCCTGCTACTACCCTAGCCTATCTGCACCCTCTCAGACGACTCTTCTACAACAGCTCTTGTAGCTTCAACAACTGCTTGTCCACTCACATAATGCTGCCGGCAAACAGGCATGTAAACATCAGCCCCAGCAATCAGCTCCACCTTTGTTTCATCTGTCTTTCGCAACGTGAAGAATGCACGCTTCCCGCAGAGCTCACAGCGAGCTGTCAACTTGGTCACAGAATCAGCAAGTGGGATTATGTCGAGAACAGCACCAAAACTCCTCCTGGGTCAACAAAGGAACGATGGTTGTGTTAAACCAGAGGCACATTTTACGAACGGCAAGCTGGAAACAGTAAGCTTTTACCTCATGTAATCACCATCCAGTCCAGCTACTATCACAGTTTTACCATCCTGATCAGCAGCTTCACGGCAGAAATCATACAAGTCTCCAAAGAATTGAGCTTCATCGATCCCAATTACGTCCAGCTGTCACGGGTAAGCTGTCTTTAGTATGATAGAATTAAGATCTATCCTCATGTATTCTGCTAAAAATGGTATTCAAATTATAAATTGCCATACCTGGTTGTAAGAATCAACACCAAGACTTTGCCTGAACATCGACAATTTGGGCAATGACCAGCAGGGCAATTTCAGACCGTCATGTGTTACAATTGAGTCCAATCCATATCTTGTATCCTTGTCCGATTTCACAACAGCCACACTTCTGCAAAACATAGACAAGAGAAGACCACTCAATTCATTTAACAAAGTAAATCAAGCATCTTGATTCCACGTTACTCTGACATTTCAGGGATATAACTCAACTTCCAAATTTATCATGATCTAATGCTCGTCGATCTCCAAATCACAGACAGCATCCTTTAAAACGCTCGTCATCTCGAAAACCAAGCTCTCTATCTCCTCCGACTTTCTATGAGACTTATCCCGAGTTAAGAACAAATGGACCTCCCCCTGAATCTCAATCCAGCTATAAGCAGGCTCTTTCATAATATCAAGCTCTTTCATTACCCCCCTTATCTCTTTCACACGGTCCCAGAACCCACGGTTCGCGTATGCATTTGACAGTACCACGTATTTACCAGCATTTCCCGGTTCTAACTCAAAGAACTTTCTAGCTGCAATAGATGCCAAATCCGTATCTCCATGAATCCTACAAGCACCAAGCAAAGCACCCCAAGTAGCTGAATGGTCCTTAAGTGGAGAGCTCAGAACAAAATCATAAGCTTCTTGGAGTTTGCCAGCCCGACCCAAGAGATCAACCATGGCAGCATAGTGCTTCCCTCTCGGCTCAATCCCATAATCTTTCATCGATGAGAAGTAATCCCAGCCTTGATCAATCAATCCTCCATGACTGCAAGCAGATAACACAGCAAGGAAAGTTATATAATTTGGCTGAAACCCTTCTCCCTTCATCATCCTAAACAATTCCAAGACTTCTTCGACTCTTCCATGCTGGCCATACCCCGAGATCAGAGAAGTCCAGGTCACCACATTCCTATTCGAAGTTTCATTGAACACCTTCTGTCCATCAGCTAGGTTGCTGCACTTGAAGTACATATCAATAAGGGCACTGCTGACAACCACGTTATCCTTAACCTTGCACTTAATCAGGATGCTGTGAGCTTGCTTCCCGAGCTCCAACAAAGCTAGAGTACCACACGCTCTAAACAGGGAAGAAAACGTGTATTGGTCAGGCGTCAAGCCGTTTCGTCTCATGTCGGAGTAAAGACTGAGCCCCACTTTTTCGAGCCCATTCTGCACACATCCCGAGATCATGGCATTCCAGGAGATCAGAGTTTTGTCGATTAAGGAGTCGAAGAACACGAGTGAGGTTCTTAAGTCGCCGGATTTTGCATAGAGGATCAAGAGCTTGGTCTTGAGATATTCAGTGGGAGGATAGCCAACAATGATCATCCGTGAATGGATTCTTCTCCCGATCTTATACCTACTCGTGAGAATGCATTCTTGCAACATAAGCGAATAGGTTTGATCACCCACGGCTGATTCAGTATTCCACAAGAGGTTCACAGCTTCGTTCAATCTCCCAGAGAAACAAAGTCCCTGTAAAGTTCTATCCAACTGGAGCAGATTTCTAACCTGAAAGCTGGTAACTTCAGCTACTTATAATCGGGTTCCAAAACAGTTGAAATATACACAAATTGCTCAGAACCTAACCCGTATCAATCGAACCACATAGTCGCTTTAAAATGCACCAAATTCCACAAACCACATATAACAATCAAAACAGACCCATGGGAAACGAAAAGAAGCAGAAAAGGGTTAGGCGGAATGGAGCAGGGAATCGAACCTGCCATTTTCGCTCTCGGACTGAACCCGTCGGAGGAGACTGGTGGTCTTGCCGGCAAACATCGGACCCACGATGACGTGGATTTCGCCTGAAGGGTAGGACGCCGTCGAATCACCCGCAGCTCCCGCCGGCCGAAAGTTCCGATTTTGAACGCGAGAATACGCCGGGCCAGATGAACCCATGATGGGTCTGAGAGATGGAGAAGCAGGGAACTGAATAACTGCGGGAAAATTGAAGAAAAGGGTAAACTTGGGAGCTGCGGAGAAGAAGGCGGCAGCGTTGGGGAAAGCCGGCGCCACGGGGAGGGAAATTTGAAGGGGAAACAAAGCCTTCATTCTCGAGACCGCAAACATCTAACAAAACCAAACGTGGTTTGCTGGGCGAAGGTTCAATTCGGAGAAAGAGATGGACTTGGCATTGTGCGATTTCCTCTAAAAATTAGGGTTTTAGGGAATGGGGTTTTTACTGATGCACTTCGAAGCGAGAGAAAGCTGGAACATTTTCCCGCAAAAAAAATGAAAGCGATCCGCCGCAGCCCGCAGTTGTATTCGTTATCACCTAGAAACTCGGATTTCATTTGTTCCTTCTTCCATGTAAAGTTGTATTAAGCAAACCAAATGGCATAAATGTTTGGGTTTTCAGTTTTCTAATGGAGGGTGTACAATTTGTTTATTATTTAATAAGAAATTAAGTTAGTATTTCATTTGTTTATTATATAATTAAGTTAGTATATTATGTATACATTGTGTTGATGATGCTTCCCCACTACCACCACCACCACCTTTATACAGCTACAACAATTATAGATGGAAGCCTTTCCATTCTTAGCTGGCTTGTGGGAAAGCTAATCCATATGTTTAAAATCCCTTGATACCAAATGTTGTAACAATCATTTTTTTTTTAATTCAATTTTGCACATATATAAAAGAATTGAATTGGAACTTGGGGAGGCATGAATATGGGAGTAAAAAATGTAAAATCATGTTGTGCAACTAGCTAGCTGATCTTATGTTGTAATCAATCAAAATATATAAACAAGTGTTTGGGAGAATTGAAAACAAGATAAATACCCAAAGGTCAATTGCTTATACAATGGAGAATTACATTTATTCGTATTCTCTTTATGCGTAGCATAAAACTAAACCAGATTGGTGGGTGAATGACCCGAAGTTGCTACTTCCATAAACAAATTGCATGAAAAATTGTGTACCTGATTGCATCTTCCTATCGCTAACTATCTCGTGAGACTTTAGAGCACATCAAAATGAAATATCTATCTATATTATTCTTATTGTACTATTTGGAGAGATGAAGGTTTCACCCATACCTTATTACAAGACAAGAAAGAAAGAAGAGGAAGAAAAAAATGGAAAGGCATATATATCACATATGTGGCAAAAGTGTGGTCGGAATAAGGGCATAGTATATCTATCCAATTCCAATCTATCTTTATCTTCTATCCACATTTGCTCCAACATCGTTCTCACCATTTGCCACCCATTTCTTTCACCCCCATCGAAGAATAAAGGTAGGTAGAAAAGAATTGGAGAGTATGGGGGAGGAAGAGGATGGAAACCAGTTATTGTTTTAGTGATTTGAGAGATGGTTGGTAATAGATTTTACCTAAATTAACATTTAGGTTTGAATGGATGAGGGTGGTATTTCATACTATTTATCTATGATGTTAAGATTGTTAATTTTTATTTAAATCTGTTTGATTTTAAGTTGACTAGATTTCCTAAAATAATATGGAAAAAATAACGATACCGAGTAATAACAAACATAAATTACTAGTATTGGACCAGATCAATATCATTCTCTTTTCCCTCCAACTTTGAGTTTAACCCTACGAGAACTTGATTTGATTGGAAACCAAAACAAGAACAAATGAAAGCTACTTCTATCGTCAATTCGATGAGATAAAAAACAAATTATGAAGTAGTTTATATAAACATTGCATAGAATAGATAAAAGAAATTATAATTTCATAAAATTAAATGGAATTTGGATAAATGGATTCTAACGCAATAACACATAATTCATTTTTTTCATTCTTGATCTACAACTTTTTTTCGGTATAATTTATGGATAGCTTGTTTTTTTGGATTGGATTAGTGGGGGAGAACAAGTGATCCCTTCTGTCTCTCACACATCTCTTTATCTTTATTTTGTTCCCTTCATCATTATTTATTTGTTTATCCCTTTTGAAGAAGAAAAGGTTTTATGTACTTGTCAAGTGAGTTACAAAAATTCGATCACATGAAAAGTAGGGAGATTAAATTGTTCTAAATTTACAGCTTATGGAAATTACCTCCACAAAGAAAATATTTTATGTCATATAATCTCTTTTGGTATAGATAAGTAGTTAATGATTACCATATGAGTCTGGTTTTATATTCGTTTAAGATAATATTAAGAACGAGACATAATGCTATTTTATAGGGAGAAAAAATAATTTCATCGATCCTATCAATTTTCGTATTATTATGTTTGGCATTTTGAATGTAGCATAATGAAAAAACTTTACCATCAACTTCGATATCATTTTAATGACTCATGGTTGAATTTATATCTTATATTAACATGTTTGCATATCTATTTAGCAAGAGCGTATGATGGAGGCCTGGTACATAAAGAGAACAACACTACACCTACTGGGAGACCCATGCATAGGAATTGGTTATTCTGTCTACAACTCTTCATGCTAGATCTATATGCGGTATAATTATAGGAGAGGATTACCAACTCGTAAAGATTTTCAAGGTCGGTATAGCAGGTGAAATCAATAAAAGAATTGAGATGTTGTGAGACTGTGAGTTTTGCACGATCTCGAAGTGGTAGGGTGTTGAGGTTCAAAGCAATAGCTCTATAGATAGACTTTGGTGACTCTCTCCTTGATCAACATTCTGATTAGTCAAATCTAAATTACATTACATTGCTTTGTAATTTGCTATGTTATAATTAAAATGTTTGTCTTGTTCATATAATTTCAGAGATATGTTTGAGAATTTTTACCCATCAAATTACAAGACTTTTTTAGGCACATATTATTCATTTTATAAACTCCAGCTTAGCTTTAACTCATTGAATTATGTATTTCAGTATTACATTATTTCCACTCCAAATCTGGATTGATTTATAATACATATTTAGAGCGCTATTTTACAACCTATTTCTACCAAAAAACCAAACCTTCTCCCCTTCCCTCTCTTCCTCACATCTCCTTCCCCTCTTCTCTCTCTCTCTCTCTCTCTCTCTCTCTGTCTGGTAAATACCAAATCGCAATTCCATTTTAGCTCATATAAATACAAATCCCAATTGAAATCCAGAACACTGTCAGTAAATTTATAACAAAGAAGAGAGAAAGGGAAGAAGGAAGGGAAAAAAGGGGAAGAAAGAAAAGAGAAAGAGAACCAAAAAGGGGAGAGAGCCTTAGCTGCTCACACCCTCTTCTTATTCTGTTGTTGTTGTTGTTGTGAGGCCTTCAGATCTTGAGATTCTCTCTCAACTCTCCCCCTCATCTGGGTTCTCTTTCTCTTTGATCAATCAATCAGTTCTTTTCTTTGTTCTTCTGGGTTCTTCTTCCCCACACAGGAAGAAAGGGGAAACATTAAGGAAAAGAGGAGAGAAAAAACTGAAAAGCCTGCTCCTTTTTGGGTAATTGCTATCTGCGTTTTTGGATCTTATTAGTTATTACACATTTCTTCGTCGAAGCTTTTGTCTTCCCTTCATTTGGATTACTGGGTGGCGATCGGTTTCCTTTTGGCCTCATCATACTTTTCGATCAATCAGTTAAGAGTTCGTAAAGCCTTTCTGGATTGAATCCAAGAGTACCCACTTGAGATAGAGAGACATCCCTGTATATAAACATCTGAGTGAGCTTTTTTTTCTGCTTGACATCTGCGGCAAGGTATTATTCATTTCTAGCAGCATTTTGATGTTTCTTCGTAGGTGGATTGCTGGGGATTTTTGGATTGTTCATGGTTATATGGAATTGTGTGTTTTGGTTAACAGATCCCGCTGTTTGATTATCATCAGAATTGCTGAATTGAGAAACGATTGGTTTTTGCAGGATTTGGAAATGGATCTCGGAAAGCTGTTCATTGGTGGGATTTCATGGGACACCAATGAAGACCGTCTGAGAGAGTATTTCCAGGTATTTGGGGACGTTTTGGAAGCTGTGATTATGAAGGATCGGTCCACCGGTAGAGCCCGTGGCTTCGGCTTTGTTGTCTTTGCCGACCCTGCTGTTGCTGAACGAGTTGTGATGCAGAAGCACCTCATAGATGGTCGAAATGTAAGTTCAAGATACTCAATTTCTGGTCCAACAATTCATGATTCGATTTGTGTGTCATTGCTAATTGAAGGTTGTAGTGAAAGTGTGGTTGGCATCTAGGTGACTTGAATTATGGATTTAAAGCTTATGATAAATGGAACCTTGCTTGGGTGCATTGAAAAACATGAATTGTGAATGAATGTCACAATTCACGATTAGAATTTCCAGATCATGAATAATAGGAGAGAGCGAGAGATATGAATCTAGAAAGTGATGTCAGTGATCCTAGGTAGGTGCATCATATGATTATATTTATCGCAGTTGATCATTGTTAGGCTGATGAACAATCTGAGATAGGCAAGTAATGAGCTTTATATACAAAAATCGTCCAATGAAAATGAAATGCTAGCATTGATGCATGTCTTCTGATAAGTATGGTTATTTAGTAGTGGTCATCCTTTTGTTTGATGAGCTTTTGATCATCAGGTTGAGGCGAAGAAAGCTGTGCCTAGGGATGATCAGAACATTCTGAACCGAACCAGCAACAACAGCAGCCTTCATGGATCGCCTGGTCCAGCTCGGACCAAGAAAATATTCGTAGGAGGTTTAGCATCGACAGTGACAGAGACTGACTTCAAGAATTACTTTGATCAGTTTGGAACAATCACTGATGTTGTTGTCATGTACGACCACAACACTCAAAGGCCAAGAGGTTTTGGGTTCATCACCTTCGACTCAGAAGAAGCTGTGGATAAAGTGCTGTACAAGACATTCCATGAACTCAATGGCAAAATGGTTGAGGTGAAACGGGCAGTTCCAAAGGAACTATCCACATCTGGTCCGACCAGGTCAAACCAGTTTGCTGGATATAACTACGGAATTACCAGAGTCAATAGCTTCCTCAATAGCTACTCTCCTCAGGCACACAATCCAACTTCTCTTAGAATGGATGGTAGGTTCATGCCGGTCACTGCAAGTCGAAGCAGCTTTTCTCCATTCAATAGCGGGTATGGATCAGGTCTAAATTTCGAGCAAGGTCTGAGTCCAAGTTACGGTGGCAACTCAAACCTTGGGTCAAACATTGGGTTCGGCCGGTTGAGTCCTTCATACAGTGGCAATTCGAACAGGTACTGGAGCCCCATTGGCTATGGAGGTGGAAATAATTCGGGCTTGAATCCTGTTTCTCGTACTTTGTGGAGCAATGATAGCATTTCTCAAAATGCAAACTCAAACGGTAGTGGCTGGAACTCGGGACTCAGTTCCTTTTCTGGAGCTCTTTGGGATTCCTCAGTGAATGCAGGGCCCGGTGGCGGTTTGGGCCCCGCGTATAACAATGTTGGTGGAGGAGAGTTTAGTATTGGACCAGGAGGAGGATATGGGAGAAACAGTGGGGCCGGTTTTGCACCTGTGGCATCGCGTGCTGCTGCTGCAAATGGAGGTTATGATAGGACGGCTTATGCTGACATTTATGATAATAGTTCGCTCTATGGAGATTCTTCCTGGAGATCCTCAACTTCCGAGTTGTTTGATTCCGGAATTGGAAATGCAGCTTCGGATGTTATTACCAAGAATACTGCAGCTTATGCTGGTGGTTATGGCATTGCTGATAGACAGTCAGATAGAGGTAAGCTCACGCCTTTGCTCAATATGAACATGCTTGTTTGCTGAATTTTTGTTTATCATTTTTGGGCTATAATCAATGCATGAGATCAGTACTTGTTTAGCCACAGAAACAGCTTGCATTTACCTTAAATTGTTTGTATCTTGTTTGTTTGACAGCTTCCCGAGCTTTGCAGGCTAAGATTCTTGTCTTTTCTTTTTGGTTTTATTGTTCTGTTTCAGGAATTGCTGCTTAGGATGAAAACAAAGATTGCTACTGTTGGTGAAAGAGTACATCATCAACATTTGAAGTAAATGTGGTACATTACATGTTTCTTGGACCTGAAGTTTACTTTCTTACCTTTTTTCCCTTACCCCCCTTTGATGTTTATGTGAGGAGGAACTTGAGATTAGTGCTAATCAATTTATCGACGATATGGTTAGAGAGCAGAGCAGGAGAGAACAATTCAGTCAGGAGGAATTTCTTGTGTAAGGTTTGAGCTTTGAGGAGGAGTTTTTTTTCTTTCTTCTTTTCTTGTTTTGTTATCGTCTTCTTTTACTATATATAGTGGTTTTAATTTCCTTTTCTCCTTCCCAACTTGGGAATATCTGGAACTTTTAAGATGTAAAATCAGGAGTTTGTGGTTATACATCAGAGATACTGTATCAGTGTTGACAGAGATACAGAAGGCCACCCAAAAAAAAAAAAAAAAAAAAAGATATGAACATGAAGAACAGTGTTTTGTTTGGGTGTTTTTTTTTTCTCCATTTTTTTCTCTTTTAATTATTTTCTTTGGGTATTGGGTTCTTCAAGTTCATCATGTGGCAGCAGAAAAACTGTTTAGTCCTTGTCAAGTGCGGATTGGGATTCTTAATTAGGGTTTGTACAAGTTGATTGGTTTTCACTAGTTAAGAGGGATAGTTACTACTTTCCATTCCCTCTTCTGGAAATAATAATTTTTACAGAATACTGATTTATGTCCATCTCTCCATTATTTTTTGTTGGGGATAATATTTACTAATTAAGCATTTTCTTTCGAGTTCGAATTCAAAGCATGGTGCATGAAACCATACCGACGGTTCAACCACGAAATACTAGTATCGGAGGCTAAAACGGTTGGCGATATTAACGGTACTAACGGTTGAATTACGGTTAAACCACAAGTTAACCATAAAATATCCTACCGCTGACTTTCCTGGTACGGTCTCCGATACGGTTTTATGGACCATGATTCAAAGTGGGATGGATGTATTTTGATTTCAATGATTCGGTGTAGCCCTACCTAATAAAAGTTTAGAATCTTTATTGTCAAGGAAATAAAAGGTGAGAAGTGATGGTACTTTGGAAGCCCTACCTAATAAATGTTTAGAAACTATTTTTGGTAAGGAAATCTTATTGTAGTACTTTAGCCTCAACATAAGAGTGGTTTGTAAGTTTTGATTCTAGAAAATGTGTATATTTGACAAGGTTAGTTCTAGGAATTGTTTGATTATAGAATTGAAGAAATGATGTACACTCAAGAACAAAATATATGTGTCAACTCACCTAGATAGTAAGAAAGGCTACGCATAATTAGCTTATAATTTTCCTTTGCACGAGATTTTAATAAAGACCTACTACTCAACCAAACTTCGATCTATACTTCTTGACACCACCCTAGTTATTTTTATCCCCTACTCAATAACTACTTAGAGAATGAACATTTCTACTATTTATTAGGGTGAAGTCAGATTAATAATCTATACTAAAAACTTGATATCGATAAATAAACGGACTATTGTGTTAGTTACTCCAATTATTATTAACAAATTCGTTAAGAGTCAAACCCACTAATTTGATTGCTAATGATCCTGGAATTTTAGAGATTATTTTTGTAACAATTGACCCAGAAATAACGAAAACACGGATGCATTTTCACATGGGATCTTTTTGGTTGATTATTTTTGTGATTCTGTGGTGCAATTGAAACGTGCTTTATATATAGTTCATATTTTGACCACATTTTCTTCTTGGTTTCCTATGGAATTGGATAGCTCCTTGAATAAGATCAAAGTGTGTGGCCAACCCCACCTACCTAATATCCTTCACGTATTCATTCAGAATTGCATGAATGGTCACTTTACTCTGGGAATACTAATGATAAAATTTGAAACAACTAACTATAATAATTTCGGCTGGATTGTCCATCCAAATTGTTTAATGTAATGTGTCAAATCATCTAAATTATAAATAATTGAAGGGATACATAAACACCAATCAAGTTAAACGAACCATCCTCTCAAACTAAACTCATAGCCTAAGCGAATTTCAATTAGCGTACTGGTCGTTTAACTAATTCATTTCCTTCCCTACGCTATAGCTATTTAGATGTTTACGTTTGAATGAGTTGACAGAACAAAGAATATACAAAACTGGACAACGATCCATTTCCAAAAACAGTATTAGGCAATTTACGCCAAACATCCTTCTCATTGGTCATGGGTGGATTCTCCTTCACCTCCCAAATATGGCAAAATCCCCACCACCACTTATTTAATTTTTGTTCTTTCATTTTGCCCCCACAAATTCATATAATAATAAATGAAAGCCACAAGAACACCCACGTTTGCTGAATTTTGACCCTACAACCTTACCCATTTCTTCACCCCACTTGAGAAACAAAATGCGACACTATGGTCCAACAAATTGACAACATTCCGCATACAGCTACCCCAAAGCAAGTCATAATTGCGAAAACTGACTGTTTCTGAGAAACAATTGGTGGTATCTATGGCTCCAACTTTGTCTATTACATCGAATATAAAAGGGAAAGAACCAAAATGAATCAGAATTCAGCTTCAACAACAACAGTAATGGCCCTCTCCCACTCACTATACCAAAGGAAAGCCCCCTAGCTCTGACATTTGCTTCCCCTCTACTACTAGTTTGATAGTACCCTCTACTTAGATGGCAAAAATAGTGTATCGAATCTAATCGTCACTCAAATTAGTTACACTTAAGACTTAAGTTTGGATCACAAAAGGCTGTTTCATATGACAGCAGAAGCAGAATGATATTAACAGTTTGTGCTAGTTGAAGGCGATGTAGTGACTGAGGCTTACTACATATGAGCATCATCCACCCTTTTTCTCCATCCGCTCCTTTTCAAGGATGAACATTCCTTCTTTGTACTTCTGGCTCTCCTCCTTAGCTATCTCCTGAAAAAAAAATTCATATCATGGTTGGAAAGAGTGAATCAGTTAGTAAATTGAGCAAATGCAATGGAACGATTAGCATCATACTTTACAGTTACTATCGAAAAGACAAGATGCAAGACCAATGCTGTTTCAACTGGAATGGATACGAACGATTAACATGGAGGGGAAGTTTCTTCCTTAATGTTTGATTAGCAGAAATGAATCAATATACTAGAATGCAAGTTGGGGGGCCAACTTGGTGTCCCATAATCACAGACAGCATGAATGGTGATGCACATGATGAAGGTTACAACTTACAAGTCAATCAATATTCAATACCAACAATCTGTTAAAAATGAACACTTAGCTAGAAGAACGTTACTGGCAATCCACACATGATTAGGTACACATGTGACATTAAACTATGCCAACACGGTCAAGTAAAGTAAGTATTCTTCTCTGCCCTGTCTTAATATTCTGTCCTATGCACATAGTAATCTGCAAGCAACTACGTGTTTATCTGAATAATAAGGTCTGCCAGTAATGCAGTGGAAGAATCCACTACGTCTATGTCAATGAAAATGGAAAAGAAAAAGAGGCTGTATCATCTTACATATCTCCAACCGACTAGCTGCATGCAAGAACTGCAGTAAATGTCATTAACAACATGAAATCCACTTGAAAGAAATCGCGGTTCGCTGGATCCGATTACTATATTGACCCTAAAAAACAGAAGATATGGGAAAACAATAAGGTTAGATGATTAAACACAATCCAACTCGACTGCATTTCGCCAACAATTCATCTGTGTATGTGTCAGGTGCATTCACTAAGGACATGATTGAGCTCAGCTCTAGATCCAATCCAAAACCAACTGCAAGATTCCGATGTCTAGCAGAAGAGAAAGTACTATTAACCAAGTTGTTATATTATCTATTGCAAAAGCCGCCAACGGAACAAATCTGTCGTTCTCCCCATTATCAATCACCTGAAAAAGCTCACTTGGAAGTTGGAACGTGCATAGACACCACCAGCTTTCACATTCTGCCAAAAAGAGAATCAAGAAGCAGTTCCCCGCAAATCTCCATGTGAGCTCCAAAGGATCTCTTTTTCTAACTAATTACTAAAATATCTCTTTAAAAAACTGAATCCTTCGAATTTCCCTCTATAAAATCTATTAGGCGTTTCCTTCACAAGGGGTTGCCGACCGTAGTGGTGGTGTGGTTTCTTGATCGCTAAAGATGCCATCTTTCTATCGATTCTAGGCCATCGAGATTTCTGTTTCCTGTGGCTAATCACACGCAACGGGTTGGCCAATCTTGGGCAAAGTTCCTAGCATAGCAGAAAGATCTCCATTGAACAGGCCAAATCTTCTAATCTTTACTCTGCAGGCTCAATCACTAAGAATCCCAACTTGGCAACCAAATCAGAACTCACAGTTTCTTTACTCTTCTAACAGACAATGCATCAAACACCTTAGAGACACAACCCCAATCGAAATCCCCAGATCAAGAAAGGCAAAGACGAGAACGAGAAGGTGCAGGGGTGGAAACTCACACTTTCCTGAAGAGATAAGCGCGGCCATAGCGACCCTGAAACTCCTTGGACTGGATGTCATCTTAGGAAGCGGAATCGACCCTGCAGCCCTTGCACATGAGCACCTTCTCTCCCTTCGCGTCCTCAATGAACAATCTCCCCATTTCTGCTTGCTTTCTTCCCCCCTAAACGGAAGAACACCAAGAAAATGAGAAAAGATCATTCCTTTCCGGTCCCCTATAAATTCACCCCTTTTCCCCAGAATCAAAACCACTAATTTCTTACGATCTGAAGAACTTCCGACTGAGAAATCGATGGTTCTCCTCGGAATCGAAAACGGCGAGCTAGCTTTCTTTTTTTCTTGCCCTACTCTCGCCGTCGGCTCCGGCAGCCGATTTGGGGGCAGAAGGACTGTGACCAAGTGTGATGAAGCTGGACCAGCGGAGTAAGTCTCCCGTTTAGCGAGAAAAGATAAAAGAAGGAAGAAAGACGTTCCTCTGACTTCCGCTCTTATTAGTGGTGACGGTTTTAACCGAAATGACGGCCATAGGTAATTAACTACCAAGCAACGACATCGTTCCTGCGCGCCATCGCTTAACGGTTTTGGAAAAGGGAACGCAACCGTCAGTGGGCGAGTGAGAAACGGTGTCGTTTAAGCTATGAGGATTAGACATTTCCAAATCTCTTAACAAATTATTAATGATTATTAATTAGTGTTTCTGGATTCGCCCATATTATAATTTGTTTCTTGAGAACAAACAAGTTCAGTGACTAAATTGAACCTACGCATAAGTTCAGTGACCAGCAGAGCCATAATTAGTCCTTACAAAAAAGAAACGGAAAATAAGGGAACCGCGGGAGGGGATTCTACGCACAGCAAAAACCATTGCCATTGTTGTGTTCTTTTCTTTCATCGTCCGCTCCAAATCCCATTTGCATGGCAAAGAATTAGAAAACCGAAACACAGGAAGAAAAGAAGGCGGCAGAAGAACCCTCATTGTCGGTTGAATTAGATCAAAGCCCAGATTCTAACTCATCGTGAAGGCGCGACCTTCGTTGGACGTTTCCCGCGAACAATTTCTGGACTTCCCGCGTACCCTTTTCCATAATCACCCATTGTTATACCTGTAAAGGTCGGTTCTTTGTTTCCCCTCCTCGATAATGCGACAGTTTTCGAGCACTGATCGACGGCTACTTTTTTAACATTGCTTTGATTCTCTTGGAATTGCGTGTGTGGGGGTTCTTCTGATCAATTCTTCATGATTCTGGAGCACTGAAAAAGATCGATTCTTTGGGTGGTTGTTTAATGAATGTTTTGTCCTGATCGTGTCGTGCCTTTTTATTACGCTTTTTCCAAACAAAATATGGGATCTCTTTCTGGTTTGTGGCTGTTTGAGATTTCCTATGCTCGTTTGTCGCCTTTCATTTGGATGAAATTTGGAGGTTAAAGCTCCACAGCTAGGATCTATGGCTATCTCCACCTTTATCTCTCTTGGGCCCCACAGCATCAATGGCTGCCGGATTGTTGAAATTTGGTCGACTGGTTCATTAGACCGTTACTCTTCATGTCACATTTTGGCTTGCATTGCCATGGGTTCTTCTCTTTATGTTTTTTTTTTTTTGTCAATGGCAGCTAAGAGACCTTTGTGTTTACAAATTGGCAGTGATGGAGAACGTATCAGAGAGGGCATTGATGAAGCATCTGCAGAAGGAGCAAGAGAGGGAGAGGCGGCGGATAAGAGACAGGCAGCGGAGGCAGTCAATGAGCGCTGAGGAGAGGGAGAGGCATCTAGCTAGGCGGCGGAGGAACTACCAGCTGCGGAGGCAAAGAGCTGAGAATGCTAGGCTTGAGCTTCAGCTCAATCAACAAGCTACGGCGGCTCTAGCAGCATCTAGTGGTGGTGGAGAATACATTGGCAGGGTTGTTGAACATCAGCAGCAACATCAGATGTTGTTGCCTGTTCCTGAAGCTAGTAATAGTGCTCAGTTCAATGGCTTGGATTCCAATGGCATTGTTGTTGATCCAGAGCATGACAGCTTCAAAGCAGCATATGCAAATCCTGTTGGTGAGGCTTTTCTATTTCGTTCACAATTTCGACTTGATCCACTTGTCTAACCTTAGTCTGACCTGTTTCGTACTGATATTATCCAACCTAACACGTACCTCTTGCCATTCCTACTCATGAACCCAAATGCAACAATCCTGGTGCTTTCTACCATTTGGGTTCCTTACTTTGTGATTTTGCATGTATTGCCTCTGCAGCTTTGGAAGTTGCAGCTCATGATTTGGCCAAACTTCCCAAACAACCAAGAATAAAGCACATAAAGCAACTTGCAAGGTCTCTAGCTCGTAGTCACCATGAGAACGATACCAACAGAATTGCAGTTGATCTATTAATCAAGGCCAATCCAACACTCAGTTGTAAGTACCTAGCTCAAAAAACATGCACTGATCTTATTTATTACCACTACATGAACTCTATTTGAATTCGTCTGTAATCCTTCCTGCAACTAAGTTGATTGAGTCATTCGTCTGCGGTATCTAGGTCTAGTGCAGCAAAAAGGTCTGCGATTCACTCGTCTCAAGAGGCTCGCAAGGTCCTTACATTGTGACGCAGAGAAGAAGGCTGTAGATCAGCTGCAGGACAAAGCAGTAGAACACAATCAGCCTGAAGTTCCTCAGCCACACAATATTAGACAAGAACAAGACTGAGTATCAAGAAAAGGGCAGCCTTTTTTCTGTTACTCAGCTATTTCTTAAGGATTCCTGTTACACCAACAATTTCTGATGGGAAACATCTGCCAAGGGTAACTTTTTTTCAGCTCAATCAATTACCATTTTGGATATATCTTGACTCTTGAGTTAAAACCTTTTGTTCTGCAGAATTTTGCAAGAAACTGAAGACAAGGCATGGAGAAGTTTTTGGTTAGGAAATTGAAGTATAGGAATTGGGTAGTCAATTTTATTTCTTATGAGTATGTAAGTGTAACTGTAATTGATTTTTTTTTTTATAAATGAATTATTATATAGACAGATCGAGCCCAACAACATCTTGGGTCTGGGTCCAGTCCATTTAAAACAATGCTCCAGATAATAAAAAGAAAAAAGAAAACCATTTTTGAAAAGAAAAACCTCCATAGTTACCGCCTTTTCTTCTCCTCAACAGGTATGGAAAGCAGAGTTCCTTCCAAGATTCGGCTTCTTCGAACTCCCATCGCTTTAAATTTGGCCTTCCGTCAATCTTCCGCAAACTAAGAAACTTCGAACTGCCTAATTTCAGTTCCTGCTTTTTTCTTCTTTGTAAATTTTAAGTTCTTGCAGAGTTCGAGTATCTCCATGAACAGCCCAGCTCCGAATTTCTTCGAAGCTCCGCAACAACAAAGTTTGCCCTCCTCCGTCGATGCTCTGTCCCGCTCTATTGGGTTGCTTTGCATCAATGGATATGGCGAAGGAAATCCATCTCTGCCTTTTCTGGGTACGTATCCAAGAACCCACCAAGTGAATGATGTAATTCCTCAACGAACTCCTGTTCCCACGGCCTGGTTTGGGGATTCCATGGAGGCGGCTCAGAATCCATTCCTTGAGCAGAGAGTCTTTGCTGAGCCTTATAACTATGGAGGTAAACTGAAACTGATTTTCCCCCTGTTACTAATAGACTTCTCGATGGAATGTTGAGCATAAGTTTTTTGATTCAGGGAGTTCCGGATTCGTGGATGGATCCATCGATCCGTGGATGCCACAGCAGCAGGATGGTGGTGCAGGGTTGGAGAATTATGGCGTACATCAATTTTCGAACCTTGGGTTTCCTAAAGATGACAGCTTTCTTTCCAATGCCAAGACCCAAAAGGGCTCCATGGAGATTCAGAAGAGTCTCAACTCGAACGATGACATGAAGTTAATGATGACATACATGAAAGCTGTTCCCTTTACTGTCCCTCTCATGATGGATCAACATGGATGCCATGTCTTCATGAAGCTGCTCGACTTCTGCTCCGATACCCAGTTGAGATTCATCCTGGCGGAGATCATTCAGAACATCGCCTTGTTTCTTGAGATATCGTCCAGCAGATCCGGGTAGGATATGTTCTTCCTTTGTGACAAATGTTCTTAGAGAGCTAGACAGACCCTAATGGATTTGCTTAATGTGTGTGTGCGTGTGTGTGTCTTGTTCTTTGTTCTCTCGAAACAGCTCAAAATCACTCAAGCGGCTGATCAAAAGGCTTCAGAAATCTCCAATGCTGGCAGTCCTAATCAACATCCTGGCTAATGAGTTCTATCCACTAATGGTTCATCCGATTGGAAGCCATGTTGTATTGGAGTGCATTGACACCCTTCAGCCCCAGCAGAATGAGGTTTGTACAATGACCTTCAGTTTCCTCCTATTGATTCTCCAACATTGGCCTTATTGAGTAGTTGAACTCGATTGCAGTTACTCTATCTAAAATCCATTGAACACTGCCTTGAGCTTGCCACAAACGAATTCGGGTGCATAGCATTAAACATCTTCATCAACCACAGCAAAGGTCCTTACAGATACAAACTACTCAGCTCTATCTCCAACCATGCTGTGTATCTCTCCCAGGATCCTTCAGGGTAAGTAGCAATACAATTTATGCTAACAAACGAGCAAAACAAAGAGGATGAAACTCGGCAGCCAGCTTATTGTTCGAGGTTCATGTTTTGTTCCAGGAACTATGTGGTGCAGAATGTGTTGGCACTAGAGAACCCATGTTGCAGTAGGGAGATTTGCAGCCAGCTGAAAGGGCATTACGCGAGGCTGTCGATGCAGAAAGGTGGTAGCCATGTGGTGGAGAAGTGCCTAAGTTCCAGAGAGATGATGAAGCATGTGGTTGAGGATCTCCTGAACACCAATCAGCTGATCCAAGTTGCCAGGGATAAGTTTGGGAACTATGTTGTTCAGAAAGCACTCCAAGTTACTAAGGTAAGAACAACAGAATCATCTAATAATTATCAGTGGATCAAACTTTCTTGATTGGTGATTTATTCAAACACTCTTGTGTTGTTTTTTGACAGAGAGCTGAGAGTAGTCAACTGCATCAGCAGCTGGTGAGCGTTCTGAAGCAGCACAAGTATGCATTGCAGTATGGATATGGGAAGAATGTGTGGCATGCAATTGAGAATGAGAAGAATGCTGTTGTTGATCATTCAGAGTAGCAGATGTTTAGAAATAAGTTTTGTCCCCATGATTTGTAAGCTCGATTGTCTTTGAAGAACATGTTCTTAATTGTCACCATTTTGTTTTATGTTGTGGATAGTCTTTGTCGTTCTAGTGTTTTCATCTTTGTTAGGAGGTGTTCTAGCTTGTTGTAGTATATGGATTTTTTAAGAGCTTCGAATGTGAACTTTGGCGGCTAATGTTTGTTTGAGTTGGTTTGTAAAATTTACATTGGTTTTGATTCTCCTTCCTTTCAAAAAAGTGATTCATTGTTATACTTCAAAGTGAATGTTGCTCCTTCGTTAAAAATAAAGTGAATGTTGCTCTAATTAAAGTAGTAAATAATATAGGGTGGGAAATTAAAGTGAAGATGGATTGAAGGTAACAAATTGCAACCATTATTTACTATTGAACCTAAATTTTGAAGGAGGGGCTAATATGTCATGTCCTGTCACTTCCTATGGTTTCTCACAATACGAACACGTACATTATAACCTTAGATAAAAAAAAAAACATATATGAGAGGGAATTGTAGGTCCTCCTGGATTACAAGTAGCTCCACCACTGATAATACATGAATTCAAGTCTCGTAAAGTTCGACTTTTCTGCAAAATTTGTAACTAGAAATCTCTCATTCAATGCACTACAGCGAACATCCACGGAAGAGAAATTCATTGATCTTTTTTTCTTTTGGAAATGCATCTATGTACAAGAGATGGACATCGAGAAAGGAAAATTTCCATTCAACTTGTACCTTATAGAGATACACATGACTAGAGACCTACATGGTCAATGTTTGATCCTTCAGTCCAAAGTACTAAGCATTGGGGTCGTTTGGATTGAGTATTTGATAAACTTGTTGTTTGGGGCCAATTACCACACAAATACCACATAATATAAAACTTGTTATTTGGTATGTGATACTTGGTCTCAAACTTGTTATTTGGCAAATACCTGCCCCCTCCCAAGTATTTGGCAAACAACACTTTTTGTGTTATTTGGTCTCAAACCTGTTATTTGACAAAACACTACATCCAAATAACACATCCCACTTTTTGTCAGCCAAACATGTTATTTGGGGTTAAATAACAGATTTTGTGTTATTTGACCTCAAATAACACCCCCAAATACTCAATCCAAACGACCCCTTATGGTATTTCCCTTTGCATTTCCTAGACTATGGTAGGCATATGGTTGCAATTCGTGAGTAGAACCTTCAATGACAAGGCCATTTCAACATCAGCAAATATATATATATATATATCATAGGTTATCTCCCGGTCAAGCACTTGTATATTCTCAGTTTCTCACACAAGACAAGCATCTCAACTCATGTAAATGCTTATCTAATGATAAGCGTACCTAGAAACCTATATAAGGAAGGTTAGATCCTTCAATTCTGAAGTACTAAGCATCCATAGACCCCTTCAATCGACATTTTATTAAGCATATCAGACGATAATTAGTAGAACTTGTAATGACGAGGCAACATTGGTAGACTTTAATATATAATGGATCTCTCTCTTAATTGACCACACACTTATCATCGTCGTATCTTAACTCATGTTTATGTGTACCATAGGTAATTCCTAATTTTGTTCTGGAACTATTAATTATTTTTTTAAATAAAATTCAACCAACAAAGCTTTCATAGCTCAGTTGGTTAGAGCACCCGTTTAGTAAGCGGGAGGTCTTGAGTTCAACTCTCAATGAAAGCAAATTAGGAACTTTTTTTCCGGTCTCTCCTCTTTTGGGCCCAAAATGCTATCGGAGCCCACCTCACTCGGCCCAAACTAACATAAGGATTTAAAACTGGCTCTCGGCCCACCGAGCAACAAAACCCTAGTAGCAGCTGCCGCGAAATCTACCTTCTTCTTCTTTTTTTTTTTTCCCGCCTGCCGGCGGCAGTTTCCTTTCCCTCTTCTAATTCTCTCATGCTATATATATCAAACCCACTGTCTTGTATCCTCTCAATCACCGTCGCCGATCTGAGATCTCCCTTCTTTTTATTCCTGTTCTTCCCGTTGATTTCGCCTGATTTTTTAGTAATCGATTTTAATTTTCCTTTTTCCTGTAACTCGTATCTCTTCTTCTACAAACCCGACGTGCTTTACTCGTAAATTCAGAGCGAGCCGACGAAAGTCGAATGCTTGTAAAATCCGGAGTAAACGTCGAATATCGATGGCCCCTTCTCCGTGTAGCGTTGAGGTGCTCCTTCACCGGAGTGTCTCCGCTGGGCGGAGTACTTTTGAGGGTCTGGTCTCATTCTCATGAGCCTTTCGGAGCGGCGTCGCCGCCGTTACCTACTGGGACTAGGCATGAGACAAACATTCTTTTTAACTCATTTTCGTTTTTTCACTAAAAAAAGCTCCTTTCTTTATCTGGTTTGATGCCTGTGAGGAAATCTGTTATAAAAGAACACCATCTTTCGGGACTGAATGGCCCTTCAACGGGACCTTGCTGTCAATTCTGCAATTCTGAGGCGTTGTTCAAGAAGTCTGAAACTTTGTATTATGGGTTTTATTGTTTGTTTGATTTTCAGAGTATCGGTAATTGAAGTAGTAGGTTACATGGAGTTCAGAGATCATGACCTGCTGTTCCTGTGGTCTAATCTTATGATAAAACCAAAGGAATATTTCCAATCATGAATGAATTCGTTTTTCATGGCATTAGTCCATAAGGAGCATCAGGATCATGATCATGCATTCTTTCGTTCGTTGGAAAGCTTCAATGGAGTTGTTACAAGATAGAGGAACTGAGTGTAGATTGTAAAGTTGTCGATACTGTGAAACTATGTATGACTATCTTTTGTTCGTTTGATTCAATATATTTACATTTGTTGATGGTTTTGTATCTTCGAAGCTGGTTACCTGATTGAATTAGTAATATTTTGTTATCTGTTACTAGAATGCTTAACAAATTTTTAGTTTCCACATAAAACAGTCTAAATTTTGTTTGTTTTTCGTAAAGTAACCAACTTGGACACCAAATTCAAGTTGAAAGTCTTAGAAAACCAAAATGATCGACGCAGCACCACAACTTATTTCCGTTCTGGACTGATGAACCCTTCCTCTCTCCCAAAGTGCCTGTATTCTGCAAAGCGTAGTTTATGGAACATGTTGAGAACTCGTGGCAGTGTCAAATGCCGATGTTTGAAGAGGGGAAGGAATACACGAAAGTGATGACTGAATTGTGCATTACTCTGGGAGATGGTTTACCTTTGCTGCAGGTGATGAAAGTTGCATAAGGATTTACATTCGGGTTCTTGGTTCCAACTTCCAAATACGGGCAATGCTCAATGCCCTCCAGAAGTTCAGATACAGCACCTGCAGCAATAAGGACAACTGAGTCTCACACAGCATCACAAATATATAACTGATTTGGTATTGTTGGAGAGTAAAGAATGAATGTCAAGTTTACATGAAACCGTTTGATCAGCCACGTGAGCTGTTTGGAAGAAAAGAACACCAGAAACAGAAACATTTGAAAGGAAGATTCTACCCTTGTCTGTTGGATGATATTTCATGAAGCATTGTGCTGTTTTGAATAAAGGAATCGAATCTTGAAACTAACATCACGGAATTACTACTCCTCCCTCTTCTAAGTTTGCAAGTTCTGGGGAGAACGAATCAAACAATATTTACAGACTATCTTGCCAGTTGTTCTTGACAAGGTTTCAAAGTTCCTAAATCTCATCTAAACTGATATATTTCCCCATCACAGGGGATATTATAAGTTGATAGCCCTGCTACTACCCTAGCCTATCTGCACCCTCTCAGACGACTCTTCTACAACAGCTCTTGTAGCTTCAACAACTGCTTGTCCACTCACATAATGCTGCCGGCAAACAGGCATGTAAACATCAGCCCCAGCAATCAGCTCCACCTTTGTTTCATCTGTCTTTCGCAACGTGAAGAATGCACGCTTCCCGCAGAGCTCACAGCGAGCTGTCAACTTGGTCACAGAATCAGCAAGTGGGATTATGTCAAGAACAGCACCAAAACTCCTCCTGGGTCAACAAAGGAACGATGGTGTGTGAAACCAGAGGCACATTTTACGAACGGCAAGTTGGAAGCAGTGAGCTTTTAAGTTTTTACCTCCTGTAATCACCATCCAGGCCAGCTACTATCACAGTTTTACCATCCTGATCAGCAGCTTCACGGCAGAAATCATACAAGTCTCCAAAGAATTGAGCTTCATCGATCCCAATTACGTCCAGCTGTCACGAATAAGCTGTCTTTAGTATGATAGAATTAAGATCTATCCTCATGGATTCTGCTAAAAATGGTATTCAACATATAAATTGCCGTACCTGGTTGTAAGCATCAACACCAAGGCTTTGCCTGAATATTGACAATTTGGGCAATGACCAGCAGGGCAATTTCAGACCGTCATGTGTTACAATTGACTCCAATCCATATCTTGTATCCTTGTCCGATTTCACAACAGCCACACTTCTGCAAAACATAGACAAGAGAAGACCACTCAATTCATTTAACAAAGTAAATCAAGCATCTTGATTCCACATTACTCTAACATTTCAGGGATATAACTCAACTTCCAAATTTATCATGATCTAATGCTCGTCGATCTCCAAATCACAGACAGCATCCTTTAAAACGCTCGTCATCTCGAGAACCAAGCTCTCTATCTCCTCTGACTTTCTATGGGACTTATCCCGAGTTAAGAACAAATGGACCTCCCCATGAATCTCAATCCAGCTATAAGCAGGCTCTTTCATAATATCAAGCTCTTTCATTACCCCCCTTATCTCTTTCACACGGTCCCAGAACCCACGGTTCGCATATGCATTCGACAATACCACGTATTTATCAGCATTCCCCGGTTCTAACTCAAAGAACTTTCTAGCTGCAATCGATGCAAAATCCATATCTCCATGAATCCTACAAGCACCAAGCAAAGCACCCCAAGTAGCTGAATGGTCCTTAAGTGGAGAGCTCAGAACAAAATCATAAGCTTCTTGGAGTTTGCCAGCCCGGCCCAAGAGATCAACCATGGCAGCATAGTGCTTCCCTCTCGGCTCAATCCCATAATCTTTCATCGATGAGAAGTAATCCCAGCCTTGATCAATCAATCCTCCATGACTGCAAGCAGATAACACAGCAAGGAAAGTGATATAATTTGGCTGAAACCCTTCTTCCTTCATCATCCTAAACAATTCCAAAACTTCTTCGACTCTTCCATGCTGGCCATACCCCGAGATCAGAGAAGTCCAGGTCACCACATTCCTATTCGAAGTTTCATTGAACACCTTCTGTCCATCAGCTAGGTCGCTGCACTTGAAGTACATATCGATAAGGGCACTACTGACAACCACGTTATCTTTAACCTTGCACTTAATCAGGATGCTGTGAGCTTGCTTCCCGAGCTCCAACAAAGCAAGAGTTCCACACGCTCTAAACAGGGAAGAAAACGTGTATTGGTCAGGTGTCAAGCCGTTTCGTCTCATGTCGGAATAAAGACTGAGTCCCTCTTGTTCGAACCCGTTCTGTACACATCCCGAGATCATGGCATTCCAGGAGATCAGAGTTTTATCAATTAAGGAGTCGAAGAACTTGAGTGAGGTTCTTAAGTCGCCGGATTTTGCATAGAGGATCAAGAGCTTGGTCTTGAGATATTCAGTGGGAAGATAGCCAACAATGATCATTTGTGAATGGATTCTTCTCCCGATCTTATACCTACTCGTGAGAATACATTCTTGCAACATAAGCGAATAGGTTTGATCACCCACGGCTGATTCAGTACTCCACAAGAGGCTCACAGCTTCATTCAATCTCCCGGAGAAACAAAGTCCCTGTAAAGTTCTATCCAACTGGAGCAGATTTCTAACCTGAAAGCTGGGAACTTCTGCTATTTATAATTGGGTTCCAAAACAGTTGAAATATACACAAATTGCTCGGAACCTAACCCGTATCAATCGAACCACATAGTCGCTTGAAAATGCACCAAATTCCACAAACCACATATAACAATCAAAACAGACCAATGGGAAATGAAAAGAAGCAGAAAAAGGTTAGGCGGAATGGAGCAGGGGATCGTACCTGCCATTTTCGCTCTCGGACTGAATTCGTCGGAGGAGACTGGTGGTCTTGCCGGCAAACATCGGACCCACGATGACGTGGATTTCGCCTGAGGGGTAGGACGCCGTCGAATCACCCGCAGCTCCCGCCAGCCGAAAGTTCCGATTTTGAACGCGAGAATACGCCGGCCCAGATGAACCCATGATGGGTCTGAGAGATGGAGAAGCAGGGAACTGAATAACTGCGGGAAAATTGAAGAAAAGGGTCGACTTGGGAGCTGCGGAGAAGAAGGCGGCAGCGTTGGGGAAAGCCGGCGCCACGGGGAGGGAAATTTGAAGGGGAAACAAAGCCTTCATTCTCGAGACCGCAAACATCTAACAAAACGAAACGTGGTTTGCTGGGTGAAGGTTCAATTCGTAGCAAGAGATGGACTTGGCATTGTGCGATTTCCTCTAAAAATTAGGGTTTCAGGGAATGGGGTTTTTACTGATGCACTTCGAAGCGAGAGAAAGCTGGAACATTTTCCCGCAAAAAAATGAAGCGACCCGCCGCAGTTGTATTTCATCACGGCCGTTCATTTAGCTGACAGCTATCGTTATGCTGTACTTTGTTCTCTTCGTTGATAAATCAGAAATCACGGCCCAAAGAGGCAAAAGTTTTTGACTTTTTCGCATAATTTACTCCCCACTTTTGTCTTCAGTTGTTGTTCTTGTTTGTCACGGTTATAATCGAGGAGATTCAAATTTTCAAATAATATGTTTGTTAAGCTCTTGAGGTATTTTTTGTTGATCATCTTGGTCGTGTTTTCAAATTCACAATTTAGTGATAATAATATTGCATAGACGTGAGTGAGCATGTATAACAATATGTGAATAATTACCTAGAAATTCGGATTTCATTTGTTCCATCTTCTATGTAAAGTTGTGTTAAGCAAACCAAATGGCATCAAAATGTTTGGGTTTAATAAGAAATAGTATGTATATTAGTATATTATGTATACATTGTGTTGATTATGCTTCCCCACTGCCACCACCAAAATGTTTGGGTATACAAAAATTCGATCACATGAAAATTAGGGAGATTAAATTGTTCTAAATTTACCGCTTATGGAAATTACCTCCACAAAGAAAATATTTTATGTCATATAATCACTTTTGGTATAGATATGTAGTTAATGACTACCAGATGAGTCTGGTTTTATATTCGTTTAAGATAAAATTATGAACGAGACATAATGCTATTTTATAGGGAGAAAAAAACAATTTCATCGATCCTGTCAATTTTCATATTATTATGTTTGGTATTTTGAATGTAGCATAATGAAAAAACTTTACCATCAACTTCGAGATCATTTTAATGACTCATGGTTGAATTAGCATCATGTTTGCAAGAGCGTAGGATGGTGGCCTGGTACATAAAGAGAACAACACTGCACCCACTCGGAGACCCAATCATAGGATATGGTCATGTTAAATTTGGTTATTTTGTCTACAACTCTTCATGCTAGATCTATATGTGGTATAATTATAAGAGAGGGTTATCAACTCGTAAAGATTTTCAAGGTCGATATGGAAGGTGAAACCATTAAAAGAATTGAGATGCTGTGAGACTGTGAGTTTTGCACGGTCTCGAGGTGGTAGGGTGTTGAGGTTCAAAGCAATAGCTCTATAGATAGACTTTGGTGACTCTCTCCTTGATCAACATTCTGATTATTCAAATCTAAACTACACATATGTTACATTGCTTTGTAATTTGCTATGTTATAACTAAAATGTTTGTCTTGTTCATATAATTCCAGAGATATGTTAAAGATTTTTTACCCATCAAATTACAAGACTTTCTTAGGTGCACATATTATTCAGTTTATAAACTCCAGCTTTAACTAATTGAATTATGTATTTGCAGTATTACATTATTGCCACTCCAAATCTGGATTGATTTATAATACATATTTAGAGCGCTATTTTACAACCTATTTCTACAAAAAAAAACCAAACCTTCTCCCCTTCCCTCTCTTCCTCACATCTACTTCCCCTCTTCTCTCTCTCCCTCTCTCTGTCTGGTAAATACCAAATCGCAATTCCATTTTAATTCATATAAATACAAATCCCAATTGAAATCCAGAACACTGTCAGTAAATTTATAACAAAGAAGAGAGAAAGGGAAGAAGGAAGGGAAAAAAGGGGAAGAAAGAAAAGAGAAAGAGAACCAAAAAGGGGAGAGAGCCTTAGCTGCTCACACCCTCTTCTTATTCTTTTGTTGTTGTTGTTGTGAGGCCTTCAGATCTTGAGATTCTCTCTCAACTCTCCCCCTCATCTGGGTTCTCTTTCTCTTTGATCAATCAACCTGTTCTTTTCTTTGTTCTTCTGGGTTCTTCTTCCCCACACAGGAAGAAAGGGGAAACATTAAGGAAAAGAGGAGAGAAAAAACTGAAAAGCCTGCTCCTTTTTGGGTAATTGCTATCTGCGTTTTTGGATCTTATTAGTTATTACACATTTCTTCGTCGAAGCTTTTGTCTTCCCTTCATTTGGATTACTGGGTGGCGATCGGTTTCCTTTTGGCCTCATCATACTTTTCGATTAATCAGTTAAGAGTTCGTAAAGCCTTTCTGGATTGAATCCAAGAGTACCCACTTGAGATAGAGAGACATCCCTGTATATAAACATCTGAGTGAGCTTTTTTTTCTGCTTGACATCTGCGGCAAGGTATTATTCATTTCTAGCAGCATTTTGATGTTTCTTCGTAGGTGGATTGCTGGGGATTTTTGGATTGTTCATGGTTATATAGAATTGTGTGTTTTGGTTAACAGATCCAGCTGTTTGATTATCATCAGAATTGCTGAATTGAGAAACGATTGGTTTTTGCAGGATTTGGAAATGGATCTCGGAAAGCTGTTCATTGGTGGGATTTCATGGGACACCAATGAAGACCGTCTGAGAGAGTATTTCCAGGTATTTGGGGACGTTTTGGAAGCTGTGATTATGAAGGATCGGTCCACCGGTAGAGCCCGTGGCTTCGGCTTTGTTGTCTTTGCTGACCCTGCTGTTGCTGAACGAGTTGTGATGCAGAAGCACCTCATAGATGGTCGAAATGTAAGTTCAAGATACTCAATTTTTGGTCCAACAATTCATGATTCGATTTGTGTGTCATTGCTAATTGAAGGTAGTAGTGAAAGTGTGGTTGGCATCAAGGTGACTTGAATTATGGATTTAAAGCTTATGATAAATGGAACCTTGCTTGGGCGCATTGAAAAACATGAATTGTGAATGAACGTCACAATTCACGATTAGAATTTCCAGATCATGAATAATAGGAAAGAGCGAGAGATATGAATCTAGAAAGTGATGTCAGTGATCCTAGGTAGGTGCATCATATGATTATATTTATCACAGTTGATCATTGCTAGGCTGATGAACAATCTGAGATAGGCAAGTAATGAGCTTTATATACAAAAATCGTCCAATGAAAATGCAATGCTAGCATTGATGCATGTCTTCTGATAAGTATGGTTATTTAGTAGTGGTCATCCTTTTGTTTGATGAGCTTTTGATCATCAGGTTGAGGCGAAGAAAGCTGTGCCTAGGGATGATCAGAACATTCTGAACCGAACCAGCAACAACAGCAGCCTTCATGGATCGCCTGGTCCAGCTCGGACCAAGAAAATATTCGTAGGAGGTTTAGCATCGACAGTGACAGAGACTGACTTCAAGAATTACTTTGATCAGTTTGGAACAATCACTGATGTTGTTGTCATGTACGACCACAACACTCAAAGGCCAAGAGGTTTTGGGTTCATCACCTTCGACTCAGAAGAAGCTGTGGATAAAGTGCTGTACAAGACATTCCATGAACTCAATGGCAAAATGGTTGAGGTGAAACGGGCAGTTCCAAAGGAACTATCCACATCTGGTCCGACCAGGTCAAACCAGTTTGCTGGATATAACTACGGAATTACCAGAGTCAATAGCTTCCTCAATAGCTACTCTCCTCAGGCACACAATCCAACTTCTCTTAGAATGGATGGTAGGTTCATGCCGGTCACTGCAAGTCGAAGCAGCTTTTCTCCATTCAATAGCGGGTATGGATCAGGTCTAAATTTCGAGCAAGGTCTGAGTCCAAGTTACGGTGGCAACTCAAACCTTGGGTCAAACATTGGGTTCGGCCGGTTGAGTCCTTCATACAGTGGCAATTCGAACAGGTACTGGAGCCCCATTGGCTATGGAGGTGGAAATAATTCGGGCTTGAATCCTGTTTCTCGTACTTTGTGGAGCAATGATAGCATTTCTCAAAATGCAAACTCAAACGGTAGTGGCTGGAACTCGGGACTCAGTTCCTTTTCTGGAGCTCTTTGGGATTCCTCAGTGAATGCAGGGCCCGGTGGCGGTTTGGGCCCCGCGTATAACAATGTTGGTGGAGGAGAGTTTAGTATTGGACCAGGAGGAGGATATGGGAGAAACAGTGGGGCCGGTTTTGCACCTGTGGCATCGCGTGCTGCTGCTGCAAATGGAGGTTATGATAGGACGGCTTATGCTGACATTTATGATAATAGTTCGCTCTATGGAGATTCTTCCTGGAGATCCTCAACTTCCGAGTTGTTTGATTCCGGAATTGGAAATGCAGCTTCGGATGTTATTACCAAGAATACTGCAGCTTATGCTGGTGGTTATGGCATTGCTGATAGACAGTCAGATAGAGGTAAGCTCACGCCTTTGCTCAATATGAACATGCTTGTTTGCTGAATTTTTGTTTATCATTTTTGGGCTATAATCAATGCATGAGATCAGTACTTGTTTAGCCACAGAAACAGCTTGCATTTACCTTAAATTGTTTGTATCTTGTTTGTTTGACAGCTTCCCGAGCTTTGCAGGCTAAGATTCTTGTCTTTTCTTTTTGGTTTTATTGTTCTGTTTCAGGAATTGCTGCTTAGGATGAAAACAAAGATTGCTACTGTTGGTGAAAGAGTACATCATCAACATTTGAAGTAAATGTGGTACATTACATGTTTCTTGGACCTGAAGTTTACTTTCTTACCTTTTTTCCCTTACCCCCCTTTGATGTTTATGTGAGGAGGAACTTGAGATTAGTGCTAATCAATTTATCGACGATATGGTTAGAGAGCAGAGCAGGAGAGAACAATTCAGTCAGGAGGAATTTCTTGTGTAAGGTTTGAGCTTTGAGGAGGAGTTTTTTTTCTTTCTTCTTTTCTTGTTTTGTTATCGTCTTCTTTTACTATATATAGTGGTTTTAATTTCCTTTTCTCCTTCCCAACTTGGGAATATCTGGAACTTTTAAGATGTAAAATCAGGAGTTTGTGGGTATACATCAGAGATACTGTATCAGTGTTGACAGAGATACAGAAGGCCACCCAAAAAAAAAAAAAAAAAAAGATGAAGAACAGTGTTTTGTTTGGGTGTTTTTTCCCCCCATTTTTTACTCTTTTAATTATTTTCTTTGGGTATTGGGTTCTTCAAGTTCTTCATGTGGCCGCAGAAAAACTGTTTAGTCCTTGTCAAGTGCGGATTTGGATTCTTAATTAGGGTTTGTACAAGTTGATTGGTTTTCACTAGTTAAGAGGGATAGTTACTACTCTCCATTCCCTCTTCTGGAAATAATAATTTTTACAGAATACTGATTTATGTCCATCTCTCCATTATTTTTTGTTGGGGATAATATTTACTAATTAAGCATTTTCTTTCGAGTTCGAATTCAAAGCATGGTGCATGAAACCATACCGACGGTTCAACCACGAAATACTAGTATCGGAGGCTAAAACGGTTGGCGATATTAACGGTACTAACGGTTGAATTATGGTTAAACCACGGTTTTTTTGCCCGAGTAATATCAGAAAGAAAGTTAGAACAAACACTACCCAAACGCCCTCCCCATCCCGCTAACAAACCAACCTACAAAGTCAAAGGAAGCTAACTCTAGCCGAGACAGCAACAGGGCTTTACGCGCCACTCTATGGGCAGCCCAGTTGGCAGTCCGCGGAACCGCCCTAAAATCTATACAAAGAGACAAAGATCCAAGGATACTCCTACAATCTCTAAGAATGGGGCCACCCACGGAATCCTCCACTGCACCAAGGCTAAGCTGAAGGATGACCACAGCCGCATCTCCCTCAATGATGACACGAGGCAGAATTCTAGAAGCTGCAAGAGAGATCGCATCCCTTGCCATAAAATATCCTACTGCTGACTTTCCTGGTACGGTCTCCGATATGGTTTCATGGACCATGATTCAAAGTGGGATGGATGTATTTTGATTTTAATGATTCGGTGTAGCCTACCTAATAAAAGTTTAGAATCTTTATTGTCAAGGAAATAAAAGGTGAGAAGGGATGGTACTTTGGAAGCCCTACCTAATAAATGTTTAGAAACTATTTTTGTTAAGGAAATCTTATTGTAGTACTTTAGCCTCAACATAAGAGTGGTTTGTAAGTTTTGATTCTAGAAAATGTGTATATTTGACAAGGTTAGTTCTAGGAATTGTTTGATTTTAGAATTGAAGAAATGATGTACACTTAAGAAAGGCTACGCATAATTAGCTTATAATTTTCCTTTGTACGAGATTTTAATAAAGACCTACTACTCAACCAAACTTCGATCTATACTTCTTGACACCACCCTAGTTATTTTTATCCCCTACTCAATAACTACTTAGAAAATGAACATTTCTACTATTTATTGGGGTGAAGCGGCAGATTCAGATTAATAATCTATACAAAAAACTTGATATCGATAAATAAACGGACTATTGTGTTAGTTACTCCAATTATTATTAACAAATTCGTTAAGAGTCAAACCCACTAATTTGATTGCTAATGACCCTAGAATTTTAGAGATTATTTTTATAACAATTGACCCAAGAATAACAAAAACACGGATGCATTTTCACGGAAAAATCCAAAAGTACCACTGTTTAAAAAAAAAATCCAAAAATACCGCTCAATCCCAAAAAATTCCAAAAATACCATCATTTTTCAAAAACCGCCACCCCACCCTGCGGTTTACACGAAAACCGCTGGGCGGGGGCACGGTTTTCTATGCAAACCGCTGGGCGAAGGGGCGGTTTTGGAAACCTGACCAAACCGCTGGGTGGGGTGGCGGTTTGGTCCAATTTTTTTTTTCCGATCAACTCCTAACTTCGGCCGAAACTTCAAACGAATGTAACTTTGAACTCGGGTATCCGATCGTAGTGATTTTTTTTTGAATCCGAATAACTTTTCGATAGCTCCTTGAATAAGATCAAAGTGTGTGGCCAACCCCACCTACCTAATATTCTTCACGTATTCATTCAGAATTGCATGAATGGTCACTTTACTCTGGGAATACTAATGATAAAATTTGAAACAACTAACTATAATAATTTCGGCTGGATTGTCCATCCAAATTGTTTAATGTAATGTGTCAAATCATCTAAATTATAAATAATTGAAGGGATACATAGACACCAATCAAGTTAAATGAACCATCCTCTCAAACTACACTCATAGCCTAAGCGAATTTCAATCAGCGTACTGGTCGTTTAACTAATTCATTTCCTTCTCTACGCAATAGCTATTTAGATGTTTACGTTTGTATGAGTTGACAGAACAAAGAATATACAAAACTGGACAACGATACACTTTATCCGTGATTATTCCAAACTTCACTGTAAAAAAATCATAACTTAAGTGACTGATTTATGAGTAAAACCTTCAATCTTTCTTTTGGAAGTAAATTTAGCTTTCTCCCCACCATCCATTTCCAAGAACTTACTATTAGGGTGGATTCTCCTTTACCTCCCAAATATAGCAAAATCCCCACCACCACTTATTTAATTTTTGTTCTTTCATTTTGCCCCCACAAATTCATATAATAATAAATGAAAGCCACAAGAACACCCACGTTTGCTGAATTTTGACCCTACAACCTTACCCATTTCTTCATCCCACTTGAGAAACAAAATGCGACACTATGGTCCAACAAATTGACAACATTCCGCATACAGCTACCCCAAAGCAAGTCATAATTGCGAAAACTGACTGTTTCTGAGAAACAATTGGTGGTATCTATGGCTCCAACTTTGTCTATTACATCGAATATAAAAGGGAAAGAACCAAAATGAATCAGAATTCAGCTTCAAAAACAACAGTAATGGCCCTCTCCCACTCACTATACCAAAGGAAAGCCCCCTAGCTCTGACATTTGCTTCCCCTCTACTACTAGTTTGATAGTACCCTCTACTTAGATGGCAAAAATAGTGTATCGAATGTAATCGTCACTCAAATTAGTTACACTTAAGACTTAAGTTTGGATCACAAGAGGCTGTTTCATATGACAGCAGAAGCAGAATGATATTAACAGTTTGTGCTAGTTGAAGGCGATGTAGTGACTGAGGCTTACTACATATGAGCATCATCCACCCTTTTTCTCCATCCGCTCCTTTTCCAGGATGAACATTCCTTCTTTGTACTTCTGGCTCTCCTCCTTAGCTATCTCCTGAAAAAAAAAAATCATATTGTGGTTGGAAAGAGCGAATCAGTTAGTAAATCGAGCAAATGCAATGGAACGATTAGCATCATACTTTACAGTTACTATAGAAAAGACAAGATGCAAGACCAATGCTGTTTCAACTGGAATGGATACGAACGATTGACATGGAGGGGAAGTTTCTTCCTTAATGTTTGATTAGCAGAAATGAATCAATATACTAGAATGCAAGTTGGGGGGCCAACTTGGTGTCCCATAATCACAGACAGCATGAATGGTGATGCACATGATGAAGGTTACAACTTACAAGTCAATCAATATTCAATACCAACAATCTGTTAAAAATGAACTCTTAGCTAGAAGAACGTTACTGGCAATCCACACATGATTAGGTACACATGTGACATTAAACTATGCCAACACGGTCAAGTAAAGTAAGTATTCTTCTCTGCCCTGTCTTAATATTCTGTCCTATGCACATAGTAATCTGCAAGCAACTACGTGTTTATCTGAATAATAAGGTCTGCCAGTAATGCAGTGGAAGAATCCACTACGTCTATGTCAATGAAAATGGAAAAGAAAAAGAGGCTGTATCATCTTACATATCTCCAACCGACTAGCTGCATGCAAGAACTGCAGTAAATGTCATTAACAACATGAAATCCACTTGAAAGAAATCGCGGTTCGCTGGATCCGATTACTATATTGACCCTAAAAAACAGAAGATATGGGAAAACAATAAGGTTAGATGATTAAACACAATCCAACTCGACTGCATTTTGCCAACAATTCATCTGTGTATGTGTCAGGTGCATTCACTAAGGACATGATTGAGCTCAGCTCTAGATCCAATCCAAAACCAACTGCAAGATTCCGATGTCTAGCAGAAGAGAAAGTACTATTAACCAAGTTGTGATATTATCTATTGCAAAAGCCGCCAACGGAACAAATCTGTCGTTCTCCCCATTATCAATCACCTGAAAAAGCTCATTGGAACGTGCATAGACACCACCAGCTTTCACATTCTGCCAAAAAGAGAATCAAGAAGCAGTTCCCCGAAAATCTCCATGTGAGCTCCAAAGGATCTCTTTTTCTAACTAATTACTAAAATATCTCTTTAAAAAACTGAATCCTTCGAATTTCCCTCTATATATATAAAAATCTATTAGGCGTTTCCTTCACAAGGGGTTGCATACCGTAGTGGTGGTGTGGTTTCTTGATCGCTAAAGATGCCATCTTTCTATCGATTCTAGGCCATCGAGATTTCTGTTTTCCTGTGGCTAATCACACGCAACGGGTTGGCCAATCTTGGGCAAAGTTCCTAGCATAGCAGAAAGATCTCCATTGAACAGACCAATTCTTCTAATCTTTACTCTGCAGGCTCAATCACTAAGAATCCCAACTTGGCAACCAAATCAGAACTCACAGTTTCTTTACTCTTCTAACAGACAATGCATCAAACACCTTAGAGACACAACCCCAATCGAAATCCCCAGATCAAGAAAGGCAAAGACGAGAACGAGAAGTTGCAGGGGTGGGAACTCACACTTTCCTGAAGAGATAAGCGCGGCCATAGCGACCCTGAAACTCCTTGGACTGGATGTCATCGTAGGAAGCGGAATCGACCCTGCAGCCCTTGCACATGAGCACCTTCTCTCCCTTCGCGTCCTCAATGAACAATCTCCCCATTTCTGCTTGCTTTCTTCCCCCCTAAACGGAAGAACACCAAGAAAATGAGAAAAGATCATTCCTTTCCGGTCCCCTATAAATTCACCCCTTTTCCCCAGAATCAAAACCACTAATTTCTTACGATCTGAAGAACTTCCGACTGAGAAATCGATGGTTCTCCTCGGAATCGAGAACGGCAAGCTAGCTTTCTTTCTTTCTTGCCCTACCCTCGCCGACGGCTCCGCCAGCCGATTTGGGGGCAGAAGGGCTGTGACCAAGTGTGATGAAGCTGGACCAGCGGAGTAAGTCTCCGTTTAGCGAGAAATATAAAAGAAGGAAGAAAGACGTTCCTCTGACTTCCGCTCTTATTAGTGGTGACGGTTTTAACCGAAATGACGGCCATAGGTAATTAACTACCAAGTAACGACATCGTTCCTTCGCGCCATCGCTTAACGGTTTTGGAAAAGGGAACGCAACCGTTAGTGAGAAACGATGTCATTTCAGCTATGAGGATTAGACATTTCCAAATCTCTTAACTAGTTAGGCAAAAGATCACACACTAAAATGGAATCAAAACAATTTCATGACAACATAAAATGATCATAAATCAATGGAACAAAAAGTATCATTTGTCAAAGGAGAAAATAATGAACATATTTAATAATCAGATAATTTAATTTCTTATATTAAAAAATTATAATCGTGCATTTTATTAGTCACAACTAGTAATCTGTTTCGAATTTAATCAAAATTATTCCGTAGACAATACACGACATGACGCACAAATAATGTAAATTTGCCAAAATATTTTTCAATATCTTTCCTTTTTACTGGAAATCTTTCATTCTTACTTTACTTTGTACTATATGACCGTCTTAAATTTATTGAATATGACACAGGAATAGTGATTAAGTACTAATTTATGAAGACCCATATACAACCACGAATTAGAAAACCAAGCAACAGAAGCTACTTAATGAATATAATTGAGTAGAGAAGGGCCAAAATCACCATAGGACTTAAAAGGAATTTCATAAACATTTGTGAACCCCCTTCTTCAGATAATCATCTCATTTACATTTTGCCCACTCCCATAGACAACACTGATCTCTCTAAATCAACTGGCCACATGAACAAGTGAACTACATGGAGACACAAGTGAATGGAGAAGAACAACAAGAACCCTAATTTCTTCATACGTGGCTTCTAGGATGGGGGGCAACACATATACTTCATTCAAATGCTAAACATCTAATCACAAACAAAAGAAACTTCCTTAATCCTTCACCTAAAGCTCCAAGATCAACAACACCCGCCGCCACCTTGTTTAGCTGCCTCACCCTCTGGATTTTCACCGCCTGGTTCACCATCTCTCTGCAGAACCACTGTCTTCCCGTTCCCCATCTCCGGGGCATCCTGTTTCTTGAGCTCCTGAGATATAACTTTCCGGCTCAATATGTTGTAGATCTCCTTCACAACCGTCTCGAAAGCAGCTGTCACGTTGGATGAGTCCAGAGCAGAAGTCTCCATGAAGAACAAACCTTGTGCCTCTGCTAAAGCCTTCCCTTCTGCTGTGGGCACTTCTCTCGCATCCTTGAGGTCCGATTTGTTGCCCACAAGTATCGTTACTACATTCATGTCAGAGTGAGCTGAAACAAATACAATCTTTCAGTCTAACTTCTTATAAACAACTATTGAAATGGACCCAACAAATCTTCTACAATGAAAAGAAAGTTTCTAAAGCAAAAACTAAAACGATTACATCTTTACTTTTGGTTTGAATAATGAACACATGTGATTAATCTGTAGATTCTGTCCAATGACAGGCTATATGCATATGCAAAGAAAACAGAAAGCATTTTCTCTGACATAGTACAGATAAAAGTTCTGCTTAAAGAAAAGATCATCTTCAGGAGATGCCAACATCCAAAGATGTGAGATCTAAGTCTGAAAGATCCAAACTTCAATTCAAGATCAGCTATGGAGAAAGGACCGAAAAGAAATGTGCTTACTGTGAAGTTCATTGAGCCATCTGCCTATGCTCTCGAAAGTTTGGCGTCGGCTGATATCATACACCACAAGTGCTCCAACAGCACCTCTGTAATAAGCAGATGTAACAGCTCTAAACCGCTCCTGGCCAGCTGTGTCCCAGATCTGTGCTTTAACTTCTTTACCATTGATATCGATCTTCTGAGTTTGGAACTCGACCCCTATGGTTGATTTTGAATTAGGATAAAATTCATCCCTCGCAAACCTGGCCAGCAAATTCGACTTCCCAACAGCTGAATCACCGATCAATACTACCTTGAACAGGTAATCATCCGCACTATCCTCTTCAGAGTAGAATGCCATCTTCTTCCAAGCTTCACAGTTTCCTACACCCTATGGAAGCATATTATAATCCAAATCTTCCCATGAGTATTTTGCTTGAGTGACAATTCTCCCCTGGTTAAGACAAAGGAGGTAGAGTTTAGAACAACCCAAGAAAACTTGAAAGGTGGGGTAAGTATAAAGATAGCAGGGGGCCAGTTGGGTAGACAAAAGGAGAAGCAAGTTACTCTATTCCTTTTTAATCATTCCATCATAAACCTTCCATCGCATAAAATATATAGCATTGCAGTGATTATCTTATATGCGAGTCATGATTGAACCTTGATATATTTCTTATTACACGCAATTAGTTCATCTTTCCTAATGCGTTTAAGACTAACCCTTTTCATGAAAAGTTACAAAAATCAGTAGTATTCTTAAACTGGAATCTCTAGCTATAATGCTCCCAAGCTTGGCCACCCCACAGAACAGTGGACTCAGCAAAATTAGGCTTAGAGAAACTGGAGAACAAAGGACAATCATTTTTCCAAATCCCCATAAAAAGAGCAGACAACTTCAGGGCCGTACATTTACTTCAAATGAGCAAACTGCACCCTTAAAACAGAGTTTTGGAAAAAGAAAGATGTAATGAAATACAGAACAGACCCAAATGAACTTAGAAAAATGATCCCTGGCCTAGCTATGACGCAGTAGCAGGTAGCACCACTCAAACAAAAGGAAACCCTCTCAAGCCCCAAGGACGGATTCTATTTTAAACCCCTGGAATTGAAGGTTAAGGCAAATCAACAGATCACAAAAAGAACCGGCTCCCATTGCCGGATCAAAACTGGAGAAAACAGCCAAAATGGTCGAACTATAATCATCACCTCAACAAACTCCCGCGAAAAAAACGAAAACATTTTCCTCATTTTATCTCCTCCGGCGAAGAACCCTAAAAGCAGCCCACAAATGAAAATGGCGGGGAGCTAGTAAGATGAATTTACCCGGGAAACGACCACGGCACCCTCTTCCTTGCTCTCCTTTCAATTGGGTCTCCGGCGAGAGAACAAAAAAACAGATGGAAGTAACGGAACAACCCAACACCAGTAACAGCAGGACTACTGGGGGTGGATCTGATCGAGCAAGGATTTCAACAATGCAAGCGAGACAAAGTGAGACAGAGAGATATACGAAGAACAATGAATCAGAAATGTAGGTCTGATTTGAATTGAATTTGGATTGGGGTTAGGTAACGGAAGGAGAGAAAGATGGAAGAAGGGCTCGTTTTTTAGGCTGAGGATGGAACGTAAGGAAGGAAGGAGAGAGATGACTGGACAATTGAAGAAGAAGAAGTGAGAGCGAAGGGAAAAGGGAAAGAGAAGACGGAGACGGACGGGGGAGAGAAGTGGGACCCACCCAATTGAAAGCCTCGACTCGAAGCCAGATGGTGCCGTCACAGTGGGCCCGCGGGTCAGGGGGGGATTTAAGTTTGGGCCCGACTGGTCCGTTTTCCCTTAGTGGGCCAGTTATCCACGTACTGTTTTCTTTTGTCGTTTTCGGGCTTTCAGTCCACTGGATGGATTACTAATTTTACTATATGGTTCACTCAGTTACCATCCTTGGTCGGTCCAAGGAAGGGAGTTCAGCACCAAAGAATATATGTGGTTTCCTCACTAAATTATATGAAGTTTTCCAATAATTGAGACCAGAATCGAACCATTGGACAAGTACGATACCCGACTCAAATCACATAAAAATAATAAATCGACTCATTAAGAACGTCACTGAATTCAAATTGTATCACGAATTGATGTAATAATCCAACCCATATATAACCATGGTAATGTAGAACAACAAGTAGTCAATCCTTAACAAAATGACATAACAGAAGCTACTTATATCTATAAGAATGAGAAATTTGCACCGGCCGGCTATGATCCTGATTAATCAAGACGGAGATGGGACATTGCGGCGTCGCAAATGCTCAACCACCGCCGTAGCTTCCGAAAGCTCTGCTCGAATGAGCGATACTTCTTCTTGCCAAGCAATCAAGACCCTGTCCCCAAGCAATCCCTCCTCTGTTTTTTCCCTGACAACTTCCCCTGAAGACGGTGCTCTGCCTCCATCTCCTCCCTTCGCCTTATTTCGATCAATGTCATTGTCGCAATGTTGCCTAGCCTTAAGTACTGCAGTCCAATCTTCGCCGTAGCGGTCTTCGTCGTCGTAATGAGCGGAGGGCAAGGTACAGAACCGCGTGGCGAACGTAGCAACGCAGAGACCCGTGAAGGAGGCGAGAGCGAGGACGAGGTCCGGTTCCCACGTGAACGATGGCGGGATGGTGGTTAAGAACACAATCGTCTGTAGGTGAATAATTATACACAATGACTCGAAGAATTGGAGAGCGTCGAATGGTGGAATGGAAGGGAGGACGGAATTCATCAGATTGTATGCCTTCCTCACTCCGATCGTTTCCGGTCTCTGTTTCTTCCCAAGAAAACAGAGCAATTACATGCCGTCACAAGAAGAACAAAAAAGAAAAAAACACTTTACAGTGCATGAATGGAGTTGGGCTTGCGTACCGTTTTGTAGAGGTAACGAACAAAGAACCAGCCTTGGAAGAAGACGATGATAGCGACCATGGATACGAGTCCATGGAAGAATCCTGGCTGAAGGGATTTGTTGGAATCGGAGAGGCGGATGAGCAAGAAACAAGTCAGCGTGAAGAAAGCTATCCTTTCGATCCAGAAGAGGACTCGCTCCACATACTGAATCACTTCCTTTGCAGCTAATTTCATGGCTGCAGAGCAAAGCTTCCTCGCCATTATGATAGAAGATTATAATTCCTCCGTGGCTTAGTTTGAGGACAGGCAATCCTCCTCTTTTATGATTATACTTGATTCATGCAAACTAATAATCCTACCAAGTAGAAACCCCAAACGAAAACACCTAATTCTAGTTAACCACTAAACTACTAATTCCCACTAATCACGTCATAATCCACCCCTAACAACCCCTAACAACCTATAATTAAATAATAATTATTATTAAAAATATAAGTGCACATGACACTATCCAAGTCCAACGGGAGTTTGCTCATGCTGCCTCTCAGATGTTCTTATTTTAGATAACTTCTAATTTGTTTTAAAGTATTGTTAAATTAAAGTACATCATATAATGTTAAAAGTATAAATTGAAATTATACCATAAGAAAATTTGTACATTTATATTATAGTACAACTTCAAACTGTACCATAATATAAAGGTAGTTTATATCATAAAAAGATTTATATATAAAAATATAGTTTTATCATAATTTTAAAGGTAAAACTTCAAGTTGTACCATAAAGATAAAAATCTAAAGCACCTATACTTTAAAGCAATGTAAAATTCCTCCTTAGGCATATATAATCTTAATTAACGAGGGTGGGATTTGATTATTGACCTGTCATATTAGTGACTTCCTGTTATGTATTTTTATACCAATTTTAGATATACTAGATTTAAACCCACCCGTTGGCCGGATGAATCACAATAATGATATAAATAATAACACTAATTATTTGAACAAAGTTGTATTTTATATGCTACCATGAACAAATCAAAATTATCCGACTATTAAAAATATCATAAAATGATATACACCATATGTTTTATGACATTTTGATCATTAAATTCAAGAAAAAAATATTTATCAAAAGTAAAAAGTACAACTCATTCAATAAAATTGACTCCTAAAAATTAGAATTCAAAATGCACTTCAATTTACTCTTTGTTGTTAGAAATTACTGAAAATTGTCTTTTGAATTTTTTTTTGTGATTGATCTCAACATGGCTTCGTCTTCATTAATGAAATTTTTATATTCACCATCGATAATATCTTTCTTCTTCTCCTAAATTTCATTGAAAACCAAATATTAATGTAAAATGTCCAAAAATATGAAACATCGATTTCGTGCTAGAGTTTATTTGGAAGGTATGGCAGATATCTCAGTGTTTAAGAAGCAGCAAGTATGATCAAGAAGGATGACGTAACTACTTTTTGGTTGTTGGCAACGTCATTTCATAAATTTTCATTCAGATTGGATAGTGAGATCCTTTATTTGTCGTAGTAAATTGATTGCTAGAGTTGGATTAAATTGGAAGCGAAAGAATGTTCAAACCTTGAACAGGAAGTATACGAAGAAGTTTATACAAATTCATGTTAATTCTCGAGGAAACGAATCTTTAAGAGGGAGTGTATGGATAAACGTTTAGTTATTATTATTATTATTATTATTATTATTATTATTATTATTATTATTATTATTATTATTATTATTGAGAGTAAGAATGTTTTCCAATATTTTTATATTCTTAGTCATCAAAGCTTCTTGCCCAAATTCTAATTCATTAATACATAACCCTGAATTTTTATAAATTTTTTCCAAACCAATCTTAGTGCTCTTAAGCTCCATCTAGCCTTAGTTACTACTTATCCACTTGTCTATTTCTCTCCTTAATTTTGGCCAATCTCGTTGTATCTTTCTATTAAACAATCTCGAGTGCTAAAATCCTGACTCTCATCACACTCACTACCTCCACCATTAGAAGACTCGTCCTTCTCATGCATTTTATCGAGATAAAAACTTTAATGGTAAAATATTTTCAAAAATGAACTATAATTTTATTGCAAGTAAAATTTATCCTTCCTTATCTTCGAAATTGCGTTCCCGCTTATAGGTTCTGCAATGCTATAACTGGTGAGCTTGATATCGAACTCCAACTCCATTATCTGAATATGTAGGAGTTAAGGAGGTGGAGGTCCTCTCATTCTATCACTGGCTTGGAATAGTTTCCTAGCAGACATTCCAAAAAATCTAGTTTCCGTGTGATTAAGAACAACAAAGTTAGATTTAGTGATTTTTTCACGGAATTGGATCCTGAATCTATAAAATGACAGCAAATGAGATTCACTATTTAGTAAAATAATTCATATTTTAGTATCTATGGTACTTTTTCTCAAATAAATGAATACGAATTTGAAAATAATGGAAGAGTAGAGATAGATTATTACTTGTTACCTATTTGTAGTCTTCCTAATATTATTGTACATTTTCCATAAAAGTAGTCGTTCGTAGTGTTCTTCAAAATTTTGTGATTGGTTGCATATGCAACATACTACTGCCAGTTCAGAACTTTGAAAACTTCTTTAACTCTCAGTGGAGAAGGTAGTTCATCTCCATCAGTACTTTTATCACAAAAACAATGATTATGGAATCAAATTTTGATTTTTTAACTCGTAACTTATAACAAATAATAAAAATACATATATTTACATTACATTAATTTCACCATAACCCAAATCAATCACTTCTGGAATTTGTAGATTTTCAAGCAAAGAAGTGAGTGCTTATGAGAAGAGTGTCTGCTCATTTGTAAAATCGCCGATCAATTAATTTACCAAGTGTATGAATGACATTAACTCGGCATCTAGCCCACCATGTAGAATAACCTTTATAATTTTTAAATTTATAGTAACTTTAGTGTGTCCGTGATACATATGGGAATGATAGTATTTGCAAACTCAAGTTGTTTTTCCATTCATCAATAAATAGTAATTAAATTTTCATAATGATATAGAATTATGCTAACATAATTCTATGCTTATATTCAATCTTTTAAGATCGAATTGAAGCATTATTTGACTGATGGGAAAATTTTTCAGAGACAATATTTCTCTGCGATATAGAACTGCCAAAAATAATTGCTAAAAATAATATGAAATAGGCACAATCTTAACAATAATTGAAATAAAGACATACTTAATGGCTAAATCATTGAGAGAGAATATCTTTGACATAATAATGTTGTCATTTTTTTGGCATAATACTGTGAAACTATTTGCCTCAACAGGCAGAACCACCTTTGAGAATATAAGTAAAAATCACATAGCAAGAAATTCATGACAATTTAATTAACCATCCATCACTAAGCACGTATTGTTGTGATTATATTTTATAGTGGATTATCTTCATAGAAGAACAATTATATAGGGGCAGTTCATCATGACAAACATGAATTTTACATTTCATAGATGTTGTTCCATCGATCAAACATACAACAGTTAGAAGTCTTCAATTCATGGAACTAAATGTTGTAAACACATTCATAATTAAGAAATGAATTATGGGAGTGAGTACATTTACAATGACGTTGGATAGGGACGACAACTTTGACCTAACTCATTTTTTCCGATCCATTTGACATGTTTTAATTTTGAGTGGGTAATACTCACCTCGTAAGCGAAACGGGACGCGTAGTTTTGTCTAAATTATATGTAATTTTGTCTAAATTATTACAGAGAAGATGTAAAAGTTTGACATTGTGTGTCAAATGTTTGGTTGTGGAATCCTTGCTTCGTCTTTGTTTCTCCTATTTATAGCCATCATTTGCAACCGACATGTAATTGACTCTTTGTAATTGTTGCTCCACTGCTTGGTGCTTGATGTAACCCGCTTGACCCCTTAACTGTCTTGCTTGCATCCCACTTGATAGCTTGATAGCTTAATGACTTCACTTGGCAGATAGCTACCTTATGTTGTGGAGGTATCTCACTTGACTTCAGCTTGATAGTTTGATGATATCATGCTCCACATACCCCCACTGTCAAGCACCTATCTACCCGCTATCTTTTGCATGACATCATGTGTCGAACCCCCCTTAAGCAATGTCATGCTTGACTCTATCACTAGAAACATTTCTGCCCTAACTCTACAGTCCACCGTAACCTTTTTGGTCATTCAAATAAAGACGTTCTCTACAGTACCCGCTACCTTTTGCATGACATCATGTTTGAACCCCCCTTGAACGATGTCATGCTTGACTCTCTCACTAGAAACATTTTTGCCCTAACTCTACAGTAACCTTCTTGGTCATTCAAATAAAGACGTTCTCGGTCCTCTTACTTTCGTGTCTGACTCATGCACCCCAATCTTACACTAACATTTTTTAAACGTGCGTACTACTTAGGAGTTTGAACCCCCCTTGACAATTAGGAGTTTCATATAAAACATGTACTACTTGGGTTAATCATACAAATCTGTCATGGAGGGTCGAATGTTTTCTCAATCTATATTTTTCTCAACTCGAAAGCACTCGACAACCTCCCTTTTCTTTTCGCTCCTACACCAACTTTTTCATTCTCCTGTCCGTCTTCACATGTCCCACTCTGTTGTACGCTGGGTACCACAACCACATTGTCCTACGCCACCTTCCATTCCTGTACGGGCTCATCATTTTCCAAAACTACCTCATCCTGCTGCTGCGCATCACACTCACCGTCATCACGCCGATCATCGACTCTTTCTACAAGTCTCCGGTGACGCTTCTGAAGGCATGGGTCGTCGACGATCCTGGCACCCATGTAAAGGGCACCGCCACCATCCTCGGATGGGCTCTGACCGTCGTCGGGATGGTGACATACAACGAGGCCACCGTTGAGGCTCTGGCCGTTCAGGTGAGCTTGTACCTCCACTGGGTTTGCTTGGTCAGGATAGTGAAGGTCAAGTTTGACTTTGGTCTCCAAGATAGGTTTGTTGTGAGTGCTGTGGTCAGGGCCTGGATGGTCAGTGGGTATGAGCGGAGCTTAGTTACTGTAGTGTTGGTGCTTCTGTGCTGGCCTTTTTGAGGTACAAACTAGATAAATACGATGCAGATTGATCTTAATCAACTCAGGGTTGGATTTGATTATGTATCTGAAAAGAATTACTTTGACCCGTCATATTTGTGACTTTCTGTTTCATTTTTTCTTCTTCGTTTGGATGATCGTCGATTTTTTTATAATATCGATTCTAGTTCTATTTCATCTCCAACAGGAATGAGAAGGTGAATCTTTGGCTATTTCATCAGCATTTTAATTACCACCAGTTTTTTTATATGTAATGAATTTACCGCTAGTTGTTTTACTAACATAGTTACCTAGCACGTTAGTCTAGTAAGTTTCATTTTATCATTCTACGAGGACATCTCATTTTTTCTTAACAAAAGAGCACTCGAATTAGCGAGAAAACAACTTATGTCATGAATATAATGTTTTACAATGAAATATTATTTAATTTGAATATGAGGTTTACAAAGTCTTGATGGAAGATGTTACATGAAGATGTGTCAACAAAGATACTCAAGTCAATTATTTTATATAAAATGCACGTGTCAGAAATTTTTTATATTTAATTATCTTTTTTGGAATAACAGTAAATCAATGATATGTACATTAACTAGCGTATATAAATAAAGGTAACGAACATTAGCACGTTAGACATCACATCATTTTAAAAAATTATATTTATAGCTGATGAGAAATTAATTTAAATTCCAAAATCAAAACACTTCAATATATACTTGTGTCAAATAAAATAGGTTTAAGAAAATATAAAATTGAGTAAGTGACAAGTATGAAGGGAAAATGTGAAAAACAAAAGAGAAAAGAGGGAACGCAAAATAAATAAAACAAATTGAGAACTTTTTATAAAGTTTAGTTAAAAATTACCTTATGATGCTTGTTGGGAGTAAGTGACAAGTATAATGAGAATGTTTATATTTTTATTATATAGCAATAATTGTAATTTCTATCTTCTTATAACTCAAATAATTATTATATGCTTTCGTCCTTTCATATTCCTGCACTAGACAATAGCTTATTTTGTAAAGGAAAAAAAAAGGAAGAAAAAAAGGATATTAAAAGGAAAGATTAATCTGTTTTAAATTTTAATCCATACCATCAACACATGTCCTATTCTCTCTCTCATATTGTGTATCAGAATGACAGAATTTGTTGTGACCAACGATAGAGAAAATCTTCAGGATTGGGAGAAATCATGGGCATTAGTAGAAAATAGCTTATTTTTTTATGGATGACAAAAAAAAAAAAATTACAAAGAAACAATGAATCCGTTTTTTTGTCTATACCAACATTGTTTCTTATACTTCCTCTCTCATGGAGACCCTCGCTGCTCTGGGCGTCTAGGTTTTGCTCTACCTCTACTGGGTGTGCTTTTTCCGATTGAAAAACGCGCGGTTCGACTTCAGGCTCTAAGATTGCTTTCTGGTGAGCGCAGTAGCCAAAGCTTGATTGTTACTTTTCTTGGGCTCTTTCTGATGGCCTATCTCAAGTATAAGTTTGAAAGGTGTGAGAACTACTGGAGATGGAGGAGGCGAAGAAGAAAAATGAGGTCAGATCGGATGAGCAGACACAGTTGGTGGCAAGCGGAAACAGGGAGGGGGGTTGATGATGTAAGATAACTTTTAGTGCAAGATAGTTTTCTCATTCTTAATATGCTTTATTATGAAACTCATGAGTTATAAAAGAAATATTAGTGTTACATTTGGTTTTAAGAATAAGGAGTTATTTAAGATTAATAACTCAAAAGAGTTATGTTCCTATTGTAATTCTTTCATGATGGATGATCGAGGATAACTTTGGATAAGTGGTAAGGGAAGTATCCCTAGAATAATTGGTTAGCAATCTAGCATAGTTCAAAGTTTACCCTAAATATGGAGATTGCATCAACTTATTGGTACCTAGGGATAGATCTATCATAAATTGTGAAGACTACCAAGAAATGACAAATTCCAACATTGGATTAGAGATGGTCGTATGATTCATATAATTAGTTTTATTGAATGCTAATGAATGTTCGCTTCTCGACTTCTCGTACATGTACAAGAACGATATTAATGATTGAGTTAGAAGATTTTACATGCATAGATCACTCTAGGGCTGAGGTTTGTTGAGATTTTGATTTTGGGGATTGGTTGACTCTATAGGATTGATGCTCGATGTCGATGTTTCTTGGAACTGTTGGTTGGGCTGATTATATGTGCTCTATAAGAAGATAACTTGTGTAGCCTAATTTGGGAAAATGTTTGAACTTCTAGATTGAGTTGAAGTAGATATGTCATATCCAAAAATGTAAACATAGTTATGTGACGAAACGTTTGCACTTCTAAATGAAACCCTTATGGTAAAAATGCAACCATACTTTTGTGTGATTAATGAAAATCCCATTTGAAAATACGGTAAAAAGATAAGGTCCTATTGGAGAAACAATTTGGACCCTATTTGGATTTCCACCTAAGCATTTCCCTCAAAGTAAAAAGACCAAACTATGTGGAGAGAAATCTTTGTTCCGCCTTATGAACCAAAACAATATTTATCCTAAAAAACAAAAAAGATCTCTATAATTAGCCAAGTCTTATCATCTTTTACCACGAAAATTTCTCCCACTCACAAGCACGGTTGAAAAAAAAATGTTACCTCATCAATCTCAAAACTAAACTCCAACCACAACTCCCTTCAATTCCCTTCCATTTGTACAATCTTTCTTTTATATATTTAGAGCCTCTTCTTTGCTCTCCCACTTAATTCTCTCCTCACCACCACACACACTCCATAGTCCCACCCAAAAAATAAAGGGAAAAAGAAAGATCCAAAACATATAAAAAATAAGAACACCAAAACCCACCAATACAAAGCCCTATTAACAATTACAAAATTCATCCAAAAAACCAAAAGAAAGACATATGTTTTTCACCTAGTAGGTGAAATCTTCAAGGAAAAAAATAAGGCAATTCCGTCATCGACCAGCACATAGAAAATGGTGGAAGGGGGTCCGGTGAAAGCGGACAAGACAGAGTTCACAGAATGTTGGAAGATCTCGTCAAAAAATCCTTATATAATGAAGTTGGCCTTCGCTGCCGGCATCGGAGGACTTCTATTTGGATATGACACTGGTAACACTTCTCTTCCTATTTCAATGATTCTAAATTACTCATCATATTTTTTAATCTGATTTTACGTCAAATACGAGATCGAGAAGAAACTCAATCCGATCTAAAATACATAACTTATATCTCTCTCTGATATGATTCAATAATGAAATTGACACTCTTTCATTGAATTCATATTTTCATAAACTAATTTATGAAATCACTTACACCTAATCTCGATCTAATCAAGATAAAACATTTCAAGAGAAAAAAGTATTTTCATATGTTTTGGGTAATCCACAATTCGCGACGACCAAGATTGTCGTCGCTATAACAAGAAACTTTACCGACACTTTTTTCCGTCGTCTTAATTATATTACCATGTCTTTCTTGCAGGAGTTATCTCGGGAGCGTTGCTATACATCAAGGAAGATTTCGAGGAGGTGGACAAAAGCACGTTCCTCCAGGAGCTCATCGTGAGCACATGCGTCGCCGGAGCCATCATCGGCGCGGCGGTCGGAGGCTACGCCAACGACCGGATCGGACGGAGGAAGACGATCATGGTCGCCGACGTTCTGTTCTTCTTGGGGTCCATCATCATGGCCATCGCCCCTGTTCCGGCCGTCATCATCGTCGGAAGGGTCCTCGTCGGTCTCGGCGTCGGAATGGCCTCCATGACCGCTCCCCTCTACATATCGGAGGCCTCCCCGGCGAAGATCCGCGGCGCCATGGTCAGCACCAACGGTTTGCTCATCACCGGCGGGCAGTTCTTGTCGTACCTCATCAACCTTGCATTCACCAGAGTACGTCAATTAATTATTTGTGTTAATCTTGATATTTTATAGTAGATTTCTTATCGTCATTGACAATGGTCTAAGTAACTCGAGTTATTGAGAGAAAATTAATTATGAATTTTACTGTTGATTTTGTTCCTAGTTGCTTGTGTCATTGACAGTCGTTCTCAATGACTCGAGTTGTTGGGAGAAATTTCAATTATGAATCTTATATCACTCTCTAGGTTCATCTTGAGACTTTATTGTTGATTTCTTCTTAGTTGTTTGTGTCATTAATGAGTTAGTTCAAATAACTCGACTTGCCAGGAAAAAGTTATTACATATCTGTTAATTTTTTCCTAGTGTACCATTAACCAGTATGTCCCAACGACTCGAGTTTTTTGGGAGAAGGTTAATTGTACTTTCTAACACGTCTCCTCAAACGAAAACCGAGTTTGAATTTTGCACATGTCCACCATACCTTGTACTCAGATCAACCCTTAATATTGATGGTTGTGAATATTCGAACACATACACGACCACTTAGTCAAACCAGCTCTAATATCAAGTCATTAACCAGTAAGTTTCAATAGCTCCAATCTTGAGAAGAATGCTAATTATGAATCTTATATAACTCTCTCGTTGAAATTTTTTGGTGACCAGGCTCCTGGAACATGGAGGTGGATGCTTGGAGTGGCAGGGCTCCCTGCCCTAATCCAGTTCTTGTTAATGTGGTCACTTCCCGAATCTCCCCGATGGCTCTACAGAGAGAACTACGTCCACGAAGCAAAGGAGATCCTTGAAAAACTCTACCCTGAAGACGAAGTAGACAGAGAGATTCAATCCCTAAGAGAATCCGTCGAATCAGAGAGGGCGATGGAGGAATCGATCGGCAAAGACATGTGGTCCAAGCTAAAAGGAGCATTCACCGACAAGGTTGTCCGGCGGGGGCTCTACGCCGGCGTGACGGTCCAAGTGGCCCAACAATTCGTGGGAATCAACACCGTCATGTACTACTCCCCGACCATCGTCCAATTCGCCGGATTCGCCTCCAAATCGGTTGCTCTGGCGTTGTCCCTCATCACTTCAGGGCTCAACGCCGTCGGCTCGATCATTAGCATGATGGTGGTGGACAAGTACGGACGCCGTCGGCTGATGATCATCTCGATGTTCGGGATCATCTCTTGCCTGATAATTTTGGCCGTCGTTTTCCGGCAGGCGTCGTTGGGCGCTCCGGGGATCGATTTCGTGGATACCAAGCATTTTGGGAGCAACGTGACTTGCCCGAGTTACTTGGAGAATTTTCATAAGCCTAAGTGGGGATGCACGCAGTGCTTGAAGGCAAAGTGCTCGTTTTGCTCCAATCCTGCTGACAAGGTAACGCAAAATTTTGATTTAATTGAAATATTGGAAGAGGTTAGAACATGGAAGTGGACCTTTTTGGATTTAGGTTAGACTTGCGTTTGGTAATTTGGTGAGACACTGGTGTCGAGATTCTGAACGAAACATTACACATTCCGAGTCTTCGAATAGAAATTTTGGTAAGTTAGTGAGACATTAGTTAGTAACACAACATTTGATTGAATCGAAGTATTGAAAAAAGGTTAGAAGTGGGGGTTTGGATTTGGATTAGTTTAGGCTCTATTAGGTAATTTGGTAAATTAGAGAGACATTATAGTTGAGATTGTGAACAAAAAATATTATACATTCTAGACCTCCGAAAAGGGGTTTAGTTGAAAAATGTGTGTATACATATCATGAAGTAGTGTGATATTTGATTTCTGCCATCCAATACTCTTTATGTGTTGGATGACTACGATCATGCAACATGCAATTCAACGTTTTCATTCACTAAACATATCGCATCTCAACTCATAACGAAACTCCTTTAAAAGTGATTTAGAATAACTCAATACGTACGAAACACATTCAAAGAAGATATACTTAATTTCGAGTTTTAGTTCACAGTGCTATCGATATTGATCTGATTTCCACCTGGGACGAGTATCACTTACACCCCATCATGAAATGCGCATGTCTCGAACGTTTTTGTTATGGTGAGTTGACTCGAGATTTTGGCTATGCAGACGGCGCCAGGAGCCTGCCTGATCGACACCAAGGCGATGCAGGAAGAATGCGAGGCAGAGCACCGCGTGTTCTACGAGGAAGGTTGTCCGAGCAAGATCGGGTTCCTCGCTGTCCTCCTCTTGGGCCTCTACATCATCTCCTATTCCCCGGGGATGGGCACAGCGCCGTGGATCGTCAACTCCGAGATATACCCGCTTCGATACAGGGGCGTCGGAGGTGGGATCGCCGCCGTGGCCAACTGGACGTCGAATTTGCTCGTCAGCCTGACGTTTCTGACGATGACGCAGACACTGACGGTGGCCGGAGCTTTCCTGATGTTCGCCGCCATCTCGTTCATCATGCTGGTGGCGATCTTCTTGTTTGTGCCGGAGACGAAAGGGCTGCAGTTCGAGGAGGTGGAGAAGCTGTTGAGAGATGACTACAAGCCAGGGTTCTTCAAGGTAAAAGCAGGGGATCAGGGAAAGGGGAAAGCGCCAGCTTAATTTGATGAAGATTTAGATCTCTCTCTTTTTTTTTTTCTTGTTTAATAAGTTTCTATTTTTTCTTTCAGAATAAGTTTGAGGAGTTTGTTTGGGACACTTGTTTAGAAAAAAAGAGGGGGGAAGGGTAAATTTTCATTTCTTAAGAATAAAATGTTTGATTTAGTCACAAGTTATGCTGTTTTTTTGTTGCATATGGCATATATGCAATTATACAGAGGGATAAGTTACAGAATTTTGAGATGGTTGGATTAGTGATCAAAAAGTTTGGTTTTGCTAGCTATTGGGTTTATGATATGAAGTGAATATGAAAGGTATACAAAACAGGTCGGGAAAGATTGGATTGGATGAATCAGATCAATTAAAACTATTAAGTCCCAAGTTCCACAAAAATCGGAGTTACTGTTCATTAAGAAAAAATCGGGATTTACTGTTCACCTTAGGTTTAGGTTTGGTAGGAAGAAACATAGCTAAGCCGAGTGAGTCAATTTGGGCTGGCCAAGAGAGAAGCATGGGTCCACATAAATTTGCCGCACCAGATCGCCTCTCCTTTCCTCTTCCTTATCCTTTCCACACTTCCCCGTAAAAAGAAAAACAAACAATGAAACAGAGGCTGTTTGAGATGCGGCGGCCTCCAGTCTCCACGACCATACCTTCCTCTCCCGTTTCTTCTCTACGAATCAATAGATGGAGCAGAGACCTTGGACCTGGAAGATTAAGCGACAGCTTGACGAGCTCCACAAAATCAAAAGAAGCAGAGGAAAGGGCTTATGGACGAAGGTTGCCCAATCCGAGCCACCACTCTTGGGTAACCGGTACCCGCCTCATCCTCCTAAAATCCCCAGTCCCCTTTCCGGCTGCTCGACTCCAAGATCCGGCACCCACTCCGTGATTTCTTAGTACCGTTGTTGTGTTATCAAGCTTTAGGTGTGTCAAATCCTTATATTCCTCTTGGTTCTATATTCTTCCTCTATAATTTGAACTAATTTTGAATTGGGTAACCACATGTGGGAAGCGCGTCAGGTTATGAGTATTCTCTTGGATGTTTGACTCTAGGGTTTTAGATAATCTTTGATTGTTGTTTGATTCGTGGGTAATCATTAGTATAAGTTTAGAGGATGTATCTGTAAAATCCTGCATCTTAGATTAAGGGACGAGGCTTGATTGTTAGTTGCATTTCTCAGAGTTTGTCTGGAGTTGCTGTCTTTGAATTCAGTTTTGGTGTATTGGTGTTTTGTTGACGAATTTGAGTTGATGGTTCCCATTTCTCCACACTTATTTGATGGTGGATTCTTGGATCGATTCAATGGTTTCCGTTTCACCTCTGTACAAAGCATGAGACGGGGACATCAAGACCGGCGGAGAAAATCAGATTCACATCTACTGAGGGCGATGGCAAGTCATGGTGGCAACATTGATTGCTGTATTTTGGTAAGTCAACAACTTAGAGTTGGAACGATTCAGCCGTCTTTTTAATAAAATACCTCATCGATTCAGCACATTAGAGATGATACTCTATCTTCTTACGCCTGCTTCAATTGAATTAAAGTAGGCTTCAGTGTATGTTGAATTATATGTTGAACAACCTTTTAGTCATTTATAAGCTTAATCGCTAAACAACCTTTGATGAGGATCCATGAGTGAGAAGATTTGTTTTGCAGTTCCATATATATCATGTAAACATATAAGGCTCATTCACGAGTAGTGTTTTGACAGTTAGAAGACAACCTCCTCCTTCTTGCTTGCCCTACGTGCTTTGGCTTGCAAGTAGTATTCTATTCTTTTTCTAGATTGACTAAAACAGTTTTGTTCCTTGATGCAGCAAACAACAGCTGGAGAGGAGTTGACTTTGCCCCCTTCGACTTACTTTGGGATTTAGGAAGTTTGAGTATGAACTAATTTAATGGAGATGGAGACTTGCCCTTCGATTCCCCAGCTTCAAATTATGCTTATTTGCTTAAATTCAGACTATATGAGACTTACTCGGTATGTAGTTTTGATTTCCTTTTGAATTTGATTCTTTGATCCTAAGGTTTTGTAGTCTGCATCTACCCCTTAATCCAAATATATTTGGTAATTGGTTGTACGTACGATACTGTTGACTTAAGTCCAATTGAAAATGGACAGCATAGCAGCTTCTTAGTCAGTATTGTTGCACTTGGAAGTTTTGCTCTTCCCATATGCAAAAGTAATATTAGATTTTTGTTAGTCCCTGCCCCACTCTAACTTGACAGGTTCTTAGATAATGAAAAAGTACACCAGTAGGACCTCATGAATTGCTTTGACACCATGTTACTTATGCTAGATGTGTTGGCCATCCAATTCTCTTTGTTGTTTGTGAATCAGTGGTCTTAAAGTTCTTGGCTGCAACTACATGATGTTATGCTGATTTTTGTATTACTACGCCCAAGGTTAGAATACCATTTAGCAATGCAAAATCATTGTAAATTCAATCAATTTCTCTCTTTTTTAGTTAGTTTTTCACAATTAATCACATTCATCTATAAGATACTATGTTGCTTGGACTCTGCAATTACACTTTGTATTCCACTGGCCATGATCTTCAAATAGTTTTAATTGTGCAACCATCGTACTTGCATACTATAATCAAGTATGGTTGATGCAATGACCCTTGCATGGTTTGGTCGTTTCAGTTGCTTATTCAGAGGAAATTGATCATTACTTATACTTCAGTTTCTTGGCTGTGTCTCGACAAACAAAGCAAAGGAAAAGATCATTCATGCCGTTGTGAGACACGACACATAACTTGGGAGGAGGAAGAAGAAGAAGGATGAGGCGGTATCAACAAAATCGAGTGGCTTACTACTCTGGCAATGTTTCTCCTCCTCTGCCGGGAACCGATATCCTCCAAATAGAAGTGGAACAATGCCAAGAGTCGAGTCATTGCTTTGGAGAAAAAGTGGGCATTATTGTCCAATTGGCAAGCAGCTAAGATCGGTTTTTTTAATATCTTCCACACCTACACCTACAGGTTGGGTTGAACTCCCTTTTTACACAGACCCTTCTTTTGATAAATTCAGCAACTACTTAGGTTGGAGAATGGTTTGAGATGATAGGATCATTTCAAGTAGTCCAACAATAGTATATTTATTCCTCTTTTTCTTTCCACCCTGGAGAGACTTGGGACATTGACCATTATTTTGCCCTGGGGTAGCTAAGACTAATTCCAAAGTCAGTAGTACAACGTTTGTCTGTAAGGTGGATTCAAAATATTTTCCACAGAGGTGTTTTATCAATAGCAATGCTGCTTCAATTCCTATGCTATATTCCAAAAGCAGTTTTCTTGGGTCAAATTTTATCATTCTATTTCTCCTCGGTGTTTTCTGTTTCTAATTACAAGTGAGTAAGTCATTTTACGATGGGTATTAAATGATAATGAATTTGTTTTATTGTTTAGGTACGATTAGTTAATGCATGAGACAAGAGTTGGGGGAACAAAGCTCCAAAAATCTTCAATCCAACATTTCTCTATATGCCTATTGCGTACATGATTCTCTTTAACTCTCTTTCATTGTTGTTATTAGTACAAAGGAGTATTAAGATTCTCGGCAATAGCTCTTTTCTCATGCTTGATATGATCTTAATCAAATGATGGGTTTTAATTAAGCTTCTCTTTCTTTGACATAATAATGATGATGATGATGATGATGATGATGATGATGATAATAAGTTGCTCTTCCTTTGTCTAGATCACCATATGCATCATAACAAACAACCCGTATCTGCAAGCTCTCGGCAGAAGGAATCTCATTGCTATGCAAATGCTCATGAGTCATGTCGAACAAGTTATCGGCAATGTGTCGAGCATTTTTATTTTTATTTTATGAACTTTAATTATATTTTGTTGTAATTATTTTTCCCTTAAACCACTAACACTATGAATAATGATTGGAGAACATTAAAATCTTCACCACATCAATGTGAGAATAACCAGCGTAGAGTGGGTGATACACTTCATTAACATGGTTAAATTAAATTATTTTACATTTTCAACTAGATAAACTATTGTATCCTCAATTTTTTTTCTTAACTAGAATTATGTATTGAATACTTTAATCCTTCGTTAACATTGCATTATAAATTCAGGGATTAGCAATACAAACCCGTTGCGTAGCACGGGCTAATTATCTAGTATTATCATTATTAGTCAAGGAACTAATTAACTAACTCATCTCTCTATATATAAAAAAAGTCGTGGTCATCCAATTAGGGAGAATCTTTAGTAGCACGAATCCTCATATTATTATCACCATCAACATTTGACGATTATGAATCACGCATCATAACGTTCTATGATCTCAATACGTGTAAAACACTCACAACAATATGTTATAACTAGTCGAATCTGAGTTCTCGAATTATTATCACCATCTACATGTGACGATATGAATCACGCATTAGAATGTTATATGATCTCAATAGAGTTTAGAACCATACACCACACATCTGTCCAATTCTATGAACATTGACAGTGATATACACATAAAAAATGAAATGATCCCACAACTAGCTTCCCCGCCGTACCACAACTGAAGCAAAATTCGACGCTAAGTAAAAAACAGAGCCCTCAAAGACTCCAACAAAGCATATAATCAATTCAATCATAAAGTTGACGGATCGTTTTCAGGCAGCTATGTAGCTGCTCTTCAGCATCATTACAATAATAATAATAATTATTATTATTATTATTATTTACACAAATTTTGTTTATATACATATATGTGTATGTTGATGCTAATTGCCATCAACAGCAAAAGGAAAAAGAAGAACATCTGCAGATTTCCCAGAACGAAAAGAGGGCAGAACTTTTACTTCTCGGTGAGTACTATCAAGACCCTTTCATTATCAGCCTAATCATCAACTTAATTTCCATAATTTTGAGTTTTACTTCTTCTTTGAGTGAGTTTGGATGATGAATTTGTGAAGTTAAATTCGTTATTTACAAATCAATAGGTTTCATGTATAACTGTCTATAGTAAAAAAAGATTGCTATAACTAGTCGAATCATGTCACCTTTGATATGTAAGAACTTGTAATGCAACGTTTTTATCAATACATGACACACCTTACTAAGGTGCAGTTCTCATTAGTTTTTGTAGGCGTGTATAATGTATTGATACTGATTTTTAATGTGCCGGGAAGCTGGATACAAAAGTCGCAATATGTCTTATCTTTTGTTGGGGTTATGTGGAGACTTCCTTAATGTCCATACAAAATAACCTACTAGTAGTTGGATGCGATATGATAATTACAAAAACCACCTCCATACCATCCAATGAATTTGAAACAATTCCCTAGCTCTAACTATTTGGTTGATCGGAATGAGATAAAGTGATACCCCTCCGGTTGATCGTATTAACTGGTATTAATAAGGCAATAACAAGTTTTACTCATTTGTTCTTAGTTTCCATTGGATGTCTTGCTTTAATTGATTTTATATGATACATAATTGTTTATTTTTCTCTCATACTGATTTTTTTTTCTTTTACAATTTGCAAATAATATATAAACCTTATAATTGTGGCAATTCTTCGTTTTAGTTAATGCTTGATTGAGGAGATCCTTTCCTTAATTACAAGGATAAGTTAAGGATTTGTCAGAAGAAAGAAACAAGAAGGATCAAAGGAAAAATCCTCTCTTACGGATTAAATGTTTCCCAATTCAAGCTCTAACCGTAACTTGGAAAGAAATTTATAGTTTCTTTGGTAAAAGTGGCTCAATTCATTATAATTTGATTAATTAGGTTTATCCGTATCAAACTTAATATGGTGTGTGAATTTCTGGTAAGGATCTAGGGAAACATAATCAAGGCATTGCTTGAACCATAATTCTTGTTAGATCTTAGATTAATTGATCAATTTTTGGGGGAACATTATCCATACATGGGTTTCAAAATTTTAGTAGATAATTATAATCTACGTGTAGCATAATTCTAAAAATTTATTTTATACCTGAAATGGGTAAGAGAAGATGGGTTAGGTACTCTAAAACTTTGCAATCTTTGGCAAATCAGCTCATTCTCTTCTAGACCGAATTTAGAAATATAAACTTTCATTTAATTCATTCAACTTCTAAATTAGGATCAATCGACCGGTCCTTAGTTCGGAAATTGAGCTCTACATTGTAATCTTAATTTCTATTTTCCTCTTTAGACCATTCACATCCTATAAAAAAAGTGAAAAGTAATTTCGATTATCAGTTACCATTACCCATTCCTTCTTCCCTTTTCCCCCTTTTCTTTTACTACAATTTCAGACTTTATTACTACATTTATTTCTTATTTACCTTGATAAGCTCACCCAAATTTCTTCATTATTTCTTAAATTTATCCCGAGTTTTCATCTAAAATTAGTTAGGAAAGATATTGGGCAAAAATCTCTACAGTATCATAAATTTATTACCAGCCCCTTTCTTAGAAATTCGTTGGAATTATTTTTCTATTTTCTCCCTCAAATTAAGTCAAGAAGTCCATTGTCTGAGCAAGAAAATTGGGATTTTCTTCATTTTCCATTACCTTTTGTACTGACTATTAAAAATGAATTACCCTTTTTAAATCTTCTTATCTAAGTGGGATTTTCTTACTGCAACATTAACCCGTAGTGCTCGTTCCTCTATATATACGAAGTTACAAACAAACATATTCACAATCCATTTCAGTAGCAAACAGAATAACGTTTCTTTTTGTTTTTGGGAGGTTTCATATAGATATACTGATAAGAATTCTATATGTTACCATTTTAAGTTTAGCAAACAGAGGTTTTCAAGCAAGAAGAAGAAGAAGATCAAGCTCAGAATCGAGTTCAGATCATTGCGGTGAAAGGTAAAAACATCATCAGTGAACCTCTGTTCTTCTTTTCATCTTTCTCATCTCATCCAGCCATCACTATAGTTTGTCAATGGAGATTCTGATCGATCGTCTTTATTATAAACTTTTTGTGGGTTTTTCTTGGTTTTGTCTATGGAGGATTGGGTTCTCATTCTTTTTGAAATTATGTAAGGAAGTTTCCAGCTTTAGGCTCGATAGCACTGGTGAAAAGAAACCGACCTAAACGAGTTATTTTGGCCTAAATTCTCTAATTGCGATCACAATTTTATTTGCAGGACTTCTACTTGTTCTCGAGTTTCGCTAGTCAAGTTCGAAAACCATGGCTGAAGGAGGTCCAGTAAAACCCGATAAGACAGAGTTCACAGAATGTTGGAGGACTAGTTGGAAGACTCCATACATTATGAGGCTTGCTCTCTCTGCTGGAATTGGCGGCTTGCTATTTGGTTATGACACAGGTGAATTTTGTTTATGAGAATATAGAGGGAAAAAGGATAAACATTCTAGAATTTGATCAATGTGTGATGATCTTGTTTGATTAAATCTTCTTTTGATAATATGTTCTTAGGGGTTATATCTGGAGCCCTACTGTACATGCGAGAGGACTTCGAATCAATCGATAAGAACACATGGCTTCAGGTCAGTTTCACATTTTCGATCTCGATGTAAAATATTAGTAAGACATCATCCCTACCTTTCTTAATTGTGACTTCCATGTGACTTGGGAAACAGGAAACCATTGTGAGCATGGCCGTGGCAGGAGCAATAGTGGGAGCAGCACTAGGAGGGTTCCTAAGCGATAGCTTGGGCAGAAAGAAATCGATCTTAGGAGCTGACATTGTCTTTTTCGCCGGAGCCATAGTCATGGCCGCGGCTCCAAACCCATGGGTCATAGTAATTGGAAGACTCCTCGTCGGACTAGGAGTAGGGATGGCCTCCATGACTGCCCCTCTCTACATCTCCGAAGCTTCCCCTGCTCGAATTCGAGGCGCCCTGGTCAGCACCAACGGCCTGCTCATCACCGGCGGGCAATTCATGGCCTACGTTATCAACCTAGCCTTCACCAAGGTAAATCATACACCCAGAACCCAGTTGAGCTTTTGTATTTTCAAATTGTAAAGTTTGGGACTTTGGAGGTTAATTTTGAGGGTTTCTTGTGTTGCAAGGCTCCTGGGACTTGGAGGTGGATGCTTGGAGTTGCTGGTCTGCCTGCCCTGATCCAGTTTGTGCTAATGATGTCCCTCCCCGAGTCTCCTAGATGGCTCTACAGCAGGGTAAATTTTTCGATTAGCATATTCGCGCGGTTAAAAAAACTCTCGATTTAGATCTTGTCAAGTTACGGTTTAAGATTGTGGCGAGTTGTTATCGATTGTTCTCATTCTAAAATAGTTCTTACTACACAAAATCAACATATTTGATAAACTTAGGACAAAGTTGATGAAGCAAAATCAACCCTGGAGAAGATCTACTCGCCGGAGGAAGTGGAAGAAGAGATGGCCCTCCTCAAAGCCTCCATCGAATCCGAAAAAGCCGACGAGGCAGCCATCGGGGAGACCATGCTAACCAAGCTCAAGAACGCCTTCAAGAACCCCGTGGTCCGACGTGGCCTCTACGCTGGTGTCACGGTCCAAGTGGCCCAACAATTCGTCGGGATCAACACCGTCATGTACTACTCTCCGACCATCGTCCAATTCGCCGGATTCGCCTCCAAATCCGTCGCCCTGTCCCTGTCCCTAATCACGGCCGGGCTCAATGCATTCGGCTCCATCGTGAGCATGTTGTTTGTTGACCGTTATGGAAGGAAGAGGCTCATGATCATTTCCATGGCAGGGATCATATTTTTCCTGATCTTCTTGTCCGTGGTTTTCATTGAAGCTTCTTCTCACGCTCCCAAGGTTGGTTCGATCGAATCGGTCCACTTCGGGGTGAATTCGACGTGTTCGGCTTATGCCGGGGCGACGAGTAGTGCTGCCGCCGGGAAATGGAGCTGCATGACCTGCTTGAAGGCCAAATGTGGCTTCTGCTCCAACAAGGCTAGTGAGGTAATTCGAAACTTCCGTTCTCGTACTATTTTTAACGTTTGTGCAACACGTTTAATACTCGTATTTCATCAAGTATAGTATTCGTAACACTTACCTGCGTACTTTATGTGTTTAAAATGTTACTTACGATTTTTGATCTTTTCGTAGTACCATCCCGGTGCCTGCCTGGTGGATTCGAAGCACAATCGAGACCTCTGCCTCGGCGAGGACCGAATGTTCTTCGAGCAAGGGTGTCCGAGCAAGTTCGGAATCCTCGCCGTGGTCTTCCTTGGCCTCTACATTGTCTCGTACTCCCCCGGGATGGGGACAGTGCCGTGGATCGTCAACTCGGAGATTTACCCACTCAAATACAGAGGAGTCGGAGGAGGGATCGCTGCGGTGGCCAATTGGGTGTCGAACTTGATCGTCAGCGAGTCCTACTTGACTCTAACCGAGCATCTTGGCCCCGGGGGGACGTTTTTCTTGTTCGCCGGAGTTTCGACGCTTTCGCTCTGTTTGATCATCTGGTTCGTGCCGGAGACCAAAGGGCTGCCGTTTGAGGAGGTGGAGAAGATGCTGGCGGAGGGGTACCGGCCTTGTGGCGGACGGAAGGTGAAGGGAGAGAAGGTGGAGAAAGTGAATGGTGATGATAATGCAGCGTAAAGAGTAAGAGTGAGACAGAGTGAAAACAGAGCATTTTTTATCGTTTGCTTATCACGGGTAACAGTTTTAAAAAACAGAGTAATTTTCCTCTCCTCTGCCTTCGTTTCTCATATTTTTTAGGTGGTGAGATGGAGGTGGTTGAGAGGGTACAAATGGGAATAAGTAGGAGGGTTTGTTTTTCCTTTGTTTGAATTTTTATCTAAGGATAGCTTGCCCTACTGCGTCAGAACATTGATGTAATCATATATGTATGTTATTATTGTCTTGGTTTATGAATCATGTTTGGTTTTAGTATATGTTCTCGATCAATATTAGATTCGAAGCGAATGAATTTGATGTACAAGATATGCTAATGATCGACGATTACATCTAGAGGAATGAATAGCTGCAACCGATTACTAGTTTTGTCTTTGATATTGATCTTTCACCCTCATCGATCGAGCTCACTTGACAAGATTGAAACCAGAAGGGAACCAAATCGAGTAAGTTCTTCATCTGGATCAGATCATCATCTTACTTCGCCTATCAAAATGACACAGACAGATCGGGTGTGAATTCAGACATCTCCTACTTGGGATGTTGGAAAAACAAGGCACCATATCTCAGAAATGCCATGCATGATGCAGCAAAGGAGCAGCAGTAAACTTCACAGCACATCAGCTAGTCATCAAAAAAATTAATACAGAAAGTTGGAGAAGCCAAGAACAGGAGTAGCTAAAATTTACAGCATCTCTTTCAATGATGTGATAAACTACACTGCCAAGAACAAAAAGTAGCTAAGACTTATGGCCTTAGCAATTCAATGATCTCAAACTTCTGTGGTTTCTACCAATAAATATCGAAGTGTAACTTATTGGACAGTAAGGACTAAGGACAAGCAAAACCTGCTCAATTACTTGGTATCTTCTTAATGCTTATCTGTGATTAATCAGGAAAGAAGCTGATCAACAGCAAAATAATATGTTCCAACGATAACAAAAGAAGCGACCCCACTTCGAGCCATCCTCAGCCAGATTCCTCGGAACAAGACGTTTCTATCAGCAGGGTGGATTCCAGTGGCTCTCTCGAATCTTGTCCCTGGCCGACGCCATTTCAACAGTGCCCTTTCATATCTAAGATACTGGAACAAAGCATAAGTGGGTATGAATAAATAATAATGCAAAACCAAGCAGCCAAAGGAATGGAGCATAGATGGAAAGGAAAGGAAAGGAAACCACTCAAACCAAGCATCGTTACCTTGGGCAGCACCGTACATTGGAACCGACATTTTGCTGTGTCGAAACAATGAGAGGCAGCAGCAGCAACCGATCCCGAAACCCCAGCAGCAGCACTGACAGACCGAAGCCCTCTCCAGAAGGCACTCCATCCTTCCAACGAGATTGCATGCGATGGTTTACAAACATCACTAACTGATGGTGGCCTCCCAGAGCCAGTCATCATCCAAGGATGCTCTCTCAGTGCACCGACGAGATCTGGGTGCTTGGCGGATAACGTGGATAGGAGGGCGGTCGAATGGCTCAGTGCTTTTACATCAGGAGTGTATCCACGCAGTAGTTTGGAAATCACTGGTCCCACTGATCTAGAATCCGTAGTAGGTGTGGGAGTTTGAACGCGAGAAGCTGAGGTAACCTGAGCACGAAGTTTGACGAATTCGAATGGAGAGCTCATGAGTGACTCCAAGGCACCGGCTGCCAGGCCTGCCATGAGGGTCTCGTGGACATATACATAGTTGTCCTCTCGACCATCTGCAGAAATAAGTTGTTACATGTAATCATCGAATCAGTGATTCGGTTGCAAGAGTTTGCAGACAACATTGCAGAATCGAACTTAGTTTGCATCTAAAAAGGTCAAATTTTCACTACAGAAAACTACACTCTTTCAGGAGGAATCTGCAATTTGTTTTGAGGATGCTGATGGCAGGAAGAAAAGGAAAGGAACTTATTAAAACCTGGCAATGGAAAATCTATAGGCATTTTCTTCCTCATATCCCAAATAAACAGAAGTGTTACCCAAGCAATTACCTTTATAGAATGCTGTCAAAATTTCATAAACGCCAAAACGAGTGCCAAGACCAACAATTCTGCCTGAAGTCAACCAACCCAATCCACTATATAAACCTAAAACATAGATAAGTACGGTTTAGTATAGAGTTCCATATTGATAAAACCAATAACATTAACCAAACTCAATGGAGTAGACCTGAGTTTCCAGACAAAGCTTGAACCCTTCTTAAAACCGAAAGTGGAGTCAACTGCTTATTAGAACTTGAACCAACCTGTTCATCACCTCAAAACCGACCATCCATATGAAGTCAGTAAATACACAATTCTTGACAAAACATGGATTCTGTGGCAGATACTACAGTCTACAGTGCACAAACCTGGGTAAGGACCTTGATCGTATCAAGAGGATAAGTTAATGTTGCCTAATGCAACCGAGCCTGCACCAGCAATGGCATGCGTGACAAACAGGTGGTTCTTCAGAAGTTCGTCCATTGAGTATCCCAATCCCAACATCTTAGGATTTCACAACATGCAACCCACAATGATCTTTCAGCTCTGCACCAGGGTTACGATTAGGATTAGTTGAATGAGCTCACAGTATTGTAGTTCATTACTTCTACATTTACATCTCTAGAATTCACGAAATTGAGTGGCAATATAATCAAATAATCAATTAAACGTGCAAGAAGTACTTCACTCCAGCTCCAAAAGGTAGATTAGGATTTGCAGAAGAAAGCAAAACCACGAATCCGAAACATATGAACTCAGCCAAACTATCTTGGTATAGAAAGCTATGAATGGGGACGAACTCAGAATGATACAGAATCAGCTTCGAACAGTACTAGACAAAAATGGAAACTTTTATATGGGAATTCGAAGATACTTGAGGGACACTGGAACTTACTGCCGGGAATTACCATTTCTTCCCATAACCGGCATTTCTGAGATGATTCCAGCCTCCAGGGACCAAATTCACTGCTAAGAAGTGAAACTGAGAGAGGTAAAAAGGGATTTACCTCTGCAAGAATGAAATCGGTTCCGGAAGAAGTCGGAGCCGGAAGTTTCTCGGTCGGATTATTGGGGAAGCCTAAAGGCGCTTCGCGGGAAATGATCGGCGGTGAACAGTGAACACTGGTGTTGGAGCTTTCGATTCAAGGTTTTTGGTCTTTCTGTTCTTATTAAGGTTCATTTTGGTCCCTAATCTTTGGTATTTTACTGAAAGGAGCCCCTAAATTTTAGTTCTTTCTTTCTTTCTTTCTTTCTTTCTTTCAGGAAATGAGGCCTCCTTGGTTTTTCCTAAATGGGTCTTTTAAAAACTGAGAGTTTGTTCATGCGAGTGAGGCACACATCTGTACAATAACTTTCTTCAAAAATGATCGATTTGAATTTGAAAGCTAACATAAAATTTACTAACTTGTTATGAAAACAAAAGTTGATAAGCCCAATTACGAATAGTATTGAAGCTAATAAACTATGACTCGTCACCACCAGTTTAATTCCTTTTGAAAGACAAACCTAACACTTTGCAGCACTATCTTGATATCAGGTTCTGGATTATTGTCATGGGCTAGTACACAAACTTCTGTATCCTTTGCCCACATAACAAAGAACAAATAGTAATATTCATGTCTTGGGATTAATACATTTCCCTATTTCACTAGAGTATCAGACAGCCTCATAACTAGTATAGCTTGAATGAACTATAAGCATCTACCTTCTTCTGGTTGTTGCTTACAAATTCCTTAACAACAACCAATGCTGCAAGACCAACTAATACAACCACCACTGGCAAGGCAAATTCACCAGGCCAATTTCAGTTGTTCATCTCTATTCTCTACAACCAAACTACCATTTCTGCTCAACATTGATGATTTTACATAGATTACACCAAGTGTGAAGCCACTAAGATTTCAGCCGGACCAGAAAAACCATGTCTGCAGTCACTTGGGAGTTTCTGATGAAGGTAAGTTAACAGCCAAGTTGCTTGATGACTTCTTCATTGTGTGTGGGTTTCTCTCTCTCTCTATCTCACACACTCTCTCTATGAGCTTTGCCTAGTTGAACATAGCCATTGCCTTGGCGTGGCAATATCATCATCAGTGCTCATGGGAACATGCCAACTACCCTTTTCAGACTCCTGCATTTGCATCAAGAAACACATAAACCCCAAATCCCTTCTGCAAAATGGTGTTGCAAAAATGAAAGCTGGTGTCTTTGTGTTATCACCTGAATAACAATTGAATAAGGAGGCGGCATGTGTAATTTGAGCCCAGATGTCGACACAGACAGTCGAACCTGCAAATTGTTCCATCAAGTGATCACTTTCTTTAAAAGCAAGTAACCTTAAGTATTAATAGGCTTAAACCTTAACAGCCATTCAGCAACCTGAGAATTATGGCACTTGCATAGAACTTATAGCAGCATTAACCCAAAAGTGGAAGGCAAGTAGTAAACAGTAAGTAATGAAATGGCTACTGAAGCTTCCAGCCAGGACAAACAGCTTCTGCAATATAGGACAAACTTAGACATGCCACATAATGCAAGTGGAGAACTGTACCTGATGCTTCTCCTTCCATCTCGGAAAGAAAGATGTTCCGAGTAACTGGAACAAGTGATCTCTCATCTCGTCATTGGTCACCAAAAGACCCTTAAAACTCACAGCGGCATATAACCAGTACCTGCACATCCGTGTATGAGATACAATCAAAACATGAAAAGAGAACGTCAGCAAGTTATTACTGATTATCATGTTAACCTACTTGAGAAAGCAATAACACCAGAGGACTCGAAATATCTGAAAACTTACCAATCATCATTTGAACCAGGAGGAGTAGCATAAAGTGCTCCGGAATTTGTCCATCTCTCTAATAGCGCCTGGTTCTTCGGATGTTGAGCAGGACCTCCAGTCACACGGCTTTTATGCAAAATAATAAGTGGAAATCTCTTTGATGGACTCATTTCACGCAATTTGTTCACGACATTATTAAGCTACATCACAGAGAAAGGAGACCCATGAGAATCAATCGAGCACATTTGAACAAATTGTTTCACGATAGCTCTTAAAATGTAATCTGGTGATGGGTATCTCTAAAGTCCTTGATCCCTAACCTGGCGAAAGTTAAAATGCTGCTGGTTGATCAAACTTATATTGGCTCCATCTACAACAGCATCAAATGGACCATGCCTACGGAGCCACTCCTGAATCAGTTCAATCATAGGTCATTAGTTTCAAGTGAAAATAAAGAACAAATATTAAATGTGAGAGAGTCATTAGCTGGAATTGAAAATGATACACAGAGGGAGAAGTAGCAACTCTTGTACACCTGGAAGCGAATGAAATCTGATTTGACCTCTTTCTTGCAAGCCAAGCTACTCAATGATCTAGCAAAATGCTCTGTCTCTCTTGGATCGATATCGATGCAAACAAGCTTCTCTCCACAACACTGGCAAACACCTTCTTCATCCACTTGAGTTCTTGTCACTCTCCACGGGCCATCCCCCAACCACCCTTGCCCATGCCACCCTCCACCCCCCTTCACAACTCCTTCCCTTACCTTCCTCTCATCCCATTTCCCTAAACCAACCTTCCCACCACCCTCAGATTTAAACCAATCTTCAATAATCTCCATAGTCGATTCTGCAACTTGTCTGACTGTGGCTCTCAACCTATGAATCATCTCATACACCCTACCTCCCTTCTCTGCACCAGCACTCACTTTCAAAAGTGCAGAAATCTCAGCCTCTTCAGCCACTACACCAGTTTCATTCATGTGTACATAAACTTCATAACCTTTATCAGCCATCTCCTTCTCGCAATATCCAAATAAGGCCGGGCCATACGACCTCAATTTTGGAGGGATATCAAAATTCTTCATTTGCTTAACCAAATCAAATGCCATATCAGGGTCTTCCAAACCTGCAGCAAGCCGAGCTGCATTGGTAAAAGTCGCCTCATTTGGATCGATTTTATCAATCACCATCTGCTGAAATATCTCAAATCCCCTCTTCAAACCCAAATCAGAGAAGGAACCCGCATTAGAAGAAGAACACAAATACAGCAATACATTGTAAAGGTGCTGGGTAACCGGGATCCCATCCCTGCGTGCCTCATCATAGAGACGGAGAGCCTCGGTTAGGTCGCCAGATTTCGAGCACATATCAATCTTCACGCGAAGCTGCCCCTCGGGCGAATTCCGGGCAGCTCTCCTCTGTGCTTTTGTTTCTCTACCCGAAACCCTAGTAGCCACTGTTGATGATGACTCATGGATGCGTGATGCTGCTGATGACACCAGGCTACAAAATTCAGCTCTTCTGCTAGAGAACTTCACAGGTCGAGCAAATGGACGATGATCAGGATGATGGCATGAGAGAATGGAAGGACGGTGTAAAGTGTGATAGCTATGCTGGATAAATGACATCAGTGGGATTCTTTTTGCAATGGCCATTAACAAGAGAGGCGATGATGTGCTGCTGAAAATTGGGGAAACCGCAGTTCTTTGCAACATTGCTCACAAATTATTATAACGAATACCCAGATTCAGCATACTCCGAATTTGGATAAATCATGGAATGCCTTCTCTCCCTCTGCAAGCATTTTAAACACACAAATCCGATCATTCCAAAAGCAATGAAATTTCATCATCTACCCTAATCATAAGAACCCAAAAGCCATGCAAAAAGAGGGCACCGAATTGAAAGCAAGTTCAAGCTGATGGAAGTTCATATAATGCCCAACCGACGCATAAAAACCCAAGCTTTAGCTCAAACATGAGTTCCGCGCCATTTTTATTCAACAAATTGCTGAACTATTAGTAAAACAAGAGCTTCAAGTACCTGGAAACAAGATGTTCTACGATGATTGAAAAGGCAGCGGAGGTTTCATGAATGTCTAGCAAATGGAAGGAGAGGCTGTCTTCCCGTCGATCTGGTTCAGGCGGGAGGGACAGCGAGCGAGAGGGAGAGGAAGGTTTATCCCTGGGGTTTTCACTTTTTCTTTCGGCCGTGGTGAAGGAGAAACGAAAGATTGAATCTGTAGGCCTGATGGGCCCAGATGTATAATAAGAGGCTTCTCAACTTGAGCTCGGGTTAGTGGCAAAGCCCACAGTGGGCCAATAACGCGAAGGTCAATTTTTACTCAAATATTTTTCTAACAAATGTTTTTTTTTTCCTTCTTCTTTTTTTACCATCAACAAATATTATATTGCCTAATAAATGAAAAAAAAGTTTTTTTCCTATTTGAAATGAAGATTCTAATTCATAAAAACATCTCTAGTGAAATCCATATTCAAAATATCATATACAATATCTTGAATGTTGGTATGACCTTGGAAACAAGGCAAGTGTAACTATAAAAATTAATCTTACAAATCACAATAGAAGCCGTCTGGCCTATTAGCTCAGCTGGTTAGAGCGTCGTGCTAATAACGCGAAGGTCGCAGGTTCGAGACCTGCATGGGCCACTTTTTAGTTCCCGTAATGATCGTGATAATAACGGGAAGGTTGTAAGTCCATTATTTTCATTTAATTCTTCTCTAACAAATAAAATTTCTTCGATCTGCAGTTTAGTTTAGTGATAAACAAAAGGCATGGTCTATCGTGGTCTAGATGTACACCAAATTAAGATTTTGAGCTAGATAAAAAAATAAAGGTAGACGAGATTTAACCATATAAAAACTTCATACTATAGAATCCAAATTCATCCAATTCCCAATTAAAAGTCGTCTACTTTTCCATTCTTATACAAGAAACACGTTCGAAAGAAACGGTCTTTAATTAGAGAATCAAAACCAAACCAAATTATACATCAAATCGGGTCTTAGTTCAATTCAGATTTCAATTTTGTTTGCCATGGACCGGCCCTTAATGATTGTTACAACTAATGAACTTTGAGCCACTCACATAACACTCATTAGCTATAGTATGAAAACCTTTGGCCATGATAACCACAAAAGGACTGCCCATGAACAGATAAAGCTTTGGAAGGAAAGAAAAAAAGTAGAGAACCATCATCAAGGAGTGGCCATTTGCCACTAGAAAGAAAACAGGGGGAAGCAAGACAGACAGAACAGAACACCACACCTGCCCCTTTTGCCAGCTACATGAAGCTGCAGACAAAAGGAAAGGTAAAGTTGGGAAAACACCCAATCCATCATAAATACACATAATCCTCAGCTCTGCTATTCCTTTCTATATGTGGATTTTAAAAATCTATCTCTTCCCTCCTAACCTTCCTGTGGGTAGGGTTGGATTCTTTTTGGTGTCTGGTGGAGTTGGAGAGAGGACGTTTGTTGGCTAATAGAGACATGATTTGCCAACCATTCCTAGTCAAATCTGGAGATTTGAGAGCCTCATATTTGGGTAGCAATAATACACATACATGTTTGGCAATGTCCTTATTATAGGTCGAACCGAATGCGCGCGCTTCGGCCATCCTCGATGCTCTTGTATGTTCTAATAACCACTCAAACTTGATTATATTGGTGGTTAACCTCAGTGGTAAACACCAATGATAAACAATGGAAGATAACATCTTTATAGTGCTTGGTTGCTTATCATATTGATCATGCACCCCCCCCCCCCCCCCCCCCCCCCCCCCCCCCCAATGAACCTGTAGAAGCACCAACCCAAGTTTCTAAATGTCATCATTTGGCAACATTTTGTACAAAGGAGGGTAGAAATGCAGTCATTGTTATGGAGAGAACACTTGTCCCCCCAAACCATTACACATCCATATCCTCATTTCAAAAGATGAAGTAGACTTGGTCTTTCCATCTCTTCTCTAATCTCCTTCAAAGGAGAGAAGATTCAATTCTCCAATCAAGTTCATACACAAAGGGAATAGAAAAGAAGTTGTGATGGAGATAGGAAAGCAGCCCACTCTCACATGCTAGAGAGAGAGAGAGAGAGAGAGAGAGAGAGAGAGAGAGAGAGAGAGAGAGAGAGAGAGAGGTGGTTTTGGCCATTGTGGTTATGGTTTTAGACTTTAATACACCTTTCAAAAGCAGAGGGAGAATGAGGAAGAAGCCAAATCCCATTCAAAGGAGGAAAAAGGATATTATCATGTTGGGAATGGCAATTATGTTTAAGATAATATTAGTCACATATAATAAAAACATCCATAAACAAAGAAAGTAAAAGGCACTACAGTCCACAAGCCAACCTTCAGGTCAGGCTCAAACACCAAACCCAGAAGAAAACAACCCTTTTTGTATTACTTTCCTTTACTTTAATAATCATAGCTTTCCCCTCAGCCATTAAAGTAATCGATAATCCTTGGCCTTCCAGTTGGCGGCAGGTCAGGAAACTGAGAAATATGACCAGAGAACCTTTTGTTTGTTCCTCCAGCCTTGCCTTCTGTCTTACGCTTTGGCAGGAGAAAGAGTTGATCATCAGAAACAACACACAACAGAACAGAGACCATGGCGGCAGTGCAGAAGGCACTGCAAGATATCGAATCAAACACAAAATTTGCAGAACATGTTGTGATCTGATCATCATCTGTTCTTTCTGATCCGGTCGTTATACCGGTTAGGTCCAAGGATCATACTCCTCACTAGTTATTCGCACAATGTGAAGCAGTCTCAAGCAAGAAGAACTAAGATATGTCATTACTCTTGAGTGAAAACCATTTCCACCATCATACAGCTCCAAGCTAAACTGCCTAATACAGGCAATATACATATATGATCTCTAAACCCTGATTATACTTTTACACAGAGGGAACACATACCCTTCAAAGAACAGAAATTTGGGTCACCATCCAAATCAAAACATAAGGAAGGCCTAACCCAAATCCCTAGATTTACAAGAACAACACACATACAGTACAGACCCACAGAGTATTCATCCTGCAGAATACCATGGGAAATTAGGAACCAAATCCCCCCTTTTTCAAGAACCCTAGTTTTCGAAAGTCGTACATTTCACAAAAGTCAGCTTCTTTGCTCAACTCTAAAGCCTCCCTTCCCTCCCTAACTTCTCACTTCATAGAGAATTCAAACTTATGAAAGCACACTGTACATAACAAGAACGAAAAAGGCACTACTCCTATGTACATATCCAACAAAACCAACCCACCCTCGACCACAAGACTAGCTAGTCATACCTTCTCTAAAAATAGTTGGGGGGAGACAAAAAAAATTTACCACCATCTCTATTTCTTTCTAAGGACTTGAAGATGAAGCCTCATTTCTTGATTCTCTCAAGTACACAAGCAGTGTCTCCGCCTGCACACAAGCATAAGCAAAGCATTCAGAACCCAGTGTTCAAGATATCCTAGCAAGCCCGCATTGTTTATCAGGGTGTTTGTTATGGTTCTTACCTGAGTTAACTATCACACATTGAGCAATCAGAACTAAGACTCATTCCCATACTAACTCAACTCTCTAACTAGAAATGAACGAGCAAGAATTTCACTCCTAATTACTGACCTTATGCTTGGCTCTTACAGTCCCAGTCTGTGACAATGCAACAAGAGGGGGAATGCCGCCTTCCCTCACAAGCAACCCGCGATTCGTCGAGCAAGCAGTGCACAATTGGAGCAGTGTCAGCACAGCAAACTCCTTCCCTTTAGGAGAACCATCTTCAATGGCTTCCACGAGGGCAGCAATCCCTCCTTCCTCGACTATAGCTTCCCTGCCTTCTTCTATCCCAGCAAGGCTATTCAGTATCACCATCGCCTTCTCTGCCATTCCGGAACTTTGCTCCACCACCATCATTGTCAGTGGCTTCACAGCTCCAGCGCTCACTGCTCTCTCCTTGTTCTGATTGATGGAGCAGAGCTTGTACAGAGTCGTCAAAGCATCCTTCTTTCCTCTGGTGGATCCATTGATCAGGAGAGCAACCAGGGGAGGAATTGCGCCGCAAGCTCCGATCGAGGTTTTGTTGTCTTCTACCAATGCGAGGCTTAGCAATGCACAAGCTGCGTTCTGTTTTGAGGTCTCCGTCCCCGTTTTCAACACGTAGACCAAGGATTTGATAGCCCCGGCGTTCGTAATGAGGTCCTTGTTACCTTCGTGTAGGGAGAGATTCAACAGAGCTGTGACGGCGTTCTCCTGAGTCCACGGATCGCTGCACCGGAGAAGAGGAATTAAAGCCGGAATCGCGCCGGATTCACCAATTAGTGCTCGATTGTCCGACCGATTCTTCGCCAGGAGACGCAGCTTCGCCGCCGCGGACCGCTTCACCGCCACGGACGAAGATTCCAGGCCGTCCACGCAGATCTTGACTGTCGGCTGGAGATCCTCCGGCGAAATGCTCTCGATTATCTCCGTCGAGAAGCTCTCCCTCTGCAGAAACCCTAGGCACGGCTCCGGCTCCGGCTGAACCTCTCCCCCTCCTCCTCCTCCTCCTCCTCCTTCGGATTCGTGCCTGGGAGAAGGCAAATTCGCCAGCCGCTGCAATTCGCCGGAGATATCACTGCTACACCCTGAAAAATCGCTGAAAGCCTGAGAGATATCCAGAAATTCCTCCACCTCAGCTGAAGACAACCCCGCCCCCGACGCCGCCGACGACTTCTCCGACTTGCCAGAGCAGTTGAGGAAGTTCCTGGCGGCGAGCTCCCCTAGGCGCATATCGACGACGGAGTCGGTCAGATTCTCGGAGACAAACCCCGAGCGATCCGGCGAGGCGGCGGCGGAAGCGAAGGAGGAGCAGCTGTCGCCGGAGTAGAGGGTGGACCGAATCGTGCGCATGGAGCGGCCGATTTGGCGGTTGATCTTGGTGGTGGAGGCGGAAGGGGAGCGGAGGGAGGAGTAGAAATCCGTGCGAGGAGGGAGAGGGAAGCGGCCGGAGGTGGAGTGGAGGTGGTGTTGGTGGTGGGAGAGGGAATCATCGAAAGACACCATTTTTATTGCTCGGGGCGGTGAAGGAAGGATTGATCGGAAATGGGGAGTGTTCGGTTTCCGGGAAAATTTACTCTCTCATGGTTGCAGGCAGAGAGTGGGCTGAGTGGGTGAGAGAGCAGAGGAAGGAACAAAACGGGAAAGGGAAAGTGATGATGAAATTTATAAAAGGGCTGTTGCTGTGCTGGCAAAATTGATATCCACGAAGAGCAAATTTAAAAAACAAAAAGAAAAGTATTTATAAACAAACGAGGGGGGAAGTATAAAGTTACGCGTCGCGGCCAATTGTGTTCGTCACAGCTCTTTCTTCTCGAATCTTTTCTTGTTCTTGTTTAAAAGAAAGAAACGGCTTGTCGTTTCCGCACACTTAAACGAAAACCATTGATTAAATCGGGGGGTTTGGAGTGTGGATTAAACGAAAACCTCATATTATTAGGTGAACAAACCTATGATATAATATAATGGTTTGAATCAAATATGAATTTTAATGATAAATTCAACAAATTAATGCTATACCAATTACCAACCATATTTGATAAAGTCATCACATACAGATTAACGTATAACACCTTATCAAATTTAGGGATGGCAATGAGTTGGGTCGGGGACGGATAGTGCTTATCCGTTACCCTACTCAATGTAGTTCGGGTTTTACCCATACCCGTACCCACACGAGAAACGGGTAGAAAATCAAAACCATGCCCATACCCGTTCGGGTTTCGGGTATCCACGGTTATCCATGGGTAATAATTTATCCTTATAATTCCAACCAATATGTTAACATTCACACGTATATTCACATTACGTAAGAGGAAAAGTACGACAATAATTCACTAGAATGACGAAAATTAATTAAAACAACATAATTTCATGAAAATATTATATTTATATGCTAAATATAAAATATTCTAAGGAAAATAATGAGTATTTCTAGACAAAATACATATGCATGTGTATAATCGGGCGGGTTTGGGTTGGATAGTGAGATAACCATGCCCACTCATTACCCGCAATATTCGGGTTCGGGTTTTACCCGTACCCACGAAAAATGCTTCGGGTTCGGGTTTTACCCTACCCGATTAGGTCGGATTCGGATGGATATGCACGGTTACGGATATTTTTGCCATCCCTACTTTCATCCTTCTTCAGCAGCTTTGTTTTTTCGTATTTTAATCCTCTTCTTTTTTTCCTGAACCAGATTTTGTGATGGATCCTGTCGTGTCCTTCACATATTCATCAATGGTGATCCACAACTCTTCAATATTGGGCTGTTTTCAGAAGTTAGGAACATGTCGAGGAGAAGATAACAATGTTTGTCAATTGTCGATCTTTCTATAGGTTAGTTTCGCAAGAAATGAAAGAGAATACTAAATTGAATTTCAATAGGATGGAGCTCGATCGACTAATATTTATAGTCGAATCTTGTAACTAAATCGAGTTGTCGTGTATGTGGTACTCGTTATGGTACCATATTCCGTTGAGGATCTAGTTGCCTGAAACTACTACTACAACAAGCAGAGTACGTAAAGTGTAGAGGATCGTTACTTGTTTCGTAGATAAGCTGTGATCTAACTCATAATGGTTTCCATCACATTCAGTCCGCCTCATGCACGACGAACTGTATCATTAGTAAATCTTAACACACTTGGGAATAACATCATAGTAGGACATTTTGATTTAACCTTAAATTTTTTTTAATTGCGTTTCATTAATAACTACAATTTGCAAGGATAGGAGTAGCACCAAATAACGCCTACATATGCAAGTTAGGATATGAGTTTAAGACTTTTCAACTAATTAAGCAACCCATTTAAAAAAATAATTGCTTTCACTTTCATAGACTTTTTGGTCAACCAAGTGTCAAAATCTCATTTTCGTAAACTAAAATATTATACCAAAAGAATTAAAACGCGTTGTCGTTTCCGGCGATTCTTGGCTCAATACGGCCGAAGAACCAAAACAATTTTGTATACTTTGCTTATCCCGTCACTAATTAACTCTTGCATTTGTTTATCGGTGTCCAATTAAGATCCACAATTGGACAGTTTGATCAAATAATTAATAGTTAAAAGTTAGAACTAATAATTATTATTATTACGATCTCCAATCCCCTTCATAATCATTTGATGACGGTATCATTACCCACAACCATTCAACAATTTATTTTGAAATATATTCCGAATAAAAAATTGAAACTTATCGATACATTTTTATGAAAATAAAATCCACATTCAACGTACCGAAAAGAAAAGAAAAATAATATGCACAATTATATTGATTAGTAGTGCACGGACAAGTTATTGAATAAAAACTCTATTAGTATTTGATTAAGTACAATAGGGTTTATTATTATTATTCTGCAAAAATATGTGACAATCTCTGACAATACATATAAAATCGAGATTGTTAATGTTACTACATAATAATCTAGGTTTTATTTTATATTTTATATTATGTTATTTATTTGATTGATAATGTTGATTCTTATTGGGACATTGTGAGCTGTTTAGCACCCTAGCTGGCCATTGGCTTTACCTGCAACCCCAATTAATTAATTAACTTATTATTTTTTTTGTGAGGAAGATTTGGTTTCGTCGCCTAGATCATAAGAGTACATAGTACTAGTCTCCTGTTTCATAATTGTGTACATATATATATGTAGCCATTAGGTATATCTAATTCATTTGTTGCTATCTAAATAAAATAAAATAAATACAATAACTTGTGTCCTCACGAAACATCAAACAAAATATATATATCCAACCAAAATGAGAAATTGGGTTTTGATTCTCAAAGTGTCCATGTCAAATTGTCAACTGTTTTTTTTTTGGTTTTATAGCTCGGTGAAAATAGCGTTGTAACATTTATTTAGAATGAGTTGTTTGACCTATTAACATATATGTGGTTTTGTTGCATCGTAGTAACTTTTTCGACGTCTCTCTTTATCACATTACTTCAATTTAGTTTGAAATGATATACAACTTCAATATGTGGTTTGGCTCATTGTCATTACTTGAAACAGTAGGATCGTCGGTCGAGCTATACTCCTAAACCCTAATTAAACGACTGTGGTTGAACACATTCAACAAGTTTTCAATCTCAATCACACAATTATTTGCACAGCTTGTCGGCTGCCATCCCATAATCAATACTACCTACGTCGTCATCATCAAGAGATTAATTAGCTCTAAGACCAGAAGCTTAATTATAGTTCCCCCAACAACTAAACAGACCCTGATTATGATATGATGCCTAGCTAATTATCACCACATGATCTCTATCTTGAGAAATTTGAGAGGCCATAAAATGTCCACTGTTCTCAAACAGTAAAGCTTCAATATATCTGAATGTCGGTAGATGTAGATAGAGAGAAAGGTCAAGCTATCATATCATCACTTCCAAAAAAAAAAAAGTTTGGATTTTTGCTAGTTACTATGGTCGGCTGATCGATCTAGTCGATTGTCGGCTGCATGTCCTCTAGGTTAAAAAATGAAATATCAGGACGATGAATAGTAACAAAAAAATGAAGCAACAGTAAAAGATATTATGAGATCCTGGGTTTTAATTTGTTTCAACCCCTAATCACACTAAATTTTAACTTCGTCGGTCCCTAATCCTCCAATAAAGAAGAATCCCACAATACGATTTGCACTCACACATGATTCTTCTCTATATCACTATAATTTCTTTTCTACTCATAATCAGTTGAGCTATATCTAGTATATTATAGCAACACGATCATACGATCAGTATATGAACCAGACAGATAACTAATGGCGTACATGTTCTGCACATATTTCCTCCACAGCCCCAAGAGAGATCAATGTAACACAAGCTAAGCCAGCCAAAACACTTGTAATAATAATTCTTACTTCTGATTAATTACAACACAAAAAATGTACAAAATTCAGGTACCCAAAATTGATACCCACATGTGTCATTGTCACCAAAATTGATGGGGTGCATGCAATAAGTGCATTTGTGTGCCCCTAGCTACTAGCCACCCACCTATACCTCATCATATACATAGAAAAATGGTGCCATCTTAATTGAAATGTCACACACCTTTGAACATTTAATCCTACACCATTACAAGTTTCCTATCATGTTACATTTATTATTGTTGTCGTTGTGGAAACATGGAATATGTGCACGTAAATTGACAGGAACTGTTGTTCATTTTTTCTTCTCGTTTTCCAACTCTTATGAAATATATGTAGATTAATAGTTATAAATTGTCGCTTTTGTGGTGGATGGATCATTGTATTATTCGAAATAAATGTGAAAGGACTGATGGATTGTGAAGTAGACATGACAAGAGAGAGTTGAAACCCATGACAATTTCTGGCCGTGGCAAGAAAGTTTGCAGCAGCTTAGCTAGCCTTGAATACTCCCTCTAACAAAGATTCACACGTATATAAGAGTCGTGTAATAACTACAGAAACATATAGTATTATTGTCCATCCTCTACCTCATCCTACTTCTTCGGTTCCGGGATACTGTCTCTCCCATGAAAAATAAAACTCCATTAATAATTAACATTCTTTGTTGTTTTCAGACGGAATTATCTTATCACTTGAGTATAAATTTGAATAGTCATTCAGAGTCCACCTACCCCGACAGTTTGGATGTCGGAATTATCTCATCACACCAACATGCTAGCCTCAGTACTTCAGTTTCGAAGTCTCATACCAATATTATTCATTGTCTTTCATCACCTTTAGATCATATTGGTTTTCATTCATATTTTTTTGTTTCAGTGATAATTCGGTTGAGACAAGAAATGAAACATTCACAACGATGGAGATATATAGACCATGCCGAAAATGGCAAAGAATTGGATACTAGAACGAGCATGGCCAAACTTATCGTGTCAAAATAGAAAATTAGGCCCACTTATATACGGGCCTGGGGGGTTTCTCTTAGTGTTGGACTCTTCTGCTACTAAGCCATCTACAGCTCCGAGTTGGGTTTGGGCCGGGTCCATAAGAGTTCCACAATTATGTGGAGGCTGCGCCCCAAATTGGTTGAACCTTAATTTGCATGAGTTTAGCTAAACAAATAATCGATTAAAAAAAATAATTACGGTTAAGAACTCCCCAACATCCCACGCTAACCCATGAAAAGCATATCAATTGTGTGACTAATTACACACACGGCACATAGTAACATTTTGTTGTCCCCTACTCACCCGAAAATGCCATTTGTGCCCGTCTAACGAACCAAAACAGTTTTTTTTTTTATATTTAAAATCAGTGCATTACATAACATACGAGTTGGATACTAGTAATAAATTTCATATAATTTATTTGTACGCTTCTTTTGAACGATACCAACTTATGAGAAACAACTTTATGAACAGAGCATATCTTGTATCATAGAAATTAAAAGATGGGAGCAAATATAGTTTCATACCACATTAAGAACCTGTACATCTTTCATACTACATTAATTACCAGTAATACGTCTTATTAGCTCATTATTAAAAAAAGTCGCTCGTTTTTCTCTCTTCCTTTTGCTAGAATGGCACGACGGCGGCGGTTGATGCTTCTTGTTGCCGCTGCCAGCCTCCGACGACGACAAGAGACAGTGGGGAAAGAATTCGTCACAAAATCACCAACCTACAGCTTTTGTTTTGTATTTCTTCTATAAGAAGAAGAATTGCCTTCTTGCTATTGACAATGGCGCCCACAAGTTCGAGGTCTTCATTTTTAGTGTCATTAAGTGAACAGTAATTACGAGATTGCTTCAAACCATAAACACAATGATCCAACATAATACTCAATAGCACTAAACTAAAAATAACCTTAACTAAGCCAAGTGACCTATAGGCTATAACAAATAGAAAAGACAATATGCAGGTTTTACATACTCAAAATGTTAAATAAACTCGCAATGTGATCAAAATTGTATAATATCCAACTTATATAGTTTCATAAGTCGTATTCATCCTTTTCCGATTAAAAACAGTCGAGAACCACAACTCATACGTTTAAGATTACTTCGCTTCTGTAGCCAAACCGTTGTTCTTAGAATGATGTATTATGAGAATCAAACCACGAAAACACATCATACCAACCTTATGACGTTATATACGCCCTTAATGATTCCATCACGAAATATATTGAATCTTATGTTGTTTTTATTTGGAAGACGCTGTGGACCGTAAGAATTTTTGCTGTCTAAGATTCACATATTCACCATCAAAATAAGGTATTGTTTCCAAAACAACAATCTCCAACCCAAAAACAATGAAACTAAGGTCCCTTTCCAAACTAAACCAACCTCAAAACCACCTTCTTCTCCACCACCTCTCTATATTAACTCTCATCCTTTTCCTCACACCATTAAACCCTCCTTCCATGAAAACTAGACGCGTTTGAGCAACACTCGAAGAAGCAAATTCTGTCACTAGTAAAGAGTCTTTCCTCCTGTTTAGCTCAGTGTATTTGCAGAAATACAAGTGGTTAACACTAATTACAAATCTTGTGGCCTTCAACTTAACCTACTAGACATCAGAGCACAATGGCTACACCAAAACCCAAAATTCCTCTGTTTTTCATCTTTCTTCTAACCCAAGCAACCTCCCCTGTTTTTTGTTCTTCTTCTTCCCCTGCATCGTCCAAATGCTCAACCCACACATTCCCCCAAAACAGAGCCTTCCCATCATGCGTCGACCTCCCATACCTCGACTCCTACCTTCACTGGGACTACGAACCATCCACAGGAATCCTCCGAATCGCCTACCGCCACGCCGCAATCACATCCCCTGCATCCACATGGGTCGCCTGGGCCATCAACCCTTCCGCCCCTGCCATGATCGGCTCCCAAGCTCTCGTCGCCTACCACCGCGACGGCCAGCTCACCGCCTACACTTCCCCTGTCTACGACTACTCCACGTCGCTGATCGAGGCCAAGCTCAGCGTCGATGTCAGGGACGTTACGGCGGAGTATTCAACCGATGACCGAGAGATCGCCATCTTTGCCTACATTCGGCTGAAGGAGAACACGACGACTCTGAATCACGTTTGGCAGGACGGGCCGATGGATGGGGGTAAGCCCATTCAGCACTCGACGAGTGGGGGTAATTTGAAATCGGCGGGGACTCTGAATCTTTTGTCCGGACAATCTGCGGGCGGCGGCGGCGGCGGCGGCGGCGATGATCGGATCAAGAAGAGAAATGTGGGTACTAGAAATGCTGCTGGGCTCTGTTTTTTCGGTTATGGGTTCTTGCTGGTGTTTTCATTTCTTGTTGGGACTTCTTGATGGTGTTTGATGGGAAAGTATATGTATTGCTTAAGGAAGGGTTAAGGTAGTCTAATAAGGGGAAATGAGAAAGCTAACATCTTTGAAGTAAATAGATATGAAATTTATAAGTGGTAGTGAAAGCTGGGTTAATTGCATGGTTGGTCACTGAGATTACAAAAAACGTTTAAGTTTGGTTACTCGAAATATTTAAATCCATTGATAATACTTTAGTTTACTGAAACCGTTCACTTTTGGTCACTCTCCGTCCAACTCCGTTAACTTTGGCTGATGTGGCAGTCAACTCTCAAAGTTGACCGTTAACTTAGTAACGTGAAAACTAAAAAATTATTAGAAAATAAAATAATTTTTTTTTTATATTTTCCACCTCATTATTACATTCATTAAAAAATAAAAAAAACCTAATTTTTTTTTCTACAAACCCCCATACCCTACCCAACCCAACCTCCACCGTCGTCGCGGAATCCGACTATCGAAGTAACACTCTCCACCACCATGTAATGAACCCAATATCTAGGAGGAGGTAGTTGTAAGTAGTAGAATAAGGAAGATCACTTTAGATAATTGTACAAGGCTATAAAAGCTCTATCTGGTTGTACTGGAGACATGAAGAAATAACAGAATTCCAATTCCCTATTCTCTTCTTCTGCTCTCTCGTTCTATCCTTCTTCTTCCCCAAGCTTCTGCTTCTGTTCTTCCTTCCCCTCTCAATTTCTCTTCCCCTCATTCTTGTCTCTATCACACTGTTTGCCAATTAATTCGTCGGGACAGATCCAGGATCATCACACACTACCACCCGACTCCGACAATCCGACTCCTGCCCCACCACCACTCGACTTACTACTCCGTGATCGGTTGCCGTAGCTTTCGTGCCGCTCAATTGATGTGTATCAGCTCACCAGCAACATCCCATCAACCATTCTTTTGAATATTGACTAGTTTGGTTTACTCCAATTTCTCATGTCATTTGATACCTCCACAATATTGAACTTATAAGTTATATCTGCACAAGTCATGCATGTTCTGTTCAAATAGCAACATAATATTTTCATGAGCCATGATCAACAATGGGTTGTTTTCGCTAGTGCTAGTTCCTCCTTCGTCTTGGATGACTTTCCACCTCAAACTGTGTTTTTTTTACTAGATATGACTGCTCGTTTGCGCTTCGAGTAAAATATAACATTGTAAATATGTCATTATGATAAAATAAGTAAATTGTAACTTATATGACATAACTCAAAAAATGGCAATAAAAATCACTAAAATGTTGTGGGAGAGGTATATATTAATTTGCACTCACTGGCCACTGGATTATGAATTTGCGGACAGTGATCTACATATTTGGAACCCAACAACTGTAAATTAAAGAATTTATGATGTTTTTGCGTTCGAAATGAAAAATAACAAAGACAAAAAAGACGGAAGAATGTATCATTTGGTTCTATTGTATCTGATTCCACTTTCACCATTTTAATGAAGATAGAGAAAGAGATGAGTAAGAATACAAAACCAAATGCGAACAAAGAGGTCGATTTCAACACAACAACAAAACTGCGTTGAATGAATGATAAGTCGTATTAGAAGATTTCTCCTTGATTTTCCTATTCGAGCTCAAGTGAGAAGAGATGACTTAAGATGTAAAATCAATTACAAAGAAATAGATCAATTACAGCATCACCACAACAAAAATACATATACAGTATAACCTCTATAAATCAATATAGTCGGGACTGCAAAAATTAATAATTAATAATAGTTATTAATTAACCAATAAATTATTATTAATTAATTGAAAGAGGTTCTTCTTATGATGTACATTCATCGTATCTTTCAAACATTTCAAGTGATATAAATTTTGTGGAAGATGTTAATCAGCTTGAGGATAATGATTAATGGTATGGGTTATTGTAACAAGATGGATGTAACTTGTAAGTCATTTGTTGGAGTATCCAGGTGAAAATAATGAATGTATCGGGGCACAAATGTTAGAAGAAATTGTGGCTGATGTCATTGGGGGTTCAATTGAGGATGAAGGAGATAACGATTTAACTCCTTTGGACCTTTCACGCTAAAGAAAGCACTTAAAGCCGCATCGACTCTTCAAAAATACTTGATGCAATTAGAGAAGACAACACGGGAGACTTTGAGTGCAATGAGTAAAGTTCAAGATGAACTTCTATTAGACTTGAACTTCAAGAATAAACAAACACCTATATATTCATATTTTTCTTGATTATCCTAGCTATATTATATATTTCTAGATGAACTGTATTTTTACAATTATTAATTTATAGAGTTAAAAATACATGTATTTATGTAGGTTGGTTCTCAAAAATTATTATCTTATTATTTTATTAAATTTGCTCATTTTTTACACTAGCCCAAGTTGGGACCGAAGAAATTATTAATTTATAATAGATTATTAATTTATCGATTATTAACTTAAAAATGTTAGACTGTATTTGGAGATAAAAATTATTAATAAAATAAAAAAGAGGTGTGAATAAATAGTGATATAAAATCAGGAATAAAAAAATAAAAATAATTAAAAATCAAAATTAGGAATAAAATTGAGGGATGTGACCCACCCTAATAGACTAGTGTCTTTGGAGTTATGTTTATTTACGGTTTAACCGCTTAATGAATAGTAACTTGGAAACTATGCTTTTTTATATAGGATTAATATCGTATTCTGGCCAGAACTTTCATATATATCCTATTTTGCCCAATATTTTTTGAAATTTATATAGGGTCCACACACATCTCCACCTCCTCAACAGGACACTCGTTTGAACCATGAATCTCGTCGAGAGGAAGGAAAGGATGTGATGGAGCACGGTTATCCCTTATGGACCAATGTTTCGCCACCAACCGGCTCGATACAGCATCGAAACCAAAAGAATTCCGGTTCAGCTGGAGCACTACTGCGGAATATTCAATTCTGCAAGATTGAGCTTTCTTCCTTCGAGAAACTAGCAACAATGTCATCAAATTTTCAGCTGCCTCTCTTTTATTCCTCTCTTCAGTCGAGCACCAAGTCAACAAATTTAACCAGAAATCATGAGGGAAGGGGGATGGGGAAAAGAAAGAGCAATGCCTTGTTGAGGCGGCTGGCTATCTTTTTAATTTAAAGAAGAAGGCAAGGTGTGTTTAGAAGGATTGGATTACCTACATGAATTACAATTAAAAGTAGTATTGTGATACAACAAATGCAGCACCCCTTTGCTTGGTCATGCAAGGTCTTTAGGCTCGAGTGCCGCTATCTCTCTCACCACCTGCGCTTTATCTGCCTCGAATTGTTCATCCTCTGCAGAAAGTACCACTCCAAATTACACACGGAATTGAGATTACCGAGCAGGTAGGGAGAGAACTGTTCGAGCCAGTTGTTAACTCTTTACACTTGAGAGTATACGTACCTTTGTCTGGCTTAAAATCGGCAAACAAACGAAGAAGCTTGCTTCTGTTCGCCACAAGTATGCTCACAATGTCTGCAGGTTTGTTCTGGTTAGCTGCAAAGAGCTGCATAGAAAACAATCAGCGGAAATTCTTGGTGTTTGTTGATAAGAGCATGAGTGCATACGATGCAATGATTGTTTAGGGGATATTGCACCTTGAAAACATGAAATGCTTCTATCTGGATGCTTTTACTTGATTCCTGCAGAGAAAGATTGGACACGTCTAAGTAGAGAACTTAGCAATGAAACAGAACATCAATAAATCAGGAGTGAAGAAGAGAGAAATGGATTTTGATTTGGGCGTACTCTAAGAAGGTTCATGAGTATCCTCAAGTTGTCCCTTGAGCTCACGTAGGTTGTCATCACACGTGAGTTTGACCGGTCCAGTAACATGTCTCCTAATAGCTGCAAGGTGAAGATATGTTTAGCAAACGGTGTTGCATTACCAGACAGTAGAAGGATTGCTCCAAGTTAAATTAATAGTAGTAAGAAAAGAATGTGAGTAGATTGCTCGACAAGGTAACGCTATATAAATCTTCATCACCTTGACAGCCTGTCGCCTGGTCATGTAATTCTCAGATTCCAGCAACTTCGAGTTGTATTCTGCAAAAAACTAAAATACGTACAGTAGTTTAGAAAGAAAGAGTTGAGTTCTCATTCAACCAGAAGCTCTAACACAAACTTTCAAAACTGTAAAAACAACTTGTCGCCCTAAACGACTTACAGTTATATTTTTTCAATAACAAAGTTGAGCGAGGCTGCTATACATATATCAGGAGTAGAAAGCTAAATGAATTGGAAGAATCATGTTGGTAAACGAACTTACCCAGTCATAGTTGGTTGATAAGAATTCAGCTACAGTAGATTTATGTCTTGTTAGGAGCTCCTGCAATCCAACATAACAGGATTAGATGTGCTCAACCAAAAAGTTCTCAATTGATAATCTGCTACGTTCTCCTTTACGAGCTAAAAGTTAGTTATTAACTAGGATCGTGATTGGTATTTGGAGGACTGTAACTAATGGGAACTCGTAGAGATTGATAACAGCTTGCCAATCTGACATTTTGTGCAGTAATTCTATTCAAGTTCAATAAGGGACTTCAAAACTTCATCTTGATTGAGGTTTCAAGTGGATGCAAAATAAAAATGCATAAACAGGGAGAAAAAGTGTGAAAATAATCATTTGGTAATTTTTGGTCAATTATGTACCAACCTTGAAAGTTGCAGCAGCATCAGCAGCAATATCAAAATTAGGGAGCTGTATATACTCAAAGAATCTCTTCATTTCTGGAGACTCCAAGACATATCTATAAAATGGAACAGAGACATTAAGTCAGAATGTGTACATCAAGGGATGCCATTAGTAAAGAAACCCTTCCAAACCTTTAAGAAGAGTACACTACATGCACTATCAACATCTTTTCTTAAGATTATGCAAAGCTAATGACATTCTATGCTGATATTTGTGTTCCTCATTGTACAGGGTGTAATAGTGCAAACATGGAGCTAGCAGTTTACAGAAAAATGTGACTGCATGCCTTTTTATGTTCTTTTCCGAAAAGTCAGGCCAGGATGGTACTGTGTGAATGAATCAATGAATCCATAATGAAATATAAATGGATCGGTTTGTTGATAATAGTACACATGCTTCCATCTAACAAGAAATGTTCATGTGTTCCATTACTTGAAGTACAATAAGGAAGAAAAATCTATAAGACAGATTGGCAATATTAAAATAGTTCGAATAGAGTGTTCTAAGCTTACCTTGCAACACACTGGTGACGTATACACTCCCTCAACATTGCACCATAGTGTAAAGCCATTTCTGCATTATCATAACTGCAACAGCAGCATTTATATAATTAAGTGGAATCAACAAAGTCAACAGTTCCTTCAAGATATCATCCCAGAAGCTAAATAATTAATCTTAACAATTTTATTCGATGTTTTAAGTTCAGAAACTAATATGTACTGTAAATTTTCATCTAGGAGTCAACAGAGCAGAATCTATAACTTCCTGAAGTTCTGGCAACTTACCCAACTATTAGAATATCCAGGAGATCTGTGTTGTTTTCCAGATAATCAGAAGCAATTAGACGAGACTGAACTTGCTGTCTCTGTAAATTAGCAACAACTTGAGTGGCATCTTTTCGGGTCTGCAAATGGCAGGTTGACAAGCTAAGCATGATATTTGATAACTAATTCCAGACTTTCATTACAAGACTCCTGTGTAGTTTGTCTCCAGTGGGACCCCAGAGGATGAAAATCTCTTGACATAAACTAATCCATAAATCACATATATCTCAGAACCATTGAACGTGTTTACCTCCAAATTCAACTTCGGAAGGCAGATAATGAAAAGGCGGAGTGTGTTCTCTTTGAAGAACTCTTGAGTCAACTGTGCACAAGCTTCTGCCACTGGTTCTGCCTCGCTGTTGCCATAAAGAATTGTCTTCAACTCCCTCATATTTTTAGCTAACTCCACCATCTGCAAGAATATTAAATCACGGAATCACATGTAAGACTGAAATAAACAAAAAGAGTGCCAAAAATCCAAAAATGAATTCCAAAACACTGGAGAAAAGTCTACACAGTATAAATAACATTAGAACACAAAGTTCAGTAATCAAATCATGCTTGCTAACTACAAGCACTCTGCAAATGGAGATTCAACACAGAAGCCAAATTCACCATATGACCATTATGCATAAGATGAGTTCGTTAAAAAGTCAAACTACTTCTTATCTCAGCTTCTCTAGCTCTCAAGAACAGCATGCATCCCCGCTCAATCAGAAAGTTATCACCTTGACACCCACTCACAGTTCTATCCAACATCAACTATTCCTGCCTATAAGAACTAATAAACGAAAAGCTATCGAAGAAATTTTCGCTCCTTTGAATATAAAAAGAATACTTCAATCGGAAATATTTCATCCCACGATTCTGGTGCAAATTCCCAGAAACGGGTAAAGAAAAAAAAAAAAAAAAACTCCACCCAACAACTGCAGAACCCAAGCTAGGCACTTCAAATAGTATGAAATTGTAGTCACTAAACCACACCAGCAGGCTACTTCTACACTCCAAGCAATAGACATATTGATAGCATGAAGAGCATGAAAGCAAAATTTAACACCAGTTCACTACAAAATACAGATGACTGGAGTCCATCACAGGTCAATCCATCCTCCACCAATTCTTCAAGATGCCACAATTGCGAGCCTAAACCTTACAGCCAAGCTGTAAGCATGACTAACACCAGAACTACCCTATGATCAAGGTCAATTAATCCCCCCATCCAAGCAACAACTCTCCATCGGAAGAGGAACTTGCTGAATTTCCAAACCCTAGTCAACTAGTTCACCCCTCTCTTAAGAACTAAAATTCGCCGATCGATCTAACTTCTATCAGATTCTCATAAACAGAAAAGTCGGCAAGCAGCGTAATTGACTAGATTGCTAGGCAGCCCACGTAATGCCAATAAACCCAGAAAGCAAAACACTTTCAATTTCCCCTCTTCTGTTTACCTTCTCTTCGCGCCGTACGTCGCCGCGCAAATCGGTGGAGTAGGAGGAAGAGCGGTCGACATAGGCGAGGATATCGCGAGTCTGGCGGACAATATCGGCAGGAGTGCGAGGCTTGTGCTTGAACAGCCCCTTCATCTTCTGCGATCTCGACGGAGACAGAGCCCCCGACGATGCTCCAAACGTCGTCGACGCCGAAATCGAAGCTGGATTAGCTGGAGGAGCAGCAGCAGTAGCAACAACAGCTGCCGGCCCCGATTGTGCTGCTGCCGGCTGCTGAGAGAGTCTCTTCACGACATCGCCGGAAGAGACTCTCTCCGCCGCCGGAGCAGCAGGCTTTGACGCACACAGTCCTATACTTCCTCGCCTTTAATTCCCCCACCCCCCACAAAAAAAAAATACTCCTTTTCCTTCGTTGCTCGCTCCAGCAGCGCCCAGCGGCGGTGCCCGATTGCCTTGCCGGCAGCTGAATTGGGGAACTCTTCCTTCTAGCTCCGGCGGGTTTCCAAGAGAAGGGAATTAGAAATGGCGATGAAAGATGGGTCTTTGCCTCTCTCTCGTTTTGTGGTAGTTAGTTTGTTTCTTTCGGATGATCGGGTACTTCGGGGGATCCGACGATTCCATTTTTATTTTGGTTTGGATGACTTCAGACTTCAGAGTATATCTTACCATTTTTTCCCCCAAAACTTTTACCTATATATGATGTTACAGTAATTTAATTTATCGTTTTCACTTTTGATTTAGTGAAAATCATAACTTGTAGCCACTAAGCAACTTACCATTAAATAACGAACTTTTTCCTTGTATTTAACATAATCTATAAAAAAAAAATCGTGAGTAAACTATTGGAAACATTGATAGTAGAGAAAGACCTGTATAGGCTTGGCCTCCGACTTTATTAAGAAGCTGGCTGCTAGTAAACTTTTACATTTCAACAATTGCTCAATGCAAAATGAACCAGAGATATACCAACATGAAAACCAAGTCTACTACGGACTTGTGCTTGTTCATCTTCAACCTATCCCTCCTGTATCGCTTCATCCATCAAAATAACTTCCCTGAGTCTTGTATGCACCAAAATTGAGTTGCAGATAAAATGATCAAACCAAACTGGCAAAGAAAAAGAAAAGGGTGCTGATCGAGTTCTCTTCTACCATCCAGTTTCCAGCCTAGCTTGCCCCCCCCCCCCCCCCCCCCCCCCCCCCCCCCCAGAGTTGAACAAAAAAAAACCTCTTAAACTAAGGCCAGGGTCGATCTCACTTGCTGTCGGTGAAATCTGCATCGATGACATCGCCATCAGGCCCCTTTGTCGAAGAGTCGGATGGACCAGACTCAGCTCCAGGAGCTGGACCTTCACCGCCGGCAGACGGAGAGCCCTGCTGGCTGTAGAGCGACTGCCCGAGTTGCATCACTTCTTGGTTGAGAGCGGCCATCGCGTCTTTCATCGTCTGAGTGGATTCTCCAGCAATCGCATCCCTGAGTTCTTGGAGCTTGACCTCGACCTTTTCTTTGACTGGAGCTGGGACCTTGTCTCCGAGCTCCTTCAGCTGCTTCTCGGTCTGGTACACCACTGAATCTGCCTGGTTTTTGGTGTCGATCGCGTCTCTCTTCTCCTTGTCCTCCTTGGAAAACCTCTCGGCTTCTTGTACCATCCTCTCAACCTGTGCATACAGATTCATGTTTAGTTATCTAGGACATCAAAATGTTGAATGCGAGTTCAAGATTACAATTTTACAGTGATCTCCTAGTCTTCTAACCTAAAATCCAATTTTAACTGCTGTGGACTTTATAATGTTTACCAAGAGAGTAGCAGTTTGTAGTGGTTACATTACCTCATCACTAGGCAGAGTACTAGCACCAGTGATTGTAATATCCTGCTTCTTCCCAGTGCCCTTATCGACAGCAGTCACTGAGAGGATCCCGTTGGCATCAATGTCAAACTTGACCTCAATCTGAGGAACACCACGTGGCGCCGGTGGGATACCATCCAAACGGAAGCTTCCCAAAGATTTGTTGTCCCTCACGAACTCTCGCTCGCCTTGAAGGACATTGATCTCAACGCTGGTCTGCCCATCTGCTGCAGTTGAGAACACCTCTGATTTGGATGTTGGCAGCGTTGTGTTCCTAGGGATGATCTTTGTCATAACTCCTCCGAGGGTCTCCAACCCGATAGATAATGGTGTGACATCCAACAACACGATGTCACTAACATCACCAGACAGAACTCCAGCCTGTGATGATCGCATAATAATGAAGTAAGATTCAGCATAATTTCAAGACAACAAAATCAATGAAAGTTTAATCTACCTGAACTGCAGCACCAAGAGCAACGACTTCATCGGGATTTACAGTGACATTAGGATCCTTCCCCGTTAGCTTCTTCACAAGCTCTTGTACTGCGGGAATACGTGTTGACCCACCAACGAGAATGACTTCATCTAAGTCTTTGAAGGAGAGTTTTGCGTCCCTCAAAGAATTCTCAACTGGGGTTTTAAGCCTAAGGATATGAAGGATAGATCATAAATAAACCGCCATAGGCAAGGTGAACATGTTTTAGCTGCGTGCAAATCTGTGCCATATATTGGACAGAAAAATAAAGATGCTGCATGCAATGAATATGGTGAAGCTTTGTCAGAAAATGTACCTATCTAGGAGATCAGAGCACAGCTCCTCAAACTTGACCCGTGTAAGAGTGGTCTCGATGTGCTTCGGTCCCTCAGCGGTAGCGGTAATGAATGGCAAACTGAAACCAAGCGAGTCTCATCAGTCTAAGCCACAAAAAGAACTTACAGGACAGGCTGGAAAGATCGACATTTCAAAACTCATCTACCTAATGTTAGCTTGAGTCAGAGATGAAAGCTCCATTTTTGCTTTCTCAGCTGTCTCAGTCAGCCTTTGGAGAGCTTGCTTGTCCTTCAAAAGCTTAATCCCTTCATCCCTTTCAAAGTCGGCAGCAAGCCAATCAACAATTCTCTGTATAAAAGAGCAAAAATTGCATTAGAGGACTCATTTCACAAAGAAAGCGAAAATAACATCAAACAATGTGAAACAATCAAAACCTTATCAAAGTCGTCACCACCCAAATGAGTATCTCCCGAGGTAGAGAGCACTTCAAAGACTCCATCACCAACCTCAAGAACTGCAGCACACAAAACACACACAGTGACAATCCCATCTCAACATTTTCACCAAGAACTGCAACATATACAATCTTCAATAATAAACACAGTACTTCAAAAGCTGAAGTGCATCTAGATACCTGAAACATCAAAGGTACCACCACCAAGATCAAACACCAAGATGGTCTCGTTATTCTTCCTCTCGAACCCATAAGCTAATGAAGCCGCTGTAGGCTCGTTAATGATCCTAAGGACTTCTAGCCCTGCAATACGGCCAGCATCCTTCGTTGCTGTCCTTTGTGAGTCATTGAAATAAGCCGGCACTGTGACAACAGCTTTGGTCACTTTGTCATTCAGAAATTTGGAGGCATCATCAACCAGCTTTCTCAACACCTGAATCCAATCAAACAGACATTCAAGAACAAAAACCAATATGGATACCATCAACTCCTTGCAAGCGTAGTCAGTTGGAGGTCAAACCAAGTAAAAGTTCTTGACTTCTATATCAAACATTCAACACAATGAAGTACACCAATTCACAAATCCTAGCTCAATCAAGCAACTAATATATATTACCTGAGCTGAAATCTCTTCAGCAGCAAACTGTTTCCCCAAAATAGGACAATCCAGCTTCACATTCCCATTATCATCCCTCACAACTCTGTAAGAAACCTGCTTCGATTCCTCATCCACCTCCAACATCTTCCTCCCGATAAACCTCTTCACGGAGAAGAAAGTGTTCTCAGGGTTCACAACAGCTTGGCGCTTGGCAATTTGACCCACCAGCCTATCCCCGTTCTTCGTGTACGCCACCACGGACGGCGTAGTCCTCTGCCCTTCCGCGTTGGTCACAATCGTCGGCTTCCCTCCTTCCATGGCGGCGACGGCGGAATTGGTGGTACCCAAATCGATCCCCACAACTTTCTCGCTAACAACCCTCAACGGACCGTAGCTCCTCCGCCTTGTACTCCCGCCGCCGTTGTACCTCAGAAACGCCGCCGTCCTGGAACCCCCCAGGGCTTGACCGAGGAAGACGGTCTTCGGGGCGAAGGAGAAAGCGGGTTTCTTCGATGACCCAGTTGAGGCAAACCCCATAGCTCCGAGGCCATGAATCTGGGCAGTCGAGGAAGCCATCTCTGTGAGGTCAAAGACTGAAGCTTTAATCAAGCAGTGAACAAGGCGATGAACTGCGTCACGGAAAGGAAGGTCGGGCGAATGATAAGAGTGAATCCCCAACGACTCCTCCCAACTACAACAGCAGCCCCCGTTTCTGTAGAGCTTTGGCAGGAATGGGGGTTGGCGAGTAGAAAGAGAGGAGAGGGGTTTTCGTTGTATCGTTTCTTATCCCTTCCTTTTTATCCTTTTTTTTCTTTTTTATTTTCCCTCTCCCGGGCCGGCAGCGGGAATCGGAATTCTAATGTCCAGTGAGACAGCAAACCGGTTCTGTCAGTGTGAACCGAACCGATCGCTGATTGATTTGACGGTTCAGAAAAAGACCAACTCAAAATCGGGAACGGTAAAGGCCCAATCCATTAATTTTATCCAAGGCCCAATTCAGGAGCCCAAAGGTAGGCAGGTGCCACCGGTAGCTCATCGGAGAATAAACAGCCGTCGTTCAATCTCCGACGGCCAATTTCGATTTGTCTGCAAAAGCTCGAAATTGAAGAAGAGGGTAAAACTAAAACCGAATAGTCCTTTTTTTTTTCTTCTTATTCTGATCCATAAACCACACATCTCATCATCATCATCAGTTCATTACTCCATATCCCTCTGTTTCCTCATACATTAATATACAATCACCGATCACAAGATCCAAATTAACCCGATGAAACTACCGGAAGAGGCCGGAATTATACGGACTCGTTCACGGCGTCTGCTTCTTGAACGAGGTAAGCTCCTTGGGACTCTTGCCGCCGGGATGCACCCAGACGATCGCCTCGTACTTCGACAGCGCGTCGGCATTGCCGGAGTCGGAGACGGTCAGGTTCAGCCTGTACCGCTTGCCGTTGACGACCTGGGACTCGCCGGAGTCCACCGTCACCAGCTTCAGGTTCTCTGCGCCCTCCCTGTTGTGCTGGTCGACGGCGAACGCCGCGGCCTCCGCCACGTCCTGATCCTTGAGGTGTTCGGGCTCGATCTTGGTCCACCCGCCGAGCGACGCCGCGCCGGCGACGGTGAGAGCGAGGACGATCGCGAGGATCTGAGGCTTCTTCATGGTTTGTGCGATCTAGGGATTTCGATGAATTTGGGGATTTTTGGTGGGGGGGGAATTGAATCGATGATTTGAGTTTCGGTGAAGGTAGAGATGACAGTTGAGAGCGCGGGTAGGGATTTATTTATAGGGAGAGGAGTCGAGAATTAACCACGGCGATTTTAAGCGTATACCGGAGGCATAGGGTTAACTGTTTAGCCTCGTGAGAGGTCAGAATTACGGATCGTGCCATTGGTGGGAAAGGAATTGAGGAAGTGACGTGGCGGAGAAAGCTAGGGGATGGATTGGACACCCACATCCCCCATGGTTAAAAATGTTTATAGTGGTCATTAAACTACGAGATTCGTCACAAATCGGTCACTAAACTATGCGTATCACAAACAAAAGGATCGCTATTTGTTAATTGAATATAAGGTTTAGAATTAGGGGATTTAATCGTGCATTACGAGTACATATTAGTTCGTAACAGCTAAAATTCCTCCTTTTCATTGATTTTTTTTCTATCGCCACACTTGTAAGAATAATTATGACCGAGAAAATCATAGTTCGGTGGTAAATTTGTTAGTAGTGCCAAAGTTTAGGGGTCGTTACGCAATTGACCCAATAACAATACTAAAGCAGGCCGGGGATGGTGGGTTGATTGTGTTACGGGCTGTGGGGCCCGACTACGAGTCACGGGGCGATGGACATTTATGTTAGGCTTTTTTTGGGGAGTTGGGCCCATAGGGGTTGAAACTAAATAAAGCCCTAAGATGGGGACGCGACCAATTTTTGGCTATTTTGCTATTGCATGTTTCTTGTCTTTGCCTTCAACAACTCTTGTCTCGTGTTGAATAGAAGAAGACATGTGAGTGAATACCACCACCCCAACTTGGAGAATGGACATCTTTATCATCATCTAACCCGTTGTCCATGGCGTAGGAGATATGGGGTGTTAGAAATCTTGATCATGGATATACTTTGCTAATCAGTTACATGTCATAGTCTAGGTTTAGTAGCGGTGGATCCAGCCTTCAGGATATAGACGAGTACTGGGCCAAATTTGACTAGCAATGGTCTGAAAAAAGATGGGGAGGATTAGAAGAAATCAAGTCTCGTTTGCAATATTAGTTCCGAAACCCAAAGAAGGGATGGACCGTGACCCGTGGATGCTGCCCTCCCTTGCATCCGCTACTGATGTTTATAATCTTATAAGCAACGCTTGTGATCGAGTTTACGTGTGTCGAGAGTGACGACGGTCAATAATTAACGAGACGAGTTCTCATCTTAAAGGTCGTGTTTGGATGAAGATTGTACGTGACGAGTAATATGGACATCACGATATCTCATTCCTCGAGTATATAACACATTATTTTCTACCCTTCTCTCAATTGAGGCTGGAAATGGATATTAGATGTGAAACTACATGTACAACAAAGTTTTCATTAAACTAGAGACTGACTATTAAGTCTTAATCCACGATTACAACAAAAATTTCACTATCAACTTGGGAGTTTGACATATCTACACCTCTAGCACACTTTTATAACATAGATAAAACCGTCACTAGATTAGTTTTTTTCAGAGCCATCAACCCATCATCGATCTCCACCAGGCAAGCAGCTTGGTGATTATCACCAACGGCCGGCAGAAACCTTAATAACAGACAAAAGGGATCAGCTTGCAATCCAAGCTCGAAATTGAGCATATTCCCACGTTAGAAAGCAAAACTCAACAACGAAGCATTCCTCCACGATACAAAACATGTCGATGAACCCCAACTATGTACCAAAATGACATGGGGAACAATTCGGCTAGCAATGGCTACTACTCGTACCTTCCTCGCGTCTTTTGGCACTAGAGTTGGTCTTGTTAAGTCTTAGTTGCGTTTGTTTCGTACTTATCACGACATTTTATAGATAAGTTTGTTGGATAATACATTGTTAAATTATGTATTGATGATGCAAGTTGGTGTTACGTATACCCCGCAAACACAAAAATTAGAAAGAGAGAGAAGAACAATAAAGGGAAGTTGATTAGCAATTCTACATATGGCCCAAAAAAAAATGGTATACAAGTACATGGTATATATACAATGAAACTATTAAAGAGAATATCAGAGAGGAAAGGAAAAAAGAAACTATATCTATATATTCATTGCACATAGATTCTTCATTCTTTTTTTATGAAAATGTTTCTCTACATTTCCATAAATGAATGAAAAACAGGGACACAAAATTGCTCTATAAAAAGGGAATTGGAGATGCTAGTTTGCTGCAACATCAAATACTTAGCATAGATTATTGTAAGTTACACAAAAGATAGTTAGATAGTTAAGAGAAATGGAGGCCATGAAGAAGATGAGTGTAATCATGGTGTTGTTTGTGATTTTGGGTTCAATGACGAACCAACAACAAATGGTTTCGGCAGATCGACAAGAGTGTGTTGCTAATTGCTTGGCGCAGTGCATGTTGCCGCTTTACAGTCGCTGTGTTGAGTTGTGCAATAAATATTGCGATGGTGAGGAGCTACAACAACAAGATAATCGTCATCAAAAATCAAGTCCATCAATCACTAATACCCATTTTGATTCCTCTAATTAATATGAAATCTAAAATGGTGTATAACGATAGTTTGCTGAATTATGGATGGACCAGCGAGCCTCTCTTTTTTGTGTACCCTTCAAAGAGCTTGTGTTCAATGAATAAAACAAAGACTTGCATTGGTTTATGATAGATTTCGTCTCCTACTTATGTATTGTTGCATGCAATTTTTTTTATTTATGTCGAGATACTCCCCCATTCTCTAAAATGGCCGAAATATGTTTTTTTTTTTTCACTAGACATTTAAAAGATACAACGAGTTGACCAATTGCTAAACCATATATTACAAAGAACATAAATAACTACAGAAGAAACCACCTCAAAGAAAATAAATACAAGGTCTTTCCTGGCACACGATAAATATTCACGTTTTTTCTCGCAAAACTCACTTTATACCCTCGATGTCGGTGTCAACTAGAGATGGCAATCAAACCCATGGCCGCGGGTATCCGACCGCCCCCGACCCAGTCAACGCGGGGAATCCCCGCTTTGACCGGGTATGGGGCGGGTATGGGTAAAACCCGCAAAAAGTTTGATGGGTATGGGGCGGGTATGGTTTTAGCCTCCCCGCCCCATACCCATCCCCATACCCGCCCCACCAAGATAGTTTCTTCATATATAAAAAAAATATGTGCATCAAATTATAATCTATCAATGATGATGAGGATAAATTGAGAAAATAAATAGTACAAATGCAATTGAGTGACCATCTTAATCAAAATCTAATTCATTTCTCTCAATTCTCATTTCACTCTTTCACTTTCCCCTTTGTCAACAAGATTATGTTAGTTAATTATTATTTAGTAGATGTATCAGAGTTAGAACATAATAATTTGAAAAATATTATACTATATATTATGTATTAATGGATATTTTAGGATCATAATCTTTGAACCATATTAAAAAATGACCGTGTTTTGTTGACTTCATGATATAATATGTTCGTTTAGAGTTATAATTAGAACTTTTCTTGTAAGTTTTAGATATAATAATGTTGGATGTACGGGTATGGGTATTACCCATGGGTACCCAAAACCCACGGGTATGGGGATGGGTTTACAAAACATTCCCCGCATGGGTATGGGGCGGGTATGGGTTTGGGTATTTGAAGATGGGTATGGGGATGGTTTTAGCAAACCCGCCCCAAACCCGCCCCATTGCCATCCCTAGTGTCAACGGTATCTTATCTCAATAACCACATCCAAACCATGCATTTAGGGTTCATCTCTTTTGGAGTATAAAAGTCATTTGATCGGAATGGAGCAAGAGAGAACCTCTAGAAATTATTTGCATCATCAATCCATAATTGAACTATATACTGTCTAGTATATAGTTCAATTATGGATTGATAATGCAAGTCTGTGTCACGTATATCCGCAAACACAAAAAAGAAATAGAGAGAGAAGAAGAAGGGGAAGTTGATTAGCAATTCTACATATGGCAAAAAAAATTGGTATAGAAGTACATTGTACACATACAATGAGGAAAGAAAAAGGAAACTATATCTTCATATTCATTGCACATAGATTCTTCATTATCTTTTTATGAAAATGGTTCCCTCTACATTTCCATAAAACGAAAAACAGAGACTGGAAACTACACACTATAAGAAGGGAATTGGAGATGTTAGCATGCTGTATACGAAATACTTGATAAATATATAATTATAAGTTACACAAAAGATAGTTACATATAAAAAATGGAGGCCATGAAGAAGATGGGCGTGATCATGGTGTTGTTTGTGGTTTTGGGGTCAATGACGAACCAACAACAAATGGTTTCTGCAGATCGAGCAGAGTGTGTTGCCAAATGCTTGGCTGGGTGCACGCTACTGCTTTACAGTCGATGTGTTGAGTTCTGCAATGATTATTGTGATGCTGGTGGGAAACTACAACAACAATATAATCGTCATACAAAAATCAAGTCCAACAATCTCTAATACCCATTTTGATTCCTCTAATTAATTTGAAACAGAAAATGGTGTGTAAGGATAGTTTGCTGAATCATGGATTGACAAGCTAGCTAGCCTCTCTTCTTTTTTTTTTACCCTTCCCATAGATTGTTGTTGAATGAATAAAAACAAAGATTTGCATTGGTTTATGATAATTTTCCTCTCCTATTGGTGTATGTTCATGTTGTATGTGTTTTTCATGATTGTTGAGGTACTCCCCCCACTCCTCTAAAAGGCTCGTGATATGTTTTTTCTTCTTCACGAGACACCTAAGGGATACAAAGAATCAACCCAATTGCAGAGCAAGATCATGATATTACAATGAATATAATTAATTGTAGAAATCGAAACCAACAAACCCCGAAGGAAATAAATGTAAGGTCTTTCTTGCCATACGATAAACAAAGTAACCCTGCTAACATTCCTTCTCACGAAACTCACTCTGTACTCTGATGTCGGGGCCAACAATACTCTTTTTCGAACCCCGCCACTTAGGGGAGATGCATGCGGGTTTCAGATCTGTCACGAAAACTACAAATCAATCCACTGATCGAGCGCACCACCCTAATTCAATACACAAATGAGTATGTGCGTGAATTAATGTAACAACGGTTTGGCCCATATCGAAACAAATTGGACCGAATATAATTGATATAATGACTTTTGTACATGAAAAAAAAGTGGTCACTCATCACTTACACTTATATCCTTTGTGCGCTTTGGATTTTGCCAAACCTATCTCTCGATGCTTTTATGGGTCTCCCCGTCTTTAGTGTTCTATCTCATTACCCATTTGTGGTTATGAGAACTGTTCTTTGAATTACGACCGTGAAATTGGAACTGCAAAGCGAGCCAGCAAGTGGTGGGAGCTTTCCAACTCACCATTGCCATTCTGGCTATGAATTTTGGTTTATCGATCGTCATGTTCGTGTACACCGTTTATGGCTACCGGCACTGAGATTTAATCTGCTGAGAGAGCAATGAGATGCATGCCGCTAGTGATCTCTAGCAAAGACACTACTGGAGAGAAAAATGGAGTTCTGTATCGAGTAAAATGGAGAGAAAATATTTGTGTTAGAAAGCGATCGATTTTGCTTGTTGGGACTTCCATTTCTTCAGCAACATTAAAGTCAGCGTCACCTTCCAACAATGGCGGCGTCCACGAAGAAATTCACCATTCTGTTGTGCGTCGTGGCCTCGCAAGCGACGTTACTATACAGTTTCGGATACTGTACGTGACCCCAAACAAAATAAAAATTGTTACGTTATTGGTTTAATTTGCTTCTTTTACTAGCTAGTTTTGCTACTACGTACTCATCGTGTTGAATTTGCAGATACGGTGGTGGTGCTTCTTTCCTCCACCACCACGATGGAAGAGGACCTCGGGATGACGGAGAGCCAAGGGCACCACTTCCGGCGCGACACCCGATGGACGTTCTTCTTCGCGTGCTTCATTTCGGGCTTCGTGGCGGACTTTCTCGGCCGTCGCTCGACACTGATCTTATCGGGAACCCTAGCGTTCGTAGGGTTCCTGATCATGTCCCTCGCGGTTTCGTATGGCGTCCTCATCACTGGCAGGATCCTCTCCCTCGTCGGAATCGGGTTAGGACTCCCGGTTGCGCCTCTTTACATCGGAGAGGTCGCGAGCCCGAGCCGACGAGGCTGTCTCAACACCATCCCGGAGGTACAGGCTATTCTATTTCGATCTGTTTATTCTTTTCTAGGTTTTGTAAGATGCAATGCAATGGTTGCTATAGTGAAGATATATAGTACATCTTTTTGCAACCACTGAAAAAGAGTTGCATAAGGGTTGGTCTGGTCATCCACAGTACGGTCACAAAAGGGTACTAGTTGCATAAGCTTTAATTTCTCAGTAATAGTGGGTTAGTTTAGTTCTTGATTAATTGAGACAGTCAAGGGAGGTGGGAAGTTCAAATTCGGGTAAATAGCATCCACTAATGGTTCTCTTACGTGGAAAAGTGGGTTTATGATCGATATTTAATTTGGTGATTTAACGGTTCATTTTAACCCACTCCATATACTTTTCAGTTTTCACCACCCCCTACTCTTAGCTCTGAAGCAATGTTCACTTTTTCTAATAGAAATATTGAGCAATGTTTACCGTATGAATAAAATTAAGATAATCATGACTCCGCTCTGCTCTGTTAATTAACGTTACGTCTTTTAAATTCTTTGCCTCATAAATAGTAATGATGCATGTACAATTTTTCTTGCCTTGCAGATACTTTCAGTCCTAGGACTGTGGCTAGGTGTGCTGACACGGGCCGCAATCCGGGACCTGCCAGCGACCTCCCAGTGGAGGGTGATGGTGGGTATGGGGATCATCCCATCCCTAATTTTAGGGGTGGGTATGTTATTCCTACCCGAATCACCCTGCTGGTTGGTTCGGCGGGCTAGAGTCAGGGATGCGAAAGTTGCCCTCCAACGTACTCTGAAAACCGCGGAAGAAGTTGAAGCACGTTTGCTGGGGTTGAGGAAAGCTGCCAGAATCCCACCAACAATGGGAGACGAAAACTTCGACGCCTTGGCACAAGACATCCGTGTCTTGGCCATTTGGCAGGAACTGCGACGACCATTGGTCCGACCCCAGTTGAAAAAGTTGTTGATCTCCGTGTTCACCATCCAGTGCCTTCAGCCAATGTCAGGGGTGGATCTTCTCACGTACGAGTCGCTGATGAGGTACCCTCACAACGGTCCGGGCACTCCGGTGGAGTTCGTGATGGAGGAGCTCCTCCCATTGTGTGGGAGGTTGCTCCCCATCTTGGCTCCACTGTTCCTCTCAGATGTCATCGGACGGACACCACTCGTGTGTCACAGCTTGGTAGCCGCGGGGATCTCCATGGTGTTCATCAGCACCACGACGACAATGTTGAACTATGATATCAGCCCGAGAGTTGTCAAGGAGCTGAAGAGGTGGAGCACGATAGCCTTCTTCGGATCGTTCTCCTTCGGATTAGGCCCCATGACAATGGTGCATAGTTCCGAAGCCCTCTCATTTAAGGTTAGGGCTCAAGTAATCGGGATTGCAGTGATGGTGAACCGACTACTAAGCTTTGGGTTGTATTGCTTGAAACCAGCTCTAGACCGGGTGTTCGAGAGTTTGATATACTGGATTATCAACCTCGGATTCCTATTCGGATTGTGGCTGTGCGGCAGGTACATAATCGAGACCTCCAACGATTCCTTGGAAGTGCTGGACAACGATTTCAGGCCGACACTTGAGCTGAGTTTAGGTCCTCTTGCTACCTAGGTTAGTTACTGCGTGAGCTACTTGAGTCGGTATTCATAAAAGGAAGCTCTAATTATCCCTTGTGTACTCTGTTACAAGCTAAGATGATCTTCTAGTGTGTATCTCCTCTGGCATGTGAATCACTTGCAACTGCAAGTCCCTTCTTTTGTACGCCTATGTATTGCTGACTAGCTTTGGCCCTGCCAGATGGACGGTTCGATGTGTGATTATATATGTGAGTATAATTTTCGAAGGAAGGTGGCTTAAGTATGCATACAAAAAGCCTATATACAAGAACATGAATCACCAAACGAACGATGATGTACAAACCAACATTTTGCGATCTCTGTAAGATGGAAGAATGAATTTAACATACATCAATTCGAAATAAAAGGAGTAAACAACAACAGAACATTCAGAAACAACCATCGCATTGTCGATGAAAGGGCGCTGCTTCTCCAAGTATAGGGAGGTTTTGAAAATTCTGCTTCCTTCATGGACGAAAGACTGCAAGAGTCGAGAGGTGTTGCAGTCTTTGCCATGGTTGATCTGCAGATTCTATCACTGTTTTTTCCCTTTTCGATCCATCTGCGTCGCATATCCTATTTTCTAGCAAGGCATAAATCAAGGGAGTAGTTGAAGTGCGTAGTAGAAGTAAAAGCCAGTTTATTGTAAGAGACCGAGGTTCCAATAGTGATCATCTGTCAATTTCTCTAGCTTAGGGCCATTACATTGAACCTACGTTTGCAGAAATTCAGTTTGTTTCTGTGTTCATAGTTGGGCAATGAACTTTGATGGCCAAATATGATGTGGAAAAGGCATGGTAGTGCTAGTGCTCAAAGTTTCTGTTCCGAGAGTCAAACACAAGGAAGCCAGAAGCTGATCCTGGTAATGCAACAGGGAAAGTAGGAGTCCAGCAGCCAAGGATTAGGACTTTTTGGTCTAGTTACATACAAGAGTGAGCAGAACAACTTGAGAGCATAGATATGCAGGTAGCTGTTTAAATCTAAGGGAGGACGTGTTGAAGGCGTCCTGAGAAGATGCAATTCAGCTCATCTACTACTGAGAACACAACAGTTTGCATTTGACATTGATGAAAGGAAATCAAAACGTTCTGTAGTGGAGTGAAAGGAAATCCTAGGACTGTGCTTAAAGCTGCTAACTTTAGGTTGGAAGCTGCCAACAGTTAAACTTTAGCCAGAGCCACCCCTATTTCACCTAATGCTTCCAATGGCATGCCTGTGTCTTAGCCATAACAGGGAAACGAATGAGAGAACCCAAAACGTAAAGATCAAATCTTTCCGTCAAAATCAAACATTAATCAGACAACCTCAAGTCTCAATTTTCAAGTACTTAATAATAACGGGAGTGGTTTCAGATTTAAGTCATTACTACCTAGCGTTGTGGTGGCTGTGGTTTTCATAGTAGCCGGAGGGAAGTAGAGAAGGAGATGTACCTCTGCATCAATTTCCCGGCGTCACCATCGTTGTCATTGACGACGGATAACTCCCCGACATCTTGACGAAACCCTCCATTCGAGGCGACAGTGAAGGGATCGAGATCTGGGTCGTTGAATTCCTGGATGATGTCGAAAGAATTAGAACAGAGTTTTGATCGAAGAAGAAGAGATCGCCTCCGTCGGAGGAAACGATTTCTGACTTTCTGTGCTATTGGAAGAAATGGTTCGTGATTGAGCGGCGGCGACGGCGAGGCTCGCTTTTTGGATCCGGCAGAGGCGGCATTGCGGAGGGGATATGCGAGCGAGACCCGGCAAAATTTGCGGGCGAGGCGCGAGAATTGGGCCGAGCCCACCTGAAATGGATCCGAACGTCGATTGGGCCGAGATACAGTTCGTAGAAATAAAGCCCATAAGAAACCGTACCTTTGTGAAAGTTGGGCATTTCGTAATTTTTAATTATTTCAAAGGCTCTTCTACCGATTACCGGATCTGTAAACAAATTTGCATTCCCTGTTCCTTTATTTTTATCAGAACCTTGAGAACTTTATTAATCCGAAGATGAGGTTACATAATCCAGCTGCAATCGATCAATAATGAAAATAAAAGGTATTTCTATCCATTAGATGATGATATGGAATGGACATTATTCTTTACCGGATGACTTGATAAAAAAAACAAAAATAGGATAAAATATTTGTTGCATTTTTAATTTGGTTTATACGTTGTTAAATATATCAATGGAGTAGTGAACAATAAGGTGAAACATAAAGAATAAGGGTGAAGATGATCTCAAGAAACAAGTAGAGACCCTTTATTAATAGTTCGTTGCACAATGACAGATCAAACATAGGCACTAGGAAAACATATATAGGTGAGCGGAAAAGAACTATTTAACCAATTCAGAAGTGGTACTATTACTACTCTCAATTTTTGGATTTTCTGCTGGTTTGTTAACTCCCTGATTATGACACTTCTTATAACAATAAATAAGACAATCCTCATAATCCCTCTGCTTACAATGAGTCGTGCAATAATCAAAACACTCCTCGTAACCTGCAAATGTCTGGCTTGTCGAAGCTAGGATTACCAACAACATGACTACAAGCATCATCTTCGTCTTCATCTTCTCTTCTAGACTTCAATGTATGAAAATTTCTCAGACTTATGAGAGGTATTGTGGATGTTTATCTGTAGCTATTTTCACTCTTTTTCTTCCTCTTATAATTAGGACTCTACCCTCTCGTGGCTTCTTGTAATGATAGACAAGAGTGGAAGAATTGGATTTTCTTCTATTTACAAGAAAACAGAATGAGCAATTTCCATATAAAAAGATTCGATAGTTTATGTTGGATATTCTTTGCTTCTTTTCTATTTGGCAAAATCCTAAAAATTTATTTTCGTGGATCCCTCTATTAAATGATGTGTGTCTTTTATGTGTTTATGACTTTATGGTAGTTATCTCTAAAGGGTACCAAAGGGAATGTACCATTGAACCATAATAAGATACAACGTGTCATAAAAAAATACTACCAATTTAAAAAGACACACCCCGTCATAAGATACATTAACATAAAAATTATGTTACTTTGAATGTATACTTGATCTCGAAAAGTTGCCCTTCCCGTTTAACAAACAATAACAAAAGAAATATGCTTGATCTCGGAATCTAGTATTATTGAACTTATTGATTGAAAGGACGCGATATCGAAAGCTTGGTTTCCATCAGAAACATAAAGACGAGAAACTATGGATCGGGCTTAAAATCAGTATGAATTGCTCGAACTTTTTCTTCCCGTTGTTGCTCGCAATTCGAAGGACCACTATGATGGCACAGTGTAGAGCACCTAGCAAGACAAATAGGATAAGTATGTTTGCAGATGTCTTTCATGCAAGCCTTTAAACAACACGCATAACCTCCCGAAACTCGTTGATTCATCGAGCTCGAAATCATATGCTAGGTTGATGCAACACCAGATACTTACTATAAGTTACACAAAAGACAGTTAGATACATAAAAAAAATGGAGGCTTTGAAGAAGATGAGTCTGGTCATGGTGTTGTTTGTGATTTTGGGTTCAATGACGAACCAACAACAAATAGTTTCGGCAGATCGACAAGAGTGTATTGCCAACTGCTTGGCTCAGTGCCAGCTACCGCTTTACAGTCATTGTGTTGAGTTATGTAATAAATATTGCGATGCTGGTGAGGAGCTACAACAACAATATAATCATCAAAAAACATAAAGTCCAACAATCAATAGTACCCATTTGATTCCTCTATTTAATTTGAAACATAAAATGGTGTATGACGATAGTTTGCTGAATTATGGATTGACTGGGCTCTCTTTTTTGTGTACCCTTCACCTGGATTGTTGTTGAATGAATAAAACAAAGATTTGCATTAGCCTTTATGGGACGATAATTTTCTTCTGCAATTGGTGTATTGCTGACTGTTGTACTTGTATGTGTTTTTCCATTTATGTTGAGGTACTCCCCCAGCTCCTAAAAAGGCATGAGATATGTTTTTTTTCTTCTCCTCGAGACACTTAAACGATACAGAAAGCCAATCAATTGCAGAACCAAACATCGATATTGCAATGAACAATAATAACTGCATAAATCAAAATCAAAAAATATAGCGTTGACTTGCATGCGGGTTTCAAGTCCGTCACTAAAACAACTAATCAATCTCCTTATGAGTACAACCCTAATTCAGTACACAAATACGTACGTGTTTGAAATATGCAATAACCATTGGGCTCATACTGAAATAAATTGGACCTAATTAATATCATGGATCGCATATTATTTGTTACACTTTACTTGCATGAAAAAACCCAAAGCTTTACCACTTAGAAATCTCTCCCAAGCACACTAGATGGACCATATGAAAGTGAAGAACAAAGGTTTATCACCATTACATCACCAATCACCATCATCAGGAGGTATGAACTCGATCAGTCGCTTATCAACATTATACACCACAGTAGCGGTATTGTTGGTGGTAATAGACTCTATTGACAATACATCATTAAATTACGTATTGATTATGCAAGTCTTTTTTTTTAATATTTATTGATTATGCAAGTCAGTGTCACATATCCGCAAACACAAAAAATAAAATAGAGAGAGAGAAAAGGAAGGGGAAGTTGATTAGGCTAACTCCAATGGAGCCTCTATATTTGGGGGAGCCTCTATATTTGGGAGAAAGTTGGCTCCAATGGAGCCTCTATAAATGGAGGAGTCTCTATATTTGGGGGAGATCTCCAAAAGGATCCCCAAATTTGGGGGTGGAAATGGGGGTTCCCCCAAATATAGAGACTCCCCAAAGCCCGCCATGTGGCATTTCTTTTCTTTTTAAGATTTTAAGGGTTAATTAGGGTTTAATTAGGGGATTAGTTAGGGGTGTAATTAGATCAATAATTTTCAAGTGTTGTGTGTAAACCCAAATTAGATCAATCATTTTTTGTCAACAAAAATTTGGTCTCAAAATTAAAAAAATTTCTACCGGAAAATTTGTATTTAAAAATGATGACGAACTATACAAAAATCAACATGAACAAATTATATTAAGACTTCGATAAGTACATTTTTAAGTAAATGGAAAACTTAAAAAATAGAGATCTCCAAATATAAAGGATGTAGCATTGGAGCAAAAGAAGGGAAAATGGGAATGAACCCCAAATTTGGGGATGAAGATCCCCAAATTTGGGGGCTTGCATTGGAGTTGGTCTTAGCAATTCTACATATGGCAAAAAGAAACTGGTATACAAGTAAATTGTACACATACAATGATACTATTGAAGAGAATATCACAGAGGAAAGAAAAAGGAAACTATATCTCTATATTCATTGCACAAAGATTCTTCATTATCTTTTTGTTAAAATGGTTCCCTCTACATTTCCATAAATGAACGAAAAACAGAGACCCAAAACTACACTATAAAAAGGGAAATGGAGATGCTAGCTTGTTGCAAAACGAAATACTAGATACATATCTTATTATTACACAAAAGAGAGTTGCATAAAAAAAAGAAATGGAGGCCACGAAGAAGATGGGCGTGATCATGGTGTTGTTTGTGGTTTTGGGTTCGGTGATGAACCAACAACAAATGGTTTCGGCAGATCGCGCAGAATGTGTTGCCAAATGCTTGGTTGGGTGCACGCTGCCGATTTACAGTCGATGTGTTGAGTACTGCAATGAATATTGCGATGCTGGTGGGAACCTCCAACAACAATATAATCATCATGAAAAAATCAAGTCGGGCAATCACTAATACCCATTTTGATTCCTCTAATTAATTTGAAAGAGAAAATGGTGTATAACGACAGTTTGCTGAATTATGGACTGACTGTGCTCTCTTTTTTTGTACCCTCCTCATAGATTGTTGTTGAATGAATAAAATAAAATGTTGCATTGGTTTATGATAATTTTCCTCTCCTTTTGGTGCATTGTTGTATGTGTTTTTCATTCATGTCGAGGTATTCCACCCACTCTGCTAAACGACACGACATGTTTTTTTCTCGCGAGACATCTAAACGAAACAACAAATCAACCCAATTGCAGAACCAAACAACGATATTGCAATGAACATAAATAACTACATAAACCGAAAACAACAAACCCCATAGAAAAGAAATGCATGATCTTTCTTATCACACATTGAACAACCCCATTAACTTTCCTTCTCACAAAAATCACTTTGTACCCCCCGATATCGACACCGACAATATAGAGGACCTTTAGAGATCAAAGAAAGCTCGTACAGACTTAATTACGGGTTCTTTGACTAAAACATGAAGTCAAGGGCCTATAAAACACGATGAAACAAAGAAGATGTCTCTGAAAAATATAGTTTTGACATACACGAGGATTTCAGATCTGTCACTAAAACTAGAAATCAATCCGCTGATGATTACAACCCTAATTCAGTACATAAATAAAAGAAAACTAAAAAAGTATAGTGGATCAATATGTGGATCCCAACTACCATCATTTTCTTAGGACTACCTAAAAAAGAGCAAAGAATATCCAGCATTAACTAAATATTAAATGATCGAATCCTTTTATACCAAAATTGATCATTTTTGTTTCCTTGTACATAAAAGAAAATCCAGTTCTTCCACCCTAGTCTACCATTATAAGAAGGGAGGAGAGGTAGAGTCCTAACTATAAACAATTAAGAAGAAAAGGAAAAGAGCTACAGAGAAATATCCTTAATATCTCCCAAGTCTAGCAATTCTCATATTGAATTCGGAGGAGAAGATGAAGACGAAGATGATGCTAGTAGTGATGTTCTTAGTGATTATGGCTTCGACGAGTCAAATATTCGCAGGTTATGAGGAGTGTTTTGACTATTGCACAACTCATTGTAAGCAAAAGATTTATACCGATTGTCTTATATATTGTTACAAGAAGTGTCATGGTCAAGGAGGTAACAAAGGGGACAATAAAAAAATTGAGGCTAGTAATACCAATTTTAAATTGGTTAAATAGATTTCCCCTCTCATTTCTATAGTGTCCGAGTGTTTATGTCTCATCTTCATTGAATTATCAATAAATTATCTCTAGTTTCTTGAGACCATCTCCACTTAATCGTTAATTGTTCGTCTTAAGAACTCCATACATATTTAACAACTTATAAACCAAAATAAAAGTGCGAGAATACATATATTTGATCTTTCTAACCACCTGTTCTATTAGGAACATCGGGTAAAATTGGAACAATTCAAATCCGATTTAGCCTTGGAAATAATAAAAAAAATTAGGCAATGTTTTTATGGGCTTTGTTTATCTGAACAGTACTTCGGCCCAATCGTAGTTAGGATACAGTATCAGGTGGGCTCGGCCCAATTCTCTCCAAATTTTGTCGGGTCTCGCATATGCCCCCTCGCCGGATCCAACAAGCGAGCCTCGCCGCCGCGCAATTAAGAGCACAGAAAATCGTTTCCTCCGACGGAGGGGGATCTCTTCTTCTTCTATCAAAATTCTGTTCTAATTCTTTCGATTTCGTCCAGGAATCTGACGATTTCATCAATGTCGCTTCGAATGGCCACAATCTGGCTGCGACGAATGATTGCAGCGGCGATTTCTAAGTTCTAACCCGAGTTGGAGGTGAAAACAGACGATGCATGTGGGTTTGGAGGGTTTCGTCGTGAATGATGTCGCCGAGTTACCCACCGTCCCTAATAACGACGGTGACGGAGGGAAAGTGATGCAGAGACACATCTCCTTCTCTACCTCCTCCTCCCAGCTACTATGAAAACCACACGCTAGGTATTAATGACTTAAATCTGAAATCCCTCCCACTTTTGTTAAGTACTTGAAAATTGAGATTTGGGGTTATCTGATTAATGTTTTGAGTTTGAGCGATGGAAGTTACGATCTTTTCCTTTTGGGTTCTCTCATTCGTTTCCCTGTTATGGATAGGACACAGGCATGCCATTGGAACCTTTAGCTGAAACAGTGGTGGCTCTGGCTATAGTTACTGTTGCTGGGAGGACACCAATAGTTTTGTTTACTTGTTCTAATCAATTAACAACACAAAATCAAATGATACATTTTCACTGTTGGCAGCTTCCAGATTATCAGAACCTATAAAGTTAGCAGCTTTAGGCACAGTACAAGGGATTTCCTTTCACTCCAACTACAGAGCGTTTTGATTTCCTTTCATCACTACAAACTACAAACTGTTGTTGTGGTCTCTGTAACAGGCAACACACAGGAGCTGAATTCCTTCTTCTCAGGCCGCCTTGACCCTTAAACACGTTCTCCCTTACATTTAAACAGGTACCTGCTGCATATCTGCGCTTTCAAGTTGTTCTCTTGCTCACTTTTGTAACTACACCAAAAGTCCCAATCCCTGGCTGGTGAACTTCTACTTTCCCTTTTGCATTACTAGGATAAGCTTCTGCATTCCTCATGTTTGTATCTGGGACTGGTGTTTCTGTTCATGTTGTCTACTTTGAGCACTAGCACTGCCATACCTTCCAATCATATTCATATGGTTTTGATCAATGTGATGAGCTATTTCCTTTTAGGATTCCCAGTGGAAAGAATAATCACGATAGTTGTGAGCAATTCTCAGGTTGTCTTTGGCCATGAAAGTTCATTGCCCACCTATGAATTCAGAAACAAACTGAATTTGTGCAAAAGTAGGTTGAAGGTAACCGGCCCTGAGCTAGAGATTGGCAGATAAATGAGAGAATCACTATTGGAACCGTGGTCTCTTGCAATAAAACGGCCCTACGTGCTTCACTGATTCGACTAGATTTATGCCATGCTAGAACAAGAACAGACAGGATATGCGAATGTTGTCTTAATGCTGAAATACGAACAAGCAGTGGAAAAATCAATAAAATTTGTTACGATACTAGAACCATCTTTGTTCGATAAGCTGGTCAGCAATACATACATAGGCGTACAAAAGAACAGACTTACAATGGATTCACATGGAGAGGGGATACATTAGAAGATTGTCTTAGATTGTAACAGAGCACACACGGGATAAACTCAGAAACTAACCTAGGTAGCAAGAGGACCTAAACTCAGCTCGAGAGTGGGGCTGAAACCTTTGTCCAGCTCTTCCAAGGACTCGCCGGACGTCTCGATCAGGTACCTGTCGCACAACCACATCCCGAGCAGGAGTACGAGGTTGATAATCCAGTAAATCAAACTCCCAAGCACACCGTCAAGAGCCGGTTTCAAACAATACAACCCAAAGCTTAGTAGTCGGTTCACCATCACGGCAATCCCGACTACTTGAGCCCTAACCTTGAATGGGAGGGCTTCAGAGGTATGCACCGTTGTCATCGGGCCCAGTCCGATCGAAAACGATCCGAAGAAGGCTATCGTGCTCCATCTCTTCAGCTCCTTGACAACTCCTGAGGTGACCCCATAGTTCAGCATTGTCGTCGTAGCGCTGATGAACGTCATGGAGGTCACCGCCGCGGCCAAACTGTAGTCCACGAGTGGTCCCCGCCCGACGACATCCGAGATGAACAGGGGAACCAAGATCGGCAGCAACCTCCCACACAAGGGTAGGATCTCCTCCATCACGAACTCCACCGGAGTGGCTGGACCGTTGTGTGGGTACCTCATTAACGATTCGAAAGTCAGAAGATCTATCCCCGACGGCGGTTGGAGGCACTGGACAGTGAAAACGGAGATCAACCGCTCCTTCAACCGGGGCCGGACCAAAGGTCGTCTCAACTCCCGCCAGATAGCCAGGACGTGGATGTCCTGTGGCACGGCGTCGAAATTCTCATCTCCCATTATCGGAGGGATCCTAGCAGCTTCCCTCAGCCCCAACAAGCGTGCTTCGACTTCTTCCGTGGTTTTCAGAGTACGTTGGAGGGCGACTTTCGCGTCGGCAACTCTAGCATGCTTGACCAACCAACAAGGAGATTCGGGTAGGAATATCATGCCCACCCCTAAAATTAGGGATGGGATGATGCCTACACCCATCAACGTTCTCCACTGGGAGCTCGCCGACAAGTCTCGGACCGCGGCTCGTGTTAACACGGCCAGCCACAACCCTAAGATTGAAGTTATCTGCAAGACAAGGAAAATGTACATGTAAAAAATGGTCACTATTGTCACTAGTAACAACAAAGCATCAAACACCATGTTTACTTATTTCCTACTGGCCCCGGTGGGGCGGGCAATTCAGATGGAGCTGAACCAGACCAGTTCAATTTAGTGGGCTTTATTTCCTACTGGCCAATTAGTGGATGCTATTGCTATAAACCCTTTTACCTTCCCCTTTCTAAAATCGAAGTGAAACAATTGATGAGACCAAACTATACGTAGTAGCCTTTACTGTCTCCATTAATCAAGAACTAAACTAACCCACTATCACTGAGAAAGCTTATATACGAAAAGCAGTATTTTTGTGACCATTGCCGTTGGACGACCAAGCCTTAAGCAACCGTTTTCAGTGGTTGCAAAAAGATGTTGCATTTTTCACTATAGTATACCGACTGCATCTTATAAAACCTAGTAAAGAAAGAAAAATTAAGCAGATTGAAATAGACTATAGTCTGTACCTCGGGGATGGAGTTGAGACAGCCTCGTCGGCTCGGGGACACGACCTCCCCGATGTAGAGAGGTGCGACGGGCAGTCCTAACTCGAGCCCGACGAGGGAGATGACTCTTCCAGTGACGAGAACGCCATACGAAACGGCTAAGGACATTATCAAGAACCCTACGAACGATAGGGTTCCTGATAAGATTAGCGTCGGGCGACGACCGGACAGATCCGCCACGAACCCCGAAATGAAGCATGCGACGAAGAACACACATTTTGTGACGTTCCGGAAATGGAACCCTTCGTTCTCCGTCATCCCGAGCTCCTCTTCCATCGCGGTGGTGGTGGAAAGAAGCATCACCACCGTATCTTACAAATCCAAAGGTGATCAAAAAGGCAATTAGTTACTTACTACTTAGTAGCAACTAGAGAAGCAAATTCGTAACCATTAATGTTGTCTCGCGTAACGCGCTAATTAAGTATACATACCGTATCCGAAACTGTGTAATAAGGTCGCTTGTGAGGCCACGGCGCACAAGAGTATGGTAAACCTTTTTGTCGTCGTTGTCGTCATCGTGGCACTCGACCGGAAATTCGTGACGATTCAAGCACGATCAGAACTGTATTCGGAATTGGTGCTTAGATTGCACGGTGGAGCAGTTGGTGGCATCCTCTATTTATAGGGAAATGACGGAGGGGAAATGAAGGTTGATCGATCGTGGAAACTTATAGGAATAAGGGAAGACATCAGTCGAACTTTCATGTTAGTGAAACTTGTTGGAATAAGGAAAGACTGCTTGCAGCAGAGGACCTTCGTGCTTTCCAGTCTGTAATTGTGTTAGAAGAAGGCTTTGAATTAGCAGAAACCAAGCTACTTTTTTCACCCATATTTGATATTCCCCTGTGGGATAGGATTGTCAATCTCTAAATGGTACAAAGCGGGAATATTTTAAAATCGAACTGTCGATGTAGTAAGATTAAAAAAAATTCTCTTATAAATACCAAAAATTCGTTACACCACATAGAATTTTATTTCACGCATTGAAATTTTATAGTTTCAATTAAAAATATGAAATGATGAGAAACAAGATCGACGACAATGCCACCAGTCGTAACTTGGAAATCGGTATTAGTTGTTGGGAATTCTAGCGTCTAGTTGTTGAAGACTATATATGTGGAGGGCTATTACGACGCTCTGCTTATAGCACCTGATAAGACAATTAATCGGTATAAGCTTTTGTCTTATCAGGTGCTTTGATACCCATGGTAACTCTCTATTTAGTATTTACTGTTTACCCTTCGTTTGGTGCATGGGGGGAAAACATGCATGCAGTGGCCTGTCTCTGTCTGGTATTACAGGAAAAACACTAACGAACTTGCAAGTTATTGAAGCAAGACCAGATTAAGGAAGTAACTAATTAAGGTGGAATAAATGGATCGTGATGAGGCACTAAGTGTGGTAAAGGTAAAAAAGCAAGTAATTAAGGGGGCATAAATGCTGAAACTTTTTTTTTTAATAATTTTTATACGAGTAAGGCTGAAACTTTATCAAGGGGGAATAAATGGATCGTGAGTCACTGAGTGTGGTAAAATGGTATTAATTAGCTGCCTTTTTGTCAAAGCGGATTTGCATTCCTTGTGTGTATTCTTGCATTTTTAATTTGGTTTCTAAGATGTTAAACATATATATTTATATGGAGCTGTGAAACATAAAAGAATAATGGTGAAGATGATCTCAAGAAACTAGAGACCCTTTATTGATAGTTCAGTACACAATGACGATGAAACATAGGCACTGTGACAACAGAGGTGAGCGGGAAAGAACTATTGAACCAATTTAGAATTGGTATTATTACTACTACTCTCAGTTTTTGGATTTTCTGCAGGTTTGTTAGCTTCTTGATTATGACACTTCTTATAACAATAGATAAGACAATCCTCATAATTCCTCTGCTTACAATGGGTCGTGCAATAATCGAAACACTCCTCGTAACCTGCAAATGTCTGGCTTGTCGAAGCTAGGATTACCAACAACATGACTACAAGCATCATCTTGGTCTTCATCTTCTCTTCCAGACTTCGATGTATGAAAATTTCTCAGACTTATGAGAGGTATTGTGGATGTTTCTCTGTAGCTATTTTCACTCTTTTTGTTCCTCTTATAATTAGGACTCTACTCTCTCGTGGCTTCTTGTAATGGTAGACAAGACTCAAGAGTGGAAGAATTGGATTTTCTTCTATTTACAAGGAAATAGAATGAGCAATTTCCATATAAAAAGATTCAATAGTTAATGTTGGATATTTTTTTACTTCTTTTCTGTTTGGCAAAATCCTAAAAATTTATTGTCGCGGATCCCTCTATGAAATGACGTGTGTCTTTTATGTGTTTATGACTTTATGGTAGTTATATCTGTAATTAAAAGAAGAAAAAAACATAACCAGAACAAACGGAGGCGGTGGTGATGGTAGTTCTTGCCGTGATTCGAACCATCATCGTTATTGCTTACAAAACTAGTACTTGCGGGGACAATGTGGTGGACTGGTGGTGATCGAGGTTGAACCCAATTCTAATTTCTCAAAGGTTTTCGAATTTGGTCAATGGAATAGATCATAATTTAATTTGTTGTGTGCGATTGTCATCTCTAAAGGGTACCAAAGGGAATGTACAATTGAACCATAATAAGATACATCATGTCATAAAAAAATACTACCAATTGAAAAAGATACACCCCGTCATAAGATATATTAACATAAAAATTATGTTACTTTGAATGTATACTTGATCTCGAAAAGCCGCCCTTCCAGTTTAAGAAACAATAACAAAAGAAATATGCTTGATCTCGGAAGTTCGCATTATTGAACTTATTGATTCCAAGGACGCGATATTGAAAGTTTGGTTTCCGTCAAAAACATGAAGACGAGAAACTATGGATCGGGCTTTAAATAGGTATGAATTGCTCAAACTTTTTCTTCCTGTTGTTGCTCGCAATTTGAATGACCACTATGATGACACAGTGTAGAGCACCTATCAAGACAAATAGGATAAGTATGTTTGCAGATGCCTTTCATGCAAGCCTTTAAACAACACACATAACCTCCCGAAACTCGTTGATTCATCGAGCTCGAAATTACTAGCATTACAATCACCACTCCAATCATCATCTTCATTTTTCTTCAACAAAAAACCTCTACCAATCTTGATTTCTCTTCTTTCACCAGAGTGTGATGTATGGCTGCATAGAGCTCTTCCCTTCTCATATACAGGAGGCTGAGAAAATCTATTTCCTATAATTTGGGATGGGATTAGGTGCTAACCCCTATAAGGGTTAGCACCGTGATAACTAGCAAAAATCACTACGGATTATTATAAAATCAATACAACATCTAAGCTAAATCACTACTAATTCAAACTAGTAGTAGTTTTTCCCTTGGTTAGGACGGTGCTAACTATTGTACAATTAGTACCGTAACCCCTCCCCTATAATTTGTAAGGAATTAATGTGAACAGTTTTGACTTGAAGGGTGGAAAGATTTAATTAATAATTAATGCGGATATTGTTTATACTTATCATTTGTACGTTTGTAGTTAATATACAATTTTAGTTAGGTTGCAAAATGAAACTTGGGCATTTCGTAATTTTTAATTATTTCAAAGGCTCTTCTACCGATTACCGGATCTGTAAACAAATTTGCATTCCCTGTTCCTTTTTTTTTTATCGGAATCTTGAGAACTTAATCAATCCGAAGATGAGGTTACATAATCCAGCTGCAACCGATCAATAATAAAAATAAAAGGTCTTTCTATCCATTAGATGATGATATGGAATTGACATTATTCTTTACAGGACGACTTGATAAAAAAAAAAGGATCAAATATTTGTTGCATTTTTAATTTGGTTTATACGTTGTTAAATATATCAATGGAGTAGTGAACAATAAGGTGAAACATAAAGAATAAGGGTGAAGATGATCTCAAGAAACAAGTAGAGACCCTTTATTGATAGTTCGTTGCACAATGACAGATCAAACATAGGCACTAGGACAACATATATAGGTGAGCGGAAAAGAACTATTTAACCAATTCAGAAGTGGTATTATTACTACTCTCAATTTTTGGATTCTCTGCGGGTTTGTTAACTCCCTGATGACACTTCTTATAACAATAAATAAGACAATCCTCATAATCCCTCTGCTTACAATGAGTCGTGCAATAATCGAAACACTCCTCGTAACCTGCAAATATATGACTTGTCGAAGCTAGAATTACCAAGAACATGACTACAAGCATCATCTTCGTCTTCATCTTCTCTTTCGACTTCAATGTATGAAAATTTCTCAGACTTACGAGGTATTGTGGATGTTTCTCTGTAGCTATTTTCACTCTTTTTCTTCCTCTTATAGTTAGGACTCTACCCTCTCGCGGCTTCTTGTAATGGTAGACAAGAGTGGAAGGATTGGATTTTCTTCTATTTACAAGGAAATAGAATGAGCAATTTCCATATAAAAAGATTCGATAGTTATGTTGGATATTCTTTGCTTCTTTTCTGTTTGGCAAAATCCTAAAAATTTATTGTCGCGGATCCCTCTATTAAATGATGTGTCTTTTATGTGTTTATGACTTTATGGTAGTTATCTCTAAAGGGTACCAAAGGGAATGTACAATTGAACCATAATAAGATAAAACGTGTCATAAAAAAATACTACCAATTTAAAAAGACACACACCGTCATAAGATACATTAACTTAAAAATTGTGTTACTTTGAATGTATACTTGATCTCGAAAAGTTGCCTTCCAGTTTAACAAACAATAACAAAAGAAATATGCTTGATCTTGGAAACTAGTATTAACTTATTGATTGAAAGGACGCAATATCGAAAGCTTGGTTTCCGTCAGAAACATGAAGACGAGAAACTATGGATCAGGCTTAAAATCGGTATGAATTGCTCGAACTTTTTCTTCCCGTTGTTGCTCGCAATTCGAAGGACCACTATGATGACACAGTGTAGAGCACCTAGCAAGACAAATAGGATAAGTATGTTTGCAGATGTCTTTCATGCAAGCCTTTAAACAACACGCATAACCTCCTGAAACTCGTTGATTCATCGAGCTCGAAATTACTAGCATTACAATCACCACTCCAATCATCATCTTCATTTTTCTTCAACAAAAACCCTCTACCAATCTTGATTTCTCTTCTTTCACCAGAGTGTGATGTATGGCTGCATATATAGAGCTCTTCCCTTCTCATATATAGGAGGTTGAGAAAATCTCTTTCCCATTATTTGTAAGGAAATAATGTGAACAGTTTTGACTTGAAGGGTTGAAACATTTAATTAATAATTAATGCGGATATTGTTTATACTTTTCATTTGTACGTTTGTAATTAATATACAATTTTAGTTAGGTTGCAAAATGAAACTCTGTGCCTATATAAACATTCAACCAACTTTATAAAAAAACCGGCCAGATCTTAAAAATGGGAAGAAAAAACAAAAGAGGAAAAATACAATAAGTTTGACTGAAAAGAGTATCCCAAAGAGTGACTACATAAGAAAAGAGTTGAAATGAAAACTCTCATGTATTGATTACAAATTTAATACTCAATCTCAAAGTTGTTATATGCTCTATGCACGCCAGCGTACATTACAGATTCTCCCACGTTGTATTAACTTATTATAAAAAGGAGGGAAAGAGCTATGGAGAACATATACACATACAACACCTTCAAGAATCAAATCATAATTTGTTGGTGAAATCGAGAATGAAGATGGTGATGATTGGAGTCATGTTAATGCTAGTGATTTTGAGTTCGACTCCAAACAATCAAGCAGTGGAGTTGGCGGACTACGCGTCGTGTTTCAAGAAGTGCGATCTTTCTTGCAGTCTGGGCGATGTAAAGCTGTGCGATCAATACTGCGATCTCCAGTGTGAAGATCAGAAGATCAAGTATCACAAAAAGCCAGAAGTAATTTCGGATGATAGCAAGTATAAGTCGATCATTCCCTAGATAATCGTTTCTTCTTCTTCTTAATCGTCGGTCATAAAGAGGAATCCAAATCACTTTCCATATAGGTACCGAAAGAGAAATAATCGGTGGTGTACTCAACTATCAATAAAATAACTTTATGACGAGCAACAAAAGCCGACAATAATATTTACTTTCAAAACACTTCTGCTTACGTAATTAGATATTAATCCTCAAATCTACAATTTTGAAGTAATTTAAAATACACATATATAACAACAACAACAACAATATATTCATATGCATCACCACTATCATATATAATACAACATTCCACTGGGCCACACTTTAGCACATTATAAAGGCATCAATTATTGTAACGTACAAATAAAAAAAATAAGAAAAATATTAATAACTCTATTGCCACCAGATCCTTCGTCGCTACAGCTAGCCTCGATCCATTCGCACAAACGACGTCAATTCCCACTTCCCCGTCCGATACTCGAACACAAACGTCTGGTACTTCCCACGGCCGAGACGGCCGGCGGCGGCGGTGATGTAGAGGTGGTAGTTGGCGCCGACGGCCTTGAGAAACTCGCCTTTGTCGACGCTCACCAGGCTCAGCGGCGGGCGATCCGGATAAGCCTTGTTGTACTCCTTCACCGAGAACTGGGCTACCGCCGTCACCTTCCTCGCCTTCAAGTTCCTGAACGGCTGCCACGAGGCCTCGAAATTGCTGCGCGCCACCGTAGCCTCCGCCGCCAAGAGGAAGAGGACCGCAAGGAGAGCGGCGGTGGAGAAGAGATGTGGTGGTGGTGACATGGTTTGTGTTTGGTTTCTTCGTGTGTCTGATTTTGTGCCACGAGTTTTTATGTTTGTTTTATTCTCGTTTTGTGGGGTTTTTTATTATTTTAAAAATGTGGAAATTGATGAGGGTTTATATGGTCCATGTTTAATATGGTTGGTTATGTGGCAGGTGGTTCTTTATTTTTGGAAGTACCTAGTGGGTTTGGTGGATTTTTTTTTTTTTTTTTTTTGTTTCGTTCTTTTGTGGTAGTTAAAATTCATGGTAATTTTGGTATATAGATGAAAAGGATAATCCGAAGAAGATAGGTTTACATATAAAAAAATAGTGGATTTGTAATTCTATGATATCATAAATCATAAGAGTGGTGTAATTTTGCAGGTTTTAATTCGTTTATTAATTTCACAAGAATTGAGGGATATATAGGTGTTGCTACGTGACTGCGTGGGCCATGCATGCACGAGGTTTTAATTAATCGGGCCCAGCGGTGGAAGGCAGTTAAGGCCCAAGCCGGAGCCCGGCCTTGTTTGGGTGGGTAAACGCCAACCAAACAAAAAACGGAAGGCCCAAAGAAAAAAAAATTACCCTCATCTAGGGCTGCAAATGAGCCAAACCGCTCGTGAGCAACTCGACGCTCGAATCGGAAAAAACTCGTTCGACACTTGATTCGTTGTTTAACAAGCCGGCTCGCGAGCCGACTCGTTAGTAAACGAGCCAAGCTTGAGCTAGGCCATGCTCGGGTTGATAAGCTCGTGAGCTAGCTTGACTCGGTGGCTTGTTGAGTTTAAGCTCGCGAGCTGGCTTGTGGAAGAATTAATTACTCTTCTGAACATGAAAATTATCTTGTTAATAAGGATGTGTATGGAAGTTCGATGTTATTTTTAGTTTCTAGTGTTATTTTTATCATTTTTAATTTCTAATGTTCTTATTTGTTCACATTTTTCAGCAAGAATTGTTTCAAATCGAGCTTATCTTGAACCGAGCTTGTACTCAGCTTGACAAGCTGTGTTCTTGAGCATTTACCGAGCTCTATCGAGCTGAGTTCGAGCTGGATTCTTTTTAATTGAGTCGAGCTCGAGCTCGAACTGGATGATTAAAATTCGAGTTCGAGCCGAGCTCGAGCTAAAAAATTTATAAACGAGCCAAGTCGAGTCGAATGTCCATCGTCGCAAATAGCTTTTCTTTAGCAACCACTAAGGATTAGTCACTGAAAATGGTTATTTTATCGAGCACCGCCAAATTAGTTACTGAAAAATCTCGAATAAAACTACTACGCTGAATTATTTGGAAATTGGAACCAACCACAAAAAAAAAAAAAAAAAAACCCACAAACACTAACTATATAGCTACCTGAGCTACGTTGTCGTCAGTAATAAACAACATCCACGGGCACAAACAACAGCTGCCGCGGCATCTCTCCCGCCAGAGGCACAAACACAAACGTCTGGTACTTTTCCTCACTGTGCGCGTGGCTGGAGGCGGTCAGGTAAATATGGTACACGACGCCGGATCCGGCGGCCAAAACCTCGCCGCCGTCCACCCTCACCAGCTTCAAGGGAAGCTCCCCGGGGTGTTCGTTGTTGTACGTCGTCACCGCGAAGCGCGCGGCGTCAAGGACGTGCTTCTCTTTCAGCAGGAAGCCCTTCACCGGCAGCCAGTTGTGTTCGGACATCACCGTCGGCATCGGGTAGACATCATCGGGAGTGGCGGCCGGCTTTGACGACTCTGCTGTCCCGACGGCGAGTACGAGTGCCAGTAGAAGAGCCGTCGCTGAATGTGGTGATATCGTCGCCATTGTTCAGATCTTTTTTTCTTTTTAGTTTCGTTTTCTTCTTTTGTTGCTAATTAATATAATGCTTGTGGAGTAATCGATTTCTGGAGACATAATTTATAGTGATAATCTAAGTAATTAGTCAAAACTGCATCACCTTATAAATAGCGATTTCTGATTAGAGCAAAGCCTAAATTTGCGTAAATCAGATTAATATTAGATATTTGTATTACCATTACCAAGCCAAGTCCTTCAAAAATGGTAGATATTTTAATTATTACGACCTTGTCTTTAAAGCAACATATATACAAACCGAAAGAACTTTTCAACCCTCCAAATACGCAGAGTTACTTAACAACTAACATACAATTCACATCATATGAATAGTTTGGCCGGAGTGGCTATTTGTTCCATTCTTTTGGTTTTACCCAAAATTGAACAGTATAATACAGACCGGAATCGGATAACAAACAATATAATCTCATATTTACGCTTAGATTTGAGGTAAAAAAAACCGTTCAGGATCGAATCAAAACTGGAAGACAAGATAAGAGAGCCCAACACCCAAATCTTAACCAACTCCTCAACCTTTCAGGCCACTAAAATCTCGACAAGCTCAATCTAAAATCAAGATCGAATTGTGACCGCACCGGGTCAAGATCGGATTGTATCCAATCCAATATTTGGTCCTTATATTTCCTGGAAAAACCGGACTGGAACCGGATCAATTCGAGCCAATTTAACCGAACCGTATAACCACCCCTAGGAATAGGTTAGGTTCTGGCTGAAGTTGTTAGATAAGTACTTTAAAAACCTACTAAATCCTGTATCTTTCAATTTTTTATAAGATACTTATCATCCTGGGAAACTTCATATCATGGATGAAAAAACCCAAGGCTTTGCATTTTTAGTTCCGCACCAAAATACATGGCTTAAAATAAAATAATCCAGTATCCATATGAAGAAAAACTACTAACGAGAGAGTTTTGCATGAGTTGGTAAAATAACAGATGAATCGTTCTAAATTCGAGCTTTACCACACATAATATACATGTACGTTTTATTGTTTTGGATTGGAGCACTTCTACTATGCTATATAGTATTGGTGCTTTAATGTACAACTTAAAGTTGTACCATAACATTAAATGTATAAGTTTAGGTTGTACCATAAAGCAATTTGTACCATTATGTTATGGTACAACTTTACAACTTGAAGTTGTACCATCACATAAAGGTACAAGTTCAAGTTGTACCATAAAAGAATTTGTACAAAAAGTATAGGTACAGTCTGAAATTGTACCATAACATAAACGTACAATTTTAAGTTGTACCATAAAAGCAAAATCCTATAGCACCAATACTATATAGCATTGTAAAATTTCTCTTTGGATTGTTGTTGCTATTAGTACTCTTAATCTATATTTTATGCAACTCTTATATATGATACATAGAGACCTTCATCTAATTAAGGTCCATCCTGGTGCAAGATCTCACGCGCAAGGCTAAGAACGTGCAGCCAACCCATCATGACTAGTTCTGGCTCCGCCACTATTCAACGTTACGATATAAATTCAACTCATACACGAAAAAATCGCGACGCTTATGAGCACGGTTGAATTCCTCACGGATAATATCCCATAAGATATCATAGCTTATAAGACCATAACTAAGATTAATATATACATCTTTAGCGACACCACCAAAATTATTTAACTCAAGAAAAATACGATCTACCTACATCTCGTCACTAATTCTCAAAGCTTAAGGGTACAAACAACAATTGCTGCAGCCTCCCTCCCGGATACGAAAACACGAACGCCTGGTACTCTTCCCGGCTGTGCGCGCTGCTGGAGGCGGCCAGGTAAAGATGGTACACGACGCCTCCTCCGGCAGCCAAAACCTCGCCGCCGAGCACGCTCACCAGCTTCAACGGCAGCTCCTCGGGGTGTTCGTTATTGTACGACGTCACCGCGAAGCGCGCGGCGTCCAAGGCGGGATTCTCTTTCAGTTGGGCGATCTTTATCGGCAGCCACGCGTGTTCGGACACGGATGCCGGCGGCCACGCGTGTTCGGACTCGGCCGGCAGCTGCGAGTAGTAGTCGTTGGAGTAGACCGCCCTAGACGATTCTGCTGTTCCGACGGCGAGGAGGATGGTCGCTAGAAGAGTCGTCGCTAAACGTGGTGATATCGTCGCCATTGCTCTCGGGTCTTTTTTGCTCAAGTACTAATTAGTGATATCGTCTTTTCTTTTGTTGCTAATGCTTGGTGGAGTAATTGAGCTTTGGGACGGGATTTATAGTGATAATCTAAGTAATAATTAGTCAAAACTGCATCACCTTAGTTATAAATAGCAATTTCTGACTAGAATATGGCCTAAATTTGCGAAAATCAGTTAAAAGTAAAATATATGTGTATGAAAATAACTTTTCAACCCTCCAAATATGCAGAGTTCATCGACCAACTAATTAGCCCCTTTTTATTAAAGCAGACAAAATTAAGTAGTTTAGCATGAAAGATTTCACATTATATAAAAAAACTGAAGATATTGTTTTATATTCGAATCTCGAAATTCATATCACGGGCAACATACACATTTCTTCATTGAAGAATAATATTAATATTAGTTAATTAAAATTGATGATTTTGGACATATCTTAAATATTGGAGGATCGAAAAAGGAAGTGTGTACATGGAGAAACACGGGATTTATATATAGATCGACGGTAACATAATAATGTTACAAACTAGTGCTCGGATATGTGTGTGTCTCAACAATTTATTGTGAAAAGCCTTGGTGTACTAAGTCAGACTTAGGGGGTGGGGCACGGTCCGATCGATTCGAATCAAATTGGAAGGGATGTCGTTGAAATAGTTAATTGTATCAAAATCGAATCGAATCAAATTACATTTCATTTTGTTCAGTTTGATCCCTATATCAATTTAATCCACATTAACCGTTGCTCACCCTTAGTCCGATTAGAGGTCACAATAGGGGATACGTTGGTTGTTTAATTAAAACAATTTCATTACTTAGAAGAATTAATCAAGCAAGAAACAAGAGCCTGTTATAATCAAATTCGAATCTAAAGAATTAAGCTAGAATTCACTTGTACAGTCATAATTATCGACTTTGTGACAATAATCCAATTTCTGATAAATACACAAAATGTACATAGTTGGATTGTTGCGAGATTGCATGGGCCATGCATGCACGAAATTCGATTGGGCTTAGGTCTGCAAGGAAGTTGAGGCTCAAATTCGATCGCTGGTATGGTTTCAATATAGAAATCTCATATTCGAAACATTCCTCAACATACCCTTAGGTCTCTTAATTATATGGTGTGTTGCATGCCCTTCGTTTATTAATGACATTTTGGTGCAATAGAACCCCACATCTAGATATGGAACACGATTTGAAAGAAACTAAAATTTGATGCTAACAATTAAGGACATGATCATCAGTTTAATCACATTATAACTACTAGACCGACAAAAGCTTATTCTAACTTCTAATTATTTAATCAAAACTAACATATATGGAGAACTTGACGGGTTTTAATTAATTTAAATCCTGGATTACAGGCATGAAATACATTAGCCCGCCGGCGGTACGATCAAGGCTCACGCGAACGGCCGTTTGGTACAGAGAACCCTTGGAGCTGAGGTTGTCGACTGGAGCCGCACTCACGATGAGCGTGTAGATCACCCCACCTTTAAACTGGTGGATGCTGCCCCTGTCAACGCTCACGAGTCTCAACGGATGTTTGAACTCGGTTTTGAAGTTGTGCATAAAAACTGCGTACTCCGCGACCATCCTGATACGAAAGTCGTTTGGGTTCTTTATCCGCTGCCACGTACCGGACGACGACGTTGCCCTGGCGGTGGAGAGAACGACTGCGATGGTAGTTATAGCCACGAGAAACGTAACGGGCTTCATCGTTCTCTTTGGTTGTTTGTAAAATGATTCTTCTGAGTGAGTTTTTTTTTTGGGAGATGTTTGCTTTGGTGTTTTCGGATGTGAAGCTAGAGTGAATTGTGGTGTGTATTTATAGGCTATATAGTGAACTATTTTGATTTCTCTATCGTTTGTTCGTTTTCTGGTCTTGTGGTAAAGTTGTCCATTTTTAGAGGCATGTATCCCGTCGTTTTAGATCGCATGGGTATATATTTTTTGCTACTTTTATGCTTAACTAGCCTATTGACTCTCCTCTTTTATCGATTGTTTGTTATATACATTCTCTAGTTACCTAAGTACGTGGCATATGTTGGTGGTATGTTGAGCAGCCTACACTAGTTCGTTTAATTCTAGATTGAATTGGATCATGACTGCACAATCAAAAGCCTACTAAAACTTGACTGTAAAATAAAACCACGCAAACTCTAACAAAAAATCTAAAGAGTTCTATGTACACCCTACTGAAGCTGGCTAGGAGGAGGCAAGTTTGGATTGAGTGGCGTGCTAATGCCTAATCAGGGCCGGAGCCAACTTGTCGGCAGAAGGGCCTAGGGGTGGAAAATATTCTGGTCCGATTTAGCCGGACTGCTTATCCGGTTGAACTGGGTTGATTATTTTAGCCAAAACTCTAACTGGAAATTTGATTGGATTGAATATGGTTTTAACCAAACCGAACCAAACAAATTTGATCAGTTCAACTTTAACTCATAAACTGGAATCACACAGTGGACTGACACCCCAAAACGCCACAGTTTTTAGCTTGCATTCGTTGTAATTTTTTAGGGACAGCTTTCATATCATCTTGTCTTACGGGCCCTAGCATTCATATTTTTTTGTTTTTGTTTCCAAGAACCTGTAATTATGTGTTGATGAGCTTTTTCTTATTTCTACAAAGGTCCTCTCTGTAGCTCCATTCCAACCAAATGGTATACTCCAAAAAGGATGGGGGGAAGTACAACATACAACCAAAAAAAAAAAACGCATACAACAATATATCAATAGGAGAAGAAAATGACACAAATCAACACAAATCTTTGTTCTATTCATTGAACAACGAGCTCTTTGAAGGGCACACAAAAAAGGAGGAGCCTAGCTACTCAATCAATAATATCAAACCACCGTTATACACCATTTTATATAAAAAAAAAGTATTAATATTGATTGTTGGACTCGATCTTTTTATGAGGATTACATTGTTGTCGTAGTTTCTCGGCACCATGGCAATACGCATTACAGAATGAAATGCAGCCCGGGCACTCATCCAAGCATTTGGCAATACAACTTGCTCGATCTGCTGAAACCACTTGTTGTTGATTCGTTATCGAACCCAAAATTACGAACAACACCATGAACACACCCATCTTCTTCAAGGGCTCCATTTTTTATTATTATGTAACTTATAATAATATATGTATTAAGTATTTGGCGTTGCAGCAAACTAGCATCTCCTCCAATTCCCTTTTTATACTGTAGTTTTGAGGGAACAAAGTTAATACAAAAATAACGGAGAATCTATGTGCAATGAATACAGGGATAGAGTTTCCATTTCTCTCCTCTGTGATATTCTCTTTAGTAGAATTTCATTCATTGTATTTCTATGTGTACAGTGTACTTGTATATACCTTTTTTTTTTTTTTGCCATGTAGAATTGTTAATCAACTTTCCCTTTATTTACATGGCAAGCCCAGAGGATACATATTGTACAACCATAATAAACAAAGTCTTGCCATACTGCATAACAAGTGGCGGTGTACCTCAATGCAGCCCTAGCGTACACATTTCGTCTTTACCCATTATGAATTATTATTATTATTATTATTATTTTGAATACATATTATTTATGTTCTTTTCAAATGAAAATTAATCCATAATTTTGAAGGTTCTACAAGCTCACACAACATTCATTGTGTTCATGAATTGATGGCTATATATGATACAAGTCATATTGAATTGTGGATCAAAACAAATCGCGTCAATATATCGGTCAAGTGTCATTGTTTATGACTCGATCTATATTTAGACTGAATCGAAATGCACAAAGAATATCTCAAACACTTGTTACACCTCTCTATAGAAACCATTTGCTTAATCATTTGAATTCGTCATCAAGCCCCGCAAAATCGTAGAGTACAACTGTTGTTATTGATTAATACAACCCAAATGAAACTCAATTGTTTTCTTTGGTCAAAAATCACAATTAGATGTGTTCATTGTAATATTCATGTACGGTTCTGTAATTGAATTAGTTCGTCGTATCGTTTAGGTGTCTTGTGAGGGGGAAAAAAACATATCTCCAACCTTGTAGGGGAGTGGGGGTACCTCAACAAACACGAAAAATGCATACAACAATACATCAATAGGAGAAGAAAATGACACAAACCGGTACAAATCTTTGTTTTATTCATTGAACAACAAGCTCTGTGAAGAGTACAAAAAAAAAGAGAGCCTAGTCAATCAATAACAGCAAACCACCATTATACACCATTTTATATAAAAAAAAGGGTATTAGTGATTGCTGGACTCGAACTTTTTATGATGGTTATATTGTTGTTTTAGTTTCTCGACATCACGACAATCTGCATTGCAGACTTCAAAGCAGCCTGGGCATTCTTCCAAACATTTGGCAATACACCCTGCTCGATCTGCCAAAACCACTTGTTGTTGGTTCGTCATCGAACCCAAAATAACGAACAACACCATGAACATGCCCATCTTCTTCATGACCTCCATTTTTATTATGTAACTTAGAATAATATATGTATAAAATAATTGGTGTTGCAGCAAGCTAGCATCTCCAATTCCCTTTTTGTAGTGTAGTTTTGAGGGAACAATGTTAATAATAAAAAGAGATAATGGAGACTCTATGTGCAATGAATATAGGGATATAGTTTCCTTTTCTCTCCTTTGTGATATCCTCTTTAATAGAATTTCATTCATTGTATTTGTATGTATACGGTGTACTTGTATACGGTGTACTTGTATACCTTTTTTTTGCCATGTAGAATTGTTAATTTACTTTCCCTTCATCTATTTCACCTTTTTTTGGGTAAGAATTTCACCTTTTTTGTGCATGTATACATGACAACCAGGTATCTACCCCTTAGCCAACAAGATTTCATACTTAGTCTCAGAAAGCTCGACATGTTACCATCTTTTAAATAGCAGTTATTGATTAGAAGATGACCTAGATATAGGTCAATCAAAGAATAATCATGTTATCAAGCCCTTGATCAACATGAAATATTTTAATTATATGAACTTGAAAGTCTTTTTTTTAAATTCCATTGCATGCCCACAGGGTATATATATACTCACAAACAAGATATTGTCTTCAAAGTTAAAAGCACAATTAGAAAGAACTTTTCAACCCTTTTAAATGCGTTGAGTTGCTTAAAATTATATAAAACCTGAAAAACAAATTTCAAAATTGATATTGATATGGAAACATAGCATACACGGAGCGGATCGATCAAGTGCAGAACTTCTGGTCAGCACAAAATCCTACACCTAACCATTACGGTGAGGTATCATACAACCACGATAAGAAATCGTACCACCATCATAGCACATCGTACAACCTAATAAACAGAGTCCTATTGTGTATGTAAACGCAGCCCTGGCATACACATTTCGTCGTTACTCATTACTCATTAGTATTATTTTGAGTGTGGATATATATATTGTAGGCGTTATTCGTGACATTAAAGCAATTATCTATATTTATTGGGAGGTTATGGTAATTACATTAATTTCTTTTATAAAAGCAGTTGCCTACTTTTCTAGTGGTAATTATATTTTCATTTAAGTTTTGCCGGTACAAACATTTTTTATACGTTAACACAATTATCCTAAAATAATCTATCGTTAGTGATGGCAAACGGGTGGGTCAGGGCAGGTATCTCATGAATACCCATACTCGTCGCATTTGGTGCGGGCCGTGTAACACCCGTGTGGGTACAGGGCGGGTAGGTCGACCCACTCTTATATGTCATTTGGAAAAAATGCAGGTAAAATTTTAATTTTTAGCATAAAACGAAGAAAAAATACTCCATGAATTAAAAATAATGATAATAGAATGGATAATTGAGTTAACTAGTTGAAAGATCAAATCTAACTGGTTGAATAAAAGTCAAACAAAAGAAATATGATCATAATATTATTGTATAAAATTGAGGTAGGATAAGCCAAGAAAGGGACGGTTCGAAAGTAGATACCGTCACACCCTACTACAGGTCAGGAATACCCGCCCTATCACTATCGCGGATCAAGTCGAGTAATAATGGATTGAAATTGCCATTCCTATCTGTGGTACTTAGAGTATGCCAAATCATGTTAACTCATTATACAACCATATTACTATGGAACAAGCATTTTTTTTAATAATTATTTATAAAAAGGATCCCTACAAGTTCACCACTCAATCTCACGAGTGGTTAATTAATTAATTAACTTTTATGGATGCAATGGGTTGAACGATACTAGCTTCTTTTCATTGGTGAGGGTTTCATAAACGATCGTCAGGTACTGATCTCCGGCATGCACTGCGGCCGGAGGAGAGCTACCGTCCTTCTCCCCGCCGACCATGCCGCCGGCGGAGGCTGCTGCCGTCAGGACTAGCCTGTAGTTTGTTCCGGCCACGATCTGGGTTTCGCCTCTGTCCACGCTCACGAGGTGCAGTGGGTGGTCGGGAGCTTGTGAATCGTGAGCCTTCACCGCGAACTCGGCGATCTCCTTGACGTGCTCGTCGGTCACGTTCTTAATCGGCTGCCACCCGCCGGCGATGGCATTTGCGGCCGGTAGGATGATGGCCACGGTACCAATAGCGACCAGAAAGAGGATTTGCCCCATGGTGGTGGCAATTTAGTTGGTTTCTAACTTGTGTTTTTTCTTTGATGTGTTTGCGGGTATGATGCTAGAAGATTTGTGTTGTGTATTTATAGTTGATAAATAATTTCTTTTTCATTTAATGGACTTGGATTTGATTGGTGAGTTTTCTGTATTTATAGGTGGGGAGTTCATAATTATTATCTTTTGTTTGTATTTCTTTCTTTTTGTACGTTGACTACAAAGTAGGTAGGTTAATTAATTATGTTTGGTTTCATTTTTGGAATCTTGTTAATTAATTAAGTAGGTTTTGCTTTTGAACATTGACTTTTTCTAGCACACTTTATATAATTGTATGCTTCCAACATGAAAATCTCATATTCGAATCGTTCGGACCTAGGGCTCTTAACATGTTGACCTTGGTTGTTCATGAGTTTTGGTGCAATACAACCATATCTAGCGGAAAGAACCGTAGAAATTAAAAATTGATCATGCCAACTTTAAAGGGCATAATTAATCATTTCAGCACATAACTAGACCAACAAAAAGCTTATGTTATTCCTTAATTATCAATCAAACTAACATACGGAGAACTTAAAAATCAATAAAGACTACTAAATTGTTTTACATAGATGGATCGATATTGATTTAATCCATCGTATATAGGTGTGAAATATTTCAGCCTCGCGTCTCTACGATCAAGGCTCACATGAACTTTCGTTCGGTAGACAATCCCCTCGGAGTTGGGGCTACCGAACGGAACTACAGTCACCATGAGCCTGTAGTTCACACCATCCACAAACTGGACCTCGCCGCTTCTGATGCTTACGAGTCTCAGCGGAAGCTTGAAGTTATTCTGATAGCTGTGCACATAAACTGCATACTCGGCGACCATCTTGATGCGCTCGTCGTTTAAGTTCTTAATCGATTGCCACCCTCCAGGATTTTCCCTAGCGGTGGAAAGAATGACTGCAACGGTAGTTATAGCCACAAGAAGCATAACGGGCTTCATATCTTTCGTTGTTTGTAAAATGGTTCTTAGTGAATTTTCTTTAAAGATGTTTGCTTGGTGTTTTTTGGATGTGAAGCTAGACTAATTGCGGTGTGTATTTATAGGCTATATAGTGAACTATTTGATTCTCTTTCATTCGCTCATTTCATAGTCTTGTGGTAAGTTGTCCATTTTTAGAACTAGGCATCCCATTGTTATAGATGGTGGGTATATATATATTTTTTTTTACAATTTTTATGCTTGAATAGGCTATTGACTCTCCTCTTTTACGGACTATTCGTTATCTTTCGAATTTTACAACACTACATGTTGGTATAAGAATCGAATAGGATTCACGGTTGGCTCAGCTGACCCATTAAACCAATTGCAATAGCTATTCAGTTCATTTATAATTGGACGGTTAGAGATGAACTAAAACGTTTTTCAACGGTTTGACATAAAACCTACAGAAGTACCACCCCAGTTTAACTAGTCCGCTGATTCATCAACGTCCAACCTCATTCATTCATTAATTTTATTTATACTTTCTTTATTTCATCTCCTAACCTCCATGTAAATATTTTAGAAGTTAATTCATGGGTTCGAAGGATACATAGTACTTTACATTAGAAGGCCCCTCGCGAATACATATCAACCACGATGGACTAACGACTCCGCTCCCGTCGGTCTTCTCCGTCGTCACCTTAAGCTTGTACTTTGTCCCAAGGGTCGCCGAAAACTGCTTTTCGCCACCGTTCACGCTGACGAGTCTCAACGGTGGATCGGCCCCGCTCTGCGTGTTGTAAGTCTCGATCGCGAACTTGGCTATCTCCTTGACGTGCTCGTCCGTCGGATTCGATATCGGCGTCCACACGCCAACTGCCTCGACGGCGACCAGGGCTATAGCGACGGTAATACTAGCGACGAGAAAGTTGGTTGTCCTCATAGTTATCTTTCCTCCCTGTTCTTGATGTGATTGTAGTTTTGGTTTTTGTTTCTGAGTGTGAAGGGAGACTGGGTGGTGGCAAGTGTTTATATAAATAAGATTTAGCATGCAAATGGAAGTGGTGGTTGCATTTTTTTTTCCACCTATGGCAAGTGTGTATCTGGGATTTATTTAGGGAAATCCTTGTTAATTAATGGTGGTTTGTGCATCACAAACCAGATAATATCATTGAGGGATCAAACTAGATTGTAGTACCATATATGTAGATTTTTTACAATCTTATGGATTGTAGTACCATATAGGGTAGATTTTACAATTGAACCAGAAGATATTAATCGCGAGTCACCCACATGGACCCCAGGATCGGATAGGGTGCTAATCCTACCCAATTAAGTCGGATTCGGGCGGATATCCTCAATTACGTATATTTTTGTATTATTTAGAAATAACCGAGTCACCCACATGGCGACCTTTCAACCTTCAAAATATAATTGAAAATTCTACCATTAGGCCTTGGCCTACTTCTTGGCCACAAGGGGTTCAAATTCCTTAGCACGAACTATTATTTTTTTCCAGATTTCTAATAACGAGAAAATCTTCTACGGCATTCTACATAATTCTATATGTATATATATCTACGAGTATGAAATTTTGTTCACTCACTTCAAATTGAGCATCCTTCAACTAGGTTATACAAAAAAAATTTGACTTTCATGATAGTCGATTAATTAGACACTAAATTATCTCACTGATTAGGATTCACCGTTCATGCGCATAGCTTCTGTAATCCACATAAGCCAATACAGAACACAAGTGTAGAATTTTTTTTTTTTGTAATTGTCGTCTCTCGAGACCCAAGACATATTAGTTAACCCATTTAATTTGTATTAGGCTACGATATTTTGTCAATAAGGTATCGATTAAAGATGCTATATTTTAGTTTAAGAACGATATTACACAATATATTTTTTTTTTTGGTATTTCATTTGAGAAAACGAAATATCATTCCTTAATTGTATATAATTCAATAATTCATAAACCATACTATATTACGATTAATCGTATCAAACGCCGAACGGTTAGCTTCTCAAGGTTTCCCTTAGTTAATTCAGTACGGGCAAAAAGGCGAGAAGCTGTTTCATCTTACCGCCGGACTTGGCGTCGGCGACGCCGACGACCACCTCGTAAAGCTGGGCCTTCTTACTGGGTCCCACGCCGCAGTTTGTGTATGTCATCAGATGTAAGCGGTAAACGAACTTCCCGTCGCCGACGACCTTCACGTCGCCGTTCTCCACGCTCTTCAGCTTCAGCTGCTCTTTGCTACCGGAGGGCAGCTTCCCGTTGAACTGCTTCACGGCGGCTTCCGCCACCGCGGTCACGTCCACGCCTCGCAAGTCCTTGATCGGCTTCCATTCTTTGGCGACGGGAAGTTTTAGCGACGAGGCGGATAGAAAAACCGTCGCGAAAAGAACGGTTACGAGAACAACAACAACTGATGCCCTCATTTTTATTTCTCTTTTTGTTTGTTCGTGGTGAGACTATTGCCTCTGCATGATTATTGGAAGAATTCGTTTTCGGATGATATATAATAAATGATTGAGTCGAAACTCTCATTGCAAAACGTTAATTATTGTGCTTATTTAAACGTAAATACTAAAATGAACAATCGAATAGTTTATCATGGCCTTGAGTGTTTCATGAGATTTAGTGCAATAGAACCATATATAGCAGAACGATTTCTAGAAATTAAAAATGTGATGCTAAGGACATAATCAGTTTAATCACATAACTACCAACAAAAGCTTATGTTATTCCTAATTATTAATGAAACTTACATTACATATGGAGAAATTAAAAAAATTAATAAAGACTACTAAATTATTGTTCATGGCCGGACGGATATATATTAATTTAGCCCCTTGTTTATAGGTGCGAAATATTTTAGCCCCGCGGTGTTACGATCAGGGCTCACGGAAACTTCCGTTCCGTATACAATCCCCTCGGAGTCGAGGCCATAGGTTGGAGCCACGGTGATGATGAGCCTATAGTTCACTCCGTTCACGAACTGGATCTGACCGCTTCTGACGTTTACGAGTCTCAACGGATTTTTGTAATCATTTTTGAAGTTGTACACATAAACTGCGTACTGGCCGACCATCTTGACGCGCTCGTCGTTTGTGTTTTTTATCGGCTGCCACCCACCTGGCATTGCCCTGACGGTGGAAAGAATGACTGCGACGGTAGTTATAGCCACCAGAAATGTAATGGGCTTCATCTCTTTTTGTTGTTTGTAGATGATTTCTTAGTGTTTCTTGGAAGATGTTTGCTTTGTGTGTTTCGGATGTGAAGCTAGAGTAATTGTGGTGTGTATTTATAGGCTATATATAGTAAACTGTTTGATTCTCTTTCATTTGTTCGTATTCTAGTTTTGTGGTAAACTTGTCCATTTGAAGAGGTAAATATCCCGTTGTTATAGATGATGGGTATAATTAACTTTTTGTAATTTTTATACTTTGACTAGCTTATTGACTCTCTCTTTTACCGGTTATTTGTTATCTTTCCAATTTTACAACATTGCTTGTCATCTAGTTCTTGACTTTTCTAATTTTCTTACTGTCTATGGTAAAAATAATGTTAAGAAGGGGATGTGAAAGGGAAGGATATAGGCCAGCCAGGGGAAGAAGAGTATCTTCCTCGAGGAGTAGAGAAAATGGGATAGCTAGGTTTGGAAAGAAGGTTCAAATTCGGTTTTGGGTCGAAGTGGTTGGGTGAGTATTGATCGAGTTATGAGCAAGATTTTTTTTTGGGGTGTGCAACAATTTGATTCGATCGGTCCGGTTTGAATCGAATGAGAATTGTGATCCAATAGTGAAAGACATCTGATCAGAACATCCAATGTCTCTTGTTACTCTGGTTATATGTTTAAATTTTACGGTTCTTATTAATTATTGATTCACTAATATGAACCGATTAACTCGAGGGCACCAACGAGACATAGTACTTTACATTAGAAAGGCTCTCGCGAATGCAGATCAAAGATGTCCCAACGCCGCTGCCGTCGGTCTTCTCCGTCGTCACCTTAAGCCTGTACTTTGTGCCCAGGCTCGCCGAAAACTGCGTTTCGCCGCCATTCACGCTGACGAGCTTCAACGGTGGATTATTGGCCCGGCTCTGCGAGTTGTAAGTGTCGATGGCGAACTCGGCAATCTCCACGACGTGTTTGTCCGCCGGATTCGTTATCGGCGTTTACAAGCCGAGTGCCTCGACGGCGACCAGGGCTATAGCGACGGTAATTGTAGCGACGAGAAAGCTGTTTGTCCTCTGATAGGTCAAAAGCGTATATGCCTTAATCCTATCTTGTAGTAAAACCGGAAATCCGGGTATCGTCTCTCAGGGACTGGTACAACCTTATGATTTATCAATTCTTTCGAGCAAACTATATGTGAAAATGTTTAAGAGATGAAATTATTAACTAATAGCAAAATAATTAAACTAATTAAGCAAAGTAAACTTGTCGAGGAAAATTCAATGGGAAAAAGCTCTGGGAGAAACACCGGGATTCACTACCTATCCTATCCAGATTAATTCACATACTCCAATCAATTTAATCCATACCTCTACAGCCAGGATATCACTACTGTGCTAGCTATCCCTGTCGGGAATTACTACGTACTAAATAATCAATTCAAATCCTACTGTCGTAGCTCAATGAATTAACTATATAGTCTGAAGATCGATATCCTATTTAAGACCGCATAGCACCTTATTTAATCCACTGTCGCTTCGATAAGTTACTATGTCACATGAAATATGTTCAGTTAATAGGGTTTCACTGTCGCTAATAACCTAATCAACTACAAATCGATGTATTGGTGGCCAGTCAACACAAAGCATTAAGAAATTCCATGCAATAGAGATTGGAAGAAAAGAATCATAAATCAATCCATCAAATCAAGAAATAGCTACATCCTATGGTGTTTCCCCCAGAAATTGGGGTTTAGTTCATGACGAAATTAAGATAAATCGATAGGGTTTTGTTCATCATGTTCTAAATCAACAAGAAACAACTAATTCGGTTTAGAAAATCCAACCAACTAATCGCTCTCGTTGAATTCAGCTCAGGTAGCCTTGGAAATCTCAATCGTCGATTGAGAATTGCCTGGTCGCTCGATGCCTGCTGCTGCCTTGCGCTTTCTTTTTCTTCAAGAATATCGCCCGATCCTCTGGTCCTCCCAGCTGCTGCGCGCTTCTTCTTTTCTCCCTTTTGCTTCCGTCCCTTTCTTTTTTTTTTTCACAAAGAATTCTCTCTTCCTCCCTTCAATTCCGTTCCGCCCAAAGAAATCCCTTCCTTTAATTTGCTGCCCACCAAATTGCCCAGCCGCCTACTAATTCCTCTTGGCCCGTCCACTAATCCCGGCCCAAGCTTTAATCCCCATCTTTTGTTTCTTTCTTCTGCTAGCCCAGCTAATTCAAAGTCCCATCGATTTGGGCTTTGGCCCAATTACTTGTTGTGCACTCGCTTCTTTTTCGTGCTTTCTCTACCTGTAACATATCAAACTCATGGCACTAGGCAGTAATGGTTTTTCAACCATTTCCGGGTTAGCGAGCCCTAAAATAGCACCAATTGGCTAAAACATACCACGGATAATCACATAAAGTCCAAGAATCCGATATATTAAAGCCGAATATCACAACCCCACACTCAATTGTTGCTTGTCCCTAAGCAACGACTCAAACGACACAAACACATAACCAACCATAACAATGACACACCACAGACTCAACACTCAAAGTAAAACACAAAATTTCCTTGTACTCTTGTTGTAATCAGTAGTTTCTTTCTCAACAGACAAGTTGTGCTTTAATAATCATACATTTCACCCCACACTCAAGTTCTTTGCAACCATTACCATTGACTGACTCAAATCCATCAAAAACTCAAATAGTAACAATCAGTTTCGATCGTCGGTAGCGAGTGATTAACAACTTATGGTGCAACAGTTATTAGGAGAATCTAACCACATCAGTGAGGTGCATATCTCGTGAGGACAATCTGGCTTACTCACATCAATCATAAGCAATTAACAAAGCATGAGTCTCAAAAACTAATGGGGGAAGCCTTTCGCAAACAAGAGTTTAATTTTAAGCACATCACTACCTTTTATGACAATGAGAGACTTTCTCTCTTTCTGCTTTTGCTTGCCGAGAGGTCGTATTTAGTACAAGTGGGATTTGTTTCTTACTACCGGTGACCGAGCAAGAGCAATTTCTGCTTCTTAGCACTCGCATAAGGGCTTCTTTTAACTCCTTATCCTCGGTCCGTGTGGAGGGTCATTGCTCCTCAAATGGCACTTCACTCAACTGGGGATCGTACTTGATAAGCAACATCGTACGGTCGCAAACCGATTCTCAATTGAATCTTTCCTCATCCCCATGTGCAATGAGTGATTGCCTCACACGATTTTGGCTTTTTTACCCACACTTTAATTGTTATGGCAACTTTCTTATATTTTACTTGTCAGGTAGTGTTTTCTTTTATAAAGATACAGTTCACCCCATCATAAAACATTCAAAACAGAGAGACTCATTGCAAAATCAAAAGCTCACAATTGATGCAAGTAAGCACGGTATCCAAACATATCGAATGGTCAATGTTCTCCACCTAACTACTTCACCAAAAGTCGTTACACTATCCTCACAAAAGAGAATGTTGCTAAAAGAGTTGCTCATTCCAAGCATATCAAGTCAGTCAAAACATTCAAGCTCATTGTGAAAAACTATGCAATTCAACACTAGTGGGGTGATTTCGATGATTTCATTCAAGCACAAACTCATTTTCAAGGCATCACGGTCATTTACATCATGTTACTACAAGAGTACAAGGTTTTGTTTTTTGATTTTTCTGATTTTTAGGTGTTTTTTAGCCATTAGATTAACACAGGCAGACTGCTTTTTACACAGGCAGACTGCTTTTTACACAGGCAAACTGCATGCAGCTTGCCTGTGCTCAACCTAATGGCAGTTTTTTTTTTTTTTTTTAACACAAAACGAGACACTGTGGACAACTGCGACTCGACATAAAACACAAAACACGACAAGAACACAGACCATCCACCCCACACTCAGGATGGACATTGTCCACAATGTCTACAACTACACACGACACACCAATCGGTTCACCTAACTAACATTATACAGACCATCATCAGAAGTATTCACAAAGAAAAGAAGAAAAGAAGAAAAGAAAAGAAAAAGAACCTCGGGACAAGCTCCTATGGAGGAGGGGTCGATGCAGGAGTGCCGAGCTTCTCATCTAGACGCCGGTTTAGCTCCTGGATCTTCTTATCTTTCTCTGCGTCTCTGGCTTCCAAGAGAGCTATTCTGGCTCTGAGCTCGTCTGTAGATGATGGTGAAGCTGGTACGACTGGTGGGGTATCTTCTGGATGCGGAACTGGAGTAGGATGGGACTGCTGGCCCTGGCTGACACTCGAGTCCGAGTGCCCCGCTGCTGTCGGTGTAGGAGCTGGAGCTGTGGTCGGAGTGGCCACTGATGGTGCGGCAGATGATGCCGAAGCAGAAGTTGCTCTAGCAGCCCTTGCTTCCCTTTTCCGATTGACCTTGGTCTCCCACTCCTTGTATTTTGCAATAGATAGATACTCTCCACGAGATCCTACTTTCCTCAGAAAACCCAATTTGCCTAATGTTGCTTCCCCAAGTAGAGTCGAGCCATCACTGATCTCTAAACCCGTAGGGTTCTCCGGGAACCCCCAGTAAGTTCGAGCTAAGGCAGTAATGATTCCCCCACACATAATTGCTCCGCAAGTCTTCAGTGCATCATTTTCCAGCATCTTACCCACCATGTACCCAACACACAATGGTGTTCCAGTAACAAAACTGTGAATGTACCTGAGATCGGTGGTGTAGACACCACTGGCATTGGATCCCTTTCCCAAGACAGTGCGAGCCAGGTAGTCATGTACTAGTGGGATTATCGGGTCTCTGATCGATGCTCTCCTCGAAGAAGTAGGATTGAATTCCTTTCCATCTGCCACAATTGTCGTCCAAAACTCACTCAAGTCCTGCTTTTCATCAGGAATTGCATCTGCTGGACCATCGAAGAGAAGTTCTCGGTTTACTTGGCTCAAAGAGAGGGACTTTGTTTTCCCTGCCAAAGTACTCTGAAGCTTGCTCTCAACCCCATTATCCTCGAAGCTGTATGTGGCCAAGAATGCTCTGGTGAGGTGTGGATAGGTGGGGAAGTGCAGCTCCGGAAATCGTGCCCAATTCATTCGGCGGAAGTATGTCATCACTTCCTCAGCCCGCTCGGTCTTCTGCAATGCTGCATAGTCCATGAACTGAGAAGGGGTGACCGCTCGTTTCATCAGATCGGCATATTCTTCCTTATGTTTCTGGAGCTGGACAGGCTGACCGAACGTCTTAGAGACGTCCTTTGGAGGAGGAGTGCCAGCCTTCTTCTTGCTTGCACTTAGGCTAGTACGACGTGGTGTCGTGGATGGTGCAGGTGCTGAAGAAGAAGACATCTGTGATCGTGAAGATGAGCTCGATTGCTGGAGACGACTCCTCTTTGCTGGCCTGCTCTCCGGTGATACAACTGGTGTTGAATCTGGTAATGGAGGTTCTTCAGTAGGCATTTGAGCAGGCTGCTGTGGTGGAGATGGAGTTGGAGAAGTCATCTCAATAGTCCGGGACCGCATCGTGGGTCCAACCTGGCCAGTGATCACCCTGTGAAATTGAGCGGGCATGTTGACCGCTTGAGCGGGCATGGTGATCACCCTTATCGGTCACCTTGTGGCTGTCTTCAATCATCCACGAACGGTAAACAGTCTTCCCATCTTCACTTTGATCTGTTACCTTGAACTGCCGAGGTGGAGGGATATACCTTCGACGTACCATATCTGCAACCAAGAGTGCAAACTAGAAAACAAACTTCTTAAACCTCCCCTCTGCTCTTGAACCACTAAGGTTTCACAAATCTGTACTCTGCTTCCCAAATTCCAGTTCACTGCTACCACAATCAGAAAATCCCCAAATTCTGCAACCCACAAATCAACCAATTCTCAAGATGCACCCATAAATCTTCTGCAAATATTCTTCTAGACAGTAATTGCACTTCAATTGGCCCAATCAAGCAATCATCACACTCCAATGTCACCTCAAATTCGAAATTGAGCAAAAACCCCAATCTGAAGAACCCTAATTTTTCTTGTTCTTATTCTTCAATTGCTAGGTTTTGTCAAATCAGACCTGGAGGGAAGGGGGCTTTGATGCGGGCAGGAGGTGGGAGGTCAGATTGGGGCACTGGGTTGTGGCGAAGACCGCCGGAGACGACGGCCGGAGATGCGCGGCGGCTGCTCGTCGGAGGTGGTGCGAGGGACTGGGGAAGGGTGATGCGGTGGCTGGGTACGACGGGGCTCGCCGGCGCGCGGCAGGAGAGGGGCGACGACGGGGAGGTAGGCTGGGGTCGGCGCCGGTTGGCTCTGCTGCTGCTGTGCTGCTCGACGGGAAGAGGAGAGGGAGGGGAAGAAGGGGGGAAGGGGAAGGTCGGGGAAGGAAGGGAGAGGGGAAGGGCAGCAGCCCGACCCCTTTTTTTTTTCGGTGTCTTTTTTTTTTTTTTTTTTTAAATCCGAATCCAAAACGCTGTGCTGCTGTCGGATTTTTTTTTTTTTTTTTAAGAGACACGGAATTTCTCCTTTTCAGTCCCCCCTTCCTTCTCAAAATTGTCAGATCAGTCCTCCCCCCACAAAACTTTCAGATTAGTCCTCCCCCTACATTTGCGGTTTGCCTGTGCTCATTTTGCGGCCTCCCTGTGCAAAAAACAGCCTGCCCGTGTACCTACAAAACACAAAATAATACCTTCCTCAAGGCTTTTTGAGCTGAATTTCGGCGGAGAGCCTCTAGACACACCCTAAAACTAAAAAATGAAAAAAAATTTGAAAGAAAAACTCACCTTGGGTTGCCTCCCAAGAAGCGCTTGTTTTGCGTCGCTAGCTTGACGTAAAATAGCTCAATCCAGATGATATGTTGAGATTTCCAGGACGGAAACCCCTTCAATATAGTGCTTGAGCCTCTGACCATTCACCTTAAACGCCCCTTGATCACCAAGAATCTCAATTGCACCATGTGGGTACACTTTGGTCACCGTGAATGGTCCGGACCACCTTGACTTCAACTTTCCCGGGAAAAGTTTAAGGCGTGAATTGAAAAGTAATACCTTCTCTCCCACCTTGAACTCTCTTCTCAGTATGTGGTGATCGTGCCACTTCTTGGTTTTCTCCTTATAAATCCGGGCATTTTCATAGGCGTTAAGCCTAATTTCATCGAGCTCATTCAGATGCAACAGGCGCTTCTCTCCAGCAGTTTTTAGATCAAAGTTCAGCTTCTTGATAGCCCAATACGCCTTATGCTCGAGCTCGACGGGCAAGTGGCAAGCTTTTCCAAACACCAATCTGTATGGAGACATGCCTAAAGGAGTCTTGAAAGCAGTCCGGTATGCCCAGAGTGCATCATCTAACTTCCTTGCCCAATCTTTCCTTGTTGAATTCACTGTCGTCTCCAGAATGTGTTTCAGTTCTCTGTTGGAAACCTCCACTTGCCCACTGGTTTGTGGATGATAGGGTGTAGCAACTCGATGCTTAACCCCATATCTGGCCAGCAACGTGTTCAACTCCTTTCCCATGAAGTGTGTGCCCTCGTCACTGATGAGAACTCGAGGGACTCCGAATCTGGTGAACACGTTCTTCCTCAAGAAATTCACCACCGTCTTTGAGTCATTGGTGGGCAACGCCACTGCCTCCACCCACTTGGATACATAGTCGACTGCGACTAAGATATATTTGTTGTTGAAAGACGGTGGGAATGGCCCCATGAAATCCACTCCCCATACATCAAACATCTCTACCTCCAAAATCGAGGTCTGCGGCATCTCCATCCTTGCAGATATGTTCCCTGTTCTTTGGCACCTATCACATTGAGCAACAAAATCACGGGCATCTCGAAATAGAGAAGGCCAATAAAATCCAGATTGTAAGATCTTTGCTGCTGTCCTATGAGGTCCAAAGTGGCCTCCTGCGGCCATACTATGACAGAAATTTAGCACTGACTTTACCTCACATTCAGGAACACATCGTCTTACCATGGTATCAGCACAATGCTTATACAGGAAGGGGTCTTCCCATATATAATTCTTGGCAATAGTAATCAACTTCTTGCGCTGTTGATAAGACAAATCAGGGAGCTTACCTGTGGCGAGATAGTTCGCAAGATCTGCATACCAGGGAGCTTGTTGGACAAGGAGAGCGTAAAGCTGCTCGTCTGGAAAAGACTCATTGATCTCAACCTTGTCCTTAGGAATGGCCGCAAGCTCAAGTCTAGAAAGGTGATCGGCGACCAGATTAGCCGAACCTTTCTTGTCCCGAATTTCAACGTCGAATTCCTGCAAAAGAAGAACCCAACGAAGCAATCTCGGCTTGGCCTCCTTCGTTGAAAGAAGGTGCCTTATAGCTGCATGGTCAGTGTACACAACTGTTTTCGATCCCATCAAATAAGATCGAAATTTATCAAAAGCAAACACTACAGCAAGCAGTTCTTTCTCAGTAGTGGAATAGTTCAATTGTGCATCATTTAGAAGCTTACTTGCATAGTACACCGCATGTAACTTACCTTCCTTCCTCTGCCCCAAAACTGCCCCGACTGCATAGTCGCTAGCATCGCACATAATTTCAAATGGCAAAGTCCAGTCGGGTGTAGTGATAATGGGGGCAGAGGTTAACTCCTTCTTAAGTCGATTGAAGGCCTGCAAACACTCATCAGAGAAGTTAAACACAGTATCTTTGGCCAACAAATCGCATAAAGGCTTGGTAATCTTTGAGAAGTCTTTAATAAATCTCCGGTAAAAACCGGCATGACCTAGAAAACTTCTAATTCCTTTTATTGTGCTGGGAGGGGGAAGTTTTTCTATGATTTCAATCTTAGCTTTATCAACTTCTATCCCCCTCGCCGAAATTCGATGACCAAGCACTATTCCTTCTGTCACCATGAAGTGACATTTTTCCCAGTTCAAGACTAGATTAGTCTCTTCACATCTCTGCAAAACTCTAGACAAGTTAGCCAAGCAATGTTCAAAGCTAGTACCAAAAGTCGAGAAGTCATCCATGAAAACTTCAAGACTCGATTCTAACATGTCAGAGAATATGGCAGTCATGCACCGCTGAAAGGTTGCTGGTGCGTTACATAATCCAAAAGGCATTCTACGATATGCAAAAACACCAAAAGGACATGTAAAAGCAGTTTTCTCTTGATCCTCCGGTGCTACTGGGATCTGAAAATAACCAGAGTAACCATCTAGGAAACAGTAGTGAGAATGACCCGCCAACCGTTCGAGCATTTGATCAATAAAAGGAAGAGGGAAGTGATCCTTTCGGGTCGCCTCATTCAACTTCCTATAATCTATACATACTCTCCAGCCCGTAACAGTTCGGGTAGATATCATCTCATTCTTATCGTTTCTCACTACTGTCATTCCTCCCTTTTTAGGGACAACATGCACGGGACTAACCTAAGTACTATCAGAGATAGGGTAAATAATACCTGCATCCAATAGTTTCATTACCTCCTTATGCACCACTTCTTTCATGTGCGGGTTTAGTCTCCGTTGTGCCTGGACGGAGGGCTTGGACTCCTCCTCTAGAAGGATCTTATGCATACAAAATGTTGGACTAATGCCTTTGATGTCGGCAATAGTCCAACCTAAAGCCTGTATGTGCTGGCGTAAGACCTTCAAGAGCTCCTGTTCCTGCGAATCAGTCAGTGTAGCAGAAACAATCACAGGTAAAGTGGAGTTTTCTCCCACATATGCATACTTAAGGTGACTAGGCAATGGTTTTAGTTCCAATTCCGGAGGCTGGATCCGAGATGGAACCATTTTCTCTGGAAACTTAGCCTTTTCATCACCTTCCACCTGCATAGGCAATGCCTCGAGCATTTGTGCCCTCTTTGACACGGTTAGCTCATCAAGTTCATTATCAGAATCATCAAACTCAGAATCAGCATCATAATCATTGTTCAAAACAGCATCAGTGCATGATTCTATGACATCCACAACAAACACATCACTAGAGTCATTAGGGTACTTACTTGCATGGTATACATTGAATTTTACCTCTTCCCCACAGACTCTGAGTGTCAGCTCACCCTTTTGGGCATCTATGAGAGCACCCCCTGTAGCTAGGAAGGGTCTCCCAAGAATGAGAGGTACTTCCCTGTCCTCCTCCATCTCCAGATGACGAAGTCGGCGGGGAAGATGAACTTTCCCACCTTCACTAGCACGTTCTCCACCACGCCTTTGGGGACCTTTACTGATCGATCAGCCAGCTGTAGAGTAATTCGAGTCGGTTTGATCACATCTTGGAGTCCCAGCTTCTTATAAACAGAATATGGCATGAGGTTTATGCCGGCTCCAAGATCACAAAGCGACTTTGTAAACTCTGTCTCACCAACAATACATGGGATGGTGAAGCTCCCTGGATCTTCCCTCTTCTCTGGCAATTTATTTTGGATGACAGCACTACACTCTGGTGTGAGTGTTACTTTCTCCAAATCAGTCCACTTTCTCTTCTTTGTCAACAATTCCTTAAGAAATTTGGCATATGTGGGCATTTGCTCAAGAGCTTCAGCTAGCGGAATGTTGATGTGCAATTGCTTGAAGAGATTCACAAATTTTTTGAAGTTCGGGTCCTCCAGGGGCTTCATCAACCTTTGAGGGAATGGTGCGGGTGGGTCATAAGGTTTTAGCTCCTCCCTCTTCGCTTTTTCCTCTTTTTGAGGTACACGGGCAGCATGTTTTTGCACAGGCAAACCCCTTTCATTTTGCCTGTGCAAGGCTGATTCTTCATTTTCTGCACAAGATCTTTCTCCCTGTGCTTCCTCTTCTGCCTCTGGTGCCTTTTTCGAGCTGCTAGGGTCTTCCAAGGCCTTACCACTCCTCAATGTCACTGCCACAACTTTAGCATCTTTTGGATTCCTCTCGGTATTAGCCGGTAATGTCCCAGGAATCCTGCCCTGCATATCCGCCAGAGTTTGAGCCATCTGCCCCATCTGCCTCTCCATAGCTAGCATAGAAGATTGTAAATTATTGTTGATGGCTAGCTGTTGAGTGACAAACTGATCTAGGCCCTTCAGATTATTGTCGGTTTTCTGCATGTGAGCCAGAAGCAATTCTTCAAGTTGTGGTTTCTTCTCTGGTTGAGGTGGAGGTTGTTGTTTCTGCAGGCCTGGAGGAGCAATGTTGCGAGCACCATTTGGGTTGTTGTTCGTCCAGGAAAAGTTAGGATGCTTCCTCCATTGTGGGTTGTAGGTATTCGAATACATACCACCCTGGCCTTGATTTCTCTGATTGTTGATATAGTGCACATCTTCCACCTGATCAGCCACCAGTGGACATAGATCCCTATGATGAGCACCTTCACATAATTCGCAATAAGCAACCTCCTCCTGTCTACCAAGAGCCAACTTAGCCAGCCTTCGTTCGAGTGCATCGAACTTGGAGTCCAGCTTAGCATCAATCTTTGCTTCTAAGCTTGCAACTCTGTCTATCTCATGCAAGCCTCCTCTCCTTCGAATGCCGGTCTCACTACCCCATTCAGTATCTTCAGAGCATATCTTCTCCACTAGTTCATATGCTTCTGGTGCTTCCATTCTTGTGAAACCATTCCGGGAAGCATTATTCAGAGCATCTCGGTACTGTCTTCTGATCCCGTTGAAGAAGATGGAGATCACATTCCAATCTTCGAGACCGTGGCTCGGGCATCTCATTAGAAGCTCCTTATAGCGCTCCCATGCCTCGGTCAGACTTTCATCCTCAGCTTGTTTAAAAGTGACAATTTCCTCTTGCCTCTTCATTGCCTTGGCAGGAGGAAAGTACTTATCCAAAAAGTTCTTCTCAAGCTGACCCCATGTTGTGATGGAACGGGGTGTCAAGTTCTGGAACCAGTGGGATGCATTCCCTAGCAGAGAAAACGAGAACATCCGAAGACGGATGGCATCATCAGACACGGTTGGGCTCTTCATAGTATCACAAATGCTCGCGAACCGGCGAAGATGCTCATGAGGATCCTCACTGCTAGCCCCGGAGAAGGTGTACCCATTAGTGATCATATTGATGAAGGCTGGGGTAATCTCCATGTTCGCATCCCCAGCCGGAATGACAACACATGAAGCTCGGGCTCCAGTCCTCCGATTCAGACGAGCCCTGATCGAACGATCCTGTTCAGCCATGATGACAGGCTCGATGACGCGCAGCGGTGGTGTAGGTGGTGTAGGGATGACAAGTGGTGTCACCTGCCTTCTCGGTTGACGATTCTGAGTTAGGGAAGGCCTAGGAGTTGTGGATGTGGTAGGCTGCTTCCCTAACTTGACCTGCTTCCTGTTCTGTCGGCAGGTCCTCTCGATCTCGGGATCTAGTGGCAGTAAATTGCCAGTCGTCCTCCTTGGCATGCACGAGGAGGATTAACCTGAAAAATTCACCTGCACACTAACACCCAGATCAAAACAGTTCACTCACAAAAATCAACAAAAATAAGGTATGGCAGTCCCCGGCAACGGCGCCAAAAACTTGATAGGTCAAAAGCGTATATGCCTTAATCCTATCTTGTAGTAAAACCGGAAATCCGGGTATCGTCTCTCAGGGACTGGTACAACCTTATGATTTATCAATTCTTTCGAGCAAACTATATGTGAAAATGTTTAAGAGATGAAATTATTAACTAATAGCAAAATAATTAAACTAATTAAGCAAAGTAAACTTGTCGAGGAAAATTCAATGGGAAAAAGCTCTGGGAGAAACACCGGGATTCACTACCTATCCTATCCAGATTAATTCACATACTCCAATCAATTTAATCCATACCTCTACAGCCAGGATATCACTACTGTGCTAGCTATCCCTGTCGGGAATTACTACGTACTAAATAATCAATTCAAATCCTACTGTCGTAGCTCAATGAATTAACTATATAGTCTGAAGATCGATATCCTATTTAAGACCGCATAGCACCTTATTTAATCCACTGTCGCTTCGATAAGTTACTATGTCACATGAAATATGTTCAGTTAATAGGGTTTCACTGTCGCTAATAACCTAATCAACTACAAATCGATGTATTGGTGGCCAGTCAACACAAAGCATTAAGAAATTCCATGCAATAGAGATTGGAAGAAAAGAATCATAAATCAATCCATCAAATCAAGAAATAGCTACATCCTATGGTGTTTCCCCCAGAAATTGGGGTTTAGTTCATGACGAAATTAAGATAAATCGATAGGGTTTTGTTCATTATGTTCTAAATCAACAAGAAACAACTAATTCGGTTTAGAAAATCCAACCAACTAATCGCTCTCGTTGAATTCAGCTCAGGTAGCCTTGGAAATCTCAATCGTCGATTGAGAATTGCCTGATCGCTCGATGCCTGCTGCTGCCTTGCGCTTTCTTTTTCTTCAAGAATATCGCCCGATCCTCTGGTCCTCCCAGCTGCTGCGCGCTTCTTCTTTTCTCCCTTTTGCTTCCGTCCCTTTCTCTTTTTTTTTTCACAAAGAATTCTCTCTTCCTCCCTTCAATTCCGTTCCGCCCAAAGAAATCCCTTCCTTTAATTTGCTGCCCACCAAATTGCCCAGCCGCCTACTAATTCCTCTTGGCCCGTCCACTAATCCCGGCCCAAGCTTTAATCCCCATCTTTTGTTTCTTTCTTCTGCTAGCCCAGCTAATTCAAAGTCCCATCGATTTGGGCTTTGGCCCAATTACTTGTTGTGCACTCGCTTCTTTTTCGTGCTTTCTCTACCTGTAACATATCAAACTCATGGCACTAGGCAGTAATGGTTTTTCAACCATTTCCGGGTTAGCGAGCCCTAAAATAGCACCAATTGGCTAAAACATACCACGGATAATCACATAAAGTCCAAGAATCCGATATATTAAAGCCGAATATCATCCTCATTGTGATTAATTATTAATTCCTCCCTTGTTCTTGATGTGTTTTCTGTTTTTTGAGTTTGAAGGGAGAGTGGATGGTTGCAAGTGTTTATATAAGACGATTTAGCATGCATGCAAATTATATTGGTGGTTAATTAATGTTTTGGACCTATGGCAAGTGTGTATCTGGGATTTAGGTATGGAAATCCTTGTTAATGCATGCAAATTATTATTATTATTTTGTTGAATTTTTCACTATATTATTCACAAACAAAACAACCTCAACAGCTCTCTTTTATTATTCGTATCTTGCTGCCTCCCACGCCTCAAAATACCAATGGCAAAAGAAAATATTAAAAAAAAAACAGCCCTCTTTCAAGTTGCCACGCCTTGAATTAATTTTTCATTCTAAAGCCTTTTTTATCCGACTTCCCCTTAGACATACGTTCGTTTCACATAATTATGAAGCAATTAATTAATTAATATAACAACTCATGGGTATATAGAAGAAACAACGAACTTCACCACTATTACTGATAAAAGCTAACAATTAATTACGCGTTAGCATAGAAATTACTAACGCATGATTTATATTATTTTATTGGAACGGTGATTAATTAATGACCCATAAATTATATCCAATATAAATATGTTCTAATACCCTTTTTCCAAAGACACCAAAGCCAACACAAGAGGCGAGCAAAGAGAATAACAAAAAAACAAATCATCGTGACTCTAAAGACGACGACGACAACAGCAACAATGTCACATTCAGCCACGAGTACTCTTCTCCTCATGGCCGTCGTCGCCGGTGCCGTCCTCCTGTCGACGACGACGACGTCCACCGCGCAACCGAGCCCTCGCCATCTGAGACCGATAAGTCCCGGCGACCTCCAGGATTACAAGAAGCTGGCGGAGTGGGCCGTGGAGGTGAACAACAAGAACAACCCTAAATCGGAACCCTTGACGTTGGTGAGCCTGGACACCGGATATTCTCAACCCACCATGGACTTCACCTACTTCGAATTTTACCTAACCGCCAACTCCACCCACTCTGCCCCGGCCACCTACTTCACCACGGTGCTCCAAGGAAACGGTTATGAAAATCAAGTTGAGAACTTTTACAAGTATACTGGAGGTAGATAGATCGGTTAGTGGCTCTCATGACTTGATATCATCGTCAAAGTTCATGTTAATGCAATATGAACAATACTGATGATGATAATAAATAATAATAATAATACCAATGAGAAATGTTCTCATGTAATTTAGGGTTGTCGACCAATTACGCGTAACAGTTCTCGTGTAATTTAGGTATATGTATAGATGGGTGCGAAAAAGCAAACATGATATATGTTGACCGGATAACTAGCTCAATTCGGAGTATTGGATCGTCTCTTCATAATTAGTTAAAGTTTCGCTGCATCGATATGATGACGTTTTTTTTTTTTTTTGCGCTACTGAATCGATTAATTTTAATAGTTCCTTCAGGTGTTCTGGTAGGAATTAATGTTTGAAAATTTCCTAGTGGGTGAGAATGTTATGATTAATCAAAAATTATTTAGAATGGAAAAGGTTATTACACTCATTGAGGAAAAAAAAAGAAAAGGATATCAATTTCTGTTTAATTTTATATTCCAATATATCAAAGAAAGCCCAACATATCCACGGGCCATTACTGTGGACTTGGGCCAAGCCAAACACCATCTTCGTCACAATTTTGATCCAATACGGCGCGTCGTTCGATCTCTAACATCATCAGATACCGTTACTTCTTGCTCCGGTTGTTAAACCCTGCCGGTAAAATTGCCGCCCTCACTTCCGCGAAAAAAACCCCTGCCGCCACCGCGCAAAATGCGGAACCTCCTTTCCTCCGCCGCCGTATCCATCCACAGCCGACGCCGTCTCGTCATCCCCACCGCTCAATTCATCCTTCTCGTTTTCCATCGCAGCTACAAGGCGCCGAGGCAGCCGGCTCCTCCGGCGCCGCCGAAACCCCCGAAACCGCCGCAGAAGCCCCAAACCTTTACCTTCCACGACGCCACCTGGGATGACCCGTATAGCTGGATGTCGAAGCTGAGCGACGCCGTGGCGCGGCGGCACATGGACGTGCTGATGGAGCAAGAGGAGAAGTACACGGAGGCCGTCATGTCCGGCACCGAGAAGCTTCAGAGCAAGCTCCAGACTGAAATGGCTTCCCGGATGCAATTCGACCTCTCTACCCCTCCCGTTCGTTGGGGTCCCTGGTAACGAAATTTTGTAATTTTCCCTCACTTCGATTTCTGCCCTTTTTCTTCAAAGATTTTTTGTTCCTATTGTAATGAATTGATCGATGGAATTGCGAATTAGGTTGTATTACCGGAGAGTGGAAGAAGGGAAGCAATACTCGGTGCTGTGTCGGAGACTGGCGAGCTTGAATGAGGAATTCATTTCGAATAAGTCTCCGTTTTCGGGGTTTGATTTCACTTCTGGGAAGAGGATTGAGCAGAAGCTTGTTGATTACAATCAGGAAGCTGAGAGGTTTGGAGGTCTGAGTTAGTTGAAGTGATAAATTCGAAGCATGAGTCTTTTTTTGTGCTGTTCTTGTGTTGAATCGATCTAGTTTGCGTGTGCAGGTTATGCTTACGAAGAGCTATCGGAGGTCTCTCCAGACCATAAGTTTCTTGCATACACAATGTATGACAAGGATAATGACTACTTCAAGTTATGTGTGAGGAATCTGAACTCTGGTGCCTTGTGTAGCAAGCCTCAGGCCGATCGAGTTTGTAACTTGGCATGGGCTAAAGGCGGGCGGGTGTTGCTTTATGTTGTTACTGATCAACACAAGAAGCCTTGCAGGTTGGTAATCTGCGAAGTACTGGGTTCGTTGAAACTGCAAATTATTGACTTTGAGGAATATAATGCTAAGGAGTGGTTTCTTTTTTCTTCTTTTTTTTTGTTTTTGTTTTTTGCTTTAGGTTATACTATAGCATGATTGGATCAACCGATGAAGATGTTTTGCTTCTCGATGAACCACAAGAGAATGTTCATATGACCATCAGGCACACCAAGGATTTCCGGTTTGTGTCTGTGAATGTCTTCTCCATGACGTCTTCAAAGGTACAGTTGTTGTTTGACTGATGTTTGAAATTCCTACGTTAGTGCCAGTGGAAGTGGTTTAACATTGGTCAATGACGATGTATTAGGTCTTTCTGATTAATGCAGCCGATCCCCTGTCTGGCATGACTTTAGTTTGGGAGTGCGGTGCTCCAGTTCATTGCATAGTTGAACATCACCGAGGTTACCTCTATTTATTTACTGATGCTGCCAAAGAAGGCCGATTGGTTGATCATTATTATCTTCTCCAAAGTCCTGTTGATGCTTCTTCTGGTCCTAGAGTGTGGGAGGTTGGTGGGTTACCACGTCTTTCTTCGCCACCAGTTGCTCTTAGTTAACTCCATTTTTATAGGCATATTCATCAATTTTCAATTGGTTTTCTTTTGCTTGTGTCAGAATGTGTTCCATGACGATCAAGATTTGATAATTGAGGATGTTGATTTCTGTGATACACACATGGTGCTCATTGTAAGGGAAGGTTGGAACTATAAACTCTGTTCACTCCCTTTACCCTTGTCTTCTAGGAAGGTAAACACAGTTATTCAGCAGATTGTGCTAATTAATGACGTCCTTCCACTTTCCATCTTGTTGATGTTATCTTGTCTTTTCTAGAGTGGAGCAGTATATCTGAAGGAGCTTAATCCCGCATTTCTTCCTCTTCCGAGATATGTTTCTCAAATTTCGCCAGGAACTAACTATGACTTCTATTCATCATCCATGCGCTTCACAATATCATCACCTGTGGTAGGAGTTGATTTTCTCTCGGCTCTGTATAGACAAGGATAAGTACAAATATTATTCCATTCTGTATTCAAGATCCTACCCTTTTCACTTGCTTTCCAGATGCCCGATGCTGTAGTTGATTATGACCTATCAAATGGCAAGTGGAATATTGTCCAACAACAGAACATGCTTCACGAAAGAACAAGAATTCTATATGGGACTTCCTCTTCTGCTAGTAGCACTGGAATATTTTCTGACAGTCTGAATTCTTGTTCATCTCATGAAGTCAAATCTGAAGATGATATATGGAATGACCTTTCTGAATTTTATGCCTGTGAACGCCATTTTGTCTCTTCACACAATGAAGTTATGGTTCCTTTAACAGTTGTCTATTCTCGCATGATTGAAAACACAAAACGAAACCCTGGATTGCTTCATGGACATGGAGCCTATGGCGAGTTGCTTGACAAAAGGTGGCGCAGTGAGCTTAAAAGCCTTCTTGACCGTGGTTGGGTCCTTGCATATGCTGATGTCAGGTCTTTTCTGCTTGGACTACTGCTGATCAAAAGGCTTTCTTTCCTTGAATTATCTTTGAACTATGCCAAGTGTCTATACTGCGTCTGAGTTTTGATCATTTGTGATTTTCTTCAAATTATGTGATTACAGAGGAGGAGGTGGTCAGGGTAAGGCATGGCATCATGCCGGTAGAAGCACAAAGAAGCTCAACTCTGTAAAAGATTATGTCTCATGTGCCAAGTTCTTGATTGAGAAAGAGATTGTAGGAGAAGACAAGCTTGCTGGTTGGGGTTCTAGTGCCGGGGGACTCTTGGTTGCTGCTGCCATAAACCATCAACCTGATTTATTTCGTGCTGCAGTTTTGAAGGCAAGAAGTTTGATCTTATGTATCGATATTCACTTGTGTTTCTTTTCTGTGTCCATCTGGCTTCATATTCCTGTTTGGTTTCAGGTCCCATTTCTAGATGCAACCAGTACTCTTCTCTACCCCATTATACCCCTAACGGCAGCTGACTATGAAGAGTTTGGGTACCCTGGGGACAAAGATGACTTTCACGCCATACGTGAATACTCTCCATACGACAACATTCAAAATGATGCCGTTTATCCTGCAGTACTCATTACCTCATCCTTCAATACAAGGTAATCTTTCATCTCTGGTTTTCGTCAGTTTCTCTTCATTGTACAAATTGAATAATCAAAGCAGCCAGCAAACGAGTATCGTTACTGTTTCTGTGTGATGACGTCTTTCAGATTCGGGGTATGGGAAGCAGCAAAATGGGCTACGAGGGTTCGACAGCAGACTATTTATGATCCAAAACGCCCTGTGCTGCTCCATTTCTCAGCAGATATTGTAGAGGAGAACAGATACATGCAATGCAAGGAGGCAGCTCTGGAAACTGCATTTCTCTTGAAGATGATGGATTCATGAGCTTGGATAATGACAAGTAACCACTCTAGATTACGTGGTGCCCTGCCGGCTAGCATCATAACAGGATAGTGAAGTAGGGGACATAGAGTTTTTAGTTGTTCATTGTTATACGAGATAACTTGCTGATGTTACTCTGCAGGATATGGTACATTGTTGTAACAGTTTCAGTGCTTTGGTTCAGCTCACACTAGTTCAATTCTTGACATGGCTACTTCAGCCTTTCTACTTTCAAGACCAAGCTTTACAAATCCAGCAACTAGGAAGCTATTTGATTAGCAGTAAAACATGACATTCTTCATAATGTCTTTGATCTCCAGCAGGGTCTCGACGGGCATTACAAAAGGAACATACTAATTCAACACTACAACATCTGGTCGCTAATTCTCCTTGGATATAGTGACCTTATACGTTTGGTCGCCATCCTTGCTACCAACAAGCTCGAAGTAACAAACATTCCCAGCTTTAATGGAGCTTTCCCTCCCAAAGACTCTAAAACCCCTATTCAGCTGCACAGCCATCGGGCCTCCTTTCATTTTGTTAGCATTCACCTTCCAGCAATCATCTCCAACCTGAAGCTTAACCTGCTGGCTTCTCTTTAAGTACTTGTCTGCAAACCTCCTCGGCACATTCTGAAAAAAAACCCCAGCATTACAATCCATTAAGCAAAAGATAATAATACCCAAAGATTGAAACTTTCCCCAAGGTTATGAATTTTCGTTACCACGTTGCTTTTGAGCAAGTGAGAATCTGTGATAACAACTCGGAAGAAAGGGTACTTAGAGGTGAACTTGCTGCTACTGCTGTTTTTTCCTGTGGTGGTGGTGATCCCTTTGTTGCTGACAGGATACTCGATCTCCGAACCATTCGTGCCATCGAAGATCGCGACGGAGAATCGAGAACCGCCCTCGTACTGGAAAATCAGGAAGTGGCCATGTTTCAGGGAGTAGTGTGTTACAAATTCCTTCCATGTCTCGTTGACCAAGTAGATGTTCTTGGTCCTGCCATTGCCAGCATTTCGGGTCCGGGCTTTGGACATCTGGATCTGCCATGTCATGCCTCCTGGGACATTGATGGAAACAGGGCTAGACAAGGTTCCTCCATGTTCCCCCACAAACTTCTCAGGCAGCATCTGAAAGGGAAAGACAAGAAGGTGGTACAGAAAGAAAGTTGTGGAAATGTATAGTTTTGGTTTAAGTGTTTATGGGTTGTGCTTACCATCTTCTTGTCTCTGAGAGTTTCTTCAACAATGACCTTGAAGAAATGGGGCCTCTTGGGATCAAACCCATCTCCAATGTCGCTCCTCTTGCTCATGGTTTTTGCCTCTTCAAGCTGTGAGAACTGAGAAGTGACAGAGAAGTTGAGTGCAGGGGAGTGAAATGAAGCAGGGGAAGTAATAAATAGGGAAGTGACTAGTGGGTGGCTCTTTCAGGATTTATTGAATATAAATGTCCAACTGTTGGACGGCTTTGATTAATGAACTTCTGGGGTTGGGTGTGGTTTGCTCTGGTTTCATATTGAAATGGAGTTTGGATATGTCCATGGATGAAAAACCAAGAAGAAAAATGGAGTAAGATAAAAAGTGGTGCATTGGCATGATTACTCACCTAGCTAGAGTTAATAATGGAGAAGAAGTAGAGTAGAGTGATTTGCAGAATTTATTGTTCCAACCAGAAATTAGGTAAACATCTCATCGAAATGAAAGGAAGCTTATGGTTTAGGGTACTCAAACTTAACAAAAATCTTTTACTCTAACTCAAGGATTGTGAAACCATACAATCGAGTACGATTTTAGGGACCTTAAGATTTTCGATCTGACCATACAATCGAGTATTGTTTCTTGCTCTGCCTTCTAAAATTAAAGAGGAAATATATGTCATGTTATGTGAACTCCAAAATAGAATTAATGTTTGGTTGTTGCTATAATATCAAGTGTAGTTTTTCTTATGATGGTTCCAAAACATCTAAGTCCTTGTCCTAGCAATTATAATCCTATTTTAAAACCAATTGAAGAAATAAACAAATGTATATATATTGTAACAATGTCTTCACCTATAAACTTGAGAAGGCAAAAATTAATTACAACAAGTAAAAAAGGTACACAAAGCAATAAACCATTAATGAACCCTAACAAGAGCAATTTTTTTGCCCTTCATCCACTCTCTATACAAACTATCATATCAAAAGACTCTCCTCCAACACCTATTAGATTTCTCCATGTATCCCAAAGACCCATGTTCCTACACCAAAAGAAACACAAAACTCATCAACATCACTAAAGCTTATAAAACAAAACGTAAAAATATGGGGAAAAACTAGGAATTCAAGCATTTGTTGTAGCTTACCAAGGGCAGGCATTAAAATGGAGAGAGCAACAATCCCAGTAATCTTCAGTGGGATCCCAACTTTGATCATGTCCTTGATCTCAATATGGCCGGTGGTGAACCCAACGATGTTGGAAGGTGTTCCCGTGGGGAGCAAGAACGCAAATTGAGCTCCAATGGCGCCAGGGATCATCAGAAGCAGTGGATGAACATGCATAGTCTTGGCGATCTGGATGAGCAGAGGGACCAAAAGAGTGGTCGTGGCATTGTTGGAGGTGAATTCAGTGATGAACGCCCCGATCAGGGACACGAGCGGCGCGATCGCCCAGTACGGGGCTTGCTCGAGGAAGTCGAGAGATTTGGTCAGAATCTCAGCTAGCCCGCTGGTTCGAACCCCATCGGCGATGGCGAATCCTGCCCCGAGGAGGAGGACTATGTTCCACGGGAGCTTCTTGCATTTCGACCAGTCCATCAGCTTCTCGCCCTTGTTCTTGTTGCTCGGGATTATGAAGAGCAGCGTTGCCATCATGACCTGAGGAGATGATAGACAACAATGTCGTTAACTAAGAGGTACGTATTGTTGGGAGAAGGTTCTGCTGGATCTTGTATCACTTTCTAACACGCCCCCTCAAACGAAAGTCAACCCATGGGCTTGAAGTTTGCACAGGCCCACCATACCTTGTGCTTTAATCAACTGTTAATATTGGGGGTCGTGGATATTCGGACACACGACCACTTGGCCAAACAAGCTCTGATACCATGTCAAGAACCAATTGATTCCAATAACTCGAGTTGTTGGGAGAAGGTTCTGCTGGATCTTATACCACTTTCTAACACGTATCCCTTATATTTTCTTCTGTGTTCTTGTATGACATATAATTTGATGAATGAGTAAAGCATGTACTCACACTGACAGTTCCATCGCCAGCACGATCATTGAAGAGGACTCCCCAGCCGGGAATGTCATCCGTTATGCTTCTAGTCATCCATAATGCAATCAACATCTATTAACAAAAATAATCACATCATTAGTATTCAGATTAACCTTTCTTTCTTACACAAATCAACCTTACTAATATATAAAAAAACAGGATTAGATAGTGATTAATTGACAAATCTCTCATACACTTACCCCAAACACAGTTAAAACCATCTTCTCTGCAAACGCCATTGGACCTGCCCAATGCATGAACAAGGTGTTGAGTAAGCTTTGACATGCTTAAACATTTTTAACTTGCTAATTAGAGGGTTGGATTTGATTTGTTAACTCACCCAAGAGCGTAAGTTCTCTTTTAAGATGGGCTTTATCCAAGTAAGCCGAGAGAATTGGGCCGGACCCCTTCGGGCAGTACAACAAGCAGAGAATGGCCCACAAGAACAGAAAAATGACCAAGGCCAACGGGACGCCGAAGAACAGCCACGTGCTGAAGCTGATGGGGTCCGCCTCCGGGAAGTAGCTCTTCCACATCCCGACCAATATCAGGTTGACACCTGTCCCCGTCAGCGTGCTCATCCCTCCCACGGCGGCGGAGTAGATCACCCCCAGCACCACCGCCCGGCAGAACTTGCTCACCACCGGCGACTGCCCCGGTCCGGACTCCGGCAGGCGCTGGAGGATCCCGGTGGCCACCGGCATCATCATGACCGCCGCCGCCACGTTGTGCATCCACATGCTGATGAACGCGGTGGTGGCGCATATCCCGAGGAGGAGGAGCGGCGGGTTCAGTGGGTCCCCGCAGAATAGCAACGTTATCTGTTAATTAAATTATATTAATGAATAAATTACTATCTTATTTGTACGTAAATTTAGAAAATTTAGAAAATACGGCTCAAATAAGTTGGAACCCGATCAACTATTGAACCTTAGACCACTTTTTTTTTTTATCAGCTCAACGACTTAAATCAATTCGAGTATAATCCAATAGATAAATTCAAGTAAGGTCGTAATGATCTAATCTAATATGATTTACCATAATCAGTCTTTCTTATCCGAAGCTAAAAATTTACCATAATGGTAAAAAAAAAACGGAAAGTTACTCGCGTTGGTTTAGTAAGGAAGAAAAGAAGAGGAGGCCGATCGAACTCACATTCAAGGCCAGCCGGCGGTGAATGTTGTAATGCTCGACGGCGAGGGCGAGGATGAAGCTCCCCAACACCAGGGCGATGACGTCATCCATGTACGAGGAGGCCACGTCATCGGCGGCGGCGATGCCGAAGAGCGGGAAGAGGAAGAGCGGCGCCATGGAGGTGATGGGCATGGGGACGGCCTCCGTCAGCCACCAGGCGAACATCCAGGCCAGCACCGCCAGCATGTTCCGGCTGGTCGCCGCGGCCGACGACGAAGAGGAGCTGCCGCCGCCGCCGTCCCCCGGCTGCAGCTTCACCAGCAGGCAGATCATGGCGCACAGGAGTGGGCCCAGCAGGATGTAGAAGCTGTTGGGAGTCAGCAGGCAGGAAATCAGGGACTGACACGTGGCCGGTCCGGCAGGTCCGGCGTCGTGAGGTTCGGCGGAGTTCGGCGGAGGGTGGACGACCACCGCGAGGAGGGGAGCTTTGGGGTCGTCGTTGCCGGAGTGGCCGCTCATTTTCCTTGGTATTGTTTTTTTTTTTTTTTTTTTTTTTTAGTGACGGCGGAGGAAGAGAAAGAAGAAAGGAATAGAATTTGCAAGGGAAATGAATGTGTAAAAGCTTATTCACAATCTATATATATACAAAAATTGCCTTTGGAATTTGGATAGAGGTTGGCATTTTCAAAAAACGAATTTTCTGGCACCCAATGTTAGATAGAGAGGTTGGAGTGCCCAATTTGTACCTTCCTTGTTTTAATATAATTTCCTTTTTTTTTTCTAGTGGATCATTCATTTTATTCATTCCTAATTCATTTAGAAAAATAAAATTTACTGGTAATATTTATCCCATCGATACACACTACATTTCATTCGCGAAGTCGTTGCCTCGTGAACGCAAAGATTCTTACAGTCATTACGAATTTTGACGATGTTTATCTTAAAATGCTGTTGATCTTCATGTGGATAATATTTGAGCACCTGAGGATCTTCTGGTATTAAATTAGGTGCATTATTATTTGGCGGCTGGTATGTTAGGTTGGATCTATGTAATAAATTAATTGCCATTTTCCCCCTAATGTATAGATTCATACGAAATTTCTTCATTAATTTTGACATATGCGTGAAAGGCCCTTTGAACACTCGCCGCATATAGAAGAAAAGAACTCTCTGCAAGGTGCAAATTTGACGACGGAAGGCGGCAGAGACCAGTGCTACTGTCGCAATAATAAAACTCTACCTCCTTATATTCCTTTGAAACTTGTTTGTTTGTGAGACTCAAATCATACATATTTTTTTTGCCGTAGTTCTTTGAACGACCAAATCCAACTAATTCGTAGATTTCATTGTCACGCGTACGTCTGGTATTTTTTAAATTTACATACGAAAGTTGATTCACGGATTTGAAGTTTGCAAAGGTTCGTCATATTTTGTGATACAGTAATTTTGCTCCCAGCCGGTTTTTAAAGCAACAGTACACTGTAGCTAGGAACGTTCGTGGAGCATTGTGAAAGAAAGATGCCAAATCTCTAGGAAGCTTCATTCCTTGTAGTGTCTCTTTCCCAACAGTGGCGAACATTTGATTTTGGGAAACAACCATTCGTCGTGTATTTGGGATTTACTCGTCGTCCAATGAGGAAGAGGCAACTTGCTATGGTGGATCTTTGATCTTTTCTTCCATGGCAATGGCATGATTGATTACGTTAACTTACTTACTTATACCGCCGTCAATTACCATCTGCCGTACGTTAGAGCTAGCGGTCCTCATGCAACACCGGCGCGGCTAATTTTGTAAGGGAGAGCGATATACGATTCATAATCAAATATTTTCCCAACAAATCGGTTGGTTTATCTTGACATGATATCTGAGATAGTTTGGTGAAGTGATCCTGTGTACGAATCTCCATGAGACGCCCAATACTAACTGTTGATAATTAAAGCACAAGATAAATGGTCGTGTTTTTTGGATCGTGTGTACAAACCCGACGATCTGATTGGAATTCGACCACTATCTATCTATCTATCCTCATAGTTAAGTTACTTAGACAAATGATGCATTTGTGTTTAATATGTGGAATTATTGAATGGTAGTTACGTGATGGAAAATTTTTTCTTTGTTGACTTGGTTTTGGGCGGATGTCAAAAATCGAATGGTCGAGCATTATTATTACACTACATAACCTATAGCTAGCTAAGTAGTGGGTTAATGTGATTGGTTCTTGACACCAATACGTGTAACCCCCCGATGTTAATCCCCTTAATAAAAAACTTATAGTAATGATGGTTTAATTAAACTTAATCATGATGATCCTGACCGTTTGGGCCAGTATACCATATGATAATGTTTAATTAGCTTGGAGAAGAAAAAAAAGCCACCAACTTGCTTACAAAGATGCACTAATTAATGGTAATTATAGAGACTTGTGATGATGGATTATTGGGTATAGCGAGTGAATGAGTGGATGGTGACAAAAGGCTTTGAATTATTATCATATTACGAAAAGAGTTTGTTTTCAAGTCGACAAAGGGACATTAGAGATCGGATAATGGAGGGAGAGAAGGGTGATGAGGTGGATGGTCTAACTTAACTTTGCTGGATATGGGAGTTCAATGATTCTAAGACACATGTGAATGGCGGTTGGTTGGGCCAAGGGGCATATTGCTTCTTCTTCTTTGCCAACCTGTCTGGACGAGGTTTTGTTTGGCCTGGGCCGGGGAAGGTATTATTTTGTGCTTGTCGTTGCTACGATTGCAGCTAACTTGTCGTCGAGAGAATTTGGTGGACATTAGTCCATTGGCCACGATTTCTGTGTCCATTAATCGTCCACACCTCACGAGACCTCTCGACCACATAAGGCTCTGATACCATGTCATGAACCAGTTGCTATCTCCCAATAACTCGAGTTGTTGAGAGAAGGTTATGCTGGATCTTGAATACCACTCTCTTACACGCCCCCCCCCCCCCCCAAACAAAAGCCGACTCACGGTCTTGAAGTTTGCACAGGCTAACAATATCTTGTGTTTTAATCAATTTTTAATATTGGGGGGTCGTGGAGATTCGAGCACAAGACTACTTGGCCAAGCTAGCTCAGATACCTGTGTCAAAAACCAGTTGGTCTCAATAACTCGAACTGTCGGAAGAGGTTCGATCGTGGATCATATACGATACACTAACACACAGGGGTCGGAGTATCCGCAATTGCGGATTTGATTGTCATCCCTATTTTTTTACGATTCATTTCAATACCGAACGAACCATTAAATAATGTAGTTTTGATGTATACTTGATTTGTATCGTTATTATTAGCTCTGTTTAAGATAAAGACGAACATACTTATTGGTGTCGGATTGGCCTGCCAAGTAAGCTTCACTTGGACGTCTCGAGTTAAAGATTTGACTGACCCATCCTTTCCTTGGGTTTAAATATGTTAGATCCGTAATTACATGCATGCACGGGTCAAATTAATGGCCGCTTGAAGTTAATTAATTATCTATCAGCTGCCTTATTATAGACATTAGACACGAAGTGATGGGACCGGTTAGCATGCTAACCCCTTAGGGGTTGGTTTTTTGACACCCCCTTTTAATTGGTCAGTTTTTCATTAATTATTGACAAGTATTAATGAAAGTAAACATAATAAATGTTCTGTTATTAAATACAAAGTAAGCATTAAATACACCACATTAATTACCACTTTACTGGTATTTGTACCACTGCACTGATACTCAGATATGACATTGCTACCAGTGCAGTGGTATATCTACCAGTACAGTGGTACAACGTATCAGTGCAGTGGTATATCTACCAGTACAGTGGTACAACGTATCAGTGCAGTGGTATATTTTTTGGAGGTGGTCGGAGAGAGTCTGCCGATGGGATTTTCACCGGAGAAGTGTGGCGGTCGGAGGAAGTCTGGTGGTCGGAGACTGCTGAAAAAGGAAAAATCAAATATAGTGAGAGAATTCCTAATGTGTATTTAATGTGTGTATTTAATTCCTAATGTGTATTTAATAGTGAGAGAATTCCTAATTAATATGGTACATTTTAATTCCTAATGTGTATTTAATGTGTGTATTAAATTCTATAGTTGTATTTAATATACTAGGGGGGTGTCATTTTTCCAACCCCTAAGGGGGTTAGCATGCTAACCGACCCCGAAGTGATGGGAGCCAGTTTAGTTTATTATATGGATGCAGTCGCACTTGAACTTATAGCAGTGGCGGAGGCAAGATCTGAAACTACCCATGTCATCTTTTTCAGTACGATTTCATCGACCATACTTTGAATATGAATATTAGAACCAACAACTAACAAGAAGTAAAGCAAAATAGAGAGAAAGAAGGTTGCAAAGAGTGGTGTTCTTTTTTTCCCCCCACCCTTTCACAGCAAATTAAACACGATATTGTTGGTGGTGAGAATGTCTTCAATGTAATTATGGATATATACATGAAGACTGTCTTAAATTATCTTTTGTTGATCATACTCATCATCATTGAGTTTAGGTTCAACAAGGTTTGCTATGACCACACATTTGGGGTCTAGGGTTCACTCCTTCATAATTGTCCTAATCTCACATGAAAGTTTGAGATCCATGTTTAGAATGTTTTGTGTGGGAGGGTTACTAAAAATGCAACTATTTACATTAGTTCTCTTCACCCTCATTTTCCATTTAAAAAAAAAAATCCCACGTAATTAATTATCTTTACGATTTGAATTACTGAAATGGGCTTGGACAGGCCCAATTTAATTCCAGTTTCGCCTCATTTTGGACTGCTGGATTCCTCGCCACCAGTGAACAATCGGACAAGGAACCAATAGTCCAATTACCCAACTGTACAAAAGTTCTCTTTCCTTCAAGAAAGTCCACGTAGAAGTAGACATCGGATTCGCTTGGGCCTCTGGCCCACTAGACCTACCACAACGGCCCTTAAATTAAATTAAAGCTTGCTGCTTTAGTTATGTGGCCAGCTACCTAGTAGTACATATTATGCCAAACTTCTTGTTAATCATCAATTGGTTGCAGTGAACAGAATTAGTTACTAATTACTATTATCAGAGATGCAGATAATTGAACTAACCGAAATTCGTCATTAATTCGCTCTAAATAATGATAGAAATTAAAATATAATTTAGTTGATGAATATCTAAGCCCATGGTTAAAATATAATAAAGTGTTTACCTAAAAGTGGGTGGAGCCACATCATCACTTTGGACAAACAAATCCCGCCTCGCTTTCCACTAATCACTATCCCCCACAACACACTCCATTTTACCTTTCCTTTTCCGTAATCACTAATCTCTCCCTCCATATTTTTCTCCTATCCATCATCCCCTCAAAATCCAATCCCTAGATTTCCGCCACGAAGAAGAAGGGGGAAAAAATGGCCGAACCGCCTCCGCCGGCCGTCTTCCTCCGCTCCAGCCGCATCCCCCACGACGTCGTCACCGACATCTTCCGCCAGCTCCCGGCCGAGGCCCTCCTCCGCTTCCGCGCCCTCTCCAAGCCCATCTGCGACCTGATCGACAGCTACGATTTCATCCATCTCCACTTGTCCTACTCCCTCCGCACCAAATCCCACCACTCCCTCATCCTCCGCGACTGGCACCTCTACACCGTCGACTTCGACTCCCTCGACGCCGCCGTCGATCTCGACCACCCGCTCTCCGTCGGCGGCGGGACCGAGGCGGTCGGCTCGGTGAACGGACTCGTCGCGCTGCGGAACTCGGAGCGGGATCTCGCGATTTACAACATCGCCACGCGGAAGGTCCGGAAGCTGCCCGTGAGCGAGGTGGAGCCGCCCGGCGGGCAGCACCTGAGGACCGGGTACGTTTTCTACGGGTTCGGGTACGATTCTTTGAACGATGATTACAAGCTGGTGAGGATGGCGACTTTCGTCGGGGATGAGAACGCGAACGATACTTATAATTATGATTACGAGGTGAAGGTTTATAGCTTTAGGAGCAATTCGTGGAAGAAGATTATGGATGTCCCATATTATATCCGGTTCTTGCATAAGCCCCTGCATCAGGTTTTGCATAGGAGAGGGTATGGGGTTCTCGTTGGATCTGCTCTGCATTGGGTGCTGCCTCAGAGGGCTTTGCTGGGTTTGAAGAATTATATAGTCTCGTTCGATTTCGTTGCTGAGAAGTTCGATGAGGTGCCTCAGCCGGAGTATGAAAATAAGGATCTGAGCTACCAAGTGGATGTGGGGGTTCTGGAAGGGAATCTGTGTGTGATGTGTAACTACGAGCATGTATGCGTCGATCTGTGGGTGATGAAGGAGTATGGGGTGAAGGAGTCTTGGTCTCGGTTGTTCTCGGTGCAGAAGATTAGGAATACTACTGCATTTGGGTTCTTGAGGCCTTTGATTTATGCCAAGGATGGTAATGAGCTGCTATTGGAAGTGAATGATGAGAAGCTCTTCTGGTACGATTCGAAGACTGGGAAGGCTAGAAGTGTGAGGATTCTTGACGGGCCGAGATCGTTTGGTGCTCTTATGTATGTGGGAAGTCTTATTCCAGTCGAGGATCCTGATGAAGTTGAGCGGCAGCGACGGTTAAGGGAGGATGCCGAGAGGGAGAAGTTGAGATCCGAAAACAACAATTGGTATAGCAAAACTAGTTCTGATATATAATAGTCTTGTGAATATTGATGATCTGGGAAAAAAAGGTTGTCATTTGCATGTATATCCAGAACTGATAACTTGTCCCATTTCTCCTTCAAATTCTGGAGGTGGATTGGAAAAGAAGAAATGTGCTTGCATTTTGTTGCAAGTCTTTCTTTACACATTGTGTTTCTGGTCATTGTGTATGTACCTGGGGCTGGAAGATTAACTGTTGTACAAATAAGATTTGTTATCTTGTGGACTTGGGTTTCAAGTCAATAGAAAATTTTCATTTATAACAAGTAAGTCAACTGGAGGTCAATATCTATGCTAGTATTCTGATCTATAGTTTAATGCCTATGATCTGTTTATTTAGTCTTTGATCTGGGTCAATGAACGGTCTACTTGAACAATTAGGCGGGTCCCCATCACATTTTCTGGCTGCTTGTTGATTTGGGAAAAAAGACATGTAATAAACAGTATTGCTGAAATGCTAGGGTTCAAGCTCATTTTATGCCCCGGGCCACAAATTTGGGCTCCACATACTTCTGTCTTCCTTTTATCAGTTGACATTGACTTGCAAGTTGCAAGTCATTGTTATGTTTTTCCACAAATCATAAGAGCATATTGTGATGACTTTTCTTTTCCATTTTCTTGTCTTTCCATGGCTTAGCCGTCTTGTTAAGGGTACTAATGGCCTCTTTCTCGCAGGGATGACTTCCTATCAGTTGGATTTAAACTGAAACTGTGACCAGCAGAGAAGACACTGATGACCAAGAAAGCGTCCACTGGTGCGTTTTGTTATTTTCTCTGCTGTCTGATTTAGTTATTCTGCCCCAGAGACTTCTTCAGTCGCAGTTTAATTTAACCGGTTGAGGTATGAAGTCAGTTTTTCTGGTCTTATCTGATAAATGCTAATCGTTGGTATGGAAACTGCAGCGAGCTATCCGCGGAGAACCATGGCATCACGAGGTCCATGTGATGCCGCAACAAGGAAAGCCAGAGGGATGTGGAGGAAGCCTACATCTTTCTTCAGCCTTCATCAAGTTAGGATGTGGTGGTCTCTGGTTGGAAAGGCTTCAGCCTTGGGCAAAGCATCATTGCATTTGCCTAAAATGTACTAGGATTCCTGATAGATATCTTTGTCATGTTACTTAGGAAGAAGAAAGAGCTTGTAGAAAGGAAAGGGATCATCTGTAGACTACCTTACAGAAAGTAAGAGAATAAGGAAGGAGAAAGTGAAAGCTACCCAGAAAACAAATAAAGGAAAGCAACAGAAAACAGAAGAGGTTGCTACTTACTGTACATGCAAGCATTTGCAGGATCGTGCCCGGAATCTCATTCCAGTCACTTGGACGACGAGAAAGGTGCAGCCGAATTACTTTTTACTCTATTTGTACCTGACTGAAGCTTGATAGATGGGAAGTAGAGAAGAAGCTGTATGCAGGTTGCTGCTTGGTTAACTGCATGGCTTCTTCTGCTTACTTCTTTCTGATGTATGATGGCTTTCTTGTATGTGTTATTATTGCTGAAGTTTCTGTTGTGTGTTGTATTTTTCTGCTGCAACTTTACATTGACATGACAATTTAATGCTGTAACCTTGAAGCATAAATTGTACGTTTGTAATCTGGATCTTGGATTCCCTTGTATACCAAGTGTTTCACAGATGTGTAAATTTACTAGTTACTGAGTGTTTACATGGCCAGTCCTAATCTCAGCCACAGCTGTAGAATTAGATCAATCGGTAATGACAATGGTTAGAGTAGGAGGAGTATCTCGATATTCATATAGTACTTGCTTCTTAGTTGTGTTAGATACATGTCAGTTCGTTATGTCTATTGTCGTAAATCACGCAAATTGTCTCGTTTTGAAATATATTCATTGTTAAGCTTCTTCCGCCTCCTCTTCTAAATTACACGATTAAGTCAAAATCTTCTAATTATTGACCTTAATCACATTGTTTATAGTAGGAGAAAGAAGATTAAGGTTACGTTATAAAATATGTGATGTGTAATTGGGCACTGCACAAAAAAATGTTCATAAGGAAGTCCACAAAAAACGTTACAGTGCAACAGTTGGGTCTCATCCTACCGTCCAAGCTCGTCCACAACAAGATCTTAACGGTTAATATAATCGACATCGCCCCAATCACGTGACCATCCCGCCTAAATAGCATGATCACGACCGCACCTGATCACTGCCACAGTAAAACTCGCATTTAGTAAAACCAAAAGAAAGAAACTATATAATAGCGTAGGATTTACAGTCCTTGGCTGGATTACGGCTCAGAAAGACAGACAGAGAGAGAGAGAGAGAGAGAAAGAAAAGTAAAAAGGAGAAATAGGGAGGGAGCGAGAGACCACCAACACCGCCGCGGCAACGCTTTCCCCCCCGATCAGTTCCCCGCTCTTTACCTTCCGATCGTCGGATATCTTCGCTGGATTGATTCTATTCTCTATCGGCGTTGTGTTGTTTCGGATTTCGATGACTGATGAGGTGAATGATTTGGGTAGGGTTTTGTTGATTCGCGTGGGACGGGAATTTTAACTGTGTGGTGGAGGCGCTTCGCGTGCTGTTTCCTCCACCGTGCTAGCGGCCGGGGATTGCGCGGTCAAATGTCGCAACGGCGATCGGCGTCCGTTGATTGTCCCTCTCAGCGTACTGCCGGTGGCGGCGCCGCTGCTCCTTCATCTGCCGCCGCTGATCACCGCGGCTCGGCCAAGCGCAAGTTGGACGATTACGTGTCTTCCGTCGAGGAGGACGATGAGGACCTGGTCAGCGTGAGAATGCGGAAGGACGATTCCCCCTCCGCCGTGAACTCCTCTTCCGACGTTCAGAACCACAGTCTCGTTTCATCGAGCGGTGGTGGGGTTGGGCCCGTCTCCAGCTCAGCAGCCGCCGCCGCCGGTGACCTCTCGTCTCTTCCTTCTTGTTCGCGCACGGCTTCGCCTCCTGCCATGGGTCTCGCTGCGTCGGTTACGAGGCTCCAGTTCTTCGTCCGGATGATCTCCAACGGGAATCACATTGTTATTAATGCAAGTTCGGAGGACACCGTTGGAAAGATTCTGATGAGAATTCAGGACATCACTGGGATTCCTGCTTACGAGCAGAGGTTAATTTACAACGGGAAGCAGCTGCAGGCGGAGCAATCACTGGCGGAGTGTGCGATTCAGAAGGATGCCGCACTTCATTTAGTTGGCCGGATGCGGAGTACGAAGCATCCACAGACTTGCCGGCTAGTCGAGCAGTTAGTAATGCTTATTTGCAAACTATGTAGAGGGGGAATGCCATCTTCCGCTCATGCCCCTAAGCATGTTACAAACTTGGTGACCGAGTTCTTCAAATTGACTGGAAATAGTGAAATTGAGGATGCAGGCGGCCATTTTGAGATTTTCATGTCATATTCTGCTCCAGCAGCATTAGTGATGCTGTATATCTCGACCAACAAAGGTAACAAAGAATGCGCTGATACCTCGATTAAGCACTTCTTAAACGCCTGTAGAGATTTGCCGAAGTCATTGCATGCCAACTGTGCACCTGTTATCTTAGAATTTTGCAATTTGCTTAGAAAGGTTGCTAATGACGATCTTCTGTATGTCTGCTGTCGAAGCACTCTTGGTTCATTCTTGGAAAATGATTTGGGGTGGCGCTGGTCATTCAAGTGTGAGGTAGGTTTGGACGATGTAAAGGCGTCTATTACGATAGCAGATGTTTTCCCTTTTGTTAAGGAGTTAGCTATTAGGTTGTGCTATGGTCTGGATTTGAATCTGGAGACTCCAGGGAGTTTTCTACGACCATCTGCTACTGATGTCCGTGACTTCTCTGCATTCTTGTCACCTTTTCGGGCTGCTATATCGGAGCATTTAGGAACTGAGCCACCTGTTTCCATGCCTTTGAGCAAGAGAGAAATTAGACATCTATTATATATAGAAGAGGTTGAGCAGCTTCATGTTATATTTAAGGCCTTGTTAGCGAAGATGGATCGGTGCCTCCTTAAGTTGGACGCCTCAACTTTGAAGTCATCTGGAGAAGGTGAGTTGAGCCGTACATCAGGGTCTCAGTATCTTGCTATTTTGAAGGAACTGAATGAAATAGCTAAGCTTTACCAGAAGGCCGGAGAACAATTCTGGACAGTTATGAAACTTAGAAAGACTTCTATTTGTGGTTTGATTGTTAAATATGCAAAAAGAACCGATGACCATCAATGGCTTCTTCTGCACAAGGATGTGACTGATTTTGAGTCGCGGAGGCATTTGGCTATGATGATGTTACCTGAGGTGAAAGAAGACTACGAGGATCTATTTGAAATGCTTATTGACAGGGCACACTTGTTGGAGGAGTCATTTGCATACATAGGCCGTGCTGAATCTGAGTCGTTGCATGGAGGTTTATTTATGGAATTCAAAAACGAGGAAGCTACTGGTCCTGGTGTAATGCGAGAGTGGTTTCCCTTGGTAGTTGAGGCTATATTCAACCCAGAGAATGCTCTTTTCCTGGCATGCCCAAATGATCGCAGAAGGTTCTACCCTAATCCTGGTATGACTCTACATGTGTAGCCATCTCTGATTCTTAATCATGTTGCATCTAATCTATATACAATCATGGTGGTTTGCATATAGTGAAATCTTCTTCAGTCGTGGCTCAAATTTCAAACTTAGTGATAGTGTGGTACTATTGTTTAATCTCGGTTTGTGGTGCACCAGATCAGGTCAATGTAGGAGTAGTCTAATCCCTCAGCTGTTTGGCTTAGGATGCTCTGTGTTATCCATATCAACATGGCTAATCCACTGGGTCTTTTCTTCTCGCCTGGGTCATCCATATGAATGCATTGTTGTTATTCACAGAAGTTTTAATGTTACGGGCCCAATGAATCCAACAGGATGCATATTCCCGTTTTATATGTCTTCGCACCTTGTCTTTACTGATAGAAATTATCATTAGAATGGTCAGTGGGAGTAGTAATGCTGGACAAATAAAGGCGTCATTCATTTTATAAGGTCTACTTCCCTCATCCGCAGTCCATAAATTCATATGATCATGTCTGTGATTTTAACCTCATCCAGGTGTCCTTAATTTAGTGATCTGGTGTACCGGTTTGGTGCTCAATGACTTGATTTTTCACCTTGCTTGGACCCTTTCTCAAAAGTAATTGTGCATATTAACAACATTCTCTTTTAGTGTTTAATTGTTTCCTCCATAACGGATTTGCAGCATCTAAGGTCCAACCAAGGCATCTCGAGTTTTTCAACTTCTCTGGTCGGGTAATTGCATTAGCTTTGATGCACAAAGTACAAGTTGGAATAGTTCTAGATCGCGTCCTTTTCTTGCAATTAGCTGGAGCAGACATACATCTGGAAGACATAAGGGATGCAGACCCGATCCTCTACAGTAGCTGCAAGCAAATTCTGGATATGGATGCTGAGTTTATTGATTCCGATGCTCTAGGACTTACATTTGTTAGAGAATTCGAGGAGTTGGGATCCAGGAAGGTTGTGCAACTCTGTCCCAATGGGAAAAATATCATAGTTAATAGCAAGAACCGAGAAGAATATATCAAACTCTTGATTCACCATCGATTCGTAACGTCAATCTCGGAACAGGTCTCACATTTTGCACGGGGCTTCTCTGATATTCTTTTGAAGGGAAGCCTCCCTAGTTTCTTTTTTCGAAGTTTGGAGCTTCAAGATCTTGATTGGGTGCTGTATGGGAGTGATGCTCCTATCTGCGTTGAGGATTGGAAGGAACATACCGACTACAATGGCTTTGAAGAAACTGATCCTCAGATATCCTGGTTCTGGAAGGTATTTTTCTTCCTTTTGTCCAGTTGGTTTATTTACTATGGCTCATGACTTGTTACAGTTTAGTCGTATAGAATTTTGAATTTGTCTATGGACTTGTGTGGATTTGTTTAGAAGAAATCGTATAGTCTATGAAGACGCTTTGTGTTGCTTCTTTTCTCTTAGTGTCTCGACAACCATTTGAAGGTGGTCTTTTATAAGCTTGTCTGTCCTTGTTAGCTATACATTGTTTGGTTCCTGGATCGGCTCTACTTCATGAATGTTAGTGAAGTTTAGTTGTCCCGCATTTGCTTCAGAACCAAATGATAGATGTGCTTTGTCTTCAGGTATATTTTTCTTTTCTTGTAGCATAATTGTGTTAGTGGCTGCCGAGTTGTGCCGTCTTTGGTGATCTCTCATGCTTCATATTGTTGTGAAGAAAACCTTAATTTTCCTTCTCTCACTCTATTTTCGTGCTTGTTTCTCTTCGTTGTTTATTTTGGGTGAGAGTGTTGAATATTAGACTGCATAAGTGATGTATCAAAGGCTTTTTGGCTCTTGGTGTAGCAATCTACATGGGAACGTATTCCTTAAATATAGGCCAGTACGAAATCTGTCATTCTGTGTGCGTAGATTTGGTGAATGGTTGCTTGGTTGCAATTATAAAACCCAGCGGAAAAGGGGGAAAATGGTTGTCATGTGACATCATGTAACTGGGAAAGCTAAGAATAAGTAGTTCAGTCTGAGTTGTTATTCATCTGAAATGGGATTGTTTTTCCTTCTTTAATGGCCTTTGTGAAGAAAAGAACTAACTCCGTAGGTGCAACTTACGAATTCCTTCAGCTTCGAGTTGTCAACCATGCTAGTGGTGATTGAAATTGAATGGCTGATTCGTCGTTGTATGGCTTAGACACTTCCTCATCTGTTAGCTGGGAAGATCTTGTGTTGTGCCTGGTCACCTTATTCTGGTTGTGTCATATTGCAGATTGTTGGGGAAATGTCAGCTGAGCAAAGGAGAATACTACTCTTTTTTTGGACATCGGTGATGTATCTACCTGTAGAGGGTTTCGAAGGCTTGACTTCCCGGCTCTACATATACAAGTCCGCGGAACCAAATGATCGCCTGCCTTCATCCCACACATGCTTCCACCGCATTTGCTTCCCGCCTTACCCATCCATGGAAATCATGCAAGAGCGACTCCTCATCATAACCCAAGAGCACGTTTATCGCAGCTTTGGCACCTGGTGAAATGCCTGGGTTTAGACGGGTGCTCTTTTAACTGCACATAGAAAGAGTGAGAAAAAGCTATCAAAAAAAGGAAGAAGAAGAAGAAATCAGGTTGTACAGATAGGGGTTTTCAGTCGGTCGGTTTCTTATAATGTAAGGGAGGTGCATTGTTAGGGTTCGATCTTTACATTCCCCGCCGTCGTCTATTTGCCATACAGAGGCTCGATTTCATTGGTCTGGTCCCTTTTTTTGTTGTTTCGACGGGTCGGTCTGTTAATATAGGGTCCTCAAGCGTATGAAATAATGATCTGGAGGCATAGAAAGGAAGCATAAAAGTGAATTTCTGTGCTTCCTTCCATGAGACTTCTCCCCCCCTTTAGTTATTAAGTATTGACAATGAGTCTAAAAGATCTAGTCCTTTTTTTGCTGTTTTTGCTGCAAGGAAGCAGAATCACCTATGTTTGGTTTTTGGACAGAAAAGATTCGGTTGCAAAGGAAAGGCGGTAGGGGAAAAGATGGAGTGATTGATTGATGCTGGAAAGTGGAAACCTCTCCCGTTGGTTTCTGCATTGTCTTGTTGCCTATGTTTGTGTTTAGTTTTTAAGGCTCCTTCGGGGACTGCTGTCATGGAGTAACTTAACAATAACATTACCACCAAAACCATATTGAAATATAGTAAATTTCATAGCTAATGCAAAATCATCCCCAACATAAACATCAAAATAAAACTCATTTCCACATCCCCCAATCCTACGATCCCACGTGGCGCGCCACGAATGCTGATGTGGACACACTCCATTCGAATCATCATAATAATTAACGTCGAAAAAAAGCAACAAAAAGAAACATTTAGAAAGATTAGATCCCAAGCTCCTTAATTAATTTGTTCATTCCTCTGCTTTCTCCACAACGGCTTCTTCCTCTTCCCCTGCTGGCTTCTCCTCAACAGCTGCCGCTGGTGCGGCGGCCTCTGTTTTGGGTTCCTCTGCCACGACCTCGGCGGCAGCAACAGCTGTCTCCTCGACAGCTTCTGCTGCTGCTGCTTCGGCTGCAGGCGTCTCCTCCTCCACAGCAGCGGCTGGCTCCTCAATTGTCTCGGCTGCAGGAGCGGCTTCTTCTTCTTCCACAGCTACTTCCTTTGTGACGATCTCCTCTGCTTCAACGGCGGCTGGCTCTTCCGCTTTGGCTTCTTCCACCACAGCGGCTGCAGGCTCCTCTGTTTCAGCTGCTGGCTCTTCTTTGGGTTCGTCGGCGATGACAACGGCTGGCTCTTCCACTGCAGCAGGCGCAGCTGGCTCCTCCACTGCGGCAGCGGCGGCAGGGGCGGGAGCGACAACTTCCTTTGTCTCGGTATCTACTGGCAATGCTGCTGCTGCAACCTGAAGAAAGAAATTGTTCAACACAAACATTAGAAAGAGCATAAAAAAACTGATTCCGTCGCAAAAAGCCATTCCCGTCGCAAAAAGATCCCCTTTTGCAACCGCTTGATTGATTATAGCGACTACTAATGCCGTCGCAAAAAGTTAAATTTCTTGTAGGAGAATAGTAGATTAAACAAAGCTCTATATTTGGTCAAATGAAATTCCTTATATATCTATGAATATGGATGGTTCTTGGGAGAGTGATCGAATGATCAAATGATCACTACGATCGTATCGATGAACCGCATATATATGAAGTACCTCAACGCCGGCCATCTTTAGGAACAGGGAGAAGGGCTAGAAGCTCTGTTCGAAGAAGGTCTGGAGATGGAGGAAAGAGTGAAGGCAGAGGTATATGGAGAGTGTGATGAGATGAGCAGAGTGTTGAGAGAGCTATTTATAGAGGTTGCGATGAGCAGAGGAGCAAAGTATTTTGATAAAGAAATGTGTATTTTGTTAATGGTGACATAAAATTTTTTGGAGAAAAGTAAGGGGGGGAATGATCAGAAAGATATACGGCAGAGGAATCTTTTTTGCAATTAGCTATGGACAGTTACCATGTTCCTGACACAGATTGATGCAAAAGGTTGTCCAGTTGTAAAATGCATTCTTGCGGGCTGGCTGTGACATTGATAATCTTGATTTTTGGGTTTTCTTTTCAAATTCCTTCATTTATCTTTTGCAAACTTGTTGACAATGTTGAGTGATGGTCGAAGTGATGATAAATCTCGATCATTATTAATTGAACGATGTATCGATTACGGTATAATGGTAATTTCGAGAGCCTGCTTACCACTTCTCTTAATCTGCAAAGATGCGATCTCAATCCAAAGCCTTAAAAAAAATTTGATTTCAACAATTATCATTCGCACATAAAAAATAACAATAATAAGAAATAAATCAATAATCAGGTCCACGTCGATTTAAGTCTATTGGTTGTATTTGCAATCTCAATTACCCTATGTCAAAAACCAATTGGTTCAATTGGTTGTACATGCTAACACGCTCCCTCAAAAGAAAGCCACTCATATGAGTTTGAAACTGTTTGCACATGCATCAGACATCATGTGTTTACCAATAGGTCACCCGGGGTTCAAATAGAAAATCTTTCGACCGCAGAAGTCTCTAGTACCATGTAAAGTACCGATTTCCAAATAACTCGAATTGTTAGATGAACAGATTCAATAACGAATCCTATACCACATACATACACCTTATTAAACCTCAAATGAACAAGTATTTAGGTGCTAACTTGCCAACTTTTATTAATATTGATTATTTTGGAGATAAGGAATCCACATGTGAGGTCATTTGATTTGATTTGATTAGGTATTATACAAAGATAAAGGACCAGCAAGCTTGCACATAATGAAATGAATTGGCAAAGAAGATACAGATTGCAAATGGCATGGTAGTGGTGGAGGCCAATCTCCTTCATGTGAATGATCATGACCACACCCGTCGCAATTAGTTCTCTCCCCCCCCCCCCCCCCCCCCCCCCCCCCCTTTTGTCACTAATTCTATCATTCTTCCATGTTCTTTGCTTTTCACATTGCTCTGATTAATGCTAAACTAACCACATACAGTTTTTTTAATGACCAAAGACTTCGTCGGCGCTACTTACCTCGACTTCATGAGTACTCGACAAATTTCATGCATGAGAGTGAATGACTCTGCGGGTTTATATCTTTGATGGTGGCTAGCTACCAGAGAAATTTTCGACCGTTGAATGATGGCCTTCAAGAATTGAATCCAAAATTACACTACACTAATCCTCAACTAATCTATCACTCGAGTCACCCCTCAACGTTGGTGGTTAAACTTGATGACATACTTGAATGTCGTAAGACACAAGCCGAAACTCATTCGATCTACCTTGATGTGTTTTTACCATAATCAATGGCACTTAAAGTTTAAACACAGTTAAAAAATTATATGTTTGGTGATTCCATATACATTCAAGCCTTTCACTAAGAATTTGGTGGGGAAGCAAAGAGAGAAGACATAGAAGGGCATGTAAAGCAAAGAATTTATGGGCATGTAAAGCAAAGCAGTAGTTGGATCTAAACAATACATCTAGCCAGCTGAGATTAATGGGTTATTTGGGTTAAAAATAATTTGGATGGAAACCAATTGTAGCGGTTAATTTTTGTAGTAATTTTGAAGAGGTTATAATGGTGATTCTAAAGTTCGAAATTAAAAATGGAATAGTATGTATTGCTTATTGTTATGATGAACATTAGGGGGGCCAATATTGGTCAAATTATTGTTTGCTTTTGCCATCCTTAGGGCACATATGTATATATTTCCCTCACTTTTTCCCCCACTTTCTATTCATAAGAGAAATTTTGAACATGTAAAGCAACAACACAAAATTGGTGAATAATTATGATGTGGGACTTTAGGATGAGAGGAGCCAAGCAAATTGCAACAAGGTTTGCCTAGGCCGGTGCTTGTAGTGGGACCTAATCTGATCCCCTCCCCACCAAATTTCACTAGTACTTCTCAATCGTCATAATAGATTTTTCGGTTTTTTCCAGTCTCGGTGAAACGATATGGTATGTGATTTAATGATTCAACAATGTGTTGAGCGATGTGTAAAGATCGATTTAATTGATCAAGTTTCATATCATATTATATGATTGAAAGATTGGACGGTCGGATGATGAATGGAATACGATCGATCAGGTTTTGTATCATATGATCGAATGATCGTTGAATGAGATTGGAAATCAATCTGATCAGTCAATATTCTTTCACGATTTTACTATTAGAGGACTCTAAATCATGGCCTAACCGATTCAATTTTTGTTACGGTAATTTTAGGGATTATTGTGCTTGTACCATAGAGGAATCTCTTCTATATATTTTGGTCTGACATAAGAGCATGATTTCCAGGTTGGCCGTCTGGTATTGGCCACGCTAGACCACAGTCATCCATGTCATCCTGTCTTCACAAAGAGATCATTCGCTTTTGCAAATTTCAATGCTACGCACAAATTGCCATCTTTCGGTTCATACCCTTGAATCATTATTGTCTCTTCACTTGATAAAAAAAAAAAAAAAAAACTTTTGATGGTTTTCTAACAACTCAGAGAAAATCTATTCGGTTCTTGAGTGATTTGTTATTGTAAGGATCGTATGTAAGATTGACCGAGTCGGCTTATCAAAATAAATATATGATAAATTCGGAAAGATAATCCATAACTTATCAAGTGAAGTTTACGAAAAATCATTGAGGGATCTAAGTCGTGTCTTAGTTCGCGGCTCAGATCTAGTTAGAAGAATGTGGTGGTGCAACTCATCAAGCCTACCGATTGAATTTGTCCTGCTTCTAGTTCTAATTAAGCTCTAGTACAAGGAGAACCCAGCACATCAAGATGCCAACCTCATCTTTTCATTTTCGCCCTACATCATTACAACACGTAGGGCGAGTTGTGCATGGACAATCCGCCGCCACACAAGGCCATATAACTGATTTCTTGTACATTGGCTCGATTATCATATAGTATTATCGATTGCAAATCGGAATGTACCGTATCGAAATCTGCATGATGACAGTGATTGGGGGTGTCTCTATCCATCATAATACAAGGCAAGAAGCCTAGTCGTGATTTTTTTTCATCGAGACACATTTCGCCATCCGAAGTGATCAATCAATATGCATAGTAAACGTCTTTATTCATGTATATAGTGCTCTCAATAACACCTAAAACTATACCTCTTATTGGCATTGTTCTTTAGCCATATAATGTATGCACCATACGTACACGCTGTAAAGTCTTCAGAAAAAAGGTTATATTGTAAGAAGCAAAAAAAAAAAAAAAGGCCGGTGGCCAAAGTGTCAGCCGATTTCTCTATCATTGCCCTTCCTCATGTAATTTACCTATCTTTGTTGATCCCATTCCCATCCCTTAAAAGAGAAACACCTCACTCACCTTTTGAGAGGTTGCTAAAAGTTCAATCACCAAACATCATTTCGATTGATCTGTCGTGTTGATGTTCTGAAATAACTAACATAACATTTCATCGATCCATTTGTTTATCGCTTCTTTGGTTGCGTAGTAACATTTCTTCGATCTATTTGGGAGTCCCACTGTGCTTTTCAGAATGCACATCGCATCCATGACGTTTTTACAACACTGACAGCAGAGTTGCAGAGGAGTTCTTAATAGCTTCTCTGATTGGGAGTTCCGAATGGTGGTATAGGAGGATGAAAGAATTCTACCAAGATACTAACTGTTGAGTGTTTTCAGAAGAGATGATTATGGGCCATCGCCCCGACAATCAGAACCAAACAATATAATACGAGCCTGCAATTCATGCTGCAGTGAGGAACCATAGTAGAACTGTGTGAACAAGGTGCAGTTTCCTAAAGCAATGATTCAATATGGATTGAAATGTTTGACATATGATTTCATACAAAGCTGTCGGTCGAACTATCGTGTACTGCACGCACTTTGTCTTCGTGAGGAAGAGAAACAAACTACAGTAAGCAAGGTGGAAAATTTCCTCACCGATCATCTAAGCTTGAGAAACAAAAACCCAAAATACAAGGATCGATTCACTGGGTTCGCGAGTAACTGTTCTGGTCCAGTCAATTCTAGCTCACAGCAGATCTATGCAAGAATAGGAACTGCTTTTTGCATAAATCAATAGAAACTCTTTAACTTACAAGCTTTCTAAGGACTGCTTCTGCACGCTGCTCAAACTTTGGTAGGGCCCATTCATGCTGAACAATGTCGAGCCCATCTTTCTCGGCGCCCAAATTCTGTCAAGGATGGACATAGGCAGATTAGAGATAACCCAGCTAGAAGTTTCTTTGAGAATAATTAACAAACTGGATTCAGATATCTCAAACTAAAAACAAGGCTAATATGAAGTATAGGGTCTAAAAGAACAGAATTGAGAATCTCTTATCTATAAACGACAGTAGTGCTAACCAAGGGGTTAAGTTAGCAGATGAAACATCCAACGGTAGGCCAATGTTTACCAACTTGGACAAACAAAAAGGACATGACTCCAGTGATGGACATGTGTGTCTTTTGTACTTGGTCATCAGTTTTCTGCACCACTGACTTGGATCACTTTTGGTAGGCCAATGTTTACCAAGTTGTTTCAGCTATTTATAAGCATGTTTTCAAGTCTAATCTAGGGCACATTGATATCAATGATTCAATGTGGGGATCTCTAGTAAACAAAGGATGGAGCACTTGCAGGTGAACCATCTGGCACCCATTCAAGAAGACAGGTAGGGAGCTGTAAATGCATGCACTGGAATGCAGATTTTTCAGCATCTGAAAAGAGTTGATAAGACTGCCATGGATGGTCCAACTGAATGAAGTACAGAAACATATGCTATTGGTTTAAAGAAATTGTGACCATGTAAGGCTTCAGACCTTGAACTTCTTAATGAAGGCCAATATGACATGTTACAGCAGCTATTTATTGTCAGACCAAAAAACAACACTGGAAAGCATAACTATAATCACTAGCTAAGGAGTAAGCAGCTTGAGAGCAAAGTCAGTCAAGAATCTTCTAACACAACCAGCAAAATGAAGTCACAGGATAAAATATAAAAAGGAATTCTTCCTCGGGTAGGTCACAATCCGTCATCCATTACTGCAATTAGTACTCCACGGAGAGCTTACCTAAAGTACGATTATCATAAGCTCGATTACCAGGAACTAACGTAGGCATGTACAAATAATAGTCCACACAATCTAAGAGGATCACCAGTCAACAATGCATGTAATACTAATGAGTTAAGCTTATTAGAAGTCAGTTTGGTTATGTTATCTCTTATCACACTTCATCGAGCACTAGATAATGAGCGTGAACTAATTTCTAAATGTCGATTCTTCCAAACAAGTTGCACATTAGACTATCTTGTAGTCTCTCTGATTGAGTGATTTCTTTCATTCCATACATACTTTTCTGAGAGATTGAGTACACAGCCAGTATTCAATCAACATAATCCCAAGGCTTCATGAAGCCTTAACAAGTGAAAATCCAGAACATATTGGTGATAGTGCTTATTATAATCTTAGAACAGAATCTTTCCAAAAATAGAATGCTCCTGGGAAAAGCAAGTTCAGTTCATACCTTTGTTGGATCAAAGCCAAACCCACTCATTTGCATCATGCGCTGAGCATCATCAGTGGCTGCATTAGGACCACAATTTGTCAGGAAATAACAGTAAAATGACTCAAAAGCTATGAACAGCCAGTAATTGTAACATCTGGAGTCTAAACAAAATACCACTAACCATTATCTTCTCCAAGGATAAGACTGAATAAGCCCCTCAACCCAAATAAATTAAGAAAATACCTGGACAAAAGAATATAGAGAGACATGGTTAACTAAGTGACTATAAAAACATTTAGAGAGCGAAGTATATCTTTCGGGCTTCATGCAAGTAGGTAATTACCATGATCGGCTACTGACATAGCTAACATCAACAGTGCTCAAGTCGATCCCATTTTGAAGCATTGATCTGAACCTCTGAGTCAGTGGGAAGGGTATCTTGGCTGGGAGGAACAGAAAATAAAACAATCAAGTACAACATATCATACGGCGTAACATGTTAGATAATATAAATAATAAAAGCAGAGACATCTAACAGAGAGAAAGTTAACAGGAAACGAACCTGCAACAAATCCAGAGAAGAAAAAGTTGACCCAGGCGAAAGTAAGAGTCTGACAAGTAGCAGCAGCAGGATAACAGAGTCAATGACTTTTATTATCTGAAAAAACCCATCAGAGAAAACTAAGATTCTTTCTCAAGAAAGATGAGAGTACCTGGGGTATAATCATAGACAGATTCTTCTTCATCATATCCATGGCCATGTTAGGATCAGAGAACATTTGCGCTTGTGGGTTTTGAGCCTGCCCTTTAGGAACATGCAGCAGTCCGTTCTCCTGCCAGCCCCCAAAAGAAAAGAACTTTCAATACTTACCGTCATACATGTTCAATGTCAGACTCCAGAAAGACAAAAACTTTCTTACTTACTGCCACAAAAATCCAATACTCTTATGATAACATGCATATACACTCTACAGATTCTTAACTTCAGAACACAAATTTACTCTAAAGGAAACTCATTCTACTCTCTCACCATAAGAAGGAATATGCAAATCTGCATTTCGTACTTCAAAAAGCAGCAACAAGCACCAAGCTTGCTGTTACATTGCAGCAACTTTCCCAACCCAATAATCCAGATTGCATATTCAAATTCACTCAATTGATTCCTTCACTACAACCTAACATGAAGAACTGAACAAGAAGCCCCAAGCAGCTCCAATGTTTGGGGTTAGGCTGAAGACAAACCTCATTACTGAAATAAGCTCGCCGAGCGCGAAACGACTTGGGAGGAATGAAATTTGCCGCCGCCCTCAAGTTCCGAGCCCTAACGATCACCTGCCTGCAATTACCACAACCCGGCATCAAGAAGTCAAATTTATGCCAAACCCTGTTGCCATAATCGCACACTAGAGGAACCAGAGATTAGGGCAGACTTGCCCTTCTTTGACGATCTTGCCGTCGGGGACCTGAGTGGAACGCATGAGCTTAGAGACGAAGTAGCGGAGCACGCCGATGAGAACCATGACGATGGAGAGCGGGATCAGAACCCAATCTCTGATCGCCGTGTCCAGTACCAGATCCTCCGCCATTGCTAAAACTACTCCCCTTTCGCTAATCCCGGTGAACGAACTACCAACTAAACCAGCCCTGACTTCCCTTTCCCCTCTCAAATCTCTCTTCCTACGGCGTCAATGGAAGTCTCTGAATCCGGCGATGATGGAAGGAGAGAGAGATGGAGAGGAGATTTCGAATGGAAAGGGGATTGGGTTTTTGGGTTCGCAGCTGCTTCTACTTCGACTTGGGTCTCTCTGTTCTTGTCGCGGTCGCGCTATGATTTTCTGGCCGTTCCGCGAAAAAGAGTGACGTGACGTCAGCTACTGATACGCACCGTTTTCACGCATCCAATATTCCAATTCCAATGGAGATTAATTATTTTGCACCGCGATCGGACAATTACTTCAAATGGTTTCTCAACTTTGAGTAAATACAATATATTAGCCACAACTATTATGAAGCGGGAAATTATAGCCACAACTACGAAAATTCAAATTATTAGCCATAACTATTGTTGCTGGTCAAGATATGGCTGATTGTCTGTTACTGTTATTGAATTTTTAACGGAGAAGGCCACGTCATCGGCCACGACAGCAGTCATATCGAACTGCTTTTAATTTATAACTTCGAAATATAAAAGTTTAGTTAGTATTACTATCGGAATTGTTAACAGATAGTTAACGTTTGGCTAATAATTTGAATTTTCATAGTTGTGGCTATAATTCCCCGTTTCATAATAGTTGTGGCTAATATATTGTATTTACCCTTACTTATAATTAGTCACGAAACTTTATTCTCGAACAGATGCGACATTAAAGTTTGATATAATTAACATCATAGTTATTTCGATAAATTTTTTCTTCCATCTAATGATCTAGAACAACATGTTTCTATTTACTCAAATTAAAAGAATATATAACTACATATTAACTCTAACTAGTAGAATATACGTTTTCTTATAATTGATCCCAATTGAACTAATTTCTTGAACCAATGCCACTTTTCCTCCTCCATCCATCACTTTCTTATTCATTTTTGCTCTCATACTCCCTACATAAAATTTTCACTGTCTACTCGACTTACTAGAATTACTTACCGATATCCAAAAATCAACGAAGCACAAAGACTTGTTTGTTAGCTAAATTTACTAGGTTCTCATTACTTCATTCCCAATTCGATATTTGCAGGGATTTGTGGCATTCATTGTTGGGATACTCCACATGATGAATGGTTTAAACCTTTTTCGAGACAACGTGAAACGAGCCATGGTTGCTTTGCTCTCGATGGTCATTGTGTTGTTGTTTTAAAGTCTAGAGATTTACTAGTTGCATACCAACTAGAATATATGATTGATACATAAGCAATTTAGTTTGGTAGTATGTACTCCAATGCATAATGAAAAGAGGGGGCAAGTTAGCTTGTATATACTGCTTTAATGTAACACAATTTCAGAGCATCCATACGAGTAGATAATAGTGTTATTCTTTTGCATCTTTTTATCATGGATAGACATGACCAATACATTTTTGTTCTTCTGGTGAAAACGTAATATGAGGAGTCAAAACTCGATGTACTACCTAAGATAGATGGTCTAATTTAACTCATAAAACTTCGGATGACCACAAGACTATTTCCTCTATGTATCTTCCATGTTTGCACTTTCCACATCTAACCCTTTGTCATTCTCTCTCTTAATCCTTTGCACTTAACTCCATTACCAAATCATGATCACTCTTGTTTGATTAGAGGTTAATTCTTTTTTCCTAGTGGGCTTCCTTCGTTTTATACCTTCAATTCATCCCCTCCAACTTTTTTTCACAATTGTATCAACACTTCCTGATCCCTTTCCCCAAGAAAAGCACTTCTTAATTCTTTTTTTACAAGAATTAGCTATTATACCATTGTTACAATCCTATTAATCCATTATTGAATTAGGGAAGGCATATTAGATTGCTTTTCTTTTGAGTTTTCCTTTTTCTCAATCCTTTTTAAGTTTGTTTTCTTTCTCTAGTGTCTTTTATATGATCTTTCGAGGCTAATCGGGTTGATGTGCTTGAGTGAAAAACAAAAAAAACTAGTCGATTAAAAGGAGGAAAGAGGACAAACAAAATGGACAAAAATGAGGAAGCCTCGGGAGAGAAATCACCCGAGAAAAAGGAGGAGAAGGAGACTAAAGGTAAGGATCATGAGGACGACGACGATGATGATCATGAAGATGACAGAACAATTGAAGTGGGTCCTCAATACTCGCTCAAAGAACAACTTGAGAAGGATAAGGTATGATAATTCTCTAGTCATGGAGAGATATTAGGTCTTTAATTAGACAATTGTTACTATTTTCATTGAGTTTATTTGGCGTAATTAGATATTAGATATCAATTTAGACAATTGTGCTAATTTTGATGTTAAATATTGGTGTTTGTATGACTTTATTGACAACGTTTTGCCACATGTCGTTAATGGTTAAGAGGTTGAAGTGAACTTCAAAAAATAAACAATTCCCATGGAGATTATTCATGTTCTTATATAACAAATCAGGGTTATGGACCCAAATTTGTTGCTAGAAGTAGTTGGGATATTGTAGGAGATTGGAAACCTGGAAAAAAACATATATTAATTATAATTGTTGTATTTATGGTGCTTGAGAGAATTATAGGATGACGAAAGTTTGAGGAGATGGAAAGAGCAACTTCTCGGCGCTGTGGATATTGAGGCTGTTGGAGGTGTGTCATTTAAACATGGTCTTTTAATTAATTTATTGTCTAATGATTATGACGCTGAGAGTTGAGGGTTTGTCCTTAATTTTCTTTTTATGTTAGCTTTCTAAAGTCGCATCTTTCTTCCTGAAGCTGTTCATTATATTTTACAGAAACTTTGGATCCCGAAGTGAAAATTTTAAGTCTAGCTATCAAATCTCCTGATAGGGAGGACATTGTGCTTTCGATCCCAGAAGATGGAGATCCCAAAGGTTGTTGGTTCACCTTAAAAGAAGGTTGCCGATACAGTTTACTCTTCACCTTTGAAGTCAAGAATAACATAGTGTGTGGCCTACGATATACCAACACAGTTTGGAAAACTGGAGTCAAAGGTTACTTCCTCTCTTCCTCTTTCTCTTGCATATTTAATTTTTCTTCTTTTTTTATATGATTGTTGACTCCAAATAATTCACATAGATTTTCAATAGACATTTCACTGTTAATCGGTCCAAGATTTTTTGTTATCTTTGTTCTTCACAGTTGATAGTACAAAAGAGATGCTTGGAACTTTTAGTCCACAAGCAGAGACTTACACACATGAGATGCCCGAGGAGACAACCCCTTCTGGCATGTTTGCTAGGGGATCATACTCAGCTAGAAGTAAGGTGAGTGAATTTTCAATCCAATACCTTCAAAGTGTCTCGCGAGTATCCTCATGAAATGCAAGAATTAGTGTTTTGTCTTAAAGAATAGATGAATCAGACTCGATCTGGTTAATGGTATTGAGATAACACAAAAATTCTTAGACTATAAAGTATTTTTCACTCATACTACTAACTAGTAATTACCTTTTCTTCATGTTTGTTATTTGCTACTTATTTCTTGTCAATAATTTACATCCAATTATTTATTTAATTGTTGTGTAATTTGTTCTCAGTTTGTGGATGATGATAACAAATGTTACTTGGAGATCAATTACACCTTTGATATTCGTAAAGAATGGCTGCCAACCTAAGCCCAACAGAGAGACCGTTCTAATGACATACATCAATGTCATGACAATTTTTGAGGCTTCAAAGCTTATATTTTTGTCTGTGTTCTGTTTATGTTATATTTACAGTTAGAATTGTACGAGAGTTTTCTTTGTTTTTTTTTCTTTCCGATCGGAATTATATGAGTACTTTTATTATTTTTCGGTGAAAAGGTTGTACGAGATTATTTACTAAAACAATGGACAAGAGAATGTAACTAATAAATTCAATCCGACAACTTATCATACGCGTACTTACAACGAAATAAAGTAATTGTATTTCGAATATACTCATATCTAACCAACAGTTTTAAGAACATTCATTGGACCGATCGATATGTCATATGACTGGGTTGATTATCGGAAATGGGTCGTATTCAGTATTCATTGGCCGCCCCCGAATTCGAGTCGGCCAGAAAGGAATCACCGGCTGGAACACAGCCCACCCGAAAAGATAACCCACTCCGTGTGTGGCCCAATACTTGTACTTGGGCTACGCCCAAAGGACCTACGGCCCATGACTAGGACGGCGCCGTATTCTTCTCTCTTTTTCCCTGTCTTTTCTCCGATGCGCAACGAAAACCCGCCCGATTCTGGTTCTTCTTCTTCTTCCTCCATCCAGAAGCCTCTCTCGACTCTACTCCATTTTAGTTTCCTGGTTTGTAGCTCTCATTTTCAGCTTCATTCTTTGTCGCCAAACCTTTGCGTATCGGTTTCAAAGCGGATAGATTCTCCGCCGTACCCTTGGTTGTAAACTCGGTCGGCGAAGCACGAGAAGAATAAGAAGAAGAACAACGAAGGAGTCGAGCGGCATCACTCAACCCTAGAGGTACAGTTTCTAATCACACTGTCTCTGTATTTGCTTTGTCGAGAACCTGGGCAAGTAGAGTTCTGTTGTGTGGTTTAGGAGTTTCGATTTCGAGAAGAAGCTGAGCTTGAGCTTGGACGAATGAATTGGAAATTGAGAGATTTGCCCTTGTGTGTTGCAGAGGATTGAATTTGGGGAAGAGTGAGTTTGGGGAGAGGATGGCGAGGGAGAGAGATCATGGAGTGGGAGAAGGTTCCGTTAAGAGGCATAGAGTGGAAGAAGGTTCGTCTTCTGCTGGAGATATTGATAACCCTCTAGTCCCGTACAATGATGTGGACGAGGAGGAGGACAATGAGACGAGGGAGCAGAACAATGGCGGTATGGATGGAGACGAGGGGGGAGTTGTTGTTGATGATGACGGTGATGATGATGATGAATATAATGAACAAGAGGCGAGCATTCAGAGGCGGAGGAAGCTACTGGAGCCTCGTGAGGACTGCCCTTATCTTGACACAGTTAATCGACAGGTAGAGGGATCTCTGATGTTTTTGTGGCGCTGTAAAATGTGCTCTTTGGTTTTTCGGTCTTGTATGTTAAAGAAGTTTTAATGGTAGGTGTCATTCTACCTATGTTTTGCAGGTGCTGGATTTCGATTTTGAGAAGTTTTGTTCTGTCTCTTTATCGAATCTGAATGTTTATGCGTGCTTGGTGTGTGGGAAGTATTACCAAGGCAGAGGGAAGAAATCCCATGCTTATACTCATAGCCTTGAAGCAGGGCACCATGTGTATATCAATCTACAGACTGAGAAAGTGTACTGTCTTCCTGACGGATACGAAATCATTGACCCGTCTTTAGATGACATACGGCATGTCCTGAACCCGAGGTTTGTCTCTTTTACTTTAACTCTTTACTCTATCCTTGCGAAGGCTCTAATGCTTTGCATGAAGTCTTTTTCTGAAATTTATGCAATAATAGGTGGGCGGGGGGTGATACACATAGCTTCATGTTTCAGATTGCGATGCATGTAGGTTTACCAGGGAACAAGTTGCACAGTTGGACAAAAACAGAATGTGGTCTAGGGCTCTTGATGGGTCTGATTACCTTCCTGGAATGGTGTGCATTTCCTTCTCTATTCTTGCTCCATTTCCTGAATGTTCATGTGGGTATTTTGACTATTTTCCTTACGAAATGATGTATTTATCCGTTTGGTTTAAGCTGTGTTTAACTGTGGCCTTGATCCTTGCATTACCAGGTGGGCCTCAATAACATACAGGGAACTGATTTCGTGAATGTTACGATCCAGTCTCTGATGAGGGTAACACCATTGAGAAATTTCTTTCTCATTCCTGAAAATTATCAGCACAATCGGTCCTCTCTTGTTCAGCGTTTTGGGGAGCTAACACGGAAGATATGGCATGCTAGAAACTTTAAGGGACAGGTACTGCATTAGTGATGATGATAAACTGATGGCGATCTTTATATTTCAGCTTCGTCATTCATATTTTTGAAATTCTGTGCAGGTGAGCCCTCATGAGTTCCTTCAAGCAGTTATGAAAGCTAGCAAGAAAAGGTTTCGCATAGGCCAACAGTCCGACCCTCTCGAGTTCATTTCATGGCTTCTCAATACACTTCATGCGGAACTTAAGACCTCCAAGAAGAATAATAGCATAATTTATGACTGCTTTCAGGTAAGTTTGCCATTATAATGCTATTTGGCTAACTGTCTTTTCCATGTTAGTACCGAATCTTATGTTTTAGCTGCTTTGCCTTGCAGGGAGAATTGGAGGTTATCAAAGAGATTCCTAAGAAAGCTATCACTGAAAAGAAAGAAAGTGGTGGTGGAATTACTGATGGCGAGACAGAACGTGGTGATGCTCTCACGGAAAAGTCCAGAATGCCATTTTTGATGCTCGGGCTGGATTTGCCACCACCTCCTTTGTTTAAGGATGTGATGGAGAAAAATATTATTCCACAGGTACATGACAATTCTCTATGTCCTAATTTTAGGTTTGTAATATCGTCTGATGGCTCTCTCTTTCTCTAAGATTTTCCTTACTAGTGCCTAATAGATCTCTAATATGTTACTATATATGTAAGGTCAGTTCTTTTGTTGCTTTAAGTGGTCTATGTTCACAATCTAAAGTTTAAATGTCATGTAAAATGTGTTGGTCTTTGTGGCTATCGTTTTACTTGGTAATTATTGAGGCATCTACTGACCTAGGTAATGTTGTTGGCAATAACTTGCTGGATGTTGGTTGTTGCTAATTTACTCCTCAATCTACTGTCACTAGAACAATAGGCGTTTTGCAGCTATGGTAGTTGTATGGTAGATTTATCACCTGAAGGCAGCATTCGTGAAATCCTTTTTGTTGGAGTTGGTAGTGGGATTGTGGTTTAAGTTACTTCATCTCATTTATCAAGAGAACGGCTGAACTCATATCACAAGTCATTGACATTGCATAGCTATTATCTGTGTACTGTTGGTTTCGGCCATATTTATGCCAATTTCACACATCATGCAAAGATTTTATAGTTCTTTCTATGCTTTATGGACTTGTTGAACCTTTCTATGAGCAATACTGCCTGCTAATGCAGATCCTAGGTTTCTTTGCTTTAGTTGTTCCTTCGTCATTTGTTTTGCTACACTCTTCTCACTACTGTTGTTTTAGGTTCCTTTGTTCAACATACTGAATAAATTCGATGGAGAAACTGTCACCGAAGTAGTCCGACCTCACATTGCCCGGATGAAATATCGAGTGACCAGATTGCCCCGATATATAATCCTCCACATGCAACGGTTTAAGAAGAACAACTTCTTCATTGAGAAGAACCCAACAATAGGTTAGTTTTCATCAGAAGACAGGAATTCGAGCATTTGAGTATCATCACCCCAAAGAGCTTCTGGTGCTTAAATTAAATATACACATATAAATTGGTGTTGCAGTCAATTTTCCTGTGAAGAACTTGGAACTGAAAGACTATATTCCTCTGCCAACTCCCAAGGAGAACGAGAAATTGCGGTCCAAGTACGACTTGATAGCCAACATTGTTCACGATGGCAAACCGAAAGAGGGTGTGTACAGAGTGTTTGTGCAACGGAAGTCCGAAGAGCTATGGTAAATCACTTAATCCTCGTCCCCTCTATTGATCTTTCAAAACTCTACTGCGGCTAACGAAGAAGTCTCTCGTACAGGTACGAGATGCAGGATCTGCACGTCTCAGAAACACTTCCTCAGATGGTTGCACTCTCCGAGGCATATCTCCAGATATACGAGCAGCATCAGTAGCAGGATCCACCACATTCAATGCAGTAGTAGCACTCACTACATCCCCTCTTTTAACTTTGGATATACGACGTGAAATCTGAACCCGAATCGGAGCAAAATCCAGCTAGATGGATGTTAAGAGGTTAATTGTTGTATTGATTGATGTGATGAGGGGTATTTCATAGTGATCAAAATTTTGAGGGTAGGGAAGTTCTTCCTCTGATGTATTAACTATCCAGGTTGGATGCTTGAAAATGAACAGAGAATTTGCATCGAGGCATTAGCCTTTGTCAAATACTTGATTGGGCTGGGCTCAATTGTACCCCGTTTACCCAATCCAATAAATTTGTCCAGGCCCATGAAATAAAAACTGATTGTTGATGCTAAAACGGAAAAGGAATTCTAAATAAAATAGGAAAAGGATTTCTAATCTTTAAAATATTTTAAAATCGGAAACTCCCGCGACAAATTCTTTTGCTTGCCGGACGGGAGAGGTGAAGAAGAACAAGAACGGCGCACTCGAGAGCGGTATCACCCAACCCAAGGTATCGTTTCTAATCTCTCTCTCTCTCTCTTTACTTGCTTCTCGAGAATCATAGTAGGGAAAACCTGAGGTTAGGGCAGCCGATTGAAAATTGGATGGGTGTTGCGAAGTCGTATCGATTGAGGGGGAACAATCTTTCTTATGTATTCCCTGCTGGTTATGCAGGGATTGGTTTTCGGGAAGAGAAGTGTTCGGAGAGACGATGGTGACGAAGAGAGAAGAGATTGATAGGAGGGTGGTGGATGGAGAAAGTTCCATTAAGAGGCAGAAACTGGAGGGAGCTGTTCTTGTTGTTGATGACGATCAACAAGGGTCTAGTTTTCAAAGGCGGCGGAGGGGGCAACTGGAGCCTCGTGGAGACTGCCCTTATCTTGATACCGTGAATCGCCAGGTAAAATTAGCTCCGTTGTTTGTGGTAGAAGTTACGGGAATTGGCTCCATAACGAACCCAAGTGGAACTTTTGTTTCCTGCAGGTGCTGGATTTCGACTTTGAGAAGAAATGCTCGGTCTCTTTGGAAAAATTGGATGTTTATGCATGTCTGGTGTGTGGGAAGTATTACCAAGGAAGAAGGAAGAATACCCATGCTTATACACATAGTCTCGAAGAAGATCACCATGTCTATATCAATCTAAAGACTGAGAAAGTGTACTGTCTTCCTGATGGATATGAAATTGATGATCCGTCTTTGGATGACATACGGCATGTTCTGAACCCAAGGTTTGTTTCTGTTCTCCTTACTGCCTATATTCGGTCGTTCCTGTATAGATTGATGGTGGGGAGACACTCAGCTTCATGTTTGGACTCAATCCAGGTTTACCAGGGAACAAGTTGCACAGCTGGACTTAAACAGTCGATGGTCAAGGGCGCTGGACGGATCTGATTACCTTCCAGGAATGGTTTGCTTATATTGTTTCAATAATGTTAATGTGGTTTTCTTTACAAGCTAGTAATTTTATCTACAGGCTAGGAATGGTAACATGAAATGAGATGTTTCTATCCTTTAGATTTAAGCTGTGATTTAACTGTGGCCTTGGTTCTTATGCTATCAGGTTGGCCTCAATAAGCTTCAGGGAACTGATTTCGTGAATGTTACAATTCAGTCTCTAATGACGGTAACACCCTTCAGGAATTTTTTCCTCATTCCTGAAAATTATAAGCACTGTCAGTCCTCTCTTGTTCACCGCTTTGGAGAGTTAACAAGGAGGATGTGGCACGCTCGAAACTTTAAGGGACAGGTACAGACAGCCTTAGTGATAACGTTACTTAGGGGCATTGTTGGTCTTTGAATGTCAGCTTCCATCATTCATGTTCTGAAATTCTGTGCAGGTGAGCCCTCATGAGTTTCTTCAAGCAGTTATGGAAGTCAGCGAGAAAAGGTTTTGCATAGGCCAACAGTCTGACCCTCTGGAGTTCATGGAATGGCTTCTCAAAACACTTCATGCTGCAATTAGAACTTCAAAGAAGAATAGTAGCATAATATATGACTGCTTTCAGGTGAGAAGCTGTGGTCGTGCTCTAATAACTCACTTTTCCCCCTGTTTGGCTGCTGTTACTTGTGAGGTTAATCTGATTTCATTGCTGCTTCCGCTTGGCAGGGAGAATTGGAGGTTATCAAAGTGATAGATAGTGAGACAGGAGGAGATGATGTTCTAATGGAAAAATCCAGAATGCCATTCATGGTGCTGGGTCTGGATTTGCCACCACCTCCTCTGTTTAAGGATGCGATGGACAAAAGTATTATTCCCCAGGTATGTGCTTTATTCTTTATGCCCTAAACTTTAGGTCTCTCTCTCTCTAGGATGCCACCCGTCTAGTGCTCATAGTTATTGCTCGAATAGTTTCCCTTACTTGAGATAGCTTCTTGGCTTAGGTTCCTTTGTTCAACATACTGAAGAAATTGGACGGGAAGACTGCCACTGAAGTAGTCAGGCCTCACATTGCCCAGATGAAATATCGGGTAACCAAGTTGCCAAAGTATCTAATCCTTCACATGCAGCGGTTTAAGGAGAACAACTTCTTCATTGAGAAGAATCCTACTATAGGTTGGTTTCATGTATTCAATTCAATTATGAATCATGGTTTATCTTAAGCTCTGAAAGAGACCTCCTTGTGCTTATATGTCTAATGAACTGGTGTTGCAGTCAACTTTCCTGTGAAGAACTTGGAGCTGAAGGACTATATTCCTCTGCCGACACCTGGGGAGAACAAGAAATCGCGCTCAAAGTACGATTTGATAGCTAATATAGTCCATGATGGCAAACCAAAAGATGGTTCCTACAGAGTCTTTGTCCACAGGAAGTCCGATGAGCTATGGTAATAACATTATCCTGATCCTACAGAGTCTCCTTTCACTACTATGCTACTAAGTACTAAGCTAACGTCTAAGTCTCTGACATGGAATTTCTTTCTTTCCAGGTACGAGATGCAGGATCTGCACATCTCCGAGACGCTCCCTCAGATGGTCGCACTCTCTGAGGCATATCTGCAGATATACGAGCAGCATCAGTAGCAGGCTAGCAGCTTCCTCCTTCACCAGTGGCCATCATTCTCATTACTTCGATAGATAATTGAATCAAGAGCTTGCTTTGCTATCTGAATTAGCTATTATCGCATTTAGGATTTTGGCCTGTTAATTAGCATCAGGATAAATAAGACTCAAAAGTTTTCTCACTATTGTTCAACAATCTATGATTTGAGTTGCGATGACAAATTCTCAATCTTGTGAAACTGCACAATTCACTTGCTCCAAATTGCCATATGTAGTAGTGTACTCACAATCTATCCACTACCCTTTAGAGTCTCCAAACATGAGATCGTTTATTTTGTAGATCGGAATATCGGAAATCGGCTTGATTGCCTCCTGCTGCTGCTGATCCCCTGGTGCCAAATTGACATCATCGGCAGCTTCCCGGGTGAAATCATCAAACACCATGGACATCGAAGTTGTGGAAGGCGTCGAGATGAAGTTGAGACCTATGTAAAAAGTCAATCCCAACACAATTGCCACCATACAGTAAGTTGGCACAGCTAGAGCCCAGTACCTGAACCATATTACCACAGAATCTCAATAACCCTCCAACAACAACCCTGTTCAGTTTATCAGCTAAAATTTGAACGCCATAGTTCACCTGTTGGGGTAGTAAGAGATCCCAATGGAGTGCAGCCAGGGTTCAGGGACATAAGCCCACGCCAGGAAGATGACTGCATCATCACAATGATGGCCATGGATGAATATGATCAGCTCAAACCGAAAACGGCGGAAACAGAGTGAGGGAGAGATGGAAACCTGTAGCAACAATGGTGGTGATGGAGCCTACAAAGCCGTAAACTTCTGAAGGTTTTGGACCGGAGACTGATGAAGTGTGGCGGCTGCTTCTCGTGGAAGTGTGGTGATGGAGGAAATCAGACGATCCTCCCCTTGTTGTTGTCCTCTTCCGGTTCTTCGTCTTTGAGAAGCTCAGGACTCTCCTTGGACTGTTCACTGAGTAGCCATCGTCTAATTCCTCCATGACTCGGGAATCGAATTTGCAGAATAAGAAACCCAAACCTTCAAACGCAAGCTGCAGTGAATTCTTTCTCTACGGCGGAATTGGATTGAGCTAGTGATTACTTTAGGAATCTAGAAATGGAAAGAGATGCTCTGTTTTTTATGCTCACTGTGAACTCCACCCATAAACAACAAGAAATCACCCATTACCGCTTAACGACCATAAAGATGCAAGCTTTCCCGGATGGCAATGCTAGTTCTGAGAATCATCGAAATCAAAACGGAAAACCCAAAATCAAGAGATGGTTCAAAGATTTTTCAATTCGTATCGGAGGTTAAGAAAGAAGTGGGGAAACTTACCGTCGGCAGGCTGTGAGAGGATTCGGGCGTCGGACGATACGGCTGGAAGAACGGGTGAAGCTGGCGGTTAGGGATCGAAGATTGCTTGCAAATGCAATCACTGGCGGATCGGAAAAATGGTAAAGTTCCAAATTTTGGAGAAGAAATCTCGTTGTCGTTCTCGAGCTAGAGCTGTGAACGCTGTTGGAAATGGGATATTACATGATTGACCTCTAAACTTTCTTGTGGCTAACAATTTAGTCATTAAATTCTTATTTTTAATATACTTATCACCGGGATTTTTAATAACTTACATAAGACTTAAGAGTCACGCCATCTTTCTTTGTCCGAGTAGAAAACCGATTGTAGACATGGAGGCCATGTTTTGTGGCTGAAGCAAGCGAGTACTCTTCTCCATTCTAATGAGAATTGTCAGATTACAATACTTTGAGCTTTCATGGGCATGTGCACGACCCAAATTACCGTAGCGAAATCTAGACTATGCTACTATAATTCAAATAGAACGTAGAGTTCGTGTTTAGTTTTCAGTCGAGAAAACTCTAACCCATCAACCACAAATATGTCTCCGTGCTTATCAGCTGTAGCGGTAGATTGATCCAATGTGATTCGTAACAAACTATATATCGAATACGTAATTAATTTGGTAGTAATACAAACTTAATGATCACATGGGTTCCGATCACATGCTTAACTGATTCATAAACTGTGGAATTGATATTATGTAGTAGGGAGAGATGAGAAAAGAATGGAAAAGAATTTGGCATTATGTTGAACAGAATTGATTGTGCGTTAGCGTGTAAGAGTGTAAGGCCAGTGGTGGCTTCAGCTGGGAATGCAGGTGTACTTACATTGGTATCCATGGCAGAGTTGTCCATTGGTTCTACTTTGTTTTCAGCTGCGTGTGCCTTGTTGAAGTATCTTGCTCCGATCAACAAGGCACACGCCTGTATCGCTGTTGGCGATGATCAGACCTTCACCAAATCTAGCTGCATTCCAGAAGGAGTCTCGTGGCACTCGTCCATGGCTATCTTCAAGTCCCATGAACTGCCAGCTCTTTGTGGTATGCAGCTGATGATTCTTTCTATTTGGTAACACCGATGCCACTCCAGACTGGTGGGCTTATGCCTTTTTGGCAGCTGATGCAGTAGAAATATGAAGATGATCAGAGGCCCACAAGATCTCCGAAACCAGTAGCAGCAGCAGGTGAAATGAAAGAGTACTGGTGGAAGTAGTCCTCATCTCGTCAGTCGATCTATCAGTTGTAGCGGTAGATTCGTCAAATGTGACTTGTAACAAACTATGTATTGAATACATAATTTGCTAGTGACTATGAACTAATGTTGTTTTGGTTTTGATCATGTTTGTCAAATCTCAAATGATAAGTAATCAGCAACCAATGAGAACTGCATGATCAGCTTTTTTTTCCCCTCTCCTAAACATTCATCAAAGAAGCTACAAAATGTGCCACTAACTAATCTCACTGTTCAAGGAAATCACTGGAGCAGGCAGTGTCAGCAGCTACCTGCATTTGCTTTTGTTAAGGGAACATTAGGACCTAACAGTTCCTTCACTGCATCTCTCATTGTGGGTCTCTTGTTGGGCTCTTTCTCTGTACATCTCAGAGCAACCATCACCATTCTCGCTACATGTTCCGTCACACTTGAATCGAGGAACAGTTCTTGATCTGCATCAGCAAGCCTGGGATCAGCTATGGTCTTCACGTCATGGTCGGCATCCCAAGTGGATCGAACCCATGTCACGATGTCGATTCCTTCTGAAAAAGATGGATCCACGGCCTCCTTCCCTGTGATCAGTTCGAGCAGCACGACCCCGTAGCTGTAAACATCTGATGCCTTGTTCTTGCTCGTTGCAAATGCCATTTCTGTACAGGGATAATAGGACACAGATAAAGTAAGAGGTGCCAGATGGACATGTTGATTCTGGTTAGAGCTAGGGTGCTTTGATGTGGGTTGGAAGGATTGCTGAGTCGTTGATCAATATGTGCATGGCGTGGTATATAGCAAGAGTGAAAAGTTTATTACCTGGAGCCATGTATCCTATGGTTCCATCAACCATCATCGACTGTGTCGAGACCCCAGATGAGTGATCGAGGAGCTTTGCTATGCCGAAATCAGAAATGTGAGGCTCCATGTCGGAATCCAGAAGAATATTCTGTGGCTTGATATCACAATGTACTATTGGAGGGTTGCAGTCATTATGCAGGTACTCCAAAGCATGAGCAGTTCCAAGGGCTATCCTAAACCTCACAGCCCATTCTATAGTTTCATCGAAGTTGCCATGAAGAACATCATGAAGGCTCCCATTCTCCATGTAATTGTAAAGAAGCAGCCCATAGTCCTTCCTTAACCAGAAATCTTCCAGCTTGATGAGATTCCTATGCCGAATGTTGCCAATTGTCTTGATCTCTCTCATCATGCTTCTGCTCTCGCCTCTATGGCCTGCAAAGTTGACTTTCTTCACGGCAAAGATCTCCCCATTGTCCATTGGAACTTTGTACACAGTTCCATGACCTCCCCTTCCTATAATATGCTTCTCATTCAGATCCTCAGTAGCTTCCATAACCTTTTTGAGAAGCAACGGTAGGCCCTCCAGCCCGGCAGCAGCCATCTCATGGTACCTCTTGGGTCTCCACGCGATGATCAAACAGAGCAGTCCAAGAAGCAAAAGAACAATGACCGTAGTGGCAAGTGATATGGCTGCAACTTCCACTATGGTAAGCCCTCTCCTCTTGCTTTGACATGGCTTGAAACCAGTGTTCGAAGTGCAAACCTCGTCGGTCTGGTTCCCACGACAATCGATGCATAGACTCGGGTTGCCCAAGAATGCAGATGGAGATGAGATGAGGAAACGAGATAAAGTCTCAGGTATTGGACCTGACAGTAGGTTGTATGAGACATTGATGAGGAGGAGCGTTTGGATGTTTTCCAAAGGCTCTAAAGAACCTGTTAGCTTGTTGTTTGCTATGTCCAGCTGTTCCAGCATGCTCAGCTTTCCTAGTGATGATGGAATCAAACCGGTTAACCCATTGCTGCTGAGATTCAGTCCATACCGAAGATTCTGCAGAGATCCAAGTGAGGAAGGAATCTCTCCTCCTAAAGAATTTCCACCAAGGTCCAACTCTGAGAGCTCCACAAGGCTTGATAAGAATGATGGAATCCCACCGGTGAACCGGTTCTCACTCAAGACCAATGTTGCCAGATTCGTCCAGTTTCTCAAAGCGGTTGGAATAGAACCGGCTAGGGAGTTGAATCCCACATAAAATTTCTCCAACTGGTAACAATTTGAAAGCTCAGATGGTAATGAACCTTCCAACTGGTTGTGTGAAAGATCCAGAGTGTTAAGCTTAACAAGATCTCCAATCTCACTGGGGATAGACCCTGTTAGCTTGTTCATGGAAAGATCGAGAAATGTTAGGTCACCACAGTGCCTTAGGCTCCAAGGAAGAGACCCATTGATGTCATTTCCACTGATGTCCACACGTGAAAGGCTCGAGTTTTCTGCAAAGTCCGGAAGAGGACCCGAGAGGTGGTTCTGACTAAGGATCATTCTCCGTAAAGTTGAGCACTGGCCAACATCTGAAGGGACACTGCCCTTAAGCTGATTCTTACCCATGTTGAGAACTCTGAGCTGCTTCCCAAAGCAAAGATTTGGCGGAATATCACCGGTGAACTGATTACTTGTGAAGTCCAACTGCAACAAGCTACTGTTGATCCCCAAACTCTGTGGTATCACACCAGAGAACTGATTCTCATACAAAGACAGGTTCTTCAGTTGCTTGAGCTCAGTCATCTCAACAGGTAGTTCACCAGAAAGACGGTTCTGATACACTAGAAGGAACTCGAGGCTCGGATTTTTCCAAATGGTGATGGGAATCTCGCCAGTCAGATTGTTGCTGAACAATTCAAGGTCAAGCAATTGAGGTAGCAACCCAATCTCGCCCGGTATCTCCCCCTCGAGCTGGTTCGAGTAAAGCATCAATCTTGTCAATGACTTGCAGTTCCCTAATTCAGAAGGAATCTTCCCAGACAACTGATTCTCGGAAAGATCAAGATGGGAGAGATTGACCAGAAGGCCCAATGATGAAGGAATGCTGCCTTTCAAATTACAATGGACAATGAACAGTGTATTTAAGTTACTGCAGTTTCCTAAATCCTCTGGAATCCCTCCACTAAACGTATTATAAGATAAGTCCAAACATCTCAGATTCTTCACATTTCCAAACCCTGAAGGAATTCTGCCCTCTAAACTATTATTAGCAGCAGAGAATTTGACAAGTCCTCTAAGATTAGCTAAGCTGCCAGGCAAGGAACCAATTAACTGGTTACATTGCAAGTAAAGAACCTGCAATTTGCTGCAATTCCCTATAGACTCAGGAATTGAACCAGAAAAAGCATTCCCATACAACCAAAGCTCAACAGTCTCATTCAACTTACCAACACTCTCCGGAATCGAACCATTGAACGCATTCTCATGCAGATATCCATATTGCAGCAGAGGCAAATTCTGAAACAATGACTCGGGAATTTCACCACTCAGTGAGTTGGAGAAGAAGCTCAACGATTTCATTCTTCTCAAGTTTCGGAAGCTTCCCGGGATTCTGCCAGTAAACCCATTGTTAGCCAAATTGAGATGCTCGAGGCCAGCACAGTTCCCCAGGAGCCAGGGGATTTCGCCGGAGAATTCGTTGGAGCTCAAATCCAGGGTGGCCAGCCGAGAAAGCCTTCCAATTTCAGGGCCCAATTCGCCGGATATCGAGTAGTTTGAGAGATTGAGGGAGATTACACGGCGAGTGAGGTTGTGGCATTCGACGCCGGCCCATGAACATGGAGTTCCGTCGGAAGCGTTCCATGTGGAGACAATGGGTTGAGGAAGGGACGAGCTCTCCCAGCGGTTTAACAGGGATAAAAGAGCCAACCCATCTTCGCTCAAACCGGAAACCAGATCTTCCGAGCAAACCCAGAAACAGAGCAACGCCAACAAGCAAGTAGAGGAGGGAAAATTCATCTCTGGCGCCTAAATTGGGGTGAAATTTTTGTGGGTTACTTCACTCACCCAGTTGGGATGGCCATGGAATGAAGAAGAAGAAGAAGAAGAAGAAGAAGAAGAAGAAGAGTGAGAGTGCCAGGCGAAGAGAGAGAGGGAGATGGAAATGGGGAAGAAGACGAAGTGGTGGTTGTGAGAATGTGCGGAACGCATCAATGCATGGGGACGGAAAATCAGTACTGGGTAGCAAAGCAACTGAGTCCATTTCTTTTAGTTCGAATTGTGAAACGTTGAACAGCTCCTTTCAGCCCCCATTTTCGTTTCACATTCAAGCTTTCCAGAGCCAGCTTCCTACCGAACTGCCACGTTTCGCTCTCCTAATAATCCCCCTTTTCACAGAAAACTGAAGTTTACCGCGTAAAATAGGTCCGAAACCTTTATGGGCCGAATAATAAGCTCTCCTAATATAAATAGTTTATGGGCTAAGAATCTTTATGGGCCGAAAGGGCCTTGTTTGGATATAGAACCTTACAAATTTCGTGGAACTCTATGCAGCTGGATCGGAGACACAGCTCTTTTTTTAACAAAAGATAATTCCTAGTACACCATATTTTAATCCTAATGTAATGATCATGAAGCGGAGTCACCATTTCTTGCATAATTTAACTTCAATCGATCTACTACGTTTTCCCCTCTATGACGTGTATTTAGATAGATAACCGATTGGTTATCCCAAATTTGTACCCTCTAAATCAAAATATCGAATTTCTCATAGGTTGACATATGTATTATAATACCCCTATGGTTATGCACCATTCTCATTCCTAATTTGAGCATTATTCATTGAAGGCATTGATATGAAAAGAAATCAAACCTCATAAATAGAATTCCATAGGAATAGAACATCTCATTTCGCATGATACTAAAAGAGTACAATCCCAACAGAATCTCTTCCTTAAACAAGCATGAATCGAATGTTAATAGATAACTAATTGGTCGGATATATTAAGGAGCAAATTATAATTAAAATTCCTCAATTAGGAAAAGAACACATAAAATAGGCATTAGAGAGTTGAGAATACTTCAAACTTCTCTCAAATGAATATTATATTAATTTTGCGAATGATACAAGCACAACCAATAACGAACTGTAGTATCTAGGCAATTGTTTTATTCTTAGTCAATTTGACACCCACACGATGGGAAACAATACTCAATGAAGCCAACAATATTACCAAACCTTTGGAACGGTACGACATTCATATTCTACCTTCCTTAGAGTAGGCAACAAGACAAGCCAAAACCCGGTGACCGACACGAACCCAAGGGTCAACCAAGTGGCGACCGATGGTTCGACCGGTTCCCATCTCGTGGCCCAATAAGGCATTGCCGACCCACTCATAGCATACTCGATCGCCATGCAAACTTCTTGCAACACGAAAAACAAAGCCAAGTCCCAAGTGGGTCTCGCACCACAAGTGATGTAGTAGAACATGAGCTCGTGCATGAGCCCGGACACCATCAAGGTCGCAATCACTGCGACCACTCTGGCTGCTAGAGGAGAAACCCCAATCATGATCAGACCATTTCGAACGGGATCGTAGATGGCTTGTCTCAGTAAGTCCGAGGCCAGACGGTTCCACCTCCTCCCCCAGAACTTTTGTAGAGAGCTCGAATTTTCTGGGTGGTCCGACAACTGAACCATCTCGTAGCGAGCCAGCACAGCACGAGCCAAACGAGTGGCAGAACTACTTGTGGAGGATAAATATATCAATGCGAGAATTATTACTACGGGGACAAGAAATTGTAACCATATGGTGGTGCTAAGGGTGAATAGGCACCATAGTATTGAGAGTAACCAAACCCCAATTGTCACTAAACCATTTGAAGTGTGTACATGATCATCATGTTGTGTGGCTTCCCGGAGCTTGATTGGGAGGATGGCTATGAGGGTAAAGTCAAGAAAACTTGTGGTGGCATCAAATAGAGGGCCTTGGTCGAAGCAAAGGAGGATGAGCTTGAAAGAAGTGATCCATGTGACAAGAAAAGAAGAAAGTGATCTAAGAGCAATGGAAGAGAAGATCCATGGGAAGATGGAGAGGATGTAAAATACAGGAAGAAGGAATAGTAGTCTTGTGATGCCTTTGGGCAAAAGAGGCATCAAGAAGCAGCAATACCCAAATGAAGCTACTAAAAGAGACACCAAAATAAGACCATTATTATGAAACTCCATGGCTCTCTTATCTTCCTTGCTTTTATTATTTGGGTTTGGTCTAATTTGAAATGGGTTCCTTTTTTCTTATGTGCTTTGCAAATTGCCTTCAAATAGTCTCATATACATGGGAAAGTATTGGAGATGGCTAGAGAAAAGAGAAGTATAATGCAATGGACTTCCAAGTAGGGCATTGTTATCCCTCTCTCAATTCTCAATGCATTTGTGTGTTTCATTGGGACATTGGTTGCTAATTTTGAATATATTTTGTAGATTCTTTGACAATTTTTTTTGTATTACTCCTCTTTCGATGATGATAGACATCGTCATGTGGTTGTAACCTATAAATGAGATTATCGATCGATATGAAACCAAAATAGAACTTACAACTGATGTCCAATGCTAGTCATCCGATTTTGACAAAAAATCATGTGCATAACTCCCGTTTTGTCATGGACAGTATGATTTTTTTATCATAGTGAGAATCAAATCATTCGTAATGATTCATGAATGAGGTTAATTAAGCAAATTAGGATTATGCACCTAATTCGCTACCCAATTTACCTTATTGAAGTTACATGTAGTAGTATAGTTGTCAAACACAGATATGTTGGCCGATACAGCCCGGTTCAACCGGACAAAAACCAATTGAAAGCACAACCGATATGGAGTGATGTCAAATCCGCAACAATTCATTTGTTGTCAGTGGTTTCACACTTATTCCTATACCTTTGTCAAAACTGACATATAAAACTGATTGTAACCCGATCGAAGCATACCACTTGCTGAATTGGCGTAACGATGTAAACCGGTTTGACTATAAGCGATTTCGTGAAGATATCGAGATAAACATAAAAGCATTGAGCAACCCAAGGCATGCATGCACCGGCCGGCGAAGGAACCAAATTTAATGTCCTTCATTAACTCCCACCATAAAGACTCTCTATTTAAAAACCCCATCGAGGTGTTCTATTTCCCTCTTGTATTTTTCCAACCATGAACAGAACGGTGGCGCTGCGGCGGCGGATGATGGAGGCTGCGGCGGTGCTGGTCATCATGATGCTGCTGGTGACTCCCACATCTCCGACGTGCCACCCCTCGCCGCCGTCTCACCGGCCGAGCCCCAGTCCCCATCGCGGCGGCAGCGGGTGTAAGCAGTGCGTAGTGGAGCAGCTTCAGTACGGGTGCCCGAAATGCACTCCGATCCTCCGCTGCATGGCGCGGTGCTTGTGGGGCGGCGCCGCCAAGTCAAGGTGCGTCGAGAAGTGCGACTGCGGCGGCGGGAAGCCAACCCTTGCGGATTGCAGAGGTTGCATGTCTAGGTGCAAATGCAGCTGTTTGTGATTTGTTGATCATCATTAATTAGCTAGCGTGTGGCTTGGTTTATGATTAGTGTTGTTGATTATCGTCACTAATTAGTAGATTAATGCGTTTTTATATGATAATGTTGGAGTATATGGGTAATGTTGGGTTTGAGTTTTGGCTACCTGTTTTATCGACTATTCTATTTCTTAAATTCGTAGCGAAGTTTAGATGTAATTTATGCTATAGTGTCGTAATAACGAGTCTGCATCTATGAGAATGGACGATTCAAGCTTACAATCATGTCAATCTCTACACATTGTTTGGTCAGAGATGCTCTATAAGGTAATGGCAATAGTTTACAGAACCCTCAAAAGGAGGGAAACAACGAAGATGTATTAAGTACAAATCCAGAGAGACCATCAGTTTTACTTGGGGAAAATTCAAAGTCAAACCTTCCATTCCCAACTAGCTAGTATTGACCAAAGCAAACATCTTTACGCTTCAGTGGCTTCTTTCTCTCTTCCATACCCTCAGCTGAAATGTTATGAAGCAGCCTACAAGACTGCTTCTTGATCAATTCCGAAGTGGAAGGGTAATGCCGCGCCACGAAGGAGAACCGGTCGCTGTACTGCTCGACTCCTTCCACCAGCAGCTGCCAAACCAATGCTCCACCGCCGGCTCCCTGCTTCTTGGCAGACTCGTAAATCTTGTTGTACACGATTTCGAGCAATACATCTCTAGCATTTCTAGCTCCTTCCTTGTCATGATCACTCACATTCCAAGCTGAGCCCACCTCGGTGAAGAGGACCGGTTTCTTCAGCAGATGTTCCCCATCACTTATGTGGGAATCCACCCACCGGGACAGGTACTTAGCCTTTGTTTCCAAGTCTGCATCTTGTATCCTGCAGTATGTGGAATTTGGAAAAGAGTCTCTTCATTTGTCAAACAGTATGAATGTAGTGAGGAAGTGTGTGTTAGTGATGGATTTACAGACCAGCTATCTGGGTAGGAATGAACCGAAGCGAAATCAATGCTGTCTATTGCTGAGTTCTGTATGAAATCCGACCCGAGGGATGCTGCCCATTCCCCGGGGTTCACTTCCAACTTGTTGGTGCTGTTCAAGCCATAGAATCCCTCGAGACCAACGGTCACTAGGTGCCTTCGGTCCAAGCTTTTGAGGTATGCAGTCATCTCACTGATCCAAGCCTTTAGTTAAAAAGGAAGCAGCAGTCAAACTAGTATCAAACTCTGCTTCAAGTATCTGGCTAGAGGAATAGTAAAGCTGATTTCACAGGAAGATCCAGAACCAAAGTGCTAACATTCACCTGAAGAGCAGGGGCACATGAACTCGAAGAGCATCTCGGCTCGTTAATGAGCTCCCAAGCGAATATGGCTGGTTCATCAGAGTACTTGACCCCGCTTAAAGAGTTCTTCCGAGTCACAATAGCCTACAGAGAAGCATACTACGGAGGATTAACAAGTTGTGGATCGAAAACACTATAATCAGATCCCTGGGTGCAGCACCAAGTGATGCAAAGAGCAATGCCAACTCTCACCTTGATGTAGGCTTTGTAGTATTCTTTAATGGCCGGGTTCGAGAAGAAGGAATCTTCGCCAGAAGAGACATTGATCCCAGCTTGTTGCCCCCATCTCACATACTGATCTTTCCCACCAAATGCATCTAGATTGTTCACTAGACTGAGGATCAACCTTATGCCATGCCTCCTTGCCTCAACTATCACATAGTCCAACCCCTGACAAAATTCATTCATACAATCAAATCAGAAATCCCTAGGATCGATCAATAGCTCCACAGGTTCCCAATTCAAATTCCAAGTTCCCTTCTTCCCCAAACAAAATCCCTAGATCGCATGCCAGATATTCAACTAGTAATAAGCAAAATTGGAAGGGAAAGAGGGCAAAATTCGAAAACTTGAGACCAACCCGAAAGACCCTTTGGTTGAACACGCCGGGGGATATCTGGAGCGTGTTGGGACCGTCGCCGTCGCTGAAAGCCCAAGTTCGGCAAACGGTCAGCCCCAATTCAGCGCCGGATTTGAACACTCTGGAGACCCTGGACCGGGACGATCTCCATATGCTCTCCTGCAGAAGCCAATAAGAGTTCCACCCGTTGACATAGAAGTACTCAGTAGCCGGTCCTCGACCCTTTTTGTCGTCGCCATTGACGATGACGAAGTGGGTGGAGCTGGTGGAGACGAAACCCATCTTCGGCTGCCACACCACGCCGGGAAATGCGGAATCGTCGTCGGCGAAGAAGCCGAAGTAGAGGAAGAAGCAAAGGATGAGGACCCCGAGGGGAGGGTAGAGCTTGCTGTACATTTTGGTTTCTGTCGGCGCCGGCGGGAGTAACCAACAGAGTTTCCCGCGGCAGTTGGTGGAGGGAAGTCAGGTCAGCCGCGCGGTTTTGCTTTCGCTGTCCATTTCTCTTCCCCCTTTTTCTACTTTCATTTCTCTAATATGGGATTAATTGCATTATGGCCAGTGAATATTATAGTTTGCAGCGAATGACCATTAAATATTTTTTTGTAAAATAAAAACGACCACTAAATTAAAGATTATTACAAAATCGTTAGTTATAGTTAGAGAAATAAAGATCATCTATTGTTCATATAAAATCATAAACATATTTATTTTGGGAACCTAAAATCCAACCAGAAGAACCTCCTATCATAATCTAAACGAACAGACGATTTTAGTCGTATGAAACGATAAATTCCGGTTAAACTATAGTTTCAGCCAAAATACTCTTTTGTTAACTTTTCCGCCATACCAAAGGTGTACCGAAAACATCAACAATAAAACTTTTATGCTAAAACTGTAGTTCAACCATTTAACGGTATAAAATGATTTCAACACTATTTCAACCATGATTTCAATATAAAATATGTTATTAATGAGTTTAAACTTTAAACTCCATCGTTAATGCCAGTGGATTAGGAATAAGCAACAAAATTGGATGCCGATTAAAACGACGTCATTTGACAGCTACCAGTAGTTAAAGCCGCAAACGTAAAGGATTAGGAATAAGTTACCCCCTTAAAATTGAAGACAAGGGATTGGATCTCTCCGATCGCGTCCTTCTCCGTCGGCGGCGTTATCTATCTGTCTACCGCCGGCCATGCCCACCGCCGAGAACTGCAGGGATCCAGCTCTAATCGCACGCCCTCTTCCTTGCGCCACCAGAAAACGAAGGAGGATCGGTACCCCAAAAGGAAATCCCAACCGCCGTCGTCCTCCTCCTGGCTCCATCAACGACCTGGGAGACGACGTCCTGGCCGCCATTTTGATTCGCCTCCCCGACCTGAGTTCCGCCTGCCGTTGCAAATCCGTGTGCAGGCGGTGGAGCTCGCTGATCTTCAGTCCCGGCTTCAATCACCTCTTCGTTTCCCACCACCAGGGGAGCGAGCCTCTACCGCCGCCCCTGCTTCTTCCCTCGGACGACTTCTCAATCTCCATCCTCCTCACCTTTCTCCCCGTGCCTTACGAAATCCAAGCCTATTTCACGGTCTGGGATTCCTTCAAGGACTTGGTTTTATGTGGGTTCGTCCAGCCACCGGAACCCAACGGCGCCGAGGTGGGCAGGACGCTGTTCGTCTGCAATCCGTTCACGAAGCAATGGGTCGCCCTCCCTCTGTCTCCCGAAAGACCGAAAGGGTACTGCCAACCGATTGCGAGCCTAGTTTGTGAACCCCGCCAGTCTATTAATCTTGAATTAGATGATAATGGCCGGTCGTCAATTGCTTATTCCGAGTATAGGTTCCGCGTGGTGTGTATGTATGTCTTGCACCAGAGCATCAATCTGGACGTGTTTTGTTCCGAGTCACGAGAATGGACGAGCAAGGCTCTCGTCCTTGATGGCTTTCTCAGACTCAAGGATCCCTACGTAGTTTCCTGGAATGGGGAGCTAGTTTGGGGCTGTCGCAAAGCTGAAGCAAGGTCGAAACCTCAGCTCGCTAGATTCAATCCTTTCCGTCTCGATATACCTCCCACTTATACCGACGTTTCTGAGCTCTTACCACGACGGTGGAATATCTCGGTTTCACAAGGTGCTTTCCACATATTCGAACTCGATGCTAAAGCTTCAGATGTGCGTGCTCGTGTTTGGAGACTCGAAGAAGGAGAGAGTGAATGTTGGAGGCATTATGAAGTGTTTCTGAAGACGAAACCAGTAACTATGAGCTCGAGCGCTCTTCTGTAATCGGGTTGCATCCTGCCAATCCAGACATTCTCTTCTTAAATTATGCTGGCGTGGAAGATGATGAAGCCTTGACTTGCAATTTGAGGAACGGGGAGCTAGTGCGCTTTTCTCGGTCTATGCCTAAATGGAGGATCTTCCAGCCCAGAGTTTCTTGCTGGCCTACACCGATTCCACGGTACAAGGAATTGCAGGACATGTATGATGGAAGCTGCGACTGTTGGGTTCAGAAGGGCGGCCAAGTGGCAGCTCCCTTTAAGATTGGTAAGTGCTTTTGCTTGTCAGGAATTCTGCATTTCATTCTGTCATTCTAACCTTATCTCATTCATCAATGGTGTAGTGTTGGATCTTATTCGCTTATACCGAGAGAGGGAGACGACGCCTACACATGAACATCTCTGGGGAACTTGAGCTCTTTTCAAAGGCGACGAGGAGAAAACGAAGCATGATGATTGTTTTGAACGTGTGAGATAAGTAGCGCCCAATGAAACTAGGTAAAAAGGAGTGTCGTCACTTGTTTAACTTGTTAAAAAGTTATCTAGAACTGATGGGGAGATAGTGCTTTTTTTCAGGCTAAAAGTGGCGGATTTGGCCTAAGGTTATTCTTCAACGATGATTAAGTTCATATAGTAGCGATTTGGGCGGATTTCTTCCGGGTCCATTTTTGGCAGATTCTAAAGGGGTACCATCACAGATTTCGGGCGATTTTTCATTAATGTCATTTTCTTTCGATTTTGGAGGCTACATATCACGAATTCGGCCCAAGGCTATTCTCCACCGATAATGAAGTCTATTGATCCTATTCTGCGCCAATGATTAAGTCAATTAAGCACCTAATTGGGTCAATTTATTTTGGGATTACATTTTCGTAATTTGTTTGGCAATTTTTTTGAAAGGCCATTTTCCTTGGATTTTGAAGGCTAAAAATGGCGCATTCGGCCAGAGGCTATTCTTCAATGATGATTAAGTCCATCAAGCAGCGATTTGGGAAGATTTCTTTCAGGTCCATTTTTTGCAGATTCCAAAGGGGTACCATCACAAATTTCGGGCGATTTTTCCGAAATGTCATTTTCATTAGATTTTAGAGGCTAGAGATCACGAATTCGGCCCAAGGCTATTCTCCACCGATAATGAAGTCTATTGATCCTATTCTAAGCCGATGATTAAGTCAATTAAGCACCGAATTGGGTCAATTTATTTTAAATTTACATTTTCATTATTTGTTGGCCAATTTTTATCGAAAGGCAATTTTCCAGTGGATTTTGAAGGCTAAAAATGGCGGATTCGACCTGAGGCTATTCTTCAACGATGATTAAGTCCATCTAGCAGCGATTTGGGCATATTTCTTCCGGATCCTTTTTTGGCAGATTCCAAAGGGGTTCCATCACAGATTTCGAGCGATTTTTCCTAAATGTCATTTTCTTTCGATTTTGGAGGCTATAGATCACGAATTCGGCCCAAGGCTATTCTCCACCGATAATGAATTCTATTGATCCTATTCTGCGCCGATGATTAAGTCAATTAAGCACCGAATTGGGCCAATTTATTTTAAATTGACATTTTCGTTATTTGTTGGGCAATTTTTATCGAAAGGCCATTTTCCATTGGATTTTGAAGGCTAAAAATGGCGGATTCGGCCTGAGCCTATTCTTCAACGATGATTAAGTCCATCTTGCAGCGATTTGGGCGGATTTCTTTCGGGTCCATTTTTGGCAAATTCCAAAGGGGTACAATCACAGATTTCGGGCGATTTTTCCTTAATGTAATTTTCTTTCAATTTTGGAGGCTACAGATCACGAATTTGGCCCAAGGCTATTCTCCACCGATAATGAAGTCAATTGATCCTATTCCGAGCCGATGATTTAGTCGATTAAGCACCGAATTGGGCCAATTTATTTTAAATTGACATTTTCGTTATTTGTTGGGCAATTTTTATCGAAAGGCCATTTTCCATTGGATTTTGAAGGCTAAAAATGGTGGATTCGGCTTGAGACCATTCTTCAACGATGATAAAGTCCATCTAGCAGCGATTTAGGCGGATTTTTTCTGGGTCCATTTTTGGCAGATTCCAAAGGGGTAACATTACAGGTTTCGGGCGATTTTTCCTAAATGTCATTTTCTTTCGATTTTGGAGGCTACAGATAACGAATTCGGCCCAAGGCTATTCACCACCAATAATGAGGTCTATTGATCCTATTCTGCGCCGATTATTAAATCAATTAAGCACTGAATTGGGCCAATTAATTTTGGGATGACATTTTCGTAATTTGTTGGGCAATTTTTTTGAAAGGCTATTTTCCTTGGATTTTGAAGGCTAAAAATGGCGGATTCGGCCTGAGGCTATTATTCAACGATGATTAAGTCCATCAAGCAGCGATTTGGGAGGATTTCATCCGGGTCCATTTTTTGCAGATTCCAAGGGGGCTCCATCACAGATTCCGGGCGATTTTTCCGAAATATCATTTTCTTTCGATTTTAGAGGCTACAGATCACGAATTCGGCCCAAGGCTATTCTCCACCGATAATGAAGTCTATTGATCCTATTCTGAGCCGATGATTAAGTAAATTAAGCACCGAATTGGGACAATTTATTTTAAATTGACATTTTCGTTATTTGTTGGGCAATTTTTATCGAAAGGCCTTTTTCCATTCGATTTTGAAGGCTAAAAATGGAGGATTCGGCCTGAGGCTATTCTTCAATGATGATTAAGTCCATCTAGCAGCGATTTGGGCGGATTTCTTCCGGGTCCATTTTTAGCAGATTCCAAAGGGGGTACCATCACAGATTTCGAGTGATTTTTCCTAAATGTCATTTTCTTTCGATTTTGGAGGCTATAGATCACGAATTCGGCCCAAGGCTATTCTCCACCGATACATGGTTCAGGAAACCGTACCGGACATCATACCGGAATCATCCGTGGTAGGGTATTTTGTGGTACAACCGTGGTTCAACCCTTTTGTGCCGGTAAATATCGTTTTAATAATAATATAATATTATTTTTGTAAAAAAACCGTATCGACAAATTAGAGTATCGTTTCGGAATAATACCGGAATAAAACCGGAAAATACCAGAATAAAAAAAAAAAAAAAAAAAAAAGGCACATGTCATGTCTCCCATCTCATTCCACTTTTCCTAATGCTGCCACCCACTCCCAGTCTCCCACTCCCACTCCCACGTTTTCCCCTCTCTCTTTCTTTAATTATTATATTTCTTTGATATTTTTCCCTATCTCTTCGCCTCCCGCAAGCCTCTCTCTCCCCTTGTACATTTTCTTTTCTCTCTTATTCTCACTGATCCTATCTCTTTCCTTCTCTTCCTCTTCTTAAAACAATGGCGGCCGGAGGTTATGGTGCTGGCTTCGAGATCTCCACCAGCGATATCATCGACGCCGACGCCAACAACAACAACAACATTCACCAATAGAGCTGCAGCAGCCGCCGCCGCGGGAATTGCCGTAGCGCCACCAGCAGCAATAGCAGCCGTCGTCGTCTGTCGATGGCGGCGTTCTCGAGCAGCCGTCGTCGTCTGTCGATGGCGGCGTTCTCGAGCAGCCGAGTTCGTCCTTTTCGCCGCCGTTGTCGGTCATCACTCGCAAGAGGTAGGGGTGAGCTGGAGAAGAGAAGAGGAGCGACGGATTAGGGATTCGGAATTAGGGATTCGGAATGGCTATTGAGTATGGAAGTGATTTTTGTTTTATTTTTCCCTGTTTCAAACGACGACGTTTTCTTTGAAAAACAGGCAACCGCCGGTTGGAACAAAACCGGGCGGTATTTCGCTTAGAACCAGTTAAACCGAAAATTCCGGCCGGTATGGTATTTATAGCAGCCAGTGTATACCGTTTCGTTTCTGGTCCGGTTTCCGGTTTTACCGGTTCAACCGGCCGGTACGATCCGGTTTCCTGGACTATGCACCGATAATGAATTCTATTGATCCTATTCTGCGCCGATGATTAAGTCAATTAAGCACCGAATTGGGCCAATTTATTTAGGGATGACATTTTCATAATTTGTTGGGCAATTTTGTTGAAAGCCCATTTTCCTTGGATTTTGAAGGCTAAAAATGGCGGATTCGGCATGAGGCTATTCGTCAACGATGATTAAGTCCAACAAGCAGCGATTTGGGCGAATTTCTTCCGGGTCCATTTTTTGCAGATTCCAAAGGTGTACCATCACAGATTTCGGGCGATTTTTACGAAATGTAATTTTCTTTCGATTTTAGAGGCTACAGATCACGAATTCGGCCCAAGGCTATTCTCCACCGATAATGAAGTCTATTGATCCTATTCTGAGCCGTTGATTAAGTCAATTAAGCACCGAATTGGGTCAATTTATTTTAAATTGACATTTTCGTTATTTGTTGGGCAATTTTTATCGAAAGGCCTTTTTCCATTCGATTTTGAAGGCTAAAAATGGAGGATTCGGCCTAAGGCTATTCTTCAACGACGATTAAGTCCATCTAGCAGCGATTTGTGCGAATTTCTTCCGGGTCCATTTTTAGTAGATTCCAAAGGGGTACCCATCACAGATTTCGAGTGATTTTTCCTAAATGTCATTTTCTTTCGATTTTGGAGGCTATAGATCACGAATTCAGCCCAGCTATTCTCCACCGATAATGAAGTCTATTGATCCTTATTCTGTGCCGATGATTAAGTCAATTAAGCACCGAATTGGGCCAATTTATTTAGGAATGACATTTTCGTAATTTGTTGGGCAATTTTGTTGAAACCCCATTTTTCTTGGATTTTAAAGGCTAAAAATGGCGGATTCGGCCCAAGGCTATTCTTCAATGATGATTAAGTCCATCAAGCATCGATTTGGGCGGATTTCTTCCGGGTCCATTTTTTGCAGATTCCAAAGGGGTACCATCACAGATTTCGTGCGATTTTTTCGAAATGTCATTTTCTTTCGATTTTAGAGGCTACAGATCACGAATTCGGCGCAAGGCTATTCTCCACCGATAATGAAGTCTATTGATCCTATTCTGATGTGATGATTAAGTCAATTAAGCACCGAATTGGGCAAATTTATTTTAAATTGACATTTTCGTTATTTGTTGGGCAATTTTTATCGACAGACCATTTTCCATTGGATTTTGAAGGCTAAAAATGTCGGATTCGGCCTGAGGCTATTCTTCAACGATGATTAAGTCCATCTAGCAGCGATTTGGGCGGATTTCTTCCGGGTCCATTTTTTGCAGATTCCAAAGGGATACCATCACAGATTTCGGGCGATTTTTCGAAATGTCCTTTTTCTTTCGATTTTAGAGGCTACCGATCACGAATTCGGCCCAAGGCTATTCTCCACCGATAATGAAGTCTATTGATCCTATTCTGAGCCAATGATTAAGTCAATTAAGCACCGAATTGGGCAAATTTATTTTAAATTAACATTTTTGTGATTTGTTGGGCAATTTTTATCGACAAGCCATTTTCCATTGGATTTTGAAGGCTAAAAATGTCGGATTCGGCCTGAGACTATTCTTCAACGATGATTAAGTCCATCTAGCATCGATTTGGGCGGATTTCTTCTGGGTCCATTTTTTGCATATTCCAAAGGGGTACCATCACAGATTTCGAGCGATTTTTCCTAAATGTCATTTTCTTTATATTTTAAAGGCTACAGATCACGAATTCGGCCCAAGGCTATTCTAGACTGATAATGAAGTCTATTGATCCTATTCCGAGCCGATGATTAAGTCAATTAAGCACCGAATTGGGCCAATTTATTTTAAATTGACATTTTCGTAATTTGTTGGGAATTTTTTTGAAAGGCTATTTTCCTTGAATTTTGAAGGCTAGAAATGGCTGATTCATCCTGAGGCTATTCTTCAACGAAGATTAAGTCCATCAAGCAGCGATTTGGGCGGATTTCTTCCGGGTCAATTTTTTGCAGATTCCAAAGGGGTACCATCACAGATTTCGGGCGATTTTTCCGAAATGTCATTTTCTTTCGATTTTAGAGGCTACAGATAACGAATTCGGCCCAAGGCTATTCTCCACCAATAATGAAGTCTATTGATCCTATTCTGCGACGATGATTAAGTCAATTAAGCACCGTATGAGCCAATTTATTTTAAATTGACATTTTCGTTATTTGTTGGGCAATTTTTATCGAAAGGTTATTTTCCATTGGATTTTGAAGGCTAAAAATGGCGGATTCTGCCTGAGGCTATTCTTCAACGATGATTAAGTCCATCTAGCAGCGATTTGGACGGATTTCTTCCGGGTCCATTTTTTGCAGATTACAAAGGGGTACCATCACAGATTTCGGGCGATTTTTCCGAAATGTCATTTTCTTTCGATTTTGGAGGCTATAGATCACGAATTCGGCCCAAGGCTATTCTCCACCGATAATGAAGTCTATTGATCCTTATTCTGCGCCGATGATTAAGTCAATTAAGCACCGAATTAGGCCAATTTATTTAGGGATGACATTTTCGTAATTTGTTGGGCAATTTTGTTGAAACCCCATTTTCCTTGGATTTCAAAGGCTAAAAATGGCGGATTCGGCCCGAGGCTATTTTTCAATGATGATTAAGTCCATCAAGCATCGATTTGGGCGGATTTCTTCCGGGTCCATTTTTTGCAGATTCTAAAGGGGTACCATCACAGATTTCGTGCGATTTTTTCGAAATGTCATTTTCTTTCGATTTTAGAGGCTACAGATCACGAATTCAGCGCAAGGCTATTCTCCACCGATAATGAAGTCTATTAATCCTATTCTGCGATGATGATTAAGTCAATTAAGCACTGAATTGGGCAAATTTATTTTAAATTGACATTTTCGTTATTTGTTGGGCAATTTTTATCGAAAGGTTATTTTCCATTGGATTTTGAAGGCTAAAAATGGCGGATTCTGCCTGAGGCTATTCTTCAACGATGATTAAGTCCATCTAGCAGCGATTTGGACGGATTTCTTCCGGGTCCATTTTTTGCAGATTACAAAGGGGTACCATCACAGATTTCGGGCGATTTTTCCGAAATGTCATTTTCTTTCGATTTTGGAGGCTATAGATCACGAATTCGGCCCAAGGCTATTCTCCACCGATAATGAAGTCTATTGATCCTTATTCTGCGCTGATGATTAAGTCAATTAAGCACCGAATTAGGCCAATTTATTTAGGGATGACATTTTCGTAATTTGTTGGGCAATTTTGTTGAAACCCCATTTTCCTTGGATTTCAAAGGCTAAAAATGACGGATTCGGCCCGAGGCTATTCTTCAATGATGATTAAGTCCATCAAGCATCGATTTGGGCGGATTTCATCCGGGTCCATTTTTTGCAGATTCCAAAGGGGTACCATCACAGATTTCGTGCGATTTTTTCGAAATGTCATTTTCTTTCGATTTTAGAGGCTACAGATCACGAATTCGGCGCAAGGCTATTCTCCACCGATAATGAAGTCTATTGATCCTATTCTGCGATGATGATTATGTCAATTAAGCACCGAATTGGGCAAATTTATTTTAAATTGACATTTTCGTTATTTGTTGGGCAATTTTTATCGACAGACCATTTTCCATTGGATTTTGAAGGCTAAAAAATGTCGGATTCGGCCTGAGGCTATTCTTCAACGATGATTAAGTCCATCTAGCATCGATTTGGGCTGATTTCTTCTGGGTCCATTTTTGGCAGATTCCAAAGGGGTACCATCACATATTTCGAGCGATTTTTCCTAAATGTCATTTTCTTTCTATTTTGGAGGCTACAGATCACGAATTCGGCCCAAGGCTATTCTCCACCGATAATGAAGTCTATTGATCCTATTCTGCGACGATGATTAAGTCAATTAAGCCCCGAATTGGGCCAATTTATTTTAAATTGACATTTTCGTTATTTGTTTGGCAATTTTTATCAAAATGCCATTTTCCATTGGAATTTGAAGGCTAAAAATGGCGGATTCGGCCTGAGGCTATTCTTCAACGATGATTAAGTCCATCTAGCAGCGATTTGGGCGGATTTCTTCCGGGTCAATTTTTGGCAGATTCCAAAGGGGTACCATCACAGATTTCGGGCGATTTTCCCTAAATATCATTTTCTTTCGATTTTGGAGGCTACAGATCACTAATTCGGCCCTAGGCTATTCTCCACCGATAAAGAAGTCTATTGATCCTATTCTAAGCCGATGATTAAGTCAATTGAGCACCGAATTGGGCCAATTTATTTTAAATTGACATTTTTCGTAATTTGTTGGGCAATTTCTTTGAAAGGCCATTTTCCTTGGATTTTGAAGGCTAAAAATGGCTGATTCGTCCTAAGGCTATTCTTCAACGAAGATTAAGTCCATCAAGCAGCGATTTGGGCGGATTTCTTCCGGGTCAATTTTTTGCGGATTCCAAAGGGGTACAATCACAGATTTCGAGCGATTTTTCCGAAATGTCATTTTCTTTCGATTTTAGAGGCTACAGATAACGATTTGGCCCAAGGCTATATTCCACCAATAATGAAGTCTATTGATCCTATTCTGCGACGATGATTAAGTCAATCAAGCACCGTATTGAGCCAATTTATTTTAAATTGACATTTTCGTTATTTGTTGGGCAATTTTTATCGAAAGGCTATTTTCCATTGGATTTTGAAGGCTAAAAATGGCGGATTCGGCCTGAGGCTATTCTTCAATGATGATTAAGTCCATCTAGCAGCGATTTGGGCGGATTTCTTCCGGGTCCATTTTTTGCAGATTACAAAGGGGTACCATCACAGATTTCGGGCGATTTTTCCGAAATGTCATTTTCTTTCGATTTTAGAGGCTGCAGATCACGAATTCGGCCCAAGGCTATTCTCCACCAATAATGAAGTCTATTGATCCTATTCTGCGCCGATGATTAAGTCAATTAAGCACCGAATTGGGCAATTTATTTTGGGATGATATTTTCGTAATTTGTTGGGCAATTTTTTTGAAAGGTCATTTTCCTTGTATTTTGAAGGCTTAAAATGGCGGATTCGGTCTGAGGCTATTCTTCAACAATGATTAAGTCCATCAAGCATCGATTTGGGTGGATTTCTTCCGGGTCCATTTTTTGCATATTCCAAAGGGGTACCATCACAGATTTCGGGCGATTTTTCCGAAATGTCATTTTCTTTCTATTTTAAAGGCTACAGATCATGAATTCGGCCCAAGGCTATTCTCCACCGATTATGAAGTCTATTGATCCTATTTTGAGTCGATGATTAAGTCAATTACGCACCAAATTGGGCCAATTTATTTTAAATTGACATTTTCGTTATTTGTTGTGCAATTTTTATCGACAGGCCATTTTCCATTGTATTTTGAAGGCTAAAAATGGCAGATTCGGCCTGAGGATATTCTTCAACGATGATTAAGTCCATCAAGCAGCGATTTGGTCGGATTTCTTCCTGGTCCATTTTTTACAGATTCCAAAGGGGTACCATCACAGATTTCGGGCGATTTTTCCGAAATGTCATTTTCTTTCGATTTTAGAGGCTACAAATCACGAATTCGGCTCAATGCTATTATCCACCGATAATGAAGTCTATTGATCCTATTCTGAGCCTATGATTAAGTCAATTAAGCACAAAATTGGGCCAATTTATTTTAAATTAACATTTTCGTTATTTGTTGGGCAATTTTTATCGAAACGCCATTTTCCATTGGATTTTTATCGAAACGTCATTTTCGTTATTTGTCTCCTGCCGCTGGATCTCCCCTGCCTGCGCGTCCACGGTTGAGATAGTGCGGTAGAGCGCGCGGATGGCGCCGGCGCGGTACGCCGCCTGGATCTTCGCCGCCGCCGCGGCGGATCTGGTGTCGGTGAGTGGTGGTTTGGGGAGGTGGACAGTGATCAAGATGGTTCCGCCGTCGTAGTCGGAGGGAGTACCGGTGGAGTGGATGGGAATTCGCTTGATTACCGCCGCCGGCGTCTGGTTTTCCTCGTCGTGGAAGGCGGCGTAGGTGACGGTGGATGTGGTTGAAGAGGAGAAGTGATAGAATTCTGGGAATCCTCTCATGGCGACGGAAGCTTAGAAAGGGACAGTAACTAGTAACTAGTACCAAACCGGACTGAGGCAATTGCTTTGGACTCTTTCGTCCTTCAACTTTTTGGACCAATTAATCAACTACCCAAAATTGAATGACCGTTTCAGTAATTATCCACTCGTTCCTCTGACCGATTTCACCGTTACCCTTGCGGGCTGACCTCATACACCCACTGAGAAATTATACCGTTCCGCCACCGACAAGAACCGTTATCCTCCATGACGAGAAATCATGTGAACAAAGAGTGAAACGGCACAGTTTCACTCCTATTCTTTACTACAATACAATAGTGACACTAGACAACAGGACGAAACTCTTATTTGGCAATCGATATTGATACTCGCAGAAGAAAGATGCTGAAGCTATCTCTCGCACTGAGGATGAATTTCACCAGCGCTTACAGCCTTCAAGTTGAGTTCGACGGGAGAATTTTCCCGGTACATGTCCCGAATCCAACGTTGTATCCATCTCCCTGCACAGAACAGTAGCTAGTAAACGTTTGCAGACCAAAAGAGAGATGAGAACAAAGAAGATATGCAGAGCGGAAAGAGCTGCAGTGGAGAGTAGAGACCTTGCAGCAGCCGGTTATCGTGACTTCGTCCCCATCTTCGAGGAACTTTCGCGTCGTGTTGCTGTTTAGTGACAATGGTTTCTGTCCGTTCCATGTCAGTTCTAGTAAGCACCCGTAGGACTCTGGATCCTGTTAGGGAGGTGGTTTTTAGATATAGATCAGAAATGAATCTACTTGCCTTTGGTCTTTTCTGGAGTTGAAAGCAGTAGAAGAATGAATGAGAAGAAAATGGTTACCGGGCCACTGATTGTTCCTGTTCCGAGTAGGTCGCCTGGTCGTAAGTTGCAGCCATTTATTGTATGGTGAGCTAGCTGCTGAGTCACGGTCCAGTATCTGTCACAGAACAGTTTCATCGGACATAAAATCAGTGTATGATGTAAGCAATGATGCTCGTGCACTTTGATACAGTTTGGGAAGATAGAAATTTATACACAAGTAATTGAAAGTCAGTTGATAGAAGTGAAAAGCCATACAAATGGTTGAAGTTTGTTCTTGTGACCACAGCTGACTCCTCAACTCCTGCAGGTTTAATTTGTACCTTGAAAATTTGAACAAATAAGCATCGTCAATATGAGCTGAATAAGAAAGTTCATACAAACAAAACTATCTTCCAAAAATCGGAAGAGCTTAGTTAACGACTAGAATGCACATTATGTTCTACCTCTAAGGAAATGTTGTAGTTTTTGGATGTCTTTTCAGCCAGATAGGGAAGAGGAGGAGGATCCTGCAATTTTTATCAATCATAAGAACACAATGAGAATAAGCAAAAATGTAGGAAAGCGAAGCAGCTTAATATACTGCAACTTGTATTGTCATTGGACTACCTGTTTAGGGGCATCACAAGTAAAAGGCTCTAGGGCATCAAGTGTTACAATCCACGGGGATAGTGTGGTACCTATAGATCAAAGGCAAAGGGATAAGACCGAAAAGAGAGTTAGACCTCTCTCTATGCACCTCCGGGTGAGTCTCGGAATGCAAGAAATATAAAGTTAGTATCTTTACAGAAGCTCTTCCCAAGGAAAGGTCCGAGAGGTACATACTCCCATGCTTGAATGTCTCTAGCTGATCATGATAAACATTTGTTATGGCTTATAGATCAACATAAGGCATAAACATGGGATAAAGGGATAACCCATGAAAAGAATCTATACCACTCCAATCATTCATCAATACGAGACCGAATATATGATCTCCTGCTTCATCGACATCCACTGGCTTCCATAGCTCATTTCCAGTACCTACGACAGCAGCCTGAAAGGAAGATGAGGAAGTTGTGAGCAACTGAAGAGTTAGTTGTAGAATGATCTTTCTTGAAATGCTAACCATTTCTAGTTCGAAATCGAGCTTCCGTGAAGGTCCAAAATATGGTGGGGAACTTCCAGTTGGTGGACCCTGACCTCTGAGGAAAAGAGAAGAAACAGATTAATATCTAGAAATGCTCAAGCATGCACAACGAGAATAGCTAAACTTTTCTGGTAAATGCATGCTGGCTTCTGATGAGTTCAAACAAAGTCGATTGTGAAGACAAACGAAAGATACATGAAGCAACCAAGATAGCTTACCTAGGCCGAATGACATCTGTTCCCGAGATAACAATAGACGAAGCTCGACCATGGTATGCAATCGGAAGGTGGAACCTAGACGAGAACAAAGTTACTATGCAGAACAGAACTCGTGAACGAGTACCGAACTCAGTAGAAATCTTAAAAAACTCTAGATTGTATATACCAGTTCAGATTGATTGGATTCTCAGGTCCACGAAATATGGTTCCACAATTCTTCGCATGATGCATCGAGGAGAAGAAATCCGAGTAATCCCCTATCACAATCGGCATAAGCATTTCCACCTCATTCTACAAGTTCAGAATCCAAAACTCGAGTTACAAGAAATAGAATCATCCATGCCATAGTATCAAGCTATATTTCATTCACAATAGCTCTTGTTATCTCACCATTGGCAGGAGTGACTTCTCCCTCAAACTGGCATTGTCTCTCAACTTGGGTTCTGTAGCTGCAATGCAAGAAGACAGCCGAAATTCCCCATGAGGAGTAGCTCAGAGAAACAGAATCAATCGAGTTAATTGGTTTCTAAATCAATTGAGTTGGCCACTGTACATGATAATAGCTTCTGAAGCGTAAACCGAGCTTCCTTCCAGGCAGGCCTTCCCAAGGATAAGAACTGGTTCAAGTTAGGCTGCCACACAGGAACCCAAAACAAACAATCCGCGAGATAATCAGCGCGCTACTTTCTAGTTCAACTAATTTTCTCTTCTTAGCAACCAATCAGCCACACAGCCCAGTCTATTTCTCGAAAGACATAAAAAAAAAAATCAGCGATGAAGCAGAGAGAATCATAAGAACCTGAAGGAAGCAATCGGAGGAACTGAGGAGAGGACCGTCGAAGAGGCCGGCGAGAGCGATTTCCGCGAGGTCCAATACGTAGTCTCCGATGGCGACCGCCGGTCGGGGCAGTGAACTCGGCCGGTGCTTGAAGACGCCGAAGGGGAGGTTCTGGATGGGGAAATGAGAGTCCGGATGAACTTCGACGAACGAATCCAGCACCGCCATACCGGAACTGAGAGCAGCGAGATATGCCGGACGGCGACGGAGAAGAGCAAAGAGTTCACTACGGAGTACGGAGAGAAGTTAATAGGCAGAGGAAGTGAGAAAAAATAATTGAAATTGAGTTAGTTGGAATCAACGGTTAGATAGATGCCACGTGAGCCGATGAACTCATTGTTAGTGTTGTGCTATACGATCCACGATTGAACCATACATGGTATCAGAGCATTCTGTGATCGAAAGGTCTTGTGTTCGATTCTTGGTGACCCCCATTTATTAAGCACATAGTATTATTGTCTTCAGACCTGTGCAAACTTCAAGCCCTCTAGTTTATGACACTCATCACGGGTCCCGTCTACGGATCTTCTGACGTCGGGTAGACCCGCCTGCCAGCTGCCGGTGAGCAAAATGGTCACGCTTCTTTCTCCCCGGCCCGAAACCGAATATTGAAATGGAGCACAATTCCCATGCTAACACAAATTTCTTTATTCAATTAATGATAACTAACTATTAAGAAGGCACACTTACAAATAACAATCTCTCAAATACATATGCTCTTTGGATTTACCATATCCATGAATCGGAAGAGCAAAATACAACTCCATGGTTGTTGCACTTTTAGGCATTATTATACCACACACCTAACAGACCAACCCCATAAACTGTAACACACCCAACTCACAAGCCCATAAAACAAAGCCCAACTCCGACTACCACCAAGAGAAGGCTTCCAACAACACGGGCCGATCCCGAAGGAGTCGTCGGCCCAGCAGCAAGAAACGAGCCCGAATCCGAGACGGAAACCGTCGACGATTGGACAGTTTGGTCACTTTCTTCTTGAGGAAGCACGTCCACGTGTAACTTGAGGCCGCTCTTGCAGTTGTCGGTGTTGCCGCTGGCGAAGTAGCGGATCCCTTCCCCGGTGAGGTGGACGCTGTTTAGACCGTCCGTGTACATCTTGATCGGGTTGCTGAGATCGCACGCGTAGTATTCCTCCTTGCTCCCGAGCTCATAGACTCCACCCTCAGCGGCGGAGTAGGCGAACCCTGCGCTCATTTTTTGGGGATTTTAAATTGATAATTATTAATAATAATTATTAATCAGCCCCACGGCTTAAAAATACTCAAAAGAGCCTCGTGACTGGAGATAATCTTCTATCGGAAGCTAAAATGTTATAATTAATGCATTCATAAGTGTATTGGAAAGCTAAAAATAGGTGTTTCGAGGGAGAATTTCAGATTCGTACATAAAAAGGACAGGATTCACGTTTTACTACCTATACAAAGCAGGACTGGTAGTTACTGTTGGGGGGGAAATGCTACCTAACTTTTGGTTACCTTTTCATTCTCCCTCTTTTGTGAAAATGAAGTCATGGAAAAAGAGTTTCATTACTTATAAGTTCTAACTATATTTCTAGATCGAATTAAGTATGTGTGACATGTTCCTAACTATTATCAAACGACTTGTGATTCCAATAGTGTTTGAATCATCGGTTAATTTGTGAAATTACGTCGTATTAGTCTGTTCGCTATTTGAATTGTGTAACAAACACAAAGCTTCCTGGCTATAATGATCACTCATTTGTCTCTAGAATCTAACTTTCCAATAAATTAAAATCAAACAAAAGATATATGATGATGTATCCGTCTATCATGATGACTTCTTTTATCTTATAGCAAAAAAATTTATATCATTATAACCATGACAATTAAATATGCAAAAGCATAATTACTCACTTGATCATTCAAATTTTTTTTATAATGGCGGTGGGATTTTATCTAGAAACGCCAAAATCAAATTTCATATAACAAATTAAACTCGTTAGTTGCCTCTAGAATTTTTTTATAAGGCGTTTGCTTTAGTCTTTGTGTCATTTACATGCCACATTAAGTAAGTTGGATGACCAAATTGGTATTTAACCTAAATGAAAACCTAGCGTTGAAACTACCTGGTTCATTAAAAGAGGGAAACAAGACTTTACACCAGCCATTAACCTCATCTACTTTAATGACTGTTTGGTTACTGAGAAAAAGTAAAAGCAAAGTGAAGAAAAAAAAAAAAAAAAAGTAAAGAAGGAAAGAAACGAGAAAGAGAGAAACTTGAGACTCACAGATTCTGTCGCCGACCCTGAAACTCCGGCCGTCGAGCCAAGACGCCAAGTCGGTAGCAAGTTCCCACCCCCGATCCCCACCCACCACGTGGTGCATCTGCCCGTCGGCGGATCCGAACAAGCTCACCGCCGCCGCCACAACCGCCACCGCCGCATACACCTTCATCATTCCACAGCGGAGCATTTTAGTGAGAGAAAAAAAAACTGATGGTGGGTAGTTAAAAATTAAAATGCTCCGAAACAGCAGGAGAAGAAAAAAAAAAGGGTCAGTTTTCTTTTGTTGGAGTGGAGAGAAATGGCGGAATATGGGAGTTTGTGGTTTTAGAAGGTATAGGAAGAGGAAGAACGGTTGGTTGAGAACTTGAGATTGGAGCTTTTGGGGTACCGAAAACAGTGTTTTATGGGAGACAACAAGAGGCACAAGTGTAAAGTAGGAACAGTTTAAAGTAGCAAGCCAACCAACCAACCCTCCAATGGAGATATTTTGCTCAATACTTGGGCCTTTATGTTTTTTCATGGACCATCTATGGGCTTTTGTTGGAGTATCCGACTAATAACCTAGTGGGCATTGTCACCAACTAGGCTTAAGAGTCGAGAGAGGCTACTCGAGCTTTAACGGAATTGAGAGCTAGGACTGCACGAGCAAGAGTAAGGCCGTGACAGCATGAATTGGGTTATCCGTTATCTCGATCCACTAACTGATAGAAAGCATCAAAGCAATTGGGTTGTGGACTTGTGGTGCTAACATAGGTACCCCGCGGACGTTAGATCAGGGCATAAAACATCTTTGTCTGTTGGATGAACGTAAAATGTTATTATGTTCCGTCTGACAGTCGCGCGAACGGTTTATTTCACAATCCAACAACGTAAATCTAGCACGTGATAATATATTATACTATTAGCATCGTAGTTGTATTCGTGAGAAAATTGCACCAAAAAAATAAAATTTTGAGAACGACCAATAAGTAAGAGGTCAACATGTGAAAATCTCAATACACTTATTGAGTGAAATTTAAACCTTGATATCATATAAATTGTTGTCAAGTCGCTGCAAACTCAATCACGAGACTACACGTAGTCCAAGATTTTAATATTTTATTTTAGAATTATATTATAATTATACATTTATTGGCAGACTAAGTACTATCCGTCCACCTTATCTAAAGCTCGAGATCGATTTCCAAGAAGTTGTGATTTTTTTTTTAATTCTAACACTCACATTTAAAACCCTAAGTCGACCTCAAACAAGAATGCACAACGAACCACGGCCATCTCAAAACCTTCCTATGTTGGAGCAGATCACCTGATGATCTGTTTGATGATTAAAAGGTGATGAAGATGGATGCAAATAGACAAATAGTTACACGGTCGTGCATATGGATGTTGGATGCCCCGTCTTTGCAAAGGAGCACAAAAACGCCCGTTGTGATTAGTTGGCCGTATCTCTTCTTCAATTCTCAGAACCTTTGAACCCCTTTTTTGTCGATAACCAAAACTGCCTGCACACGTTACTGTCCTTGCTGCTCCTATCTCATCCTCGTCTTGACATTAACGGATTTGTGAGATATAACAATAACATCGAAAACTTGACGAGGAACAACGATCGACCGTCGATGGTTGCTAGGGATTCTAACTTCCCACACGTTCGTGTTAACAAGAGTTTTGTCCAATAGTGGTGATGGCTCCGGCCGGCGACATGTCTCGGTTAGTCATGTTGGTAAAAAGGCTCCGGCCGACCCACAACGCACCATTTTTTTTAATTATTATTTATCAATTACATGAGTTTTGAGTTTTGACATTTCTCGGTTTGTTAGTCACTTTGGAGTACAATAAATTGTTTTTTAGAGTGAGTACAATAAATTGTTTTTTATTTTGGCATTTTCGCGAAAAAACGATGAGAGATCGAGACGATCAATTTGTTGGCTAGAAGTTTGTCGAGATAATTCGTATCATGATTGAAAATGTGTGATGTTAGGGGATTAAGTAGTGGATGTGATATTATACTTCGGATGCGGTCTGAAAACAAGTCTCGTTTACACCATTGGTTTGCAAGTTTGACATTTGTATGGTGTCGACACACACACGATTTATTATGTTAATCGGAAAAATTAGAATTTTGATATCCATCACACCTCTGGAACCTATTTGTGGACAACAAAACTCGATGTGGAAGCGTCGCGCGCGCGCCCCTCCAACAACCATTTTATCACGAGATGTGAAACTCAAAATCGATCACTAGAAGAGAAGACAGAAGTAGTGGGTGGAGCTATGTGTAGTTAGGAAGGGGCTATCTACAACTCCCTTCAATTTCTTTATCAAAAGTTATAATACGTGAATTCATATATTGATAATATTAATGAAACTAATTAGCCCATCCTTCAAGATTTAGCTTCAATAGTGGAAAACTTATACAATCTATTATCTTCAGCATCCTCCTCATTTCAAATTATGGAATGACCAAAATAATCGACCTGCGAAACCAAGCCCAACAAAAACCACCATCGAACATCTGATGACCCCCTGTATTAATACATGCATACACCAACAAGACATTTGAGCTGAAAATGAAATAAATGTTTATAAATTATAATCAATAGATATCGTCATCACTAAACGAATTCTTGTACAATTTAGTTATTTTCATGGTCACTAATCAACCTCACTATATAACTAGTTATCTGGAATCTCTACACGCTTCAGCAGATGATTAATCCTCCAAGAATAGACGGCCTTCTAACCAATAATCCAAACCCAATCACATTCACAATTAATTTAATCCTTCCCGCCTTGCCATCTCCGTCAGTCCTCTTATATATCACCACTTTTCTTCCCCATCTATAGGAAAATCCTTCTCTTCCTCTCTCTACCTCGTTTTCCTTCCATGGGATCGGAAGCCAGCCGGCCGTCAACCCGGAAAAACCCACCCCCTCCCGCCGCCGCCGTCATCCGCCGCCGCCGGCGAAAAATGGGCCCCACCAAATCCTTAATAGAATGGCTCAAACCCGACTGCTTCTTCCCCAACAAGAAGAAGAAGAAGCGGAGCAACCCCCCACCACCATCTTCCAGAAGCCCAGCCGCCGTCAACGGCCGCCGGAGAAAACCACGGCCATCCCCCGGCACGCCGTTAACGCTGGAGGAGCACCTCTCGTCGACGTCTCCCCTGCCCATGGGTCTGGCCCGACCGGCCTCGACCGGACGGTCCTGGAAACTACCCGACCCGTCATCCGGTCCGACCGGGTGCGGAGTTCGGAAACCTTCTCCCAAACGGATCCACCCGTCTTCATCGTCATCCGCCGCAAGAGGCGGGCGGCGGAGGAAGGGGAAAGGGAAGGAGAACAACAGCTTTACGCTGGAGACGCTGGTGAAGCTGGACAGGGAATCGAAGGACGATTACTTCAGCGGGAGCAGCAGCCGGGGCAACTTTGGTGACGGGTCGGGTGTCGGGCTGCCGACGGGGAGCCAGAGCTGCCGGCGGGAAGGGAAGAAGAATGGGAAGAGCGTGAGATTTACGTTGCCAGGAGACGGCGACGTTTTGGTTTTCTATTCCCCGAGGGCGCCGACTGATAGGCCCTTTCACTCTCTTTGAAGTTTCTTAAACAATAATATGATGATGATATGATAGAAACATATGATCCTTTGTCTGTATATTTTGGCAAGCCAAATTACTAGTCAAACAAACGTCCTTTTTCAATCGTTGAATCTTATTTTGTGTGGAAGCTAATTACTTATTTTGTTACTGATACCGTTGTAGTAATTAATGTATCGTTTGATTAGTGAAAATGGTTAAGGTGCTTCGGGTTTTCGACATAATTTCGATTCTCTTTACTTTGTGCCGGTTTGAGAAATGAATTGATTAAATTATCAATTCATGCAATTACGTGTGTAGTGTTTTCGAATGGTTGATTTAGATTCATGCGTAATGTTAGTATAGTTTTTGGAGACTTTGCTTATACACTATTACAAGTGATTATTCACACTTGTTTTTTTTGTATGAAATCTCATTTTTACTGCAAACATAAAAAATTTCTAGTGCAAACGTCAAGACTACGACCCTAAGATGGTCGTTTTAAATTATTTCACATAATTCTTGATTTATTACTTCCTAGTAATGGGGAGTACGTAGTTATTTTTTGACAAAATAAGTATGTCATATGTCGGCAACCTATAAAATTCTCTAGTAACGGTATACTCCTCAGTCCAACTTCTTGTACATTTTCCATCCTTTCAGCTGAGTTGTACATATTGTGCATAGTTTTCCTTCGATAATTGACTTTTTTCGGTTATCCAATTAACCCAAATGTCTATGATGACTCCCTATAACAAATCACTATTTGTAGCCAAGTGAAATTAAGATTTAACAAGTACATCACAATCATAGTGATCATGCATGGCTTTATGATGAGACTTATTACAACCTTTTGTTATATGACTTTTGATTGTGTTGTGTGTGTAGTTTCTGTACGCTTCCACCCATTTTCCACCACAGCCTGCAAAAGATGAATGCCATTTGTAATTATATTGCTCAATAGAAACATTATTATGCATTAATTTCCATGGGGTTCTCTAATGTATATGAGTATATGACTCATATGTTTGGCCTTTTTCCCCTTCGGTGATGGAATATACTGACCACCGTTACTCCCAATACTTCTTGGCGAGGTCGTGCCAACAAAAAAATAATTTAGTCTTGGTAATAATCGGCCCTTTGATTAACTTAGTGAAATTTTTAGGGGATTTGTTCTTTCTTCTTATCACAAAGAAATCTCACTAAGCAACAAAGGGGGATTATCTTATTGCTAGTTAATTAATTGCTAGTTGCTACTCTCTTACTTTGCATACTCCACCAGGCACCATCCCATGTAAGTCCATGTAGTTTACCAAGAATATCACTTATTCCAAAGTATTAGTACGTGAAAAAAATAAGAATCTTTCACCAAAATAACAATAAAATTTTTTATAATATTAATCAGAATCTACTATATATGTTACAAAATTCCTATTGGTCGTCTCTTTTTTCGTAGAATCACATATATTTACAATTATTTGTCCAGTTATGGAAGGAATTAGACTCGAATTAATGATTCAAGGTGATGCACGACTCTAACAATAATAATTTAAATAGTCGACTAAATATCTTACTTCAAGTGTCTAACATATGTTTCATATAACGTATCTCTAAAATTGACACACAGGCAATGTTAATCCAAATCCAAACTACAAAAGTGACCTAAAAATGACTTGTCCCCTTTTCACCCTTAATCGTTTATGAATTATGTGTCATGAACCAGTTGCTCCCAATAACTCGAGTTGTTGGGAGAAGGTTTTGCTGGATCTTATACCACACTCTAACACGCCCCCTCAAACGAAAGCCAACCATACCATGTGCTTGAAAGACAACGGTTAATATTGGGGGTCGTGGAGATTCGAACACATGACCTTTTGGTTCGAGGCTCTGATACCATGTCAAGAACCAGTTGCTCCCAATAACTCGAGTTGTTTGGAGAAGGTTTTGCTGGATCTTATACCACACTCTAACACGCCCCCTCAAACGAAAGCCAACCCATGGGCTTGAAGTTTGCACAGGCCCACCATACCATGTGCTTGAAAGACAACGGTTAATATTGGGGGTCGTGGAGATTCGAATACATGACCTTTTGGTTCGAGGCTCTGATACCATGTCATGAACCAGTTGCTCCCAATAACTCGAGTTGTTGGGAGAAGGTTTTGCTGGATCTTATACCACACTCTAACCTTACAACCTATAGGTGAAACCAATCTTTCTTTATAGAGGCGAAGCTTTTTAAACCCACGCCTTTAGCAACCATTTAATCCGCAAACCCCTCGTCATAAGAGATACAAAATGGACTATTATTGGACTGTCATACTAGGCCGTAATTGCATCGAGGCCCAACTATTCAATCCCAACTCCAGGCCCAATTTTAACGCCTCAGCCCGCTAATGTAGACGAAAAAATATTGAAGAAAAAGGAACACAAATTTGGTTCGAGGCTCTGATACCATGTCATGAACCAGTTGCTCCCAATAACTCGAGTTGTTGGGAGAAGGTTTTGCTGGATCTTATACCACACTCTAACCTTACAACCTATAGGTGAAACCAATCTTTCTTTATAGAGGCGAAGCTTTTTAAACCCACGCCTTTAGCAACCATTTAATCCGCAAACCCCTCGTCATAAGAGATACAAAATGGACTATTATTGGACTGTCATACTAGGCCGTAATTGCATCGAGGCCCAACTATTCAATCCCAACTCCAGGCCCAATTTTAACGCCTCAGCCCGCTAATGTAGACGAAAAAATATTGAAGAAAAAGGAACACAAATTTGGTTTTGCCCCCAAATTTATTGAATCAGTAAAATCATCATCGCTCGCAATTACAAACTACAGTTTGATCACTGTGAAATCAAACTACTACAATTCAATACTTAAAAGTAAAAACCCTTGCCAACTGTATGGCTCCCCCCAACTCAAAAGCAATCAATCCAAGAAATTGATCAAAATCCCTAATCCCCCAAATTTCTCCCGTCGGCAGTTCATTCAAAGTCATCACGGCAGCGAGTTGGCCGCCGGCGCCGGCAGCGGAATCAAAGCGACAGATCCCCTCGACGAGCTGGAATACTTGTGGAACACAGTCTTCAATTTCCCATCCTTAACCTTCCCCATTAAATCCACCAAAACCCTCCCGCAATCACTAACCTCCTTCTCCGAGTACCCAGTATGAAACTCCAGGACATCGGTCCAGCCGGGAGCCCGATTCAACATCCTCCTCGCCGTGTAAACCGCCGCCGCGGCAGCCATCGACGGTGGAAACATTACAGAGCACTCGTAGTCCATCAGGCCGAGCTCCGACAAGTAATTGGCCATGTGCTCCACATCCCCATCGAGCGCCGGAGCTGTGGGCGTGGTCTTCGCGGTACCAGCCTTGGCGAATCGGGTGAGAAAGACGAACTGGGTCGGGACTGTTAGGGTCCACTCGAGATGGGCGAGGATGGTCTTTTCCATGGCTAGAATCTGTTGACCGCAGTAGGCTCTGTCGGAGATTGTGACCAGTTCGTTGACCTCCGGCGGCCAGATCTCTTCATACTTAGATGCCAATAGAGTGGCGCTGATGCCGACGAGCTGTAATTCCTTCCTCGGCACGGTTTTCACGGAGAGAAAACGGTCGATTACGCTGATTGTGAGGTAAAGAGTCTCTCTGGAGAGATCGAACTTCTGGTGGACGTCGATAAGCCAGTCGACGAGGATGGATCGCATCCTTGTGTTGATCTCCGGCTGTGAATCCATGTAGCAAATCGGCCGGCTTTCATTCTGCATCAAGAAAACCAGAATTGGTTTGAATAAGTTGCGTTGAATTGGAATTTCGTGAATCCGGGAAAAAAGATTTGGTCTTTTACCTCAACGAGCTTGTAGAATTTGTAGATGTCCTCGACGTATTCGACGGCGGCGAGATGGTTACCAGCGTCCGAGGCATCGATGTTAAAGACTTCCTTCTCCTTTGGCTTGCAAGCAATCTGCAAACAGGCAAACAGAGAGCGAGTGAGAAACAAACAGAGCAGCGATTTGTGAGAAAGGTGAAAGAAGGAGTGGGGAAAATTAGGGACCTTGCTCGAGGTTGTGAGGATGGATGTGAGGGTCTGAAGTTTCTTGTTCTTCTTCGACCTTTCTTGACACTTTTTCTTGTTACTCTTGACCTCTGAATCAGGGCTAAGGACGATTACTTCGTCGCTGGTGACTGCCGGCTTCGGCTTCGGTTTGGGTAAGGCGGCGGCGGCTGTGGGTCTCTTGGTCGCAACAAGGGCCTTCTTTGTCGGCTTGTGATCGACATCGACACAGATTTGCTTCTGGTATTTTCAAAATCGAAGCAAACCCCAAGATTCAGATTGAGTACGATTCAAAACTAGAAAACGAAGAAACGTTCCATGGGTTGGAGAGGAAATGGACCGGAACCTTATTGTTATCCGCTGCGGCGGCGGCTTGGGCGTTGGCCAGAAGTTGAGCGCGGAAGCTCCTGGTGAGAGGGCGAGTGATTTGCTTTCCTGGAATTTCAGGAACGATCCCTGCGGCCAGATTCCCGATGTCACCTAGAGCTCGCCGGCTCTTGTTCTCCCCTCCGGCGGCCATGGGTTTTTTCTGTGGTTCTGGATGGTGCTGCTTGTTCAAACCCCCTGCCGGGAAAAAAAAACCCAGAGAACCTCATCAGAAAGAAAAAAGAATAACGAAATCCGGAGCCCCAAACGAATAGATTTGAAGTCAATCGAACTTAATCAAGCAATCAAGATGAGAAAACCTAGAAACAGAGAGAGGCGATTTGGGGGGAAAGGGGGGAAACTGGAAAGAGGGAAGAAATTCTACCTCTAACTTGCTGTGGAACAATGGGTCTGGACGCCATTTCTTCGCTCTTCTTCTTTTTCTCACAAGAACTCTGTCTTCTCTCTCTGATTCCTCACTGCCAATCTCAGAGTGTGAGATAAAAGGGACAGGGCGGAGATTTGGGGCAATGGCCGCTTGCTTGCCTTATGAAAGAACTTTTGGTTCCAACGGTCGAATACGGTTTTGACTTGTGGCCGTTGGATGACTTTCTCGATCCGACGGCAGAGATTTTATAGCTGTTGAACTTAGAGTAGTAGGGTGAAAGAAACTGAAACCCCGAAATGGGAAAAAGGAATTTAAAAAGGTTAAACGGAGCGGGGGAGCGGTAGCTTTTGGAAAATGAATGGGCCGTATGGAATTTGGTTCAGATGGGCTTTGTTTCGTTCACGAGGCTGGTGGGCCCAAATAACTGGAATCGGATGGCCCGGCGTAGTGTTCATTTCGATCAAACTCGTACAACTGATTCTGTTGATTGACCAGGCCCATACATCCCATACTTCTCCGGTAGCAGCTTTTGGTCTAAAATTAAATATAATTATATTTTTTAATTTTACTTCAATACCTAATATTTTAGTTACGATAAAGTTATAAACACGTGAAAATCTCAATTTCTCAAATAAGTTAACAACAACATATGGATCGACCTGTCTCAGCTCACATCCTATAATAAACTACCCGAATTATCACGAAACGGATATAGATATTGAGACACTTGCCCCGATCTGCCATCCTCATTCCTAACGGTGAACTTAATTAACAAGTACCTGTAGCATACAATAAAACAAATATTTACAACTATAAGCATCATAAACATCACTAGAAACATATAGTAGCTAGCAAATCCCATTTTTGGTCGAACAGACTTTCACAAAAAGCCAAAGGTTTACAGCCGAATCATCCAAGGAGAGAAGAAGAAAAAAAGTACATACACAACAACACATGAAGTATACACTTCTATACTTCACCTGATCTCATCACACGACCAACAAAGTAGACTTCTGTTATTATGCATGATAATTAATCAGTACAACATACTCGAATAATCCTTAAACACTTGATTAATTAGGAGGGACACTTGAAGCCAGGGGGAGGAGTCTTGCCACAGTCAACGAGGACCTCGAGAGCAATGGGGAGGATGATGTTCAAGTTGAGCAGCTTCAACTTGATGGTGGTGCAGAGGCACAACGCAGCGTCGAGGTCCACGAGCCCTTCGAGAACCGGGCAGCAGGTCGACTTGGCACTCTCCCCGATCCCCACGTGGATCAGCCCGCCCAGCAGGTCCACGCACGCCCCCAGCTTGAGAGCGTCGATGGGGCACGTCTCCGGCTTCGGTGGGGCCGCCGGCGGAGGGTAGGATGGCACTGGCGGCGGCGGCGGAGGGCAAGGCGGCTCCTTGGGTGGCGTTGGTGGCTTAGGTGGCTCGACCGGTGGTGGCTTCGGCGTGACCGGTGGAGGGTACACAATTGGTGGGTTGGGCACGACCGGCGGCTTGGGGATTATCGGTGGGTGGACAATGGGTGGCGTGGGAACAACCGGCGGCTTGGGAATCGGCGGATGCACTATTGGTGGCTTTGGCACAACCGGTGGCTTGGGGATCGGCGGTGGGTAGACTATTGGTGGCTTGGGCACAACCGGTGGCTTGGGAACATGGGGTGGCTTCACCACCGGCGGCTTGGGCACATGGGGCGGCTTGACGACCGGTGGTTTGGGTGGTGGCTTGACGACCGGCGGCTTAGGCACGTAGGGCGGCTTGGGAACGTGTGGTGGCTTCACATGAGGCGGCTTGGGCACGTGGGGCGGCTTGGGAACATGTGGTGGCTTTGCATGAGGCGGCTTGGGGACGTGCGGTGGCTTGACGGCCGGCGGCTTAGGTGGGTGGTGAGGTGGCAGCGGAGGCCGGCAAGGCGGAGGAGGGTGAGAGCAGTAGGGGCAAGCGAGGGTGGTAGGGAGAAGAAGCAAGGCTTCCAAGTTGAGGAGCAAGAGGAGGACGAAGAATGGCTTGGCCATTGTTTGGAGTGTGTGCGCGATTCTTTTTAGTTGTGGAGAACCTCTTGTTATATAGACACACAAGCCAGCTAGTGAAGTGATAGATATTGCGAGGGGATTTTTCTTCTTCTTTTTTTGGGGTTTCAATTAGAGGTGTTGCCTTGTAGTTCATTGCTATAGTTTTGTCATGATTCATGAGAGTACACAAGGTGACAAGTTGGGGGTAATAATAGTGGTACATATGTGTGTATAAGGTGCTCATGAATCATGATGAAGACTTTCGTAGGGCTTGTTCTTTTGTAGTTTGGTCCTATTATCAAATGGAATTTTGGGTTCTTGGGGAATATGAAATTTGTTTTCCTATATGTGTAGAGATGGGTTACAGGTGGTACTTGTTCCTCAACAAATCTACGTACCCTAGTGTAGTTGTGATACTAAGTGGACCATAGATACATAGGTAAGAAAAGATTGTGTATGCTTTATATGATTTAACCTCCAAGATTGTTTAATTTGGTTTCGCACAACGTTGGAGTACTCTTGAAAGATCTTCTTAATCATAGTCATAGTTTTCAATTCTAGTGAAGAAATAGTTGCACTGATTCATATCGATGATCAAAGCATCTTTGGTTTGATGCGAGTTCAATATTTTTACTTTGTCGTTTCGCGAGATAGAAATGAAGCTATAAGCGGCTAAGAGCTACAATTACTGCATGCAGCGGCGGATCTAGGGGGGGCCGCCCCCGGGCCACGGCCCATCCCTCCCTCGATTCGGAGCTAGTATAATACTTGTAAATTTTCGATTTTTTGTGTTCGTTTCGGGGTTCGTTGTGTTACGACCCAGCCTTCTCTGCCTTTTTTTTCAATGTGGCTCGGTGCTCTACCCAATCCTGGATCCGCCGCTGGCTGCATGGATGGATGAATGAGATTTATTTCGCAAACGTTTCTTTTTCGTCGGTCCACCTGATATTGTACTTCTACATTCACTCAAGTCTGTTTGTGAAAGTAGATTCCTTTTTAGAGTTTAGATACTTTCGACACTTCAGTCACCAGCATCGAATTAACCAAGAAGGAGCCTAGAAGACTAGAAGTATACATATATGTGCTCACAACAAAAATGTCTCCACTACATAACTTGGACTTCAAATATGGGGCATGATTAGCTGTACAAAAGCATCTTCTACAAACGGAAACCAACATTTACTACAATCAAAACAACCCAAAGCTAGAGAGATTTATCAGTAAGGAAACTAGCTTGTCGTTTCGCTCTCCAAGACGTTGAATTGGTGAGCTTGTACATGTATGTAACGTAAACCAAACTTATTAGGGTTTTTAGCTTTGTGGGACAGACGACAAAAAGAGGAAACCCAGCAGCGCCAGAAATCGAGCAGCCATGGACGACGACGTGGAAGAGAGCTACGTCGACACAGCACGTTGAATGATGAGATGAGAGGTGGTGAACCTTTCAAGATCGATCTTAATAGCAAAAATAGGACAGAGAGATTCGAAGGAATGGAAATAGCTAGCGATAATAAGACTTTTCCATAATATGGCCAAAATTACATCTTCTTTCACATACCCGTCTCTACCCTTTTACTTCTTGGGCCCGTGACATATTTTTGACTGCTTCTGCCGGCGGCCCACAGCTTTACACTGCATGCATGTGACTTACCCTCCACTAGCTTAGCTTAGAGATGAGTCAAGAGAGATATTATGAGGGAGAATTAAGAGAAAATATTAGGGATTCTGAAATCGTATCTACCGGAAAAAAGTTATATAGCGTCAATGTATTATATGCCGGACTCGTGATTTTATTATGGTGCAATCGTTTCATTCTGCTAAAATCGTCTATCTATTGGGATCCCGACGGGTGGTTTGTTTTTTTCCCGACCGCGCAATGTCGATATAATAAGGTTTTTGCAAACTAGAAAATATACATCGTGGTTTGAGAAAGAACTAGCGAGATCGATTAGATTCTAAAGTAGAATGAAAAAAAGGTACTTAATTAGGGTTACTCGATCGTGTTCAATAACTACGAAAGAACTAACGTACAATATATACAAGCTAGAGCCCGAAACCCTAACAACTAATCAACTACGCGCTAATCCTCGATGGTGAGATATCTTTATATAAGCCTCTCCAATATAACATAAGGCAACAAGTTCGAAGCTATCCCATTAATGTAACTAGAATCGTTGAGAAAATTTCGACCGTCGCGATATTGTAGTATCGTCGTTCGCATGATCACGAACATCTGATCGTCCGTACTTGTGATCGATGGACTATCTTATTTGATGTCGGCCCGAACTCGATCGAGAGCACTCTGCCGGCGTCGATCAGTCATAACTCATAAGACCCCGTCATTCAATCGCCGGTTACTACTAATAATTACAAACCATCAGTAATCATCGATATCTTTTCACCCAACCCACGAGCACAAAAGTATAAATTAGTTAGGCTATGATGAAAGGGAGAGTGGCCAGGGAGCCCTAGTTGTACTCGTCGGCACAAGAGTACAAAGTGAACATTTATTTGCATGAAATTGACTACCACAAATTCCTGTACACATCAAGTTACAACGTACGTACGTAGCCCTAGGTTTTCTACTTTTCAAAGGGCCACTGATAGACTCCTCTGAATAGGAACGACAATGACAACGCAGGTCAAAGCCGGAATACAGGTATTCATGCTCGTTCATTGACAGGTCTATCGGGTTTAGGTTGAGTATTTTTATCTTGAGGTAGTAGTTGATACGGGTTAATACGAACGAGTACGCATTTTGAAGGAAAATTTGTTTTCTCATTAAAAGAAATTCGAGATAGAAACTATATATAGCATGATAAATGAAGTTTAATTAATGTGAAAACAAAGGTTTCTCATCGGAGTAAAATTGAGTAAAATTATAAACAAAACATAGAAATGGACCCGCTGGAAACCGTGTTTAGGCCACGAAATTCCGGGCGGCGACGAGGGGATGTGGGCCTGGCAGGCCAAACCCGTGGGGCCCAGTCATCACGGGCCCGAATAAATCCGATGAGAGTCCCTTTCAGCTTTTTTTGTTCTTCTTCTTTCACGTCTGCGGCTAATTGCAAACAGCTCGCGCTCGCGCTAAACGACATTACCTTCCACCAAATCCGTACTACCGGACAACTCCATTCCTATCCCCTTCAAAGTTCAGAGCCCCTACTTACTTACTGCGACTCTCTAGGGTTGTTGAATACTCTTCCATTGACGTAGTCGTAGTCAGAAATCTGTGTGAGAAGTAAATCGTTTAAAAATAAATGTTTTGAACGATGAAAATGAAAGATCACAGTTAATTTTGTTAGTGTTGTGGTATATGATTCATGATTGAACCTCTTGATAGCAACTTGTGCTAATCGGACTAATGCCGTGATTACAATATATAAGCGTCTAAACCTAATACGTAAACCATCAACCCTAACCGACCCCTACTACTTCCCTAGGCCTCTCGGCCAATCTACCCCAAAACCCTGGCCCAAGCTTACGTACTACTAATGACCTAGCTAAAACAATTAAACATAAACCCATCAACAATTAACCCATAAACACTAACCCAAATCCCCAACCCATTTCTTCTCGTCCTCAACCGTCCTTGGGGTGCTACCATTCCATCCCCCTTCAAATTCAACCTTGTCCTCAAGGTTGACCTTCAGCATCGTCCTCCTCGAACAAGCACATAATCTTGGTTGTACCGCACTTGTACCCGAGCGTAAACCGTTCGTCACAATTGAAGCATAGCCCCTGGGCGCGTCGTAGCTGTTGCTCTTCCCAGGTCAACCTCCGACCACCCGCCGCACCTCGCGGTGGCCCTGGCCCCGTCGCGGTTGCCGTTCGAGCCCCCGTCGGCCCGCTGCCATACCCCGCCGCCCCCGAACTTGGTGCCGGACTGGATGTCGCGCGACTCGTCGGCTGTTTGTGCCGCTGCAGCTGGTCGCTCTTCATCCGTGCCAGGCTGATTGCCTCCCGGAGGGATTGCGGACGAAACATACGAATGTCATCCGCGATCTCGGGTTTGAGCCCGCCCATATAGGTTCCCACCAAAGCTTGCTGCGTCCAACCGACGCAACGATTAGCGAGCTTTTCAAACTCGCGCTGATAGTCCCGTAGCGACACGGTCTGGCGAATACGAGAGAGAGCCTCGTCGCAGCTCTCGCCCTATGTTGGCCCAAATCGCGCCCACAGCTCCTGCGCGAACAACTCCCATGAGATTGACTCTCCAGCATCCTTGTATGTCCGCTTCAGCCACTGCCACCATTGGTTCGCCTCCCCCTCCAGGTGGAACGAAGCCAACGAAACCCGTTGCTCCTCTGGAACCTCGTGATACTCAAAAAATTGTTCGACTCGAGGAAACCACGCCCCTGGTTCATCCCCTGCGAACCGCGAAAACTCAAGCCGAGCTAGCTTGGCGAGGAATCCCCCGCCGCTGCTCCTGCCGCCATCGGCCCCTCGGGAAGCCTCCCCGCTCTTCGGATCACCCCCGCCGGACCGCCCAAAGTCGAGCCGTCGTCCGGAGTCCCCCGACGCCGAGGAACCACGGCGCTCGCCCTCCTTAGCGGCTGGCGTTTCCTTCTCGCTGGTGCCGCCGTCGTGCGCCAACCCCTTGCCCTTGAGAAGGTCACGAATGGCTGGCTCCACCCCGTCGAACCGGCCGCCCAACGCGTGGAGACCCTGGTCCACCCCGGTGAAACGCTCGCCCAGCTCCCGTAGGGTGAGGTCCGCCGCCTGCTGCCCTCCTCGCAGCTCCTCGATCGCTGTCTGCAACTCCTCTACGGCCTGCTCAAGTGCAGTACACCTTTCCGCAGCTGTCCCTACCATCGTGGGCTCTGATACCAATTGATAGCAACTTGTGCTATCGGTTTAGGGTTTTGCTTGTAACTCACAAGCGAGAGAACGACGTAGAGTGTCGAAAGACTTTTAGGTTTATTCTTGATTGATTAATCGGACTAATGCCGTGATTACAATATATAGGCGTCTAAACCTAATACGTAAACCATCAACCCTAGCCGACCCCTACTACTTCCCTAGGCCTCTCGGCCAATCTACCCCAAAACCCTGGCCCAAGCTTACATACTACTAATGACCTAGCTAAAACAATTAAACATAAACCCATAAACATAAACCCACCAACAATTAACCCATAAACACTAACCCAAATCCCCAACCCATTTCTTCTCGTCCTCAACCGTCTTTGGGGTGCTACCACCTCTCTCAACAACTCGAGTTATTGAGATCAATTGGTTCATTGACAAACAGTGCCACAGTTTTGGCGGTTGGTTTAATTGGCTGGCACAAAATCTACCTTGCATGGGAAGTGAGTAAGTCACGCAAGTTAACTGCTAACTTGTGAATGACAACCTAGCTACTCCTGTATTGAACTTTCAGACACAAACCGCCGGCCGGCCGCCATATCTTCCCATGCAATTGGACGGAAGCCAAAATAGATTCATCCGCCGCCTCAAGCAAGCTCCGAGTACGGTATTATTTGATAAGTTTCAATTCATGCATTATATAGAATCCAGTTATTGAACGCATGCACTTGATCCGCCGCCATTTCTAGGAAAGGAGAAATCAATAGAGGAACATAATAAAGATTAGGGCGTTTTCGATTTTTTCATCGTTAACGTTCGATTTACTCATTTTTTCCTTCTTTCTTTGACAATAACTTGACAATTCATATCGACTTAAGGGAAGAGTTGGGTGTTGGTGAGTTGAGAGTATGGTGGGCTTTTGAAGTTACTTAAGGGAAGAGGAAGATGCAGGCAACTTTTGAAGTTCAGATTTTGTTTCTCTTTTGTCATCCAACTTTTGTTAATGTTGCTTTGCTTGGTTGCTACTCAAGGTGTTAGTATAGTACACTGTTCAAGGTGTTGGTGCTCCTGACCTCAAGCAAAGATAAGCTAGCACTCATATAAAGCTAGAGCTAAACCCCTTCCATTCTGTTTCAAACTTGAGCAGATGAAACCATGACAATTACATCCAAATACAATATATTGCTCTCTAGCATAATCAAAAATGTCAGAGTTCGAATCTCAAAAAATGCCCTCCGAATGGATCAGGTAAACTGCAAAAGGGAGATCATGTAATGCTGGTTTCTTGCTAAGATGATTCAAACTGTCAGTTCTGGTCATAGTACACCACGGGTATTAACTCAAAGTTTCCCTATAAACCGTGCACTAACTTGGTGCGAGTTAATACGTCTTTCTCGAATTTCATCTGAGAAAAAACTACCCAATCACCAATGTACAAATGGCGATCTAAAGATCGTATCGCGGCAAAACTGAAGCAAGTGGCTGGCAGCATTAGGTTCTTCGAAAGTTTTTGGGAGCAGAGACTCTGCTCAGCCACGGGCTATGGAGAACCTAAGTTACTGCCACCGGTGTGAAGGAGATCCCCTCCTGATGCTTATTGATCTGCTGTACACTCAGCAAAACTAAATGGTCATGATGTCGTCTTTCGATATGTGCATCTTTGCTTTATCTCGTCTACCATTTACTTGCCCCCGCTCTGGTTGGCCTCTCTGATCAAGACACAGTGCCAGAGTTTTAGTCTTGGGAAGAATATGTAGAGATGTTATAGGAATGGCAGGGGAAATGGTTTACCTTTCTCAAGGCGAATGCAAGGTACAAGTATGCTACTTCCCATTCATCTGGCGATAGGGTGCCTGGACAGCAAAACCAAGGCAGTAAGTAAAAGGAGAGGATGGAAACAGAAACCAAAAAGGCCTGGAAAGACAAGAAGAAGCTTACTCTTGTCCCGATCATCCCCCAAAGCACCAAGCCGCCGCATTAGGTCGACGTATTCTGGTTTCTTTAAGTACTCGTGGACAAAGTCATGTGCATTCTTCGCAAAAACTAGCTCCAGATCATACTGCATAATAGAACAGGACATTGTGCAGGTTTTCAGCACAGACGGCTACAATAATAACCCATTTAGGTCATCTTCAAAACCAACAGTCTACCTCATCTGCCAACGCTTTAAAGACATCAACAGGCACAATCCATTCTGGACAATCAACGGCATCCTGCAATAACAGACAGCAAATCTCGAAATTCAGGTTGATTCATCAATCGGAAGTATCCCATGAATAATTTATTGATAAGAGGATTAAATACCTCTAGGTGGAACTGGTACTTGATACCGAAAGGAGAAGACGAGCTAAAGCTCTGAATCAAAGAAAGGGTGAGGTGTCATCCTCAAGGGTTGCAGTGTTCAAATCCAAGGAGATACGTATAAAGAACAATAATAATAATTCACCTTTTCTGTGTATTCTTCATCAAAACGAATCCAATACACACTATTGCCAAACGACAGTCCATCAGCTGTACATTGACATAAACCGCATCTTTAATCATGGGGTTTTACTTAGGGGGTCTGCAAAGGCCAATTTATATCTCTCTCACAAAAAGTAGTGCAGAATGGGGAAAATATCTCAAGTTTGCTCACAAAAATTTGTCAAGGAAAAGCAAAAACGGGTAACTCACATGCTCTGAGTTTTCTTATGATAACGTTAGCATCTGGCATTGTTCCAATAAAAGTACCCCCGGGACGTAGTAAGGCCGAGACATTGGCCAAAGCTCTCCGTGCACGTTTCTCAGTAGACCAAGAATAATGTAGGGCAAACTGCATAAATATGTGTTCATTCCTAGTCAGGGAAAATGTATATGGAAAAACCAGGCAATTCTAATCACATTACACAACGGCAAAGTTTGACTGGGAATTAGCAAAAGCGGAATAACAAATTAAACTCTTAATAAGGATAATCTATAAAACTAGTTGGGCATAGAGTGCCTTCTGCCAAAGTAGCAAGAAATTGTGGAAGTTGAACCAAACTAAATGCATTGTAATATAAAAATAGTAATAAACACTTATTAGCTAAGCAAGCTCGTGGCAAAACCATCCGGCAAACATTGAAAATTGAGGCTACATAACTGTCTGTAAAAAGCCTTGTAATTTACCTGACAGCTGCAGACATCAAAAGGAGCATCATCAGCAAGGACCTTGTCCAAGCGAATCTGCAATAACAAATCAGAATAGGTATATCAGATGATGGAACAATTTTTTCAACGAGGGGTAATGAATCATTGAATCATCATGAAATGATCTTCAAACTAACAAAGAGGAATCATGAAATCTGGCACCATTAAATAGTTCTGTTCAAAGCAATAACTGAGCTGAAATTACCTCATAACAGTCTCCACATATAAGACGAGCTGGAAATGAAAACTTCTTACGATTTTGATGATGATTGGCATCACCATTATAACGGGTTCGACAATCTTCGATCTGTCATGAATAGGGTGTTGCAAAATCAATAAGACTGATTATAAATCAGCTATCTAAGCAGCCCAAGGCGGAAGATTAAGGAGCAATTAAAAACATATTACCGAGCCTTCAGCAATGTCAACACCAACATAATATCCTACTTTTGCTTTATCCCACTTAATAAGATCTCCACCCTGGAAAAACAAAAACAAAAAATTATTAAATAATTTGCAAAGGTTCCATTAGGCGGATCCAAGGAGCAACTGAACTTACCTTCCCACAAGCTAGATCAAGAACAGCATCCCCTCTACGAGTATACAGTTGGATTAAGACACTTTTTATCTGTCAAATTGATGGTCCAACCAAGTCAATCCACCATTCTATCGAGCTTCAGAAGTCTAACGCAATAAAAGTAATGAAACATACCCAGTTGTTAAGTTTCTTTAAATGAATAATTGGACTCGATTCTCGCTCTGCCAGACTCTGATTTGTCCTTGCACTGTAATGGTTCGCCACTTTCTGAACAACATCCTCAGAATAGTCGGCATCACCTAGAAACACAAGACAAGCTCAAAACTCTCATTGGTCTGAAAAACACAGAGCAGAGATGGAAGCTTCTCCTGTTCTCCAGCTTTCTCAATATGCGATCGTGGACAGAATGCACAGTTGCAAGTTAATCAATTGAAACAACTAAAATCCAAGAATCAAATTTGACATTGGAAGTGAGATCAATCACAAGCAGTACTACTCCAACCTAACCAAAATCAGAAAGTTCCCACCTTTATTACCCCAACCTAACAAAAAATCAAACTAGGAACCCGTAAGAGCTAAAACCCAATGTCCAAAAGACCAACAACCTGCTATCTCAACAAGGAAAACATCATCTTAGCACGAGCAATTCCTACTTCAAAGTTCACCAACCCCTTCTCTAAAAAAAAGCCACCAGAATTCGTAACAAAGAAAGAAGCAATCCAGCCAACAGAAACCATGTTCAGCAATCAAATAGCTTAAAAACAGAAACGATCCTTACCTTCAGCGGAGTGCTTCAATCTGGATTTAGGAGGACCACCAGAGTTGGACGGAGAACCCGTGTACCCACGTTTCATGGCGTCAAGGAATTGAAATGACCACCAGAGTTCCAAACAATCACAGAAGCGCAACCAGCCCTGAACCCCCCCAGAGAGGAAGAAGCAGACACGCAGGGGCTCGGGCGTCTTCGGGCGCGACGCAAACTTCTAGGGTTCTAAGAAGGGGCGGAAATGGATCGAATTCGAAAGCGATAATGGAGGGATTCTATATGTTAAACAGGGAAAAGGGCGGCTGCCGCAGAAGCTAGTTCAATTCAAAGGGGTTGGTTGGTTTCTTTCGTTCGTTAACGGTAATCGGTGGCGGTTGAGCTTGGAAAAGGGAGAAAGCAAAGAAGCTGGAGGAAGAAAAATGAGGAGAAGGAGAAAGAAGAGTGAATGAGACAGTGAAGGTGACGGTGGTCGTACAAACGCACTCCACCGGGATTTTTACCAGTTTACGGCTGTCTTTCTTTCTTATTTTTATCTCCTTTTACTTCCTTCTTCGTTTTTTCCTTTTACCTGAGGAAACGGCGAAAACCCTTTTCTTTTTCCTGCTTCGACTACAAAGTAATTTACGCCATGGTGCTTTTAAAATAAAATAAAAATTATATAGTATGATCTATGATTCTTGATATCTAATTTACCTATTATAAGATCACAACTTCAGGGTTTTATAACAAATGTCAGTGTATTTGTTCATTTCTCGGTTAGTAAAATGATAATAAATATAAATTATTTTAGTCAATTTACGCTTAAGATTTTGAGTTCAATCTCTTCTATGATACAAGATTTATATGGATTAGATGTGTAATGCAATGCAATTAAGAAAGATAACCATATGATGGACACCAAAATCAACCAATGTTGAAGAATGATCACCAAATGGTTGAACTGACTATTATACAACCCAATGGTTTACTTCGGCGTCTATATAACAGCAAAATTCACCCCAATTATCACAAAGATACAAAATTGGAAGAATGATCAGAAGATATTTACATTTAGTTTCACATCATACAACAAATGAATCAAGTTGATGTCAAGTTCTTGTTTAAGCTTGAACCACAGCTTCCAATTGGCAGCTTGAGCTAACTTCCAAGTAAACTCCAGTCTCCACTACTTCATTCATCCCCACAGCAGTTGGCAACCCAACTAAGCAATCAGACGCATGTCAAAAAGCCTCTCAACATTTTCAATCAACTGCACGAAGAACGGACCGAATCAACTTCCAACCGCTCGGCAACCTGTGCCTCAGCTCGTAGTCATGGAAGGGATAGTCCATAACAAAGATCATGAAGCTCAAGAGATCCAATGTCACCGCGTCTGTATGCTCTTGTAGTAATCTGTAACCGTACTTCACCAGCAGCTACTTTTCACTATTCACTTTGGTCAGGGATAAACCCATTTTACTAGCCATTTTTCCAGCCTTCTTGGCTTTCTTCCATCCTAGCAAGTGTAGCCATGACAGAGAAACCAGGTGCCTGTGAAAGAGAGAAACTAGAAATACCATCAGACTAGCTTTGCTCAAGTAAGATTTCTTAAGTACGGTAAAGTTCAGAGCAAGTACCCAATCCCGAGTGATGATGGTTGTCTCGAATTGGAATATTTCGGTTTAAGAAGTTCGAGTCATATTGCTACATTTGTGCAGGACCCAGATTCGCAATAGCGAATTGGAATCAGACTCAGATACCTGCCATAAGAAAGAAAGGCAACCGAAAAATTGAATTTTCGCAAATTCAGTCTAAACAATCAGGCATGGATGTGGAGTATCACCTGGTCACTGCAGCAGGTATCTTATGAATCAGGATGTTAAGCAGGGTCCTTGCCAGATTTGTACGATGATGGCATCTGACTTCCAGACACAAATAATTTCCTCCAGGAGGAACTCAACTAACTCCTGCAAATTGTATAAGGTTCAGAAGGGAATTGACTGATTAAAATCTGTTACTCCAAGGTAGTATGGAGAAAAATTCAAGGGACTTTACTGATATAAATAGACCATACCTAAAGAGATAGGCACAAAACAAGCAAAAACATAAAGCATGTGCTAATCCAGCCAGCATCACCCGCTGATGTAATGGTCTCCATAGAAACAATGGTTTCAGTTCAGCTTCATTCTGCAAATAAGCCAATAAAGCTTTCAAGAAGTTGAAAAAGAAAACTGGACCGAAATAGATTTTAAAACTTGTAATAGTAAGCAAAATCCTCCACCCACACTAGTATCATCTCCAGTCCTCTCTAATACAACCTACTAAAGACTGGCTATCATAAGAAATAGACACAAGAAGTTCAACAACATATTATCTCATGAAATCAGTGAAATTTCATAAGATAACCACAATGGATTGCCTATCAAGATACATGAATCACGAGAAACAATCAGTGATGTTTCTCTTAATATCAGTGATAAATCATACCATCTCTTAGAATTAACATGCACGAGCTGCTAGAAAGCACAGGAGGAGTCTTTAGGCTGTGAAGGTTACCAATGCACCTAACAAGAACTTAGGCGTCATGAGGCTTCCGAAATATCAGAAAGAAATCATTATTTAATCATCTGAAAATAACGAATTGCCTTCCTAAGCTTCCTGGAGAACAGCTTGTTTAGCTGCCGGGAGTATTCTAATCCCTTCTCTTGCACAAGAGAGCAATAGCTCTTTTGCACAGCCCAACCTTCCAGCCTTGGAAAGGTTGTAAACCAATGACGAGTACGTAAATGAATCTCTCCCCTCCATCGACTCAGTCATTCTCCAGGCAAGATCAAACTTGCCAGCTTTACCTAACCCGTCAATAACAGAGTTTGTGGCAGCAGAGGTGGAATCAAGACCGCTGATACTCATAGTCATCAAGTGTTGTCGAGCCGCCTCAATATTGCCAGCCTTTCGCAATCCATCCACAATTATGGTATTTGTGTACTTATCAAATTCCAAACCTTTTTTCCCCATTTCATCAATCCAATTATCAGCTTCATCCAACTTACCTTCTTTACACGAGAGATTCATTAGTGTATTGTATGACACTAAATCAAGCTCAATACCATTTGTTATCATCTCTTCTCTGAATGAAGCTGCTTGCTCGATTCTACCAAGCTTGAGCAGAGCTCCAAGTGCTGTACAATAACCAAACCCATCGTAAGTGTACCCTTTACTCTTCATCTCTTCCAACACCCTAAATCCTTGATTAAATTTTTTAGACTTAAACCAGCATTTCATCATCGTAGTATAAGTTACAGCATTGGCAACTTGTCCAGAAGCCTCGCATTCCCGGAGGGCCCTTCTAGCAGCGCCCAATTTCCCAGCTTTACACAACCCATCAATGAGAACATTATAAGTAACCAAATCGGGATGAAACCCATGTTCCTTCAAGTACCGGAACAAACCAAGTGCCTTACTAGCATACCCATTCTTGCAGAGACCATTGATCAAAATGTTATAAGTAGCAGGAACGGGTGTCATACCTAGTGACTTGATATTGTCCAGCATCTGATAAGCTTCAACCGGCTGCCTCAGCTCAAAGAAACAGTGCATCAAAGTGTTGAAGCTCCAAACATCCGGGGTTACGCTTCTCTCGAGCATCTCGTCGAACAGTTGGAATGCATTGTTGAACAAGTGCCGCCTCGCAGCACACGCAATCAAAGAATTGTAAGATACCACGTCGGGTTCCATCCCGGCTTCTGCCATTCTACCCAGAACAGCATAGGCAGCCTCGATGCTAACTAGACGACCGTAGCCATTGATTAAGGTATTGAAAGTTACCACATCCGGGAGAACTCCGAGCCTAATCCCATCGATAATCACCGTCTCCGCTCGCTTCAAATTCCCAGCCTTGCAGAAAGATCTCACGCACTCATTCAGTAGTAAGTTCTCCAAATTCACCCAAACATCTCTCTTCATCCCCCTTCTCTGCTTTCTACTAACCGCAGCCAACTAGCAAAGAAATGGCGAAATTTCGCATACCATATGGCGATTTCGTCTGCTTGAAGCAAAAATGAAGCGAACGCAAGGAAGCCGAAACCCGGCTTGCAGGCGATTTTTGGAGCCAAACTGAATCGTACCCGACGAATTCAGGAGGAGACGATGGAGAAGAAGAAGCCGTGAGCGTAATTGACTGGGCCTGGTCGTCAAGAAGTTAAGCAGGCCCAAGTGGATATTTGGCAGTTACCCAACCCAATGTCAGCTCTTGGGCTCAATAATTCGGGCCTGGCCTAACTCGATTTTCCCTCGTCTTTTATTTATTCCCACCAAAAAGAATGGCAATCAATGTCGGATAAACGGATAAAAACTGTCACGGGACACCCGCCAAAGATTTAAATTTTTAAATGCAACGGTCTCCTTTCCGACGCCATCTCATTTCTACAAAAAGCAGAGCATGGAAAAGAAAAGGGAGACAGAGCAAAGCAACGGTAACAAGGAATCCGAATCCAGGACGGAGAGAAAAGGAAAAGGGAGATCAGGATGTCGAATAATAAGAAGAGGAAACAAAGGGGAAACGAAGAAGGAGGAGAAGAAAGAGAGGGATTTCTGAGCCCAAATTGCAGAGTGGTGGAGTATCTTCAGCCACTGATGTCGAAGGAGCTGCTAGTCAAGTTCCCGGACAACTCCGCTTTCGATTTTAACTACTCTGAGAGCTCGATATGGTCGCCTCTGGTTCCTCGTATCCACAATTATGGCGGCGGGTTGGAAAACAGGCCGAGGAAGAGGATGAAGGTGAAGAAAATGGTGGTGGCAGGGGAGGTGGAAGGAAAAAATGCCACTTCGTGCAACTTCAGTTTCGGATTGACGAAGATGAAGAAGATGAAGAGGAAGGAAGGAATAATGGTGGACTCTGTTTTCTCTTCAAATCCTGTGGAGGGCTCTGTTACCTGTGTCCCTCTGGCTACTAAGGTAACGCCAAGTTATCCAAAATTTATTTCCCTGTGGTTCCTTTTGGATTGTGCCTATTAGGGTTCTTCATAGTAACTTCATTTTTGTTGGGTGGGGGGGATCTATGTAGGGTTGGAATAAGGTGCTGAAAGCTGCCACTAAGCATTTCAAAAGGAGCAAAACGAAGATGACGAAGAGGAGAGACTCCCGTGTCAGGCTGTCCAACTATCTGGTGAAATTCCCTGAAGAATTATGATCTTCTTCTTCCCCTGAATTCGCATTTGCCAGTTCTATTTTATGATAACAATATTCTACGTTGTCGAATCTTCATTTATGGAAATGGAAAATGAAACGAAAGGTAAGAAGTTCCATCATTCATCATAAAACAATGCTGCCAGTCCATCTCGGGTTGCTCTGGCCGAATGTCTTTTTTCTAAGAGGACAAGCAAGTGCTGATCGGCAAATCGCAATAGGAGACGAGAAAGCAAAGAAGGAATTAAATAGTTGTGGCCGGAATGTGATTGACTATTGAATATTGATATGGTCCAAGGCTCAACCTATAGTTTGAATTGAATTTCTTGTGTGTGTTTCTTATCAATAGATGGGGGACGATACCAACAAAGGTTGAAAGAAAGGAGAAGGTTGTGTATGGAATTTATGAAAACGCATAATCAGATGATTTTTGGACTTGCATGTTGCGTTAGGTGTCGGAAGATCATATTCCATTGAGCTAAGAATTGAACACATTATAAAAATACCACAGCAACGATTAAAAATACCTTAAACATCTCATACCATATTTCATTGTGAGGTTAAGATCGTTGCCTCAACACACATCTCATGCCATGTTCCATTACGCCGCTAAGAGTTGTGTCGCACTGCAAGTTAGTGACAAATGTTTTGCTTGATTCAAATTGTGGGGTGTCGTTGGATTGGCTGGTTCAAGCAAGATTTGGTTTTGTTTAGATGTGTCGAATAGGTTGTTATCGAATTCCATGTCAATCAGAATGCTAATGAATCATGCATGTAAATCCTGCAGTCGATCAGATCGTAGGCGATTGAACGCGTTATGCACATCGATTGTGCTTTCGATTCAGTTCGACACTAACGAAAAATCAAAACATAAGTATCATCCATCGAGATGGTCCATGTTTACAATGATCGATCAACCCTAACATGTTGAAACGACTGGCTTTGGACTTTTGACTTGATTAGCATCTTCATCATTCGGCTGGAATTGAAAATCCAGATTTATATATCGTTAGGACAAACCGCCGAGTAGGGGAGTTATTCTTACTGCAAACGAAGCTACGTGAGAAGTTATGCATCATTTCGTGAGGAAAAAGCAGAGTAAAAACTGAATCTTTTCTGCCGGAACCGGCTTGCTAAAGTCGTGAGAGTTGAGACTCTTACCGGAAGAAGTCAAAGTGTAATTAAAAAGGGATGACCTTGTAATTAGACTTCATTGTGATTTCGTGAAGAACAACAATATTTGTAAACTCACTGACTGAAATGTCAACAAATGTCAAACGTGGTGGTGCGGCTATTTGCTAGGTATTGAGGAATTATTTGGTTGTCATGCATTTTTTTTTATACCAAAGAAATGCCAAAAAGCATAAGCATAGTAAACCGCATTAGGTCGACAACAACCACACACGCACGATATTATGTATGCAATTGAGTTATCGTCGATGAAAGAGCTTGTTCTATCAATAAATAAGAAGCTCTATTCAATCCTCGGGGGAGACAAATAACATGAAAATGACTAGAAAATGACTAGAAAAAGGAATGAATTCCTTCCTCCATAGTGGATCCCACCATGCATTAGGTGGTTAATTGCAGGTACTATCACGTCGAATTATTTATCGTATGTTGATTCTTAGATAATATATACAACGATATAATTTTTATATGAAAAAACATAGGTATACATTTTCTACCAGAACGAAGAAAATGATACCGTTTAATAAAATGAAACGATTGGAGACATTGAACTTCACATTTAGTAACAGACACATCGATAGGAACATAACAAAATATTACAAACCAATACATTTGATAAAAATCGATCTAATACGAAGGGTAAGTTCAAGAAATCATACCAAGAACAAACTAATCCGAATCGCTAAGGTTGAACTTGTCATTTGTGCATCCAATTCCGCCGTCCATGCAAACATTTCCCCTATAAAAACCCACCCTGAAAATCACAACCCAAACCACCACATTCAGCTTCCATAGAAAAGAAAATAGGCACTTCCTCTTCACTTCTTTGCACATCACCCATAAAACTCCTTCCGTCATAACCAAACCATGACAACCCCAGAGCTCATCATGATCCCAATCCCAGCAATCGGCCACCTCCCGCCGATCTTCGAGTTCTCCAAGCGCCTCGTCTCTCGAAACGATCGACTCTCCGTCACCATCGTCCTCATCAGAACACCTTTCACCCCTGAAGTCGACTCCTTCTCCGACTCCTTAGCCGATTCATGCGACCCAAACAGAATCAAATTCATCAGAATCTCAGGCCAGACCCTCCCTTCCCCTGAATCCATCCGCTCCATCCAAACTTTCTTCCCTCAATTCCTCGATTCCCAAAAGGACGCCGTCAGAGAAGCTCTGCTGGCGGATCGCGCGAACAGAGGCTCCCCTGTTTCCACGGTGGTGGGCGTGGTGGCGGATATTCTGACCACCGCCGTGGTCGAAGAGGTCGGGAAAGAGCTCGGAGTGCCCACCTACCTTTTCCATCCTTCCTCTGCAGCGTTTCTGGGCCAGTTGCTCAGTTTCCCGGCGGAATTCCGGCCAGAGGTGGCCGCCGGAGATCCCGACGGCGAGATTACGTTCCCGAGCTATGTGAACCCTGTCCCCAACAAGCTACTTCCGTCGATAATGCTCGACGGGGAAGGTTACGCCACGGTGAATGATCATATAAGGAGGTTCAGAAAAATGAAGGGAATTGTGTTGAATTCGTATGTGGAGATCGAAGCTCGCGCCGTCAGGTACTTGGAAGGAACGAACATGGCGCCGGGGAATTCGTCACCTCCGGTTTTCTGCGTCGGCCCTGTTATCGACGCGAAAGGGCAGGGCAAATTGGGGGAAATTACCACCAACTCCTCGATCGAAAAGATCATGACTTGGCTCGACGATCAACCTCGAAACTCGGTGGTCCTGCTGTGTTTCGGGAGCGTGGGGAGCTTCAGCGACGCTCAGCTGAAGGAAATCGCGGCGGGGCTCGAGCTAGCTGAACACCAGCGGTTTCTGTGGGTGATCCGCGAGGCGCCATCGAAGGAAGCTCCGGGGATGCCCAAGGATTACCTCGACTACTCCGAGTCCGGCGGCCTGGCGGGCAAATTAGGAGAAGGGTTTCTGGATCGGACCAAGGGGAGAGGAATCGTGTGCGGGTGGGTCCCACAGGCGGCGGTGCTGGCCCACGCGGCGGTCGGAGGGTTCGTGTCGCACTGCGGGTGGAACTCGGTGCTGGAGAGCCTGTGGCACGGGGTGCCCGTGCTGGCGTGGCCGATGTATGCAGAGCAGCAGATGAACGCGTTTTATCTTGCGACGGAGCTGGGGTTGGCGGTGGAGATGAGGGTGGATTACCGGATGGAAGAAGACACGGTGGTGAAAGGTGATGAGATCGCTAAGAAGATCGAGCGAGTGATGGATGGGAACAGCGAGACGAGAAGGAAAGTTAAGGAGATGAGTGAAGCGGCGAGAAGAGCCGTGGTTGAGGGTGGTTCTTCCTTCGATGCTTTTGGCGGGTTTGTTGATTTGATTATGAAGAACAAGCCTATAGATTGATTGGTTGGGTTTGTGACATTTCAATGAGAATTCAACGACCTTTTGTCGATTGAATGTTTGGTTATCTTTGTTCTCTAATAAAACTTAGTGAGCTATACTTCCACTAAGGCAATGATGATGTGGTCTCATTCTTGACAAGTACTATTTCCAATCTTTGTGACGGTTACTCAGTTATCTCAACTGCTTCATAATTAAAACAAACAATCTAATACGCAAATTAAGAGTTTCATTTGATAAATACGCATTCAAATGAGATAGTTAATGATGCATGCCATCTTGGAATATTTGTCTGTCTCGAAGTGAAAAATAATGTATACAATTCAGAATCTCACTTTTATGTTAAGATTGTGGACCAATTTTTGTTTCCTTTTTGTCCCTATAAACTTTTGTATATTGTTTACTTTTTATATCGAAAAACAAGAATAAATATGAGATTTCGTTCTGAACGTGACTTCTCTATTTCATTTCTAAAATTAAAATCACGATCACCTAACATTGTAATCTAAAAAATGCACTCATTTTATTAATACAACAATTTATAAAACGTACAATTATGAAACACATCAATTGTAACATTTACAAATACTAAACGCAATATCAATGACCATTATTCAAATCGGCAAATCGACGCCACACCTATAGCAAATATCACTAGTAGATAGTTGGGTAGCCTAATGGGCTGGTCCATGGTACTTGATCTTGGGCTTCAGCGGCCCAGTATTGACCGGCCCAGAGTCTTGATCAGGGCTTCTTCTCCAACTCCTCATAAAAGACCTCGATCAACTTCCCGACGGCGGCAAACGACGACCCACCTTCCCCGACAGCTGCTCTGCTCCTTTCACCCATCTCTTTCGCCCTCTTCCTCACCGCACCTCCTTTCTCCATCACGCCACTCACAGCCTTCTCGATCTCCTCCGCCATCACAACCCCTCCGTCGTCCACTTCTTCCCCGCCGAACTTAATCCGGTAGTCCAACCTCAGCTCCACCGCCAGCCCCAGCTCCCTCGCCAGCTGAAACGCATTGCACTGCTGCTCCGCGTACAACGGCCACGCCACCATCGGCACCCCGTTCCACACGCTCTCCAGCGTCGAGTTCCACCCGCAGTGAGACACGAACCCTCCCACCGCCCTGTGAGCCAGTACCTATCACGAATTCACGAGTCACGCACGAACGAGTTATAAGTAATCACTAACTTACGAAAATTATTGGTATATTGGGAATTAATGTAATACTCATCAATTTCGTCATATTGACAATAGGCATCAGCACAAATTGACTTACATCTCAACATAATCATACGTTTTAATGTGAATGTGCTCACGAACGATTAAACACATGTACTAGGTACGACGAGTCGATCCTAACTGACACTCTCTTAATTCGAATACGTTAAATGATGTCCTCCACGAACGAATAAAACATGTACATAGTTCTTACCCCAAAAAAAATGTACACAGTATATACTGTAAATGCGAAGTAATTATGAAAAATAAATGACTTAAAAGTCCACACACCTCGACTTGCGGGGCCCACCCGCAGATCATCCCCGTCCCTTTAGTCCTCCCCTCGAAACCTTCCGGCAAGAACTCGCCGTAATTCCCGTCGTAATCCGCCGGGAGTGAAATTCCTTCCGCCGGAGGAGGTTTCCTGATGGACCAGAGGAACCGGCAGCCGGTCCGCTCCAGCCCGGCGGCGATTTCCCTCAATTGAGCCTCGTCGAAAGCTCCCATACTCCCGAAGCAGAGGAAGACCACGGATTCCTCCGGCTGACCGTCCAGCCACCTCAGGATCTCGTCGCGCCCCCCGGCCTTGCCGAATTTCACCTGCCCCTGAGCCTTGAGGTCCAGAATCGGGCCGACGGGGTAAACCGGCGGCGAGGAAGAAGAAGAGATTAGGGATTTCAGAGCGTGAGGTTCCAGCTCGGCGAAGGAATTGACGATAATGCCCTTGACTTCCGAGAATCGCCGGCCGTGATTCGTCATCGACGAGTACCCGCCGTGCTTGTTGAGGAAGACGGACGGAAGAAAACGAGAAGGGAACGGGTCGGCGTAGCTCGGGACTGGTACCGGGTCGCCCGTCAGTTCGAACACGGATCCGACCCGGTCGTGGTGGGTTGGGAGGTAGAGCATGAACCCGAGAAATGCAATTGATGAGGTGAAGAAGAGATAGGAAGGGATCCCGAGCTCGTCAGCGACGTCGATCATCGAGGTGCAGAACAGATCGACGACTAGGCCGGCGACCGAGGGCAAAGCGAGATTCAGAATCGCTTCTTTCACTAGCGGCCGGTGTGCCTCGATTAAGGTGGAGATGAAATGCTCCGCCGATTTGGGAAGTTCCGGCGAGGAAGAGGAAGAAGGGGGAGGTAGTTGGGGGAGGGTAACGAGTTGGATTCGGCGGTCGTCGTCGCCGTCGATGGCGCCGCAGAATGATTTGACGTAGCCGTCGATGTCATCGCCGAACGGCGGCGGGAACTTGATGAGGAGGATGACGACCGAGATGCCGGCGTCCCGCCGGAGCAATCGGCGGGCAAATTCGATTGTGGAGACGAGATGGCCGATACCGGGAGATGGGACGAAGACCAGCTGAGCGGACTGCTTCATTTTTTTTTCAGATGAAGAAATCGGATAACCTTTTTAGTTTTTTGCTCAAGAAACGGGTGGTGGTTATACGAATCATGGCGGGATGGAGGGACCATATCTTATCTTTGAGGAGAGAGGTTTAATTACAGAAATGATCACTTAAATTCAACGTAGCGTCAAGTTGGTACCGAAGGTTTTTTTTATTATCAAGTTGGTAAGTCCTCCATCAACATCATCTAGTTCTCTCTCACTAGTAAATCAAAGATCTATTTGGGTAAATGCACTTGTCAGCGGAGTTATGAGAAAATCCATGAGTTAAGACAACAAAATAAAATTTCTCATACCATTGCGTAGGTGCTTGCTTTAGATATACAAGAACTTAAGCAACTCACACACCTTTGTTTCATTTTCAGGCAATACAAACCTTCTGGTTGCTCCATGTACACTTCCTCGTCTAACTTACTATTTAGAAATATCATCTTAACATCCATTTGGTTTACAAAGACAAGCTCAGCTCTTTCATAGCCTCTTGAACACCATGCAGCCTCTTTCCCACGTTTGACCCACGTTTTCCCAACTGCCGATTAGGAAAGTTTCCTCTTTCACTAGGACTTATGTTAAAGAGTTTTTTTATTCTCCCACATTTTTCTACCGTAGATTTGGCAAGTTTATTGGTATATATAAATTCCAATTGCATATCTAGAATATTGAATACTACTAAAAAATCAATCTCAATCACAAACCCAAAAAAATTAACTCAGTAATCGAAAATACCAAATAATGATAAATTTTGTGTGGTATTTGATGGATCCCAACAATTAAACCAAACTTCCACCCCTAGTTTGGAACAATATTTTTGATATGACAATCCTTGCTTGTTGGCCACTGACTTTTCAAGTAATGATTAATTAATAATCAACTTAAATTGCTACTCATTAAATAGGGGGACAACTAATGCACATAGACATGGCTGCATGGAATAACTAAGTATTTTTATAGATTTAATATGCCCAGTAGCTTTCGATTACCCCTAACCAACCAGTGTCCAAATAAAAATTACTACTAATGAATTAAAGTAGCTAAATTAGTATCACCACTATTCACACGACCTCACGCAAGAACTTCATGTTATATTTCATTAGTAGGCTTTGTTATGGCCAAATCAATTATGGTATGTTCTTGTCCAAGTTTAAAGGTCGTTACACATAGAAATTTACACACGCACAATGACTTACCATCTAATTGTATGTTAAGCATCTTTAAAAAAAAACTATTTGTTAATATGATTAGCTTCGATTCAATCGAAATTGGATGACCACCGTTACTTAATTTCGTTATTATAGATTTTGTAATGTGTTTTGGATTTTTTTCAATATAATAAATATATTCGTATCCCAAAAGTTAACGATAAGAGCGTTGGAGTTCATAATTTTATTAAGAAATAGAATAAGAATTCTCATGTTTGTAATTGTACCATTCATGTCATTGTTGACGCGTTTAGTAAGAAACGATTGGATAGGAACGAGGACTTGTTTGTTAAAATGTTATAATACAAGCTTAAAAGTAACACTTTGCCGGCTTCATAGTCGTTACTATGGCCTGTAAAAATCACTCTTCAGTTATCTTTGTTGGACATGCGTATGGATGGGCTTTACTTCCGCGCTCCGCCCGCCATTGGCAACACTCCCTTTCCCTCCACACAGAAGTTTCAGCATTGTAACCGTCGCGATTCCGGCCAGCACGCCCTGCAGGGACCACCGCCGTCGGTCTCCCTCTGCGCAGCAGCGTCTTACTCCAATGGCCGCTTCGATTTCTTCCGTCGGTTTCCCCGTTCCTCTCACCGTCCATTCCTCCTCTCCAATCGAAGACGGTAAAGCCTCTCTCTTCACAGTATCCCCTCCGCCGAACCCAACTCTCAAAACCCCCACAATCCGGTCTCGCCTCAGTAAATTGTGCCAGGAGGGCAAACCCGAACTTGCCCGCCACCTGTTCGACACAATTCCTCAACCGACGACTGCAATGTGGAACACGATCATCATTGGGTTTATCTGCAACGACATGCCCGTTGAAGCCCTCCGGTTCTACGGCGAGATGAAGAAAGGTGGGTTTCCTACTACCAAGGGCGATTACTACACTTACTCTTCTACGTTGAAAGCCTGCTCCCAGAGTCTGAATCTGGGGGCCGGTAGAGCGATTCACTGTCATTTGATTCGCTGCTTGGAGTATCCGAGTCGGATTGTGTATAATTCGCTGTTGAATATGTACTCCACGTGCTTGAGCCAATTGGGCTCGTCGGGTGGCTCTGAGTTTTCGAAGTACGATGCTGTGCGGAAGGTGTTTGATACGATGGGCAAGAGGGACGTTGTTGCTTGGAACATTTTGGTTTCTTGGTATGTCAAGACGGAGAGACACGTTAGAGCTGTTAGGCAGTTCAGGAGGATGATGAAAATGGAAATCAAGCCGAGTCCAGTGAGCTTTGTCAGTGTATTTCCAGCCATATCAGCTATGCAGGACCTCGACACTGCGAATGTTATGTATGGACTGCTTGTTAAATTGGGAGGTGAGTATACGACTGACTTGTTTGTTGTGAGTTCAGCCATTATTATGTACTCAGAGCTAGGCTGTCTCGATTTGGCCAGGAAGGTTTTCGATTGTTGTTTGGTGAACAATACAGAGGTATGGAATAGCATGATTGGTGGGTATGTGCAGAATAACCGTCCACGGGAAGCAATCAATCTCTTTCTTCTTGCTACTCAAACGGGACAGACTGATAACATATCTTTCCTTTCAGTTCTGACGGCTGTTTCACAGCTGCAATGCTTGGACTTGGCTCAACAGCTGCATGGTTTCGTCATCAAGAACTTAGGTTCCCTGCCCGTGATAATACAGAATGCTATCATAGTCATGTACTCACGATGTAACACTCTCCACACTTCATTCCATGTGTTCGGGCAGATGCAGGAGAGAGACGTGGTTTCATGGAACACGATGATTTCTGCTTTCGTGCAGAATGGATTTGATGACGAAGGGTTGATTCTTGTGTACGAGATGCAGAAGCAGAAGTTTGCAATTGATCTGGTGACAGTTACTGCTCTGCTTTCTGCAGCATCTAATCTCAGAAACCTGCAGATTGGGAAACAGACTCATGCCTATCTTCTCAGGCAAGATATAAAATTTGACGGAATGGACAGTTATCTGGTCGATATGTATGCTAAATGTGGTTCGATTAGAACAGCTGAATATATCTTTTGGAGAAATATCACTAGAAGTGTTAAAGATCAAGCAACATGGAATGCTATGATTGCTGGTTACACACACCATGGGTTAGTCGAAGAAGCTTTGGCCACATTTAACGAAATGCTTCAGCAAGCTGTTTCACCCAATGCCGTGACATTAGCATCAATTCTTCCAGGTTGCACTCAAATGGGAAGCATCAATCTTGGAAAACAACTCCATGCTGTCTCTATTCGCCATTTGTTCGAGAACAACATTTTCCTGAGCTCTGCTCTCATCGACATGTACTCAAAATCAGGATCAATCAACTATGCTGAAAACGTGTTCGCCAGAACCAGTGACAAAAACTCTGTCACATACACGACGATGATCTTGGGTTATGGCCAACACGGCTTGGGAAGCAAGGCTCTCTCTTTGTTTCACTCCATGGGAGACTCTGGAGTTAAACCCGATGCAGTTACTCTCGTTGCAGTTCTGTCAGCCTGTAGCCATGCAGGACTGGTCGATGAAGGCCTTCGGATATTTAACTCCATGGAGATGGATTTCAACATCGAGCCTTCAGTTCAGCATTACTGCTGTGTAGCAGATATGTTGGGGAGAGTTGGAAGAGTAGTTGAAGCCTATGAATTTGTGGAACAGCTGGGTGAAAAGGGCGACGTTCTGCAAATCTGGGGATCGGTTCTTGGGGCCTGCAGGCTTCACGGATGCAGTGAATTGGCAGAAACGGTTGGTGAAAAGATCCGTCAACTAGAGGAAGCAGCATTACATGGTGGGGTGGGAGGTTATCAGGTCCTGATGTCCAATATGTATGCAGGAGAAGGAGACTGGAGAAACGTCGACAGAGTGAGGAAAGAAATGAAGGAAAAGGGTTCGATGAAGTTGGTTGGTCGCAGTTGGATTGATATCGGAGGTCATGTTGCTCGCTTCTCATCTAAAGATCAAGACCACCATCAGTTCGATGAGATATATGGAACTTTGGAAGGTCTGGCCTTGGAAATGAAGCATTCCGGTGCCTGAAAATGGCCATTGCTCGATTTGAACAGGTTTAGCTCAACATTGATTGAAACCATCTGTGCTTAAATCAACCAAAGGTATGAGGATTGCCATTTGGCTACCTCCTGAAAATGGCCATTGCCATTGCAGTCGTTAACCGAGAGCAGCCCGATTGCAGCAGCGTGTGGTATCAAGCACAAAAGAGTACAGCCTGCCGAGCCGCTTGGAGTTAAACCAGATACCCCAAAGCTTGCACAAAGTATACCAGTTGAAGAAGCACTAATGTAACATGAAAAGGACGGTACGCCTCCCAGCTTTCATTAGTGTAAAGTCTACAGTACATAGAAATTAGAATATTGATCTTTAGAACAATATTTACAAAACCATATTCATAAAACCATATTGTATCAGCTTTCAATTTAGTCTTTTTAGTGGAAAAACAGGGTGTGCTTAAACCAGAGACATGATCATAAGTCATGGGCACCACCTTTTTTATTTCTTCTTTAAAAAAGGAGTGGTGGAAATCACTTGTTTGAGGTAATGATCATTAGGAGGAAATTTAATAATGGGTTGGTTTCATCATTAGTTTTTGATCAACTATTCATCCGACATTTACATTATGCTGCAATATTAGATTAGGGTTGGACTAATTTCTTATGATTTAGCCGTTGCAATCAGGTGAGTTTCTCTAAGCGTTATATTTAAACAGATCATACAATGATCAATTACGAACAAGAATAGCATCCAACTAGTTTCTTTGTGATTTAGCTGTTAATTATGGGAAAGGCAACTCCTTTAAGAGTTCAAAAGGACACTCCAATTATCACATCTAAGGTCACAAAGTTTGTAGAAGTAATGTGGAGAAATGAAATGGAATATTTTACCATTTGGAAAGTTAAGAAGGACCTTTAGAGAGAATATGAGTGTTATAAAATTAATTAAGTGGTTGTCGAGGTTCATTAAAACGTTCTCGTTGTCTATCGGGACCAAATGATTTTATACTATTATTTAAAAAAATATATACACAAATTCTTTTGTCAATATTTGATGTTGAATAAGAATAACCATTATGATAGCATGCCTGCAAAATAAATGACTGCACAAAACGCTCTTGATAAGCAACCACTAAGCATGATTAATTATTTAAACCCAAGATCATGATGATGCCACTTCAATGATGATACTGGATTCTCTTGGCAACTCTCTCTAACAACAACTACTCTTTAACAAATCATTGTTCCATGTGAAATAGAATCCAAACTAGCCCAACCTATTTATCGACGATTCTTAATATTTATCAATAATTCTTAAATAAAAAGAAACAATAGAAAAGCAAGAGATGGATCAATCTTAAATAATCCATCAATCTCGGAGTCCCTAGGAAACAACGGGCGTTAATTCGTTGATTCATCATTTCAGCATATGTACATCCAATAGACCAAACATCGACTGATGTCGAGTAGTGTCGAAATCAAATAACAATTAATCTTTGATTTGAGCCAAATCGATGAAAATAAAAATAGGGTGTAGTCTCCTCTCGAAACGCTGGAAATTGAGACATCTCAACCGAAATAAAATTGCCCAAATTTCTCATTCATTAACTCAAATAATAATAACAACAATGTTCTCCCCTATCTATCTCCAACTGACAAATCAAAACCATCTCCAACTACCACAACCCAGAAGCTTTGCTCCAAACCCCAAATCCTTACCCGATTAGGACTCCACCCCTCTCCTAACAAATCTGTCAAGGTTACTCCTTCCTTTTCCAACACAAATTGACAAAAGGGAGGGGAAGAAAAGTAGCAGTATTACCAACAGAAGAAGAATGAACAACAATACAAACACATCCATGATCAAACTCACTCATTCCACCCCCCCTCCTCAACCCATCATGTACAAATCCATGGCTAGTAAAATTATCACACCACCATTGATCATCATCACCTCCCATCAGCCGAAGTAAATGAATCAGCGAACCCATACGGTCTGGTGGGAATGCTGGTCTGAGTGTTGTCCAGGCTCGGTAGGAGCGAAGAAGACGACGACTCCATGTTGCCACGGCCCTCGTAGGCTTGCCATTTCTTCAGTGCCTGTGGCAGAGACATGTCTAGATCGATCCCATAGATGTCCTCGGTGTTTTGATCCGTGGGCTTCCAGAGCTCAACGAGGGAAGACAGGACGTTGACCACATGGCCCATGTCCGGCCTCTGGTATGGCTCTCTGGCGCAGCAGTGGCCTGCCAGCTCAGCTACGGTGTTGATGCTAGCTAGGGTTTCTTCATTGAGGTCGAGCGTCAGGTCGATGGCCTTTCGGAATGTGTCCTTGCTGAGGGACATTCTCTTGAACCATGTCACTAGATGCATGCTCTCCTCTGGCTGGGTTTCGTCTAGGGCCTTCCTCCCAGTGATGAGCTCCATTAGTATCACGCCAAAGCTAAAGACATCTACTTTGGTAGTCACTCTTCCTGTAACTGCATTTGCGAGGGAGAAATGTTAGCTTGATTATTCTCTACCAATCATACCGTTATGAACACCATAATTCAGTGAACACTCAAGCATCTAACCCATTTGATCTCACAAGTCAACTAAAGAATCTAAAATCCAGTCAAATAAGCAAGTAAAGCACAATGAAATGAAGTTACCTGCATATTCAGGGGCCAAGTACCCAAAAGTTCCAGCAATCCTAGTCTCAATGGACCCTTTCCCCTCTGGAGCAAGGCGAACAAGGCCGAAATCAGCCACCTTTGCCCTCATATCATCCCCAAGAAGAATGTTGGAAGGCTTCAAGTCCCTATGTATGAAACTCTGATGCGCCAAGCCATGAAGGTACTCGACACCTCTCGCCACATCCAAAGCAATTGTCAGTCTCCTCGTCCAATCTAACGGGCTAAACCCTTCCTCTGCCCAGTTGAAGATATGCTGACTAAGCGTCCCCTGTGGCATGTACTCATAGACAAGTAGCTTCTCATTTCCATCAAGGCAGTAACCTAGCAATGCCACAAGGTGGCGATGCCTAACTTTGGTCAAGACAGCAATCTCCGATGTGAACTCAGTCAACCCTTTCCCGCTTATTACCCCTGACTCCATCCTCTTCACAGCAATTTTCGTCCCATCGTGGAGCTCGCCTTTGTAGACCACTCCAAATCCACCTTGCCCTAGTATGTTCTTCTCACTGAAGTTGTCAGTCACGTTCCTCAGGACTTGAATGGAAATGACCATGTTCCCTGATTCCATCATTTGAATTTCTCCATGCTCGCTTGTCGGAATGGTGTGTGCTTCACTGACTGCTCCCATGCTGAGACTCGAGCCAGCAACCGTGATCTTGACACTCTCGTTGTCTGAACCCGAGTGGCGAGGATGAACGACCATTGCATTAGGGCTCTGAACCCTGCTGAACCTCTTCTGCTTCTTTCGGTACACACAGAAGACCAGCAATCCAATAAGAAACAGTATAAACACACCACCAAGGACGGAGAACACGATTACCCCTACATTAGAGGACGATTTCTTTCCTCCATTTCGGGAACTTCCATCCGAATTCGGCCCAGATGCTTGACCTCCTGATGATGAACCACCTGGCGGCACACTACTGATATCCTTCCCAATATCTTTGTTCCCATTGGTGTTTAAATCAATCTTGTTCTTAAAGACTGGAACTTTACCAGAAATCTTATTGTTTGCAACATCAAGCTCTTTCAGCATAGGCAGTGAAGCAAGCTCCTGCGGGATAGTACCAGTCAAGTTGTTATCAGCAAGAACCAACCTCTGCAGCGAGGTAAGCAAGGCGAAATCAGGCGAAATAGTGCCCGAGAGGCCCATTTTCTGGAAGTTGACAACAGTAATGTTGCCACCACTGCAAGAAATCCCAATCCAATCAGCACAAGGATCATTCCCTTTCCAATTCTCAGCAAACCTCTGAGGGTAACCGAGAGGCTTCACGATGGAGAGCAACGCGTCGACCCTCGGATCACACGGTCCAGCCGTCGACAAGCAGAAGCTATTCGAATCCTTCGTCATATCCACAGCAACCGAGCTCTTGAACTCGGGGACCGGCCCTTGGAACAAGTTGTTGGTCAAGTTCACCACTTTGAGTGAATCCAACTTGGTCAAGGATTCAGGGACCGGACCAGAGAACGAATTGTCCCTCAAGCTCAAGCTCTCCAAACTCGTCAGCCCAGAGAAATCAGGCAAAGGACCATCGAACCCATTATCATGAAGCCAAACTTCCTTCAAAGAAGTCATGTTCTGCAACACATCAATTCCCCCAATGAGCTTACTTCCACTCTTCTGCCCATTAACCCAAAATGACTGAATTTGCGAACCAGCAAGCGCCACAGGCAAAGAACCCTCCAGATTATTGAAAGCCAAATGCAGAGTTTCCAAACCAGCGAAAGCATCAGCACCGAAGTAATCAGGAATGGACCCAGAAATGTTGGCCGAATTAGCAGAGAAATTCTGCAGAGCGGAAGCATCCTTAACACTCTCCGGAATCTCCCAGCTGGAAAGCGGGTTGTTATCAATTTCCACAGACTGAAGAGAGGAACAACCTTGGAAGAAATCGCTGGGAATTGAAGTGAACTGGTTGTTACTCAGCATCACAACCCGGAGCGAGCTCAACCCGCTCAAGCTGGGCAAAGGACCCGAAATGCTGTTCCACTGCAGCTCCAGCCGCTCCAACATAGTCAACTTGTGGAGATCTGGAGGAAGCTTACCTTTGAGACTCAACCGGCCGATTTGAATCCGAACGACCCGGTCCTCGGTGCAGCCCACGTGGTCCCATTGGCATGGATCCGGGTCGGACCACCCGATATCCGGAGTGTTGAGGCTCTCCTTGAGAGCTAACATTACTGGAGCGTCCTCAGTTAAGGAGCTCACGAGCGAGAAAATTGAACAGAACCCAGAAATGACAACCAGGAAACTACTGAAGCTGGAGCCGAAATGTGACCTCTTCTTCCTCGCCATTATTACTATCACTTTTTCCCCCCAAATCAGCACAAGAAGGAAGAAAACAGGGGAAGTTTTTTCAACAAGATGGATTTTTTTTTTTTTTAAGTGGGGGGATAGACAGAGAAAGCTGCTAAGCTCGGTTCAAGCTGGAAGACTGTGAGCCATGAAAGGAGAGGAAAGATTGGAACTTTTTTTCTGGGTGGGTTTTTAGGGGTTGGAAAGATGGAAAGGGAGAAGAACAGGTGGTGGGAAGGGAAAGGTGCTGTAATTGAGGAGAAAGCACATGGGGTGTGGGGGAGAAGGCAACGCAAGGAAAGGAAAGGAAAGGGAGGATTGGGGAAGAAAGAAGGCAAAGGTGAAGAATGGTGGTGGTGGGCCGACAGAGTCCCAGAATATAAAAGCTGTCATAACATGGTTTTACGTGGAAAATCTAAATTCTTTTTTCCTTTTTCTTTCCTCATTTGATATTAAATGTATAAAAGTTGATAAATTTGAAAAAAAAATTGGATGGATATCTCCTTTCGGATTTCAACTGGAAAGCACCAGAATTCGTATTATTAATGGCTTTTCCGGTTGTCATTTCTTCGAGTTCATGCCAATTTTTATAATATATGGTTTCTATCACTATCAGTTTGTTTTTGTATCAGCAGCAGCATCAAGCAACAGTTGTATGGTTGGTTGCCAAGGCCTTGACCATAGCCACAGACTGGACCGGTATTGGCACCATGGCCACAGTCATCCTAGCCCTGCCCCACATGCCGGTTCTTGTTCGTTACCCGATTAAGAGACTTGTAGTTTGCTTGTTAAACCGGTTATCGTCTGGTTTGTTGCTTGCTGCTGTTTCGACTCGTAATTGATAATGTCTAGTTTTTGCTTACAATTGGTGATAACGAATCTCTCTGACAAAAACTCAATACGGCTGAATTAGTTCGATATACGAATCAAAGTTTCCCAAAAGACACAAAATGGTTGGTACAAAACCAGTAAAGTCTTTTACTTTTGGTGTCCATCTCTCAAAAATGAAGAGCAAAGCTACACTCTCTCAAAACTCATAGCCCACAATTGTTAGAAACTATCTACTTTACAATAATCCTGAAATAAACCCCTATTACATACCCAATAAAATAAACCAATAAGGGGGAAAAAGTGTCAATAGATTAAAGGAGGGAGAGATCATCATCGATTTCCCTCGAGAGTTGTTTTCTTCTCGTCTTTTTCGTTTGTATTGCACTGTAATTCGTCGTCGTAATATTCTTCTTCGCCATCTACATACTCATACTCGTCTTCGTCGTCATCATCATCGTAATAATATTCCTCATCATCGTCTTCGTCGTTGCCATTTAGGAGCATCTCCCTAGATTCCTGGCCCATTAACCGTTCTTGAAGTCGATCTCTGATGGCAGTGCCCTGAAGACAATAGAAATGTTGGATTTTTATGATTGTAGACTACCTTCCCAGAGTCCGGATAGAGACTTCCATTTCGATTTCAGTTTGCACAGGGGCTTACGAAGAAGAGAAGAGAGGAGATAACTACTAACCATTTTATGGCAACCTTCCTCAAACATCTCAAGGAAACCAACAACCCAGCGATTAGCATTGTCCACCCATTCGTTCCGATGCATTGCCACTGTTTGAATCTGAAGCATGGAAAATGAATACATATGAGGCGCATTTAACTTACCATTAGAACATAGAAAGAATAGATAACAAGTTTCTCCAATGGCAGAGGAACCATAGATTGTTTAAGCAAGCAGCATTAGAAAAGGAAAGATAAGGTCTTTGAAGCTACCAAGGACATGTGTAACGTAAAATGTTTGCAATTTCGGCCATTCAGAAACATGAAGAGATCTTGGATACTCAATAGTCATTGCAGACATCAAGCAAACAAAGCCAAGCAAAAGCCTCACTTCTGATAGATAGGGAAGGGACAATTCACAATAGTATCTAACACATAAAGAAAACACACCTTTTCACCAACTCTCTCTTGTTGTTCTTTCACTTTCTCCTGTAGTTTCTTCAATCTCATATTGACCCTCAGTCGCTTTTCCTGGTTACCAAAACCGGGAAAGTTAGGATTGGATTTCTCTCTTTCGAAAGACCAAAATGGCTAGACAACATAACAATGCAGCACATTGTCCAAACCAGAGACATCCCAACCATACCTTTACATAGCTAACACCGAGTTCCTTTCTCGTATATCCTCTGTCCAAATTGCGCATGACATACTGATTGTAGTCTTTCAGGATCCTCATTATAATATCCGATGTAGAAATCCCATCAGTTCTTTGCGTTTCTTTAAACCTCCCAACTTTTTTCACCTAAAGTAGAGCCACACCGAAACCATAAACCATATGCTGAGAGAAAACAAACACCAATAAGAAAACCAAAACTCCACCACTGGACTTACAAATTCATAAACATCATTCCCGGCTCCACTTGCATCTGCATATCTACACACAAGAGATAGTGTTCAATGTTCATCATCCTCTAAATTTCACAAACATCCGACAAAAGATAGCGTGTAATGTTCGTTTTTGGACCCCACAGTATCCCTCAGCATGGTTATTAATCAAGAGACCTCAATAGAATCCTGGTATTCCCAGATACTAATAGGCTTTCGTGCAACATGTAAAAGAATAAATAGGATTCATTCGAGTACCTTTCCCAACATCTAGGATTATTTAGACGAACTAGTTCTTGATACAGATTGGTCTATAATTGGATGAAATGAAAACCATTCGTATCATCCTAGATATAAAAAGAACATATTGCTCTACCGATGCCACCCGAAGTGGTTGATCTAGTGGTAATGGAATGAACGGGTGAACAGTGAACATTCATCCCGCTTAGGTTCAAATCTCACGCAGCCATCAATAACAATAACACCAACGAATATGAATCTACTAATGATTTCCAACGATCAATGGGGAAATTCTCATCAACCAAGATGCAAAAGGGAGCTAACTGCTGATCTCGAAATTGAAGTTTGAACTAAGTAGGGAGACAAACATACGGCAGGGCATCGTGAGCCACATAATCAATGTTGTGCTTGTCAAGAAACTCCTGGTTGATCACCCATGGCGCATCAGTAATGACTTCATCCACCCACCTACAAATACACACACACACACACAAAGATCCATCCACTCTCTCAGATCGTTCACAAAACCAATCCCCGAAACAGAGAAATCGCCATTGTTTTTTTTGCTGGTTTCAGCAGCCAATTTACTTGCAATGGCGAAGGGATTCGTAGCGCTCAGCTGCCGTCATCACCGTTTTCCCCTTGAACTTGTGCGTGATCTCGTCGTTGCAGCACCCGACGAGCAGGTACGCGTTCGGAAACCTGGCGAATCAAATCATTATTTTGTCACAATCAAATCCAGCTGAGAGAGAGAGGGAGAGAGAGGAAGGAGCAAAGGAATGGCGTAAACGAACGATTTCTTGGCCTGTTCGAGGGAGCGGGCGTGGCCGAAGTGGAAGAGATCGTAGATCCCATCGGCGTAGACGCGGAGGAGCCTGTCCGAAGGGGCCGATTGATCGGAATTGCTGACGGCGCCATTGGAAGAGCCGTGATGACTACCGTTGGACTTCTGCGCGGATTCGTCGTCCATTGGGATAAAGACGGAGCTCGTCGCCGGAAGATGGAGAATTGGTGCTACGGCTATTTCGCCGGTTGTCTCCGATCTCCCCTCTCTTCTTCTGTATGAGAAAAAAAGAATCCCTAATTTTTCATCCTTCTGCCTCTTCTGTGAGACAGCGCGTTCTTTCCGCCCTCTATATTTGGTTAGATGGTCATTAAATTCTGATGCCCTTACAAAATGGTCAGTGAACTAAATATTTTAACTAAATAGCGAATGGACGTATTATTTGGGCCTAATGGAATCCCGTTTCGGGGCCTGGGCTTGGGCTTGGGCTTGGACGACGTATTGTTTTCAAATGGATCATTATTGCAATATGTCGATCCCGGCGGCCTTCCCTTCTAATTTTTGACGATTACAAGCATTGGAGTGAAAAGTTAGTTTCTTCATCCAAATGATTGCTGGTTGAAAGTTAGCACATTATTCTCATTATTTAAGTATATTTTGAATCTAATTACAACAATTTTCAATGAAGTTACGTGTGATTATCATAATTGTCGATCAATCTTATATCACTACATTATAAATAAGAGATATTTCGTTGAAATTTCACGACATAGATTATATATTGATGTATTCATATTGTGTGTGACTAGTATAAAGTAATATTGACGATGACTTGGAAAAGTAGTGAATGCTTAGGAAACAAGGCAAAGGATCGGGAAACAGTGGGTTGGATTGGATACCGTTTGCCATCCACTATAAAACCTAGCTTGACAAGTCAAGATTAACCTCATATTTTCCACAAAAAATATATATACATATAGCAAGAAGAAACATTTTCTTGGTCTTTCCCTATTTTCTTATTCCCATTTATTTCTCGTTTTATGCAAAATCACGATATAATTTGACTTATAAATTGACCCGGCCTTTATGAGTCATTTACAATATTATTTGTTCAATGTATTTACTTGATATATGCATTGTCTTATTTGTTTTACTAACCTAAAATGTTTGTCTCGATACAAAATTAGATAAATACTCAATTTCATATGGCATTTTCTCAATCTTGTATTTGGTTGGAAATCAACCACGTGTTTGACATTATTTTTAATCTAGCATACCCCGTGATCATATTTTTTGAGTTGTGAAGTTTGAAACTTCTTGAGGATGTAAAAATTGGTGATGTAATTGATTCCCCAATTAAGGATTTAATTTCATATATAATAAGTTGGAAGCGTAGATATTAGGGCTATGCATGTGTGATTGACTTTTGTGAAGATGATGATGACAATTACCTTTTGTTATAATCCCTTTTCCTATTCCGACTAGAACCGCATATATGATAAGCCTACATTCACCCCCTCTTCCTAACCCATTTCTCACTCAATTTATGTTGTTTCCTAGTAGTTTCGATGTGCGTTTTTTAGTGCACATTTCATGCTCGTCAACGAGTGTTTTTGCTCAGCTGGCAAAGGCGGTAGAGAGTGTGGGTCTGTGAGATTGGTCTCATGACAATCGATAACAAATGTTAACTTGCAGTTAGTAGTTTTTGTGACATAATTAATAATTCGTTACTAGTTTACACGCAAGAATCAACTTTTCTTATGTCAAGCAATGAAGTGCTAGTAGCCACACTTGTATATATACGGTGCCCTAGCTAGTTAACACCTTAAAGGGGAAAGTTAATCTGCTAAGTTGAAGATTCGTTAGCAGATACTAACTGATATCCAAAATACATGAACTAGTATCCAGGTACTAAAGTATCTATAGAGCACAGACTAGTATTCAAGGTTTGCTAAATGATATCCACAATGAATCAACTATTATCCAAAATTCACAAACTAACATCTAGACAACACAGAATAGTATCCATACAACACAGAATAGTATCCAAACAGCACATAATTAGTATCCAGATAACACATAAGAGTATCCATATTGAATACTAGTTGGTTGATTGTGGATATTAGTTGGTATCTACTATCCGGATACCAGTATTATGATGTTTTGAATACTAACCTGTGCTATCTAGATATTCAGCAGATTTAGATATTAGTTCATACATTTTGGATATTAGTTAGTATATACTAATGAATCTTCAAGTTAGCAGAATAACTAGGTTGTTAAAAGAGCACACAAGATTGATTTGAAATCCTCAAAAGATAGATACTTTGTTAGTTCCAAGTTACGACTTGATGGAAGATATTCCCACCAAAACTAATAATATAGAAAAACCATTTGTTCTACTAATCCTAGAAAGAGATTGTATAGAGATCTTTGGTGAAAATGCAAAGAGGCCAATTAAGGTTTACGGGTTTCTTTAATTATCGATTGTATAGAGATCATTGGCCACTCGACTTTGATTGTATAGAGATCATTAGTTATCGATTGTCATAGTTCTGATGATTAGAAATGAACAAGTTGAATTGGTAAGAATAAGACTCGAATGATCATGTATACTACTCTCTCAAACAATCAATGAGTTGTTTTCTGTCCATTTCCACTCATCCAATCTTCTTAACGAACTTGTACAATCAATATAGCAAAAATATGTATGATTGTGGCGACTTAGAATAATGCGGTTCTATCGACATATAAGAAAACATATGCATAGTCTCTCGACTCAATTCATCTTCTCTAACCTCCCAACAAAACCTTGATACGATAAAAAATCTCTTTCCAAAACAATTACCTACTCTTCCCTCTAAAACGATGCCCTAATGAATTCGCGGCTATCTATCGTAGTAAAATTTGATTGAAAAATATAGCAGAGAGCAATTTGTATTGAGGTATTAGATCTAATCAATGAAATCTTATCTATAATTTTATGAGAAAATAAAAAAATAATAATAAGAGAATATAGCCAACTTCTTTTTACTCTTCTAGATTCTCAATCAATTCCCATCTGCTTATAAAATAAATTATCACTACATTCCATCTGCATGATGAATTAATGCTTACCTAAAAAATATTGTTATTTGTTGTAAATTAACAGAACATAATAATAAAGCACAAAATCAGCTAAAACCGTGACAATAATAATAATTAAAACCACGCCGCCTACCTTCTAGAAGGTGAAACTAATAATTAAAAAAAGGGCAAAAAATAGAGCCTTTTAATTAATTTCCTGATGGGAAAAATGAGAAAGTGTAAGTAACACGGCATTTACATTGGTCAATGAAAGATGCTAAAGGACAAAAAGTGTCAGCTTGCCTAACTTTTCTTTTCCCTCCGTCGCTATCTCTCCCTCCGTCGTCAGTACAAGAAACCGCTATTCCTGTTCTCATTAGACCCCGCCGACGGCGGCTGCGCCGCCGTCGCCCCATCTCCTCCGATCCGCGTCCCGGCGGCCGACGTGGCACCGCCAATCCCCTCCGTCCCGATCCCTCGCTGAAGCAAACTATTAATACCGCCGATGTTAGTAGGGTCGTCGCTATTGCCAGCATTTCCCAACGAGAACAGAAATGGCGACGGCTGGTGGAACTGTGACTGTTGGTACTGCAAATGATGGAACAACCCTTCTCCTCCTCCTCCTCCGCCGCCGCCGCCGACCGTGGAGGCAGGGTTTGGAATTCGATCGCCGATCAGCTGATGGTGGTGCTGCCCGAGCCCGCCAAGCCCGAAGCTAAAACCGGCTGGTTGTGGCGGAACATTTAGCGACGACCCGCCCCCCGTCACGAAAGGTCCCGATGGACCGCCGGTGAATTGCTGGACCATGGCGCGGAAGTTGCTCGTGTCCGTGTTGAGAAGGGTCGTCGGCGTCCTCCTCGACGCCCTCGACCGCCTCCTCGCCGGCTTGGCCACTCGGCCGCCTTCCGGGCTCAGAGTACGACTACTATTAGCGACGGAATTATGGCCTCCTCCACTTCCTCCCCCGCCGCGGCCCGAGCCCATCAGCTGGATCGGAGTTGGCTCGGCTGCGGCGGCGGATGAGGTGATGGTAGAGGCAGTGGTGACAGCGGTGACACCGGATGAAGACACGCCGCCGGCGGCGGCGGAGGAAGAAGAGAAGGTGAGTTGGTTGTGGTTGTTGTGGTGGTGGTAGAAGTGAGCCCAATCGTTAGGGTTGGACATGGTCTTGCTCATGGCCGGAAAAAGGAGAAATGGGTTCTTTGGTTTTGAAGGAAGGAAGAAGGAAGTGGAAATGGGGGAGGGATTTTAAGGAATGTGGTTGTGGTGAGGTTATATAAGGGTTTATGTGTTGGTTTTTGGTTATACCAAATTTGGGTCAAAGTAAGTGGAGGGATAAGGAAGGTTGTTCATCTCTCCTTCTCTTCTTATGTCTCTATCTCCCAAAGATGAAAGACCCCATCAAAGACTCCAAATATGAAAGTTAAGTTGGCACGTGGTGTGTGCCCACCACTCTTTGATGGCGCAAGCACAATTTTTTTTGTAGATTGAATGAATATCTATGGAGTTGGTTGCTAATGAATTGGCCACTTGAGTTCGATGGTTAACCAATTTGCAAGCAACCAAGTTCGAAAATGAGTAACATAACGATCACTTCGACGATTTTAATTGAGTAGATTGATCAAATCATTGCATCCTATTTGTTACGCAATACAAGGGGCTAGAAGCGGGATAGGGTACTCCTATGGCCATTTGAGGAGTATGTGTGGTTGCTCAATAAGGGACATATATCAAACAAGAAAGAGGTGATTGGAATCAATTTCCAACATTTTCTTTTTTTAGTTAAGGATGATATATATTATTAAAAGAGAAAAGTAACAACAGAGAACAGGGTGGCACAGCCAGGTTCACAGGAAAAACAAAAAGGGGGAACAAACGGGCCAAGAAAAGGCAAAGGAGAAAACAAACTCCCCTCACCCCTGCTCCAAACAGCAGAAGGCTGCCAACAGCATAGGAAGAGGAAAAAACAGCTCCCCTTCCAATCGGCAACCAGCGCAGGGAAAAGCGAATAAAGAGAAACAGAAACAGGGAGCAAGAGACACAAAGTAACAGAGAAAAGGGCGTCAGGAAGCAGCAGTCACTCGAAAGGGCCAAACGACAACAAACGCCAGAAGTAAATGCCCAGAAAAAGGTTTACTGGTCCACCGTGGGAAGCTGCGATCCCAAAATCAAGGGCTGCTGCGAATTAACAGGGCACAAACTGGCCTTCATCCCTTTGATCCAACTCTCCGCGGACCGCGATCTCTTTATCAACCTTTCTTGCTACCGTCAACCACCAGAAAATCTCATGACCGATCTTCAAAACAAGTGAAGGAATATGACGCTCCTCATCCTTGAACATTCTGGCGTTTCTTTCTAGCCAAACACACCAGCAGAAAGCATGTAAAGCCACTCTAGTGCACCACTGGGCTGGGTTACTCGGATTCACATGCGACCAGAGCCGGATTCTATCAGAAATATCAAGAACCTCATCAACACTTCCCTCGACTTTAACAAAGCGCTTCAATCTGCTCCAAACCTGATTTGAGAAAGCACAGGTGATGAAAATGTGATTCGGGGACTCTTCTTCTCTCTTGCAAAGGACACACCTATTAGGAATCAGGAAACCCTTCTTCTTCAGGTTGTCAATTCCAACATTTTCAAAGTTACAATTAAAATGAAGTAGTTATTAAATGATTAACCCATTGAGACAGTAGAAGATGTGTTTAACTGATTAAGCATCGATCTTTTTCATAGAATGATCGGTTAGCTAAGACATTAAATACTATTATTTATCTATAAATATAATGATTAGTTTGGATATATCACGTATGTCTATTTTATGAATCTTCCATCAAATGTATATTATTTCTCTGGTCAAGCTAAATGAGTCTAAGTTGTTACTTAAACCCTAAAAAAAGGTTCATTCAAAATCCACAAATTGGGGATGTTTCGTTTTCATGTTTACTTGCCAAACATATCGAACCATGGCAGACTTGGAAAAGAACAAGAGTGTTCCTGTTCCCTTTTTCAGCATCAAGGAAGTATATAACGCAAAACACGAGTGACTGGCTGAGCTGCCAATTAAAGTTTGTGTTGAATGAGAATATATTTGAACAGTACTGCAGCCCTCGACAATGTTACATCTAGAATTAGAAATTTCTAACCCCAGCTGCCTGCTAGGGACAGGTACAATTAACCCACTCATTTTAACGATCCTATATGTAGGAATACACTTACAATCTAACCTTCATGATCCGATCGATCGACCTATCTCACCCCATTATGGTGCGGGTATTATCCGTTCCATTATTAGTAGTGTGAAACACGATATAACGAGTCTTATTTTCAAACCGCCTCACCCATTAATTCCGTGCACTTTCTTGGAAAATCTCGCCCTTATTTTAAGAGCGAGTGGATGACTTTCTTTTTTCGATTTACCATGTACACATGCGGATCAGATGTCGCATACATTTCCCCCCACTAAGTAGATACACACCAGAATTATACATGGGACATGGGTATTATCCAACCTGATTCACGCTTACTTTATATGACACACATAAGTATTGTGATCTTCGGTCTCGACAACAACGAAATCACACGCAAGTATTACCAGACTTGATTCACGCTTAACATAGGCTTTTACCACATAAGTAAGTATCGTGATCTTACCCAATAAACATGGTTAAGTATAATAGAGAAGTGATAATGGCCCATTATCAGTCTCATCTATCTTAATTCTATCATTAATTTTCATGGTGGTGGTTGCTGGCTGGTATCCTATCTTCAAAATAAGCCTTTACCATTGCCCACGCCAGCTCTTTGACCTTTAGGTGGGGTTGGTGGCTGGCTATATATTTACAAAATAAGCTGTATTTATTTGTAAGCTTATTAATTATCTCTTTCTTGTAAAAATAGTGCTTTTAATATAGTCTAATATAGATAAATAGATTTGTTGCAAGAGGAAACGACCTAGTACTTTCTCATATATGTGCTGTGGACTGTGGAAGTGGACGTTGTTTTCAGTGACCACAAAAAAGGTCCCGACCCAGCTGGTTTCAATTTGGACTTTGCCGCAGCCTGATTTTAGCGGAAGTTTCGAGTCTGGATCCGGTTCTTTAGTTTCATGTGAAACCCTACTCTTTGATCCATGGACTACGATCCATCATTTGGTGATTGCTCACATAATCTCTTAGTTACGAGGTTTTTTGGTTGATTCGGTATAATCACGATACATGATGGAGTGCGACTGTTCAAATAAACTTTTAATTGCAAAATTTTATGTTCATTCCTTACTCGTGTTCTTCATAGTGAGAATTTTGCCATGATCAATTGTTTCTCTTTTTATAAGAGCACAATCTGATAGAGAAATCACTCGTTGATGATTTGTTTTTGAGGATTTTAAAGAAAGTGAAAGTATAGTAACCTATTTTGAATTTGAATTTAAGAATCAAAATTATCTATTGTGCATCTCTAGATAGTCGACAAGTTATATAGTGACAAGTTATATAGTGACGAACTATAAACTATACCGTGACGAAATATACAGTGACATGTTAGAAGTTGCAGAACTTCACCAAATCTTTCCTTCCCCAAACATTCCTGATAGATTTCTCGTCGATCTTATATAGAGAACAGAGCTAACGTTGTATAATGTTAATGAGGTGACAAACTGAAATTCCTTCAAATATGATATACAAAGGCCAACCTTTCATCTCTGGTTCTCTTCTTTTAACTCTGCTCTGAATGAACATAATTGAACAGAGAGACTCTGTTTTTGGAAAACCCAGAAATGGCGGAATCGGGGGCGTTAGTTCGACGGGTAATTGAATAACCCAGTACCCACGATTCATCGCCGGACAGAAAAACAGCATTGTTGGTCGGAATGTCTGATTCGAGACAAGGGATTTGGTTTAGGATCGAATAGGTAATAACTAAGGGACGGAGCAGCTAATCAGGCCATCGGGGGGTTATAATGACGGGACGGGGAAGAAAAGGGAAGGCTGGGGGAAATCCGGCGACGGTTTAGGAGGTAGAAGAAGATGCTTTAATACTACCACCGTCAGCGCCGCCGTCGCTGGGAATTACCGGCGGGAAAACCTTTGAAAACGCCCGCGAAAACCAGAAACAGGGGAAGTCTGATTTGATTCGAATTGATACGAGGGATTTAGTCTTCGATCGAATTGGTAATCAAGGAATTTATGACGGGACGAGAGAGAAAATAAAAGGCCGGGGGAAATCCGGCGGCAAGAGGACGAGGAAAAATATGCTTTCACACGGTCACCACTAACCGCACCCGCCGGCGCCGGAGTCAGAGAACTGCCGGGCAAAACATAGAAAAACCCCCGCGATAGCAGAAACGCGGCATTCGAAACGCAGAAACGCAATACGTTTCGGATCCTCAAAACTAAAATCGAAACGCGATAAATTGACGAGAAAGTGAAATTGACGATATACGATATATTTTGAAATATCGCGATATTTAAGCGATATATTGGCTCCGGCCGATATTTTGAATCTGAGTGGAAAGTATGACCGCCGTGGATGACTTAAGAGCACTTTTTGCTGGTCAGAATATCATCAGTGATTTTAGTTTTGTCCCGATAAAGGAAAAAAACGAAAAGAAGCAACCATGTCTGCCGCTGCAACCGCCATTTCTTCCTTGCAAGTCCCATTTCTCAACTGCAACAATGGCAATTCGCTGCCCAGAAATCCGCCAACTGGGTCTTTTGTTAATTTCTCAAATATTTCCACCACGACGAAAGGGTGTTCTTCATCTATCAGGTCGGCACTCCATTTCCCACTTCATCTATCAGGTTCCCGAAAGAGTAAAGTCATGAACTTTCACCTAACCAGTTCTAAAAGGAAAAGGCTCTTCGATTATTTTTTGGAGTAAAAGGTTTAAGCTTGTCTCGCAGTTCTTGCTCTGGATTATGTTTGTTGATTTGGGTTAGCTGAATTTTTGTCTGTGTGTTCATTGTTGAAGCGATTGGAGTTTGTTTGATTTGGTTTTGTTGGTAGATGTCAATCCACAAGCACGGAGAAACCCAAGACGAGGAATTTGGTGGACAATGCGAGCAACTTGCTTACGAATTTCTTGAGTGGGGGAAATTTAGGTTCAATGCCGATAGCTGAAGGGGCAGTGACTGACCTTTTTGATCGTCCCCTCTTCTTCTCTTTATATGATTGGTTCATTGAGGTATGCTCAATTCATCAAATTTCCTTCTACTATCCCCATGTCTATGAAAAACTTGTATCTATGGTTTGCTCAATTCAAGTTGCGGTAGCTGTGTCAATTCTATTAGTCAGAATATGAAGGAGGAAGAAAAGATCAGAACTGATATTTCACATATTCCCATCTTTCTGCCCTTGTCTTCTTTGAATGTTAGTAGATGCTTAGGGTCTTTCATGGGCTGGAATGTGTTAAATTAGCTACTTTGAACAACTATTTTAGCCCAAGAGCTTGAATTGTTGAGATTGGTGTAGTATTTGAATGATTAGACTGGACAAAATATTGTGTAAGGAGATATGTATATTTTGGTGAATGCAAGTGAAACCTCTCTCTCTAAGCATTTTCCAGTATTGTTGGACTGGTTTAGAAGCTGCATGCACAGTGATGTCAGTAAATTTAGTTTGCTTTGACTTCGAATGATTTTTTTTTGCTGGTGTTGTGCTTTGTTGCAGCATGGCTCAGTGTACAAACTTGCCTTTGGGCCAAAAGCATTTGTGGTTGTGTCAGATCCCATTGTTGCCAGACACATTCTGCGCGAAAATGCATTTTCGTACGACAAGGTACATACTGTCTCTGTTTTTCTATTCTCAACTACCATCCCAACCACCATTCCTGCTTTTTTGAACTTCAACTTTCATGGGTGTAATTTTGACATCAAGACATATCGATGTAGCGGTTATTGTGCTTGCAGAGAACTTGTGAATCACTGTTAGTAATGCCAGAATATGCTGTTAGTAGTCTTTAAGATGAGGATCCAAGGCTTCTGAGAAACTGACCCTTTTATACATACTTTTGTGTTGTTATTATTATCTGTTAATTGAATAACCAGTAGCTTTCTTTTCCCATTGTGAAGCCACAAGGTGTCCGGTAGGCTAATGTATTTTGAAATTTTGCTGTTCTGTCCTCTCTGTTTTTGGATTCTTAATCTCAAGGCTGTTTTGTCTAATTGATTAGTTGAATTGGAAGGTCATTACTCATACAATGACTGAACAATTGATAACCTTTTCTTTTGTATAGGGTGTTCTTGCTGATATTCTCGAACCAATAATGGGCAAAGGACTTATACCTGCTGATCTTGAAACATGGAAACAAAGGAGAAGAGGTGAGCTTGTTTAGGCCATTTTACTCAAGACCCTTTCCTTTGAGCATTCCATTGAAGAGAATATTATGCTTAATTTTGGAGCTCTTTTCCCCTAGTAATTGCACCTGGGTTTCATGCCTCATACTTGGAAGCGATGGTCAAGATATTTACTGACTGCTCTGAAAGATCGATAACGAAATTTGAGGAGCTTCTAGGAGCACAAGCTTTAAATGGTGGCAGGGAACCAATTGAGCTGGATCTTGAAGCTGAGTTTTCAAATTTGGCTCTGGATATCATTGGCCTTGGTGTATTCAACTATGACTTTGGCTCTGTCACAAAAGAATCGCCTGTTATTAAGGTCTGATCCAAATTCTCTACATATTTGACTCTGTTATTCATTATGGCTGTGAAATAATGAGGTCTTCCTATATGTTATTTTCAGGCTGTATATGGTACACTTTTTGAAGCTGAGCATAGATCCACTTTTTACATTCCTTACTGGAAGATTCCTCTGGCAAGGTGGATAGTTCCTAGACAACGGAAGTTCCACAGTGACCTTAAAGTTATTAATGACTGCCTTGATGGACTGATAAAGAATGCCAAAGATACTCGAGAGGTAAAGATAATGACTAACATGTTTAACTTTAGGAAGTGAAAGTAAAGGCCTTCCAATTCACCATTGTTTATGCTAAATGCACTGCAAATCTGCCTAAACATATTAGCAGATATTACTATTACTCAAATGATATACCTGTATATTTCAGGAAGCAGATGTTGAAAAGCTGCAGCAGCGGGACTACGCAAACATCAAAGTAGGTTTTGTATAATTTTTCAGATCAAGAACTACCTATCCATGTGAATTGGATAGTTTGATAATACCATCAGGTTGGAAGTTCTTAAAAAAGTTACAAAGTCTGAGATTGTAACTACAAAGTTTGCAGGATGCAAGTCTCTTGAGATTTCTTGTTGACATGCGGGGAGATGATGTGGACAACCGTCAGGTGAATCATCTGCTGGTTTTGACTTCCAAAGAGTCCAATACATAATTTTTTGCTCCACAATTTTCATTGATTGGCCAATGATGCAAAAATCAGCTACTTGATTTTGAGCCAACTTTTCTTGATGGCTCTGGTTCTCATTCCGTTCTTCATGACAGCTACGAGATGACCTGATGACAATGCTTATTGCTGGTCATGAGACCACCGCTGCTGTTCTTACATGGGCGGTTTTCCTTCTCGCACAAGTATGTTCCATCTATCATCTCCAAGCTCTTTTTCCCTTGACTAAATCTAGTTTGATATCTCAAGTGTATCCAATATGAAAAATTGCAGAACCCCACCAAGATGAAGAAAGCCCAGGCAGAGTTAGATGCAGTTCTGGGTCAGGAGAAGCCAACATTTGAATCACTTAAAAAACTAGAGTGGGTTCATATATCGTTTCTCCTTCATTTGTTTATATTCAATCAATGGGGAAACCATGCCTAGAATTTTCGGGTTGATTTATCTGTTCTGTATTTACTCTCAGATATATACGGCTTATTGTGGTCGAATCTCTTCGCTTGTATCCTCAGCCTCCATTGCTAATCAGACGTTCTCTCAAACCAGATGTTTTACCAGGTAGTCTAAATCTTCCTCTCAACTTCCATTACAAACTCATTGAAGTCAAATAAGTGAATAAAAATGTGAAGCAATAGCTTGTGTAACAAGAATGAATGTGCAGGAGGCTACCAGGGAGCCCCAGATGGCTATGCAATCCCTGCCGGGACAGATATATTTGTTTCTGTAAGTTCGTGACATTTACAAGATTTTTGCATATATAAATATCAGAGGTTAAAGACATCGAATATGATATAGTTGCTTTCTCACCAATCGCTCCATGGTACTTTGGTTTACCTGCTACATACTCAGGTGTATAATCTCCACAGATCCCCTCATTTCTGGGACCGCCCGAACGACTTTGAACCAGAAAGGTTTCTCGTGACAAAGACGAACGAATCTGTCGAAGGATGGGCTGGTTTTGATCCGTCTAGAAGTCCCGGAGCATTATACCCTAACGAGGTCCTCGAAGATCCTCGAAACTAGCTAGAGTTGTTTTCTTACTGCATTCCTCTTTGACAGTGACCTTATAAATCAACATGGGGTTGGCATGATTCTATATTTTTCAGGTCGTATCAGATTTTGCGTTGCTTCCCTTTGGTGGAGGGCCGAGGAAATGCGTGGGGGACCAATTTGCACTAATGGAATCCACAGTTGCATTGGCCATGTTGCTGCAGAAGTTCGATGTGGAGCTTAGAGGGTCTCCTGAATCAGTTGAGCTGGTCACTGGAGCAACCATACATACAAAGAATGGGTTGTGGTGTAAATTGCGAAAGCGATCCTCATCATCATAAGCCAATCTCCATTCATGTTGTTTCCCTCCGGAAGAAGGAAGCTACTGCAACATGATCACTATGGTAAAAAAAAGGTCTGTAAATTTCTTCCGAACACGAGCATTCTGATTGCGAGGGGTGAACCTTGTTCATTTTCTTACTTAGCTGCCATATTTCAAACCTTGATGCTAAAGATTTACATGTTCAGGTGAGGGATAGGGTGTATTTGCATCCATTTACCAAAGTCAAAAAAAGAAGAACACATTGAGGAAAGGAAATACATCATCACCAAATGCATATAACTATTAGTCGTTGTGAGAATATCACTTGATACCACTCTGACTATATATTTCAAATTGCATGACAAATGATCAGGCGACCATTGTTTATTTGACCTTTTCATTTAACCAGTGATGCCACAAACTCATCAACATTCCTCTCCGAACTCCCACCATCGGCAACAGCTTCTCTTGCCAATTTCCTCCACTTCTCTGAATTCCTCCTCATCTCCTCGCCACTCTCCCCTTCCATCACTTCCTTGATCCGTCGCCCAATCTCCTCCTTCGTCACCACCCCACTCTCCACGTCAGCCCTTGCACGTGCCCCCACGCGCCAGACATCTACCACGAACTTGGCGTTTGTCTGTTGATCCCCCCATACTGGCAACGCCACCATCGACACCCCAAGGCAGAGCGCTTCAATCGTCGAGTTCCACCCGCAGTGGGTCAAGAAGCAGCCGATGGAGCGGTGGGCCAGGATCTCCACCTGGCGGCACCAACTCACAACAAGCTGGTCTGATGAATCCATTGCAGAGAGGAAGTCAGGCGGGAGTTTATCTTGTTCGGATTCACGAACCACCCATATGAAAGGGCGAGAGCTGAGCTGCAGGGCTAGGGCGAGTTCGGTGGTTTGGGTTTTGGAAATGTCGGATATGCTCCCCATAGATGCATAGATGACCGAACCGGGTGACTTCGAGTCGAGCCACTGAGTGATGGATGTTTGCGAACCATCCGGGTTGAAGAGGTTGAGCCCATATTCCGACCCTGTCTTTGGGAGGTCCAATGATTCTTTGTTGCTTAGATAAGCCGATGGAATCGTCGGACCAATCGACTTTATCGGGATCAATTGATTCATCATCCAGTCAAGTAGCTACAAATAAGGGGGGAAAAGGATCAATAAAATCATTAATTCCGGTTGTTTTTATCTCGGGACTTGTCCTTCCAAATAACTTATCTACAAAGTAACACAATAATTACCTTATCTTCCAAGCTATAGAAAGTGTTGCAAAAAGCCCAATCGGCTTCCCTAACGGTGGAGAACTGTCCCCCCAGCATGTCAATTGCCACCGCATAACTCCCCGGATCAGCAACAAACGACGGGAGATCATCCGTCGCTAATAATACCGTCTCCGAAAGTCCCTCCACCGCAACCAACCCATTCTCGTCCACCGCCGGCGGAACCTCCAGCCTCCCTTCCACGACGTTCAAGTACACGGCATTAACCGCCATGGGCTGCGTGAAAAACGCCGCCCCGACCATGCCCAGCTCCTTCGCCACGTGGAGGGCCCACGACATGATCGAGTCGTACACCAAGCAGCACGGACCTGCAGCAGCAGTGCCGGCAGGTCCGCGCAGCCTGGCCACGAAGTCCCGCAGTCCCTGCTCCACGAGGCTGCGGAACTTCTCCAGGAAGTGCTCGTCCAGGGGGAGCCCGCCGTCCGAGATGAGCTCCACGGCGACGGACCCCACCGCCGAGCCTTGCAGGATCAGCTTCTTGTCGGTAAAGGTGACGAGGGTGACGGCGAGACCTTTAGCGACGAGTTTTTTCGAGAACTGGAGTGCCGGGTTGATGTGGCCCTGCGCTGGCCACGGCATTACGATTACGTGTGGCCGGCCTGTCGTCGCGGAAGGTTTTTGTGTCATCTCGTCGACTTTGTTGTGCTTTAGCGACGGGGAAGAGGGGTGGTTAATTGTATGATTGAGCTCTGTTTCGCTGGTGAAATCTCATTCTGGAGGAAGGGCTCTATATATAATCAAATCGTAAGAGAGCAATCATAGAGATGTGATGGTGAAGAGGATCATTGAATAGAAAGAGTAGTTTTGGTGACCAAGTCTCGTTGAAGGAGATTTAATTGGAAGACGGCGGATTCTTCTTCTTCCTTGCATAATTAGTTAATTACAATTATAAAAAAATCAATTAGTCCAAATAATTTAAATTGTTGATAGAAATTCAATTATAAATCATATACCATATAATACGAAATTAAACTCGTAGGGAAGGTAATATACTCATTCTTGAGTATGATATCTGATCGTACAACTCCACATTTCATGGAAGCTTGCTAGCTATGGCATATTCCAACACCCAAACGACCCATTAAGTTGTATATTCTTAAGTCGGCTAAGATCTCGTCAGAACAATAAGCCAAACCAAGCGAAACCACCAATGACAGGTTGATTCTAAAAAAAAGTTGGATAGGTAATGTATAATTAAGTAGAACTAATTTGCTTCCTATAATATATACGTTTGAGTCGCTAAAACCAAACTATATAGTGACCAAAATGTTAGTGGAGTTAAAGATTCAATTTGCATTTAGGGTTGGCTATTTGGTCTCGGACTGTTTGGGTTTACCTGAAACCGGACCGTATAACCGGGACCGGACTGGGTCCGGATAGCAAACAATGCAATCTCATATTCGGGCTTAGATTTGAGATAAAAAACCGGATAAGAGACCTCCAACACCTAAAATCAAGATAAAATTGGGACCAGACCGGATCAAGACCGGACTGTATCCAATCCAATCTTTGGTCCTTATATTCTCGAAAAAACCGGACTGGGACCGGATCAATTTGGTCCAATTTAACCGGACCGGACCGTATAGCCACCCCTATTTGCATTTTACAGTCGAACAACAGAAAACAAGGTCGTTATCTAAGTGGTGGCGTGGTAAGGATCGTTGTACGTTTGGAATAATACCATACTTGATGTAATCCGGTGGTTGGATGTACTTCGCTGTAATTCGATGAATCAAAATCAAAATCATTGATTAATTTATATATTTATATATTAAATTGATTTAGGTTTGAGGTTAAAGAATTGAGGTGTGAAATTTATTCATTAGAGGTTAGAATATCGTATTAATGTATTTTACAATCTGATCCATATATACTATGAATTAAATCGAATTTCGGATATCAAAGTAGAATACGATATCCTTTAATAAATGAAAACTAAGCTCCATCATTAAAGTGAAACTATATGTTAAGCACCACTCCAATTAAAGAGCATGGCATCCGCACGGCTCTAGCATGATATAGAAGCCATCTCTTTCCCAAGAAAACAATGATGGAAGACTGTAAATAAGGAGCCAAAATCACTCTTGTTCGTTTTGCAGTGTATGTTTTCATGAAGGGCCATCAGAAGTGAGAGTGATGGGTTTGAGGTAGGGCTGTTAATTTGGTTTTGGTTTTTTGGTTTTAACCGAAACCAAACCATTAAAAGGTTAATGATTTTGGTTTTTCGGTTTTAAATCATTTAGCATATTAATGGTTTTGATTTCGGTTAAAATAAAAAAAAATAATAAAAAACCAATAAACCGATAAGAACCCCTGATTTTTTTGAAGTCAACCATGTTTTTGGTTTATCGAAACCATTAAGGAGCCTCTTGATGGTTTATCGGTTTATGGTTATCCAAAAACTGATAAACCTCTTAATGGTTTTGGTTTTTGTGAATATGCCTAATTTGGTTTTTGGTTTTTGGTTTTCATGCTAATGATTTGGTTTTGGTTATCCAAATTGACAGCCCTAGTTTGAGGTTATATGAAAGGCGGGAGACAAAGCTTTGTTGGATTAGAAGCTTCTCAACACTAGGTAATTGCTTCGGTCATTTCGATTGTGACGATTCTAAAAACAAGTTTATTTTTGTCAATTATATCGTTAACGGTATCACAATTCAATTTGGAAAGGACGTTTTAATGACAATTATGGTGCTTCAGTCAATAAGGCGTTGTTGTGGAGGATACCTAATGGAAAATTGTTCAACAATCTATGTATTATACGTATTATTTTCGATTTGCTGACACATTCTTATTCTCTTTTAGTCGAAAGTTGATGATGTTATATATCAATCACCATATATATGGACACAAATTTTATGAAGATTAAATTGACAACAAATTAGAAAAGTTTACTTCCTCGACTTTAAACACAACTAGAAAGCCCTTATCGTGAGCCTTATAGTCAAGAGTTAGCCTGTAAGCGTAAAGGTATAGACTTGTACATTTTTACCCCCTCACATATCCTAATTTTGTGACCAAAAGCGATATATGTTCAAGAAGCACGATAGAAGTAGGGGTGTTCAAATGGTTACCATGGTTATTACCAAATCAAATAAGGTTAAATTTCATTAACCATGGAATACAATATCATAACCAAACCGTCCAAACTAATACAACAACCAAATTAACCAAACTAAAGTTTAATCGGTTTGGTTAATTGGTTAACCAGATTAACCAATATAAAATCATATTATCATTAGGTGAGAAATTTTTCGGTTAATTTATCAATTCACAATTTATATAATGAACAAAACATAACAATCAACACATAGTTATAGTTGACCCTTAACATAAATACATGCAAATAAGACAATTATCTTACGGTTAGTATAGAAGTATTCACCTAACAAAAAATTATCACAATGGTATGGGTTAATGAATTGTTGTGTTTGTTTGAATTGACTTACTCTTTTAGCAATTTTCATAGGTCCTTCGCAAGGTATCTGAATCGTTTAGTACCTTCGATAGTAGATAAAGAACACATAACAGTATGGTAAGTTCATCGCTGAAGTTACTTGGAGATGCAACATGTAACGGCTCTAGTACATAAATAAACTGAGTTATTCTGTGCATAAGATTGTCATTGTTATCAGCGATTCGGTCTCTGTAAACACTCTGCCGATCCTTCGTGATGTTAATGAATTTGTTCTTTCTGTAGTAATGCAGACTTGCATCTACTTAACTTGTACATTTGTAAGATCGATGGCTCTCAAGTAGCAGGTCTGGTAGAGAAATCTGACATCATGGAGAAGCATATATTCTTGATTTACAGCTCCATGATTTATGTGTTCAGTAGAATGTAGATTAATCGCTTTTACACATACCAGGAGCGGCTTCAACCTGACTAAACTCGTACATTCCTACAAAACAAATATGATTGTCGAAATGCACACATCCTCTTGCATCATTGTCATTCCGAATTGTATAAAGCAATCACGTATGTCTTGTGTGGACTGGTAGGTTGGAGAGATTAAAAATTACTCGTGAACTATTTTGGAGAGATTAAAATTTACTCGTGACACTAATAGTTCGTTTATTCAATATCTAGTATTTATTGATGTATCAAATTCAAACAAAATAATAGTTAAAATAACCAACGAACATAAAACGTGATCAACCCACTCATTAGAATACTGGTTCTGTTGATACTTAAAGATCTTCTGTAACTTTTGTGTATTATCTTACATTTAAATAGGAATTAAGAAAAGAACTATAGTGCCAAAGCTTCATATATTTTACACTTTTTAGTCAAAATAATGAAAAGAAAACACAGATTCCAGGAAAGGAAAAAGGACTTGTAGCAAACAACAGTAGGTAGTGGAATGGTACTTTATTAGCTTTGTGTTTTTGTCTATTTTTATAAGGGTCAATTACATGAAAGGTCAGCTAAGTTTCATGACCTAACACAAATTAGTCATCCATTAACGTTGTGTCTATTATTAATATAAACGTGTTAAATGATACAAACTATGTTACTATGCCAAAAAGGAATCACATTAACTCTTTGATAGGTTAGGAATGTAGCGAAATATGATGGTTATGAGTAATGTGGACTCGAAATAGGTCTAGTATGAGGCTTGGTTTGATCACGTAAAGGTCTAAATAATTCTCCCATGTTAGCTAATTATGGTAAATTAATTGTAACCATGTCTATAATTGATTTGGTTCAGTGAGTACACTATTATTTATAACTTGAACAAAACATTTAACTTAGATTAGATTGTTATAAAATTTATCTACAAATTCGTTGATAATAAAAGTTCAATGATGAATTTGTTAATGGGCTTTAAAGTTTGAAAACCATTTGTGTATGATTTGTATAATTGCAGTCTATCTCGTTCTTTTTGGCTGTCAAAACCTTCTCTTTTGTGCTTTTGTCAGTTTTTGGACAAATATTCTTGTCTTCAACTTCAACAGTTCCTCCACCATTTTCCTTTCTCAAGGATTTCTTCTCGTTTCTCTCTCTCTGACCCTCTCTGAAGCTTTTCCCCATCTCTGTAGGGGCCATGTAGAGCTTTCGTTTCAGCTTCACCCAGTCTCTCAATTTTGCCTCATGAAAAATTTTCGTTTCTTTTCTCCTTGTCATTTTCTCATTAATGCTGACAAAGCGAGCGACTAAGTAAAACCCACTTCATCATTTCTACATCCGTTTTGGGGTTTATTGGTTTCAGACTGCATAGGATAGAAAGTTCAGTTCTTTGCTTCTTTTTTATCTCTTAGGACAGCTCCTTTGGTTTTTAGGGTTTTGGAGCTCTTCTAAGCTCTGGTATTGAGCAATTATGGTGAGGAAGCATGGATGGCAATTGCCAGCACACACGTTTCAGGTACTGAATTTTCTTTGCTTCTCTCAACAAGTTACTAACTTTTCTCATTTCTTCTCAGTTTCTGTTGGATTCCTTTTCCTTTCTTCAATGTCGACTTTGCCTTTTGTGCGCTTTGTTAAAATTGAATCCATTTGCTTTTGATCATGGTTAGGCAGGTCAATTCAGTTGACCTCCCGTCCTCCACCCTTTGGTAATAGATTGACTTGGGCTGACTTCTCGATTTAGCAATTAGTCTTCTGGGTATTTGTCGGTTTGTTTGATGGGGCATTACAGGCCTCTTTGAAGGTTGTTGATTATAATGGGGAGATTAGAAAATGTGCAGACAGCATTTTGGAGTCTTAAATTGTTGAGTTGAAGAGCTTTGTTTGATCTGAGTACTAGTAGATTTTGCAAGATTAAGTCTTTGATATGCTAATGGTCCTGCAAAATGAGAGAGATTAAGCTTTAGTCATGATGGTCTTGCTTAAGAGTGTACCAGCACTTGGTGATATAGTAATTGGTGGTTTGACTCACTCTGTAATGTTGATCCTCCATGAGACATATGATGGCCTGGCTCTGTCACAAGGTCGTTGAACAGTTTCTGAGCTACGGACGTAATGGCATTTCTCTTTTTGATTTAGCAGACTGCACGTTCCAATTCTGAGTTCTGACTTATATTTATATTGAAGTGTAACCCAATTTTGACTTCTGAACACAATGTGAGAAAGTAACAGATGAGTTTCGTTAGTTCTGTGAAGCTTGACTAGACGACTGTCAGACTGCCAAAATCTAAGAATACATGTATTCTGAAACTGGCAGTTGGTGATGCTTCTATCGAGTTGGCTTTCTAACTCCCCTTTCTCTAACTGTTGGCATTATCTTTGATAGGTTGTTGCAATCACGGTGTTTTGCCTGTTGGTGATAGCATTCTATGCTTTCTTTGCTCCTTTCCTCGGAGGCCACTTCTGGGATTACACTCTGATTGGCATCTACTCTCCAGTGGTAAGTGACCTTCAAACACTTCCACCATTCTTTCATATTTTCTAGGTCTCTATCATACAGCTTACCTTGATCGCATATGTGCTAGTAATCATCAGTTTGGTACACCTTTTGTTGCAACATTGCTTATATATATTTTCATTTCCAGGTGCTCCTGGTTTTTATTCTTTATGTGCGGTGTACCGCAATCAACCCAGCAGATCCTGGCATCATGTCTAGATTCAATCCCCATCATATAGCAGCTAACAGGAATGCTAAAGATCTACCCAGACGATTCAATGAAGCTGGGAGTGGAATTCATTCTTCCCCATCTTCTATGTCCAAAAGTTCTATAGCTCCAGCCAACTCTAGCAGGCAAGGGTCAGTTGGAGATATCGGGAGAGTTGATGAGGAACCACAAACCCACCAAAAATCATGCTCTATTGTCGGTGGAATCTTATGTGCTGTGTTTGTTCATGAAGATTGTCGCAAGCAGGAAGGGCTTTCCGAGCAACAAGGCTCTGTTGAAGATGCGTTGTTCTGTACATTGTGCAATGCTGAGGTATTCCTCTGGGTGCAAGTAGTTCTTGATTTTTCCTTGGGAAAAAGCAAAAGACTGTAGCTGATCAATATCTTCTGTAGAGTCCGAGCCATAAAAAGTTTATTACGCTATTTGCTCATCAAACTGAAAAGGTTTAGAAATTTGCAGGTACGCAAATTCAGCAAGCACTGCCGCAGTTGTGATAAATGTGTTGATGGCTTTGACCACCATTGTCGGGTAAAGCTTCCCGCCTTTCCATCCTTTCTCATGATAATGTTTCCTGGCTTCTAACTTTCTCCATGTAATGCAGTGGCTTAACAATTGTGTGGGCCATAAAAACTATGTGACTTTCATTTCGCTTATGGCTACAAGTATTGTATGGGTATGTATATTTCGACTCTTATTTTCCGTTCTTTCTCTGATGGTTGTAGTGCTAGTGCTTACTTTTCTGCTTTGTGGTTTAGCTTGTTCTTGAAGTTGGAGTCGGGATTGCTGTCATGGTCCGTTGCTTTGCCCACAAGAAAAGCATGGATGCTGAAATAGTTGATACCCTTGGAAACGGATTCTCTCGTGCTCCTTTCGCTACTGTGGTGGTATGCACATCTTAAGCATGAGCTTTAGTAAAAAAAAAGAAAAAAGAAAAAGTGGCCGTGTCATTTTTCGCATTCATTGGATTGAATATCATTCCTGATTGTCTACCTGCATTTTCTGCAGGCTGTATGTACCGCAGTTTCTATTCTGGCCTGCATACCCTTGGCTGAACTTCTCTTCTTCCACATGATATTAATTCGAAAGGTTAATTACCAAAACTGAGATCTTCAGCATTCTGTCGACTTATTACTACTAAAATTGCATTTTTTTCACTTTATTTAATTATGTACTTTTGCTACTCTTGTCAGGGTATTACGACTTATGAGTATGTTGTGGCAATGAGAGCAATGAGTGAGGGACCTGCGAATATGGAAGAGCAATGGGGCAATCTAGGCAACTCACCAACAGGATCTGCAACAACAGGATTTAGTGGTGGAAGTTCTCTAGGCCTGCAGTACAAGGGAGCATGGTGTACCCCTCCCCGAGTATTCGTTGATTTACAGGTACATTTCACTTCCAAAATCGATCCCCACTGCTTTGTTTACCCCTCCTCGAGTATTTTTTTTTTTTTTTTTTTTTTTTGCAAATGGTATGGGAATACAGTATATACAGTTGTCTAAAAGTTCCACTTCTAGCCCTTGATCGATAACCTGTCAAGTAAATTTTCTTCTGGCCATGCTTGGTAGTCTGAAACTAAGGGGTTGTTTGCATTGATGATTTGTTGAAACGTGTAGATTGTTCTAAATAGATATATCATGGAATGATTGATATTGAACTATTGGAAGACTGTACTGTTGGATGACAATTTTTAGCTGGTTGATTTTAGTTTTCCACTTGAAAACCAAATTTGCCTTAAACATCATCCACTTTATAAAGCTGTATAATATCTTCAAATTTTCAAACCAAGGGTCATAGTGTCAAAACACATGGTGGGTTCTGGAATGCCACGCCCCCTACCCATGGCTTCTATGATCTCCCCTTCTATATTCTGAAATCCATGCATGGTGCCAAGAATGCACCTCGTTTTCTCAATTTTTCTTGCCAAATGATAGAGTCCAGGAAATCCATTACCACAATTGTCAATCCAAACAACCTGTAAGATGTTTCATCTCGCAAATAGGGCTTGATAGCACTTCTCCCCGTTTCTTATATTCTAACTGCCATGGTTGATAATTGAAGCAAAACCAAGGACTATTGCATAATTTTTTTGGTTGGGCTCTCTTCCTTTTCTACTGCAGGATGAAGTCATACCTCACTTGGATCCAGGAATGGTCCCATCAACGGTCGACCCTGATGCAGCAGGAAATGCAGACCAAGGAGGAAACAGGCAACCCAAAAGGCCCGTCAGAATTAGTGCTTGGAAACTTGCAAAGTTGGACTCAAACGAGGCAATGAAAGCCGCAGCAAAGGCAAGAGCATCTTCTTCCGTTCTGAAACCAGTCGAGAACCCTCCATATCTTGAAGGAGGTAGCTCGAGTGGCAACATGAGCATCAGGAGTAGCCTCAGTACCGAAATGGGTCCAAACAAGGAGTTAACGAGGGCCGAGCTGCGGTTACCCTCACATGGTCATTCAATACCTCCTAGTCAAGGCAGTCGAGATGATTGTGAAACTGGAACCCACAGTGTTAGTAGCTTCAGCAGCCCTAGCCACATCCATGAGTCGGTAACCCTTAGCCCTCTGCCGCAAGGTCATGCTCCTAGTTTCCTTCCTAGTCGGCCTATGGCCTCCAAGGTGGCACCCCCTACATCTGGATTTGATGAGAAGATCGCGCAGAGGGGAAGTGGTAGTACTGCTGATCCTTTGCTTCTTGGAGCACCGACATCATCATCATCTCTTCTCAGAGAGGTGAAGAGGACATCTGTGGTATGGGACCAAGAAGCAGGGAGGTATGTATCTGTTCCCGTGTCTTCGACTGATGCAAAAAGCAGACCGGCCCCACAAATTGGTGTGCCAACTTCATCATCATCCGAGGCAAAACCAGCAGCAGTTCAGCAAGGGGAGAAGCTGATGTACACAGGAGGTGACTCCATTTTCTTCGGCGGTCCACTATTGACTGGTCCAACCATTAGAGGAGAAGGGTTGAGAAATGAAGGTTCAAGAGACACCCACCACCAGCAGAGGCTAGCATTGAACTTCCCACGTGAGTCGAGGTTCAGAAGAGATGCAGTGTCGAATCAGCTTCCTGTTTTCAACCCTGCTGGATCATCTGACCACCACCACCACAATCCTTCATCTTAAGGTTACTCCATTTTCATCTGTATAGTCCAGAGAGCAAACAGCAGAATGCAGGCGAAAGCTGGAGGCATCCTTTCTTTCTAGTGATAGGTCCTGCTGCTCATTCGTAGCAGGAAAGCTCATTTCATGCAAGGTTTAACCGCTTGTTTGGTTTGGAGGATGGAGGAAGAGGACATGATTGGATGCCTAGTATTGTCAATGAATGAGAAAGGTGACTGGAGATCGAATAGCGAGAGAGAAAATCGGTCTTGGTCTCGGTCTCTCATCCAATCTTGGCCTGACCAAAAGGGTGTGTTCTTTTGTCGATGAGACCTTGTACATTTTGATTCTCTCACTGCCATGATATTCTTCCTACTGTTCTCCAGTTCATGTTGTGCGTGTGTATATCTTACTTCTCTCCAATTCTTTTTTTGGCTTTCGTTGTTGGTTAGTTGTATTTTGAGACAGACATTTGTGGAAGTTGACAGAGAATGCATGGTGGCACAGATCAAGTGAAAGGAAAAGGAAAAAATCACCTCAACCCTCATTCTTCAGTCTTCTAGATGCCAAGGGTGTGATTGGTGTCATGATCCAATGTAACAATCAGGCACAATGTGCTAATTCGGAATCAAAAGCCTCATTTCTTCTAGCTTAGCAATTTGAATTGAAAGCCAATTTTTTTCATCCATATCAAATGGTTTCGTGGTGTAGTTGGTTATCACCTTCAGTCTAACACACTGAAGGTCTCCGGTTCGAACCCGGGCGAAGCCAATTTTATTTTCATTAATTTTTTCAGTTCCATTATGAATTTAATATAGTTGGGAATTTTTGTTATAAATTATGTTGATGCTAAGCAGTGGGAAAAGGGTTCGTGTGCAATCATTTTTTGAGTTGCCAAAATTAGAATGAGATTCGTAATTGTCCCCTTAGAAATTATAATACAAAGTTGTAGTAGAATTTGTTAATTTCACCTAAAATGAAGATGATAATTCAGGATTAATGATAATCAAAGATGATGTAATCTCCTCTTGTAAATATTATTGTAAATATTATTAACATTGAATGATCCTACAGTTTTCAAAGTTAAACTAATTTATAGTATGAATAATCTTTTATAATCCAATTAGTGTAACATTAATACATTGACCGATTCTAAATTTTCTAGTTAATTCATATAACCTCTGAATATTTTCTTTGTTGGTAATCTTTTGTGGTAAACATGAATGGAAGCTGGAATCACAATTCAAATTTGTGATCCTCCAAATAAATAAAAATGATATGGTAACTAATGATCTAAAGATAACTAAATTGTCTATTATCAATTATGTATGAGGGAATGGGAGAAAAAAATAAAATTTTAAGAGGAATCCCAAAAAAGCCTATCTCTGAAACAGACTGACTGACGTCTCTCTCCAAGAGCTCCATTATACTTGGTTGTCCGTTTCTCTCTCGGGCCAGTCAGTGGCCTTCACCAAGTTCACATCCTTAGCTCCCACCCATTTTAGTCATCTTCTCGACTTCTATCTCCTCTCTTTTCTTTTCCCCCCCTTTGTCCAGTTTGCATGCTCTGCTGTTTGGATTTGCTAGTTCTCTGCTAAGCTATGGTGGTCTTCAACGCACTCATGCGATCCACTCTCAATGCTCGGGTAATCAGCAGCGATTTCCCACTACCCATCATCGTTTTCCTCGAAATCCCACCTCTTAAGTTGTTTTTCCGCGTACCGTGTATGAGAAAGTTCCGCACTTTTTGGATCATAGCTTGTTTTTTCTGCTTTCCTGCTCTGTTCCTTCCTCTGTTCTTTCTTTCTTTCTTTCGCTCTGTGAAATTTGATTTCCCACTTTTATCTTGGTTTCTGGGTTCCCCGTTTGTTGCTGCTCATCTTTTCTCGATCGAAATTTCTGTTTGTCTTCTAGCGGGAAAAAATGGGAATTCAATTTTCCCGCTTTTGTTTCAGGAAAGTTTTCAATCTTAAGAGACACTTATGATTTCTTGTTCATGGATCATTGTTGGGTTTTGTAATTTGTTATGTTGCTTCAAAATCCAAAAAAATTTGTGTGGTACAAAAGAAAGCTAGAATCTTTGAGATTACTCAGCTGAAAAGCGAAGTTGTGTATGTTTTTTGTGCTGAATTCGAACCTTATGCCCTTGTCCTTACTTTGATCAGCTTGGATCATATGTGAAGCATGTTGCTGGCAAGGGACCATCACAGAGCTACATTCCATCAGTGTCTAGATTGTACAGCAAAGAAGCATATTTGATTAAGGACGATGTTTCAGATGGTAGCAAAAGGTAATGTCGTATTAACAATTTCGTTACCATGAAGCACATAGGTCCCAGAATTTTTAAAGGCTCTTAGAAAGTTTGTATATTGCAGTTTCAAGGGTCATGATATGCTGGCTCCTTTCACGGCTGGGTGGCAGACAACTGAAGCAAACCCTTTGGTCATTGACAAGTCCGAGGCATGTTCTTGTTCATTCTAGTTTCCCAATACTATCTCTACTAGGATGCATTGTTCCTCAACTAACTGGGATCCTGGTAATCGGTTGTTGATACAGGGTTGCTACGTGTATGATGCTGATGGGAAGAAGTACATCGATTCTCTTGCCGGTCTCTGGTGTACTGCTTTAGGTATTATGAGTATATCCATTATTCGTGTACATTTTGATATGTTTCTCATGCTGTATGTACATTGCTTAGGAATCCGATAATTGCGTTGACATCAAATGCTTGCTTCATGCATGTTACATTTAATGGTTCCCAAGGTATTTGTTGGAAGAAAATTTTGAATCCAGATGCTTACCCCTTGTGCAGGTGGCAACGAGCCACGTCTTGTTGAAGCTGCAATGAAGCAACTGAATACCTTGCCATTTTACCATTCGTTTTGGAATCGTACAACAAAGCCTTCTCTGGTACGCATGTCTTTTCCATTATCAAATGATGGTTGAGTTTGTGACCTTTTTTTGTAACCTCCAAAGCCCTCTGCCCCATCTAAGGATCAAAGGAATTGCACTTGGGAATTTATACTCTGTATAATTTGATTCAACAGGATCTTGCGAAGGATCTTCTGGAAATGTTCACTGCAAATAAAATGGAAAAAGCTTTCTTCACTAATGGTGGATCAGATGCCAATGATACACAGGTTAGCTTGTTTCTTAAAAATGATTGCTTAGCTGTTTTGTTCTGGTTAGAATTCTAAGTCATTCTTTGGGCTTAATAAGTTCATGATTAATCTGTCATTTCTTCTGCAGGTGAAGCTGGTGTGGTATTATTATAATGCTCTTGGGAAACCAGAAAAGAAGAAGTTTATTGCTCGAAATAAATCGTTAGTTTTTGGTCACTCCATCTGTTTTGTGATCTATTCTTTTGTAAGCCATGCTCAAATTGCTGATTGTTCTCTGTGTTTGTAAGGTATCATGGCTCAACCTTGATTTCAGCCAGTCTTTCTGGGTAAGAATATAGATTACATTAATTGTCAATTCAAATTTCATTGTCATGTTGCATTCATGTGATGTATGAAACTAAATTGCAGCCTTCCACCTATGCATAACAATTTTGATCTTCCAGCACCATTTGTGCTGCACACTGACTGTCCACACTACTGGCGTTTTCATCTTGAAGGTTCCTCCCTCCTCACCTATTCTACTTTCGAGTTCCATAACTGAAAACCAGCAGCTCTGTAATTACAAATTCTTGGTATGCATCTTTCAGGTGAGTCGGAGGAGGATTTCGCAACCAGATTAGCCAAGAATTTAGAAGAGCTAATCCTGAAAGAGGGACCTGAAACGGTAATAAATCCTATAACTTGCTGCAACTATAAGTAACAAAATTTCATGGCAATGCTTTTGGTTGCTAACCTGCAGTAGGTTCTTCTTTCAGATTGCTGCATTTATTGCTGAGCCAGTCATGGGTGCCGGAGGCGTGATACCCCCTCCTGCAACTTACTTTGAGAAGGTAAACATCGTAAAGTCTATGTCATAATATAGCAACATTGTAGACTCTATGGCATAATAGTTCAATGCTTTTTTGGTAATTTATTCATTTTCTTGCTTCTTTTGTGGCTATGACTAATGGGAGATTCTGACAACTCTGTAGTTTCCTTTCCGGTTTGTGATGGTTGTTTGCTTTTTAGTCTTATGGGCTCATGAAGTACAGTGGCAAAAATCACATTCATTCTTCTATCTGCACTTCACAGAGCTAATGTTGATGTTTAATCCTGTGCAGGTTCAGGCAGTGGTGAAGAAATATGATATTCTATTCATTGCAGATGAGGTAATCTGTGCCTTTGGAAGGCTTGGAACAATGTTCGGGTGTGACAAGTACAACATCAAACCAGACCTTGTAACTTTGGCTAAGGTGAGTTCTGGAGTATTTTCATGCTTTCCAAAATTACTCTGGGTTCAGTAACACATCATTCATCGAACCTTCTTTCAGGCTCTTTCGTCAGCATACATGCCAATCGGAGCAGTTCTTGTGAGCCCTGAAATCAATGAAGTGATTTACTCCCAAAGCAACAAACTTGGTATGTGGCAACAAAGCTTCCATTTCTTGTAGCTGCTAACTGTTAAGCAATTTGAACTGAATTCTTCGTATCACCTATTGTACAGGTACATTTTCTCATGGATTTACTTACTCTGGCCATCCTGTCGCATGTGCTGTGGCCATTGAAGCCCTCAAGATATACAAGTGGGTCTTTGTTTCGCTGTTCTATGCTACGTTTCAACTAGATCTAGTTCCGAATCGCAGTTTTTTCTCGACTGATACTCTGCATTTCCACTTGGATTTTCATAGGGAAAGAGATATTCCTGGGCATGTGAGCAGCATTGCACCAAGGTTCCAAGATGGTCTTAAAGCCTTCTCTGACAGTCCTATCATAGGAGAGGTAACAACACCCTTAATGTCCGAACTTTGCACTCCGCAACGACACGAGAACTAACCAACTTTTCCCCTTTTGCAGATCCGCGGAACTGGCTTCATCCTTGGTACTGAGTTCGCCGATAACAAGTCACCAAACACCCCGTTTCCTGCTGATTGGGGCAAGTTCTTCTTCCAGCTCCTATATTTCTCGCCGCATGTTCATAATCATTTGCAGCAGTCGCAATGTGTGATAACCAACATGGTTTCTTCTTTTGTTAACAAGGATTGATCTTTTTTTCCATGTGAACCGGGAATTTCATTGCAGGAGTAGGAGCGTTCTTCGGAGCAGAATGCCAGAAGCTCGGGATGTTGGTTCGTATAGCAGGAGACACCATCATGATGTCTCCACCTCTGATCATGGGCACTGAACACGTAGACGAGGTATAATCTTACCCCTCGTCCCGCTCAAAACTTGCTCTTCTTCAAACCATTGTCTTTCTCCCTTCTGCTGAGCGAATGATGCAAATATGTAATATCCTCATTTGCAGATCATTAGCAAGTACGAGAAGGCGCTGAGAGCCACCGAGGAGAGGGTAAAGGAGCTGAAATCTAAGCACAGCAAGTGATAGATGATGTCGAAAAAATTTGTGTTCAGTTCTCTGTCTTCGGAGGTTGTAAAGAGAAGCCTTCTTTTCAGCATGGTGCATTGTTAATAGATCACATTGGCAGAATGAATAAAGCACATTAGTAATTAGTGCTTTAGTGGGATTAATCAGCTATGTTCGGAATCCTTGATCATTAAAGAGTAATCAAGACGAATATAAATTGCAATTAGATTTCTGAAGAACATTGAACAGTTTTCGTATTTTCGACGTAATAGTAACAAACAACAGTTTCTCTGACATCCGGCCGGTGGCAGCAACGGACGGCGGCAGCGGCCCGGAGCTGAAAGATGGTTTGTAACCAGCCTCGTCATTGTGGTCCGAGTCTTTGAACGATTGTACCGACCGGCCTCTAGGATCACGGCGAAGCTCACTGCATAGAAAATGTCATGGCAGTGGCGGCGGCGATTCCCAGCACCGGAACCGGCATCTGCCATCCTACTGGCGCAGAAAGGATGAAGAATGAAATATCGTGTTCTTTTGGCGCTTGTTTCTGTTAGGTGAATAACATATTTGGTCCCTTTACTTTGGGTTAGTTCATAAACAGGCCCCTAAACTTACTTGCTTACAAAGCACAGCCCTGATCCGCATAGGGATGAATTCGTTTTGTTGTTTGACAAGTTGGGTAACATACTAGTACATGATCAAGTCCCTCTCGTTGGGAACTTGGGAGTAATTCTCTGATCAAATGTTAAGGAAACACAATGATAGTGGTCCTTCGTCTAACCTATGATGGGGCATCATGACTCCCATGGTTCTTGGTCCGATACGTTGATAGCCATTGTCCGTCTTGGAACCTTGGTGCAATGATGCTCACATGCCAAGGAATCTCTTTCCCTGTGAGTGGCAATGCGAAGTATCAGTCAAGCGAAAACCGGGACTCAGACCTTGATCTAGTGGAAATGTAGTATAGAACGGCGGAGTAAAGGCCCACCTGTATATCTTGAGGGCTTCAATGGCAACAGCACATGCAACAGGATGGTCGGAGTAGGTAAATCGTTGAGAAAATGTATCCTGCATATTAGGTGGTAAGAAAAGTTCAGTTCGAATCATTAAATAACAGCAACAAGAAACGGAAGCTTCTTTTCTTTTTCACCCCTTTTATAGTCACTTGCTGCAGCATACCAAGCTTGTTGCTTTGAGAGTAAATCACTTGATTTATTTCAGGACTAACGAGAACTGCACAAATAGGAATAAAAGACAGGAAAAGCATTGAACTTTTATGTCGTATACTCCATGATGTTCCTTGCGAGTATCGGGCATAGATGTCTCACCTTCTCAAAGTAAGTTGCAGGAGGGGGTATCATGCCTCCAGCAACTGGCTCAGCGATAAATGCAGCAATCTGAAAGAACCTATTGCAGGTGAGCTACAAAAAAGCATTGTCATGATAATTTGTTATCTATAATTGCGGCAAGTCATAGCATTGATTACCATCTCAGGTCCCTCTTTCAGGATAAACTCCTCTGATTTCTTGTCTTATCTGGTTCCGAAATCCTCCACTGACTCACCTGAACGATACATACCAAGAAGCTGTAATTAAAGAGCTGTTCGGTTTTACTTATGGAGCTCGAAAGTAGAAGAGGTGGGGAGGGAGGGACCTTCAAGATGCAATCAGTCCATAAAAAAAATCTGTGTTTCTAAGGAGTTAGGAATCTCATTTCACTCGCCAACCCATGCAGTGTATGATATATGCTCGCCATTTGAGGGTGTGCTGCAGAACCCACCACGAATTCATGGACAATGCCATTGACATTGACCCAACTAGACCCTGGCTGCTTCTTCACTCCTTTCTCCCTCATAAACCACCTTAGGACAGACACATCATCCCATCGTCTATCACCAGCCAAAACATTTGCTAACATCACATAGCATGCAGAACTATCTGGGTCTACTTCAACAAGCCTGTTATAAACATCTTGAGCCAAATCCAATCTGGAATGAAGCAGGCACCCTCCAAGCAATGCCCCCCACACAAAATTGTTAGGCTTAAAAGGCATGGATGCAGCAACACTGGCAGCTTCTTCCAATTGACCGTCACGGGCAAGAATGTCAATATAACAAGCATAATGTTCCATCCTGAGAGGAATTCCAAACACTGAGGTCATATCATTGAATATCTGCCGTCCTTTATTGGATAATCCCGAGTGGCTGCAAGCCCATAGAAGACCAAGGAACGTTCCAGCATTTGGGTAAAGAGAAAAGTCTTGCATCTTCTCAAAAAGATGAATTGCATCCTCTCCTTTACCGTTCACAGCAAGCCCCATTATCATTGCATTGAAAGAGATGGCATCTTTGGATGTCAACTTGCTGAAAACCTCCTTTGCCTTGTCTAAACTCCCACATTTGCAGTACATGTCTATCAACGCAGTGGCCAGAATTTTGTTCGATTCTACAACACCTCTACATCCTCTAGTTTTCAAGAAATCATGTACCCATTGCCCAAGCTCGAGGTCACCTATTTGAGAACAAGCAGTGAGCACACTGACCATTGTTACATGGTTGGGTTTACAACCATAATCACCATCTACCAGTAGGCGGAAAAGATTCAAAGCCTGCAAAGGTTGTCCATTTTGCACATAAGCATTTATCATAGAATTCCAAGGAAGCACACTTGTTTCCCTATCACTGACAATACAGTCAAACCTTTCCCTGCTCTTGTCTGTCCTTCCGCACTTCCCATACAGATAGACGAGGACACAGTTCATGGAATCATCATCCCCACCAGTCCTTCCAACCAATTCAGACAAAAGGGAAACCCATTTCTCAATCTGGTCAATTTCAAGTTCAGAACATGCTGACAGAACACTAACTAGCGTATCACTTTCGGGCTTCACATTCTCCTCAACCATGGAACAGAACAGCCCCATAACTTCATCCGGAGAACCCACTTGGACATAACTCGAAATCAAAGAATTCCAACAACAAACCACTCTCTTACCGGGCATATCATCAAACACCTTGCGCGCGGATCCTACATCATCGACCCCCTTCCCATACGCAACAATTAGAGCATTGCTAACAAAAGGGTCGGCCGAGAATCTACTTTTCACGACATGGGTCTGAATCTGCTTCACGGAAAGTGAGCTCTTTGAAACAAAACACGCCTTCAAAATGAAAGAAAAAGTGAGGCCGCTGGGGGAAAGAGAGGGAACCGATTTCAATCTCCGGAACACAAGGAAAGAATCCAAGGAACGACCTTCCTGAGCGAGGACTCTGATTATGGCATTGAAGGGAAACAAGTTTGGATATTGGAGCTGATCGAAGACGCGAAGAGCCGCGATGGATGGGTAGTGGCCGATGAGGCGAGTGGCGATCAAGTTGTCCTGATGGGCGTGCAGGCGTAGGACTCTGGCGTGGATTTGAAGTACGTGCGAGCGCGGAGAGCGGCCTTGTAGAAGGCAAGAGAGGTTGAAATGGTTAGAGGACGAAGAGAAGTGGAGATAATGGATTGAGATCGAGCAACGGGTTCTGTAGGCGGCGGGAAAGTGTTTGAGAGGAAATGGGACCATGGCTGCAGACTGCAGTCCTCGCCCGGGCTCCCGCGCTCTGTTTGATCGAGAAATGCAGTCACACAATAGAACTCTATTTAGTGGGCTTTTTTTACCAATAAAAGTGAGTGGGCTTTTGTTGGATTAAACTAGCCCATATGAGCTCACTTACTAGTTGCTAGTTTCAGTTTTGGAATCGGCTTCACTTGATCAGCCCAAATTAGTGTTAACGCACATATATAAGCCCACTCCTTTGATCTTTCTTACCGAAATTATAAGAGATATAATTATATAGACCACGAATTCGTACTTTTCCTCTACAAATTCACTAATTATGTTATATTATTTCGTTTATGTTATGTTAATTATGTCATTACTTTTACCATCTTCTTTGTTCATCACTACTCTCTAATTTTCCATCTCTTCTAAATCGCTTCCTCATTTGCAAACAGTGGGTGTCAGAATCGTTTTTAGTATTTAAGATGTTGTCAAAAATATCTTATAGGATTTGAGAAATTTTTTAATTTTATTATATTTTTCGTTTCTATGACTTCAAATTTTGAGCATACTTGTCAATTCAAAAAGAATTGAATCATTTGCATTTGAGTCAAAAAAAATGTAATGTACAAAGAGAAGCTTCTTGATTATTTTAGAAAGAAAAGTACATACTTCCTACAAACACCGACGACTAAACGAAGGAAATTCGTTATGGCTGCATTTCGTTGTATATTCAACAAGTTGTCATTCGGAGAAGAAGAAATTATTTGTGAGTTGACCCTGCGTATTGATGAACCTGTTTCACAAGTTGGTTATCATACTAGTACCACCATCATGTCCATTTCGGTTAGTCAAAGTTATGATCGTACACATAAACTAAAATATAAGAAAACATCGCCATTCGTTTATCACCGATTAAACGAGGACAACCGAACCAGTCTCCGGTTTCATTAGCCATGGCTGGCTGGCTAATAGGGTCGGTCAGGGGCCCAACGACTCTCTGTAGACCCCAGTTGCCCCCTTCTTCCCATTCCCCTTTCCTTTATATACCAAGAAAAGAAAGATTCTCTCTCTCAACGGAACACGAGAAATTGAAACCAAGCAACAAAACCACACACTCGTCTTTCGATTTCCGCCCCCCGCTTCGTCGTCGTCGCCGCCGCCGCCGTTTTCGCGCCCGAGAAAACAACTCCTCAAAGTTCGCCGGAAAGATCTGTTCCCTGATTCCCTCCTTCTCACTCTCTGCAAAGTCAAGTAAGCGCCGCCCAAACTCTGTTTCCATTTTTAGACTCTTTCTGTCTCCCTTTCCCCCCCACGGTTAGGTTGTGGAACTGATCGATTCTCTGATGGAAATGAATCGATTCTCTCTATCTCTCGTTTCCCGCTCTGATTTCAGCTGGTTCTGTTATCGGTCTCAGCTTTGTTTCCCTCCTTGTTATAGTTTTACTTGGTTGCTTTTCATTTTTGAAAAATTGGATTAGCTGCTGGGAATAAGCTTCCGGCAGAAGGATTAGGGATGATCTGTGGATCCGTTTCTTCTTTACTTTAAGCTCGTTTATTCGGGGTTCATTTCTAGATTTGGTGGAGCTCAATTGAGCTGATCGGGGCTCCCGAAACCCGATTCTGATTATAGCTTAATCAAACATTCTGCTGATTTCAATCAATAATTGGATGAAATGATTATAAATTATTATCGTAATTACTACCAAATCTGACATTATCTAATTTAAAAAAATTCCCTTCTGGAACTTAATAACAATTAAGTGCAGTACTTAACTTTCGATCTGGCTAGTAGCAAGCGTAGAAGCAAAATAGTGGTTGCTTCCACTTCTAGTATAGTCCTCCCTGCCGCTTCTGGTTTGCCAGTTGGAGGAGAAGGGGGTAAGGAACTAATGAGCAGAAAACGTCGTCGTACAGCTAGAAGACCCAGCCAAGACGAATAGAGGATTTCGCCTTTTTGCTTTTTTTCCTTCATTCGTGCACGCGCTTCAAAGTTAATCTTGATGATGATGAGGTTGGTGGAGAAAAGGAAAGGCAATTTGATGGCTGGAATTGGGGGACGGTGGAGGATTAGATGTGGAATGGGCAGCTCGGCTGGCTGCCCCGCTTTGATGGCGACCTGCCCACCTCCATCTTCTGCCCAAATTTATCCCATATTGTAATATATGTTGGGGTAAACAATGGATGGTTGATGAAGCAAGAAGCATAACTAGGATACTTACGTTTAACGTTTTCAACAAAATGATCAAATATATACATGGTGTGACAAGGGAGATGAATCGAATCGAATGACTAGTCAATAAACTGTGGAGTATATTAAAGGTTGTGGCTTTTTTCCCGTGTAACGTGCTAGGCAGTTGTGCGAGCTAACTTTGCTGAAATCGGCAAGATGATCGATCAGGAAAAGGGAAGGGAAATAATATATTTGTCTTGAAATTATTTCTCAACCTATTTAATGGCAGCATGTGCGTTCCAGGAATTTGGTTGTTTTTTTTTTCTAGCAATGGACGGTGCTGATGCTAGATCAGACATCAGATATCAGTGTTCTTTCTTGGAATTTCTTCGGCAGGACCAAGAAATGTTAAAACGAAATAAAAAAAATATTCCCCCCCACCTACCAAAGTTTGTAACTTTTAATTTTTCTTCGACTGTTTATCATTAATACTTACTTTGATTGGATGAAATGTTGCAATATGGAAGGTTTTTGTTTATTAGCTGAAGAGCTTCAACTGGAAACAGAAGAAGGTAGAGTTAAAGTTGATTCCGTTGTGATTTAGAGTTGAAAAACTGTAAAACTGAAATAGTTAAAAGAGATTGCATAATTGATTGCTAAGATAGTGGTAACAATTATGGCCTTTTGTTTCTTTGACCCAACATTGCTGTTGCTTTCTGACTTTGTCGATATGTCATATGTGTAGTGTATCCCTTGAACCCAATTAAAATAATGATACCAAATTGTAATCATACCTTTGTTCCAACATTAGGAATAACTTAGTTGAATACTAGAATGAGATGGCGATGTTGTTATGTATTAAATGGATGGAGCTTCCCCTGGCCATGGGTCAGGACCCTTGATGTTGAAGTATATGGTCCACTGTTTTCCCCCTCATCAATTGTATTTCTTTAGCCCTTATGAGGTGTCTATGTTGAGTGCAGATTCGATTTTCACTATTAATAGGGCCACCTAACTTTTCTCTCGTGGTTTGATGATGTATCTGCACCTTATCTTCCTTTAATTGGTCATCTTTTAGCTGAAAGCACATAGCTTATTTCCTATATCGGTGACATCAGTATTTGATAAGAGCGATCCTACTGTGATATCTGAGCCTGACGTTTAAGGCGAGTATGTTTTGATTAATCTGAATGAAAGCCTTTCATATGTTTGGTATGGCACGGGCCCAGATAGGAAGTGATGGAAAAACCTCAGCTTGATCATTTGTTTATGTATGGTTGAGGCTTTGGTCTTGTGGGTTTTAGTGGACTATGTACAATCTCTAGTAGGACTGACGAAACCACAAAACTTCAATTGGAATTTGCAGATAAGATATCTGGTTAGTGGAATATGGAAGACGAGACGCAAGTCACATCAGAAGTCCCCATGGTTAAGGTACCGCCGGCTGAGAGTAAAGCTGATCTTATTGAGGTAAATTGGTCTGCTAAGAAGATCAATACAAGAACTATGCATGCTTAATTACCATTTAACTATAACTCAAGTTGGAAATGTAAACTTTGTTCTGGTTGGTGTTGATACAGGTTGCAAATGGAGTCTTGCCGCAAGCAGAAAAGAAAGAGGAGGACGAAACTGATGGAGAGTTCATCAAAGTCGAGAAAGAATCATTGGACGTGAAAGACGGAGCTCATGCACGCGCGGCAGCTTCCTCCGAGGATGATAAGCCATCTATGACCCGGGAATCGCTAGAAGCCGAGGAGAAGATCAAGGAGCTCGAATTGGAACTCGAGAGAGTAGGCAAGGCACTGAAGAAGTCTGAGTCCGAAAATTCGGCGGTCAAGGACGTAGTGTTGGTGGCAACAAAGAAGCTCGAGGGGTCCGAAACCCAGTACAAGGAGCTTGAGCTCGATCACAAGAAGTTGCAGGAGCAGGTCAGTGAAGCTGAGGAGCGATACGCTTCACAGCTGAAAAGTCTGCAGGAGGCACTCGAAGCACAGGAATTGAAACACAAGGAATTGGTCGAGGTTAAAGAATCATTCGATGCTCTTACCTTGGACATTGACAGCTCGAGGAAGAGAATCGAGGAGTTGGAGAGCGGGCTCCAGCAATCTATTGATGATGCAAAGAAGTTCGAGGAGCTGCATAAGCAGAGTGGCTCTGATGCCGAGTCTCATGCACAGAGAGCTTCCGAATTCGAGAAGCTTCTCTATGCGGCAAAGCTCAGTGCTAAAGAAATGGAAGATCAGATGGGTTTGCTTAAGGAGGAGGTGACGGGTTTATATGCAAAGATTGCAGAGAACCAGAAAGTGGAAGAAGCTCTTCAGAATACTGCAACCGAGCTCTCCAAAGTTCATGAAGAGTTTGCTCTTTCGAAATCGCAAGTGGTTGACCTGGAACAGAGTCTTGCCTCGAAGGAAGCCGTTCTTAGCAAATTGACTGAAGATTTGGAGTCGGCAAAAGTTTCAGAGTCGAAGCTGAAGAAAGATTTCGCAGCTCTCGAGAATGTTGTCGCCATTACTAAAGAAGATCTTCAGGCAAAGGCTTCCGAGCTAGAAGAACTAGCGAAAATTTTGAAGGAAAAGAAAGCTCTTGAAGCAACTGTGACAGAACTCGCCAACGATGCAGCACATGCAAAGCAGCTTTGCAGTGATCTTGAAGAAAAGTTGAAGCTTTCTGACGAGAATTTCTCCAAAACTGATTCTCTTCTGTCGCAAGCACTGTCGAATAATGCAGAGCTCGAAGAGAAGCTGAAATCACTGGAAGAGCATCACACTCAAGCTGGAGCTGCTGCAGAGACTGCTACTCAAAAGAATGTAGAGCTCGAGGACTTGATTAAAGCTTCGAGTCAAGCAGCATCTGAGGCCCAGACCCAACTCAGAGAGCTCGAGACGCGGTTCATTGCAGCTGAGCAGAAGAATGTGGAGCTCGATCAACAGCTAAATTTGATCGAACTCAAGAACCGCGATTCTGAGAGGGAAATCGGAGAGCTTTCGGAGAAAGTGACTGAACTCAGTGGATGTCTCAAAGATGCAGAGGAACAAAAGAAAAGCTTGGCAAGTCAGATTGAGGAATCTAAAGGAAAGATCACCAGTCTGGATACGAGCTTAAGCGAGTCATCATCTCGAAACCTAGGGCTCGAAGATGAGTTGAAGAAAGCCATCGCGAAAGCTGAGGATGCTGGGAAGAAGGTCAGTGAGCTGGAGTTAATGCTCGAAGCAGAGAAGTACAGGATTCAGGAACTTGAAGAGCAGATCAGCACAGTAGAGAAGAAATGCGTTGAGGCAGAAGGCGATTCAGGTAAGCACAAGCTGAAGATTTCTGAACTCGCATCTGAACTCGAGGCATTCCAAGCGAAATCATCCAGCCTTGAAATGACACTTCAAATGGCCTCCGATAAAGAGAAGGAATTGACGGACAGCGTGAATCTGGCAGCAGAGGAAAAGAAAAGGCTGGAAGATGCATCGATCAGTGCGAGTGAGAAGCTTAGTGAAGCTGAGAATCTTGTCGAAGTCTTACGTAACGAGGTAAATGTTACGCAAGAAAAGTTGCAAAGCATTGAGAATGATCTAAACGCTGCTGGGTTGAAGGAAAGCAACATAATGACTAAGCTCAAAGATGCTGAGGAGCAACTGGCAGAACAAGGGAAGCTGTTGGATGAAACGTCAGCGAGAAAATCGGAGCTTGAATCATTAACTGAAACATTGACTATGAATTCAGAATTGAAGCTTCAAGAAGCTATTGCAAACTTCAGCAGCAAGGATTCTGAGGTCAAATCCATGTTTGAGAAGCTGCAGAAGCTTGAAGAGCAAGTTAAGACATATGAGACCCAGTTGGCTGAAGCAACTGAAAGATCTGCTTCTTTGAAGGAAGAATTTGATTCATGTTTCCTGAAGGTGGCCTCAACAGAAACTGCCAATGAAGAACTCAAGAGTAAGATCACGGAAGCAGAAGCACAAGCTTCAAATGCTATGTCAGAGAACAACGAGCTGCAGGTCAAGGTTGAGGAACTGAAGAAACAGCTGGATGCCGCTCTATCAGAGAAGGATACCACAACCCAACAACTTGCTTCTCATATGACTGCAGTAACTGAGATAACCGACAAGCATTCGAGAGCAATAGAGCTCCATTCCGCAACTGAGTCTCGGATGCTGCTAGCAGAGACAAATTTGCAGGAGGCCACTCAGAAGCTAGCTAAGAAGGATTTAGAAACGAAAGATTTGAATGAGAAGCTCATTGCTCTTGAAGCTCAGGCGAAGTTCCACGAAGAACAGGCTGCTGAAACGCATGGAAGCTCACAAGCAACGAAGATTGAACTAGAGGAAAGTCGAGAGAAGCTGAAGCATCTACAGGCAGTCTTTGAGGAGCTGCAAGCGAAGTCGGGTCATTTTGAGAAGGAGAGTGGTGGGCTAGCTGAGGCAAATTTGAAGCTAGCGGAAGAGTTGGCTTCATACGAGTCCAAATTAAGTGATTTGCAGTCGAAGCTCTCTGCAGCTTTGTCTGAGAAGGATGAAACTGTGGGAGAGCTTCAGTCTTGTAGGAAAACCATTGATGATCTGTCGCAGCAGCTCTCTGCAGAAGGAGAGAAGTTACAATCCCAGGTTCGTGTGATCTCTTTTCATCTTTCTTGCAAGAGAAAACTCTCGTCTTATTGTATTCTTAGTTAATTTTCTCTTCCTTGCTGCAGATATCAAAGGTTATGGAAGAGAATAGCCAGCTTAATGAAGTCCACCATAGTGCAAAGAACGAGCTCCAATCGATCATTGACCAGCTCACGGATCAACTGAAACAGCAGAAGCAGAAGGAAGATGCCACAAAGTCAGAGATGGAAGCTCTCAATGCAGGAATTAACGAGAAGTCGACATTACAGGCCCGTCTCAAGGAGGTTGAGGAACAACTGATGAAAGCTGAAACTCAACTGAAGGAACAGGTATTTAATCTACCCTTGAAAAAGGCACTAACCCAAACTCTTCTCATTTTCGTTCTGCGAGCATGTAAAACTAATAACCTCTTTTCCCCTTCACCTCCGATCTTCCAGAGAGGCACCCTTGAAGGTCTAGACGCCAAGAACAAACAAGTCTCGTCTCTGGAGCAGCAAGTGAAAGATCTTGAACAGAAACTGCAGCTCGCCGCAGCCAAATCAGTTGAGAAGGTCTGTTCTACATTTATCTCTCTTCACCCTGGGAACGATTCAATACCTGTTCAAATGCGAAATCGGACTTTTTTTCTTACTGGACTTTCGTGGAATGTGATGCAGCAGGGCGAAAACAAGGACGGAGTGGAGATCAAATCGAGAGACATTGGTGGAGCCAGCCCTTCAACTCCATCAAAAAGGAAGACCAAGAAGAAGCTACAAGGTCAGTCCTCCTCAGCATCTGCAGAGACCCTTACCACTGCAACGTCGGTTGAAGGTTCAGGAGCCATGAATATCAAGTTGATCCTGGGAGTTGCCCTCATATCCATCATCATTGGTATAGTTCTTGGCAAGAAATACTAGAAAATACCATTCTTTTTTATAGGTGTGGCATCATTACAGAGTTTCTATTTGTATGGTTTCTTTTCCTTTTGGGGGGTTATCTTTCTTGTTTTACTTTTCAAATTTATGCTGGGTTGATAGCTTCATTTTAGTTACAAGCCAGGAGGAAGAAGGTTTCTTTCTTATGTATTGGTGTTCTTTTTGGTTTAAATTTGGGCAGGGTTTTGTTTTGTTTTGTTTCCCTTCTAAAGGTTGTTATCCCTTGTCCGAATTCCAGAAAAAGCCTAGATGAAAAAAGTGTGAGGTTTTGATTTGTTTTTGTGTCACATAGTGGTATAGGATTGTGTATTGATCTAAACCTTTAGGTGGTACGAACCGTGCCAATCATATATAATATCATCATTTATGTTTGACAAGGTATACGAATATTATGAAAAATACAATTTTGCACCGTTAAATTGATAGTTTCTGATAGACTTCGTTCGAACAAGGGAAGAGCATTGCTAGTTCCGAGACTTTTCGTCAATCATCGAGCATGTCAGCTAAAATCAAACACCAAATCGACAGTAAAAAATTGACTGCGCGATACCTATCGTGCCATGAACATTCGATAAGCTCTACTTGCATTGCGACTAAAATTACGAACAACTATCGAATTTCTCGGAGAAAAAAATACAACGCGCCATCCTCGATCGTCGTCTTCAGTGATTTGAGCAACCAATTTGTCAACCACAACAAAGGGAAAACTACTACTACTACATATTAAAATGGGCCTTTTACGCAAAGGGCGGCCCAAATATCCAGTCGTTTCGTTGAACAAAGAACCAACAACGAATCACCAAATGAGCATCGTTTATTATCTTCTACGACTATCTGATGGAAATTACAGTACTCAGTACAGGAAGACAATGAATCAATGAATTAGAAAGAAGAAATAGAAGCATGTCTGCAGAAAAAGAAGAAGAAAAAACTATGAACCGGAACGAGCAAATGAACGGCCGATCAACAAGGGATCTGGTCGATGAACCATCGGAGTACTCTGACCGGCAGCTTGATTAGCCCGACGGCGAAATTGGCCAACCCAGCACAGCAAATACAGCACGGGCACAGGCAACTCAGTACCGACCTGCAGCAAAAAAATAACCCACCCCCCCAAAAAGATCAGAACTAAACCCAGAGATCATCCCCCAGATTTGCAACATCCAAATGCAGAACGAAAGAAAGAAACCCAAATTCAACCTGCTTCCAGAAACTCACCCGATGATCCAGATGACGGCGCCAACAAGAGACAGAACCAGCGCTACCAACGCGAACGGGAGTCCCAGCAAGAAACCCAGTGGTCTGCAGTCCGCCATTGATATAGATCTCTGCTTTCTCCCGATCTGGAAAAAAAAATGTTGATTGCCGTAAAGCAGAGAGAAATGGGAAGTTAATTGCGGGAGAAGGGATGGAGGTGCTATTTAGATTGGGGACGGAGACGCGGAACCACCACCTTCCCACGATCTAAGTGTCCTCCATTGCGTAAATTACTTCATCGCCCTCGCGGAAGGGAAGCTTCGAGTTGCCGGTGGTTGAAAAAAATGGGGTTATTTTGGGGAAGACGTGTCATGGAGAAGCTTCCTGTTCACTTCTTCTTCGTCTTCCCTTCTTGTAGTTGGATTTAGGTTGGTGAAGGGAAGAAGGCAAGAAGCAATTGGTCAGACTTAGGCTGCGGAGAAGTACACAAAATTTTTGGTTCTTTCCGTTGACTATCATATCTCATTCGTTATAATTCTATAAAAAAAACGTTAATGGAGAATTACTACACAAATTATATTTATCTTTGAATATTTTGAGAATTTTTTATTTCTTGTGTCATTTTTACTTTTCATATAAAATGTTTTCATGTCCATCGTTTTATTATCAGGGTGGCCATGAGAGTGTGTTCGGTATAGAGCTTCTGAATATTAAGGGGCCTCCATTTTGATCTATTGGTTAATTTGATCTTATACTATAGGTTGTAGGTAGACATGGTTAATTAATTGATTATAATAAATTAGATAATGACTTTAATTATATTAATTTACATTAGTGCTAGTTATTCATGAATATTCTCACCTACATATACACAAGACACGTCAAAATTTTTATAATTGTTTGAATAATGATAAAAAAAACAAGTCCTGATAAATTAATTATGGCAACAACAATAATGCCTTCCAAGTCCCATTAGGTGGAAAGACTCGAGCTTCGGAGCGAACACTCGAGAAATCCTGAGTTGTTTCCTCTCCTCGCACCTGATTTCGAGGTTCCGCAGTTCGAGCACCGACACTGCTAGTGCCAGCTCGGAATCGTAGTGGGTGCAATCGGTCAGCATCAAGTCAGTCAAACAAGGAAGGCCGCCATTGAAAGGATTGAGAACGCTGGGATCCCCCGCCATGATGATGTAGCGCCGCAATTCCAGAGTAGTCAGCTTTGTGAAGCCGAAATCGGTGATCTTGCCTGCAGGTTGGAGAAAAGGACCCTTCCAACCGGAGAGTGGTGACGTATTCATGGATGTAATGAAAGGATTTCGTGAGCTACGAGGTGGAAAGAGGGATTTTGGATGTCGATGGTGTCGCCTCCTTTCCACAAGTTGGCCCATCCCCTCGACAAAAGGCTGGTTCGAAAGGCGGCTTCGGTGGCGAGGTGGGAGAGGATCTACTGCAGAATGCGGTCTCTGGGAGATCGCTCGCCCGATCTGCGTCTTTCGGCATTCTCCAAAGAAGCGATCGGAGAGAAGGTTAGAGAAGAAACGGATACGGTAGCAGAGAAGGAATGGTAGTGGTAACCGTTAGGGTTTTGCAGCTGCATCAACTCTATCTAAAGAGGAATGAATCCGAATCCTGCTAGGACACGGAATGCGTAAGAGGTTAGATGGGCTCGATAACTTAGGCCCAATCCGCATGATATATAGGCTGCTGGGAGGACACGGAATGTACAAGAGGCTATATGGGATCCATAACTTGGGCCCGTCTCTGACTGCCAATTGCCAATTCTAATCTGTTACACCAAACAACACCAATTGTCTGTACTGTAATATCTTCCTCGTTCCCCCATAAGACTATCAACCTGCGAGCTAGCAGTTAGTTCAGTAGAGAGACGCCAATACTTTTGACTTTGATGCTCTTGACTTTGTCGACATCTTCTTCCTCGTCTGGTTGAAGGGAAAATCTGAAGGAAACAGTGAGCCCAGCATATCTCTCATACCAAGCTTCTGCTTCATCTCGTATTCCCTTTTTGGTCTCACCTAGCAGGTTCTTGTCATACCATATGTATACGTTATCTGATTGAGAAGCCCGACCTAAACCAAAACTGGGAGAACTCCAAGATGCAGCAGCGACAGTACTGGTACCAATGCTGCAATCACAAGTGATAGATATCCCGACACGACCAACATCTGAAGAACACACAACGCCGAACGCAATCCCCTTGATCAACTGTTTGGTGGTGTAGTTTGGAAGAGTCAGTTGCACCATCGTACATGAATCACTTGCGTAATTCACGCTTTTGTGAGCAACCCACCCAGGAATTTTACTCCCCGAATGTTGAAGAACACCCTAAAATGACAGAGAGAGGCTCTTAAAAAAAAGGGATTTCCAAGAATTACTGTCACTATGTTATGGTAATGTAATGTTTCAATACCTGAGAATGTAGATTTGATGACGCATGATTACAGAAATTCAGCACTAGTTCTTGAGGAAGATGCGTGTCCAATTGCGGGCAATCTTCAAAGTACAGTCTCTTCCATCCCAGCTCGTGTATGTTGATTGGTAAGGCTTGTAACGATGTGCAACCACTTACAGCCAAAGTTAGAAGATTGGGTGGGAGTTCTGGCAAAAATTTAATCCTCGAACAGCCTGCCAAGGACAAGTAGGATAACCTGACAAGCTTATGGATGTTGCTCGGGACGAACTCCAAGCGTTTGTTCGAATGTAAAAACAATTCAGAGAGCTGGTCAAGTTCCACAATAGCCGGAGGCAGGGACTCAATATCCGTTTCGAAGAAACGAAGGATCTGCAAAGATTTCAGATTGTTGATGCTAGTTGGAAAGCTCTTCAGGTTCCGACATCCTTTTATATAAATCTGAGTTAAGCCAGTCACAGGTTGTGAGATCTCTGGCAGACTTTCAATCGACGAGCAATCCTCAAGATGAAAAGTTCCAGAGAACATGTTCCAGATATGCCTTGACAAGCTCTTGAGTTTGGGGTTGCCAACCAACTCCAATAGAAAAAATCTCGGCAAAGAACTCAGCTGATGATCATCATAACAATCCATCTCTGTTATTGAGGTATGGCACAACCGAAACCGTTTCAAGCTCGCTGAAATTGTAGGGAAGCAGGTGATGTGTTTGCCACAGAGAAGTAACCAACCATCCTGTTTCACATTGTAAATTGCAGTTGGCAAGGCTATGATAGGTGTATCCCTTAAATCCAACCACATCAACTCTTGTGAATTAATTTCAGGACAAAGAGTGACCTTGGGACTGTTGGACAAATAAACCTTTTTGAGGAACTTTGAGTTGAATTTGGCGGGAAGGATTCTCAGACTTGTACAATCATCAAGGTCCAGTACTACCAGCTTGTGCAGCTCTTGAACGTGAGATGGTAGCTCAATCAGCTTTTTGCATCCCTCGAGAAGGAGGCGCTCCAGTTTCGGAGACCCGGACAGGTTTGGGATTGCTACTAAATTTATGCAGCCAGAGAGGTCAAGCCACACTAGATTCACAAGCTGTTGCTGCAAAACAACAAGAAGACTAAAACTATTCAGTATATGAAGAGGAAAAAACAGATAATGCACTACTGGAAGAAACCCACTCCAAAATTAAAATAACAATCATTTGTTAAGCGTTTGGATATGTAAGGATTACGAATTCTCCTACCTGTTAACAAAGTAATACGAGTTTACATCCAAATACACAAAGCTATAGCCCGGTCAAGATTAAAGAAAAAGACAGACGAAAGAAAAAGAAAATTCAATTCCATTAAGAGATGCAATTTGGAATATCATCACTTTTTCCTCCACATTTCATATTACTGCCTAACCAGCCATGCATCCCAGCCCTTGAATAACATGGGGACTAATCCACAGATTCAAAAAATTGAACTCATCCCCAGAAGTTGCTTTTAACATACCTCAGCTTCCCAACATCTTTTCAATACTAGGCTACCACTTAGACAAAGTGTAACAAGGTTTTCTGGAGAAAATCTTAATGGTAGAGACTTTGAAGGGAATTTCTGCCACTCCAACCATCTCAAACTATTAGGAAGTGTGATAAGGCCACCGTGTGGTAGATGAACTTTAGAAGCTCCATACTTATTTTCTAGATAGGAGAACTCAAGATATCTAAGAGAAGTCATCCCTTCAAAAGCATTGGCTTCCATATGTATATCAATGTCTTTAGAAAGGTTTACAAGAATGCCTTCAGTGGCACTACCTTTCTCAAAGGCACTCCTCTGCTTCTCTTTCGGTTTAAAAATGTTCAAATAACTGAATCTTCTCGATGTTTTCACCTTTTCAACTGCTAATAACTTGTGAATATCATCCAATTTATTGAATCTACTGCGATGTTCTTCCTCGCTAACTATGTCCCAAGCCATTTCTCTTAGCAACTCATGAACCTCAATCCTCTTGTCCTCTTTGTCGAATGCACATGTAAGCAAGGACTTATCAATTAAATCCTCTACGTATCTAGTGGAAAAATAATTAATCACTAGAGAATTCAGAATTCTTGGAAGAAAACAAGCAATATCCAAAAACACTCTTTTCTCCGGAACTTCAAGCCTATCATAGCTTCTCCGAAGAACATCTCGAATTTCCAGCTTTGGATTTTCTCCCAATTCAGACAAGAAACTCTCCCAATAACTTTTCTCCCTATCAAGCAATGCACGTCCCAAGACCTTTATAGCTAGAGGACTTCCCTTGCAGTATGATACGGCAACATTAGATAGGTCCACAAAATCATTTGGTGGAAGGCATTGTCTAAATGCATGTATCCCAAACAGTTGGAGAGATTCATGAGAATGCAAACACTTCACCTCATATATTTGAGCCCCTGCATTCACAAGTACTCTTCTGTCTCTAGTTGTCAAAATAATTCTGCTTCCTGGGCCAAACAGATTTGTGGAATCCAAAATATTACCTAGCAACAAATGTTCCAATTGCGATATCGTTTCCACACTATCAAGAACAAGAAACACCCTCAGACGAGAAAGACGTTCCCTTCTATGACAAATATCCATGTAGTTTAAGTTTGCCTCTGACAGTAATATCGAATAGAGTTCATATACCATCCCTTCAATTCCCGATTGCTTTTCAAGCTTTTCACTAATGTTCTGAACAAAGTGATGCTTGATTTCTTTACCAGAAGAGACAAATGATTGGTAGCAAGCTGTAGCCAGAGTTGTCTTCCCCACTCCACCCATCCCCCAAAGACCAATAATTCGAAAATCATCTACATCCATAGCTAATAGCTGTTCAACCTCATAAACTCTAGCATCCATGCCAATCAAATGATCAAACTTCACTCTCCGTGAAATCTCTGCGAGTCTTTTCAGAACATCAATAACTATCGCCTCAGCTAGTTCAGAATCAATCCTATTAAGCAATAACCCCAAAGGGTAAACAAGATGGGAAAGAAAGGAATCCGTATGAGAAAAGAGTTTCGAGAGAGGCAATTACTATTACTCTATCAGTAAGAAGGTTGGGTCTTAATTAGGAAGTAAGGATGAAGACTTACTTGATTGCCTGTGAAGTATGGCCAGCACGTTCAGCGACAGCTTTCAGAGCATCCATCCATCTCTTCTTATCCCCGGGAGATTTGCTTCCATGTTTCTGCTCAATGGCAGCAGCATAACTTCCAGAATCATCTGATACAGCGGATGGATCCAATTTGTAGAAAACTGGAAGCACCCGGTGCCCGAATTTTACCATTCTTTGAGAAATAGTGGCCACTTCATCCAAGCACCAGCTTGAATCCGCAAAATTCTCCGAGAAGATCACAATTGAGAGTGCGGATTTTGATAGGACGGAGATTAGCTCGTGGATGCTCTCAGTTTTGTTGAGCATGTCGTCAATGAAGACTTTGATTTGCCTGTCGGAGAGAGCAGCCATGAGATGGCTGGTAAAACCATGGCGGGTGTCGGCGCCTCTGAAACACAAGAAGACGTCGTGTTCCCATTTCCCAGAGTAGGAGGAAGTGGAATCGGCGTGATGAGATGATGAAGAAGAAGAAGAAGAAGAAGAAGACATCGATTTTTCTGTCAGTGTGTTGTTGTCTAGGGGAAGTTTGGATTTCTTTCTTAGCAAAGGTAGAACTACTGAAGCTGGGGGGAGAAGGACGGTTCTCAATGGTCTCAGCTGGTCAAGAGATCCAGAGGAAAGAGGAAGGAAATTGCCAGGAAAGCTTTGGTGGAGGAAGCCATTCTTTAACAACTAATAATTGAAGTTTCTGAGCGATTGTTACGTGGATGGGTTTTTCCATGGTTGCGGCCGGCGTGTCACTGGTTGAATCTGGTTCAATTTGTACCGGCCATAAAACTGGTATGACACCATCGGTATGACCGGCATGATCGATATACGAATCTAAGTAAAATGATCTTATATCAGTGAATTTATTTGATAAATAGTAATTTATTATTTATTTTATGTGTTAAAAAGTTAAATGTTGATGTTATTTGTTGGATTCAAGTACAAATATTTAGGTATTGACGTTAAATGTCGTGCTTAAATATGAGTATTTGTAAATTATTTGTAATATTAACCGGCATGAACCGGCACAAACCGGTATGTACCACTTATCGAACCATTCCACTTGCTAAACCGACACAGTGACACAAATCGGTTTGACAACCTTCACCTTTTCCTCTTAATTGGGTCATTGTTTATTTATTTTTGTTTTCTCACCTAATCCAATCTTTGTCTTCATCGACATGTATAAACGAAACACATCATCTCCCCATTTTAAATCCCAATTATTATTATGTTATTATCATGCCTCTATATATATATACACCCAGAGTGAAATCCGCGGGAAGCATACCTTGAGTAAAAAAAATGTTATCCAGAACTTGAATTGATTGATCTTTCGGACACGATACTATACTCTAACCCTTAATGATCAACATCTAGGTCTTAATTTTCTAAATCTTATACCCAAGATCAATTTAATTAGAAACAATAATCGACGGTTATGATTCGTCCAAATATAGGCAAAAAAATCAATGCACAATCTTAGAGTTTATAGTTTATGCTTTAGATAATTAGGACCTAGGGTTCACTCATTAAAAGTTAGGGTATAGTATCAATCCCAAAATCTTGTTAATTCGATGTCTAGATAGCGTTTTTATACTCAAAGTATGCGGTAACCCGTAGAATACCTAGCAGTGTTTATATATTCAGTAGGAGAGTAGTGTTCAAAGTCTTCAAGATACAAAACAGTAAAAACCTGGAAAAACTACACACACAAAAAAAAAGGTAATTTAAAATGCCACTTGGCTGTGCTTGATTCGTTCACTTGGTTTCACCTAACAGTAGTTTCCAGTCTCCACGATCTCTTTTGACCTTTTCACATGAAGTTGAATGAAACGTTTTTCGATCTTCCATAATAACGAGCTGCTGCTGCTGGGAACTCTAAATCTTTAATCATCTTCTTCCTCTGGTACCATCGGTGGCCTTCTCCTTCGTTTTATTCATATCTGCTGCCTGAACCTTAGGCCTCTCCGGCGACCGCTTTGGCCGGGAGTGGATCATCTCGCTGTCGCCATAGTTATAGGTGTAATACTCTGGCTGTCCCGGCGGGGTTTGGATCCTCTCGCCTTTGTAATCGTAATACTCCGGCTGTCCTCCCGACCCGTCGCCATTACCCATCACTGTAATTCGCCTTCTCGTCGTACACTTGAAAAATCTGTTCGTCACCAAAGAAAAAATGCGGGAATCTTAATTAATTAAGAACAGATCAAACCATTAGCAACGAGGAAAAACCATTTCTTACACACCTTTTGTTCTCCTGATCCCACGGTTGCGAAAGAAGGGAGAGACGGAGGAGTTATAAGGAGGCACTTGAAATGCTATGAGTACTTGAAGTTTGTTGGAGGGGTCGCATTTATTTATTTTGTATATAAAAATTAAATTACTTGGGTGTTACATTGGTGTCGAAATGCAAAGTGGCTAAACTTTATTTATTTGGTTTGTTTTCTTTCACTCACATTTTTTTTTTCTCCTCTGAGTTTTTACTATCTTTTAGAAGAAATTTCTTTGAGACTTCCTGATCGTAATTTGGGTATAATTTTCAGATTTGGTAACTTGCATAAATTTATAACTGTTAAAATATAGTATAATCAATTCAGACCTTTGATTACCAAAACAGTGGTAACCGGTAGTGCATGCATGTCATCACTTACTGACATTTTACAACTGTTACGTAAAATACACATCCATTACGTAAAGGTTACGGAACGATAGTTGTTTCTTATGTAATAGTTAAATCGTAAGCATTACGTAAGGCTTCCGTACGTAATGGCTTAGCACTGCACGTAACGCGAGATAAATATTAACAACTTGTGCGATTGGTGCATGTCCGCCGACGCAAGTTAGCCTGGTGGGGAGCCTATCGAAGCACTGATACCTCTGGATTGAGGATGAGTTGTACAGATTTCTTCGGCATGAGGAATTTAGGGATGGTGAGGAGGAGGTTATCCGTGTTTTGATTCTGATGGTAAGGTTTGGAGAGACCACGATTATTGAGCGTTTAGTGGGACGGGACACTATTTGGGCTCGTTTACATTAGTACCGCATTTTCCATATGCATTCAGCACACCAACATCACTCAACCTTCCCATTTTTTCCTCTCTCAAAGACACATGTGCTCATATTCACTCAAAACTTCTTTGTTCAAAAAATATTATTTCTTTATGGTAGTTGTAAAAATTTAGTCTATGTTAAGAATTGTACATCGCTCCTGCACATTCAATACCGCAATTCGATATGCAATATTTGAACCAACGACATTTGGGTTGCAATTTTAAAATTATTTTCCTTTTATAAGATAAACATAAAGTAAATGATTTATCAAACTCGAAATAGAATAATCAAATACCAAAAAAGAAAAAATATGTACAAGAGAGTTAGTCCTACGATTTTTTATTTTATTTTAGCTTTCTGTATGATTTTAATTTAAGAAAATTAATCAAATTTTATTTAGTGTAACTGGTTATGTTTTTTTGTCTTTGTTCGAAGAGATCACGTTTCAAATCTCATTATTAGTTAAGGGGTTTTTTTTTCTATACATAATAAAATAATAAATGACTGTGAAGACAAATGTACACTTCCTACTTCGTTCTAGATGTAGATATGTTAAAATGAAGGAATTACTTTTCCCATTTCACTATTATATCAGGCGTAGATAACGATGATATCAATTCGTTACCCATCCATCATTTTCCAACCAAACAAGTTGTATTGACGTAGAAAGATATAAAAATGTTGCAATCTCTTGTCTGTTACGGTAATGAATAGACTTTATTTATAAGAAAAAAACCTTTTATTTTATATAGTACACTGCATTATATAGAACTTCTTTAATGAATAGACTTTATTTTTTAAAAAAAGACCTTGGACTCTCATGAAGTCTCAATAGACTATTTTTAAGATAAGCAACCAACCCGTCTTGGGTTATTAGTCTTTAATTGTTTACTTTTAAGTTTTAAGCTTATTTGATGTAAGGTCTAGCTAAGATGAGGTGGAAGCCACCTCATGTTCATGTATTACCAGATATTTCCTTTTCACATCTTTGTAAATCTCAATGATCAAATTAAGGGAATCTATAATACATTTGTTATATTTTTTTTTATAAATTTGACAACCGAAGCAAATTGGAATCTGTTTGAGATAGTTTGGAATATTTATATGGGACTGTATTCATCATTATAAATCCCCCAAAATGGAAACTAAAACTATATTCCTCAAATTAGAGTTAGAGCCCAACAACAATAAATTATTGGGCCACCCACAAGACTGCTACGTGGATGACTTTTCCTTCTTAATTGGGTCATTGTTTTTTTTTTTTTTTCTTGTCTAATCCAATCTTTGTCGTCATGTTGTCAACTCGATTTAGTCTATTGATCCGGTTGAGTAAGTGGGTTGATGATTAATGATTTTTTACCAAACTTAGATCCTATATATATGAAAAAGTCATAATAATGTTCATATATTTATAGGTTATATCAAATCTCATCTAATAACACGTAAAATTATATAAAAACAAGAGTATATATTTACATTCCATGAAAATTAAAACACACTTACATAATTTTAATATTCGAATATTTCTTAAAATTCCAAAAGTAAGACTAGAAGAAGGGGAAAATCGAAAAGATATTGTCTCTCGTTTAGACTTTACATGAGGATGCAATCCGATGGATTGTCGTCGCTAAAGCACTCCCCTCTGCTGACGTAATACCCTCCCCTGTACCCGCCGCCCCAACTGTCGTACACCGGCCGTCCGTACCCTTCGTAGCACGGATGCCCCTGCACGCTGTAGCACGGCGGCGGCGCGACGCCGCGCCCTTCGTAGAACTCCCGGTGGCAGTAGCACATCGGAAGAGCTGGTGACGACATCACCGCCTTGGCGGTTTCTCGATCCTTCGGCTGCTCTTTTGGTTTTCCCATATCCGCTGAGATCTCCTTCGGCCTCGGCGGCTCGTCAGGCTTCTTCGGCTCTTCCTCCGGCTTCGGCGGCGGGGGTTTGACGATCTCGATTCCCTTCACCGACTCGCCGCCTTTGCAAGCGATCTTCTCCATCACTTTCTCCGGGCTGCAGCACAGCACCGTGATTATCACCAAGTTGGCTTTTTCGTCGTACACTTGATTCCCAATCTCTGTTCGTCGCCAAAGAAAATTCCCGGGAATATAATTAGTGACGAACTTATGAGTCGTTGCAAAAAAACACTATCGAAATTCGAAACAATCAACGCTAGCTTACGAGGGATCCTGCAGAGGACTTTCTTGATCTTGTTGCGGCACTTGTAGCAGTCCAGATCGACCTTGATCACCATTGTCGTCAGCTGCAGAAGCAACAAAGAAAAAACACCATTAGCCAAAAACAGGGGAGAAAACAGAGTATGGTAGAGAGGCAACGAGGGTTTTTCTTTACACACCTTCTGTTCTCCTCCCATGGCTGCCGGCAGGGAAATGGAGTTGGGATTGAAGAGATAGGAACAAGGGACAGATGAGGGAGTTGAAAATGAAGCTCAATTCTCTAAAAATCAGCAAATAATTAAAAGAGCATATAAATGAATGGCAAAGGATTTTAACGAAGATAAGTAAGTAGAATTCATATATGTATAGAATTGGATTGGAACCACAAGAATGTGTCGGTTCCAAGTTCCAACTGTCCTTTTAAATGATGAGAAAAAATCAAGTCGTCTTTGGAGAATTCAAGCTGCTTGTTGCAGCTATGTTATGTATATGCTAATCCTGAACGAGTGTCATGTAACAAAGAAGGAAAATACAAAGAAGCAATAAACAAAAAAAACTCCTTTGTTTCTCTCTACCGCCACTACCAAATAAAAAGCCAATTTTCCTAACTCCAAAAAAATTGCCTCCACTGCTTTCTTATCCCTTTTCATTGGTTGGATTAGGAGTGAACAAAACCAATTGAAAATAAATTCACTTGTGCCATTTGGTCGAATTCATTGAAAAATTTATACAATTGTTATATAATTTTGAGAGTGAATGAGGGTGGTATTTTGTCTGAGTTATTGTGGTTTGACAAACTACAACAACCAACAAAGTTTTTTTATTTTTTATTCATTTAACATCTAGTTTAAGAAGAAAACTAGAATCTCCTCATTCGATTCATACATGCTTTTATGTACTTCCGTATATGCCTATTCAATCACAACCTCTAAAATGGCTTCCTAATAATAATGCTTCAAAAAGACACATGTTTGTCTTCCAAGTAAGTTTTTTGCTCCCCTCTACGAGAAGTTTCGGGAAATGCATCTATCGATGTTAGAAAGTAAGTTTCTTTTCTACCAAAAAAGAAAGAAAACAAGTTTCTAATCAACTATCTGAATAAGAACTGCAGGATAATATGTGTTTGTGTTTGATTGTTTGAGTTTCTAAGGGGAAGTTTGTCTAGTCATGTTTAGTGCTTGTAAAGTTACTTGACGACGATGATGATGATGATAAGTTTTGCTGGTAGTTGGAGGATTGACAGTACGGTATAATTTATAGGATTACAGATTTCCTTCTCGACGAATACTATTGCTGCTTCAATAAGTTGCTGATTGGCTGCTGTACAGGGTGTGGTTATTAGATCTCATGTATTTTGTATCTCTCTTGTGTTTCAGGGGAGTCGTTACCAAGTATACCAAAGCCGCCAGGATCGAATGATGTGATTTTGGACTAATACATATGTTTTATATTGTAATTCAGAGATCCGTAGTTACGTTTGCTACGTCAATTAATTAACAGCGCAAGACCTTTTTACTGTTCCTTACGATTTTATCGCACGGAACTTTGGATTCCTCCCGGTAAGTACGTGGTAAGTTTTCTCACGGCCCATTAACAATTAATTTGGAATACTGTTCACAAGAAGAATGATCCAATGCAACCGGTTCCACTGTTATTTTATTTGTTTACAATCAATATTTAACAACCAATTCCATACTTCTATACATGTCCACGGTTAAGTTTTTTTTAACAATAATCAATTAATTAACAGCGCAAGACCTTTTTATTGTTCCTTACGATTTTATCGCACGGAACTTTGGATTTCTCCCGGTAGGTACGTGGTAAGTTTTCTCACAGCCCATTAACAATTAATTTGGAATACTGTTCACAAGAAGAATGATCCAATGCAACCGGTTCCACTGTTATTTTATTTGTTTACAATCAATATTTAACAACCAGTTTCATACTTCTATACATGTCCACGTTTAAGTTTTTTTAACAATAAAGTTTTTAACAGCTTAAGTTAACTATTTATTACATAAAATTTGATGGCAACTCAGATTGCGCAAGACCTTTTTACTGTTCCTTACGATTTTATCGCACGGAACTTTGGATTCCTCCCGGTAAGTACATGGTAGGAAAGATTTTGTAAGGAAAATTAATTTTTACATAATTTAATTAAATGCGATTCTTTTCTGTAACTTGATTTTATTATTAGATCACACATTGTGTAAGATTTACATAACAATGTTCTATAGCATTTACCTAAAATAGAAATACATTACATAAATTTGATGAAAGAATAGTTATTTCTTATGTATCCACTAAACAAATGTATTACATAAGTATTCATTAATTACTAAGAGAGACTAGAAAACTTATGTAAGTATCTTACTCGCGAACTATTTTTTGATTTTTTTTATTTTACTACATTGTTAAATCACTTTATAAAATTTACAATATTCATAATATTATTAATTTGCATTACACAAAGGTTTAGTCAAATAAGTTTCTAAATAAAGGTTTAGTCAAGTATGACACTTTCAACAACTTGATTTTATAATTAGGACACCCATTACAAAAGTTTTATGTCGTACCGTTCCATAGGGAATGTCAACTTAAAACTTACATAGTTCAATAAATTTTAATCACATGTGATACTTTTCATAACTTGATTTATTATTTCCGTAGCACCGTTTCATAGCGCAAGTTAACTTTTATATAGTAGTTTAATCAAATGTGATACTTTTATAACTTGATTTATTATTAGACCACACATTATGGAAGATTTACGTAATACCATTCTAAAGCAGTTAAGTAAATTACAAATACATTGCGTAAAACTTATGGAGGGATAGTTGTTTCGTATCTTTCAATTAAACAAAAAACAGTGTGTATGTCTTCCGCAATTATTAAGAAACAAACATATTGCGTAAGTCTTCTGTGATATAAGTTTGAACAAAATTTCATTTATTATTAACTAAATTGTTGATCATCTTATCGATTTGTATGACAAGTTTCGTAAGATAAGTTAACTTTTACATAATAGTTTAATCAAATGTCTTGGAATTGTTGGTGCCCTTGGAATTTTGCTTCTTAACCTCAGCCATTATCACCTTCTGCACCTTCTCTATTTCCATCAGCTTGTGAAACATTTTCAGCATAAGATTCTTGGCTTCCTCGCTTTCCGAGCTCAACATCCACTCGTTGACTTGCTTGACCAATTCAGCAGCATTCTTCCTAGACGGGTCCTCACAGATCCAGGCATTCCATCACGAAGGCGTTCGCGGAGAGAAGGTAAGTTCCTCGTCCACTTGAATATGTTCTCGAAGAAGGCAGTGTACAGAACCACATTTCCAGCCACCCCAAGCATAGCGGTCCTCGCCATACTTGGGAGGAGATGACCCGCTTTGGGGGAGGGGCGGGGGGGGAAGCTAAGCCAGGTATGTGATTTCTATCTCTTTGTTTTAGTGGTAAAAACCTTTTTTTTTTTGCTTTCCATGGGTTTTAGTTTTACATTGTTTAGAGGTAGAGTGGATGGTTTTGACAGTTTGCTTTTGTTGTTAATCTGTTCCTTTTTCGTTAGGGTTTCAAACCCATTCTGTTGTTTGTTTGCTTTTCAGCTTCCACGGGTTGTTTGTATGTTTTTTTTTATCCATGGGTTGTTTGTATGTTCCTTTTTCGTCCTGGGCAGCTCCACCAGGTTCTCTGCTTCTTCGTTGCCCTGCTGAATAAAGAGAAGGTCAGAGGTCGATGAAAATGGGTGGGAAAGGAAGAACCTGGCCAGCGCCTCCGCCTCCGTGGTTGCCCTCCATTGCTACAAGTGAGTCGGCAGAAACTTACACTCTGGTAAGTAATAAGAAGTCACTTTATATGTTATAAGGGAACCCAAAACTTTGTGTTGCTGTTGGGGCTCCATTTTGACCTTGGTTAAGAAACAGAAGACAGAAGGGTTGCAGAGAGGAGGAAACTGAAAAGCAGGCAGCAGCAGTCTAGGCACTAGGCAGGGAGGAGGGTCGCTTTTTGGTTTTGTTTATAGAAGGAGAGGGTCGGAGTGTGGGAGAGCTAACGGAAACGGAACTCTTATATATATATATATATATTATTAATTATGGAACTCATTCAAAATTTAGTTTTGTTCTGTGCCTGTTTTGAAAGCTGAATTGCTGCACACACTGTAATAATCTCGATTTCGATATATATATCTTGTTTTGGTGGTAAAAACCTTCTTTTTTTTTGTTGCTTCCCATAGGTTTTAGTTTTACATTGTTTAGGGGTAGAGTGAATGGTTTTGACCGTTTGCTTTTGTTGTTAATCTGTTCCTTTTTCGTTAGGGTTTCAAACCCATTCTGTTGTTTGTTTGCTTTTCAGCTTCCATGGGATTAACAACAAAAGCAAACTGTGATTGTTGTGGTGACCAACTCAGTAAAAGTTCAGCCAAGGATTTGAAGAAAAATATATTTATTTTTTTTGCGTGAAAACATAATAATAATATATTTTTTCCTTACTCAAAACATAATAATAATACTTACTCAAAGTATTAAGAAACAAACATATTGCGTAAGTCTTCAGTGATATAAGTTTGAACAAAATTTCATTTATTATTAACTAAATTGTTGATCATCTTATCGATTTGTATGATAGGTGTCGTAAGATAAGTTAACTTTTACATAATAGTTTAATCAAATGTCTTGGAATTGATGGTGCCCTTGGAATTTTGCTTAACCTCAGCCATTATCACCTTCTGCACCTTCTCTATTTCCATCAGCTTGTGAAACATTTTCAGCATAAGATTCTTGGCTTCCTCGCTTTCCGAGCTCAACATCCACTCGTTGACTTGCCATACCCCATTCTGTTGTTTGTTTGCTTTTCAGCTTCCATGGGTTGTTTGTATGTTTTTTTTTTTGGATCCATGGGTTTTAGCCTGAGCTTGAGTGGATAATCTTTATAGGTTGATTTCGTTGTTGAGATATGCATTTTTTGTTAGGGTTTTCGACCCATTTTTCCGTTTGTTTTGTCATGTTTTTGGTTGTTTGATCATCTTGGTTGTTTCTGGCACTCTGCTGTTGTATGGGCAATGAGGAAGGGGAAGAAACAGATTTAATTTTATTTATTTTTATTTGAAATGAATATCCAGCCCATTTTTATTATTGGGCATCAATTCCTGTAAGGACTAGTTGATTGTGTTCAAATAAATGCAATCGCCTAATTCGTTTCAGCCCAAATAAACTAGTTGGTAGGGTTCATATGAAAAGCAAAACTTTAGATATAAAACTAATATCTAATATGAAAAGCAAAATTTTAGATTTTGGTGTGCTTCTTTGATTCAGAAGTAGTGTTGATCTCTTTTAATCGGAAAAAAATGAAGTAGAGTCAATCTTTTTCAATCGAAAAACAAAAAAATAGCGTTGATCCATCATCTTAATCGAACAAAAAGCATGTTAATCTAATCAACTCCAAACCTTAAACACCATAAACTCATGCATAAATCTAGCCGGTTGAGAAACAAAAGGAAAGCGAGGAGCTCCAAAAACTAAATTATAACAAGATCTCATTGTAACGATGACCATCTCGTAGCTAAGCTTATATAGAGATAGACGTAGGGTTATAACCCTAATCCAACGAATCAGACGAGGCCCAACAAGGCCCAAGACTAACTCGGTTTAAGTAACCTCAACACTCCCCCTTAAGCGAAGACATGGATGATGGATGACAAGAATGTCGAGCTTGAAGAAGGAAATATGAAGAACAAGCATGGTGGTTTGAACAATAAAACTCGAGATGAATAACATCTCAGATGAGGTTGACCTTAATACTCCCCCTTAAGCGAAGACATGGATGACAAGAATGTCGAGCTCGAAGAAGGAAATATGAAGAATAAGCATGGTGGCTTGAACAATAAAACTCGAGATGAATAACATCTCAGATGAGGTTGATTGGAGACGACTGACTCTCTTTGGTACATCGCGGTCGACCTGATGACTGAGTTAGTCGACCGTCGTATGTTGACCTCCTATATGTCATAAACCAGTTGGTAACAATAACTCGAGTTGTTGGAGAAGGTTATGTTGGATCTTATACAGGCCCATGTATGGTACTTAACCACCTCCTTACACGCCCCCTCAAACGAAAGCCGACTCATGGGCTTGAAGTTTGCACAGGCCAACCATACCATGTGCTTGAAAGACAACAATTAATATTTGGGTCGTGGGGACTTGAACACGTGATCTCAAGAACAAACCAACTCTGATATCATGTCATAAACCAGTTGGTCCCAATAAGGCCTTCGTTAAACGAAAAACAAACAATCCACTTATCTCACTTTTGTCATACTGGAAACTCAGTAACAATTGAATTATTAAAGAAAAAACGTAACAAATTATGATTGATGAGGTGACCAACTCAATAAAAGTTCAGCCAAGGATTTGAAGAAAAATAATTTTTTTTTGCGTGAAAACATAATAATATATTTTTTCCTTACTCAAAGTAAAAAAATAAAAGCCATGCAAGAAACTGATTCATACAAATTTAGTCAGACAACACTATTTGCTCCTCCCTATAAAAAAATTATTGCAAATTTAATTTAGAATTTCTTGTGATCGCTTAGCCTCCGCCCTTTAAAGCACCAACATCTCTACCAATTACAGTGCAGTTGTCTTCCTTAACAAATTTAATAGTAATACATTTTGAAACCCTAAATATTACATGCAGAGTAATTTACATGTCATAAACATTTTATGATATTCGTTCTTTCCCTTATTGATAAACAACCCAACAGCCAGCACAAAATTTGATAATCTATTGATGAAAACGGAATGAATAACTTTTAGGGGCTGACTATTCTTCAACATATACCTTTTTTCCTCCTTATAACTTTGGAGATTTATTGCCCAATTTGTAAATCATTAATGAAGTGGGGAGTATCATGATCATTCTTTGTTGACTTAGAAATATTGTGAACTTAGTCAAACTTCAGTTAGCAAGGTGATACCCATTAGCATGACAACCTAACATTAATGGTGGGGATATGATTAGAAATTGCCGCATAGATTAGATACTATTATAGAAGAATTGACAATTCATGAGTGTTAGTATACTTGATTCTATAGGATGTTAGACTAACATGTTTTTTTATCCCAAAATATGTAAAAATGAACATAATTTTATTTAGTATAATTATCATTTTTAAGTTAATATTTTATAATTTGGATTAGTACAAAGGATAGTAACTCAGACATAAAAGAAATCTTATTTGATGCCACTTTTTGTCAATCTCATTTTGTATGACATAACTTGTAAGGTGGTATGACCAATATCATCGCGTGCTTGTATTGATGATATTATGAAGTGGAGAGTGAAGAAACTTAGTTGACGAGGAAGAAGCTTTTAATTAATCTTATTGTTTATAAATGTTTATCTTTAATTTTGAACAATTTGTATTGATCATTTACGGTTTGCTTGTATGCTCTAAATTGGTGTTTTTTGTATGACTAATTTGTATGAGAAAATTGATGTTAAACTTTTATTTTGAAAGAAACTTGTTATTGTAAATTTTTTACCACAAAAACCCACGGGTACCCATCAAACCGCGGATACCCAGGGGGTTGGGTTGGGTTTGAGTTTTTCAAACCCAACGGGTTTTACCCCGGGTTTTTTTGGCAGATAAACCCATGGGTTTGGGTTTGACAAAACCCGCCCCAATCCGACCCATTGCCATCCCTAGTTTTAACAAAATGAATTGAAAAAGAAGCCAGAGAGACAGTTCTTTGCTTTAAAAGAATGGGGGGATGTGGATCGAACCAGAGACCTGAACATCTGTCGCATTTGGAAGTTTATAAAAATGAAGAGCTCGACTAGGCCAAAACAATTTCATTGATAGCTACCTAGACAACTGCTATATAATCACTAAATTCTCAAAACTTTAGGGGCTCCTCCTTAACGTTGGCTCCGTCCCTTATGTAAATTATCAAAGACCTTATTGTCAATATATATCCTACCATATGATTCATGATTTTCCTAATCATTTCATTTCGTGGAGAGTTATTTTAAAGTTACTCTAGTGATTATGGATAGCCGAATAACGCCGATTGGAATAGCAGAGGCAAATGACTTAGCAACCACATTTGAGAGGATAGTTAGATATTGGAACCTCAATAAATTGGAATAGAGGTATTATGGGAGGATAAGAGTCGCCACATGTTAAGAGTTAACCATTATCTATAACATTAGAGATTTAAAAGACTGAGTTAAGTACATATGATTTCGCTGAAGATAATTTAAATGTACATTATTAATTGTAGTTTGACGGTAGCAATGCTAAGTACAAGGAATAAGGTTCAATGTTTAAGGTTCATTGCAATCAAACTATTATACCTATTTTTAACCTTTGTTCGCCCAATCAAAGGGTGTGCAGGTCCTTACACACTATTAGGGATTTTAAACAAAATTGATGAGTTGATGACTGAGGTTGATGAGTCTCGCACTCAAAATCAGAGATTTTTTTGTTGTTGACAATTGGTAGATTTCATTCCATAACGATTGAGGTACAAACTCGACCTATTACAATAGAGGGGAGATCAAGTTCATAATCTGAATCCACTCAGAAGGGAGAGATCCAATTCAAGATTCTTTACGTTGTGTTTGGCAAATAGGAGGGTGCAAATTCAAGGGGATCCAAGTTGAGGGGTAAATTGCTGGGGGTGCAAGTTGAGAGGTAAATTGTTGTTTGGATGAAAAAGTAGTGGGTGCAAATTAGTGAAAAGTAAGTAAATTATAATATTATAAAATAGACATATCAAATTTATAAAAGATTATCACAAAATATTTACACATAAATCAATATGAAATAAAAATAAATAATACTGATAAATATAAAAAATATAATTTAATAAAATAATAATGCTCAAGTAGTGATTGTTATAAATATTCATAAATAATAGTATTGGGTCCATAAAAATCATAATTGGTCGAGCAACCTCGAATGAGTATGCTCTAAGCCCAATCCATGGCCAAGACATATAACTAGCTCATGTCTCCCACCCGGAAGTCGAGTTGTCGAAATGATGGTTAATCGGAGTAAAACAGACATTACCAAATCGGTTTTAACCATAAATGACCATCCTACAAGATTGATGTGCCTACTTTAACTTTAAATTGGATATGGTCAAACTTAGACAAACACGTTCGAACATGTAAATTTTAACTATTTGATGAGGTAATCCGAGCCAACCAACATATCTCGATTCCACTTGATGAATCTTGACCCACTTGTTTGATCGAGTCAACAGTTGAAACCAATTTGACAAAATTTCCCATCGTAAATCAAATGATGTCTCCCGGAATCAATGCAAAATTAATAATTATTATTATTTAATCATTATAATAGTAATTATTATTTAATCATTATAATAGTAATTATTATTTAATCATTATAATAATTATTCTTACTATCATATTAATAATAAGTATTATTGTAGCATAATATTACATGACATTTTTAGTTACAACAATCATAGAACAAAATCATACATATAAAACATAGCAAATTATATATTAATTTTATTTTTTATTCATCCTTCCACTCTTTCTCTTTCCATTTGCACTCCAATTTTGGGGCTGATGAGAATAGTGGATTTGCCCCTAATTGCAGCCCCCTACGCTATTCATTATTATCAAAATGGGGGCAAATACATTGGAAAATGCACTTACCCCCAAACTTGCTCCCCCTTCCATTTACCCCCTTTCCCAAATATAGTCTTAGTAACCTAATTAACACACTTGTTGCTCCTACGATGAGTAAAAGCCACAGTATTGTGGTTATTATGCGCGAGGATTTGTTTCATACAATGAATCCATGTCATCGCTTGCCAAGGCCAGGATCTGCTTCGTCCTAGCAAGATTAGGGATGGCAATCAAACCCATGACCGCGGGTATCCGACCGCCCCCGACCCAGTCAACACGGGGAATTCCCGCTTTGACCAGGTATGGGGCGGGTATGGGTAAAACCCGCAAAAAGTTTGATGGATATGGGGCAGGTATGGTTTGAGCCTCCCCGCCCCATACCCGCCCCACCAAGATAATTTCTTCGTATATAAAAAAAATATGTGCATCAAATTATAATTTATCAATGATGATGAGGATAACTTGAGAAAATAAATAGTAGAAATGCAATTGAGTGACCACCTTAATCAAAACCTAATTCATTTCTCTCAATTCTCATTTCACTCTTTCACTTTCCCCCTTGTCAACAAGATTATGTTAGTTAATTATTATTTTAAAGATGTGTCAGAGTTAGAACATAATAATTTGAAAAATATTATACTCTATATTTTGTATTAATGGATATTTTAGGATCATAATCTTTGAACCATATTAAAAAAATGACTGTGTTTTATTGATTTCATGATATAATATGTTCGTTTAGAGTCATAATTAAAACTTTTCTCGTAAGTTTTAGGTGTAATAATGTTAGATTTACGGGTATGGGTATTACCCATGGGTACCCGAAACCCACGGGTATATGGGGATGGGTTTGCAAAACATTTCCCATATGGGTATGGGACGGGTATGGGTTTGGGTATTTGAAGATGGGTATGGGGATGGTTTAAGCAAACCCGCCCCAAACCTGCCCATTGCCATCCCTAAGCAAGATATTGATGATGATCTCAAGTTATAGGCCCCTTTTTTGGGGCATGTTCTTCTTAACGCCTACTTTGACTTGGACTTCTGTAATCTTTAGCAGGAACTGAAGGAGCTTAGAGCAAAGCTCATTAGCTCAATGCGTAGAGACTTTCAGGGTGACTGCTGGGAGCTAATGATCGATCAGTCTTTCGCTTTGGCTCTTAACACTGTCTACTTTACATTGCTAAGAACTTGACTACAACAGTAAATGTCAATCTTTGTTCTTAAAATCCACTTCACTGCTGTTTAGCTTCTGAAACACAAGAGCGCGATTCACATTGCCAAGGGATTACAACGAGGAAAATTAAGCAAAACTGTTAATTTCCCAAATACACGCATAGCGGCATAGGCTACCTTTTGAACCAACAGACCAGGAGACATAGGCATATAAGGTGAGAAGGAAATAAGGATGCAGTAATAAACAGAAAAACCAAAGTCGGATACAGCATGAAATTACTCAAAGTATCAACTAAATGATTGTAGCATCCAACATCCAAACAAACTCCAGGTATTCACTAACAACTGACATAAAAAAACCTTTTGACTTAAAGGACCAGTAGGAAAATTATCAAGGCATTTCACAACGACACAAGCAAACATACACATCTCTTAACGATTGGCTTTGGCAACTCTCTCGATCTCATCCTTCTTTTTGATAGCATAGCTGGAAAGCAAAAAGAGAAGGGATAATCAGCAAACCGAGCATCCAAGAACAGTCGACACAAACCAATAGACAAGCAAACAAACCTGTTCGAGGATCCCTTTGCAGCATTGATGAGCTCATCAGCCAAGCATTCAGCAATAGTCTTGATGTTACGGAAAGCAGACTCCCTTGCACCGGTGGTCAAGAGGTATAAGGCCTGATTGACACGCCTGAGCGGAGAAATATCCACAGCCTGACGCCTCACCACACCAGCTGAACCGATCCTAGTCGCATCTTCACGAGGACCACTGGAAACGAAAAAAAATACTATTGAGAAACAAACTCATAAGGAAACCACTACGATTCGCTCTAAATTATAAGCTCACTGACCTGTTGATGACAGCATCAACGATGACTTGGATTGGGTTCTGATCAGTTAGAAGATGGATGATCTCCATGGCATGCTTGACAATCCTGACAGCCATCAGCTTCTTACCATTGTTTCTTCCGTGCATCATGAGAGAGTTGGTAAGCCTCTCAATGATGGGGCATTGAGCCTTCCTGAAGCGCTTGGCCGAGTACCTCCCAGCTGTGTGTGGGATGAAAGTTGCATGCTTGGCTGCTTGGACGCCGATATAGTCCGATAAGGAAATGTCATTGCTCTACAACAATACGAATCACAAACCAAAAGTGCAAACCCCAATTAGACTACGAACAGAATCAGAGTTTCCAAGAAATCCATAGGCACCAAACTCTTGCCCACTCCCTAACTACTCGATGCAGAGGTTCAAATGGAAGAAAAAGTGCTAAATCCTAACAAACGTACAAACCCTAATTAGACTACGAACAGAATCAGAACCTCCAAGCAAATCCATTGGCACAAAACTCTTGCCCACTCCCTAAATTACTCGATGCAGAGGTTCAAATGGTAGAAAAATGCTAAATCCTAACAACTTTACGAGCTCAGTCGCGTTAACACATCTCAGCAGCGGATATCGTAGACAGGAAAAGCAACGGTGTGATTCCAACTAGACTCGAGGAAAGGCGAGAACGAAAGGGGAAAATGATTCGAACCTGGATATCATCGAAGCTCCAGCGGTTATACAATCTGACCTCAACCGGACCAGTAACTGGCGCTGGAGCAGGAACTGGAGCCTCCACTTCCATGGTTGCACTCGCCATTTTGACGAAATCGCCGCCGGTTGCCTCGCTCTCGCCGCTCTCAAAGGGACTCTTCTGATTCTGCTCCAATCCTCGCTGTAGAACCCTAAGGAGGAGAAAATGTGATTATATATCTGCTCTAGAACGAAACCCTAACTACCTTTGGGCCGCATTGGTCTGGAGATGGGCCCTGAAATGAGTTCCCCTGAGCCTAACAGGATTCTTATTGGGCTGTCACTGTAAGACATTCGCTATCATTGGGTTTTGGTTAGTTAATTAAACTCGGCCCAATCTTTCTCGGTGACATGCGTTGAATTACCATAAAATCCATACAGATAGATATCATTACAATTAAGTCCATCAACTTATAGAGCGAGCCAACTTAATCCTTTGAAATTATATTTAATAATTGAATCCTTGAAATTCCCAAATGGACCAATCACAGAACAATGACTCTTGAGTCCTTCATACAACACTCCTTGATTTACCGGTAGTGATGGCAATAGGACAGATAGGCTATCTTAATACCCATATTCCTTTCATAAGCATTGATCGTGTTGGGTAATATTCACATGGGTATGAGGTGGGGACAGGTCCCATTATTATATATTATTTGAAAAAAAAACATTGATATTTAATTTTTCTATAATAAGAGATAGAGAAAACACTTCATCAATGAATGAAAGAATAATTGAGACTAATTAGTTGAAAGATAGTCTTAATATTTTCTGATATGAAAATATGATTTTAGAAATGTCAAGAGATTTTAAATACATGTATATTGTGATGCAAACATGTCACGTAGCTAATCTCATATACGTACTTTGAATGAGAAAGACATGAATTTGATGAGAAATTTGATAAAACACATGATCAAACGTGTCCTTTGAGCCGGGAAAAGCTTTAATGAGAACGCCATGAACAATTAGTAATTGGGAATACACATTTAATCTCATTCTAATCTCTTAACACATATGCTTCGACTGCAACAACACTGCTGGAAGAGAAGCTGGATCAAGCTCCCAGCAGTCTTTCGGAAGCTCGGGGATCTCATCACTAGAGACCTTCCTCGCAGGAATTTGATGAGAAAACATCAGGAGATCATCTTTGACGACACATTTGACACCGCGAAACCCGAACTCCCTTCTCTTGAACACAGTTTTGAACCCATCAACCTTATCGAGGTATGCAAAACTCAGCCCATGAATCTCACTGTAATTACTCAGAACCACAACAAAGTCGTAGCATGGTTCATCCTTCTGTGGAACATGTCTTTGTCCTTCTCTGTAAACTCCCCATACAGAACCCTTGTTAGGGTAAATCCTATAAACTTGTCTGGCAGCCCTCTCGCACTGCATAGCATGTGAGAAGATATTCACAGAATCAACAGTCATGTTCCTATCGACCTTAAAGCTCCCACAAGATCCAGTTTTTAACCAGCTGATCAACCTATCGTCTCCGTTGTTGACAAGATCCAGCCAACTCAACTTCACCTCGAAAGGATTCACCGAGACCACCTCATCGATCAAACCATACTGCCTCGGCATTCCATCAGTATCGTCGTATATAGCCCACACCTGCCCCTTCTTGAAACTCTTCTCTGTTCTGTCACTATCAAAGTCATAGAAGTCTGAGTCCTCAACTTCCATCATCTCCGGACCACCATTCTCCACATACCCGATATCCATAGCACTCCTTGACTTCCTCGATACAACATGCTTCTCTGCCTCATGAATCACAATCTTCTTTGATGTCTGAGCACTTTCATTTTCACCAACTGAAATCCCACTTTTTCCGCTCTGTGATTCTCTGCTCTTCTTTGCAACGTCTTCTTTCTCCGGTCCCTCCTTCTCCTTCTGCTTAACCTTCAATTTTTCCTTCCCTTCGCTAGCCTTACGCCTTGCTTCCAACTGCATTTCAGCCAGTGTCATCATTTCTTCATCTAATCTCACCTTCTTAGACTTCAAGTTCTGCAAAACCACGTCTTCATCATTCGGTTTCCTCCTCAAGACCTCATTTCGACTTCCTTGATTCCCCGAATTAAAGTTCCCCAACCGATCTCCACAAAAAACTTTCCTTCTCAACCTCGAACTCCTAACTCCAACTTTCTCAACATTACCAACCTCTTCTTTATCCTGATTATCCTCAACCTCCACAGCTTTAAAGCTCTTCTTACAATTAGGGCAAACCAAATTGTGCCCCAAATACTTCCTCTCAAACTGATGCAGAAGACTACACCTAGAACACGCCGTCCAGAAAGTCTCCACTACGGATTCCTGAACATCACCCCTCTCCTCCAGAAACCTGATTCTCAAAGCTACATCATACTCTTTCCTACTAGCTCTATCAGACAAAACCCTAAACCCTTCCCCCAGCAGCTTGAACGCCTCCTCACAACCGACAAATTCGTTCTTATCAGGGTGCAAAACTAGTGCCAGATTCTTGTACTGTTTCTTTATAGTGTTGATGTGAGAGAAAGGCTCTACCTGAAGAATGCCGTACCAATCGACGAACTCGGAGTCGGATTTGGCGGCGAATCGGAGGGTTTTCAGGGCGGTGAGCATGGCCGAGAGACCGTCGAGGTCGGGACATAGCCGGTGGGCTTTTTTAGCATGTTTGAGTGCCGATTTCAGGTTGGAGGCTGAATATTCCTCCTCGGCCTTGGATTTCAGTCGGGTGGCTTCTTCCTCCGGGTGCTGCTCCGGCGGCGCCATGGACTTGGGGCGGGAAAAGATTGCAACTTGGGAGCTGGGAAAATGGGAAGTGAGAGAAGAAATTGAAGCTTTAGCAGTTTAGCTCGCTTACATAAAACTATGGGCTGATTACATAAGTGGTCCTTAAACTTTCGGATGACTTGCAAATTCATCATTCAGCTTTAACTTCTGCCTAAATTTTTAATACTAAAATTCGGAATAACTAGTATAACAGTAATTTCATAGAATTGGTCGATTTTTCAACCACATCTGTCATATTAACATGTTAACCTTCTAAGTTTAGTAATAAAAAGATTGTATTTGATGACTAACAATCTAACGACACATTTTAACCAACATTCATCAATCATTTATATATCCAACTCATTCAGCCAAGAGGTTGTCAAACGCTGGCAAGCAAGCAGGCACATCAGCCTTTTTTCGACACATCTAAACCCTCCCTTAAACCCAATCCCTCCATTCAAAACAAGCTATCCTATAAGCTACCATTGTCTTCTAAACCAGCAAAACTCCTGCAACTGCAACTTGAAGAATAAAATGGAACTATGCCTTCTGGTTTGCTTTACATGGTGATTGTTGTGAGACGATGAATGTATCAAAAAGCCCTGAGAAACCCCATCAATCACACTGCTTTGTATTGGCATCAACACTGAAGCATGATACTTCATTATTCATGAATGTTCCGAAGATAAATAAATGTTTCATAGAGTAAATGAAGATGACTACTTGAGCCATTAACAACAAAAGGTATTCCATTCCTTCCGTCACATTATGCTACAGTTTTGTTGGGAATCCAGCATCTCGGGTGTTCTGCAATGGCCAAAGAGAAACAGAAAGCCATTAGCCATCTCACCATCATAAAGGACAACGGAATGACTAACAATCAGGGCACCCAAATACCATATGAAGCACTCACATTTGACCGAGAGTAGCCAAATCGAGATCAGGTGCAAATTCCCGGATGATTTCATCAGGTGGCTGTCCACATTCTTGCATCTTTTGCATGAGCTCGGTGATTCTGGTGTAGTTATTGGGATCATTCTCATAGACCTCGTTCAGAACCTTTATAAGTTCAAATTGATTTGAATAACGTTCAAAGTCCTCTTTACTCAAACTTGATTCGTGGTCTTTCAACCATGTCGGATACCTCCCTTCGATTTCCTTCATTGGTTCATGAAGAATCTCCTTCGAAAGCAGCTGCTGCATCATGGTCTCTACAAGAGATGCCATGTCCTGATAGACCGAAAAAAAGAAAGGAAAATATGAAGCTCATGAACTAGAACGATAGAAACAAACAGGGGGAATGCTCTAAATTACCTTAAAACACAGAATGGGAGATATAAATACTTAGAGCACAATAAAGAAGAAATGCTGAATAGAGGGAAGAAAGGCTAAATATAAGGGTAAAAGATTCACTATTATCTCCACCGAAGGTCTAAATCTCTAGATAACTAACTTGGTCCTTAGAGCCACAAACTCACATTATGGAATGCTTGGGGTAAGAGTGAACACAGATACAGAAACACATTCTTGAGAGAACTACATTCAAATCTCACAGGGAATCAAGATTCCAACTATTTCACAATTTTGGAAATGTAACTCCTAGTATCCTTGCAGCAGCAAAAGCAAAGCACATGACTCCAAAGTGACTGATACAGTTTGCTTCCTAACCATAAGAGACCAGTCAATCAAGTCTCGAGGAACTCACACGTCTCTTTACTCAATTCGGGCCTTATAACTTCTGCACCTAAAGGAAAGAGTTCCATGTATAGAGAAATAGAGATAGAAAGAGCTTCACGTTACCTGGCCAGAAGCAAGCTCCTCGAACTGCTTAACCCAATCCTCCACCATAGCATCCTTATTATCAGCACCAGCCTTTGAGCCAGTGACGGACTCCATTCCCATTACAGCTTCTTTAGTCTGCTCCATAAGCTTATCAAGCGCCTCAGCCACATGGGTATCCTTAGAAGATGCCGCCGCCATTTGTTTCCCTTTCTTCTTGCTCTTCAAATCCGGCAATCCCACACCTAAACCCTGAACCCCAGCCGGCAAAGCAACAACTGAACCCTCCACCTTGCTCTTCTCCTTATCGCCACCATCCCTTCCCCCGCCGCCAGCAATTCTGCATTCCCAAATTACACCTTCTTTTTCAACTCAACATGGTGACAGAGAAACGAGAAGCAGAAATTGGAGTAAATACCTTTGTGAAGAAGGAGGCGCAAGGTTGAGACTTTGGAAATCATCGAGAGCACCTACAGAGAGCAAAAACAAAAAGGTTCGAAATTGAGGTGAGAATCACTACGAGAATAAATAAGGGGTTTTGTTCAGGAGTTGGATTCTGGTAATGGGTAGTTACTGTCGAGGAGCTGGTCTAAGTCATCAGCATGAGAGACCGCCATTTTTCCACTGCTCTGGTGCTACTTCTTAGCTCGTGGAAGCTTTGACTATTTTTCCAGACGAAATCGACTGATTCAGGAAGGAAGGAATTCGCTATGTGTAGGAGAGAAAGGCAAAGGAAAATTCACCGAGGAATTGGAAGTGAAATCGTTTCCCTTGCGTCCAAGGATTACGGAGAGATGAAGAATTTCTACTGCTAGTTGATCAGTTTTGTTTTCGCCGATCGAGAAACTCTCCATACAGGCCGTTTGTTACCAGAACTCGGGCTGGATCAGGTTCGTGATAATTTCAAGCCCATGCCAAAGTAAGTCCTCGTTTTAACCCTATGGCCCGATGATGGCTTCGGCCCATCTGTGATTATGGATTACATCGGGTCTTTGCCTTGGCGCCGAGAATTGCTTGCAAAGTGATTGTCAAAGTAAGTCCTCGTTTTAACCCTATGGCCCGACGATGACTTCGGCCCGTTTGTGATTATTGATTACACCGGGCCCTTGCCGTGGCGCCGAAAATTGCTTTCAAAGTGATCTCACTTTCAAAGCATGAAAGCAATTCTCGGCGCCAGAAACAATAACATTTGAAAATCCAGTAAACTAGCACCATGCTAGTAAGTAGTAACGCGTCGAAACGGTGGATAGGTTTTACCGCTTTAGACGCTGATCCTCGCAAGTTCATGATCGGTATCCTACGCTACTCGAATTTGGTTTGGTTATGCTTCACAGGCCACGAAACAATAAGTAAAGAGATCAAATTGTAACGTAATGTAATGCTTTGTCTAATAAATTACGGATTTACGGACCTCAATATTGTATATAAGTTAACTTCTTGTAATCAGGTTCCAATGTGCTAAAACAGCTTTGATGGTTCCAATGGGCAAAAATTTATGGACCTCAAAAGTCAAAACACATATATAAATGGTGTTGGCCAGCACTCCACATGCCTAAGCAGCGGAAACACTGGAAACAGGCACAGAGAAGGGATTCTTTTGCCGTAGCTAAGCATAAACAAATATTGTCTGACCCCTAAACCTTAAATCAACCTAAATAAAAGGATAGATATGGAACACGATCAAACAGATTCCAACTCGTGTGAAAGGTCAATTGGTATATGAAACCAATCAAACAATCACCCGCTCGTGAATAAGGCCAATCGCTATTGGGTAGAAGCTCGCCACAACTAGAAGCGTTCTCTAGTTGATAAGAGACACGTGAAAGTAAACTCCTCGAGATTCTCGACAGAAGCTTGCACAAACGTTCACAAAGAAACACGAGTAAAAACTCTTAATTGATAACTTGAATATTGAGTACAAAATTCGTAAGTCTTACACCCTCTATTAAGTACGAAACATAATTAATTATCTAACACATAAATACACTACTAATTCAACTCCACCATTGCACCGCTCCGCTGTCCTTTTCCTTTTGCCTTGAGGAATGAATTCCGGTAATTAATCCACCAACAAGCTGCCGGTAATCAAGCTGCCGCCACACTTCTTCTCATATAATTTTGTGATAATAAAATCACAGCCATGTTTTATGCCTAGTAACGTGTTGGCAACATCCATGAGCATAATTTGATCCATCAAGAATGCACCCAATTGATCCTTATATCTCCTTATTCGATCTTCATCTTTGGATCCCGGGAATTAAATATCGCGCTAGTCGATATCACATCAATTTGTGCCACGGATTCATGAAAAGTCTATGCATGTCCAGAGAGATCCTGCGTTTGAGGCATCTGAATAACGTTTTTTTCTTTTTGTGTAGTTTTGGTTAATTCATGTATTTGTATGGTGCGGTTTGTTGTGGTATGATCTATGGAGATGCACTGCATAGAGTAATGCGAGAACAAGCATGTATACAGTAAAAAAAAAAACAATAACATGAAGATACACTATGTGGATGACAATCAAGTGATGCAAACAATAAATATAAAAATTCTCATAAAATAAACCAGAAAAATCATAAAAACACATTTAACTATTTTACTTCTTAATTAACAATTACCGTCACCTCAGTAAAGACTTTATTACAATATATAATTGTTGTATATGTGTTGTATAATTGAGTGTTGATGTGAAGATTGAACCACCAAATAATGGTCATGGTTTTAGTGCCTTTCTCCAAAGGTCATTGTCCTCCTTTAATTTCTCATATCATTCGATTGAAATTGTGACCAAGGGTAGTTGTCTTCTGGCCATTCTTAAATAATTTTCATTTTAAACACTTTGATACATCCAGATTAGTTTTTTTATAAGATTGTTATCACATGAAACTACTTAGAGCATTATGTGGTGTGCATATTGTTATTGTGCATACGATAATACTATTTTCAATACAGTTGTGATATCATATTTTAACGCTATTTTATGATCATAAGATACATTTTTTTTTTTTGCATCAAGGGAGGCTAAAAGCCACAGAAGCAGAGACAAATACCGGGGGGGGGGGGGGGGGGGGGGGGAAATTACATGACAGAAGAGGTTTCGGTGGAATCCACCACTTCTCTGGGGAAGGATTGCCCTCGAGCATCGTCTCCCAGAATTTGTCGTAGCCCCTGCGGAGGTAAGTCAAGTTCATTCTTACCATAGGGATAGACGAGACTGTGCTTCGAGAGCCAGTCCGCGACTCTATTCCCTTCACGATAAGTATGAACTATCCTCACCACCCAATCACGAGCAACTTTTCGTCTAATCGCCGCCAACAGGGTCGCGTGCGGGTGCACCGGGTCGTTTTGCTTCTCTATAAGTTGAATAGCCATCTGAGAGTCAGATTCCAGGATGACAGTCCTGCTGCCCTCGTCTCACGCCATATCCAAACCATGGTAAATTCCCCACAGCTCCGCTTGAATAGCCGAGCAAGTTCCCAAATTAGCAACAAAACCTTTGATCCAAACCCCATGGTGATTCCGCAGGGCCCCTCCCGCGCCTGCCGGCCCCTGGGATCCGTTCGCAGCGCCATCAACATTTACCTTGATCCAGCCTGCAGGAGGAGGAATCCAACTGATCTCCCGATACACTCTCTGTACAGCAGTGCCCCGCCGGCCTAGGATGTTCTGAGGAGCCACCCAAGCCTTATACCACAGCGTAGCTTTGATCTTGGTGGCCTGTGTCAGAGAAGGCGGGGAGAGGGTCTTCCCAATTCCCTTGAACACTCCTTCATTTCTGTTCTTCCATAGATTCCAGCTGGCTATACTGAAGAAAGCATTCCAGGGGATCTCGCTAGTCCAAGTGGCCTCTACCTGCAAATTTTTTTCAATCCAAGCTTTAGGCTGCAGGGTGAAGAACTCCTGCTGGTTCTCTGGGGGTACCGTGCGCGCCCAAAGGAAGGCCGCGGTAGGGCAGTCTCTGAGGATATGGATTGTGGTCTCTTCTAGTGTAGAGCATCTGTAACAGCAGGGTGAGGAGGCGATCTTTCTCTTCACAAGCTGGGCGTTGATGCTGATTTTGTCGTGCGCTACGACCCACATGAAACACCGCACTCTCTCCGGCACCGGGAGTTTCCATATGTTTTTCCACATCTGAGCTGCCTCGCTTGGGACTCTAGGCTGCATTAGCTGAAAAGCACTCTTGGTTGAGAAACGGTCGTCTGAGGTGGGCTGCCAGAAAAGCACATCATCCTCCCCTGCCAGAGGGTCCACTGCCTTTGCTGTGATTTGACGAGTCACAGCGTCCGGAAGCAAACCCTCGAACTTTTCGGTGAGCCAGTTCCCGTCCTCATCAACAAAATCTGCCACCATGCCGTCTCTTATATCGTCCGGAACTGGGCCAGTGGTCAACTCGATCAAGGGAACCTGCGAGATCCAAACATCAAACCAAAAACGGGTTAGGTTGCCTCTATGAATATTCCAGCCAGAACCAACTTTCAGCAGTTCTCTGGTTTTAGAGACGCTATTCCAGGTGAAGGAACTTCCCTTTATGGGTTTGATGATGTCGAGGTTCTCCCTGTTCTTCCCGTACTTGCCACGCATCAGCTGAGTCCAAAGCGTCTCTTTCTCTTTCATCAGCCGCCACCCACACTTAGCCAGCATTGCCAGGTTGACCGATCTGGAGGGCCGGATACCTAGACCTCCTTGGTCCTTTGGCAGGGTCAAAGTTTGCCAGCCCACCAGATGTAACTTTCTTTTCTCTTCCGAGTCGCCCCAGATGAAGCTGCGATTTATCTTATCCAGATCCTTGCAAACAGTTTTCGGCATGAGCTCCACCTGCATAGGATAAACGGGAATAGACGCAGCAACTGATTTAACAAGAGTAATGCGAGAGGCAAGGGAAAGATACCTAGCTTTCCAAGGGGCGAGTTTCTTCTGAATCCTGAGGGCGAGATCTTGGTATCTGCCTCGCGTCACTCTGCCATGGATGGCCATGACTCCCAAATATCTGCCTAGGTCCACCGTCAGCGGGATCCCCACCCAATCACTTAGGGCCCTAGCACACCTTCTGCGAATGTTAGCCGACACAAAGATAGCCGATTTCTGGTAGTTCACCCGCTGTCCCGAGCTGCTACAGAACTCATCCAGGCATTGCTTGATTATCCTCACTTGGGTTCCCCCTGCTTCTGCAAACAGAACCAGGTCATCTGCAAAAAAAAGATGAGAAATGGGCGGGCCGTCTCTGGACAGCTTGAGAGGCTTCCAAAGGTTGTCCCGAATAGCCTGGTCGATCCTGTGAGATAAACATTCCATACAGAGAACAAAGAGATAAGGGGATAAGGGATCTCCCTGACGAACTCCTCTGGTAGGGATGATGGGTTGAGAGAGGTCGCCATTCTAGAGCAGCCGCATCTTGTTGTTTTCAACGCAGTACATAATGCAGCTGATCCACGAGCTAAGGAGGCCAATCTCTTTGAGGGTGTCGCGAAGGAAGTCCCACCGGAGACGATCATATGCTTTCTCTAAGTCGATCTTCAGCACCATTCCTCCCTTCTTCCCCTTCTTCTTTTTCAGGGTATGGAGGACCTCCTGGAGAACAATGATGTTATCGGTGGTCTGCCGCCCGGGGATGAAGCTACTCTGACGGGGGGACACCAACTTCCTCATTATGGGTTTTAGCCGGTTGGTAATCGCCTTGGTGATAGCTTTCAAGCAGACATTGTTGAGGGAGATTGGTCTGAGTTGAGAGGCCATCTCCGGGTGCTCAACTTTCGGGATGAGGACAACCGTTGAGTGGGTTATGTGCTCCGGGAGCCCTCCTGCATGAAAGAAATCCAAAGCTAAATTAATCAAAGATTTTCCTACCACCCTCCAAGCCCGTTGGTAGAAGGCAGCGTGGAAACCGTCAGGGCCAGGGGCTTGAAATGGCTTCATCTCATGGATAGCACGGTGAATGTCCTCCGCTCTGAAAGGTCTCAGAAGAGCCGCCATCTCCTCCTGATCCAAACGGGGGAAAGCCATCTTTGGCATGAGGTCCTGGTAAATATCATTCTCCTGCAAATACAAGGCAGCAAAAAACTCAAAAACCAGCACTGCCAACTCCTGAGAGTCAGTGATCCACGCTCCATCAGCCCCCTTGAGACTGTCGATCTTGTTTCTACGCCTGCGGATGACTGCCTGGTTATGGAAGTAGCTAGTGTTACGCTCTCCCCGTTGGACCCAGCTTTCCCTAGATCGCTGAAACCAGTAAAGCTCCTCTTGTTCTAGCACCTGGTCCAGCTCCTTCTCAAGTTTGACCTGCAGTTTATAGAGGCCTGGGGAGAAAGACATGGCAACCCTCTCTTGGATTCCTTGAATGCGAGCCATCAGGCGCCGTTTCTTGTAGAAAATGTTGCCGAAGGTAACTTTATTCCACTGGTTGAGGTTGGACGCCAGCTTCTCCAAGGCCACTGGGAGAGGCGCTTGATGATCCCATTCACCTGCAATCAGATTGTCAAAAGAGTCACTAGTTAACCATGCCGCTTCAAAACGAAAGGGACGGGAGATTGAGGGGTTAACTCCCTGATTTCCAACTGTGGTAAGGATAGGATGGTGATCTGAGTGGATGCGGGGGAGGTGGGTGACAGTGGTGTCCGGGAAGGTCGCGTTCCAGAGGGAGTTGCATAAGCTGCGGTCGATCCGACTAGCTTTGAAGGTGCTGGCCGTCTCTCCTCTAGTCCACGTGAACCTAGGCCCTGAGAAACCCAGATCGATAAGTTCCGCTTGGTTGATCCTGTCATTGAAAACTTTGCACCTGTATAGCGTGGACGAGGAGGAAGGGCCAGATTTCTCTTCCGGGGCTAAGATAGCGTTGAAATCACCAGAAAGCAGCCATGGCAAGTCGTTAGAGAGGCTTGTGCGGTGTATATTCTGCCACAAGCTGCGTTGTTGGTACTGGCGAGGGCTCGCATAAACAGCTGTAAACAGCCATTTTGGAGCGGTTCCAGACGAGACTATGACCGACAAGTGCTGGGAACACGCCGAAAGCACTTGGAGTTGGAAATTGGCAGCATTCCAGCAAAGCCAGGTGCCTCTTTCCTCCCATCCGCTTCCACACGCATGATGTTTGAGAAACCTAGCCGCTCGCAGATATTGTTGGCTGAGTCCCCGCTGACCTGCGGTTCCAAAATACAAAGAAAGTCAGGTTTGTAGTTCTTGACAATAAGCTTGAGAGCCCTGGCAGAGCCCGGATTACCCGCGCCACCAATGTTCCAAGCTAGGATTTTAATGTTCAGTAATTGATTAAAAGACATGAAAACAATTAAGCTGAAAGGGAGAGGGAAGAAAAGAAAGCTAAGTTAGCAGCGAGGTCGCCGTTCCCAACGGGTCTGGGTTTTCGTCGGCGGTCGTCGATTCTCCGCCACCGGCTGGCTTCGGAGGGTTCGTCGCCATCCCCGTGCATTTGGTAGTTCCGGTCCAAGCCTCAATTTCTTGGAGAGTAAGAGTGGCGAGTTTGGCTCGCGCTTTGCTCTTCCTGTCCTTAACTGGCGTCCAGATTTGGAGGGCCTTTGCTGGGAAAGGTCTCGGGGATTTGTTTGGAGACTTGAGTGACTTCCGATGCTTCTTCTGGCTCTTGGTGCGCGCGGCCGCTGACGGATTCTCCATCATTAGCTGTTTGCCATCGGCTGAATCAGGAGGAGGAATGTTGACAACTTGGATGGACACTCCCCCAGAATTGGGGATCGAAGTCAGCGATGGGGATTCAGGGGTCATCCGGGTCGTGGGCTGGTTCTCTTCTCTTGGCCCAGCACTTGGGATAGTCTTGGCCTTGGCATTTGATGGGCCCCCAACCTGTAAACCCTCTTGTGATATATTACCGCTGGTCTTGGTCTTGGAGGTTGATGGGCCCCCAGACTTGGCCCGTTGGAGTTGGGGAGCCGGTCCGAGAACACCTTTACCCGCTTCCTTCCCCATCATATCTTCCGCTATCGCCTTTCCTTTTTGTTTCGCCGCCGTGATATTATCTTTCCCCATTTTTTCGCTGCCGTTGGAGGATTCTGTTCGTTGGGGTGCTTGTTTCCCGGACCCTGCCGCCTGATCTGCTCCCTGTCTGCTTTCCTTGTTTTTTTCTTTCCCTCCTCTCCCTTGAGTAACTCCCTCCCATGATCAGCGGTTGAGTTTCCTTTTCCCATCTCCAGGTTTTTGCTACCCTTCCGCGATTTGCGCGAGACTACCATCCACGGTCCATACCCGATTTTCTCCTCCGGCGAACCTGTCTTCCCCGATTCCGGCGACTCACCGAACTCCACCATTGCAAGTTGAGGCATAGCCGGTTTCAGGGTGGGGCATGTCTCCTTTGTATGACCGATTTTGCCACACTCGAAGCAGATTACAGGCAAGTTTTCGTACTCTAGGTACTGCCACGCTCCGTCGAGTCGGATTCTGGTGACCAGGGGTTTGGATAAATCAACTTCCACCGCAATCCGGGCAAATTTCGCCCTCTGTTGATGCAGGGTGTGGTAATCGAGCTTAATGGTCCGCCCGATCATGTTCCCTACTGAGAACAGCACTTCCCTGTGATAGAAGTGCACCGGAAACGCTGGCAGCTGAACCCACACTGTCATAGTGCTCGGTAATTTGTTGGAGAGACGGAACTCCGGATTCCATTGCTGGACTAGTAGGTAATGATCAAAGATGGTCCAAGGACCTTCAGTGAGAGCCCGATAGTAGTCCGCATCATTGCTGAGTTTCACCAGAAAGCACTCCTGGCCTAGGAACATGATTTCCATGGCACCTGTAGGGCGCCATTGGGCACGTAACTTGCTGCTGAATATAGTGAATGAGATCTGTAGACCCAGGGTACGAACAACGAGAGATCGTTGCCACGGTCTGCTGAGTTTGGCTTTTAGATCAGCTGAAACTACAAGCTCTGGCTCGCCATTGAAAAGGCCTTGGACAAGGTCCTTCTCGCCTACCGGAGTCCATGAGATCGCTGCCGAGGGGGTGCTCATCGTCTGTCCAGTGACCACGCTAGCGTATGACAGAGGAGCTCTGTTCGCACTCCCTTCCGTAGGTTTCGCACTCGACGGAGTATCCACCGCCATAGTATCTTCACTTATTAGAACCTCCCCAGATGTCAAAGATGGGATCAGAGGGGCCGAGTTCGGATCTGGTGGGCGATCGGAAGGATTGAAGGTGATCGCCGGCGAAAAAATCTCACCGCTCATAGTCAGAGAGAAAACTGATTGTATCTCACAATTTCAAGCTAGATTGCCAATTTTATCATGATCATAAGATACATATATGATAACCTGATGACAACATCGAGCCACATTAACATCCACTTATCTCATTCATCATAAGAACAGGAAAAAAAAAATGTCCACTACTATAAGCATGTATTATCTGTTCCTTCAATGTGAATTATCTCCTGGAGTGTTAAGCAAAATTATGCAACTAGTGAAGCAATTGTAAACATTTGTGAGTTCCTCTCAATATTGGACCATGTTTCGGCATCAATTGTCGGCTTAGACATCACGTAATCAAAATGGCTGGGTCAAGAAACCCATGATGACACAAAGACTAATAAAAAACATATCTTAGGACAATCGAGAGAAATAAACAATAAGATAATTAATTAACTAATCCTGACAACATCAATTTGATTAATTAGTGCTTGCTTCGAACGTCATACGCTGCGTAATTTGCTCCCTTTTGCTGTTGAATCTAGACCATAAAAATTATTTTTTTAAAAAGAATAATAATTAGCACTAATCAAAATTATTCTTTTGGTGGTTTCCATCTATATTCAACTATATATTGCCTTCAGCATTCTACGCGTTAGAATCTCGAACGGCAAGCTCCATTCAATGCTGAATTAACTATCATTTTTTACCGCAAGCCCTTGTTGTTATATAATATATATAGGGACTAGGGAGAGGCTTTAGACATCTAAAAGCACCCATAAGGTTCACAATTAGCAGCAAGAGTAAGAAGCATAGTTAAGAGAGAAAGAAAGGGTGATCATGGTGGCCGGAGGTGGAGGAGACAAGTACAGATCCTTCTTGGTCGACGAGGAGGGCCACGAGACTCAATGGAGACACGGAGGCCCTCCTCAGTACGACCTCGTCAACAAGCTCTTCGAACAAGAGCGGACTAAGGTGATGTTGAAAACTAGTTTCTGTCAATTTTGGTTTCAAGAATTCGAATTAGTTATTGTTTGGGGTGAAGAAGGCTAGTACTGTCAATAACTCGAGTTGTTGGGAGAAGGTTTTGCTGGATCTTATACCACATTCTAACACGCCCCCTCAAACGAAAGCCAACCCATGTGCTTGAAGTTTGCACAGGCCCACCATACCATGTGCTTGAAAGACAACGGTTAATATTGGGGGTCGTGGAGATTCGAACACATGACCTTTTGGTTCGAAGCTCTGATACCATGTCAAGAACCAGTTGCTCCCAATAACTCGAGTTGTTGGGAGAGGTTCAATCGTGGATCATATACCACAACACTAACAAGTACCTCATTAAATTCGTGTCAAATTCAGGTGTGGGGAGAAGGATCCCTTGAAGAAGTAGTGCAGAACGCGGTTAAGTCGTGGGAGATGGAGTTCTCGCATAAGACCCGTCTGGGTGACTTCAAGACCATCGATCCTGAGAAATTTAAACTTCTCGTTAACGGTAATTAATTAGCTGGTGTGAGGTTTGAGCTATAGCTTTAGTAACGTCTCTGCTCATTCTCGTTCGAACTCGATTCGTCTTATTTTTATGTATTGTTTCACCAACGATCATGTTCGTCGTGAGATGTGATGAAGGCAAGAAGGGGATCTCGGCGGAAGAGACGCTGAAGATAGGGAGCTACAATGCTCTGCTCAAGAACAGCAACCTGGGGAAGGAACTCCAGCTCTACAGAGCAGAGGAAGAGAGCTTCGAGTCGTCCCACGAAGCTTTTGCGTCGGCTTTCCCTCGAGGTTTTGCGTGGGAGGTGATCTCTGTCTTCTCTGGACCTCCTGTGATCGTCTTCAAGTTCAGGCACTGGGGCCATTTCGAAGGAACATTCAAGGGTCACTCTCCCACCGGAGAGGCCGTCGAGTTGTTCGGGTTGGGGGTTCTCAAGGTAAAAAAAGCATCGATACCCAAATCGAATATATTTTAATTGGCGATTTCGAATAATATGGATTATCTTAAATACAAAGAAAAAAAAGTAGATCAAATTAGAATTTAAACTGGGCCAAATCAAAGTCAAACATTCTCTTGGTCTGGTTCTCGCGTCCTGATTTTTTTCCCTCTGCTTGTGATCTTTGGTTTCTATCTCTATTCGATCTGGTTTTGAACCGATTCGACGATATGATGAAAGTTATCTATTAGCGTATCTCTCGATCCATTGAAAATTTCTGAATAAAGATAACAAGTAGGATCTGAGTCAATGTTTGAATCCGTTAAATGGTGCAGGTGGACGAGAATTTGAAGGTGGAAGAAGTGGAGGTTTACTATGATCCAGCTGACTTAATTGGAGGTCTATTCAAAGGGGAAAGCTTGTCCTCAGATGCTCAAACTTCACAAGTTTCGGGACCATCTCAGGGATCATGTCCTTTTTCTATGTGATTTTACAAAGTTTGCATATGGTTGGTTTGTAACTGTTGGACACAAAAGTGCGGGTTTGATGATTGTACTTTCATTGTTTAGTCAATTTGGTCACAAACTGTTTTAAGTGGAATAATTACAAGTCCTCCAGACTCTACCAATATGAAGGATGCGCATTAAGTGTGTAGATTTCACACAATTTGGCCGATGGAGTTGTTCACTGTTTATGTGATCCTTTATATCGAGTTCTTGAATTTATGAATGCAGCTAAATAGTGATGGAAATTTATGATCTAATTCGCAAGTCCTGGTCTGTCCCGACTTGTTTAGGGTGGGTATTAACCGACCTACATTAGTGTAAGATGGGGGCATGATGAGTATTGCTTTCGAACGGTTCCGTCCTATCCCGTCCCGTCCCGTTGTCAACCCGCTTTTATCATGATTTGCATCACTATATAAATGTGTTGACATTTATAAATGTGTTGCATCACTATAAATGTGTTGAAATTTTAAGATTATCTTTCAACTAATTAGACTCAATTATTCTTTCATTCATATATGAAGTATTTTCCCAATCTCTTATTATAAAAGAGTTATATATCAACCTTCTTGTTTCAAATAATATATAAGAATGGGTCGACGACCTATCACACCTCATACCCACGCGAGTATTAGCCAACCTGATCCGTGCTTAATATGAGATGAGTATTAAGATAACTACCCGTCTCATTTCCATCACTTCCCGGTAAATCAAGGAGTGTTGTATGAAGGACTCAAGTGACATTGTTCTGTGGTTGGTCCGTTTGAGAATTTTAAGAATTTAGTTATAAAATATAATTTTGAAGGATTTAGTTGGCTCTCTCTATAAGTTGACGGACTTAATTGTAATAATATCTATCTGTATTGATTTTATGGTAATTCAAGTATTCAACCACGCATGTCGCTGAGAAAGATTGGACCGAGTTTAATTAACTAACCAAAACCCAATGATAGCCAATGCCCAATGTATTACATTAACAGCCCAAGAAGAATCATGTTCGGCCCATCTCCAGACCAAAGCGGCCCAAAGGTAGTTAGGGTTTCGTTCTAGAGCAGATATAAATTCACATTTTCTCCTCCGTAGGGTTCTAGCGAGCGAGGATTGGAGCAGAATCAGCAGAGTCTCTTTGAGAGCGGCGAGAGCGAGGCAACCGGCGGCGATTTCGTCAAAATGGTGAAGTTTCTCAAGCCGAACAAGGCCGTGATCGTCCTCCAGGGCAGGTACGCCGGCAGGAAGGCGGTGATCGTGAAGTCGTTCGACGACGGCACCCGCGACCGCGCCTACGGCCACTGTCTGGTCGCAGGGATCAAGAAGTACCCGGCCAAGGTGGTCAGGAAGGATTCGGCCAAGAAGACGGCGAAGAAGTCCCGCGTCAAGTGCTTCGTCAAGCTCGTCAACTACAGGCACCTGATGCCCACTCGCTACACGCTGGACGTCGATTTGAAGGACACCGTCACCCTCGACGCGTTGCAGACCAGGGACAAGAAGATCGCTGCTGCCAAGGAGACCAAGGCGAAGTTCGAGGAGAGGTTCAAGTCCGGCAAGAACAGGTGGTTCTTTACCAAGCTCAGGTTCTAGGGTTTTCTATCATTTCAGCTGGATATGATATTTACTCTTTTTTTCCTTACTCTTATTGGAAAATTTTGAGCGAACAGAGCGTTTGTGTGTTGGGTTTCTGTCAAGACTGAGTCTTTTTGTTAAGTAGTGAGTTTCAAATGTTATGAATGAATGAACTTGTTATAAGCAGATCTGGGCTATGTCTTTCATGAATTGGTTTGGATTTGGTATTGGCAGCAAATGTCGTTCATGGGTTTGATTGAATCTGCCAGTGGCTCCAGTCTTTCCTTTGCAAGATAGGACAGCCATTTGTTGGTGAATGTGATAGCTTTAGATATGATTTTGCATTTGTTTGTTTCAAACTGAAGTCTTAATTTTACTGAATTTGCTATCCATTAGTCTTGATCCCCTTGGGTTTTGTTTGAGAAATCACGAGCCACAGCAAACTGATTGTACTACTGTAGGCATTGGAATGGAATTCATGCTAGTCGATGAGGCTTTAGCTTCTGAGTTCATATTCTGCATTTTTTCAAGAGTCTCTGATTTCTAGGCAGGCGATTCAGCGTACAAAGTTTTGGCTTCTCTTAACTATGTTAGACGAACCTTGTGCATTACCCTTCGCCCCACGTCCTCCCTGCTGAGTGTTGAAGTACACAAGTTTCCTAGGCCGAACACAGCAGTTTTTCCCTGTCTTTGTAACCTCATCATTCTTCCATTGATAAGGAATATGCTATTCTTGGTGAATTGCAACTAGCAAGGTTTAGTAATGCTGGATTGCAATTGGTAATTTTGCGGCTTGTTCTGGTCGATTTTGTCTAGATATTTGTAATAGTTTTTTGTTAGTGCATGACTGACTCTTGCTGTTTCCGTGTTGATTATGGTAAAAAATGGCATAGAAACACTACAGCAAAGTACAGAGAGAGCCGGAGCCGGTGGCGTAGTGGGTTCATTTAGAAAATAAAAATACATACAATAAAATAGATTTGTTAGCTTTTTAATAGTTCATGATATAATTTTGTATTTATAAAAACTTGATAATTTTGTTTTATAAAAACTTGATAAATAAAGTATATGTCCAAAATATTAAGAGTATCACCCTATTTGTATCAAATACTTACCGGCCGGTATTTTCTATGCAAATCCCAAGAGGAGTCCATGTCACATCTCTTATTCTCATGCTCCTTTTCGGCGACAATTTGAGCAAAATTTACAATGATGTTTTAGTTTCACGATCGTTTTCAACTAATATTAGTTGTTTTCTCCTGGCTTGGAGAGTATTATGGTGTGATTCAAAACTCAAGGATTGTGTCAAGGTCTTACCACATGCAATGTTTTGGTCCATTTGGAACGAGCAAAACAACATAATTTTTTGCGATTTGGAAGCTACACAGTCTGAGGTATGCAGTTAGATTGTTCAGATGATTGGCAGGTGGCTGCGAGCTTTTGAACTTATCTATGATGATTATTTTTAGCAACGATTGAGGATTCTGGCAGAGTGAGTAAAGTCGACTCATCGTTATATCAATTTTTTTCTTTCTTATTTTTCCTCTTTCATTTTTAGTGCTCTTTTATTGAGTTTTGATATAAGAGCATCTACATTGGTGCAATTTCATTTGCAATTGTATTTGTGGTTTTTTTTAACACAATACCATTTTGTAATCCAACTCAAATTACTTTTTTTTTACAAGAAACTCAATTTACTTAATTGTACCTACATTGGTGCAATTAACTTGCAATTGCATATGGAGCCTAATTTTTCTTTTAATAAATAATTTTTTTATAAATACCATTTTATCCATATTACACGTAAATAAAATAATAATTTATTTTACTTTAATTTAAACGAAAATCAATACAATCAATGCATGGAATTTGTGTTCCTAATTTATGAAGACATTTTGGCCTTGAGGATGGACTAGCAAGAATATAATACTCAATAATGCTAGAACTAACACAGTATTCAATATAATCACTTCACTATTTGTATATATCCAAATAAAGTAGTTTTGCTATTTATATTATTATGTATAACATATTAAAATTCATAAAATTATTATATAATGCTATTTATTCCAAAATTGAGAGTGGACAATGGAAATGAACATGATATAAATTGAATAGATTTATAGTTTTGTACAAATAAAAATATAGTTTCAGTCATAGTTAGCAACTACTCTATGCATTATGCAATACACTTCTAAATGGCCGTACGTAGTTTATCCTTTTAATTTTTTTGTATATGTATTATTGTCAATCCATTTTATTTTTACTCGTTCATTTGATGGCTCCAGTACTAAATCCTCTATATACTTTATACGTATGTTGTACTTAACTTACCCGTGTCGTATTTTACAAACTTTGGTTATACTATATATATTGATTTTCACTCCCTCAAAAAACATAACAAAGGAACCCAAAGTTGAATTTGCATATCGCCGGGACACAACCACAATTTTGATTTAAATTAGTAAAAGAAAAATCTAAAGAATTTCCAACGTGGCTTTCATTTTTTTGAAATGAGTACTCTCATTGGTGCAATTGCATTTGGGTCTGCACGTCAATTTGCAATTACAAAGTTTCCATCGATAGAGATGCTCTAAGTTGACTTTGACTTTTTTGTTTGGATTTGTTTTCTCCATTTTTTAACCTTTTTCCGTTCCGTTGTAATATTGGAAGAGCATGTTTGTGCAAAAGTATAGTACATTGACACGTTTGTTAATTCACAAGAGTACATAAAAAAATACTATTAACTCTTCATAATAAAAAGTAAACTACGATAATTAACGGCTAAGTAAAACTAACCATAAAAAAAATAACTAATCACTACGTGCCATCTGTCAAGAAATCACTGCTAATTATTCTGTAACGTAGGAATTAACTTTTTCATAATTCACCGGATCCATCATAAACTTCCAATAATTTATGTTCGAAAAAATAGATTTGGTTGATGACCTCAAAATTCCAATTTCCTCTTTGTTACCAAAGCTTCCCCTTCTTCGTGCAATCACATTCGCCCACCGGCTCCTCAAATCACTCACCCCACTCTCTCTCTCTCTCTCTCTCTGGCGTTTCTGGGTTCATAGCATCACACGAATCTAGTCCTACTTTGTTCCGGATTTCTAATTGACTCTTCTTCAGCTGGGTTTGAATCCTCCTCCGTTCCTTCCCACTATAAAAAGGCTTCCTTCTCTGCGCTGCGCTAATTCCCGGAGGAGAGAGAGATAGTCATAGTAGAGAATTTCTCACTCTCTCTCCAAGCTTAGTAGTGCTAGCTTCCGTCATTACCCTTTTTCTTCCTTTCCCACCCCTTCTTTTACTTTCAGCGACCGTCCTCTTCTTCGAGCATAAGGAAGAGATCCTATATTCGCAAATTTCAGCTGGGTCGAGCTTGGTTTCAGCTGGATTGACTTGGAGAGGAAGAGAGACGGAAAATGGGGATGGGTTCGCAAGATGCAATTGATCAGCTGAGAGTTTTGATGGATCAAGGTTTGTCCTTCTTCCTACTTTCCTCGTACAAGAATTTACTTTATGTTTCTTGTTGCCTAATTTATTCAGTTTGTCCTTTTGTAAGAAATTGACTGTTTTCCCCCATTTTCTGAAACTTGGGTCCAAATGCGACGACAGTTGACGAGCCATTGAAGCGGACTTACCAGGTAACTAAATATGGCTTTTACCTAACTTTTGTTCCTTCTGAAAGTTCTCGACTTTCTGATCTGCTACTTCAAATTTGCTGGTATTAGTGAATTGGGTTAAGTTGTCTTCCAAAGGGTCTATGCGATGGCGAAGCATTTTAACGAAGATTTGGAATCAAGGCATGGAATGTTGTGTTTTTAGAGATTATGTTTCGATGCTCTTGGTGAAGCAGTTACAAGCATTTTTTGCTTGTTGGGAAGCTCTGATCATGGAGAGATCAGCTCATAAGTTTAGTTTAGCTGGAGCTTTGACTTGGAATGGAGAGTGGATGATGGATCTGTTATTTACTACTAGTTCATTTTTGAAGTAGATTTCTGGAGTTCCTTGATTGTTGGAGAGGAAGGAATCAAGTTTTCTGTTTTGAACTATGGTTGGATGATAGTGCTGGTTGATTGTATAGAATGACAAGTGCTAGTATGGCTGTGAGGTTTGCCACTGTGGCGAGAACTGCGGTGGTAATGCTATGAAGTGATTCTAAATACGATCAGAGTTAGCACCTCAGTTGGAGTAACAATGGAATGTATTTGTCCACATGAGCTGTTAACATACCCTAAGAGGAAATGATTGACTTTCAGTTAAGATGATTGATTTGCTCTTCTGTTTGATTCTTTTGGCTTGGATGGACCTCAAAATGCTTTTGGTCCTTTATTGCAGAATGTCCATCAAGGATATGAAATTGAAACTCTAGCGCGGTTCCTAAGAGCTCGAGATTGGAATGTTGCCAAAGCTCATAAAATGGTGAATAGCTCGTTACCCTGCTTGAAAGTTCGATTCTTTTTTTAGATCTAATGAAAACTCATCTACGCTCAAAGTTTCCTGAACTAGTGGTGCTTGTCATTTTGTTACTCAGCTAGTTGACTGTCTGAACTGGAGAGTCCACAATGAGATCGACAACATATTAGCGGTAATTTTCTTTCCTGAGGGAATTTGTTTCAGTGTTTCATGTCCCCATGCATGCATTAGTGAAGTTTAGCATGGCGAAGAACAGTGTTTCAGCCTGCTCTGCTTTATGGCTTGGATATTGCTGCCACGCCAGTCTTTGGGATAGTGAATTCTTTTGGTGCCTTAGTTGGCTGTTATTACTTTCTGCAGAAACCTATTGTTCCAGCAGATCACTACAGAGGAGTGCGTGATTCGCAGCTTATAGGAATGTCTGGTTACTCGAGAGAGGTGGTTATTTTCCATTTAGTATTGTTGTTTCATAATTGTCTTTTGGTAACAGATCATCATCTATATCTTTGCTTAAAATATGTATTGGATCCACTTAACATTCCAAATTTTTGGTTCCTCTGCAGGGACTACCTGTATATGCTATTGGTGCGGGACTCAGCACATTTGACAAAGCATCTGTAAGTTTAAAATAAACTTGTGAGGAACTATTCTTCGAAAATTTTAAGCACACCTAGCTCTGCGAAACTTGGATTCAAAATTAAACAACTATGTACCGAACATCTGACTCTTCCAAATGCAGGTTCACTACTATGTTCAGTCACACATTCAGATGAATGAGTATCGGGATCATGTAATCTTGGTTAGTGCACACCTCTCTGTTATAAATGCATACCTGATTCCTGGCTTTCCTAGCTATCCAAAATTGATACATATTGTCTTTGTGTTTTTCAATAGCCAACTGCATCGAAGAAGCATGGTCGACCCATAACCACTTGTATAAAGGTCTTGGATATGACTGGCTTGAAGCTTTCTGCACTGAACCAAATAAAGGTAAATTCTTTCTGCTGAAATGGAAAATCACCTGCCATTTCCCGCAGCCTTCATTGACCATGTCCAGCTGCTTTTACTCTATTCCCTGATAGCTGTCATTGACAATAGTCAGCTATTTTTACTGCAGTTATTGACTGTCATTTCGACAGTGGATGACTTGAACTACCCTGAGAAGACAAACACCTATTATATCGTAAATGCCCCTTACATATTTTCAGCTTGTTGGAAGGTAGTTAAGCCATTTGTGCCGGATAATAGAAAAAAGAGAAGCACATGATGTCTTTTTCCTTATGAGTACTGACTGTCGAGGCTCTTTCCCAGGTCGTGAAACCTTTGCTGCAAGAAAGAACAAGGAAAAAAGTGCAGGTGTTGAATGGTAATGGGCGAGATGAACTCTTAAAGGTAAGCAGACCTGGATTATATTTATTGCCTCGATTACTCCTGCTCTATGGGTTCTCAATCCACTAACCCCGGAGAGGCAATCGATCAAAACCTGTAGATAATGGACATCTCCTCCCTTCCACATTTCTGCAAAAGGGAAGGCTCTGGATCATCTAAGAACAACTCGGAGAAAAGCTCCGAGAGCTGCTATTCGTTGGACCATCCGTTCCATCAACAGCTCTATAACTACATCAAAGAGCAAGCGGCGAATAATGCACCAACAGGACCGATAAAGCAAGGATCTTTCCATGTCCGTGTTCCCGAGCCAGAGGCCGAAGTGAAAACCATCGAGTCTGCGCTCCAGAAGTTCGAGAAGGGCATCCCGAGAGGACTCTCTGGGTGTCTGGATGACCTCAAAATCAACAACTCGGAGTAGACAGGGAAAGGGTACATCTAGGAAGAATGCTTATGTAGAAATGATTGTATAATTTGTCACGCTGGCAGTTTTTTAAATTACCATATCTAATTACTGCCATCTGATATAGTAGAAATGCTTCAGAGCATTTGTAAGCCTTTAGAATCAATCAGTAGCATTAATCAGTAAGCTCCTTTCTTATGATGCTTTTTACCATTGTAATGAACTCAAATGAGTTTTTCCAGCCTTGAGAAGAAGCAATTTGGTCAAAGCTGAAACGGATTTCTGGTCCTTGTACTATCTTATTTTGATGAATTCGTTTACATATTATAAATTCTAACAAATACGTCTTTGTACTATGTTATTTGTCGATTTCTCGACCTTTATCTAAATTTTTTGTCAATCAAATGGGAGTTTTATTTTGTTCCTGTTCCTACCAATACAGGTTTGAGAAATTTACATGAACACAGGTTTACACTACATTTACAGAGGAGAATGGCAATGTATATAAGAAAAACAACAAATTAAAAAACCTCTTCCTGAATCCTGATGGCTTCTTCTTCAACCTTTCCAGAAGCTTGGGAAGCAAGGTCAGTTGTAGTTCTTCTTGTTCTTCTTCCTTAAGCTCATGCAGAAGTCCGCTGTTCTCGCAACTTCTTCAGTTCAGCCTCCACAGCAAGTTTTGCAGCCCCGGCCTCCTCAGCAGACCGCAGAGCAATGTCCGTAGCTTCCTTAATCTCCTCAATTGCCTTCCGGTTCGCCTCCAGCTTCCTCGCCTGTTCTCCCGATTTCGCATTCAGAGATTCCAGCTGGCTCATTGTCTCTGCCACAGTTTTTTCTGCCATCGCAGAGCTCTCTGCCAGCTTCTTCTGCAGCGCCTGATACTCGGTCATCGAAATCCGCATCTTCTTGTTGCTGTTGTCGTTGGAGGAAATCTCGTCGTTGGTTTTCGACTCGGACATCTTTTTCATCTCGGTGTGAGCTCTCAATGCAGCAGCTTTCGCCACCTCAATCTCTGCAGTGCAGACCAGAAGCTTCTCCTCGGCTTGCTTCGCCATGGCTCTAGTGTAATCGGCTTGCTCCTTCTGCTCCCATGCGGTTCTCTGGAGCTCCTCGGCTTCTCTTCTCGCTGCTTCGGCTTCTGACATCAGCTTCTTCACGGCTAGCTTCTCCTCTGCTTCCAGCTCCTCCCTTTCTGCTTCTTTCTCCATCAGTCGAGCCTTCTCCGCCTTCACATTCTCGAGCTCCATTCTTATATCGTTCACTCTCACGCGCAGATTGCTCTCTTCCTCCGCAATCTCCTGCACATTCAAATGAAGATCAACCATGAACAAACCAAATCAAACCAACCAAATTAACACGGAAAAAATCGATTCGTACCTGCAACGTCCTCGTGGCCTGATTGAGCTCCGTAGTAATCCCCTTCACAGAATCCATCTCCGAAGCATGAGCCTTCTTCATCCTCCCCTGAAGATCCTCAATCTCGGCTGTCGTCTCTCGAAGCCTCTCATCAAGAACAAGAACAAGCTCCGGATCGAACTCCTTCTTCAACTGCTCAACATGCATCTCAACTTCCTCCTTGGCAGCTTTATAAGCTTCCACATGCCGACTCTTCTCCGCCAGACATTGCTGTTGCCTCTCCTGAGCTTCCACCGCGGCAACCTTCAAATGCTGCCCTGACTCCCGCATCGCCTGAATCTCCTTGGACAGCTCGGCGGCTCGCTCCGCGTTCATGTTGGCCGATCGCTGGGCCTCGGCAGCCTGCTGGAAAGCAGCCCATTTGGCCTCTAACGTGGCGTCGAAGTCTTGTCTGATCTTGTTCAGCTGCTGCTTGGCGGAATTGAGCTGTTCGGAAGTGACGGCGTATCTCTCTCTGGCTTCTAGAAGGTCCTGCATCCTCTGTGATTGCCCCATGTCCTTCTGCGATTTGGCGACCTCGAGGGTTTTGGCGCGCTGCTTGACGGCCTCCGCGGCTTCCAAGGTGGAGACTTTCGATTGGTTGATGGAGTTGAGCTTGGTGCGGAGGTCTTCGAGGGTTCGCTTGGCGCGATCGAGCTCGGCATTGGTTCGAGCTTTGGCGGTTTCGGCGGATTCGAGCTTGTGGCGGTACTTCTCGAATTCTCGTCGGCAGAGGAGGAGCTGGGTCTCCTTGTCGAGCACATTCTGCAAACAAATGCGAGATTGGGTTTGAATCATTGAACCGAATGGGGATTTTGGGAAATGGAGATAATTTCGGAGTTACCTCGGAAGAGGAAGAAGAAAGCCTGGAGTTGGTTTTTTTGAAGGAAGGTCTGGCTTTGACGGCGACCTCGCCGAAGAGGCTGACGGCGGCCTTGACGGATTGGAAAGGAGCCCTTGTGTCGATTTCGCCGATCTCTCCTCCTCCTTCCTTTTTCCCTTCAGGTTTCACTACCCGTATATTCACCATTTTCCCCTGTTTCTAGTTCTTCTTCTTCTTCTGTTACCTGCAAATACAAACGAAAACAAGGGTATGGAGATTCTAAATATGGATCGGACAAGAAGAAAAGGCTTCAGATTCAGGAATTCTGGGTTACCTGAGAGATCGCAGGATCAGAAACATTCAAGCGGAAATGGAAAAGCTTTGAAATTTGTAAAAATGGCAGAGCTACGCAATGACTGGTTCTTGATTCTCTCGTTTTCCCTTCTTTTCTTGTTTGATGTGAAGATCGGATGAGGAAGCGGAAAAGGAAAAGGAGTTCTGTTTGTTTGGTCTCTGAGAATCGGAACCAGAGGTGGAGAAAGTTGAGGTGAATATTGGCAGAGACAGAGAGAGAGAGAGAGAGAGAGAGAGAGAGAGAGAGAATGACAGAGACAGAGAGACAAAGAGAAAGCTGTGGAGGGAGGAGAGGAAGGGCGAGTTTTGCGCGGGAATTATCAACCGACTGCACCCGTTTCCTATCGAGTAAAGTGACACAAATGGCCTCCTCTAGGAGAGGGGCAATTGCAAGCTCAAGGTGTAAAGACTGATGCTCTCAAGGTGCAAAGATGTCGACTAAACTCGTCGTTGGATTGTGTAATCCGAGAGCATTAGTTCGTGATGACGCCTACTCCGATCAGCTTGATTGCAATTAATGAAGGGATGAAGGAACAAGCAACTTGAGAATATAAAACAGAGATGCCATTCTCACATTGTTCCGATGATCCATTGCATGTCAACAGTTCATAATATTGAACTTTGTCAGGAAAAACAAAACAGTAGCTCTAATGGAAACTTTAAAGATTCGAAACAACCCTGCTCCTCTATATATGATAGATCATAGATCATAGATCATAGAGAGGAACAATCTGCAGTGAAACCAGTCTTCTAGATATGGCCAAGGTTCTTTACTGAGTGGAGCAGAGCAGGCAACAGACCTTCGTGACTCGTGATCAGATGGTGAAATGAATAAAGCTGCCAGCTGATGAACACAGCTTAAGGAAGCCACATACATATGTCAGTTCATCAATGGAGGTTCTTGCTGTGTACACACATAAAGAACAGACTTGTAAGGTCCACTGCCTTGGTTCATTCCATGCCTAAGAAGCAGCATTGCTATCAACAGGAGGAACAGCGTTCCTTCTAACAGGGCGGCGAGTTGCTTTCTTTGCATAGGACGAGTTCCATTCACCACCGTCCTGTGCATAGTAGTCCATCGGGTAATCTCCTCCGAACTCATCATCGGCCTGACTAACTGCATTACCAGAACAACAAGAAGCTCCATCATCCCTTTTCCCACATCCCAAACCATTGCCGCACCCTGAATTTGTTACCAAAGTAGTCTTCTTCTCCCACCAGCCCTTGACATCCCCAAGTGCAATTTCTGCCTCGAAAGGTGTTAAAATCGGCTTACGGAATGCATCCCCCCAGTCAATAGATAGCCTAGGACATGCAATCTGGATCCAAGCATCGACACAATCCTCAAACAGTTCGATTCTAGTAGGACTAATCTCGGACATCAAGACAACCATGTAAGTAAATCCTCTGTCTCTCAACTTCTTCTCCAGCCTAGTTAAAATCCTAGGATTCCCTTGCCTCCCCAATGTCCCAAGAACAAGCCCGAAACTCCTAGCAGTTTTCGCCTTCTCGACCGCTTTCTTCCTATTCTCTTTCATTCCCACATGATCGTACTCTTCCAAAAACAGCTTGCCCAAGTAAGGATCGTACCTGAACGCCTTGATTGCAGGATTTGCGATCATGAAAGCTTCCAGATGAAACCTGCCGTCGGCCACAAACACCACAACGGCGTCTTTCAAATTACAGCTCCCCAAAGCAGTGGGAGTAACTTTCGGCGCCGTGCATCCCAAAACTTCGCCGGAGGAGAGCGGTTTAGCCTGAGGAACCAGAACCTGAAGCCCGTGGCTTTCTAACTCGGGCTTCGTTTCCCTTATTGCTCCCGCGAATTGAATCGTCCCGGCGAGGATGATGCCTTTGTCGGTGAAGTTGAGCTTGATTGTGTCGATCAAGCGGTTCACGTCGATTTTGATCTCGACGAAGACGTAGAGGCAAGGGATTTTGGTGTTGTCGATGGGGACCAAGCAGCTGTGGCCGTAGTGGATGAGCAAATCGGCGCCGAGGGACACGGCGGAGAAGTCGTCGACGCAGCAGGCGCCGTAGGTGACGTCGCCGAGGACGAAGCAATGGTCGACGTCGGAGAAGGCGGTGAAGATGTCGGCGAGGATTAGGGAGTACATGAGGAGTCCCTCGGGGAGCTGGAGAGCGAGGCGGCGGGGCTTGACGGAGCGGAGTCGCCAGACGCACTTGTGGATCTCGAAGTTGTAGTTGGATGGGAGCAGAGATATGGCGGCGTTGAGGGATGCGTCGTTGAGGATTGAGTCCGGTATCTGGTTCTTCACGAAGCGCTTAGGGATTGGTTTTGGCCGGTCGCCTGCGCCGGCAAGGGAAATCGCCTGAATCTCCATTGATTGTATTCGATCGCGCAAAGCCAATCAACTGAAGCAAATGTAATGAGGAGAAGGAGAATGGGTTTTGGCGGGTTAGGGTTTCGGCGCCCTTTTTAATTCTCCGGTGTGTTGGATAATATTCAATTTGATCCCTATACCATTTAGACAATACATATCAGTCTATGTACTTGGTTTGTTTTGACAAATACACCCTTATGCTATAATTTATCGCTGAAGAGTGAAGAGAGGTCAGTTCAGAATATGACGCAAATTGCGACGAATGTTCATCTTCTTCACTGCGCTCTCTTCTGCGCGCCATCAATAGCTTGCTTTCCCGACGAGCAAACCGTTCTCCGGCCCCGTTAAGCAATCAGCTGCTATCTCCGGAACCGGTTGCTGACCGCCTTCTGTTTATCCCTCGCTCTCCACTGATTTCTCAACGGCGGCGGCGGCGGCCTGAACTTTGCGGATACTTCTCATTTCGGGAGTGAGTGGGATAATGAGCAATTCCCAAGCCATTTTTCGGCAGAAGGGCCCTTTTTGTACTCCTTCGATTAACAAACCGCAAGTAAGCCATTTTCATTCCCAACCGTGGTAGAACGTAATCTGGGTTTGATTCTAGTCTTAAAGTCGTTGCCAAGTCTAGCAAAGTTTCCTTCTTTTTTTGTACCAAGTACAAACATCTGCATCTGCTGGCACTATTTTTCTGTCCTGTTAGTTTCGCTTTGGAGTTGTCATAATTTGGAGCTTAGTTGGTTGGAGAAAGTTACTTCCTTTTGGTGAAATTTAGGAAATCGCTGATGTAAGTTAACATGGCTGACTCATCAGTTCTTCTAATGATCTTGTCAATGTGCAATCCAATCACTTGATCCATGTCATATGATGTTGCCGAAGCTTCATAATGCAGTTCTGACATTTCCTTTGGTACCGGTGTAGGTTTGTTTTTTCAGAAGCAATTATCGACTGCTCTTAGTCAGAAAGGAGCACAATTTACAAATAAGGAGTTCTAAATTATCGGGAAGACTTCGAGTGCATTGTGTGATGAAGAAAGAAACTGACCTGAGTACTTCAGCATTGGTTGACGCAGCGACAGAGTCATTGCAGGGTCTGTTGGGTTCTTCAAGTTCATTCTACTGGAGTTTTGTATCAAATGTCCAAGTAGTGTCTCAATCGCCAATGTGATTCATATTTTGCAGAAGCTGATGTCAGGGAACCCAGTGTGTCTACCATCTTGATGAACTTTGAGAACAAGTTTGATCCTTACGATGCAATGAGTGTGCCCCTTTACCAGACAGCTACATTTAAGCAGGTAATTATCCTCGCATGGGTTCTAAGCCATGTCCCCTTGTTCTCTCTTCTCAACTATCCAAACGACTAGTTAGTTCCTTGCTTGGTTTCCCTCTTCTGATGTGTTGCTTTACAGCCATCAGCAACAGAAAATGGTCCTTATGACTACACTAGAAGTGGGAATCCTACTCGGGACGTTTTAGAAAGGTGTATTTCTTCAATCTTATACTGGTTATATGTAATTGCTTTTGTCTTTGTTTCATGGATTAAGATTAACTGTGTTTCATCATGGTTTATTAGCTTGATGGCAAAGCTAGATAAAGGGGATCGAGCACTTTGCTTTACGAGTGGAATGGCTGCCTTAGCTGCCGTCAGCCATCTTTTTGGAACTGGTTTGTCTTTAGTTGTAGAAGCCCTTAAGTTATATTTTAATCTATACTTACCAGAATCAGTTAGAAGTTATGGTGGAACTACTTTGAGTAAATGGTTTTGCATGCCTTGCCAGGGGATGAAATTGTGGCTGGGGATGACATTTATGGTGGATCTGATCGATTGTTGTCACAAGTGATTCCAAGAAGTGGAATTGTGGTGAAGTTAGTATGGAGTCTCTTTCCCTCTTTGTTGGTCGAGATAATAATTTCCAATCTGAATTACTTTACACCTGTTGTAATGTAGACGAGTGAATACGAGTAGCCTGGAAGAGGTTGCCTCTGCTATGGGGCCTCAGACAAAACTTGTGTGGCTGGAGAGCCCAACAAATCCACGCCAACAAATTTCTGATATCCGCGTAAGATAATTCCGACCTGTATTACTCACTAATTTTAAAGTGCATATAGTGTATTTTCTAGTCTGATCATGCGTAGTTAACCATTTTGGGATATCACCTGTATACCGAACGTCTTGTCGGCTTTATCTGCATTCCATAGTAATTTGGTAGAATGAGTTGACAAAAATTATCATTTTGTAACTATTTTACTTCTTTTTTGGTTGCTAGGGGAACCTATAGTTGTGATGTTTGGTTTATCATTGGGGATAATCTTTTTATAACTCACTGTGGTCTCTTCAGAAAATTGCGGAGATAGCTCATGCAAATGGTGCTCTTCTTTTGGTGGATAATAGCATTATGTCTCCTGTTTTGTCACGGCCATTAGAGCTTGGGGCAGATATTGTAATGCACTCAGCAACTAAGTTCATAGCTGGGCATAGTGATCTTATGGCGGGGGTACTTGTTGTCAAAGGAGAAAGGTGGGAGACTTCTAATTTCTCAACTTTGTTATCTGCCTGCACTTGGTAAATTAGTGATTCAAGTAACAGGGAAACATTTACCTGAAAAGATCAAGTTTAATGACTCCCTTGTAGGGCACCTTAGATTTATTATGTAGATTACTGAAGTACTTCAAGGGTCTGGTCTTGTCCCTTAGTCTGGAATGAAAATCATTGCCTAATATAGCTTATGTTTATGTGAATACATTTAGAACTATGTAACATCTGCTGTCTGTTATTCGGCTATTAATTGGATAGACTGAAATTCTGCCCCAACAAGGGTCTTCTCCCACAGAGATTGCTAACATGCTTCATACATACTGGCACATTTATGTCCGATATTAATGTTATTTTACTTACAGTACAATACATAATATAGCTCAGAAATTTTCTTCCTATGAGTTCCTTCCCTCAAATCTGTGATTCATCTGTCTTGCGGTTTCTCGTACTTTCAGATTGGGACGGAGTTTGTATTTCCTGCAAAATGCAGAGGGCTCAGGTCTTGCTCCGAATGATTGCTGGCTTTGTTTGCGAGGTATTAAGACAATGGTTTTGCGTGTTGAGAAACAACAGGTGCCAATTTTAAGTCCCAAAGCATCCTCTTCTTTCCTTTTACTTTAAGCTTGTTTTTTTTTGTTCAAATTGACTATCCACTGCCCTTGTTTGGTTGGAAAAACCAAGGCAACTTGTTTTGGTTTGTTCCAATCTTCGCTTTGAAAACCGCTGGTGTTAGGGATTCTAATCTCGCCGTGTCTATTATGTTTGATGTAAACCAGGAGAACGCACAGAAGATAGCTGAGTTTCTTGCTTCCCATCCACGAGTTAAAAGAGTTAACTATGCGGGGCTTCCTGATCATCCTGGTCGCGAGCTGCACTACTCACAGGTAGATGCAATTTCTTGTGGAGCTTCTACACCAAACTCCGACCTCTCAAAACTCTTTGTACAATACCAACGTGATTGTTTCAACGATTTCTTGCAGGCACAGGGTGCAGGATCAGTGCTCAGCTTCTTGACAGGATCACTCGCGCTCTCAAAGCATATCGTCGAAACCACCAAGTATTTCAGCATCACAGTCAGTTTCGGTATCTTTCTTGCCCTATTCTTATCTTTCTCATAGCTATCCAATAAGTCATTAGCTTGAATGTGACTCGGAGCCAACTTCTTACATCATCATTGTCTGTCGATAGCGAGAGAAGCTTCTCCTTATGATCTTACACTGTATTCTTATGTCCTTTGTAGGTAGCGTGAAGTCGCTCATAAGCATGCCGTGCTTCATGTCGCATGCAAGCATCCCTGCCGCAGTCAGGGAAGCCAGAGGCCTGACTGAGGATCTCATACGAATCTCTGTCGGGATCGAGGATGTGGATGATCTCATTGCTGATTTGGACTTCGCCCTGAAAACTGGACCCGCTGCATAGCCGGCTCCCTGAAGAAGTAACCACGAACTCTTCCTTGCCTCTTTGAGTTTCTAGTAGTAGTATGTTCGCCAATTGATGTGATCAAATTTTTGGTCAAGAGTGGAATTGTCTTCACATAATTGAAGCTTCTCCTCCTTTCAATTGGGATGACGAGTGTATGTTACTGACTTCAGAACTGGAAAAATTGAAATACTTTTGGTAAATCAATAAGAAGGTTGGCATTTCTTCATTGTACATTGATTGTGATGAAGAATATGGCTCTTGCCTAGTGGGTAATGATTTAGTCCGCAGTCAAACAATCAACCACTTGATTATGAGTTGTAAGGTCATCTGATCGACTAATCATATGATTACTAGCTCACGCGCTATGGTCTTGCTTATAGAAATGAAGCTCGTTTTATTGTCGGATTATGTATGATATTCTATAACATACGAACTCATAATACTCGAGATAAAATACAAACACATAATTAATACTTCATAAATCGCCAAAAAAAAATTGTATTTCTATGAAGGAATATACACAAAAGCAAAGCTCCACCAACAAGATGGTGGCAAACTTAAACAACATCGTTTATTTTACGTAAATCATTAAATAAAAAAAAAACACGTCACGCAATGTTATAACAAAAGTTTAACACCAAAACAATAAAATATTGACGATCAGGTCCATGACGATGACGGCGAGGAAGAATACTAGCCAGCAAGAGTTACTTCTTCCGTCACGGCTCCTCAGAAACACGCGTCCAGCACACAGCAGCAGCACAATGCTGCACAGCTACAAATTCCCACAACAACAAGAAGACAAAAAAAAAAAAAAAGTAAGTACTGCACTGGTCAAACAGCAAAAATGAGGGGATGAAATTGTAAAAAAGGAAAGGAGAGAACTAAATTAACTAAACTTACCAGCCCTTCCAGAAGCCATCGCCCCTGGACTTGGTCTCGACCGGAACGGCACCGTCGACGTGGGCGGCGGAGTCACGGGTCGGGTACCCGATCGGCGGCGGGGCTCCGACGGTGTACGACCCGCTTGATTGTGGTAGTTGAGGGTATGATGATGCTGTTATTTAATTAATGCAAGTTGGTTAGTTTATGCCAAACCACTCCATATAATAGCTCCATTCCATGAGTAACATGGGGTTTGGTTTAATAATGTAGAAGATAAAAGTCAACAAAACTATTAATCAAACCTACCACAAATTGGGCAAATTACTAGACTTGCATTTACATGATTAATGATAACTACATCCACTTAACCTTAGAATTGTGGTTGAACCAAATCAAATCATCAAAACTACAACATAGCTATCCTATCAAATTAGTGAACAAGGTTGCATTAAGGGAGTAACTTTACATCTTCCCTCCCGTTCTTCAATCGCTATAACTTTATATATCTCGCTAGAATCAGACTATTAATTCAGACAGATGAACATAACTCGATGCATCTTTAACAAATCCGACAACTGAAAAGGCACAAACCCAATGCTTACTTCGAATTTCAGAAAGAAGAATGACATGTGTCAGAATAGAAAGAGAGTGACACATATGATTTATAATTAATTTTTTCCCTAACAACTCGAGTCATTGAGATTAGTTGGTTTGTGATATGATATTAAAGTTGGTTTGGCTAAATGGTTTATGAATCTCCATGATCTCTAATATTAATCATTGATTAAAGAACAAATTACAGTCAGCATACGCACACTTCAAAACCTTGAAATTGATTTTTTTCGTTTGAGAGAACGTGTAAGAGCCACACTACTATTTATTAATCAACGCGAAAACCACGAGAATCGACCTAGTGAAAATTAACCATTGAGACATGTATCTAATATTTCCAGCCTAATTAATCCCGGACTTTATTTATATCTAGCTAGTTCATGATGCGAGGGGTTGACGGAGTTGGATCGCCGCCGGCAAGATATCCCACGGCCGAGGGCGATCCAGCAGCGTTTATTGAATTCACAGCCAGATAGAGACGGGGAGGCAAAGAGAAGTAACTCACCGGAGGTGGCTGAGTGGTGATCGTTCTGAGTCATCTTGGCGCCGGAGGAGTTGAATTATATCTGAACGGAGACAAAGAGAAACCGCCGGCCGGGAAATCTAGTTGAGCTGGGAAAATGGAGGAGGAGAGGCAAAGAAGAAGAAGGTAGGTTTCTGACGTTTGTGTTTGTGGGTTCGTTTATCAACTCTTTCCCTCTTGGTACGGGTATATATACACACGAAACGAATTCGGGTTTGGGTTTTGCTTTGCCCCGACCCGACCGACTCTCTCTGAGTGACTACGACTCTTCTTGACCCGAGGCGGCTGCGACGCGTGAGATTTTTTTTTCCCCGGATAAAGTTATGTTCCATAAGGAAAGGAAGCCATCCAAGAAACACCTTCAACAAATGGGAATACACTGAGTTGCTTAGATCATCACACGTTTTAGACGGTAAATATATTTTACAATCAATTTTCGGGGGTGGGTCGTGAGGTCGTATGAGGTAAGGTAATGGACTAATTTTTACGATTTATAAATGGGACTCTCGTATTATACAGTCCTATCAAAGTCATTTGGTCTGGAGAGGTCTCGTACTGACTTTCAATCTTTATGATTTACAATATTACGAGCCGATTAAGATTCATAAGTGGATCTCTCTTCCTACAATGTCATATGATCGAAAATAGTAAGTTTGTCAATAGCATATTTTCGACTAAACTCTCAGCCAGAAGGGTAATAGATAGACGACTAGTAGTTGATAATTATTAGTTAGACCAGCTTATGTCATTTTAACCATTCATGGTAAAAAAAAAGAAAGAATTATCAACGAGATTTTTAAGTCTACGACATAGGATCGGCAAGGAGGGTTGATGCGTTTACCTTTGTTATCGTATTATGGCTTTATCTTGAACAACATTGTTTCGGATCACTACGTTTTAGGGTTCGGATTCGATAATATTCGATTGTTTCTTGATAAATAAAAAGGAAAATGAAATTCTTATATGAAAATGAAGAGAGAATGAGATTAATTTATGTAAGTTTTAAAACCTTACAGAAAGCAAGGTTTTGCAAAGTTTAGCCGCCTGAAGAAACCCCCATGAGCCATGAGAATCTAACAGTTGGCGAGCCTCGTGGGACAAGAATATATTCGTCGGTCTTTATCGCTAGCAGGGAAGCATCCCGGTCTCTCGAGAGCCGCCAAATGAAAAAGTAAAATACACGGCCGGCCGGCGAGGAGAGACCCGTTCACAGTATTGTTTACGGTCCCGTCCCACGAACAAAGACGTTGCTCCAAGAAAGATGGGTATCGCCGGCAGGCAGCCGCGTGAACGTAGCTTGGAATTGGTCGTCAAGGACTCGAGGTTAATTAATCCTTGGTAATATCAAATCCAGATGCCGATTCATCTAATATCGATCGATAAATGATGTGATAGTAAATAAAATGTAACGGAATGAGATAACAGTAATGTTAGCTATGAGTTCTAAACCGAACTTTCCATTGAAAAGTTATTCAAATAAAATCGAATTTTAAGTTTAGAGTTTCAATCTAATGTTAGCCATGATTCACAATGTGATTTGCTCGCTTGATCATGACATAACCTAAAGAAAGCAGATTCAATCCATTGGCACGTCCATCAGTCTTTCTTTAATCTTGCTCGATCCTCCTTGACTTTGTCACATGCTTTTTTTTTAGTACGAAAACTACTTTCTCACTATATAACCGCACATAGTTTTTCATGTTTCACTTCTTAAAAGTAATATTTTCAATCTTAACCAAAGGCCAGGTAGCTAAGCACGAGCCTAACTTTCACATGTTAAAATGATCATTCAGTTGGCTTCTCTAACTCGCATCTTGACTGATTTACCCTAATTGATATAAGCGGATATGACGATTTGAAATTGAAATACCCATCCAATCAACACCACTAGTATTTCTATTTTACACCCAACGATACTTGATATCTCGAGAGCTTAATCTAGTGATAATTTAAGAGCAAATACTAGCTACAAAGAAACCATTAATTAGAAGAAACACATTGTATTGCACGTAATGTGAATATAGGTTAGCTAAGTTCCCCTCCATGTATTTTTCTTAAGGCAGCGTTTGGTTTGCTTACGAAGGAAGAAGCCCCCTGTTGGCCAGACCAAAGCAAAAGAAGTCGTTATCGCCAAACCTACCTCACAATTCAGGACACCGCGTGTTCTTCTCTTCCAACGCAACAAACACTTAAATTCCAAACCAATGGTTTCCTGACATAAAACGTAACGAATTTCGGATAGCTTACTCTATCTTCTTATCTACGTGGGCATTTTATCTATCGATGACAAACAAACAGAAACGACCCACAACTCCAACCTGATTGTCGATCACCTCCGTCCATACAACGATCTTCGGCTCTCTGCTACTACGACTAGTCGATCCTTCGAAGGGTGTTCACGTAAGTGTAGCTGGAGAACGACACAAAGAGCTTGCGAAACCTGTTTTACGGTTGACAGAGCGACGTGAGAGAGTGAGGGACAAGCAGTTTTGGTGGTAGTGGATGCATAAGAACTGGAAGAAGCGCATAACTGGCAATCAAGCAAACATACCAGACCCATTGGCTTGAATGTGCAGCCATTGCACCGTAGGTCTTCAGTGGTTGCTCATTCAACAAACAGTACGCCACCCTGCTGCCGGATTTCGTGGCGAGCAACATGGACAGCCAGATATCAACTGGTCCGATATACTTGCGCAATAAGTTGTTACTGACCTGACCATTGAACATTATGAACCAATTAACTGACATGACAGAATGATTTGGATGCTGAAAGCTTGCAGTTCAACGTAGGAAGCATTAAATGCTGGTAAGGATATATATGCCAAAGATCAGCCTACACGATATGCTAAAATATATGCTGCTAAAGATCAGTCTACATGTTACGCTAAAAGGATTTGAGGCGGGATGAAAGTTATTCAGTAGCAAATAAAATGAAGCGCAGATGATAAGAGTTAACATGATAAGAGAATTTAGAATGAACATGCCATGAAGAAAAAACATGAAGGACAAGAAAATCGTACAAGTTCCCAAGCCTCTATACGTCTTTCTGGGGTATCTTCCAACAGCTTGCTGCTTATACAACAAAAAAACAGCAAGAAAGAGTAGGTCATGACTTCAATCACCTATGCCTGAAGACCAGTAATTCTATGCACAAGAGACTAACTAGATACATATGGATATGGGTAGAGATACTAACTCCAATAAGAAACCAAGCATTCAGCAGACAACTACAAGAGCAGATAAGCAGAACAAACAGAAGGCAAACATCAATTGATTTGACCAAACTCCATGGTTGGTCTAGTGGTACTGGGATTGTAAAACATCCAATCCAGACTAATTGAAAATTTTAGGGCAACATCACCTTCTGGAAAAACATCATTGATTTGACAGAAAGCATTTCTATCAAGCTTAAGGAGCCAATCTTTCCTTTGGCTGAATACACAGGGTGCACAATTTGGTGGCAATGGGACAGAATACAAGGTGAAAGGTGGACTCCTTACACATAAACGAGAAGGTTTAACAACTTTGAATATCCTTTAGTCCTCGGCAATGACAGACCAACAAGATAATCTAATGTTGAAAATGACATATTAATGTGGAGTTTGGATGGACATCTATGATCAAAGTGGTAAATTTTGGAAAAGAAAATGATTTGGAACAAGCTAACAGGGCTGAGGAGCTCCTAGCTCAGACGTCCTCAATCTTCAAACGAGAATGCAACTATTACTATATGACATATATATTTCGCGTACACCTTGCGCAAACTTAGCCGATGAAAGAACTTACCGTACACCATAATGCACGTCGCGGTGATTACAGTGGCCAGATACCCCATAGTTGTCAAAGGTAAGGACCTATACACAGCCCCATAAAAGAAGAGGATTAATAAGACAAGAAAAATATGTAGCTTAAAACACCAAACACACACACACACAAAAAAAAAAAAAAAAACAGACCCTGGCCAGCTGATGGACCAATTTTGGGCCAAACAAGCTGATAAGTTGGCTAACAAGTACACAGGACCTTACCGTGTCAATATGGCGACTAACCACCTCCTCCTTTATGGTTTTTGACAATAAGCCACGGTCCCAGACCAGTCCAAAACCATCCTACGTTGTGAGGGCGTGACACATTAGATTAGATTCACAACAAATAAAATATTGACCATGAGTCAGTGACCAGCTTTTCCAGGACAAAGGAGGCAAAACCTGCAAATCTGGATGGTCCAATATCTTCACTTGCTGAGGTTGTACCTGAATGTGCAAATTCACAGGCAGTCTAACCATTACACCGTGCTTGGAAGTTTCTTCCAAAAGAGAAAAACTAAATGTTCAAACAAAGACACTTCTTTATTCTGCCTTCTGAAAACAACTATTTACTCTATCCATTGAGATTGAATACAAGAACCAAATAAAGCACTAAGCAGCAATCAGTCAATTGCACAATGAAGTTGCTGAACCACACTTATTCTTGTGTGTCGTAGCATAATACTGTCAAGGATTTTATTGATCAATAAAATTTGAATCCCATGTTAGAGACAGTAGGTATAACTTACAATGCCTCATAGGTAATTACCTTGAGGACTAAACAAGCTTGGTAAAGTTCATCCTTTCTAGTGCTCCCCATCCCATCTGCATTGCCTGTTGGTGCGTGCAACCAAAAGATTCATAACGCATATATGGAAGATAAAGATATGATGGGATATATGCTACCTAATTGATCCCCTTCATAAAATATCACAAGACAGGGTTGATTAAACTAAGAACAGGCAGGATGTGGCTTTCATCATAGAAGCACCTAACAGAAGGGGCATATAAAAAGTTCCCAGCCCCCCTAGCTGCGAGCATAATTAGAGCTCTAGGGTGTACATCAATGTACACTTTCAATACTGTTGCGGTTACTACCATCGTATGTTTCTTAGCTCACAAGTATTATCACAAAATAATGAATTGAAAGAAACACATCACCTATTGACAAGCACAACAAGTGAACATTGTGACCCCTTGAAATCAGATAGTTTATCGTCGGAGAAAAGAACCTGAGATATTGAGACACGAAGTTAATACAACATGGGAAAGCAAGCTAAGTATGGGTCAAATGTCTGCATGAACATTTACCAATGACATGAAAGCAGCCATGAATGACTATTAAGAGTAAATTGATGCCAGTTAAGTAATGTTTGAAAACAACTACATTGTCAAAGGATTTTCAGTATATGCCTGAGAGCTTACATGGACTCATCATCAGGGTGAGCAACAACAAGCAGAACATTTCGCCTGTGAGGTGCACCACCCGATACTGTAAACAGCTAAAAGAAGAGTGCATCAATTAACTGCATATGTTCACAAAGAAGCTTTACAAGAATGCTAGAGGAAGTACCTTCACTCAGAAAAGTGTTCTTCGAGTACAAACTTGCAGTGAGGAGAATCTTGCACAATGAAGCTATCCACGCTACAATTAGTGAAACAACAATCACCAGAAACGCCATTTGCAACACCTGCACAAATAAAAGCAGTTTTTCCTTTTCTCGCTTTAACACCCTCCACTATAAAGAGTGGGCCCAAGCAAGAGAAGGGAGCAGGAACAAGAAGAATTTTCAGGATTACACAAGCAAAACTAATCCAATTTATTCTGCATTTCCAATACACCAAACGTGTAGCCAACATGGAAGAATTATCTACAGTTCAAATAATATTTCACAAGAGAGAGATCATCAATGGTGGAACCATCACATTTAGATAAGTCCAATCAATTAGAAGCAATACTGGACATGATTAGGCATCTCCACAAGCAACACAAAAAGAAAAATTGATAAAATCTGTAACTGAGAGAGTGCTATGGAGAATGACTTGCAGCACTAAATCAAAATCAACTAACACTAGACGAGATTCTTAGAATTCAAAAAATTTCCATATCATGTCAATTGAAAGCAGCAACACATTTGTAGCTAGGAAGCAAGTCGACACGCTGTTATGGAAACTTAAATTCTTTGCCAAAGCACCAACCAATGAGATTTAGATATGAGACATTTCCACAACCAGAGTTTTAAATTAGCAGGCTCATGATCTTCACTTTCAAACTCAAGAAGCCAACAAATCTTTAACCTCATCCTGCTGCAATAAGTAGTGCCTCACAATGGAGAAGTAACCAAATTCAAACTATAGAAGCGAGACATGAGATATACCCAAATGTTTTTTGCTGTTATTTATTCAGAACTGCATCACTCTAAACATTAGTGATTAGACAATAGACTCCCATAACCAGCTTACTGCCAGAAATAGTTTAATCTCAGTCTCAGTAATAACTAAAACAAGAGAAAACGTTCCTTCCCTTCCATTTTCATACTCACCCACAAACTTGAGAATGTAAAATTAAACAAGAAACGACCCGCTAAGCAAGACCCTACGAGATTACAGCAAAACCCATAAGTTTGCCAAACTCCTTTAAGCATCTTGCTTTTTCTTCAGGTCTTCAAACTTGTCTATAGCCACCTGAAGTTCATCCGTTCCTCCAACAGCTCTCATGGTGTAGAAATACACCCCAAACACAAACGCCGACAACCCGCCAGCAACTACCACATTCTTGGTCTTGGGAGCAAGGCTTCCGAATCCTAAGAGTCCAGCCATCTTTGCAAAGGGATGTCACTGTTGATATATATTTCGTGTTATTACACGCCGGCCCAAAATTTGCAAACCAGCCAACAAAACCAATCAATTATCCACTGCCGATGCTCATGACAACTAAGGGCGCAGGAAGTATCAAGGTAAATTTCGCAAAACATTGAAACCCAACAATTATTTCAGCGAACACAGAATTTGCGCACATTTAAGCAGATATTGTTTAGTTGGCAGAAGAAGAATAGGCCGGCGATACAATTCAGTTCGCGAAGAATTTAGCCAACAGAGTGTTTAGATTCAGTATTCTATTCATTCAAGAGGAAATAGGCAAGTACAAAACAGGGGAGAGAAAAAGCACCTTGACCAAGAGGAAAACAGGCCAGATCGCACGAAATGGCCGATGAGCAAGAGCCGGTGAAGGATGGAAAAACACGACCAACGGCGACTTAAGTGGACAGACTACAGAGAGGAATCGAATGGAGATTGGGAGAGCAAAGGTAAAGAGTGGGAAATAAAATTATACCCGCCTCGTGTCGTGCCCGCCAATTAATACGACGCCGTTTATCCGATGCGTAGCCCTAAATCCTAATTCCCAAACACACACGATGCTTCCCCACTATCCGCCGTCGAAATTTCCTCCCTTTCTCGACGTTACTGGATCAGCGTGGTTGCTGTCACCGGCGATCGGCGAGCAAGCTGTCTGGCCTCATCATCACCGGACCAGCACGGAAAAGAATTGGTCTTTACAAAGTAATTGCAGTCGGAATAGCCTACTCTGAAGACTGAAGTTCACGGCTTAGTTCTTACCCAAGGAACAAATGGTAGGATGTACAACGATGGGGAAAAGAAATGGTCTTTACAATGTAATTGCAGCTCGATTCTACTCCAGAATCGCTCCTCCACCACCCGCATACGCCCAACCAGTCATAAGAGTCACCAACAATGTAGCTCATCTGGGTTCCCCAAAAGAGGGTCCGAAGCCCCGGCAGCTTCTTTTCTTGCCTCCATTTCCCGGTCTGCCTCTCCCCGGGAAGAACTTGCTTGGTGATCCTGGGCGTCTCACTGCCATCAGCTGGGTCAAGTATTACTTCAATGACATGTCTGGTGAAAATATCGAATCCCATTTCAAGAAGGGCCTTGTAAGTTGTTCAAAACTTTCTCCACCTTCGTATCTCAATTTTGCTGGAGCTCTAATGGGGATAATCCCGTTTGCGTTTTCCCATCAATTTCACTGCTAATGTTTGTTTGTGGTTGCTTTTGCCTAGCAGCTTGCTTTAACACTCTCTTATACTTGTGGGTTATGGATGTATTGTGTCAGGTTTACGTGGAATGCCAAAGTTCCAGTGACTCGTTTGAAATTAAAGGATTGGGGAAGTTGGTGAGAAAGGTATGGTTGCACAAAGAGCTCTTTTGAATTGTTTGGGAAATAGTAGCTGATCAATTGCCTGTAGCAAGATTGTGTGATGAAGCTAGTGCTCATCTCTAGCTTCCCTAACACCCTCCCTGTTTGTTTTGGGGGTGTTTACTCTGTGGCGGTTTAATATTCTACGCGACAGTGTGTCTGCAGATTAAGCCGCATGATGCAATGGAAGAGGGAGCTAGAATTCATGTTCCAGTATCGATTGCCGAGTCTAGGATCTCGAAGAGATTTGACACCATCCCAAGTGGTACTTTGTATCCAAATGCAGATGAGATCGACTACTTGCAAAGGCTTGTGAAGTACAAGGTTCATGATTTTTCTTCTCTTGTTGTTTACGGGTTTCACTGTGATAAATCATTTTCTACACTATATGACCTCTTGCATACTTTTACTTTCTGATAGTTGTTTGTTCCAATTGTAGGATGCAGCTCTGATTGTTCTAAATAAGCCCCCAAAGTTGCCAGTCCAGGTAATATTTTTCCTCCTGTTCAACGTTGTCTTTACTGTTGAATCAACACTTAAGACAATTTCTTTTGGTTTGTTGCTTTCAGGGCAATATGCCTGTTCATAATAGTATGGATGCATTGGCTGCTGCTGCTTTGTCTTACGATTATGACGAGGGACCCAAGCTGGTGAGCTTCATCATGTTATTTTCGATGGGTGCTTCTTTATGTCACTATTAAGAGTCTGAGTTCATTCCAGTGTAATGGGTTAACAATGTCCGGTCTGTTCACTTCGTTTGATTAGCTCATTTTCCCTGGCCATGTCAGATATTGACGATTGTATGCAATCTCTTGTCAGGTTCACCGGCTAGATAGGGAAAGCAGCGGGCTCATCTTACTGGGACGGACAGAAGAAAGTGTATCTCATCTTCAGTGGCTATTCAGCAACCTCAATAAAGCAAAATCTCGATGTAAGGTACTTTCATCGCTTATCATCTCATTTGACTTAAAACACAGTTAAGGTAGATGGAAATGATAGGAGGGAAACCATTGTCCAATGCTTTGTTTCTTTACCTATGTAATCATTCTGATTTTCTAGGACTGGAATGATGCCTGTGAAGCTACATACCAACGATACTGGGCCTTAGTTATAGGCTCCCCGAAGGAAAAGGAAGGCTTGATTCGTGCTCCTCTTTCAAAGGTTTCCTCGCTTACTTTGGATCTTGGAAATGATGATTTCTCTGATATGAAACTCCCAAATTGACCTCGAGCTGTTAATATTTCCAGGTCCTTCTTGATGATGGCAAGACAGAGCGAATCATCTTGTCTGGGGGGTCTGTTTTCGAACCTTCGCAAGAGGCTCTCACAGAATATCGAGCCTTAGGTCCTATGATCAACGGATGCTCGTGGCTCGAACTTCGCCCATTAACTAGCTGGAAGCATCAGGTACATATCTACCAGCTGGGGTGCCCGGGGTCACTTTATTCATCTGAGTTTTAACATCGTTTCTTCCCCGGTCTTGCTACAGCTTCGTGTCCACTGTGCTGAAGCGCTGGGTACTCCAATCGTGGGGGACTACAAATACGGCTGGTTCGTGCACAAGAGATGGAGGCAAATGCCTCGAGTTGACATCGAGCCGACCTCAGGGAAGCCATACAAATTGCGCAGGCCAGACGGTATAGATGTTCAGAAAGGAAGTGTGATGTCGAAAGTCCCATTGCTGCATCTCCATTGCCGGGAGCTCGTCCTTCCCAACATTGCCAAGTTTATGAATGTCCTGAATCAGAGATCGGGATCCCATCACCGGCCTACTACGATGAGTGAACCATCCGATCTTCTCCTCCGGTTTGTGGGCGCAATGCCAAACCATATGAAAATTAGCTGGAACCTCATGTCATCTTATTTGGTGTGAAAGACAATTCGCAATAGTATTTGGTTCTTTGACTACTCTATTATGAACACGATCAACAAACCGAATCCTAAATGAGCATCAAAACTGGTCGGTTCGTGCATTCATTACATCAAACCTGCCTTTAAAACACGCACTTGTCAAGTTGTAGCAGTGCCGTTACCATCAGTTTGTCTTCCCCGTCGCAATCCTTTTCCTTTCTTCTCCAACGCAACACCTACCTCACCGAACGGTTTATCTAATCTACCTATCTATCTGGATTCTGGTCCGCTGCCGCTGTTATTCCCCTCCATTTCTCTATTTTATCATTTTCTCCCAAAAGCTTCGTATTCCCTTCTTGTAGATATTTTGACTTTTTTGTTATTATAAAATTTCCATTTCTCCAGTCGCCTCCTTCCTTCTTCTTCTCCTCCGCTTCCCTGAATCTCTCCTCCCCGATTCCCTCCCAGTCTGCTGCTGCTCTGAATCGATCAGCTTCTAAGCTCCAGCTACAGCTCTTTCTACCGTCTGGTCATTTGCTTCAATCCTTTTCCTTTACGGTAATGTAGATTTTTTTTTTGGAGAATTTCAATTTGGACGGATGTTGTTCCGCTGTTTTGAGCTGTCCTTTACTGAATTTTCCTTCGGTTTATTACATCGTCATTCCGTTGGAATTTTGTTGAACCTTCTATGAAGTAATCCTGCTCCGACTAAGTCATGGATGTGTCTTTTTTTAGCTTTGAAGAGTTCATGGTTGATTGTTGACTGTTACGTTGCAGGTTTTAGTTGAGCAGTATCGTTGGAGCTTTTCTGTTGCTACGGCGATTCTCCCTGCTTTTGCTCGCCTGTTGTGGTGGCCGAAAGGAGGTGATTTGATTTCGTTAGTTTGTTGTTAGATCAATTATCTCGGATTCAGGTTTCATAGCTGCTGAATTTCCTTAGCGTGGAGAGCTTTGGTTCGGTTGATCTGTTTGTCCAGTCCAGTCGAGAAAGTCAATGTCTTTGTTGATCATGCTGGGAATTGATCTCATTTACTCGGTTAAGGCATAAATTGGATCATAATCTTTAAGTTTTTGGTATCATAGAGCACAAAATCTGTTGGTCTTATTGAGAGTGGAAAATGTGGGGGAGTTTGGCTAGTAGTAGTTGCTAATCTATGTATTTTGGAAATCTTTTGTAGGTTGCTTTTATGGTAGTTGTTTGTTGGTGGTAGTGGAGCATGACTGAAAGCTATAGCAATGCAAGTGCAAGCTCGACTTCAAGTTATAATAGCAGCGTCCCGGATACAGAGGATGATCAGGTTATAGCGAGCCTCTTAGCTGAAGAAGAAAATGCTAATGCTGGCAGACAGCTTGGAAAGAGGCTTTCTCATTTGGATTCTATACCTGTACGTTCGACCCTCGCTCTCTTTTTCTTCATTTCGGTGAATACTTGATTCGAGATTGTATATGAGACTGCAAAGTCAGGTGTTAGTGTCCCTTTTGATTCTTTAGTTGATTGAAAAGCAAGGATGATTATGGAGGAACTCATTTAGTTGAGCTTTCAAAGGGTATTGCTACCTGTTTGTTGTACACCATTGCCTGATTGGTGGTCCGGGATTAAAATCGCGGTGGTTAATTGGTTATTATTTTGGCATTTTCTGTACTGCTGAAAAGATGTCGCAGATAACCGCTTTTATGTTTTTTATCAAATTTCTATTTTTATTACTTCCTTTTGGACTTGTATGTAACTTGCAATGGCCAATTGCAGCACACTCCTCGGGTTAATGGTCAGATTCCAGACGTGAATGATGCAAGCTTAGATCATGTTCGGCTGTCTGGAAGGTGTTTGATTCATCATCCATACTATAAAGTTATTTGCTTGGCCAATTTGCTGGAATACTGTACTCGATGAATTTTGCCCACGGTCAAGCGTAGTCATTCAGCATGTGTCCCTTCTTCCTTTCGCTGAAGTTGACCTCTTACAGGAATTTTACAAACTAATGTAGCACATATTTTTGCATTAATTTCTTTGGAATTCTACATTAGTTGCATTTGCAATTATGTTATGAGAGGGCCATGTTGAATCATGCGTTATCGGAGTCTCAGATTACTAACTTTTCATAGATGTTGATGCTATTGCTTATTTGTCTTTTTAATTTTTATCATTTGATCCAGGTTGAATACATATGGTTTGGCAGAACTGCAGATGGAGGGTGATGGGAATTGTCAGGTGTGCTATAGTTTTAAATTCTTATGTTCATCGAGTAAATTTTATGATGACACCTCCATCTGTGAACTACCGGACAAAACATTTATTCAAATATGGATTGGAAAGGTCTGGTTAACTACTGGATTCACTTTCATACAGTTTCGGGCATTAGCAGACCAGCTATTTCGCAGTCCGGATTATCATAAGCATGTTAGGAAGCAAGTTGTTAAGCAGGTAAGACTGTTGATTCTCTACTGGTAGATATTATTTATTCATGCATGTGAGTTCCCTTTATTCATGGAACAGTCTCCCAAGTCTTATACTTATGAACTGTTTGTACTCCGTTTGTTTTGTTTTCCAGCTAAAGCACTTCAAGAAAATGTATGAAAGCCATGTCCCGATGAGGTACAGAAGCTATGTAAACAAGATGAAAAAGTAAGACCTTTAGCGTGGGACAATTTTTTGTATGTTTGTGCCAGAAGACAGTTTTTACAACTGAGCAAATGTCGATTCACTTCAAATTTTAATGTTCTTGCTAGATCAGGGGAGTGGGGTGATCACGTTACTCTACAAGCTGCTGCAGATAGAGTAAGTTGACCTCATGCATTCTGAATTTTCGTATCTATGCTCCATAATTGGCTCAGCTGGAACAGACTTGTACCTGGATTCAGTTTAATCAATACAGCACGTTCCATGTTTTGACCTTGAACATTGCGACTCTGAAAGCTCAAGTATACGTGGTTGTTGAGAAATTGTCTAGTAAATTACACGAAGAGGAGAAACTAATTTGGCCCCTTTGAGTATTTTGGACTGTCAAACTGGCTTTTCTTGATTGTTTAGTCTCTTTACTTAGTGTCCCTGTGCTTCTAGTGCATCGGAAGTCAAAGATCCATAATGCATATGGTCAACTTGTAGGAAACATTATGGTAATAGTCAGCGTGTCAGAATCCATAGTAGAAGTCCGAACCCCGACCACTGTGTCTTGATATTATGAGCAAGGTTCTTGCTAATTTCATGCTGTTTCTAATGTTTCCCATTTACACTCCATTCTTCCGTGCTATGTTTCTGATCTCTTTCGCTGCACTTTTCAGTTTGAAGCCAAGATCTGCTTAGTTACATCTTTCCGTGACACTTGCTATATCGAGATCAGGCCCAAAGACAAGCCTCCTGGCAGAGGTTTGTGTCACTAGTGTTACAGCGCCCTTCTTTTGTCCGGTTTCGAGATGTGCTGCTTTTGAGCCGTGTCAAACTTACACCCCCTTTTTGTGGTTCCAGAGATCTGGCTAAGCTTTTGGAGTGAAGTCCACTACAACTCACTGTACGCGATCGGTGGTAATCAATGCGTTTCCAAACAATGAAACAATATCCTGATAGATCATAGTTTCATTTAGCATGTGTTTTCGAGCTTTCAGAACCTATGTCGTTCTGTGGTATTCATTTTTCGAACCATGTCTTCCTGCAGATGTCCCCAGCAGAGCACCAAGGAAAAGGCATTGGCTCTTCTGATATGTTTTTCCTTCCTGAAACTATACTTTCCTGTCGTCCATGCTTCATTTCATCGTCTACCCTCTGCACTTTTTGCAACCTCAGCAATCGGATTGTAAGTTAACCGCCGAAAACACAAGACATGCAGCCGTGCCCTCCTTTTGGTTCTTTCCCCTATACAAACACATTCCACTGTACTTTTCATGGCCGGAGAAATCGACTGTACCAAAATTTGTTGCACAGTAATAACTTATATGAATATCTGTACCCAGAAACAGATAGTGATCAATTTGTTTCGTTCGAATTTTATCTATACAAACACATTCCACTGTTTCCCGCTTCTACTGGCCGCCGGCGGCTACAATTTCTCTATCGTTCCAATTTTATCTGATGGCCGGCGGCTGCAATTTGCAATTCCACTCTTATCGCGCGAAAGAAAAAGAACCGGGAAACATGAAACAGGTGATTAGCTGAAAGGGCCGAAGCCTACCTATCTGGCCCGGCCCATATTGGCCCACAAACTTTGCATGACTAGCCTATATATAATTTGGGCCCAGATAGATCCGGTGATTCCGAAATCAGTTCACTACGGAACTGAACGCACTCCGATGACCTATGAACAACACAGGTCGACTTCTCAAACATAGCCACGTGTATCAATTATCCGCCTGTCAGATCCCCATTGGTTGTTTTTTCGTCCCCACCACTTAAAAAGCGCGCCACGTCGGCCTTTATATACAAAAATAAAACTAAATAAATAAAATGAAGACGTTCCTTCGGGGAAAAATAACGGCTTTCAACTTTCTCTTTCTTTTTCCTCTCCATTTGCGCCTTTCGTGCTCAGTTTTCTCAGCAGCCAAGCAGAGAAATTTCACCTCCCATCTCCTTCTCTTCCGGGGAGAATGCGCGATTCGCGAACCTGATTCTGGTTATATTCCATTCTCCTCTTTATACTTGCGATTAACTGAGTAGGTTTTTAGGTTGGAGTTTGGTATTTGACGCTCAATTACTGATCTGTTAATGGCGGACTTGCATTGCAGGGAAGGAGAGAAGAGGACTGAAGAGAGACTGTAGTGTCGGATTAAGATTCAAGCTCACAATGAGGTCGACGGCTATAATCAAATTGGGGCTGCTTCTATGTTTTGTCTCCGCCAATTTTGTAATCCCTTCACAATCCGCCGTCTCGAGCGTAGATCTAGGTTCAGAATGGATGAAAGTAGCGGTAGTGAACTTGAAACCAGGTCAGAGTCCGATAGCCGTCGCCATCAACGAGATGTCCAAGAGGAAATCGCCGGCCTTAGTGTCGTTCAACTCGGGTACTCGTCTACTCGCTGAGGAAGCCGCCGGAATCACCGCTCGTTACCCTAACAAAGTGTTCTCGCAGCTGCGGGACATGATCGGAAAATCTTACAAAGATGTGAAGGGCGTTTTGGACTCAATGTACCTGCCATTCGATGCAGTGGAGGATTCCAGGGGCGCGGTTGCGTTCAAGGTGGACGACGGTCAAGTTTACTCCGTTGAGGAATTGTTGGCCATGATTTTGGGCTACGCGTCGAATTTGGCAGAGGTCCATGCTAAGTTGCCTGTTAAAGATGCCGTCATTAGTGTGCCGCCGTATTTTGGGCAGGCGGAGAGGAGAGGGCTGATTCAGGCAGCTCAGTTGGCTGGGATGAACGTTCTCACTCTGATAAATGAACACTCTGGTGCGGCATTGCAGTATGGGATTGATAAGGATTTCTCGAATGGGTCGAGATATGTGATATTCTACGATATGGGTTCAAGTAGTACCTATGCAGCACTTGTGTATTATTCGGCGTACAATGCCAAGGAGTTTGGGAAGACTGTGTCCATTAACCAGTTTCAGGTGAATTTTTGCACTTTGTCATCACCTATGGTTTGGAATTTTCTGGTTCACAGTTCGAAGGGAGCACTGCTAATGCTTTGAGTGATTGTCCAGGTTAAGGATGTTAGATGGGATTCAGAGCTTGGAGGTCAGAACATGGAAATGCGGTTGGTGGAGTTTTTCGCTGATGAATTCAATAAGCAGGTTGGAAATGGAGTTGATGTGCGCAAGTCTCCCAAGGCAATGGCTAAACTGAAGAAGCAGGTTAAGCGGACAAAGGAAATTTTGAGTGCAAATACAGCAGCTCCGATATCGGTTGAGTCTCTCTACGACGATCGCGATTTCAGGTAGGTTCAAGAAACAATCTTTAGTTGGTCTCATTCACTTTCAATGGCATGGTTAAGTTGTCAAGTTCTGTAGCGTTGGAGTGGATCCCTATTAGCCTAGTGTCTCCTTGTGGAATCGGATGTGATCATATTCAACGTGCGGTTCTATATGCATTATCTATTTTCACTTATATAATTTCCCTATCTTTATAGGAGCTCCATTACACGGGAGAAGTTTGAAGAGTTATGCGGTGATTTATGGGATAAATCCCTAGTCCCCATCAAAGAAGTAATAAAGCATTCAGGTTTGAAGGTGGATGAGATATCCGCCGTGGAACTTATTGGAGGTGCTACAAGAGTGCCAAAGTTACAGGTTAGTAAGTGGTAGCAATTCGTTTGCGTAGCCCCAGATAGATGATAAGGCTTCATATCTCATCTGTGGAGTAACTTTTTAAGAGTATTTGAATTCAAAACTAGCTACAATAGTTATATAATGTCTTTAATCGTGAATAAGCTTAGCATTTTAACTTCATTGTTACAATCCTGGCGAAGCACTGGGCCTAGAATGTCTGGTGTTTTCAGCATAAGATTTTAGTCCACCATAATCAGCTTGTTCTCTGAGGCTTCTCCCCTCAACTTTTAGTTGTCAGCACGCTAAAAGAATGTCTTTTCTCACTTTATTAAAAAAAACTAAAGTATGCCAAATTTCTTCACTACCTGAGACCCCTTTCTGATATTTTGTCCTGTAGAACCACCAGTGTAATCTATTGTATAAGATCTTTCTATAGTTCTAGGATAAACTTGCCTGAGATCCGAGTATCACCATACTGTTGAAATCGAATATGACAGGTTTTTCTTTTCCTTTCGTCTTAACAGGCTAAGATTCAGGAACTTCTTGGAAGAAATGAGCTGGACAAGCATCTGGATGCAGATGAAGCTATAGTTCTTGGAGCAGCATTGCATGCTGCAAATCTAAGCGATGGTATCAAATTGAATCGTAAACTAGGAATGATTGATGGTTCTTCATATGGATTGGCTGTTGTACTGGATGGCCCAGATTTCAAAGATAGGCAGTCACTGGTGCCTAGGATGAAAAAGGTTCCCAGTAAGGTAAAAGTTGTTTTACAAAGGAATTTTATGAAGCAGTAGCATACCATCAATCTAGGTTCTTGGACTTACTATTTTTCTCTGTACTGGTTTCTTTACAGACGTTCAGATCCATTGTCCTTAACAAAGATTTTGAAGTTTCACTTGAATACGAGTCTAATGAACTCTTACCACCCAGCATCAGTTCTCCAGTGTTTGCACAATATTCCGTGTCTGGTCTCACGGAGGCGAGTGAGAAGTAAGGAATCTGGCTCGCTTTAATATTTCGGAGCTAACTTTCCTGCTTTGGAGCATTAACTAATCGATGTGTCTTGTTGTGTGTCTAGGTATTCATCACGAAATCTTTCCTCCCCAATAAAGGCAAATCTGCATTTTTCACTCAGCAGGAGTGGGGTTCTCTCTTTGGACCGAGCAGACGCTCTTGTGGAGATATCAGAATGGGTGGAAGTCCCAATAAAAAAGAACCTCACTGCTGAAACTATCACAAACTCTTCAAGCAGTACTCCAGAGACTCGTACTGATAAGGGGGCTGCTGAGAATACCACAACGAGTTCTGCTACTGAGAATTCTTCACAAGGAAGTAATGAAACAGCAGGCAGTGAATCTAACCCAGATGTCAAAGAACCAATCACCACCGAAGTGGCTACTGAGAAGAAGCTCAAAAAACGAACATTCAGGGTTCCACTGAAGGTGCAAGCAGGCTTATTGGCCCTTGTTAGCCTTTTGTTTGCAACACTTTGTTTTTTTGCTGATCATTTTGTTGGTTACCATGTGTAGATCACTGAGAAGACAGCAGGTCCAGGAAAGCCTCTTTCAGAAGAATCTCTGGCTGAAGCTAAAAGAAAGCTGGAAGAATTGAACAAGAAAGATGCAGAGCGGCGAAGAACTGCAGAATCGAAAAATAACTTGGAAGGATATATTTACTCAACAAAAGAAAAGGTAATGTTCTTTGGCTTTTCTTCTGACCATTGCCTAATAGATAGTAACTGACTTGGTTTCATCTGTTAAAACAGCTTGCAATAGACGAGGAGTTTGAGAAGATATCGACAAGTGAAGAACGCCAATCTTTCATTGAAGAGCTTGACGAGGTTGTATTCTCATCTATGTTTCTATCTGCATCTGTCCCTCACCTTTTTGCTTCGTCATCTATACATACCCTTTGTAATAATATATGGAAAAACATCAGCTTACGGGTACCATCAATTGTTTCAGGTTCAAGACTGGCTATATACTGATGGTGAAGATGCAACTGCCAGTGAGTTTGAGAAACGCATGGAGTCTTTGAAAACCACTGGCGACCCAATATTTTTCCGGTGAGAACTATTCCTACTTTTGATGGAAATGAATGCATACTTCCCTGAGAAATAATCATATTAAGTAGCCAGCGAATGAATTTGTTTATATGCAGATATAAGGAGCTATCAGATCGGCCAGATGCAACTAAACTTGCTAGGAAGTACCTCACTGAGCTGAAACAGGTAACTCAACTTGAATCATGATCTGCCTATACTACCCGAAGTTACCCTTGCAAAATAACCTTTGATGTTGATTCTATGCTAACTGATGCAAATCTTAGCTCCAACGGAGTCTCATGTTATTACATCTGACAGTAACTGTCTTTAAGATGTTTCTATTTTCTGGTTTTCATTCCTTAATCAATTAGTGTCTTTAGATATCAATTTTTTTTTCAATTCCACTAAACTTGATTTCCGACAGCAGATCTTTAGTTTGGGGCTGCGTATCTACCAAATGCATCTTCTTCCTAATCTTTTGGATACTAAGGGGTAATTCATACCACCTTAATTCTTTTTTTATTTTCTACAGATTGTAGAAGGTTGGGAGGCAAACAAACCTTGGCTCCCCAAGGACAGAATCACTGAGGTATGTATATGATTATAAAACATGCTTGCCAGTTGTCCAAGTCAGTTACTTCCCAAAGCTGCTAAACTATCCAACATTGGAGCTGTATGATAATGTTCATTTTCCAACATTTGGTTCTAGGTTCTGAATGATGGCGAAAAGTTGAAGAGTTGGCTTGATGAGAAGGAGGCAGAGCAGAAGCAGTAAGTTCTCATATTCATTGATTGCTAATCATTACTGTTTCTTGGAATGGAAAATCACTGAATTTCTCCTTCTTATCCCATTCAGGACTTCTGCTTCTAGCAAACCAGCCTTCACATCTGAAGAAGTGTACACCAAAGTATTTAAGTTGCAAGACAAGGTATACCCTCTGACTTCCTCACATTCTATTTTTCTCCCTCGCACCTACACGCGGCTCCACAAAAGACCTTATCATCAACTTCCCATTTTTGTTCCTGATTGCTGCTTCCACAGGTTACCAGCATCAACAAAATTCCAAAGCCGAAACCTAAAGTGGAGAAGACCAAGAAGAACGAAACAGAGGAGCCTAAGAAAGCCGAGACAGAAGAAGATCCCAAGAAGACCGAGGCAACTGAAGAGCCTAAGACGGCTGCAGAGGAAGCCACTAGCGAGAAGGATACTGCAGATACCCAGGCACACGACGAGTTGTGATTCGACAGAAACCAGTAACCACTGCGCGTATTAGGAACAATGCCGGTCATCGGCTGGTCTCCAGAGCCAAACTCAAATCAACAGTAAGAGAAGATAGAGAAGGTAATGATGCATTTGCTGGATTATATATGAATGGGAGAGCTTGAAAAGCTTTCTCATCCTGAGGATTCGTCTCGCACCGTTCTATCCCTTTTTCTGCTAGTTTTCCACACAATAGCTGCAAGGTGTAGAGGGCCATAGTGGAACAGTAGGTTTGTCTCTGGACTCTGGGAATTTTGGTAAGCTTTAACAGTCTCATATTTGCTCTCCATTGTAGGAAGAGACTAATATATGTAAACAAAGCACAAAGATGACAATCTCTTTTTGGTAGTGTAGCACTAGCTAAGAGTTACGAAGCAGTCATTTTGGAAGCCTAGGTCATCTAGCCTTCATTGAGCCTAAATGTTGAGCCCGATTTCAGCCCACTCTGTCGATTTCTCTTTTGAGCCCGTTTCCAGCCCTAGACGAGTACTTCAACAGGTCATTCCTTTTTCCGTTCGGACTTAGGACTAGGTTTTCCCCTCTCCTTCAAGTATGCCTCCTCCTCGTTCTATAAAACAGTAGGGTTCCGGTGGTCGGATTTTACTGTTAATCCTTACTTTACTCCACATCATGGACAGACTGAGCGAGCTTTCGGACGACATTCTACGTCACGTCCTCTCCTTCCTCGTCGACATAGAATCCGCTGCTCGAACCAGCATTCTGTCCGGGAGATGGAGACCCTTGTGGAAGGACGTCCCCGTCCTCCACCTCTACTCGAGCACTTCCCCCTTCACCGGTAACTTCGAGCACAAGTTGGTGCCCCTCCGATCCCACCGCGGGAACTGCGTGGACATCAGCTTCATCAGCTCCGGCAAGGAAGAAGAGTATGCTATCATAGTGGGAAGAAAGAAGCCCGACCTCGTTCATGCTAGTTTTGGGAAGGGTGTCGTTGACGTGTTCGACAAGGTACTGGAACGCTGTGCTTCCCTCCGGGCTTTGTCATTCCGCAAATGGTTTCTATGTGATGACTTGGGTCGCATGGCGTCCTCCATCGCCCGTCACCATCACAGCGAATCTCTCGAGGCTCTCGAGTTCGTGGGCTGCTTCTTACTCCGCGGCGATCTCGAAGCAGCCTGCGAGCCATCGTTCCCGATGGTGACCACTTTGGAGCTTCGTGGCTGCGACATTAGCTACTTCCACCACGACGATCCTTTCGCCATCCTCCCTCGTTTGAGTTGCTTAAAGCTGGTCGGTTGCAACAGGATATACCTGTCGGATTCCATCAAGATTTCGGGGCTCGAGCTGCGGAGCCTCGAAATTCGATGCACAGATGTGTGCATTACCCAGCTGGCGGCACCGAAGCTCGAGTCGTTGTGTTACTCGGGCGAGATGGAGCATCTCGGGGCATTCCAAGAGGCGAACCTTCCTTCTCTGTGTCGCGCTAGTGTGAGCATGGAATACCGGAAGTCGACGGAATTGGACGGTCAGGGATTCAAGAGCTTGTTGCATGGTTTGCGTTATGCAAAGTCTCTCGACTTGTGTATTAAACAAACGGTGCGTAAATCTTTGTTTTGTTTGTTCCACGATTTGGTCGTAAATCTTTTGACTATACTAATCTATGATTTGACGAGATACTATATATGATCAGTTTACGAGCTTCTTCCATCATTTGCCACGTACGAAGTCTCTGCTCTTATATCTCAAAACAGAGGTACGGAATATTTAATCAACTTCTTTGCAATGCTTAATGATTATTGAGGTTAATTTGTATACCACTTGGTCATGCAGGCTACCTCGATAGATGAATGGCACTAGCAAGATCCTAGCCATTTGCATTTTTTGTCCTTTTTTTTGTTACCATGATGATTTATCGGAATGACTAATTGGGTTTTCTTTTATCAGTATCGAAAATCACAAGAGTACTCCGATCTTTTCAAAATGAAGTCATTCATCGATGATGAAATATCTCGCTTTACCAGATTGAAGACCTTCAACATTCGATATCCAGAAGAGTTTATCATCTCTCTCCCAACCAATGAAAATGATGTTACTGAAGATCCCGAAGCATGCGACGAAGTTGACACAGATAACTGAAGGAGGCCCTTCCGTTACGTGTGTACCATTCGAAAAAGGTGAACATCCCTAGCTAGGTCATGCTCGTTTAAACATGTGACTCGAAAATATGGCAAAATTCTAACGACAAGTCATAGCTCGGGAGGTTAAGGGCTTGTTCCATGGTTTGCGTTATGCAAAGTTTGGAGCTTTGCATTTGGGTTATCCTCATTATACCTTTATTATTTGGTCATAGGCTACTATAATGTTGAATGTTTACCACGAGTTAACACCTAAACCATTTCATTTAGAGTGTCTTGTGATGGTTATTTTCCCTTTTCCAAGATAACTAGTCAAAATATATGATTAATTATCTGGCGGATGGTGTTTTCTCTCTTGATAATCTCAAAAGTATCATGATCTTATCATATTGAAATCAATAAAGCTCCCGCGCAGGTTTCAATATTCACACCAAGCATTTCTCTCCAAACCAACGAAAAGACGATTGTAGATATCATTATCCTTAATCGCTTGCCTTGAAGTCTTTTATTTATTTATTTATTTTGGGTGCCATTTAGAGTTATCTTCCTTTATTTTGTAAATAAGAACCATGTTTATAAACTATGAGTGGATAAATACTAAATTTATATGAATTTTTCAATGAAGAAATTGGATCAACTACGTATCGCATGACTTTCTTTACTGCATGAACATGGGCATAGTATAGTCAACAACAAATCCGAGCCCCTAAGTTGGGTTTGCTGAAATTGGGCCTGTGGTGGTTTAATAACCAAGCCTTGCCCCAGTTAGGCCCTAAGTAATTGAGCCCGTTTCCCGCCGTACTAATCCGAGTCCGCCAAAAAATAGGTTATTTATTGTCTCTTTTTCATATAAGAGCTACAAACACAAATACAATAAGGGACTTATTTATTGTCTCTTCTTACGTGGATTGCGTAATGCAAAGTCTCTCGACTTGTGCTTCATGTATTTGTAAATTTTATGTACCTTAATACCACCTTTTATAGGTTGAAATTAGAAGGCTTAATAACTGCAAACATTTTGGTATTAACATGTGTGTATTTAAATTTTAATTATCATGAATCTCATTTGGCTAAAAAAATTGACGAGTTTAAGAAAATATTATGACATGCCATAATCAACTTCCGATCATTGACAGGTAAACTTACCGTTAGATATGAATTTATGTATCGAAACGATTGAGAAAAATAATTTGCGTACCAGTTCGACCCAATAGAAAGTTCGTGTACCAAAACAATCAAATTTCAAAAGTTTGAGGGTTAAATTGTGCTCTTTAATAAAGTGGAGCGAAAAGCCGAAACACACATATATCTACCCTTCCCGCGAATTCAGAGTCACATTGGCGGCAACTCCCCACGTTCCCCCGGCGTCCCGCACTCGGCTAAACTTAGCTCGGTTCTTCGCGATTCCTATCGCCGCCATTGGTGAAGGTACTTAAAATGTTCATCTTCTAATTAACTCTATTGTAGTTTTCTGAAAATGAAGTTGCTATCGTTTCCGCCTCCTCGAAAGCCGACCGTTTCTGTTGGGGTAGTAAAGAAAGCAGAGGCCTGATGATTTCTCAGTTGGGTCTTCTTCGCCATAGGCGAATTTCACTGGATTCATTTTTTAATTCGATTTCGAACACTGGTGGTGCTGGGATTCTTGGCCGGGTGCTAACTGATTATATAGTTTTTCACTTTAGGGCTTAGATTGTGTAACCCTAGAATTGCAGGCTTGTTTAGATTCACACAAATAGGGGTCTAATGTATGTCTGTGAATGGAGCCTATCCAAATTACTGGGGAATCTAGACAATTTGTTTCTCTTGAGGTTACTTGTCTTTGATTCTGTTTTGTAAGATTCGTTTTCGGTTTCTATCCCAGTAAATTTGATTGCAGCATGCTATCAAGTCTCTTGATTTCTACCATATATATGGAGCCTGCCAGGAGAGAGTGGCCATTCTCTGATTAGACTTAGTGTACACTTGAATCTCTATGGCATTACCCCTGTCTATGATTCTTATAATTTCAACTGTTGTGATGAAAGGGAAGAAAATATGGATAAGAATTCGAGGAAGCCCAAGAGCCCCGAGCGAGCCATGTAGTTAAAGAAGTTGCTGTACTGAGCGATTTTCCGGATGAAATTCTCCATCACATTCTGTCCTACCTCGACACCAAGTCCACAGTTCGAACCAGCCTTCTGTCGAGGAGATGGAGATGTTTGTGGAAAGATGTTGAGATGCTCAACTTCCTCCCGAAATCCTTCTGCAAATTGGCAAGTTTCAGAAAACACGTTTACAGGCTCTTGTCTTTCCGCTCCCATTGTACTCCTGTTCGCAATGTTACCTTCGACCTAAGTGGGTGTACATCACAAGAAACACGGGGGCATGTTACGAAAACAATTGAACAGGTCATGAAATATGCTGCATCTCATGGTGGTGGTGGTCTTGACCATTTGTCTATCCTTGGTGAGGACGAGAATTTGGACTTCAGTCACTTTGCTGAGAACATCACCGCTGGTAATCATGATGCATCTCTCAAGACTTTGAATTTGGAGGACTGCACACTCTGTTGTGTCCAACTTGATGACGCGGGCTTCAAATCCTGTACAGCTCTGGGCTTCAAATTGCTTACAACTCTGGAACTACGTGAATGTGCTCTGTTACCTTATTGTCCAGAGTCGCCCTTTGATTTGATTGGTGATCTTCCTTGTTTGAAGTACCTGAAGTTACTCCACTGCTATGTGTCGCATCCTGACTGTTGGTTACTGATATCAGGACCTCAACTGCTTGATCTTGAAATTGAGTTTACAAATCACTACCGCTTTTATGAACTGATTGCTCCAAAGCTCAAATCTTTACGTCTGTGGGGTGAATACATTGATGAATATCTACCCAAGTTGAATCTCCCTTGCCTGGATCATGCAAATATCCGCCTCAAGTGGGAACCACATTGTTGGGATGATGATGCTATAGCTTTGGAAGAGCAGAGTTCTGCATTTGTGAATTACTTGTGCGGTCTGAGTAATGTGGAATCTCTCAAGCTATGTTTGGACAAGGTACCAATTCTGTGTTCTGTTAAAGCCATACTTATTTGTACTTTTGATAATGCAAATGTCCACTAAGTGGTATTTTTTTTTAAAGGTGGCTTTATTGCAAGTCGAAAGACTGAAGTAGTCAGTTCCTAGAGTCATGGTTTTGATACATTATTACTGTGCTTCCATGTCAGGAACAGAGAAGTCACGAGGATGGGAAAGAGCACCACTTTCCTCTTAACAGAATTAAGGCGTTAATCGAGCATGAAGCCCCTCCCTTTACTAGATTGAAGACCTTGAGGATACAATGTGCAAACCAACGACGCCCGCCAAATGTACCGTATGAAGTAATTCGGTATTTTCTCGAAGGCTCTCCTAATACGGAAGAAAAGTTTGTTAAGTTCGAGATGCTTGCTGATCAGAAAGCGCAATAGTGGTTATATACTGTCAAATGGTGTACCCTAGTTGTATATATGGTGCTTTCCAAAGTAGTTTTCTGATGAACTAAATACCAATGACGATTTAGCAGCAGTACCCAAATTAGTAGTTTCCTCCTTTTGCCGGGGCGAAGAAGATGCACAGCTTACTTTGAGCTGTCAGTCTGGTTTATTATTTCTACTTGCTAGTCTCTTTTGCCGTTCCTTTGCAGATGTATGTATGAACTACCATCTTTTGTTTGAACGACGTGAAGGGTTATCTTGAAAATCTTAGGCATGAAAATAGCAGTTTAAGGTATAATGGAGGTATGCTAACAAGACTGCAAAATTAGTAGATAAACACACACAAACAATAGATAAAAACACACAACCCGTGATAAAACATTCATCAGTTTATTGTCTATTCGTTACAATCTGGTATGATAAGCACACAAACCGTTTATGGTCACAATTGCAGGCTCACAAGCAATGTAGGGTGGTTTAAAGTTGGATGACTATTTTGTTTAAGAATTAAGAGTAAACAATTTTAGCACCCAAAAGTTAACTGACCATTTCTGCAATTTACCCCAGAATATAAATACTACCTTCCCATATAAAGCAAGCGGCAGAAAGAACTCTCCACACTCGTTCACTGTCACTCTCCCAACTGTGCTTGTGGCTTCTGCATGGTTTGGTGCCCGGAAACAATTCCTGATTCCCACTTCCCCCTCCATTGTTAAAGAGTTCCATGGTATGTATAGTTTGCTCATCTTCTAATTAACGCCATTTAGCTCCCAGAAAATGAATCTGTTATTGTTTCCATCCAAGTCCGCATGCTATAGTATACTGTGCTGTGAGCCCTAAGTGCTCTGAATTGTTCTTCGCCTGTATTTCTTCCTTCTGAACTTCTATACCATGCCATTTCTTATTTCGATTCATGAGAATATGCGGTTACTGAGCAATACCACGTTTGTAGATTGTTGCATGCTATCTCTTGTTATTTCACCACATATATGATTGAATCATGCTATTCCCCTGTTGTGATTATTATCTGTTTCTGAAAAAGGGAGGAAGATGATGTCCGGGAGTTCACAAGAGTCCAAGAAACTCAAGAGGATCCATGCAGTTGACAGACTGAGCGGCCTTCCTGACAGCATCCTTCATCACATTATCTCGTTCCTCGACTCGAAATCTGCAGTTCGAACCAGCCTTCTGGCGAGGAGGTGGAGATGTTTGTGGAAACATGTTCCTGTCCTCAATTTTATCCAGAAATCCTTCCCTAACTTGTCGAGTTTCACAAAGCACATACACAGGATCTTGTCTCTCCGCTTCCATCAGATCCCTGTTAGCAGCATTACCTTCAAAATATGTGGAGATAAGTGGGGAGGTGCTATGAAAACATTTGAAAAGATCATGAGATATGCTCACTCTCACGGTGGCGGCGGTCTTCACCACTTGTCCTTTATCGATGACAAACTGCAATTCAACATCAGAGAGGTGGCGGATGCCATCGCTGCTTCTCATCATAATGAATCTCTCAAGATACTCATGTTGAGGAGATGCACTCTCGAGAGGGAATTCGATTCGCACTTCAAATTGCTTACGATTCTTGAGCTGCATAGATGCGACCTGAAACCTTATCCTGCTGGGAAGTTGTTTGATCCATTTGCTAATTTACCTTGTCTGAGCCACCTGAAGTTAATTGGATGCCTTGTATATCATCATGACACTAGGTTTATGATTTCGGGACTTCAGCTGCTTGTCCTTGAAATTCATTTTTCAGGTTCCATCAGTGAAGTGCGTGCTCCAAAGCTGAAATCTTTATATTGGTGGGGTAGTAGATCGCGATATCTCCCCAAACTGAATCTTCCTGCCCTTGATCATGCAAATATCCATCTTGGTTGGCACATGACATGTGGGGATGCAGCACTGGAAGAGGAGAATCTCTCATTTATGAATTTATTCTGTGGTCTCCGGAATGCAGAGAGTCTCCAGCTATGTTTCGAAAAGGTACACACTTGCTGCTCTTTGTAAGGAACACTTTACCGCTATCATCGATCCAGACGTAAGTTTATAGGATTGGGGTGATATTGGCTTATACATACCGAGTCTAGTTCAGAATTCACAATGTTTATTTAAGTGCTTGCAATCCTAGAATAGTCAATGCCCAAATTTTGGTTTGATTCATTATTCTGTTTTCATACCAGGCCAAGTATATCTATCATAATGTTGAACAACACTTTCCTCTGAACACAATTAAGGCGTTAATAGGTCCTGAAGCCCCTCCTTTCACCAGGTTGAAGAGCTTGAAGATACAATGTGCAGGTCAACAGAAACTGCCAAACATACATTACGAAGTGCTTCACTATTTCTTTGAAGGCTCGCTTAGTTCAGAAGCGAAGCTTCTTCAGTTTGAGCTGGTTAAGGAGAAGCAGTGCTGATTCTGCACCGGTCAAATGGTGTCAAGTTAAGTACTAGTCATGTTCTCAAGTTGAATGTATGATGGCCATGATGCTAGGAGATGACTTGGATGATGCATTGTGCTGCTTTTGGGTCTTGTCAGCAGCCTCCAAGCTTAATATTTTGCGACTTTCCAACTCGATGGGATGAACGAAGTATGGTCGACTTTGTGCTGGTTTGCGCTCATCGAGGCGGGTATTATGTAAGTAGCTGCGGCTAAGGAAATGTAGGGATATTAGATGGTGGCATGCTTAAATTTTGTATTTTGTACAGAGCATGTTGTGATTATTAACCGAACACAACCATGCTGAAATAGCAGCCATGTAAAGACCCTTTTTTCTGCTTCTCTTGTGTAGGCTTTTGTACATGTAGTGTGGAATACAGGGGAATCTAGATGGTGCCTTGCTTGAATGTATAGACCAACTCATGCTCCTTGCTTTCTAATTATCAGTGAGAAACTCTTGTCAACACATGATTCTGTGGGTTATTTCGCCACTGCATTTACTTTGTGTTGTATTATATCATGTAACGAAATAGTTCGGCGATGATCGTCTTCTTCAATATTGTCTTTTTAAGTGAGATCGTAAACCACCATTCCTTCTTATCCTTAGCAAAGTAACAGTCTATGTCGAGAAGATCAATGGCCATTCTGTTAAAGCTCAAAAAGTTTCCGACCCAAAAGTTAAGGGAGCATTTTCGTAATTTACCCTAAACATAACAAGCGGCAGAAGTGCAGAACTCATCGATTTACGGTAGCGTTTCTGTTTCTCCATTCTCCCGCAGTCTCGCTATCTCTCTCCCCCCAACTGTGCTTCTTGTGCATGGATTGGTGCTTGGAATCAATTCCCGATTTCCGTTTCTCCCTCCATTGCTAAAGAGCTCCAGGTAAGTACTACTCATCTTCTACAGCGCTGTTCAGTTCCCAGAAAATGAATTAGGCGATTTGCTTCCTACCAAAGCGGATGATGAACTAGGGCAGTGAAAGAAAGCAGAGCCCTTTGCCATCTGGGTCTTCCACTAGGTTTACCATGCTTTATTTTGAATTCTATTCCTTCGATTTGGACTGGATAGTGAGCAGTGATGAGTTCTTAACTCCATTTCCCCTGTTTTTTACTCTTTTGAAGGATTCCTGACGAATTTTCAATTCGTTCATTTCGTTCGCTTCTTTTGTTGCTTATTTCAATGTCTTGCTTGCTTGTTAGATAATGGGTTGGTAGCTTCTGCCAGTCGAAATTGGAGTTAGATAGTTAGAAGGGTTCGGGTAAGTAGACGCTAGACACTGTAACAGAATATTCCCTATGGTTATGAATCTTATGGTTTCAATGACTGTAGGAAAGGGAGGAAGTTATGGCTGGGAATTCGAAAGTCTCCAAGATATCCAAGAGGAGTCGTGTAGTTAAGGAAGTTGATGGATTGAGCGATCTTCCTGACAACATTCTCCATCACATTCTGTCCTTCCTTGACACCAAGTCCGCAGTTCAAACCAGCCTTTTGTCGAGGAGGTGGAGATGCTGTTGGAAACATGTTCCCGTCCTCTATTTCCGCCCGCTATCCTTCACTACATATTCGAGTTTCAGGAAACACGTATGCAGGGTCTTGTCTCGTCGCTTCCACAATACTCCTGTTCGCAATGTTACATTCGAAGTATATGAAGATGAGTGGAATGATATTTTTCAGAAAACGTTTGAAAAGATCATGAAATATGCTGCCTCTAATGGTGATGGTGGTGGACTTCATAGTTTGACCATCATCTGTGACGAGTTTTTTGAGCTGGACTTCAGAGAACACTTGGCTGACTGTATCACTGCTGCTCATCATAATGAATCTCTCAAGACTATGAAGTTGGTGGGGTGCAATCTCAAAACTGGAGCACTTGATTTGGGCTTCAGATCACTTACCACTTTGGAACTCTATAAATGCTCTCTGGAAACCGTGAACCCATTTGCTAATCTGCCTTGTCTGAACTACCTGAAGATACTAGAGTGCTTTGTTTATCACACTGATTTTTTAATGATTTCGGGACTTCAGCTGCTTGACCTTGAAATTAAAATAGATTTCTACGACGAATATGAAGTGCTTGCTCCAAAGCTCAAATCTCTGCGTTTATGCCTATGGGGTGATAACCTTCATAACTATCTCCCCAAGTTGACTGTCCCTGTTCTGGATCATGCAAATATCTATCTTTGGTGGAACAGACCGGACATTGAGGCATCAATGGTAGAGGTGAATCGTGCATTTGTAGATTTCTTGCTTACTCTGCGTAATGCAGAATCTGTCAAGCTACGTTTCGACAAGGTATGGACTTGCTTCTCTTTGCTAGTCACGCTTGTAATACCCTTCAGAATGTCAGTTTACAGGGGGGGATGTGATGATAGCAGCTTATGCATACTTTTGTAGCAACATAAAGATTTGTGGCTGTTATGCATCATTGTCAACAAAGAGTTTATGGTCTGGCAGATTGTTGTTCTTGGTTATTGGCTTATGCATTATTGTTTTCTCTCCTATCAGTTTGGGGCTGGAGATGAGGATTGGGAAGAACACCACTTCCCTCTTCGAAGAATTAAGGCGTTATTGGAGACTGAAGTTCCATCCTTCACTAGATTGAAGAGCTTGACGATCCAGTCTGCGCATCAAGATAAACCACCAGAATACCTTACCAGGTGATCCGCTTTTTTCTCGAAGGCTCTCCCAATACTGGAGAAAAGTTGGTTCAGGTCGAGGTGATATGCCAATATCGATCCTAGTCAGTCGTGCCCAAAGTAGTAGTTCCCCCCTTCTGTTTTCCAGACTCTTTGCCGTTCCTTTTCTGTTATAGCATGTACTTGTGAACCAGTTAAGTATCTGCATCATTAGGCACCCTAAACTTTGCAGTACATAATTAGCCCTGCTCATTGGAGTCCCGTAGACTTAAACAAGTCTAAGGTCCCCTTCCTTTTTATTCCACAGTTTCATTGTAGGGCTGGAATTAGGCAGAGTGTCTTCGTAGGGTTTTCGGCTGAGTTCATCGCTCCCTTTCTTTTCCATCTGAGGAGAATTCCAGGTGAATTCCCATGATCGCCTCTGTAAGGTGCAAATCTAATACCTGATTATCACCATTTTTATCACTTGTTGGATGTACGAAATGTGGTGGATGTCATCACCGCATGCACTTATCACTGCAAGAAAATACATTCTGTAACAGGATATTCTGTCACAAAAACCCAAAATTTCCGTGACGAAACTTCCATCACCACTGGCATCACCAATACCCCGTTGCAAATGAATTGTAACCAATTTATTTTCGACGTCACGTAAAAGTCGACTTTAAGTGAAGCAGAACTCCGTCACATATAGCAACTTTCTTTTGCGACACTTTCGCGTCACAAAAGTTACTTTTATGCGACGGTGTAATCGGTTACCTAAAGCTTGCCTTTTTGCCACAACTGTCCAACTTTGGGTACCTAAATAGAATATTAAATGGCCGATTCTAATGGAACTTAGTTTTATTTTTTTAAACAAACAAAGCGGAAACACCAATATAAAAAAATCTAAATTGAATTGAAAATCGTTGGTGAGAAGAATCAACATTGTAATACGCAAGGTTGTCAACCCACGGGTCAACCCGGACCCGATAGAGCTTGTGGGTCATGGGTCAATGGGTCACCCGTTTTAGGCCGGAAATATGAAAATCGTTATTATATTATACTTATCCTGAGTCCAATATAGGAAACGTCATTGCTCAATCTCAAACATAAGCAATTTGAAATTCTTCTTAAACATAAGCAATCCAAAATTCCAAATGATTATTAACGATTCTTCTTCCTAACATATGTAACATCAACAATCCCTTACTAACAAATAACAATTCAACTTCTCCACACAAGCAATCTAATTCGCGTTGCCACCTGCCAAAATTAACCAAACATTCATAAATTAATAAAATCAACCAAACCCTTACCAATCTGAGTTCGAATATCAAACAGAGGGAGGAGGTCGAACTCGAGCTGGAGATGGAGACGAGACCCGACCCGACCTGAGGCAGAGGAAAGTTGATGGCGGCCAAGCTCGAGGTTTCGAATGGTCGGAGGCAGATGGCGGCGCTCAAACTTAGATTGGTCGGAGGAAAGAGCTTGAGCGGCTGTGGGAGCGGAGCGGGAGCTAGTTGCCGCCGATGAAGGGGAACTTAGCCTGGCGATGGCGATCGAGCGGCGCCTGTGGGGTGGGAGCGGCGCCTGTGAGGAGAGGTCGAGACGATGAAGATTGAAGGGTGTAGCGGACTAGCTGTAGGGTTTTTTTATTTCAGACCATGCCCTCCGCCTTCTCCCGGCCAAAAACGTCGCCGCGCCAGTGTTAAACGCAGCCTAAGGAGAAGCAACCCAGTGACCCACTCTGGATGGGCTAACCGCCCAGGTTAGCCGAATTTGACCAGGTCCGGGCTGACTGTCAAAAGGGTTGCAATGGCCCGTTTTTTGGGCAAATCCGGGTCAATCCGGGTTGACCCGCGGATTGACAACCACTAATACGTAATTAACCATCTCAAATTGGAGTCGGAGGGAGTTAATAAAATATAAATAAATAAATAATACATTCCCCCACCCATTTCATTCTGTTTCTAGGGTTGCGGCTGCAGATCAGATTAACTTGCTAGGGTTTAGGCCTTCAATTTCGTCTCCCACTCTTTATCTTCTGAAGGATTAATTCCCAGGTGAAAAGAAGGATAGCTAGGGCATGGCCGCAGATCCGGCCGGTAACAATGTAGCAGGCAAACAACCAGTCGACAGGCTGAGCGATCTCCCGGACTCCATTCTCCACCACCACGTCCTGTCGCTCCTCGACACCCAATCCGCGCTCCGGACCAGCGTCCTGTCGCGGCGGTGGCGATGCTGCTGGAAGCACGTCCAGGTGCTCAACTTCCGCCCGGTCTCCTCTCGCGACCTGTCGAGCTTCCAGAAACACGTGCGCGAGCTCCTGAAATCCCGGTTCCACACCGTCCCCGTCCGCGCCGTCACCTTCGACGTCAGCGGCGACAGGCGCAGGGAGATTTGGAAAGGCAGCGCGAAATCGTTCAGAAAGGTCGCGAAATACGTCGCCGCCGCCTCTCGCCACGCTGCAGGTCTTCACCAGCTGTCGCTCGTCGACCACGACGAGAATCGTTGGGACATGAACGTAAAGGATGCGGTGGATGTTCTCGTCGATGCCTCTCTTCACGAATCTCTCCGGGCTCTCGAGCTGGAGAGATGTCGCCTGCTGGAAGTCGATTTGGGCTGCTTCAGGTCGCTTGCGACCCTGGAGCTGCGTGGCTGCACCCTGCACGAGCCTTTTCCCGATCCGTTTGCTAGTCTGACTAGCCTGGCCCACCTGACGCTGCTCGACTGCGTGAGCTATCATCCGTTTGTCGTTGCGGGGCCTCGACTGCTCGAGCTTCGTATCGAGCGCACACGGTTTCGAGGTTTGTGTCATGTGATTGCTCCAAGGCTCAGATCACTACGGTTTTCGGGCAGTCTTGGTCGAACTCTGCCCGAGCTGATCATTCATCCTGCCCTAGACCATGCAAATATACGCCTTTCGTGGTGCACCGCGGAGGAGGAGGATGGTGCGGTCGTGAGTTTGCTGCGTGGTTTGCGTAATGCAGAGTCTCTCGAACTATGTCTTGACAAGGTAAGTGCGCACGAATATATCATTTGCTACCAAAAAAAAGGAAAAAAAAATTGAGTGCTTTTATTTAAGCCTCTTTGTTTTGATGCATCAATGTTAATGTGTGTTTTCGAAACAGTTTCGATGTGGTGTGTGGGAACAACACCAGCTTCCTCTGAACAGGATCAAAGCACTGATGGAGCAGGAAGAGCCTCCTCCCTTTACGAGGCTGCGGAGCTTGAGGTTGCGATGTGGGTATCAACAGGAATGGCCGCCGAGTGTTGGTGATGAAGTGATTCGCTATTTCTTTGGAGGCTCTTCCGACGTAGAAGAAACGCTTTCTCAAGTTGGGATGGTTGCTGATTATACTAAGCGAGATTGATTGGAAGCTAATGTCGAAATGGCGTCAAAAGTAGTCATCATGCTCTCATGATGCATGCATGCATGCATGGCGTCCTTGATGGCATGAGCAGAGAAGTGGAATATGATGTATTTTACTACGTAAGTTTGTTATACATTTCATCTAGCTACCCAACTCGATCTCTCTAGGGTTTCTTTTTTGACTGATTTTCATTAGTTTTCTTATAATAATCAGCAAAACATCTCCACCTCTTCGACAGAAAGGCTGGTTTGAAGTTTGAAACGGAGTGACGGGTTAGCATGCTAACCCCTTAAGGGGTTGGTTTTTTGACACCCCCTTTTAATTGGTCAATTTTTCATTAATTATTGACAAGTATTAATGAAAGTAAACATAATAAATGTTCTGTTATTAAATACAAAGTAAGCATTAAATATACCACATTAATTACCACTTTACTGGTATTTGTACCACTGCACTGATACTCAGATATGACATTGCTACCAGTGCATTGATATCGCTACCAGTGCAGTGGTACACCGTATCAGTGCAGTGATATATTTTTTGGAGGTGGTCGGAGGGAGTCTGCCGATGGGATTTTCACCGGAGAAGTGTGGCGGTCGGAGGAAGTCTGGTGGTCGGAGACTGAAAGGAAAAATCAAATATAGTGAGAGAATTCTTAATGTGTATTTAATGTGTGTATTTAATTCCTAATGTGTATTTAATAGTGAGAGAATTCCTAATTAATATGGTACATTTAATTCCTAATGTGTATTTAATGTGTGTATTAAATTCTATAGTTGTATTTAATATACTAGGGGGTGTCATTTTTCCAATCCCTAAGGGGGGTTAGCATGCTAACAGACCCCTGAAACGGAGGATTTCGTGTCGAGAAGCGACAGAATCATTTGCTAGTTATTATTCTACTGACCGATCTTGGTTAAGAATGAATAAGGGTTAGGTAATCATTAGTTCTTGTCAAACCTTGGCTGGCGACGGTCTCACTAGCTCCCCAATTCTAAGGTGGGATAACCTTGTAAGTTGTAACCTACTTAATCAATCGAGGTAATGAATTGAAGTAGTCCCGAGAGAAGTTGAATTATAACTACAGTTGGCCGATTGATTTCTCCAAGGCGATGAAAATGCTAGGCAGAATTAACACGCATTATATAGATCACTTTCTCCTGCTCTTCTCTTTCGTAAACCGAGGGAACCATGAAGAAAGAACCCAAAAGTAGACATGTTCAGAATGTCCAAGTGATCGACACACTACTCAACCATCTTCCCAACGACGTCCTGCATCACATTCTCTCCTTCCACGACACAAAACAAACTGTTCAGACCAGCGTCCTGTCGAGAAGGTGGAGATGCTTATGGAAAGATGTTACTGTACTCAGATTCAGTAGGAACTCGTTCTGTGACGACTCGGGTTTCCTCAAGCACGTGAGCAAGTTTCTGTCCTGCCGTTTCGAGTCTGCCATGGTTTCCAGCGTCGACATTAATTTCGGATACGACCTGTGGGAGAAAACTGCTTTGGAACTGTTTGACAGTGTCCTGAAGTATGCTTCCGAAGCTGCCTTGTCCCCTGGCGGCAAGCTTCACCATCTGTCCATCAGCCGTACTCAGCCAACGAGTATAGGCCAATGTTACGACCTTGTCGGCTGCATCAAAACGTACGGTCTTCATGAATCTCTCAGGACGCTCAAGCTGGTGGGACAGGATGTAAAGGTCGGATCGTTTGCTGATTTCAAAGTGCTTACTCCACTAGAACTCAGCGAATGTTGTTTTTGCTCGGATGGAGTGCGGAGCGATCCTTTCTCTATCGTTCCTCGCCTGAGCCACCTCAAGCTAGTTGATTGTGGGACGTGGAATGGTTGCTCGCTCGAGGAGGTGGAGATGGAGATGGAGATGCCAAATACGTGGAATGGTTGCTCGCTCGAGCGATCCTTTCTCTCCTTCCTCGACACCAAATACACCGTCCAAACCAGCCTTCTCTCGAGGACGTGGAGATGCCTGTGGAAAGACGTCCCCATCCTCAAATTCAGCGGGTTCTCGTTCCACGACGATTCGAGTCTCGTCATTCACGTGACCAAGTTTCTTGCACTACGTTTCGACTCCGCCGCGGTTTCCAGCGTCGACATTGATTTCGGATTCGGCATGCGGGACAAAAATACTGCTTTCGAGCTCATCGACAGTGTCCTGAAACATGCAGCTGGTGCGGCGTCCCGTGGTGGCCGGCCGCAAGAACCTTCACCGCCTGTCCATTGCCCAGTTTGGTACGTACGATTCGTACGACGACGTCGTTGGCCGCATCATCGCCTACGGTCATCACGAATCTCTCGAGACTCTCAAGTTGGTGGGATCCGAGATAAAGGTCGGATCGTTGGACTGCTTCAGATTGCTTACATCACTAGAACTCAGCGATTGTTGTTTTTGCTCGACCGAGGAGGAGTCGTCGCTCGAGCTCGATCCTTTCTCGAATCTCCCTCGTTTGAGCCACCTCAAGGTGATTGATTGTCATACGTCGTCGTCGAAAAATTGCTCGTTCGTGGTGTCGGGCACCCAGCTGCTGGAACTCGAAGTTTGTGTAGCTCGTGATCACATGAAGGATTTTGACCTGGTCGAGGTTTCTGCGCCGAATCTTGAATCGTTTCGTTTCGAGGTTTCGAATGTAGATTTGAAGAAGCGCCTCGACTTGGACCTTCCTTCTCTTGATCACGCAAACATCCGCCTTTTGTGGTCGAATATCGACTTGCTCTTCGATCCTTGCCCGTTAGAGACGATGAGGGAGCAGATTCGTTCTTATATGAACCTGTTGCGTGGTCTGCGCAATGCAAAGTCTCTTGTCCTAGGTTTTGTTCAGGTGAGTAGAATATTCTATCTTTGATCGAGTTTACACAGTACATTTCACGAAGAAACAGATTATTCTATCACCCATTAATTATTGTGTTTCCGTAATGGTGGAACCAGCCTCACTGGGAGGATGACCACGTTCCTCTCACGAACTTGAAGTCTGTGATGGAGTCAGAAGCCTCTCCTTTCAACAGGCTAGAGATGTTGAATGTGCAGTATAATCGCCGGCCAGAAATGAGCATACCTTGTCACGTGATTCGCTATTTTTCGGGAGGCTCCCCGAATTTAAAAGAAAATTTTGTTCGACTTGAGATGATTACGGATTGTATGCTAGCGTGGAGTGGTTGCTAATAAGGGTTGTTTCGAAGATGTAATTTTTCAAATCGAAGTATTGAGTTAATTAGTGTGTTATCATTTATTGCATTAGACAAATACCTTGTTTAAAGATTTAGATTTTGTTTTTTTTTTTATACTGGTGGAGCACTTCTACTATGCTATATAGCACTGGTGCTTTGATGTACAACTTGAAGTTGTACCATAACATTAAATGTATAAGTTTAGGTTGTACCATAAAGGAATTTGTATTATTATGTTATGGTACAACTTTACAACTTGAAGTTGTACCATCACATAAGGTACAAGTTTAAGTTGTACCATAAAAGAATTTGTACAAAAAGTATAGGTACAATCTGAAGTTGTACCATAACGTTAAAGATACAATTTCAAGTTGTACTATAAAAACAAAAACCTATAGCACCAATGCTATATAGCATTGTATTGTCAAAAAAAAAAAAAACTATATAGCATTGTAAAATTCCTCATACTGGTGATATAAGTTTTTTTTTATTATTATTAGGGTACTGCTTAAGTTATTCGAACTTGAGACCTTCAGATTCTAGACTAGTGGTATTACCACTAGGCTAAACCATTGTTCGTTTAGATTGTGTTTTAGTTGTAATCCCACAAAAGTTAATTTTGAGTGATTTGTTAGCAATTTCTACTTTTTGTTGAGATTGATAATCCCTAAAATTTGAGTGATTGTGCTAGGTCCCCTAAAAAGTTAATACATGTATTCTAGTTCAATATAAGCCAAAAAAAAATGACTGAATCTCACAAATACATAATTAGCGCAATACACCATAGTCTTTTTTCTAGTTGGAGATCCCTGATCTCATAGCTACTAACAGAGTGATGAGCCAAAGCAGCAGCGGCTGAAGATTTGCTGATGAAGTCATGAACACGAAATTGATGTTGCTAAGCAAGAACTGCAACTGAAGATTTCCAGTCCCGAAGAAACGACGGCGTTGTGGTCTAATAGGCTAAGATGCGTTTGGTCCAGAACGGAGTCGTTTCCTTGAAAGAAGATGAAGACAGGCCGAAACGGCGTCGTCTCTCTTAGTTCGTTGATAGCTGTAGTTAAGTACTGTGTATAGGACACTTGGCGTTTTGTCACTGGTTCATTTGATTAGTTAGTTTATCATTACTGTTGATTAGCCATTAGGATTAACAGAGGAGTGTACAGGCTTTGTATATAAATGAGAAATACAGAAAAAAAAGCTCTCAAAAGTTTTTGAGATCCTTCACCAAAACCCTAGCCGTTTTGTATTTCTTCTCAGCTACCGTTAGCATACTGTAAAACTCTTTCAACTTTTGTTTTGATGGATTATCATGGATGCTTAATTATCTGTTTCAACATTTTTTTTTTAATAATGAATGCATCGGTTTTGATTTTCAATCGTTAAATAAGTAAGTGGATAGAATGTTAACACCCTATAATCATATTATCATAGAAATACTTTTTTTTTCCAAAGTTATCCCGAAAGGGAAGCAGCGAAGATACGACAAAATACAAGGCCTCCTAAGACCAGGCTAGGAAAATTAAATAAATAAAACACGATGATCGACAAGTGTCTGCACCATCGCTCCAAGGGCTTGTCTTGCCACGAAATGGGCAGCCCTATTATACCTACGGGGAACGAAATGGAACGTAGCACGAAGGAAAGAAGCCCGCAACACCTGAATCTCTTGCATGAGAGCTCCACCCACCGCGTGCGACGAGTCCTTCGCATTAATCATCCGAATGATCACCTGCGCATCCCCACAAAACAAAACATTAGTGAACGAGTGAGCCATGCACCAACGTAAGGAGTCGCGAAGGGCCAGGAGCCCCAAGCGAATATAGAGGTATTCGCCTATGTAAAGCCAACAAAACCAATGGCACATCCGACCAAGCAAGCAAATTGTAAATGAATTTAATTATTAGGAATGAGTTGAAAAGGTAGAATTTTCCACCCAAAATGAAGAAAGTAAAACGACCGGAGCTGACAGGATCAAAAAGCAAAAACGACAACCATTTATTTTCCTAGTACTAATGGGGAAAGGAAAAACTCCCCTTAAAAGATCCATCACAGAATCGCGTCCGTACGCGTTAATACAAATTCCCGCCGTTGGCCTTCAACTGTTGTCGAGAGTTCTTCCACAAGCCCTATATTGTAAGCTTTACACAAGCCCTAATTAACGAAGATAACGTAATGGCGGCGGCCGCCGAGTACTCGAAGCAACCCAATCGGAGCGACCATCGTGGTCTTCAGGAGGAAATCATCATCATCGGCGGCAGCAGGTTCGACGATCTTCCCGACCACATTCTGCACGACATCCTCAGCTCCCTCGACATCAAGTTCGCCGTTCGAACCAGCTCGCTGTCGAGGAGATGGAGGAACACGTGGAAACACATCTCCGTCCTCAACCTCTCCACGGCGGAGTACACGCGGCGGAGTTTCGGGCCATCTATTCGCAAGACTCTCCAATCTCTCTCGTTCACTGCTGCCAGCATCACCCGGGCGGCGGCCGACAACGGGCTCGGGCTCGATTTCATCGTGGGCCACATTGGGCTGAATCAGTCTCTCGAGACTCTCAGGCTGGAGGCATTTCCCCTCAACACTAGTACTGTTGTTGAAACTGGCTTCCACCTGCTGACCACGTTGGAACTGCGCCGCTGCAAGTTCTACAGCGTTGAGTTGCCTTCGTTGGAGAATCTCCCCGGCCTGAAACGCTTGAAGCTGGTCGATTGCAAATCGTACTATCCCGTGACGGTGTCGGTTCCCCGCCGACTGCTGGAATTGGAGATCCGGCTTTGTTATTTCGATGGCTTGAATCTCGTCGGCGTGATTGCTCCGAAGCTCGAAACGTTTCGATTCTCGGGTTACCTGACTCAATTGGAGCGGCTCGATCGGTTCGACCTCCCTTCCCTCGACCATGCTAGCATCGGGATCGTCTGGATCGAGGCGCTAGCCCTGTACGGGCGCTCGCCTACGAGGATGATGGAAGAAGGTAATCGTATTTATGGAAACCACGGCGAGACGACGGGGAAACTGAATCGTGCGTTTGAGAACTTCCTACTTGGTCTGCATAATGCAAAGTCTCTCCATCTGAATTTTTTCAAGGTATGTATGTGTTTTAAGGTTTGGTGAATATGTAGGGTTAAGATAATTTTTTTATGAACTTTTAGGGTTTAGCCTAGTCAAATTGGGTCTTTAATTCATGCCCATATGTACGCTTTTGATTCTGTTTTGTCTCGACAGTTGGAAAGTACGATCCGGTGTAACCTACTCAAATGCCCTCATGCCGTAGCAAAATTGTTAATGGTGGACAAAGTTTCTCCGTTCACAAAGTTGGAGACTCTGAGGATTCAATATTCACATGAATCGCCGATTATGGACGATAAAGTGTTCCTATATCAGTTTAAAATCCCTCGTGTTGCTGAAGAAAATATATGCTCGGAGTACGTAATTGAGAAGATTTGCTGATACTGAAGGCTCTCAGTCGTGATGCAAACATGGTAAGGATGGCAGTATGGGTCCTCTTTTCCTGGAATTTTAACCTAAAATTGTGTTCCCGTGATGGAGTTTCAAATTTCAATCATCATGGATTTGTTTTGATTTGTAGATAATTTTTGCATAACCGATGGGGGAAAATCTGTAACCGTGGATATCCGTTCGAATCCGACCTAATTGGGTAGTGTAATACTCGAACTCGAAGGACTTTTAGTGAGTACGGGTAAGACTCGAACTCGAATATTGCAGGTAATGGGTGCCCATAATTTTCTCACTATCCAACACGAACTCCCCCGATTATAACATCCACTAGTACTAATTCCTATAATCAGGCACAATCCTTTTAGTAAAAAAAATCCTTCCAAAAGCTTTAGCAAACCCTACCTCAAAGTAAGGTAATGGCGACAGAGAGTGAACCGAAGCAACTCAAATCGAGTCGTCACCACCACCAAAACGGAGCAACCATCGACAGCAGATTCGACGATCTTCCGGACCACATTCTACACCACGTCGTCTCCTTCCTCGACACCAAACCCGCCCGTTCGGACCAGCGCGCTGTCGAGGAGATGGAAGAACATATGGAAAGACGGAATCTCTTGTTTCAGGCTGCGCTTCACTGCTTATGAAGTTTGCGACAGGGAAATATAAATTCGTTGCTGAAGACCCTTTTTGGTGATCAAATTGTAAGATCGTCGCAAAAACACCTCTATTCCCGTGAAAATGAGCGGATGGTGGTTTTCGCGACGATGATATTGATAGTCCTTTCCTCGCCCGTTCTATAATCGTCGTCCCTGCAGAAAAGCATAGAGCGCAGAAACCATGTATGGGATCATACATAAAAACTGATTTAATGAAGCCAATGTGTAAAGAAATCGTATCGAATTGTGGCTCGTATCTTATGTGGCTCGTAATTAGAAATGGTAATGAGGCAGGTTCGGGGCGGATATCTCAATTTGATACTCATATCCACTTCCATCACAGGTCGGATCCAAGTCGGGTAATTCATCACAGGGCGTGGGTTGGGACAGATCGACTCAATGATGGGTATGTAGTGGAAAATGAAAACATTAGAAATATTCATTTTTTTTCATTAAAAATCCAAGAAGCTAACTAAAATATTATAAACTTAGTTAAGTTATTCAAAAAAATTAGATTCTCGCCTATTTACAACTTTATCAGAGCTACAATACGAGATAATAAAAGTAAAATTATAAGTAATTTGGATAAAATTACATGTAATTTAGAAAAATATGGATCGAGAATGGGGTGAAGGGCGGTCGGGTCAAGAAGAGTATACATACCCGCCTCGCCCCACCTACAGACCCGCCCCAAAACAAATCAAAATCAAACAGGTCGAATAAAATGAATCAGGTCAAAATCGTCATATGAAATTATCACCATTGACAACAACAAAAAAATGATGCCGTACTTAGAGTTGTAATTTAGGGAACTCGAGAAAACTTTAGTAGCGGGTGTTTTCGGTAACTATATAATCACTTGACTTGGACGGTGATCGGCTTTTAAGACCTTATAAAAAGGACTAAAAGAGCCGAATTGCAAAAATAGGAGCAGAAACCCTAATATAATAATCTTCTTTCCCGGAAACTTCAATCGCAGTTGGCGCCATGGCCGTGCTAGCAGAGAACAGGCAGCCGGAAGGAGAGCTGCAGGGGAAAAGGAAACGAAAGCGTAGTAGAGGAAAGAAAACTCCGGCAAATCAGAGTGATAAAGCTCCAGAGGGGAAACAGAATGCAGAGGAGAGTCGAGATGAGGAAGAGATGGAAGTTATGAAAGACACGAAGAGAGGAAAGAAGATGAAGTTAGTGGCGAGGAAGGAATTCGAGGGTGATGGGGGAAAGTTGGAGGAAAAGAGACAGGGAGAAGATCAGGGTGGTGAAGCAGAGAGCAAGACAAAGGAGAAGAAAGTGAGGGGCGGCGGCGGAATTATGAGCACTGACTCGTTTGATTCTCTGGAGTTATCCGAGCCTACGAGGAAGGCGATTCAGGAGATGGGATTCCAGTATTTGACTCAGGTACAGACTCTTGTGATTCGATTTCCATTTTTTTGTGCTTTTTTTAGTACCCACTAGAACGATTGCTCTGTTTTTCATATATTCAATTGAGAGAGTCAAATAATCCATTCTGTACAAGTGTTTTTGCATAGCATGGTGCTACATTGGTTAAAGCTCGACTATTATATTCTCGAATGGTTTGAAGTTGGCAAAGAAATGGAACTTACTGCAGATTTGTGGTGTAATACCAAATGAACTAACTTGATTCCTGCATTCAGAGTTTCCTTAACAAGAGTAGCACGCCGTATGGGGAATTGATCTGCATCTGTTTTGATATTGACTATACTGAGTCATGTTTGTGACAATTTGGAATCTTTCGTGACGAAACAGATTCAGTCCAGGGCGATTCCGCTTCTGCTAATGGGCAAGGATGTTTTAGGTGCAGCAAGGACAGGTTCAGGGAAAACCCTTGCCTTTCTGATACCGGCTGTGGAGCTGCTGTACAATACTCGCTTTGCTCCTCGTAATGGTACCGGGGTGGTGGTGATTTGTCCTACTAGAGAGCTTGCCATTCAGGTGAATGACCCTGCTGTTAGTGTTGTAGATGTTTACGGAAAATTGTGATATTTTGTCCGCATGATGTCGATCCTAATACGCGTGGTGCAACGTTGTTCAGACGCATAAAGTGGCAGAAGACCTTCTCAAGTACCATTCTCAGACTCTTGGGCTGGTTATTGGTGGCGCGTCAATGCAAGCAGAAGCTGAGCGAATCGTTAAAGGGGTGAACTTGTTGGTTGCAACTCCTGGTCGGCTTCTGGATCATCTTAAAAATACCAAAGGATTTATTTATAAGAACTTGAAGGTAACTTACCTTATTTCTTCATTTGTGTGTATGTGTAGTGGTTCAAGCTTATGGAAGCATTAGTTTGGGTTTGATAGCTATGCTAGTGTGTCCTATCCGTTCAAGCATGTTTTTGTGCTGCTAGTCCTAAAGGATTGGAAGTTTCTTTGCTGATTCTTGAGTGGAATTTTGTAGTGCCTGACGATTGATGAGGCAGACAGGATATTGGAGGCCAACTTTGCGGAAGACAGGGAAAAAATTATCAAGCTTTTACCAAAGGTATCCCAAGCCTCTGCGATCATTATATCATACATATGCATGGGTCTCCCTTTTGTTCATTTTGCGTATTGTAATGCTGTATTGTTGTTCTCTGACAAATTGCTCTGTGATCTGCAGACAAGGCGGACTGCCTTATTTTCAGCTACACAAACTAAAAAGGTCCGTTTCTTACAGCTGCTTCCATAGAATTATTTTTACTTGCATTTTTCTTTATACATGCTTTTTTGCCAGAAATTGTCAGCTTGATTTCTCTGGGCAAGGACAAGCATTCGGTTTTTGCTGATTTGTGCTGATTTGGCTTACAGGTGGAGGACCTTGCTCGGTTGTCGTTTCAGACGACTCCTGTTTATATTGATGTTGATGATGGGAGACACAAGGTATGATGCGCGGTGGTTTGATTCCTTGAGCAAGCAGAAGATATATGTAACATGGCTCCTGGCCTTATCAAACCGCGTGAATATTGTAGGTTACCAATGAAGGTCTTCAGCAGGGCTACATCGTAGTACCGAGCGACAAGAGGTTTCTTTTTCTTTACACTTTCTTGAAGAGGAGGAAGCGGTATAAGAAAGTGATGGTTTTCTTCTCGTCATGCAATTCTGTCAAGTTCCATTCAGCACTTCTTAACCAAATCGGTATGACATGCGTTGATATCCATGGAAAACAAAAGCAAGAGAAGCGAACCACGACCTTCTTTAAATTCTGTAAAGATGAGGAAGGGATCTTGCTATGCACTAATGTTGCTGCTCGTGGACTTGATATACCCGCTGTGGCATGGGCCTTTTTCCCTCGTCTTCTTAAGGATACAGCTGATAACTGATTTTTCCTTCTGGCTAGCTCACATAACTGGTTTTCTTTGTTCTGTTTGCTGTGCAGGATTTGATTCTGCAGTATGACCCTCCTGATGACCCCAAGGATTACATACATAGGGTTGGGCGAACAGCACGTGGAGAAGGTGCAAAAGGAAATGCCTTATTGTTTCTACTTCCAGAGGAGCTTAAATTTCTGGAATATTTGAAGGTATGACATATTTGGTTGGAACTTTTACGGCCTGAGCTTCGCTCTTGCTGTAAGCTGTAGTGACTGTTCCTTTCAGGAAGCAAAAGTCCCCGTGAATGAGTACGAATGTGTTAAAGATAATACGAATGAGGATAAGATAGCAAATATTCAGACGCTCCTGGTAACTGACTTTCATCCTTTCTACTAATTTTGCCTGAACTTGCTGAAAAGAAGCACACTTCGGGGAAGAATTCAGCCGGACTCTGCTTGCGGGTTGTTGCAGGAGAAACTGATGGAGTCCAATTATGAATTGAGGAACTCGGGGAAAGAAGCTTACCGGTCTTACATATTGGCATACAACTCACACTCCATGAAAGATATCTTCAACGTCCACCGCCTCAATCTACATCAGGTAGCAGCTTCATTTGGCTTCTCTGGGCCACCAAAGGTGAACCTGAACATCGACAGCAGTGCCTCCAAGTTCAGAAAGACCAACAGCAACAGGAAGAAAGGTAAGTTCAGCGCCAGCAACCCTTACGGACGATCAAGCGATAGTAGTAATGAACGGAAGTTCATAAGATATTAGATGCCAGGGGGAGAGAACCAACAAGCTTCCCCACACAGTTTTGCAGCAGATTTTGATATTTCAGCAAATTTACCATCTTTCCTTCAGCTGAGATACTCTTTCCCTTGCACAGTAGAATGTTTATGCAAGTAAACTCATGAGAGCTGTTAACTGACAGCGTTTTTAGCATTTCCATTCATTCAAAATCTCTTCCCCTGCTTCCATCCGTTCATTGAAGGATCTAATACAGTTACTCTTTTGTTCTTCGTGTTATATATTTCATCCATTTCATGGATGCCTGGGAGAAATTTTCTACCTATTATTCCTTTTACTATAAAGTTTTCTAGTCCTGATAGAAATTTCTCCCAATTAAAAGTTTAGTGACTAAGAAGATAATAACTCCTAACTTGGGCAGCTGTTATGTAATTTGGCCATCCTTCCTTCCTCCTTCGCCAATATTTCATTTCACCGCTTCGATAAAACAGGGGAGACCAGAGAACTTTCGAATTTCCCCGGAAACCAGAGATGACAGCGCGGCCGTTGTCCGAGACATTCCGGTCCGTCAAGTCTCCGAATCTCAAATCGCCAAAGTTACCATCTTCGACGGCGCTGCCGCAACCAACACCGCAATCCATTTCAGCGCAAGCGGAGTCCAGCTCGAAATCAGGGTCTTGGTGTGTTTACCTCATCGCTTCCACCAATCCCCCAATCAAAACCTACGTCGGCGTCACTACTAATTTCTCCCGCCGGTGAGTTGGTACATCTTCTCCGATTTCATAGAATTCGACGTGTATGCTCATCTGGGTCGCACTCGGTTGCTTTCGGGTATCGATTGGAATCGGGGGCAGATCTTTGTTTGCTTGCCTTGGTATAGTTGAATGATCGAATTCCAGATGAATTTGTAGAGTGTATGATATTGTTTCCATGGAGCTCTAGGAACGGGGATGTTGATCGGAAATGTGCTTATTGCTGCAAAAATACAGTCTTCAGAGAGTCTTCATACCTTTTTACTGTTTGGTTCCCCTAGTCCTAGATTAGAGCTTGAATTGAGGTGCATAAACGCCTTATAGCATGGCAGTAGAATCGAATCTCCCAGATGTTACCGGTTTCATCAGAAAGTGACCAACTTTTTTTCACTCACGTCTTGTACAGTTAGGGACAATAATGATAACAATTTGATGCGTGTACTGATATTGCCATTATGAGATGTTGGTAACCCCATTTCTTGCAGAAGCTTTGATGCATTCCCATAGCTTACATTGCGTAGGATTGAAGAAGATTTTTTCTGTTTTGGCGTTGGCTTTCTACATTCTACAGGTTGAGACAGCACAATGGGGAGCTCAAAGGTGGAGCGAGAGCATCACGCGCAGGGAGGCCCTGGTTCTGTGCTTGCTTAATACAAGGCTTCTGCAACCGGAGTGAAGGTGAATTTCTGCAAAAACTTGACACCGTCACTTAAACATTTTTACTCTATAATCATTCAACCAAGCCACAATGTTTCATCTTTGATTGATTGGTTGTGGAGAAAGTATCCATATCCCCGGCTCAAAATGCATCCCCTTCCTCTTGGGCAATCCTCATCCAAACGCAGACTCTCACTTTTCTCTATACCTGTCTTATATGCAGCCTGCGAGTTTGAATCAAAATGGAAAGGATTTTCAAGGAAATTGCCTCGAAAGAGAGTGTCTGACGGTGTGAGCAATGAGAAGGCTGATGGCTTAAAGAAACTGATGGAGCACAGGGAGTTGGCTCTCAGTAGAGTTAAGGACGCCTTTGATTGCAGTCAGTTGGATATCAGCTGGCAACTGTAGCAGCAGTTCTGTGTTGGAGGCATTCCCTTTCTGGTCTCCCCATTAGCACCTAGAATGAAAGATGAAAAGTTCACTTTCTCTGCATCGGTATTATTTGCAGCCACCAGAAGTTCAGACCAATGTGGAGAAAACATTTTTGGAGGAAATCGCCTCGAAAGATAGCACGGGACAATGTGAAGAAATACAAGAGTGATGAGTTGCAAAAAAACTGCTCGAGCACAGGAGTTAGCTCTAAGTGCCCCTCAAGGATTCATTTTATTGCAGTCGATCAGATATTCAGATAGCGGATGGCTACTGCAGCAGCAGTTCTCTGCTCCAGATAATTTCTACAGGCATCTGCAGGTTCACGCTATCTATATTAAGTATTGATCGATTTTCGTATTAATGTATTGCTGTAATGTAGCTGAATTTGTAAATGCAGCCGGAAGCATCTCCTCTTACGAGACTGAAGATCTTGTGGATGCAGTCCCTGCAAGAAATTTGGATAAATTGGCTGTGAATTGAACGATTCTTATTATTAGTGATTTTTGTTGAGTAATTTCTGTGGTATTAATGCTGTTGGTGGTTGGTAGCTGCAGCCTGCAAGTTTGGTTTGGCAGCTGAGCTTTTAATATCCTGCCAAACTCTCTTCACTGGTTCAAACGGCCAGAAAAGTTATATACAGCAGCCTTTGTCTTCTCATTCTTCTTCCATTCTCCATCTTTCCTTCGCCATTTGGTGCCTACTCTAATGGCTTCCACACACATTTCATCGTCCCTCTCATTACCAAGCCCTGATCTTCCTCAGTCCAACCGTTTCTGCAGCAGCCCAAACACTGCGGCACTTCAACCCTCCGCTGCCTTCCCACCGAGGTTCACACAGAAGAGTCGTCGAAACAACCCACCACCAGCAATCATCAGACGGACCATCATCAGCTGCAGCAACAGCAATGGCGCCGCCGAACCAGACTCGCAGCAACGCATAGGGCATGTGATGATTGATCACCTGGAGCGACTGGAGAGGTCGATGATGGAGAACTATAACATTGAGAGGCTGGTAAAGCTCGGTAAGCAAGCAGCAGAGGGGGCCAGGAAGGAGGCCTTTCTGCTCAAGGAACGAGGGTTCGCGGAAGAGACGACGGTCAGTGAGCTGCTCAGAGCTTTGGAGCAGATGGAGGTGGCTTTGGCTGCCATCGAGAAAGATGGGATTGGAATTGCAGGGGAGAGTGGGGAGGAGGCTGTGTGGCACGCTTTGGATCGGTGCAGGCAGGCTATCCGTATTGCCAATTCCTTTCGGTGAAAAAAGTTGTCAAACCGGTTTATATCGTTGTGCCGGTTTGACAAGTGGAATGGTATGACCGGTGGTATGACCAGTTTGTACCGGTTCATGCCGGTTTAAAAAATATGAAAACAATTAATATCCAATGTATTTAATCATATATAAAACATATTTGTGGACAATTTAGTTACAATCCAACAAATATCATCAACTTTTAACTATTACATTCATAAAATGAATAATAAATTAATTTTTTATTCATTAAATTCATTAAAATGATGTCATTTTACTTAGAATGTGTAAGTCGATCATACCAATCATACTGGTGGTGTTATGCCGGTTTCATAACCGGCACAGGTTCAACCGGGTGGCATGCCACCGGCATGACAACCAAAGCATCTATTGCTTTTCATGTGCTCCATCATCACCCTGACATTATACTATTATTGTGCTTTAAAAAGAGCGTCTTTTAAGTCAGAAAGTTCAACTGGCAGGCGCGTAAAACAAAGAAGATCTTTGACTACTTCACTAAATGAGTAGAATGTGTGCTTCATATATCCTAATTCTTGAAGTCTCTTTCCTACTCACAAAATCTGTGCTTCGTATATCCTAATTTCACAGTTCACACTTTTCTACTCCCCCCCTCTGTTTTCTTTCTTTACCGTCCCTGTCTCTGAGTTGTGTTTATTGGAAAGCAAGAACGTAACCTGACCAAGTGGTGCAGCCTCTAGAATTCTAGGCAGAAGTAGCACGGGTTAATTGCATGGTTGGTCACTGAGATTATAAAAAGCGTTTACGTTTGGTCATTAGAAATATTTAAATCCAATCTTGGTCACTCAAATTAGTTAAATGGTTCAAGTTTGGTCACTCTCCGTTAACTTCCGTCAATCTCCGTTAACACCGTCAATTATTTGCTGACGTGGCTAACAGACTCACCTAGTCACTTATTTTTGACTAAAATAAAATAAAATCCAATCCTGCCACATCATTAAAGCTTGCCACGTCATATCCATCGTTTTCCTTCCTCCTCCCTCGTTTTCCTTCCTTCAGATATTAAATGAGAATCCAGATGTTTGACCAGAACCGTTTACGAAACCGGTTAACTCTCCCTTTCCTCTTCTGGCCTTCTCCATTTCCCCACCTTATCATCTCTTCCCCGTTCTCCCCAAAAGAAACAACCGCCGCCACCGTCGGCCGCTTCACACCCTCCCCTTCCTCCTCCTCCACCTCCTCCTCTTCCAACCAACCTCCGCCGTCGACTTCGTCTTCAACAGCTTCAACTCCACAAACTCCTCCTCCAGCCTCTTCCTCTACGGATCCGCCGCCGTCGAATCTCGAGTCCTCACCCTCACCAACTCCACCACATTCACCATCAGCCGCGCTCTCTACCCGCAGAGAATCCACACCAAAACCCCCAATTCCTCCTATGTCAACCCCTTCTCCACCTCCTTCATCTTAGCCATGGCGCCGTACAGAGACGCCCTCCCGGTCCACGGATTGGTCTTCCTGTTCGTCCCCTTCGCCGGAATGGAAGGGGCTTCCTCTTCTCAGAACCTGGGCTTCCTCAATCGCACCATCGACCACAATCCTAACACTCGAATCTTCGGCGTCGAGTTCGACGTCTTCGCCAACCAGGAGTTCAGCGACATCAAAGACAATCATGTGGGGATCAATCTCAATTCGCTCACCTCCATATTTGCCAACGAGGCTGGCTACTGGCCGGATTCCGGCGCCGGATTCGAGACGCTGAGGCTGAACAGCGGCGAGAACTACCAAGTGTGGATCGACTACCAGGTGTGGATCGTTAGGTGCAGACCAGAGCCAGGGTCGGAGATGGTGGTGCTCGTGGCGTTGATGTTTTTGTCGAAGGAAGGAGAAGAGGGGAAACCGACGAATTGGACAGGTCGGCGGCAATAGCTTCTTCCGGTCGTCTTCTCCGGACAAGGGATTTTGAGGATTGGTCAATTTTGGGTTTTAATTTGGGGTAGGTCAGATCATGGGTTAATGGGTTGGGTCATATTGGTCAGGTTTTTATGATGTGGGAAGTTTTAATGACGTGGCAGGATTGGATTGGATTTTATTTTTGTCAAAATTAGGTGACTAGGTGAGTCTGTTAGCCACGTCAGCAAATAATTGACGGTGTTAACGGAGACTAACGGAAGGTAACGGAGAGTGACCAAACTTGAACCATTTAACTAATTTGAGTGACCAAGATTGGATTTAAATATTTCTAGTGACCAAACATGAACGCTTTTTATAATCTCAGTGACCAACCATGCAATTAACCCTTCATATATCCTAATTCTTGAAGTCTCTTTCCTACTCACAAAATCTGTGCTTCGTATATCCTAATTTCACAGTTCACACTTTTCTACTCCCCCCCTCTGTTTTCTTTCTTTACCGTCCCTGTCTCTGAGTTGTGTTTATTGGAAAGCAAGAACGTAACCTGACCAAGTGGTGCAGCCTCTAGAATTCTAGGCAGAAGTAGCTGGGCCTTGAACACAAAGGCCTGCCTTTTGTTTTTATCTTAAGCCCATTTCCTTTTTGTTTGGGCTTGCTTTCATATAAAGCCCATTTGTTGAGAAGGATGAATCACATTCCATTTCCATCCAGTTCTCGACTCCCTCCAAGCCGAACGTTTGCTTCGCTAGGGTTTCCAACTTAAGTTGGTGGAGTAACACATTAATATGAAAAAACTGATGAAAAACTTGTCACTAAAGTTTCAGAAATCAAAGTTGTTAGGAGACCTGTTGTTCCAAAGTGTAAACTTGAGGGACCGTTAATGTAATTAACCCCAAATTTACCATAAGGTAATTAGTGGGGATTGGGGAATGTTACACCCAAATATATACGTTGGTTTGCTAGCTAGGGTTTCCAGTAGGCATTAATCGTCAATCCCTCTGCAAATCTGCCGGCGGATACAGTTTGTCGTTCCCTTGATCGAGTTCCATCGAATATCTCCGGAATCAGGTAATTAGGTTAATGCAACCTCCGTATTGGTCTCCTCTAGTTTTCCATTAATTCGCTTCGTTCCGTCATCTTGTTGTCTATGCCCTAATCGGTCAGACTGTTCTTCACGGGCCGGGGTAGCTCAACTTTTTTTCTTGGCAAAAAGAAAAAGAGCGGCGAACATGGCAGCTGCAGGGAACTCGGACGGGTCAACCCGCCGCCAGGCCCAAGAAATCGGAGACAGGTTGAGCGATCTCCCCGACAACATTCTGCACCACATCCTGTCGTTCCTCAACACGAACTACATCGTACAAACCAGCGTCCTGTCGAGGAGGTGGAGATCCCAGTGGGAAAACGTCCACGCTCTCAATTTCGAGGTGCTCCACCACCACTGCCACGTACGCCAAGCCAAGTTCAGAGAACACGTGGTCGAGTTCCTGTCTCGCCGCGGCGGACCCGACGACTCCGCAGCTGTCTCCAGCGTCACCATCGACGTGAACAACGCCGCTTGGGAACTGGAGACGGACCTTTTTGATACGGTCATGAAGTATGCTCGTACTCTGCGCCGACTGGGAGTGCACGGCAGCACTCTGGCGACATTTTTTTACGCCAACTTCGACGAGCTCGCTGCCTCCCTGACGGCTCACCGCCATCACGAGTCTCTCGAGGCTCTCGAATTGGGCCGCTGCAGTCTCCAGAACGGCGACGCTTTTGGTTCCGTGGGATTCGGCAGCCTGACGAATCTTGAACTCCGTGGCTGCACGTTTTCGTCATGTTGTGACCCTTTCGTTGGTATCCCTAGGCTGAACCGCCTGAAGCTTGATTCGTGCTCGTTGTCAATGTGCAGCTTGAAAATCTCGGGGCTCGAGCTCCTGAGCCTGGAGATCTCAGGCGTATACTCGGTTAGAGGAATTGATGTGGTTGCTCCGAAGCTGAAATCTTTCGTTTTCCACAACTATTCGGCGGCGTGTCTCGAGAACTTGGAGCTTCCTTCGCTGGACCGCGCGATTGTTCGAGTATATTGGGGTGATCGGCGGGGTCCTGACGCGGCGCGGATTCAGAAGAACGAGGAATATTATATGAAGTTGTTGCGTGGGTTGCATAATGCAACATCTCTCACCCTACGTTTTGATAAGGTAAAATGACTAAATGATCAGTTTGTTTACTTACGGATTTGGATTTGGTGATAGATTCGTTTATGTATTTAGAGATAACAAAGCACAAGTAAACAAAGCATAAAACGACTCGTTAATGTTGCTATATGACTTGAAATCTGATTATCATACCTTCTCAACTTCTCTATATAACTCATATCATCCTCAAATATAGTAAAACTGATTTCTCCTACCTATAGATGCATCTTTCTCATCTCTATTTTCCTCCTTATCAGATATATTACTGGAAGTGGAAAGAACATGAATTCCCATTTAACAACATGAAGTCGGCGATGGAGTCGGAAGCATCTCCGTTTACGAGGCTGAAGATCTTGAGGGTGGAGTACCCACTAGACCCACCACCAATCACGCTACATGATCACGTGATCCGTTATTTCTTCGAACGCTCGTCTAATGCAGAAGAGAAGATCGTTAAGTTTGAGAAAGGTAAAACGTCTTGAATAATGCACCGTTGTTAAACTTGTTGCTCCAAAGCTGAAACCTTTCCTTTTTCCACAGCTTCGAGACGATGAACTAGAGGTTGAATGAGGCATATATCGAGTCATTTTTTGTTGGTTGCATAACAGCAACAATGGTGTTTCCCGCCAACAGCTGGAGCAGGAAGCATCTCCATTTCTCCGACTGAAGATCTTGCAAGGTGTTGATGTGATATGAATTGGATTATCAGCCTCTACGACTGGAAGTCACAAGAATTTAGTCTGTAACTGTTTTTCTTTTACCATATTGGATTAGGGTTAGACATTGGAGAAGTACTATAAATACTTCTCATACTTTTTGTATCTCTTTAAGTATAGTGAAACTGGCTCTCTTTTGCTCGTAGACTAGCTAACACACATTGTGTTAGTGAACTACGTAAATCGTGTGTGTTCGTGCTTTTCATTTTTTTCTTGCTTGTCGATTCCTCTTATTTCCCGACCCATAGAAAACAGCCGTGAACAGGGTGTGAGAAATCCTATGATTGAAGTTGTCCGTTAACCAGTGTATCGACCTATCAAAGTAGTAACAGAGAAGGTCCTGTCGACCCACTAAATAGTTATTGTACAGGGAAGGAAAAGATTAAGAATGGTTTCCCGGTGATGTGGGTTTCATGGAGTAACATGCTTGAATTTATTTGAATCACTACTTTCTTGCCTTCGTCGTCTTTGTCATTACTAATGTGTGTACTACTTTAACACGTCAAAATTTCACAATTTTGAATTTGGATGAATGTTTCATTGGTTTTTTGTAAAACCATCGGTCTAAATAAGACAAACTATTATTTAGTGGGTCCACTCTATTACAACAGAATTACTAGTATAATTGGACAATACACTGGTCAACCGACAACCGAATTAATGTACCAGTTGATTTGCTGTTATCGTTGTGGCTCAACAAACCAATTTTTCTAAACTTTAGAGACAAGTTTTTAAGAAATCAAAGTTAAAGATACCTATTGTTAGGGGTGTTCAAACGGTGTGGTTATCATGGTAACCGTTTTAACCGGTAATATTTGGATAATTTATTTTGGTTAATTTGGATAATTGGTTTGGTTTGGTTAAAGTTTTTAGCTTGTTTGGTTTAGGTGGTTTGGTTTGGTTTCAGGCACTCTTAACCAGCCAAACCAAATTAACCAGATAAATAATTAGCCATATATCTAATATATACACATACTAAATATTTTAAATAACCACTCAAGAGTTAAACGTTCATCCTTTTAGACTCATAAAATATAAATCTTGATATTGTTCCTATAATGTATAATTTGTATATGTAGAGTGTAGACCACAACATATGAACGCCTAATTTAGATAAATCTCATACATTATGTTGGATGAAAACTTGAAAGCAAGGTATTTTTCAGCCTATCAAAATTGCTAAAAGACTAAGTCAATTCAAACAAACACAATAATTCATTAACCCATACCATTGTGATAAATTTTTGTTAGGTGAATATTTCTATACTAACCGTAAGATAATATTCTTAGTTGCATGTATTTATGTTAAGGGTCAACTATAACTATGTGTCGATTGTTATGTTTTATTCATTATATTTATTTATGAGAATGTTTTATTCATTATATAAATTACGAATTGATAATTTAACCGAAAATATTCTCATTTAATGATAATATGATTTTATATTGGTTAATCTAGTTAACCAATTAACCAAACCGATTAAACTTTAGTTTGGTTAATTTGGTTGTTGTATTAGTTTAGACGGTGGTTATGATATTGTATTTCCTGGTTAATGAAATTTAACCTTATTTGATTTGGTAAGCTTAACATATATTATGGCCGTTGTGGAGAAAGTTTTTGCCACGTAGGACAAAGAGAGCTCCACAATTTTCCATGTCATTTTATTTTAATATTTTAAGTTATTAATTACATTAAAATAAAACTAAATAAACATGTGTATCAATTATCATGACCAAGATTTGAACCTCTGACCTCCAAGCTTAAACTATCATCATTTCAATTGTTCAACCAATAAGATAAAGTATATTTGATGCTATTGATCACAACAAAACATGTATATCAATGACCATAACTAGGATTTAATCATGCAACCTAGGAGCTCAAACTATAATCATTTAAGTTGTTTAACCAATAGAAAAAATATCTTTTATGGAATTAATCACAACAAGATTAATACTCATTTTATAAAAAAATATACAACACATAAAATTATATTTTTATTTAATGGTTGACTTATGTACATTACACAATAAAAACTATCACGGTTAAATTTTTTATTCTATTATTAAGAAACGATAGAAATCTTTAACAACTAAAAATAACTTATTTTAATTTTTTTAGTTTATAATATGTTTGATAATATTTTTAATTTTTTAATAATTAAAAAAAACTAAAAAGCATGAATTTAGTTGGTACCCATTTATTAACTTTTACATAATTTGACATATGATTTTTAAAAAATGAAAAACTAAAAATAACTTTCGTATTCTAAGACGAAATATTTAATAATTTTTTGTACGAGCGAATATAAATATGTGAACCAATACAATTATGTTGCAATTTGTTAGAAAATAGCTACTATAAATATATGAGCTAATACACTCTTATCGTGTTGTACTATAAAAATAACATGTGAGATATTCCTATAGGTTAAGATTAATGAAATATATCAACATAATTCAATTTATTGGCACACAATAATTTCATGTGTTTAAGAATATCACCAAACACCAATGGTCACTAAATTTTTTGTAGCTTTTTTGAAACCGAATTATGGTTATATGACTTAAATATGTCCGTGCTCAATTGGTAAGAAGTTACAAGAAAATTAATGTACATATACATATGTATTTGTCATCTTTAGGAAATGAATTTTACGTTTCTCGCATATTAAATGATATCATTATCTTTTCTTTTATGCGATTTCAATTTCATTCTATTTTCAAATTTGCGTACGTCATTGGATTTTCTTCCATGCACAATTATAAAACACATTGTCTTTACTTTTTTTCCTGATGTTATTATAATTTTCTCTTTTTTCTTTTTATTGTTTGACATTAATTATTTTCTTTTTATTAGAGTGTAGATTTGCAACTGAGTCATCTTCATATGCATAGCATCTTAATTAAAAAAGATTTATAAACAAATGTTAATATATATAATGGTTGAGATGTAAATAACTATTTTTATCCATACTTAATGTGACACGCTAATACATATATTACTATTCTATTTTCAATAACCATTTATACTCGCAGGATAACCTGACTCATAAGATAATGATATAATTCTTCTCCGTTACCTTTAAGAGTACAACTCGAAAGGACTTATTGTCCCTTCCCGTGACCATGGCAAAATATGGAGTATTTAGTTTCCCATCACCCACCTCTCAGTCCTTACTCGCTTAACTTAACTGTCAAGATACATCCGATATGCTATATCTCATTCAGTCAAATAAACATTCATTCATCACCACATGTCATACCACATTCATCACCTCGAACTCAAATAATTCATACATTAACAACATAAGGACCATCACCCAGCCTCTTGATAACTCACTGTATAAACATGTATGCATCAAGTATCACATCATATCGGCATTACCATTTAACCCCATCCCAACATAGCGAAACATCACATCATCTAATGGTAAATCATTGTCTAAAACACCATAGAAAACCATCACATAACCATCATCATTGACATGCACATTTCATATATCACATTATAGGAAGTCAATAAGTCATCACTTAACCACATCATAAGTAATCTTTACACAAGAATTCAATCACATGCATGGTTAGGTTGATTCAGGGACTTTTACTTCTTAATTTGCCAAGTCATACACTCCCCGGATAGTACATTAGATGTAATGTACACCACCTTGGATCGTACCTAGACTGGTATCCTGTAATCCACTACGGGATCATACCCCGACCGATATCCTGTATAACAGTGCGGGACATACACGAATCGGTGTCCTGTAAAACCAATGCAGGATCATACCCTGACCAATGTCCCGTAAATTCATCTATTGTACTAATTGCACAACATGGCTCCTTTATGTTTGTATTAAGTTATCACACAATTCCAATTACAACCAGTCACACATTTAATATTGGATGATAATGTGAAGCGAAGACAAAGTGTCCCTATAACTAACATTTCGATTTGATATCATTCATAAAATGTTGAAGGTAATATAGAAGCATAGCAAGTTTGGTTGTACTTTAATATGATTGTGGAAAAGGCTAGCGTACAATCGAGGTGTAATATACACCTTCGTTCACACCTATTAGTTGTTCTTTAATATATTTTGACAAATAATAATCCTTGGTTATTATTTTTGTATTAAATGAATCTTACGATTTGGATTGAGAATTAGAGAATGGGGTTCACCCATTAGAGACTATGGTATAGTATCATGTCCCAAACTCTGTTAATTAATGGTCTAAAACTCTAAATAGCAAAACTCGAAATGAGTACGGTAAGGTGGCGGAAGCTAGCTTAAACCATATACAACTTATGAAGTTGAAAATTGCAGGTCAATCAAAGATTAGATGGTATGAATACTATTTTCGAAGCAGTGATGAAGTTACAACGTTGTTTAACATTATTGTTGATCATGATTAAAACCTTGATAGCGCCCCTCATATCTTTTTTTTTATTCAACGCGCCCCTCATATATGATGAAACAAGGATAATAGATAAAAATAATAAATAAATATGAAAATTAGGAGTCCGATACCATTGGAAAAATTACATATAATAGAGGTAAAGGTACAAACAAATGTAACTCGCCGCCCATCGGGCGGGCACAAAACTAGTAACCATTTGAACACCCCTACTTATTGTATCCAAGTGTAAAGTAGTCGAGGGACCGTTCATGTAATTGACTCACAATTTACCGTGAAGTAAATAGGGTAATAAGTGGCGGAATGTTTCACTAATTACATGTTGCTTTGCTAGGGTTTCCCGTAGCCAATCGTCAATCCCTCGCCGGATAAAGTGTCGTTCCCTTGACAGCTAGAGTTCGATCGAATCTCGCCGGAATCAGGTAACTAGTTTTTCATTGATTCGCTTCGTTTCGTCATGAATCTTGTCTTATGCCCTAATCGGTCGACTGTACTTCACGGGTAACTAGTTTTCTTGGAAAGAGAAACGAGCGGCGGCGAACATGGCAGCAGGGAGCGCAGAAGGGTTTCAGAAGCCCCAGCTCCAAGTTCCAATCCACGGCGTTGTCGGGTCGGAAGAAACCGGCGGCAGGTTGAGCAATCTCCCGGACAACATTCTGCATCACATCCTGTCATTCCTCGACACGAAACACGTCGTGCGAACCAGCGTCCTGTCCAGAAGGTGGAGATCCCAGTGGAAAAACGCCCACGCTCTCAATTTCTTTGTGCACCACTACACCGTGCGCGAAGCCGAGTTCAGAGAACACGTGGTCAAGTTCCTGTCCCGCCGCCGCGGACCCGACGCCGCAGCTGTCTCCAGCGTCACCATCGACGTGTCCAATCTCATGTGGAAACAGGAGAAGCTGGAGATGGACCTGTTTGATAAGGTCATGAAATACGTTGCTCGTCGTCGGGGTAGTAGTAATAATAGTCCTCCTCTTCGCCGATTGGCAGTGTGTGGTTGCCCTGGGTTGAAAAAAGTCAACTACATCAACTTCACTGAGCTCGCTGGGTCCGTGATGGCTCACCGCCATCACGAGTCTCTCGAGGCTGTCGAATTGGGCTACTGCAATCTCCAGAGCGGCGATGCTTTTGGGTCGGTGAGATTCGGCAGCCTGACGAATCTTGAACTCCGTGGCTGCACGTTCTCGTCTGTGGCGGCGGCGGCGGCGGCGGCTGCTTGTTGTGACCCTTTCGTCGATCTCCCTAGTCTGAGCCACCTGAAGCTTGATTCCTGCTTGATGTTGTCAGCAGGCTGCAGCTTGAGAATTTCGGGGCTCGAGCTTCTGAGTCTGGAGATTTTGAGTGTACACTCGCCTAGGGGAATCGATGTGGTTGCTCCGAAGCTGAAGTTTTTCCTTTACTACGACTATTCGGCGGTGGAACTCGAGAACTTGGACCTTCCTTCGCTGGACTGCGCGATGATTCGAGTGAGTTGGGGTGATCATCAGTGGGGTCGCAACACGGCAGTACGAATGCGAATTCAAAAGAACGAGGAATATATGAAGCTGTTGCGTGGGTTGCATAATGCAACATCTCTCACCCTACGTTTTGCCAAGGTACATAATAAGTTTGTTTACTTTAAGTGTTGGATGTATGACTTTGAAGTGGATTTGAAGTTTGCACACGTTTGTATACCATGTGCTTAACAAACGAGGGTCGTCGAAATTCGAACGGAAGACCCTCTAAGTTACAGAAAGCTCTGATATCACGTCAAGAGCCAGTTGGTCCCCAATAACTTGAGTTGTTAATTGGGAGATATTCAATAATATATCTTATACGACATACTAACAGTATCATTCTCAAATATTGTGAAACTGATCTTTTTCTACCTATGGATTAACTAACACACACATTGTATTAGCACACTATGAGATCTGCGTGTTCTTCATTTTTCTGGTTTATCAGAACTATTGTGGAGAGTGGAAAGAACATCAATTCCCATTTAACAACATGAAGTCGTCGATGGAGTCGGAAGCATCTCCGTTTACGAGGCTGAAGATCTTGAGGGTGGAGTACCCACAAGACCCACCAATCGCGCCAAATGATCATGTGATCCGGTACTTCTTCGAAGGCTCATCTAATGTAGAAGAGAAGATCGTTAAGTTTGAGAAAGGTCACATTGTGAACTATTGTTAAACTTGTTGCTCCAAAGCTGAAACCTTAAGCTTTTCCACAGCTGTGAGAGCATGGATCAGAGGTTGAATGAGGCATATAACAGCGACATCTCCCAACCTACCTTTTGACGAGGAAGAGGTTTATTTGGTGTTGATGTGACTTGAATCGGACTATCAGCCGCTACGACTGGTAACAGCGACATCTCCCACGGTGTATGGGCTCAATGTTATTTGGGTTCGGGTTCTGGGCCTGGTCTGTAACCGTTTCCTTTGCCAGATTGGATTAGGTTTAGACCCACATGGAGAAGTACTATAAATACTTCTCATACTCCTCTGTAATCTCCTTGATATAGTGAAACTGGCTCTCTCTCGCCCGTGGACGTAACTAACACACATCGTGTTAGTGAACCACGTAAATCGTGTGTCGTGTTTTCGATTCTCGCTTTCGTATTCTTGCTTTTGTCGATTCCTGCGATTTCCCGATTCGTAGCAGCGCGTTTGTAACACTTGGGCTGATGTGGAGATTACATATTTGAACAGCAACAGTAGCCTTATTGTGTAGGACAATAACAATTATGTTTCTCGATTATCAGTTCTATAAAGAAGTTTGTTGAATTGCGATCGGTTTCGCCACGAGAAGTTTCTTAAGTTTGGTATCAGAGATTCTCTTCGGACGGGAACTGATGAATTTGGTCTACTATACATTAAAGCGTTTATTTTTATTTGAATCAAGCATGGTTAAAGTTGGTAATAATCTCTGTCATCATTTTTTTTTTTTTGGGTAGAAAAATGGGACGCTAAAAGGGCGCCCCTGCCTGAAACATTAAACTAAACGAGATTGGGCAATGCCCAAAGAGTCATACAAGAGCCAAAAATTAAGCCCTGAATCATTCAGCTCAACAACATGACACCCTAGACTGAGAGAATGGCCTTTGTTGGCCAAAAAATCCGCAGCTTTGTTTCCTTCTCTGAACGTATGAGAGATACGAATCTCCCATTCTTGATGAAAGAGGCTCTGGAATTGCCTCCAGAGATTGTGGTACCGGCCTTCAAAGTGCCCATGCGAGTTCATAATACCGAGGGTGACCATCGAATCTGTTCTCAGCTCCACTCTGCGGCAACCCAAATTCCATGCCAGGTGAAGCCCCTGAATCGCCCCCAACAGCTCTGCCCTGGTAATTGTACAAGCACCTAGATTCGAAGTGAATGCACCTAGACATTTGCCCGAGCAATCGCGCACCAGGCCCCCCGCAGCTGCCCGCGAATCCGGGTTTATCACGGAGCCATCTGAGTTGACGACAACCCAGTTGTGGTCGGGTGGGGTCCAAGCAATATCCGTCGCAGTCTTTCTTTGTTGCGGAGAGTGGATAGCCTTTTCATTGCTTTGAGCATCTCTAATAGTATTGGTCCAGCTTCGTATTCTTTGGACAAGAGTGTTGGTATCCTGATGCTTCCAAATTGCCTTCCAGGTAGGTGCTGCAGAAGTTGAAATCGCACCCCCATCCCCTTTGTTGAGCCAATCTGCCGCCACGGTATAAGCAGATCCCAGCCGAAACTTCCCGTCCTGCTCCATCCCCCACGACGTCTGATCCTCCCCCGATTCTTCGTTTGGCGCATCAAGCCCTACAATAAGGAGATTAATAGAGTCAGGGAGGTAATCTTTAAAACGAGACCAATTCCACTCACCTGGGCTAATGGCCATATCTGCAACAGAGGCGTTCCAGTCTACAGCATCAGCTAAGTTGTCTGCATAGTCCTTGAGGTAGACTCCCTCGGCTACCCAAGCATCTTGCCAGAAGTTAACACTCTCCCCATTCCTGATATCCCACACTGTTCCTTGTTTCACAAGAGGGAGGGCTTCCAAGATTCCTTTCCAAAGCCTAGAGACCCGCTGATGACGCATCGAAACCCTGCCATCGTCATTCGTCTTGACATACTTGTCATGCAAAACTCGGACCCAAAGAGGCTTTTCATCATTAAGGAAGGTCCAACCTAACTTCATCAAGTAAGCCAGATTAAGCGCCCGAGCCGAGCGAAGACCCAAGCCCCCTTCTTCCTTCTGTTTACACACATTCTCCCACGAGACTAGATGCGCTTTGGTCTGCCCTTCTTCAGCTCCCCAGACAAAACGTCTGATCTTTCTATCGATCGCCTCGCAGATGTGACATGGGAGGACAGCCGTTTGCATCACGTAATTCGGGAGGGCGTTCAGCACCGAGAGCGCGAGGGTGACCCGACCTGCTAAAGAGAGGCTCCGAGTCTTCCATCCCGCCAGACGCTTATCTATCTTCTCTAGAACATACTTGTAAGTGTCCTTCGTTACTCGACCATGGAGCACCGGAACACCAAGATATCTGCCCAGGTTATCAGTCTGCTTCATGCCCAATAATCTACTAATTCTTCTCTTTCTCTGCTCCCTTGTGTTCCTCGAGAAGTAGATACATGATTTATCCTTGCTCACTTCCTCCCCCGAGGCTGCGCAGAACCTGTCCAGGCAGTCGAGAACAGCCCTCCCCTGCTTTGTATCGGCTTCAGCGAAAAGAACTAGATCATCTGCAAAAAAGAGATGCGTCAGTGCAGGACCATTCTTAGTTAAATGCAGAGGAGTCCATTCCCCATTGCCAACAGACTCCTTAATGCAATGATTCAAACGTTCAATACAGAGAGTAAACAGATAGGGAGAGAGGGGACATCCCTGTCTTAATCCTCGTGAAGGTTTGAATGAGTCTGTACAACTACCATTCCATAGAACCTGGAGACTGGAGGTTGTAACACAAGCCATGATCAGATTGATGAAGTCATAAGGAAGGCAAGCCGCTACCAGGGTGGAACGCAGGAACTCCCAATTGATTCTGTCATACGCCTTGGCTAGATCAATTTTCAAGACCATGTTCCCACGACGACCCTTAAGCTGGCTAAAGGAGTGGACCACCTCCTGCAGGATAATAATGTTGTCCGTGATGTGCCTATTGGGTACAAAGCTGGTTTGGTTCTCATCAATCAGCCTGGGAAGGATATTTCTCAGTCGATCTGCCAGGCATTTAGCTAGCACCTTGTAGCTCACATTACAGAGCCCTATAGGACGAAACTGACTCGTGGAAGAGGGCGAGTCAACCTTGGGCAGCAAGGAGAGGAGGGTCATGTTGCAGCTGGCTATGCGATCTGGCTCCTTGAAACACTGGACTAAATGACGGTGGAAATCATTACCGATAGAAGCCCAACATTTCTGATAAAATACCGCATGGAAACCATCCTTGCCCGGGGCCTTTAGACCACCCATCGCTTTAATGATCCTGCAAGTTTCTTCTTCCGTGGGGACAGCAGCCAGGCCACGCAGAGCACTATCTTCAATCATCGGAAACATGGCCACTAAAGTAGGCCTAATACCAACATCTTCAGTGAATAGATTGATATAGAATTCCCTTGCCATAGCTTCCAATAATTGGGGATCTTCCACCCAGGTTCCATCTATGGCTCTCAGCTTGGAAATCTTATTCCGACGGCGTCTAGTCAAGGCAGCAGTATGGAAGAAAGAAGTGTTTTTGTCTCCAAAGTTGATCCAGCCCGCTCTAGCTTTCTGAATCCAGAGCAGCTCCTCCTGCCATAAAGTTTGCTCCAAATCATCACGAAGAGAGGCCTCTTGCTGAAGGCCATAGAAATCAGGAGCAGAATCATTCCTGACTTCGGCAGCGGCAAGACGTTTGGTGAGAGCGGCCTTCCTCTTAAAAATATTTCCGAAGACCTCCCTATTCCAGATAGCAAGAGTATGTTGAAGTTCTTTCAGGGAATCAAGGAAATCTGCTCCCGTCTTCCAAGAGTTCTCTAGCGTGGGCTGGAAATCTTCATGGGTGAGCCACGGGGCAAGAAACCTAAAAGGCCTCTTCTGTTTGTAGTGAGGTTGGTCGTTGGAGGAGCAGATGAGAAGAGGCCTGTGGTCCGATCGGAGCCGCGGTAAGTGATTAGTGATCGTCTCTGGGAAACAGCTCATCCATTCAGCATTGCAAATGGCCCGATCCAGTCTAGAGAAAAGGTTCCCCCTGACCCAGGTGAATCTTGGGCCCCTGAACTCCACATCTAGCAGCCCACAGTCATCAATGCATCTGTTGAAATTAGCTGAGTTTGCTGGGTTATAGGCCGCCCCGCCAATTCTCTCCGAGGGCCCCCGGATAGAATTAAAATCGCCAGCCAAAAGCCAAGGTTCAGATATGTTCTGCTCTAGTCTTCTCAGTGCATCCCAAAGCGGCAGCCGATCGTGATCATTAGGTTTGGCGTAGACTGCCGTAAGGAGCACAGCTCGATTGTCCTGCACATTCACACAACGAAAATGAAGCATTTGAGAATTACGTTCCAGAACAGAGATGGAAAAGACAGCGGAATCCCACAGAACCCAAATGCCCCCCGAAAATCCCACAGCCTCTACCATCTCATGCTTATCAAAACCCATTTTGCTAATTATCTCCAGCGCATCCTTGCCACTGATACGAGGCTCAACGATGAAGACCAAATTAGGACGATGAGTAAACACATAATCTTTGAAAATCGCCAAAAATTTGGGGTTTTTAGCCCCACGACAATTCCACGAAAATAACTTAATCATCTAAAACGAGAGGAAAGGGAAAGGAAGAAAATGCGCCCAATCGCTAAGTCTCTGTGGTCGGTTGGCCAGCATTCACTTCGATGTCCGGCGGTGAGACCCTGGCCTGGTCGCTGTTGTCCGTCATCGCCAGATCGTTTACTTTGCCTCCCTCTGATTGCATGTTCCCCTCGGAAGGTCTCTTCATGGAATTCATGAACTCTATGACGGATTGAGGGTTGATGGGGAAATTGGGCATTGTAGACAGATCTTGCAGAAGCTTCCTCGCCTTCTGGGAACTCTGAGACAGCGGCTTTTTGGATGCTTCTTTCATGCTTTTCGGCTTGATATCCCACGCCGAGGTTTTCTGCGATTTGGTTTTCTGGGAGCGGTGGCGAATAGACGGAGTCGGCTGATTGGGGTCGGTGTTCTCTTTCATTGTTGGATGCGGCGGAGAGGGAATCCTCAGAATAGAAGTACAAGTGACTGGGCTCAACATTCCCTCAACCCCATTTTGGTCCGTCGGTTGGTCTGATGGGCTTGGCCCAGTAAGTTTTCCTGACTTGTGAGACTCTCCTTGGGCTTGGGACTTTTTATCACTTTCCTTCAACCCAACTGGCCTCCATTCCTGAGTAGCCGATCCAGTAATCTCTGACAAAGAGACGTTGCCGTTCCCCACTGCTTTCCCTTTCGGAGCTAAGGAGTTGCCTTTCTTGTCTTCTGCCTTCGAAGTTGCCTTTCCTTTCCCGTCCTTTCCCAAACTTGGTCTGATCAGCTCGCCCTTTCCTTGTTGGTTTGCCTTCGGATTGGCTTTCCCAGACATTCCCCCGCGTCCTGAGTCTCCGCCCTGGTTACTGGCCCCAAAATGCGCTGCTTTCCTATTCTGTCTTTTACTCTTTCTCGTCACTTGCATCCACGGCCCGTAACCGGCAGGGGACTCCGACAGCGGCGGCGATTCTTCGATGGGGAGGACGGTGGTTGCCGTTGTCGAGGAAACGTTCGCAACATTGCACACTTTTTTGGGGCAGCTCTCCTCGGTGTGTCCTATCCTACCACATTCAAAGCAAATCTCCGGTAAGTTCTCGTAAAGGACCGTTTGCCAGAACCCGTCCAGCCAGATCCGAGTCGCCAGCGGTTTCGTCATGTCTAATTCCACCGCTATCCGAGCAAACTTCCCACGCTCCATATTCTCCGTGTGATAATCGAGCTTCACCGTTCTGCCAATAAGATTCCCCAAGGCAAATAGGACCTCCCGGTGGTAAAAATGGACCGGAAGCTCCGGCAGCTGGATCCATGCTACAACCGATTTGTGGGGTTTATCAGTAGTTCTGAACGACGGCGACCACTGGTGGACAACAAGGTAGTGATCAAGTATCGTCCATGGTCCCCCGGTGAGCGCGTGAAGGAAATCTTGATCGTTCTGGAACGTGACCAGAAAGGTTCTGTCGTTCAGATCCAGGATATCCAGTCTTCCGGTTGGCCGCCATTTCCACCGGAGTTGGGAACACAGGTATGCATAAGAGATCGAACGCCCAAGCAGTCTGACTACGAGAGTTTTCTTCCATGGGGAGCAAAGGCGATCCTTGAACTTGTCAGAGACCTTGAGCTCCGGCTCGCCACCAAAGAGCCCGGGTTCCAGGTCATGTTCTCCGACGAACGTCCATTGATTAAGCTTGGGCGGTGCGGTCTGTGTTGGACCGGCAAGAGCCATCTTGAAATTGAGCGGAGGGAAGCTTGCCGGATCAGAAGGCGCGAGTTGCTGTGGAAGAGGCAGGGATGGGCCTGGGTCCGGAGGACGGCCAGCTTGTGGTGGAACAATCGCCGGAGAGAAGGAGGTTTCCGGAGCGGTACAGAGCATTTCTCTTTCCTCAAACCCTGTCATCATTTTCATTACTGATTCTGGTAAATTCACACGTTAATGTTGGCGATTCAAAAATTAACCGAGGTGGTTATTATTTCAGTTATTTCAAATTTAATAACAAATTTTTAAAATTTTGAAGTTAAGTGAAACGTGTTAATTTACCAACACCCGTGATAAATTTGAAATTCTACTGTTAAAACCCTGCAATCACATCGTGGCTCGTGCCCATAATTAAGTGTTGGAGGCATGCATGCACGTACGTAGCTTTATGGGGGGAAAGCCAAACAGATGTATGGAAATTAATTGACTGATTACCAGCCCAGCCCAGCCCAGCCCAATGCTCATAACAAATCAGACGTGGGCCGGGCCAACTAACAATCAGATCTCCTTTACTTACATTCTGGCCCATACCCAGCGTTGCTTTCCTCCTTCTCGGACCAACGGTAAAGAAGTCCAACAGTCGAGATCCGCTCAACGCGTGGCAACAAAACAAAAAAAAAAAAAAAAAGGAAGTGGTTCAGTTCAGCACGTAACAGCAGTCAGCAGGCACGTGAGGAAGCATATGCATGGATCCAAAAAAAAAGGCGCCAACTCGCAGGGACACGTTACCATTTTTGCAGATAGTTTCTCCTGCATCCCTTAACGTTCATCACCCCTCGCCCAAAGCTAAAAACGTAATCAATCTGGAGGATTCTGATCCGCCGCTTGATCTCCACGTAACCCTGCCCTTTTTCGGCATTTTTTCCACGTAAAATGCAGATAGTAATACTTAGAGGATGTGTTTATTTAATTATGGATTAAACAATGTAAATTTCAACGGTATAAGAACGTCGGGACGATACAAGTTTATTCTCGTTGCAATATAGACAGATGTCCTATTTTATCCAATATTCTCAAAAGGACGCATGTCAATCAGTAATAAACAAAGCAAGAGCGAAGATAATTTCAATTTGTCACTTATAATTGCAATGACTAATGAACAAAAGGAAAGAAGTGATAGATTGTTGACCTTCCACGCTCTAAGCAAATCAATTTTTTTTTTTTTTTTCATTTAGAAAATGAATTGCTTAATCAAAACATTTTCTCTCACATTCATGCGTTTCATAAGTATCCAAATCCATCCTCCGCCACCCAACACAAATCCTTCCAGGTCCTACGGTCCTTTCCTCACGCCCACACTATAAGCCGCCATTCCACTGTTTTTCAATCCAATTTCTCGCGCCTTCTCTCATCCCCACCGAATTAGCTTCGACCAGGAGACGAGGAAGAAGAAATGGCGTCGGAGAATCAGGATAAGGAGAGAGATCACCGCCCGTCGGCGGCGGAGTACTTCCTCGATGAAGATGACGAGGGAGATTTGAGCAGAGCGGAAGCCGGCGACGACAGAAGCGGCGTCGGAACCGACACCAACTCCAGCTCCAGCAGTAGCAGCAGCTCCGACGAGGAGGAGAAGAATGCCGACGACGACTGCGAAGGTGGCGAGACTTTCACGTCTCGGCAGTGGCCGCAGAGTTACCAGTACGCTTTTCTTACGATTCATTTCCGTTTGGTTGACTGGAATTCTCTGTTTTCCTCTCTGATCTCCATCGATTGTGACTGTGATGCATGCCTGGAATTTGTGATTCTGTACTTGTAGCTTACTGAAATCTCCGACGAATTTGTGTTTCTGGAAGTTTCAATTGGCGAGCTACAGAACAGTTCTGAGTGAATGATTGCGAACTTTGGGGGTTTCTTTGTCCGTGATTTGAATTTTGTGCTGTTTGTTTGTTTGCTGGTGGCAGAGAAACGATGAATTCATACTCGATTGCAATGTCGCCGAGCCTTGGATTTATGGCTCCTGTGCAGCAGCTGGCGCCTTACTTAGGTCTTGAAAGCTTCATAAGTAACGCGGACCAGGAATCAAAGGCTCCCTTGATTCCTGAGCGAGAGGGGAGCTACAGGAGGGTAGAATCGGATAGGTTCTCGATAGCGCAATCGTCTTTCTCGAAGGCTTCGTTCGCGAATACGGAGTTGCCGATTCCTCATGGGTGTAGCGTCACTCAGACTGTCTTCAACTGTAAGCTTCACTCACAACTGACAGTGCTACAAGTTGTTTTGCGATCTACGGTATTATATGATGGCTTTGATCGCTGACATTGTGCAATTGTGGAACAACAGCGGTGAATGTAATGGTGGGAATCGGGCTACTCTCGACGCCTTACACTATTAGGGAAGGAGGGTGGTTCAGTTTGTTTATAGTGGCCTTTTTCGGGTGCGTCTGTTGTTACACTGCTTATCTGATGAAGCAATGCTTTGAGAGCCGAGATGGCATAACATCATATCCGGACATGGGAGAAGCTGCATTCGGGAAGTATGGGCGCCTAGCAATATCTGTGAGTTGTTCTGGCTGCAAATTTAATCAGTGTGTTGAATCTTGGTAGTCCTTCCACCATGTCATAGATTGCTTGCCTTTCACCTTCAGTTACGTGTATGTATATATGTAGCTGTTTATGCATCTCTCTGCAGCTTTGTTGTTTACATGTTCTGATACTTTGTCCAACTGGATTTTGGTGCAGATCGTTTTGTACACCGAGTTGTATGTAAGTGACTGTTGTTCTGCCACTAAGTTTCACATTCTAATATACGGTTGGATATCCTGTAAATTAATGAAATCTCTTTTCCATCTGTGTAGTCTTATTGTGTGGAATTTATTACCTTGGAAGGGGATAACCTCACCAGGCTATTTCCTGGGGCATCCTTTGATTTGGCTGGGATACATCTTGATTCCTCGCATCTCTTTGGGATACTGACTGCTTTCATTGTGCTACCAACTGTTTGGTTAAGGGACCTCCGTATCATCTCCTTTCTTTCAGGTTTGGTGCATATTCCTTTTGTCTAGTTCCTCTATTCAATGTATTGAAGTAGTGGATGATTTAGCACTTACTTTTCTGCTTCCTCGCTCTCGTATCTATTTTGCAGCTGGTGGAGTTTTAGCTACAATTTTGATTGTTCTTTCCCTGCTTTTCCTGGGTACCACGGAAGGAGTTGGGTTCCATCAGAGTGGTCCGCTCGTGAAATGGAACGGAGTTCCATTTGTTATTGGTGTATATGGATTCTGTTATTCAGGACACTCGGTTTTCCCCAATATATACCAGTCAATGGCCAATAAAGCAGAATTTACAAAGGCTGCAATAGCATGGTAAAAATGTTGTTGGTTTTGATTTTGTGACAATTTCTTGCTGTGTTATTCAGTGGCTTAGGCGTCTTCTTTTGGATGTTCCTGCAGCTTTTTCTTGTGCTTTCTCTTGTATGGAGGAGTTGCAATAATGGGATTTCTCATGTTTGGCGGAGCTACGCTGTCTCAAGTGACATTGAACATGCCTCAGGACACCATTACATCAAAAGTTGCAATCTGGACTGTTGTATGTGATCATCCATCCTTGAGTTTTCTGGAATTATGTAGTAAACAAATATATGTTGTGTGACATTGCATTTTCTGTCTCCTTTTTCAGGTGATAAACCCGCTGACAAAATATCCTTTTTGTGATTGTTTATAACATTCTAATGCATTTAAGGTCTAAAGTTGAACTCGTTCTCTAGTACTTTGAAGTTTGAAGCAATATAAGTGGTCCAAATACTTCTGTGAACTCTTCGCCATCATTTGGTTTCATGAAGTGATGTGGGGAAAAAAGTGTGGAAAGGCTGCATCTATTTTCATTGGACCAGATCCGCAGGTTTTCTTTCTGTAGTTCCTTAACCAAGAACACATATGCATTGTTGATGAACCCGTTGGCTCGAAGCATAGAGGAGCTTTTGCCAGTTAACATCGCCACTAGCTATTGGTGCTTTCTTCTTCTAAGAACAGTACTTGTTTTCTCTACTGTTGTTGCTGCATTTCTTCTCCCATTTTTTGGTAAGTCCTGGAAGTTGACTTTAAGCCTTACTGTTACTTAGTTTTATTATTGAGAATCTTTGGGAAGTTGTTTAGGCCTGGCTTCGGCTTTGTGCATCATTTGTAGAAACTAGTAAGATGGTGACGTTAATTCTCAGTTATTAACTAGTGAGGGCTATATGATGGGCACTGCACATTAAAACCAATTTCTGTTTGTGATCATATTAGACTTGTGTAATGTTTATCCTTTCTTTTCCTTTCAACCCTCACAACATTTTAATATACATGAATACAACTTATTTAGTTGATGGAGTAAAAGAATCGACTTTCTGGCCAATTTGTGGAATCTTTATGTGAACTTGTGAGTTTTGACTTTAGACATCAGACAAAATCCAATTTGTTCCTTCGGCTTTGATAGTATTAATCCCGGATTTAATCTCGTTGATCATTGACCATAACCGGAGAACTGGTTGCATAGCATTCTTAATTTATTGTCATGAGCATCTTCTGTTTGTTAACTACTGAGCTGCTGCACGCTATTTTTATTAAAACTGCTGCGGACTATTAAAGGGTGCTAAAACTCAAACGGTTCTGCTCATTGCAGGTCTTGTGATGGCTTTGATGGGTTCAGTCCTTTGTTTACTTATGGTGAGTACCTCAAATGCTCTTCCAATCGTACCTTCCTAGCTTGGCTGAAAGTCATTTATGAGAATGAAGCTATTAGTTCTTCTATCAATTCCCTCCATGATCTAGTCATGGTCCATAAGGATGTATTGTTTTCGCCATACAGAACCTTTTGGCAGCATTTCAGCACAATTTACCTTATCTTCTGCTTCATAGATTCCCGATATCTAAGTCCAGATCGCAACCTATCAGAATGTCTTGTTATACGATTTTAATCCGTCTTAGTGGGATTCCTTTATGGGATAGAAGTCTGTTCTTTGATCTGGCATATTTGTACATGTGGTGACTAAGTTATGTCTCCTCTGTGCATCTTTCTGAATCAGGCTGTCATAATGCCGTCTCTATGCTTCTTGAGGATCATGGGGAGGAAAGCTACGAGAACACAGGTAAATTGCTCAAGAAAAACACGCTCTCATACTTCCCAGACCTTGAATGTGGTGCACAATCTAGTAACCTTCCTTGTGCTCATAGTTGATGGATACTTCGTGTTCCTTTGTAAACCAGATTGTTCTCAGCTCCACGATTGCTGTGGTGGGCGTTGTTTGCGCGATCGTCGGAACCTACTCTTCGGTGGCGAAGATTGTGAAGAACCTCTGAAATCGTATCTATAGCCTGTTGGGCCTCTTACCATAGGTTTCAAATCGTATATGTACGTCCTTTTGTAATAGCTTTCTTTGGTAGCTTGTACTGTCTGTGACTTTCGGTGCAAGTTTAGTAGGGGTCATCATCTTGTTCTTACGAAACAGAGTTTTGCTGTACAAAGTAATAATAGTTATTCATGGCCTTCGTTTGATCTTGAAGTTTTTTTTTTTTTTTGGCTCCAACGCGAAACCTTCGTCACTTTGATGGTTGTCACAAATTGCTCCATGTTCGTCGTCGGTCGTCACCTTATCTAATAAGGAGATAGCATCTATCCACTTGGACTTACAAGTATGATAATATTTCGTATTATTCGTGTCTCGGTGACACAATTAAATCGTAGCATAAAAGCCTTACCAAAAAAATTGAACCCACATCTTGATCTTGTCTTTGTATTCTTGTTTTAGATTGATTGTACTACAAGGCACACCGTACTGGTTAACTGTATAAAGTAAGTATGGAAGGCGACCAATAAATATATACTTTAGGGACTTAATTGTAGTTAATGAAAAATATTAGTAGAACGAGTGGAAGAGTTCAAATTTTCTAGTTTTCGCACAAACTCGGGATTCCCGCTTCTTTCACCTTTTCGCTGCCCGTTTGAAATTTCAGTGCAGCACCGGATCCATTCTCTTCCAAAAGCTCTCCTCTCTCTCTCTCTCTCTCTCTCTATTCCTCGCTCCAGTCTAGCAATGGCGCCTCGCTTCCTCTTTCCGCAAACTCTGCGGTCTCTGGAAGATGAACACGCAGATGACGACGGCGACCGTCGCTGTGCTCGGAACCCTATCGACGTCGCCTCTCTTTCGCGGTCCCAACTCGAAGAGCTCGTCAAAGGTCAGTTCCCGTTCACTTCTCTAATCTTCCGCTCGGTCGAGTTCTGATGTGAGATTCTGTAATTTCCAATATGCAGAATAGGAATTAGCGGCTTATCACTGTTGTTCCAAGCGCAGTATGAAAAGAGTCGCTCGTCTAATTGAGCTGCAGACTTGGCTTCTTAGGAACTGTTAGCGATTCAGAATTGAGGAAGTTGATTGTTGTTCGGTGTTCATATGAACAGTCGTTAGTGCCCTTCCATCGTTTTTTCTAGGGTTTTAGCTCGTCGAATGTCATTTCTCTCTCACTTCTCCAGTTTCTCGCTCGGTTGAACTCCTGATGAGAGATTTCCTCTTCTCGTTTTAATGGGATGGAAGTTCTCCGTTTGTCACTTCTTGAAGTTGAACTGCTTTTCCAAATTGCGGTTCATTTCCTTGTTCCGTCACCTTACTGAGCTTGTTCAACCCTAGGACAAATTTATACGGTGTTGCTAGCACAATATTATACGATTTGGTCGTCCAATTGAGCCGAACGTGCTTAAAATTCTTATCAGTTGTTTGAAAACTAGAATTATGGACTTTGATTTTCGTTCGGTGTTCATGTGAACGGAAAGATTCCTTCTTGTTTTTCCTAGGGTTTCAGACTGTTCATGTATGTTGTTCCGTTCTGACAGGTGTTGCATTTGACCTGTCTGATAAGGAGGTATTCTGCATTGAAGAGCAAGATATATTTGATCGCGTGTACTCATTGGTTCTTAATTTCTCTAGCCTGGCTCATTCTTATAAGCTCAATATGGTGGAGACTCTGCGCTCGAACCTTACCGTGCTTCTCCCAAGTGTCGATTTGCTTTCCCGAGCTGGGGATGATGATCCAACCGTGTTTGACAAAATTGCGTCACTACGAAATGCTTTTAAAATCTATACATTTTTTCTAGTTTCTATAGTTCTGCTGGAGGAGGCTAGTATCAGCAGTTCTAATAACAATTCAAAGGTAATTCATCGGATTCTGAAATTTGAGCTCCAATCCCATAATTGACCATGCTTTGGTTCAGTTCATAAATTTATCCAGTTTAAAAACTTGTGATTGACCTGCCTTCTTACAATTGTTGTATATGGCGGTGATTTGATAATTCATTCAGGTGCCTTCAACTAGCAGGAAGAGACAGGCTGTGCATTCATGGAACTGGGATCCACAAAGGGGTCGAATCCTCAATTTGATTGCTAATTCATTAGAAATCAACCTCTCATTGCTCTTTGGATCAACAGATCCAGATGAAAATTACCTTGCTTTCATGGTCAAGTAAGATGAATCACTTATTGTCTTGTTTGATTAGCCCTTCCATGTGACAGCATGCTTAGTAAAGCTTCTTGTTTGTTTTGTTATAGAAATGCTCTAAGCATGTTTGAGAATTCAACACTGCTGAAGGACTCTGAGACGAGAGATCCATTGTGCCGTATACTAGGTACTTGTGCTACGAAATACCACTACACAGCGCAGGCATCTGCTTCCATCATGCACTTAATCCACAAGCACGATTTTGTTGTCACCTCCATGGCTGATACTGCTGCGTGGGCTGAAAAGAAATACGCGGATGGCACCCTCGCTTATTCTCTTATTAGAGAAATTGGGAGGACCAATCCAAAGAGTTATGTGAAGGACACTGCTGGTGCTGAAAATGTTGGACGTTTTCTAGTGGAACTTGCTGAACGGTTGCCAAATTTAATGTCAACCAATGTTGGGCTCGTGATCCCACATTTTGGAGGGGATTCATACAAGATAAGGAATGCTCTGGTAAGTGTTTTGGGAAAATTAGTTGTGAAGGCATTTAAGGATATGGAAGGTGAAGTGAGTTCAAAGTCAATACGTCTACGGACCAAGCAAGCCATGTTGGAAATCTTACTTGAGCGGTGCCGAGATGTTTCTGCTTATACAAGGGGCCGAACCCTACATGTCTGGGGTGAGCTATGTGAAGAGCATGCTATTTCTATCGGTTTTTGGAATGAGGTTGCAACTGTTGCTGCTGGACGATTAGAGGATAAATCTTCCATTGTCAGAAAAGCTGCACTAAGTTTGCTTATAATGATGTTGCAGCATAATCCATTTGGACCACAACTTCAAGTAGGTTTATTCAAAGCAACTTTAGAGCAATACAAGAAAAGGTTGAACGAGCTTGAGCCAGATCAAGCCGAGAGTGTGGTAGATGATTTACCATCTGACAGTGGCAGCAGCGGAAGACCATCTGAAGGTGAGCATGGAGGTGCTGAAGCGGTGTCCACGGAGCAGCAAGAAAGCTTGTCAGACAGTCAGCTGCAGGTTGAAGAAGCAAAATGTATTGTCCAGAAGGACGGTCGGTTGCCCGATGTCGGGAACCTTGAGCAGACTAGGGCACTGGTTGCATCTCTTGAAGCAGGTCTGACATTCTCCAAGAGCATTGCTGCAACTATGCCTACTCTTATACAATTGATGGCTTCGTCTTCTGTGACTGATGTTGAGAATACGATTCTCCTGTTAATGAGGTGCAAGCAATTCCAAATAGAAGGTGCAGAAGCCTGCCTTAGGAAGATGTTACCACTGGTAAGTTATACGGTAGAAACCACTGACAATTTATTGTGCTTCTATAATGTTGAGATTTATATCATGCTTATGTTTATGATTTGTAGGTCTTCTCTCAAGATAAATCTATCTATGATGCTGTGGAGAATGCATTTATCACAATTTACATCAAGGCTAACCCAATAGAAACAGCGAAGAATCTTTTGAATCTTGCTATTGATTCAAATATAGGGGATCTTGCGGCTTTGGAATTGATCGTCAGTGCCTTGGTGTCCAAAGGTGATCTATCAAACAATACGGTGCGTCTATTTCCAACTTTGAATAACCTTTCCCTAAAATTTGCAGCTCAGCTATTTTTTTCGTTTCTTCATTGATGGCACCAGTCTATCATTGAGATTGTCGTACCCCTGTTGGCAATTCAGCAAGGTGCTAAAAAAAATGGTGGAATAGGGGTGTAATGCCAGTCCTTCTGCTGGATTGAGCTGAGTCTTGTGGTTCTAGGACTTCGAAAGTCACCATGTTCAATGTGTTTCAGTGAGTTTTACTAGGTCTAGTGATTCTAGGACTTCGAAAGTCACCATGTTCAATGTTTTGTAGGTTCCTGAGTCGAAATTTCTTAAATTTATAAATGGTCCTGCCTCTTATCAAATGTTTGCTTACAGATATCAGCCTTATGGGACTTCTTCTGCTTCAATATAAGTGGAACCACTGCAGAACAAAGTCGAGGAGCTCTTTCAGTCCTTTGCATGGCTGCAATTTCATGCAATGGAATTCTGGGATCTCATTTGCAAGATATTATTGATATTGGCTTTGGTCGCTGGGCCAAAATTGATCCTCTGCTTGCCAGAACTGCATGCATTGCCATTCACAGACTTTCTGAAGAGGACAGGAAAAAGATGTTGGCCAATAGTGGTAACCGTGTATTTGGTTTGTTGGGAAGTTTGGTTACTGGTTCCTGGCTGCCCGATAGCACGTGGTATGCTGCTGCTGATAAAGCTATCAGTGCTGTATATACTATTCATCCAGCTCCAGAAGCCTTTGCTGCAGATATGGTGAAGAAATCACTTATTACTGTTTTTCATGCAAGTGGAGAAGACTTGCAAAATGAAACCGAGGATGGTGCTACCACTGCTCTTACAGAAGTCCAAGTAGCAAAACTTAGTAGGTTCTTGTTTATTGTAAGTCATGTTGCCATGAATCAGTTGCTGTATATAGAATCTTGTATTCGCAAGGTCCAGAAGCAGAAGACTTCCAAGGATAAGGCATTGGAGAGTCAGAAAGATGACACTAATGGGGCACATAAGGTGGGTTCAACATTTTTTTTTTTTTTTGGCAACTTGTTTGTGTGGCCCTGAATGCTTCCTTTCATTACTTATTGTAGGATGATGATATCAATGCTGAGCTTGGTGTTTCTGCCTCTGAAGATGCAATAATTGATTCTCTATCAGAAAGAGCAGAGAAAGAAATTGTCTCTGGGGGATCCAGTGACAAATATTTGATAGGACTTTGTGCTCCTTTCTTATCAAACCTTTGTAGAAATTTCAACCTGATGCAAAAGGTAATTCCTCAGTCCTTGCAACTTTCCTGCAGCTTTTAGGTACATATGCTTCTTTAATCATCATGAGCACTTCTGGGTCGTGGAATACGACCAATTCTATATGCAATCGGTAATTGACAATATCAATGCCTTATTTGTTACTTCAGTATCCGGAGCTACAGGCATCAGGAATGCTTGCTCTTGCTCGATTCATGGTCATTGATGCTGGTTTTTGGTGAGTTTTCCTCGATCTGCATAGTTGATCTGCTTGTCTCTCTTCCTAGTTTATGTGTGATTAGCATACAACACGGACTGACTGAGTGAACTTACAGTGAGGCAAATCTCCAGCTTCTTTTCACAGTGGTCGAAAAAGCGCCATCTGAAACAGTTCGTTCGACTTGCACTATTTGTCTTGGAGATTTGGCTGTCCGGTTTCCTAATTTGTTAGAGCCATGGACTGAAAACATGTATTCCCGTTTACGAGATCCTTCAGTTTCAGTCAGAAAAAATGCAGTGCTGGTCCTCTCTCACCTCATATTAAATGACATGATGAAGGTTTGACTCTTAAACAAATTCCTTTTCATGCGTTCCTTTAATCCTTGTTCATAACCTGATTGTGGATATTACTCTAATAGGTAAAAGGTCATATAAACGAGATGGCAATATGTTTAGAAGATGAAGAGGAGAGGATTTCAAGTCTGGCTAAACTTTTTTTCCATGAATTATCCAAGAAAGGTATATTCTAATTTTTGCTCCGAGCTTGCTGGATGTTGTAATGTCATCCGGTCATATATCACCTTGTAAAATTTTTAGAGTAAGTTTTCTTCACATGGATGTCTGATGTGAGTTTTCATCCTCTTCAGGAGCCAATCCGATATACAATTTACTACCGGACATACTTGGAAAGCTATGTAATCAAAATCTCAAAAAGGAGGCCTTCTGCAACATAATGCAGTTTTTAATTGGGTCTATAAAGAAGGTACAACCAAGCTCGTTCAACTAGTTTCTGCTTGGCTGGCAACTGTAAATGTTTTCTGTAACTTTCTGCAGGACAAACAAATGGAGGCTCTTGTTGAAAAGCTCTGCAACAGGTTCTGTGGAGTTACTGGTATGTCTCCCTTCACTTTAATATTGTTGTAATGGCATTCGTCTGTGAATACAGCGCTTTTGATGAAGTAATCAACCTCAAAATATTAGGTCATATGATATGTTAAGGAACCCTTGCTGTTCATTTTGCTATTAGGGAGAATGTTTCTTTCTACTCTTCATCGTGGAGGTTGTTTTCAAGTATATATTTTCCTTACTGTAATGAATCTCATTTGTTTTCTGAATTTTTATTAAAAAAATCAACAAAGTAGAGAAAAAGAAGTTGAATACATTTGTAATTTGTCTGACAAAACTCATGTACTGTGGCAGATGTTAAGCAGTGGGAGTACATTGCTTACTGTCTTGCTCAGCTCACATTCACTGAGAAGGGGATGAAAAAGCTCATCGAGTCATTTAAGACATATGAGCATGTGCTATCTGAGGATTCTGTTATTGAGCACTTCAAAACCATAATCACTAAGGTATTTCTTAATTCTGTTCCTGAGTCTTCCATTATGGGAAAGCACCCGATAGCAGATAGAACCTAACTCGTATAAAATCTTACACAGGCGAAGAAGTTTGCGAAACCAGAAATCAAAGCTTGCATTGAGGAGTTTGAGGAAAAGCTCAACAAGTTCCATATTGAGAAGAAGGAGCAAGATGCCACTGCGAGAAATGCCCAAGTACATCAGGAGAAAGTTGTTGAAAGAGCTGGTCTGGTTGCAGCAACTAACAAAAATTATGAAAGTGATGAGTCTGATATTTCAGAAGGTCAGTAGACCCCCTAGTTTGTTAAAGCTACTTTCTTTACTTTTTGTTACATCGAGTTAGACTTAGACCTATTAGTTGTTTTCTATGCTATTCTGTCATTCTTTTTTTATAGTTATCTCATGAATGAATGAATGCATTGCCACTTTAATTCTTTGATATTTACTCAATGACAGAGGGTGATACAGCTGAGCCATCCATGGAAGCAACTTCTCCTTCTGAAGACAACTCAGCAGATCCTAATTCCAATGGAACTGTTGAAGATTCAGGTCGTTCAAGCGAGCTCTCGCGAGTGGAGCCATCTGTGGAAGTAACTTCTCCTGAAGACGACTCAGCAGATCCTAAATCCGATGAAACAGTTGAAGATTCAGGTCCTTCAAGTGAGCTCTCACAAGTGGAGCCTGTATCAGATGGCAATGAAGTCCAATCTGTAAAAAGTAAATTCCTTTTCACCCCTCTTTCTCCATCGAATTTCAGCTAACCCTTTTATCTACAATCATCTGTTAATCTCTGCCATTATTTGAATTTAGGGTCGGCCAAATCCAGAAGACACAAAAAGAGCAACATGAAAGATCAAGCCAGCAATGCCAATACATCCAGGAGGATAAGTACCAGGACAAGGGCAAAGGTAGAGTTTTGACAAAACTAGCTCTTTTTTGTATGCACTCTCTGCCTTCGTCTAATGGTCATCTACACCACAATTTCATCATAAATCTGGGCGTTGGATATTATTTATGGTCTCCTCGTATGCTTATGACAACAACAAAACCATTGTCTGCATCAACCCTTGTATTTGTGTAGCTTGTCAATTCCTTGTCAATTAGTTCTAGGAATGTTAGCCATCACATCGCGTGTCACGGCTTAAACTACAATTAATGATTTGTAAGATTAAGTTGTTGTGTGTCAGTCTGTTTTGTTCTTCAATCTTCCTTATATGAATTGCTTCAAATATCCTCATTACAGCAAAACTTGTTGCATCACAGCTCTTCATTATATAACTCGTATAACTTAAGCACAAAAATACGCTTTGGAAAACATAGGAATCAAGTGTTCTACATTGTATATGGTAGAGAGTTGGGGAGAATTGGTACATAAAAGTTACAACAATCCTTATCTATAACCTTTGTATATTTTATGTGCATAACTATACCAAACATTTTTGAACAATTTGGGGTGGATCTCTCTCTCTCTCTCTCTACTTTTACCAATTTGAGATCAAATATGTAAACTTGAGAGGTATAGGGACCAAAAACGATCATATAGTTGGAACTTGGAAAATTTTCCCGCCTGATGAGACCAGGCTTGTTTTGGTTAGAGCCTGCAGGAGGGTGAGGTTGTGTTAAAGCAAAACTTTTTTTTTAACTTAAACTAAGAATCTTCAGCAAAAATTCTGAAAATGAAGTCTCTGAATCTCCTGGAGTACTGCTTAGGATCCACAGCTGAGATCGAAGTAGGGTCGTACTGGATAGACTTGTATGCATGCTCCAGCTTTTTGCTAATGTCGTAGTCTTGAAGTATGTCGATGATTCCGAACGTCATTATGACGTCGTAGAACTCCCCGGTTGGCTCTCCAACCAGTTGAAGCTCACAATCGTTTCTTCTCACTGTTCTTTCCACTCTTGCTGGCATGTTCATTCCCAGCCTGATTCGTGCCCATCTGCATTCACCATTTGCATTGTGGAACACATATTTCTAAGTTAGGCCTAGTGAATGTTTTTAGCACTTGTTATAACTAGGTGGCTCATGCTTTGCTCGATCGATGTTCGAACCGAGTTGGACATCAAAGTATTTGATCTAGCTACAACTCTCTAATTCCATTGGGTTTCTTTAAAAGATAAAGAGACCATACTGGACCAGACCAAATCGGATCAAATGTTCCGATTCTGATCTTGGCCTTTCCTTCATTTTCATTTTTATTGTTGATGAATTAGTTATGGTAGAGTTCAGGGTTCTTATCTAGAACTGGAAACTTGAATTGCAAGAAAAGTTAGAGAAAACACTTTACTTGGTTGGGTCTAGTAGAAGTTGATCCATGTCTGCTTTAGAAAGTCGAGGGCCTTCTTCTCTTTCAACCTCAGCTGCAAGAAAAAATAAACCCAGAAGTCAAATTTACCAACAGTTAAAGGGTGAAACTCTTAGGATTTACTTCATTTAGCTGGAGAGGGTAAAAAAATGTGTGTTTTACCAGGAGTAGGGGGTTCACTCTTAGTTGGAATTATTTCTCGATTAGATGCTACGTCTCTAAAGTGAATACCAACTAGTAGACTGTAATCCATAATCCTCTCCTGCTCAAGAAGCTCGCAGTCTCTATCTACTTGCCTGCAGTAGTTTTCCAACACAGTTTTGGTAAATCAGTAAACACCCATCAATGGTTAGTTTACTATACATAGAGCTTCCTCTTGAAAAATCATGTAATTTCCTTTTCTTTACCTGCAAAACTCCTGGAACCATGCTTTCTGTAGCTTGAAAATGAAGTTGAGGTCCAGGTCTTTTAGGATGGTGTTGGAGTCAATCTCAGACTCTGGCTTGTCTGTGATTCGACCCAACGAAGAACCCTTTAGGTCGAACCGTCTGTGGATTGCATACTCCGAAACAAATAGGTTCCCCATGATTATGAACCTCACCTAGTTGCCAATTGTTCCCCCAACATATGAACAAAGCAAAAAACTTCAGAAATCATCATCTTATTTGTGAAGTCAGTCACTGAACTAATAGTTGTGTTCAGTGACTGATGCGCGATTATCGTATGCCATGCATACGATTTTGGTGATTAAAAGGAAGTGGTAGGCAAAAGAAAGTTTGTTACCTTCCTCTGTGCAGGCCCAGTTAATTTGACACAGTGAAGGCCATAAAACCTAATGACCAAGGTGTTGTCAAAGGCCCTGACATGGTTGTAATAGGCAGCAAGCATCCTTATAAGCACCTGTTAACAACAAACCCACACCCCAAACACACACTTCATCATCGATGTCTTGTGAGAGTTCTGAGGAAATGTACAAAGAGAGAGTAGCACTCACTTTGACTTCTGCTTTCTTCATTGTCTTGATCATGTAGCGATCATCGTGCGTCAGGTAGAAGAAGCTGCCACTCTTCCCTGGCGACGAGAGCTCGCGCAGCGCGTTATCGCCACAAATCGATAACATGTAGTCCGCTGCATCAACCTTGAACAGCTTCCTTAGTGACCTATAGTGGAAAAAAACAGGACAACCATTAGGTTCTGCAATCGTACCGACTCTTATGAATACCCGACAAATTTGTAAGGACTGACCTGAAAACCAAGGGGCAGTAGTCTTTCCATTTGAACTCTGAACAATTGTGTGGAGGGGTGTGCTTGCTTCCTTCTGGAGGAAACCTCGTCCACACTTTCTCCTTTGGGTCGAAAGCTGATGCCTTCAGATCAAGGGATGCTGCTGGACCTGGTCTCCCCACTGAGTGCCTTCAATGGATTCACATTCAGTGTCAGAGTAGTTCTCCAGTTTCGCGCGCGGCCAAAAGCTGTTTTGAAAATACGAGATTACAGAAAAAAGGAATTACCTGATTCCCAGCTGTAGATTGAGCATGAGCTCATAGTTCTTGTGCCCTTTACAAATGGCGTCACCCTGCTGCTTAGCAGCTTTGGGTACTCTCATGGGCAGCATCTTATTCAGACTGGCAGCGAAATTGCTTTCCTCCATCTCCATCATGCCCAGCAGCTCCGCCTCCATATCCCTCCTCGCTCCGCTGCCGCTGCCGTCGGCGGACCCCAGGGCGGCTGCCGCGGCGGCGGCAGAGGACGCACCCTGGTCGTCGCCGTCCCACATGTTCATCCTCTCGAACGCCCTCTCGACGCCGACGCTAACCCTGCCGTCGACGGACAGCCGGCGGGCCTTCTCGCTGTGCTTGGACGAGTTCCACACCGCCAGCTTCTTCTGCGACGGCAGGACGGCGACCTTCTCGCAGGGACAGACCTGGGCGTCGGCCAGGTATACGTTGTACACGTCCTGCGGGTCCCACTCCAGCTGGCTGCCGGAGTGGGCCGCCGCCGCGGAGGGTGACGCCGACGGGTAGTAGCTCCCGTTCTGCTCGGTGGGGTCTTTGCTCCAGTTGCCGACGTAGAAGCTGCCGTCCGGAAAAGTGAACGTGCCGTTGCCCTTTGGGACGCCGTCCTCCCACTGGCCGTCGTAGCGGTTGCCGTTCTCCCACATGAACGTGCCTTTGCCGCAGATGTTGCCGTTCTTCCACTCGCCGACGTAGTAGTTGCTGGTGGGCTTCCATTGGTACTTGCCTTGCCCTTCTTGCAACCCTCGCCGCCAATCCCCTTCGTACCTGTTTTTTTATGGGAAAATCACATGAGATTTGGTCTTATGGGTTTGTTTGAGAAATGGGTTTTGAACAATGGGTAATCATATTCATTGATTTCACAAACAGTTGTTGTCATGTGAAACCCAAATATTATAATCGTACATTTTCAGTGGTTAGCTAGATGGCTAACTAGGGATTTGATCACTTACACCTAATATGGGGAGGGTCTTGTCACAATGCAAAATGGTCCCATGATTGACACTTCTCTAGTGTGTTTGATCGGTACTATGATATTAACTGTTATATCGTAGATGATGTTATGTATAGAAGGTTGTTGTTTGCATAGATCGGTCTAAATAAATGAGACCGTGATTTCTATATGCAAAATATTGGGTGTCTCAATCAATTTTATTCTTTATAGATCGAGTTATAATAGGGATGCAAATCAAATTAGCTCAATCAAAATTACCAATCTCCATTAGCAAAATGCTTGATCCCATGCCCATGCTTGAGATTCATGACCCATTGCCCACGATAAATATCCCCATTCGCCGCCGAATACGTCCCGGTGCCGTCCATATACCCGCTCTTGAACTCCCCTTCATACGTCGCCCCCGACGGCCAGCTGAACCGGCCGCGGCCCATCGTCTTCCCTTTATACCACTCGCCGAAGTACATGCACCCGTCGGTCCACAAGTACTTCCCCCGGCCGTTGGGGAAATTGTCGTACCACTGGCCGGAGTAGTAGTCACCGTTGGGCAACACCTTCTCCGCGTAGTAACACTCCGTTCCTCCTCCGCCGCCATTCGTGCTGCCGGGCCCCTCGTCGCCGCCGCTGCTACTGCTGCCCTCGTCGCCGTTGCTGGCGGCGGAGGAGGAGGCGGCGTGGTCGTCGTCGGGGATGTGGGCCAGGGAGATGCCGAAGATGCTGTTGGCCCGCTTCTTGGCCGCCTGGGTCTTCCGAATCGTGGCTTCCCATGCCTTGATCACTCCGCTCTGTTCTTTGCTCATGTTTTAGTGACGATTTTTTTAGCGACGGTTTTGTTTTGGTTTTCACGTCGCCTTAGGTCGATGGTGATGGTTTCGTCGTCATTTTGGTGGAGAGAGAGGGGAAAAGGGGAGAGAGGAAGAGAAATTGATTGTATTGGTTTGAAATGGGTTTCATTTTTTTTGGGTTCTTCGTTTGTTTCTTTTTTTGGTCTTTGGTTTGTGTTTTTGTTTGTGTGAAGGAGAGGGAAAAGAGCTCTTCGAGAGGGAGAAATGGATTATGGATCCCTTTTTCTTCTCTTTAGTGCACAATAATTGTGTCCATTTTGACCATTTGTTTGTTTTAGAGTGTTTTTCTCTTTGTACCCTTTTAGTTTTTGCATGGTGATCAATTTTAATGGTCAACGATTAATGAACATAGTTTGCACATAACTTGGGATGCACCGGCTAGTAGGACCAAAAGTTGGTTTGTTTTAGTTCTTGTTGATGGATAATGTATGTTTGAAACAATGTTTGATGATGCATTTTTACTTTCTTATGAATGATTAAATAATTGTATTTATTGGGAAAGGCGAGTAATAATCGTGCGTGACATGTACCATGTCAAGTTGAAATACTCACATGTAATTTGAACTCTTTTTATTGAAGATGACTCGTTGTCCAATCCATTAAGATTTTAATGTATGAGGTCATGTTTCAACCCATATAACACATTATCAAATTGATTTTTTTTCTCTCTCGTAGTCATAGTCGTACATCGAAATTAGTAGCGAAGATTGCTCTGTAAATTAGCCTATGTCATACATGCAAAACTTTGCAAGAAGCGTTCTTCATAAAAGCAGCAGAAGTTTTATTCGAAAAGATGAGAGTGTATATTAACATCATCCTCTCTTCGATTGTACCCTGAGTATGTTCACATGAAGCATGTTCTCAATTTAAGTGTTGAATTGAAATCATATGGTGCAATGAGTGGCTTGGACCATATTAGAATTGTTGCTCAAAATTAGGTGCAAATTTGTTGTTGTACATAGTTGGGATGACTTTATACGAAATTTACTAGGAGAGAGAACTTAATTTCCCCGAGAAATTTTACAATGCTATATAGTATTGGTGCTATAGGGTTTTGTCTTTATGGTACAACTTAGAATTGTACATTTACGTTATGGTACAACTTCAGATTGTACCTATACTTTTTGTACAAATTCTTTTATGGTACAACTTGAACTTGTACCTTTATGTACCTTTATGGGATGGTACAACTTCAAGTTCTTAAGTTGTACCATAACATAATGGTACAAAATGTTTTACAGTACAACATAAATTTATACATTTAATGTTATGATACAACTTTAAGTTGTACATTAAAGAACCAATACTATATAGCATAGTAGAAGTGCTCTAATTTCCCCTTCTTGGTTAATTGAAAAGACTAACCGTTGCATATTTTGTTTGTGGATTGGAGCCTTTTATAGACAAGACAAGTTCAATTTTCTCCAACTTTCTTCTTTTGTGTGTTCCTTTAAACATGAATGTTGTCAAAGGGCTACATTGTTTCATTAAATAAGGGCTACAAGGTAAAGGAGTTGACTTCTATCTTGAACCAATTAATGAAAGTGAGAAACTTTTCATTAATGTGAAAATGAGACATTGGGTTGTCAATCGAAGAGCTTTTTCAAACATAACTACCAAAAATATAAAATTCTGGATATTCAATGCAATTTGAATACAAACCTCCAACCACAACACGAAATTGTTGCCGACAGATGTCTCGTTTTGAAAGGTATTAGAATTGACAACTGTGCGATGTGATATAACCAATATTCAAATACGTGAACTTTTGGAATGTGAGTGTTTAGGTGAAGATGCATTTTATACGACTAAGATCACATCTTGATAGTCCGGTCAAACGAGAAATCATCACTAAAAATCAAATCTGTAGAGAAATGTCTGTTGTTTAGTATTAGACATCATCGAATGAGTTACAAGTGATTCTTGGCCATCGATCAATAAGCTTAACACATCTCAAAAATTTGAACTGATCACTTCAAAATCAATTTTTCAAACAAGGCTGGGAGGCATTGGCCGTACGTGTGGGTGGTGGTAGATGTGGCTAAATGGGTGCGTGGAAAAGATGGTGACATTTCATGTTTCCCATCCCTTACTTATTATTTTCTTATTTTGCATGACAACGAGGGCGCATCCAAACTGAGAAAAAAAGGGTCTTTAACTCTTAAACTAAACAAAGATCTACTCTGCCAATTTGGAGCTTCTTCTGCAGTTTTTTGTTGGCTCTTGCGATGCAGGAACAGTCCCTTTTTCTTCTGCACCACACATAACTCAAGCCTTTTGTGTTTCGGCCGTTATCCCTCCTACTCATTAAGTCTTAAATGTATTCACAGAACCAAATTCGAATCTGAAGACATATTATCCCGTTCATACCCACCCACATTTAGTCTCGGGTTGGGTCGGGCGGATGGTGGATGATGCGGGTGGGTTTGTGGGTTCACCCACATCACAATGTATATAATATAAAAGAGTCAACTTGGCATGATAATAGGTGAAGAGAATCATCGAGGGGAAACAAGAAGTTGAAATAGGGCGAAAAATGTCGAATTAGTTCTTAAATTGGATAGAAATTCTATTATGAAAGAGTTTTCTACAGATTGAGATGATTATTAGAGGTGCAAGGAACTAAGGAAAAATAATTCCACAAAGGGAAGAGCGGTGATCTAGGCACAAGAATTAGAGGAAAAAGTAAAGGGAAGAAGAGGGGATCTCTATTTGGAAGGTTGGCTTTGAGGTTCAAACTACAGGAGCAGTCCGAGTTTATATCTAACGTCTCCACTCTCCTCTCTCTCTAGCGCCAACGACTTTGATCTTTTTGCTGTTGGGTTGAGCGGGTCACCCGCACACTCACCCACAACCCACCCACAACCCGGCGGATGGCTCCCAGCGCAACCCGCGTCACCCACCCACTTAACGAAAATCAGGTCAAATGCGGGTGGGTCGGCCCAAACCCGCAGATGATCCGCCCCGCATGCCCAGCCCTAGTAGGCACCAACCAAGCATGCAAATTGCAAAGGTATATAATTGACATACATAACAAGAGTATGTACTTATTAATTAATAACATAACAATCGAGGTAAGGTCAAACATATATGAATTAAGCTGGTCTTCTTATAAGAATTCTGCAATCACATTCTAATTCTGCATATCGTGCCCCAGTATGACCCCAAACGAACTAACAAAGAGTATGAAATTTAAGTCACAAAACATAATTGCCCTACATTCTTACCACACGAGTAAATCTGAACTGAAGCACCGATACGTACTAAGAATGATTATACCCTAAGCTGTCACTAACTTGAAACAAAAATGTCTAATCAGAACAATAAGAGTAGATAAACGATATACAATATGTGGACATATTTGTTACGGCTCAAAAGTATTGAGGACCTTTTTATCCAATCATCGTAGTATAGGGACTGAAAATACAAATGACATGGAAAAGTAGTAGGTGTGAGGGGGAAATTCGGAATCCAATAGAAAAGGAAGTTTGGGAAATTAGAGAGCAGAGAGAGCCAAACAAAAAACCAAAGAAAAACAGAAAGGGCAGAAGAAGCTGATAGAAAGGAAGTGGACAGTGGGCAGTGAAGAAGGCGGGTGTGGTTCCAGTGCTCCCTCCGCTTTATCTCCCCCAATCCTCTCCCATTTTTCTGTGTTCCTCGTTACCGCCACACGATCCCTCTTCATTCGCCCTTCTCTCTCTCTCTCTTTCACCTCCTCTCATGGCGTCGCTCTCTCCTTTCCCTCCGCTCATCCACCCTTCTTCCGCCGCCGGCGGTAACGCGACTAGTCGTCTTAATCAGCAAACTCAGCGGCAACTCCTGTTCGTCGATTTCGTCGGGCTGTGCGGTCAATCGAGGCGAGCTGTTAGCCGGCGGAGACTCTCCGCGGCAGCTTCTGGTTCTTCTTTTCCGTCGTCGTCGACGACGACGACGACGACGACTTTGTCTCGGCTGGTGAATAAGAATGGGAAGTCGTCATCGTCGTGGTCCGTTGGAGCCAGCCGCGGAGTCATCGAGAGTAAGGCGGCGGCGAGTGGCTCCGTTTCCGCTAGCTCTAATTTGAAACCGCAGGTATTGTCCTCTTCCTCTCATTTCCCCCCCTCTTTTTAACTTAGGTGCGCGTCGTTCCCGCGCTTTTTGATTCGTGCTCGTTTGGTTCCAGTTAATGTCGGAGTTTGAAATTGGTAGCTTCTGATACTGGCGGGAATTTTTGATTTTATAAGAGTCATGAGGCTTCGTTTTCGCGACGAACTGTTTGCTTTGTTCATTGATAGACATTGATTTTCTCTTAATAGTCTGAGACTCTTCAATTTGCCTCATAGATTCTTGCCAGACAATGCTCTAGGAGTCTGCCAGTGTCTTCTTCTGTTTAGAGTTGTTGAACCTCGAAAGATCACATTTCTGCCTCTTTAACCAATTTTAGCCATATTTTACTCTTTGTAATTGTTGTACAGACTATTAGCAATGATCGTGCTTCATAAACAAGTAGTGTTTTGAGTTCAGGAAGTCTGTTGCCGGAGGCTAATGTTCGTAGTGTTTGTTCGTCAATGGCTGTGTGTCAACCTCTATGTCTGTTACTTGCGAATGTTGATAGAGGTTATGTCGCTTTGCAGGTGGCAAACTTGAGCGATATATTATCTGAAAGAGGAGCTTGTGGAGTTGGGTTTATTGCTAATTTGGAAAACAAACCATCGAATAAGATAATTAAGGATGCCCTTAATGCTCTTGGATGCATGGAGCATCGTGGAGGGTGTGGAGCAGATAATGACTCTGGTGATGGCTCGGGACTCATGACTTCAATTCCATGGGATCTATTCGGCAAATGGGCAGATGAGCAAGGGCTCGCTTCCTTCGATAAATTGCACACTGGTGTTGGCATGGTTTTTCTTCCAAGAGATGAGAACCTTATGGAAGAAGCCAAAAAAGGTCTTCATAATCAATATATTTTAATACTTAGTCAGTGTTTTTGTTTACATTATTAATGCCTCTCTTCACTGTACTTTCGATTGTTTGATTGCTGCTGCCTTTTCTGTCTTGTAGTTGTTGTAAATATTTTTGAACAAGAGGGCCTTGAGGTGCTTGGTTGGAGAGATGTTCCTGTAAATAAATCTGTAGTTGGTTACTATGCCAAAGAAACTATGCCCAATATTCAGCAGGTGTTTGTTAAAGTTGTCAAAGAAGAGAGTATTGGTGACATCGAACGAGAACTTTACATTTGCCGGAAGTTGATTGAGAGGGTGGCTAGCTCAAAGAGTTGGGGAAATGAGCTTTACTTCTGCTCTTTGTCCAACCAAACAATTGTGTATAAGGGAATGCTTCGTTCAGCAGTTCTTGGATTATTTTACTCTGACCTCCAGAGTGATATCTACACATCACCATTTGCTATTTATCACCGACGGTTTAGCACAAATACGAGTCCCAGATGGCCTCTGGCCCAACCAATGCGGTTTCTTGGTCATAATGGAGAAATCAATACCATACAGGTTACGAGCTTCTTTATCTTAGCTTATTTCTGTAAACTGGATTTTAGTTAAATAGAGTGCCTTATTCTGTTATATATATCCAGGGTAACTTGAACTGGATGCAATCTCGCGAAAGCTCGCTGAAATCTCCTGTTTGGCGTGGCCGTGAAAATGAAATTCGTCCATTTGGTAACCCAAAGGCATCAGACTCAGCCAATCTTGATAGCGCAGCAGAAGTACGGCCTTTGCGATTCTGTTTATACTCCCATTTGCTATGTGAAATTGTTGTTACTTTCACTTGTCCCGTTTGTTTGGCCATTCTGTTTGCTGCACGGATTTGTCATGTTGATTATGTTCACACCTTTAACATGATTTTTCTTGGGTGTCCTAGAGTAATATATCATGCTAACATACAATATCTATGCATGCAAACTACTGAATGTAGTTATTCAGTGAAAAGTCATTTGAGTATTTTATGTCCTATCAGAGTGCGCATATAGATCCGATCAATAGGACTTTTAACTAATAATCATACCTGCGATGGAGTGGAAGCCACAACACATGGGAAAAGCCTACTTGGTAGCCCTGCCTTAGTACTGTAGGCTTGGTAAGTGTTTAATGTGCTATTTAGCAGTCATTCCATGCCTCCCCTGTGTCTGACTTGTCTCGCTAATTGATTGTTTCCAGCTCTTAATAAGAAGTGGGCGTACTCCTGAGGAAACTCTAATGATTCTTGTACCTGAGGCATATAAGAATCATCCAACTCTGACTATTAAGTATCCTGAGGTATCTTCTATTCTGCTCTTCCTACCTTTTCTCTGCCCAAAAAGTTAAGTAACAACCAATTTATGACATTGTTTTCCTGATTATGATCTCAATTCATCGAGTCTTGATTTCATTCAGTAGTTCCATGTTTTCTGCTTATGCTTTTATGCTTTTAGACCCAAGCCTATTTGATCTGACTTCTCCGTATAAATAAATTTACACCAGATCTTACATGTGCCATTTTTTCTCTGCCCAATTGGCAACTTACAAATAAGATATGTATACTATATCTTTTGTGATGGTTAATTTGATCATTCTCCCATGATACGATTACTGATACCATACCGTTTTACCTTTTCCAGGGTGTTGTAGTGAATTAATCTTTCATCTTTCACGTTTTCTATTTATTAAACCTGCAGTCATATTCTACCTGTAGATGGCTTACACACGCGGATTTTGGAAAACTATATCTTTTCACTTATGTAATGAACGACTTGGCGTTGTACTCACTTAGCTATCTTCGTTCAGGCACTTGATTTCTATGACTATTACAAGGGTCAGATGGAAGCTTGGGATGGACCTGCCTTACTTTTGTTCAGGTACTTACTTTGCTGCAAAGAATTGACATGTTGTAATCCATATTTAGGCTTAATTGTCCACTTAGTGTATTGATGAGCTTGCAGGTCGTTTTATTGGGTGTAATTGGGAAAGTGATGTTTGCAATTGAGCAAATATGTTCTCAGTGACAGCTCTGAGGCATGTGAGTGTATTTGAAATAGCATAGCTCATCTTAAATGCATAAAAATTATGCAATCCAAGATATATAAGTGAAAAGGGGTAATGAAAATGTACTCTAGAAAAGCGGTTTCAATTGTCTAGCACAACTTCCTGCAAATACACTATCCAAATAATGGTTTTATAAATACACCTCAACATGCTATTAGATAGCATGGAATTGAGAAAAATAACATCAGTTCAACTACGCTAAGTGAGTGCACCCATGCTTGCTTTGATTAAAACGACGGGTATCATGAGTTGGCTCATATATCTATTCTGTGCTTTGAGGCTGAATTTTTTTTTATCATTTTTCTTTTGTCTCAAACTCGTTTAATTGTATGCCTCAAAAGTAATGGCATATTATTTGTTGGATGTTCAGTTGTGTAATATTTTCCCTCTCCTTTTGTATTTCCCACTGAATCGACAGTGATGGAAACACAGTAGGTGCTTGTCTCGATCGGAATGGACTCCGGCCTGCTAGGTATTGGAAAACAGTGGACAATTTTGTGTATGTTGCATCTGAGGTGCGTCTCTAATGTCCCATGTCCTGGAAACCATTGTTCTCTGTGTTAGAACCTCGATACAGGAATGCAACTTGCTTTTGATTATACAATTTCACGTTGGTTCCGTGCTTGGAACACCCCACAACACTCAGAATTGTTCAAGCTTTGTTTGACATTGTTTGACATTGTGCCTGGCAAAATGAGCTGAATGGTATGCATGCTTGTTGATATTGGGGCTGAAATGAACATGGAAAGCAAATACTGGTCTTGGATATAGTGTATTTGTACCTGATTACTTTTTAATCATCATTCTATTCACTTAATCTCTGTTTGAAATTCTTGACCTAAGACATAGTATTCTTCATCTCAGGTTGGTGTTGTTCCAATGGATGAATCAAAAGTGATCATGAAAGGCCGTCTAGGTCCAGGGATGATGATAGCTGTGGACTTGCTTGGCGGTCAGGTTAGCATACAGTTGGTTGCTTCTATCTTCTTCTCTTGTTATCTTCGTCAGTATGTTAAAGTATGTTGCGACTCACAAATGTGGCCAACTAGACCTTTGTTTAACTGGGTGTTAAGCAGTATACTTACTGCAGACCTATAATAATGCTTTTCAGAGTGATGTATTGTGGACAACAATCAGTTTAACCAAAACAGGGACATATGTTGCTAAGGGAGATCAGTCACTTGACAACAACCAGTTTGTGATGCTTCTCCAAGCTAGGCGTAGTCATTGTATACACACAGTTTACTGTTATGTGCCCTCATCTTGATCTGGTACCTGTAATTGGCTGCAGTTAGTTGAGCTGTTAATTTAAGTTGAAGTAGCTAAATTTTTGTAGTTTCTGAAAATAGATGATATAATATTTTCTCTCTATAAGCTAAGGCTAAGCCTTAAAGCTCTTTTAAGCAAAGGTTTTATCTCTTAGAATTCAGAACTATTGTTTTGAGTTGAAATCTGTGTATATGTGCAGTACTTGTGTCGTCATGTTTGATTTTTGGTTGAATTGATGGGTCCGCAGAGTACTTGTGCTAATCTATTATTTTGTATTTCTGTCCCTTGAAGATCTACTTTCCCATTTTCTTTACAGGTTTATGAGAATACTGAAGTGAAAAAGAAAGTAGCTTTGTCAAATCCTTATGGTAAATGGGTGAGTGAAAATCTGCGATCCTTGAAACCTGTGAAGTTCCTCTCGTCAACAGTAATGGAAAACGAGGCAATATTAAAGAAACAACAGTAAGTAATTTCCTGTTTCTGTTTTCAAAGCCAAAGTCATGTAGTAGAATTAATATGTGGAGTGAACTAAATACTGAAGAATGTGTTACCATGCTCATTGCTTTCTATGCTTTGCTGTGATTAGGGCATTTGGATACTCTAGTGAGGATGTCCAAATGGTTATTGAGAGTATGGCTTCACAAGGCAAGGAACCAACATTTTGCATGGGGGATGACATTCCACTGGCAGTGTTGTCCCAAAGGGCACACTTGCTATATGATTATTTCAAGCAACGTTTTGCACAGGTTAGTTCAAATGAAATCTTGTTCTGACTCATTTGAAGTTGTAGAAGTTGTCCATGTTAACTTGTTACTGAGATATTTCATCATTGGCTTGAGTTGCGTCGAAGTAGGTTATTTGGGTCTTAGGATCTAGGTGTCGAGGCACTTTCTATATTTATGAGTTGTATTTCATACATGAAAGGAAGATTTTCAGAAGACATAAGTGCTCCCAGAGTAGAAGGTAAAAGGTTTGCTAAAGCATATCCAAAGAAACACAAATAGGTTCTAATCTAGTTTCAGGCTATAAAGGATACCCTCTCAGCATGCAGAAGCTAAAAAAGTAGAGAGAAAGAAAGCAAAAGAGCAGCTACCACATCCTATCATTATTTCATTTTTGCTAGAAGCATGCCAAATAATGCTATGTTTTGAAGGTTAGAGATGACGAATAAAAAGATATGATTGATTAAAGGAATAAAAATTGCTGAAGAAAACCGATGGGTTGGGAAAGCTGAAATGGAAAAAAGTTGATGACTGAAGGTATTTGAAAGGCTTATGCAACAAGGAATTCAATTGCTAGAAGGATGTAGAATTTTAGCAAGTCTAATTATGAGTTAACATAAATGAACAATAAATAATATGGAAAGTTAATCATCACCTGTGTGTCTGAAGTTTAGTTTGCTATATCTATTAATGAGATTGACTTCTCTTAGCACTCTATACAGAGGGGTATAGGTTCTCCTTGTGGTGTTTCATGTAAGAGATTGATATTCTTGTAGCATGCCGTAAGGGGTACTGGATTCTTCTTTTGATTAGTGATTGGCTTTTCTCTATGTATTATCCTGTGGATGCTAGTGTAAGATAACTTGACTTCAAGTTATGTTGAAGATCTTTATTTCGTATGAGCTACTGTACAGGTAACTAATCCAGCTATAGACCCACTCAGAGAGGGGTTAGTTATGTCCCTCGAAGTCAATATTGGAAAGCGAAGAAACATATTGGAGGTTGGTCCAGAGAATGCTTCTCAGGTAATTACAGGTTCTTCCATACTGGATGAGCACTACTAGAATTTTACATATCTATGAGTGTCTATCTTCTGTCTTTGTACATTACCAATATGTGCTACTTTTTGACAGATTATATTGTCCAGTCCAGTGCTGAATGAAGGGGAGCTCGAGTCATTGCTAGCTGACCCACAGTTAAAAACTCAAGTTTTACCTACCTTTTTCGATATACGTAAAGGGGTGGAGGGTTCTTTGGAGAAAACACTTATCAGGCTTTGTGATGCTGCTGACGAAGCCGTTCGGAATGGTTCTCAGCTGCTAGTGCTATCTGACCGATCCGATGAGCCTGTAAGTACACTTAGTGAATACTTTAAGAAGTTATAAGTACATACTTGAAAGAAAGAGTTTCCTGATAGAATCAAGCTGTAAGAAATCATTGCTACAGCTAGGCTGTGGCAATTCGAGGTTTGCGGTTTAATGGTTGCTGGGAAGCACAAGCATTAAAAGGATTTATGGTTTTGTGATTTTGAAGTACTAACGGGCCAGTTGTACTGGCCCCTCTTGTTGTAGGGAAGGGATGTCTTCTATTAGTTTATTCTTGGTGTGATCTTTTTCTAAAATTGTCTGAATTGGCGCATAGTCTGAGTTAGCTACCGCTTCGCTGCCCCACCCCTCACACAAATATATTTGATGCTACCTAGAATCTGACTAGTATTTTGATTTGCCCTTGAAGAATTTAATATTATCCAACTGATAGCACCTTTCTGGTCTCAGGAGGCAGCTCGGCCTGCAATCCCAATTCTTCTTGCTGTTGGTGCTGTTCATCAACATCTCATTCAAAATGGCTTGCGGATGTCAACCTCCATAATTGCAGATACTGCACAATGCTTTAGCACTCATCATTTTGCCTGTCTGATTGGATATGGTGCAAGGTTAACTATCCTCTCTTTACATGAAACCTCTATAGTGCTTTGCTTGATCTGGCTTCTTTACCGAGAATTAAAATACCACTATACCTGTATGTCTTTGTGCATTTTCTTGTTCTTCTTACAAGATCTGCTATAATCATAAATGAACTGATACATGTATGTTTAATCATGCTGGTCTTTGCTTACTTGTAATGATATTTGTGGAGTATTTTGAATACATATTAGTTTTGTTCTTCTGGTCATATATTGATCTAATAATTTGAATTTCTTATTCAGTGTAAAAACTTGGAATTCTTGGCTAAAAGCTTTGTATTGTCAGATGTTTTCATGTGCATCCTTCCCCCCCCCCCCCCCCCCCCCCCCCCCCCCCCCCCTTTTGTTCTTATATGAATAAGATCTTTTTACCTGGACTAAGAAAGTGCCACACCTCACATATAACATCTTTGAGGTTTTGTGGATGCTTCTAATTAAAGTTGTCTTGTGGCGACAGTGCTATATGTCCATACCTTGCACTTGAAACATGTCGCCAGTGGCGTTTGAGTACAAAGACTGTAAACTTGATGCGGAATGGAAAGATGCCTACTGTGACCATTGAACAGGCTCAAAAGAACTTTAACAAGGTTAGTATATCAACTGAAATGGTGTATGCATATTTTCTTCTTGTGTGTTGGGTGGGCTTGATTGAAATTTGAAGTTACTTGTGATGAAGCATTCATGTACATTGCACTTGTGAGATTTTTTTAATTTTATTCCGTTAACGTGAGAAGTGAATATTGTATTTGATGTCTGTACTTGTGGGCTTTACTTACCTGCATATGTACCATTTCAGGCAGTTACATCTGGCCTTCTCAAGATTCTTTCGAAGATGGGCATATCGCTGCTTTCAAGGTAGTAACATTAGTATGCCTTAGAATTCTCATTACATATTTCACCTGTTAGTTAGCGATGTGCCTTGCAATGTGTGTTGGAATTTATCTCTGGTGACCACTTTTCCTTTTATTTTAGTTACTGTGGTGCACAGATATTTGAGGTCTATGGGCTCAGTAAGGAGATCGTTGATCTTGCATTTCGCGGAAGTGTATCAAGTATTGGTGGTTTGACATTTGATGAGGTAGGCAACAGTGGTTCTGCTCTTGTATTAAAGCCATGTTGTGACACAATATCAGCATAATTTTTTGGAAATATTTGTGGCTTTAAGTTGTCCTTTATTAAAATGGAATTATGCTATTGATGCTCTGAAGTGGTTGAATACATCTAATATTTTCTTTTGGTTCTTCTATCCTGTTGGATTGTTACTACCACAGTTGGCAAGGGAGTCATTGTCTTTCTGGGTGAAGGCTTTCTCTGAGGATACAGCCAAAAGACTAGAAAATTTTGGATTTATACAGTTCAGGCCAGGAGGTAGGCTCATATAGACTATATCTGGGTCCTGCTAACCTAGCTTATTTACATCAGACTATGACAACTGTATTATCATGGACAGTTCAAGTAATCTGGATGTCTTGATATCTCTCCCGGAGTCTTCATAATGGTAGTGTTCAAACTTAAAAATATGGTTAACATTGTTCTCCTGTTTTCTCCTCTCTTTGCCCACAGGGGAATATCATGGAAACAACCCAGAGATGTCGAAGTTGCTTCACAAAGCTGTCCGTCAAAAGAGTGAGAGCGCATATTCTATTTATCAACAGCATCTGGCTAACCGTCCAGTCAATGTAAGGACATAATTACTTGTTGTGTGTCTTTTCCCTCTTGATTCTTTTTTGAACTTCTAATATATTTCATGTCACTTTACTTTTATGTGTTTAGTTGTTTGACTGGGCAAGTTTTTATTGGTCCTATTGTAGGTTCTACGTGATCTTTTTGAATTCAAAAGTGATCGTGCTCCTATTCCCGTCGGGAAGGTGGAACCTGCTTCATCTATAGTTAAACGTTTTTGTACCGGTGGGATGTCGCTTGGGGCTATTTCACGAGAAACTCATGAAGCAATTGCCATTGCAATGAACAGAATTGGCGGAAAGTCAAATTCCGGTGAAGGCGGTGAGGTAGTCTGCTAAACATCTAACTCTTTGTCTTATTTCGTTTTCTCTAGCGTGTCATGTGTCATGTGTCGCTTAGTCACATGTATTCACATACTTTAATTCCTTCATTTGTATCTAAGCTTAGAATTTCGACTGTGCGAGGCGTTGACATGTATTTAATGTGGCATTATTAACTCTAGATGTATTTGTTTAATTTGTATCATGTTCTATCAGGATCCTATCAGATGGAATCCACTGGCAGATGTTGTTGATGGATACTCATCCACACTGCCACATCTCAAAGGTCTTCAGAATGGAGATACTGCTACAAGTGCTATTAAACAGGTTATAGCAACCTACTTGTATTTTGTAATTGGTTTCTACTTCATCTGTAAGATTAAAAAAAGAAGTTAAATTCTAGATTTTATGTCAATCATTGGGCCTAAGCATTTGCAGTTATCACAATGAGGAAATTTTTCTCCTTAGTGTAGACAACTTACCTGAAGGCTTCTTCTTTACCACTCTATAAAGATTGTTCTGAGTCTGGGTATCATTTTCAGGTTGCTTCAGGACGTTTTGGTGTCACTCCAACTTTCTTGGTTAACGCTGATCAACTAGAAATAAAAATAGCACAAGGTGCCAAACCTGGTGAAGGGGGCCAACTGCCTGGGCAGAAAGTTAGTGCATATATTGCCAGGTTGAGGAATTCTAAGCCTGGGGTTCCACTTATCTCTCCACCACCCCATCATGATATCTATTCCATTGAAGATCTTGCCCAGTTGATCTTTGATCTCCATCAGGTGTGTTTTTCGGCTTGTAATTTTTTCCGTTATTGCTATAGAATGTTTATGAATTTTAATGATGAAGTTAAGCGGATGGTGTTGCACAAACAGGTCAACCCTAGGGCTAAGGTCTCTGTGAAGCTGGTAGCTGAAGCTGGTATTGGCACAGTTGCTTCTGGTGTTGCAAAGGCTAATGCTGATATTATTCAGGTATTGTCTTATGAATAAATTGATCCTTTTGGCCATCTTAGTTCCAAATCGTATAATTTTTTATTGAATGGAATGGTTCACTATTGGCTTATGAAAGGAAAAAGATTGCTTTTGATATGTGCATTCAAGCTGTTTACTGCCCTTCTCATTTTCCTCTTTCGTTCCATAGATATCAGGGCATGATGGTGGAACAGGAGCCAGCCCCATTAGTTCCATTAAGCATGCTGGTGGTCCTTGGGAACTTGGGCTCACAGAAACTCATCAGGTTATTTTTATTTGCTGTGCTCATCTTGTTAGCAACCAATCCTTTCCCTTAGTAACAGTTTATCATTTTCCAGACACTCATCAGTAACGGACTGAGAGAAAGGGTAATTCTTCGAGTCGATGGTGGCTTCAAGAGTGGCTTTGATGTCATGATGGCTGCAGCAATGGGAGCTGACGAGTATGGATTCGGTTCTGTTGCTATGATTGCTACTGGTTGTGTTATGGCCCGTATTTGCCACACGAATAATTGCCCAGTTGGTGTTGCCAGTCAGGTAATAATGGAAACTTTTGTCTGTGGCTTTACTGTGGATGCTTTGTTTCTATGTTAATCAATTCTTTTGATTCTTACTTAACTGCAGAGGGAAGAACTACGTGCTCGGTTTCCTGGCGTGCCAGCTGATCTGGTTAATTACTTTCTGTATGTTGCTGAGGAGGTGAGTTCTTTGTGAATAATATAAACTGTTTCTTTATTGTTGTTACTAAGCTGCCGATGTTCACTTTGGTCAATTATTCATGTCTTTGCTAGGTAAGAGGCGTGCTGGCAGAATTGGGTTACCAGAAGTTAGACGATATAATTGGGAAAACAGACATACTAAAACCACGAGACATCTCCCTTGTGAAAACCCAGCATCTTGATCTAAGTTATGTGCTCTCGGTGAGTATTAAAGCAACTTCTGTTTCTCCTTGGCTATCATGGTATTTCTAGCCACGGGCTTCCTGTTTGTTTCAAGTAAACTTCATATGGTTCGCTCGTCTACATTTCCAGAGTGCCGGATTACCAAAATTGAGCAGTACAGAGATAAGGAATCAAGATGTTCACACTAATGGGCTTGTTTTGGACGACAAGATACTCGCAGATCCAGAGGTAAGAATCTTCATCCTTGATATTGTGTATCATTAGCTAGCAACTGGTCTTCACGGCACATGGAGAGTTATTGACCAGAAAATGAGATATTTTGGCCTCAATCTGAACATTTGCTTTTGACTAGTTTTAACACACACTACTGGTTGTTTGCTTCTTTTCCTTATAAGCCTTCGTTTACATGTACAGATTGCAGATGCAATTGAGAAGGAAAAGGTTGTTAACAAGACTTTTGATATATTCAATGTGGACCGTGCTGTCTGTGGGCGGATATCAGGTGCAATCGCCAAGAAATACGGCGATACTGGTTTCGCTGGACAACTGAACATAACGTAAGATGTGTGGCTTACTAGTTCCCAATATTACAGTATCGGGACACCTAAGAAAACATTTTCTGTGTCTTGAGTACTCATACTAGAATTTCTATTTGCACCACCAGGTTTAATGGGAGTGCAGGTCAGTCATTTGGATGTTTTTTGACTCCCGGGATGAATGTCCGGCTTGTAGGAGAAGCAAATGATTATGTTGGAAAGGTAAGGAAACACCGTCATCAACATTGCTTAAAATCAAGATTCAAGTATATAGTTTCCGAAACTAACTATGTGTTTTGATGCTAAAAGGGTATGGCTGGAGGAGAGCTGGTGGTCACTCCAGTAGACAACGCAGGGTTTTGCCCTGAGGAAGCTGCCATTGTTGGGAACACCTGTCTCTACGGAGCCACTGGTGGCCAAGTCTTCGTTCGAGGGAAAGCTGGGGAACGTTTTGCGGTTAGGAACTCACTCGGTCAGGCTGTCGTCGAAGGCACTGGAGACCATTGCTGCGAATACATGACTGGTGGCTGTGTTGTTGTACTTGGAAAGTAAGTGAATGCTGCAGCAGTCTGCCTCACTTCTCGTTTTAGTAACATAAAACTGGAACTGATCCGTAGAGTTAAAACCTACGACTCGCTTTGGTCGACAGGGTTGGGCGAAATGTGGCTGCTGGCATGACTGGAGGTTTGGCGTACATGCTCGACGACGACGATACCTTGATACCCAAGGTTTGTAGTTTGTTACTGCTATGATTCAAGTCTCTATCAAATTTTTTTTTTTTTTTTTTACTGAAGCTCGGAATCCAAACAGATAAACAAGGAAATAGTGAAGGTACAAAGAGTGACTGCTCCAGTTGGTCAAATGCAGCTCAAGAGCCTCATTGAAGCTCATGTTGTAAGTTCACTACCCCAAACCAGTAGTAACACTTAGGTTGCTAAAATGTAGCTATGAACTTCGTTTTTTCTGCTGACACAAGCTCACTATCTTGATTGAAATCCAGGAAAAGACCGGTAGCGCGAAAGGCGCTGCTATCCTCGAGGAATGGGAGAAATACCTCCCTCTCTTCTGGCAGCTTGTTCCTCCCAGCGAAGAGGACACGCCGGAGGCTTGCGCGTTGTACGAGGCCACCGCCGCCGACCAAGTCACCACCTTTCAGTCCGCTTAAGATGTAAAGACAAATTGTTGAAATGGCTATTGGGCGGCGGCAGCATTAGCAGCAGCATAACACAAAGAAGTTACATTATTTCCCGTCGACCTCGTCGTAGGACTGTTGGCCTGTGGTAACAAGAGAAGCAAATAAGCGGCCGGAGGACATTGTTAAGGTTTGACATTGCTTCAATCATCAGAAGCAGAGGCGATGGCAATAGCAATGGCGGCAATGTGCTGCACAAGAATGTATAGTTTGGGTAAATTTTTTCTCCTGCCGCAAGATGTAACCATATAGCCTGTCCAGTTGCTTTCTTTTGTGTATCTTTTGGGCGGATATCCTGTTAGATACTTGTGCTTAGATTGGAAAAAATGCAATAGCTTGTTTGCCGCTTCATTTAATCAAACAACCCTTATCTTTTGCTTCTCCTACTAGCCAAGATCACTCGTATTAAAGCAAAGATACAAAAGAGTTATGTGGCCAGGGTAAATGCCAACGCGATTTTGCTAGTCTTGTCAGAGATTACCCCCGCCACTCCGGCGGAAGCGACGACCTCCGCGGCGCTTCCTTCCCTTTCCGTTACGTACAAGGACAAAAGAAAAAGCCACGGCAAACCATATTTCCTTGTCCCAGTTTAAAAGGAACTAATTCCACACCGTTGAGCTGTCTGTCACATCCTTTTCCTCTATAAATTTGAGGCCAACCATGCAACAAAAAGAGAGAGAAGGAGGGGGAAAAAAAAAATCGGTCGGAATGAGCGGCGAGCATGACCGGTGGGCAAATCTACTGCCGGAGATTCTACGCTCGATCCGTGAGAGATTATCGTGGAAGGATTATTTTTCTTTCAGACTGACATGTCGTGACTGGAATTTCTCCACCGAGCTCGACCATGGCATCTACAAGAAGGTCAAGTATCCGTTCCTGTTGCATTATCCCAAGGTCGCTAAAAGTACCGATGATCATTCATCGCCGTCGGTGGCCTCCAGTTGCTGTCGAGCCTACTCCCCTGCCTACGGCAAAACTTATTATATGCGCGCACCGAATGAAGTTTCCGACGCCTGTATCTCTTGCGCCGCCTATGGATGGTTGCTTTTCTCTGGAGAGTTTCGAATTTTCTTTTATCGCCCCTCCACGGGAGACATCATTCAGTTACCCTATTACGGGCCAAATCTTCGTGGTAGCTTCAACCGGATGAGTTTCTCGGCTCCGCCCACGTCCCCTGATTGTGTGGTTGTGGGTCAAGTGGATCTCATCTCCGAGAAAGAAACATTGATCCTCTTTATCCGGCGAGGACAGAGTTGTTGGAATCACGATCTAGGCCACGTCCCCAACAGGATGAGACTGAAGAATCGTCGTCCCCGGAAACTAACAACGGGAGATGTCAGGAAGATGAGAGTTAAATCCAGTGTGTGCAGTTGGAGCGCCGCCAATAAGTTTCGGCGGTGCGTGGGAGATTTCTTCTGGCCTCACTACAATTCCTCCCCGCTTTTCCACAGAGGAGCGTTCTATTGCTTGGCTCAGGATGGAAGGCTGGGGGTTCTGAATCCCAAGGCGAAAAGCAAGGACAAAATCTGGAGGGTATTGGATACATCCGCGGCCGACGTTTTTAGAGATGCCAAGGAAAACGAAGCTTATTTAGTGCACTGCAAGGGAGAGCTGCTCGCTGTCGTGGTCGGGCCGATGGGAAGATTTGTGAGAATCGTCAAATTCTACGAGCCGACACGAGCATGGCGGATTGTTCATGACCTCGAAAATCATGTGGTGTTATTGAGTCCCGCAGGATGCGTGGCCATGGAGTGCGACGAGGCGGCAGGATTGAGAAGAAACACTGTTCACTTGCCGAGATTTTCTGGGCGAAATCACCACCACGTCTTCTACTCGCTCTCGACCAGACGGTTTCACTGCTTCAACGAGGAGGACCGTACGTTGGACAACTTGTACGATACGAAGCTCCCCTTGGTTCACGCTTGGATGACTCCGACTTTCCCATTCCCTTGCCCAAGAAGAAAGTGGGATTGGTCGCTGAAACTCAAGGGACGACGTCGAGCAATGGCGAAGAATATTGCAGGTCCGAAACACCGTATGATACATCCGCATTATTTGGTAAGGAACTTGAGCTTCACGCAACCACCACCAAGTCACGACGACGATGAGCAATATTCGATTCCGTTGCAACGTCCTAAGCAATCAGAAGCCGCGCCAATGGCTCGACCATGTCTTGTTTTGAGGAGTGGAGAAGGAGAAGCGAGGCTGATCGATTTAAGCAGCGGCAAAGGGGGGCAGCTGATGGAACAACTAGCACTCAGAATCGGTTCGAAGAAGGTGTACTCCTCCGGTCATGGACATTTGCTGGTGTTGATTGACAACAAGGCTCGTTCTTGTTCTTTGTTGTATCCCTCGTCCATGGTTGAAATACCACTACCCACATGGGAAACACCTTTCAGCAGCTACGACGACGACGGAGAAGAAGATCTCGCGGTTCATGTGCCTCGTGGGGAATCGAAACTGGTCGTGATGGTTTTCGGTAGGATGGATGATGAACAAGCTGGAGAAGATGGTGTTAATAAGGGCAAGGACGTGGCAATGGTTTGGAGAGATGGTGATGAAAAATGGACACTACATACGAGGCCAAGCAAGCTAAGAGTAGATGCGATCCATGGCGGAACCGTTGCCCACCAGGGTAAGATTTATGGCTACGTTTATGATCCTTGGGGTAAGGACGATCTCGCCGTGGTTGAGTTGAGAACGGGAGGATATGGAATAGAGAGCACAGGGGCTACGGCTCCGCAGTTTTTCAGTCCGGGGTTTTGCGGCGATTGGCGACGGCTGGTGGAATCGTGCGGCGAACTCTTACACATAGCTACGTATTACGCCGGCGACGGTCTTGGTAAAGGGTGCAGCGGCGGGACTTTTATAGACGCCAAAGTGTTCAAGATGGATTTTAGCGTCATGGAATGGAGGGTGGTGGAAGACGTGGGAGACCGGGCGTTTCTCTTGGGCGAGTGGGGATGTTACGCTTGTTGCGCAAGCAAATCCGGGCTACGAAGGAACAGTTTTTACTTCACGGAAAGCAACATCAACTTGTGCGTTTATGACTATGGAAATCGCACCATTTCGTCGAGCTTGCTTGGCCCTGATGTGGACGACAGTTGGGTGGCATGTGGGTTTGTAATGTTGTATGACTAGCTAGCTATAGCTAGGGGAATCGGGACTAGATAGTGTGACGTCGCGCGCCCTTGTGTTGTTATTGTAACAACACTAGTCTCCAACCAATAGGAAGTTAGGATTGTGATCGACGACTTTTTATTATATCAACGGCCCACAAGTTAGGATTGTTGTGATGGTTACGTTGTATAAGCTTAAAATAAATTATTATGTTTTTTTTTAGTGGAAAATATCAAAATGAAACTTTTATATATGAGTGAACTTGGCATGATAACTCTCTGAATAATAACCTTATTGCTAAAACATTCGTTTTACTTCTATCATATTTGAAACTAAACGTTTAGAATAATTAATTTCGAGTATGGTCTTTTATAATAAAGACAACATATGAAGATCGAACAAATTTAAAAAAAAAAGAGCCACAAGCTAGGGTTTCAGGGTAGATTAACCTTTGAAAGATAGAAGAGAATAATTACATGGAGTTGTGCATGAGCCCATTGTCATCATATAGTTCGTGAAATTATGAGATGAGAAAGGAGTGGGAGAATTCCCAAAATATTGTTTTTTTTATTATCTACCATCAATATGGTGGTTTTAAATATATTTACACAGATATTGTGTTTTTGTGGGGAAAGAGATGCGGGCTCGCAAGAGACTCAATTTTATTAGTTTGAAATGCGGATCCAAAATGGACTTGGGCGGACCCGCGTCTGGTGCGGAAACGCATGGACTCAGCGGACCCGCATTAGTAGAAAAAATTAATATCAATTTTGGTCACTCGAATTACTGAAACATGTCACATTTAGTCACTCTCCCGTTACTTATTTTTAATGAATGTCACTCGAATTACTGAAATATATCACATTAGTTAGTTTCCCGTTAGTTCCTGTCCAGCTCCAATGTGACATATTTCACGTGAATTTTTTTTTTTTTTTTGTGTTAGTTTCCCCTAATATTTGCCCGGCGATATTGAAATTTATGAAGGTATAGTGGCTCTTCCACACCTTCTGATATTCATGATTGTTTGGCAAAAGCCAAAACACATTATATGTTATAATGGTCCACGTGGAAACCTAGGAGAGACCCTTTTTACCTTGTTACTTTGAACCTGAATGAAGGTTTTTTGGGTAGCCATGATGTTTGGAGATATATGCCAACATATGTTTATATTAATTAAATAATTAAATAATTAATATTCCCAAACTTTTGTGTGCATGGTTTCTTCTCCCAAATGCACTGCATCTGCATCGGCGTAATTTTATAATAATAATCACCAGTTGGGTTTTGTTTATTGTTTGTTGTTTCCGGTGACCCATCAATCCTCCTCTCTGTTCTTAGTGTTTAATAATCTGTCTCTTTCTGTTAATGATGAATATGTTTTTTTTTTCTTCTGTTATTTCAAAGTTCCTTTCTTCAGGTTATCGTTTACCAGTATCCGGAGACTTAAGAAATACGTACATAAATACATGCTCTGAATCTGAACGTATGTATACAGATCTTAGGATTGGTATCATACGTACGTCATCAACCAATAATCCCAGCCAACATCTACGTCTATGAAAGCAGCAAGCCAGCAATTAGTTCACATAATTATATTTAAATCTAATTAGACTCATACTTCCATTATATTATTGTCACTTTGGAGATATCCGATGAAATTGGAACAATACTTTCATGATCATCTTCTTGTGGTTGAGATGTTGGATACTCATTCTATAGATCGATATATTTAGCCTGTGTGAATGCTCGTACCTAGAGCTTCTGTTACGTGTAATGAAATCTCAAATTCTACATCAATACTTAAATAACATATATGATCAATGGAAATACGTTAAATGACGAACTGACAAAGAAGAAAAATAATACTAAGAATAAGATTCATAAAGTGAATGTTAGCTAGGGGGTGTACAACAAGTTCAAAGATTTTCGAATGTTCATCATCATTGTATCATATACTCAGTAAAACGAAAATTCTTGATGGATTAGATGTAGTATTCAGCAGATTGCAGAGTACTCCCAAATACGAGTGTATATAATTATTTATATATTATAAACAACATACACACTTATATATCAATTACCGCAAATGCATATGTACGTGACATATTCAAGATACAATGCTAGTTGTTAAATACTCATCGTATTAAAAATTAGCTTTTGCCTCGAATCGTGCTTCGATACACGGTTGGGCAAAAAGATTCAAGGTAGATGAATGCAAATTTCTTGTATGACTCCCCTACTTGTATCATTTTTAGAATATATCACAATTTATGATCCACTTCCTTAGATTCTCGTTCTTCTTTTTAGTATGAACCAAGTGTTCTATTAAAAAAAAAAAATCTACGTGCGTGCATATATTACAAACAAAACAAGGAATAATCATGTATACAAAACGATAATGCGATCAATAATTACAACATATCATAATAATATTCACACGTAAAAAAGAAATACACACTTATGTGTGTGTTTTTATATATATTTTAGACATTATACACTATAGTTATATAAACACAAAATATTAACTAAGCTACCCAAAAATAAAAATCGAAAGAAAACAAACTCAAGCAGCTCCCATATTTATAATAATGATATAATACTAATCATAATAATAATATTATTATAATCACGATATTCGATTTGAAGCCCGGCGGGCCACGTTACCAAGTCGACAATTTTTCAGACGCCGGAGCCATTATTATTGCGCGGCGGCGGAGGCAAGGCAGGCCGCCGTCGTCCCGTGGGAGAGAAGGCCAGGAAGACCAGGAGCAACATGATGACGACGGGAACGAGGAGGAAGAGAAACGGCGGCGGAGGTAACGGCGGCAGCACCAGAGGCAGCAGCAGTATCGACGCCGTGAAAGCTGCCATCATCCCCATCCATCTCAACCGCGACAACATATATATATATATAATATATTGCCGGCTGCAACGGCGTCGTACGAACCCAGGTCGCTGCTTGATCGATTACGTGGCACGGTGGTGGAGAAGAAGAATATGGAAGAAGGAGGAGGAGGAGAAGATCGCCGCCGCCATTTCTAAAGGAAGAAACTAACCAACTGTACTATGTTTATTGATCTCTCTGTGCGGAGAAATGGGAAGATCGAACAAATTTTATAAATAAAAAAAATGACAACATATGAAGATCGAACAAATTAAAAAAAAAAAAAAGAGCCAAAAACTAGGGTTTGAGGGTAGATTAACCTTTGATAGGAAGAAGAGAATAATTACATGGAGTTGTGCATGAGCGCCATTATCATCATATAGTTCGTGAAATTATGAGATGAGAAAGGAGTTCCCTTTGTGGTGGCATATATTATATCCCCCACTTACTCTATAACTTATTTTATATTTGTCAATTGAAAATGATCAATTTGGCAAGGCCCTGTGGTCTTATTATATAATAGGTTAATTTACTACTTATGTAGTGTGTCTAGATTCATGAACTTAGTATTTGAAAACGACAACAAAGCTACCTTTTTCATATTTTCCCCACAATTCTGGGTTTTTTTTTGTCATCCATACATGGGATATGACTAAGAGACTTTACATGTTTTGAAGCAAAACCCAATTTTTTTGAAGTTTCATCGATTAGAGGGTGAAACTAGACATCACTTGTTCAAATTAGTTGAACATTTGAATATTGATGTTATATAAGCGTGTGTGAATTTTCACTATATGTTGGATCTAAGTACGACATGTTACTTTGGTGTAATGTTATATGTTACTACTCATATGTTAGATGAGATTCGATATAATTTATCAGGATAAATACAATATAATGACTCTATCTATATTACCGGGCTAAAACGGGCTAAACGGGTGACTCATTAATCCTTGACCCACTAACTCGACCAGGTCCGAGCTAAAATGGATGACTCGTTAACCCTTGAAAAAAAAAATTGAAGAATGGTGGTGGTGTCCTCTTATAGTAACCCCACACCTTCTAAATTTTTATACAATTAGATGTTTGATCAAATGGTATTTTAATTCGTGGGAGGGTGGGAATAGGGATTTATGTTTTTGTGTCTCGATTCACTTGACCAAGCACCATGTCCTATATTTGTAATGACTTTTGATAACTAGTTAGTGGAGAATATTAACCTCTCACCCAACATATCTTTTGCCAAGTAATCACTTTTTCATGGATTAAAACTCCTAGTTATATACTCTTGCCATGAAGCATGCCGATATCTGTTTAAACGAAGTTGTTTACTACACGAAAATCGAAGGTCGACGTTTCATAATAATATCGTGGAAATGAATCTGTTATTAATTTTCAATATACTTTTTTATAATATGTTCAATATACTTTCAGTTGCTTACTTTCAATATCAAAATTTTTTAATATTATTCAGAGAGTCGAATATAATCACCAAAAGAACCGTTTCGACATTCAAATATTTATCCGATTAGAAAAAATTAATTGCAATCAGAATAACTAAATCAGACCGGAAGGCTGGAAGAATGTTTGAGACAAGGAGAAAAGGTAACACGAGGAAGAAAGCCCAGACTGGGATATAGAGAGTGGCGGGCTCAATATGAGATGGCCCATGAATGGACAAGGCCCAGGCCTGCTATATAATTAGTTAATTACTGAATAATTGAAGGAAGAGAAAATCGGGTATTAATTGATAAAACGGAAAAGAAATAAATAACAACTAATAAAATAATTTTGCCAGCTCGTAACGAGAACAGAGGAATCTTGCCTGCGCAGGGAGAGGGAGGAGGACGCACAACGGCTCTCCTTTCTTTCCCGGTTCGCCCTTCTCCAAACGGTTCTGCCAGAAGAATCTCAATTGTTCCTTCTCGGATTCTGGGTTTGTCTTCCAATAGCCATCCGGTTCGCGCGGCAGTATCTTCCATTTCCTTTTTTTGCTGCTCGTCTGCCATGTAGATAGATGAAGTATATTCTGTTTTGTGGGGGGTTCTTCTGATTCATGTTCATCTTTGAGAGGGGTTTTTTGCTGCTTTCTTCTCTCTTGATTTTTCGATTGGTGGGTTTGGTTCTGTCTCTCCTTTTGGTTTCTGGGGCTTTGCCGCTTGTTATTGGAAATTCGCGGGAAATCAAGTCATTAGTTGCTTCTACAGTTCTACCTGAGCCAAAGTGGCAAAGTCCGTTCCTTTTTCTAAGTTGAATTAAGGTTGCTCAAGTTTTTCTGGCGATATGGAATTGGGTTTTGGGCATTGGTGCTGCGTTTGGTTGCTTTGACATCTTCCTCTGAAGATAATTTTTGCGAAGTAGCTGACGCTTTATGTGCTCTCTAATTTTCAGATATGGAGAGGAATTATAGTAATGATGAACCATCAATGGCTCGCATCCAGCAATTGGAGTATGGTAATTGTTCTTACTTGGATTGCAAGCTTTCTACTGCCATGTCCTGCAATGACTAGGGCAATCATTTGGAATTGGAACAGTTCTATCCATTGTATCCATGTTCCTTATATAGGGATTGACTTAGGAGTTGGAGTTGGAGTTGGTAAATTGGTGGCTTTTGGCCTCTTTGAACTAACCTGCACTACTTATCCTCTTGTGATGTTTCTTTGCAAACAATAATGCTAGTGTGGAAGGTTATTTGATATAGTGTTGCTCAATGAATCTCTTCAGTCGTGCCTTTGTATTACGTGTTGGTTCTCATTTTTTGGTGCTGTAAGCTGCTTGATAATTTACTAGTAAGTGAAATGGTAACAATGTGTTTGAATCCTTTTGTTTCCTAGAGCGCGATGAATTGCAGAGAGAGCGTGATGAGTTACGTAAAGATATAGAACAACTATGCATACAGCAAGCGGGACCTGGGTATCTGGCAGTCGCAACTCGGTTGCATTTCCAGAGGTATCATTTGTATTTTTATTTCTTCTCATTCTTCAGTAGACGGCCAAACTTCCTCCCCCACATTCTGTTTTCACTATTTTTTGGTCCTGGGATTATGGGCTAGGTCTTTGGTGGGAGACGTTGGGGGTCCCTTTAATGTGTAGGTTGCTACGAGTTAAGAAAGCATAAGGATTGTTAATGCCCTATTAGGACAGCTAGCTTGGAGCAGGAAATAGAGAATTTGAAGATGAAGTTAGCTGCCAGTACTAGAGAGAGTCGAAATCTTCAAGACGAGCTTGCAGAAGCATTTCGAATTAAAGTGAGAATTTGGACTTCTTGTACCATATCTTCTTAGTCTTTCCTGTTTTTCCATCATTGCACAGGGTCTTAATGACTTATGTTTCCAGGCCCAATTGGCAGAGCTACACCAAGCTGAAGTGGCCAAGGTATCCCTCTTGTTCCATCCTTCTCTCTGTTGTTCCTATGTTCATGTGTGGGTGTTTATTTGTATGTACGTGGAAATCTTTTCAATTTCACCATGTATATGTGTCTGTTTTGAGTGCCTGTCAAAGTGTGGCACTGGGCACAGGCTTTCATTCTCTAATATTTATTATCTTAAAGGAATCCATATAACTTTAGCTAGGAATTTGTTATAATTTGTAAAGCTCTTATGCTCAGAGTTTCCCGATTAATCTGACCTTGTTTCGACTTCTTTCTTAGAATATCGAAGCAGAAAAACAAGTCAAATTTTTCCAAGGAAGTGTAGCTGCTGCTTTTGCTGAACGTGACCAGTCCCTCTTGGAGGTAATTCACAGATGATGGGAGTTCACTCATTAAGAAAGAATCCATTCGGGCACCTGAGTTTGGTCATGGCTCATTACATGGTCTGTTGTGTAGCAAAATTTTCATATGGTGCCTAATTTATGGTGACAGGCTGATAAAGCGAAGGAGAAAGAGGAGCTCATGTCACAGAAATTTAACCCAATGCAGACTAGGTAGTTTCCTTGTTAATACCTATTGTTAACTTGGTATCGGAAAGATGACCATTGTTTGGAGTTCTCGTTTCGGTAGTCTGACCTGTGGCACAGTACCTGTAAATATTAGAAAGAATGCTGATGCAGGTCGTATATTTGTTTCATGTGTTTAAATAGAAGTTCTCCCCATTGCATAATTCATCTCAAAATTTTGACCGTGTAGTCCATCCCGTGGTACCATGAGATATGCATGGTCGTGAATCTTATCCTCTGCTTTCTTTTCTTTTTGGGTCTCTTGGAGGAATGGTGAAAGTTGACATGTTGGTCTGGGCTTGATTGGAGGGTTTAGATTGTTGGAAGTTATCGCCTCTTTGTGCCTCTGATGTCTTGTTATAGATGGTTATCCCTTTGTTCTATTCCTCAACATTTTCAATGCCCATCAGTCATTATATGGCATTTGACAGTTTGGTAAAATAGTGATTCAGTGGAAAAATTATAATGAATGAACCTACGGTATGCAGATTGGAAGAGCTGACCTCAGATCTACTGCAGAAGAAGAGAAAGAATGATGAACTGCTGCTTGATCTAGCAAAATGGGAACATCAGAACGAAAACTTGAAGAAGGTATTGCCTTTCCCAACTCAGCTTCCATTTTTCTGGGATTTGTTTAGCAGCCTGTATTGTTTAAGAAAATGCATACTGGCTGCTGCTTTTTTAATTGATACTAATTATGCTTATTCTCCTGGAAAATGGCAGGTTGTCAACAAGTTCTTCGAGATTCGGCTGCAATCATCTGAGGGATCTCTTGAAACAACTTGGGATGAGAAGTGTGAATGTCTATTACATGACCCGCTTGAAGTTTGGAATTATAACGATCCATCAACTTCTGACTACATTGTAAGGATCTCAGACATTACTCTTTATACAAAGTCATAACTTATTGATAATTTCTTTTTGAGTGCTATGCTTTTTCATAACTTATTCATAACTTCTGACTACATATGCAATACTTTTTGACAACTTACCACCAGTGAATTGCATGATAAGTCACGGATTGCATGTTGAACTTTTATCGCTCTCTGTTCATCCTGGTGGCTGAATAAAGTATTGCATATTTATTAGTTTGAAGTGAATTTGATTGATCATCAATTAGAGATTTTAATTCTAGTTTGGTGTCCCAAACTTCCATACTCAAGCGTTGTCTGTAGATTCTGTACTTTTCCTCTTGCATTGTGATTAACTTATCATCAGACAGAGTGCCTTGGAAGAAGAGCTGGAGACTGTGAGAAAATCTGTTGATGATCTTAGGAGTAGGATGCAAATGGTATGTATACACCATCTGACTGGGGGGTCTTTTTCTCTAGTTCAGGCGTTGATGAAGTGTTTCTTCTTACTTTTGCTTGCAGGGTCTGGACATCGAAAAACACTTGAGAAAGAAAGTTCATGATGTCGAAAAGAACCTAGTGGGTGTTATTATGTTTGAGATTCAAATATTGTTAACTGATCATTTATTCCTTTTACTGATCGTCGATTTATTCACAGCTTCGTTTTAACCAAGTGGTCATGAGTGGAATATTGGACTTGCACAAAATTCATTCTCAGCATAGACTCGGGATTCTAGATTTACTCGCCGACGAAAAATCTAAACTCAAGTTGACGGTTGATATGATTGAAGAGCATATCAAAGTGTTTGAGCTGACAAAACAGAATGTTTTGGTTTCTGAGGTACTCACAAGCTCAGATGAAACTGAATGTCGAGATGTGCACGTCAGCACAGTCACTGACACATCCTCAGCATCCACGGTTTGTTTACACTTCCTTGATTGTGATTTGATGACGCCTCTTGTGTGACTTAGTTCTTAAATGCAGATAGTCTGTATATGGGCTATTAGTGGAAACTCCTGCTTAAAACAGAAGCTACTCTGTCGGAAACATCTTTACTGGTGTAGCTTGCTTACTTATTCTTTTCTTATATATTGCAGAGAAACGACAGTATCTCAAAAGTTGTTACAGCTCCTAATGAAGACATTGAAGCCTCTGAAGTCCTGAAGCAAGTATTGCGAGAAAAGGTTCCATGCCTCTGATATTATTTTTTCCTCCCGGTTGTTTCCTTCAGTCAGTCTCCAGTCTTTCTGAGTTTCAGCATCATAGCTATCATTTCTCCTAAAAAAATTTGGAGAGTCATTATTTCTTGATCTTCCACCTGTCCTCTATCTCTCAGGTTCAGACACTATTGCTGTTGTCTCAGCAGGACGAAAGACAATTGCTGGAAAGAAATGTGAGTGGAGCTCTTCAGAAAAAGATAGAGGAGCTGCAAAGAAACTTACTGCAAGTAAAGTTCTCTGGAAGTCATTTGCAACATATTGGCTGTAGTTTTGAAAACTTTTTAAGTTTTTTCTTCAAATGGATGTTGATGGGCTGATACGATGTTTTTGAACATTCAGGTTACTAACGAGAAGGTTAAAGCTCTTATGGAGTTGGCACAGCTAAAACAGGAACATCAACAGCTAAAAGAGTATGATTCCCTCGTCTCCTTAAAATCCAACTGCCATTTTTATAGTAGATTGTTCTTTCTTTCATTTGAGCTCATGAAGAGACTATTGCTATGTTGCAGGAAGCTTGCTGATGAGGCGGGGCAAGGAAATTGTTTAGCAGAGAAAAAACAAACAATTCAGGAAAGAGATACAGGGATAAAAAGTGTGCTGAAGAAAACTTATCTGAGACGGTGGCTTGGCACGTTGAATTCTACTGGAAGTGAAGTTGACACGCACCCAAATAGTCCAGGGGACTTATCAGGGAGAAAGTCGAACTCAATGGATGTTGCAAGGTCCGTATTTTGTACTGTTGTGTGCTTATTGGAACTACTTAAGCTTGCCCATCTATAACTAACTCCCTCTGGTTGCTTTACAGAATGAAGATCGAAAATGCTACTCTCAAGGAAAGCTTGGAAAGTATGGAGCATTTGGTTTCCTCGACTCATAGACTCCGCCTTGCACTCACCAGGGTAACATGCATAAAAGTCTGAACTTCTGAACTGGTGGTTTCGAGAATGGTGGAATGAGCTTTGGAAGTTTTCTGTTTGTTCTTTAACATGACATTGCAGATTAGAGACTTGATGGCTGAGGAAAACACAGAACCCTGCTCGTCTGGAGCTCTGGATAACATAATTTCCGAAGCTAAACTGGTGAAGACTGCACTAGGCAGCTCATTACCCATCAGCTGGTCAGCAGAGGTGGACGATGCGTCATGCAGTCCTAGGTTCTCCACTGAGCCATCAAGTTATTCGGGTGGTACCACCGATGAGAAGATGGATTTTGTCTCTGCAGCCGGATTTGAGATGGTGGAGCTTCTGATACTTGCTGCTCAGGTTTTGAAAGAGACTAGCAGCAAATGTTCCTGAGAACCAAGAAGATTGCTGCCCAAGTTCTTCCTAGGCCTCGGCTATATATGGTACAACTTAGGAAAGATTACTTCCAATTGACTTATCGTGTAAACTGTTACTGGGAAAGGGGGAAAACAGGGTTTGAGGTGAGATGCATAGATGGAGACTTGAGTTGTAGTATTGTACCAGTACTTTATAAACTGGCGAAGGAGATGAGGGGCAATTGCAACTACTAGTTCTGTGAATATGGTTTTGGGTTTGTGTTAATACTTAATATTGTTGCATTCATAAAGAAATTCCTTCTCAGCAATCAATTTAATTTAATGAGTATAAACAATCATCTAATCTCTTCACAAATCTTCACACACTTATATAATATATATATTGGTAAGCTTATTGATATGCCTCAATGCTATGCCCTCAAAATACAGTAAGACTGGGAATCAAATATTCGAATTTATCTCTTTCACCGGTATGCTTCTACGATAAACCAAATAATCATCGTTTTGGTATTTCTATTCTAACCAAAATTTACTCAATTTACTATTGTGTAGCAAATATTAAAAAAGAAAGAACAAAAAAATTATGAACCTACATGAATTATGTACTATTTTGTTGTATTTTAAGTATTTCTAAAATTTGCTCGATTTAACTTTATAATTTCATCTAATGATCACCAATTCATGAAGTATTTGTAATTTTATGTTGTTAGTGTTTAAAATATAAAAATTAATAATTAGAGTTTAATTTTATATCAGAGTATAACATATACGCCCAAAATATGGCCCATAGTAACCATTATGTTATCTACCTCAAAACGATTAGTTGGGTTATAGACTTATAGCAAAGAAAAGCAAGGGAACACATTGAGAGACCAAAGAATGGAATTTTTTTTGTTATATTTCTTCAAAGGTTGAAAATCATAGGCACTATGTGGCCAATTAACTTGCCTACACATTACAACCATCTTCAAAAGTGTTTCCAATAACAAAACACAAAAGTTTCCACCTACTAGCAATAGGAATTAGCAATGGCCAACCCAAAACCCATCACAACAACATCAACCCATCCAAACCAATCAATCAATCAAATCAAGCAGCAGCAATCTCTGGAGCCAGTGTTTTCGGGCCAACCGGGAGTTGATCCTCGTCGTTATCGCTCTCGAGCTGGCTGTAGTTGCCCTTCTCCTTGAAGAGTTGGATATGGTGGTGCTTGCAGTACAATACCCCTTCATGTGCAATGTAGTTTGATGGGCTGATTGTGCAGCCTCCATGTGAGCACCTGAAGCACTTCTTATGATACCATGTTCCATTCACTGTCACCCTCTCAATTGGGTACACAGTTTTCGCGCACTGCTTGCACTTCTCCTTTGTTCCCGCGAACATGTTTGACATCTTGCTCGCGCTCTGTACATGTCGAATCGTCGTTAAGTTAACCATCATAATTGAAGAAGAAGAAGAAGAAGAAGAAGAGAATATAAATTGTATCTTTTTACCTCACTGTCAATGGTTTTTTCAGGCTTGGTGACTTTAGGAGTTCCTGTGGAAGTGTTTGGAGGAAATGAAATTAATTAGTTGGTGTAATGTTATTCAAATGAAGAGAAGATGGCAATGTATGTTTAAGGAACCTTCAAAGCTCTTGTCGAGGCTGCCAGTTCTCTTGAAGAGCTGGTCAAAGTGAGGCCTGCAGTAGAGGACTCCCTCGAATGAACAGAAGTTGCTCAGCTGCAAAAGTTTTTGAAAAGAAAAAATTGGTTTTAGAGTATGGTTTTCGTGTAGGTTTCGTCCATGACATTACCAATTAAATTCGAAACGATATGATGAACCTTCAGGGTGTTGTTGCAATGGTGGCAACGGAAGCAAGACTTGTGGTAGACGCGAGTATCGGCAACCAATTTGTCGACGAGGTACACTGTCTTGTCGCAAGCCTTGCATTTTTGTTGGGTTCCAACGAAAGCAGTCGAGGCCATTGCAATAGATTGAGAATAGAGAGAGAGAGAGCAGCCCCTGAGGAAAAGAAGAACAAAATGAAAGAGAAAGGAACGGAAGGCAAGAACTTGCTCGTTCTTGTTCCTTTCTCTTTTGTGTGTCTCGGGGGCTCCCTCTCTCTTACTCTTTGTTTCTTATTTTCCTATGCTTTGATTTGCTTTGATATCTTTCCTTCTTTTATAATGCCTCCTGAATAAGGTTTAATTTTGCGTTTAATCTAAATTTGGAATAGATGAGGAGATGATGTTTATTTCTAGAAACACCTTAAAATAGTCTAAAACAAGATTAGGATTTGGATCATTTGACTTGAATGTTTCATGGTGAATGGAAAGTGGAAAAGAATTAACGATAGGGAAAGATGAATGAGTTCTTTTCATTTGTGAAAAGAATAGAAATGTCGATACTCCATATTAATTTTCGTACTACCATACTAATGTTATGACTTAGATGCCCATTTTCAATCTATACTATATTGAATTCTAATTTTATATTCAAATTCACCCCGACAAAAACCAAATTAACAGACAATTTATTTCAATTTTGATTCTCATACTTTAGACTTTCATTTATGATCCGATATTCTTTGAGGAAACAAAAAAATAATCCAAATTGTATAAAACCAAATCGAATACGCTTGAATTCTCATTCTCGTTTCACGTCTAATCTAACCTTATATTGCTCGAACTAATTCCGAACCGACCCCGACATCACTACATCTACATGTAGCCCCTTCTTTCATTTTCCTATTTTCCCCTTTCTTTTTGCGGCTCCAAGGTATTCCCTCAACGAATAAGTTCAGTGTTACCAATCTATACATCTTTTTCTAAGTTCCATACATCCTCCATCTCAAAAACAGTACACATAGAAGTGGGGCAACAAAATGGAGGACTTGCGGCATTTGGCCGTGTACAAGTTCCAACCTTTTTAAGTCCCAAATTGCTTACTACCTTCAAAAGTCTGCCCAAAGTTCCAGTCTTTAGGGGCAACATTGTAAGAGGCAATCGTCTGGCCATCACTACTAGTGACCTCAAACGACAATGGCTGGTTTCTCAAGTCAGCATTCACATGCCAATTCTGTCCCCAATTCCTGCCCATCGGAAGCCACCCGGTCCTCGAACCCTTTATCTTCACCGCAGTGACGTCCCCAGCTCCAGCCACATTGGTGATCAGCACCGAGATGAAGATGCTCGATCCCGAGACCTGGAATCTTATCCCACCTTCTTTCCGGCATTTGATTCTGATCAAAAAACAAAACCAGGGCCAAGAAAGACAACCATTGTTTTAGCCATATGGCAAGAGTGTACACATTTTCAGCAACAATCAACTCCTGAATAATGCCTCGAACAACCAGAACAAAGATTCCTGTATGTCTCACATACACGAACCATACGCATAGAACCAGACTCCAATACGATCCAGAAGACCCCAACTCCGCTAATCTAGCTACAAACCGGTCACTCGACCTAAGACCTACCGACGAAACAGACAGATTAGAGTCTACAGCAATGCATTCTGCCTCTGGCACAAGTGCCTTCTTCTAAAGTGTTTGGCTTTCCGATCTCCAGCTTAACTCCTACCCATCTAGGATTGCACTAACCTGGAGCTAGTTAACTACAATAGATGACAATGTGACTTGCCCACCATTTGGGCAGAATAGCAGTACAGCAACATTCAACATTCCATTTCCTTCTCTTGGCAACTACAACAGGCCAAAACCAATTCCACACCAAGGCTAACCCTACCTTCAAGATGACACAATTAAGCAACAGATCCAGAAAGTGCCTACTCTAGCTACTCTTTGAAGTACTTAATTACCCAAAAAGCGATTCTGTCATTCAAGCATTCGATTTCTTCGTGCCAATTTCTACGAGAACTACCCAATTTTATCAAAACAATAAGGGGTTTACCTCCGGTACTGAACAGGCATGTTGCCGGCCTTCCAGATTGCAATCTTCTCGAAAGCTTCAATGGGGAGAACGAAGTGCTTGTTGGGAGGGTTACAGTGTCCCCCGCCGTCGGAAGGGAACCCGTAATTTGGAGGGCAGAAGTTCGTCACCGCCACTATAATCGAAGTCCCAGGTATGCACCAGCGGAGGTCGTCGACGCATCGGAGCTCGAAGCACGCGCCGCAGATCTGGCCGCGCTCGAACAGCGACTCGCTGAGCCCGACCGTCGCCATCCCGTACCCGGCCCGGACCAGGTCGCCGTAGCCGCAGGCCCCGCCGACGGTGTCCCGCGGGTCGGATGCGGCGTAGTACGTCGCCCGAGCGGCGCTCCAGTCGGATAGCGTGGTGCCGGTGGTGAAGGAACCGGAGGCGGCGCCGTGGGAGGCGACGCCTCCGAATAGCAGCGAGAAGAGGAGGAGCGGGAGGAGCAGAAATGACAACGACATTTCTTCGGCGGAAATGGAGATTTGGTGAACGGAGCAAGAAGGGATCTCTCGAATTAGAGCATTTCTGGAAGAGGAAAGTGTGAAAGGAAGTGAAGGTCTTTTTACTGTCGTTAATGGAGTTTAGCGCTCTTTTTTAAGGCCGCGTTTGTCGGGGAAAGATTCGTCATTTGCTGGGCGCCGAGGTACTTATTTGTCAGCGCGCTTTTTGAAAAGAAAAAGACAGTAATAATTTTTTATTTATTTATTTTTTAAATTCTCGATCATATCCCATTGGGCCACCCGGCCTGGCCCACCAGGAAAACATTCTCAATAGAAGACCGCGGGCTTCAAGCCTTCAACACAATAAGCCCACGAATTCGAAAATTGAAATACTTGAAAATCTATAGGAAAAAAACCGAACGACTTCATAAGTACGGGTACCAAAGTGATACTTTGTTTTCCCTTTTTACAAGAGGAAAAGAAAGCCGGACGGGATTGCGGAGAAGGTAGTAGAAGAATCTAGAATTAGAACGCCCTATATATAGAACTGTACTGCTGAAGCGTCATTCATTCTCCGTTTCAGTACTACACTCATCGTTCACGTATCCCCGACACTCCAAATTTCGGTTCACGATCTTTGAAAATTTTCCGGCGATTCTTGCGATTCCATCGCGACAACAATGGCGGCAGAGGCTGAGACGTTCGCGTTCCAGGCGGAAATCAACCAGCTGCTTAGTTTGATCATCAATACCTTCTACAGCAACAAGGAGATCTTCCTCCGGGAGCTTATCAGCAATTCCTCCGACGTAAGGGCTAATCTCTCTCCGTATTCTCGCTAATGTTGTCGATATCGATTAGTTCCATGGCTGATTAGGGTAATGAATCCGCGGAATTGTTTGTTTTGTATTCACATTAGGCTCTGGATAAGATTAGGTTCGAGAGTTTGACGGACAAGTCCAAGCTCGATGGACAGCCGGAGTTCTTCATCCGCCTTATCCCGGACAAGTCCAGCAATACCCTGACCATCGTCGACAGTGGCGTCGGCATGACTAAGGCTGGTGAGAATCGATTTCAGTTTATTTCGTTTTGGCTTATATATTAATGCGGTTTGGGCGTTTGATTGAGAATGTGCCTGCCGTTGTTTGGTTGGTTTTAGATTTGGTGAACAATTTGGGTACAATTGCGAGGTCTGGAACCAAGGAGTTCATGGAAGCATTGCAGGCTGGTGCTGATGTGAGCATGATTGGCCAATTCGGTGTTGGGTTCTACTCTGCTTACCTTGTCTCTGAGAAGGTCATTGTGACCACGAAGCATAACGATGACGAGCAGTATGTGTGGGAGTCACAGGCTGGTGGTTCCTTCACCGTTACAAGGGACACTTCTGGCGAGCAACTTGGCAGAGGCACCAAGATGGTCCTCCACCTCAAGGAAGACCAGGTAAATTCTGCCGAGCGATTATGAAGATTAAGTACAATTGCTGTTAGCTTAGTGAATGCTTGCTCAATTAGCGTATCCTGATGACTAGTTCTAGACATTCGGTGGTTTGAATTCTTGTGTAGAAAAGGGCATGATTTTATCATGCATTTGAATGGATGTGTGCCCTTTGTACAGAATGGATGGAATCTGTATATATTTCTTAGTAGCCAGATGTTTAGTAAGATGGTTGACACATGTTATATGTTAATGTCTCTCTTTCAAAAGCTGGAATATCTCGAAGAGAGGAGGATCAAGGATCTTGTGAAGAAGCACTCTGAGTTCATCAGCTACCCGATCTACCTCTGGACTGAGAAGACTACCGAGAAGGAAATCAGTGATGACGAAGATGAGGAGGAGCCCAAAAAGGAAGGCGAGGTTGAGGAAGTTGATGAAGAGAAAGAGACCGAGTCCAAGAAGAAGAAGAAGATCAAGGAAGTCTCTCACGAGTGGGAACTGATCAACAAGCAGAAACCCATCTGGCTGAGGAAGCCTGAGGAGATCACCAAGGAAGAGTATGCCTCGTTCTACAAGAGCATCACAAACGACTGGGAGGACCATCTTGCCGTGAAGCACTTCTCTGTTGAGGGCCAGCTCGAGTTCAAGGCCATCCTCTTTGTCCCCAAGCGTGCCCCATTCGACCTCTTTGACACCCGCAAGAAGGCCAACAACATCAAGCTTTATGTCAGGCGTGTCTTCATCATGGACAACTGCGAGGAGCTCATCCCTGAGTTCCTTGGCTTTGTCAAGGGTGTTGTTGACTCCGACGATCTCCCCCTCAACATCTCCCGTGAAATGCTTCAGCAGAACAAGATCCTGAAGGTCATCAGGAAGAATCTGGTCAAGAAGTGCATTGAGATGTTCAATGAGATCGCTGAGAACAAGGAGGACTACAACAAGTTCTACGAGGCCTTCTCCAAGAACTTGAAGCTTGGCATCCACGAGGACACCCAGAACAGAGCCAAGTTGGCTGACTTGCTGAGGTACCATTCCACCAAGAGCGGTGAAGAGCTTACCAGCTTGAAGGACTATGTGACCCGCATGAAGGAGGGGCAGAAGGATATCTTCTACATCACGGGAGAGAGCAAGAAGGCTGTCGAGAACTCTCCCTTCCTCGAGCGCCTCAAGAAGAGAGGGTATGAAGTCCTCTTCATGGTCGATGCAATCGATGAGTATGCCGTCGGGCAGCTCAAGGAGTACGACGGGAAGAAGCTGGTCTCCGCCACCAAGGAAGGGCTGAACCTCGACGACGAGACCGAGGAAGAGAAGAAGAAGAAGGAAGAGAAGAAGCAATCGTTCCAGGATCTCTGCAAGACCATCAAGGACATCCTCGGCGACAAGGTCGAGAAGGTGATCGTCTCCGACCGCATCGTCGACTCCCCCTGCTGCCTCGTCACCGGAGAATACGGGTGGTCCGCCAACATGGAGAGGATCATGAAGGCGCAGGCTTTGAGGGACAGCAGCATGGGTTCCTACATGTCGAGCAAAAAGACCATGGAGATCAATCCAGACAACGGAATCATGGAGGAGCTGAGGAAGAGGGCCGAGACCGACAAGAACGACAAGTCTGTGAAGGATCTTGTCCTGCTCCTGTTCGACACAGCCCTGCTCAACTCCGGCTTCAGCCTCGAGGACCCCAACACCTTCGCCAGCAGGATTCACAGGATGCTGAAGCTGGGTCTCAGCATCGACGAGGATGATGCCGCCGGTGCTGATGATGCTGAGATGCCGCCGCTGGAAGATGATGCCAACGAGGAGAGCAAGATGGAAGAGGTCGACTAAGGCTTTTGTTTATGGAGAGGGATGAAGATGACGAACGATATTAGTAGTTGTATGTTCTCTGCTATGTTTCTTCCAGTTCTAGTTTTAGTCTTTTCTGATTTCTATTTGGTGGTACTGGCTGAGATCTTTGCGTCTCCGCCTGGTTTTGGATATTTTGTTCAGCTGTGTTCTTGGTATATTATCAGGGAATCGGACAATTATATAATTCGGAATTTGTTGTGATTCTGGGTTTTCGGCAAAATCCGAGGAAGTTCGTGCCATATCTCATTGCAGGGCGAAAGTTCAGGCCTAGGGCTCCTGCCTATCTCTTGCAGTGGTGGGCCTAGAGGCTCTGGGCCTGATCTGCTGGGTTCATATGAGATGGGCTTCCTCCTTGCAATTGCATACCAATCGTGTTTTCCTATCAGAAGCAATGGAATCGAACTCTACTGAAACGGAAAATACACCACCGAAAACCACCATGATTTGCCACTCTTGATATTGAATGTCAATAGGGTTTATACTTTATAGGACATAACAAGGTCTTAGTCTAGTCCACTCTACATATAGCTAAAGGAAGATATCATCCGAAATATCGTAACATAGGATTGGATGAATTTTTACATTGAACGAAAGGTTTTCACAAACACTACTTGTGAAATTAAGTCTCACGCTTGTAAAGATAATTTGTATCTAGTGTTTAGAAATGTGTTGTCTGTAAACACTACTTGTGAAATTAAGTCTCACGTTTGTAAAGATAATTTGTATCTAGTGTTTAGAAATGTGTTGTCTGTAATTATAGCAACACAAGTCTCATTTAGTACAGGTTCAACAATTTCTGAAACTCATCCTTGATCAAAAAGAGTGCCTACTCAAATCTTGTTCATACAGGTTCAACAATTTCTCGCTTAGAGCTTTACCGTCGAGCTGTGCTACTCCATTCGTTCCTTCCACCTGAAAATTTTGAAATCGGAAACAATTTGAGTCCCCCCACAAATCAACATCAACTTAGCCCATCATTTGGAGTAGTGTGCAATAAATGTTAATTTGTGTGTGTGGACAAATTAAAGTAACCTAAAGTTAAATGGATCATTGTTATAGTATAATACTTAAAACAACTCTAGATTGTTCCTTGTAGCTAGCTACCTAGCTAGACAGTGACAAAAATTGGTCACCCTTCAATAATATTTTTAGTGTGTGAACTCATGGAAAGGAAGTAAGATGCTAGCAAAACTATGTTAGAATAATATACACAATGCTTGTGGCTTTGATGCACTCAAACAATGCAACTTGACACATGTCAGTATAGCTAGGATCCATCACGAACTTTTTCCATCTACAACCCTCAATCATTCACCAAAAAAGACAAACAGAAAAAAGAACGATGGAAGAGATCGAACAGGAAGAAACAGGAGAAGGCTTTGAAGCTCAAAGTTTACCTTAAGATGGAGATTGTAGAAGACCCTGCCTTGGAAAGACTTGAACGAAGAAGAATTCACTAGAACGAGCCCAGTCTCTTCTTGGAGATGCAACAGGATCCCCGAGATGTGATCCAACGTGTTATTACTACTTTTGGCGGCGATTGAGATCTGGACCATGACTTCCTCTTCACTCAGCCAACTCGTGGACGCCGTGGATGAAGACGACGACGATGCTAATGATGAAGACGACGAGGAACTGAACATCTTGTAGCTCTTTTTATTAGTTTTGTCGAGATCTATATGATGAACATCATCAGCACAGTCTTGCTTGATATCGACTTGGCTAGTAATTGTAGTAGTAGTATTGTTGGATATGGCCGACAACAAATCCTCCTTCTTGCGAGCCAACGCCTCCACTTGCTGCTGTAGCTCCGGTATGTACTTCAGTACTCGAGACACCGTGTTCGGTATGCTCAACTTCTTCTGCAGAAAATCGAGAGGTTGGCATTCGCGGATTATTAACACGCCAATTGGGTTTTATGATATGGTATCAGAACTGGTTTTGGTCACATTGAGACCAACTGGTTTATAATACGTGTATAATGGAATTTGTAAGCTTTAGATCAAACTCACCGTGTCATGGTAATCGGATGGAGGAAGCATGGAGCGGAGGGAGGAGTAGAGGGTGTTGATCTTCTTCCTCCGGTGCCGCTCGCTCGCGTTGTGGTTCAGCTTCTTCATGGCGGTGACCACCACCGTGCCGCCGCCGTCGCCGCCACTGCTGCTGCTGTCCTTCTTCGTGACTGCTGCATGTTCCTGATCTTCTCCGGTGAAAGACTGGTGATGATAATTGCCATCATGGCGATGAGAAGAGTAATTAGCATCAGCAGAAGCTTGAGGAGGGAGGAAATGGGTGGATAGAAGGTTATGGTGGTTGTGGTAATTAGGTAGCAATGTTGTTAATGGATCTTCTAACAACAATGGCCATGGAGATGGTGATGATGAAGACGATAAACCTCCTCCCAAGTTTGAAGCTAGGAATGGGTTGGTGGGTTGATGGGAGGAGGATGAGGTTGAGGACATTGCCAACATCTTTCTTGGTATATGATGATGATGATGATGATGATGATCTAGAGAGGTTAATTGTGTTTAGTTTGCTAATTAATTGCTTTGGTTTGCTAGTATATATATAGAGTTGAGATGGGTTTCTAATTGTTTAGTCTTTTGTGTTCCCCGGTGCCTATTGATTGTGATTTGAGCTAGTGGTGATTAGATTATAAGTTGGTTCGTTAATCTAATTGGTTTCTCTAATATTCTAGGCTTTGCACAGTTAATCAATAATGGGTTGGATCATGACATGGACCTTTCAAATAATTAAGATGGATTATCAGTGATGATGGTTTATCCTTTGCACGTTACTTATCAATGAGGTTCTGTTATACTCTCATAGTTGACCTCTTGACCCTTTCTTCTTAGGTGATCTGTATTCACAATGATATGGAGATCATCGGTAAAACTAGTGGATTATACAAGTTCATGAAACGGGTTAATTAATTTGTATCGTGTAATGTCTATTTGTTTCATCATATATAATCGTACGTCCGACACGAACTGGCACAATCTAGATGTAAATGGAATACAACATACCATGAATCGTTGTATGAGATTAATGAATCAGAATATCATAACATTGAATTGACGACTTTGTAAATGTGGTAATCTTCGATCATATTTAACTTATTAAGAGTCTAGTATGATTATAGTACAAAATATGGCGTACTATAAATACGTATAAATTAACTTGCGCCGATGAAATTTTTACATAAAAGCTACTATGTTGTATATGTAGCAAATACTTGTTTTTTTTTATATATAATTTGAATCTTGAAAAGAATATACGTTTATGCTTGTGGATAACTATATTTGGTGCACCGAAATGTTCAGTGCCATATTATTGTTTATAGTTGATGAATTAATGATTCTGATTCCATCGATCGATAGCATACAAACACAATAATACACAATTTCTTTTTGGTGGAATATATATGTATAATTTCCGATTCCTAAAATAGCCGCCAACAGATTATATGCTGATCTCCTAGACCCGACAACATAATTATAACAAGCCTCTATTATTCCTCTTGATCTTGAATGTATTTTATAGGACCATATAGGACTTATAAGATGGGCTAATAACCTACTCCATATTCGAAATTATAATGAAAACACAATTAGTGACCTAATGGTGACGATTAGGCTATCTTCTCCTAGAGAATTTCCACGTTAAATTAAAAATATGATAATAACATTATAGACAGTTGTATAGTCGAAATGAAAAAAAAAATTCTAGCCTACTGGTACGTACGTAAATGTGAGATAATAAAATTTATCACATTCTAACTTTGTCGATTTTCTGTGAATTTAGTACGCATAGCTTATCTCTGTATACTTGTCGATAATATTTTATGTATTGCTCATGTAACTGAATGATTATTAATTAACCTCCTGCACCTTAAAACCTAACACCTACTAAGATTGGTGAATGAATATTTTCATATAAGGTTATGTATATGTAATGATTCTCATTTTCAATTGATTCTTCACACTTCCATACTGGGTTTTTTTTACGCAACCACTAAATGTATTTGATTGTTTATAAAGAGAACATAAATGTAATAGTTAGTGTATGATTTTAAGCAATATAATCGACAAGGATGGATTATTTATTAGTTAGTATTACAATTAAACTAAGGTAGAATTAGGGTTTTAAATTATACCATTTAGCCCCCCAAATGTAAAGAGAGCTTGTTCAATTGTTTAATGGGCTTGTGCATAGCGCATGGCATGCACGAGGATCTTCGCCAAGTGCATGGCGGGGCACGTGCGTGGCCGAATTACTGATGGTATGAGCACGTGCCGGGCTGCCGTGACACGTGGACTTTTGCTTCCATCGTCCCAAATCTACAACAAATCTTCGAAATTGAAAAAAAAAAATTTAGAAACACAAACCATTATAGTTAAGTAACTACTTAATTTATTCTCCCTAAATACCTCATTTTCTCTCCATTACGTTATGGGACCTAATTCGGTACGAATGACGCGAGCAATGTGTAATAATGTGTATGTCTTCGTTCCGATTCTTGATCAGTTATTAATTTGTTAGAGATCAAAAGTATATAGATACCAAGTTGTATGTTATTATTGGTGTGCCTTTTCAACCCTATTGGATTAACGCTTAAAAATTAGCGATGCATTGCATTAATTGCACCATTTGGCAAAAAAAATAGTGATTTCTGCTAACTAGGCGAGCATGACCCGACTCGTAATTAAGAGATCGTGCAATGATTCATTATTTAGCGTCATAGAATCGGAATGACCCAATTGTGTTATGTGTGTGTGATAATTTATCGAAAAGCCTTAAATGATCAAGAAAGTCATACATACGTTCGAACTTCAATCGTCTTGTTAATAGAATTTATGTTAATTAATCCTTATGGGGGTTGGAATAGTGGAGGTTGTTGAAAGGAACTAATGCAAAACATTCCTCATTGTCGGAACATTTGTGGACGACAAGAGCAAAGGATTCTGAGGTTGCGTGGATCATGCCTTGTTAATTAGTTAAAGTGTTATGCTTAAGGATTCGGTTGAATAAAATGTTGTATTGTGAAGGAACACATACGTACGTCAAGTTCAATAGTAGCCTAGCTAACTAGGTATCTTCCTCGTGTTCACATTGTGAAGATAAGAGTACATGCACCTTACCTTAAAAGCCCAAAAACGAATTCTAGAGTGCCTCGACTGAAACTATCCGTCGTCGCCAAAATCATATATCTACTAAGTGTCGGTTTGGCAATCGCACAATACAGAATTTATGTGTATTTATTAGATTGGATTTTGAGAATTAACACGATATTAAAATATATCATTCACCTTGTATAGATATTATGTTGGAACTCGCATAAATTTATATGAAGGGTTGTTTGGCTTTTTGAATTTGAAAAAAAGGATTTTGGCCTGAAATGAAGAATTTGAAAATCATTATGGGCTTCATCAAGTTTGTTGTTTGGTTGTCCAATTTGGTAATGAATTTTGTTGGATTTTACAATTTGTATGTATGGACTAAACATTGCATAATGGTGTTTTTTTGGTTCTTGACACATGAGTTACACGATAGGTCCACGTCGATACAAAAGATGTGCCACATAACACTGACCATCGTTTCTCACTTTTGATATTATATCACAAGTTACAATCGCGCTCAATCGACTAATTCATAACGATTTACCCAGTCTAATTAATCATGCATCTGTATGGATCCACGTTGGACAATTTCTCACAATCACTACTTGTGAAAATTAGTCTCGCTCGTGTCCCAGCTTCTGTTTTGAGTTATAATAGGGATCACTCATACAACGAAAAACGGAGGGGGAGAAAAAAGTCGGTCTCACTAAGTTATGTAACTAACTCGTAGTTGAAGTGTGATTGTGTTGTGTGTAATTATAAGCAACACGTACATACATCATATCATCTCTTGATCATTAGGAGGAACGAGCCGTAGCTTGTTCGTATAAGTTCAACAACTTCTCGCTCAGAGCTTCACTGTCCAGTCCTACTAGTACTCCTCGACGAGTTCCTTCGACCTGCAAATTTCCACATTTTGTTTGCAAATGATCAAAACCATGATAAAAACAAATTCAAACATAATAAAAAAAATTAGTATTTACACCTGAACAATATAAATTACCTGAAGATGGAGATTGTAGAAGACCCTCCCTCGACAAGACTCGAAGGAAGAAGAGTTCACCAGAACAAGACCGGTTTCCTTGAGATGCAACAAGACCTCTGAAACAGGAAACGTCCTGTGTGGAACGACGTTACTCTTGTTGTCGTTTTGGGCAATGGAAATCTGTACCATGACTTCCTGTTCACCCAGCCAGCTCGTGGACACTGTGGATGAAGAAGACATTAACGATGATGAAGATGAAGAAGTGAAGCTCTTCTTAGTTGTATCGAGGTTCTTGCGATGATGATGATCGCCAAGAATAATATTAGGGCTTTGATCGACATGGCCGTCTTGCTTATTATTGTCGAGTTGCTTGTCGTTAGATATGGCCGACAGCAACTCCTTCTTCTTGCGTTCCAATGCTTCCACTTGCTGCTGTAGCTCTGGTATGTACTTCAGGACTCGAGACACCGTGTTCGGTATGCTCAATTTCTTCTGCAGAAAATCGCGAGACAAACGAGAAAGAAAATGTTAGTACTGTTTCATTGTAACGGAGTGGAAAATCGACAATGAAAAAAAATATAGAACACATAAGTTTATATGGTTCACAAGTATGCGATGTATGTTAGTTGATATACGGGCAGACCAATTTCACTATACTTTTGAGTAGATATATATATTGATATTATAGAGATTGAGAAGATATATATCTGACACTTCGTCTGTATGACCTAAACCTAATTCAATATGAAAAGGGAAATGTTACAACCAGACACAAAATAATATAACAAATGTGTATAAGTCCATACATCTCTGGACTCACTAAACCAGTTAGCCAGATCCCGTGACTTTCAGACGAAACTTTCTTTCTAAGTTGCTATGTAGCTACATATATATATATACAACGATCGATGAATTTTGCAAGTTAGATCAACTTACGGTGGGATGATGATCGGTGGGAGGAAGCATGGAACGAAGGGAGGAATAGAGGGTGTTGATCTTCTTCCTCCGGTGCCGCTCGCTCGCGTTGTGATTGAGCTTCTTCATGGTGGTGATCACCGTGCCGCCGCCGCTGCTGCTGCTGTCCTTCTTCACTACTTGTTCATCTTCTCCGGCGAAAGATTCCGGTGGAAGATCGATGAAGGGAAGTGGAGGAGGAGGAGAATTGACGAAATGGGTGTCTAGAAGGCTATGTTGGTGATGGTAATTAGTGGTTACTAGGAAAGGATCTTCTAACAGCAATGGCCATGGTGATGAAGAAGATCCTCCTCCCAAATTAGTGGCTAAGAATGGATTAGTGGGTTGATAATGAGAGGAGGATGAGGTTGATGACATTGCCAACATCTTTTCTTGGTTTATGATGATGATCTAGAGCTTAATTAATTGTGTTTGCTAATTGCTGAGCTAGTATATATAGAGGATGCATGGTTTTATTATTGTTTAAGATTTTGTGTTCCCTCGCTTTTTTTTTAATATGATGGAAGCATTGATTGTGATTTGAGCTAGTGTGTGTATATTAATTGTACTTATTTGGATCTTAATTAATTAAATTTGTTTGTTAATTTCAGGGTTTTCTAGTTAATTGTGGATTTGGGAGATGCTTGAGAAGTTTTTATAGAAGATTAATTATCTGTCATTGATGCTTTTTTAATAATTTCACGTTACCTTCAATCAGGAGTTCTGTTATACTCCCGTAGTTGACCTCTTCGTGACCCTCCCATGGTTCCATTTAGTGATCTGAATTAACGGTAATTATTGAATTAAATTATCTGGTTTTTTTTTTCTAAAAAGGGAAATGATTCTTGATAATAGATGCATCTTTTGAAAATAATATTGATTTTTAATAGTGTTAACTCCTTATAGCACATATAAGTTTAGGATAATTGATGACTACCAAATTATTCTTCTTAACTTGACGAAAGATTCTGATGCTTCTCCAATATTGTAGATAAAAACGTACACTCAACAATAATACATAAATATTTTGACGAATAATAAATGTAATTTGTATATATATGCCCCAATTCCTAACATTTCAAAGAGATTATATGCTGATCTAGCGGATCCATAAGCCTAACATCATCATTAAGAAGCCCTATATATAAATCATAATGCATACCCTATGGCCTATACTTAAGCATTTTGATGACGAATTATATATATATGATTACCAATATTATCAATGACGACTAAGTTGGCCTATAACATGATCGAAGATATTCATCGACACGAACATATCTTTTTTGAAATATCACGCACGACACTAAAATGTACAGTCTCATATGTTTCACGAACATATCTTTTTTGAAATATCACGCACGACACTAAAATGTACAGTCTCATGTTTTTATCGTTGATGTTTAAAATGCCAAAAAAATATAATCCAAAACTCATTGTTTTCATATTTTTATCGATTCGGATCCATTTAAACACAATAGAGTAGTTAACTCATTTACCACTATTTGTTGTTTCCATTCTATTATTGATCACTCTCGGTCTTAATCTCATTAAACAGCCATTACAATATGATCAAGATTAGGGTTTATTGATTAATTGATTTCACACCAATTGGTTCAATTGTTTAAAGGCTCATGCAAAGCGCATGGCATGCACGAGAAGTAGCGCCAAATGCAGTTCGTGACACGCGCACGGCCCGCAATACTGCTTCTATGGGCACGGGCCCAAGCTGCCCAGTCACGTGGATTTTCGATCCAGAGGCCCAAATCTTGCGAAAATGAGAGAAAGAACACACGCCTAAAGCTAACCGATTAATTAAGCCTAATTTTCTTCTGCTTGACATCATAACCTAATTATTTACTCTCCTTTTTTTAATTAACTAACTAAGCAGCTACTGGTTAGTGGCTACGGTCTAATTCTGCAGGGAACATGATGACAAGAGCATTACGTATGATCCCAATTGTTGGTTATCCGTTGTGGATTTGCAATGGGGTTGGGTTTTTATGATAGTATTTATTCAACAAAAGGTTAGTATTTTGATCGTGGTTAAGCAAGGTAGTGTATTAATCATGGCGGATTATATTACGTCGGAAGGTAACTGCAATTAGATGTCCATTTCACGCTTGGCTGTTATGTGACAATTAAGTAACATCATGATCATCTATCTCATCTTAATGGGTTAGTCGTGTCATGTTTAATTGTTTATGTGTACAGCTTCCCAAGTTGATAGACATTAACTGAATCCTACCCAGCTCGTCGTTCATCACCAAACAAGTCATCATCTTATTATCGTCAACTACCTTTATAGTATATCGAACTAGAGGTTGATCAAACAACCCACATCACGTTTTTAATACTTTGCGCTTTTCCCCCTGAAAAACTGAACAATTTAGTTTTTCAATGATATCGTCGTTTTTTTTTTGTAAAAAAATTATATAATATCAATTCCACTTCTCCCCCATAGCTCAAGTGAGATAAGCTTCAAAGTTAATCCATTAGTTGGTCTTCAATGATTATGGGGTTGGATTCATGTTGTTGCAATTAACTAATGCAAACATTCCAATTGTTGGAAAACCAGACAACATACGGTTAGGATTTTGGTGGCGTGGAGTATGCCTTGATGGTGATAAAACCGCTTCGGAAAGTGGACTCAACCTCAGTCTGATTGGTAAGGTTTGCTCATCTATATGCCTAGTGAATAGCAATTGTCTTTGTGGGATATCAATTGATACATGAAAACGTGATGAACAGAATTGTGGTACTTTTGTTGGAAGAAATGGATTTCTTCCCGGTCTATTTTTGGCAGACTCCAAAGGGGTACCATCACAGATTTCGGGCGATTTTTTCGAAATGCCATTTTCTTTCGATCTTGGAGGCTAAAGATCACGGATTTGGCTCGAGGCTATTCTCCACCGATAATAAAGTCTATTGATCCTATTCTGCGCCGATGATTAAGTCAATTAAGCACCGAATCGGGCCAATATATTTTGGGATGGCATTTTCGTAATTATTTGAGCAATTTTTTTCGAAAGACCATTTTCCTTATATTTTGAAGGATAAAGATGGTGGATTCGGCCTGAGGCTATTCTTCAACGGCGATTAAGTCCATCCAGGGCCAATTTGGGCGGATTTCTTCCGGGTCCATTTTTGGCAGACTCCAAAGGGGTACCATCACAGATTTTGGGCGATTTTTCCGAAATGCCATTTTCTTTCGATTTTGGAGGCTACAAATCACGGATTCGGCTCGAGGATATTCTCCACCGATAATAAAGTCTATTGATCCTATTCTGCGCCAATGATTAATTCAATTAAGCACCGAATTTGGCCCATATATTTTGGGATGACATTTTCGTAATTATTTGAGCAATTTTTTTCGAAATGCTATTTTCCTTGGATTTTGAAGGATAAAGATGGTGGATTCGGCCTGAGGCTATTCTTCAACGACGATTAAGTCCATCCAGGGCCAATTTGGGCGGATTTCTTCCGGGTCCATTTTTGGCAGACTCCAAATGGGTACCATCACAGATTTTGGGCGATTTTTCGGAAATGCCATTTTCTTTCGATTTTGGAGGCTACAGATCACGGATTCGGCTCGAGGATATTTTCCACCGATAATAAACTCTATTGATCCTATTCTGCGCCGATGATTAAGTCAATTAAACACCGAATTGGGCCAATATATTTTGGGATGGCATTTTTGTAATCATTTGAGCAATTTTTTCGAAAAATCATTTTCCTTTGATTTTGAAGGATAAAGATGGTGGATTCGGCCTGAGGCTATTCTTCAACGACGATTAAGTCCATCCAGGGCCAATTTGGGTGGATTTCTTCCGGGTCCATTTTTGGAAGACTCCAAAGGGGTACCATCACAGATTTCGGGCGATTTTTCCGAAATGACATTTTCTTTCGATTTTCGAGGCTACAGATTATGGATTCGGCTCGAGGCTATTCTCCACCGATAATAAAGTCTACTAATCCTATTTTGCACCGATGATTAAGTCAATTAAGCACCGAATTGGGCCAATATATTTTGGGATGGCATTTTCGTAATTATTTGAGCAATTTTTTTCGAAAGTCCATTTTCCTTGGATTTTGAAGGATAAAGATGGTGGATTCGTCCTGAGGCTATTCTTCAACGACGATTAAGTCCATCCAGGGTCAATTTGGGCGGATTTCTTCCGGGTCCATTTTTGGCAGACTCCAAAGGGGGTACCATCACAGATTTCGGGAGATTTTTCCGAAATGCCATTTTCTTTCTATTTTGGAGGCTACAGATCACGAATTCGCCTCGAGGCTATTTTCCATCGATAATAAAGTCTATTGATCTTATTCTGCGCCGATTATTTAGTCAATTAAGCACCGAATCTGGCCAATATATTTTAAGATGGCATTTTCGTAATTATTTGAGCAATTTTTTTTGGAAAGTCCATTTTCCTTGGATTTTGAAAGATAAAGATGGTGGATTCGTCCTGAGGCTATTCTTCAACGACGATTAAGTCCATCCAGGGTCAATTTGGGCGGATTTCTTCCGGGTCCATTTTTGGCAGACTCCAAAGGGGTACCATCACAGATTTCGGTAGATTTATCCGAAATGCCATTTTCTTTCTATTTTGGAGGCTACAGATCACGAATTCGGCTCGAGGCTATTTTCCATCGATAATAAAGTCTATTGATCTTATTATGCGCCGATTATTTAGTCAATTAAGCACCGAATCTGGCAAATATATTTTAAGATGGCATTTTCGTAATTATTTGAGCAATTTTTTTTGAAAGGCCATTTTCCTTGGATTTTGAAGGATAAAGATGGTGGATTCGGCCTGAGGCTATTCTTCAACGGTGATTAAGTCCATCCAGGGCCAATTTGGGCGGATTTCTTCCGGGTCTATTTTTGGCAGACTCCAAAGGGGTACCATCACAGATTTTGGGCGATTTTTCCGAAATGTCAGTTTCTTTCGATTTTGGAGGCTACAGATCGCGGATTCGGCTCGAGGATATTCTCCACCGATGATAAAGTCTATTGATCCTGTTCTGCGCCGATGATTAATTCAATTAAGCACCGAAATGGGCCAATATATTTTGCGATGGCATTTTCGTAATTATTTGAACAATTTTTTTCTAAAGGCCATTTTCCTTGGATTTTGAAGGATAAAGATGGTGGATTCGACCTGAGGCTATTTTTCAACGATGATTAAGTCCATCCAGGGCCAATTTGGGCGGATTTCTTCCGGGTCCATTTTTGGCAGACTCAAAGGGGTACCATCACAGATTTCGGGCGATTTTTCTGAAATGACATTTTCTTTCGATTTTGGAGGCTAAAGATCATGGATTCGGCTCGAGGCTATTCTCCACCGATAATAAAGTCTATTGATCCTATTATGCGCCGATGATTAAGTCAATTAAGCACCGAATTGTGCCAATATATTTTGGGATGGCATTTTCGTAATTATTTGAGCAATTTTTTTCGAAAGCCCATTTTACTTAGATTTTGAAGGATAAAGATGATGGATTCGGCCTGAGTCTATTCTTCAAAGACGATTAAGTCCATCCAGGGCCAATTTGGGCGGATTTCTTCCGAGTCCATTTTTGGCAGACTCCAAAGGGGTACCATCACAGATTTCGAGCGATTTTTCCGAAATGCCTTTTCCTTCCGATTTTGGAGGCTACAGATCACGGATTAGGCTCGAGGCTATTCTCCATCGATAATAAAGTCTATTGATCCTATTCTGCCCCGATGATTAATTCAATTAAGCACCGAATCTGTCCAATATATTTTGGAATGGCATTTTCGTAATTATTTGAGCAATTTTTTTCGAAAGTCCATTTTCCTTGGATTTTGAAGGATAAAGATGGTGGATTCGGCATGAGGCTATTTTTCAACGATGATTAAGTCCATCCAGGGCCAATTTGGGCGGATTTCTTCCAGGTCAATTTTTGGCAGACTCTAAAGTGGTACCATCACAGATTTCAGGCGATTTTTCCGAAATCCCTTTTTCTTCCGATTTTGGAGGCTACAGATCACGGATTTGGCTCGAGGCTATTCTCCACTTATAATAAAGTCTATTGATCCTATTCTGCGCTCATGATTAAGTCAATTAAGCACCGAATCTGGCCAATATATTTTGGGATGGCATTTTCGTAATTATTTGAGCAATTTTTTTCGAAAGGCCATTTTCCTTGGATTTTGTAGTATAAAGATGGTGGATTCGGCCTGAGGCTATTCTCAAAGACGATTAAGTCCATCCAGGGCCAATTTGGGCGGATTTCTTCCGGGTCCATTTTTGGCAGACTCCAAAGGGGTACCATCACAGATTTCGGGCGATTTTTCCGAAATGCCTTTTTCTTCCGATATTTGAGGCTACAGATCACGGATTCGGCTCGAGGCTATTCTCCACTGATAATAAAGTCTATTGATCCTATTCTGCGCCGATGATTAAGTCAATTAAGCACCGAATCTGTCCAATATATTTTAAGATGGCATTTTCGTAATTATTTGAGCTATTTTTTTTGAAAGACCATTTTCCTTGGATTTTGAAGGATAAAGATGGTGGATTTGGCCTGAGGCTATTTTTCAAACACGATTAAGTCCATCCAGGGCCAATTTGGGCGGATTTCTTCGTCGTCCATTTTTTGCAGACTCCAAAGGTGTACCATCACAGATTTCGGGCGATTTTTCCGAAATGCCATTTTCTTTCGATTTTGGAGGCTACAGATCACGGATTCGACTCGAGGCTATTCTCCACCGATAATAAATTCTATTGATCCGATTCTGCGCTGATTATTAAGTCAATTAAGCACCGAATTGGGCCAATAAATTTTGGAATGACATTTTCGTAATTATTTGAGCAATTTTTTTAGAAAGGCCATTTTCCTTGGATTTTGTAGGATAAAGATGGTAGATTCGGCCTAACGCTATTCTTCAACGACGATTAAGTCCATCCAGGGCCAATTTGGGCGGATTTCTTCCGGCTCCATTTTTGGCAGACTCCAAAGGGGTACCATCACAGTTTTCGGGCGATTTTTCCGAAATGCCATTTTCTTTCGATTTTAGAGGCTACAGATCACAGATTAGGCTCGAGGCTATTCTCCACCGATAATAAAGTCTATTGATCCGATTCTGCACTGATTATTAAGTCAATTAAGCACCGAATTGGGCCAATATATTTTGGGATGACATTTTCGTAATTTTTTAAGCAATTTTTTTCGAAAGTCCATTTTCCTTGGATTTTGAAGGATAAAGATGGTGGATTCATCCTGAGGCTATTCTTCAACGACGATTAAGTCCATCCAGGGCCAATTTGGGGGGATTTCTTCCGGGACCATTTTTGGCAGACTCCAAAGGGGTACCATCACAGATTTAGGGCAATTTTTCCGAAATGCCATTTTCCTTCGATTTTGGAGGCTGCAGATCACGGATTTGGCTCGAGGCTATTCTCCACCGATAAGAAAGTCTATTGATCCTATTCTGCGCTGATTATTAATTCAATTAAGCACCGAATTGGGCCAATATATTTTGGGATGGCATTTTCGTAATTATTTGAGCAATTTTTTTCGAAAGTCCATTTTCCTTTGATTTTGAAGGATAAAGATGGTGGATTCGTCCTGAGGCTATTCTTCAACGAAGATTAAGTCCATCCATGGCCAATTTGGTCGGATTTCTCCCGGGTCCATTTTTGGCAGACTCCAAAGGGGTACCATCACAGATTTCGGGCGATTTTTCCGCCATTTTCTTTCGATTTTGGAGGCTACAGATCACGGAATCGGCTCGAGGCTATTATCCATCGATAATAAAGTCTATTGATCCTATTCTGCGCCGATGATTAAGTCAATTAAGCACCAAATCTGTCCAATATATATTAAGATGGATTTTTCATAATTATTAGAGCAATTTTTTTCGAAAGGTCATTTTCATTTATTTTGGTAGGATAAAGATGGTGGATTCGGCCTGAGGCTATTTTTCAACGACGATTAAGTCCATCCAGGGCCAATTTCGGCGGATTTCTTCCGGGTCCATTTTTGGCAGACTCCAAAGGGGTACCATCACAGATTTCGGGCGATTTTTCCGAAATGCCATTTTCTTTCGATTTTGGAGGCTACAGATCACGGATTCGGCTCGAGGCTATTCTCTACCGATAATAAAGTCTATTGATCCGATTCTGTACTGATTATTAAGTCAATTAAGCACCGAATTGGGCCAATATATTTTGGAATGGCATTTTCGTAATTATTTGAGCAGTTTTTTTCGAAAGTCCATTTTCCTTGGATTTTGAAGGATAAAGATGGTGGATTCATCCTGAGGCTATTCTTCAACGACGATTAAGTCCATCCAGGGTCAATTTGGGCGGATTTCTTCCGGGTCCATTTTTGGCATACACCAAAGGGATACCATCACAGATTTCGACCGATTTTTCCGAAATGCCATTTTCTTTCGATTTTGGAGGCTACAGATCAAGGATTCGGTCGCGGGTATTCTCCACCAATAATAAAGTCTATTGATCCGATTCTGCGCTGATTATTAAGTCACTTAAGTACCGAATTGGGCCGATATATTTTGGAATGGCACTTTCGTAATTATTTGAGCAATTTTTTTAGAAAGGCCTTCCTTGGATTTTGTTGGATAAAGATGGTGGATTCGGCCTGACGCTATTCTTCAACGACGATGAAGTCCATCCAGGGCCAATTTGGGAGGATTTCTTCCGGATCCATTTTTGGCAGACTCCAAAAGGGTACCATGACAGATTTCGGGAGATTTTTCCGAAATGCCATTTTCTTTCGATTTTGGAGGCTACAGATCACGGATTCGGCTCGAGGATATTTTCCATCGATAATAAAGTATATTGATCCTATTCTGCGCCGATTATTAAGTCAATTAAGCACCGAATTAGACCAATATATTTTGGGATGGCATTTTCGTAATTATTTGAGCAATTTTTTTCGAAAGGCCATTTTCCTTGGATTTTGAAGGATAAAGATGGTGGATTCGGCATGAGGCTATTCTTCAACGACGATTAAGTCCATCCAGGGCCAATTTGGGCGGATTTCTTCCGTGTCCATTTCAGGCAGACTCCATAGGGGTACCATCACAGATTTCGGGAGATTTTTCCGAAATGCCATTTTCTTTCGATTTTGGAGGCTACAGATCACGGATTCGGCTCGAGGCTATTCTCCACCGATAATAAAGTCTATTGATCATATTCTGCGCCGATGATTAAGTCAATTAAGCACCGAATTGGGCCAATATATTTTGGGATGGCATTTTCGTAATTATTTGTGCAATTTTTTTTGAAAGTTTATTTTCCATGGATTTTGAAGGATAAAGATGGTTGATTCGTCCTGAGGCTATTCTTCAACGAAGATTAAGTCCATCCAGGGCCAATTGAGGCGGATTTCTTCCGGGTCCATTTTTGGCAGACTCCAAAGGGGTACCATCATAGATTTCGGGAGATTTTTCCGAAATGCCATTTTCTTTCGATTTTGGAAGCTACAGATCACGGATTTGGCTCGAGGCTATTTTCCATCGATAATAAAGTCTATTGATCCTATTTTGCGCCGATGATTTAGTCAATTAAGCACCGAATCTGTCCGATATATTTTAAGATGGCATTTTCGTAATTATTTGAGCAATTTTTTTCGAAAAACCATTTTCCTTGTATTTTGAAGGATAAAGATGGTGGATTCGGCCTGAGGCTATTTTTCAACGACGATTAACTCCATCCAGGGCCAATTTGGGCGGATTTCTTCCGGGTCCATTTTTGGCAGACTCCAAACGGGTACCATCGCAGATTTCGGGCGATTTTTCCGAAATGCCATTTTCTTTCGATTTTGGAGGCTACAGATCACGAATTTGGCTCGGGGCTATTCTCCACTGATAATAAAGTCTATTGATCCTATTATGCGCCGATGATTAAGTCAATTAAGCACCGAATTGGGCCAATATATTTTGGGATGGCATTTTCGTAATTATTTGAGCAATTTTTTTCGAAAGCCCATTTTACTTGGATTTTGCAGGATAAAGATAGTGGATTCGGCTTGAGGCTATTCTTCAATGACGATTAAGTCCATCTAGGGCCAATTTGGGCGGATTTCTTCCGGGTCCATTTTTGCCAGACTCCAAAGGGGTACGTACCATCATAGATTTCGGGCGATTTTTCCGAAATGCCTTTTTCTTCCAATTTAGGAGGCTACAGATCACGGATTCGGCTCGAGGCTATTCTCCACAGATAATAAAGTCTATCTATCCTATTCTGCGCCGATGATTAAGTCAATTAAGCATCGAATTGGGCCAATAGATTTTGAGATGGCATTTTCGTAATAATTTGAGCAATTTTTTTCGAAAGGTAATTTTCCTTCGATTTTGAAGGAAAGATGGTGGATTCGCCCTGACGCTATTCTTCAACGACGACTAAGTCCATCCAGCGCCAATTTGGGCGGATTTCTTCCGGGTCCATTTTTGGCAGACTCCAAAGGGGTACCATCACAGATTTCGGGTGATTTTCCCGAAATGTCATTTTCTTTCAATTTTGGAGGCTACAGATCACGGATTCGGCTCGAGGCTATTCTCCACCGATAATAAAGTCTATTGATCCTATTCTGCACCGATGATTAAGTCAATTAAGCACCGAATTGGGCCAATATATTTTGGGATTGCATTTTCGTAATTATTTGTGCAATTTTTTTCGAAAGTCTATTTTCCATGGATTTTGAAGGATAAAGATGGTGGATTCATCCTGAGGCTATTCTTCAACGACGATTAAGTCCATCCAGGGCCAATTTGGGCGCATTTCTTCCGGGTCCATTTTTGGCAGACTCCAAAGGGGTACCATAACAGATTTCGGGCGATTTTTCCGAAATGCCATTTTCTTTCGATTTTGGAGGCTACAGAACACAGATTCGGTCAAGGCTATTCTCCACCAACAATAAAGTCTATTGATCCTATTCTGCGCTGATTATTAAGTCAATTAAGTACCGAATTGGGCCAATATAGTTTGGAATGGCATTTTCGTAATTATTTGAGCAATTTTTTTTGAAAGGCCATTTTCCTTGGATTTTGTAGGATAAAGATGGTGGATTCGGCCTGACGCTATTCTTCAACAACGATGAAGTCCATCCAGGGCCAATTTGGGTGGATTTCTTCCGGATCCATTTTTGGCAGATTCCAAAGGGGTACCATGACAGATTTCGGGAGATTTTTCTGAAATGCCATTTTCTTTCGATTTTGGAGGCTATAGATCACGGATTCGGCTCTAGGCTATTTTCCATCGATAATAAAGTCTATTGATCCTATTCTGCATCGATGATTATGTCAATTAAGCACCGAATTAGACCAATATATTTTGGGATGACATTTTCGTAATTATTTGAGCAATTTTTTCGAAAGGTCATTTTCCTTGGATTTTGAAGGATAAAGATGGTGGATTCGGCCTGAGGCTATTCTTCAACGACGATTAAGTCCATCCAGGGCCAATTTGGGCGGATTTCTTCCGGGTCCATTTTGGGCAGACTTCAAAGGGGTACCATCACAGATTTCGGGCGATTTTTCCGAAATGTCATTTTCTTTCGATTTTGGAGGCTACAGATCACGGATTCGGCTCGAGGCTATTCTCCACCGATAATAAAGTCTATTGATCCTATTCTGTGCCGATGATTAAGTCAATTAAGCACCGAATTGGGCCAATATATTTTGTGATGGCATTTTCGTAATTATTTGAGCAATTTTTTTCGAAAGTCCATTTTCCTTGGATTTTGAAGAATAAAGATGGTGGATTTGTCGTGAGCCTATTCTTCAACGACGATTAAGTCTATCCAGGGCCAATTTGGGCGGATTTCTTCCGGGTCCATTTTTGGGAGACTTCAAAGGGGTACCATCACAAATTTCGGGAGATTTTTCCGAAATCCCATTTTCTTTCGATTTTGGAGGCTACAGATCATGGATTCGGTTCGAGGCTATTTTCCATCGATAATAAAGTCTATTGATCCTATTCTATGCCGATGATTTAGTCAATTAAGCATCGAATCTGTCCAATATATTTTGGAATGTCATTTTCGTAATTATTTGAGCAATTTTTTTCGAAAAGCCATTTTCCTTGGATTTTGAAGGATAAAGATGGTGGATACGGCCTGAGGCTATTTTTCAACGACGATTAAGTCCATCTAGGGCCAATTTGGGCGGATTTCTTCCGGGTCCATTTTTGTCAGATTCCAAAGGGGTACCATCACAGATTTCGGGCGATTTTTCCGAAATGCCATTTTCTTTCGATTTTGGAGGCTACAGATCACGAATTCGGCTCGAGACTATTCTCCACTGATAATAAAGTATATTGATCCTATTATGCGCCGATGATTAAGTTAACTAAGCATCGAATCGGGCCAATATATTTTGGGATGGCATTTTCGTAATTATTTGAGCAATTTTTTTCGAAAGGCCATTTTCCTTGGATTTTGAAGGATAAAGATGGGGGATTCGCCCTGACGCTATTCTTCAACGACGACTAAGTCCATCCAGGGCCAATTTGGGCGGATTTCTTCCGGGTCCATTTTTGGCAGACTCCAAAGGGGTACCATCACAGATTTCGGGTGATTTTCCCGAAATGTCATTTTCTTTCAATTTTGGAGGCTACAGATCACGGATTCGGCTCGAGGCTATTCTCCACCGATAATAAAGTCTATTGATCCTATTCTGCGCCGATAATTAAGTCAATTAAGCACCAAATTGGGCCAATATATTTTGGAATGACATTTTCGTAATTATTTGTGCAATTTTTTTCGAAAGACAATTTTCCTTGGATTTTGAACGATAAAGATGGTGATTCGGTCTGAGGCTATTCTTCAACGACGATTAAGTCCATCCAGGGCCAATTTGGGCAGATTTCTTCCGTGTCTATTTTTGGCAGACTCCAAAGTGGTACCATCACAGATTTCGTGCGATTTTTCCGAAATGCCATTTTCTTTCGATTTTGGAGGCTACAGATCACGAATTCGCCTCGAGACTATTCTCCACTGATAATAAAGTCTATTGATCCTATTATGCGCCGATGATTAAGTTAACTAAGCATCGAATCGGGCCAATATATTTTGGGATGGCATTTTCGTAATTATTTGAGCAATTTTTTTCGAAACGCCATTTTTCTTGGATTTTGAAGGATAAAGATGGTGGATCGGCCTGAGGCTATTCTTCAACGACGATAAAGTTCATCCATGGCCAATTTGGGCGGATTTCTTCCGAGTCCATTTTTGGCAGACTTCAAAGGGATACCATCACAGATTTCGGTCGATTTTTCCTAAATGCCATTTTCTTTCGATTTTGGAGGCTACAGATCACGGATTCGGCTCGAGGCTATTCTCCACCGATAATAAAGTCTATTGATCCTATTCTGCGCCGATGATTAAGTCAATTAAGCACCGAATTGGGCCAATATATTTTGGGATTGCATTTTCGTAATTATTTGTGCAATTTTTTTCGAAAGTCTATTTTCCATGGATTTTGAAGGATAAAGATGGTGGATTCATCCTGAGGCTATTCTTCAACGACGATTAAGTCCATCCAGGGCCAATTTGGGCGCATTTCTTCCGGGTCCATTTTTGGCAGACTCCAAAGGGGTACCATAACAGATTTCGGGCGATTTTTCCGAAATGCCATTTTCTTTCGATTTTGGAGGCTACAGAACACAGATTCGGTCAAGGCTATTCTCCACCAACAATAAAGTCTATTGATCCGATTCTGCGCTGATTATTAAGTCAATTAAGTACCGAATTGGGCCAATATAGTTTGGAATGGCATTTTCGTAATTATTTGAGCAATTTTTTTTGAAAGGCCATTTTCCTTGGATTTTGTAGGATAAAGATGGTGGATTCGGCCTGACGCTATTCTTCAACAACGATGAAGTCCATCCAGGGCCAATTTGGGTGGATTTCTTCCGGATCCATTTTTGGCAGATTCCAAAGGGGTACCATGACAGATTTCGGGAGATTTTTCTGAAATGCCATTTTCTTTCGATTTTGGAGGCTATAGATCACGGATTCGGCTCTAGGCTATTTTCCATCGATAATAAAGTCTATTGATCCTATTCTGCATCGATGATTATGTCAATTAAGCACCGAATTAGACCAATATATTTTGGGATGACATTTTCGTAATTATTTGAGCAATTTTTTCGAAAGGTCATTTTCCTTGGATTTTGAAGGATAAAGATGGTGGATTCGGCCTGAGGCTATTCTTCAACGACGATTAAGTCCATCCAGGGCCAATTTGGGCGGATTTCTTCCGGGTCCATTTTGGGCAGACTTCAAAGGGGTACCATCACAGATTTCGGGCGATTTTTCCGAAATGTCATTTTCTTTCGATTTTGGAGGCTACAGATCACGGATTCGGCTCGAGGCTATTCTCCACCGATAATAAAGTCTATTGATCCTATTCTGTGCCGATGATTAAGTCAATTAAGCACCGAATTGGGCCAATATATTTTGTGATGGCATTTTCGTAATTATTTGAGCAATTTTTTTCGAAAGTCCATTTTCCTTGGATTTTGAAGAATAAAGATGGTGGATTTGTCGTGAGCCTATTCTTCAACGACGATTAAGTCTATCCAGGGCCAATTTGGGCGGATTTCTTCCGGGTCCATTTTTGGGAGACTTCAAAGGGGTACCATCACAAATTTCGGGAGATTTTTCCGAAATCCCATTTTCTTTCGATTTTGGAGGCTACAGATCATGGATTCGGTTCGAGGCTATTTTCCATCGATAATAAAGTCTATTGATCCTATTCTATGCCGATGATTTAGTCAATTAAGCATCGAATCTGTCCAATATATTTTGGAATGTCATTTTCGTAATTATTTGAGCAATTTTTTTCGAAAAGCCATTTTCCTTGGATTTTGAAGGATAAAGATGGTGGATACGGCCTGAGGCTATTTTTCAACGACGATTAAGTCCATCTAGGGCCAATTTGGGCGGATTTCTTCCGGGTCCATTTTTGTCAGATTCCAAAGGGGTACCATCACAGATTTCGGGCGATTTTTCCGAAATGCCATTTTCTTTCGATTTTGGAGGCTACAGATCACGAATTCGGCTCGAGACTATTCTCCACTGATAATAAAGTATATTGATCCTATTATGCGCCGATGATTAAGTTAACTAAGCATCGAATCGGGCCAATATATTTTGGGATGGCATTTTCGTAATTATTTGAGCAATTTTTTTCGAAAGGCCATTTTCCTTGGATTTTGAAGGATAAAGATGGGGGATTCGCCCTGACGCTATTCTTCAACGACGACTAAGTCCATCCAGGGCCAATTTGGGCGGATTTCTTCCGGGTCCATTTTTGGCAGACTCCAAAGGGGTACCATCACAGATTTCGGGTGATTTTCCCGAAATGTCATTTTCTTTCAATTTTGGAGGCTACAGATCACGGATTCGGCTCGAGGCTATTCTCCACCGATAATAAAGTCTATTGATCCTATTCTGCGCCGATAATTAAGTCAATTAAGCACCAAATTGGGCCAATATATTTTGGAATGACATTTTCGTAATTATTTGTGCAATTTTTTTCGAAAGACAATTTTCCTTGGATTTTGAACGATAAAGATGGTGATTCGGTCTGAGGCTATTCTTCAACGACGATTAAGTCCATCCAGGGCCAATTTGGGCAGATTTCTTCCGTGTCTATTTTTGGCAGACTCCAAAGTGGTACCATCACAGATTTCGTGCGATTTTTCCGAAATGCCATTTTCTTTCGATTTTGGAGGCTACAGATCACGAATTCGCCTCGAGACTATTCTCCACTGATAATAAAGTCTATTGATCCTATTATGCGCCGATGATTAAGTTAACTAAGCATCGAATCGGGCCAATATATTTTGGGATGGCATTTTCGTAATTATTTGAGCAATTTTTTTCGAAACGCCATTTTTCTTGGATTTTGAAGGATAAAGATGGTGGATCGGCCTGAGGCTATTCTTCAACGACGATAAAGTTCATCCATGGCCAATTTGGGCGGATTTCTTCCGAGTCCATTTTTGGCAGACTTCAAAGGGATACCATCACAGATTTCGGTCGATTTTTCCTAAATGCCATTTTCTTTCGATTTTGGAGGCTACAGATCACGGATTCGGCTCGAGGCTATTCTCCACCGATAATAAAGTCTATTGATCCTATTCTGCGCCGATGATTAAGTCAATTAAGCACCGAATTGGGCCAATATATTTTGGGATTGCATTTTCGTAATTATTTGTGCAATTTTTTTCGAAAGTCTATTTTCCATGGATTTTGAAGGATAAAGATGGTGGATTCATCCTGAGGCTATTCTTCAACGACGATTAAGTCCATCCAGGGCCAATTTGGGCGCATTTCTTCCGGGTCCATTTTTGGCAGACTCCAAAGGGGTACCATAACAGATTTCGGGCGATTTTTCCGAAATGCCATTTTCTTTCGATTTTGGAGGCTACAGAACACAGATTCGGTCAAGGCTATTCTCCACCAACAATAAAGTCTATTGATCCGATTCTGCGCTGATTATTAAGTCAATTAAGTACCGAATTGGGCCAATATAGTTTGGAATGGCATTTTCGTAATTATTTGAGCAATTTTTTTTGAAAGGCCATTTTCCTTGGATTTTGTAGGATAAAGATGGTGGATTCGGCCTGACGCTATTCTTCAACAACGATGAAGTCCATCCAGGGCCAATTTGGGTGGATTTCTTCCGGATCCATTTTTGGCAGATTCCAAAGGGGTACCATGACAGATTTCGGGAGATTTTTCTGAAATGCCATTTTCTTTCGATTTTGGAGGCTATAGATCACGGATTCGGCTCTAGGCTATTTTCCATCGATAATAAAGTCTATTGATCCTATTCTGCATCGATGATTATGTCAATTAAGCACCGAATTAGACCAATATATTTTGGGATGACATTTTCGTAATTATTTGAGCAATTTTTTCGAAAGGTCATTTTCCTTGGATTTTGAAGGATAAAGATGGTGGATTCGGCCTGAGGCTATTCTTCAACGACGATTAAGTCCATCCAGGGCCAATTTGGGCGGATTTCTTCCGGGTCCATTTTGGGCAGACTTCAAAGGGGTACCATCACAGATTTCGGGCGATTTTTCCGAAATGTCATTTTCTTTCGATTTTGGAGGCTACAGATCACGGATTCGGCTCGAGGCTATTCTCCACCGATAATAAAGTCTATTGATCCTATTCTGTGCCGATGATTAAGTCAATTAAGCACCGAATTGGGCCAATATATTTTGTGATGGCATTTTCGTAATTATTTGAGCAATTTTTTTCGAAAGTCCATTTTCCTTGGATTTTGAAGAATAAAGATGGTGGATTTGTCCTGAGCCTATTCTTCAACGACGATTAAGTCTATCCAGGGCCAATTTGGGCGGATTTCTTCCGGGTCCATTTTTGGGAGACTTCAAAGGGGTACCATCACAAATTTCGGGAGATTTTTCCGAAATCCCATTTTCTTTCGATTTTGGAGGCTACAGATCATGGATTCGGTTCGAGGCTATTTTCCATCGATAATAAAGTCTATTGATCCTATTCTATGCCGATGATTTAGTCAATTAAGCATCGAATCTGTCCAATATATTTTGGAATGTCATTTTCGTAATTATTTGAGCAATTTTTTTCGAAAAGCCATTTTCCTTGGATTTTGAAGGATAAAGATGGTGGATACGGCCTGAGGCTATTTTTCAACGACGATTAAGTCCATCCAGGGCCAATTTGGGCGGATTTCTTCCGGGTCCATTTTTGTCAGATTCCAAAGGGGTACCATCACAGATTTCGGGCGATTTTTCCGAAATGCCATTTTCTTTCGATTTTGGAGGCTACAGATCACGAATTCGCCTCGAGACTATTCTCCACTGATAATAAAGTCTATTGATCCTATTATGCGCCGATGATTAAGTTAACTAAGCATCGAATCGGGCCAATATATTTTGGGATGGCATTTTCGTAATTATTTGAGCAATTTTTTTCGAAAGGCCATTTTCCTTGGATTTTGAAGGATAAAGATGGGGGATTCGGCCTGAGGCTATTCTTCAACGACGATAAAGTTCATCCAGGGCCAATTTGGGCGGATTTCTTCCGGGTCCATTTTTGGCAGACTTCAAAGGGGTACCATCACAGATTTCAGTCGATTTTTCCTAAATGCCATTTTCTTTCGATTTTGGAGGCTACAGATCACGGATTCGGCTCGAGGCTATTCTCCACCGATAATAAAGTCTATTGATCCTATTCTGCACCGATGATTAAGTCAATTAAGCACCGAATTGGGCCAATATATTTTGGGATGGCATTTTCGTAATTATTTGAGCAATTTTTTTTGAAAGTCCATTTTCCTTGGATTATGAAGGATAAAGATGGTGGATTCAGCCTGAGGCTATTCTTCGACGACGATTAAGTCCATCTAGAGCCAATTTGGGCGGATTTCTTCCGGGTCCTTTTTTGGCAGACTCCAAAGGGGTACCATCACAGATTTCGGTCGATTTTTCCTAAATGCCATTTTCTTTCGATTTTGGAGGCTACAGATCACGGATTCGGCTCGAAGCTATTCTCCACCGATAATAAAGTCTATTGATCCTATTCTGCGCTGATGATTAAGTCAATTAAGCACCGAATTGGGCTAATATATTTGGGATGGCATTTTCGTAATTATTTGAGCAATTTTTTTCGAAAGTCCATTTTCCTTGGATTTTGAAGGATAATGATGGTGGATTCTGCCTGAGGCTATTCTTCAACGACGATAAAGTCCCTCCATGGCCAATTTGGGTGGATTTCTTCCGGGTCCTTTTTTCGCAGACTCCAAAGGGGTACCATCACAGATTTCGGTCGATTTTTCCTAAATGCTATTTTCTTTCGATTTTGGAAGCTATAGATCACGGATTCGGCTCGAGGCTATTCTCCACCGATAATAAAGTCTATTGATCCTATTCTGCGTCGATGATTAAGTCAATTAAGCACCGAATTGGGCCAATATATTTTGGGATGTCATTTTCGTAATTATTTGCGCAATTTTTTTCGAAATGCCATTTTCCTTGGATTTTGAACGATAAAGATGGTGGGTTCGGCCTGAGGCTATTCTTCAACGACGATTAGTCAATCCAGAGCCAATTTGAACGGATTTCTTCCGGGTCCTGTTAAAGGAATATTCACTTTTCTTACAAAAAAAAAAGGAATATTCACTTTCATACAAATTGTTTTGTGAAGGACCATTACCTACGTCGACTCGAGTAGGTATCTTCCTTCTATTCACACTACACCAGAAAAGGCTCGTATCCAACTTTACAGGCTTAAAAAAATGGGCTGGAGCGCCCCCGGTGATCCCTCCGCTGGACCGAAGAGGAGATTGGGCTTTAACAGAGGCCCATCACCCCGTGATCCCTTTGTCGGAACGAATAGGAGACTGGGTGTCGGCCGATCTCAGGATCAGAACGTTACTAGAATTCCTTGTTCAAAGTGAGCTGAGCATTTACAGAAACAGAAAAACGTAACATTAAACCACTAGTCAACCAGAGAAATGACCAGTTTTCAGGCTTAACACCATACATAATGCCTATTTTATTCAAAGGTTGTAAAACGTCTCTGCCTTCATGCCTATAATAACAAGCCTCTTTCCAGCTTCTGCTTGCCTTTGAAACATCTACTTACTACAACTACAGAACAGAGGACAACACACGGTCGCTGTACAACAAACAAAGCTTCTTCCTATGAACAGAAAAAGACGGGCTAAGAGGTAGTAGCTAAAGGCAAACCCTCCTGTACATTTGTGACCTCCTCGTGTCACGCGGATTACTTTTTAGACTCGCACCCCTATCCTTCGTGCAACCTGCAAACACACGACAACATAGACAAACTCAAACCAAGGATGATGCTACGGCAGAGAAGAGAATAGAGTCATGCACAACGCGCAAGTTTCTCCTATTATCAACCAAGCAATGAAGTTTTTTTTTTTTTTATTGTTATGACAAATGTAGTAACAATGGTAGCAGGCAGAGGTGGTGTTGTTATACTTGCTAGACAGAAACATGTTGATATGTGCTAGCTAGTTTAGGCCATCCTTTCTATGTTCAGGGTAACTAGAACATACTAGTATACTACAGTTACAGTCTGTATCAATTAGTTTGTAGGTGCAAGTGCAGATATATGAAATTATATCATGATGACGAATGATGTTTAGCCAAGTGATCCATCCAATTTTTACTAAGCAGAAAATTTGATATTGAAGACTCTCACCTCCTTGAAGGACCGTACATCGCTCCCCCAAAGCCATGCATCACAGCCAGCATCCCTTGCTCCCCATACGTCGTTCCTACGGTCATCCCCCACATGAACAGCGTCTTCAGGTTCAACTCCCAAGAGCTCACACGCTTTTAGAAATATCGTCGGATTAGGCTTCTCTGCAGCCACCTGTTCATAGGGATATACAGCAGAGAATGCTTTTGTAAACAAACTGAAGACTCTATTCCCGTCCGACTTCTATTACATCTTAGTATTTGGTATTAGGAGCGCGGGATTTACTTACTTCAGCTGAAACTGCTACAGCGTCGAACCAATGATCACAGTTTAAGGCGCGCAAGACAGGCCTCAACCGAGTGTCGAAATTGGACACAATAGCCACCTTAACACCAGCTTTCCTAATGGCATCAAATATTTTCCCAGCTTCAGGGTCATTGAGGTGCCAAGCCTAAACCCAAAAAGAGAATTTAACGTTAAAACACCTTGGCAACATACAATTTACATAAAAAGTTAATGCTTGTGGTCATGGACGTGCTAAACCTTATCAGTTGTGTAGTAGTTATAAAGTTCTTCAAAGTACTGGAGATCCGAGCAGCCTGTTGAAGAAGTGACTATATGTTGCCAGAATGGTCTGCCATCATTAACATATCTGCATTTCATAATGAAAAACCTTTCATGTTATATTGATCAACAAGCAAATGAATCCACAGAAGGTGCATATTTCACAGCAGAAGCAACCAAAAAGGAAGGTTTGAACATATCTGGAACCAGCTAAACACCATTAACAGGTAAAATGGGCAAGCCAAAGGTGTTAAACAGTTCAAAGGAGTAACAACCATGGATTCTTCCAATAAATCGAAGGCCACATTTTCTCCCTCAAAAGGAGGAATTCCAATCGACATAAAATGGCAATAAAGCTTGCCTAGTACTACCCAACTGGCCATCTGCTTGCCTAATTCTCCCCAACTTCAGTTTCTTTCTCAAATCACTCTAAAAAAGCACCAGAATAACAAAGCATGCAAGGAACCTGATGCTGAGGCAAAAAGCTCAAAAGGGGGTAAATGACAAAAGTTTTAAAGTTCCATGAATGGAAATGCCAACAAATGAAAGCGTATACGCCATTGGATCCCAAGTACTATCAGCAGCAGATAGCTCCAAATACTGAAACGAACAGGGGAAACAGCAAAGAAAACCTAATAGCGGCCATATCTGAAGTTCAACACACACACACACAAACCTGAGACGAGATCTGCCCCATGGCTGTTCATAAGCCCTTCTGTATCGATTCAGTATCTCATCCTCAGAGCAATCCACTCCATATTTCTCCCCAATTTGTTTGTATATCTATGGAACCAATAAACAATTTGATCACTACAAAGCTCGAACAATTGAAAACGCCAAGAGTGCAGGAATTGAAGCCGGAGAAGTCAGGGAGTCCCAATTTTTCTCACCTGAGCCATTGGCTGAGAGGGAACTACGAGAGTGCCGACGGCGTCGACGAGGAGAGCCTTGTGAGTGACGTCGCCGTACAGAGACCTCCTGTAATCCTCGTAATCTTTCACTCCCAACAGGTCGAATGGCTCCGGCACCGCAGTTTCCAGAGCGGCGGCGGCGGAGGAGGAATAGGCCGCCGCAGCTGGAAACGGATTAGAGTAGCCGCCGTGTCCGGATCTCAGGGGATTGAGGATCCTGCCGCCGAGAGCTGAGAAAAGGTTCTTCGTCAAATTCGTCCTTATTACCGCCATTGTTTTTGCTGCATACCAATGGGCTCGGAGCTCTCTCTCTCTCTCTCTCTCTAACAGTCAGCCGTTTGTTTTCTTGGTGCTCGCGGAGACTGGAGTGGCGGAAATGGCTGAAAACAATAAATAGACGAGAAGTCTTATTTTATTTCTTTTGGGGCTTTTTTTTGTTTTATTTTATTGGTTGAAATTTATTTAGGATCACCCAATCTTTGTGGTCACTAATGAATCATCACTGAACTTTTGAAATTAAAAAAAAAGTTATAGGTATAATATGCCCTTCTACTATGACGTTTTATCAAACATGCCCCTCTACTATTTACATCAAACATGCCCCAGTACTTTGGAAAACTTATCAAACATGCTCTTTTGTTAAAATTTCCATCCAAAAATCGTTAACCAAGACCGAACTTTTGTTTGGGCGACCCAAATATCTAAAATATCCCTAATAATTTCACTTTAGAGTTTTTTTTCTCTCTTTTGTATAGCCAAATAATTCTAATAATTTCACTTTGACGAGACCAAGAGAAATAAAACAAGGGTCAAAACTGACATTTCCCCTTCAATTTATCGATGTCAGGTCGTCTAAATCTCGGTTCAACCATGATTGACGATTTTTTCAATGAAAATTTCACCAGAAGGGCATGTTTGATAGTTTTTCCAAATTACAGGGGCATCTTTTATGTAAAAAATAATAGAGGGGCATGTTTGATAAAACGTCATAGTAAAGGTGTATATTATACATATAACCCAAAAACAAATTGTTCTTCTGAACTTTGGGGGTTAGCACACGTGGATTATGAAGAAATGGGACTCCCAAGAAAATTAAATAAATAGTATATTCCAACCAAAAAAATATATCTCTAGTATAAGTATTTTAAACTTAACATATAATAATATATATTTTCCCTTAATAATGTCACCACATTACAAATATTATATTAAGAGATCGCTATCACTGTTGGAGTTCAAATTTATGATGTTTACATCTCCAAAGACATTCGCGTTTTGATTCAAATTTAGTGATGTTTGATGCTAAATTACTAATATAGGTTTGATGGTATAATTAATGGGATGGTCCGACTTTGAATAAAAAAGAATATAGTTTAATTTAATGCTCGTAATATATATAATTACGCTCTCCCCCCTGTTTAGACCACATAGAAAACTACGCTTAATTATTTATTATGAGTTAGATTAGAATAGCTAATTAATTGCTTAGACTAATTCAACCTTAAAATGGAATTTTTAATAATACATGAATTTGGAGGGTAAGATGGGAAACTTTGTCCACATGCGAGTGATTTTGACGTGGCGTGGCGGGCAATTGTATTGGAACTTTGACGTGGCGTTCCATAGTGGTTCGTCAGAACCACGTCACCTTTTCCCGCCGGATTTGCATGGACGTTATCGTCGCAGTGACTTCGTGGGGCCCTGCTTGGCTTTAGCGCCTAGACATAAGAAGCCGTTGCTACAGTTTATCAATGAAAATTATTCGAATCATATATGTATATATAATTTTGATTTGGTAAGATGAAGGAATTCAAATAGTTCAATTACTGAAAAGATAAAATAAACATACATTATAGAGTTTTCTAAAATCTTTCGACGTAAAGTTGAGATTAAAACTTATATAAATAATATCAAGAAAATGAATCCTAATTAAAAAACTTATCTAACCAGACCATCAATATTCTCTTTCTTATTGTCAACATTTAAACGCTCATTAATCATAATAATCCACACTTTTGGTGATATAAAAATAACTTTCATCTTCCTTAAATCACAGAGGGTATAAATGTACATAAAATTGCCAAGAATCATTGTATTGCTAATTGGTGCAGAGAATATTTCTTAAATTCATAGAACTATCCATTGGTTCGATCAATTATGTTTATGCTAGATCAATTATGTTTATGCTAAATCAACTTATCTTTGTACCTTACTGTTTTCGATATCTGAAATGGTTTGTGTTGTGGTAACATCCTACTATTAAATATTCGTAGTCTTTTGAGTATACTCTTGATATAAGTTATGATGATTAATCAATAATTATTGATTGTCTGTTATGTCTATCATATGCATATGTTCAAAATTTCCTGCATATATTATACCCACTTATTATTGTTCAATTATTTAATCTACTTCCGTTTCCAGAACTTAGGTTTGTAAATTCTCAATGTAAGACTTTATACCTCGATTTGTAAATCATGATACTCAAATTTATTATCTTATACAATGTGAAGTAACTTTTAGCTAATGCCGAAATATGTTAACTCTCAATGTAATACATTATGTCTCGATTTGTCCACCAATACATCTATTTAAGTAATCGATAGGGTGCATCTACAACACATTGCGAGCACATGAAACGTTGTACCACTTGAATAGTAGATTTATTATTTTAAAATAATTAATATGTAAATTAAATTTAAAAATTATTAGAAACATTGTACTATGTTTTATAACCTAATAGTGGAAGTGTTAATAATTAAAATGAAGAAAAGTTCTTCCTGAACACATAACTCTACTCACGGATAGAATTTATTTTTTTTATAATTTCCTGCCAGTTTTTGTTTTCTGATTAATATCTTTGTTCGAAGACTTCAAGCTTCGCTCTTTCGATTCATGTTGATTGACAGAAGACCTAGCTAGTAGACATCAAATTTCAAAGTCGTGAAATAGCCAACTTTGATCTCTGTACATCATATGTGGTGGTTAATCATGGAGTTAGAGAGAGAGATGGGGATAGAAATGAAGGCAACCCACAGCTGGCCACAAGTTAACTTTCGAAGAACTTGACCAATTGTCCTTTGGAAAAAGGAACGAAGATGGATAGAAAGAGAGATAGAAACAGTTGGGGAAGAAAACGAGTGGGATAAGGATGGTGACCTTAGATAGGGGAGAAGAGCCAAACCATAAGGAAAAAAAGGGCAAGGGACCCAATCCAACCAAGACTTACGTAAGGTGCCACTTCAGAATTGGAGCCATCGTTTAAGGAAGGCCACACACCTACACATTCCAACATAACCCTGGATCTTGATTTTCAGATTTTGACACAACCCCATGATTGGAAGAACAGGCGCCCACCACCATCACCATCAGAAAAATCATGTCAAATTACAGGAATGGTCACTAAAGTTTGAGATTAGTTACTAACGAATCCGTCACTGGAAGGTCGACTTTGGTTCTTGAGGAGACTGCGTCATTAACGTTTGGAATCACTAATTAAGTACTAATATAAAATTGATTAGTTATAGGTTACGTTCTTCATTCAAATCGAAAAACATAATAGGAGCGAGATTCGGTGATTGATATGTATGATGTATCGGGGTATTTCAGGTAGGGGGGACGGGGGTTACCGGGTTATGTTGGTTTAAGCTTTCGGGTTATTAAGTTGAGATTTTGTTTAGGTACTTGGTTTTTATTTGGACCGATTTGAAACGTGTTATCAGGTAAGGTAATTAGCGACTTTGTGCCCTTTTCATCGTCAAGCAATGTGATTTGAGATCTTTATTCAGACAACATGGGGAAGAAGCTAACGGGGACAAAATAGCGTGATCGTTCCGTTAGTTGTTTATATTACACAAGTGACTGTTTTTTTTATATAGAAATTTCAGTATTAAGTGACTGATTAGTGATGGCTCCGAAGTTTAGTGACCATTCATGGAATTGACCCCAAAACATCAATGTAATGAATTTGCTCCTTGAAATTTATGCATATATATGCCTTTGCCAATTTGAAATTAAAGCCATACATATCATGATATAACTAGGGACCATAGTCTTTTATTAGTGCTTTTGTTGGGTGGTTGTCTAACTTCTAACATATGGACCAGAACTACTTACTCCCCACCACAATAGTAGACATGCGATTTTTTTTGAAAAAATTGGTGCATTGTAATAATTTATAGCATTTCATCTCATGATCAAGTGAATAGCACGTACAAGAGCTACCTAACAACAATGGAGTACTAAGCATGCATAGATTATACTAATGTCAAAATTAATGCATAAAATATTTACGATCAAGATGACACAAGTTCAGCAACAACAATAACACCATCTATTTGCTAGAATAATTCCTGATGGTGTTTGTGATTTTTATCAAACCTTACAAAAATCCATTTCCCACTTTGAAAATGTGTGGACATAAGTATGTAAACTCAATTTTTTCCATAAATACACAAGCACAAATTGGTACAACTACCATACAATATCCTCAGCGCCTTCGTCTTCGTGGCCATAACACTAAAAATGAACACTTTTTAGTCTTTATTCGACCAAATATCACACATATTGATTACCGATTCAACCATTGCTATTTTTTGTCAATGAAAATCCTGATTTCAAGCGTGAAAACATTAAAAATAACTTCCTAATCATTAGTTGATCTACCACATGTCCAACTTTGGATGGAATGCCAATACCTATAAATTCCTATTGATATGATGGTTTTTACCATAAGAACAACAATAACACAAACAAACAATAATCTTTGTGTACTATTTCTTGAGCTTCAAAAAAAAAAACATCCTACCCTTCAACATGAACAATTCCCAGAACGCCAGTTACCAAGCTGGCCAGGCTAAGGGCCAGGCTCAGGTGAGGAATTATCCAACAAGGTCACATATTTATCAAGGAACTACATTTGTTTTACTTTTAGCTAATTACACATAACTTTCTCTTTTCTTGTTATTTTTATCAGGAGAAAGCTAGTGGGATGATGGAGAAAGCCAGCAATGTTGCTCAATCCACCAAGGAATCTTTACAAGAGGTTTATTTTTCACAATACCAAAAATAACTACTAAATTTTTCATTACCCTCCATTTACGTGAATTTAATTATATCATAGTAACGTGAGAGACGAGATCAATTCATCAAAGAGCTCGAATTGTTAGGAAGAGGATTCAACAAATTAAATAAAAAACAGGAAATGGAGATTATTTAATGTTTTTTTTTTTTATGTTTACTGCAGACTGGTGGTCAAATGCAGGCAAAAGCACAAGGAGCAGCTGAGGCTACCAAGGATGCCCTTGGAATGAAGAAATGAAGGCTGAAGAGATTTCAAAAGTTACCCTATAACTAATTAAATAGTAGTCCACAATGTAATGAAATAGTATTGAAATTTTGGGTTATTACCTTCTAAGAAGAGTAACCATAAAATTTTCACAAATTAATAAGCTTTGATGATCAAGAGTACTGTACTTGTCTTTGATATCATAAAATATAATTCATACTAGTATATTTATCGCCAAGTTTAATCGTGTTATCAAAGTATCTACATTGATGTCACCGCATCTTATTTCACTCTTATTATAACATTCATATCGTTCTCACGTATATCGAACAAAGTTTAATGGAGGAATCCAGACTTACAACTAATGAGAACAGATGTTTCATCGTCAGTTCATCATGATGAGAAAAAGATGAACAAGAAGGGATTGCAGGGGAATATAATCTTGTGCAGATTGTATAGCGCTTATAAATTTTTTGATTTTAGATATTTGATCTGGTGCTATTTAAAAGTCGGCGAGTGTTATTTGATAATAGGATTTTGTGTAGTTAGAAAAATAATCTAGATGAACATATGCAATCACTCAATTTAGCATACAATTATATTATTATTGATGGAGTTGTCAAGTTAAAAAGCCTTCTAGTACAATTGGCATTTGTAATGAACGAAAACAACAATTTATTAGCCAAACATTTCAAGCTTTTCAAAATATAAGCCAAAACTTTCCAAATAAAAAATAGTAGCCAAATCTTTTGCAACACATCAAAATATTAGCCATTTGTTTGTTATCCTTGGTATTTTTGTAACTATTTTCTTAATTGAAATACTAAAATTTTAGAATATTGGCTACCACGTGTCTCTTCCAAGTCAATATTACTAACAAAACTGTTAACAGTTTGTTAACATTTGACTAATACTTTGTATTTTGAAAATTTGGCTAATAATTCAAAAACTTCGAAAAGGTTTAGCTAATAAATTTTGTTTACCCAAAAAAATTTATTTACAATATCGTATTCTATTCAAAATGCAGTCCAGTGGTCTATTATATCCTGGATCCGCCGCTGAGATTACTACGACTAGCCTTACTTAACATCTCAAGTTCACCTGCTTCTCCCCTTGATTATTATATTTAATTCACTTATGTCTATCTAGCCAACTAGTATAGATTTATTCGGATAGCATAAACGCGGAGTTCAAATGTACAATATACGTTTAAACGTTTAAGTAAGAAAATAATATCTAAATCTTGTATTAATCGTACTTTGTGACATGATACTATATCCCTCGTAGATCATTGGTAAGGAAGCATCAACGCTTCGACCCTCACTCATGCTATAAAGACTTAGGGGGTCCTTGTGCTTCAGGACCCCATAGTAACAATAAAGAATGTGCTAAACTATTAGCAGGAGTAGAAACTGAATAATCAAAAAAGGAAAGTCTTCAATTGGAACATGAAAACGTGACTGAATTTGTCCTAGTTACTCTTCGGGACGGAGGGCTCATAATAAACCTTCGGTCGAATATATTCCCTAATTCTTAACAATTATCATATATGTCTTAATTCTCTAAATATTGTACAGTAAGATTAACTTAATTGAAAATAATAATCGACAATTATGATTCATCGAAATACATGTGATGCAACAAACTACATGTACCATCTTAGGGATATGATCTAGATAATTAGGACCTATGGTTCACTTATTAAAGGCTAGGTGTTAATTAATATATATATCATGTTCCAAATTTCGGTTAACTCGAGACCTAAATAGCATTTTCTTACTAAAACTATACAGTATTGTAGATTTACTCCGAGTATGATGGCAGTCACGGTATATTAACCTAATGGCATTTAAGGATAATATTCGCAAAATCGAGCAATAGTAGTAATGAAAAACCAGCTCAAGGGTTGAATGTATAAATAATGTAGTCAATATATATAATTTCGTCATTGTTTATCATTAGATTTCGAGTCATTATTGTTGTCTCCACTTGTTTAGTTACGGTACATTCACAGGTTTTTTTATGGTGTTTCACCTATTTTGTCTCTAACATTGATAATTTATAAAAAAATAAAGTACTTGAGAAATAAAACTAAAAAATTGATATCGTACGGTATGCCTCAAGCTTAGCTTCATGACACATTTGGTTCACTCAATAAAATTTACTAATTTTCAGCACTATGGGAACTGAAAAATACCCATTCAAACATTGCTATTTGTTTCTCAGGTCAAGCCCTAATCTCATGCCCCCAAAACATTGACACCCATTTGATTAGCTTACTAATCTCTCACTAATCTGATACGTGTCAAACATTCGATGAAACACCAACCCTTATAAATCTCTCTTGCTATCCTAATCTTTTCCACGACAAGGAGAGAAAAAAAAATTAACTTATACCGTATATTGTTTGAGTTTTAGTATCGAAGAAAAAAAAGTCTCGTTTTACCAGCATGAACAACTCCCAGAACGCCAGTTACCAAGCCGGCCAGGCTAAGGGCCAAGCTCAGGTGATGAATTATCCAACAATTATGTATATGATATTTCTCGATCGAAAGGTTACTAATACATAATTATCGATCGAAAAGTTACTAATACATAATTAGCGCCTTATATTGGATACTTCTTCTCTTTCTTGTTGTTTCGTTGTATAGGAGAAAGCGAGCGGGATGATAGAGAAAGCCAGCAATGCTGCTCAGTCTGCTAAAGAGTCCATCCAAGAGGTATGTGTATGAAAAACACTAACAGACACTAATCTTATCGTACGTCCAATGAATTTTACTATTCAGACTACGAATCAATCGGCGTCAAGCAACTCATGTTCTTTGCTATATATGTATGTGTTTGCAGACTGGTGGTCAAATGCAGGCAAAAGCACAAGGAGCAGCTGAGGCTGCCAAGGATGCCCTTGGAATGAACAAATGATGAAGAAAGACAAGACATAAAAATAAATAAAAATTGATAGCAGCAATTATTGCAATATAATTGATAGCCAGAGTCAAAAGACATAAAATGTAACATTAATCGCATTATTACTCGATCGATATATGAAGTGTTTTTCCACGCAGTTCGAGTTAGCTATCAATGAAAACCTTCGTCTTCTACTTCCTAAGTATGGAACGATTCATTTTCATGATATATGAAAATATTACCATATCATTTTGGAATTCTCATATGAAAAACGTTTTTCAATTAAAAGTTTCACGTCACAATGTGACAACCCTAATTTACAGGGCATCAAATCAATCCATGAAACCCTAATTCTTATGATATGGACCTAAAGAGGAAAATTTTACGAGCAAGGTATGAGACCTTCCTTACAGTTATGCTTGCCGTACTCCAACTGCTCCTCTGGAGCATGGTACGTAGAAAGGTTTTCTGGTGAACCTCGAACAATATAATAGTGGCAACCTATCTTGGGAGGAACTGCATGCATTAATGCAATAGAATACCGATCCATGATCCATCGCCACCAGCAATCCAGAACTTGATAAATTAGTCCAAACAGCTGCATTTCAATTCCAGAGCAGGGAAGGGAACCATGAACCAATAACATGGTGGTTTGTCGTTGTAGCATTTCACCAGCAATCTAGTTCCGAAGCCTCTTCCTCGAAAGGAGACGTCCTGCGTACAATACAGTCTTCCCGTGATGAGATGAGTAGGATTCGAATCAGACCTACTGGTGATATAGGCCACGACCCATATCTATTCGTCCAGTAGTAGCATTGAAGTAGCCATAAATGTACTTAACAAAGCTTTTGTTATTATTACTATAAGTTAATTATTATGATAGTGTTTCGCGGTCAATAGTAGGAATGGTTATCCACTATGCTTAAGCTATAAACTCATACACAAACGAGATACATATTGATATATACAATCAACAATCTAAATCTTTCTACTTCGACGATGAGGAACCTAACAGGTTCCTCGTCCGAGAGAGGGATTACTGCTTTAGGGATTTGATCAGTCGTGTCTCCAAATCTTTTTTTTTACAATCACCAATTCTAAATTTTTCTACTTCGAAGACGAGGAAACAGACAGCGCACAGCATGTCCTTAGTCCGAGGAAGTCGAGGAGTAGTCACCGTCGCGCGGTTGAGACGTGCCTCACAATTACGCTTGCCATACTTCAGCAGGTTCGTCATCCGAGTCAGTCCAGTCGTCGTCGTATTTGATACCTTTGTCGCAATCACGCTTACCAAACACTAACTGCTCCTCGGGAGGATGGTAGAAAGGATGCTTGAGGGACTTCGAACAATAGAAGCAACCTATGCTGGGACGAACTGCATGATGCAACAAACATAATCATTATCCTTCTCATCCTTAAACATCTATCCTATCCATCAATCAGCAAAGACAATATATACACTAAGCTGAATGCAACTAGATAATCAATGAGTTCTATAGCAAAGCTAGCGCATCATCGTCTTAAACCAACAGCATATAACTAGTAAAACCAATTCAGCACAGACACTCTACTCTCTATGAATATTAATATCTTTCTTACAAGACTTAGCAGTCAATCAGCTGCGAAATTCATTCAAAAACAGGAAAGTAATTACCAGGTCCAGAAGGATCGATGATGATACACGAATGAACAGTGAGCTTCAACCCATCGCCCGAGTACATGGCTGTCTCGGCAAAGAACAACTCCTCGGCAACAGGAGTTGGAGGGCTGCTTTCCACGGGGGAGGAAGAGGAGGAGGAGGAGGAGCCATCATCATTATTGACAACAACCATCTTAGGAGTGGGAGGGATGCTCTCCGGCGAGGCAGAGGCGGAAGTGACGACCTTCTTAGCCGTGAACAGGGAGTGACAGAAAATTCCACAAGGGGCTATAACAGGATTGCTACGGGTGGGATCCACAAGCACATATTCGACACCCTGATCATCCAAGCACCCAGTCCCAAAATAAAAACAAATTAGTCCACCCTACGCATTAGCATCAATGCAAGGAACGAACCCATTAATGATTGCGAAATGTAGAGAATTAATTACGAGCAAGCAAGCAACCAACCTGGTGGGTCTCCTTGTAGTACTTCAGAGCTTCTTCTGCATTCCAGGCAGTCTGCTCTCTCCATTGCTGAGTATATACTTCAACATCCATCACCTGCTCAGGAGAAGGCGTCCTACGAACAATCATACAGTTCCCGCACATAAGAGAGAATGAAATTAATTTTAAAGATCAAACTAATCGAGCAAGAGATCAGCACAACAACCGCCACCCAAACTACTTATTAGCAGCTGAAGAAATTAAAATTACACAACATCAAAACCGTAAGCTAACGAGCTGAGTGAAGCCTATATAACCGGAATAATAATCAAACCAATCACAGATTACGAACATTAATCACATCACCAGCCGGACACGAGCCAGAATTCCAAAATATCTTGTCCTTAACAATAAACCTAGCAGCTAACGATTCAGCTTCGAATTTCACATACAAGAATGATAACCATGGAAACCCTAAATCTTATATATCGAGCGGATTGAATAAAAATTACGAACAAGTATATAGGAAGCCAACACCATTAACGCATATACTCACTTGAGACCCGGACGTGGTTCCAGATCCATATCAGAGTCCGATTCATCATCAGTTACCACCACCGGATCAACTTCTACTTCAATCTTTTGCTTCTTCACCATTTTCGGTTTTGGGGTTTCTGAAACGACGGTTTCGACCTGAACGGCGTGAGGCCTTTCTTTCTCATTTTATACGCAGGTCTGGCTAGTTCCTAGTGCTTCCGAAAGTTTTGGATAAAGCCCTTTTCTTTTCCGCAAACAAAACATTAATGAAACAAAAGCCCAGTCCATTATTGCCACAATCTGTAACGGGCCCAGATCCTACGCCACTACATACCCGGCCCGAGAACATCCTATTCCTTAACCTTCTCGGATTAGCTTGAATGTACACTGATCTGGAAGTGTGAGTAGAGCCATACGGTTTACTTATGGTTATGGAACTCAAAACTTAATTACAAAAAATTGGCATTATTTATACAATAAATAGAATTTGTACATCTAGGTTAAGTGAATACTAATTGCCAACTTTGTGATTCCCGTAAAAAAACTCTTGGAAACTAAAACAAAATCCCCCCTAGATCGTGAAGACAAATAATTTTCGGCATCAACATTTCGGAGAATCTATCCTTCTAATGCAAGAGAACTCGATGTACATGTTTGCATCACTATGACCAGTTTCTCAACTCTCAACAGACGAATTGATTTGATGTTTGTCGTCCTTCAGGATTGGCAACAAGAGAGGTTCTTGGTGCTCTCCTTTTTGCATCAGGTCTTCCATCTAAGATGACTCCTCATATAAATACATTTGAGTGTTTTTTTATACGTTTTTTTTCGTTGTGCAGGCTGGTTCTCAAAGCACAGGAAGCTGTAGATGCCACTAAAGAGAAGCTTGGGATGAACAAATGATGGGACATTTTTTCCGGACGTACCTCATTCATGTTTCCCATTTTTATCTTCCCTTATGTTGTTTAGTTAATCAATCTAATCATTTTTCTATGACTTTACTTGAACATGATATGTTCCATGGGCTCATACCTATGATTTTTTTTTTCTGGGCTTGATCTCGATTTTGTATTCAAATAAAAGAAAAATGGTAAAAGAATTTACACTAGGCATATTTGAAGTTCATCTATATTTTGTGATTGCAATCTATACATTCGGAACATAATCTATACAGTAATTACTGTTGATAATGTTAACCTTGACTTTACGAGAAATTAAAATTGTACTAATAAGAGACATATTCCTTCTAAATTCACATAATTCTTTATCTATTTAGTATCGTGCACAATGTCGGATAGGGAAGAAAGAGATGAAGCCTGCTAAAGTGAAGAAGAAGAAGAAGAAGAAGAAGAAGAAGAAGAAGAAGAAGAAGATGATGTGACCTTTGAAGATGACATTGTTAGAGCTGAATGTTGATAGGGTTAGATTAGTTTAATTGTACAGTTCTTTTTTTTTTATCCTTTATACACACTCGTCGACATAGTATAAAGCAACAACGAAACCAAAACGTGACAATCAATGCACTCTAGCAGCAAAAGGTGATTCGACAGATCCAACCCACAACTCGCCATCATCGTTCTCCATGATCTCGCTGATCGATCCGAACTCTTCGGAACAATCATCACCACCATCACCACCCTTGTTGAAAACCTCCACAACCTCACCACTCTCACTCAACCTCACCCCCAACCCAACATTCCCACTCCCCATGAACATGGACTTCACCCTCTTGATCACACCCAAGGGCACCAATTTCACCAGGGATTTCCCAATCCATGGAATCGAGACCAACCATTTCAGCAACGTTGTCCTCTTGGAGTAGAGCCCAACCCAATAACCTCTTGTTGGGCTTCTCTTGATGTTATCTGGGTACCCATCTAATTCAGCAAACACTTCCATCTCCCCATTCTGGAGCCCATACTTCAAAACCCTGCAATTGGTCGTTTCCACTACCAGTACGGACTTGCCATCGTGGCTCAATGCGACGCCGTTTGGGAACATTAGGTCGCTTGCCAGAACCGTCGCCTGTTGAGTTTTGGGGTCGTACTTGATGAATCTCCCTGAACTGTCCCCAGTGATGACAATCAATAAGTGCATCCTACAAAGCAAAGAATGTCTAAATCTTTTATATGCTCGTCGTGTCGAATTCGAATTCGATGTGTGGTGGATATTTTTACCTTCTCTGGAACCGAGAGCTGCTATCTGTGAAGTAAACGACGTCGGATGACTGATCAGTATCCAAGCCGTTGGTGAAGACGAGAGGGGTATTGTCGACACGTGTCACCATCCGATCGGCCAACCCGCCTCGTGGCCCCACGCGAAGCAATCCCATGTACGCGTCAGCGACGTAGAGATCACCGTTGGATTCGCGGAAACTCAATCCTAGCGGTCGGCCGCAAATGGGCTCCATCTCTTCCTGCTGCGGCGGATCTAGCCCGTCGCATCCCTCTCTATATCCCACACAAGTAATAATATGATCATTTGACGTCGAAATCAAATACTTAGGGTGGAAAGCCTTCTAAACAGAACTAGGTTTCCCATTTTTCATTTGGTTTTCTACATGCGGTTACAAGAAAAGGACCTATGAGTATTGTAATTAAAGCCAAGGAATCCTTAGGTACTTATGATAATCAAAATGATTGGTGGATTATTAGATAGTTATTGAACATTTTGATTATCAATTTATTGGGTTTTATCTTCCTCCTAAATTAAAAAAATATATATATGAACCTAGTGAATAAGATTATAAATCGGTGGAGGATAGCTGTATCTTGAGTCTTGATAGTATAAAATTCTATGATTAATGGTTCGTAACAACTCTATTATGAAAATCTTATTCTCGTTACATGTAGCAATTATTGTAATCTCCTTATCTAATGAGAAGTAAATTGACAACAAGAAATCATAATTCAAATATTCAATCAATAATCAAGCCTCCCCAACGATTTGCCGTGCGAAAAGGAGATGTTCAAAACTCATTTACCTTCATTTCGACGACAAATATGGCCTAACAAATATCCCCTTTCTATGCTTATTTTCATTTATTTCTTTTCATATTTATCACTAAATTATGCTAATAAAAAAAATTATCGTTTTTTAGCTAAACCAATGAAATGCAATGCTCCAAGCAAAGAGAGACCGAATTAAAATCACTCACAAAAAAATAATAAAATTAAATCGAATGAATTTCTTACGCCGCACAAAAACAAATGAGGAGTCGTGGGTTGTTTACACGTGTCAATCAGAGTTGTATTACCTCTCAGAAGAAGTGACGGCGAACTCGCTCCACCGCCGTTCTTCTTCCACCCACTTCACCACCCGGCCGCCCGACACGCCGGTGAACGGGCCTACGCCTCCGCCGCCGAACGCGAAACTCTCCGGCCCCACTGACCCGTCGTCGAGCGGCAGGAACTCGATCCGCCGGCGGCCGGCTGTATTATCACGATCGCCGGCGGGCTTATTATAATAATAGTTAATTAGATGACGGCCGTAGTTGTTGAGATTCGGTGGGAGGAGTAATATCAAGGAGGAGATTGCGACGGCTAGTGTCGCCGTCGCGAAATAGAGGCAGAGCTTTGGTTTCATGGCGGCAGAGTAGCAAGGACAAAGGGGAAACTACAAAGGAAAATTTAAAACGGCCGGTGGAGGGAGAGAAAAGGGAAGATTATAAAGGACAAAAAAAAAAAAAGAGGAGGAAATGGAGTGACAAACGAAATGTATGGCTTAATACGGTTTTAATTCTTTACATATAAAACAAGACTGTGTTTTGTATTTGTTGGATGACTAAAAACAAAGAAATGGATGGATAGAAATGACATTGAATTAGACCGAGCCAAATCAATCGTGTTTTGGGTTTGGTTTTGTGGTTTTCCTCTGTGTTTTGATTTCATATTTAGTTTATTTCATTTCGAGCTGAATTTCGGATCATGATTTAGTTTCGAACTCATGTCGAGTTAATTAAATCTTTGTAAAATCTTACATAAGCAATTCAATTTGTTTGGTTGTAATAAGTCAAAAATTAGAGTTGATCTCAAACGAGTTTGAGTATACAATCAATCCATAAAATATTTTACTTCATAAATCGATTAATTTTCATTTCAATCTACTCGACAACTTTGTGTATGTAGTAACACAATTAACTCGTTAGTATATAAGGTGATCAACCCATCAATATTTTTCTTGGAATGCAGGATGTATCGCCTTAATTATTAATCCATTCCTATCAAGAATGGAATTAATATGTACGTAGATGGCGATCCAGAATCTCAAATCGAGTAATGACACTAACGGCAAATTATATGTATACATCGCAATCTCTTAAGATCTCTCAAAATTTATCGTAATTCTTACTTTAATTTCATGATATATGCAGATATTTACGAGCAACCCTACAAATTAAATCTCCCAATCCACTGAAATAATTTGCCTTCCCCAATTTGCTTAAGAGAAACAAAACTAGTACAAAAGTAGAGCTCTTCACATGCAAATACAATATGGATCATGTGGATTACTTACTCTAACCCACTAACAGAATTCCCATAGCACAATCTTTCGTGTGCAGTCGGTTTGTCTACTTCCTTATCAAATAAAGAAACACAACGAATGTTCTTTATTATCCTAACAATATTGGAAGGTCACAACAGAGAAAGAAAACAAAGGAATTGCTCAACAATGACTTATTTAGGTAATTGCTTCCTAGAAAGGTAAAACAAGAAAAATTTTGTTGTGGTTACATTTCCACAGGCAAAGAATTAATGGTGTTTGCTTGTTGGAACAGTGTTGTTTTTCAAGAATCACTGTGAGTTAAGGAATCCCCACTGGGATTGGGAAATTGCTTGTTTTGGTGAAATTGCCCTTCCCTTCACCCCAAAAACTTGGTTCACATTGGCATATATATTGTGTTTAGTGATCACTAGTCATTGCATAGAGCAAAAGAAGGAATACTAATTTTGTTGATCGTGGATACGTGTTTTGTCACACAAATTAGTAAGAGTTTGTAGTTTAGTTAGTACTAAATTTTGGTACAACTTAGGGTTAGAGCTCAGATTATAGTTCTGAAGAGTCAACTTCGATGATGGCGAAGATAGCTCTAGCGACCATGATGGTTGCTCCGATTAGGTAATATCAAATTTCAGAGACTGATGTCGATGGTGATGATTATAAGGGCTCTATCTGGTAACGTTTCTAAGAATCAAATTGTTTATTCTCTTTTGAAATCGTGTCCATCGTGTCCTGTTATTATCTCAATCATGGTTTCATCAAAACTGCATCCAATGCTCTAAATCTTTTATGTTTATGATAGTGATCCCAAGGTTCAAACATGTAAATTGTAAAGTGTCCTAACTTGGTAGCAGTCAGAAAGTGCCCTAACTTTCAAACAAGGGTCACCATCACAGAACAAGTACTAAAAAAAGAAACTGTACTCCAGTGTAATAGAAAGAATTCCTCAGGAACTAAATTAAGCTCAAGAAGTACTGTCCAACCTGAAACTAAACAATGAACTATCAAGAGGTTTCTTCTTCAATGAATAGTGAACCCCAAAAAGAAATTTTCTCAAGGAGAAAGAATAATCCTACCAAAAATTCCTCAGAAACACCAATCCACCTTACAAGTTGGATACTTTCCCTTCCAGGTTTTCTGCATTATTAGAAAGGAAGAGAACCCCCCAAAAAGGAAAACAAAACAGCAAAGGAAAACCCATGATGGAGCGAGATCGATTTACAGCTTACAGCAAATGCAGCTAGCTAGCTAGCTTTTTAAGAATCTTGTTTGTATGTATGTATCTACACCTTTGTTAGCTTAGTGGCCACGGAGGCCAGGAACTTGCATCCTAGCTTCCATTTCTCCTTAGTGTTCTAGCCAGAGAAGAGGTCTCGATCTGTAAAAAGAACCAGCGAGCGGTTATGTACCAAACACCGAGAGCTTAGTATGAAAACCTGGTATAGTTGCATTCGTTACTTGGCTCATTGGTTCAATGCTTTTCTTGTTGGAGAAGATAAAGGGAAGAGATTTCTCCAAAGTTTTTACCTTTAAGTCATCGAAGACTACCCATTTGCAGGGTTTGATCAGGAATCTTAACACAATGATCTTTAGTCTTATCTCCAGCAGTCATATGTTGCATAGACACTCCATTTCCATTTTCAACAGAACTGGCGCTGCTTTGAACAGTTTCTATCTCTCCATCTTTGACATGCGATCCTTGCGAAGAGTCTCTCAAGCTTCTTAGAATTTCTTCAATGCGGCCATCATCTTCTGTATCAAGAACCTCATCGGGTATAGGGATCTCTATAGATTCTTTTACACTGTCATCGCCAGGGATGCTGTTGTCAAAAGTAGGCATACCATCTCTGGAGTTCTTTGAGTTCTCTGAATCATCATCATCGTCGTCATAGTCCAAATTCTTAAGAATCTCAGGAAGAGAATAACTACTATGCTCTTCTGAATACTTGGCTCTCCTTTCCACATCACTTGTGTCCTTAAACCCTTCACCATGATTCTCTGTCACGGGTTGCATCACAGAAGGAGGATCTTCCTTTACAAGTGAACGGAATTTATTCAGTGAAGGGGGGATCTTTGTGAAGAAAGTTTCCAAGAGGTTCCTTACCACTCCCTTGTTGTATGGGTTCTCCTTTTTATCATATCTGTACCTGAAATTCTCATAGGTAGTCTGCAACAACACGAGGATCAGAATGTGTCAAATAGAAATTAAAGAGAATGAAGAACTTGAACATCGTTGAGACGAAATAGCACTGCCACAGATTACCTGATTTGTGCAGATTAGATAGAAATGGAAGATTGTTAGGCCTCCAACGAACCAGACAGCAACAAAACAGTAGACGATAAGGAAATCGGAGAGCACATCTTTGGACATAGCTTTCCAGACACTCATGTCTTTGTGAAGGAGATTGACCCAAGAGAACACAAAGACATATATACACAAGATGGTTGCTGTTGCTATAAACATGAAGAAGAACCGGTAGTTTCGCTGCAAAACGAACAGGTCATTGTGATGGGATTCAGCAAGACGGAAACCAAGCTAATAAGTAAGTACAGAACATAAAAAGTTCGACTGTCGGCATCATTCTCAGCCCTACAGTTATTATCAAAAGCTGAAGCATCCTAAGCTTCAAAGTCATAGAAAATAAAACAAACTTACTATGCCAATGCACTGCCCTACCCAAGGGCAATGATGATCGAATCTCTGGACACAGTTGTTGCAGATTGAACAATGAGAAGCACGGGGAGGACGATACAGTAAACACGTATCACAGTACTTAACCTTCACAGCATGCCCGTTTACCATCACATCCTTTGTGCGCGGTAGTTTCAAATGAGGGGTTCTGCCATTCACCCACTCCATGGATGGGGTATTTGTGTCTGAAATTTCATCGCACTCTGGAGGCTTTGAATTTCTACACAGTATTCCAGGATCTCTACTAGATGTTAATAGGAGAAACAGCAGATCCTGCAACAAGTTTTGACTTTCGAATCATTAATCTACTTTTCACAAGAGCGATCAGCTACATCCTAAGAGAAAAGGCAGAACTGTTCATCCATTTTATACCACTCCCAAGTCACAAAGGAACTCTTTATTGAATCCAGTCATCGATTACTAGTTACTAGTTACTTCCTACAAGAGATTGCTTGCTGCTAAAAGCCAGAGTGATACTTACCAACACGGTTAGAGTGCAGCCTCCAATCAATATAGCATACCAATGGGCTGGATTCTTGACATCTTCATTGACAATTGTGTAATATACCTTTCCACAGAAAGCAATCGAAGGGCCAGCAATGAGGAGCATGGACAAGAACATTGATGCCACATCAGGACCAAAGATCAGTCTTCCACCACAGAGAAACCTCTGGAGAATACAAAGAGGGATCAACTTATTAGGCAACAAAGCCAAATATTTGCATGTACTTTACATCAACCTGATGATCATCAGCTAAATCATCAAAGCAAGTAAGCAACCAGAAGGCAGAGAATACTGAACTATCAGCAGACACTAAAACGATCACTTTGCAGCAAAGCTATTACTAAACTACTAGTGGTACCTATCTAACTCACTCAAACAGTAAAAGAATTCGAATTCGGGGAATGAAACAGTTCCAAAACACTAAGCAAGTTGATACCCAATAGACGATCAACTCCGTTGCATGATCATACCAAAAAAGGGGGGAAATGAAGAATGAAACCCTACCCAATCCAATTCAAACCATAATTGAGTGAACCCATCAACAGCAATGAAAGTAGAAAGAGGAAGAAGAAGAAGAAGAAGAAGAGGACTAACATTGTTTCCTTTCCAAACTCGATAAAGCTTCTTGGGTTTATCAGCGGCCATCGCTAGCCGTCCGAAAAATCTCTCTTTAACACTCTAACCCCTCTCTCTCGCTCTCTCTTTCTCTCTGTGATCCCTAGCTACGAAAAAAAAAAATCAAAATCGAGAATGTCGACGGATGAAAAACCCCAACACAATCCGTTCGAGTGAAGAGAGAGAGAGAGAGAGAGGGAGGGTTTGACGAAGGTGAGTGGGAGAAGAGGAAGAAGAAGAGATTGTCTTCCCTCCCCTTCTACTCTCCTCTACGTTGTTTGTTGCCTTTATTTTTTTCCTCTCTGTAAATGTCTTTCCTTTTTTTTCTTCTCACAATTTTTTCCCCTTGTCTCTCTGTCTCTGATAGTGCCAAGAGGCGAATTGCCCTATGAAATGGAAAGGGGGCGGGCGGGCGGGCGGGCGATGATGTAGTGAGAGAAGGAAGAGATAGAAAGAGAGTGGGTTCGCCATTGTTGAGCTGGCTGGCTTGTTGGTAAAGGATGACTTTCTTCGGGCGGGAGCCGGGGAACGGGCGGATCTTCCAAAAAATGAACCCAACTCTCCATCCGGCGGTTTCCTGGCTTTTCTCAGATTTAAATATTAAAATATTAAAATAAACATTTTTTCCATAGTTTCATCGACATTTTTAATTAGTCATCAGAATATGTTTGTCTTAGTAAATATGCCCCATCTGCACAATAAATAATAACCTGTTTTGTTAACTTCATGATATCATTAAAATGTGTAATTTTAGCGAAATAATATTATTGGTAATACCGTAAGCATAATTCAATATGCTTAATTATACTTATCTTCAATTCAAGATGGGTAACACACACAAGGATTGGTATAAGTAAGCATAATTAAGTTCTTAATTCTTATCCTAATGAACCTAAACAATATCGTCTCCTACCAAAAAGAAAAGACAATAATGTTTGTCTTCATTTCGTTGAAGGGTATATTTTGTATGCTTGCATCCTTAGTGGAAAATAGTAAAAATATTTATTCCTATTTTTCCCCCCTATATATTCCTTTCTTTTCATTTTCTCATAATTCGGCACTTGATTCTTCCCCTTCGTATTTACTGATAATTTTCATTTCCTTATAATAAATAAATTGAAATCAACACGTATTTTTTTTTTTAATTCTTCTACTAATGATTCCCCTTTTTGGATGAATTAAGAGACCAACCCAAAACATCAATAGTGCTACCAACGAAGAAGAACGAATAGTGTAAGATGGGAAAACGTGAAGGCCACATCTTTATGACCTTTTCAGTTACACTCACGCGGCTATGACGATTGTTTGTTGTTAAGAGGTATTCATTTTTAGATTAGATGAAACGCAATTGAGTTAGGCAGCAAGTAATCGGGACTCCAGACGTATCTCAATATCGTTATCTGTCACGTAATGGCGTTCGATCGAAGATTTGGTCGAAGTATCGGACACGATAGTTTCTTCCATCAAACTAGCTCAACCGCAAACTCCGCTTGGGTGCTCACGTAAACTGTTGGTGAACCAACCGGTGAGCCGAAACCGATTCTGCATAAATTTCTGACGACGAAGCCGGATTTGTTCTTCTTCCACATGTTGGACTTACGAGTTAGGTGGGACTAAAAAAAAAAAAAAAACGTTTCGAACTCATTCGTATTGTTCGAACCTTTCTATCAAACTTCAACCTCGCTGTGGCCGGGCCGGGCTGGAATCTTTGCTGGGTGGAGAAATTGGGCTCCAAATGTCGAAACGAAGGCCCACCATGATTGATTGATTCCCTTTGCCGCCTCTATTGTTTCTGTTCTAACCGTCCATTTCTGGAAACCAATATTATGCTTTGCAGGGATTCTATGAAAAAGATAACAATCAAGGATCTTGATAGGTATCTTTTAGGTCTTCAACCCTTGGACGGAGAAGAGAACGATGGCCAAAGCTTAGCTTTAAGAATGGAAGATCAGAGGGTATGTACAGCAGAACCCGCTGCTCCAACACTGCAAAACAGATAGATAATTTCGCAGAAAGAAATGACCGGATGAGAGACTAATTAGAAAAGATCGACATGTTTAAAACGAAATTTGGAGGCACGTACCACAGAAAGCAATGATCCCTGTTTAAACTTGTTGTGGAATGCAAACGTGAGTGGCCTCGGGCTTTCTCCAGGTCCCCTAATGAAGCCACTGGATCAAGATCATAACAAGATCTTGTCAAGTACTCCGTATTCTCATAATCAGATTCATGAGAAACAAGATATAAGAAAAACAGAACATATACATTAGAGATGCAGATATAAGAGGAGTCCTCCTTGTGTCGAATATGGCAATCAGGCCATTGTACGCTTCATCCCCTCCTTTATAAGACACGGCTAATCGTTCACAGGAAGCATCCCAGGCTACCTTATCAATCCCACGACTGCAAACATACGACAACACGCAGAAGTTGTGATGATAAATTTTTGAAATCTAAGGTAGCACTTAAGCAGCCGTTATCCTTAAGCATCTGAGAACCTAAAACAAACAATCAGTTGGGAAAATGCAAGCATTCGTTGTGCAATGTGCAGTTAGAAGAAGACACTGGAGTATAGCACAAGTCTAATGTTCCTAGCTTTACTACAGCAGAGGAGACATCAATCCTTGTCCACCATACCTGCCCGTCAATGACATTATCTCTGGCAACTCAACAGGTAACAGATGTGCATCTACAAGGAACAATTAAAAAGAAAATCAAGATTCTAATATGGAGCTGCAGAGCCCAGTTTGATAACAAAAACGTTTTGGGTAAGAAAAAAGAACCGGGACTTCAAAATTCAAGCAATTCAGTTTCTAACTTAATCAGTTTTATAAAAAGGGAAAAGTTATGGGTGACCTTTTTGGGACAAAGCCAACTCGGGATGAATTTAAATGGTCCAAGCTTCATACCCAAAGAAGGAGGCTTTGATGCAAAGTGTACAGAGCCCAATGTTAATGATCCAGAGAAAGCAAGCAGTATTATACGGCCATCACGATCCCATTGTGCTCCCTGTGATTACAAGAATCCAAATCTCAAGGCTTAGTGCATTTCAACCATGAACAATCCAAACCCAGTGCCGATCAGAATTGAGCAGAATCAGAGGAGAACCTCTAAAAATAGGATGGCACAAGGACGAAGCATATCCACGAGAAACACCACACAAATCCAGAAAAAGGTAAAAGGAGACAAATGTAAAGGGTTTCAGATGATGTAGCACATGTGTAGGACGAGAAGTCAAAAACTATACTCTAGATAAGAATATGAACCAATATAAGACTTCATATTAGATACTTTTAGCAGCATGTCAAAGGATCCAGTGCCATGAACATTTATCTTACTATAATAATGACAAGTCTGAAACAAAACAGAGCATCCAAAAAAGAGAGAAAGATGAGAGGCAAGGAGAAAAAGACAAGTTATAGAAGGCATAAATAAACCAGTTGACACAGAATCCTTGCACAGATTCTGTGGTCACATATGACAGACACACACAAGTAGGTTTTGAAACCAAAAGAAAAATGATAGGTAACCCTTCCTGGCACAATATTCACAAGCAGTCAAGCACACACACAAATAGCAAAACGATGATGATTCAATTGCTTGTTGTAAACTAGATTTAGACTTTGATAATGCACTTACTGTCACAAACCCACTAGAAGAAGACCACTGTTCAGATGTCCAAGTGTTTGTCTCCCACAGATAAAATGTTCCATCACTAAAAAAGGATGATGATTAGAACATGTCTTGTGCAGTAGCATAGATATAGTATATCAAAGCTTCATATTGAAGCAGTGAACAACAGGGAGTTACAACATACAATTTGGCGGAGAAAAAGCTATCTCCAGAAGGCGACCATTTGAGCATTGATATACCACCTAATCCCCGCCGAATAGGCGTCCCAGATCCTACAAGTAATACCAGTGCATAAAAGACACTGACAGATGTGACCAAAGAGAAAGATTAAATGGAAATGCATCTACATAAAGAAAAATCCCGAGCCTTCTTTTTCACGAAAGCTTGTAAAATATGGAAAATTAGATCAATAGATTCAGTAACTGAATGCACCTGATTGAATGTGCCAGAAATCATTAGAATGAACCACTGATTTTCAAGCTGACAAAGCAATAGTAGATAAAACTAATATATTACCCCTAACTAAACGAGACAATATAGTTTAGGTCCAAGTGTTGAACAAGCTAGCAAGGCTTTAAGATAAATGGTTCTGAAAACAAAAGATATCCATGCATGAATTCTGCTATTTCATACATAAACAGCAAAAGATATCCATGCATGAATTCTGCTATTTCATACATAAACAGCTACTGTCATCATAAAGTATCCAAGAAGAGTAAGACTCTAGGCCTAGAGCATTACCTTGTGCAACATCCCAGATGGTGAATGCGGAGCTCTCATAAGAAGCAGATGCCAAGTATGTGAAGCATAGTTAAGGATACTTCTTTTAAAGAAAATCCAACTGAGAAACATATACATATGACAGTCATGAAACGCAGCAGTAGAATAATTAGACCAATCAAGTTGCCCCATTATCTGACAAACTGATAAAGGAACCATCCATATAAATAGGAAAAATAAGGCTGCAAGTTAAAAGGACAAAGAAGCTAGAAAGAAATATGATGGCTCCGATTCACGCACCGCAACAGCAACTTAACAAAGTGAAAGAAGTGATCCAATAAAGCTAGGTTTTACATATAAAGGATATCGTCCATCGGGGCTCCAAGAGAGTGCGGTAATTTTCTCATCATTGCAACTTCCAAGAAAATCAACGAGAGCCCACTGATATCCAGATCCTCCAGAAACAGTTGCCAGATATGATGTAACGCCAGATCTGCCAACTGCAGCATTGCCTGGATATGATGCAGACCATATACAGATTCCACCCCTAAATTCAGTCCAATAATTGAGAAGCTCCATAAGCTATTGTGATCCACCCAAAAACATGACCTATTAACACTGTAAAGTCTAAACACGGGAAGGAAATCTAGATACTTGCTTGCAAGCGATGGCAAGTGACTTTCCACAATTTGATCTCCACTCCAAGACCTTAACATCTCTCTGGGACTCGGAAATCAAGATGCAATCCTTCCCTTCTGTGGAGACTAAATTAAACATTAAGTGTGAAAAGTAACCTCAAGGGAAAACACATATATTCATGGAGAAAACGTGGAAGAAATAATGAAGAAACTTACCTGAATCTTCATAATCACAAATTGTGACTTGATTTTGGCCAGAAACAAATGCAATTATGTGCTTATGCTGATGCCAGGACACACCATGGAGACCAACCTCTGGTAACAAGTTTACCTACGAAATTTTAATTTGAAAAAAAGAAAGTTCTCAAACATTCTCTCTCATATTCAAGAGACGTTTATTAATAGACAAAGCAACATAAGTGCCACCCTAGGATAGCCCTTCTTTACTTTAAAGTCAAGATACAGAAGGCACCATTTAGTCATCACATGATTCAGGTACTTCACTCAAACAACCAACCCCATGTATTGGCTACCAAATATTGGAGCTTTCTGAAATTCTGATGGTGTATTCCAGACTATTTTACACGATGAATTTGCCATGACCAACATATACTACCTCACGGATCAATCAGAACCAGTTCTAACTGTTAGCTTCACGACCAAGAAAGCCCCTTACAACCTTGAAACTCATCAAGTTTCAGGACCAGCCACACTGTGCGAAAACAGCTATGAGCCTATGATAAACTCGATCAACTTCAGGCATAAATGTGTATCATGATTCATGACTTCACAGGGAACAGATTAAGAAGCTAGCACGATTGCAGGTTGCTTACATAATTTGGATGAAACATATTAACGAAGCCCTGAAACGCCTTCCCTAAAATCTTCCGTCCAACGCTCTCTCCATTACCTCTCCCATCTTGCTCAGCTTCCTGATCCACGTTGGGGGACGCTGCCAACTGATCCGCTTGGAAAGGAACCGGACTGAACACTGCACCCTAAAACAACACAAATCCAAGCTATAAAGAAAAAGAAAAAAAAAGAGGAACCGCGCGAAAGGAGAGGAGAGACTACGGAGATGGAAATCAATACCAGTAGCTTCCCATACGTCTCTCTGGCTCGCTCATCCGATAAACTCTCAGCCGCAACTGTGCACCACAAATGTAACCATAACACAGTGAGCAACGAGCTCCGGATATCCTACTAAAACCCTAAAGACGGAGAATCGGAAAGAGATGATATACTTACTCAGTTGCCGATTGATCTCGCAAATCGTCACGGATCCGGGCTGTGGAAAGGACGGCATCGTCGTCGGAGTCTGAGAACAGAAAATTGCGAGAGTGGCGACGAAGCTCAACGCGGGAGCGAAAATCGGCAACTATGGCTGCCGTTGGCGGGCGTTTCTGTGTTCACTGAGAAATGTGACCGACTGTTAAACCCCGGCGCCTAAAATCTAATTTAATTTCCCCAAAACGCAGAACTCGTGCAAAAAGCTCAGATTACCCCATAAACATTTTTCTTTTGTAGTCTCAGTACACAAACTCTGGATCCATATAATTTCCTGGACTAAATTATAATTTATCAACAAAATTTATACAGTCAGTGACTGAAACAGAACTTTTACTCGTTCGAACTTTTGCTGTGTGTCACTGTGCCATGATGCCGCTTGCTTGATGAGAGAAAAAAACAAAAAAGGCAAGGGTTTTACCCTCATCCTCTTCCGTCATTAGCAATGCCATCTGAGAAGAGAACAGGCGGCAGGGTTTTAGCCTTCTAAGCCATTTCTCTCCTCTCAGTTCAGCTCGAGCTCTCTCCCTCTGTGCAAAAATCATCGTTTACAGAAGAATTCTACTCCATTTCCTGTTTTCTTCTTTGGAGACGTTAAATCATCTTAATTGGGGGGCTGTGTTCGACGACGATGATGCCAATGCAGAACCCTTTTTCTCTCGCCCGCAAAACCCCGCTCTTGTTTCGTTTGGGTGGAATTCCTCTTCCTCGCCTTTCAGTTCCTAAGCTCCCTCGAGCTTGCGCTAACCGAGTTCGGATAACTGGGCACGCGGCATGTGCTTCTTCCGCTTCCCTGAACTCTTCTCGCTCGCCCCTGTTTAAGGATTTGGGCTCTTCTGGAGCTGGAATTAGCCAGCTGGGCTCTTGTCGATTTCGAGTTTTGGCGGTTTCTGGTGGCGGGAGTGGAGTAGGAGGATATGGCGCCGGAAACTCTGGCGGCGGCGGCGGTGGTGAAGGCGCCAATGATGGCGGCTCTTCTCCTCGTGGAAATAACTGGTCTTTGCTTTCATGGTAACCAAAAGCTTGCATCTTTATGGAGTTCCAAGCTTCCCGTTATGGTGTTGTTTAATTGCTGGCCTGAAAAGGGGAAATTTTGCAGGTATTTGAGTCTTCTGGCCAAGTATCCTGTTCTTACCAAAGCTGTTACATCCGGAATTCTAAATTTCCTTGGAGATTTAATCTGTCAGGTATATATCCAATTGACCAATTATTCATTGATTTTTAAGGTTGGCAATGGCGATGTGATAGTTCTTTCGCATTTTCTCATATTTTTGTTCTGTTTCTTTCGCTGGCCACCTCCTCCGTGTATATTGTAGATGATCATCTTGTTATCTAGAATCTCCTTGAAAAGCTGACTGAAAAGTGTCTTTGGTATGCACAATAACAAGCATTAGTTGGGTTGTTCATGTGTGGATATGTCAATGTTGATAATCTGTTTTCTCAAAATAACATACCAAGTTTTGCAATGCTGAAGAACACTGTATAAAATGTCAGTTAGACTAGCTTGGCTAAACTGTTGCTGTTTTCAGCATAGTGTCCAGATTGTGTATCACGATATTGTCTTTATGTGTTATATTGCTTTCCTAATCCCATCTTCTGGGTCTCTTATCATATCCGGTTTTGCGTGTTTAACTTGTTATGAGCTGATAATCCAAATCGAAGTTGATTGAGTTGCTATATATGTTACTTTCTTTCAGCTCGTGATTGATAAAGTTCCATCTCCAGACTTCAAGAGGACTTTTCTATTTGCCTTTCTGGGGCTGGTACTAGTTGGTCCCACTTTGCATTTCTGGTAACTTCTGGATTGCTTCTCTTATTTCCTTTTTTTCCTTGAAGAACAAAGTAGATGATATTGGATGCTTTGCTGAATTTAGGATACGTTGAAAGTTCAGATTGTTAGTGATGGTTATTCGGTCAGACTATACTTTAAATGTTTCTTACAGAATTCTCGGTCTAATCTGATCTCCCCCCCTTGTAGGTATTTGTATCTGAGTAAGTTGGTAACGATTCCAGGAGCAGGAGGTGCATTCACACGTCTCATACTCGACCAGGTTACCATTTCAAAGTTCCTTTCCTTCTCCCCCGAGTTTTGGTTACCAACCCGGGCTTGAAACCACATTGTATCTCACAATCCTTTCCTTCACTTGTTTTCACAGTTCCTTTTCTCTCCAGTGTTCATTGGTGTCTTCTTAGCAGCATTGACTGTGCTTGAAGGAAAACCTGCTCAAGTTATGCCAAGACTGCAACAGGTTCGCAGTTATATTATCAGCTCCCTGTATTGTTTGATTTCATGTCTATTACTTAGAGCAGCATGCAGAATATGTTATTCATTGAAACTCTGCTTCCACTTTTTTTCTTTTTAGGAATGGTTCTCTTCTGTCGTAGCAAATTGGCAACTGTGGATACCCTTTCAGTTTCTCAACTTCAGATTCGTGCCGCAGCAGTTTCAGGTATAATCAGTAGCAGCTTTCTAAATAGTAGTGCAGCATTCCCCTACAGTGTGCTCTGAAATTCAAACCGCTGTGTAGTGTTTTCATGCTTGCTCCTCGATTATGCATAGTTCTCAGGAATATAATACTCTTTTGCTTTTTACTTTCATCAGGTTCTCGCTGCAAACGTGATCGCTCTGGCTTGGAATGTGATACTCTCATTCAAAGCGCACCGCGTGATTTTGGAGAATTGAAGGCCGATTGTGTTGTAGCATGAGCGAGGCTCCAGGTATTGTACATTTGTTGCTGTGTAATGCTAGAAGGTGCGGAGAAAAAAAAACTTTCAGACGGTTGTTGAGACCTTGAGTGCAATGCATTATGTAAGAAAGACTATTCTGGGTGAAGCCAGTTTGCTCCTTTCGATCAAGATTCCTGCGAAAAGTAAAAAACCATTCCAGAATCACCAATGACCAATGTTACCCAGTACAAAACCCAAAAGAAGAAACTTAGCTGCAGATCGAACTGCGACTGGATAACTACTTTCCGTAATACTGACAGAAGAATATGTAATACACCAGTTCCTTCTTGCCACAGTTGGCTGGCTGTCTTTTCGATAAACCAGCTGCATGCTCCTGAACCGCAAAGGACTTGACATAAACTGAGTCCATGCACTCAGACGATCACCCATTCCACGGAAAGAAAATGACTACATCCACTGACCCTCAATCAATGAGAGCATTTGATCCCCATTGATTTGGTGCCTGTTAATCCTTGGTCTCCATGATCGAAGTTAATCGTGTTGCTTAATTGACAGTACGAAGAAACAATGAACCTCTGAATCGATTATTTCTTTTCAATCGGTTTAGCTCATTGAGAGCAGTAACCCAGTTTCGGATCAGTACTGCAAGAGCCAAGTTTCCCCAGAGTGCATTCAGACTCTTCCACTGCAAGTGCATAATTGATAATACCCTGAATTGATCAAAGCATTCAGCAGCAAAAGGGTAGTTTTCCGTATTCATACTCAACTTGGCATGCTGGTATGGTACAATGATTCAATCAGGTCCAAACCGATCTAAAACAGAGGCTATCCTCTTTTGTTTCTTACGCCAGAGGTACCAAATAAGTACATGAATTGACAAAATCTGGAAACTTACGCATAGTTGTTGAGGAAAATGATTTGTGTAAGACTATTCAGGGAGAAGCCAGTTTACTCCTTTCAATCAAGGCTATTTGAAGCATTGTAAGAACCAGAAAAATCATATTAACAGTCATTTCTTGCGAAAAGAAAAAACCATTCAAGAATCACCAATGACCAACGTTAACCAGTACAAGCCCAGAAGAAAACAATAGCCACATTATGTTGCTCAAGCAATTCACAAAGCTTATTTATGCAGTATCGACAGAAAAACATGCAATACAATCGTTTCTTCTTGCCACACCTACAAGCCCTAGAGAACCATCATTGCGCGGCTCGGCTGGCTGTCTTCCACAAAATACAGGACGCCACCAACCTCAGCAAAGCCACATACTGCCGACCTGCAAAGGATTCGACAAAAACAGAATCCATGCACTCAGACATCCACTGACTCTCAATCATTGAGAGCATTTGATTCACATCGCCTTCTGAGGCTCTTTTCATTACTACCTGAACTCCCACCAACAGATGATAAAAGGAAAGGTGGAAAAGAACTAAAGCATCTTTCTTGCACCCTTCTCCTTGAATACATAAGTGGACAAGGAGGAAAGTGCACCCACCACCACAAGTGTAGCCATATTCTTCATACACTCAGATTTCTTGATCCTGCCAATAATATGAACCAAGGAAAGAGGAAAGGAAGAACAAAAGGAACCACAGAGACGATACATGAAAGAAAGAGAAAAAGAAAGGAGAGGAAATGACTAGAGTAGTAAAACTAAAAGCTATGGTTACTAAATCTGTTCTAAAAATTTCCATCTGCCATGACCACTTCCATAGCCTCTCGTTTCAATTATTACAAAGACGGACTCAGAAATAGAGTCTTAGACACCCCCGCTAAGCATATTTCAGCTATCCATGAGAAGGAGAGCATCCAAAAGTCCTAAAAAGAGAAGAAACTTCCTTCGGGAGACCGGAAACTCCCTGTCCAACGAAGGGCCATGATTCCGATATGAAGACAGAAACTTTCTACTGATCTATTTCCAGTTCCACCACCACTGTACAGTTTCACCCCTTGTGGTATCCTCGATCCCATATCCCTGATAATCGCCATTTCCCCAATGATCACCACCATATACACATTGAACGATTAATCATAATATAGGTCAACCGATGTCAGAACACAGTTTCCACAACGTCAAACATTAAGACCGTTAATCAAGACCAGAACCCCAGTAGCAGCTGCAGCTACACCCCACTTCTCCTGTCAGTACATAATACCCCAACAGGAACATTCTCGCAAGGAACTGATCTGGATTTAAGTTCTGACAGATTCAGAACTTATGATGCTGCTAGAACCCGAATGTGTACTCAGTCCAGTCATGGAATTCCGCTGCTGTCCAAAATGTCTCAATAGCTCCATCTGGCGTTCATTAGTATGAGGGAGGCAAGCACGCAGAAGCTCAACTGGCATTTCCCTCTTAGTCGCTCCACGTACATCTTCATCAATATCCTCTGTACCAGTTGGCGTTTTCGCATAGACTGACTGCAGGATAGTCTCATACTTCGCCAAACAATACTTAGTCAGCAGATCAAAGAACTCATCAAAGGACGCCTGCCAGAGAGCAAAGTTGGGCACCACCGGCCGTGCAGCCGGAGGATCAGTTAACAGTTTAGTTGCCCTCTCGAGAATAGACTTCAAAACAACTGAGGCTCCATCACCAGCTGGGCTACTAAGAGGGCGAAATGGCGGCTGCTCTGATGAGCAAACAACTGCAACAAGGCATGCACTGAGTGCATGAAGATCCATGCCACTGATGCAAACACACACTGTCTTTGTTAGGTTCACGCTCGTCTTGGCTGCTGCTGAGTCGGAGTGCACAGAACCAAACAAAAATCTGAGGTGCCGGAACACCGCCATGCACACAATACGTACAAGGTTGCTACCGGGGATCAGAAGCTGAAGAAACTTTGTTATGAGTTTCCTACCCTTGGGCAAAGCTACCAGACGCAAGAACACGAGATCATCCTTTGATGCAGAGCCTGCTGAAGTATTATTCCCAGGACTCTGACCGAGAGGGTCTACCAGTTGAAGCGCAGTTGCCAAACCCTCAAGGAGAATCTGCCGCCGGCGCCTCACCTGAGCGCCACCATCCGCCGGCTGATTAAACAGAAGGTACCGATCAATATCATCAACATCGATAAGCAAGGCCAACCCATCTTCGATTGTGACTCTAGCTGCAAGCATGGGTTCCTTCTCAAGAGGCCTGTCGGAGATCTGTTCACTGCAATCGGTGGAAACAGGGCCCGCTTCGAGGAGAGGGCGGGGCCTACGTACAGTTGGTATGGGAATCTTCCCCATTGCATCCACATGATAGGAAAGCTGCTGTTCAGAGCTGCTGTTGTTGCGTGAGCGAGAAGGAACCTCTTTCAGGTGAGATGGGCAGAAGTGATGCTTTGACTTTGACCCTCCTGAAGTAGATTTCTTGGAGAGACGAGCTTGATGGTAGTAATCGTCTACATAAGCATCGTTGCCATGAGTAGCGGCATGCTGCATTTTCAGAATGCTCTCGATCTCTTCAGATGTCATGTATTTTGATCTGAACTGAATCGATGGACCACTGTCACTTCTCTGACTACCACCAGCATCAGAACCATGATTTGAAGATCGAGAATTATGGCGCCCTCTATGCGATTTAGGCTTCTGCTCCCTACCATCACCCAAACCGAGCATTAATTTATGAGCTGATGGATGTGAAGCATAGATTTGAGACTGAAGTGCAGCAAAATGAGCCATGGATGGTTGAACCGAAGAGTGCAACCGGTTTTGGGGCGACAACAACTGTGTAGACATGAGCCCATTCTGATGATGAGACAACTGTTGTTGCAAGACGCTCTGCAAAAGAGTAGAATGGTCGACATGGTTTAGCAAGCCACCATGGTTGAGCCACTGCTTCTGAGGCCTGTTACTAAAAGAAAGGCCAGGAGATGTGATCTGCTGCGACATGTTTCCAGCAAAGTGAGCCCCAGGGTGTAAACCAGCCAAATGGAAGTTGGGGTTCGATAGAGGAGACATGTTTGGAGCAGAATATGGCAACTGCAGCCCGCCTGAAGGAGAAGGAACACTATGGTAGTGTTGTAGAGGCTGATCGATTCTGCCACCGGGCGGCGGAAAAGAAGTGAAATTTGATTTTGGAAAAGGAGCCGGTTCACTTGATAAATGCTGCTGGTGTTGCTGTAGAGGATAGGAAGAAGTTCTGTGTAAAGGTTTTGATTCTGGGAAATTAATAGATGGCTGTGATGACCATCTCTTGTTTTCCTGGACGGTTTCTGTATCAAATATCTGCTGATCTAGCCAGTTGCTGCTGAATTCTCCATGTTGCTGCTGGGGATAAGAGGAAGTTCTGTACAAAGGTTTTGATTCTGAGAACCTTGCAGATGAAGGTTGGGTGAGAGATAAAGAAGACATCCTGCTGTCATGAAAACCTTCTGAATCACACCCATGCTGATCAAACCAGGAAGAAGATTCACTGTCTTGTGCCCATTCAGCAATTGATGAACCTGAATAATTTGACAATGATAGATACTCAATGTCAATAGGCCAATTTGGACCATCAGAAAAACACATTAAGGGGTTGTTTGGTTTTGGTGATAGTCAAATTGATACATTGTCATCAATACATGCATAACAATATACATGTATATAATAGTTTACATCAATTGGTTTCTGTGATAGTTGCTATAGTATTTAAAAAAGTTATATCACTTTTACCCTTTGTTTATAATATGAAAAAGCAACACTCATATAAAGGTAGGGACACAGTTGAAAGAAAAATAAAACCCAACAATCTCAACGCAAACTTTAGATTTAACTATCACTCATTTTGAGTGATTGTTTGTGCAGAAAATTAAGAAAAAAAAACATACATTTTAGACAATGCATGCAATGTAACTATCTCAACCAAACTATCACAAAAAACAAACGACCCCTAAATATTTATAAACTGATGAACATATACAGCAGGGAAGAAATTCAGGACTCATAGTACACACTAGGAACTGAAAACTACCATGTAAGAAAAGTTCTGAAAACTGTGAGCCAGAGTTGTTTAATGAGATTCATAGATTGACAATAGCTATGGGGGAGTCCTGGAATTAGAGTGTGTACAATGTCCATGTGGGAGTCCTGGAATTAGAGTAAATAGAAGCTAGAGATAACAACCACCTAATCTCATCATTACGCCACCATCTAGTGCACTATATCCATTCAAACTATAGAGCTGCTAATTGAAGATGAATCAAAAGGTAACAACATAAGATCAAAATAAGATTAACTCACTTTCCCTGGAGAATGATCCTGATCCCCGGTCACCAATCACTCCTGGGTTCCTTGGACCAGTAACTACTCGGTTCAACTGTGCAAAAGAAACACAATTCAGGTTAGGTAAACAGACGAGAAGGAGCAAGATCAACAACTGTAAAGGTCAACAGCATTACATAATCATTAGTAGTAGTAGTAGTAGTAGTAGTAATAATAATAATAATAATAATAATAATAATAATAATAATAATAATAATAATAAAAATAAAAAATTGTTCAACCAACAATCAGCTGATGCGGCCATACCAAGCACACCTAATACTGTTTGTAGATTGTATAACTTTCTCCTATGGTTTTGTAATAAGTCCCAACAAGCAAGCATGATGTAACTACCTAAAACAGATCATCCAAACACCTCAATTACATTTTTTAGACACTAACACAGAGATCCATCAACAACAGCAAATAATATAACTACTTCGACCACAGTAATGGCAACTGATGCATTTTTACAGAAAACAAATCCTTTCTTAAGAACCAACACTAACTAAGAGACAATTATGTAAAAGAACAGGTCCTATGTGCTCGATGTAACTAAATGTGATATACAGCCACAACGAAAAACTGCATCATTTCACAAGACTTAACAATATAACATAAGAGCAATAAACAAGCACAAGCCCTCTGCAAAATAACAAATCAAAAGTGAGTTCAAGAATTTACCTTTGCAAAAGTACTTGCCAAATCATCCATATCAGATAGAGATCCTAAGCTTGCCCCCTGGAGAAAGATAAGAACATTCAAAATATTTATCAGAGATGCTCTTGCAAAAGGAAGTCAGACCGATTAGATGGTGACTTGTTAAAGCTACATAAACAATTAAAAGATTCCAGCATTACATGTTTCCATCTGCATATGCCATTATCTATAAAAAAAATCCATCTGCTTACAGAACCAGAGAATTTGATAAAGCAGCTCTTCTGGTTTAACAGATAAAGCTAATACCTCTAGACATCATCCTCCTAAGAACTGCTAAGAAGGTTTATTACTGACAGCATTTCCATTGTTTGGATTAGGAACTCATGCTTAGGCTTGATGAAGTTCAATGTGCCAGCTTATGGTCCTAGCAAATCTAGACCAGAACTGGTAGCTACTGTAAACAAGTTTCGGGAAACAAACCAACACTCAAAAAGTTATCCCCACGAATAGAGCCAACCAAAAAGGTAGAAAAAGTGTCAAAGAAAATAAAATACAAAACTTAGCTGCTTCAAAGGTTACCAAGGTAAATACCAGTGAACACAAGTCAAATAACTCGGAAAAGGTAAGATTTTGGTTTAACGGCCTATTAATCGCATACTCAGCACCCTCAGCTCTAGAAAACAAATTCGACAAGACAAAGGATATGCACATTATTACAGCAAGGTATCACTTGAAGGTCTTTCACATATACATGAAGAACATCGGCATAGGTCAGCAACTGTCAACAAATAACATCTTACTTCATCTCTATCAAACAAGCGGTATTCATCACCGACAGATCCAAAGACAGGATTTTCATCTTCTTCCAGACCACCCAACTCCACTCCATTCCCAGCATGTTGACCAAAAAACTCGTACTGTGATGCATCAAACATCCCACCTGAAAGACAGTCCAAATGCAGATTTAATCAAACCTCGATAGTCATACATTTGAACTTCAATGCAAGATGCCCGTGAAAGTAAAATGAACTGGGGGGGCTTCGGCTTTGTTCAAAGGAAATACAGATGGAACTTCTGAGCAGTTCAACGTTCAATGTGCACAAACAAAAAGAAGTTTATATGCCCATCAAGAGTTCAAAGAATCAAATCCAGATCATTTGCCTACTACATAACTGTCAAAACTGGTTGAAGATCCAGGAAATAAAATGCAGGAAGATAACAAACATCCAATCAGGAGAAGAATGCGAAGACCACCATAACTACTAGAAACAACAAACAAGCTGGGCACACGTATGATCTAGCCAATCAACAAGCTAATATGCTAAACAACCTAACAGCCTAGGTCTAATGCCACTCATAAATCAGTAATCTTTTCTGGCATAACCAGCTCGATGAACCATCTGAAAGTCGGAAATTTTCATTTCTTCCCCACCTTCATCAAACTCCCCTCACTCACTGATTACCCCCCAGCATTTACCACCAAAAAAAAAAAAAGAACAGCCACCAATAATTCGAACACCAATCCAACAGAACGAAAGAAACAACGAGAATCAGCAACGAAAGCGAGACACACCGGAGGAAGAAGACTCAGTAAAGTCCCTCAAGGCAACATCTTTACCCGACGCAGATCGCTCCATCTATTCGGAAACCCAAAGCATAAACCGAACACAGAGGAGAAACCCCGGAACCGAACTTCACCAGGGAGATGCACACGCATAAAAGGAATAAATAAGCCCAGATTCGGAGCTAAGATTTGCGAGTAGCAGCGATTGGATAGGAAACCCTAGGAGAAAGAAGTGACGAAGAAGAAGCTGGAACGGGAAAATGGATGGACATGGGAGCTCGGTCCTCCGTTGGTTTGGAGGAAGGGGAAGTGGGTAAGTTAATGATTTTTTTAGGGTTTTGTTATGGTTGGGAAAGAAAGTTTGTGGGGGGAAGCTTTAAGCTTTCTTTCAATGGAGGACGGTGGGAGGTCGGGGGCCAAGTCCCTCTCTTTGCGACGAGGGAAAGGGACAGAGCGATAGAGAGAGAATCACAGGAAGTGAGAAAGAATAAGAAAGAGAGAAGAAATTATTGTTCTGTTTTTATTTCCATGGGAAAAAAAATAGAAACAGAAGCCATTTTGCATATTTTTATGCTTTAAATTTATAAAATAAAATTATAAGAAATTATTAATGTTGTGATCGTTGTATATAAATTAAATTTGGTAGACTAATGTTGTATTTTTTTTTTAAAATGTAGTGTGATAACCGATAACGAAGTACTTTATATAAGTGGTCTGATGATATTATTGACAAAATCATAAGCTTCGGTCCTTGTTGATTCATATTTAGTGGACTAAAATGTTATTTCTCCCTTTTTATGTACATAGGAATAGTGTAGATGTTGTCTACTAAGATTTTTTTTTAAAAAAAACACAATCAAAGTTTCTAATCCTCCTAAGAATCGCAGTTAAACAAGACAGGTTAACTATCTTAGTACTCGTACTTGCATATCACTAAGCACAAGTGATGCCATGTAATTTTATCTACCCACAGCCTGGAATAAGTTGGTGAATTTTGAATTTTCGATAATTCATTTGAACAAAACACATGCAACAATTCAATTCTTGTATGGAAATATATAAAAGCTGAAAAGCCACTATACTAAATGGGTTTGGGATAATATGGCTAATAAACCACAATTGTTTAAGATAGAGGTGATGGCACTTAGTATCTAAATTTGTTTTGTAGTGGAGTCAATCTATGAGAGATACCAATAACAACAAAAGATAGTCAATATTTGAAAGATAAAAAGACATGGTAATACACTTGGGATTATGTAAGAGTCATTCTCCTAAAATGAGTTTAGACGGTAGAAAAAATCGAGTCCAAACTGTCATTTAATTCATCTTAAACCTTTCATAATCATTTACACCTATTTTCAGTTTATCCAGATTGTTTGGTCTGCATTTCAACACACATCATTGAAACTTGGAGATGAGACGAAATTTCATGATTTGTTCTTCCAACTTTTCAAATCATCATTAACTAATTACAATTATAATTATAATTAATTTGTGGTTTGTTAATTGGGGATCAGTGAATGAGAAGCAACACGAGGGGCAGCACATGTGTACCCGAGATGAGAGGAGGGGAGCCCTCCAAAATTAACTACAATTCTTCTTTGGTACCCCATTTCCCATTTTTATATAATTTCCCTTCCCAAAATCCCCATGTATTGCCACTTGTTTTGTTCACTTGTTAATTAATTAATTAAAACCTTGATGTTGATCTTTGAAGCCACAAATCGGAATATAAGCACATCACATGGAATGTATTAGAAGCTCTTATTAATCATCATTCTTTATTTAGAGTATTTCATGTGCTAGCGATTGGTGTATTATTTGCAAATTGATAAGGTCAAATGGTATTGAATTATGAGAACGCAGAATCCAATGTTTTGTTCGAGTGATGGAAATGCCAGTAAATGGTGCTCAACTCTCAATTTTTACAGCAGTTGATAGATCCGCGATCGTTAATTCAAAATCATGATTATTCATTGTTGTCACGAGTTGTCCCCTCCGGACTCGATTCTTCTTTCTTTCGCAAGCAGCTGAAGGAGGGAACCTCGAGATCGATTTGGTGGCTGCGGAAATCTTGGTTGTTACATGATGTTGACTTCACACTTGTACCATTAGAGTTGCATGCATGTTTCGTTACACTTTTACGTTATCTAGATAAAAATTCATCACGTTGAGTGGATTCCATCAATCGAATCCTTAACCTTATACTTATATGCATGATCGTTATATTCACGTTTTTAGATAAAATCTCATCATTGAGTGGATTCAATCAACCTAGCACCAAAGCAAAAAGGTTGACACCTCGAGAAATGATTTGGTGTAAGACCCAAACATGCAGAACCTACAAAAATCATGTGTCATACAATCCTATTAAGTTTCATATTAGGGTGGTATTATTCTTATTAGGGATATCAAGCTTACACCATTTAAAAGCAAATGGAGGCTAAATCGGCAGTTAGTCAAACTTTGATGATCAAAATCACAATTATTATACGCCAGAGCCAGAAGAGGCGAAAACGACGTCGTATTTGAAGAAAAAAGAAGGAGAACTGAACCATCACTCCTGCAAAAACAACTCGAAATAAATCCATCTAACCGCCAAGCCGCAGAAACTCAAAAATCGCGTTATCCCACTTTCCCTCTTTCCGCTCCACTCCATCACCACCATGGACGACGGTTCTTCGCAGTTTGCCGACTCCCAGCCTTCCAACGAATCCTACTTGGTCGGATACGTCATCGCCAACATAGTGGGTCTCCGTTACTACGACGGCAGAATCACCGGCCGGGAATTGGTGGGGTTGGTCCGGGAACCCACGAACCCTTACGACCAGAACGCCATCAGAGTCCTGAACATCAGGTCAATTCAAGTGGGTCACATCGAGAAGACGGTGGCAGCAGTTCTCGCGCCCTTGATTGATGCCGGGACCATTGTTGTCGAAGGTATCGTCGCCAGTCAGCAGAGTAAGTTCAACAAGTTCAAGATTCCCTGTCAAGTTCACATTTTCGCTAGTCTTGAGAATTTCGGGTTGGTTAGGGCTTCGATTGACAGTGGTGGGTTGAGTTTGTTGGGTGATGGGTATGATAGTCGTAGCTCTGGTGCGGTGATTGTGAAGGATGAGAAATCTAGGGTTAGGGAGCTGGACGAGATATTCAAGCTGGTGGATGAGAATGTGGGTGAGAAAGAGAAGAAGATGGGCGTTCTTGAGCCCCCGAAAGAGGTGATAAAGTCGGACCTTTTGGATCATCAGAAGGAGGGGCTTTGGTGGCTGGTCTGTAGGGAGAAATCTGATGAACTCCCTCCATTTTGGGAGGAAGAGAAAGGTGGGGAATTTATGAATACTTTGACCAATTTTCATACGAAAACGAGACCAGAGCCTCTACGTGGAGGGATTTTTGCGGACGACATGGGATTGGGGAAGACTCTGACTCTGCTGTCTCTGGTGGCTTTGGATAAATCTGCTTCTAATGCATCTACTGATGTATCATCTGTCTCCAGTGGTGCTAAGAGAAAGAGGGGTAGGCCGCCTAAGAAGATTAGTACTACAAAGGGTGTTGATAATAAGTCTTCTTCTGGTGTTACAAAGACGACTTTGATCGTTTGTCCTCTTGCCGTGCTTTCGAATTGGGTGACACAACTCGAGGATCACACTCATCAGGGATCATTCCAAGTATACATTTATCATGGAGAAAGAACAAAAGACACTGAAGAACTGAAGAAGCATGACATTGTCTTGACTACCTACAATACATTAGCTAGTGAGGAATCTCAAAGAGATTCCCCTGTGAAGAAGATTGAGTGGTGGAGAGTTATCTTGGACGAAGCACATGTGATTAAGAATGACAAAGCTCAGCAAAGCAAAGCCGTGTTTAATTTGATGGCTTTGCATAGATGGGCTGTTACTGGAACACCTGTCCAGAATGGTCCTTCTGATATGTTTTCGTTGATGGCTTTCCTGCGGTTTGATCCGTTCTCCACTAAAAGCTACTGGAGAAGGCTAATACAACGTCCTGTAGATGCTGGGGATAGGAATGGGCTGTCACGACTGCAGGTAACATCACATTTTATGCTCTTGTTCATGTCTGAAATTTGTATGCCATAGAGATAAGCTGATTCTCATAATATTAGGCTCGCCATGGAGAAACAAAATCACCATTGTCCTTAAGAATTCTGTAATATTCTAAAGTAAATGTCAGATCATCAGCTAGTTTTGAGATTTTCTCCTTTGTTTGAGCAGAAATTGAACTTTCACCTCAACCCGATTGCCATAGTTGTAGTTAAAGGTCTTTAGCAAAGGGTCCATTCATGCTCTAGTTATTGAATCTACTGAATTCTATTGCTCATGTTGGTTTCACTTATAGATGCTTACATTCTCTCGTATAATTTCAGGTGTTAGTGGCAACTACTTCATTGCGAAGAACCAAAGAGAAGACTTTAGTTGGATTGCCCCCTAAAGTTGTGGAGACTTGCTATATCGAACTCTCTGGGGAAGACCGCGAACTGTACGATGATGTGGAGCAAAAGGCTAAACTTGTTGTACAAGGCTTTATTGATGCAGGCAGCTTAACACACAACTATTCAGCTGTGCTTTGTTTAATCCTTCGCCTACGCCAGATCTGCAATGACTCAGCTTTGTGCCCCCCTGATCTCCAGTCACTCCTTCCTTCTTACACCATGGAAGGTAAGTAGTGGGGAAAAGAAACTGATTACTTCTGTCCATTTTGCACCACTAACGTGAGGCAAAACAGATTGCATTCCTTACTATACATGGCTGGTCGTGATCATCATATTCGTCTGATGTTAGAAGGAATGCGTAGTTACTGTGGTGGATAAACATTTCTATTGCAATTTAATCTTTTGAACAGATGTCTCCACCAACCCAGAGTTGCTGAAGAAGATCGCTGTGCTGCTGCAAGACGGTGAAGACTTTGAGTGCCCGATCTGCATCACCCCGCCAACTGATACGGTGATCACATGTTGTGCTCACATCTTCTGCCGCCTCTGCATCACCAAAGTCATGAAGTCAGGCACAAGCAAATCCCGGTGCCCACTCTGCCGCCGCGAGCTCTCTCAGTCCGACCTGTTCTCCGCCCCTCCTGAAGCGCTCGGTACCACCGAACAAGAAGAATCCACGTCATCAACACCTCGGCGATCCACCTCATCCAAGGTCTCAACCCTCCTAGCCCTCCTCACAGCTTCCAGAAACGAAGATCCGACGACAAAGTCAGTAGTCTTCTCACAGTTCCAGAAGATGCTCCTGCTCCTCGAGGCCCCACTGAAGGAAGCTGGGTTCAAGACCCTGCGTCTGGATGGATCAATGACGGCCAGGAAGAGGGCTCAGGTGATGAAGGAGTTTGCAGATACTAATGGCGGTGATGAAACAAAGACGACGACAGTCCTGCTGGCAAGTCTCAAGGCGTCAGGAGCTGGGATCAACCTGACAGCTGCATCGAGGGTGTACTTGTTGGAGCCGTGGTGGAACCCTGCGGTGGAGGAACAGGCAATGGACCGAGTTCATCGGATCGGTCAGAAGAAGGAGGTTAAGGTAATGAGGCTGATTGCTCGGAATAGCATTGAAGAGAGGGTGTTGGAGATGCAGGAGAGGAAGCAGAAGGTGGCTAAAGAGGCGTTTGGTAGAGGGAAGTCGAAGAAGGAAGTTAGTACCGATGATATTCAGCGGCTTATGTCGTTGTGATCTATTGTGACTTGTGCAGACAGAATGCAGGGTTAATTGGTAGACTAGTAGTAGTAGCAGAAGCAGGATTGCTGGATTTTATGTACATAGATGTCTTTCTTCTGGTTGGCCTTCTGTTTAGTGTTTAGGAAGAATTAGCTTATGCGTGCTTTTGTGAGGCTACTTGGATTGAAGTTGGGAGTTCTTCTTCTTCTTCTTCTTCTTCTTCTTCTTCTCCTCCTCCTCAAAGAGTGATGTTACAAGCACAATTCCTGCTAATTCTTCTTCTTCTCCTCCTCAAAGAGTGATGTTACAAGCACAATTCCTGCTAATGAAACACCGCATTTGACATCACATGAATCCTTATAATTCATGCTTGCCATGGCCAAGCAAGAATTTGTTCAAGACAAAATATTCTTAAATTTTGTTCAACTTAAAATAAATTTAGGGGTTGTTTGGAAGTTGCGATTGTTTTGTTGAGATTGTCATTATGCATGTATTGTTTACAATGCATCGTTTTTTTTGTTTTTCTAGCAGAAACAATACATGGATTGTTTCTGTGATGTGACAGAAACTATCACTCATTTTGAGTGATTGTTATATCTCAACTTTTAGTTGTGATTGTTGAGTTGAGATTGTTTTGTCTCAGCTTTTAGCTGATGCGACATACACAATCACACATACCAAACGTTGTATTCTACAATGCATCAAATTCGACAATATATGTATAATATTATGCATGCATTCTCAACAATACATCTATTTCGCAACTTTCAAACGACCCCTTAATTTAAATATCTAACATTAAAGATGGTTTTATAAGAGATCAAGAAAGTAAATGCTGTATCATTCTCTTACACTAGTTATGCTATGGTGCATATCGGCTATGGCTTTTGCTTGCTAAAAAATAATATAATTTCGTAAAAGTATAATCTCATAGATAGATTTAAATTGTTATTTTTAGTCTAACAAGACAAATATTGATATATTACAGACTTGTTTTAATAAATTATTATTAAAAAAAGTTGAGATATCCACACAACAACGCAGAAATATTCACAACACATACCCTTAAATACGTGTTGTGTATACAGTATACTATGAACATATTCTAAGTACTCTTACTTTGAATGCATGTCGTGAATACCTGTCCATAACACATATTACAAATACACATACAATACGAATAAACATCGATATTACTCGTAAATAAAAATATATATAAATCGTGTCCAACCTACGTCGTTGATATTGATTTCATGACTTGGGAAAATAAATTTAGAACGATAATTGTTTCACAAAATCATAATCTTTCATCTCATACTACGTTCTATAAATGAAGTGAGCTAAACCTTAAAAAGTGTAATCATCAATTTGACCTAAATAACGCCAGCCTGGTCAATTTGGGTCACGATGAGACTCTCTTCACAGTCCCATTCCAACACAAACACTGTTACTTGCAACGCAATCCACCGCTGCAATTGCACAGAGAGAGAGAGAGAAGAGAAAGAGACCAAATCCGAGAAAGAATCGGAGAAGCAAAACATCGACCGACGTCCGCCGCGAGCCGTAACCTATAAAAGGGCATCGCCCTCCGAATCGAATCCACTACCAGAGAAGAAATCGCCGTCGAAATCCACATCAAAATATTTACTTCCGATTTCCGAATCCCTAATACACCATGGCCGCCGCCGCCCCTGCCTCGCTGCTGCCACTTCGAGCCACCGCCGCGCTCCTCGCATTCAACCCGTCGGAGGCGGACCTGATCCGCCACCTCCACCGCAAAGCCCGCGGCGGCGGGAACCACCTGCTTGTGCCGGAGATCAACGTGTACGGCGACCTGAACCCTTGGGAGATGTTCGACAAGGCCGCGGTGGACGTCTGGTTCTACGCCTTCGCCAGGCTGAAGCAGCGCGGGCCGTCGCGGTTCCACCGCAGCGTCGGCAGGGGGAGCTGGACGATGAAGAGCACCCACACGGCGAGCGACGGCGCCAGCCTCAAGCGCTTCTTCATCTACGAGGAGAAGGACGCCGCCAAGGAGGGCGGCGACAACGGGCACTGGACGATGCACGAATTCTCGCTGCCCGGGGCCAAGGACAACGATTTCGTCATCTGCAGGGTCAAGAACCGGCGGTGGAAGCAGAAGAGGACCCTGCCGGCGGCGGGGAGCGGCAATGCCGGTGGTAATTTAATTGATTTGTCCGCGGCGGAGGATGATGATGAGGAGGAGGAGGAGGAGGTTGATTGGGAGGCGATTATAGAAGAAGAGATGGAGGAGGAGGAGGAGGAGGAATCAGAGCCCGTGGCCGTGGAATTGAGAGGTGAAGCTGTGAAATCGATTGGGGATTTTGATTTGGAGTCGGAGGAGGTTTTGGCCATGGTGGATAACTTCTGGGCGGAACCGCCGGCCGACATTGGTGAGATACTCTGTTCCAGGTTGTGGACGGCGACGGCGACGGTCCCTGTTGCTGATCGGAGGGAATTCACCTGACCTTTTTTTGCTTTCTTTGAAAGCTTTTGCTCTCTGTTTTTTCTTAGTGAGTATGTAAGTACGTAGAGAGATGTTAGAGTGGTGACAGGAAAGGGAAGAAGCTGTTTGCTCTCTGTTTCTTCTTCCCCTAGGTTGGTTGTAAGTTTTCTTTCTTCTACTTTTCTCTTGGATCCATGCATGTAATTAAGGTTTTGGTACTATCGAAATTGAAGCAACAAAATTATGAATTTCATGATAGTAGTACCATCATGGTAGTTCTTAATCAGAGATCGGGGTTGGGCAATCGAAAGTCGCTCCAGTTTTAAACAATCGCATCCTAATTTCGTCAATCCATATTCCACTTGATTAAAATCTCGGAAGTATATGTTGTAACAAACATTAGCCAATATGGCTTTATGATTGATATGGTAGTCCTCGGAGGATAGCTCACCAAGTGTGGGCTCGAAAAATCTTCTGAAAGAATAAGGTTGGCGACGGTTTGGAACTCTGATACCACCTTCACTTTTCGACGACACATGCGTAGTCATCTTATAATGGTTATTTGATGAATTTGTTAAATTTTATCGAACGAGATCGGTAAATTCGAACAAGTTATGGTGGATATTTTCTCACAAACGAAGATTCAGTCTGTTATGTTGCCGTGAGTTCGGTTTTGTTGCCATCCCTAATAATGGGTAATTGAGTATAACAAGTTGGAATATCGTTTCTGACTAGTTGAAGAAAAGTCAAAATAGGAGAAGTATGTATAGATAATGTAAGAAATGGAGATAGAATGGGCCAAGAGCAGGGCGGGACAGGGCAGGATGGGTCGAAAGTAGATACTCATACCCCGCCCCACCCTATTGCGGGCCAGGTAATACCCTTCCCATCATGAATCAGATCAGGTAATTCCCATTGAGCATAATATGAATGTTGAAGTACTCGCCCCGTCCTATTGCTATCACTATGGCTGGGTTTCTGTGTAGTGTCTTTTATTTATTTACGTTTGGCCTTCTGTTTAGGAGGATGGAGGAAGTAGCTTTTGGGTTCTTTTGTGTTTGTGGTGACTACTTGGGTTGAAGTTGGGCCATTAGTTTCTTCTGGGCCTGATCCACACTCTTTTTTTTTTCTATGTGACTTCCTTTTGAGCTTGTGTCGGGCCTATTAATCTTGGCCCAAGGTGGGATGGACTGAAGGTCTACCTAATTTAACTAAAACCACCCAAAAAGGCGACACGTGTAATTGGCAACAACAAGTAAGTTAACTTCTTCTGCAACTATCATCTCTTACGCCACGTGCTGCTTGTCCACCAAACACTTCTTTAATAACAAAACAAAGATGATGAGGACATTGATGATAATCTTTACAAATTGTAAGGTTGGATCCCGCATAAAAAAAAATGTGTGATATTATAGTGTAAGCTTTAAAAAAAACAAATGACAATTTAAGAACTAAAGAGAAGGGAAGAGCAGTTTGTAAATTGATTTAAGAATAAGTTCAATTCGATTAAGTGAAACATGAATTTCATTATCTACAATGACTAAATTTGATAGACAATGGAAATTAAAGGGAGGAAAAGGTAAAACACCCACAGAGAAATCCGTCGACCAGATTGTGCGGCTCGACGACTCGGCGACACTGAGTCAGCGAAAACTCAGTTATCCAATGAACCAACGACAGCCTCAAAACCGCACTGCCAGATAGCGTCACCAACAGAAGCCAGCCACAAAACGACAGCGTACGTCATTGGTTCGTTCATTCTCCACGCGACAACGTAATATAATTGCCTAGAACAGTAAAAATCATTGTTTATGAATAAAAAAGTTAAAATCGTTGTCTTCTTTGATAAATAAATAAATAAAAGATAATGCACAAAGAATGTGCAGACAGAAGAAACAAACGAATTAAAGGTTGAAAAAACAAGAATACTCTCCCCACAATAGAGCCCATTGTTTTGTTCTCCATGAAAGGACATTCCTAGATTTTCATTTCCCATATTTGGGTGATTCTAAAAGATTGTGTTCAGTAAATAGTCAATACACATTGCTTGCTTTTATACATCGATAAAAAAAATATATGCGAGAACGACATGAATACTTATTTGTCGATCGCTTAATAAGAGTAAAGACAATATATCGAAGTTATTGTTGTTAAAGTCTAACATAACTACTTAATTAACACAATGATATAGTGTTTCAAATAGCCTTATCTATCGAAAAAAAAATTAGTAGAAAAATGAATGTATGCCGAAAAAAACTATAATTTAGTGATGTCAAGGCAACAATGTAACTCTAGACTATTAATAGTTCGAGCCTCCGTATCTCTGTTTCTTTCAGGTATACATAATTTGACATTAACTGATCAGTTAGAGCAATTCTTCTTCTTGGCTTGCTTCAAGAAAGGAGACTAGAGAGCCTCCCTCAAGAAAGTCAATCCCAGTCAAGTCAACATAGCCAGCTATATCAAATTCAGATTAATTGGTTGGGAACCAAATAGAGAATTCTCTTAATCCTCACCTAAATACATTTAATTACACTTCAGGAACAATTAACAAAAGGGAAACCTTCGTTTTAGTTTCCTGTTAATTCCAAGCAAGATCTTTAGAGTTTTGGTTTAACTTGTTTTGGTTGTCCTGTTGCTTCGATTTGGTGGCTAGGGGGAGTGGTTTGGCTTTTTAGTTTTTTGCTTTTCTCAGTATTTCTAAACACAAACAACAAGAAACCAAATTCTTTTCCTTGCACATTAAGACCATATTATGGGTAGTTAAATCGAGTTACGAAATGTTCACGTAGCTCGTTGATTAGGTGTTTTACAATGTATTATCGTTGAATAATAATTATGTTATTGCTTGCATATTATAATTGTAAATCGTTATACTGGTTGATTCAACGATATATAAATTTGTTAACCGAATTAGATGCCGCATAATTATACAGGTTAAGACTCCCTCTTAATGAAAAAAATAAAATTGTTTCCTTTGTGAAGAATTTCCTGGAAACCAAACAGGATTTTCCCTGAAGAGAGAGAAACAGAGGAAGGCTGTAATTAATATTCTCCTTTTTTTGATCTTGTGCAAGATAGAGAGATAGATTTACACATATCTTATCTCCGAAAAACCCACCAACAAAAAGAGAAAGAAAAATTTTATTATAATTTTTTTTTGTTTGCTTTGTCCTTTCTCTCTCTCTCTCTTTCTTACTCTTTCCTCTCTCAATCTGTTTTTTCTTTGCTTTGCTTTTCCTACCGGGAAAAAGGTTCCTTTTCGTTCCGCTCCTGACAACCAAGCAGAAACCGAACCCCAAAAATAAACCTCTCACGTTTTTACTCGTCAGGCTGAACTCCTCCCCATTTGATTCTGTCCTCCATTGTTGAACAAAAAAAAAAAAAGCTCTGGGCTTCTTTCTTCCTTCCCCAATTCGGAGAGGTTTTGGGTGGGAGGGCTGTGAAATTTTTACTTTTGGTGATTACCCTGAATGAATTTCGACTATTGGATTTCTGGGTAGTAGAGAAATCTAGTTGAGGAATAAAGGGTTGATCGGAATTTTTTTTTTTTTTTTGTGGGGTTGAGATTGATCGGTGGTGGGTTGGTAGTCGGAGGATGAAACCGGGGACGGTGGATTACTGGCGGGACTATTTCCGAGCAGCGAATTCAGACATCTTCGAAATAATCGATCATGCTATCATGGTGGCGGCCACCGATTGCCCCAAGGAGTTCCGGCAGCGGAGGGATCGAATAGCTGAGCGGCTGTTCTCCTGCCGATTGGCCCAATGCTCCGGCTGCAACCGCGTGGAGCTGGCGGTGCCGCCGCCGGACGGTGACCAAGCAATCCCCAATAAGATTAGGGACGACGGTGGCGGCAGCAGTGATGGGAACGGCGGCGAGGAGGAAGATGATGACGAAGAGATTGACATATTGGGCGACTTCGATGAAGAAGAAGGCGGTGGGAGTAATAAAGAGAGTAAAGTCAATAGTAGTACTGATAATGGAGATCAGCTGGTGAGCAATTACAGCTACGGCGAAGCTGAAGCTTTAACGGATGAGATTGAAGAGCAGTCTCAGGTGTTTGCTGAAGTTCAAAGGATCAAAACCGTTCTTCTCAATCACCGAGACGAGGTATTACTATACAATTGGGGTGAATTTGCCCAATTCTGACTCAAAAAAGCCATATGTTTGTTCTGATGAATGAACTCTTTGCTTGGCTGATTGGGTGATTGATCGATCAATCCTTTTGTTTGGCTGGTTTGAACCAGGCTGAATCAACGTTGTTTGATTCACTGAGGAGGCTTCAATTGATGGCTTTGTCTGTAGATACTCTTAAGGTAATCAATATTTGGAATTCTCGGTTATTTATCAGTCTTGTTTGTGAGGTTTTTGGAAAGTCTTGACCTTTAATGGTGTGTCTCTTAGGCAACTGAGATTGGGAAGGCTGTGAATTCTCTGAGGAAGCACGGATCGAAGGACATTCGTCAGCTGGCGCGAACTCTTATCGAGTAATGATTTTGCTTCCTTTCCCTTCTTCTTCTCCCTTGTGGTTGGATGGTTTTGATTATGATCTTAGTTTGGTTCTGGGGACCTAAGTTCATGGCTCTTATCTGTGGGGACAAATTCTTTCTTCTGGGTTTGCAGTTTGTGGAAAGACTTGGTGGATGAGTGGTATAGTGCTTCAAAGACTACTGGAACTACTACTATTAGGAATGAAGGTGGCACTCCTGACTCGATGAATCCGTCAGTTGTTGATGAAGAAGAAGGACTCCCTTCTCCTCCTATGGATGATGGGATCTTCTTCGCAACTCAAGCTACTGGGATGGAGCTTGCACAAGTAATTAACATTCCCTTCCATGAAATGGAAAAGTTCATTTTTTTATCCTAAAGCAGACCGACTGACTATATCTTTACTTTCTTGTGCTACTTGCTGTTGTTCGTTTGTGCAGTTTTTCGACGGAATGGATGATGATGGAAGTGAGTTGATTGAGCTCTCTTTGCCTTTAGCTTCTTGTAATGGGATTATGTACACTCGAATTCTCAATGGTTTTGATTAAAAATGTATTTCAGATCCTCGGGAAATGAACAAGAACAGGGGGAATGGAAGAAGACCACCATCACATGATCCCAGGAGCATGCCAAAGCCGAGGCCAACGAGTAATGGTATGAAGAGCCAAGAAGCAGCAGCCACACTGAAGCAGAACAAGCCCTCCAGCAACAATTCCGGCCCAGGAAGACCTCCAAGGCAGAACCTTGAGCCAAAGTTGAACACTAATAATTCGTCGACATTGCAGAGGAAAACTGAGAAGATTGTTGCTAGTCAGAGGAAGCCCTTGAGTGGCCAACAACAGCAACAAACCGTAAGATGCTTGTTAACTTGCACAGCAGTTTTTAGGGGGGAGACTGCGACAAGCAATATTGATCTGACACTAGACATATACTGTGTGTTTCTTCATATAGAGATTGAAGTGCTCGGATGAAGTTTCAGTCCAGATGAAACTGGAAGCCACAAAGAGGAGACTTCAGGAGAGCTACCAACAAGTTGAGAATGGTCAGTCTCTGAAAACCAGTCTCGCTATACATATTTGTGTCATGTTGGGAAAGTTTCTTTCTCAAGCCTAAACTCTGTTTCCTCTTTGTCAAACAGCCAAAAGACAGCGGACGATACAGGTTATGGAGCTACACGATCTCCCAAAGCAAGGGGTTGTGGCGTCCAATCGAAACCCAAACATGAGACATGGTGGGAATGGCAACCGGCAGTGGGCTAATGGACGACGTTGAGTTTTAGCTCAAATCACAATTTGTGATGTATACTACATTCCCTTCTAACTTCCTTCCGAACCCGGAAAACTTGGAGTGAAGAAGAACAAGAAGAGCACCAATAACTCGAATCGTGCTTCAGCAAATAAGAGTACATTCTTGAGGTTGTTGGTTTCCAAACGAAATGGAGCTCGCGAGCAGCATGGGTTTTCAGTCATCTTGAAACAGTCCTGTGTATGTTATCCAGATTCTGGAGAGGAGCTGCCTGCCTGCATTCACAAACCTTCAGTCAACAATGGCAAAAGTAACAGAGAGAAACAATCCTTTTTCACTTTTTCATTTGAAGGCTCTTTGCTTTTGTTGTTTAACCCGATCTTTCATAGCTCACACAAAAACTGACAGAAACCATTGGGAGAACAAGTGTAGATGATGTATTTGAAGTTGGAACAAAGGGAAGAGCCCTCTTGATTCATGTCTTGTTGACCACCAAATTCAATTTGGGGAATTGCTTGATGTCGATAGTTTCTATCATCAATTGACAATTGTTTGAGATACATCTGTATTAGAAAGGAGCAATGTTGGGTCGAGGGATTAGTGATATGGGTTAATGAGTGGTGTTAATTAACTAACTAAACTTAATCAGTAGTCCATCTTTTAGTAATGTCAGTAACCAACATATAACTTGCGTAGAAATGCTATTGTAACGGTTTTACTAACAACAAGAGAGATTCACAAACGTTCAAAGTTTAATCTCAGGAAAAAAAAGTTGGTTTCTTCTTCATACACTTAGGTGAATTTTGTTTATACTCTAACAGGGATTGATAAGATTGTGATCATCACTAATTTTAGTTTGAAAGCTAAAGTTCAATTTATTGAATGAAACTAACCAGTATTCATGTGTGCTCAGAATACAAAATAGATACGTAAATAACATTCAATCTATGAAAATAATTTAAATAGTAAAGAGGCAAATATCATGATTGCTTGACTACTAATTTTTATGATGTATGTCTTTGAAGCAAGAAAACATGATTTTAATGTAATTAGTTCCTGCCCATGTCATCATTTTTATCCAAATTAGAAATAGACATATGAAATTTGGATACATATAATTTTTTTTTTGTTACAAATCATAACGCCATCCCCACTTCACAAGGAAAACGGGTTGGTACGCAAAAGCCTCATCCAAACCCATGAGAAATTAATAGAGCATCTCTTTCTCTCGGATTTCGCCAATCGCTTTTGCACCCCGCACGTACAACCTTCACACGTACATGTTGGCAAAGGATTGATGGACGGAAGAGCTATCAAATGCCCTGCTGGGAATTTATTCAAATTTCACATCAACTGCAAAAACAAAAGAGATATATACAAATTACAAAAGGTCGCCGCTAATTTAAAATACATTACTTTTCATTTGGTAAAAATTAGATAATTAAAAACAATAAAGCATTGGAAACAAACAAGAAAACATGATGGGCATGCATTTTCTTTTGTCCACCATGTGAAGTAGAAAAGTATGGATTGTATTTGTAAAAAAACATACTCACACCAAGCAATAAAAGATGTGGATGACAGGATGAGAGGAGAAGAGAAGAGAAGAGAAGAGAAGAGGGCTCTCATTTACTCCTCAAAATTATCACAACAAACAAAATCATTCTTCATTGTCCCCAAAGATGAACAAAAGACCTAAGGAAAAATGGGCAAGTTGTATAGAACCCATCAAGCACTTCCCCAAAACATTTTCCCAAACCCCATTGCCACTAATCATGAGTTGTTTTCAGGGTCTCGGATTTAAAATTGAACGGAACATACGAGTTAGGTTTTCATTTGATTGAAAATAAAAGAAAACGAGGTTTACAATGGGAATAAAAAATAAATTAAGTCTGATTTGATTCTCGTAAAACAAGTATTGCTGACTCGTTGAAGCAGTAATAAGTCAAACAAGTAAGGTGCACCGTGCATGCATGATGAACAATCTTCCTCCCTCGCACCTTGCACTGGCGGATCCAGGGGGTGGCCACCCCAGGCCCCGGCCCAGTCCTCCCCGGGATCCGTAGTTACTATAGTCCTTATGAAATTTTTGATTTTAGACATTCAATCCAGTGTTATTCCATTATAAGATTGGGTTTAACTAGAAAAATTATCAAGTTGAACATATTCAAATCACTATTCTAAATTTAGCCTAGACATTTTAGCCCCAAAGATTATGCGTCTTAAAAAAACAATGAAACCTAAAATTCTAAAAAGTTAAAAACGTAAAAGACTAAAAGAAATATGAGGTTTGTTCCCTTACAAATTTACTAAAGCAGCTGGTGTGCAGGGATGGACACACAATGTAAATTGATTAGTCGATTGATTTATCTAGTGTTGATGCTGCTCGTTTCAACAGCTACTATGAAGAGAACCTTTTTAACAATGAAACATGTGAGAACTGACTTGATCAACAAAATGAGCGATGAATTTCTCGTCGATTGCTCAAGTATTTTATTTGAAACAGTGTATACTATTGGTATGGATGTAGACTTCATTATTGATGCATTCCCTAAACTAAAATACAGTTGTGTACAATTTACATTGCAAAAAACTATAATCATTATATTTTTTTTACGGTTCTAATTTTCTAATGAAATGCGGCCCAGTGCTCTTCTGTGTTCTGGATCCGCCGCTGGCACCTTGCATCTTACTTGTTTGACTAGTTCACTACTTCAACAAACAAATGAGAACTCAAGAAGAACAAACCATACAGATTTAGATTAATGAAGGTGCGAGGAACGTAACATGGGGCCGACGACGGCGGGCACTGTGTGGCTCGGGAGCAAAGGACAAAAGTGAAGGCAAATGGCTACAGTCCAAGAAATAAACAAACCGATGAAGATGGATGGATAGATAATTGGAGATAGAGATGGAGAATAGAAAGAATAAACCCCACAAAGAAAAGAAGACGTTAAAGTATACATTGTATTGTTACCACGATCCTGGAAATCAAAAACCATGTGACCAAATTTCCGGTTTCTACTCCAAGAAAAGAGTTTTTTCCACTTCTCGATTATTTGCTAAAAACAAAGGAATGGTGGGAAAATGGGACCCTAGTGGATTGGTTTCTTGGGGGTCTATCTTCCATTTTTCATGTTCGGAATGATGCTTGGTAGGTACTTTGGTTACTAGAGTAATTTGAATGATGGTTCTTATATATTTTTCGAAGGGAGTAATTTTCAATTTTATGTAGTGGGGTGGACGTAGTTTTTTGTGAAATGACGGTGTACATTGCAGAGAGAGAGAATGACATAGTGCAACGGTAACGAAAGTATGACGATGCAGGAGTGGTTGATGTTTAATATTGAAGCATAACAAACACGAAGTATAAGAGATTGGCGATGGTCAGCGGATTCCGTATCATGAAACCTCCATCGCTTTCATGATACAAAAGAAGATTAAAATGGGATGATGCAGAAACTCAAACAACTGGAACGTGGGAAAAGGAAAGGACTTACAGTGGATAACCTTGAGCTTGTGAGAATTGATGACTTGCAGGTGGGTCGGATTCTCGGGTTGGACTATTCCCAAACTGAATCCGGCCGAGCATATAGGCGGGTTACAATAAACAAATCCGGACCCGACCATATATTTTGTAGCTTAATGGTTATACGGGTGGGTCGGTTTGGATTGACGGGTTGGATCGGTTTACGGGTTGATATGTTCACCCCTAAGCGGTGCGTTAGACTTCTTTTCAGCATATATTATATGTAAATCAGATATTATTTTTTCCGGTAATTGAATCAGATATTATTACCACGAAAACCCTACTGCTACTGTTTTACCATCTCTCCCCCAAAAGTGAAAACCCTAGCTACTGCTCGTCGAAGATGCTGATCTTCTTTCTCCACGGTGTGCGGATGATCCAAGCGGCGCTCCATATCCGCCGTCGTCTTCGCCTCCGTCAGCGCGGTGTCCGCGCCAAGATCCCCGCCGCACTGGCCGACGATGTTCCCGTCGCGATCCCCGCCGCTCTGGTCGACGCTGTCCCGGGCGAGATCCCCGTCGCACTGGCCGATGATGCCCCGCCGCACTGCCGGCGCTGTCCCGGACGCGATCCTCCCCGTTCCTCTTGGACCACGATGGAGGTTTCATGATTCGGAATCCACTGACCATCGCCACGATGGAGAACATCTCTTTCTCTCGGATTTCGCCAATCGCTTTTGCACCCCGCACGTACAACCTTCACACGTACATGTTGGCAAAGGATTGATGGACGGAAGAGCTATCGAATGCCCTGCTGGTAGTTTATTCAAATTTCATATCAACTGCAAAAACAAAAGAGATATATACAAATTACAAAAGGTCGCCGCTAATTTAAAATACATTACTTTTCATTTGGTAAAAATTAGATAATTAAAAAAAATAAAGCATTGGAAACAAACAAGAAAACATGATGGGCATGCATTTTCTTTTGTACACCTTGTGAAGTAGAAAAGTATGGATTGTATTTGTAAAAAAAACATGCTCACACCAAGCAATAAAAGATGTGGATGACAGGATGAGAGGAGAAGAGAAGAGGGCTCTCATTTACTCCTCAAAATTATCACAACAAACAAAATCATTCTTCATTGTCCCCAAAGATGAACAAAAAGACCTAAGAAAAAATGGGCAAGTTGTATAGAACCCATCAAGCACTTCCCCAAACATTTTTCCAAACCCCATTTGCCACTAATCATGAGTTGTTTTTAGGGTCTCGGATTTAAAATTGAACGGAACACGAGTTAGGTTTTCATTCGATTGAAAACAAAAAGAAAACGAGGTTTACAATGCGAATAAAAATAAATTAAGTCTGATTCGATTCTCGTAAAACAAGTATTGTTGACTCGTTGAAGCAGTAATAAGTCGAACAAGTAAGGTGCATGCATGATGAACAATCTTCCTCCCTTGCACCTTGCACCTTACTGACTAGTTTACTACTTCAACAAACGAATGAGAACTCAAGAAGAACAAATCATACAAAAAATAGTCCAAGTCGTATATATAAATTATAACCATCAAGCACGCGTCTCCAAATCTAACTAATAATTAATAACCACGAGTTCTTTTTTTTTTTTTGGGACAACATTGATCTGATCGGAAATCAGAATCGAAACATACTCGGGCCTTAGGGGTTGTTGGCTTGTTGGATTTGAAAAATGAGGGTTTTGGCCAATAAAAACCTTGGATTTATGTTGGATTTATTGGATTATGGATTTGTAGAGTCTAATGTTTGTATGATATATTTGATGATGGATTTGTGATGGATTCGTTAAATAAATAACTAACCATCAAGGATTTGCAAATCCCAAATTAATATGTGGGATTTACAAGTCCGTGGGGTCCACGCATTTGGTTCCAAAATAAAGACCAAATCCGTGGACCCCACAGATTTAACACCTTCAACAAACAATGGACTTATGTTAAATCCATCAAGCTTGGGATTTGGGTACCAAATCCAACAAGCAAACCACCCCTTAATTTCAGTAGACTAAGAATGTAATGAAGAACGAGATTCACGACAAGACTAGAACTGGCCATAGAATAGAAATACAGCTTTAGATTAATGAAGGTGCGAGGAACGTAACATGGGGCCGACGGCGGGCGCTGTGTGGCTCGGGAGCAAATGACAAAAGTGAAGGCAAATGGCTACAGTCCAAGAAATAAACAAACCGATGAAGATGGATGGATAGAGAATTGGAGATAGAGATGGAGAATAGAAAGACTAAACCCCACAAAGAAAAGAAGACGTCAAAGTATACATTGTATTGTTACCACGATCCTGGAAATCAAAAACCATGTGACCAAATTTCCGGTTTCTACTCCAAGAAAAGAGTTTTCCACTTCTCGATTATTTGCTAAAAACAAAGGAATGGTGGGAAAATGGACCCTAGTGGATTGGTTTCTTGGGGGTTTATCTTCCATTTTTCATGTTCGGAATGATGCTTGGTACTTTGGTTACTAGAGTAATTTGAATGATTGTTCTTATATATTTTTCGAATGGAGCAATTTTCAATTTTGTGTAGTGGGGTGGACGTAGTTTTTTTAGTGAAATGACGGTGTACATTGCATAGAGAGAGAATGACATAGTGCAACGGTAACGAAAGTTTGACGATGCAGGAGTGGTTGATGTTTAATATTGAAGCATAACAAACACGAAGTATGAGAGATGTTCGTTATTGAATGACAATCAGTAAAGTAATTTATAGTTAACTGACGTCTGCTCCTGGGATTCGTACTATAATTCAATAAACAAGTAATTTAGAATTACATATCGACGCTCGTTGTTGAGACTCGTACATATCGACGGTAACGAAAGTTTCCCGAGGTTAAAACCTCAATCCTCATATGCACACAAAGGACCCTTAAATAACCCTCTTCAACCCTCATTATCCATTTTTCAATCATTAATTTGGATATTTGATTAGTTTATCATAACTGAAATGGCTAGTCACTTTTCAACAGAACTTTGTACACATTTATCTTTATGTTTTTTTTCTTCTTCTTACCATGTAAGCTAGAATGCCTGCATGCACAAAATTACAATCCAAAATAGATAAAAATGTGCCACGAATATAATTCTAGAAGAAAAGAACATTTCCTTTGTATTAAGCGACGGATTTGCACTCTCCAAAAGTGTAGTAAGAAGAAAATGGAGTCGGTGAAAAGAAATCCCTAGTGGGATCCAAATCGTACCACTACTCCTTCGACACAAATCCCACTTGATAAAGAAGCCGCAAACTGTTCATGTGGAAATAAATTGCAAGTTGCTTAGGTAAGCCATGAATCATGGGGAAGGTTTTGAAAGCCAAAAGAGTCAACTTATAACCCACTATGAATGAAGATTGAATCGACAAATTTGCAGTTCAAACGATATCGTTACAATAACGATAATATGAGATTACAGGATTTAAAAGCAATTTATTTGTATCGTTTTTCACGTGTTATTATGCGAAGTAAATATGCGATTTTTTGGAACAATAGCATTTATCTTTCAAAATATGATTGTCAAAATGTGGATTCACTAAGACCACATCGTAATTACTAATTACCCTGCTCGGTCTCGTAATTTTAATTTGTATGCATGCTTGTACATTTTTTGCTCTCGTAAGAACAAAAAAAGATACTTTCAACCGAGTTTTCAATGGATCCAACACTCAGCTAATTGAATTACAACTTTCAGGTAACGAATTATCATCGTTAGTCTCATTAATTAGATCCATAACTGAATATCTTTCGAACAACTCGAGTTTTCGAAAACCTTCGCAATTTTCCCTTCTCAGTAATGTTAGATCAAAGGAGCATTGCTTTCCGATTCTGTCTTCTTCCACAAACATAGCAAGAAAGAACATTTTTTGTTTTGTTTTTTGTTTTTGTATGAAGGGAAAAAAAGAGGAATTCAAGGAAGGAAAATGAAGGGGGCAAAATATAGAAGTCAAAAGGACACATTCTGGTTTTTGGAAGGGTCGTCGTTTGTCGGCCGAATAATATTTGGTCATTATCACATCATATATTTTAGAATTTGGCATCACATCACATGACTACTTCATTTCGGTGTTGAATCTTCAATTTTGACCCAAAGAGTTCCCGTGGAAACACGTTTTGGTGGGTAAGCGCCTCTACTACTACCAAACTAATCAATTAGCCATAGAAATAGACCCCTAACCAAATATGTCTCATGAACTTTAAGGTACTTAAACTCTAATTAATAAAAGCAAATTTTGAATAATCATCATCACTAACTAAATTAAGTACAAGTTTCATGTAGGGCTGGCTATTTGGTCTCGGACTATTTGGTTTTACCCAAAACCGAACCGTATAACCCGGACCGGGACCGGACTGGGACCGGATAGCAAACAATGCAATCTCATATTCGGGCTTAGATTTGAGGTAAAAAACCGGATAAAGACCGAATAAGAGACCCCCAACACCTAAAATCAAGATAAAATTGGGACCGGACCAGACTGTATCCAATCCAATCTTGGGTCCTTATATTCCCGAAAAGATCGGACTGGGACCGAAGCAATTTGGTCCAATTTAATCGGACCGGGCCGTATAATCCTCCCTAGTTTCATGAACAATCTTTTATGATTTCAGACCATGCAACCTGCACTAGTCCACCTAACTAAATCAAGTATACAAGTTTGTTAAAACCGGTGAAAACACCACACCGTTACTCCACGTAAAAAAGGCAACAAAATTAAATAAAAACACAGCAGAATTCCACACACTTCACTTCTCGTCCACAAAACAAACACAGCCACGGCAAGAAGAAAGAACACACAATTTTTAATTCGCACGTTTTAGAAACACAGGAGACACTCCACGACGCCAAATATGTCCACGTGCTCCACGCTCCATGCACGACGTCGTCGGCCAGCCATATCCCCACCACCTCTTTCCCAACGTTGTCAGGTGTCAGTTCGTCAATCTATGGGCTTGTGATCAATATGAGCGCAAGCTCTTAAACCAACACTCCATTTGGGCCCATCTAGATAAACTAAACCCAGGTCCGTATAAGTTCAAAACTATGCTGGAGCCCATTACGTCAGTTGGGCTTTTTCAAGTTCAAAACTATCCAGTTGCTTACCTAACTGCGGTCATCTTTTTTTTTTTTTTTTTCTATTCCCTGCTTCTTTAGTCATAGAGAACCTCAGAATAAGTCGTACCTAACAGTAGTTGAACTCGTGATTTTCAACGGGTTAATTACATGATTGGTCACTGAAATTACAAAAAACGTTCATGTTTGGTCACTTGAAATGTTTGATTCCATTCGTGATCACTAAAATTGATGTAATGGAAGGTTGTCTTTTATTGTATTTTTCTCACCTTTTTGTCCAAAATTGGTGTATGGTGTAATGGAAGGACCCTTCAGTGTTGATTTGGCCAAAGACGTTGAGATGGGGATCACCTCTTCGATTTCTGGGAGATGAAGTAGATGCAGATAGTGACGTGTGAGGTGATAAGGAGTCGTACATAAACTCCACCACTAATCACCGATCCATCCATCACCAATCCCTCTGCGATAATGGCGGGTGAGAAGGTGGTTGTTGGGACGGTGACGGGGTTTGGTCGGTAGGGTATGGGGATTAGAAGAAATTAGGTTTAATATTTTAATTTTTTTAATAATTGTGATAATAAGGTGGAAATTTAAGAAAAATTATTTTTTTATTTTTTTTAATTGTCACGTCACACGCTTAACGATGAACTCTAATAGTTGACTGCCATATCAGACAAAGTTAACGGAGTTTGATGAAGATTTTGTGTTTTTTACTTGTGTAGTGGTAATATTGGGGGAAAAGAAAACCTTGCCCAATCTTTCGTTCATTTCCTGCATGTGTATTATATGCTGGGAATCCTTTTGCCAAATTCCTGTCCAAGACAGGAAAACATCCATCCACATGGCGTTTTTTGACCAGTCGTCGGCTGGCCGGCGGCCAACAGAAACGCTGGATTTTTCCTGTTTAACCGTTTATTTGTACATTCGCCGGTGGAAAGATCCGGCCGTCAAGACATGCTGACTGCTACCTTGTCTTGTCTCCTCATGCCACGGTATGTATATAAACAGTCCTACCCGCTCTAGTTAATTTGCAATTAAGAACAATCAATGGGGAAATACATGTCTTCGTCGGTGATGAATTCCGCGGTCATAGTGATGTTAGCGGCGGCGTGTTTTGTGGCCGTTTCCGGCAAACACGGAGATCCCAAGTTCTGCGGCTGCGGTCCGGCGAAGGATCCCAAGAACTTCCCCGCTCGCCTGCGCCACGTTCTCGACGACGTGGTGAAGACCACGGCTTCCCAGCCCAAGAACGTGGTGTCCGGCGACGTGACCTACACGTCGATCGACCCGAAGAACGGCCGCCGCGGCGGCGCCGTGGCGGCCGGCACTTGTTTCAGGGGCGTCGGCCTCGCTGGCTGCTCGGCGTGTCTGTCCAACGCGCGGGAAGAATTGGAGCGGTGCGGAGCCTTTGCCTGCGGCGGGCTGAGGTTTGAAGGCAAGTGCCGCTTTCAGTTCCGCCAGATCAAATGATTCGTTGATTGCAAAGTTTCACAGTCTGTGACTCTTTCTCGTTTAGATTTCTGGCTATGTCGTTCTTGACTTGTTATCGAGAATGAAGTAATTATTGTTCGGTTTCTTTTGTTAAGGGGACATTAGTGTTTTTCTCTCTCTTTTATATCAAGCATGCCAATGTATTAAATTCTTATGCTTTGATGTTTGATCGTGGATGTGTCATTTTGCGTTCTAATCGATGTTGAGTTTGAATTTAAATTGCTTATAAATCAAATAATAATTCATTATTGCTTACAATTAGTATTTGGATGGAAAGCAAATTGAATCAAGTACACTTTGGAACAAGTTTCATTCCTCAAATTAACTTCCTCATTGTCGCAACAAACCACCGGCTAGTATCAACTTAGTTCGCCAATCAAATGATTACTTTTAACCGCGATTTTATCTTCTCAATAGATCGTGAAAATTCAAGGTCCATGGCAGGCTCATGCCCTTGGCCGCCCCCTCCCTCTGGCATTTGAAGGTCCTGCGAACTTCCATGGCGAATGATTCTGCTTCCATCGCCATAGCTCCCGAATTGACCGGAGCCAAATGCACAAGAGCATCCCGAAGCCTCGATTCGCCCACGTTCACAATTTGGGTGCCGGAATTTCGGCCGCCGAGCCGAGCCCTTTCTGGGATTTGAAATCACAGTTGGATGCAAGAATTTCCAGCGCGGATCGTGAACGGAATGTGTTCTCTGTTGTTTCTCCGTGCTCTTATGCAATCCTCCCATGGATTTCCTGTTGGGTTTCCTCCGTTTTCTTGCTCCCCGAGGGGCCGATTCAGCACAGGGTCAAAATATCGCACAAAAGTCAATAAATCGCGTAAATATCGCGATATTACGTCTTATCGCGAAATCTCGTCAATTTCAATTTCTCGTCAATTTCTCGCGTTTCGTTTTTGGTTTTGAGGACCCGAAACGTTTCGTGTTTCGTCCGTTTCTGATGCCCGTTTCTCCATTTTGTTGGGTTTTCCAGTGTTTCGCCGGATGTGCTGGGTGCCTCCCACCGAAACGCCCAGCGGATTTCGGGATTTTTGGGCCTTCAATTAAAAAGAGAGGAATCTCTTTGGGCCTACGAAGCTAAGGATTCACAGGGCGGGAAACAAGGGGAAACTAACGACCGACTCAAATTTGACGAAGGCCCAAATCGCTTCTACCTAAATTTAATTGAAGGCCAAAAGGAACGACGATCCGGCGTCGTTTTCTTTGGGAGGTAGGCCAACGGCCGGGTCAAACATGGACTTCCGTTAGATAAGGGCCCAAAAGGCTTCCTACCTAATTAATTGAAGGCCCAAAATCCTGTAATCCGACAGCGTTTCGCGAGGTAGGTGCTCGCACAGCCGGCGAAAACTGGACACCCGAACAAAATCGAGAAACGGGCATCAGAAACGGAAGAAACGCGAAACGTTTCGAGTCCTCAAAACCAAACTCGAAACGCGAGAAATTGACGATAAATTGGAATTGACGAGATATCGCGATATGTTAAAATATCGCGATTTTTAAGCGATATATTGATTTTTCTGCGATATATTGACCCTGTGCTGAACTGGCCCCTCGCCGAGCAAGAAAAACCGAGGGAAAATCAACAGAAATCCATGGGAGGATCGCATAAGAACACTCGGAAACGACCGGAAAACATATTCCGTTCAAGAACTGCGCCTAAATTCCTACATCCAACTTAGATTTCGATTCCCAGAATCGATTCGGCGGCGGAAATTCCGACACCCAAATTGTGAACGTTTGGGATAAATCGATCGAGGCTGCAGGATGTCATCGGTGTTTCTGGGCTCTTGGGCATTGGCTCCGGTCAATCTGGGAGCAACGGCGGCATCAGAATCAGTCGCCGTGGAAGTTCACAGGGCCGGCCTTCAAGAGTTGTACCAAACTGCAAACACGACCATTTGGACAGAAAGAAGAACATGAACAGAGAAACTTATAACAGAGTTGACCTGACATTTTACATCGTCTTCCGGCGAACTCAAATGCAACAAGGGTCTAGGAAAACAGGGGAAAACAGAGTTCATCAAGCACAGTTGTTTCCACGATTCTATTTGAGAAGATAATCGCGGTAAAGCAATCATGCATCCAACTTGATGTTCAGGCTAATTCGTCCCAAGTCTAGAAGTAGGCTTTGGCTTCTAAGTTTATGATAAATTGAGCAAGTCCAGAGACATGTTTGATTTTTGTGAAAAACAAGTTGCCAAAGCCACATTTCAAATAGTAATGAACTAGGATAAAATTATATTTATTTAAGAACATTGGCGATAAATACCAAAAACATTGACAACAAAGAACTTTTCATTATGTATCTTCCTTATATAAAAAAAATTTGTGTAGTTTTAACCAGTCATCGACAGCAAACTGAAAGCTGGTTGTGGCCAAAATGCATACTATGAATGAGCGGCGGATCCGTGACAGATTAGAGCACTGGGCCGCATTTAGAAAGTGGTGGAGAAGGTTGGGTCGTGACCCTATAAACATTAAAATATATATATCGAAAATCGAAAATTTACAAGTACTATATGAGTTTTGGATTCGGGGAGGGCTGGGTCGTGGCCTAGGGGCGGCTCCCTGGATTCGCCGCGCTGCTATGAATAACTTGTCAGCCGCTAAATGGGAATCCTAATTTTTTGTTTAACCACTTCTTTGTTTAACCATAACCAGTTGGTATCAATAACTCGAGTTATTGTGGATCACATAGTCATTTATTAATACTTTCGGATAGATCCTCCATTGCCGTATTTTTAACGAGTAGCGGCCACGCGACAACCGATGGAAAGCTGCTTCCTCCACATACATAGCTATCTAATTTTGGATTTATGGATTCCGCCATCCACATTGTCAAAATCTGTGTGTGTATATATATATCTCTTCTCGATTACTTGTAATCGATCAAATCGAGTAAGAAAGAATCATAATATAAAAGAAGGGGAAAAGGGGGAAAAAAAAAACATGAATTCTACTGCTCTAATGAAAGCTGCGGCGGCGGCGGCGATAATAGCGGCGGCGGCGCTTTTCGCGACCGTTTCCGGCCAACCACGTGGCAGTTCGTTCTGCAGTTGCGGCCGGGCAGGGGATCAGCAGAACTTCCCTCTTCACGTGCGCGCCGTTCTCGACATCGTGGCGAACCGCACTTCCAGTCAGGTAAAAAACCCGGACTCCGGCGACACCGTCTTCACGACGACGTCGAATCCGGGGGCGAACCTCGACGCCGGCGCCGCCGTGGCGACGGGGACTTGTTTCAAGGGCGCGCCGACGGAGTGCTCGGCGTGTCTCCGGGAGCTTCGGGAGCTTTTGAAGCCCTGCGAGGAATTTGGGTGTGGCGGAGTTGAGTTTACCGGCGATTGCCACCTTCAGTTCGGTCAGATCAAATGAACCGTTGGTTGTTGCAGAGCTGCGGTTTGGTATTGGCGGGAGAATGTAACTGTCTCGTTCCGCATTGCCATGTGGGTTGGTTGCGGCGTCGTTTTATTAAAGTTTCAATTTTTTTATTTTTGGGTGATAAAAGTTTCTTTCTTTACTTAAAAAGCGTTAATTATGTCAAAATTATCAACCAGGTCGAAATTTGTTCAAATAATTTTCAAATTTCACTATGAAATGAAAGATGTGGAAAGTGTTATATTTTCCATCATGATAAATTTGGGAACTCTTATAGTATCATCTTGAAATTTGCTATTTTCCCAACAAAACATTAGAGGTACTCCAACCGTACAAATCGCGTGCGGGTGCCGTGAGGAATGTTGAAATTTCGATAGTACTTTAGAGGCAATGCATTAAGATAACATTTAGTATCCATTCAGGTTGATGTTTTTCTCCGTTTCACAAGTGGTGGTATGTAAGCGGAGATGATAATGTAGCTTTCACATTGGTGGTTCGAGTCTTACCACCAATGAGAAGGACACCATAAATAAATCCGAATAAACCAAAAAAAAAATTACCTAACTACCCCAGCTTCAAACCAAACAATTGTACCTTCGATTTAAATCCAACGACTCATGCATATTAAAAAAAAAAACCCTAGCTAGCAAACTGATATTAATGGGCTTTGTACGTGATAGTACTAACTAGACAGTAACCAACCAACCAACCAACCCTTCTAGATCGCAAATACTTTATGGTAAGGGTTAGAGATATAAATAACTAAATCACAATATATCAAAATGTTTAATAAAATTAAGGACAGCGTAATTAATGGGTTTCCAAAGTAGTTATATGTGCCAATTCCATTAATTAATAATGATTAGAGGGAGGGAGGAATTGAGTAGTTCTCCTCCAACACCATCATCATCTCCCAACTATCACCTACCAAGTGTTCCCTTAATTGATTGCTTCTTTCATTTAATTATTTAACTAACAATTAATAAATAAATAAAACCCTATAGCTTTACCCAATAGAAGTTCAGTTTCAACTCTCTAAACATTCTTCTTTGTCTTGGACTTTTCTGTCCAACGATTAATTAATCAATTAATCTTAATATATTTTTGGGGACAGTTCTAACGTGCTAATTTGTAACGTATTTGTTGTTTTTTGTTGACTTATAGTCACTCTTAGTTATTAATCAGAGGTGTGCTTATATCGTAATGAATTCGTGAACATGGTGGGAAGTCAATTTTAATGGAATAATTTAGATTAGAAAGGTTTAGTTAGTTAAGTCCATCCACTTAGAATTTAGTTCAATTTCATCAATCCCCCATTTGGTTTACTAAACCCAAACATAACAACATTGTCAAACTATTTTTAATCATTAGATCAAGCAGGTGGGTCAAGGTTCGGTCGGTCAAATTGAAGCCACAACTTCATTGACTCGAGATATTGTGTCGTAAAGCAAAGAGAGGAAGGGAATCAGTTGACTTGATCGCTCGATCAAGCCATTAAAATCGATGAGTACTAAGTTAACTCACTTCCAAACTAATTCAGATTGATAGAACAAAGTAAAATGACAAGTTTGGGTACAACAAGATTCAACTAAAAAGTTCGATCGCAATATAACGATCAATGACTAAACCTAAAAAGATCGATAATCCACTACACGAAAAGAGCTTTCCTTCTAAATCATATCAAGATAATTATTCTTGAGCATGTTATAAGTCATGATTAACTTGAACCTAATCATTTAAGTCACTAACTAGCTACCAATTTATAATTTACCACCCTCACCTAAGTAGGTAGCTATATTTGTGGTGAAAATTACCTTATTGCCATCCCAACCACGGTCGTGGCAATTAAGAGGAGTGGTCAAACTTGAAATAGAAAAAAGGGGTAAAAAGGGGAAAGCAAGTGAAAGAAAAGGGAAAATGAAGGATAAAAGGCTGGCAGTTTGGTACTACTACCCGACCCGATGAATATGAAACGGGCCCACTTACTAGTTATTGTGTTCTTTCATTCATTGCTTTTTTTATTGGGCCCGATGGCCCATGGCCATGACCCCAAAGGAAAGGCAAAAAAACCTAATCTTTAGGGCACTTTAGGTGAAAGGTCATGGAGGGTACCCTAGGGGAAGTGCTAAATGTCCTAAGAGGGCATCTTTATGACATGTATTAACAAAGAATGTTAGTTATATTGGTGCTAAATTGCTAATTAAGTTTGTAATGTGAACGATGAAATTTACTGGATAAGCCCGTCGACTTGATAGGTATGTAGTATGTTGCGATGTGTGATTTTGAACTAATCGGTGCCATACATTTTATACGAAGCAATCAAGACCTAAAAACCAGATCAACACTTGTAGGTTGCAGCTTATATAAAGAAGTCTAAAGCTCGAGTTTTTCGAAATCGGTTACAACCCTTATACCCATTCGCTTAATGGCATACATTAACCATTCAGAGTGCTAGCTAGCCAAGAAATGATACACCTGATATTTATTGAATTGATTTTGCAAAGATAGTAGGAATAGATCATTAAGAAACTCAAATTTTTATAATTATAAGTAATGTCATAGAATAACTAGGAAATGAAGAGTTAGTTGTCTTTTGTAAAAACCATAACAACTCTTTACTAGATATCTAAAAGATACAAACCTTCTCACTGTACATGTGATTGGTGCAAGCTACCAACTTAGTAACAAAAGGTTGGAGGGAAAATGGGAAATCCAGATGAGTTTTCACTTTCAGTACAGATTTAATTCGGTTGCTAACCGAAACAAGAATGAACAAACAGAGCATTTTCAGAACAGATGTCAAAAGAGAAAAAGAAATTGTTGTTTTTTCCCCCATTTTGCACCGAGTTGGAGTCAGTCAGGCACCGAACAGAGAAGAGAAGAGTCCTTTTCTTTCTCTGCTTCATTTCATTTTCCCTCTCTTCCTTCCTTCCTCTCTCTCTCTCCCTCTCCCTGGCGCTTGCTTTTAGAAAAGGAGAGGAGAGCAGCCTAAAGTCCTAAACCAATTACGCCATTCCTTAGATTCTCTTTCTCTCCACAGTGATTTCACTCCATTCTTACTTACTTTTCCTTTTCTCTCTCTCTCTCTCTCCCTCCCCCTGCAAAAACCCAACACACTGAAATCATTCCTGTCCCCCCTTGCATGAAGAGCTGCTAGCTAGCAACTACTTTTTCTTCTTCTGGATTTTTGGCCCTCTCTGCAATTTGTCCTTGCTTCTCCCTCTCCGCCTCTCTGTAAGTTCTTACATTTCTTCTCTTCCTTTTCATGTTTCCGGCTTGTTCTTCTTCTGGGCTGCATTCTTTTTCTGGAAATTTTTATGATCGAATTCGACAGAGTTGAAGTGGGTAGTGAGTAGGCAGGAGATGATGCTTCGTTTGTTTTTCTAGTTTTGTTAAATTGAGCTGAGACTCCCTGCCTGCATTTTACAATGGACAGTGTTCTAAATGTGACTTGATTGATTTCCATTCATCTGTATTATACTTGTGAGGCTCTGAGTTCAGTAAGTTTTCATCATTTGGGTTCATAAATAGAATGTCCCTTCTATTGTGCAAATGTAAAGGGCATTCGAAAGTTTGGATCTTTATTTGGATTACAGGAAATTAATTCTCAAACCTTTGGTTCAGGTCACCTAAACCCACCAACCAATTTGGATTGCCCGTTTTTTTTAATGTTTTCTTCATTTTGTCCTTTCAATTGGAGCTACCACTTGATAGTTCTTCTGTTTTTCCCCCTTGTCTTTGCATCAGCTTGGTTCTAGTTTATCCCTAATGCATGCTTCTTTTGATGCTGGGATTACAGTGATGTGCTTGAATTTGTCTTCTTTAACACATTGGGCAAACAATGGAATCTTGCATGTATTGTGATTCTGTACCTCAGGAACTGAGGAAATGTGCAATTTTACTTTTACATTATACTGATTTGTCTCTTTTCCTTTGCTCTTATGTTGTTCTGTTGAAGAATTAGGGAACGAGTCCAATCTTGGACCCGATCTATAATGACCAAGGTTAGTCCACTTGGAGAGCAGATGATTGGAATGGAGATCTTCCTTCCAGTTTCAGCTGATGTCAGCTTCCCTTTGGACCGGTTTCCCAAGTACAAGCTAGGACCTGAGAATCAGGTAGTAGAAGAGCCAAAAGAGGATGAAAAGGGACCATTGTTGAAGGACATTGTTGAGCAGGAGACAGCACAGCTCTCAGAACAGCATAAACGCCTGTCGGTTCGTGACCTGGCCAGTAAATTCGACAAGAACTTGGCTTCTGCTGCTAAGTTGGCCGAGGAGGTTCTCTCTCAAAACACTTGCCAATTCCGATTTTATCTCAGCCTGCTACATTTGTCACTTTTGGCTACTGTCATTTTGTACGAGAAAACTATCCTTTGGTAATTATGCTAACACTCTTGCATTTGATGTAATTAGGCGAAACTTAGAGAAGTGGCTTCTCTGGAGGGGCATGTGCTTTTGAAGAAGCTGAGAGATGCATTAGAATCTTTGAGAGGACGTATGGCAGGGCGAAACAAAGAGGATGTGGAGCAGGCTATCTCTATGGTTAGTAGCTCTCTTTCCCGGTTTCCATTTTCCTTCATTCGGGTACAGTAGCTGGATATCTACATGATTGTGGAATTCCATTTGATGCATCTGGATTCTGGGATTCCATTGCATCTAAATTCTAAGGGGACTATTTGCTGTTGGGAATTAACAGTTACTGCAAACTGCAGGTGGAAGCATTGGCTGTGAAGCTGACTCAAAAAGAAGGTGAACTAATTCAGGAGAAGTTCGAAGTGAAAAAGCTTGCAAACTTCCTTAGACAGGTTGGTTAATGTTTCTCTTTTTTGTCAATTTTCAGAGAATTATTGAGTCAAAATTATCTCTTCTTATTCACCAATTCTGTTTCATCAGCTCATATTGATGTGTTCTGTGGTGTCTACAGGCTTCAGAAGATGCTAAGAAGCTGGTCAGCCAAGAAAGATCGTTTGCATGTGCTGAAATAGAAAGCGCCCGGGCTGTTGTTCAGAGGTTTGGGGAGGCCTTAGAGGAAGAAGAAAAGAATGCTCAAACTTCTAAAAACTTGTCTCCTGTAAGTTTAGTTGTCTTTGTAGTTTCTCTGTCCACTCTATTTGATTGTCACTTACATAGACTTCATCTTCCGAAACGGTTAGACTGATTCCTGATGGTATTGCAGAATGTGGAGGTACTACTTGAGGAGGTTCAAGAGGCTAGAAGAATCAAATTGCTGCATCACCCGAGCAAGGTATGCCTGTACGATCTTGTAATTTAGTTGTTGCGTGGCTTGAAGTAACATCCCACTATTTTTAGGATAAATAGTTGCTTGTTATACAAGTCTTATAGTTGGCACTTGTTAATTGGTGGAAAACTTGAGACTTTTGAGTCTTGGAACTGTAGGAAGTGGGAAAGGCCTTCTTCCCATTGATCGTTCAATTTGCATTTGAATTGTTATATAGACATTAGATATTGTAAATGTTATACTGTCATGACATGTGCATGATGGAATGCATGGAAGTCAACCTTGTGAATCATACTGCTGTTAGTTATTTCCAGCCATGTCTTGCAACCGCAATCATCACAAATCTAAGTCATGTTAACCTTTTACTTTTTCCTCTTCTCTTTCTTTCCCGTTACAAGAAAGTGTGTGATTTCTGTAGGTGATGGACATGGAGCATGAACTTGGTGCACTCAGAGCTCAAATCCGCGAGAAAGCCATCTTCTCTGTGAAACTTCAGAAAGAGGTTTGTTTTTCCTCGTTACCCGCTCTCCCCCCTGTGATGATTTCTTGCCTTAATCATTTCTCTCTGAAGTTGTTTATTGCCTGTTGTCTAAGGCGCTGACTTCCATTTTTCTGATGCAGCTGGCAATCAGCAAACGAGTAGAGGAGAACAAATTAGCAATATACAGAATAGAAGGCTCTGAAACTCTCGGTTCGTGTTTGCGTCTCCATCCTCGTATTAATGATGCTCCACTACTTTCAAAATGCTCAATTCAGTGGTACCGCGTCTCATCTGAAGGGAGTCACAACGAAGTCATTTTAGGTACGAATGATATGTCATTGGTTCATACTATACTTCAGATTTGACTATCTACACATTTTGATATGGTTTTGATCAGTTCTTTTCCTCTTTTGGTGACTCAAAAGGCGCTGAAAAGCCAATATATGCTCCTGAACCACTTGATGTTGGCCGGGTCCTTCAAGTCGGGGTGGTTTCAAACGGCCAGAAAGTTAGCAGCGTAACAACCGCTGGTCATATCGAGCCAGGTGCTTCCTATATTAGCAATGTTCCCTTGCACTTGCTTTCATTGTGTGCCATGTGTACATCGTGGTCACTGAATAGCTCGTGAACTTTGGTTTCTTAAACAGCTCCAGGACTTATGAGCCATGTAGAGACACTTCTGCGAAAATCTAGTGCTGAATTTAGTGTAAGCAAACTCTCCTATACTCCCGGAAGCTTGATACTTTACATATTAGCTTTCTTCTCACTTGGTTTTGGTTATGTGTTGTATATGCAGGTGACAATTTCGCAGATCAATGGACAAGACAATCCATCACATTCAGTCCATTCGTTTAATGTGGGGAAGATGAGGATAAAACTTTGCCGAGGATGGATCACAAAGGCGAGAGAAATTTACTCAGCATCCATGCAGGTAACTTCTACTCTGCTTCTCATGAAACTGTGAAGATCACTATATGTCGAATCTACGGCTGAGTGACCAAAAAAGAAGCAAGATTGTAGATGACAAGTTGGATATAAACCCGTTAATCCTGGTCAATAGAATCTTATAATGTGTCTATAACTTCAGAAGAGGACTCCCAACTTTTACATGTAATCTTGTTGACATTTCCCCCATGTTCTTGAACTCTAGTTATGTGGAGCTCGAGCGATTTGTAGCAATGCTGCCTCAAAGTCACTGTTCTGGCAACCCAGGAAGGGGCTCTCCTTCGTGCTGAAGTTCGAGACAGAGCAAGCGAGGAATGCAGCCATTACGATTGCCAGAAAGTTCTCCAACGATTGCAATGTAAGTAACGAAAGATGCTCATATCTTTGACTGCCTTCCACAACCAAGAAGTTCACTTTATCAGAGCCTTTGATGGACGAAAAAATCTCGGTTTCGGTATGTGACAGGTTATGCTTGCTGGACCAGATGATCAAGTATAGAACTGGGGGAAAAAGGGTCTGCTATACTAACCAAGGCATTTTATCTTCTTTTCCCCTAATTTGGGGAGCTTTTTCTTCTTTTCACAGTAGGGAGTGGCGTGTGGAAGTGTTTAAAGAGAGGTGTGTGGGGTTTTTGCCTTGGTGGTGAAGAAAAAGAGAATGCAGCTTTACCATTTCCAATTGTTTTATTTTTCTTTTCAATGGCTTTAGGCATGTGTGTTTTATTAATTTGCCTAATCATCTGTTTGTAAACAAAGCTATTTAGATCCATTTCTCTGTAATTTGATGACTCAGCTTGTTTGTGGCTTCCTTCCAAGAAAAAAAAGGAACAATGGTTTCTCAATAGAATCAAAACGGCCTAAGTTCTAGTCCTCAAGGCCTCTTTTTTAAGGAAGAACTTAAAGCCTTGTGATTGGCTAATTCAAGATAAGGTAGTTAGTAGGAGTTATTAGTTAAAAAGTTGTTAGGGGTATTAAGGAGAATACAATTAAAACATGTCTATTGTTTTCAAAAACCCTAAGCTAAGAGACGGTTTATTATTTTCAAAAACCCTAAGATCCAACCCGACAACGTCCCTTCTTCTCCGTCAATGGCGAGTCCGGCGCATAGTCCCTCACGAGCCCGTCGAGTTCCCGTCGTCCCTGCTTCTCCGTCAACGGCGAGTCCGTCGCATAGTCCCTGAAGCACGAGCCAGTCGAGTTCCCGTCGTCCCTGCTTCTCCGTCAACGGCGAGTCCGTCGCATAGTCCCTGAACGGAGCACGAGCTCGTCGAGTTCCCGTCGTCCCTGCTTCTCCGTCAACGGCGAGTCCGTATTGTTCGAGTTTGTGCGGTCGAGTCCGTATTAATCATTCCTCTCAGATTAATTATTAACAACCATCAACATCGTTATTAATCTTCCCTTCTTGGAATATTAACCTAAATCGACAATGAAATTATTCATGCAAACTTTACTATTAACCATGTCCTTTTTAATTAATAATTTAAAAGAACGAACATTTTTACGTTCAAAGTGAATTATTAAGTTAAACACTTCGATTATTTTTAAATTGGTATGATCAGTTAACAAGTATTATTAATAAATTAGTATTATCGGTTAATACTCTTTTATGAAGATATTGATAATATGTTTAACAATAGTAATGATTATCCCTGATTACATGCAACGTTGATTATTAATTAAAACACCACAAATATTAACAGTTAACGAAGGGATTATTATTAATCCCACACCAAGTTATTAACTTAAATTGTTAACAACACTATTCTGTTTTATTAATACTCGTTTATGAATATATTGATAATATGTTTAACAATAGTAATGACCTGATTACATGCAAAGTTGATTATTAATTAAAACACAACATTTATTAACAGTTAACGAAGGCATCATTATTAATCCCACACCAAGTTATTAACATAAATTGTTAACAACTCTGGTCTGTTTTATTAAACATATATGCATCCAAAGATGCGTCTATTTTAATAAAAACGTACCAAAAATAAAGTCTCTTGGCCTTGGCGATCCCATGGAAAACGAGACTAAAGGACACACGACGACTTCTTTGCGACGAGACTGTGGCGACAGACGACGACGACGACCAGAACTTAGGCCCGACGACTGGCCTTCTTTGAGATGACGACGACGACAGACGACGACCCCGACGACGACAGACGATCCCACACCAAGCGCCGCACAGCAGACGAGAAAACGAAGATGAATGGGTTTAGGGTTGGGAGGAGTTTCTTTTTCCTCTCCTTCCTTAATTAATGATGGCATTTAATTACTTTTTATATTCCTAATTTACCCTTTAACGTATTAGGTAGGTAGTTAACCAATCATTACTAATCACTCTCTCTCTCCTTCTCCTATTGGCTGAAAGGGGTTTAAGATTTTTCTTAAAAAATGGCCTTAAGGACCTGATCCAACCCGTCCCGAATCAAAACCGAATAATATTACGCATCGTTGTTAGATTTAGTCCACACTACTACTTGTAGCTGTATTAAACTTGTACTTTTCGGTCGATCTTAATTAGGATTAGGTCGACCTAATATGTTGTTTCAGTGTAAAAACAATTTCATGGTGCCTACTTTGGAGATTCGTATCTTACAATTGACTCGATGAAAATTGAAGATTAATGGCTTATTTTGAAGATGGAGTGTCACGCTACACATTGAAGTGATTGGGAGCTCGATAGGAAGTCCAGAAGACCATTTTAGAACAATGATCAAAAAGTTAAGCCAAAACTGGGAAACTGCTTGAAAATTGCCAAGTCCGAGAAAGTGTTTGTGAAGTCTACTTTGGAGCTCAATTCGAGAAGCATGAATGAGATTCGAGTCCAGGGGCCTCTACCACATAAAAGTAGGTATGTTTGTCTACAAAGTCAAGACATTTGATGAAATATTGGATATATCTGGAAGGCTTCAAATAAAAAGTTCGAAGTTGCTACGAAGTAAGCTGTCTTCTAGCACAAGGCTGAAACAACAGGTTATGACGACTTAATCCTATGTTAAATCAACCTAATTCTATATTAGATCGGCCTAAAAGTACAAATTACAGTGACATGTCACCGTAGCAAAGTCCTACATGGAAACCTTTTCACTCGCCTCTCTCCTTCTCTAGCCCTCTTTCGCCGCTCTCACCGTCCGATTCAGAATCGGAGAGAAACCCTCAATTAGTGTTCTTTAATTTGGAAGAAAGTTAGGAAGAAAAGGGGGGGAAAAGGTATGGCAGGGGATGATAGCAGGGTCAGCGATCTCCCCGACTGCATTCTGCATCACATTCTCTCCTTCCTCGACACCAAATCCTCCGTTCGAACCAGCATTCTGTCCAAGAGGTGGACCAACCTGTGGAAAGGCGTCAATGTCCTCCATCTCCAGGCGAGCTCTTTCCCTTGTAAGTCGAGTCTGCAAAACCTCTTGTCCTCTCTTCGCTCCCACCATACCGTTGTTGGAAACATTAGCTTCCACTTTGGTGAGCGCCGGCGTGTGAATGGGTCGACATTAGACGATAAACTGTTTGATATGGTCATGGGATTCGCTGATCACCGTCTTGAGGTTTTGTCCCTCAACTCTACCGGCGTTGGCTGCTCGGTAGCCAAGTCCATCGTCCGCCATCATCATCGTCAGTCTCTCACCACTCTCAAGCTGGAGGTGGCTGCAATCACCCCGCCCAATTCACTGATTGATCTCGGATTCACTATGTTGACGACCCTGGAACTGCGCCGCTGCACGTTCATTGCGTCGACGACGAGTAAAGAGGTGGTGATGATTTGTGATCCTTTTGCCAATCTCCCTAGTTTGAACAACTTGAAGCTGCTGGGTTGCTCCTCGCGGGTTCCCTTCAGAGTGTCCGGGGACAGGTTGTTGAAGCTCGAAATTAGAAGCGACGATCCTGCCTATGATTTCAAACTCGGAATTGGGGGAGTGTCCGCTCCAAAGCTCGAGTCTTTTTACATTTCGGGTCACGCATATGATATTCGCAACCTCGATGTGGTGCACGTTCCTTCTCTTGCTCAAGCTAGTGTCCACCTTGAATGGCCAAACCTGCCGTTTGGCTTTTTTGCGCGCAACAAGGAGAACATGAAGAAAATAGAGACGGCGAATTGCGCATTCACAAAGTTGTTGCGTGGCCTGCATAATGCAAAATCACTCATCCTATGCTTTGATACTCTTGGGCAGCAGGTAATGACAGATGCATTTGGTATATATATGTCGTACTAGCTAGCTCCTGGACCTTGCCATGGAATCGTGTGCCGATTCTGACTTTTTTCTTCTTCTTCCCCTCTTTGTTTTCTCTCATCTCAGAGCCAACAGAACTTTCTTCTGGCCAGAATGAAGCCATTGATCGAGCATGAACTCTCTTGTTTTACCAGACTGAAGACTTTGAAGATTCGATACCCATGGGAGTCGCCACCAAGCATGTGTGATTGTTTGAAGGCTCTCTCCATAAGTTGAAGAAAACTCTACTCTTGGTTTTGAGAGGAAACAATTATAGTGTTTGTGGCATTTTGTCTATTATCTTCCTTTTGGTTTTAGTTCTTTATGAGACTCTGATGTATGTTTGCTCCCAAGTAGAACTGGCATATGGGTTCTTAAGTTAATTTCGTAGCATTGGCAGTTTGCTCCCTCCAGTGTCTCTTCTTCATTTGATCTGCACTCAACCTCTGACTTTGCTGAATCTTACCTTTTGCTTCTCCTGCTCTTTCAGCTGCTCCGTGAGCTGGTCAATGATCGATTGGAGCTCTTTGATTGAGCGAAACTTAGTTGAGCCAACTGTTCTCTTCCATAATTTAACATTTGCAGCAAAGGATGGATACGGTCATTTACTGTAATGATGGCCATCACGCAAACCTGAGATTGTAGCTTCTCTCCTGCAGAGAGCTGCTGTGTGACATCATCAGTGGTTCTCCTGCAAGACCGAAAGCTCTTCCACGATTCCATCTTTCTCATGACAATGCTGCAGAAAGGTTTCAATGCAAATCGCTCGGTTTGGACTCCTATGAAGCCAACTAAGGCCCATTCCCTTTCATTACTAAGGCCCAGTAAGATTGTTATTAAAGAGGGTCACAAGAGCCCACTGAGGTTACTAAAAATCCGATTCCACGTGTCGAAACCACCCCTTTCTCCTCCCTCCCCCTCCACGTGTCCACCGAAACGAAACTCCCGCCTCCACGTGTCCCCGCACTCCCCGGCCCACCGTTATATCGTCTCCCCCAAAACAAAAATTGAAACGGTGTGATCAAACCAATTCCCAGTATTCCACAGTTTCAACAATGGCAGACGAATTCAGGCTAGTGATGCCGGGAGTGAGCCACGAGGGAAACCTTCCGAGGAAGTACACCGGCGAAGGGCAAGGCGCCACCAAGAACCTTTCCCCGCCGTTGGAGTGGTACAACGTCCCCGAACCGACCAAGACCCTGGCCCTCGTGGTCCAGGACATCGACGCGCCCGATCCGAGCGGCCCGCTCGTGCCCTGGACCGTGTGGGTGGCGACCAACATACCGCCCGCGGTCAAGCGCCTCCCCGAGGGTTTCTCGGGGAAAGGGGGTGAGGAGCTGGGCGGTGGTGCCGCGGATTACTCCGCGGTGAAGGAAGGGAACAACGACGAGAAGGTCCCCGGGTGGCGCCCACCGTTGGTTCCGAGCCACGGGCACAGGATGGAGTTCAAGCTCTACGCTCTGGATACCGAGCTTCATCTTGGCAACAAGGTAATTTAAATTTGACTAATTGACGAGTTAGTTTCCGAATCGAATCGATGGTGAATCGGTGAGATCGACGATGTGTTGCAGGTGACGAAGGAGAAGGTGGAGGAGGCGGTTGAAGGGCATGTGCTTGGCGAGGCGGTTCTCATTTGCATGTTTTGATTCTGCCATCTTTTTTTTTTCTTCTGTACTCTTGTGATAAGTGAAGTGAAATCAAATGAGATCTTGCAGCACTTTTGTCATCGTGGCTCTTTTGAATGTAAATTTGAAATGTTTACTCGTGTATGATTATATACTTGCATATAGTTCATCTGTTGCTTTTAAACCATCGAATTAGCGTATTCTTAATACACGAATTCATCGAACGGTTAGCAAAATTGAGGATCAGAGATCGTTCTTTTTCGGGAAAATATAATAAACATTTCATGCTAGTAGAAGTTTTTTTTTTAAATTATGTTTAATTTACGAATGTAGCATAATATGATACTGCATACCAGGTGAAATTTGAAGTTACAATTGTTATTATATAAAAACGTTAAAATTTGAGACATATAAATAACAAACGTTGTAAAGTATAGGTTTTTTCAATGATATTAATCTAAATCTTAGACAAAACAATATTATTTAATCCCCCGCTCATTTCCATCTTGCTTTGTTGATTTAATAATTAATTTTTAGTTGACATAATGATACAATTTATCTTATCAGACTCGTTTCATCCATCACAACAACAACAAAAGAAATCCTCAGTTAGCATAATGAGAATATTTCTCACTGAAAAAACTATTCCCCTTTGTTTTCTTTCTAAGGAAATTATCTGATTCATCCAAAAACCATTATCAAAATTATGCAATAATAAAAAAAAAAACTTTTAACTCATCAGCGGAAATATAAATACGAAGGGAGCGCGGTGAGATTAGATTCTCTTTCCTTTCGACTCGAGAGATTTGGTAGGAAAGGAAGAAGAACCGATAGGAGGAGGAGAGAGAGAGAGAGAGAGAGGGGTTAGAGAGAGAAAGCCCAAACGAAAAAAAAATCCCACGATTCCACGCCAACGACGGTATAAGAGTTTTTCTTTGCCCTTTCCTTTCCCTCTCCTCCATCTTCCAATCCTAATCTTCTCCTCCACCACCACTTCTTCTCTTCCGAATTTCGGGAAACCGCCGCCGCTGCTGCTTCAGCCATGGAGAAGAAGAATTCCGCAGCTTCTTAACGATTCCTCTCCTCCCTTTCCCTTCTCTCTTCCCCTCTTCCTCCAGAAGAAGGCGAGAAAGGAGGCGAAACGCACCTATCGAACCAGAAGAGGAGGGAAGGAATTGGGAGAAATCTCTCGCCCCCCGCCGGTCAGACGAGCTATGGTTGCTACCGCTGCTGCCGCAGTCGCCGTCCAGGCTCAGGCTGCTGCTGGATGCGTTCATATCGGCGACAACAAGGAGTCCCTGGTGGATTCCTTCCTCGTCGAGGCCCTCCAGAATCCGCGCCACCGTCTCACCAGTTAGTTTCTCGTTTTCATATTCTTCTTAGTCGATGTGTGAATATTTTTACTCGGTCGTCTGTATCGATCTCGTGTCTATTGTTTGGTTGGATTGATGCGTGGATATGTGGCGTTTTCTTGCGATTTTTGGGAGCTGTAGGGTTTAATTTTATTGTTCGATGTATTGCTGGTGGATTGGTTGAGGATTAGGGTTTGGAGTCGGCGGAGATTGACTTTTCCATTGGATTGTGGTGTAGATAGTTAGATCTGGTAATTGTGACGCTATTGAAGCTTGTGAGATGTGTGGTCAATTGCATTGCTGAATGGAGCCTGAGATGGAGGCAACGGTGGCTAATTGAGAATCCAGAATTCAGCTCGAACTAGGATCTAATCTGGTTATGTGTTGACACTTAGAATCTAGTGGAATTGCACAACAAACCATTGGAATTTCTTTCTAGTTTCTCTTAGATACATATACATGGCGTTGATGGTACTCGACACTCAGAGATTATGGGCTTTCTTGTGTTTAGTACGAAGTACGAACTTTGTGGGATTTATTATTCACAGTTCTATGTTATTCAGATTAGCTTCTGAGTTCTCTAGCTCAAGGACCACCCCATATAATTGGAAAACAGTTATAGAAATGGAATTTCATGCCATCGATCTCCTCTTCGTAGATTTAGATTGTTCTTGGTTTTGGCATAGTAATCCTTTGGGAGGCTGCTAGAATGTCAGAAACGTCAATTCCTTTGGCAATACTGCCTGTTGATAAATTTTAGTAGTGGATATTTCTGATTTGAATGTTACGCTATGCACAATGTTATCCCTTATGATCTACATTATTGGTGTCTTGTATTCTTGAAAGGCATACTAACTTTCTGAGTTTATATTCAGTTCTAAGGATGGAGCTTGACATCCAGAGATTCCTACAGAACGCCGAACAACAGCAATTTGAATTCCAGCATTTCCCTACGTCATACCTCAGGCTTGCAGCACACAGGGTAGCCCAACACTATGGGTTGGTCACCATGGTACAGGACAATGGAGTGGACGGACAACTGAATAAGATTGTGGTTAGAAAAACAGGAGAAAGCAGTAGATGCCCTTCTGTCCGGTTATCAGACATTCCTGCTAAACAGTCTGACGGTGACCAACCAGAAAAGGTCAAGATTGCTATTAGGCCTCGACCTAACAATGCTGCAAATGGCTCTAATGACTTCGGCCTCAAACGAAGCCCCGTGAGGAGTGTTGAAGAGAGGAAGGAGGAGTATGATAGAGCAAGGGCTCGTATTTTCAGTTGCCCCAGTAGCCCAAGCTCGGATGATGTGATGTCTCAAGGTCCTACGGACAAGAAAGTTATATCTTCAGTACAGGATGAGTCTGAGGGTTGGAGGAACCCTCCAGTTGATCCTATCAACATCAGGGATGGTTCTTCGTCTCGGGTTGCCATTTTCAGAGACAGGGAGAAGGATCATTTTGACCCAGATTATGACCGTAGTTACATGAGGTATAAAGTTAATTCCACCTGCATCATGTTCTTTCATGTCTTTGAATATGCGATTTAATCACCAACTTGCTTTCTGTTTGAGTGAATGCCAGGTATGGTAGGGGTGCGCTTAATAACCAGTGCTTCAACATGTTGCCATTTAACGTTCACAAGGTGCAGATGCCCTACATTCAGTACGAGACCGGTTTTCCCCAATTGGTTCCGATGGTGAGGAATCAAGGTTCGCTTGGGTACGGACATCCGGCTGCAAACCCAGTTTTGAACCCCTACTGTGCTGTTGGGGCAAACCAAATGGCACCGGACGCAGCAGCATATGCTCAGTGGCCAAGTGCATCTATGATGTATGCACATTCCTATGACCAGTTTAGGCACGCAGTTTTCCCGGTACGCCTGGAGTTCATCATTTCTTTTTTTTCCTCTGGGTTTGTTACTCGGCATATTCCCCCAATGTAGGCTAACTTAATCATCGGGGTATCTGTTTCCTGCAGGCTCCATTCTGTCAGCAGCCACTGACGTTCGATTACAGTCAAAACCATTAAAATGACAGCAGATCCTAGGTTTGTAATTGTATCGCCAATTAGTAATATGTACTCGTCGAAAACTTTCTCTGTTTAGTAAAAAGAACTGCAGCAGTCGGGTTGCTCGGTTGCGTACCTTCTGTTATCGTTGCTTTTTTCTCTCTTCGTTCCTCTTCCGATGACTTGAAAATTGTAGTAAAAGGACTGTAACCGTGTCTGTCACATCTATGGTTCTGCATCGCGTACCTCTGTTTTCTTACTACTAGTACGCAGGCTTGTGTTTGTTCAAATGGTGTCGCCGTTTTAACCTACTGTTCTCGCCAGGTCTCGCTATGCATCGTAAATCGTTAGTCTCGTCGGTTTAATCTCTTCCTACTGATTTTCGGGTTTATAAGCAGCAAGTACTAATAATTAGTGATTGTGGCGTGCTTGTGTTCAATGATGTTTTCTTGATTTGTTAATGACGACTTGATTGAATGATTTGACTTTTCTTAGATTGCTGTTTTTTTGCCCTTTGGGGTTAGGGCGATGGTGCCAGTCTGGCAAAGGGCACATCCTGTTTCCTTCCTGTCTTTTCTCGGACTTGTTTATATTTAGGCGTCCAATTAGCTGTTGGTGGATCTAGTGATCCTACTTTTTTAAGCTTTTGTTTCTTTCTGTTTTGTGGTGGCATGTGAATTGCCTACTAATTTTTTTTTTCTCCCGCCCATGTCGTTGGTTGTTGTATCTTCTGCCGTTTTTGTTGAAGTTAAGGGCCATACCGAATCATTTTGTGCTACATGTGGCCAGAGTATATCCAATTTTTGTAGTGCTCGCGCTGATTTCGTAAATACGTGCTCATGTATGTCAATGATTTGCGTGTATTTCGTGATTTGTAGTCGTCGTGTGTATTAAAGAAGAGTATGTTCCACTACGAATAGATTTCGTCCACATAGATTGGATAGAGACTTTCATCGTTCTTATGTGGATTACCATGCCCTTTCTGTTTCATAGGAGGGAAATTCCGGGAAAGAGCTTTATTTGAAGTTTTACTTAACGGTAACCCTCATCAACATGAGTATGTATGACAATATCACAACATTTGTACCGCGAACGAGGAAAAGCCCGTCGTTCCTCGCATCATTTTGCATTTTCTTCTTAGCAATAGATAGCTACCGAGAACGGAACATCAGGAGGCCATCTGAGTTCAAATACGATCTTGATCCTCTTCATCGAAGGCTTAATATCTTATCTATCACTTGATTAGTTTCTCGATCACGGTTATATGCCTCTTTTTTTTCTTTCTTTTTTCAATATGTATCACCCGATTTTACATTTTGTGCACTATTTATTTCCTCCACTGCCCCACCTAACCTTGGTTGAAGATCAAATATAGGGCCTCTACGTGATAAAGCTTTTGGGACAAGAATTGAGGCCCTGGGGGGCTATCTCTCAAGACATCCATTATTGCCTATATGAAGTCAGAGTTAAAATGACTGCAATGTGCAATCCCTCTTTTCTTTCTCCTTTTTTGGGGACCAAAGTTGTGGAGTTATTTGAGGAGGGAATCTAACTTTTTTACCCGTATGACAAGCTATCTACTTCTTCCTCCACTTTCTTGATGTGCAATCTGTGATTTTCGTAGGCTATAATAAATAATATTAAAAAAAGAATCCACAAATCAATCGAGAACTCCCCCAAAACAAGAAATAGTGGGGGAAAAAAAGAATTAAACAAGTCACTTCCTTCCTTGTAATATATATTAATTGAGATTAATTGAGTTGATTAATCCTAGGGTGATATCATTTTCTTTCTGATCCTCAATCTTGCTGATCTCCCCACCTCCCTCCCATGTTTATGTCACTACTCGTTTTGGAGTTTGGACAGGAGGCGCGTGCACCCCCATGCACCACGCACCGGTGGTGGTTTGAGTAGCTTTTACATATGTCTAGTAATAATTTCGTTGTATATATAATCACTACTGATCATAATTTCGAAGGAAATTTTTTCAAAAAAAGAAGCAAATATGAAAAGAAATTGAAAAATTGAATCACTGGAGTGGATAGAGAGGATCCTCTGAGATATCATATGAACTGTCGTCTCGATAACTGCATGTTCGTTTTTTTAACCCTCTTGATTTGTCGTCTGGAAACTGGATATTTCATTTATTATTAGTGTTTCATTCATCGTATGGTCATTTATGAAGCTAACCAAAGGAAAATGGGGATTGATTATGTCGAGAATATGAATTGGGTTTGGTTGAAAAACTATCCCTAAACTAGGGATTTGGAGTCACAATCAGTTAGGAGGTTGCGGAGTAAAGGAAGGTAGAAGTAACATGAAAGAGATTATGCTAACTGAGTCTTATGTCTTTCACAGGGCATGTCCGATCATAACATTCGCAAAGGTGCATCGTAAGTCAACTAGAAAATTTCTCTAAATGGTTAATGGAGAAGTCGATTATATCACATATTCGATTTTAAGTTGATGTAATTGTAGTTTCTTAATTGTTAACAGGAGAAAAGAAAGAGAGGGAGGCATATGTGGAATGGAATCCTACCTGCAGGTGGATGAAATTGACTGGAAATCAAACGGATTATTAATTATTAATTAATGGATTAGAAAGCTTTGTGGAAGGGTCGATGCAACCAAATTGGATAAAGACATCCTTGTTTAAGAGCATCGTACAAGAAAAGAAGCCACACATGTGGATTTCAACATCTTGTTCCAATCCAAAGCTTCAATCTTTTTTTCTTTTTCTTTTACTCATATAAAACTGAAACACAAGGAGCCCCATCAAGCTTCGAGTTTTCAGAAACAAGAAGTCAGAAATGGATTTACGATTTTGCCCCTTGCATGGCCATTGTTGGATTGGAGCATCTCAGATTTTTTTTTTGTCCCTCCAAAATGCCATTGTTTGTTGGCACCAACAATGGAACAAAGTGCAAGACTCCAAAGAGGAAAGCAAAGAGCACGAAATGATTAGGGTTTGCTTGAATCTCTTGTTCGTGGTGATTGTTGGGTTGGGATTTGCCGGCCAAGGTAGTAGTTTGCTACACCCTTTTGCTAGTTTACACAATATTTCATTGTCGATTGGGAGAGCGTCGACTTTGTGTTATTGGACGATTCGAGATGTTGTGGTGCAACTAGCTTGTTGTTAAGTTCTTGCAAGAGCATATCTTTTCGCTTGTTTTTCAACACTCTTGAAATACGAATTTTCGGCCTTAGTTTCAATAAGAAAATTTCCTATCACCCTTCAGAGGATAGTAGATATGAAGGGGAGGAGGTGAAGGCAAAGGTTATGCACAATAATATATTCATTGTGTACGAGTTTTCTCTCGCTCTAAGAAACCGAGAAGGGAAAAGAATTAACGACAACTCAAGTTTGATGTAAGTAAGGTTGCTTCATATATACTTGCGGAAAGAGATTGAGAGAATGTCTCGACGCTATCATTCAGAATCACAATATTTACAATCAGTGGCGAAATTTTGATCAGAGCATGTGCCCCCAAATTTGTCTCATTGTCCATTCTCGTCAATAAGAATTGGGGTATGTAAAATTGCAATAGGGACTTGCTTAGAATGACTAAACACAGTACCCGTGTTAAAATACTTGTCTCCAATTCTTTTTCACAATTTGGCAATACAGAATACTCTAGATATAACAAGATTTACATTCCTAATTAAATATGTATATTTGTGGCATAAACGGAGTCGTTTGCTTCACAACTTTGGATTGAGTGAATATACTTATCTTCTTTAGGTCCATGAGAAAAGGGGGGAAAGGGACGAGAATTCTAATTTCCAACGGCGGCGGCGGAGAAGACCTAACAACGAGCGGCGCGTGGAGAACATGCGACGGTGGAAGGGCGTGGAAATATAAACCTGGTAGGAATCTAGCAACAAACACTCACAAAGAGGCACATTTTCATGAATTAATTAATAAAATAATTATGAATACGATCTGATGATATGAAAGAGAGAATGAAATAATCGGGGCGATGATGCGACCCGACCCGCCCCCACAATTCCCCACATATCCCAGATATTAAATTCCACATTTATTAACAACAAATCAAACACCTAGAAAAAAAAACTTGTGGAAATTTTTTAAATTTTATTGTGAAACTCTATAGAATTGTCAAAGACGAATAGTACTTGGGATTGGCCGGATATCTCAATAATCATAAAATTGTTTTACAAGAAGCGAAAGTAAGATTGAGAAGTATTCACATAAAACACAAGTCAAAATTAGATGACTCCTTATGACACGAAATATATTTTTGACATGATCAATCAACTCGAGATTATCTAGACGCGGATGTCGCGCAATTTTTTGTAGTTGTAATATCTCATAAGAAGAAGAAAAAAAATAGTCTCGAAACAAGATTGAAACAGGGTGTCTACAAATCCAGGGATGCAGCGAGATGAAATGAGATCCACACTTGATGCTTGTGGGACGCGACTAGTACTCGTATGAAATGAATCGAAACTGATCATATGCATAATATGCGCGCGGATCAGATAAAAATTGAGATAGATTTAAGAACCCCATACTCGTCACTACAGAATGATTTGAGACACGGGCAAGAGCCGAGCACACGAAACGGAGCGTGAGGAAACAGATTTCGCCTCTCGCGCTACCCCTTGATGCTCGCACTTGTAATCTTTCAAATACTCGAGGAAACATATACGAATACAAGAACGAAGCAAAACAAATCTGATTACGGAGCTATATATATTATTATTATTATTATCCTTCCCAAACATGTTGATAGGTTGGAAATCATTTAACAATGAAGCCAAAATCGGGGCAAAAAGGAAATGGGAAATTAATAAAAGCAGAGCATCAGCCAACAGTACTCTCTAAAAATAAAAAAGCTGGAACAGAAAGAAAGCCAAACAAACAAGATCCACCTCGATTCGAACATCTCTCCTCCTCCTCCTCCTCTTCACTCCCTCCGCCGTCCCAATCCCAATTCTCCTCCGCCTTCCACCGCCGCTACACTCTGTAGTCAAAGAGAGAGGGAGACGACTGAGAGAGAGAGAGAGGTCGAGGATTTCACCGAATAAAGAAGGAAGAGCTAAAAACCAAACCAGCTATGAGGGAGGACGATTCCAATTGGTTCGCTCGATGGGAAGAGGAGCTTCCCCCGCCGGACGAGCTCATGCCAATCACTCAAACCCTAATCACTCCCGATCTCGCCCTCGCCTTCGACATCCGGAATCCCACCAACTCCTCCGCGGCAGCGGCCAGCAATTCGCTCCACCAGAATCAGAATCAGCCGGTCCCGCCGCCGCCGCCGCCGCCTCCTCTACCGACATCCAGCGGCTTGCCTTCTCCCAACGGGAACCCTTCCCTGGCGACTTCGCAGCACAACTCGTCCGAATTCGCCGCCGACTCCTCGGCGGAGCTGGGGTCCGGCACCGGGGGGGACGAGCCGGCAAGGACGCTGAAGCGGCCGAGGCTGGTGTGGACGCCGCAGCTCCACAAGAGGTTCGTGGACGCCGTCGCGCACCTGGGGATCAAGAACGCGGTGCCCAAGACGATAATGCAGCTCATGAGTGTGGACGGGTTGACTAGGGAGAATGTCGCCAGTCATTTGCAGAAATACCGGCTCTACCTCAAGAGGATGCAGGGGTTGTCTTCCGGCGGCGGGGGAGGCGGCGGCGGGAGTGGCGGGGGGTTGAGTGGTGGTTCGTCTACCGTTGGTGTGGATGCCGCTACCGACCATTTGTTCGCGAGTTCCCCTGTCCCGGCGCATTTCTTGCATCCCGGTAGGCCGCCTAATTCCGATCATTTCTTGCCGTTTGTTCCTGTTAGCGCCCTTCAGCATCACCACCACCAGCAGATGGCGGTGGCTGCCGCAGCGGCCGTAGCTCATCCGCAGCTGCAGGGTCAGTACCATAGACAGCTGGGGCATTTTGGGTCGCCGCCCAATGGGCAATTCGATCATCCGTTCCTGTCTAGGCCGGCGGCGCAGCAGCAAGCTGTGCATAGAATGGGACCGCCGGTGCACAATGCGGCGGTTCCAGGGTATGTGGAGGATTTGGAGTCTGCAAATGGAAATGGCGGAAGGAAAGTTCTCACTCTGTTCCCCACTGGAGATGATTGAAATTGAGCTCTACTGATGGGGGTTCTAACTTCCCATGTTCATCAGTCTTCTGTTAATTGGTAATTAATGGTAACCGCTTCTTACATTCTAATTTTAGGTTCGTTCATGGTGGTTTGTTCTGTTCTCCATTGTGGAAAATTCTTCAAGCACTACCAAGGGGATAGTACTTCAGTAGCTCATCGGTTGGGGATTTGGTTGTTGATGATGATTATTAACCTCTTCTAGTGGCAATCCTTTGAACCGAGCTGCATGTGGATATCTGCTGGTTCCATCTAAAGTTTTGGACGGCAGTCTATAAGTCCACCCTCATGTCACATTGCGGAAACATTTCGGCCACAGTAACAATCTAAGCTTTGCTGTGGCAACAACCATGGTCATCAGTCTTGTCGTAAAGAGGTCCATATGGGATTCGATAGAGCGCGGTATAGTACATTCGAAGGCTTGCTTGGTCTTCTTATTACTCCATAAGAGTTGTTCTCAAATTTTCGTGGTGGAATGTGCAGAAGAAAGCAATTTTCTGTACCTGGGGCTTGAAGACGAGTTTCGCGATATTTCTTCCATAAGTGCAATATATGTCATGTAGAGAGAGGTCTAAATGTGAAGTTTTCAGCTTTGCTGTTAGCGGCTGCCTCTTTGATTGTTAGTTCAGTGTAATGTAGAGGTGACTTGTACTTATTGTACATTGTGGAACTTCATAGAAGACCCCACATGAGATTGGGTTTTTCTTTCCTCACAATTCTGATATATTAGAATGTTAAATGTAATCTTTATGCTCCTTGCATGTTCAAGCAGCTCAACTCTATTGCATTGCATTGTTGAATAGTAGAATAGATAGGTTCTTAATGTACGAGCAAGATATTCATTCACACTCGGAATGTGAACACCATATCTATAGCTTTCAGATAGTTCTGGGCGTATGCCCTTCAGCATCTCTCTTTCCTGGCTATGGTACTCCCTTGTGAGACAAACTCCGAGACCCTGCTCGTGTGTGTTTGTTGGTGGTAATGCTCAAATCGAGCTAGTCTCTTTGCATCTGGTAAGTGCAGTCTGAGTTCAGAAGCAAACCTATATCTGTCAAACTATATGGGAGCACTTATTGGGTACTTCTTTTACTTCTGCACCAATTCCTTTCTTCAGTACAGGTACTTCATATATTTGTACCCCGAACTTCTGCACCCGAAGCAGGTGTAATGGGATCTTGAATAGTAGCTTACGATTTGAAATATCTGTACTTCTGCAGATTCAATCTATTTTCAAGCTGGTGTCCTGTGTTTGAAATCGCTTCAGTTTCTCTCTCCTGGCTGATTTATTGCTTGTGACCTGTCTAGATTCCTAAGGGAAACTTTGCCACCCTGTTTGCTTTCTAAATAAACTTTGCAGCCTCCTAAATCATAACATATGTTGATGGATTCCATATCTGATCTGATTGTATCTCCATAATGAATGTCAACTCTCATGCTGTCTTGATTGCAAGTCTCGCGATCTGGACAATTACACAACAAATAATGCTTTGTAGTACTAGTACTTGTTGTGTATCTAAGGAGAGGGAAGAAGAAGCTGCACAACAGCATCAATGTTGGCAATTGGACAGATCAACATGTTCCTTATTAACTTGCTTCCAGTTGTACATACTATGATGCACCATATCTCTCCTCCACTTTTGTAGGATATCATGTGAAATCCTCTCCTTATCTATCTATCTAATCTCAATCTAAATCTTTTATGCACTTGTTTCCCTAATAGAATAGAATATTCTAATGGTGGGTGAGTTGCAAAATGGGATGCAGATGGGTGCTGGAATCTTGTTTTCTGTCAGGGGAACACACTGGACAGAAAGAAATCCTTTTATTATTGATGATCATGATCATGATGATGGAGAAGAGGGAAAAAGCAACCAGGCAGGCAATAAGGGAAAAAAGAATGGATTTTGTTTAGTGAATCCATTCATCCATCCATCTCTCTCTTCCTCTCTCTCTCTCTGCCATTCTGGTAAGTAAAGAAAGTACATATCTTTATATATTCATTGATAGATCAGATGAAGAAGCTGAGTTGTTTTTGTTTGGTTTCTTTATAAAGTAGGAAGCAAAGCATGCATATGCTTGTGGTGTGGCCATAAACATTGTTATTTTAAGGGTGGTGGAGCAGAAAAGGTTTGTTTTAGGTGCAGCTGCTGCAAGTGGAATAATGAGGTTAGAAGGGTTTGCTTGTACTGTACTGTACAACTGGTTTATGAATCACAGCTTGGGAGCAAATTCCCAAGCTGCTGCCATGGCTACTAGGGGAAGAATTAGACAGAGGGTTGTTGGCATAGCATGCGCCAAGTTCATTCATACTTGTTCTCTTTCATCTGTATTTCTGTTCCAGCTTTATGGTATGGGGGCTGTCTCTTTTAACTAACCTTTACTTTCTTTTCTTGGATAGTTGAAACAAGGCTGGAATTTTTTATTTTTTTTGAAAAGTTTATGTTGTTTTCATAGTTTAATCATAACAATAATCTTCTTGTTATTGTTTGTTTGTTATGGTTTAGTATAATGATGACATTTATAAAATAATGAGCCACTCACTGCACTTTGTTGCTTTTGTTAGGCTAGATTCGAGTTTATGCTATTTTCGAGTTTTTTTAGGTCTTCTCTCTCTCCCTCTTGTCTCATAGTTTCTCTTTAATACTTGTGAAATCGTAACGTATTATATCAATTCTAGTTATACATACAACATAATGAAGACAACACTAATACTTCGTTATATTCATTTCATTACAAGCTATCTTGTATTGTGATTTTTTCTTTAGCCGTTGTGAAATCGTTGCAGGACTCAATCGTGTAAGTTCATTTTATTTATCACTTGTCATACTTCAAATAGAAAAGTTTACTTGGTGGATTAATCAACCATGGGATTCTGAGTTATTGTGGATTTCTTATTCTGATTTGACATTTCTCATTTGGTTGTTGTTGTAGGTTCCACAAGATTTCTGTTTCAATTTTGGAAGTTAGTGTTACATTGACATTTGTGACCCAGGTGGGGAGGGAACATGGGCTGGTGGGCTTTGTCTCCTGCCGTAATGAGGCCCTACCTGCCTGACCCAGGCCTACTCACTAGATTGACTGACCCGGCTCCTTTTTCAATTGGGCTTTTTCTGAAAAGTGGGCTACATTTATTCTCGTCTTTTACCAAGAGTAGGTAAGGGGAGAAAAGAGTGTCAGTTCTTGAACCCAACACATGGTCATGGTTGTTAAGTGCCGTCAGATCAAAGCAATCTTCTGGTCCCCTTTTTTTTAGTTTTTGTTTATATTTGAGTTATTACTATAGTTATATGTATGATTGTGACACATCATGAGCCGCCCACGAGGTAGTACGGTACGATACGATTTGAGATATGTGGCGAGCTAAATATGAGCACGAATATTTTATGGACGGTAAGATTTAAACTTCATAAATATGAACGGTATGATTTGTAATTGAGTTTGTGTCGGGCATAATAATTTTTTTTGAAGCCATTGAATATAGACACGCTAAAACTTGCAAAATATACTTTTTCTACGGAATATAAATTGAATTATGAGTTCATAAAATACGAAATATAGTCACATAAATCATGGTATTAATAAGGGATTGCATCAAAAATAAAATGCTTGAGAGAACCGAAAAAGCATGTGGAAACCGAATCGCTTCTGTATTTCCAATTTTCTTCTTCCTCTTACTTGTTACCTTTCTCAAATCATACCACTTATCAATTTCATTCCCTTCCCAATTTGCTCCAGTTTCACTCCCAGTTTTATTTTCTTCCTTTCATTAAGTATGAATATGAACGAGGCATAAGAACAAGTAGGTATGGCATGATTCGAACTGTGCTCATACCCAGATCGAATTGATGAAATTTTGTATACTGGGTGGACACAAAAACGAAAACTTATATGGCATTGCCAACACACAACATGAAAAAACCCCGGCTTAAGGCGAGCTCATGTTGTGCCGGCCCAAGCACTACCCAATGCTTGAGTACATGTATGATGGCGTCGGGTGCATTTTTCAAATGTGATCAATAGTGCCTAGGGTTGGCCAAACATTGATATATTAATTGGATGAAAATGATCCAGTTATGAGATTTTTTCAATAATTAGTAGCTTATATTTCCCACCAAAGTGTTAAAGTGTTAAGAGAGCAAAAACATGGTTCTTATTTGTTAGAATTCTGCTGGCTGCAAAACATTTTCTTTTTCTTTTTCACATAATTTGGTTTCGAGCCTTTGACTAGTCAGTTGCATGAAAAATTGGTGGCCGGAAAACGTCCAAAAAGGACAAATAGAGTTCAGACGACCGGCCAGAAAGGAAAAACCGTTTACTATTAATTACATTCTGATCACCATATTGTAGGTTATTATAAGATCGGGTTCTTATACTTTCATCGATTCACAACTGAAGTCCCTACTTCTTCTTTTCTCTCTGAATTGGTCGATTTGTTAGGTAGAATGGAAAGAAATGAATTTGTCCTTTCAAGACATTATAGTTTATTTTGATATATTGTGAATGTGCTTAGTGAAATGGAACTTGCACTTAGGTTATATTTGTATTTTTTTTATATGTGTCAACGTTTTGTAGTCTTTGTAATCTATATTGGTTTGGCTCTAAATTCGTGCAATTGTTTCCTACACATAAAGGACAAGAAATGAATTTCCATGTGCAAAATGAAGATAACAAACGATGTCGATGGAAGGTGATTTAAGTATCGTATATGAGAAAATAATTCATATAAACTAGATAGACAGATATTGTAAATTGAAAAAATATAAACGTGAAGTTGTACATGAGTTGGGTGGTGAGTAAAATCAAAATGTTGAACCGGATGGACCGATGGTGATGACGTGAATTTGTGGTATAGTCTGATGTCAAATCCAAAAAGAAAGTAGTAAATATGTTTGACAAGTTGGAGGGTGACAAGAGTATAACACATCATTCTCTATATATCAAAGAAGAAACGAGGAATACCTCGCGAATTGGTGTCATGAACAAAATAAAACAGTGATCCCAAATAAAGCAATACTTTAACTTACTTCACTTACTTTCCATTTTCATTTATCATGTCCATAAATAAGGTCTAAACTATAACTCGATATTAGAACTAGTAACATCCCTTATAAACACTCGCTGAAGCGAGTAAACGCGTTTTAACTCTACATTAACAACAACTACATTGAAGTATTTACCATGAGAGTTGACATCCCCACAATCACAAGCAATAAAAACTAGATTAGTAAAATGTAGTAGTGACCAAAATGTGGAATCTCCTTACCCCATTTCATACGTTACTTTCTTTTTCCCCTATTTTGGGATTTTCTTTCCTTGATTTTGCGTGAAGCTAACGGCTTGCCTTCCCGTGCCACTACAAGCCTTTTACAAACGTGTTTGCTCCTTTCTGCTTTCTTCATTTTCTGATTATGAAGAAAATTCAATGACCGATTTGTTAGTCTCTCGAAAGTCAATGATGATCTATGTTATTTTCCCGTATACTAAATTATCCTCTAGATTATAATTTCTCCACCTCAATCCTATCGACCTTAATAAATCCACAATAAGCAAGTATCAAAACACTCCAAATACGCAATTTCACACTTAATTGCTTCCTTAATTTGTTAATTACCCACTAAAACCCCATCAGAAGAAGAAGTCTCTGGAGAGTCGTCTCCTCCGCCTATTTCCTCTCCGCTTCCTTCCTTACTTCCCGTCCTGCCTAAATTTTCCGATCGCGGAAAGCTTCTTCCAAATCAATTCAGTCTTCTAACAATGGCGGATTCCGTCCTCGAACCTCTCCCTCCTCCTCCGCCAATCTCCGATGCCGATTCTCTCCTCGCTCCTCCCCTCGACCCGCTCTTCTTCTCCTCCTCCTCCTCCACAAACCCCGACCAACACGGCTTCATCCCTTCCGATCTCCCCTCCTTCGATTTCGACGGCGGTTTCGATGTCAACTTCGATTTCGACGCCTTCCTCGACCCACTCTACTTCCCGCCCGAGACCGAGTCCTTCCCTCTACCCGAATCCGGCGGCACCATCGCACTGGAGGCTGGCGGATCGCCGGAATCGGATAATTCGGTGGTTTCTGGTGGCGAGGGTGATGGTTGCTCTGACGTGGGGAAGTATTTCAACCGCTCGCCTTCTCGTGCCGGGAGTTGCGATTCCGATGAAGGGAGTACGGCTTCAGGCGCTGCTGCAGCTGTAGGGATCGCGAATTGTACGGCTGCGTCTCCTGCCTCGTCGCATGGTTCTGGAAGTGGAGGAAAGTCTGATGCTTCCGAGACGATGGATGCGTCTTCTCCTGATTCGGGGACTTTCCCGGTGAAAGATGAAGATGCGAATGCGAAGAAGAAGAGGAGCGGCGGCGGCGGAGCGTTGCCGAAGAGGAAGAAGGATGCGAGTCATGATGGGTCGGCCAGAAGGCAGAAATGTAGGGTTTCTGAGATTCCCAAGTCGAATTCTTCGTCTCAAGGGAGCGATGCAAAGACTGAGGAGTGCGGCAGCTTTGGGCCTTTCGGTGAAGAAGATGAGAAGAAGAAGGCGAGGTTGATGCGAAACCGGGAGAGTGCGCAGCTGTCGAGGCAGAGGAAGAAGCATTACGTGGAGGAGCTGGAGGACAAGGTGAGAGCCATGCATTCGGCAATTGCTGACTTGAACGGTAGAGTTTCGTATTTTATGGCTGAGAATGCTAGCTTGAGGCAGCAATTGGGTGGTGGTAATGGCTTGTGTCCACCACCTATGTATCCACCGCCGATGGCTCCCATGCCTTATCCATGGATGCCCTGTCCTCCTTATATGGTTAAGCCTCAGGGTTCGCAGGTTCCCCTGGTTCCTATCCCTAGATTGAAACCACAGCAGCCAGCGGCTTCTGCTAAATCCAAGAAGGGTGAGACGACGACGAAAAAGTCTGAGACCAAGACTAAAAAAGTTGCTAGTGTTAGCTTTCTGGGTCTGCTCTTTTTCATTTTGATGTTTGGTGGGCTGTTGCCTGTTATCAATGTTAAGTATGGAGGACCTGGGGAGAATGTAGCTAGCCGGTCTGGTGATAGTTTTCTGGATCAGCATTTTCGTGGTAGAGTGTTGGTAGTCGATGGGCATTCGAATAGATCTAGTGACAACAGCCACAATAGAGTTCACTGTGAGAAAAGTAAGAGTGGAGGTGCAGAGCATATACCCAAACCAGGTGGTTTTGCATATCCTGATAACTCAAGCGAGCAGCTTCATGCATCCTTGTATGTGCCACGGAACGATAAGCTTGTGAAGATTGATGGGAATTTGATAATTCACTCTATTCTGGCTAGTGAGAGAACAGCAACAACAGGATCTAAGGAGAAGAAGACAACTGAATCAACACCCATGGAGACGAGTTTAGCAATACCTAAGGATTTCTCGGGGGCTCTTGCTATCCGTGATGGAAACAACAGGGGTAGGTTCTATAGGACTCCTGCTGAGCAACAGAAGGCCATTGGTTCTAGATCAGCTGATAATTTGAAGGAACAGTTCAAGTCTTCTGCTGCTGATGGTAAACTGCAGCAGTGGTTCCATCAAGGTCTTGCAGGTAAACATATAAATCATTGATTGGTAACCGATGATTGTCTCTAGCCATTTCTGATGCATATGTAACATGTTCGTTCATATAGTAGTGTGATTCTGCTGTCTAATTCTTGACTTGTAAAACTTGCTCAAGTATGTTTTCTCCCCCCTGAACCTAAGTGCTTAGTTAATGGATCCTCAGGCAACAGTTGACATGTTCTGTCCTAACTGTAAGAGAATAAAACTTAGTTTCCCATTTCTCAATATTCAATGACTTAGAATGCATGCTACATGTTACCATGAGCCTAAGATGTATTTAGGTTTAAGGGCTTCTAAATTATCACTTGTAATGATGGGTGTTGGATCCTTGAGATGCAAATAAAATCGGGGTTTCTAATGTATATACTTAGGAATTGACTTATTGTTTCCTTATTCCTGTTGCAGGGCCAATGTTGAGTTCAGGAATCTGCAGTGAAGTGTTTCAATTTGACGTTTCACCATCTCCTGGAGCCATAGTGTCTTCTCCACCAGTCACTAATCTCACCAGAGAACCTCACCAGAATGCTACTCCGCCCTCCGACAAGAAAAAACATAGAAGAATCCTCCATGGCCTTCCAGTGGTACCCTTCCCCGGTTCAGATCTCAATGTCACTGGAGAACACAAAGGGAGAAAGAACGAGACTTTCAACATTCAAGGTAATAATAGTAAAGCACCAGCCTCTTCAATGGTTGTCTCCGTGCTTGTTGATCCCAGAGAAATTGCGGATACTGAAGTTGATGGTGTCTATGTCCCGAAGTCGCTCTCCCGGGTGTTTGTTGTCGTACTAGTGGACAGTGTCAAGTACGTCACTTATTCGTGCATGCTTCCCCGCTCTAGTCCTCACTTGGTAAGAGCTTGAAGATACGGTAAGAGCCTGAGGAGTCGCAGAACTGAGAACGTGTACTGCAGGCCTACAGTTTTGTATATAGAGAGAAAAAAAATAGAAAATCTAGCATCAACGATCTATAAGAACCCTAACCCTGTTTTCTGCACCCTGAATGTCTGCCTCTGTACCTCGAACGTTGCGAGAGTCCCTTATCGAAGTGGTTGCTTAATGTAGGTGTTGGTTTCTGGGATGGTTAGTTTGTGATAGGAGAGAACACTTAATTTGTTGGCTGAAGTATTGTATCGCTGCCGTTATGGAAGCATAATGTCTGCCTTTCTAATACAAGAACATTAATAAGCGTTTTTTTCTGATTCCTCGTGGTTGTTTTCGAAGAGCTTGAATCCGCAGATTGATCTCTGTCTAATTGGTAGTTAACTCATTGAGAAAATAAGCTGATGAAAGGATCGTAAATAGAATAGGAGAGTTGGGAGTTTTCTGCACCATTTTGGTCTCACAAAATAGCTTGAGCCATCTGCATAAGTGCATCCTTTGGCTGTCAAATGGAGCTCTGAGAAGCTATGAGCGAAAGATAGAAAATATGATACGGCATTTGGTGAAGTCAAAGGAATTACAAGTTGTAAAGAGTACACAGCATATATCCCAGCTGCTGATGCATCCTTAAACAACATCTAGTCTGGGCCTCCTGTAAATCCTAATCTTCTGCTACACTAAGCTCTACCAATTACATCTCTAGCGAAAGCTCCCCGTTCTCTGCGCAAGAGAGATCCCTTCTGCAGGAAAGGTTTCGAGCACACTCTTTTCTCTGTTGAAGAAACATAACATATATGGGTTTTTAGATGTTTTCTTCAAACTGCAATCCACCACCCATTCTGTTTGCATCCCCTCACGTCTGAAAAGGCTCAGTTTTGGTCTCGTTAGGGAGTGCTCCGTTGCTGGTGAGCATATTGTCACTACTCCTCACCCTTCGGTAGAACAGTACATATGCAGCAGCTGATTTCACGTCGTCCTCGTTTATGAGCGAGATATGGCTGTCATCGAAGTTGTACCATTTGTTTTCTTCCAGGAGCTGCAGGTAAATACCAGACAAGAATAGATAGGCATCACAACAATGATTACACACTCAGGTTGGAAAAGTGGACTGAAGTTCAATTTTATTCTAACCTTGATATGCGCGGTGTAGTGCCCACTCCCCATGCCGCCATAATGGTTGGTCAGAGCATACAGTTCATAGAGCTGACGTCTGGTGCTGTTCTTGTTGGCTACATAGTTTGTCAGATCAAAGTCCCGTATCGGAAAGTTGACGAAGGTTTCTAGTTTGTGTTTCATCGACCTGCTGTATGAGAATCTCTTCAAATGGATCACCAGCACTTCTGGAAGTCTCCACAAATCGAGCTTCTTGCTTGCTTGTCGCCGTTCTTTGCACTGCGGACAGTACCTTTAACATGTGTGCATTGCTATTACTAAAACTTCAATTTTGTTCAAGGGACATATATACCAATGGTCACCGGTCACTCACAACTTTGATCTTTCACTGACTTGCTACTCATGTTTAGAATCACTAAAATGGCAGTCATCTTCATCAAGTTTTATGACCAGATTATAGACTCAACGGTGTATGGTCCCAAAACAGACCCATTTCCAATCTACATCATCCAGAACTACTTTCATAATTCCTTCCGCTACCCAACAACTAATCTGAGAGGCTTCACCTAACCTCTTTTTAGTTTTTATACTAACTTGGTGAGTTGGTGCAATAATGTAGAAATTTTGGAGAAAAAAACTTGAAACAGAATGATTGTTATAGCTATTCCGAACTTCAGTGGAAAGTAAGTTAAGAAATAAAGTTTAGCAAACCAATTTGTTCGTAATCCCAAAGTCTTGTGACCAGTAATCGACTCTTTGGTTAAATGAAACAATAGTACACGAATGAAAATGCAGAGGAAGCCATCTTCAGGGGGAGGTATTAGCTATAGCAGAGGAAAGGAGAATATACTAACCACATGTCTTCAGGAACCAAGGGCTCTTCACGCAGGAAACCTTCAAGACAAGTGTACAAAGAAAGGGGCTCTGTACGAGCTTTCTTACTCACATGTCCATACTTAAACACTTCCGGCAAGTTCTCAAAGTAGTTAGTATTGCATTTCTCAATGAGATCTCGAGACCAATCAACATAGACCACTGCTGGAGCTGATGATGTTGCAACTCTAACAGATTTCCCTTCTTTGGACGAGAGATCGATCAAGTCGTTACTCCCATTGGTCATTTGTAGAGAAAATTTCAATGACATTGTCTTTGAAGGACAACCATTGGTTTTTACTACGTCTGCCACATGATCGCCACAAATGTCACCATCCGTGTCTTGTGTCAAGTTTTCCCCTCCAAACCATGGTAGAATAATCTTTTGCACTTCTCTCTGTATATCTCCTCTGGTAACTGAATCTTCGTATGGAACGGATGTAATGAGAGGAACTCCAAAAGCATTCCACTGAGATGATAAACTGTTATTTCCGGTTCCCCTAAAGTACACAATACCACAATGTTGACTAGTGAGAACTACAAATATGGCTTTGTTTGTTTGAACTTATTAAAGAAAATAGTGGAATGACTATTTTTCTTTTTTAAGCAAAAGCTTAAACACACACACTATATATATATATATATGTATAGCTAATGGGATTATTCAAAACAAGGGTAACAGAACATACTGGGGTCTGCAGCGGTGAATCAATCGAAGGAGAAGCGCATTCTTTGAAAACTTTGGAATCTTATAGGCAGCTATACGATCGTCGTCTTTGATTGAGGATAAAGGCATACAAGGATCGTCTAAAAATCTATGGAACTGATGATTACGCACCTGCAAGAATTTTCTTTCGCAAATAAGCATTGAATATAATAGGTAAGATTTGCAGGTATGATCTTAATGTCAATGAATCTTACAGACCTCGGCAAGTTTAAGCTCCTCATGAGTCTTCAAGGAACAAGCGGTGCTAACTGCTTGGATCAAGTCGCGGCACCATCCATGCTTTGGCACGGACACAGTGCAGGGAAATGGCGAGGTAGTCGAGTCGAAAGTGAAGATTGTGAGCGTCATAGAACGGGTGGTGGCGGATTGGAGAGGCAAGGAAAGGTACATGAAGGGATCAAAAGTAACGGATATTTTGTTGCATACTGGACAAACCAGAGTTGACTTGTATTGACCCTGTTCCAATAAAGGAAATGTTCAAAGGAGCTTGCTTTAGAAAAAAAGCTCAGCAGTCGGAAATCACACAGCATAAGACCACTCGTGAGCAATGTTGTTGCGAATCAGATGTCCGAAACATAGCAAGATCTTCAGAATTTATAAGTTCAGTTGTTAAATCTTACCTGGCAAACATCAACAATTATAGAATCGTTTCGAGCAATATGATTTGCCCAGTACTCATCAGCAACTTCCTCATCAGGACGCCCATCTGCATCTCTGGACTTTATATATGGCTTCTGTTTAACGCGATTCAGATCTTCATGGAGACCATCTAAGAGAAAGGCTAAAAGTTCCTGAGAGAATAATATATAAATGGTGAAGAAACCAGGAAAAACTTTCCAAACACATAAATATGTGGCTGTGTAGGTTTACAAACCTGAGAATCATGCTGATTATAACCACTAAATTGAGGAGCAAAGCGAGCAAGCTTTGCTTTGAATGGGCGAGGAGCTATTGGTGTTCGCCCGGGTGCCCAGAGCTTCCGCAATAAATCACCAAATGCTAAAGCCAGCTCACCCTAACAAAAGAAACAATCAAGCTCTGTGAATTAATATGCATTGCACATAGTTCACTGCAAGTTTTGCCAAGTACACAGAATTTTATCACAACAAAAGGTATATGCAACATATATCGACTTCATGATAGATATTTCTAAACAAAACTCTATGGACAAAAAAAAGAAGACATTGGACGTCTGGGACTTTTCAAGATAGACAGCAACCATTGCTGTACCTTAGACGAAGCATCCCAATATGAGCACGTTCCAATGCCTTTCGTTGTAGGTTAATCAACGGCAATTCTTGCCAAATAAGTAGAACAACCAGCAGAATACTAGAGTTTCTAATATGCTATTGGAAAACCTAATACACATTGACTTTGAGTTGACCAATTTCAGCCATAGCTACTAGAATCATGAATATTTACAATGACCACGAGCAACAGCTCATCTTCCGGCTTCCAATATCCTTAGCATAGCACTAAAGGGAACACATCAATGTATGAGTGACTCGATGAGTGAATTAAATTGACAGAGATAACTCCTTCAAAAAGGGGTTTGGACCTAAATCAGTATTTATCAGAGTAAGAGCATTACCAGATTCATACTGAAATATTTGCAACGTGTCATCAGTAAGACAAGTATTAAAGTATTTTGAACTCACCACCATGCCGAAGGGATTTTGCCAATTTATCTCTCGATGATAATCTTCTCGAAAATATTTAGCGAATTCAGGGGTATGAACAAGGCACTGTATTGCACTATTCATAAAACATGTATTGCCAAGGTTCTGCAACCCAGTAAGGCCAACATAAGAACCCCTTGTACTAACACCGCTTATCCCGTATGTGTTATCCAACTCCCTAACCGTCAACGTCATGTTCTGAGCTTGGGAAATCTCTGAGCTGCAGCTTCGAGAAGCACCTTTGCTTGCAGGGAAACCTCCTGCAATTGATAAGGTCAACTTAGATGACTCTAAAAGAATCGAAGTAGCTTCCTTCTTGGCAGATCCATTGTTGTGAACAGAACTCATATAACCACTCAATGCAGTACCATTGACATTGCTAAGAACCTCCACGAGAATCTGTGCAAATATTTGCAGAAAAAAGGGGAAAACAAAAGAGGAAGATTACTGAGATTCAATTTTGGAAAGCAATTATTAAAAAAATTATGCTAGCGAGAGGGACATACTATTGGACACATAAGAAGCCTGTTCTAACATTTTAAACATTTAGTCGTGTTTCGGTCTTGCAGCATTATACTGAATATGAGCTTCCTTGAAGTTTCAGTGACAGGGATCCATGCTTGGTTTATTAAAACAGTCACTTCAGGGTAATTGAAACCAAAGTATAGCTAGAACCACAGCGATGGTTAAAATCACTGTATCAATCAATTCAGAAAGTGAACATGAGACAAGAGCGGGGAAGGGGACAAGGAGAAGTGTAAGTCTGAACCCAAACAAATAAAAGCCTAGTCTAAACTTCAGCTCTCTTGCAACTTGAGAAAGTCGGTATTTACTTTCAGATATTATCTTAGACTGTACTTTTGCAGGCTGTCATTCCATTCCTAACTTTGTAGTATTCAGGCAGCAGTACTAGGACTTATTGGTCAGGATTAGGAGTCTTAGTCACCTTAGAACTGGTTCCAACTTCCATGCAGTAAATACTTAAATACTCGCTAGTGGGGTAGTGCTAACTTTACCATAATGACATACCATTTCGCAATGCCGGTTAACAGTTCTCTTTTGAGTTAGAAATTATCTCCTTAAACCTCAAAACACGATATCCTTACAACTCAAACCCTTAGCAGAAGAATTTCCTAAACCAAATTTGAAAAGAATTACTGAATCTGTTATATACTTCACCCTTCCAGTTCATAACCAAGGTTCCCAACTAACTCAAATCCATCTCTCATCTAAAAGCAGTCCCAATTGCAAAACAAAATCGTACTCATTCTTATTAGATTAAAGAACAAAATATCCCCTAGCATAACATGTGGTTTTAAGAACACAGAAACACTACCCAAACAGCTGAAGTGACTTTAGTGAGAAACTAGATTAATAAACCACATAAATACGACTGAATTCGAAAGAAATCATCACATGCTGAAATGGAACCGAACCACCAAATGTGTATCGAAACAATATACAAGTAACAAGAGAGAAGACTCACATCTTGATCCATTTGTATGTTAGCATCATCAAGTGTTTTATCCATGTCATTCATCAAAGCATGCTTCCGGTGGCCATAGTAATCCCATATGCACACCTGTATCGTCAAAATAGAAGAGAAGCAAAGTTCACAACACATATAGCACATCTTATTCAGTAGAAGCTCCCAAAAGCATGGGAAGGGAAATATAGTCTTTACTTGTTCTGCATTAAGATAAAAAATCTCACAAGCTCTTCTATGCAGCTCCCCTATAGTTTCCTGCAAATGCCAGTCAGCGGTCAAGAATCGTGAACAACACATATACTGAAGGACCACTAAGTAAGATGTGATATGCCAGTAACAAGTTTGGAGGGAATACTCGTAGGATGCCTTTAGTCAGATCTGACAAAATTACACTATCATTATTCATTTTTTAGGTGAATTGATCCACATATATCGGTAAGGGTGATAGTGGAAAGGATAGAAGCTCTGGTGATGATATGCCCAAGGTTGAAAGATGATATGCGTAGAATTTTGATAAGGACATGGCCAATTTGGATATGTTCTTCCCTAATTATGTTCCAGATAAGCTTTAGATGTTAAGTGCACATAGAAGAATGTCAGATCAACAATCTTCAATCATGAACCAAAGGTGAAGATAGATATTTCAAGATTTAAAGTCAGTAATGAGAACGTCTAGCTCTACCTTCTTGCTTATTCTTATAGTTGACCGATCACCTTTGGGCATAACCAACAGCTGAAGACGGAGAGGATACACCTCTACAGATAATTCTGTCTGAGAGAGGCCTGAACTGATTACTTTGCGTGCCAATGGTGGACCACCTCCGTACCTATATATTTAATAAGCACTAGCAGTGACACAGTAGTCCTTCAGATGTATCATCATATATCTCGGCAGAAAAAAAATGGCGCAACACCTTATCAAGCAAAACAAAGCTCCTAATTTTTTCCACTTACAATGGACAGACTTACTACAAACTATAAATTCTAGGTTGTGAGGGGGTTGATAAAAAACAAACACACAATGACATGTGACTGAATCTTACACAAATGAGTTAACAGCGACTCACCAGGAATATAGCTGATTCCAGACATCCTGTGGAAGCAGTACATAATCACGCCCTTCTAATAAACTATCATGGATCTCAATGCTGCCATTGCCATCATGAGATGTTGAATCATATATCAGATCAGAATTGTCAATACCAGCAGGCCGCTTTGAAGAACTCACGGTGTCGGGATGATTATTCAACGTCGAGGATCCTTCATTTGTACCATTTTGCTGCTCTTGATTGACATATTCTATCCAATGCTGCCACCATCTTCTAGTAAAAAGAATCCGGAAACCATTATCAAGTACCAAAAACAAAGGTCAAGCTTCCCCATGAATGTCTAAAAACAATACTCATTTACTGATGAAAACAGCCATAAGAACTCGTTTATACCAGTACACAGACCAGTGCCTTGTAATTAGCATAGTCTACTAGATGCACACACCATTGTTTCTTACCAAACTCATCTTTGTCACCTAGCTCGCTTGTTGCAGCAGTAGCAATCAAACAGAGAAAGAAGCAATCCACATTTTCCAAAAACAGTCACAGAAGGATAGCTTGAACTAAACTGAAAAGAGATTCATGTCTTCCTAACTTGTTATCTATCTCCTTATCAAAACTCTCTCCTCTGAAAGCATTCGGCAATCAGGCAATCCCTAATACCCAAAAACACCTTCCACCGACATTCCACTAAATTCAATCTACCACAGAGATAAGCATGCCATCTTCCAGTCAAGAGGAAAAGATGACAAGTTCGGAGCTTTCGAAATGGATAAAAGAAAGAGTCGGTGGAACCTTGAGAACACACCTCTGGGTAATTAAAAAGAAATCGTCCCCTTCTTTGCTGTTGGCTTCGGCGGCGAGCGCAATATCGCGAATCAGAACCCTCTCTTCCTCCGGCGATAGCTCTGCGGCGCCGTTGCTGCTGCACATCGACACATCGGCCATCGGTCCGGTGGCGGTTGATCTGAGACCAAAGGCGACTTGCAGCAGCTTTTCTCTGCTCTGGGTTCTCGGAAAGGCGACAAATTTGTCGTTGCCTTGTTTGGAGTCACAGTGGGAAGGAGACTCAGTGAGCGGAGCTCGGAGGGTGAAAGATCCGGTGCATCCGCGTATAGAAGAGGTTGCATCCACGCCCTTAGATAGTCCGCGCCTCTAAATGAAATTTTTATTTATAGAGTGTTTAGCTTAATGTAATCGTAAATGAATGTTATTTGTTATTGATCGATCGACGATCGTATATTGATGTTATTTGGGTTAGATACATCAATGTATTAATATTGTGAAGTTTACAAATGTATAATTTGCCAGAATATAGAGTTGACTTATATATTTTCTATATTGGGCTATAAACTTTTATCGAATATCCTCTCACACTAATTCGTGTCATCTCCCATTGTATGCATACTTGCCTTAAAACTTGTCAATAACGCTATTCGCACTCGACCTAATACCGTTAAAAGATATTATGATCTACTATAACCTTACACCGTGAACTTAGATCGTGAACAGTCGTCGATCTGGGTATAAAAGGGGAAGTGAGCTGAAGGAGAAGGAGAGCTTTTTCTAGGGTTTTAGTTTTTAGAATAAAGGGGGATTTCTAGTGAGAGATTAGGGTTTCCTTTTCCTATTCTAGAGAGAGGAAATGTCATTCAAAGGAGGAAGAAGGAGATTGGGTTTGCCCTAAGCTAGAGGAGTGAAGATTCTTACCTCTCAAGGGAGATTCAAGCAAGGAGGAAGGAAGATTGTCATATCTTCATGGTTCTTTCTCTCTTTTTTTTTCTTTCTAGATTTCCTTTGTCTAGCTATAGAATAGCCTACATATTCACTTGGGTGTTGTGAACCCTAGCTTGAAATATGTGATAGATTGTATTAATTGAATGCTTTGTGTGTGGATTTGTGTTTAATACAAAGTTTGAGGTATTTTCATTTCTCATTACTATGCCAATTTGACCTAGGCAGAGGGAATTCCTCTTTTTGTTAGAGGCTTTGATAAGTGTAAGACACAAGAAATTCCAATTGGGAATTTAGGGATTGAGAAGAGAAGAAATTAGGGATTTGGAGAATTGGGGAAGAACAAGAGAGAGAAGAGAGAGACTAGGGATTGGGTTTTCTGAATTATTATTGCTTAATTCCCAAAACTAATGAGCTGTAGTCTTAAGTAGTAAACCGAAAATAACATAAATTACAAGTGTGCCATCCCCCCCCCCACCCCACCTTCCTTCCTGGCCGAGTTCGGCCCTCCTACTCTACCCCCCCCCCCCCCCCCCCCCCCCCCCCCGGTTGGGTTTCCCACAATAAGCTGGATTCCTTGGTCAATTGAGTCAACTGCCTAGAGAAAACTAGGGCAAACCTCAAACTTCAACTTAGCACTTTAACCTAGGACTCCTAGCTTATTGTTGCAATCCTTAACCGAAATGTTAAGAGAGCTACTAATTTATTGTAGCAATCCTTAATCCAATAATTGAGAGAGCCAAGGTTCCTAGCTTAATTGTTTTCCTTAACTGGTTGATTAAGAGAGTGAGGTTTCCTTCACTTGTAGTGCCTTCCTACTATGTATTAACACTCCACACATTTGCATTCGATTTGGGCGATCTTGATATGTAGCTAGGGGGAGCAATACCCGGGTGAACTATTCTCTCGTTGGGACAACCTCGATTTACTTTACTTGCTTGTTTTTATTTGTATTTTTCTTAATTTCAAACCCAAAAGTGTTTGCTAGCTAGATAACAAACATTAGTGTTGCCTATAGAATTGCAAAGAAGTTGTTTTGTGTTTTCCTTTCTTTCGGTCTAACCATCTTTTTACTTTTACATACAGACACTCCAAAAACTTATCACACCTCCAGGGTCTTCTTTTCTCGTGGAGATGCTGAGGTTTCTGAACTTCCAGAAAGTGGAAAGGTCCATGGTAGAAAAGATGACAGGGAACGTCAAGTAAAAGCTGATTCTGACTCCTCAAAGATTTCACATCCTTACTCAGAGGCATATGACTATAGCTGCATGCCACCACGCGACACGTGGATGCCTGCCCTGCGCGACACGCGTGAATGATGAGCCAGCTCGTCGGATGAATGACACGTCAAAACCTTATCACAATCAAACTACTTGTCCGGCATCCCAAATCCAATCCGATCCAATCACTTACATATAAATAGGTGGTGATGGTAGCAAAGTTTGTACAAGAGGTTGGTAAAGCAAAGGAAGGAAGAAATTACCCTGTCAATAACGTAAACGAAATTGTGTAGCAACCATAATTAATGTCGGGAGTGCAAGGGGCTCATCCGCCGGAGTCGAAGACGCCGACGACGTACGAGTCGGTAGCCGGAGGGGAGAACAGGACGAGGACCGACATCCGCTCCAGGGAGGACGAGGGGATGATACAAGTAGAGAAGCTTCAGGACAAGGTTGGAGACGACGACCCTTTCGAAGTCGCCGGCGTCAACCCTGTTTTCGGTCCGGGCAAGGATGAAGATGGTGGTGACGAAAAGCAGCGCGACTTGGGGGTCACCGGCACGGCCGCCTGACTTTTGTCACCGGCGATGAGAGACGCACACTACTCTTGCTCCATCCATCGACGAGTTAAAGAGATAACTAGCTAGCTGTATAGTAATTAGTAAATAGCAATCCCTGTTTTTATTTCTTCTTTTTATCTCTTGCCTTGCTTTCCTTTGTGGTTAACAACTTAACATCACATGAAATAAGAGTTGGAAATACCAAGAGAGTTGTATTTGTACGTTATTTTATATATGTATAACTATTATACGTACCATTAATTTTGAAAAGAAGTAAAATATATGTTATTTTTTCATTATCATAGTTTACTATCCTTGTTAACACACGCTCTCAAGAGTCAAGCCAATACAGCAAGGTAAATATTATTCTATAAGAAAATTAAAATCAAAACTAATAAAGAAAATTGAAAGCCCACTTGGTGGATTTTGTTTGGTTGTCACGCCGACCAGTATGCTATCAGTTGAACTTGGTTCAACTTGTGCCGACCATGAAACCGACATGCCATCACTGGTTTGATCACTCTACAAATTTATAAATAAAATGACATAAATTTAAATATGAATATATGTAATTTTATTTGAAATATCACATTTTATTTAAATATCGCATAAATTGTCTTCAAATTTGGTTTATATATGATTAGATTTCTTTGACATTAATGGTTTTTGACATTTCTACATATTTTATTAACCGGCATGAACTGGCACAAACTGGTTGTACTACAGATAGAATCATTCTACTTGATAAACCGGCACAACGGTATATAATAAACCGGTTTGACAACTTTGGTTCCTACGATACTTTTTTTAATTAAAAAAAGCCTACTATATATATGCCTTGTTGTTTGGGCCGTTCAGTTTTCTTTTTTATTTTGGGGTCTGAGCCCATTAATAAGACCGAGTCAGGAAAAAAATATCTTATGCGTGCACCAAAAAATATCTTCTGCCGGCTCAAATATACAAAGCTCACAAAATAATTGGTACCTCAACTTTGCTCCCAAGCAAACGCAACCCTCAAGTCTGCGATTAATAACATATCAGTCACCCTATCTTATCCCCACAATTTTCTGGTCCAAATTATACACATTAGTGATAGAACACCTTGCCACCTTCAAATAATAAAAATCATTCAAATTAATTTACACCGCTGTAAATCGACCAATATGACTACAAGAGTATCGAATTTTAATTCTTATTGGTAGCAAAATCAACTCCGTTTCATTATCCAATTTCTAACTTAATTTACCTGTAACAACGCACGCTAATTTATCTCTTCCCTGTCTATTGTCTAATCAAAGGGCTCATTTGGTCTTGATCATTATTTATCTATCTGGATTGATACACTAAGCTGGCCAATCGGGAGAATCGACGTCACAGAGTGACTATTGTGTTAGATAAACCAAACTTTAGTGGTAAATTTGTAAGGAATCAAAACCTTAGTGATCGACTTCTCAATGAGTCCCCAAATCAGTGACTACTTTACTAATTCACCACCGCCCCAACCGCCTATATAAACTTCGCGTTCCACACTGAAAGCGGCATCCCATCCACTCCATCACTTCCTCTCTCTCAGAGCTATCTCCTAGGGTTTCCTCCAATTCCCCTTCCCCTTTTTTCTCCCCTGAAACAATGGCTTCCGCCGATACAGAGTACAGGTGCTTCGTCGGTGGCCTCGCCTGGGCTACCACCGACGAGGCCCTCCTTGAGGCCTTCAGCACCTACGGCAACGTCGTCGACTCGAAGGTCCGTTAGCGATCGGATCTGACTCGGCTCCACTCGGCTTTGTCGATCCAGGATCTGCAGTTCTTCTAAATCCGATCTCGTTTTGTTACTCTGTTACTGTTACTGTTACTGCGTTACTCTGTTTTACTGTTACTGTTCTCTATACTACTCACCGCTAATCGGTACGTTCATCTTCATCCCTTGGGGAGAGATAGATCGGTTTTTTTTAACTTTGTTTAGTATTACAGATCTGAATCTTTCGTTTCTTCGTATAGTCGTTAGATCTGGCGTTCTGGATTCGGGTTTTTACTGTGGAGATCTAACAGATCTAGTGTTTTGTGTTGCTTGGTAAACAGATCATCAACGATCGTGAGACTGGAAGATCCCGCGGATTCGGATTCGTGACCTTCGGCGACGAGCAGTCGATGAAGGATGCCATCGCCGGGATGAATGGCCAGAATCTTGACGGCCGCAACATCACCGTCAACGAGGCTCAGTCCCGCGGAAGCGGCGGAGGCGGCGGCGGTGGATACCGCGGTGGAGGCGGTGGTGGCGGGTACGGAGGAGGTCGCCGTGAGGGAGGATACGGTGGCGGCGGTGGGTACGGCGGTGGCGGCCGTCGTGAAGGTGGCGGCGGAGGCTACGGTGGCGACGGTGGATCTCGCTACAGCAGGGGCGGTGGCGACGACGGTGGCAACTGGAGGAGTTAAGTAACTCAATAGTTTAGGTGGATGGTTGGGGTCGTGATGACGTGGGTGGGATTATCGAGTCTGTTTTAAGAGTTAAATTAGGGTTTCGGCGGTGCTGTGTGCGTTTTTTTTGTTCTGGTTGCTGTTCGGTTCTGGTTCATGGTTCTTGTACTGGTTTATCGTTATGAAGAAAAAAAATGAAATCTGTGTATTTTCAGGAAAATTTTTCTCCCTTGTTCTCACTCTAATTGCGATTATCGCGCCGAACACTATTTAATCAATTAATCCAGCTAAATAGAGTTTAGATAAACAAACTCGTGTGGGCCCATTCATTTTCGGCCCACTCGGTTGATTATATCCTGGGTGAGGATCGTTCCCGCAAAATATCTTATTGCCTTGCAGTGGTGGTTAGGTTAAGAATAAATTGCGAATTCACATAACTAAACCAGAGTGAATTTCTTACCCCAAATATCATACAATGTTGATAAACCAGAGTTAATTTGTACAGTTAGTCATAATAATGTGATAAACAGGACAAACTTTTAAGTGAAATTCTTACCCCAAATATTATACAATGTTGAACTAAATTTTTTATTTTATTTTCGAGGTACTTCAACCACACGTGTCACTTGTGCCCACTAAACCAGGAGCCAGCTGCATTAGATACGACGCCAAATATTTTCACTGTCACGACAGCTTACCGTTAGACTATCAGTTTAATCATATTAACTTATACAAACAATACTTATATGTCTCATATTTATGTAACACTTCAAAGAATCATTTTGCCCACCTTTCTCCTCCCTCGCAACATCTCACTACACTACGTCACTACCCTTCTCCCTTCTCCACTCCCTCGCCGCCGATTTCCAGCTCCGGCCACCACCGCCGCCGAGAACTGACATTAACCAGCACAAACCCAACCATCTCCCCTGCAGCTTCACCACCACAATATCCAAACCTCCACAGCTCCACTTCCTCACCCCTCTCAAGCTCCAGCTCCTCCATCTGCGTAACGGCTTTCCAACCTCTCCCCGTCAGAACGCACACTCTGCTGCCCATCTCCCACTCCCCGACGCGGACCTCGCCGCCGACCTCCACCGCCACGTCAGGGTACTTCACCACCACGAACGCCCCGACATCGAACCTCTCGTCCTTGGCCAGCCTCGCCTTCTCCGCCGCCGTCAGGAACTCCGACGTCCTCTGGCCGCTGGGGATCGACAGCCGCGCCAGGCCCGGGCTGAGATCCGACTTGAACAGCGGCTTGGCGATCGCCAGCCGGAACCCCGTCGCGTCGGCCACTCTGCCCTTGGTCGCCGCCGCGATCCTCTGGCGCAGGTCGGATGTTAGAGCCGCGAGCTGTTGGGCAGCGCGCGGCGGCGGTGGGTTAGTACCGAGGGGATTGAAATTTCGCTCCGATCCTCGAGGTTCGATAGTACGAACGTGGGGACTTGAACGCTTGACCTCGACGACGCTGCTGCTGTTGTAGCGAATTAATCCGAAATGTTTGGATTTTTTTCTTATAATAGAAGGACAGGGGATTGAACATTTTGTGCCCTTCTCTAGTTCTTTATTTCTGCTATTGTACTCTTTTTGGATCCTCGAAGTAGAGGAAGAGCAGAGATTCGAATTCGCGACCTTTTCTAGTCCACGGAATTCTTCTTCTCTAGCCATGGAAGGTTGGAGCTCTTCCCTGCCGAATTGAATGCTAAACCTTCTTGGCTTGACGAAGACGCCATCTTTTTCGTGTTGTTGTTGATTGTCATGATGAAGGGGGAATTTCCGCTTCTTGCTGATTACCTGCTGATTGTAACAGGAGCTCGGGTCTTGGTGGCGGCAGCCATTCTCCTTGCATAAGCTGACGAATTGAGCTACATCGGCCAACAAGTTCAGACCCGGCGCAGCTCCTTTATCGCCAGTTCCGCCGCCGCCGTCGGAACTCTTGGTCGACATCGACACGGCGATGATCATCGTGACATTTTTGCGAATTGAAGAAAGAGAACAAATTTCTGGTTGTGAGTGTTGGGTTTTCGTTTTATTAAATAGGATTTTAATGGTGATTTCAGTGGCAATCACGGATTGGGATTTTAGCATAGAATCGGATTAGGAAGAGGTGCCAGGGGCACAGTGGTTTTTGCCTCTTCTTGCATATGGGAAATCCTTGTTCCACAAGGACTAGGAGATCGAACAGCCTGTTATGCTCCACCGTAATTCCCACACAGACAACATCCTCATCACCAGCTTCAGGAAGAACCAATCAGCCAAACCCATCATCAATGGCGGGGATAAAAAAGATGGGTCTGGAAGCTCTGGTGCGCCTGGCTGCTCTTGTAGCAGGGGCGACTCTGTTTTTGTCACAGGGAGCCACGGCGCAGTCCAGCAGCTGCACCAACACGCTCGTGAGCCTCTCGCCTTGCCTCGATTACATCACGGGGAACTCCACGACGCCGACGAGATCCTGCTGCACACAGCTCGGCAACGTCGCCGGCTCCCAGCCGGAGTGCCTCTGCCAGGTCATCGGCGGCGGCGGAGGAAATTCCCTCGGGATCAACATCAACCAGACTCAAGCGCTCGCTCTTCCCGCCGCGTGTAAAGTCCAGACCCCTCCCGCCAGCAGCTGCAATAACGGTAAACGAACCTTCTTTCTCTCTTTGTATTCAGATTTGATCAATGGGGGTTTTGAGCTTCGAACTGACTGTGGCTTGTTGGAATGTGAAATGAAACCAGCCGGAGCGCCGGATACGCCACCGGGGACACGCGGAGAAGGGTCGGGGACGACACCGTCGTCATCGGATGGGAACACTGCGACGATGACTTCGACTCTGCTTTTCGCGGGGCTCTTGTTTGCTTCCTACTCTGCCATCTTCCCCACCACCGTTGCTCTGTGAAAACTGCTATATAGGGACATATGATAAGATTATTGGTTGTGATAGAGATTCTTTCTACGTGAATAAATTACCATTTGCTTTTGTTGTGAATTTGCCGAATTTCAAAACCTTAAAACTCCATTATAACACTCTGCTTTCCTGATCATGAACTACAACATAAGATGTTACCATACGACATTACATTTTCCCGACTATTTGAGAGTACTCATGCATGTTTAAACACCCAAACCCAGAAAAGAGCGAAACCCGTCGCACATTCTCGAGACTTTCGGTGGTCACATAAACCCACACAGCTCTCCTTCCAGAAAAGCAGTTTTTTCCCCAGTTCAAGCAGCCCTGCAAAGAAAACAGCTTCCATCAGGATTAACAGAACAGGAGCCACATAAGCCACAGAACTATGTGTTACTCTTCCATTCTGTACTTACATTAGTTTTTCATATTGTCAATCAGCCTGACCAAGACCATCGCTCCCATCCCCCGCCTTGGATATCGCAATGTACTGAGACCCAGGGGGTTTCTTGGACAGCGATGCAACCTCGGCATTCTTCCTTAGCACGGCTCCTGGTGATGGGTAAGGGCGTTGCTGGAAAAGAGGGCCCTGAACCAGCACATAAAACACAAAACAAATAAAGAAAATGGTGTTAAGATACAGCGAATAATCAACCCAAGCTTCAAATAAAAATCTGAACCCCGACAGTTAGTTACGAAGTGTATTTCGCATACCGTGGCAGTTGTATCAGCTGCTCGTGGCTGCACCCCTTTTAAGCCCACAACCCTATCATGTCAAACATTACATCATAAGCTGACATAAACCATCTTGTTAAAATAAGATCAACAGACAGTTATATTGTTATGATATTCCATACCAGCCACCACGAGGAGCATCAGAGTAAGAACTTGGATCCATGGGGTCCAGCTCATCATCCTCAGTATAGGAACGTTTTCTGCTCTCCTTTTTGTTGTTTCCTTTCCCAAATGGAGGTCTCCCATTTGGCCTGAAAAATCAAACGTCAGCAGTTCTCACCAGTAATATTTACTAGCCAGTAGTTATCTACATCTTATACCCTCGAGGATGATGCATACAATACAGCAATTTTAGCACCCAAAATAAGAAAACCTATAGGAACACAAAGGGTAGAGGATTTGGTAATCAGAAACTATTTAATAAAGTACCTCTTTTCTGCCCCTTTATTGCTATGATTGCCATTGGAATTCCCAAAAGTGCTAGCCTGCCGCTGGTAGTTTGGAGTTATGTATTCACTTTGAGGAAGATTTAGTTCTCTGCACAGTTTGAGAAGAAAAAGGTAAAGCAATTGCTACCCAAGAAGTGCAGCTCAATATACGTTGTTGATGAACTTACCGTGTGCAGTGATTGCAGTAACCCCATGATTGTACAAGGCCGACACCCCAACCACCGCATTCCGTGCATCTTGTATGATAAGATGATTGCTCATTCATAACTACCGGGTCAGTTTTTACTGTATTCATGGCGGAAGCTCGCTGTGCAGCAAGCACAGATGATGAATGAGGATGCTCCCATTGTGATACCTGGGTTTTTGTATTGAAGTAATATTTATGGCCTGCAAATTAAAAGTAGAGAAGAGTTTTAACAAAATGCTTGCAATCTGGTTCATATATCCAGTTCATAATGGCACTTCCATATATTATTCACAAACTATTGCAGATCCAAGTTAATGTTTCTCAGGCATATTAACATAACAAAAATCTTTACCGCGAAAGTACCAAAAAACATAAATCATGCCAGCTGATTTGAGCACTAGTTATGCAGATACATGCTCAAAAAGAAGGTACCAATGAGAATAAAAAAGAGCAGAATCTGGCCACCTCAACCACTTGGTCCACACGATCATCAACATTCGATGACCTTATTACAAGTAACCTCATAAATCAACTAACTTTGGAGTTCAAAGAGCATACCAAGCAGTAACAAGCAATCTCTCCCACATTCACAACACCACTACATTCTCCAATTTTAATGCATACCTGTGGTTTCATCCACTGTCTCCACCCAATTTCCAGGAAGAGCCAAAGGTAAAGGGCCCTGCTTGGTCGGAGGAGTTTCAAGAGGCCTCTCCCATTGAGTCACCCCAGTGCGTTCATTATAGTAATAAGGAACACCTGTCGTGGGATCTTTTGCTTCTGCCTAGACAGAAATAATAGGATTCAGCAGCATGCAAAACTAAATTTCAAGCAAAGAATTACCATCCAGCAACTGATACACATCTTACCATTTGAAATTGTTCATTTTCAATAACAGATTACACTCCGGCATAAACATATTTTTAAAGGAGGGGGTGAAAAATATGACAGTAGTCATAAGTAATCTTAGCTCTAAAGATATATTATTAGTTAAGCAACGGAATACATTTTTCTTCCCTAGATCAACTCACCCAACCAAATCCGATTTCGCTCTATCATTTTATGAAATAATACAACTGATCACCAATGTTCTAGAATTAATACAAAAGTAGTAATAGTTACTCACCCATCCAGGAAGCAGCTTATTCAACTCAACGTGCTGTGATGAAATCGTCCTCAAGTCCTGAAATAGCAAACAGCTACGTAAGAAGCTATGAAAATGGAAATTATGGATTGATAGTACAATTCAAGAAACATCAGCAAACGAAACCAAAACAACTGTCATACTGGGATACATTTTAAGATATGCAAAGTTCAAAAATAGCTAAACAACGTTTTCAGCATATACTTATCCCCACAACCCATCAATGTGACCCATTCTTTAGGCCACAAACAAAGAGCAAATAAAAGAAACGAGGAAAACAAAGCTACATACACTTGAAGCATTTGTTCCCAATTGATGCCCTCTCTCTTTGTTATCTTTCAGAATACCCCTTGCCATCAACTTCTGCTTGAGATACTCGGGGAGCTCCTTAGTAGCGGATTCCTGTTTCGGTTCAAGTGACGGTCTTGAAGAACCATAATATGCCCCTCCACCAGGCACACCATACCCGTTTCCGATTTCCATGCGACCTGCCAACGAATAAAAAATAAGAACACTTTCTAGCATAACAGTTTAGCCATTGTTCTACTTTGCACACAGAAGTCAGAAATCAAACTATGAATAAGAAAAGATGGATAATTTAGTAATCCACCTTGTTCAGGAACTGCAGGCTTCCCGTGCTTTGATGCCATTTCAGAGCGGTGGTCAGTAGTCATCTTCAACAGGTGCTCCTGTAACATGTTTCACACTAATAAATGCCATAGACAAACATCGAAAAAACAAACTTCCTCCAGAATTATCGTGCAGTCTACACCAAAACATCACAGCAAAACTTCACGAACTGGAAGAGCAATTGACATACTTTTATGGCGTTGGGATCAAGTCGTTGAGCAAAGATGTCAGCACCATCCTTGGGAGCTTCTTGACTTGCAGCTCCTGTATCTCTGCAGCAGCAAATGGCACAAGGTCATTTTGTTCTTACCTCGTAGAATCCCCAAAACAACCAAAAACCCATCATCAATCTTCTTTCACCGACCTTTGATGAGCTTGAATGACTCTTTGTGCCTCAATTTCCTGTCAATAACCACACAAATCTCGAAAATTCAGTAACTGCAGCATTATACCGCTGACTAAATGGGGAAAACCGAAACATTTCAGCAGCGTACTTGTTCACGGAGCACCGCTTGCTGAGCTGCGGATTCAATCGCAGTTTCTCCGTCATTGAAAGAGACTTGAGGGACTCGATTGTCCTTCCCCTCAGCCAACTCTTCGCCCATCGTTCTCTTGCCGACGTTGTGAATTAGGGCTTCGAAAGAAACAGTTTGGAAGCAGAAATTCCCGTGCTCGAGTGAGAGAAGCTTCTCTGGAAACAATGAAGATATTCTCAGTTTAGAGTCTCCGGCAAGGATTCCGGCGATTGATAAACTTTCGAGATGACTGAGATAAAAATGGAAGAAAAGTTTTGTTTGCCGGGCGCTGAACTCTGCAGCGGAGCGGAGTTGAGAGAGACGGGAAGATAATAAGCGAGTCGGTAAAAATATGCTTACGAATTGATGCTATTACTTTTCAACCTCTACAATCAAGTCCTTTACCAACATATCTTTCTTTTATGATTATCTTTATGTTGCAAAAAATAATTATCCAATGTGTATATAGAATATGTGTACGTGTTAGATAACTAAATGTGGATATAGTTGCGAACCCAGATTTGTAGTCAAATTATCTACTGTTCGTGTGGGCGACTTCAAAGTCTCATATTCGATTTTTGAATAGTGAAGTTATCGTTCGTGGAGTTCCTAGTAATCGGGTTGGCTTTCGAGTGGTCGTGGGTCTCTCTAATCACATATTTGGTAAGAAGAGGTGTGTCCTAACTATGGTTGATTGGTGGTCATGATCCTCGTGCCTAGTACATTCACGCCCTCCCTTGGTTCCAAATTAATTGACCGGACAATCATCATTTTAAAGTCACGAATGATTTTCTATCTGAATACACTTTTTAACATGCTTTTTTTTTTTGGACATTTTCACATTTGAATAAGTCATTTACAATGAATCATGATGTAATGGAAATTAACTTCAATTGTTCTCCTATCCTATCAAACTAATGAATCAAATCAATCAATCAAATTTGGACATAATTGGACGAATCAATAAGTTTGAGGTATATCCTTCAAGACACATGTTTTTTAAGGACCGATACGTCATTCTCAGGGGGGGAAAAAAGACCCAACAAAAGCGCTCGAAAGAAAAACCAGAGGGAAGGGAGAGGAGAAAAAGAGATTCCCAACGGAAAAATTGCCGGGAAAATGGCAAACCCTAGAAGGAGCTCCTACTCCATCAACGTCGGCGCCTCCGATGACAACCATAGCGGCGGCGGCTCCCAGCCTTCACCCTTTTCTTCTTCTTCATCCTCCTCCGCCGCAGCCATATTTCTATATCTCAAGCACTTGCTCAGGAAGCCACACGCCTTCCCTATCCTGCTCTCCGTCTTCCTCCTCCTTACATGGCTTTCCCTCGTTCTCCAGCAGCGTTCATATTCTCATTCCTCCGACGCTTCCACCTCTTCTTCCCGACTAGGAGGCGCCGCCGTCCAATGGCGGAAGCAGGACGACGAGAAGGCCAATTTGGTCCGATTCAAATCCATGTCTTCTCCAATTGCCAAGGACAACCGCGGATGGCTTCTCGACCCCGTCGCTCTCGCCCTCGAGCATGGCGTTAAAGGTTTCCTCCTCTCCCTAATAAGAAATGTGGCCCCTTGAGTCTTCTCTGGTTCTGGGTAATGGTTAATTCGTCTGTATTTTCCATGTTTCAGGTGGAGCAGTTTCTTGTGCTACGGTTCATCTGGGAGAAATCCGACCCGGCACCCGGAGGGGAAACCACAGGCATAATGCCTGTAACGAAACGTTTGTAATTTGGGGCGCCAAGACTTTGTTCAGGGTAATGATTTCTTTTCATTTCCTTTCTCCGCCATTGATAAGATGATTGAGAGAGCTTCTCGATGCTGAACTTTTAAGGGGGAATGTAGAATGTTAAGAACCTTGAACCTTCCAGTAGGAAATGTCACCTTGTCATCATTAGATTTCGATTTGAATCAACGTTGTTCTGAAGTTGCAGCCTTTTCTGTGGTTCAATGTTTGGTCACAGGAAAGCTATAATCTTTGGTTGGTAGTACAATATGGAGAGGATTCACGACAATGAGAAGGGGAAAATTTATGAAAAATGGAGAAAATGGTTTCGCGGTTTTGTGATTTACGGGTCCTGATTAGGGCTTATTTGTTTCTTGTTGCAGTTGGAGAACCATCAGATCGTTGATAAAGGTTATGCACAAGTGGTAGTAGAGGCAGATGAAGTGGCTGTTGCAGCTAGCCCAAGTGGGACTGCTCATGCTCTTGTAAATATGGATTCGATGCGCAGCACGTTCTTCGTCGGCTGCCAAGACTGTACAACGAACCCTGGCAACTTCTCCGACTATGGAGTTTGGCATGACCTCTGAGGCTTTCCCCATTCTGTAATCAGCAACCGCACCCCACCCATTTCATACATTTGTGAAGAAGTTTTCCCATTCTAGGTTTAGCAGAGGCTCTTTTTCCCTGTTTTGGTTTGATATGATGAGCTTGCTGGGTACAGATGGCTACAGGGAGAGAGAAATCAGTTGTATTGTTTTGTATATAGAGAAGTAGAGATAGAGAGAGCTTGTTGTATAACCGTATGTTATTTTTCAATTTGAAGTTGAAGCCTTTATGAATGCAGCAGCTTCTGGTAAAGAACACAAATGATACCCAGTTAAAGAACCTATAAACAGTCCTGATCCCCGGATTGGACCAAACTGAATCAACAAACGATAGGCGGCTGATTGAATCGAACCTTCTTTTAGTTTGATCCGGTTTCGATTTATTTCTGTGAATTCGATCTGTTTGTATACTGATTCTGCCGAACCTTAGAATCACCCCAGCCAAGGTCGTTGAAGAATGTCATTGTCATTATTGTATATCCATCTTACGTGACCAAAATTTGATGCTGGAAATGAGAAAAGGAAAATGAACATACATTCTTTCATCCGCTTCCAATGCTTGAAAGCCAATTAAAACACAACACCTACCTTTAACAGTTTCTTTCAAGCAACTTCCTAACATTGTTAAACCATATCAAGTAAACCATCAACCACCATTCCACATCTATAAATTGGAACTCCATCCTCACCCAAGCCACAGAAACCAAAAACCACAAACAGAAGCCTTCGTTTCCATAGCTTTTCAGTTCACTTTTTCTGCCGTACATTTCTGGAGGAAATGGAGAAGACAGGCAAGAGAATGGCAGTGATGGTAGGCTGCAACTACCCCAACACCAAGAACGAGCTCCACGGCTGCATCAACGATGTCCTTGCTATGAGAGAAGTGCTGGTGCACCGCTTTGGGTTTGAAAAGACCAACATCACCGTCCTGACCGATCAGGACTTGTCTTCATCGGCCAACCCCGATCTCTTGCCCACTGGTGCAAACATAAAGCGGGTGCTCCATGAGATGGTGGAGGCAGCTGAACCAGGGGATGTTCTGTTCTTCCATTACAGTGGACATGGGACCAGGATCCCTTCCTTGAAGCCTGGCCATGTTTTCAGGCAGGACGAGGCCATCGTCCCTTGTGATTTCAACCTCATTACAGGTAACATAGGGGAAGCTAAATACATCACGAACTTTTATATTTTTACTTGAAGCTAAGAACCTTTCCGGCATTTGCAGATGTGGACTTCCGACAGCTGGTGAACAAGCTACCAAAGGGCACAAGCTTCACAATCCTCTCTGATTCGTGCCACAGTGGCGGCTTGATCGATAAGGAAAAAGAACAAATAGGACCATCATCCACACTTCTTTCTGCAAAATCACTGCAACAAAACTACTCAATCTCCCCCAAGACCATTCCTGTCCAAGCAGTCCTCCAACACCTTACCTCCCTGACGAACATCCACACCTCCGACATCGGGACCCACCTCCTCGAGCTCTTTGGTTCCGAAGCGAGCATCAGGTTTGTCGACCCCCTTCTAGTCGGATCATCTGATGACGAGGGGATTCTGTTGAGTGGGTGCCAAGCAAATGAGACCTCTGCAGACATCAATCCTACAACCGCTGCGGGTGAAGGTGGTAGGAAAGCCTATGGGGCATTCAGCAATGCTGTTGAGAAGGTGCTGAAGGAGAATCCAGGTGCCTTGAGCAACAAGCAAGTTGTGGGGCTGGCTAGGGAAGTGTTGAAAGGGCAAGGGTTTGGGAATCAGCATCCTTGCTTGTATTGCAGTGACAAGAATGCTGACGTTGCTTTCCTGTGCCAATGGACATAAGTGCTTATTAATTGATTCTATTGAAGCTTGGATTACTAGTTTGTTGTGTACTTGTGTTTCTTTTATTGTATGTTATAATACTATACTGATCAATAAAAATATCATTTGCGTCAATAAGAATTGATTGGAGGATCCAATGGCAATTAAAAGGATAAATTATCTGCAAACTGGGTAGGACAGTAAGGAAAGTGAAATTTACCTCATTTTCTCGCATTCACTTTGTAAAGATAAAAAAAGGCCACTATCAAGCTCTCGTCTTCAGACCGTGTGGAGTGCTGCAGTATCTGTTAGGGGCTGACTTCTTTGGTCACTAACTCACTTCTAAGGAACACCTATTTCAACTCTTTAATTCCATATGCAGGCATCCATCGGCATAACCTGAACCAAATCGGAATGAAGTGTCTTCACTCATTACCTGGCAATCAGCAGTCTTGAAAATCATGCTGGTTCATCATAGGTGAAGCTGGTTGCCATGTGGGTTGAAGTACTCCGTCAATCTCACGAATCAAGAAAGGAGAAGCATCTACAATCCGCCTGCTCTCTTGGATTATATAATCACAGGACTCGTGTTTAGGAGCAGGCCTGAGTAAAGGCAGCTCCACACGAGGATCCTTAATATTTTTCTCACCGCACAATTCTTTAGCTGGCAAAACATGGTTCAACCAAAAATCCGAAAGTGCCAACCTCATAACACTCCAGTACTCTCTGTCTCTATGTATTCTGAACAGACTGCTCCCTCTTGGAGTCCACATATACAAGTCCATCCAATCCCTGTCCATAATCTCCAACAAGCCCTGAGCTTGTGGGATATAATAAAGAGGGATCCGTTTCCATGGCTTTGCATCCTTCATATCAGCATAAAATGGACACTTTATCTCTAGCACACCTCTAGAAGGCAGTCCATAACACGGTTTCTCCACCAACCCATCAGGCGAAGCAGCTATCCAATCATGTTCCGGATACCTCTCCCCATAGAGTTGAAACGCCGGGAAGGAAATGTCATTCCCTGTAATCAACGTGTACCTTTCAAGTGCTTCCTTTTCTTTTACATTGCCCCACCATGTTGCCCAGTTTCCCCTAAATGGCTCCTCTGCACCAATCTTTTCCAACCACAGCTGCACCCTACGACCACGCCACAACCCGATCGCCCCACCAAACGTGCTTGCAGTCAATTTGGTTTTCCTTCTGTCTTGCCAGTTCTTGTACCAGTGCTGGAGGCTCCTCGCCTCATGTAATGGGTCGGGTTTCCAGCTAAAATTTCTCACAAGAGGATGAACATTTCTACAAGGTTGCATTGTGTAATTCCTTTCATTCCTAGTACCAAAACAAGGTTGACCTCCGGTACACCTAAAAGTACAATCAACGTTACAAAGCCACTAGATGCTAGAAAAAGGAGACATCTTGACATCTTCCCAACTAAATAAGCAAGAAATTATAAGCTAAACATTTACGGAAATAACTCAAATAAGGATTTTTCCATGGCCAAGAGATGAGATAACGTAATAGCTTTCGTACCAGTTTGAACATAGTGTCTCAGGTCCAGAACAAGCTCGCCAGGAAAGCTTCTGAGAAGTCGAGCGCATAGATACGCCTTTTCCTTAATAAGTTATGCCTCCCCCCTGGACGGCGCTTAGATATATAAACACACGTTCAAATCGAACAAGGGGAAAACAAAAGCGAAGCTTCAGAGAGCTCACCCTTTTAATTTTACCGGACTAAATAATCGTCTCCGGCTGGCAATTGATCGTCGGCGTTGGAGACTGGGAGGCGGCGCGGCGTGGCTGGCGGCAGTTTTGGCGGTTGAGAATTTTTGCAGAATGAAGAGAACGGAGTTAGCGACTAACAAGGCCCAATATATAAATGAAAACGACTTTTAGGGACTGGGCCTGCATGTAAAAGGACGCTCTAATAGGCCGTCCGAAATGGGCCTGAAATCTGACAGCCCATCTATAATGTGTTTTTTAGTATTTGATTAGAAGAGGAACTCTCTAATCTCTATGGCCAAACCCAACAAAGTCAAAAGATAATTTTTGCAAACAAATATATTCAGTGAGGTTGACCCTACAAATCGATAAGGATGTATAACATGCAAAGGTCAATGTAAAAAGCAGTTTACTACGATTCCACGAGCGATAAACGATCAATGAACATATCTATAACAATCAGGTCACAAAACCGTGTTTCATTTGAATTAGACATGAACTTAACATTTAAAAAATTAATTCTATTTTACCACACGTAAATAGCATCAGTGTTATTCTATCGCACATCGCGTATTTTAAATTCTTGATGACTGGATTGACTCAATATAGGCAAACGAGAAGCTTGTTGTAGATGTACTAATTCACTAACATGGAACACAATTTTACTAATTTGAACTTCAACTTGGTCATGGAGAATCATGATGAGTCAACCTAAGATGATTGTTCCTTTCATTTTCCCCCAATTTAAACAAAGATTAAAAAATCCCAACATTCCATCCATAAATTTAGATGAAAAAGAAGCCAAACAAACAAGGCTCCCTTTCCACTTTTTCCTTCACAAACAAACAAACAAACACAGAGATCTTCTGCCAAAGCCAAATCTCCCAAAAATGAAGCCGGAAGCGGCGGCGTTCCTCTCGTCCCTTTCCTCCTCCGGCGCCTCCCCTTCCTCCTCTTCCCGCCGCGAGCACGCCGCACCCGCCGCCGACTCTTCCGATTCCCCCGGCTGCATGGCCGGCATTCTCCGCATCGTCTCCAGGTACCACAACGGCCGCCGCCGCCGCCGATTCCTCACCTTCCGACGTACCTCGCCCGCCGCGATAATCGCCGGCGATCACAAACAGTCCGAACCTTCCGACACCGCCAAAAGCAAGCCGAGACTCGCCAGCGAGGTGCCGAGGAGCCCGACGATCCCGCCGGAGATCCGCCGGTCACCGGACCTCCCGCCGAAAGCTCCCGGCGGCGGGAACAACGGTCACAATCGTAATACCACCACTACTCGACAAGCCCTGGTGGCGAGGCTGATGGGGCTGGACGACGGCGTGGTGGCGGCGGAGCAGCGGCGGAAGCTGCTGGGAGCGCTGGAGAAATGCGACGAGGATCTGAAGGCGCTGAAGGAGATGATCGACGAGGTGAAGAAGAGCGTCGGCGGCGGCGGCGACGGATCGAAAGTCGGCGGCGATGGGCCTGCAGCGGATTACGCCTCGTTTGCGGCGGCGGCGGCGGCGGGGAACGATAACAATAGCAGCAAGGAAGCCGATTTAGAGGAGGATTCGAGCGATCGACTGCCGCCGCTCAGTGAGTTGACTCGCCCGCATCAGAATAATAATCATTATAACAAAAGTCACGCTCCTTCTACCGGTAAGTGGTTACTTAACTCACCGTCTTCTTTAAGTTTCCTCTGTTTCGCTTTTGCTGCTGCTCTGCTTTTTCCAAAGCTTTTGTCGGCATTTCTCCCGTCGACGATAATAATGGCGTTTTTTTTTCCTGGCTTCCATGCATACATATTAGACCAATACGATTTCGTAAAGTGTCCATTTGCGTACGTTGATATGAGTGGGAGAGATGAATTGTTCTTGGATTTTGTATATAAATTAGAGGTTTATATTTTTCAAATTTCGATAATATAGTATTTGGGAGAGAGAAGCATATAAGATTTTTTTTTAATTAGATATATCTAACATTTTTTTGGCAAATTCTACAAAGAATGTGAGAAGTTGATAGTAACGGAAAAGACACGTTTTGGCGTGAAACGCAAGAGTTATTGTAGGAATTCTGAAGTTAAACGTGGTCACTCTGTAGTACTGCACGGATATGAGTGACGGTGACCTCTCAGAAAGTCATCACTTTAATATGCATCTCAACGGAAAAACCACACAGGTTTCGGTCCAGAGCGCACAATTTATTGGCCGAGAAAGGGTTCGGGATGTTACAACACCTTTCAACATATTGAGGAAGAGATTATTTGACAAATATTCCACCTACTAATTTTTGGAAATATATGTGATTTTTGGACTCATGTATAGTGAACTCCAAGATTTTAAGAATGGATAACAATTTTGGAAGATCAAACATTGTATTTTGTGTCGGTCTTTTTTTCAACCTCACATACTAAAACATAAGCGGGTCGTTTGGAAGAGTTATTTGCACCCAAATAATTCAAAATGAGTTATTTGGGTGCAATAACTCGTTTGTCTACAAAAGTTGGTAATGAGCTATTTGTACTTGAGTTAATTTGAAATAACTCATTAATGACTTATTGTCAATACCTCATAGGGGTAGTTATTGTGAAATAACTCACAAATACCACATTCTTATTTGGGTGCAATAACCCGTTAATCTTGAAATTCATGTATGCATGTTTGCTAAATATCAAGATTTGAATTTAATGCTAGTGGTTAGCATTGATATTCTACTTGCACAAACATATATCATTGTTTGTTGTTGGTGTGAAAAGATGCATTCATCATCATAGGCTATGGAAAGAAGAAGAAAAAAACATCCATCATTGGTAATTATCATTTTGGCTAGCTTTGGTCGATAAATATGCTTTGACCCAAGTGAAAAGGGTAATTAAGTAGAGTAAGTAACCACAAGATGAAAAGATAACCCTCCATGCTAGTGCTTTATAACATGAAATGGATCAACACAAAGTTCAGCAAAAAAAGATGAGGGGGGTTTTCGATTGTTTCAAATTGATCGGGGAAGGAAGAAATATAAAAAAAATATCGAAAGTTGTATAAGATAAGTAAACATTAACGTATGTTTGCTTAAATTGTGCTTCAATCGTTTCGTACCGATAAGATTCAATACATATTTGAAATTTTGACAAATAAATTATTATTTTTTATCTGATACAATACGATGTTATCAAACATCGAAAGAAATAGTAGATAGATGAGCACTTCTACTATGCTATACAGCATTGGTGCTTTAATGTACAACTCAAAGTTGTACCATAACATAAAATGTATAAGTTTAGGTTGTACCATAAAGCAATTTGTACCATTATGTTATGGTACAACCATCACATAAAGGTAAAAGTTCAAGTTGTACCATAAAAGAATTTGCACAAAAAGTATAGGTACAATTTAAAGTCGTACCATAACGTAAATGTACAATTTTAAGTTGTATTGTAAAGACAAAAACCTATAGCACCAATACTATATAACATTGTAAAATTTCTCTGGATAGAGGGGTTGGTTTCTTTTATGTGTAAAAAGTGTTGGGGGGAAGGTAACAATTATTAAAGTTGCATGTGGATGTTTGGATTGGAATCCAATCAAATTATAACCGTTGCTCGTAGTAGTGGCCTAGTGGGCGACACCATCACACAAACAAAAAGCCTCCCCTCTCCCTTTTTCCAAGTGGCCTTCATTTTGGGGGCAGGAGATGAACCTTTTTCCCGTCGATTGGGTTGCTAAATAATTAACTTCACATTCCTAGATTTCATGTATGAGATTGAGATCGAGATATGAATCGTAGAATCTAGCTTACACGATAGAAATGAATCTTTAGAAAGTGAGAAAGGATCAATGTGACTCATGTGAACCTCAAAAGCAGGAGGAGGGATCCCGAGGCAGCAAAAGAAGAAGCCAGGAGACCACGAAGAGGGGATCTTCTTCTTCGACATCTCCTCCAAGAGACCACCACCACCAGCCGCCGCAGCCACCATGATCGCCCATCGTCGTCATCCGAACCCATCGACGACGACGATGGAGAGCTTACTGTTCCCCTGCCGCGGCAGGGAACAACGGAGCAACAAGAACAACAACAGTAGTACGAGCGAGAAGAAGGCGATGGCGGAGAGCGTGGAGCGAGCTTGCAGCGACATAGCGTGGGGCCAGAAGCGGGAGGTCGGGAGGATCGGGCTGGCGCTGCAGGATCACATCTGCAGGGACTTGGTCGAGGAGTTCGTCAGAGAGGTGTTCGGACATTACTTGATGAACAAGTATTACAAGTTCTACTACGACAGTAAAAATTCTCGTCAGTCATCATGTGACATGATCGGTACGCTGCCGTTCGATGCTTGTAGGAGAAGTCTGCGTTTCTGATCCTTGTTTTCCACAGGATTAGCTTGGAAGTGCTCTGTTTTTATCTGTTTTGTATTTGCTTGTTTGTTGCTCTATTTGGGAGTTGTGTTGGTTTTTTGAGCTTTTGGCAGTGTGTTGAGTGCGTGATCAAAGGCGTGTTTAATTTGGTTTGATAATTTCATCGAGTTGTATTAGAATCAGCTGATACGATGCAATTCGTAATCTTAAAGCTTATCGTCTTAGGCCGAAATGAGAAATGAGCATAAACAGAACATTTCTATTCAATCATTTAAAGATAAATGATGAATCCTTCTCCTCAAGGCTCAAATACACACAAAAGATACTAATAAAGTCGCCATAAAACAGGGGAAAACGGAACAATGTAGAAAAAAAGAACATTCAATAGGCAGACATAATAGACAGACAAAGATGCTCGAGAGAAAGAAGTTTTGTAAGAGACAGAAATGTCACACCACCACCTTCACCCACTAACACAAATTCCTACTACTCCCCTTTTCTTAGAATTTGCCAAAATGAAGAAGTAAAAAACAACGGATTTTCTTTTTGTAATTTTCTTAAAATCCAATAATTCCGTTCTCAAGCGTGGTAACTGGGGGAGAGGGAGATCCATTTACTTGGCCATCATGACCTTGACGAACTCCTCGTAATTGATCTGGCCATCGCCGTCGACATCAGCCTCCCTGATCATCTCGTCGACCTCCTCGTCGGTCAGCTTCTCGCCCAGGTTGGTCATCACGTGGCGGAGCTCAGCAGCTGAGATGAAGCCGTTCTGGTCCTTGTCGAAGACTCTGAAGGCCTCCTTCAGCTCCTCCTCGGAGTCGGTGTCCTTCATCTTCCTCGCCATCAGGTTCAGGAACTCCGGGAAGTCGATGGTCCCGTTCCCATCAGCGTCCACCTCGTTGATCATGTCCTGGAGCTCTGCCTCTGTAGGGTTCTGGCCCAGGGACCTCATCACGGTCCCCAGCTCCTTGGTGGTGATACAACCTGGAAGATGGAGAAACGACCATCATTATAAGAGAGATGCTGCAATAACACCAGAATGGACATGGCATGAGCAGAGAGCTGTTCTGGTTACTGCTGCATTACATTACTGGTTAATGTGAGAAACTTAACTACTCAAACCAAGCTTGGAAATCTCCATCAGGACACACACACACATCAAACACTTGCAAGCCTTATACGAAATGCGTATGAAGCGATAAGAAGACCAAACAGACCCGACTTCCATGCATGGTATACCACGAAGCAGAAGGTTTCGTTATCAATTCATAAGATCAGTCAGCAAACAAATCCATATCATTGAAGAAGATGTATTCACAGTCGAGTCCTTATGATAGCTTTCCACGGAAACTAATTGATAATGAAGAAGATAAGATGTCACTTTCTTCAAACGTGCCCAATCTATTGCTTCCATGTTTCACTTTCCATTAACACTAGATTTTTTTCTACAAAAGACCAAGACAAAGGTAGTTTCTCTTCATTAAACACTTGTCAACAGTCAGAGTATATCCAGCTAGCAGCCATGGAAAAGTATTAAGAAAACAAGAAAGCTTCACTAGATCTGAATTCTCAACTCCCACAAACTGAATAGTCTCGTGAGAATCATCAACACGAGATCCCGCCATTAATTCCACACTTCAAATCGTTCATCCAGAAAACAGGACGAAGCATTTCATCCACACGAGAACGAAGAAAAGGATAAATCGAATGACATGAACGGAAAACAATAAACAACGAGCAAATTGTTCATCAATCAATCGCACAATCTACTACTTCGCCTAATGATTATGGCGATTCTGCTCTCTCGCCCTATGGAACAGGTGTACTGCCTTTGAGAAACACCGTTTAAGATATCAAATAATCTCCATGAACGAGCAGGAAACGCAAAAATACAGGCAGGAAGAAGCGCTCCGTCGGCAGCGTTCGAGACTGGCCGGCGAAAACGGATCTCAGAAGCGGAAACGGAATTGGAAAAACTAAATTAAATCAAAAAAACAGCAGGTGGACAAGATGAGGAATCAATCTCCGGAAACGACAACGCCATCAAAGATACAGAGTAGACATCAGATCTACAACTACGGAGAACCAGAGCAAAGGAATACGAGAAAATAGGGAAAAAAGACTCGCGTACCATCGCCATCCTTGTCGAACAAGCTGAAGGCCTCCTTGAACTCGGAGATCTGATCGTCGGTGAGCTGATCCGCCATTTTCCCTCTTCGCTTCCGCCTTCGCTTTCCTTCCTCCGAGAGAGAGAGAGAGCTTTTGGAATTTCTTTCTTTCTTTCGGGGCTGTGGTGTTCTTTTTTTGGCAGAGGGAAAATAATAAGGCACCGTCTAACCCGGCGAGATGAGTTCCCAAATGATTTAAAAAGGGTTCGAAAATAAGGAGGGAGGAGAGAGAGAGAGTGACCGCGTTTTCTTCTGCCTTAACTTTTCCTCCGGACGACAACAAGTTCCGCTTTCGGGGATAATTTTCAACGGAGTTCCTAATTTCTTCTCTTTCCCCCGCAAAATTTACTTTTCCTATTATTTTTGCTTTTCCCGGTTTTACCCTTCTCCCTGTCCCAACTTATTATTATCGTTAAACGTTAATATGAGTGGCAAAAAGATTAATTAACGAAAAGATGAAAACAGGGAAAACAAACAAAGGTGGTAAAAATGGATTATTCAGTGATAATATGGAAACTAAAATAAAAAAGGAAACGCGGTCTGAACGCGTTTGGAGGACGTCAGTCGTCAGGATTCCAGCATCCGTCGACTTGTGATTTGACAGATATGACCCTCATTTCCTTTTCAGTGACCATCCTTATCCTCGTCCGCCTCATTTGACCCGCCCAAAAAGCAAGTCTACTCAATGGGCTTAGTTCAGTTACTGGGCTCAAGCTTGTCGGCTACAAAACCTATTCCACGGTTCAGAAACATAAGACGGGCTTACCTCATTGGATAGATCAGCCCATGGGCGATTTATAATATCTCGGCCCACAATCTATTGCAGACAAATCTACATTTACAACTTACAAATCAACTATGGTGACTTCTTTACCGCACTCATTGACTGTATTTTATACACTCAACTATAAAGTAGTCTTATAATATCGAATTTTAGTTTTTAATTGATATAACGCTGCCTTAAACCTCCTAACCTCCTAAACTATAAAACCTTCAAATCTAAATAACCATATTCGTTCCAAAAAAAAGAAGTATGGTCCAAAGAGGAAAGATGAGGTGCTACGTACAATCACGGCTAAGATCTCAACTAGGGGTGGCAGTTCGGTTATTTCGGTTATAACCGGTAACCGATCGGCTGGTTATCGGTTAACCGAAATAACCACCTTCTCTACCGAAAACCGATCAAAATAGGCTTTGGTTTCCCGTTTATCTTGGTTATCGGTTAACCAAACCACTTTTAAAACCAAAAACCATTTTACCCAGCCTCCGATAACCGACCGAAGTTCGGTTATTTTGGTTACCGATTAGTGGATAACCGACCGGCCGCCCCTAATCTCCACTGGGTTGCTCTACTATGGATGAGAAAGAATCTCTCGTTTTCCTCTACTATGCATATTCATATGCGATATATGCAACGAATCCATTTGTCTTGCTTTCTTAACCTACACTGCCAAAATGCACCCCACTGCCGCCCAATGTTTACTCACATCACATTCTTCAATACCAGTTCAGCTACGATTTCGGTTCATACCAAACCAAAATTATCCAGATTCTCGCGTACCACAAAACCACCCCCGCCCCCGACTCCAATACGAGTGGGGTGACCAACAGTACAATGGCGTTCACAACGCGACACCGAATCAAACTACGATTCAATCAGATTATATATTCACGACATAGTTTAATCGCAATATTGAACCCGGTCGATGCGAGTTGCTATTCGAAATACTTTCTCTTTCAAATATCCGACCAGGAATGATAACGGTTCACGTACGATTCAATTCATACCAAACCAAATTATCCGGATACTACGATTACTCATACCCCAAAACCTCCCCCATGTCTCACTAACTATATATAACACACATGAGTGATAAAAAGTGATTTAACCAACCGTTACAAATGGCGTATCAGCTTCTAAAACTACTACTGCTACTTGCCGCGGCAATCCACCGCGAAACGCGAGCACAGATCTGCCCTACTCCGCCGGACGATGGCGGCGGCGACTTCACCTTGCTCTGCAACCCGTACGAGTTCGACGAGAGGTACTACCCGCACCACGCGCAGGAGTGGGCCCTGGACTTGACCATCTTCGGCGGCGCCGACGTCAACCGGCTGAGCATGTGCCTCAAATCCCCCTTCGGCGTGGACGCCGCGGCCGGAACCCAGCTGTGGCTCGTCCACTACACGTCCTGCGAGATCGGCACCGTCGACGACTGCGAGGCCTGTTTGGAGGACACCCGCCGGATCATAAGGCAGCAGTGTCCCAACCGGGCCGGAGCTCAGGCCGCGTCGGTCCGCTGCTGCGCTCGCTACGAAGTGTACCGGTTTTGCAATGTCGTAAATGAATAAGAAATTAAAACCTCTTTTGCTTTCTCTTTCGAGAGAATCACGTTTCCAAAACCCAATTTGCAGTAGTGTCTTTTGTATGGAAAATCCACTGCAGCGGGGAACAATTTAGTTTCTTTGATTAAACGGGACAAGGGTTTTTTTTTTTTTTTTTGGTTTTGTTACATCACAGTATTATCCACTAATGCACATTGCACAACAAACATTTTCTGCAGTTTGAGTTCAGAAAATGAAGAAGAAAAAAACCCTGCAGTAGCATGACCTGTGCATTGTTGTTATTATAGTCTCTTCAAGCTCTTCTTCCTGGCATCCATCTTCTTCTTCTCCGCCAGAGGCTTCAAGGAGTGACCTGCAACAACTCCCTCCTTTCGGTTCACGCATCCAACCGTGGATTGCTGCTTCGTGGAGCTCGTTACTTGTGCACTGGCACCTGTCTCGGGTGTTACCTGATCTGCGTTGTTCGGGTGCACTCCCTTGGAGGATGTGGTCGAACAAGGTGGCACTGGCACGGCAGAAGGGGCTGTCGCATTCTTGAGATCGACAACGCCGCCGCTGGTGGCAACTGAGGTGTTGCTGCTCTGGTCGACATTCAGCGCTGTTGTTGACTCCGAAATGGGGCCAGACTTGTGCTTGGGTTTTGGCTTTGCGTAAATTCCAGTGATCAGTCTGCAATTTGTGTTTGTTAAGTCAAGCTCGGACCAATAGGAAGAGAAAACCTCATTTAGCACAGTTCTATTTCGCAAGTAAGGATGCCCTATGCCAACCTAGAATGACAACAAAGGATCAAGCCAAAGAAGGGTTTGCCGACCTGGCATGTTTGGAATAATCCTCATAGTTTTCAAGCAGCATCTTGGCAGCCTGTTCATTTAGGGCAGATTCAGGAAATGGTTCAATCAATAAGCACCTCACGACCTGTTACAGAAAAAGCCCTACGAAAATTAGCACTTGTCTACTGTGGGTTATGGAATTGGACACTGCAAAAGATATACAGGAGTAAGAGATGATAATTGAAGCTGATAAATTAATACGAAAATAGACAATGAACTTACAACAAGAACATGGCGTAGTCCAAGACTTGGATTCCAGTCCCTTTTCAGTGTATTGACACAAATTTTCCCATCAGATGAAATATTTGGGTGGAATATCTTGGTCAGGAAGAAACCTGCAGATCAAGAGATTTGGTATAGTACTTAAATAGTTGCAAGAAGATTATTACTTCAGCAATTCCTGACTTGAACAGCTCTATCATAGAAATGGTGAAGACAACTGAGGAATGCAAATTTTATAATAAAAAACCTTGTGGAGGTAACTGTGGGAAATCATGTGGCAACAACAGCTTCATTCGGAAAATGCCATTTTCATATGGAGTCCCATCTGCATGGCAAAAAATTTAACATTTAGTACAAGTAAAGAAATTTGTTAGCACATATATTTGAGAAGATCATAGTTGCTTGCCTGGTCCTTCAATATCAGCATATATGATGGAAAAATCGTCATCATTAACTCCTACTTTGATGCCTTCAGGTGGAGATTCATCAAGACTCTTCAATTCCTTGGCAAGTTGCTTTATCACATTGGGTGGAAGATTTTCATTTGTTGCCTAAGTAGGAAAACAGAAAAACCATATCATAACAGAGGAGAGCATGTTGGGCTGCTACTAATATCAAGCTTCACAACAACATTACTGCTGGGACCAAGACTAATGAACCAAGCAAATGCACATCCCATCTATAGCATAACTCAACTGAGTTCCTACAACGCATCATGATCCAAGATGTAATTGCCAGACTTACCTACTGTACAATCGTTCGAAAGTACAGCTAACGTTCAAACTTTTATGTTCAAATCGACATCTACGTAAACTTTTCTAACATACGCTTCATCTCCTATCCATAACAAATACCCCTTTCAAGGAACCTTACAGTAGTAAGGACCAACCCAGCTTATCTTTCACCAAATATATCAACAAATTCTATACCTTTCAGGCACTGGAATAGAGGATTAGAGAGGAGCGGAGAAGTGTGACTTGTGATATTTACCATAGTCAAATACTGGGAAGAAGTTCTCCTTTATTTAGTAAGATGTAGAACTTCAGGAACGACTGCAATCTAACACCTTGCACCCAACACAGAGATCAACCAAGCAAGCAATGGCCTGCAACAACAAAATGAAACCATGAGTTTGAAGAAAGTTGTTAAACCAAGAGGTTCAGCAGCAGAGTTCCAGTCAGAAAACTATAGTGGCAGGACCAATAAATGAAACAAAGCTTGTAGCTTTAGCTGAATCAGAATCAGAATCCGCAGTTCTCGAGAAAATGTGATTGCAGTATCCAATTGAAAGTGCAATTATATGAGATACAAGAAAAGAAAAGAAAGCCTTGGTCAAGGCATCCGTGCAATTCCAGTTCTTTCAAACTGACTAAATCACATTCAAACTTAATCACATTGTACTGCAGAAGATTCTCAGTACCTAGCTTTCACATATAAGATTGACAGAGGAGATATGCTCTAATACAGACTGTGATACATATCTACAACTAACCAACCCCAGTTTGACAGAAGCAAACAGTCTCCACGTTTGAAGAACTGTACATAAGAGTGACCAACAAATGAAATCATCACATCAATGGCTGGTGCCTCACTCGCTCCTGTTACTAAATTGTGATAGCCGGATGTTGTTAGCCACTTCAATACTACTGTGGAGTAGGAGCGCAGAAGAAAACAAGAAAAAGGCTCAAACTTTCAGACTAAATCCCTCGAATTTCACACCTAACCGTTGAATTCTTAACGGGGTTGAACTAAATTTACATTCAAAACGTAGAAGCAATACCACAATAACTCAAGTGAAGAAGACAAAATGAAATTGCTAAGTCCCTGAAATCACAGGAAATCCCCAGATCACCGACAGCCAAATCCAGAAGAGTGGGGAAACTAACCCACTGATCGAATTAGAAGAAGACCACCGTTTCGGAGGCTGAAAACCCTCAACCACCTAAAATCCGTTAGGAAAGACAAAGACTTGATGCGAAGAACCCTAAGAACTCAAAGCAAAGAGCTGATAAAACGAGAGAGATTAGTTCCGGCATTCCCCAATCAAACCCTACAGATTTACCGGGCAAGCATTTTGACCGACGGAAGAAGCCACTCACTCCAACCAGCGAAAAACGAAGATCAACAAATGGAAACGAGACTCGTCTCAAATTGATTCCAACAACCCTAGCAATTTCAAATGCGTGAAGACAAAGAACGGCAAGAAAGCGGAAGGGAAGAAGAGATTACCAGGCGAAACTGGCAATGTCCAACGGAAAACAGAGTATAGTGATGGAGAGGAACGAAGAGAGAGAGAGAGGAGAGGCGATGGCTCCTTGGAATGATTGAATGAACGACTGAACAGAACCCCACTTTGATTATTGGTTTTGATCGAATGAAAGAAGCTCTCTCTCTCTACTTCTTCTTTTCTTATTTTTCCAAAAGAAAAAGCCGAAATCCAATATATATATTTTAATTCAGAGAATATTTTTCCGTTTTGGTCGCACAATTATTTAGACGGCCTTCTTGATTTGTTTATTTGACTAAATCTTTTTTCTTAAATCTTTTCCCCCCCTTTTTACAATTTTCCTTTCTAATTTATAAGCAAAATTCATGGAATGGGAATGGCGTTCTTAACCAGCATCTCATTAATTTAATTCTTCTTTTAAAAACTTATTTTATTTTTATACCTTTTAAGTGCCATTCAAATAAACCCGGAAGTGTTCATAAAAAAGACATACTTGTGCTAATTAATAAATTAAAAAACACAGGATGACTTATTCGACAATCCACCCACTCACATTTATCTTATTTCTATCCAGCTGCACATATGTAATCATATATTTAGTTCTGAACATGATATCCTTTTCAGCTATCTTTTATCGCACCGAGTAACGATGTAACACACCGCTTCTCTATAACATTATCATCTCTCATTGATGAATCAACGTTGATTAGTAATACACGTTATGCCGTCACATAAGGGTTCAAATAGAAAGAAAGTTATTATTTTTTTCAAATATAATATTGGATACAACAAAACCAATTGAAAAAATTGCATTAGCTCGATTAGGGAGATCCGAGGGATTTCAAATTTGGTAGCTGTTGGCCGTTAGGATGGCGACTCTTCCTTCCTCCGTTTCCCCACAACAGCCAGAGATGCGCGTTTGCTTTTCTGGCACCTACTCTTTCAATTTCAATAAAAACAAATCCATGGATTCAAAATCCTTGAGACTTCCCTCCGAGTACGGTAAGTAGAATAGTCAAATACATTTCCATATGCACATCCATTCATGACCAATTCACACACCCTAATACATTTGAATGTAACGCTAAAACGTTCGATGTACAGTCGAATCGTATTCGAGAACCTATTACGTCATAAGCACGATGATATCCTCGGAGGAAATGCGGATCGCTACCAGAGTCGGATGGCAGAATGGAGGGTCTGTAAAGCTCAGTCAAGTCATCAAATAGAGGAACAGTAAGATTTACACATCTCGATAGATTCGCTACACCGAGGGGGGAAACCAAAATGCAGCTCAAGTTTAAAAGACGAAAGAGTTCTCGATGTTTTTCCTAGTTCGAGGCATGGGTAGAGGGGAGAAACTGCACAGTGACAACATACCAAGAAGAAGAGCTTCTGCACGAGTGCTGAGGTAGCGCGACAGGGCGGCTCATCAGAGTCCCAATCCAACCGTGCGTCCATCTCGTCGACGAAGTCCAGCTGTGTACTGCCTCTCCAACTCCATCTGGAGCTGCTCCTGTTTTTCGACTTGGAGACCCTCTTGGTTGTTGTTCTTGTTGGTCTGGGATTCCGCCTTCCCGTCCCCCTTCACGCCCTACAATTGGCCATAGGTACCATTGCTGACTCAGACTCTAAAACGTGTTAGTATTGTGAAGCGTAATTTATTATAGAAAAAGAAAACAGAGTTTTCTGAGCAGGGATGTATTCAATAATGCTTTCTGGTTAACTGTTTGCAAGCACACTTTGACACAATTCTTACAAAACAAAAGAGAGAATTTTTTTTACCATGAGCTTGTTGAACTTTTCTTGTCTCTCACGATCGCCAAACATTGAAGTGTCCCACCGGTGACCAGATGGCTGAGAGTAGTAGCAAGGGTTGGAAGAAAAGACGAGAAAATAAGCAAATTGAGGGAAGCTCTTGCAGAAGGCTGAGTATACAATTAGAGCATATGATTGATAGGCCTGTACCTCTACTGAAGTGGTGGTGCTCTTCTTGTTCCCCCACAGTAATTTCTTCTTCTGTTCGGTGGACATTAAGCTCCCGCCAACCAGGTTCTTGTTAACTGAAGTATGTGCCCGGTAAATAGGTGCCAAAACAATGAAATGAAATGAAATGATAACAAGTTGGAGCAGTGGTGCACGTAAGGAAAGAATATGCGTTCACTATTGAAGCTGGAAAAGGAAAATAGATACATAGGGGTGCTGAACAATCATTTTGACCATAATCACCATATTCCCGTTTCTTTATACAAAAGAGAACGAATGATCTGGGCGTGCTATATTCTCGGTTCTATTTGTCACGACAAGTCCTTGCATTGCCAAAGCTGGGAACTGGTAAAATGCATTCATAAATAATGCTTTGCACATCTTATCATGATCATACCAGACTTGAAAGTAACCACATGATGATAAGGTCAGATGAATTGGCAATCCTAAAAATCTAATCATTCCAACCAGTAATAGTATCCCATATAGCTTAACGCGTCACTGAATGCTAAGAGTGGCAAACAAAGACTCGAAGCTAGATGTAGCAAACTCACAACTATTACTATAGCATGCGCTTTATACCTAAATAAAGCCTTGAGAAAAACTAGGCATGTGCCATTTAGCAGAAAACCGATTATACCCAATAAGCTCGGATGAGCCTAAGTCAGCAGTCATAAGATACTGAAGAACATACATGACTGTCAGCAGCTAAATATCGTGCAACACAAAAATCTCCCGACACTTGATCAAGTTTGGACTAGATTCTATGCAAGCAATGAATGCAAGAGCAACTGTGTTATAATGTACAAATTTGATACAGATCAAGCAAGGATATGATCTACCTAGTTCAGCAGCTTTCATGGCAGCAACCTTGGCCGCATTTAGGTCATTAGTAGCTTCAGAAATAGTTCCCATAGCAACATTCCCAGCAGCTGGAACCTGCTTAGGGCCTGAGGACTGATTTTCACCTGCTATGCAGAGATCTCCAATCCATTAATAGTGATGCAACATTATCAGAACACAACGAAAAGAGAGGCAGGCATGAGTAACAAACATCCAATTACCATCTCCATTGGGATGAACGGCCTTTTCTGAACTGAAGAGCTTTGTCCTTTTGGCCTTGGATTCCTGAGATTCAGCCTTGCAAACAGATTTTTCTTCATTTTGTTCACCTGATGCTCTGGAGTAAGCATCCTTGTCTCTATTAGTGTCAATATCAGAATGCTTCTTCTTTTCTCTTCGATCATCATATTCCTCGGGATCACCTCTCTCAATATCTCTAGTGTGATACTTATCATTATCCCTTCTAGAAAAGAGTGATTCTTTCACATGTACTCTGGACCTCTCACGATAATCTGTGCGCTCACTTCTATATTCAGAGCTTCTTCCATAACCCCTTTCACCATCTCGATTATCTCTGACCCCCCTGTGGCGATGCCCATCTTTGTCCGCAGAAGTCAAGATAGTTTGTTTCCTATCGGAAACAGGGTATGACTCTTTATCCTTACTTCTCTGACCATCTCTATCACGGGAGTATTTGTCAGAATGCCTCCTAGAATCACGTGACCGACCATTATCATTTTCTTGTTTTGTATGATCTGAGCGAGAAGTACCCCTAGAATCCCTTTGCACATAAGAAGTCTTATTATGTCTGTCTTCATCTAAATACTTCTCACGCCTGCTATAGTCATCAGGCCTTGAGTAAGAATTGGGATTCTTAGAAGAGTGAGAATCAGAATCTCCAGATTGTACACGCTGATCCCTGTCATATCTTCTCCATTCATCCTTTCTACTTTCTCGATGTTCAGAATCTTTACCAAGCCCTCCCCTAGTATAGACTGGACTGGAGCTGCGATCATTTCTGAGACTCTCTGTCAGCAAAATTAAAAAGATGGTTAGACCACAAGAAGAAATAAAAAGCCCGGTTAAAGCACTAAGGAAAGGATGGTAAGAGTCTCTATGTTGAGACCCAACCAAATTATCATATGATTGACCATGGAGATAAACAACAGAATTCTGCAGACTAACCATGATCTCCCGATGCCTTAACATCAGGCGAACGCCTACGATACTTCCTGCTAGCCACATCATTCGAAGGCTTGCGAAAAGTCACTTTTGCATCTTCGGTATCAGGTGGTGAAGACTCCACCTTAGGATCCATAAGATCCTGCACAGGAGAGCTGAGAGACAAGATATCCCATTCAATCAATCAAATTCCGCAATATACTGAACTATATAAAACAAGAGGAGAAGGAAGACTACAATCTATCAGATTTTCTACTTCCATGATTCTGTTTTCGCATATGCCTACTAATTCAAGAACTGAGTAACTATCAAGTCTATAACAGTTGAAACACTCTCCTGCCACACTGTTATTCCATAGACTAAGTCAGTGAGACGTCTAATTATCCTTCTCAAGCTCACGACGAACTACTCAGTGACAACAAAAACCTTCAATCGGTAGCAAGAGCGATCAACTTGTGCGAACAAACAAGCAAAAACGTAACGAAAAATCCTGGAACCAAGCTAACAAAAGCACCGATGCTACGTCTCACTTTCGCTAAGTACTGCACAGTGGAAAATGGCAATTTTCCCGGCAACCAAGCAAGAAGATGAATCCAACCAACGGGAAACTATGCAATTCTGGATTACAAGAGGAAACAATAAAAGCTAGAACACAGAAATGGCGGAAGAATGGCGACAGAAATAGAACCTGCAACAGCGTGAAAGGTAATCAAAGTTCGCCCAATCGAAGATCGGAAATTTGAATTTCAGGCTCTATTGTGACACTATGTGCAGTTGTTTTTTTTAGGGTTTGATTTTGGTGGAAAATCTTCCGATTGTCTCTCTCTCGCGCTATTTCTCTTCCCATTTGCATTCTGCTCGTATTTCAGTCCCTATACTTTTGCTCGTATTTCAGTTGCCACCCTTAAAATTAATTCATTACCACCAAAATACTTAAATTTCTATTTCCATTCTCACTCTCCATTTGGCAAGAGCATTAAGATATCCTCATATTCCCGTATCTGGTTCCCATATGAAATTACTGTTGTGATCAACTTTCCTTCGATGCATCCGTCAGAATTTGGTGGCTGCTTTTGTCTTCACCCATCATTAAAATTTCTCCCTTTGCGCTCTATGCGTCGACTCACTCTGTCGCATTGTGCAACTCGCACCGTCGTGAATGAGAAATTGAAGGCGTAACACCATCGGGGAAAGAAAAGGCTTGGCGGGAGCAAGTAGAAATGTCGTTCGAGAATATCAGAGTCGACAATCCTCGTCGAGATGGACGGTCAACTCCTTTCTACTCTATAATCCTTGATTTTCTTGTTTGCCATCCGAATTTGCTTTGATTGATTGCGCCTATTTGGTCCAAGCTGGTTGTTTAATATTTACATTGACAATTGTGGTTAGTGCAATGAATTTTTTTTATCACTTTTGTTAAGTATTGGTCAATGAATTAGGTGATCTTTGGTCACTGAACTCCTATAAAGCTCATATGAGTTTGTTTTTATTACTAGGTGTTACTTTTGTGTTACTTAAAAGGTATTATTTAAGATATTCAAATACACAATCTCCATATTAAATACGAGTGGTATTTATGATCATTAAACATAAAATGATAGCCTATTATTATTAAAAATATAATATTCTATTCTTATCATCTGAATACAAAGAAAATTAGATGTAGATTTTAATTGAACTCAATTTCCTCCTTCCAAATTATACACTTTGGTAGAGTATCGTTCTGAAATGCTTGTTGAAATACCAGATACAAGCATCTAATAAAAACAAGGGTCTAATTTTATGAACCTTCCACCGGTTAAAAGGTTGTCGCGGTAGATAGCAACCTCTGATTATCATAATAATTGTCTTACTTTCGGCAATATTGATTTATAAACACTATCGTGTCATCGGTCGTAGGTAAGTATACTCTAAAACTCTTTCTCCGGTACCAACTTATGTGCATTGCAAAGGAATATTGGTCATAGACAATTAAATTCATGGATAACGTTATTTAAGTAAGTTCAACATTTCGACCACCTCAATTACTACGAATCTAAATTATAATTTGCTAAAAAAAACCACATTTTGGTTTCTCCTTTGCCATCAATATTCAATTATGATTCAATCATATCACTTCATGAAAATAATTATTAGCATTCAAAAGTATGATATTGCTTGCTTGGCCAAGAAAAAGTGCCACAATCAACATAAAATAACCAGAGAATATATTTATAAAAGAAAACCAGAATATTAGTAAAGGACTATTGGACTAATAAAAGAACAAGTAAATATCTTGGGGCATAGAAGTAATTCCTGTAAATTTAGGTATGCGAAAGGAAAAAGGTAAAAAACGGCGAGCCTCTTCAAACCCTAGGTCAAATCGAGTTGCTACGGTATAAATACTAAAATCAGTCTCTCAGAGTTTCCCATCCGCTGCTATTTCCCTCCTTCCAAACTGCTGCTCGTCGGAATCGTTCGCCGCCATGGGGAGAAGTAAGTACCGTCCTCTCCCATATCTCTAGTCCCTCCGTTGATTTACCTGTTGTTCCGATGCCTGAATTGAACCCAATTGTTAGAATTCGCCTTTGCTCTACTGCTCGATTCATCTGCTCATATTCGTTTGCGTTTCAGTTTCTGTTGAGAATCTAGATTTGCCTTCATCTTCTGGTTTTGACTAGCTTAGGTCTCGATATAATGGTGTCGATAACAGTTTGAATAGTTCGGTGGGTTGATTTTTCGTTCTTGTTTTTCCCAGGGCCAGCAAGGTGTTACCGCCAGATCAAGAACAAGCCGTACCCGAAATCCCGCTTCTGCCGTGGTGTCCCTGACCCTAAGATCAGGATCTACGATGTGGGGATGAAGAAGAAGGGAGTCGATGAGTTCCCCTTCTGCGTCCACTTGGTTTCGTGGGAGAAGGAGAATGTCTCCAGCGAGGCTCTCGAGGCTGCCCGTATCGCATGTAACAAATACATGACGAAGACGGCTGGGAAGGACGCTTTCCATTTGAGGGTTCGAGTCCACCCGTTCCATGTCCTGCGTATCAACAAGATGCTTTCGTGTGCTGGAGCTGATAGGCTCCAGACTGGTATGAGGGGTGCCTTCGGGAAGCCGCAAGGTGTCTGTGCTAGGGTGGCCATTGGGCAGGTTCTCCTGTCGGTTCGTTGCAAGGACAACAACAGCAACCATGCTCAGGAGGCTCTTCGACGTGCCAAGTTCAAGTTCCCTGGTCGTCAGAAGATCATTGTCAGCAGGAAATGGTATGTCCAAAGTTATGATGCTGTGGCATTATAGTTTATTTTGAGTGTGCATCTCTTTGCTTGCTGCTGGATTTTTGAGTTAGAGAATACATGTGTTGTGGTGGCAGTAATTTCACTTAATGGTAATGTGTGTGCTTGATATATTTCTCAAGATTCTCTTTGTTTCCTTACAAGTTAGCATTGTTAGCTAGGAGGAATTGTTGTTAAAATAGAGGCATTGATTTGAAATGATGGATCTGAAATTGGATGGTTTTGTTTAAATAGATAGTTTATGGATTCGTTTCACTCTGGATGAGTGATTTGTAGAATTCGATTGTCCAAGTCTTGAGATATTTCTTCTCACACATTTATCCTTCGTCAGAGAAGATTAGAAGTCACCAGAATGTTTAAGTTCATCCACTTTTGCAACATTTTGTCTTTCCATGTGGATTCTTTTGTACAATCTCTCTCAACCCTCTATGCCGATGACCTCTAGGATCTACATTTATGTATGGATGCCTGATTAATTGTTGCCTAGTTGCATAATTCTCTTTTGCTTTCAATTTTTGTGTTGAGCAGGGGGTTCACTAAGTTCAACCGTGCTGACTATGTGAGGCTGAAGCAAGAGCAGAGGATTTTGCCCGATGGTGTCAATGCCAAGGTCAGTATTGGTTATGCTTTCCAAGTAAACACTAAAGTCAGTTTTAGTACTGTGGGATTACTTCAATGTAAGTTGTTTTTAACCATATGAAACCCTTATTGTTTCTGCAGCTTCTTGGATGCCATGGACCATTGGCGAAGCGGGCTCCTGGACAAGCGTTCTTGACGTCTGCTGTCAATGCTTAGAAACTGTGTTTTCCCCCCTTTCTACAGCAGTAGTTAATCTTCCGAGGAACATCAAACTCTTTTCTGCATTTTTTGTTGGGGTGAATTCGCTTTGCCCTCTGTTATATGATGATCTCCCAGAACGTTGGTTTATTGTTTTTTCTTGTCGCTAGTCGGAACGGTTGTAGTGAATGTGCAATTTTGTACTTGATTCAGATCTGCTCGTGGTATGGATCATGTACAAAATCCTTTTGCTTTAATTTATCACCATTATCAGTCTTAAAATCAGGTGGTATTTGTCTTTCTGGCTTGGAAGATGAGTGTTTAAGATTCTGAATCTGAACTAAGGGCTTACTGCAAGTGGTAAGCTTGAACAAGGAGCGGTCGGTTTGAGTGTTCTCGTGGGGCAAGTACCTTAGTATTCATGTTCGTCTAGCTCTGTATTCATGTTCGTCTAGCTACGGATTGTATGCAGAATAATGTTAATGTGATCTCATAGTAGAATGTAACATCTAAATTATATGTTTTAAAATTGGACAAAGATGCTTGTAATTGTCGTTTGGACTTTTTTTTGGTTAAAGATGAACATTGTTGAGTTTGTTCATTTATCGAATTACTTGAGAAGAGGCTAATTTTGGCAAATTATGTTGTTATATCCAAATTAGTTGTTTTTAAATTGGACAAAGAGACATGTAAATGTCGATCCTCTTAATGAAAATGCCAAGATGGACTTCCTGAAGTTTTTGTGTTATCGAATTTCTTGTTGAAAAAGAAAAATATGAATTGGTGCTAATCATATTGAATTTATATCGGAGCTTAGTACGTTAATAAAGTTTTGATATTTCTGTACTCGCAAATCGCGGTAATGAATTATCCAGGATTAAGTCCTATTTGGGAATTGGGAGGCTTGTAGAGGGCGAAGGAGGTAATTTCCATCTGAATTCTCGAGGGCATTTCAGGAATAAAAGACTTAAAACCCTTTCAATTCTCTAGGGTTTAAGCCAACAGTGAAGTAATACGCTTTTTTCGTCCATTTTCCCCTTCCCTTCCATTTGGAACCCTTTCCTTTTTCCCCTTCCTCACTCTGCTGAAATTCTCACTGTCTCGCCTGAGAGCTTCCGTCCGCCGGCCACCCAACCACCGTCGCCATGTGGGCACTTCGCCGAGCTTCGAATTCTCTCAAGTAGGACCCTCTCTCCACCCCCCCCCCCTCCTCGTTCTCGTCATTTCGCATCACATTCTGCCGCGTTTCTTTTGTATTTGTGGTGTTGTATTTGGTTTCGTATGATTGATTCTTCTCTTGGGTTGATGCTAATGGTGATCAACTCTTTCTGGTGATATCGGCTTATTTCTTGACGTTTGTTGCTTTAATGAATCAAAGCTTTGTTTCGGTATCTTCGCCATGGGGAACCCAGAGAAGTTCAACTAGGTTTATACTTTCTAGAAAGTTGTGATGCTGTTCATAGGGTTTGTTTCCTGGATGAGGAAGCTTCCACTTCGTATGGTTTTGAGCTATCTGATGATTTTTGCTTTGTGAACTCTGTCATGCTAAGAGTGATGCATGGATTATTTGGATAATTTGGTGTTTCAGTGAGTTTGATTAGTTTGCTGGCAAATGCTGTTCCGCTTCAGTTGTTTGTATTCCGAGGACGTAATTTACTACTGGTTCCTGTTTGCAGGTTGCAAGGAGTGAGGTTAGCAACAGGTCGAGCCGGATGTGTTAAACTGGAAACCATCTGTGGTCAATTGGAAGTGAACACTAATATTTACGAAACAGCTCCTTCAGCAGCATACTCTACTTCTCTGTTTCCTCGCACTGCTACCGTGTCTTCAAAGCTCTGTACTGGGATGCGCGGCTTGTCTTCCCAGGCTGGCGCTGACACTAGTAGTTCATCTGAAGATGATAGTGACGATGCATTCTCTGAGCTGGAAGGTCCAGTGGTCAGCTCTGATGCAGTTCAAGGCAAGAGGACTGCATTTGAAGGAAATGAAGATGAATTAGTTTCTGACCCTGACCTTTCTGATGATGATTTCATGGAAGAGGATTCTCGGGATGCATTGGAAATGTTGGATACCGAAGCAGATCCTGCTGATAAGCTTTTGACAAGGAAGAAAGTCCCTTCAGAACTGTTCAATGCCATTGTTAAGGATCCGAATTCGCCCATCGAATCTGTTCTCAGTAAGTGGGTGGAAGAAGGGAAGGAGCTTGGAAAGCAAGAGGTCACTGCAGCCATCCATAGTTGTCGCAAACGTCGGATGTTTGGGAGAGCATTGCAGGTATTGCTTGACTTTTTGCTTGATCAAATGTGTTCGACCATGCTTTCTAGATTCAAAGTGTAAGGTATAGATAATGCATGTGCTAGTTTAGTTTGTGCTAAAGTTATTGATGGGTTAGTTGAGCAGTTGACCTATGGTTTCTGTATAAAAAAAACCCCCTTGGAGGCCTGTGACCATCTCCCATATCCGTGTTGATGTTGGCATCTCACTTAATTATCTACCCATCCAGACTTATCATAATCCATCATTTGCCTAGTTTCTTTAGCTTTGATTCATTTTTCTGAGGAAGTGGAACAATCAGGACTTTCAAAGGAGTCATTTTCGAATAAATAGTAGAAATTTACATGTTTTAAGGTCTTAGGCTTTGAGTTTATATGAATAGATGTTTTGAAGATATCCAAACAACTCCCATGGTGTTATTGCTCCATCCAAATGATTTTGTATATATGCTTATGATCATAACAAAGGGAAATAAATGTGATGCGACAAACACTCCTTGACATTGTTCTTGGCGTCTGGCTCTTGATTGATGAATAAAGTAATTTTCCATAACCATCGGCTGTTTGGAAGATCAAAGCTAAGGAAGCTGTTAGTAAAAGGTTGATGTGAGAGTGTCCATATGGTCAATCTGTAGCCAGTTCTGTGTTAGCACTATTTGATATAATTCCATGACAAGAGTGTCAAGTATGGTGTTCGTATGCACATTCTTGAGTCGCATATTTACCCTCATCATCTTCCTTTTGCAGCTATCTGAGTGGCTAGAGAAAAAAGATGAATTTGATTTCATTGAAAGGGACTATGCTTCTCGCGTTGACTTGATTGCCAAGGTACATGGCCTGCAGAGTGCAGAGAACTACATTGACAAGATCCCAAAATCATTCAGAGGAGAAGTAATCTACCGAACTTTTCTAGCAAACTGTGTCATAGCAAGCAACGTAAAAAAAGCTGAGGAAGTGTTCGACAAAATGAGGGACTTGGACTTCGAAGTCACGGCATTTGCCTGCAACCAGCTCCTCCTCCTTTACAAGAGACTTGATAAGAAGAAGATAGCTGACGTCTTGCTCTTAATGGAGAAGCAAAACGTCAAGCCCACACTTTTCACCTACATGCTCCTGATCGACACCAAGGGCTTGTCAAACGACATGACAGGTATGGAGGAGATCATCGAAACCATGAAGGCCGAGGGACTCGTACCGGACCTCAGGATTCAAGCCATCATGGTTCGACACTATGTATCTGGTGGGCTCCATGAAAAGGCTGAGTCAATTCTGAAAGAGATGGAAGGTGGCAACTTGAAGGAACATCGATGGCTTTGCCGTGTGTTGCTCCCTCTCTACGCTTCCCTAGGGAAGGCTGACGAGGTGGCTAGGATTTGGGAAATCTGCAAGTCGAGCCCGAGACTATCCGAGTGTGTCTCAGCAATCGAGGCATATGGGAAACTGAAGCAAATCGAGCAGGCTGAGGCCGTTTTCAACAAGATGCAACAGAAATATAAGAAGCTATCTTCCAGACAGTACTCCCCTCTCCTGAGGGTCTACGCCAACCATAAAATGCTCTCCAAGGGGAAGGATCTGGTGAGGAAAATGGGGGAGAATGGCTGCAGAGTCGGACCACAGATCTGGGATGCGATGGTCAAGCTATACGTGGAGGCAGGCGAAGTCGAGAAGGCTGACTCCATGCTGCAGAAGGCGGTGGTGCAGAACAAGATGAAGCCGATGTTTAACTCTTACATGATGATAATGGAACACTACTCGAAAAGAGGCGACGTGCATAACACCGAGAAGATGTTCGTCAGGATGAGGCAGTCCGGTTACGTGGCTCGTACGAGGCAGTTCCAGGCTCTGGTGCAGGCTTATGTGGCTGCTAAAGCGCCGGCTTATGGGATCAGGGAAAGGATGATGGCCGATAACATCTTCCCGAACAAGGCGCTGGCTGCTCAGCTGGCTCGGGTTGATGCGTTTAGGAGGACTCCAGTGTCCGATTTGCTCGACTAGTGAAGTGATTGAATGGTGTTCTGGATTCGTATATTATTGTTGAGTCGAAACGTCGAAACTTTCGAATGTTAGGGGGGAAGGAAGGAACCTCTCTTGTTTCCTTTCCAGGTAGTTTACGTTTTATGATATGACTGCTTGTTTGGTGCTAGTTTAGATACAGAGGCATTTGTGTTATGCTGGCAGAATTCCTGAGTTTCTCGTCTTTGGTTGTGGACCAAGCTGTTTTTACAGTTTATTTGACAGTAAAAAAATTAGGCCAAGATGGTGAAACTGGATTTCGTATTTTGACTTTTCCATAGTGAGTCACTCTCAATTTAGAACCATGAGAATACAGAGGCAGTTTGAATCCACGTTGGTGGATGATTCTAATTTCTAATCAAATGAGTACACTCCCAATCCAAAATGGTTTGAGGATTTATCCAAAGAAGCAGAAAAGAAAAAAACATGATGAACCAATGAGCTGATTATGTGATGAGAGATGATTTAGGCTTTGCTTGTACACACGAAGGGAGGTCCAGTGCCATAGTCGCAATAACACGTAGAATCGATGCATAACGATCGAGCACATCTCTCTTGACAGTGGCAATCGCTGTTTGACCAACACTTGATTGCATTAGTCTCGACACCCTTCGTCGCTTCTGCTACTGTCAAGCGATTGCGTCGACATCGCTCACCAAACCTGTCATCGATTAAGAATTAAGCTCAACGGTGAATACTATAGTTTAAATCGTACAATAATATTAACAGTAGTATAAAAAAAACAGAATGAACCAAAAAGAACTAAAGAAGAGTCTCACATGAAGCGATGAAGATGGACAAAATGAAGAGAATGAGTAACTTCATGTATTAACAGTAATATATTTTTGTAAGCTAATTTTTGTTTTTTTTTTAATTCTTCTTTTCTTTTTGGAATTGGATGTGCAAAACCAACTGCTAAATCTGAAGGTTTATATAGTAGTGGGAATGGTAAAAACCAGAATTTTCTTTCCTAAATAAACAAGGCAAGATATCCAATTCATATACACACAAGGTAAAAATGTGAATAAAGATGAGACTCTAAACATTTTGACACCTAACCCAAACTACTTTGAGAACCACTTTTTTTAAGACATTTTACGAGTTTGATATTATAGAGAAAACCTTTTAAGAAACTAATTCCTAATTTCCTATGTTAAGAGGACCAGCAGATTCTCACTTCATTATTTTAACTATTTATTTTAGATGGTGTGTGATTAGAGAATATGATGATTATTCGATAGTATAACTAAAAAAACAATATTTTAGTCCTGTGAACTATGGTGCGTGTCATTCGGGTGATCTGCAACTCACCCACCACCCATCCGAATAAGCGGGTAAGAGATTTCTCAATCCGCAATCCGCCCATATATATATCATGGTTAACACGATATACGAGTTAACACAAGTATCCAATCCAAAAGAAAATGTCAAGAAAGAATGAACCTTTCCCAACTATTGGGAGTAGTTCAAAGTGATAACGAATCCAGCCACTTTCATGGCTTCCAATCCAATGATGGATTATATATCGCCACAAAACCAAATTAACGTATACTTCCATTTTGGGGGCGTGACAACGAAAGGCCAAAGAACATCAATGATAGATGTGGTCATATATAATCATAACAATGTATACAAAATAATTATACGAGTTGATTGCGATACTTAAAACCCATATTTTTGTATGACAGAACTTGGAAATCAGGCTGAACTCGATCTCCATATGTCACGTCCGCTTATTTTTTGTCATTCGTTCATCCGAGATTACAATTTACAGCTATTAATTATATATCGAAACTCATTGGTGTATTCAAAGTTAGAGTAATTAGAGTGTGATCAGTCAGTCACCTTAGCTGGAGTTTGATACTTAATTGGCATTGAAAATTGTGATAATCGACATGCCCCACGTGCATGAGAAATCCTGCTTGAACTCAAATTTCATCATCGAAAACTTCATTCACACCTTAATGTCGCAACTATCGTATCCCAGTTGAATAACTCAACAAGAAAACGAGGGAACACATTTCTCAAGAGCATTGTGAATTTGGCGATATTAAGAAATGACTTGCCATTTCACGTCTATAGTTTTAAATTTTGTCAATAAAGACATTTGATTCTCTTTTCTAACTCTCTTACCAAACGTTTCAAACCGAAGTCCCTCCACCAAACAGAAACTACTACTAATAAGAGACAATCTGCTTAATCAAAATAATGTAAAGTGGGATCTGACTTAACACATAAGAAAATTCCGTCAACATAAAGAAATTACAAGTCCCCCTTGAAATTTTCAAAGCAAGCTGCCGACCAATCACGACGCCGTCAATATTATTGTATTGGTCTTCACAGCTTTCACATTTTGTGCTGACATTTCTCTACATAGTCCCTAAACTTATGGAATGTGTCATTTAAGTCTCTCTACCAATACATTTGAGTCATTTGAAGACACTTGTTGAATCTCAACGAACTCATTCATTGATGGGGTCATCTGGAGGATAATAACATTCTACTTCTATCACATTGCACATATGTTAACAATTCGCAATTTCACGGTACTCCATTATTCATACACTAACCATTTGTCCCATTACGACACATCAAAAAGCTCAAGCCCAACTCAAATTAGAGATGCGAATATATGAATGCTAGTTTTCAGAGAGAGAAATCTTATTCAAACTAACACTAATTGTAGAACATTCTATGAACAAAATCCACTGAACTCCTTGTCAAGTTGGAAAAAATGTCCTATCCAAAAGTAATATCGATCTGATTTTTTCCTGAGAATCGATTCTGGTTGGTACCCACTATGAGTTATTTCCCCCATTTTTGCAGGCAATTGGGATAATGATATACTAGCTTTTTGCCCGGCCTTTGGCCGGGGTTCGTGGTTACTATAGTCTGGGTCGTTTGTGACATTCGTTTACTCCCTTTTTCTTGTCTTTGGGTAGCTTGTTTCAGGCCAATGATATATAGTCAAAAGTTTAAATGCATAAACTTAAATCAACAGTGCTATTATTATCCATAATACGGTCATTTGGGACAGCCGTATTCACACACATAAGAGATGAAAAATCTAAAGTTTTGCAACGCAGTAATAGTGTTGTCTGACTACATAGTGTGTAGTGTTGTTGGTTGATTTGGTCATTCGAATTTGGAATAATGTGGTGACCAGTATCTTGACGTTGTTTGGAGTGGACATTGTCAGTATTGGTTCTCTCAGTCTTGACAACCTTGAATGGATGGATGGTGTGCCTTTGACATCGCATTATGACTCTGGTATGGCTGTTGCCATCTTGTGGGTCGATTTCATTGGCCTGCAAATATATAATCAGTCATTAGTTTATGAAGTTCATATGAGAAACATTTGTAGCAAAATGAGTTTATTCTAATTACTTGAAAATGGAGGTGCTTTCAGTATCATAGCATTTCACAGTATAAAAAAGACAACTTTTATGGCTGAAGAGAGATGACTACGACAGATATAAACACATGTTGACACTCAATTCAATTATATTAATGAACTTACTATGAGGTCGAGAAACCACAGCAAACGTTCGGAGTTTTGACTGTGAAGGGTCATCAGACACCATCACTCTCTTTCCTTATCTGTCCATTTGAGACTGCAAATGTAAATACCTTCAAACCAACAGCCGAACCTGCAAACTAAAGCTGGACACTGGTTCGCTCCTATGCAAGGTAGTTAGATTAGATTGCCCATAATCATGCATTACTAAATTATACTGATCGAATCCTCCTTTGACATCACTGCAAAGTCACACAGACAATTGAACGTCGGCATCTTTAGCAAGTCATATCAACAAACTTGAAAGCTCAAGTGTGAATTAACATACATACTTATGAAAGGAATGTTTTTTCTCTTCTGCAGATCTCATGTTCCATAATTAGAGTGAGAAGAGCACATCCTTATAGAGAAAAATTCACTTCTGTCAGAATGAGATCCATGTTATGGGACCTCACTTTGAGCAACTCCCATGCCAACCGCCAAAATTGTTCAAAAGAAACCAACAGAAGCTTTCAGCATTAAGAAGTGGATCACAACAAACCAAGTTATGTAATTTGATTGTGATGACCAATTATAGTTTCCGCAATTCAGTGTTTGCTTTAGCTGCTTCACCATAGTTGCAGCTAAGCTGCTAAAATTATAACTTGCTCTTAGCCATTAATTCCTATTAAATGTTGTTCTCCACAAACTAAGATTTACCCCAATCTCCATTGTAATTCGTTCTATATTAGCTGCAGATTATAGAAGCCGGCAATTCAGAACAGATTGCTCGAATGGATTTAACTATTTAAGATCCTTTGATCAACATAGCCTACAATAACAGTTATCATATGATGAGAGAAGTCCTGTAAGATTGCAGTTTTTCAAGAGGGAGAAGTCCTCTGAAGGCAAATAATGCATTGTGGGAAGTAATTATACCCTGGGTGTATGAAAGCTAGAAGTGTTTATATCTTGTGTGGGCAACCAATATTAAGAGAAGCATCAAAAAACAAAAAGGAACCCTGGAATTTCCACGAGACAAACAGTAGCTGATTGAAACTATCAAAGCCAGACAGTCCTGAAACGTCCTTCTTCCTCCCTCTAAGCAACACAGAACACTTAATACAAAATCCAAAGCCTAGAAATACTAAGGATAGGGGAAAGAAAATCCCTCGAATTACGCAAATTATCAGTACTGGAATCAATAGTAGCGATTGTAACTATCATAAGCCAAATAGAATGCTCAAACATCAGTCTTTCTCCCTCTCAGCAAATCAGAACCCAAGCCAAAATTCAGTGTCGAAAAAGACTCGCAGGAAAGGGAAATACTAAGGAAAAAGACACCCAAACTATTGAAATTACCTGCGAAAATACAGAGGGGTCGAGAATGGGACGATTGCGACGTTGGTGGTATTCAGAAGACGGCCGGTTGTGGAGGAATATGTGGTCTTCCGATGACAGGCCATCTCCATGGCAGTGGAGGGATTTTGGGTACATTCACATAAACCAATTGACGAAAGAAAATGGAAGATGTGAAATGTTCTTCAGACCGAGAAAGGGAAGAAAAATGAAAACCTGCCGTTTGAGGAAGCAGAGTGGAAATCTGGGGAGTAACAGGAGGTGGGTAAGAGGCAGAAGGCATACATGGTCAGCGTGGAGACACGAAACGTTGTTGATTTGGAATGAGGGAAACTGCTGGGGTTGGGCCGAGGGGGAAACTGCTGGTTATTTCGCGTAAGAGAAAACTTCCGAGGAATTGCCGAGACGGGAAGGGAAGTTGCGTTTGGATTGTGTGATCGGCGGGAGGAGTAGACATCGGTTGCAAATTGGGAAAACAGGGGACCAAAAATGACTGCGGCGGAATGGGGAAGACGTTTCGTTGGAATTGGGAAGGCCAGAATGGACAGAAGAGAGAAGGAAATCTGATGGGTAGGGAGGAGAGATAAGATGATGACGTGGCAGCATGGGTGGTAGTGAAATTTGAATTTCTGAACCCTAGTTTGGGAAAACGCTTATCTTTAGATCTTTAGAAGATTTAGATGATAGGGACTCGAAAACCAAAATAGGAAAGTTAGGGTACCTAAAAATTAACAAAATATAATATAAATAAAACAATATATTTTAGATTCATAAGAAGATTCAGATGAATGTTCCACTTTTCAACATTCTTCCGCGGATGCAGACGCAAAACTGGGACAGATACACGCGGCGGTAGATCAACTTTCTCTTCTTCCAAATCCAAACACATTCCCATTTCCCAGTAACCTTTCCCCCAATCCACAATCTATAAATACACAACCAGGAATAATTCAACACGTCGGAGAGTAATTCTAATTTACCAACCGCCCCACAGAAATGGAACCGCCGGCAGCGGCGACCACCGTCACCAAAATCACAAAGAAGCACCACAGGCACGTAAACAACCCGTTCCCATCGCCACCCAAATCCCTCCCGTTCCTCACCGGCGGCCTCACTTTCAACCCTGCGACGATCCCTCCTTCGCCGGCCGACTTCCCGATCGGACGGGATTTCCGGCTTCACTGGAGCCCCAAACATGGTGGGTTGGTGTCCGTGACGCACAAATCACGGCCGGAGAGGTCAATCTGGAGTACGGTTCCTGGGCAGGCATTCGTCTCCGCCGCGGCGGTGGAGACGGAGGTGGAGGAAAGCAGGGGATCGTTCGCCGTGAAAGATGGGAATGTCCACTTGGTCTTCGACCACCAATCGGTCGACGAGATCCGGGTTGTTGGGTCGGAGACCGATTCGCCTGCCGCGATGCTGACCGGTCGGGTCTTCGGAGCGAACCGGAAGAGGCAGAGTAAGAACAGAGATGCTCTGTTTTTCCCCCGGGAAGCGAGGTACACGATTCTGTTCAGCCAGACGGGCGGGAACGAGGTCGGGTTCGAGATTCGGATCGGTGACCCGAACGTAATTGGGATTCAGAATCCCGAAAGCGGAAGAAGGCTGATGAGGACGACAAGCATCAAGAAGAGCTGGAAGAAGGCGAAGAAGGGTAAAAAGAAGAAGAGGAAGTTGGGGTTTTGGCGGTCTTGCTCGTGGAATCCGAGAGGGTTCGCGGCGGTTACATCGTCGGAAGATCAGGAAACTGCAGCGGCGGCGGCGACGACGACGACGCCGGCGGTCACGGAATTGAACAGGGTGGTTGTGACGTATTCGAGCGATCGAGACGAGATGTTTTATGGGTTCGGAGAGCAATTCTCTCACATGGAATTCAAAGGAAAAAGGGTTCCGATTTTCGTTCAGGAACAGGGGATCGGCAGAGGCGATCAGCCCATTACTTTCGCCGCTAATTTGGTCAGCTACAGGTACTAATGTTTCTCCATTTCATAGTTCATCCTTTAGTTTCATCCCAAAACCGTCACTAAAACTGAAACCAAATGGTGAATTTCCTCTTCACTACACTAGAGCTGGGGGAGATTGGAGCACAACTTATGCACCATCGCCATTCTACATTACCTCCACAATGAAATCCCTCTATCTCCAAGGCTACAATTACTCTGTTTTCGATCTCACAAGGCACGACAGAGTTCAAATACAGGCAAACTCAAAAAAACCTTCCACTCCCATCTCCCAAACTCCTGATTTCATCCTTTTAAGTCCATTGACTTCTTATACTTTGCATTTCGGTACAAATTTTTTTTCACCATCAGAGCCACGGTAATCGGATGGAAGGCAGGATCCTCCACGGCGACACACCGCCGGAGCTCATCGAGAGGTTCACGGAAACGATCGGCCGGCCACCGGTGCTGCCCAAGTGGATACTCTCCGGCGCGGTGGTGGGAATGCAAGGCGGGACGGAAGCCGTGAGGGAAATTTGGGAGAAGTTGGAAGGCTACAAAGTGCCCATATCGGCGTTCTGGTTGCAGGATTGGGTTGGACAGAGGGAGACCGTGATCGGATCTCAGCTATGGTGGAATTGGGAAGTCGACGACGAGAGGTATGGAAGGTGGAAGGAGCTGGTGCGGGATCTCGGTGATCGGAATGTCAGAGTCATGACTTACTGCAACCCCTGTTTGGCCCCTGTACGTACTCTGCCTCTCTCTCTCTTTGTCTTCAATTCTCTTCATCTAGTCACATTCGATTCATTAATTTGGTGAGGATGGACAATCAATGTGGTAGTGGAGATAACGTGATAAGGATAGTAGATCTTGGCCTAATCGTCATCCGATCGAGTTCTGACTATTTTGGATAGAGTGAACGGGTGTTAAATAAGTGGTACATAATCCGTAATTGATCCAATGTCAACAACTCGAGTTATTGAAACCAACTGGTTCCTAATATGGTGTAGGTTCAGTAATGCTATCTTACGTCACATACTAGCACACCCCCTTTCAAACGGAAACCACCCATACAGATTCAAAGTTTGTACATGTTCCGATAGACGAGGAGCATTGAGATTCGTACAGAAACACATGTCGATTACAGAAGGCTCTAACGATACTCTGTCAAGGACAAGTTCGTTCCAATATTCGGGACAAACTGGTTTTTGACTTTGTACAAAACTTTTTGTGACCGACATGTCTTCTCTTCAAATCTTGATGATTTCGTTTATTAAACACACGACATTCTGATGTTTGTGTTTGAGTTGATTTTCGTTAGAGTAAAGTATTAATAAGTAGTTTATGATCAGAAATTAATTATATTTCAACAATTCGAGTTATTGGAAGCTATTACAACCGTATCTGATTTGGAAGCTTTTGCTGATTTGGGTGATGACAGACGGATGGGAAGATGAACAGGAAGAGAAGCCATTTCGAGGAAGCCAAGAAACTGGACATACTGGTGAAGGACAGAGATGGGCAGCCATACATGGTCCCCAACACGGCCTTCAACGTCGGGATGCTGGATTTCACCCACCCAAAAGCTGCAAATTGGTTCAAGCAAGTACTGAAAGAAATGGTCGACGACGGAGTCAGAGGCTGGATGGCCGATTTCGGCGAGGGACTCCCCGTCGACGCCACTCTGTTTTCAGGGGAATGTCCCGTCGATGCTCACAACAGGTACCCGGAGCTGTGGGCGCAGGTGAACCGAGAGTTCGTCGAAGAATGGAAATCAAATCGGGGAGAAGAAGATGAAGAAGAAGAAAAAGAAGATTCATTGGTGTTCTTCATGAGGGCAGGGTTCAGGGACAGCCCGAAATACGGGATGTTGTTTTGGGAAGGGGATCAGATGGTGAGCTGGCAGAGGAACGACGGCATCAAAAGCGCCGTCGTCGGGTTACTGAGCGGCGGCATCTCCGGCTATGCGATAAACCATAGTGACATCGGAGGGTATTGCGCCGTCGACGTGCCTTTCCTCTTTGGCAAGTACCGCCGGAGCGAGGAGCTTCTGATGCGGTGGATGGAGCTCAGCGCCTTCACCGCCGTCTTCCGCACCCACGAGGTAATAAGCATTTTCATGTTGGAAATGCGTTATAAGATTCAACATAATTTTCTCTCAGTTACCAATTGGTTCAATAATTATGGAACCTTAGTTTTTTTTGCTCTAAATTTGTGCAGGGGAACAAGCCGGCTAGCAACGCTCAGTTCTACTCCAACCACAATACGTTGTCGCAATTTGCGCGTTGCGCAAAGTTGTACAAGGCGTGGTATTTTTATCGAGTTCAGCTTGCTGAGGTGAGTCATAGCTTAAATCGATCGGTAATATAACAATCACACACAAATTTGCTATGCAGTTCAATTTTGAAGAGTACATTGAATGTTACAGGAAGCGTCGGAGAAAGGGCTGCCGATCTGCCGGCACTTGTTCCTCCACTACCCTAACGACAGGATCGCCGGTAAGCTGACGTACCAGCAGTTCCTGGTCGGAACAGAGATTCTGGTCGTGCCGGTGCTGGATAAGGGACAGAAGAAGGTGAAGGCCTATTTCCCAAAGGCTGGAAATTCATCTTCTTGTTGTAGTTGGCAGCATATTTGGTCCGGGGAAAGGTATAGAGAGGAGGGTTATGAAGCTTGGGTTGATGCTCCGATGGGGTTTCCGGCTGTGTTTGTTAGAGCTGGATCTTCTGTTGGAGATGAACTTCTGAGCAATCTTAGGAGTTTTGGGATCTTATAACAAACACCCTTCGACGTTTTTGTAATTGTGTATACTTCGATTCATACAAATCATTTATTCAATGGTTTTTTAGTGTTAGGTATACGAATGATTCTCTCTGACGATAGTATTGTGAATCGAATTGGGAAAGAATTGTTTCGTCGACTCTAATTTCTTATGCCGGGTCACGTCAACTACAGTCAAATTCGAAACGTTGAAGAAAAATCGGGAAGTGAACTATACAATTCTTATCGATTGCTAAAAGCTTACGCATTTTGGCATGTAGCGAGAACAAAGGATTGAGAAATCATACCGTACCAGTGGTTCGACAAAGAAAACTCTTATTGGAATTGAAACCAGTAGACGGTATAAAACATTTGAATCAATATCAAACCACGAATTTAGTATAAAATATCTTACTATCGCTGAATTTTTCGACAGAACCTCCGAAACGATTTTTCAATATTTCCTAGCACTTTATTGCAACCAAGTGATGATCATGCTCATCATGCCTCAATAAATGGGCCAGCAGTTCGCCCAATCATAAACAAACGAAGCCATCAGGCTAGCAGGCCGAACTGGCCTGGCCCGGCCCATTAAACAATTTTGAAGCCCTAATTTTGGATGGGTTTGTTTGGAGGGAAAGAAACGGAGAGAAATACAAAATCATTTTTTTTTTTCGTAATCGTCTGGGTCTGCAAAAGATTTTGTGCGGCTAATCCAAGCGCAGAAACCGCCCCTCTAGTTTAGGAGTTGAAAGAGGGCACAAAAAGGAAGAGATGGCGCCTCGTTATCGTTCTCTTCTCCTTCTCCCCAAAATAGTCATGCCCTCCTCTGCTGCAGCAGCAGCAGCTACGGCTGCTTCTGCTTCGGCGTATTCTTCTTGTCTCAACTTCCGTTCTTTCTCTTCACTGACTCCACTTCACCACCCAGGCCTTCTATTAAAAACCAGGTCTGTTTTATCCCGTGAAACCCCCAACCACTTTTATCACTCTGCGCCGGCTTCCCGTTTGATTAGGCTTGGTGGAAAAGCAGAGGGTTGTGTTGGGTTTTCGGAGAAATGGAATCTGGAGCTTTTGATTAGTTGGGTGTTTTCGGGGGGATTCTGGTTACGTTTTGGTGTATATGACGAGTATGGTGGTGGTTCAAGTAGGTTTTGACCATTTTTGTGCTTGCTATTTGTTTCAGGGTGAATTTTCCTCCGAGGAGGTCTGCCGGTCGTTTGCTTGTTCAAAATGCTGTTTCGCCTAGGGCGTTCATGTCTTCCACCGTCGCAACTGAGGCCTCTAAAGAACAAACGACCTCGAGCTCTTATGGCTCGGACCAAATTCAGGTAACTATTAACTGGATAATATGATTTGAACCTGAAATTTCAAGAATGGCCCTCTGTGTTTAGAAGGTAGAATGTATTGTGTGTGTTTTGTGTCTTCTTTGTGGCCTCATGCTGACATTTCCTTTTTCCTTGTTTTGATGTTGCATTAAGGTGCTGAAAGGCCTGGATCCTGTCAGGAAAAGGCCAGGGATGTACATTGGGAGCACCGGTCCTCGTGGATTGCATCATTTGGTAGCTCCTAATGCCATTTAGGTTCAGTGCTGAGTTTATTGTAGTGTTAATATTTACCAGGATAATGGTTTTTTAATTGCTTGCACTCCTTGCTTTCAGGTTTATGAAATATTGGATAATGCTATCGATGAGGCCCAGGCAGGATATGCTTCGAGGGTAGAAGTTGTCTTGCATTCGGATAATTCTGTCAGCATTTCAGACAACGGCCGAGGAGTATGTACTGTTCCCTTCACTCCTGACCACTGAATATTGATTTCTGTATGGTCTTGTTGGGAGACGATATATTCTGAAACATAGGAGTTCTATGCCCTTCAGTTGGTGTAGTCCATGCCATAGTTTTTCAGATCTATGCGATTGTGAATTGCTGATTCCCTTGTTCCAAGGCTAATATATGGTGGTTTTTGTGTGGGGTCACTTGATGGATTTTTGTGAGGATTAAGTTTCAAATTCTTCGGAGACTATCATTATTATGGGTTTTCCAATGATAATGAGGAAGTTGGATTGTTGTTTGGTCTTGGTGTAAAGCTAGAAAAATCAGCATGATTGTCTTTTCCACACAGTAGTCCGATTCAGCTAATTACGACATGCAAGCATCCAGCATACCATTTCCATGTTCGGCCATCTGTTCATCAATATGTGCTGTTGGTTGTCATTATATGGCTATGGTTTCCTTAATTTAGTTCCTCTGAGTTTGTGCCAGGTTTTGGCTAATTTCCCGTAATTTATTGACATGCTTGTTGTTTTGCTTGTCTTGTAGATTCCTACTGACCTTCATCCAGCGACCAAGAAGTCTGCCTTAGAGACTGTGTTGACAGTAAGACTACTGAATTGCTTATTTGCTTTGGATTGTGCTGATTTTATATTGTTCACTTGCTTGTCACTTCTCTCTATTTGCTTGTTAGATTTGAGTTTAAATGCCTTCTGCTTTTATATGACAGGTTTTGCATGCCGGAGGGAAGTTTGGTGGTTCAAATAGTGGTTATAGTGTTTCTGGTGGATTGCACGGTGTTGGTTTATCTGTCGTCAATGCCTTGTCTGAGGTAAGTATTCCATCTATGTTTTCAGTTTGCTTGCTTGGCCATTCTGCATGTACCTGCAATTGTGGCTATGTGTTTCTGTTCTTCTCTTTTCCGCTGCCTTTATCGGTCTATTGGTTTGGAATTTTATTGCATTGCTGAGGTAGATCATATAGTTGAATATTTGTGCCTTTTCTCTGTTTGCTTCCTCTTGCTTGGATATTCTACCTTGACCGGCCTCACGATCCAGAGAGTGAGCTAAGCACTTGTGGTGATATAGTCTTGCATATCTTTAAGGGTTGCCGGTATCTTTTTACAAAATGTATGCGTCTGGTAGTTGATTTGGACTGGCTTCCTCTTGCTTGGATATTCTACCTTGACCAGCCTCGTGACTGAGAGAGAGAGCTAAACCCTTCTGGTGATATAGTCTTGGAAATCTTTAAGGAGGTGCTAGTATATGTTAACAAAGTAGAATTTTAGTATTTATTGAGGGACAGAAGTATATTGCACTTTTGTTGGATGTCCTTTTCTATTTTAGGCAATCCTCTATACTGTATTTTTCCTTGATTTTTCTGTTTTATGGAACAAATGTCTAATAATAATTTTTCACGTCTTCTTTGTAGCACTTGGAAGTTACAGTTTGGCGAAATGGGATGGAGTACCAACAGAAATATTCCCGTGGAAACCCTGTGACTAGTCTTATTGGTTGTTCACTTCCGGTTGAATCAGATGCTCTCCAAGGGACTAAGATCCGATTTTGGCCTGACAAGCAAGGTTCTCTTTTATTGTTGTGTTTGTTTCTCCGGTATATCATTGAGCCATAAGATCTCCAGAGATTTCTCACAAGTATATCTTCAAGATTGTGTCTCTAATCTCAGATCCTCTTTTCCCTTTTTGTTTGCAGTATTTACTACTGAAATACAGTTTGATTACAGCACTATAAGTGGACGAGTCAGGGAGCTTGCTTTTCTTAACCCAAAAGTAATGCAACCAACTAAGTCTTCTACTTTTCATGCCTGTTTTATGATAACCTGTCTTTTGTTTTTGTATACGATGTGAAACATTGTAGACTGTGTTTGTTACTATGAACAACTAGTTTGGTTGCTCGAATCTACTTGTCTTGTGATATTGATTGCCGTGTAATTTTCTGTATCTCATTTGCAGCTTCGTATCACTCTTAAAAGAGAAGATACTGATCCAGCAAAAAGCCAGGGTGATGAATATTATTATGCAGGCGGGCTGGTTGAATATGTGAAATGGCTAAACACTGATAAGGTAATGATTTTTTCCTGTTCTGAACTCAGACGACTGTGTTCATCCACCCTATTGAACAATACTACAAAACTGATGTTTAGGATTTTCTGAGTGCTTCGACTTAGCAAAATGTATAATCAATATCCAATAAATTTGTCATACTTGATGTTTGTTTATACAGACACCACTCCATGATGTTGTGGGAGTCAGCAAAGAAACGGATGGAATCACGGTTGACATGGCTTTTCAATGGTATCCTCTGAGTTCCTCCTTTTTCGTCTTGTCAGGTCTTGTTTTCGCTTCAGCATAGTGCATGCTTGTTCAACTCAACTTGCTTCCGTTGCATCATGGGCACTCCTTCCTGCAACGGTTTCCTTTTATGATACTTGTGCTTGTTCTCTTCTAGGTGTTCAGATGCATACTCAGATACAATATTAGGATATGCTAATAGCATACGTACTGTTGATGGTGGAACACATATAGATGGTTTCAAGGCTGCACTAACAAGAGCTGTTAACAACCTTGGGAAGAAGTCAAAGATAATCAAGGTGAGCTTATAGCTTATTGTTGAGTTGTCTCTTCAACCTTAACCATGCCTTAAGCATATCTGGTGAAATTTGTTGGGAATTCATTCTTCTTTCCTGGATTGGCTCTCATTCTTCTCATCATAGATTTGAGTTGTTTATATATTTAGTGTTGAGCATGAAAGATGTGACTATAGTCAAACTGGAGTTTTTATGATGGTTAGATGATTGTGAACTAAATCATGGTTAGATGCTATTGGGAATTTATGCTCTATTTTGAGGTTTCAAAAAAAGTGCATCATATTGTTTTCTTTGCCAATTGAATAGTTCAGCCTGCAAAAGTCATTGCTTCAACTTAGCTGACTTGTGTATTGAGATTGTAGTGTTATAGTACATCATCTACTGAGAGTGCAGTGTTTCCTGTTTTACGGAATCTTGCTCTTTCCTGGCAGGAAAAGGATATTAATTTAAGTGGCGAACATGTGAGAGAGGGATTGACTTGCATAATCTCAGTCAAAGTTCCAAGCCCTGAGTTTGAAGGACAAACAAAGGTACTGCCTCCTTTGATGCCAATCTCCCGGAACCATACATTTCTCTATAGGATCGAAAGCTAACAGACTGGCATGTTTATGTCTGTCAACTGCAGACAAGATTGGGCAATCCCGAGGTTCGGAAAGTTGTGGATCAATCTGTTCAAGAGTATGTTACTGAGTATTTTGAGCTGCATCCGGATGTCCTTGATTCAATCCTTTCTAAATCTCTTAATGCTCTTAAGGTATTCTTCTTATAGCTATAGTACATTCCTTTTGTGTTTTTCCCCTCATCTTATGTTGCACTGGACTAACTCAAGAATTCTATGTTTGTTTATCTTTCTGTTTAGGCAGCCCTGGCAGCAAAGAGAGCTAGAGAATTGGTCAGGCAAAAGAGTGTCTTGAGATCATCTTCTCTTCCAGGGAAGCTTGCTGATTGCTCATCTACCAATCCTGAAGAATCTGGTAACTATTCAATTTCACGCTATTTATTTTGGAAAAGTTGCTGAATTTCAGTTTTAGATGAAATACACTTTGCTTGATTCACCCCAATGTTCTGAGTGGCATTTTGAGGACTATATCCTTGTATGCCTGCAGAAATATTTATAGTTGAAGGTGATTCAGCTGGTGGTAGTGCTAAGCAGGGTCGGGATAGGCGTTTTCAGGTAATTGGATGGAACCATTCTTAGTTTACTCTGTGAGCATGTGAATGGTGGTGAAACAATGTGGTGGTTTGCTTTGTTTTCTTGGGAATTGGAAATTTAGGAAATTCTTATTCATTTCCCTTCATTTTATCAAAGGAGTGATGTTTGAATTACTCCTTAGGGTTCTAAATTTTCCCTTTCTAAGTTAGTTTTACGTGGTTATTCTTTAAATCATGTTTTGTAGGCTATTCTACCTCTTCGAGGGAAGATTTTAAACATAGAAAGAAGAGACGAGGCAGCAGTATACAAGAACGAGGAGATTCAAAATCTTATACGTGCTCTTGGACTTGGAGTTAAGGTGAGGTTTTGTTAAGTTATTTGTGTGCTTACTATTTTTATTAGTTCTCTGGCCTTCTGTTCATTTTGAAGTTCTGGCAAAAACATGGACACAGGGAGAGGAGTTCAAAAAGGATGCTCTTCGTTATCATAAGATCATCATTTTAACCGATGCAGATGTGGATGGTGCTCACATTAGAACACTTCTGTTGACTTTCTTCTTCAGATATCAGGTATATTGTTTATATGTAATACAGTTAAAAGAAGACTGGATAAACTACTTAGGGTTCAATGTAGTAAGATGTGAAATCAAATGTCAATTGTGTACACAATTAAGAGCTTACTGTCGAACTCAGTTAATGGGATTTTTTTACTGTATACAGAAGGCATTATTTGATGAAGGTTGCATTTATGTTGGTGTGCCGCCGCTTTACAAGGTATGCTCTCTTCGATATTCGAAAAGTGTATTGACTTCTCTCGTAGTTTGTATAATCTTGTAGCCTTCGATAATGGTTTCCTTCTAAAATGATCAGGTCGAAAGAGGAAAGCAAGCTCACTATTGTTATGGTGAAGCAGATCTGAAAAGGGTCCAGAACTCATTTCCCCAAAATGCTTCTTACAACATCCAGAGGTTCAAAGGTGAGAACTTGAAATGGGCAGTCATGATTTACTTGATACAAACCATCATAACACACCAGATTTCTTTGCGACTCTTTGGATTGTGTTACTGTTATTCCTTGTATAATTCAGAGTGTCAACAGTTCTGTTCTGGCCATTGATGTGTCTTAAAAATGGTTTGTGTGAATGTGGCATGAGGGAAGTTCTACTGCTATAGGATTGTTGCTTAGTGAATTGACAATAAACTGGATTTTGATTCGCAGGGTTGGGAGAAATGATGCCTGCGCAGCTCTGGGAAACAACAATGGATCCAGAGCAAAGGATGCTCAAACAATTAGTGATCGAAGATGCCGCTGAGGCCAATGTCGTGTTTTCTTCTCTCATGGGAGCTCGGGTAAGTTTCAATAACACAAGGCACAAAGCTTCAGCAGGCCACATTGATGTTTTCTCATTGTTCAATTTTCTGAATCTCTACACCGTCCTCAATAATTACATCTGAATTTCGGGTTTTCAGGTCGATACTCGAAAGGAGATGATCAGGAGTTCTGCAGCCATGTTCAACATCGATCAGCTTGACATTTGATCTCGTGCAAACTATAATTAGCCTAGCAAATGGGGATGTCGGTTTCGAACCTTGATCGATTCTTCGATCGATTTTTAATGAGCAGGGTGAAACGTTGGTAGTGTTTTTCTGGGTTTTAGGATTAGGTTGCTTGCTCTGATTCTGAACCCACCACACCTTTGTTCTGAAATGTTTTTATTTTTAGTTGAGCAGTGTAGGAACTGTTTGTATATATCAATTGTAAGTTTGTAACAAAAAATATGACATGAGCTAATGAGATAGGGAATTATGAACTGAAATCTAACTAATTTAACGTCCCGTGACGTTAAAGAAAAAATAACAATAAGAGTGCGAGTAGTAAGCTGCTGCGTGTTAGCAATACGATGCCGTTTCGAGCATGGCGGGAATATACCTTGACTTCGCGGCGTTTCTACCCGGAAAAGCGCGCGAACAGCTAGTTCCGGCAGTCCTTGTACGAATTGAACTAGATTTACGTTAACCAATTGGATTTCTGTCCTAACTCTTCTATATAATATCGAAGCAACCCTAATCCTTTTCGGACTCTCACAGTTCTGCCGAAGTTTTCGCGAAATTCCTCACTTTCCTCTGTTCTCTGGTTCCCCGGGGAAAAATGAGAGTGCTGAAGAAGAGCGACGGCGGCCCCGCCTCTGGCCGGCGACCAGGAGGTATCATAGCCGGAGGAAGTCCGGCAGGTTTGGAATTTCTGGCGGATATCGCCGCTGCGGTCAGTGATTGCGAGGAGTTGTGCGGGTGCGGACACTCCGACCCTCGCATTTGTTTCTTGACGGTCAAGAAACGTAAGTCTCTGTTTCTCCAAACCCACCATTCCCTCCTCCAGCGAAACCCTAGCAACCCTCCGATCAATCACCGGCCAAACACCGAGCATTCTCTTCTCCTCCCCCAAAACCATAGAAACCCTCCGATCAAGATCGTGATCAAGCACAAACCACTTCCTGAACAACAACATTCCGCCGTCAAAGTCTCCGTCTTTCCTCCTTCCCCTGCCGTCGTTGCCCCTGTTTCACTTCCACAGCAGCCACTGCCCGCCGCGATTCCTCCATCCACCGTCTCCCCAGCTGCGGAAACTCGTCGAATTCCGGTGGGTTTCGCTGCTCCGCTTCTGAATCCACGGCAGGTAGAAGAATTTCCCCTGAGCCTAAAAGCTAGGGTTTCCGCGACCGTCGGCGGGGAAGGAGTCTGTTCCTTGGCGAGCAAGTTTTCTCTGGTGATTCGGAAGAAACTAAGGGACACTGATCTCAGGCTCAACCACAACCGTCTTTCAATTCCCGGGAGGCAGATATCAACCGGGTTTCTCGAATTTCTAACGGACGAAGAAAGACGGGAGCTGAAGATTGGCGGGAAGATCAAGCTGGCGTTTTTCTTGGACCCGGATTTCCAAATCGCTGCATCATCATCATCATCTCCTTCCGCCGAAGGATGCAAACTGGGGAGGTGGAAAATGAACTCGAGCGAAGTCTACATTGTAAACGGCGGCGGGTGGAAATGGCTGCTGAGGAAGAATCAGCGGAAACTGTTGAATTTGAGTCCGGGAGATGAGATGGAGTTGTGGAGCTTCAGAACTGTAAACTCAGGGGAGCTCTGTTTCGCATTCATCGCCGCCGAGACAAGAAGAAGAAGAGCTGCCGAGAAGGAAATTAGGGAAAGTGGAAATTCTGATTGTGATGAGAAGCCGGTAGAGCAAGAATCTGCCGTGGCAGCCATGGGAAGGACTGAGTATGGAAGCAGTAAAATGGATAGCAGCAGCAATAGCAGCACTCTCACTCATCAAGAACAAGAAGAACAACGACAACACCTTGTTCTTGATCTGTCACTTAGAATGTAGTTCTCTGATTAACAAGAAAACTTTGGGGAATTGCTTCTGTATATATATATATATTCTCAATCATTTGACAGGATGACGAAGAAATGGAAGACTTTTGTTTATCTAAGAGATCAGTCAGTCTCTGTTTGGATTACTTTGTCATTCTTTTCCAGTAGTTGCATCTTTAACCCCTGTTGTTAGATTATATAACGCAGAAAATCTGCTATTTCAACAACTCGAGTTGTGAAAATCATTTAGTTCACAACATAATATACAAAATTTATCATATGTTCGAATCCAAAAGATTTCAAGTGAGTTGATTTTCTTCTTCTTCTCTTCCATTATGTTTTTTCCAAGTTGGTCTCTGTTTTTCCTTCTCCCCTGACCCCTTTCTTTTGGCGTCTAGCTGGATTTTCCTTAAACAAGTCTTCGTCGCCATGGCCATCTGGCCATCCAGCACATGCCCAACCTAAGCTACAATACAAATGTGTTTCAAAAGCTAGCTATAGAAATGACAGGAGGCCATAAGGTCACAGGTCATATAGCCTGGTGGTAAGGGAGGCGGACTTGCGATCGAGAGGTTCCAGGTTCGATCTTCATCGCCTTTATGGTGTTTCCGGAGGCACCCCACACATAAACTATTTGCTCTATTGTAAGCTAGTCGCTAGCCAGAGAGATTCTCGAAAGTGAGGAGAAATGGAGAAAAGAGAGATCTCTAGAACGGTGTTTGCAAAAATGCTCTTATCCTACCAGCCACCCGACCCAAAAATAGTCTATCGAAATACCTTATCACCGACTCTTCCGATACAATAATTCGACTTTTGTATAACTTCTAAGTTATAGAATGATCAGTAACATGCTGTTCGTGGCCCTTACCCAGTAGTGCTGCATTAATCTTCTGGCTGGCTGGCTGGCTAGCTCCTCCATTATTGCCTCCTGTAGTGCTTCAATTATATGCCACCCTCCAACTTGCCACAATCATCCATTGATTAAGTAAACAAATATCATCGTACTTAGTACATTATAATGAAATAATTCTGTTATATATCAATATTGCTCACATTAATTGCCTATAGTTCACATTACAAGCCTTTGAAATATATATCATAGTGATTTGCACTCACGAAAAACTAACTGGAACACGTATATTCACCGATGAACTACTCAGTGGCGGAGCCTGAAATCGGAACAAGAGGGAGGGAGATTTGAATCGTGGTAATCGGGAGGGAGCTAAGGCATTACTGACTATTCCATTTCCTAAATTTCCGACGAATTTTACATGTACGTTTACCAATATTTCAAGATCGAGGAGGGCTATAGTCCTTACCCGTATTTGTAGTGAACAATAAAAGAATACATGTAGGAAAGAGACCCAGTTTGATCAATTCCACTCGGCAAAATCAAAATCCAGATGCCAGGAATGAAACGCGGCCGAGTTCTCCAACATCTCCGGCACATACTCCTCGTCGACGCCGAAGTGTTGTTCATCCACGAGCAGCATCCCCTGCTCCTCCTCTGCCTTTTCAAACCCAGCCAGCGGCGTGTCCTGATCTTCTTCTTCTTCTTCTTCTTCTTCTTCTTCTTCTTCTTCTTCTTCAGGGGATGGAGCCGCATGACCACCTGCACCAACTGTTCGACGAAATTCCCCACCGACACAGGAATCAACAGTAGCAGCAGTTATAGTAGAGCTGGTGGCGGTGGTGGTGGTGGGGCTGCTGCAATTACTACTACTACTGTTGTCCAACGACGAATTGGAAGCTGCCGCCGGTGGATTGTTGTTGTGGTGACGGCGGCGAAGGGAAGGCGGGAACTCGGCGTCCTGGCCGGTGAGCTCCTGGACAAGGGTGCGGAACTCGGAGGCACGGACCTCGAACTTCATTGGGTTGGAGATGTAAACCACCTTCATGGGTTCCTTCACCTTATGTTTTGCTCCCCTGTTGCTTCCTCTGTTCATCGTTTTCCTCTTCTTCTTCCCTGCAGCCTCCATGTCCATCACCAGACTCTCCATATGAATCATCTGACTACTGGCTTTGTTTTCTGTATGTGCAAGATCGAGCAGGGAAAAGGGAAGGAGCTGGAAAGAGGGTGATGGAAGGAGAATTAATAAGGGGATATGAGATGGGGGAGAAAGTGGAAAGCTTTTTGATGGCGGAATCGCAAAGAGACAAAATTGGAAAAAAACTGTTTTAGGGTGTAAAGGTAGGGGGTGGTGCATGAACCTCTCCCACGCCCTAGTGGGTGTGTGTGTCCAGTCCAATCGTCTTTGCAACTTGAGGATGAAAGATACTTCTTCAATGGTTTAATTCGAAATCGAGTTGCGGTCGCGTTAATAACTTGTTTTATGTTGATTTGAGATGTGTGTTTACTTTCTCGACTGACTTAATCAGAGGTGGTTCTTCTTCCCCTCTCCTCTCCTCTCCCCCTAGATTCGAGTCTGATTAAGTGGGGTCGAATCATGTTTTTAATTCTCTCGTGTTTATCTTCTATGTCGTACAATCATAAAATTATCTTCTCTAGTTCATCTATCATCCCCCTCTCAACAAGGTAGTACACTGCTCACGGTAGCATAGTCTTCTAACCACTATTCTTGAATTCGATATAGTTTTCAAAATTTTAACGGGTGTGTTTATTCCTCTCATCTCTGATTGTAGCAATGTAACTTTCGATTCTTATTGTTACGAGTTATCGGCGTCATCCTCAAATGCCTCGTTCATTCTTTCCTTTCCAACGACCCAATTGATCCTCTCTCGTTTTATGGTCACAATCGACGCATTGCTTGTCCAGTGTTATGTAAAGCACTTGATCTTGAATCTCGAACTCTCGTGAAAACAAAAAAAAAATGTCTAAGCTGGATTTATTTTTGTTTGATTTGCATCATTTTTCACTATAATAATATTGGTTTATCAAATAATCATATGATCAGATCGGGGTTCGCAAACCCTCATCTAAGATACAATATCAAGAGATAAAATTTTTTTAGCCTAATGCTAATGAAAGGAGCAAAGAGTTACACGCACGCTCCTGGTTCGCGAGTGGGAGTGGATAAATGTGGTGATGGCAGAGCTCTCACTACAATCAAATAATTTGCATACGTGGCTCTTTGTGACAGGCCAGCATGGATATTGTGACGCCATCTCTACGTCTGGACCTGATGTCACTTTTAAAGGCGGCTTTTCCTGTTTATTATATTACTAAAATAAAATATCTCGCGCACGTGTTTGACTTCTTAACTTACAATAATAACTGGGCCTCTATGGGCTTTTTTAAGTACCCATCTGCATGGCCCCGTACTAGACTTTGCCAAAGCCCATACATATTGATCCGACTGCAATCCACTGGATCGAAGCCCATTAGACTATATGGGCTTGGGAGTGGTGGATGGAGTGGATGACAGTCTCGTTACTTAATTACAAGGTTGTCAAACCGGTTTAAGTCATTGAGCCGGTCAACCAAGGGGTTTGAGGTTCAATGGTCTGATCGGGGTCCGGCCGGTTTGAGCCGTTTTAGACGTTTTCTAAATATATATACAAATAAGATAGTAATTAAAGATTTAATGAGTGAAATAAAACTTATCTTACATATATATATTAAAAACTTATTTTCAACAAAATAAATCTACCTAACCTCCATGATCCACCCACCATTTCTCTTCTTTCGTTCCTCTTCCTCTCTTCCCCCACTCTTCTTCTCTCTCTTTAGGGGTTAGACCGGGGGGCTTTTTGGAGGCCGTTTTGAAGCCCGACTCGGGTCGGACCGGGTCCAACCGGGGGGTTCGATAGGGGTTTAACAACCTTGCTTAATTACGAGTTCAACTTGATAATCGTTATCTTGATATGTTCCAAATCTATTAAAATTAAATTCGATAATGAAAACAAAAATTTATAACCTCGTGACTTGTTTTTGTTCGATTAATTAGTTTGATGATCGATGACAATTAGTTCGATGATCTAACTAAGGGTAATTATATTCTTTTATTCTAACTGATCCTTTGTGAAAAATAATTCCACCTAATTTTTTTACTATCATATATAACAAGAATTAGAGTATTTTTTTATTTCTACCATCTATTGAGATTTGAGCGTGAATACCTTGATAATGTAGCGAAAATATAGTTAAACACTTGTTTGTCAAAAAATTAGACAATTTTTATATATAAAAAAATTAGACAATTATTGTGACGCACGTAGTTAGTAAAATCCATGGTCCATGAAACCGTACCGTAGAGACGGTTCAACCACGAAATACCAGTATCGAAGGCTAAATCGGTAGACGGTATTTAACGTTCTAATGGTTCAACTACGGTAAAACCACCGTTTTATCATAAAATAGCATACCGCTGACTTTTCCGGTATGATACCCGGTTTGGGTTTCATGGAGCATGGTAAAATCATGGAACCTGGCATGGACCATAATGTTTGATGGCCCACATTGAGCAAACTGCAAAACCCGTTGTGTGGCTGGAACGTGGCAATGCCGGTCCACCATCCACCATTCCATCCTTCCGCCTGGCAGATCATTGGATGGATAAGCCTTTTCCCCCATTTCTCATCTCCACAAGAACAAACAAAGATTTGAAAAGAGGAAGAAAAAAAGCAACATCTTCGTAGTTCGTACAGTACAGTTCCTCAGCTGTTTTCTTCCCTCCTCTTTTCAACCCCCAGCTGAATCACCAACTAAGCTCCAAAAAGTGGCGCGGCCGCTCTCGTTGCCGGTAAGTCACCCAATCCCCAGTGTTTCCTTCTTCTTGTAGATTGAGAAGAAGAAGCGAATTTGAGATATGGGTATGTGTTAATTCGTGGTGGGTATCTGGAATTTCCGATGATTGGGACATCAATTGGTGTCAATTTCGTGTTTCTTCCGGCAAAGTCTGTTCCTTTGCTCTGTTGTTAGCGAACCCAGTTGAGGATCTCCTGAAGGGGGAGAGTGGGTATCTGTAGATTGTGGTAATTCAATGGATACCATGCTCAAGGCACATAACAAGCTCGAATGGCTGCCTCAAGTTCACGGCTTTTCCGAGAAATGGAGCAATTCGGTTTCAAGCTACTCTAGGGTTCAGAGCCAAGAGCTTGTTGTGAAGCCCTATTCCAAAAGAGGCAGAATTGTCGGGGTTAAATCTAGCAGTAGTGCCCTTCTGGAGCTAGTACCGGAATTCAAGAAGGAAAACCTTGAATTCGACCTTCCAATGTACGACCCGTCGAAGGCTCGTCTTGTTGACCTAGCGGTCGTGGGTGGTGGTCCGGCTGGGTTAGCTGTGGCACAGCAGGTCTCCGAGGCAGGGCTTTCGGTTTGCTCCATCGATCCGTCGCCTAAACTGGTATGGCCGAACAACTATGGCGTCTGGGTCGATGAATTCGAGGCCATGGACTTGCTCGATTGCCTCGACACAACGTGGTCTGGTGCTGTCGTCCACATTGACGAGAATTCGAAGAAGGATCTCGATAGACCCTATGGACGGGTCAATCGAAAGCAATTGAAGTCCAAGATGCTGCAGAAATGCATCACCAATGGGGTCAAGTTTCATCAAGCCAAAGTTGTTAAAGTCATCCATGAAGAGTCCAAATCGCTGTTGATATGCAATGATGGCGTTACAATCGAGGCAACCGTGGTTCTCGATGCTACCGGGTTCTCAAGGTGCTTAGTTCAATATGATAAGCCGTACAACCCAGGTTACCAGGTGGCATATGGGATTTTGGCTGAGGTTGAGGAACACCCGTTCGATGTGGATAAAATGTTGTTCATGGACTGGAGAGATTCACACCTCAAAGGTGAGCTGAAAGAGAGAAACGAGAAGATCCCGACTTTTCTTTATGCGATGCCGTTTTCCAAGGATAGGATCTTCTTGGAGGAGACCTCATTAGTTGCTCGACCTGGACTTGGTGTTAAGGACATCCAGGAGAGAATGGCGGCTAGATTGATGCATCTAGGGATCAAGGTTAAGAGCATTGAAGAGGATGAAGTGTGCGTTATCCCAATGGGAGGGCCACTCCCCGTGCTGCCTCAACGAGTAGTGGGGATCGGTGGCACAGCTGGTATGGTTCACCCTTCGACAGGGTACATGGTGGCAAGGACCCTGGCTGCTGCTCCAATTGTCGCGAATGCAATCGTCAGGTTCCTCGGCTCCAGTAGTCGTGATGAAAGCGGGTTTGTTGCTAACGGAGATGAGCTTTCCGCGGAAGTATGGAGAGACCTATGGCCTATACAGAGGAGGAGACAGAGGGAGTTCTTCTGTTTCGGTATGGACATCTTGTTGAAGCTCGATTTGCCTGCCACGAGGAGGTTCTTCGATGCCTTTTTCGACCTGGAACCACGGTACTGGCATGGTTTTCTGTCGTCGAGGTTGTTCCTCCCCGAGCTCTTGACCTTCGGGCTCTCGCTGTTTGCTCATGCTTCGAATACTTCTAGGATAGAGATCATGTCCAAGGGCACTGTTCCTTTGGCTCGGATGATCAGCAACCTGGTTAAGGATACAGAATAAGGTGTTAGACATATATCATGTTCCTCTTCTTGTATTTCCACAATTGAAATTAGACCGGATGATGGTAAAGTTATGCCTATATGCTGCAATTCCACAGTAATGGTTTCTATGCTATATCCTCCATTTCTTGTGTTTGTCAAATTTATGGTGCTTTCAACTTTTCCTGACTGTTCCTTGCAATGCCTATTGATTGTTCTGTAACTCGAAATGATCCAACTTGTAATGACTCGTAGCCATTGGTGAATCAGTGAGCTGGAGTTTTGAAGATGAACGAACTTCGTCGAAATGTAACTCGAAACGATTCGACTTGTAATGACTCGTAGCCCTTAATGAATCACTAAAGCTCCCACTAAAAGGGTAAAACAAGTTTGTTCTTGGAGCTGACTATTTTCTTAATTAATAGTTATTAATGATAGGCACCTTTTGTTAATAATAAGCCACAATCGAATTATGAACTAATTAATATCAAGCGACTATAATGTTAGGGAATCAAATCATTCCCATATCTTCTTACTCATTCGAAAGAGATGATAAAAAAAAAAAAAGAGAGAGAATGTGTATAGGATTTGTTCATGAGCATAATCCGCTTTTCATCTGGATTACTATATTGTTTGACTATGCTAATTTGATCATTTTTACGTCATAGATCTACACATGATTCCATGGATGAGATACTGAAGTGGTGATTTGTGACTGGCTGCCACGTTTCCTCAGCCTGCATATGAAAGGTGTACTTGTTTGGAGGTGGAGAGGTTCGCGGCTGCGCACGTGTTTAGTGTGCGCAAGACATAGCGTACTATATAGTACTTTAATGTTGCCGTGCAAGATTTAGCATTTATAGAGCAAGTGTGATGATCGGTGTGAAGGTGTAATGGTAGGTGGGAGGATTCATGGTTGGACGCGTTTAATGTACGCCAGATATGATGTATTGTGTACTTGAGAGTTATCGCGTAGAATTCAGCTTTTCTAGAAACATATTGCGTCATGTTTATCATCTGATTATGAATAGATTAATTACTATGTATGCCTAACAACATGGCTAAAAAGGCACATTGTGTGGTGGTGTAATTATCCTATTTGAGTTTCCATGGACTTTCAAAAGCTCCAATAAGCATCAATGGAGAATGAAGGCATCCGGGGAAAAGCAACGCTTCTTTAAGGAATGCAAGCACATAGAGTGCTTTTGTCAATGTACTCTAATATGGTTTAACTAACACCATAGTGCGCACATGGCTTTTGAACCTTTTTTCCAAACGAGAAATCTTATTCTTTTCAGCCACCATTAACGTGTCCTTTCTGGGTTTGCCTTAGCTTGGAGGATGATGAAGTTATATTGATCTAATTAATAAGTGAAGTGATCTTATATATTCCTACATTTGGCTGGTAATACAAATGATACTCTTGTCCGACTTCTCATTTCTACTATCTCGAGGTTTGATATGAATAATGAATATCGAAATGGTAATATTGGCTGTCGGGAATCAATAGATCTCGATAAGATGAGTTGCTACAGAGAGACGTTTCGTAATGAATCTGACAGATAGAATAGTCATCGTCATCTTAAAAACGAGTGGTTAGCATTTTTTTCGAGGTGGACCATGATGGTTAGTATATATATATATATATATATAGTACTAAGCAAGAAGATTATGGATGATGATAGCTTGACAATTAGAGGAAAAATGTTGCACATTAAGGAAAAATACAAGAGAAAAAAACATTATTATATATATCTATGCACCTTTGATTGATTGTCTGCTACTGCTTAACTTCTTCTTAAAAGCCAGTGGGTGCGGGCGTGGCAAAGCTTGAACTGGCATCGCATGCTGCTGCTGCTGCTGCTCGTGCAAGTTCCTAGCTGAGACCAAGCAATTAATTAGTGTTTTTAATCACGATGTGGAAGTAAAACGAAAGTGATTAATTAGTAATTAAGGACCAATCACGTATTACCCAAAGTTGATCCATTCAAGGTTTCGCTCTCTCTCTCTCTCTCTCTCTCTCTCTATCAGAGGAACTAATTAACAAAAAGGGCATTAACGATCTTAGGCCAGTAAGCTACCTACCTAATAGTCACGCCCATAGCCACTAAAACAGCAATTAAAAAGATTAAACCCGGTCGCTTTACGAGGCAAGAGGTGTTTAATTATAAAACCTACTAATTAACTTCCATTTGTGTCGATTAGGGCAATGCTGAGAAATGAAATGATGGTGTGTGTGCTAATCAAGTGGAAAAGTTATTCTCTCTACTAATAATACATCGAAAGTGTGGATATGGAAGAGGAGACAGCTATATTAACAAATGAAGAGGTGTATTAGTTAATGTGTGTGCTCTCTCTGATCGAAAGAATATAAAGTTTGCACGAGAGAAACGGTGCTGATGGAAATGTTATCTGGAAAAAAAAGTAAGATACAATTCAACCTAAACAACACGTGTCGCAGAAAACTCATCACACGATGAGGTAAGGCCTACAGAAAATGCGCCTACATGGTCAATACTGACCGGGTCTACCGAAAAAGCCAAACCCTACCCCTCAACACTTGCGAGTTGAAGCTGGAGACTGGAGTACGAAGAAGATGGATGATTGACTCTTCCTCAACCCACCATAAAGAACATCTATTTGACATTTCGAAGCCACGTCGATTTAATGTTCAGTGATAGATGCGTTTCCGTCACTGCATACGCAAGTAAAATAAAAAGGCGCAAATCTTGACGTGGGCAAGCATGGTTTTCCAAATGTCCGTGTGAGGGAAGTCCTCCGCGCTCCGCCGAAAAAATTATCTCTTGTTGACGTGTTGAAGCATGATCTCCCTCGATACGTACTGTCGTTATCCTATACTACGACATCCTACGTGTGCGTGTGTTCAAGCATTTAACTATGCCAAATCATACAATCTGGCCCAAGCTATAAAATTGACTTATCTTCTATGAATACTGTCCTCTCCCCACTCACAACAAAAACAAAAGACTATTGAACAAAACATAAACAAGCCAACATAAAAGAGAGGATTGGAAGTGATGGCACGAAGAGCCAAAGCTACATTTTGTTTCTTGGGGAAAGCTAAGCTAAAAGCTTGAAAAAAGCATACCCAACTTTATTTTCCATGGCTGGCTTTTCATAAAGGAAAAAAGAAAATTCCCTCTGCATTTCCAATTCGATATTGTTGTTCTGTTGCGTGGGGGAGAAAGAAAAAAAAGAGAGAACAGAGACATAGAACAGAGGAAGGAAAAGGGTCGTTTGCTTTCCAATTTCCATTGATTATTGACCTGCAGCCACGACCTAGCTAGCTAGCTCAACCTCTCTTTTTTTCTCCTTTTGTCTGCATGTATCGTCTAGGGCACATCTTTGTAGGGTAAAATAACAGATAACGCAATAATTGTGTTTATTTGGATGATATGTCTCTCGATGATTTAGGTGAAAAGAATTTGGATCCGATACTTGGATATCCAGTTCTAAGCAGAATGTATTACTATCATTGTCGCCATAAAAAGGATAGCATATTTATCCAACGATAGAAAACACATGCTCGAAAATCTCAAACAAATAATGATAATATAAAAAAAAAACTCTAATACTGTGTTTCAGGCTTTCAACTTACAACCGTACCGTTTGAATTGAAAGTTCGTAATAACTTATCTAGCTCATCTTGTCAACCCGTCAAACAGACAAATTTCCATCATTCATCAATCACACATAACCATCCCCATCTATTTGAACTCATAACAATCATAACCCTAATCCAAACTTAACTCAATCCATCAAATCTTTATCTTTTTTGCCAACCCATATAGAACCAAAGAACTCCGTTTTGACGCTACTCAATTATAACCCAACACGACCCAACCCAACCACCCATTGTCATTTATCACTCCCCAACAAGGTTGTCAAACCGGTTTATGCCAGTGTGTCGGTTTAGCAAGTGGAATGGTTCAACCAGTGGCACATACCGGTTTGTGCCGGTTCATGCCGGTCAATATTACAAATAAAATTATAAATACTCATATTTAAACATGACATTTAACGTCAACACCTAAGCATTTATACTTGAATCCAACAAATAACATCAATATTTAACTTTTATACTCATAAAATAAATAATAAAATAATTTTTATCAATTAAATTCTCTAAAATAAAGTCATTTTACTCAGAGATTCGTATATCGATCGTGCCGGTCATACCGATAGTGTCACGCCGGTATTATGACCGATACCGGTTGAACTCGGTACAACCGGTGACACGCTGGCTGGCGTGACAACCATGCTCGCCAATCAATTTGCCACCTCTAAAAAAAAAAAAAAAATCAAAACCCAATTCGGTTCCTTTTCATTTCCCTCATATCACCATACGCCAATTATAACATAACACCATTACTCAACTCCATATAAATACACATTACAAAACCCAAACACTTGGGTTACCCTTTTACACTGTTACACCCACCTCTCCTCTCCTCTCCTCCTTTCTTACAACCCTCGAAAACCATAATAACTACACCAAAAAATGGCCGACGATGAAGAAAGCTCCCCGCCGGCGGATTTCCACTCCCACCCCCGACCTCCTCCATCTCTCTCTCAGGTAACAACTTAATCTCATACTAATTCATCGTTTTACCCAATATGGCAATATTGATCCAAAACTTAAAAGGTGGGATTTTTATTATTTTTTCTTCTTCCAGATTTTGCAGGAGTTGAAAGAGCTATGGAGCATGGCCTTCCCCGTAACGGCGTCCCACCTAACGGCGTTCTTCCGTTCCGCCGTCTCCGTCGTCTTTCTGGGCCGGCTCGGGAGCCTGGAGCTAGCCGGCGGCGCGCTGTCCATCGGCTTCACGAACATAACTGGGTACTCCGTCATGGTCGGCTTGGCTTCCGGCTTGGAGCCGGTGTGCAGCCAGGCGTACGGGAGCAAGAACTGGGACCTCCTCCACGTGTCCCTCCAGCGGATGGTTCTGATCCTCTGCGCCGCGGCCGCACCCGTAACCTTCCTGTGGCTCAACCTCAGGCCCATCATGGTGTTCTTGGGCCAGGACCCGGACATCGCCTCCACCGCCGCCACGTACTGCCTCTACGCGCTCCCGGACCTCTGGACCAACGCGCTCCTCCAGCCCCTGCGCGTGTACCTACGCTCACAGAACGTGACCAAGCCCGTCATGTTCTGCTCGATCGCGGCGGTGGCGCTGCACGCGCCGCTGAATTACCTGACCGTCGTGGTGTTGGGGCTCGGGGTGCGGGGTGTGGCGATGGCGGCGGTGGTGACGAATGTCAACACCGTGGGGTTGATGATTGGGTACATGTGGTGGGCCCGCCGCCGCCGCGGCGCCGGCGGAAGGGGGCAGTGGAAGGTGGTGGGGTGGAGCGGCGGAGACGGCGGCGGCGGCGGGATGGGGGCGTTGTTGAGGCTGGCGGTGCCGAGTTGCGTGGGGATATGTTTGGAGTGGTGGTGGTATGAGGTGGTGACGGTGATGGCCGGATACTTGCCGAATCCGACGTTGGCGGTGGCGGCCACCGGGATACTTATTCAGACCACCAGCATGATGTATACTCTTCCCATGGCCCTTGCTGGCTGTGTCTCTGCCCGGGTAAGTCATTTATTAAAACTAAAAATTTTGACCTGACTCGTTTTATTCGATTTGTTTGACCTGTTTTTGTGGTGGATAAGGGTATTGTCCCTCGACCCGACTGTCCTGACCCCAATTGTGATCCGTCTTTGCTTAAATTACATGTAATTCCGTTCGAATTGCTGATAATTTTACTTTTGCGATTGCATATTTTAGCTACGATAAAGTTGTAAATATTTGAGAAATTCAAAATTTTAAATAAAATTTTAACTACATTTATCATATTTTTACTTTTTTCTTGGGGGTTTACTCATGTTTTCCTTTCTAAAATAAATACCTATTGGGCCGACAAGGTCCGACGACCGCGTTGTCGTGATGAATTATACCCAACCTACGAGGCGGGTATGAGTATCGAGATACCCGCCTCGCTCACTTGTCTCATTGTCATTCCTAGTCGTTCGGGTCTAGTTATTACGCGATCCCCTTACGAGGTATCAGATTATTTCGCGATTTTCAGTGGTAAGAGTGTCACCGTACGTGATGATATCAACCGCGTTGTAGTGCCTGCATAATAGTGTATAAATTGCTCAAAATGACAACACCGGCAATGTGACTTGACCCGATGTTTTCTATCCAATTACCCAAATCTAGGGTTTGTTCTAGTTTTGGAATGTTGATAAATGTTGGGTTGGGGAAGTGGTGCGGCTGCTGTCTTTTATTTGTCGTTATAACTGCCATATTGTGGCAAGAGGGGAAAAGCATTTTGGTTCAGTTTAGACATATCTGGCAAGTAAAGCAAATTCCCCTGCCTCCCAGTGTGCTGGATGGGTCATTTCGTACTCTGTTTTCTAGGCTCTAGATTTTTTTTTCGTGATGTGATTGTGCCTCAATAATGACTTGCTTTCATTTCCTGCTCCAAGTTCCCAACTTTTTCATGCTGTCGACAGCTCATAGTTATCGTTTGCCGGATTGGGGAAACTTTGCTTTGGGAAACGGCTGGTTTCTCTTTCCTGTTGGGGAGTTTGGAGGCTGTAGGTCTAGAATTGGCTGTCAGTGGTTGGATTTAGGGTTACAGATGCCGATTTCGAATTATATCTCGTTCGGTTGGTTAGACTCGTGAGCTGGTTTGTTGAGTTTAGCTCGCGCGAGCCAACTCTTTTGTAGTTTGCATACTTGCTTTGATAAGTGTAATTAAAGATCGTTAAAGTTTGCTCTTTGTGTATTTGACTCTTCACGTGTTCAATTATTTTTTTTGGTGTTCGTGTTCGAAATTTGATCATATGATAATATCATCCTTTTCAGGGGAAACTTTATTTATAACCAAGTTTGAACCGATTTTTTCCCCCCTTTCATTCGAGTTCTTTGTTTTGTAATTCGATTCTAGCTTGACGAATAAAAGCTAAATGTGCTAATCTTGAGTTTGGTAAAGACTCGACCCAGCAAAAAATTGAAATCAGAAGGGGTTATAGGTAAAACTACAAGTAAAATTCGTTACATAAATATATTCTAGTGCATAAGGTCTCAGTCCCCTTATAAATTACAACGATTCTAATCAGTCCTTGCTCTAGTTGGCTCATTTCGTTACTAGCAATATCATATCACCATTTTCTCGTTGACTCATCATGATCCTAACCTTTTCTGATTTGCATGGATAATGCAGGTGGGGAACGAGCTCGGAGCTGGCAATCCGGACAAGGCCAAGCTGGCAGCAACGGTGGCGCTAGGCTGCGCCTTCGTCATCGGAGTCATCAACGTCCTGTGGACGGTGATCCTGCGGGAGAGATGGGCCGGCCTGTTCACCAAAGACGATCTCGTCAAAGGCTTCGTCTCCTCCGTGCTGCCGATAATCGGACTCTGCGAGCTCGGCAACTGCCCTCAGACGACCGGCTGCGGCGTCCTCCGCGGCACGGCGAGGCCCGCCATAGCGGCCCGCATCAATTTGGGCTCGTTCTACTGCATCGGCACCCCGGTTGCAGTCGGGCTCGCGTTCGGGCTGAAGGTCGGCTTCCCCGGGCTGTGGTTAGGGCTCTTGTCGGCCCAAGTAGCGTGCGTCGTGTCGATCTTGTACGTGATTTGGGCCTGTACCGATTGGGATCACGAGGCCTTGAAGGCCCGGAACCTGACCCAGATCGAGATGGCTGGTGGTGGTTGTGATCACGATGATGATGGTGGAGAGAAGGAAGAGAACGAAGAAGGTCGTGGGCTTTTGATGGGCAATGGCCCGTGATCGATTTGGGCTTTGGGTCTTGTATTGATTCTTCAGTTTTGGGTTTTTGTTGGGCCCCGAAAAGGAATGAGAAAGACAATGTGGACAGTAGGGAATTAGGAAGAAAAAGGAAACGAGGAATTGAAAGATGCTTTGGCGATTATTAATTCCGACTGTTTAGTTCATGTCCACTCCTTTCTCACTCGCTCAAATTTTCTTTTGCTTTACGAGCCAATGCCTATCCAGTATCCACAAAGCATTCAAAATCGGGATTTTTATCGTAAAATCGTAGGATTTTAGGATTTTACTTAGGGATTCCGATCCTGATTTTACTATAAAATTTGTGGACCTTAAAATCGATTAAAGTCGGGATTAAAATCGTTAAAATCGTAAAATCCTACCAAAATCGGGATTAAAATCGTAAAAACATTTATGGTAATCAAAATAAAAAACAATTATGAACTATCGTCGTGATTTAGATCATAACACTAGTAATGTACTCGTTTAGTTATGCATAATAAATAAAATAAAAAGTTTTTAATCAATATTTTTCGATGATCGATTAATGATAGAAGGTTAGTCATCGCCATCGATTATCGATTTGTCGTGGTTCGACCAAGTGTGTAACAAATCAAACAAAAACTCCAACCCTACGTTTCAAGTAAAGTGGGTCATCCATACAAAAAATTCTGAGCCATCAGCTCCACCGCTGCCACCTGATCTCTCCACGGTGGGTCCCAACCGTCTTCGCGCAAAGGGGGCAAAAAAAAAAAAAAAAAAAAAAAACCAGCCGTGATCAACTGGAAATCCGATTCGAAAGAGCGAAAAAACGGAAGGAAGCTGAAAACCCAACCCAACTACAACGAAATCTCCCTCCGGGCGGCCTCCGGCTAAACACATATAATAACGAAGCGGAATCCGCTCCCCCCCAACTCTTCTCCTCCAGTTCTCACTCCGATCTCGATCGCCGCGTTCGTTTTCTTCGAATTCAGGTGAGCCATCGATCAGCAACCGCCGGGAAGTTTGTTCAAGTATCCTGTTACGTTTTTTTTTTCCAGTTCGTTTCGTCTTCCGTGGTCCCGTTTGATTGAATTAGTTTCGCTGTTTTTTTTTTATGGTCGGGATTTGTTTGCTTTCTGGAGCCTTAAGCTCGCCGGGAAAAGAAAGTATTCGATTCGCGTTCGTTTTTTGTCCGTCCAGATTCCGGGAAGCTGTTCTTTCTGGCGTTTGCTAAGGTAAATTGAATACTTGCATTACTCTTGATCGTATCATCTTCCGGTGTGTTTGCAGCAAGTTTTGGATTAGGGAGATTGGGACGCGATTTAGGGAATTCTGTATGATATAGGTGGATTTGGCTTGGCCTGGCTATTGACACTAGACCTTTTGGAAAGAGTTGTGCGGCGGGGAATTAATTTGGTCATAGATTTCTGTTGCTAGGATTGAGCTTGATTGTGATGGCTGATTTTGGTCGTGTTCGGAGCTGAAATGTAAAGAGGATGAGTTGACTATTGACGTTTCTGAGTTTGTTCACTTCCTTTGCTGATTTGGCTTGGAAGTTAGTCAACAAGGTGTGGTTGTGAGTAGACTGTGATGCAAGAATACATGGTACCTGTGAGCGAAATCAGAAGTTGCTTTTGGTGGAATTGGTTTAATTTTGTGGGCAGAGAGGGGATTCATCTGATGACGGTGTTCCTTCGAATGATTCTGGAGTCTCTCCTTTTGGTTTCTTGTATATTTCTATTGAATCACTATAGTTCAACCAAGTACTCAATACTTCTGGTCTTTTTTTCTTATCTGATGCCTTTTAGGTTGAAGGGCATTGGGTTGTCTGGTAGCATTCTGAACTTCGCGGAGCATCAGAGTGCTAGAGATCGATTGCTGTTGTTTACTTCAACTTACCTCTATGCAAGATATGTCGAATGAAAATGTGAAAAGGGTCTCACCCAGAGACATACAAGTGGTAAGCAAGTTGCTATGTTTTTTTTTTTTTTTTTTTTGACAGAATCAGCTGAGTTAACTTACACTAAACGATGGGTCTTCTCTTAAATTTCCTTGCTCTTGGTGCTTCCTATTTATTTGGTTTGTGGCATCGTATTTTTATCATTAGAGTTTGATAGAAAGGTTTATGAATGTGACATAGGTTATCATTATTTGATACTGAAGCCAGGAACTTGAGTTTCTAGAAGGCTTTGCAAAAGCAAGGCAATTGAATTTACTTGTTATTGGTTATGAATGCGTTGCACTGATCTTGTGAGAAGGCTTGAAGCTCTGGTTGGTTGCTAACCCCGATTTTGCTGCTGGGTTCTGATTTCAGGTCCAAAATCTTATAGAACGATGTCTTCAGTTGTACATGAATCAACAGGAAGTTGTCCAAACCTTATTGGATCAGGCGAAGATAGAGCCTGGTTTCACAGAACTTGGTAATTGGTTGAGTTTTTCTTGTTTCATCAAGTTTTACTAGATCGAGTACAGATAGTGGAAGTTGATTGAGCTTATTCTGTTCGGCTACTCATTGTAGCAGTTGATGGCTTATGAGTAAAATGTGTAATTTTTTTGCTTGCCATTGGCTATATGATGGTTCTTAAGTATCTCATTTTATCTTGGAACTGGCCAATGTAAGATAATACATAATAGCTGATGCATACGAGCGTTACATGATGTTTTTTACCAGCTTTCCTGTCACATGCCTACGGGTAACGGTTTTTCTGAGTCAATCCGTTGTTGTTGTGATATGTCTTATGTAGGAGCAGTTAGTTACTGACTAGTACTTACGTCTATCTAGGGAGTACTTTATTTTGTGACAATCATAGACTTGAGGAACAGTGGCTGCAGCTTCTTCTTAATTAGTTTGTTCATCTCCCCCTTAACCAGTGGAGAATGAGAGAGAGGAGGCCTGAAGAAGGCTTAGAGCTAGTTGGGCTCTCTCTTACCCCAAGCAAGCTTATCCCGTACTCTTGAAAAATTGACATACCAGTTAGAATTACTGATATGAACTAAAACATAAGAAGCTGGTTCCGAGATTCCTATTCCTGGGACTTGATCTTGACTTGAGATTGCTGAATTTGTCGTACCTGGTGATGAGGTGAACTGGTGAAGAAAGGAAAGAAAGCAATGTAATTTCTTTTTAGTTTTGCATAGTTAACATTTTTAATTTCCTTGTCATTAAAATATTCTGATGATAAATTGTTGATTGCACAGTTTTGAGATGTAAAAGGGATTAAGGGAACAATATTACATTGTTGCTAATTGTTGCTTTGTTTCTAGTTTGGCAAAAGCTTGAAGAAGAAAATCGGGACTTCTTTGATGCATATCGTCTGAGATTAATGGTGAAGACCCAGATAATGGAATTTAATAAGTTACTTGAGCAACAAGCTCAGTTGATGCATCAGATAAGTCCAACTGGAGTTGCTTCAATGCCTAATTCTAATGGGTCTCAGCTTCCACCATGTAAGACTTGGTTCTCAGCTAATTTGGATAGATTTTTATGGTGGTTCTGCTTTGAGCTCAATATTGACTTCTTCATGTTCCACTCAATCATAGAGTATTTGATCGGTGCCTTCGAAACCTGTAGTTTTGTCAAGCCAAATTCATTGCTTATTATTGTGTAGCAGTAGCATAATCTTGTAACTGATTGTTCTTTCTCTGTAGTGCATCAGAACTCCTCGTGCTATGTCTCTGACCAGGCACGTGGTGCCTTGAGATCAGATAACATACTTACACCCATTGGTTCAAGCATTCCCAATTCATTTACCAATGGTGGATCCTCACTCCATTCGAGTATGAGAACTGCTGTTGACATTTCAGCTCACAGAATTGATGCTTCGACAAGCTTGCTTGCTACTCAAAGTACAAACTTGGGCATGATGCAAGGAATGAATGGAGCCATAAAATCTGAAGCTGGTTACACAGGCAGTTCTTACGGGTTGGGCACTGGTGTAAATGTCATAGAAGCACGTCCATCCATTGCAGATGCATCGTTTAGCAGCGTAGATTCCAGCTCACAAGCCATTAATGAGCCAATTATTGATCCAGACGCATCTTCTTTTGGATTTTTGGGTCAGATTCCTCGGAATTTCAGTCTTTCGGATCTGACTGCCGACTTTAATCAGAGCTCAGGTTTACCTTCCCTCTCATAAATATGTATCTGTTTTCATGGATTAGTAGGAGATACTGCTGAAGTTCTACTTTTTTATGTTCTTATTTGGAAATTATAGCCCTGTTGTACTAGTAAACTTATGAGCCTGTCTAAAAATCTTAAAATTGACATCAAAAAGTTATTGGGCCAATATTTTTCTCACCTCTGGCTTGCAATTTTGAATTTTCAGATATACTAGAGAACTATGTTAGATCACCCTTCCTGGCTGCAGAAAATGATAACTTTTTGGATTCCCGTGACAGAGAGCTTCAAGGTTGGTGTTTATCCATGAAGAAAATTAGCCTCCTCCCCTCAAAGTTATGTATGCCTTTTTAGTTTTTACCATGACGAAACATAATTTGGTGGATTTGCTTAACAGGGGACAGCCGATTGGATACCATTTCAGAAGGAGTGAGTTATGACAATTTTGGAGGTATCTAGGTGTATAGTTCTAGGGTAAGTATCTGTGGCCTGATTTATTTTGGCTTGTTTACTTTTTTTTTATCTAGGTAACTCAGTTGGTAGAGTAGTGCCTATGCTTATTGACTTTTCACTGCATTGCCTCTGCTTTAGCTACTGGAAACTGATGAGTAGAACAAGAAAATGCTAGAAACTGGAGGTAGGGTAGACTTTAGGGATATCATTTGATCGTTCTACATCAATACTGTTGGGAGTTGGGACACTGGGCTTGCTAGAACCCTACTGAAGCCTTCAGTACTAGGACCAAAATTGACGCGACTAACCTCCAACTTTTAACTTAGAGGAGAAGTTTTCTTCAGTCTGTTTTCCCCCAGAAAAAAGTACCTTGCCTCTTTAAACCACGATTAGATTTTAAACCTTTTAAGAGCAGATCAATTAAATGCACAAGCACTAGAGGGCATTCTGGTGCATAGTAGGTGTAGAGAATTCCTTTTTGAACTATGGTGCAAGTTAAAGTTATGAATTTGAATGTGTTGGTTGTTTATCTTTTCGTCTTGGAAGAACCTTAGGGTTGATGGTTTAAAAGAATGGATTTAGGCTTCTTACTATCTGTTAGACTATGATGCTTTTGATCAAACTATGACTTGAGCCTTCAGATAAAATCCACCCCTTCATTCATGTGTCTCGTGGTTGGTCCGACGTTGCAGAATATAGAGTTAAAAGTAGGTTTAGGGTTGAGACTGTATTGATGTGAGTGTTATTACCATACCTAAACTTTATGTACTCTCCGAACGATTTACCCTGTGCTTTGCTGTTCTTCAATGCAGGTCCAGATCATAAGGGGATGGGAAAATTTCGAACTGTATATATAGCATTGTATAGGATGGGGATTCAGCTTCAGGTCTAGAGGAGTTTCTTCAAGGCTACATTTTCGAGGGTGTGGAGCAACTAGTAATAACAAGAGTAATGCGTGGAGAGTGGCAGTTCTTGACGATAATGTTGGATAATAATGTAGCTAGCTAGACTGGTTTGTGTGTCTTTCCCTAAGGAAGAATCACCATGGCACTGGTTTTTAAGTATATTAGGATTTCCGTTTGAGCTTGTATAAATGTTTGAGCACCAGATATTTGCAGAGTTTGAATGAGCATGCAGTGTGTTTTAACAAAGTGGATATTTATGTCACAAAGCTCTCTCATGTCTCAGCATGGACAAAGCACAGACTCGCAGACCTGAATACCTAAAAATGGAGAGCAAAGGCGCAGCTAATCAACAATCCTATCAAATCAGTAAACAAGGCGTGGCTCGAATTCAGCCAAGTCCACAGATCCGGACTCAATGGGAGGCATCAGGTATGCAGATATGATCTCCGAAACCAGTGCTGCTATAATAGGTACTCTCTTTAAGTTCTTCACCAGCGGAATGTCGTCGGTCTCTCCAACAGCCAGCAGCTTCTGATTTATCTCCACCATCCTGTCTAGCTTTCTCTTGAACTCAGGGTTCTCCACATCCAGCACTGCCGGGAATATCCTGGCAGTCGTCCTGTTCGTCTGCAAAGATGAACAAGCACATCATATGTCAGCTTCCAGGCACCGATAGCAGCCTCCAAGCGGCAAGAAAGAAGCTAATCATTGTTTGTTTGCTATATTGTTACCTCGATGATGACATGCATGTCGAATTCTTTCGTGTTGAGTCCAATCCCTTCATAGAAATCTGATCTCTGACAGTCATTGAGGTACATCGTGACATACACCTGATAGGCAGACACACAACGATTTCTAATCAAAATCCTCTTGCCAGAAAGATAACCACAAGACGAAACACAGATTCGTATTTGTGCTTACAGAGAGGCAGAAGAAGCGAGCCCAGAGCTTGGCCTTCCAGTCGTTCAGGAACTGTGGCTGAGCCTTCATCAGCGCCGAAAAGAAATCACCGTGGCGATTCTCGTCCTGGCACCAGTTCTCGAAGTACTTGAAGATCGGGTAGCACTGGAACTCCGGATTGGCCTTGAGATGCCGGTAGATCGTAATGTACCTCCAGTAACCTATCTTCTCCGACAGGTATGTCGCGTAGAAGATGAACTTCGGCTTGAAGAATGTGTACTTCCTCGCCTTCGTCAGGAACCCCAAGTCCAATGCCAGGTTGAAATCTGACAACCCCTTGTTCAGAAACCTGCCGGAAGGAACAAACTAGTCAGAAAGTTTGCCACTGTAACTCTATACTGTCACCATTCTTGACACAAAGGAAGACAGAGTCGACCCTGTTCTGTTCTTACCCTGCATGCCTGGCTTCATCCCTTGACATGAGTGAGAAGATCTCCGCCACAACTGGATTGGTTTTCTGCATCATCACATCGAAACCAAACCGCGTCATAAAACGTGTTTGTGATACCGTATCGTACTGGTCAGTCTCGATTCTTACACGACGCCCGATTAAAAGAGGCATTGGATTAATCAGAGTTCTGATTTTACCTTGAGCCTCCTGCCCAGCTCTTTGTAGAGGAGGAAACCCGAGAACTCGGCGGTACAAGATCGCTCGAGGAACTCGACGAAGATCCCACGGAGAGGGCCTTGCATCTTGTCTGCAGCTTCTTTGAACTCCTTGTTCCTGACGAAGTGGGTCTGGTTGTAATCGGTCTTGAACTCCTGCAGCAGGGCCTCGAACTCTGCCTGGTTCAGCTGCTTGTTGATCTCCGAGTTGAACAGCGTCTCCATCTCGTCGAAGTCCGTCGTGTAGAACCGCGGGGTCAGCAGCGTCTCCTTTATCGCCGTCTTCTGCAGCTTCTTCTTGGTCCCGCCGGCGGCGGCTTCGGTGGAGGCGGCGGACATTCTGATTGAGCAGAACGAGAGGCTCCTGCTGCTGCTTCTCCTGGAAGAGGCGGTGAATTTGGAGATGGTGGGTTTTGCCAGAGCCATCTCTGCCGCCATTGTCGTGGCTGGTTTTCTTCGGCTGGGAGGTAGATTTCTGGAGCTGGAGTAGGGACTGGTGAAAAAATGGTAATGGCGATGTGAAGTTTATAATTGGTGGAGAAGATGATTAAATCTCATCCACTGGAAATCTATGGTAGTTAATGGGAGCGCGACACGTGGCGAGGGATTATTGGCGGGACTCGATTGCCAGTTTGCCAACAAGTGGCTGTGGCGATAGACTGTTGTCGTCGCCGATTTGTGCAAAATCTCAATTTTCGTGGTTGCCATCAGATTTCCAACCATTGCCTTATTTTTCCCAACAGATTTTTCTCTTAAGAAAAATGGTTGCATTCTCTTTATAAAAATTAGTGAGTCGGCCCGTTGTATAGGTTGAAAACTACGTACTAGCAATCAACGTGTCATCTCAATCTTGTAGTTGTACTTTGTATGGTGTCTTGAATCGTTAATTTCACGAGTTTATGGTATATTGGTATGAATTCGCAATTTATGATATTTAATTTGATATGATAGTCGTGTTGTGTAAATATAGCTTCTATTAAGAGCTACATGAAGCTTTGCTAATCCTGTGTCGAGTTGAGTTGCTTTTTGCCTAAGTTTTGAAAGAATTACTAATGGACAGGAGATTAAATCAAAGCGGTATGTTATGTAGTTCATGGCACACAGAGCTGTTAATTTGTATTTTAACCAATTTTCCCTTGAGGGTATCAAATAGGAAAATTTAAAGTTAGATGGACTGTAACAGGAGAAGTAATATAGTTTTGGTGCCAAACTAAGATTTATCAGAAAATAAATGACTGAATTGTGTTTTTTTTTTTTTCAGAATCAACTTGGATGACGTGGAAGCAGGAGAAGAAGCGCGCCAATTTCTGAAACGAGGTTCAATCTGAGCTGCAAAATTCCCTAAACTCGCTCCTCTATCTCTCCCTCGTCTCCGCCATTTCTCCTCTCTCTCTCAATCTTCGTCCACGGCGATGAATTGATCTTCTTCCTCCAGAAACAACCGAGAAAGGCAAAGAGAAGAGAAGAAGAACCGTCGAGGTGACAGAGAAACGAGAGGGATTGAAAAAGGGAGCCGGTTGTTCGATTGATGAGTGGCGAAACACATAATAGATGCATCTATGAAGACTGGGGGACGGAAGTCGCCACCACCGCGCCATCTGATGCACTTTTCCTTGTCGTCGCTGCCGCCGGTTGAGGCCTTTCAGATGGAATGGCAGATTTTCCTACTTATCTTTCCAATTCCGACCGTGATATCGACCAGGTTTCACCCCCTTTTCCCCGTCCTGATTCAAAAATTCAAATTAGGGTTTCGTTTCATCAAGTTTCATTTCTGTGATTCTGTCTGTACAGGCGCTCATTGCTTTGAAGAAAGGCACCCAGTTGATCAAATACAGCCGCAAAGGCAAACCTAAGTTCCGCGCCTTCAGACTCTCTCCGGTAATCTGATTCGATTTGGATTCGATTTGGTTTTGATTTCTCTATTGTGCGTGAATGGTGGTGATCTTAGACGATTGATCCGGAATTTCGATCCGATTTCGGCAGGACGAGACTGCATTGATTTGGTTATCGCACGGGCAGGAAAAGAATTTGAAATTGGCATCAGTATCTCGGATCCTTCCCGGTCAGAGAACTGTTAGTTTCCCCCCCAATTTTTGTGCTGTATTTCTTTGGTATACTACTAGATTCATTGCAGCAGTTACCCCATTGTTGTTGTTGTTTTTATTATCATTCCCTCTGCTTCTCACAGGCTGTGTTTAGGAGGTACTTGCGCCCTGAGAAGGATTGTCTCTCGTTTTCACTCATTTACAACAATGGCGACAGGTCCCTTGATCTGGTTAGTCTAAATGAACCATCCATCATTGTGTTTCGGTTTTCTTGTAGTTGTTAAGGGTGAACTTCAATTAGCCTATTGTTAACTTTTTCGCTTCAGATCTGCAAAGACAAAGTTGAAGCAGAAGTTTGGCTTGCAGGCCTTAAGGCCATCGTTGGAAGAAACCGGGGCAGACGCACCAGAAGTGATATCTCGGATGTCAGTTCTCAATCCACCTTAACTGGTTTCTGTGAGGTGAACAAGCCATATGTATGATAATGATTTTGATATTTTTTTCAGTTTACTGAAGGTGGAGGAGATTACTTCTTTGGTAATCGTCATGGTCCAACACTAGAGCTCACGCCAAGCCTTGCTCGTGGTAGAGTCTCTATCGATTTAGCTTCAGATGGTGGTGGCTCGGAGTATGCAAATATGCAACTAAGACCGAGCTCTGTTGATGGTGGTTTCCGGATTAGTGTCTCCAGCACTCCTAGTACCTCTAGTACTGGCTCTGGCCCAGATGATATCGAATCATTAGGTGATGTTTACCTTTGGGGGGAAGTGTGGAGCGATGGCTTTGCACCCGAAGGACCCATGCCCTCTTCCTCTTCTTCTTCTTCGCGCATCGATGTCTTGGCTCCTAAACCCTTGGAATCCAATGTAGTTCTCGACGTTCATCAGATTGCTTGTGGGGAACGACATGTTGCTCTTGTCACAAGGCAAGGGGAGGTCTTCACATGGGGAGAGGAATGTGGTGGGAGGCTTGGCCATGGACTCGAGAAGGATTTTAGCCGTCCTCGACTTGTTGAAGTTCTTGCAGTTACTAATGTCGAATTCGTGGCTTGTGGAGAGCATCACACATGTGCTGTAGCCGCATCAGGTGACTTGTTTACATGGGGAGATGGCAGCCACAACGCTGGACTTCTTGGCCATGGCAGCGATGTTAGCCACTGGATACCAAAAAGGGTATCTGGCGGTTTGGAAGGGCTCCAGGTTTTGTCCATTGCTTGTGGCACGTGGCATTCTGCTCTTGCAACTTCGAGTGGCAAGTTGTTCACTTTTGGAGATGGAGCTTTTGGCGTTCTTGGCCACGGAGATCAAGAAAGTGTTGCATATCCTAAAGAAGTACAGTTACTAAGTGGGTTAAGGACGATGAAAGTTGCTTGTGGTGTATGGCACACGGCAGCTATAGTTGAAGTTATGGGCCAAGCTGGTGCAACTATGTCGTCGAGAAAGTTGTTCACTTGGGGAGATGGCGATAAGTATCGATTAGGTCATGGAAACAAGGAAACATATCTTCTTCCCACCTGTGTTTCTTCCCTTATTGACTACAACTTCCACCAGTTAGCTTGTGGGCATACCATGACAGTGGCTCTCACTACCTCAGGCCATGTGTTCACCATGGGCAGCACCGCATATGGCCAGCTAGGCAACCCAAGCTCCGATGGGAAATCGCCATGTCTAGTTCAAGACAAACTGGTAGGCGAGTTCGTGGAAGAAATTTCATGTGGCGAATATCATGTTGCGGTGCTTACATCGAGAAGCGAAGTGTTCACTTGGGGCAAAGGTGCTAATGGAAGATTAGGCCATGGAGATATAGAAGATAGAAAATCTCCAACGTTGGTTGAAGCACTAAAAGACAAGCATGTGAAGAGTATATCATGTGGATCGAATTTCACTTCCAGCATATGTATTCATAAATGGGTTTCAGGGGCCGACCAGTCGATTTGTTCCGGTTGCAGGCAAGCATTTGGGTTCACTCGAAAGAGACATAACTGCTACAACTGTGGATTAGTGCACTGTCATTCTTGCAGCTCCAAAAAGGCAATGAGAGCTGCATTGGCACCAACGCCTGGGAAGCCACATCGAGTCTGCGATGCTTGCTACACAAAGCTTAAAGCTGCTGAAGCTGGTAACTCTTCTAACATGAACAGGAAATACACAAACCCTCGTCGATCAGTTGACATGAGTGTGAAAATGGATTTTGGTTTTCGCCCATCAAAAGTATTGCTATCTCCCACCACCGAGCCTGTGAAGTACTTGGAGGTCAAGCACGGAAAGCCTGGGATGAAATGTGATGATTCGTCTATAGTACGGGCATCCCAAGTTCCTGCACTTACACAGCTAAAAGATGTAGCCTTTCCGAGTTCGCTTAGTGCTATACAAACTGCATTGAAGCCTACTCCGGTTTCAGTAGCGTACCAGCCTCCCCCTGTGAGCATGCCTCAGCCTACAGCGACTAGCTCGAGACCTTCTTCGCCATACTCTAGGAGACCAAGCCCTCCTCGGTCTTCAGGTGGCGGAGTTTCTAGGAGTGTTATTGATAGTCTGAGGAAGACGAATGATATAATGAAACAAGACATGGCAAAGCTGCAAATTCAAGTATGTATTGAATTCATATATGTCTGGAAGCCTGGAACTTCTTTTTTTCTTATTGTAAGCAATGTTTTACTTATTACAATGCCTTAATTTGGTTTCAGATAAAGAATTTGAAGCAGAAATGTGATGATCAAGACAAGGAGATACACCAGCTACAACAACAAGCTAAAGAAGCTACTTCATTTGCTTCGGTAGAATCTTCGAAGCTTAATGTTGCTAGGGAAGTCGTAACATCAATCACAAACCAGGTTAGATACAGCTCTAGTATAGTGCAAAATGTACTTTCAATTCGATCGAGTTTTGTGCTTTACTGTTTGTTGCCATTTTTGCTCAGTTGAAAGAAGTCAAAAACCAGTTGCCTCCTGATGTACAAGATACAGACACGTTGAAAGCCATTGATGCTCAAATAGAAGCTTTTCTAAGTGCAAACAAACCGTCTGCATTGCCATCAAGCTTGGAGTCTGGCGTGCAGAACAAATCAGTTGATGCATCTGAACCCAAGAAAGAAGGTGGATCCTCGCGTGATGGACACAATGCTGAAAGTGACACCAAGATAAAGTTGGAGACATCAAATTCTAGAAAGGATTGCCAGAGAGAGAGCATCGAGCAGTTTGAGCCAGGAGTTTATGTGACTTTTGTTCAGCGTCCAAATGGCATAAAGATCTTCAAACGAGTCCGATTCAGGTACAACTATACTACGAACTAATTTGTTTCATAAACTATTGATCAAGGTACTATGGTCTATTGGCTTAACATCATGGTTTCATTCATAGACTCCTCAACAGTATTCTGGTTCAGTTAATCGAACCAGGTTGATTTTGCTTCGTTTTTTGTAACAACACTTTGAAATGGTGGCAATGTGTTGCAGTAAGAGAAAGTTTCAGGAGCAGCAGGCAGAAGTGTGGTGGCAGGAAAACAAAGAGCGGCTTCTCAAGAGGTATGTTCCTGCGAAATCAGGGTCTTCTTCCCATGCACCAGCAGCTACTACTTCATCACCAGCTCCAACTGAGGTACAACCACCAGGTAATCCACCACCTGCTGTGGAAACAAGCCAGGCAGAGACATCCGAGAATTAGGTAATCAAAATCATAGTTTTTTTTTATCGGACGTCAAAAGCGCTCCCTAACCTGAAATCTTCTAATTTTCAACATATGGGAATATAGTATACTACATATACACCCACATAGTGTTGATGAACAATGAACACCTAGAACCCTGTTACTGCTGATCTCAAAATTTTGTTTCCTTTTGTTGAATTGTTTTCTTTTACCCCTGGAGATTAGTTCTAGGGTTAATTAGGATGTACTGGTACACCAACATGCTCCTGTGATGTGAAGGGAGAAAGTGCATTTGTGTACCAATGAATGAGAAATGCAAGGGAAAGAAGGAAGCATTCTGTTGATCCTACTGGATTTCATTTCAGTAATTTTGCAGCCATTTTTCTTTTCTTTTTAGTAAAAGCATTCAGTTTCAATGTAGTGGATATTAATTTCATGTTTTCCCACTAGATCAAAATAAGGAGTTGTTTGGAGGTGGATTCTGAAGTTAGGTTGTGCACAAGCATCCCTGTAATGGTGGATTCTCACAGAATTGGGGAGGGAAATTGAGGGTGTAATGAGGTGACTATTATTCATAGTATGTAACCATTAGTTTCAAGCGTGATAATTTGGTGTTCGTCTCAAGTCATCGTAGTCATACCCTCGGTTTTAATTATAAGCTTATGGTGAGAGATTAACAAACTTTTCAAGTGAACTTACATTTGTTAGGATGTTCATTGAATAATTGACACCTGCAGGCTGCAACCATGAATCCAATGACATGTTTCAATTTTATGGACGGTAACATTTTGGGATGTGAAACATAATTCTTATGGTGGATAGTAACACCTTCAAAGTGTGTTTGAAACCAAAATAATTGAGTGGTGATCATATCTACGGTTACTACATGAGTGTAGCATGAGTCAAATTCACTTCAAAGAAATGTACATCGAATGAAACGGAACTATAAATAGTCAATTCTTGTTTAAAAATGTTGACGGCAATAGACAAAACAACGCATTTATTTTATGAGATGTTGGAGGAAACCAATATATTATCTAAACAAAAAATATATAAGGAAGATTTTACCATTAATCATTCCCCTTTTCAAGACAGAGATAGTCGCGAGTCGCGACTATTGTTTAATTTTTGGATATGGAACAAATCAAAAGCAAATCTTATTTGCACAACTGCATATAGGATGTAATCAATTAAGACCGTATCAAAACATATATATACAACAGTGCATATGTCTTTCTTTTCAGCCATCAAGAATCAGACCCTATTTTACGGAAGGGTGTTTTGGACAAAATACACAATTGTACACAGCGCCTCACTTTGTCATTTTGGGGCCAATTAGGTAGGCCCGCTAAAGCTTTATAGCTATCGAAAAGCAAGCCCACATAATTATTTCCCAAGGAGGCTAGGACATAAATGTTTTTTCTTTTGGTACTAAGCATTTCATTAGCAGAAACAAACATTAATAATAGTTTTTTTAGATACCGAGGTATTAATCCCTTCATACATTTTAATCGATTTGGGAGCCATCTGACTATTAAACCTTAAACCACTAACTTGATTAGCTCATACATTTTAATCGATTTGACAACCTTACTTACATTACGTCTATCAGCAGAGCACGATAACAAACCTCATCCGGCCAACTGGCCGGGCAAAACGCTAGTGCAACATTAGTGAGAAGATAAAGGTACATATTTACTGCTAACCCCGTCTTTCGCATTTCCTTTTTGCTTCTTCAATGCACTTGCCAGTTTAACGCTCTCCTCCATAACATTAGCATTGCTTCTGTCTCGATCCCATCGATCAGATTTGAAATCGTGCAATAAAGCTCAAAGAAGTATGGTGAAGTTTTAGATCCAAGATTGAGAGTGAGATGAGAAGAAGAGGTCGACAGGGATGACGTTGGATTAGGAATTATGATTTGGAGTATGGGTAATAGGATAAGGGCGGGTTGGCTTGGATCTTGGTGGGTAATTAGGTTATGTGAGGTGGACTGACCTTGAGTTTGATAATTTTGGAATATATAGCACCCTTGAAAAATAGTTCCCCCCCCCCCCCCCCTCCCCCTCCCCCTCCCCCTCCCTGAACAAGAATCTTGGCTCCACCGACAATTCAGTTAACATAATGGATGATATAGCTAGACAGATATATCATTCGCAATTAGGCACACGATTTTTGAAGCATATGTCTGGTGTGACAATTTCGTCATCATGAGTCTCGTCCGATAAATTTGTATTGGCCAGTAGAACACTAAATAAAAACAACACGGTGGAGTTCTTGTATTGGTGATAGTATACATATACAAAGAATGTAACAAAATTTTCAAATAATGTAAAAGAGAATAAACACGAGGGGTCATATTCCACTCAAACTAATCCTAAATCATTGTAGGATGTCTATTTGTATCAACACTAGGGGACCTTTTATGGGTGATTATTTTATGAGGTGCCTGTCATTCCTTTTTTTTTTTCCTTTCCTTCTTCGTTTCATCTTTCTTTCAAGCAAAACATATTTCAAAGCATTCTAAACAATATTTTTTTATTTCCCCTATTCCGTACAAAATTACCAAGAAAAAGTCGTCTATCATTATAAAGTGAGAATAAGCACATTATGAAAATAAACTAAAAATTACACCTTTTGATCTTAACAATTTTGTAATCTAACGAAGCTATGTGATGAGACCATGATTCAAGTTATAATTGCATTATTTTTCTTCTTCTAGTCCTTGTGTTTTCTCTTTGTACTTTTTACTTCGATTTTGACACAAATTTCACCTCCAAAAGATAAGGAGTTGGTGTGGAACCAAGGATGGGACAAAAGAAAGGAATTCAAATATATGCTAATTTTAACTCTTTCAAAATGTTTTATACATCGCATCCACACATTTCCATTTTGAATCTTTTACCACCTCTCAATTTGACATCTCAAAGCCTCATTTGATCTACTCCACCTCATTTCTCTCATCTGTGGACCCAAAAAAAAAAAGAAAATGTTAATCCAACAATCAATGCATATAACTAGTTTTATTTGCTTTTACATTAGATAAGATATAATGGTTAATATCAATGTTGAAACTAGTCCATCTTACTTGGAATTACACAATCTTCAACTATATTTGGATGGTGGAGTCTTGAGGGTATTGCTTCCATGCCATGTTGCATATGGATCCTAGAAAATAGAGATGCATTATTGAAAAAAATCTAATACCGAAAGAGCATTTAAAAGACTGGAGATGCTTTTTACATAATTAGAACTGAAATCTAAATTTATTACCTGATTAATAGATTATAGCTCTTATTAAAAACTTTCATCTAGCGTGTAGGTTGTTCGTGAAGAGTTGATCCCGCATTCATGATCTTATGTTGCAAGTCATGGCGATCTGACAAACCATTATAAGGATCGAAAGTAGCAACTCCACCATCAGTGTTCCCTTTCCTCTTCAAATCATCATCATGATCATCATCATTGAAATTCAAATTCTGCAAAATGGCTGGGAGCTTAGTCCCTTCCTTTCCAAGCTTATCTCCTCCCATTTCCAAATCAAATTTCTCCTTAGAGCCCCTTAACGTATTATGCCCATTCATGCTCACACTCCTCACTGAATCATTGGAGATCTCCTCAGGAGCCACCCATTCCCTGAAGTTCATCGCAGATGGCGGAATGTCCGACACAAACACTTCTTTGAAATTTTGCAGGCACCCTCTTCTGAATGGGTTCTCCTTTTTGTCATATCGATATCGAAAATTCTCATAAGTCGTCTGCATTAAAGATTCATTTTTTTAAATTACGATTGTCGCATTTTGTGTGCACCCGAAATATGAGGCTTACACTAAACTCACTTGGTTAGTGGAGATCAAGTAGAAGTGGAAAACAGTGAGTCCTCCAACAAACCAAACGGCAATGAAGCAATAGATTATCAAACTTAGGGAGATGATGTCGTTGGAAAGAACACTCCACAAGGGTCCTTGTTGGCGGATGATGTTGATCCATGAGAACACAAACACGTATAGACACAACATGGTCGATGATGATATGAAGCATATGAAAAATGGGTAGTTCCTCTGCAAAACAAAGACCAGAATTAAGGATCAGAAGCCCGCGATCACGGTCCTGGTGAACATTCTCCCTAAAACATCCTCGGGAAAATGTCCATTAGGACCGTACGACATTTTTTCGAACCCCGCAAAGGAGGGTATGCTTACCAATCCAATGCACTGGCCCACCCATGGGCAGTGATGGTCGAACTTTTGGACACAATTGTTGCATATGGAGCAATGGGAAGCCCTAGGGGGACGGTACAACAAGCAAGTGTCACAGAACTTCACTTTCACACTGTAACCATTCACAAACACATCTTTTGTCCTGGGGAGCTTGAAGTTTGATAGCCTGTTGTTCACCCATTCCATCGACGTCGACGTCATGTCCATCGACTCGTCCATCTCCGGCGGATGCGAGTTCCTTGGGATGATCCCTGGATCCCTGCTTGATGTCAGGAACAAGAATGCAAAGTCCTGTATTTATGGCCTAGCAAACCATCAGAAAATTTTTCCTTCCATTTCTACCTCAAGATGAAAAGTGGTGGATTTTTGGTTCAGCTACTGACCATAACTAGGAGGACCCATCCACCAACAAGTATAGGGTAGCTGAAAGCAGGGTCTGTGGCCATCATTAGCAACATCTTTATGCAGAATGTGATTGCTGGGCCTCCAATTAGGAATGATGTCAAGAACAGTGATGCAGCATCTGGGCCAAACACTAACCTCCCACCACATAAGAATTTCTGCAAGTTGCATGAATGCAGGGCACAAACAAAAATAACATTCAAAAGTTTCAGAAATTGGCATTGCTTTTAGCTAGGGTTTATGTTTCTTCCTAGCAAGAAATTGTAGTGTTTTGATTAACAAAAGTTCTTGCTAACCAATCTCATTCGATATTAGCATTCCTAACAATTTCTGATTTCTCGATGATATTCGTTTTGTGGACGGCATGAATATATATTCAACGAGAAAGGAGAAGATAATTCACACTTACGTTGTTTCCCTTCCACAGTTGATAAAGCCTGAACGTGTTAAGATTAGGAGGGGCCATTTAAGAAATACGGTGGTGGTGGTGGTGCCTGGCTCAGAGGAAAGAGTTTCGGAAAAAATTATGAATTTTCCGAAAGAAATTCTTGTAAAGAACTCCTTTTAAATTTGGAAAAGAACATTAATGAACGAAATTTTGCGCGCCAAAACAAGCTTCTTCCATGTAGCACATTAACACCCACATGAAAGAAATCAAATCAAATCAAAACAAAACAAATTGTTTTGAAATGAGATCAACAATGGTGTGTGTTTTCCTCACCATCACATCAATTGATTAACCTCTCTTCCTCCCTTTCCCCTCCCACTCCTCGCTTTATCTTTGGAGTTGAAGAAGAAGAAAAAAGAAGAAGAAGAAGAAAAAAACAAGTAAAAAGCAAAACTTGATGAATAAAAGGAGAAAAGGTGGAAAAAAAAATATTAGGAATAATAGTGGTAGTAATAATAATAACACAAATCCCAGTTTACAATCCAATGGGATTCCAAACCCATCCCAGAGTTTTCATATTACAAACAAATTTGTTTCTGCCTAACAACTTTTCTGGTTTCAGCCTAAGAATAGCTTATGTTTCCTCTTGATCTTTCATTTTTTTGTGTGCTTTCATGAGCTAATAAATCAACCAAAATGTGAACATGAAAGAAACCCAAGCAATTTATTGGTAGAAGTGAGTTAATCTTCCGTTTTCCCCCTTAAAAACTTTTGAGAAGAAAGGAGGGAAAATGATTGTCATATTGTAATTTAATTGATCAATTGAATTTTCTAATCTAGCTAGTCCCTTGATTTATTTGAATACGATATTGGTTTTGTCCACACAAAAAAAAAAGGTGGGGTTGGCCTCATTTGGACGAAAAATGTGTTCTATGTGATTTTATGTTGGATTGGGAGTTTAATATTAATCAAATTTTGGATAGTTTGGAGTTCATATTTGGTGTGATCATTAATAACAATTGTTTTTCTCTAATATTTCTTATGTATAGGCAATGCGAGCATAATCTCGCGCACAAAGCTAATTACGTGCATGAGTAATTACCTTGCTCATATCGATCAACCCAAAATATCAATCTAAACAACATTACATAAGACGATTTTTCCCATAACTGCGACTTGCGAGGGCCCAACTTATCATTCATCCTCATCTAGTCAATGTGAGTAATTCTTGCCTTGGCAATATCATTTAGGTTTTAACAATTACCATTGAATTCATATCCTTCCAACTCTACGGTTCTCTCTTTATGAGTTCACTCAATGATTCATTCTTCAGACTTCACCTTCTTCTGCAAGCCAGATGCCCTACTCATACTACACTTTTTGGTTCATTTCTTGTTTGCAATTAGTATTTGTCAACTTCCTTAGATGTCGCCCATGATTGACCTATCATTCAACATATCATGTCCATTGATTTCAAGTATTAATTTCAGGACTTGGATTCTAGTAGACAAGAAATGATTTGGATTTCAAGTATCCATGGAAATAGCCGAAATGGCAACCAGAAACTTGCTAGTGTTGAACAGGTTGCAACAACAACAACAATGTACAGATTTGCAGCAACAAAAACAACAATGTACAGATTTGCAGCAAAGATCCCTCTAAATCAACACCCCTATTAGTCTTTACTGCTTCCCTCGATGTTTTCACTTCTACAAGAGGAAGCCTTGAATCAGACCATCCAAGAGAGGAAACTGAACCAGGAAGTTAAGATCACTGGAACACAATGCCCTTTCATTCTTACTTGTTCAACTTCTCTTTCTCTGCAGTAGTAGCTCCCTTCGAAGGCGCAGCGGTCACCATTTTGAATATCCACCCAGCTAGCAGAGTTGCCTTGACCGGGGCGAGCCAGTAGACATACAAATGCTCCTTCGAGAGGTGAATCCCCCTGGCATAAGCCCATCCCATCACCTGCAGACAGTACGCAGACAAGCATTGTTCAGAACTCAAAACCAGCATTGTGTTATTTTGATTCGTAGCTTTCGTGAAGATGTTAAGCAGCAGTAAAAAAGCTTTACTTACCGAGGCAGGGTTCATACAGCCGCCAGTGAGGTCAGAGCCGAGTATATGAAGGGTGACTTTCATGACACTTGAGATCCAAGTCTTCATGAAGAAACTACCCGAAATCTTTCTCGATAGCACGAGAGAGATGGTTACTATGGAAAATGTCAATAGTCCTTCCGTGAGAGCACCATGGTGGATGTCCACTTGCAAGCGCGGGCCAAGTCCTATCTCAGGAAAGGTCTTGATCATGAACCTAACCCCAGAGATGGATCCAAACACCTAGCAAATAATAGAAGAGAAGCACACTATTGCAAAGTTAGAGTAATAGTTTGCATTTCTATGTTGAAAGATCAGAACTTTTGACATTATAGAAAACAAAAAGGAATCATAAAAATCAAATGTTCTACATGCAAACACACACGAAGAAGCTCTGTGTGGGGTGAGCATTCCATTCAAGTCTCCTTTCTTCCTATAAGCATTCCCCTATCTCTATATCCATTTATGTGTGTGTGTGTGTGTGTGTGTGTGTGGGGGGGGGGGGGGGGGGGGGGGGGGGGGGGGGGGGGGGGGGGGGGGGGAATAGCATTATGGAAACCAACATTAAATCAGCCAGCTCCATGAACCTTATTACGTGTAAAACCTATCTTCGATCAATATTGAACTCAGATCGATTCCCAAAGAGCAGCTCCATCTCCTACTATGTATACCTAAGTCATGCTGTAAGTTCAAGAACTTCATTGAAGAAAATTTCACAAGATTCACATCCTCAAGATGAAACGAGCAGTAACAAGACTGAAACTGCACCTATCGTGCTATCCTATGGCACTCCAGGCCTTCATTTTTCACCCAAGCAGTAAATTGGCACCTCAGCAACCGGTTGATCTTAGATTTCAGTTCACCAGCAATTCAGCATACACAGTGAATTCCTTTCCGTTAAGGCCCTTCGTTGGCATGTACCTTTCGAGACAAAGTTCATCACCACCCAAACTACAATGCTACTGCAAACCCAAGGAGAGACCAGAGAGAAGCTGGCAATGGCCTATAGGGCAGCATTGTTAAGCAATACTCCACAAGGTTGGGTGAAAATGAAGTTATATTACGTAAAGGAATGTACTCTTTCAAGGAATGTCAAGCAAAATTCTACTTTCTTTAACCAGCCTAAAGATCTCATTGACATTGCAGCATATCTATAACCCTACAATCAAATTCCACAACCCAAATTTAACACACCCACTAAAGACACATTCCCGTTTAAAGAGAAAACCCCAATTCGCTATCCAATTCAACGGAATTGCAGCTAAATTCATCGACGAAATCGAAAAACAACAAAAAGACAGACCATAAACACTAAATTTCGAAACCACCCAACAAAAAAGACACAAGCTTTTTGTCACTTAACAAACCTGGGCAGGGATTCGAGCGCCAAAAACGAAGAGAAACCGGAGGAAATCCCCAGAAACAGCGTCGGACAAGACGTTGAGAGGATTGTAAGTCCCGCCTCTGCTGACTTGGCCCAACAAGGCGAAGAAGAACATGTTGGTAATCGAGCATGCGCACTTCACGATTTCGGACACCGGGTCGTGGGAACGCATCCCCAAAACATCGAACACGAACATCTTCAGCAACGGGCTCGAGCACACCCACATGAACGACATCGCGAAGTCCGCCACGAGCAACCGAGATTTCGACGGCCCGCCGGCGGCGACAGCGGCGGCGGGAGCCATGGTTGAATGTTTTTACAGAGGAATTGGGTGAAGACTATGAGAACCCAGGAAGTCAACAGAGATTCAAGATGAAGGAAGAAATAAAGAAAGAATCTTTTGCCTTTTTCCTTCGACCATTCATCGACGGTCGAGAGGAAAATCGATTGGGCAACTTTTGTTCTTGTTTGTTTGTTACTTTGGTCTCCCGGGGATTTTTTTAAACGACCACCAACGTGCTAAAGAAGAAGAGGCTAAGAGCATAGCTATTCGTCGCCCTAAAATTCTTTATTTGTCGCTCTAATATATATTAAAATGACTTAAATAACCTTCCTCCTCCTTGTGAGTTACCAGTCAGTAACCCCGTCGGGATGGGACTCCCCGTCGGCAGACACATCGTCCCGACAAACCAATGAGTAACCCCTCAAGCATCTCTCTCTCTCTCCATTTCTCCGAGATTCCTTGAATCCCTAAATTCGATTGATTGTGCCTTTCATCGTTGTTTGTGCGATTCCAGCTTCCGGTAAATGACGGATTGGTTTGGGACAACGGTACCAACCTTCTGGAGCCTTGTATCGATCGAATTGCCGAAACTGTTGGAAAGGTAAGCACTTTCCTTTGGTTTCGTGTCTTCTCTATTTTTTTTTTTTTTTGCTTTATTCTGTTGCTTCCTTCTAAAACCTTGTGGTGTCTCTTTTCAATTTTGGGTTATTGATGGCAGTACGAAACTTTGGCTAAGTTGTGTTGAGGTTTGAGCTTCGTTGCTCAGAAACGGGTGACCATGACCTTCTTCCTCCTCCTTTCTTAGCAACAGCAGCGGGTCAGCATGTTGGGGAATCACAACAGGTCGGCGTGCTAGGGGATTGTCTACGACGGCCGAATCCGGTTGGTGGGGTTCTTTCACGGCAGTGACAGCAGGTCGGCGGCGTGGGGGAATGACAGCGCCGATGGGTTGGGGGGAACGACAGCAGTGGTTGGACGATTGGTCGCAGTTAGGATTTATGGATTGCAATTGAATATAGGGATATAAATGTCAATTTATTATAATTTAGGGCGAAATAATTTAAATTTTAGGGCGACGAATAGCAATTCAGTAACTTAAAACAGCCCTACAGTTACGACTTGCGATTCTCCCGCCGCCGGCAAAAGGTCTCTCCAAACGCCGCCTCCCCGTCGATTTGACTCCGGCTCCTAGATTCTCTAGCCACTGGGTTTCTCTATTTATCAATCAGCGACTCCGGGCTCCGATAATTGCTTCCTTTCTAACTCTTCGTCTTCTAGATTGTCTTTAGCTTCTCCCTCGTCGTTGGCGTCTTGTCCTCCGTAGCGCCGGCTGATTCTCCTTCGCCTTCCTCATTTTCAGCTGGGTTTTTCCGGGTAACCTTCGTAGCTTTGTACAAGATTTTTCTTTCTAGAATGAGTCCTACTCTGCTCGCAAAGAATGTGGCTTTGGTCATAAAGTACCAAAAGGATCCTCTGAAAGCTCTTGAAACTTTCAATTCTGTGAAGATAGAAGATGGGTTTTAAGCACACATTGTCTACCTATAGGTGCATGATTGAGAAGCTAGGTATCCATGGTGAATTCCAGGCAATGGAGCAAGTGCTCATGGAGACTAGGATGAATGTCGATAATAACTTGCTGGAAGGGGTGTATGTAGGAGCCATGAGGAACTATGGGAAGAAAGGGAGAGTTCAGGAAGCAGTTGATGTGTTTGAGAGGATGGATTTCTACAACTGTGAGCCTTCGGTGTTATCGTATAACTCCATCATGAATATATTGGTTGACTATGGGCATCACGATCAAGTACATAAAGTCTACTTGAGGATGAGAGATAAAGGAATCTCTCCTGATGTTTACACTTTTACGATTAGGATAAAGTCCTTCTGCAAGACGGGAAGGCCTCATGCTGCTCTAAGGCTTCTGAACAACATGTCTTCTCAAGGGTGTGAAGTCAATGATGTTGCTTATTGTACTGTTGTTGGTGGGTTTTATGATGGGCACTATCTACTTGATGCATATGAATTGTTCAACCAGATGCTTGAATTGGGTATTTTTCCAGCCATTGCTACTTTTAATAAGCTTATGCATGTTCTTTGCAAGAAAGGGCAAGTCATGAAAAGTGAAAAGCTGTTGAGCAAGGTGCTTAAGAAGGGTTTCTGTCCAACTTGTATACAGTTAACATCTTCATCCAAGGGCTCTGTAGAGAAGGTGCAGTAAATAGGGCCGCTCCAATTGGAAACGGTGTGCAGATCCTCGGGCAATGGGGCGTACCTAAAGAGCTGGGCTTTCTTGTGCTTGGCGTTCTCCGAGAAGGGGAATGAGAAGTAAGTGGCGGCTCCGCAGAAGAGCACGAGAGCTGTGTAGCCGAGGTACCGCCGCAGCTCAGCTTCCGACGAAGCCGGCGCGGGAGAGGAGGTTGAGAATGTGCAAACAGGGTTTGATGGATAGCGATTGTTTGGAGGGATCGGCGGCTTCGTCGGCGGGAAGGCGGTGGAAATGGGTTGAGATGGACGGCGGTGGAGGAGATGGTTGATTGAGCGCCGGAGAGTAAGAGCTCTCGACATCGTTTAAGGCAAGGTGGTCACTGGTCAAGGCTCGCACCTCTCTCTGATTGTCTCTGTGAGCCTTCCTCAACTTCTTGCTCCCACCTTGAGCATCTGAAGTTCTGGAATCTGGAGTACAAAATTATCAATTCAGGAGCGTTTTGCAAAAAGCGTGTAATTCAGGGACCAAAAAGTGAGTGAACCCTTTAACTTAAAGAGCATTGCTATCCGTCGCCCTAAAACTCTTTATTTGTCGCCCTAACATATATTAAAATGACTTAAATAACCTTCCTCCTCCTTGTGAGTTACCAGTCAGTAACCCCGTCGGGATGGGACTCCCCGTCGGCAGACACATCGTCCCGACAAACCAATGAGTAACCCCTCAAGCATCTCTCTCTCTCCATTTCTCCGAGATTCCTTGAATCCCTAAATTCGATTGATTGTGCCTTTCATCGTTGTTTGTGCGATTCCAGCTTCCGGTAAATGACAGATTGGTTTGGGACAACGGTACCAACCTTCTGGAGCCTTGTATCGATCGAATTGCCGAAACTGTTGGAAAGGTAAGCACTTTCCTTTGGTTTCGTGTCTTCTCTATTTGTTTTTTTTTTTTTTTGCTTTATTCTGTTGCTTCCTTCTAAAACCTTGTGGTGTCTCTTTTCAATTTTGGGTTATTGATGGCAGTACGAAACTTTGGCTTTGTTGTGTTGAGGTTTGAGCTTCGTTGCTCAGAAACGGGTGACCATGACCTTCTTCCTCCTCCTTTCTTAGCAACAGCAGCGGGTCAGCAGGTTGGGGAATCACAGCAGGTCGGCGTGCTAGGGGGATTGTCTACGACGGCCGAATCCGGTTGGTGGGGTTCTTTCACGGCAATGACAGCAGGTCGGCGGCGTGGGGGAATGACAGCGCCGATGGGTTGGGGGGAACGACAGCAGTGGTTGGACGATTGGTCGGAGTTAGGAGTTATGGATTGCAATTGGATATAGGGATATAAATGTCAATTTATTACAATTTAGGGCGAAATAATTTAAAATTTAGGGCGACGAATAGCAATTCAGTAACTTAAAACAGCCCTACAGTTACGACTTGCGATTCTCCCGCCGCCGGCAAAAGGTCTCTCCAAACGCCGCCTCCCCGTCGATTTGACTCCGGCTCCTAGATTCTCTAGCCACTGGGTTTCTCTATTTATCAGTGCTGTCAAAGCCGAGTCGAGCCGGCCGGCCGAGCCGCCAAAACCGCCACCCGGCCATAAAACCGGCTCGACTCAACTATTTAGCCGGAGTGGTTATTTGGGGCGGCCGGAGAGCGGCCGAAGCGGTTAACCGCTTGAACCGCTCGAGCCGCTCGCCCGTTTTTTTACCTTTGGGCCGGTTGCTTTAATTAAAAAAAAAACTAAAATATCGAAAATGAAAGGGGAGGCTACTGTGCTGAAACCCTAATTTCATTCTTCCTCTTCGCGTAGACAGCCAGACACGAAGGAGAAGCAGCTTCCTCCTCCGCAGCCGCCGTTCCCCGTAGCCCGACGCCGTCGTCGTTCACCATCACTCGACGCCGTCGCCGTTCGCCATCGCTCGACGTCGTCGCCGTTCGCCATCGCTCGACGCCACTCCCCCGTCGCCCGTCTCCATAGTCGTCGTCGTCTTCGGCGGCTCGTTCCCCGCTCCTGCCGGCGAGCGCAACGGCCGGCCGGTGAGGTCTCCCTTCTCCCTTCTCCGGTCACGGCTGCCTCTCCCCTGCATCGACCCCTGCTGTCCATAGACACTCTGCTTCCAGGTTTCTAATAACCCCTGTTCTCCTTTTTCTTTCTACTTTCTATTTGTCTTCCTCATGTCTCTGTGTATATGATATCCATAGAATAGCGCTGTAGATTTCCTCCTCTTGATTCTAATTTGGTCTGAAAGGTGCGACTTTCTTGTTAATTTGGCCGGTGTTATTATTGTGTATACTTGCTTTGTCTTTCGTGAGCTTTCCTTATTACCTGTCTGCATCACATAGTCATCATGTCTTTTCCATCTGTAGTATACATCTAGCTAACAAAGAATGAGTTAAGAAAACTAGAAACTGGTTCTGTTGTTGGTTGTCAAATTTCATGAACAAATTGTAAACTGATAAGAACCACGAAAAAGAAAGAGTAACTTTCAGATTGGGTATTTGGGAAACTAAAGTTTCGAGAGTCTCTCAGGTACGTGCAATGGACAAGAACAAATTTCAAGTGATGGGTAGCTCTCTACATCATTTCTGCTTTGCTTGTGTAAATTACATTTGTTCCAGGGGACATGTCCCTTTTTGTGTAGGAGTAGGATTATTGTCTCTCTGTTGGACTAACGGCAGAGTAAGAGTGATAAATATATTGAAGTTAATTGTCTATGGAGAAGAGTTGGGTGGGAACTGATACCATGATTAAGAAGTGTCTACTATTTATACAAATGACTATTTATTAGGTACCGGTTCTCAAACGGGTTTTAAACGGTCTAATGCCGGCTGGACCACTAAAGACCGAGCCGTTCATGTTACTGGGTCATACTCCGGTTCGGTTTGACAACATTGCTATTTAATATTTATCAATCAGCGACTCCGGGCTCCGATAATTGCTTCCTTTCCAACTCTTCGTCTTCTAGATTGTCTTTAGCTTTTCCCTCGTCGTTGGCGTCTTCTCCTCCGTAGCGCCGGCTGATTCTCCTTCGCCTTCCTCATTTTCAGCTGGGTTTTTCCGGGTAACCTTCGTAGCTTTGTACAGGATTTTTCTTTCTAGAATGAGTCCTACTCTGCTCGCAAAGAATGTGGCTTTGGTCATAAAGTACCAAAAGGATCCTCTGAAAGCTCTTGAAACTTTCAATTCTGTGAAGATAGAAGATGGGTTTAAGCACACATTGTCTACCTATAGGTGCATGATTGAGAAGCTAGGTATCCATGGTGAATTCCAGGCAATGGAGCAAGTGCTCATGGAGACTAGGATGAATGTCGATAATAACTTGCTGGAAGGGGTGTATGTAGGAGCCATGAGGAACTATGGGAAGAAAGGGAGAGTTCAGGAAGCAGTTGATGTGTTTGAGAGGATGGATTTCTACAACTGTGAGCCTTCGGTGTTATCGTATAACTCCATCATGAATATATTGGTTGACTATGGGCATCACGATCAAGTACATAAAGTCTACTTGAGGATGAGAGATAAAGGAATCTCTCCTGATGTTTACACTTTTACGATTAGGATAAAGTCCTTCTGCAAGACGGGAAGGCCTCATGCTGCTCTAAGGCTTCTGAACAACATGTCTTCTCAAGGGTGTGAAGTCAATGATGTTGCTTATTGTACTGTTGTTGGTGGGTTTTATGATGGGCACTATCTACTTGATGCATATGAATTGTTCAACCAGATGCTTGAATTGGGTATTTTTCCAGCTATTGCTACTTTTAATAAGCTTATGCATGTTCTTTGCAAGAAAGGGCAAGTCATAGAAAGTGAAAAGCTGTTGAGCAAGGTGCTTAAGAAGGGTTTCTGTCCCAACTTGTATACAGTTAACATCTTCATCCAAGGGCTCTGTAGAGAAGGTGCAGTAAATAGGGCTGTCAGTATGTTGGAGAGCATGAACAAGGAAGGTCTAATTCCCGATGTTGTCACATATAACACTCTAATTTGTGGTTTGTGTAAAGGAAATAAAGTTGCACAAGCAGAGAGCTATCTGCATAAAATGGTGAATGCAGGGTTAGAGCCTGATGCCTTCACCTACAACTCAATAATTCATGGTTATTGCAAGATGGGGATGATGCCAAATGCTGACAAAATTCTTGGTGATGCAATCTTTAAAGGGTTTGTGCCTGATGAGTTTACTTATTGCGCCTTGATCACCGGTTTATGCCAGGATAATCTTGTGGATCGTGCTGTATCGGTTTTCAACGAGGCACAGGGGAAGGGCTTAAAGCCTAAGGTTATTCTGTACAATACACTAATTAAAGGGTTGTCCAAGCAAGGACTTCTTCTCCAAGCCTTGGAGTTGATGGGCGAGATGTTGGGAAAAGGTTGCATCCCAGATACATGGACTTACAATCTGCTCATAGATGGATTATGTAAGATGGGATGTGTCTCTGATGCCACTAACCTTCTGAATGATGCTATTGCAAATGGGTATATGCCAGATATTTTTACATTCAACACATTACTTGATGGATACTGCAAGCAGCTGAAAATGGAGAATGCTCTTGAGCTTCTGAATAGCATGTTGAGTCATGGTGTCTTGCCAGATGTGATCACGTACAACACTCTTTTGAATGGTCTATGCAAGGTTGCAAAGTCTGAAGATGTTATGGAAACATTCAAGATGATGTTGGAGAAAGGATGTGTTCCTAATCTGATCACTTACAGTATACTCGTAGAGAGCCTGTGCAAAGCTAGGAAAGTAAATGAGGCTCTGGACTTTCTAGAAGAAATAGGGAAGAAAGGTCTAGTTCTAGATACTGTCAGTTTCAGCACTGTCATTAATGGATTATGCAATATAAAGGATTTGGATAGAGCATACGATCTCTTCAAAAGAATGAAGCAAGAATACAACATTTTGTGGAGAACGTCGACATTCAATATCATGATAAATGGGTTTTCCGAAAAGTTGAATATCGAAATGGCAGAAAATCTTTTTCATCAGATGGGCAATGAAGAATGCTGCAGTCCAGATGATTACACATACCGTGTCTTGATTGATGGTTTCTGCAAAGTGTGGAGGATTGACTCTGCATACAAGTTTCTTATGGAAATGATTGACAAAGGTTTTGTTCCATCATTAACGACCTTTGGAAGAGTGATCAACTGTCTGTGTGTCCAAGATAAAGTCCCCGAGTCAGTTAGGATAGTCCATATGATGGTGAGAAATGGCATTGTCCCGGAGGTTGTGGATACAATTTTTGAGGCTGATAAAAGGGCAGTTGCAGCACCCAAGATTGTCGTTGAAGATTTGTTGAAGAAAGGTTGTATAACTTACTATGCCTATGAACTTCTGTATGATGGTGTCAGGGACAAACGGTTACAAAAGAAGAAACATTCCAGTCACCCTGTACATCGGCCTGGAAAGGTCTCTCATCATGTTGATAATGTATGAAGTTAGAGAGTTGCCGGAATGTAAATTACAAAGACCTAGTAAGTTGTTCATTCCTGTTCAAAGAGGCTGAATAGGAAGTACTATACTTCTGCCATGCTCATTCTTTATCCAAATTCTTACTGTTTCTTGAGGGAATTTTGGCATAATTTTGAAATATCATTCTTGCTTTGTTTGTTGTTACAGAAGAAATGGGGGACCAATGATGTCAGAAAATGTAAGTTTCTGTTATCTGATTATCCTTGTTGCCTATGTTTAATTTAGCTTGTTGCCTACTGATCCAGATCCTTACATTCTCATTATCCACATTTGCTGCATCTCTGATTAATAAGCATGCCGAATCAGATGTACAGTTATACTCTGACAGGCAGGTTGACACAAAGAGCAAACTAAGTGGCAGACAAGTTTTACGGCTAGCACCATGAAGTGGAGTTTCCTCATGTTGAAGTAACAATGACGAACTCAAATCAGCAGGAACTGGCCATGCCCCCCTTCCAGAAGGAGGACACATTGGTATTTGGTACATTCCAATAATTAAAGTCTTTCAACTTATATTTTAGGCATGTCTCTGTTCAGGGCTCTTTAGTGCCTGCCTGCCTCTTTCATAGATCTTATTAATTTCTGCAACTTTTTTCTCTCATCTCAGGACCTTGGATTGTTGAGATACCAGGCCATCTTAAGCTGCCTGTTGGTGACTGTAACGAATGATGCTTGAGCACAAGTCTTTGGTAGTTAATTCCCTTCCTTCTTCAAAAGTACATTCATAACGAGTGTGACATGCTGAGGGAGATAAAAACAAAATCCGCATAATATATATATGTTTGCATATTATGTGCTGATTAAACCGTAGGTTGTTAAGTGTAAGCTGCCTGTTGGTGACTGTAATGGTGTGATGCTTGAGCACAAGTATTTGATAGTAAAATAAATTTATGTTGTCTGATCCCTGTGTTTAACTACAGCACAGGATTGATGCCATTGCCTGATCCTCTAGAGCCTGCTGGATTGCATCCAATCCTGCTACGCTGATGTAATTCTATATGAAGGTACAGATCGATTCAAATTCTTCTTTCAGCATTTCTATTTTTGAGCTATGTGCTGGTTTTTCCCTGCATGTATGAGGACGATCTATAGTAGTATGATTGAATAGTTAGTTAAAACAAGCTGTACAAGCAGAGTGTGCAGAAATTAAACTGTAGATTGTAATACAAAAATGGAAACTTAATCCATGTTTGTGAATTGTTTCATCCATTACTCTCTCGATTTCTATACACAGTGATCCTTCATACCTTGACTTTTGGCGAGTGCTTTGAAGTTCATGATCCGGAGCATTTTCTCTTTCTTGACAGATAGCTCTGTGGAATGCTGCTCAAATGGTGTCCCTCACGCATTATGACCCGGTCCAGAAGGTGTCCTGCTCCTGCAGCTGCCTTGGAGGGTCTCGGCATAGGGATACCCTGATATCCCATGACTAAGGGGATCTCTAATCTTTTCCCCATTCAGGTGATTATCTTTATTGAAAAGTTCTAAGATTTGGGTTTGTTTGGTTTAATTTAGCCATCAGTATTCATTTTAGTGATTTTATTTTACGTGGCAGAGAGCTGTTCTTGAGCCTGCAATGGCAGGAAGGGGTTTGTTTGGGAGGGCTAGAACAGGAACAGGGAAAACCCTTGCCTTTGGTATCCCGATCCTTGACAAGATCATTCAGTACAATGCGAAGCATGGGTATATTCATTATTCATCATTGAAACTTTGGTTTCTCTAGAATTTGTTTTCCCTATTTGACAATCCAAATGTGCATATACATTTCTAGACGTGGAAAGAATCCGTTGGCCTTAGTCATGGCGCCAACTAGAGAGCTCGCCCGCCAGGTGGAGAAAGAGTTTCGTGAGGCAGCACCTAATCTGGACACCATCTGCCTCTATGGTGGTACCCCCATTCAGCGGCAGATGAGGGAACTTGAATATGGCACTGATATTGTCGTCGGCACGCCTGGTAGGATTATTGATCTCATGAGGAGAGGAGCTCTGAACTTGTCGGAAGTCCAGTTTGCTGTTCTTGATGAGGCAGACCAGATGCTTGCCGTCGGTTTTGTTGATGATATTGAAACGATCTTCAAGCAGATGCCACCGAAGCGACAGAACATGTTGTTCTCTGCCACCATGCCAAGTTGGATCAAGAACCTCATCAAGAATTACCTAACAAAGCCGCTGACTATCGATCTGGTTAGTATGTAATGCTTGGAAGTTGCCTTTAGTTGACGTGTTTTGTAAAACATTTGAAGTAATAACTTTGTGTTTCTCTTATAGGTAGGTGATTCGGATAAGAAGCTAGCTGATGGGATTACTCTGTACTCTATTGCATCAGAGTCGTATCAGAAAGCAGGCGTTCTCGCTCCTTTGATTGCAGTATGAAAGTTGTTACATTTTAGCTGTTATAAGAGATCTAATTTCCTTCTGTTGCAATCATTCTTTCTCATTTTATCATTTTTATCTTGATCTTGTTAGGAACATGGGAAGGGAGGAAAGTGTATTGTGTTCACAGAGACAAAACGTGAGGCGGACCGTTTGGCTTATGCTATGGCAAAAAGCCATAAATGTGAAGCATTGCATGGCGATATCTCTCAGATGCAAAGGGAAAGGACACTTGCAGGTTTCCGAGATGGTCAGTTCAATATACTTGTGGCTACTGATGTCGCTGCACGTGGTCTAGATGTACCAAATGTTGATCTGGTAAGATTCGTTTCCTTTTCGGTTTATGCTTTATACTTTGCTTCGATCCATTAGTGTTATCATGCTATGACGTTACCTTAGTTTCAACCAAAGGCCTTTCCTTTTGATCCAAATAAGGTTTACATTCTCATAATCAAAAGGGCTTCACCTTCACAGTAGCTTTACTCCTTTAATAAACTATGGCTCCCTTCATTCTGGCCACTTTTAATTAACTTGTCCACTGCCTTTGGCTCGTTCTTCAGATTATACACTATGCTATTCCAAACTCAACCGAGACATTTGTTCATCGATCTGGTCGTACTGGACGTGCTGGGAAAAAGGGAACTGCCATTCTCATTTACGGCGGGGATCAGAGTAGGCAAGTGAAGATCCTTGAGCGAGACGTAGGATGCCGATTCACCGAGGTTGGTTGACTACTTGATCCCTTTTTTTTTCTTTTTCTCCTTGTTGATCGAACTTCAGACTTACATAATTTGTCCTCTTTGTTTTTCCAGCTCCCTAAAATTGCTGTTGAGGCTGGAGGCATGAACCTAGACATGGGCGGCAGTAGTCGATTCGGCCAGTTTGGCAGCTCAGGAGGCCGTGGTGGCAGTGGTGGCTATGGCCGGTTCGGTAGTGGTGGTGGTGGTTCGAGTAGCTACGGTTCTGGAGGACGTGGTGGAGGCTATGGTGGTCGACAAGGAGGCAGCAGCGGTGGTGGACGGTTCCAGTCTCAGCCAGGCGGCTATGGTGGTTCGAGTCAAGGTCGTAGCAGCGGTGGCTCGTTCAGTGACTTTGGCAAGTCGGACCGAGGTGGTGGCCCGTTCAGCGACTTCAGCTCAGGCCGTTCCAGTGGGTTCGGAGACTCTGGCTCGAAGCGTTCCAGCTCGTTTGGAGGCGGGGGTCGATTTGGGGGATTCGGAGACAGCGGGGATGACAAGGGCTTTGGAGGAGGAAGACGGTAGGCGGATTTAATCATTCATGGAAGCCGGCGGGGGGCAGCAGAGGTTTCATGTGGCTTTTTCGTTCTTCAATATCTATATTTAGCTTGACTCACTCACTCTGTGTAATGTAACCATAACTATTTTTGGGTCTCTGATGAAAGAATAGATTAAGGGAGTTTTATGAATTAACGTTGCAATTAAAGCGCTCACATTTTATTTTGCATAAGATTCGTCCTTTTCCTGGCAAGCTAATGCCGAATGCTTTGATAAGTGTCAATAAGGAATTACATAATAGAGTAGTATATACATGTGTTCCAAGCAGGGTGATTCATTGGGAGGATTCATTGTTTACAGACTATCTGAATTTGATTAAGTTGTTGGTAATTAATTGCTCATGTATTAAACATGTGTATGTGATTTATTAAAGGAAAGGGGCATGCCGGAGAATCATCAAGGCATAAGGGTTTAGCAGAGTAATCGAGTAGTGAGTAAATTCTAACCTAATGTTTATCTTAATATGATTATGGTATTTCGGGTCATGGAGCGGCCTGAGTACGTCGTGTATGATGGTTTGGTAAGCTTTAAACTAATTGTGATTGAGTATCGATATGTGGTATGGTTACATGATTGAATGATTGATTTAATTATCCTATGGTTGGATGAGGTTACCATGGCATGGTAAATTGGTAATTATATGATAATGTGATGATATGATGAAATGATTGTATGACGGTATCTCTAGAAGGTCATAATACATGTTGTTATGTGTGTGCTAAACGATATTATGTGATGAGTATATATGATATGTGAAATGTCATTTGAGGCGGTCAAGTGGAAAGAATGGCAAGAAAGGTTGCATTTTGCCAATTATACGAGATGAGATAAATGGCCTATGAGTCATGCAAGTGAATGTGATATGAAATGGCCTTGGGTCACACAAGTATTATGTTTAGTTGTGAATAACTATAAGAATTACATGGTCACTTAAAGCAAACGTAATGGCGCCCTGTCATGCACTCATTATAAGTGAAAAGAGGCTTCAAGCCTAAGAGATAAAAGAGTTATACGATAACTCCTTTTCAGGAGTAATGTCAGGCCTGGCTAAGAGTTTATGAGATATGACACTCTGTGCCCACGAGTTTACGAGATCTGGCACTTTGTGCCTACGAGATTACGAGTTCACGAGATCCCGGGGAGTGCATGACTTGGCAAATTAAAGAATAAAAGCTACTGAATCCAGCTAACTATATGTATGCACTTGTGTGATTGGATGTTGATTCATGGGTGATTTTGGATGCAACATGAGTACTTAAATGTCAATCTTAGTATTTGTCATCTTTGTGTGATATGTGATTGAGATGGCAATCTTAGTATTTGCCATATTTGATATATAGAAGGTGAACCCCCTATACGGTATATGAAATATGTGAAGGTCGATGTGTTTTATATGTGATATCAGGTGACATGGTGAGTTATATTTTGTGATAATCTCCTATGACGAGTGGTACAACGATTAATCAAGAAACTATTTTATAAGCAGTGATGATATGTTCATTTGATTATGATACTACCATGAGATGTTGACGTGCATAATGTTATAAGTCTACAATACCTCTCATGATGCGGTGTTGGTAGGAGTATAAAGATATAATGAAATGATGAAAATTTTGTATGGTGTATGAGAATAAATATGAACTATTTGCAACATCAGGTAGGGTAAAGTAAAGGTGAAACCCTAAACGAATCATGTATGACATATAACGTATATGGGAAAGATCGAATGAACGAGGGAAGAAATTTTGTGTGAATCTACATAAGTGAGACATAGGTAAAGTTATCAAGTGATTAAATATGCACCGAATTTAATGGACAAAAGACACTCCGAGTCACAACACAGCCCGATATCATTTCATATTAATATTTATATTAGGTTATTATTTACTCATTGAGTGACGTCTCACCCCGTCAATATTTTTTCCTCACAGGACTAGAACGACATCAGTAGAGCGAGACGGATGAGTACTGTCGGCCAAATGGCTAAGAGGTGGGCGGCGGAACTGAACTCTCCACAAATCTTTCAATTAAAAGTTAGGGAAAAGTAAAGTTTTTGCAAGCTAAGGCTTAAGACAATATTGGTTTTGAATACAACTTCATTTTGTTTTCTATGCACTTCATATAAAGAGTGTAGGTAAACCAAGCCTAAATTGGTCAAGAGAAATATTAGGAACATGAATACAAGGTAGGGTGTTACATAATATTACAGAAATTCATAAATAATATTTTGCTATATTTGGAGAGTTCACAAGTTATCAAGGTGGATTTTTATTTACAAATAAAAAATTATTGATATCTATGTACGTAGAAATAGATCATATATAAAGAGTGACATGTATCACATTTGTTAACTCTTTTCTTTACATATTTATTTTATATAATAATTCCTTTTTTCACTTTTGCATTATACCGATGTGCGCAACAATAATTTACATTTTGATAAACAATTTAAACAAACTCACACATAAATAACAATATTCTGTCTAATAGAAAAATATTACGTAGGAAAGAGGGAAACCAAGAAAGGTCTTCATAGAAACTTGACCAAGTAAAAGTAGTTCTTTATTAAAAAAATCCTATTCATTCTAATTAAGTGAAAACGTAGATATCACATGTGCAATAATTTACAATGTATTCTAAGTTCACGTTACTAATATTTGCTCGCAAGCTCTATTGAGGTCTTACGTCATATGCTAAGAATCTTTTTTAAGACTTGGAGTTATTAATTGTCGAGAATTATAAATTTAAGTTTTCAAAATGACTTAAGCATGATTATTGACGAACTTCAACTTCATATCCTAGGATGAGACATGAGTTGGCTTGAAAAATGACGCATGTGAAAGTTAGATAAATCTTTGTTAAGGATGTACATTAAACATCATGTTTCAACAACCACTGACCTAGACATTAATTAAATAGGGGTCGGAATTTTTATTTAATATTTGAATATTTTGGTAGAAAAATCTAAATTCGACTACTAAAGCAATAAATAAACATTAAGGTGTTAGTTGAGATATCTAAACACAAATATTTAATAGATACAAGACTCTAAACCGAGGTACTAAGTTAAAATAAGGAATCTTTAATAAGAACGAGTTTAATAAGACAATTGTAAGATTTTAGTAGTAACGAGTTTAATAAGGAATCTTTAATAAGAACGAGTTTAATAAGACAATCTTTAATAAGAACGACTTTAATATGGATGTCAGCCTGTAATTTCATACAAAATTTTAGTAGTAACAAAACTTTCTCGATATCTCAACAAAATTTTAGCCTGTAAAATTAAGCAATTTATATTAAAATCGAGTTACCCTAGCAAAATAAATTTGTTTTCATATTTCATCCAACGATCCAAGTTCAAAGGTATTAATTGGGGTTATAAAATAAAATCTTTATGCATATATGTTTAGATATTAACAATAAATGTTCCTACAATACATCCAAGAATTTAAATGCATGTGAAATGTCACAATGTTTGTATGAATTTATAAATTTTGTTAATTATAAATTATTTCAAACAATACTTAGTTTTAAATGAACTTGAAATATGTATCTGTTGTAGACATGTTTTTTATTATCAATTATTAGTATAAGTAATGAAATTTTTGTCCCATAAAAACACAAAAGATAAAGATATTTTACTTTACGCAAATGGAAAAGGTTGGAAATTTATACTCTGAATAACCATGTTAAGACGAGAACCAATGATAATGTATATTAGTGTCTTGGATTGAGATTGAGAGTCTAAACTAACATCTAGACAACAACCATAAATGGAGGGTTAGTCCAAACTTAAAAAAACTAACAACATATTGAGTGTCATGATAGACAAATTTTGTCATAAAATCCTATATCAAGACTTCATGAACATTCACAATAAAAATGGGAGAGGATTAGAGAATTTTAATATCAGGGCATTCTTTGCGAGCAGAGTAGGACTCATTATAGAAAGAAAAATCCTGTACAAAGCTACGAAGGTTACCCGGAAAAACCCAGCTGAAAATGAGGAAGGCGAAGGAGAATCAGCCGGCGCTACGGAGGACAAGACGCCAACGACGAGGGAGAAGCTAAAGACAATCTAGAAGACGAAGAGTTGGAAAGGAAGCAATTATCGGAACCCGGAGTCGCTGATTGATAAATAGAGAAACCCAGTGGCTAGAGAATCTAGGAGCCGGAGTCAAATCGACGGGGAGGCGGCGTTTGGAGAGACCTTTTGCCGGCGGCGGGAGAATCGCAAGTCGTAACTGTAGGGCTGTTTTAAGTTACTGAATTGCTATTCGTCGCCCTAAATTTTAAATTATTTCGTCCTAAATTATAATAAATTGACATTTATATCCCTATATCCAATTGCAATCCATAACTCCTAACTCCGACCAATCGTCCAACCACTGCTGTCGTTCCCCCCAACCCATCGGCGCTGTCATTTCCCCACGCCGCCGACCTGCTGTCATTGCCGTGAAAGAACCCCACCAACCGGATTCGGTCGTCGTAGACAATCCCCTAGCACGCCGACCTGCTGTGATTCCCCAACCTGCTGACCTGCTGCTGTTGCTAAGAAAGGAGGAGGAAGAAGGTCATGGTCACCCGTTTCTGAGCAACGAAGCTCAAACCTCAACACAACAAAGCCAAAGTTTCGTACTGCCATCAATAACCCAAAATTGAAAAGAGACACCACAAGGTTTTAGAAGGAAGCAACAGAATAAAGCAAAAAAAAAAAAAATAGAGAAGACACGAAACCAAAGGAAAGTGCTTACCTTTCCAACAGTTTCGGCAATTCGATCGATACAAGGCTCCAGAAGGTTGGTACCGTTGTCCCAAACCAATCCGTCATTTACCGGAAGCTGGAATCGCACAAACAACGATGAAAGGCACAATCAATCGAATTTAGGGATTCAAGGAATCTCGGAGAAATGGAGAGAGAGAGATGCTTGAGGGGTTACTCATTGGTTTGTCGGGACGATGTGTATGCCGACGGGGAGTCCCATCCCGACGGGGTTACTGACTGGTAACTCACAAGGAGGAGGAAGGTTATTTAAGTCATTTTAATATATGTTAGGGCGACAAATAAAGAGTTTTAGGGCGACGAATAGCAATGCTCATATTAAAATGACTTAAATAACCTTCCTCCTCCTTGTGCTAAAATGGTCATCCAACTAATCGGTTTGCAACCAAAGACCATTTATTTTGTCTTGTTAGTTAAATTTAGTAAACACATCATATATATACTTCGATATTGCCGCGAAGTCGTCTATTAAGTACCTAGTGAACCTACGATTACAAGTAATCGTGTCAACCCCTTGCCAATTCAGGAAAGGATGGATCTCGCATTTGTGGGTTTGTTTATGATGGTTTGCTAACGATTCTAACATGAACGACAAACAAAAAATGTTTTTGAATATGTCTAACTAATTCCACATTATTCAATCTTTTGACTGCATATGTATATTCAATTACCAAAAAAATGGTGTTAAGCTAAAAACACAAATAAGAATTAATAAAAAAAAAGATAATCACAACCTTTTATTTTCCAGACATCAACATCACGCATGAGTTGCAGAATTATGAAGACCATGTACGCAATTCCATTTAATTTTAACCTACGTTTGGTAGACCTTAAAATGTGACAAAGTGTTGATCAAAAAGTAGGACAATATGCATAAACTTTATCAAACATGGATCACATAATTCAACCATAATTAAATCATAACAATTACTAAATTTGGTTGATAAACCGCAACCAATTCCGATTGGCTTCAGGAAAAACCCTACACTCCCCTAATCACACACGGAGAAAGAAACAGTCAGCACCCAATACTCCGTGAAGCAAGCGGCCAAATATACACTGTAATATATATATATATATATATATATCAATTTAATTTCCTCTGTAAAATTTGTTCATTCTTCTGTTAATTTGCTCAATCATCGCCATGAGTCCAATGGGAAACACCCATCCCAGATCCGGCCACCACAGCCGCCGCCGCGGCAGCAGACGTCTGTCCGACTACGACGGCGACGGCGAAGACCAGTGGCTACTTAAATCGCCGCTGTTGGACCAGGCGTCAGATAAAAAGCCCGGCGGGCCCCCTCCCTCACACAAGCCCGGCCCATTGACGCTGACGGCGAATGAAGGCCCAACGGGCCCGTCTGTTCGTCCGCCGTGGGCTCCCGCCGCCGGCTACGACCCCATCCCCGCGCATCAGATCGTCAGCCAGTTGAAGCTCAGAGTCTCCATCCTCGAATTCGTGAGTTTCCTTTTTTTTTTCTCCATAAATCGTCAAAAATTCCAAACAATGCATTTAGATCAACAAATTAATATAACGTCAAAATTTTTATAAAGAAATTTATTAGGGTGAAAATTTACTTGATTAGTATGTCGATGCATTTTAGACATTTCGTGTTGTAGAATATCGTACGTTCTTTGGTATTCGATGCACTCAGTGTCGTAATGATAATTTTGTAGATAATATTTTTGCGTACATTCAAATTTATAATATATATAACGAGTGATTCATCGACTTTTTAATGTGACGGTGATTGTGTTTTCTATATATGTATAGTTGTTGAAGAAGCAAACGGTGGAGATGGAAGAGATGAAGCTAAAGAATGCCGGAGTCAACAGCAAAGTCACGGAGCTCGCCGCCAAAATCGACGACATGATTTTATTAGCTAAAAACAACGACGACAAGGATCTGCCTCCGCCGACATCGTCTGCCGCCGTCGACGTTCCTAATCTGATAGACATGAACGACGAGAATTACCTGCCGCCGCCGCAGCCATCATCGGCCACCGTCGACGTTAATCCAAATCTGTTAGACATGAACGACATGAAGCTGCCGCCGTCGTCCGTCACCGTCGACGTTCCTGACTGCGATTCCGTTCCTGATTGGCAACTCGTGCTGAAGAGTGTTATGTGTAATCCTACTTTGGTAAGGATTGATGGGATGTCGGATTGGAACATTTTGCTCGTGTTTTTTCTTGTGTTCATGGTCATAGGTCTTCTCCTGTAAATCCCCCAATTTTTTCTCTCGTCAGCAATTTTGTTCGTGTTCAAACTGTAGTTAAATTGTAATTAAAGTAGTAAAACCAGGAGGAAGCTAAGAGTATCATAGTTAGGAGTTAGTCTCTTTTATATGTCAACTGTCAAGTGATTTTTAATTGTGAATTCAATGTTGATAGATCTTTCATTTGTGGACATAACGAAATGAAGTGTTTGCGTATTTTTTTGTTGTTTTGCTTAATTGAAGTTAGTACAATCGATTGCCGTGTATTACTGCTAATTAAGGATGACGCGATTTCGATATGATTCGTCATATCTTATATACCTAACCTGTTATCGAAAGTACAAAACACTCCGTATAAAACAAACTCGTAAGACAAACACGAGATACTCATATGACCGGCTCCATTGTTATTACGTACTCCCGCCAAGTCCTTATCTATAATAGCCTAGCTAGATATGGATGGCTCGAAAAAAGTTGATAGGACAAGTTGCATGACAAAGACCAAAAAAAAGAGAGTACAAAACGTAACGGGAATCTGTTTATCCTTTGGAGTAAAGGGTTGGCATGCTGCATCACCCAAAAGCAACACATGTTGTTAATTTCACGTAAACACATCAAATAAGAATTATCCATTTCCTGTCTTTTTTCCTCACTGTTCATTATGTCCCTAGCTCCAACTTGCATATCCAAAGAAGCTTTTCCCCTCAAAAAGCCTACTTGTTATTGTCATAAAAAAACTAACTCAACAGTCCTTTTAGGCACTGTTTGTTAAGTTCGTAGTGTCCGAAACACCTGTAAAAACTCGGCTTTTGAAAAACCGAAAAGCGCTTTTGTATGACATAAAAGCAGAAGTTTCGATTTGGAGCTTCTGCGAAAAGCTGTTTTGAAAATACAAGATTATCCTTATCATATTATAATTATATTTCAGAAAATATAATTTTCCTTCATTTATATCATTTTAAAAATAAAATAAATTATAAAATCATATTATTTAATGTAAAAGAAATCTAACAAAATCCATTTTGACTACTTTTTATTGTTTAGAATTTTTATTCATATTTTATATTATAAGTCCTTTATAGTCATTTTACACAACCTCTTATATTAAAAAAAACACTTCTAATAGTTTTACAGCCAAACACTCAACTACTTTTAAAAAAAAATACTTATCTAAAATCTCCAGTCAGAAGCTGCTTCTGCAAAAGCTACCGCAGGGCCAAACTAAGCTATAATCTCGTCATATTATTAAGTTATATCACCAATTTTGGGGCCGTAGCCTCCGGCCCATCACAATGGGCCATCAGTGAAAGAGAATATTTGGTGCCATAGTTTTCGGCCCAACAAAAGCGAATGAAATGGATAAAGATTAACGAAGTAGATTCCAGATGGCAGAGATCAAATGGATAAGGATATACCAACTCCAAAAATTAATATAAATATATAAAATCATTTCCAGTTGGACTCGGTGGGTTAACTTGCAATCCACTGCCCGGGAGCCACGGCATCAGCAGCGAGTCCCCGTTGACGTGAAAGCCAGCCCAAAACCAACTCCCCGGCCCATGGGCCCCACAAATAAAAAGAGAAGCCTCTAACTCACGCGCCGATTTCTTGCGGTAGGCGTGAAAGCCTCCACCAAAAGCCCAAAACCCGCCACTCCACGCGCCGCTTTTCTGCGCTGCGCATCTCTTTCTTGATTAACACAAAATGACAAATATATATAAGCATTGATGATAATTCCTCAACTTCTTCTTCCATTTCCAACCAGCTCCTCCGGTCGCCACATTTCCCCCAAACACTCCCCCTTTCGCTCTGCGTCCTCAGCCGTCGCCGATCACTTCCTTTCCTTTTCTCCGGTAATCTAACAATTGATTCCTTGCTGCCTTCTCTCGCCAATTCCTTGATTCCTTTCGTTTATCTAATTTTTTTTTTTTTTTTGTGTTGGTTTGAATTGGTCAAACTTTGACTTATTAGCTCACTCTGGTTGGATAACGGCAGCTCGTCGGCGTCGGCGTCGTCATCATTATCATCGATCAGCAATCGGATGAAGTGATGGGGGATTCGAAGAAGCTCTCTCCGATGGCTGCGGCTACTACTTCTACTGCTGCTGCTACTACTACTGCATCTTCCCGCCGTTCTTCTTGTAATTACTACTTGCTATGCTGCTTCGTTGCGGCGGCCGCGGCAGTTTGCTTGATCACACCGGCTCTGACCACCGGCGTCGACGCGAATTCGCTCGACGCTAACGTCACCGCGAAGCTGTCCGTCGACGCTTCCGCCCGCCGGCCTATTCCCAGCACTCTCTTCGGGATTTTCTTTGAGGTATGGCTGGCTATGTCCCTTCCTTGCCTTCCCCCTTCTTTCCACTCTTTCAAGCTTCAGTAATCCAGTTTAGCGTATGGAGATCAGGGCGATGAACTTATTAGGCGATCTTTCTTTTCATGCTGCAGGAGATTAATCATGCTGGAGCTGGTGGGTTATGGGCAGAACTTGTGAGCAACAGAGGTAACTGCCAGATTGTTACTTTACCATTCCTTTTTACTCTGGACTAACTATCTTTCGGCTCTGTTTGTGGAAGGAAAACGTACATGATGATCCTTTTTTTTTCTCTTAATCACTCAGTAATTACCGGTTAATTATATGCATTAGTCCTCTGTTTGTTTAAAGATTGTCCTTTGTTTCGATGAACCTTTATGTTTACATCATTGATGTCAGTTTCATGGGTTACTAATTGAGGCTATATTTCTATTTTCTAATGTACCGTCTTTGGAGCATTATTTAGAAGCTAGGCCTCTCACCGTTTAACTTTGCAGATTAAACTGCCATATATGGTAAATCTTGCAGATTATTTTATCAATCTTCTTTCTTTTCCATTGTCTTTTTTTTCTTCCAGGATTTGAGGCTGGGGGTCCTAACACTCCGTCGAATATAGATCCGTGGTTGGTGATTGGTGATGCATCGTCTGTAGTTTTATCTACCGACCGGTCATCTCCCTTCGATCGAAATAAGGTTGCTCTTCGAATGGATGTACTCTGTGACGTGAAGAGTTGTCCATCTGGAGGAGTTGGGGTGTACAACCCTGGATTCTGGGGCATGGTGAGAATTGCATGATGCTCTTATCTTTTAGGTTGCGTTCATGCAATGTGCATGGTAGTGGTCGAGATCTTTCAGTAAAGAACATCTCAATATTTTGTCTTTTTTTTTTCAATTTACCAAGCTCTAATAGCTATTAGTCACTGTACTTTTTAGTTTTAATGGGGGTGGTAAGATTACAGTTTGCATACCTTGGTCTGCAGAGCTCTGATTTTACAGGAAAACTAATGCAAACTTTTGATTTTACTGCAGAATATAGAAGAGGGAAAGAAATACAAACTGGTTCTTTATGTTCGCTCATTGGATTCTGTTGATGTGACTGTATCATTGACGGGATCAAATGGAGCACGGACATTGGCTACTACCAACATCAAGTGAGAACCTGTGTTCATTTTTTGTTGTGGGTCTTTGTACAATGGTAATCTGAGGTCTTTTGTGATCTGTGGATTGGTGATTATAATTTGGATACATTTCTTTCAGAGGGTCTGCTTCAGATGTTTCAGACTGGACAAAGGTGGAGGCCCTGCTGGAAGCCAAGGACACTGATCACGGTGCAAGACTTGAATTAAGAACTTCCAAAAAGGGGGTGATTTGGTTTGACCAAGTGTCATTGATGCCTGAAGATACCTACAAGGTACTCTTGTCGATCTTCTGTTTCATAGACATCTCTGTGCAGTGTATGAACTTCCATTCTTTTATAATGCTTTTGCTGGGGGCTTTATTCATATGTCTAAGACTTTTGATATGCTAAACTTGTTGCAGGGCCATGGTTTTCGGTCGGAGCTTGTTGAAATGCTAAAAGAGATAAAACCTCGATTTATCAGATTCCCAGGTGTGCAAAAATTCTGAAAAATGTACCTCTTAATATCAAGGCCACAATCCGAGCTATCTAGCATGTATACTTCGAGTTTAGGTTTTTTTTCTTCTTGGATGTGACTCCTACAGTGAATATTCTCATCACACCTTCTTTTACTTTGCTGTCATCATAGTCTCATAATGCTCAGAGGCTGATTTCTGAAAATTTTACCTCAAATGTATGTCTAGGCGGTTGTTTTGTGGAAGGCGAATGGTTAAGGAATGCATTTCGCTGGAAAGAATCAGTTGGTCCATGGGAGGAGAGACCTGGTCACTTTGGTGATGTTTGGATGTATTGGACTGATGATGGACTCGGTCACTATGAGTTTTTTCAAGTAGGTCTTGTGCACGTGTTGGCTTCTACAAAATTGTTACATGAATCTGATGCTAAAATTGCTCATTTCAAACTTGATATAACTTGATGACTTACTTGGACAGCTAGCTGAAGATCTGGATACAGTGCCCATATGGGTGTTTAATAATGGTATGTTTGCATATCCTCGAGATTTTTCGTTTCTTGTCCTGTTGATTCGAGTCTGTGGTTGATCAAATTCTGTGTCCTACGATGGATTCTTGAAAATTTTCAGGTATTAGCCACCAAGATCAAGTTGATACTTCAAGCGTCTTACCTTTTGTGCAAGTACGTTGTCTAGTCAACTGTTTGAACATTGCAGCAGTAAAATGGAAGCAAACTTGCTAACTAACTTCCTTTTCAATTTCAGGAAGCCCTTGATGGTATAGAGTTTGCTAGAGGTGATGCCAGTTCTAAATGGGGATCTCTGCGAGCTTCCATGGGACACCCTGAACCATTTAAATTGAAATATGTTGCCGTTGGGAATGAGGATTGTGGAAAGAGGAACTACCGAGGTTTGTGGTTCTGTAAAACTTTCTGCACCTGATATAACATAGGCTTTTCAGGACGAACCTGTAAGAATTTCGCAGGAGCTCAATACTAATGTATTATTTTTACCAGGAAATTACCTCAAGTTCTATGAAGCTATAAAACGGGTGTATCCTGACATCCAGATTATCTCAAACTGTGATGGCTCTTCTCGTCCGTTGGACCATCCAGCCGATTATTATGATTTTCATGTAAGCATATACCATCTCACTTCAATTGTCCGTGGAATTGAAAGATACATTTGTTCCCAGTTTTATGTGATATGCTGGATGGTCTCTGACACAAGTTAACAATTTCGTTTCTATTTTATCAGGTCTATACATCTGCTAGCAATCTGTTTTCTATGTCTCACCAATTCGACCGTACATCACGCAGCGGTCCAAAGGTCTGTTGATATACTTCCCCAACCTTCAAACATTTTAATAACTTACTATTTTAGATACAAAACCGAAAGACTAACTAATTTTTCAGGCTTTTGTGAGTGAATATGCGGTGACTGGAAAAGATGCCGGCACAGGAAGTCTCTTAGCTGCACTTGGTGAAGCTGCATTCCTCATTGGTGTGGAGAAAAACAGGTATGATAACTGTACACCCCCTGAGGCCCTGACAATTATGGTTCCATGATCTTGATGGTAAATCTTTGGCTGCAGTGATATCGTTGAGATGGCTAGCTATGCACCTCTTTTTGTGAATACTAACGACAGACGGTATTGCTAAACATTCACAGTTTGGTTCATTTAACCACGACGTAGATACAGTTTCTTCTGTGGTTAAATTGATGTTGTAAGTGTCTTCGTTTTAATGAAGGTGGAACCCGGATGCAATCGTTTTCAATGCTTCGATGGCATACGGAACTCCTAGCTACTGGATGCAGCGTTTCTTTGCAGAGTCGAGTGGGGGATCCCTAGTCAATTCTACACTTCAAACAAGTTCCTCCAGTTCCCTTGTTGCATCTGCAATTACTTATCAAGACAAGGACCAGAACACTTACCTGAGAATAAAGGTCTTAAAAGATAAAAACAAAATACTCTCTAGTTTCTTATATTCAACCCTCACAATATTCGACCATACAAATTGCTAATGCTGCGGGTTTTTTTCCAATTTACTTTCAGGTTGTCAACTTCGCGAGCAGCAAGGTGAATCTCAAGATCTCGGTGAGCGGATTGGGGGCCAACACAGTGGGGTTATCAGGATCTACAAAGACCGAACTCACATCTGCGAATGTAATGGATGAGAACTCCTTCCAGCAACCAAATAAGGTAATAGATCATGGAACCCCCATTCTTACTCTTCTGAATGAACTCCAAAGCCGCAGTTTCTCTAGTCCAGCTGCAGAACCTAATTCTACTTCACATATTTCTCTAAATTTGCAGGTGGCACCGGCTCAAAGTATGCTGCAGAACGCTGGAAAGGACATGGATGTGCTGATCTCTCCCAATTCCTTAACCTCATTTGATTTATTAATCGAATCGAATTCGATCCGGACCCGAAAATCCGGTCCATTGGTATCCATCATGTAAATTAACCCCATACACCCATACAACACAACCCAAACCTTATACCGATTACCAATTTTATAAACCAATCCATGAATTCACTCTTGTAGTACTTGCCATTTCATTGTACACCATGATTACGCTGTCGAATAAAACGATTGCATATCTAGCTTCTACACTTTGAAAGGATGAACATGTTTGAGATGAGAAATCACATTGCAATACTGGTAAAAAACAAGTAAACTGAACACAAGACTTCTTGATTAGATTAACATAATCAGTCATTCATTATTTGTCATATATATGGTCAAAATATACATAGCAGAGATCTTCAGAGCTGGATGCTAATCAGAGAGCTTTCAATCTTAGTGTCAAATCAAGACCAGGGTGGTGTTGCTCTTCTTCATCAGTGAGAATGCTGCTATTGCTGCTGCTGTCCATTGAACTTCCAAGCTCGATCCTTCCCATGGCTGCTGCAGGGGCTTCTTGCTCCACTACTTGCATCTTCTCCTCATCATAATCACCATTTCTAATACCCCGAACTTTCTTCTCAGCTACTCTTCTTCCCGTGTCGGCGGTGATGAGTACCAAACACAGCTCCCCTGAGTCTACAGTTCTGAAGCTCCACAACTCAATCCAGTCATCATCCTTCAGATTCAGCCTTTTCTGCTCTTTCAGTACCCATTTCCAGCCGCCGCCGGTTATCATTGGCACTTTGCTACTCCCATTCTTCCATATGGCAAGGCAAGACCTTTCTGTGGGTGAGGCGATCTCAAGATCTGGGTCCAAGAAAAACCCCAACTTGATCCTCCCGCCAATCCTCAGCTCCGCCCATTCTCGATTTGTCAGAAGTTGGAATAACTCGCGGGCGTTGCTCTTGGGGATGGAGAGGCGGCTGTGATGTGGGTTCAGATCCGTTGTCGTCAATCTCTTCCTAATCACCAGAGTAAACGTGCTCCCCAAGTTACAGACGCTTTCCCCGCCGACTGCCGTCGAAATCCTAGCTTTCAGATTTGATGGAAATCCATCGTCCTGCGCAGCGAAACCCACCGGAAGATATCTCATTGCCGGAGAACTGACGGAGAGGGGAGGAACTGTCGCGGAAACCCTAGCTTTCGAACTCAGGGGAAATCCTCCTTTCTTAGCAGCGCAACCCACCGGGACCAACGCAAGGGCCGAGGAAGTTAAAGAGGCAGGAGGAATCGCGGATTCCAACGGCTTCTCTGGAAGCGGAAGTGAAACAGGAGCGACGGCGGCCGGCGGTGGAGGAGGAGGAAAAACAGAGACTTCGAGCTCGGCGGGTTTTTGTACGGGAAGTGGCTGGTGGTGCTTGATTACCAGCTTGATCGGAGATTTCCTTTTAGGGTTCCGGAGGAGAAGAGAATGGTGGGTTTGGAGCAACAGGGACTTGCGTTTCTTGACGGTCAAGAAACAGGTGCGCGGGTCGTAGTGACCGCAACCGCAGAGCTCCTCGCAATCGGTGACTGCCCTTGCGATGTCCGCCAGAAACTCCAAGCCGGAAGAGTTTCCTCCGGCTCTAATGCCTCCTGATCGGCGGCCATGGGTTCTGCCGGCGACACTTTCCGTCATGTTTTTTTCTTTCTCTCCCGGGAAAACCAGAGAACAGAGGTGAAGAGAAACTGCGCGAAATGTGAAAACACTTAGAAGGGAGAAATTGCGACAAATTCGGTACGGGTTGGGAGAGTCAGGAAAGGATTAGGGTTCCCGTGAATTATTATTATAATGTTAAAAGGAATTGGAGACCGAACCCAATTGGAAAAAGGAATAGTAATCCAATTGGAGTAAGGATTGGCGGAACTAGCCGTTGGATCGCCTCTCCCGGGTGGAAATACCCGCGAAGCGAAGAACACTTCCCGCTACGCCAAGACGATGACGTTTTGTCCCAGCTGCCACGGGTTAATAACTGAAATGGTCACTGAACTATGGTATATGTACCAAAATCATAATTAAGCTTTGAAATGTATCAAAGTGATCGCTTAAACTCTATCCAATTTTCCACTAAGTGGATCTAACCAGCATGACAACAAGGTGTGCTACATCCCAACATTATTGGCCTCTAATCACCTCCTTATCCAATTCATACCCAGCCACTTATGATGATGAAGAGATGTTTAAGGGGTAGAGAGGAGAGCTAGATAGAAGAGTTGGTAAACACAAAATTAGGATGAAATCAATATCCATAACTATGGATACTCGTCTGAATTCGATCTGATTGGGTTGGGAAAGAGTCGAACGACATGAAATAGTTGTGGTTATGGATAAAATCTGATCTCGCCAATCACGAGGAACAAACGAGTATGGTCCTTTCACTATCCAACTCGAACTGCTTGTCAATTTTTCTCTTAACATATTTTATATTCGTACTACACATATATATTTCTCGTGAATTAGTGTTGTTTTTTTTTATTATCTCTCTTCGTATTGATGATTTGTTATTTGTAATTTTTCCTATGTATGCCCTCGCAATCTCCGCCAATTCTGCTTTCCTCTTCATCCACTGCCCGTATTCATCCTAGTAAACGTCTTATTTCCTTACGCTTTCGACGCCAAATTGCCATAGCATGGAAAAATATTAATACGATCGTATAGACAATACATTATTTCATACGATAAAGATAATTCTATTATTCGTGATTGGATATGAACGTAGTTTTATTTACTACTCGAATCTTGTATATATGTGGGTATTGATAACATAAAACTCGAACTAGTTTTATATGGTTCGAATGTGAGAGCGGTGAGATACGAACTAGTTGGAATAGGATCATATATCCATCATTTTTTCATGACCGGTCCTATTGCTATCGTTAGACAAAAAAATAACACACACATACATATACGTTTTGCATCATCAAGTTATGTACTAGTGTTAACTATTGCATCGACAGTTGGGGTGGTGGCGCAGTTGGTTAGCGCGTAGGTCTCATAGCAATAGAGTAATCCTGAGGTCGAGAGTTCGAGCCTCTCTCACCCCAATATTTTTTTGCCACCAGAATATGAAAATACACACCACCTATAAAAACTTGTTTGTATGTTTGAAGAATATGAAAACACAACTGTGATTTTTTAGTGAGTTAAGTAAACTACCTTGTATTAGTAAAATGTATTCCAAATTGAAAGACATAGTTAGATATCTCTTCTCTTCAATGTAATTACGGATAAGTCTGCGCACTGTCCCTATGTTAATGTCGCCACCCAGCAAACGAAAGCGTATCATCTTGTAACGTTTGAAGAATATGAAAAATATGAAAACACAACTGTGATCTTTTAGTAAGTTAAGTAAACTACCTTGTATTAATAAAATGTATTTGAAATTGAAAGACATAATTAGATTTTTCTTCTCTTCAATGTAATTATGGATAAGTCTGCGCACTGTCCCTACGTTATTGTCGCCACCCAGCAAACGAAAGCGTATCATTTTGTGGATGTCATTTATTATCCATTCCCTGGAATTCAACCCGTTTAAAATGACATAAGGCCCGACACTGGAAAACACAGCGTGATTTTGTGGATGTAATTACGGATAAGCTTGCGCACTGTCTCCACGTCACTGCCGCCGCCCAGCAATCCAAAGCGTATCACTTTGCGGATGTCATCTGTTATCCATTCCCCAGAAATTCAACCCGTCTAAAAATGACATATAAGGTCCGGCACCGAAAACACAGCGCATGATTATGTGGTAAAATTAAGTAAACTACATTAGTAAAAAAATGTATTTGAAATCGAAAATCCATCCCTTTGATTTTTCTTCCTTTTTGTTCACTTCACAACACACACAAGTCAAATTCATATTGGTGGATATAAATCTCCTCCTCCTCCCCAGCTGTGGGACAACACCAAATTACTGTTGGAAAGAAGCAGCTTCAAAATTGGAGAGAAGAAGAAAAACAGGGGACAACCCAAAAAAACAAAAAACAGAGCATAGAGACAAGACTAAAAGTTAACTCTCTCTCTACATGAGGGTGGAATTCAATTTCAGTTTTCCATATGGCCTTGCTTTGCCTAGCTGCTAGCTAGACAGAGACGGTGGGAAGTGGCGAGCAGCTAGGTGGTGGGGAAAAATGGCGCATCGAGGCTTCCAACAGCCACCCAAAGCGCCGCGGAAACCAAAAGAGCCGCGCCCGCCAAGGGAAACATGTGGCGCTCTGAGTTTTTCCAGTTTGTTGGTTTGTTTGTTTTCTAGCTAATCGACCTGTTTTTAGCCATTAAAGACGGGTAAGAGAGAAAAGGTAAATAAAAAGGGCCGGGGTCGAGCTTTCACGTACGAAAGTGGCAACTGGGGGCGGCTGTATTATGGAGGACTTCAAACAACACAGGGGGGAAGAAGAAGAAGAAGGCGTTTCGCTTCATAAAGAAGTGTGGCCTTTTCGTGAACCTTTGAGCCAACCTTACTACAGCCGATTATGGTGGTTTCTCTCTGCACCACATTTCTTCTACCAACCATGTCTCTCTCTCTCTTTCTTTCACTTTCTTGGAGATTTCCCAAGCTCACGTTCTCTCTCGGCCATGGATATTCCAAAAACTAACCACTTCATCAGATAAAGAAAAGATTTTTTAGACTAGGGTTTTATTTTATCTCTCGAGGATTTTCTTATTATCCGCTCTTTTTTGTCATTCGTTTTGGAAAGAAGAACTGTACTGTGAAAAACAGAGGATGGACTTATTTGGCCAATGACTCCAATTCGTTGTACCTTCCTTGACATGCATGAACGATGTTTTGTTACGACAGTTCGGGAAATTGACGATGTAAAAAATGTAAAGAAAACACATATTTACGAAGTTCGGTAATATGAGTTGATAATACGTTGTAATAGAGTAAAACGAGAGTTATACGACAATGTTGATTGTTGAATAACACGCCTGTTTCATTGTTGCATAAGAAGTGATTTTCATCTTGTGATTTTCCATCGATCTTCTTGCATTACTACATAAAAAATCCTTGAAGTCACCCTGCACAAGTTTAATTACGTGGTTCGGGTTTTTATGCTGATCGCTCGATGATTTGTTGATGATATGGTTTCGAATTTCGACAAATTTCAGTTCGGAGTTCCATACTACGACGATATTCATTCATCCACCAGCCAAAATATCAACGAGACTTTCGATAATGGTCAATTACCAACAACAAAACCCAATTTTCAGAATTCTTAAAAGTTACAAATTCGATTATTTTAACTTACCACCAACCATTGAAAAAAAAAATAGATAGTATATCAAGTGGCATTGCAAGCACGAAACTTATAATCATAGGCTTGTATATTGGCAATTGAGGCCACCATTGAAACAAATTAAATTTGTCACCTTATTGCCACTTGTCATTACAACTAGTGATTTGGATGATCTATAGAGTGAAGTTTTTGAGTAGAATGGCCCTTAAAATAGATGGACGCCACGAATTCTAATGCTATATATTTATCATCCTCAAATCCGGGGAGGCATCTTTTTTCCTATTATGTCCTATTATGAGGGGCATCGTTTTTTTTCTTTTTCTTTTTGGTCTTAACTATCTTGTTGTTCGTTACATATACTCTATAAAACTTTGACCTATTATCTTCACATAATGATTTCATCTTCATTCCCTTTCCTTCTTTATCAAAATCTGACATCGATGCATGAGGGTGAGTTGACAATGGAGGGAGGTACATGTGTTAGAAGTGAGGAGGGACATGTGTTGGATTGAAAAGTTTTAGATTATTCGGTCATATTCTATGGTGTTCTTCCGATTCGGCGGAATCTTTAATGAATATGTGCGAATTGGAAATCAGACTGAATTAAAATGAGCTAACATCTTTGTTTTTTTTTTTCATTTTCATTTTCATTTTATTTTTATATACTCTTTATTCCTAGTAGGTTTAACAAGACGTCCATTTAGTAGCTAAAAAGGGTATTTCATTAGTAGTTCAACTATTTATCGACTGCCACGTTTGGTTTAGTGATACTTTGTAACTATCTATTTTATTCTATTGTCTATGACGGCAAAAAACTTCTTTATCAACCGTTATTTGTCAAAAAAGAGTAAACATTTGCAACGGGAGTAAGTGACAAGAGAATACTTGTTTAAATCTCACAACAAGTAAATTTATAGTTAGTTAGTTACATCTACCCACATCCTACACTAGTTATTGTGAAGAACAATATCCATTTTTGAATCTATCCCAATAATTTAAGTTATTCTGATGAAATAATTGTTGATATGGTATTAGTCTATCCTAGTTTTGTACAGTGAAGTCTTGTACTCTAATACTCGATACCTCAAATGTTAATATTCAACTTTAAAACGATACAAACCTCAAAACTTACGATTTATTGGGATGCCACCATTCCTATAAGAGATCGCCAATATCGCACCAGATTGAACTATAATACCATAATTCTTAGGCGTGGCAACGGGTGGGGTCGCGAGGACGTATAATGTATATTCATTGTACCCTATCCAAAACGGTTCGAATTCTACACATATCCATAACCAGACAAGAATTCGACAAAAAAAAAAATCAAAACCATATCCCAGTACTCAATCGGCTTTCGAATATCAACAATATTGTTCATATGATTCCCGAACCTGAAAGCTTTATGTTCGATTCCCTTAATTAACACATAATTAAAAAAAAAACCTATGTCACTCTATCATATAATTGTGCAGTTATTATCATTGACAGTGAAAAAATCCAAACCACATACTCTGACCAATACCGCAGAATCTGAACCCAGCCACACACAAGAAAAAAACAAAAAAATCAGACGTCATCACCTCCATGACATTTTCCTACCCTCCTCCATCCCTTCTATATATACTCTTCATATCCCAATTTCTCACCCAAATCATTACCCGACACCACCACCAAAAATAAATTTACACTGAGGAAGAGAAATCCAAACTGAACTCCTCCATTCCCCATCAATGGCGGCTTCCGTCGACAACCGCCACCAGTTCCACCTCCAACCTCCCCCCACCATGAACGGCGCCGCCGCCGGCGTCGTCGCTCGCCCCTTCAAACCCACTCCCACCGCCGCCGCAATCCCTGGCAGCTTCCACCTCTTCCCCAACTCCAAACCCCTCCCTCCACCAACCTCCGACGATGACTCATCCTCCTCCGACTCCGACTCCGACAACGAATTCTACTCCGACCTAATCCGCAAAAGCAACAGCGAGCTCGAACCCTCCCTCCACGACCCCCGCGACGACTCCACCGCCGACGCCTGGATCGAGCGCAACCCGACCATGATCCGGCTCACCGGGAAACACCCCTTCAACTCGGAGCCGCCACTGACCCGGCTCATGCACCACGGGTTCATCACCCCGGTCCCGCTCCACTACGTCCGCAACCACGGGCCCGTCCCGAAAGCCCAATGGGCCTCCTGGTCCATCGAGATCTCCGGGCTCGTCAAGCGCCCGGCCCGCATCACCATGGACCAGCTCGTCAACGACTTCCCCTCCCGCGAGCTCCCCGTCACCCTCGTCTGCGCCGGGAACCGCCGCAAGGAGCAGAACATGACGAAGCAGAGCATCGGGTTCAACTGGGGAGCGGCGGGGGTGTCCACTTCGGTGTGGCGCGGCGTACCGTTGCGCCTCGTGCTCCAGCGCTGTGGGGTCTACAGCAGGAGGAAAGGCGGCTGCCACGTGTGCTTCGAGGGGAGCGAGGATTTGCCCGCCGGCGGGGCCGGGTCGAAGTACGGGACGAGCTTGTGCGTGGAGTACGCCATGGACCCGGCCCGTGACGTCATCCTGGCTTACATGCAGAACGGGGAGGCGCTGACTCCGGATCACGGGTTCCCGGTCCGGGTCATCATACCCGGGTTCATCGGCGGGCGGATGGTGAAGTGGCTGAGACGGATCGTCGTTACGACGAAGGAGTCGGATAATTATTATCATTATAAGGATAATCGGGTCCTGCCGTCGCACGTGGACGCCGAGCTCGCCAACGCCGAAGGTAAACGATTCACTTAATTTAAAATTAATAATACGGGTAATCAAATTATGGTTGTGTAATTAATTATGATTTAATTAGGCTGGTGGTACAAGCCGGAGTACATAATAAACGAGCTGAACATAAACTCGGTGATTACGACGCCGTCTCACGAGGAGGTCCTCCCGATAAACTCATGGACTACTCAAAGGCCGTATACGCTCAAAGGCTACGCTTATTCTGGTACGTCTTTTTTTTTTTCTTCGACAAAAGATAATCCATTAGATTCAAGGAAATATAGTTACATCCTGGAAGACAGTCAGGTCTTAAAATTACAAAAACGGCACGTAGCCGTGTACAAAGAAAGGGCTTTAACGCTTATTCTGGTACGTCTCTGATAAAGAATCTTTAAAATATAGATTCCCTGTGAAAGGAATCTTGTTACTGAAAAATCCAGCTGGCGAAAGGGATCGAGTGTTGAGATCCCAGCCAAACCGAAAGACTTCTCCCGTTGGAAATCTAATATATTAACAATAAAATATTATTAAAATATGGAGAACCATTGGGGTTTTTTGTCATCTTGTGCAAGTGTCATGTCGCTGTCATTTCGTCCTAGTTGTTACTTAGTACAAGTTGCTAGAGAATTCATGCATGTCGTGACATTTATAAAAAGGTCGGGCCAACTTGCTAAAGTGACGAGTGAGGTTTAGATTCGGATGACAGCTTCCCAATTTTACGTATAGTCAAAGAAACCCACCAAATTTAGTTGTTAATCGGGTAGACGTAATTAGGTGATTATGTTTATGAATTAAAAAAAAATGTAGATATACAATAATCAGCTTATATTGTTTCACATTTTTATTATGTACCATAATATGTAACGTATAGGATAGGCGCGGGCGATATAGGTGACAAGATAGGATGACATGGATATTGTAATACGTGAGGTGTAGTAGTGACTGAGGGTGGTGTGCATGGTTTTGTTGTTGTTGTGTGTGTAGGGGGAGGGAAGAAGGTGACACGTGTGGAGGTGACGATGGACGGCGGGGACACGTGGCAGGTGTGCGAGCTAGACCACCAGGAGAAGCCGAACAGGTATGGCAAGTACTGGTGCTGGTGCTTCTGGTCCCTGGAGGTGGAGGTGCTGGACCTGCTCGCGGCTAAGGAGATTGCGGTCCGAGCCTGGGACCAGACCCTCAACACCCAGCCCGAGAAGCTCATTTGGAATCTCATGGTTCGTATATATATTCAATTTAATTTTATTATTATTATGCACTTTTCTTTAGTTTTATTTCTTTTCCTCACCCAACCATTGTGGTTCCGCCACGTGGAGATGCTCTCTTCTGGGGGAATATCTCCCCCTAGCTCCTTGGGATTTTTATTTTAATCATTTCGCAAATGCTGGGGTCAGAACTGAAAAAGTACCAACCAATGGAAGAAGAGTAAAAAAGTGTGGGGGGAGGAAATTAATATAGTAATAATTTGGGGACAAGTTGCAGACTTGTGTACGTAGTGGCTATTGGAGGAGTGAAAGGGACATTTGTCTTTGCCTCTTATTTCCCCACTATACAATAAAAGAAAAATAGCCCCACAAAGTGTGGAATTGTGTGCCCCTAAGCTCACATGTTCTTGCCCTAGAACCACACAACCCTCCTCTTTCTAAGTCGTCCTTCTCGTTTTCATTTGACAGCAAGAAGCTCGTCATTGTTGTTTGTTGATACATAAGACTTGTATTATTGAATAGTCTATTGTAATACCGTGGTATCATCTTCCTCATTCGAAAAGATCTAAGGACGATGATTTATAATTTACATTCAACTTTTCTAGTTACATACTTACTTAAAATGTGTCCAAAAAGGTGTATTGTATAGACATTTGCTCATATGTCAATGAAAGTTATTGTATCTTGTAACAAATATCTTATGTATCGATGTGTGGTAATGCAGGGAATGATGAATAACTGTTGGTTCCGGATAAAGACCAACGTGTGCAAGCGACACAAGGGCGAGATCGGGATCGTGTTCGAGCACCCGACCGTCCCCGGCAACCAATCTGGCGGGTGGATGGCGAAGGAGAAGCACCTCGAGATGATCACATCCGAGGCAAACCCGACCTTGAAGAAGAGTGTCTCCACTCCCTTCATGAACACCGCCTCAAAGACCTACACCGCTAGTGAGGTCAAGAAGCACAACTCCCCCGAGTCTGCCTGGATCATTGTCCACGGTCACGTCTACGACTGCACTCGTTTCCTCAAGGACCACCCAGGTGGCTCGGACAGCATCTTGATCAACGCTGGAACCGACTGCACCGAGGAGTTCGAGGCTATCCACTCCGACAAGGCCCGGAAGCTCCTCGAAGACTACCGAATCGGCGAGCTGGTCAACGTTCAGTCCAATGCCTCATCCCCGGGGAGCTCGGTCCACGGTGCGTCAAATGCGATGTCGTTGAAGCTGCTCGCGCCCATCACAGAGATGACTCTGATCCAACAGCAACAAGTGAGGAGCGTGGCGCTGGTCCCACGAGAGAAGATACCGTGCAAGCTGATAAAGAAGGAGTCCCTGTCCCACGACGTCAGGCTCTTCCGGTTTGCCCTCCCATCGGAGGAGCAGGTGTTGGGGCTTCCCGTCGGGAAGCACATCTTCCTGTGTGCTTCCGTGGACGGGAAGCTCTGCATGCGGGCCTACACGCCGACGACGCTCGTCGACGCGGTGGGCCACTTCGACCTCGTCGTGAAGGTCTACTTCGGCGGGGTCCACCCGAGGTTCCCCAACGGCGGGGTCATGTCGCAGCATCTCGACTCGCTCGATGTGGGGTCCATGGTCGACGTGAAGGGGCCGTTGGGCCACATCGAGTACATGGGCCGGGGCAAGTTCATGGTCCATGGGAAGCCCAAGTTTGGGAGGAAGCTCGCCATGTTTGCTGGCGGGACCGGCATCACGCCGGTCTATCAGGTGGTCCGTGCGGTCCTCCGGGACCCAGAGGATCGGACGGAGATGCACATAGTGTATGCCAACCGGACGGAGGACGATATCCTGCTGAGGGATGAGCTGGACAAGTGGGCCCGGGAGGACGAGAGGCTGAAAGTGTGGTACGTGGTGGAGTCGGCGAAGGACGGATGGGAATACAGTACGGGGTTCATCACGGAAGCTATCATGAGGGAGCACGTCCCGAGTGGATCGGACGCTGATGGTGAGGTTCTGGCCCTGGCATGTGGGCCGCCGCCCATGATCCAGTTTGCGGTCCAGCCCAATTTGGAGAAGATGGGCTACGATGTGAAGGAGTCTTTGTTGGTGTTTTAAGTAAGACCGGCGAAGGTATAAAAAGGTGCATGGGATGTAATGTACGTCACGTATGACGTATGTACTCGACTAGTAAGTATTATTCCTGTATTTTGCAATAATGATTTTCAAGAACAAAAATGAAAGGGAAAGGGGACGAGAAAGTAGGGTATTATAGTAATTGTGGGGGTGGGCTTATGTATTCATGTAAATTTAGTTGAGATGATGACGATCAAGATTGATTGCGATGACTATCGATTGCCATATTGTACATATGTTTATTTTTTTATTTTGGTTATTTATCACATTGCTTTCCGCACATCTTCTAGTTTACTCAATGGTCTTCATCTAAGATTCTTAGTTGAGTGTTGGACTTGAATGGGGTTTTTCTTTCTCTCAACAATTTTCTTTCTTATGCAATTCGACCTTGAGATTGAGATCATTTGCAATGACAGTTGAACTGTCGATTATGCACGATGTTGAGAGTTTACTTTCCATTCAGTAGAGCTAACAAACAAAAACTCGTCCTAAATGGTTGTTTGCTCCATGAATGATCTCCTGAAAGAACATAATGTAGCGAAATTTACAACACGCTAAATAATCAAAAGCACAAGTTGCACAACATATGATCTACTGAGTGAAAGAGGTCCTTTTGCTACTCAGATGAGCAGCTCTATTAAACCTCCAAAGAGTATATAATGACATGAGACCATTAAAAGCATCATAAAAAGATACAAACTTCATTTGGTAAGGCTCCATCGTCATATCTCTCTCGCTGGAACTCAATGTAACACCAACTAAAAGTCCCACAAGACGATGCCCCAAAAGCCAATAATATCTCCTTGATTATGTCGAGTACCTTCATCAGAAGTCCTATATGATTTGACCCTAAATGAATTGCCCTCCATTATATATCACTTTTGCAAAAAAATTGTGGAGCTAGCCGCGGCATATATGACAATTGATAGGGCATAGGTCCCCTTCACCTTCCACTAGTGTTTTGGCAATTTCTAGCATGTTGGAAGGAAGACTTGATGGATGTTACAAAGTGAATGGTCAATTTTTATCTCTTTCGTATCAATGTGGGAATGGTCGGTTAATCATTTCACAATAATTGCTGGAAAGATTGGATGTGGAGATTGGCCTCTAATTGGTTGGCACCAAGTGGGAAGTTATCGCTATAGCTAATGAACATAAGGTGGGAGTTTGAATTCCTATGGAGGATATTTAGCAAGGAGAAAGCAAAATTGCAGACTTTGGGTCATCTTAACTTAAACAAGTACCAGACAGTCTGTTTCACAGAGTAACCAAACAAAGACATTTGCCTAAAACAGGCCACAGTCGAACAGTTAGTTCATGAGCTGCATGATTATCTGTATACAGAATCAAACAAAAGAGAGGATCGTCTCAGGCTGCTGCATTTTCGCGCCATAAGTCACGAATTTTCAAGCATCTGATCGATACGAAGGAGCATACAAGCATCTGATTACAAAGAACCAAAAGTAATCCACCACGGCTCTATCACAGATTCCCCTGATTGTTTCATCTCGGAGTACGACATATTCAATACCAAGAACCGAAAGGAATTCAGCACCAGATGAGTCAAGGCAGAAAACAAGTAATTTGCCTAAACCTGGTTACAACCTACACTTTTGTTCTTCAGCTACAGGTACAAGTATACATAAGCGGAGCAAAGAGAGAACTAATAGTTGGATGACCTGTTTGCCATTTCGTAATGTGCATTCACGCCGATGGAAGAACCATCTCTGACTGCGTAATTTGGCTGAAATCATGACACCCCGGTTTCAAGCGTACGATGGAGCCAAGCATTCATCAACCATTTCCACTAGATTAGGGTTCTCCAATGCCGCTGCTATTCTCTCCTTATCATTTAGCTGTTTGTTCACTACAAAACAATAAACACATAAATGTACGATAAACAAACACGGTTGAATTGGTATAGGGTCAAACTGGTAGGAAGAAGAAACCATGACGTCAAAAGGGAAACCTAAGAGCTATGCTTAATTGGTAAAATGAAATCCCACCATGTTTACAGGACAGTTCAAGATTCTTCGCATATATACACATCTTGCTTTCCTTTGTCCATAATACTACGACAGAATTCAACCCCAAGAAATACAGTGAAAGAACGCTTTCAACATGTAACTTTCATCGTTTGAACATAACGCAACAAGTACCGTTAATTTGTTATTATAGTTAACCCGAACGTTCACATTCAGCTCCAGCCAATGACCAGCAAGTTTATCCAGACTAAGTTTCCAATCGACAAACACAGATGATAAAGAGGGAGTAGTACCTGCAGCTTCAGTTGCATGGGTTCCTGGTGCAACCCTGATATCCACCTAAAATGCAAACAATAAATGATGTTCGTGAGAGGATTCGCATGGAAAGAAGGTAAGTAGCACCAGAACATAACACAATCTACATGTACAACTATCACACAAAGGCCAGAAAGCTTGGATACCCAACAAACTTATAATTGATAATAACAATTGAATGAGAAAAGCATATACCTTGTAGCGAGATGGCAGGCTTCTCATAAGCTTAACTCGCAAGCAAAGGCCGATTACAGTCGCCATGCTACAATGCTCGACTGTCGGAGTAAATGTCACCCTGAAAGCAAATAAACAAATACTAATTCAGTATCTTGCATCGGGAAAAATGGATAGTCGAACAGAAAGAACAAGATTGCGGATACCACCTAACATAACTACGCCTGTCATCCACTTCGATCGCATCTTCTGATATAACCTTAAGCTCCTCCAATGAATAAGGGTGTTCTGGATCCTTTATGTCTCTCACGTGATGTATGAACCAAGTTAAGAAGCACAGCAATAAAGAGGCATCGACCCTCAATTTTGATCGGCACAGGTTACATCAACAGATTGATAATAGATGATAGAACCCCCCAACCCATTTGTAAAACAATCAAGCTACCTCCAAATGAACAAACTTTGGTCTCCAAAGAACACAAGCACTACAACCCATTGAATCCTACGATATGCTCTATCATTTTCCCCTAGTTGCCGATTGAATCAAATTTCAGGCCTAATTCAAACATTTGCAATTACTCTAGCAGGTCGAAGATCAGGTCGAATTTTCACCAACAAAAGAAGATAAATTAGAATAAGAAACAGCATGGAGAATTGAAAGGATATCAAACACTTCCAGCTGGTCGATGGCCTCAGCAGAATACTCGTCGGCATCGGGGATAGAAGTAGGCCGTTCCCGCCGCTCTTTCTTTTCATAGACGACGGGATTGGCGTTTATCAGCCCGGAAACCATTGCTCAATCCCACGAATACAGGTATATGCTGCAAAAGAATTGGCTCCTCCTTCCCCTTTCAAGTTCTCGCTCTCAATTCCACCGGTGACTGGCTAGGACAGAGGCGCTGGCCTCTGAAGAGAAGAGTGCGGTGGCAGCAAGGCGCGACTCGTTGTTCTTGTGATGCTTCCGTCGGTTGAATGATGCGTTTACTTCGCGTTGTCCTTCAGCTGATTAAGAGAAGGAGGCTCCGATCGCCGGTGAGCTGGGCGGCGATCGCTAGGTTTATAAGAACGCGAACAGAGTTGCGGAGGATGTGCCAAAATCGGAAATTGTGATTTTAGGGATTGGTTATATAAGCGTAAAGCCACGGTTCTGATACTGCGTCGTTTCACGTGGTTATATAGTTATGCTCTAAACGATCCTTAAAACTCTATTATCTATCCATTTTAGACCACAACTTCTTCATTTTGATATGTTGGCCCTTGTGTAAAAATGTAATCATATATATATGAGGATGAACGACATTGGTTCGACTCTATTAATTACTTTTTTGTTAGGACGAATCAAATTATAGCAAAAAATTTCATATTTTTTCTTCTATTATATGCTGGATTTTTGTCTGAAATTGAATAGATTTATAAGACCTCCTTAAAGTTGAAATTTTCATAAAGATTTCGATGATTTCAAATTAGACAAACAACTAATGCATGAAGTTGGATCCTTACATACAATTTGACTCATTATAATCTATAGACGACGAATATGGATCATGTTTCACTTAAGTCATCCACATTTCATTCAAGTACCATTTGCACCATACACTATTGGAATTTGAAATTACACCAGCTACCTTTTTTTACAGCTGGGTAACGGTTAGAAAAAAAAGAAAATTTACTAAGGCCTAACAATCTTTTTCTCCTACTTAGCTAAGAACACCAGTCTTCCTGGACTGCTTCACATTCCCTCCTTTGGGTAACAGTAAATCAAATGAAGTCAAAGAATGAGCAGACAATTTCACACCCATCTTGCTGCTTGGATTCTTCAATTCTGTTTCCACCGGCTTGATCTGTAAAACAAACAAACCCGAAACCAAGGTTAATTTTTTTTTTTCTCACAATCAATTGTATGTAGCTAGTCAAATGACATAAATTATCGCGGTTTAAATCAACCTTTAACGGCTCCTCGAATGTATTCTCCGCCATCACATCCCCACCATACGTTATTTCGGTCTTCTTCGACGCGAATCTGCTATCGATGTTCGCTCCGATGATGTCGATTTTTATGTCGATCGGATCATCCGCCACGTTCACGACCTTAACCCTGAGGTACGAATTGCCCGTGGCGGGGTCTGCTCTGATGATGGCAGAGGCGGCCAGATGAGCAGAGGATCGGTCGTCGAGCGTGGCGTTGAGCAGAGCTGCGCCATTGGACTGGGAGAAGAAAGTCTGCATCCAGTAGCTCGGAGTTCCGTAAGCTCTGTAGGAGTCGAAGTTAATGGCGTCGGGGCTCCACTTCCTGTCGTTTGCGTTGACGAACAGGGGCGCATACGCAGCCATCTCAACAATGTCGCTGCAGAGTGTCACAAAAAAAAAATGTTCAATCAAATCGAAATCAATAGCTTCCATTAACGAAGCGGATTAGGGAGTAACGAAGTGAAGAGCAAGCAAACAAGCCCAACCTGTTTTTTTCCAAACCCATGAGGAACCCTGCCTCCGCCAATGCTGCTTTCAAGCTCCCCAATCCGGCGTCCTCCCGCCATACCGCGTACTCACTTACGAAGGCCTTGGGCCCGGTTCGTGGCACGGTGTCGAACTGATGTCTCAGACGAAACATGTCGCTGGCGGTCGTGTATTTCTGTCGATTTTCGAGGCGTAACAGATGAACAGAAAAAAATTAGTCGAGAAATAGAGGCTTAACAATCGAGACAATGATGGGTTAAGTAACATTTTTTTCTTCTTGTTTGTTTACATGGTAATCGTAGTAGTCGGCTGGATCTTGAGTTGGCGTGCTGGGGTCGGTGTAATCGCAGTTGGAGATGACCTTGATGTTAGGGAAAACGCTCTTTATGGCGTAGTAGAACTTGAGGTAATTCCCTGCATAAATTCAACTAGTAGTCAACACAACGTTTGTGTACACGAATAAGTAGTGATCAAATGATAATGAACCAAAACCTCGGTAGTGTTCTTTGCCACAATCCTCGTTCCCGACAGCAACATATCTAAGATCGAACGGCTTAGGGTGCCCCATAGTCGCCCTGAGTCCGCCCCATTTCGAGTTTACCGGACCAACGGCAAACTGAATCCCGTCCAGGGCTTCCTGAGACATAAATTAACCATTTATTAATTACTAAGCAATTAAGTGAAAAGGGAGTGATGGATTAGTTATATAAAGGGGGGAGATTAGGATGATTAGTACTTGAATGAAAGGTCCAATCATGGTGGTATCAACTTCATCGGTATGGCTAATCCCATTGTTAAACACCCAAATCGGCAATGCGCCAATGTCTTCAGCAAACTGGAAAGTGGAAACCAATCATGTTAGTGGATTGATTAGTCGCTTAATTGGGTAATTAGCAATTAGGAGGAACTAAGTAATAACGACCTGATAGAACTCGTACAGGCCCATTCCATCGTCGGTCCAATAATTCCAGACATCACCAAAATGCCCAGGCCTGTTCTCCCATGGGCCCACTGTTTCCTTCCAGCGGACTGCGTTCCTCAGCCACGCACCTTCCACAAAGCATCCACCTGTGTAAATAATTAAATTAAATTAGCAAGAAATTTATCAACTAAAATATAATTAAAAAAAATAAGTAAATCATATATATTACCCGGAAACCGGATGAACCCCGGTTTGAGGTCTGCAACCATTTGAGCAAGATCAGCTCGGAACCCATGTCCCTACAATCCAAACAAACCAAATAAGATTTCGGACAAACCCAAAAATGAAAAAAAAAATCGAGATGCAATTCTAACAAATGTAGGTTCGACGACGATGATACCTTGTATGTGTCGAGTGGCATGAGAGAGATCTGGTCGAACCAAACGACCGTTTTATGTGAACTAGTGATCGCGAGGGACGCATTCGGGTCCGACATGATGGGTTTGAACACGACCTCCCTCTTGGTCCACCCCGTAAATACACCTCTGAATACGTACATACATAACATTACGTGTCGAAACCAGAAAATTAGTGATGTACCAGTAAATAGCAAAATATTTTTTTTTTCCTTTCTTACCCGACATTTTGGGCGGCCAGTTTTTTTGTCCGGTTGAACCCAATCAAGGCCACGGTTAAGTCGACCGGGCCAATGGACCGGAGGTAGAAGACCAGCTTGTAACTCTTCCCTTGTTGAATATTCTGCATTAATCAATATCTAATCAGATTTTTTAACCGTTAAGATTTACTGCGTTTGAAAAAAATTACTATTCACCCCATGGCCTTTTAAAATTTTAAACTCACTCACCATCCCCCAATAACCGGGATTTACAATCCCGGCGCCGCCGGCCGGACAGCTGGCACCGTCGCACATCACATCCATCCGCAGCGCCATCTTGTTGTTCGCAAAGCACGACGTCGGCTCCGTGGCCACCTTCACCGCCCTCTCGTCGCCGATCACATTCCAAGGATAAATGTTGGAAGGAGCCACTCCCCCGCCGGCCTCAAACCCTGCATTAATCCAGCCGCAGAGAAAGTGGTCGTTAAAATCTACTAAACAGTCACTGGATCTTTTAGCGACCGTTATGTATCATTTGTGACAGTAATTTCGTCGCAAAAAGTAAAATAGTGGTCATTAAAAGTATACCTCTGTTTCTGACGAGCTCTGCCCAAAGCCCACCAGCTCCAGCATGATTGATTTCCTATAATCAACGTTACCATCATTAATCGATGCTTTGAGATCAACCCTTTTACAAATTTCATCACAGAATCGAATCGATCACGCGAATTTACCTCAAAGAAGACACCGAATAAGGTACTGGGGATGGTGGGATGATGATCACCAGAAGCATCGACCTTCAAATACGCAGTCTTGGTTCCACCACCAGGAGCAGCAAAATCATAGCCATGGCCGAAGAACGGCGAGCAGCTAAGTACTACAACGATTAGGAGAAGGATCGGCCAACGATGATTAGCCATTTTCTGTTAGGGAAGAAATGGGGAAGGGTTGGGAGAGAGAACAGTGATAATCTGGGTTTGCTTATATAGGGGGATTAAGCTGCTGATTTTAAAAGCAGAGAAAAGCGCGGCTCATGATCTTTTTGCCGTTATCTGAATTAATCGATTATCGATGTGATTTTTTTTTTTTTTTTTTGAGATTTCGTTCCTGTTACTTTAAGGCAGGGGAAATTATTCTGGGGCGATTTGGCAGCACTTAATTATTATTATTATTAAGTTTCAGCTTGACTGTAATTTTGACAAATGGTCAACTACTGGGTGTTAAGAGAAGACAAGAAGAGAAATTAACTCCAAATCAAAAGTCTTGTCAAAGTAAATTACTAATTAGTAGTCTTGTTCATATAATTAATTACAAGTAGATGTTAGTTTGACGCGGACAAAGTGGGCATTAGGAAGTTAATATTGTTTGTTGAGAAAGAAAATTGCTCAAATTGAGATGAAGAGGTGAATTCTCGTAGAAAATTGCTCAAACACGAGCAAATTCATATTTTCAGATTTTATTAGTTTTTTTGATTTAAAAGTGCAATCTTTTTTTTTTTTTTTTTAAATCTCGATCGTATAATCACTCTACTAACATTCGAAAATGTGATGGATAAAGCCAAAAAGTACAGTTTCTTTGAAAGAAAAAGGTGACGAAATAATAAACCAAAAGCCAACTAGTTATATCATTCCTTGTTGAACGGCTCTGCAATTCGTACAAGCTGAATAAAGGCTACAATACAAAGCCATTAGAGGCCAAAACATAACTAACCCACTAATTATTAGGCATCCAAAAACTGACAGGGAACAAACGCAGACAGAGGGAAGAAACGAAAGCAGAGAAGAGAAGCAACTGGTCTAACAGCAACACATGATGAAGATGAACAACAAGAAAGAAAGAAGCAAAGTGGAATCACATGACAACCCGATTACTACGAAACACCGGAAGATCGCTCGCTCTAACCAGAAGTTGCGTTTGCAAAAGTTACAGCGTCGCCAAACAAAACCAGTACTGAACATTTCAGATGAACTTCTTAATTCACAAAGGCAAAGGAATCGACTCAACTCATCAACCTGGGAAAAACCCTCCAACAAAATACTCACATTTTCTTTACAAGAAAAGGAAACAAAAGAAAACCTCATCAGGCATGGAGTCTCTCATTCTCATACACAGATAACGTATTCTATAACAAAAACTTGTCTTTGATCATCAAAAGATAAACAAACCAACCTAACCCACAGCCCTGCCAGCAGGCCAAAAATCATTCAAAAGGGTTCAGTGTGCAGTGTTCGTTCTCGTTAACTCGAAGAAGATTCGATCTCCTTGCCATGATCATCGTCCCGAAAGTTCCTCCTCAACCGTCTGATCCATATATCATAGTCAATGGGATACGGAGTCCCACAGAGACTGTCAACATAATCAGCGAATGCTTTCAACACCGTGGAAACATCGCCGAGCTTCTGCTGGATCAACCTCCTCGACCAGGCCGTCTCCCTCCACTGCAAGGCACCTTCGACCGAGTCCAAGTCGGGCAGAGGCCCACCGGACGAGAAGTAGAGCATGTAGACGAGGCTTTCTGCATCGGAAGCAGAACACAACTTCCCCTCTTGGAGAGCATATGTCGACGAGAAATGCAGGTTCATTGCTGGACGGTCCCTTTCCTCGAGTATCGCGTGGCCCCACCCGATTAGTACGAAATATGGATGCTGCCTCGTGCTGCCGGACCTTATAACGTTCTCTGGCCGGATGTCTCCGTGTCTGATTCCAACTGAGGCGGCTGTTGAAAGAGCGGACAAGCAGTCGTGACAACACCTGATTGCTTCTTCTGGGCCGAATCTTCCTGACATTATCATGTCGGCTACCGACTCGCCGACTGGGCTCGTGACGAGGATCGGAGTCGAGCACCATGGGTGATCGCAGTTTCCACCGGAGCTGGGTTTCCGGCACTGACCTGGGTGGGCAATCCGGCCTGAAGCAGCAAGGTCAGGCAGATACTTGCTAGACACGCCTTTCTGCCTCATGATGGTCAAGATTTTGGTCTGTCTTTGGACCTGATACCATAGCTTCATATCCTCCCATGCAGGTTCAAGCTGAGCAGGGTGAGAACCTACGTAGAGGAAATAGGATCTACTAGGGTCATCTACAGGTGAGGCGAGATAGTATTGCAGTTCGCCATTGAACAGAACACCGTCGATTTGATAACCCTTCTGCTGGTCTGGGTCCTCCAACCACAGGACCGAACCATTTTCCAACTTCATTGCCAGATCTTCAGGCTCAATGTTGTTAATCGACTCATCCAGAACTTCCACAATCTCTGGTTCAACACTGCGTTGCTGGTACCGAAAAGCTCCATTTCCATTAACTCGGGCGGTATCCCTATCCCCCAACTGCCTCTCGATTCTTCTTGCATGGAGGCGAGAGCCATGATCAGCAGCTAGATCTTCGATCGAGTGCTTTGGCATCCCTGCAAACTGCATTATAGAGTGGAAGGTTGCAAAAAGGACCTGCAGAGCCCCAATGTCTCCCCAATTGGCATTTCCTAGCTTGTTCCATATCCTATCTATGGGAGAGACTGAAATCCTAGAATGGGTTTTAATCCAATCGGCACAACTCTCGTACACGTTATTCACATCAAACTCCAATCTATTTACATCACCTTCAACTTTCACTACCCCTCCATTCTGAGAATCAACAAGAAGAACAAAGACAGTGTCCACACTCTCAGCAGACTGAAATTTCCCTAGCTTCCTGGACAACAGCAGGCGTAAAGCATAAAAGAGAGCCTCACCTAGCACGGCGTGTGAAGGCTGTGGGTCATTCCCGATATCAGGCCGAAGAAGGGCCAGCTCGAGAATTTGATCCCATTTACCATGTGGGTGTCTTGGATTGTTGACCAATATACCAGTCGCACAGAGGCCAGGGAGCTTCCCATTCGCTATGGCCTTCTCAGCTTGGTAGAACTTCAGATTCTCACTGTAGAGACAAGCCACCGAGAATGGCAGGGGAGCATCCTCTTCATCCTGACTCCAGAATGCCTCCCACAAGCCCTTCACACCGGCGTGGAGAAAATCTTCAACCGCTAAGAAAGCAGTGGCTTCCACAGCATCAGAAGTGGATGATGCGTACACTGCACTGGGCATCCGAATCAGCTGCTGAAACGAAACCCCTTCCAACGCGTAGTCGAACTTCTGAAGGTCTATCAGCTCGAAAGGGACATCAAAGGCGGGACTTTTGGAACCGGAGACTGATTCAAACCAGTCAGCGAGATGGGAAGTCAGCGTTTCACAGTCCACTAACCTATCGAGAAACTCCCGCTGCCGGCGATGAGACTTGCTAAATGAGGAAATACTCGATCTCCTCGTGCCCGAACCGATGGATTCAATGTCCGGAGATCCGCCGGCACCTGCTGAAATCGAACGGAAATGGAAAAATTCTCGATTCATTCCTACTTCGCAAATGAAATTAGGTTTATATAACTTCTACTCGAGAAAAAGGAGAAGAGGAAAAGCACACACCTTCAGAGTCAGATGTCCTTCTCGGCGGAACTGGAGCCATGGTTTCCGGAATTCAAAAGAGAGATCTCGAACACTCGAACGCTCGCCGCGCGGAACCGCAGCTAATCCAAAAAACAAAACAAAAAGCCACACCGACGGCCGCCGCCGAGCTGGGGGTTGAAATTCTCAAAGTGATCTCGCTGCTGAAAGAGACAAATCGTCGTGGCCTGGACTGGAACCCGTCAATTCAACGCAGATTCGTCGGGAGATCGACCTTAGGAAGTGGCGGCGAAGAACCATTCTATTCATCCAGCTCCCTCGCTCCTCCAGCGCCCTCTGTGCGCTTCCTTTCCCCCCCTTGACTTGTGAACCGCGGCGAGCTTTTCCGTCGGTATTCTCAGGCGGAAATTGCTTGGCTCACAGATGAGAACTCCGCCGGCCCCGGAAGAGATGAAACGGGAGGAAACCCAAGATAACAGCAAGCAAAGCAGGCAGGAAGCAGCCGAATGGTGATAGTGGCCAGAGAGAGAGAGATTGTGGGGGATCTTTTTGGAATAGTTGTTATTTCTTTGGATCGAAATAGAGAATCCCTTAAAATAAGGGTTTTGTTTTTTTTCCGGTATTTTTTCTTCTTCTTTTCTTCTGGCTCTGGGTAATTTCTTCTCTCCACCGGCCGTCCACTTCAATTTCTCATATTTTCCCCAATTTTTATTATATTAATCACGTCATTGTTCTTTCCCTTAACTACCTGTCCTCCAATCTCTGAGGGTAAATTAATAAATGATCACTGAATTTTCGGGTTGTTGCAACTTGCATAATTCAATGACTAAAACCTTGATTTTTAATGAAAGTATCAATTAAGTTTATAATAACTAACATATGTCCATTTTTATTAAAAACTTTTGTCTAAATTGTGTTAGATAATATGTTAAAAACATTATATGATCGTATTTTTATGTGCAAGAAACAAGATTAAGAGCAACGAATCTTGATTGACCAAACTCAATAGCACCAAAGATAATATGGGGGGCTTCTCGATGATGTGATAACACAAAGGATTCTTGTGCGGTTGTGCCACATTGCAAGCCGTGGAGAATACATACCAGAATACAAACCCTAGAAAGATGGACACTGACTGATATATTGCCCTGTACAATTTGTATTGGGAAAAATCGGCTCGAAGACCACCAGTATGAAGTAGTAGTCAAAATTGATTAGAAAAGGCTCAAAAAGTTGACCAAATCTACGAAAATCAAAGATTATGGTTGAGCATCTCGATGATGTGGTAACACGAAGGGTTCTTGTGCCACATTGCAACCCATGGAGAAAACGTACGAAGATAACACATGAACACTGGCCCTAAATGTGTTCTTCTTTTGTAATTTCATAACATGTTTTCACGGTTGTCAAAACCATAACTAATATGTTGCCCCCGTACAATTGGTATTGGAAAAGATCATCTGAAAGACCAGCGACATTATCAAATCAAAATGATCAATTTTTGGTTGCAAAACAAATAATATCATTCTTATGGAATTAATTATAAAAAAAGAAACAAATTGGTTGGATTCAAAATATGAATATTTAGATGTTGAAGTTATTTGTTGGATTCAAGCATAAACATTTAAAAATAAAAGTTAAATATTGCACTAAATATGATCATTTTTCATTTTGTTTGCAATGTAGTATTATATTTAAATATGAATGTAGATTATAAGAAAATTATCTTAAAATAAATTATTTATATGCACTATTCATCCGTGCGTACTTTCCTCACATGTTTTGTTAAATTGACATATAAAATCATTGCATTCTGATCGGACAATACTCATTACTAAATCGATCGATGTAAGGATAAATCGGTTTGACAACCTTACATGTTTATTTTTTGTCTGTAATTAAAAAGGGGATTAACAATAAACAAGCCAATAAAAAAGGCCGAGACGATCAATTTGATCAAAAGGTAGTTTGGGTTAGGCGGAAGGTTCAGGAAAGGACGACGGAATGAATCGTGCAGAGTCCGGCGAGAAAATATAATCGAAACACTTTCAGTTTCAGAGGAAGAAGAAAAGTCAGAGAGGGGAGAGAGAGCGGAGGGACGCTCTTCAAAAACTCCTCCACTTGGCGGTTACATCGGCGGAGAAAGTCATGAACGGCGGTCCCGCTGGTTTCAGTACGTATCTTCCTCCTCCTCCCGTCGCTTCTTAACTAGTTTTCCCGCAAAATCCCACTTTGACGAGTTTTCCCCCCACTCTCAACAGACAATGCGCCAGTCACAAGAGCGTTCGTCATTTCTTCTACCCTCTTCACCCTCTTCTTTGGGATCCAGGGAAGGTCTGCCAAGTTCGGATTGTCCTACCAGGTGCGTGCAGTCTTACCCACTTCGCTCTTTCTCTTGAATATCGTAGTTCAATCGGGGAATGATGGTGCTTGATTGCCTAGTCTTTGCCCTAATATCTAATGCTGGGTAGAGGATTTTAGCTTGGGGTGGATGTGAATCGTGTGCTGCTAGGAGCATTAGGATTGGGTCTGATTGTAGAAATTTGGGGACAAGTGAGGAATGCGGGACACTAGCTGTGATTGTGAAGGTGCTAACTGCTAAGCGAATTGGATACGGGGTTGGGATTGTTAGCTTGATCTTGTCTTTCTGCTTCATTGATGGCTGAATCAGCTGAGCATTTGAGCTGTCGACTCTGTTTTGTTCTCTGGATTGGTTATACATGATCGTCACGTCATTGAAATTTTTGCTGGCTGATTGGTGTGCAAACATATTGGTTGCGTTATAAGCTACTTACCCGATTAACTACAGTACTGGGCATGGGGAAGGCGGTATCCTAGTCTAACTCAGAAGACGGAGTTGGTTGGGCAAATGATTGTTGAGGATTCCATACCTATGTTGAGAATGATGTGTGGTTAATATGAGTTTCTGTGTGAGAGATTTCTTCATGGAATTTGTTTTCTTTACTGTTGGAGGAAATGGATTGCTGAAGCACAATGATTTTGTATTTCAGAGAGATGATATTGTGATATTTATCTTGGATGCTTACTCTGTCAAATCAAGGAGTTGAGCTCCGTCTTGGGTGTTTGTGCACAAACACTTAGTTGCGGAATAATTTATTAATTATGATAAATTTTGTCTTGAATGTTTGGCTTTTTTAGACTGCATATTTGCAAAAAAGTTCTGTGACAAATTGTGTAGTTGAAACATCAGGAAGATATGTACATGCTTCGACTGAAATTTGTGTGTATATCAGTACATACATAAGGTGACTTCGAGTTGAACATTACCAGGGGCTCAGCTCCTTGTCATAGGACATGGATTTGGAAAATTGGGGTTTTGAAGAGCTTCCTATTTGTACATTCAGGACAAGCTCAATGGAACGAAATCATGTGGAAAGGATATTCTCAGACTAATATATTTTTTGTCTGACTGTTGTTTGCTTTTGAAACCATTTTGCAGGATATTTTTGGGAAGCTCCGTATACTAAAGCTGATTGCCTCAGTATTTTCCTTTTCATCAACGCCAGAACTGTTGTTTGGACTTGGTCTTTTGTATTACTTTAGGGTTTTTGAGAGGCAGATTGGATCAAACAAGTATTCAGTGAGTTACTATCTACTCTAAACTGCTCATATTAGCCATGATCATTGTAGCACATGATCCGTTTAATTACTTGAGTTCCTGAGATCTTCATTTTCTTGATCTTGCCAGTAACCTTTGTTGTCAAGGCATTACTTGACATCTAATATGCTTTTGCTCATGGTCTCTTACATTTGAGATTGATGTTCTGATTAACTTGGTTGATGTGATGGTTTTATTGCTTTTGTGTCATTTTTTCAGGCTTAACTCTTTATTTACCTCGTGTGGCAGTCTTTCTTTGTTTACTATTCTTATCTTATGGATCGCGTATCTTGATTTTTTTATCTCATAGTGCTAAATATCAACTTAACTGTGCAGGTGTTTATATTGTTTTCTACGATTGGTTCGTTGCTCTTCGAGGCCCTTGCCCTGTCACTTCTGAAAGGTAAATTGTTTCAGATGGTCCGCATTGTGCATTATCATATTGATTGTTATTCTGTGATTGGTTAAACAATCGGAACAAGTGAACATAAGGATTCATAGTGAAGAGGGTTGAAGATTTCTTGCATGTGATGCCATTACCTGAAAAAGAATGCATAATGAGAAAATGGAGGCGGGGGAGTAAAAATGGTTTATTAAAGATGGGAACTAGATAGTGGCTTGTTTGGAAAATGGTAATCAGTCAAGAAAATTACTATACTTGCAGAAAAAGAAATGAAGTATGTAAAAATTTGTTATAGTAAGTCTAATACACACATTATTCTTCATGCACTATGAAAGATGCCTGGCTGCAATGACCTGATACCTTCTATGAAGGTGAAGGAGGATGGTGTTAAAAAAGCTTACTTATTGCTGTGTTCTAGCTATCACCCACCAATAGATGGAATAAATCGCATAACGTTTCACAAACCCCTAAAAGTGAATAGGATGCAGAGGGAATAAGTTGGCAGTTTGGATGAAACAATGCTAACGACCCCTAATGGAACGACCCTTGTATTTTAATTACTTCATAGGAACTTTCAATACTTAAAAACAGTTATATCGTGATGGAGTTGCAAATACTACTTAGTAGTAGGCTAGTAGCTCTAGTGGGTCATTGGCTCTTCTTTCCCGATTCTCATATGTCGTGTTTTCTCTTTCTTTTGTGTATGAATTAATTTCACAATTTAACATCTTAGATACTTTTTGGTGTGCAGATCCAACTCTGAACTTGCTTACATCTGGACCTTATGGCCTCATTTTCGCTTCATTTGTGCCCTTCTTCTTTGACATTCCTGTATCAACATGGTTTCGTGTCTTTGGCATCCGCTTCTCCGATAAGTCGTTCGTATATCTTGCTGGTCTGCAGGTACCGAGGAATTTCACCATTCTGCATACAGGGTTGTTGTGTGCATATATACTTTTTACTTTAATGCTTTGATTCTTTTTGGTACTGTTAGTTATATCTATAGCTTTTGATATTGCAGCTTCTGTTATCATCTTGGAAAAGATCCCTCATACCTGGAATCTGTGGCATCCTTGCTGGCTCCTTGTACCGTCTAAACCTCTTCGGTATCCGGAAAGCAAAGGTAATTTCTCATGTGCAAAAAAGATTGGCATATAAAATTAGTGCTTATACAAACATGCGGTTCCACACTATTGACTTGTGTGGCCGTTAAGTAATCCATTCTATCTCTCTGATTCCTTTCATGTGGAAACATATGTTCGTTTTTGCTTAATATCTGCTGAATCCATATTAAGTATGCTTTGCAATCTTAGTTACCAAATACCTTTTCTGTACTGGTTAATAATCTCATATATCATCATTGTAGGTTTATGATATGGTTAGCATGATGTCATTAGTTTTGGGCTGATGTTGTTTATTCGATGCTAGTTGTATGTATCTTACGGTGCTTCTTTATCATTCTCTGCCTCAGTTCCCTGAATTCATGGTTACATTTGCCTCCCGATTTTCTTGGCCATCTACTGGGAGTCCACGTGGTCCAACAACAAGGGTCAATGGCACAGCACCAATTGTTCCATCATACGCAGGTCGCCGTGTGGAGGTAAATACTGCCTTTCCCGTTCACGAAAGACAATAATATGATATCTTTCTGTATCGGCGATATTGTGCTACTTGTGGTGCATAATCATTGTGGCTGGATTTTGACAGAGAACATATCCTACCCCACCAGTCCCTTCTTCGGTAGAACCATCAGAGTCCGCAATCGCCACATTAGTTTCCATGGGCTTCGACAGCAACTCGGCAAGACAGGCACTTGTGCAGGCTAGGAACGACGTCAATGCTGCTACCAACATCCTTCTCGAAGCCCAATCTCACTGATAACCCATGGATGGGTGAAAATTTCAACTGTATGGGCTGGTTTCAACTGGAACGGAGCAACAGATCACTATCAGCGCGATTTGGCTTGGGTGACATCCTGAAAGGATGGTGGTTTTGCTATCGTTGTCATGAATGTAGGTAAATAGTGTTAGTGTGGACAAAAGAACCCTTAGGAGATCTTACCATTGTTTTTAGAGTCTGTTCTTACTGCTGCCCTGCATTTGGAACAGGCAACGGATGCATTATTTGGCTTTGTAGTATTCTGCCTATATTGAACAGTTGCAGAGAGAGAGAGAGAGAGAAGGGATCTTCATCTTTATGATTCAGTAATAGTTTTAATGTGACTAATATGTTCAACAACATTTCTCCGTTACTACAATTTCGATCTGTATCCCTATTTTGATGGCAGTGTATTTTGTTCATATTCTGGAACAGCAGGCAAGCTTTATTCATTCACTTCAACTTCAAGCAAAACCATACTGCTTTTGGCAGCAACAGATTCAACAATAATAAATAATGATCAAACTCATTCTGCCGATGAAAGCTCAAAACCTGAGTCCTGATTGCAAGAAAAGATTTATGATTGAATTCTCGATCCACCTTGCTTCCTCATAATAGATGTTACAATGAATTGATAGAGTCCTCGAAGAGGGAAAACAAAGAACAAAAATGAGTAAGAAGGAACCATTTGTTCCTTTAACTGGAATGCAATTCAATTCAACAAGTTGATCAATTGATACTTCCTCGGATTCCTGCTTCCCAGCCTTCTTCATAGCTCCAGCACAACAACTGTGAAATCAAGGAGTAATCATTCACTGGGCGAAGAGAAACGTGAATGGAATGGAACAGTAAGTATATAGGTACGGCATATAGATACTCACAGTCAGAATCAGTGGTGATCCAGTTGGCTTTTCTGTCTTGGATCGCGGCAGGGCAAGAAGCCATGGACATTGCTGAGCATGTAGTGGAGCAGCTTTCAACTTCCCATCTCAAGCTGAACCTTGGAGAGTCGATGTGACTATGCTCATTGTACTTGTAACTGCTGTTGTGTTGTTTCCCCGTTTGATCAGAAACTTCTTGCATTGCCTTCAGTGTTCCTCGGTTTCGAAATTGATCCAGAACCTGGAAGAAATATCAAAAGAGAAATCAAACTTGAGTGGCACACAATACATGACATATAAATTATAATAACACCTACATTATTGTTTGGTCAAAATGTTCATCATGAAAAAAGATGCTACCTTGCGGCCAAGGAACTTGCCATTCTTGTCAGATTTGGTAGCTGCAGCCCATCTAATGAGCTCCTTCATCCTGGAAATGGCTTTGGTTTTGTTGCTGTCCCCTTTGACCTGTCTGGCGTCTCTCTTCTGGCATTCCCCTGGAAACCGTGGAGGCAATGCAGCGTTGGCTTCGCTGCTGCTGATGGGTAGAACCTTGTTACCCACGTGATGAGCAGCAGCAGTGGAATTATTATTAGCAGATGGATCCGGCTTCTTACACGCGTCAAGCTCTTCTTTCTTCATCTTCATAGAGATCATCATTCGACGCTCTCGTCTGCTCGAGCTATTTCCAACTCTTCTCAGGTTCAACGTGCTATAGAAGCAAGCCTTCGCCACATCTTTTCTGCCCAGAAGAAGTGCAAACGGGCTGCTGAAGTTCTGCCAACCACCAAACCTGCTGTCCTTCTTAGCTCCTCTGCTTCTCCTCCTCTGGCTACCACAATGTTTGAACAAGACTACGTGTTGCTGCTGTGTGCCTCCATGAAGCAGGAAGGTAGAGATGGGAAAACAACAGTTGATGAGCTCGTTTCAAGATACCCAAAGAGTCAGAAGGAAAGAATATAATTTATAGGGCACAAAACTTACTACTATTATTGGCCTTACTGGGGGAGCTAGAGGTCTTGTCATTGCTGCTACTGCTGCTGCGGTTGTCTCTGGCTTCATCATGTGCAACCTTGAGAAGCCAGTGAATAATCTGATATAAATATTGAGGTAAGGAAGTGGGTTAGTGGAAACATTTCAGTCTTTTTTCAAAGCTAGCCACTTTCAGACCCACTTATTAAGTTCATTTGATCTTCCTTTCCACCCCTTTATTTTAAAAGTAGTAATGAACAGAATAAAAGGAGTTACCTGCATGTTACAATTATTTGGATGTTTTCAGGAGGACCCTTTTAGGTTGATAATATGAACAAAAAGATCTGGTTGGTCAAATGGGCAGCAGTTGCGGTGATCTGTCTGTGCTTGTCTGGATCGAGTGGCTTTTTTGTTTGGATGGGAAGAACAGACAAATGGAATTTTGGGAAGTGAATCTACTGGAGGAACAGTGTGCTTTGTTTGGGGACAAGACAACTAGGTAGTCTGCAGAGTTGGGCTTCTGGGTAGTAACATGGGAGTGGAAAGGACTTGGGGGGAGTTTTATAATAATAGAATAATGTAGCAGGGAATCATTCATGTGGTGGGTATTCAGCACAAGATTTGGGAAAACACTGTGGTCAATTGGGAGCCAATGATTACTGTTCTCTTTGCTTATAGGGGCCAAGTGGCACTTCTCTTTGCCATACACTTGTCGGGCTGCGGTTCATCAGGTTCATGGGGTGGAGTGATCATGTTATCATTACTACAGCAATGGTTTACATCAAACATTCTTGTGATGCACATCTTACCACCATTATACATCAAACATTCCTTATTTCAAATAAAAGCTTTGATTGTAAAGCTTAAGAATCTTGCTCCAGAATTGTGTAATGGTACAGGCACTTTACTATTGAGAGCTACTTGAAAAACTTATTGGAAGGAAGCCCTTTCTGTTGGTTTGTGGACTTTGCAGCCATATTGAAGAGCTCTACTTGACTACTTCCCTGCTACTTTCCCGTTGCTCGCCACTTGCTTTGATTTCCCCTCGGTTTCCTTCGAGCCAGGATGTGATCTTCCACTCCCAGAAATAAGACCTTTTATAATGGACTTCAGTTCACTGTCCTTCATCAAAGTCTCCAATGTAACATGTACACCTGAATTCACAAAACACAAAAGCAGCAAAACTTCATTTCCTACTTACCGTCTAAAAACAGCCATCTCAAGTTTATCATAGTGAAAGAGTGTTGGATGGAGGGGAAAGAAGCATTACGGTATCGCCAGTAGTGCTTCGGATTCGTGGGGTCGTTGATCGTCTCCTCGTTTGCAGGACGTTTTGTGTAGTCCTCTTTTAGAGCTAACAAGTCCTGCAGACATTCATTCACATGATCAAGAGAAGCAACCTTGGTTGTAAGATTCTCAACTCGAAATAACATGGATATTTCCCTATAACCCATCATATCAGGCATTTAGAAACAAACCTGCAATGGGAAGATTGCCCACATTGATGGCGATTCAACATGTTGCCTGATGATGAAATTTGCAATAGCTGGAAGGCATGTATCGGGGGGCAGCTCATCAGAACCGAATATGGTCTTGAAGTATTGCTGTCTTCTTTCAGCGTCCTCCTCCCACCAAGCACGCAACGTGGAACAGTCATGGCACGATGGGGCACACACCTGAACCCAAGCAAGAACCACCAGTTTAATACGAAGAGTAATACTTGATACGAAGTGTAACTAATGCCTAACAACAAAGTAGTACTATCTTACCGTCATGTAGCTATATTGAGAAGGAACCCCAAATTTCAGATCAGGTTCACTAGGCATACGTTGGATGCGTAACCCAATCATTCCCAGCTCTTGCATAACCTGCATTTTTTTTATTCTAAGGATCAGGACGGAGAAACACGGAGCAGGAAATTTGGTGTTGAGATTTCAGAGGGCATACTGGGTGAACACAAGCTGGTATGAGTCCCAGATCTTCACCACAAGCAAGCATGTTTGATGAATTGAGGAGAACGGGTAAAGTCTTCAGAGCATTTTTTCGCCAGAGCTCTTCTTGGCGATGGAAATAGTAATCATAGTACAGTCTTTTCATGACATTTTTGCTGCATCAACTTGACTGATTAAGTAACTGTAATAAATTTGCTTTTCTAAACACTCTAGTTTATTTCGGTTTTACCTGTGCTCATCCAATTCCTGAAAACTTGAAGTATCCTCGAGGTTGAAACGCGGGTAGAATTTCTTTGCATCCTCGGGGTCTTTAATTAGAACTATATTCTACAAAACATCAGTTAACACACGAAAAAAGGATAGTAGACAGTTAGTTGACAGCAATTCCATAATATTAAAATCTGAGATTTGTTTTAAGAGTACATGCTCACCTTAAGGAGATCAAATAGATCACGTCTTATCTTGTCTTCACCGTCTAATAACAGTGATTTTTCTGCCATGGTCTTCACTTTGGAAGCAATTTTTTTCTCTGTATTGCAATCCTCCTTGAACTGAAGCATCACAAAGCACAATACACCAGTTTTCCAAAATGTAAATGTTGCCCAGAAAATTTTGGATGAAACAAAAACGAAGTGTTCAATATGTTCAACATAACTGGAAATAGCTATATACCTCATAAAACCCTTTCTGCACTTCATTCAGAAAGCTCGAGGCGATAACTGCCCAATATGTTCCGAACTTTTCCTGAAAAGAAAAAAGAACAAGATTGAACTTTCAGCAGATAGAATCTGTAGCCTGTAAAAATAACAGTGCCCTTCTTCCAGACAAAAAGTCAATCAAATCACCTGTAGAAACTCTAGCTTTATGTATGGGCGGCTTAAACGATCGAAATCCCAAATTCCCTCTCGCTCTAGTTCTTCCTACAGCATGAAAAACATTTTTATTATAAAAAAGCAATGCATAAGATTGAAAGCTTTGGTAGCAGTGTCTTGACTGCAGCAAGCCCAAAAGAGGCATCAACTTATACCTGGCTCAAGGGGATTGAAGGTCGGAACTTTCCAATTAGTCCAGTCATAGCATGATCAGGAAGCTCCCAGATTCTAAAGAAACCTAGTATATGATCAATCCTATATGCTGTAAAGTACTTTGACATCTGACATAAATACAAAGACAGCTACTTTCAGTTAGAAAGTAAAGATGAGGAACACAGCGAAAAGAATGCTGACTGTTGTAGAATAACCTGTGTTAATCGAGCACGCCACCAACCATAGTTGTCTTTGGACATCTCCTCCCAGTTATAAGTCGGGAAACCCCAGTTCTGTCCATTTTTGTCAAAGTAATCTGGGGGAGCACCAGTGGAGGTGTTCATACGGAACAAGTTGGGATACACCCACGTGTCCACACTATTTCTGTCAACACCGATAGGTAAATCTCCCTTCAGTACCACACCTTTTTTTCTTGCATATTCTGCAGCTTCAGACAGCTATTATACATCAAGAAAGAACAGAAAGTGAGAATACTCCAATACGCGCTACATTGAGGAGAAAGTCAAACAGATGCATCACAGACAATGGAGCTCACCTGTAGATGTAAATGGAATTGGAGATAATAATGAAATCGAATAATGTCGTAGTGCACACTGTCTTTTGAGACAAGCTTCTCCAGCTACAAGAAAGATGAACACTGTTATCATGAGGGAAATAGTGAATAAAAGGTACTACTTTCATACTAAGGAAGCCAAATGGCTAACTACCTTCTCTTTTGAAAACTCAGAAAATCGACCCCATTGGCTGCGCTCAGATGTTTCAAAGAAGTCCCTCAAAAAACAGAAGGCTGCATACGGTTTTAACCATTCCTTTCATAGTTTAACATAAAAGAACAGTTAGATTAGATGTCAGGAAACTGGAAATGTATTTAGGAGAAAAGATTAAAACATTGCAGGAATAAGAGAGAAACAGTCCTTATTACCTCATTCTCTAAGAAGAATTCCTGAAAAGCTCTGGAGTTAAGTATCACATCTTTCTCTTTAGCAAATACTTTTTTGGCAATGGACAATTTTGTAGCCAGACTAGCCTCATAATCAACACTCTGCAATGCCAATTAGGCAGCGTGAGCAGTAGGAACCAATCACCTGCTTCAAGTAATGCATAATTCTACAATGAAAATGTTACTGTACATTTCCCTCTCCATGTTTTTCACTAGGTCATGAGAAAAGTATACTAGAACAAGGAGTAATAATAAAATGCATTTTCCAAGTACCAAAGTAGGAAAAGAAATAAGAACAAAAAAAGATTACCTTTCCATCAAGCCTTGTCTTGGCTTCCTGTATCTCTTTCTGCAAGTAAAGAATCAAAAGTGGAAAAGCTTTAAGAGGAAAGTAATCTGGGCCAAAAAAATCTTATGAATAGCAGACAAAGTAAAAAGTACCATATGAACGTAAATACCTTCACCTCCTCCGGTAGATTAGCTGAAAGTGCCTGTACTCTCAGGTATAATGGATGCAGGGCAAATACAGATAGTGAGCTGCACAAATCATGAGAAAAGAAGCTTAAAGAAACAGCTAAATTCATGAGGTAGTCAAAAGTTTCAATTAGTGGAACGAATCCAGCTGAAGAGTACCACAAAATAAAATAAAAACTCACTATTTTCATCAAGTTCTGTGGCATCATATCTTGTGATAACTGGGAACTACCAGAGTCTAAGAAGAGAAGTTATAACTTCCAAGATGAGGCAACTATTTTTGCCATACCTGTATGGATAGGAGTCCCACCACATCAGATTAACAGAGGTGTCATTGATTGGTAGAAGCTGAACTAGATGGAACCCAGACTCCACAGCCCAGTCAACAAGAAGTTTCAGGTCAAGGAATTCTCCAACACCGAGATCAAGTTCTGACCTCACAGAGAACATAGGTACCGCAACACCAGTTCCCCGCCACGGCATTGCCTACGAGAGAGCACAGTAATTAATATAACTGATAGCGAGAATCCATGAGGAAAAAAGTACTTTCTTCAGTCTTTCAGTCATTGAGCAGCTTACACGCATCATGCCGTCGGAAACAAAGACATACTTTAGTTGAATATTTGCGGGATCAACAACTAGCTCCCTATTTGCACCAGTTTCCAGAGAGAAGCTCCCTGCCTCTCCCCATTTGCAGTACTTGTATGTAAGCCGTTGTTAAGGAAGAGACAGTTGAGAATCTGGTTATAGCAATAAACTCTGACAGCCCACATTTACAATAATCAATAGTGAGATTGAATTGAAAAACATCTATCAGGATATTTGAATGGCAGGTCATCCTTTTGCACCACAACATCTGCTTGCCAGGTAGAATTTCCAGCATAGCTAAGTTTAAGCCCATCCTGAACCTTCCAGCAACCCAACTTTGCACAACTCCCAATAACGTAGACCTGGATGAACATAGATAGAACTTATAAGCATCAAGCAATCCAGTAAGATGGTGGCCTAACCATGGATGAAGATCTCAAGAAATTGGAAACTTACATAAGTCTCTTCCTCCATGTTCGGGCAGCACATCCTGAAATGAACAAGAATGGAATCTGTTCCATTTTGTGATCCATAAATAAATATAGTGAGTAGACCACCAAAATTGAAATTAGATCATTGACTGAACAAGGAAATAGGTATAGCATCACCTTCCTTCTCCAACTTATTCTGTACTCCTAAGGGCCTCTCAACCTTCAGATTGCAACTTGTGTTAAAGATGACATCTTTGAAGGCGCTTTTGAAAGGGATATCATCATCACCAGTCTGGTTTTCAATGCAAGATAACATGTGATATGTTTGATTAAATAGGGTAAATATATATATATATCCTAAATAGGAAGAAGGAAACTTGTATTTAAGCACTCTGATTCTAGTCAGTAACTACAAAGTCAGATGAAAGGGAACCAACTACTAGTTCCAAAGAAGAAACTAGTTAAGAGGCCTGGTCCATTATATAACACACAGTTGGAGCTGGATTAAACCAGGGAAACTGAACTTTTTAACCAAAATCCATGAAACAAATTGCAGACCCAGGTCATACTAAGATTCCCAAGGAATGATTCATCTTAAGGCTTAAGCACAAATTAACAATTCAAAATATACAGGATTCCAGGAAGAGAATGCAATAAAGCTCGACAATGTGTAATTAACTGTATAGGATTAAATCAAGAAAGCTCCTTTGCTTGACATTATTGAGAAATTGATAAGTGAAAGCTCCTTTGCTGGACATTCTTGAGTAATTCATAAGTATTCAACTAATATAGACGCCAACATGAGAATACCAAGAGCTAAAATGAACATATATCCTAACTTTTCACTAGAATCTAGAGAACACCATTAGTGGAATTTACTACTATAGCTTCAGAGACAACATTGAAGAAGGAACAAAAAGTAAAATCATAGACACAGCACCTGCCAGAGATCTCGAAGCTCCACGATATCTCCACCATTGATCCCCTGAGGTAAGATGAGTGCTCGCTTATTCCCCATCTCCCATCGCAGCACATTCCTCTCATCATCCACCACATAATAACTGTACTCACAGCTGAATTCAGCTGGCACAGAGACACTTCCACACCAAATTAGCTCATTATCCTGATGCACAGGTTTCAACAGCAATCCCCTCTTCACATTCCAGGACCCCAGCGCCGGCTCAGAACCACATACCACCAGGCTCTGACCCCAGTTGGTGAAATACGGTATTCTAAAGCTCACTCTCGCCGTTTTCGTTGATTTAGTCCCGAAAACCATCCCCAAATTCGTCATTCTTCTTTCTTAGTTGTCTATCTCAAAACCTGGCCACAAAACAACAACTTGCATGACCAAACTAGAGTAAACAGAGGAAACAGAGCAAGCCACAAGTGGCCGTGAGCACCATAGCCGGATTGGAAAGAAAGCATTTCACATATGAATGGTGATAGAGAAAGAACTCAGAAAGCCAATATCATCGAAATGCAGCAGAGATGAGAGAACACGCGAGCAGTAACGCAAAACAGAGAACTAACTTCCATTCAAGGGCGTGGAACCGCAAAAGAAGCGAAGGACGAAACTTGAGCACGACCCAGATAGAAGCAAGTGACAATGGCAGTACAAACTGTGGGGGCAAAGAAAAAATGAAGGCGGAAAAGGGAACAGAGCTCGATTCACTTACGTTTGGTACGTAACGCAAGGGAAGGATTACCTGAACAATGGGGGCGAAAGGTTTTCAATTCCAGAACTCAAGGAGCGGGAAGATTGGTAGTGAAGCAAATTACATAAAGGCCAAAGGACAGAGATCAGCTTACATCAGAGATATGAGTGGACGGAAGAAAAGCGATGGGAGAGAGATCATATCATATCGGGATCAAGCAAAATTGGAATTGGTTGGCTCGGCAGACGGCAGGGGAGAAGATATTTTGTGAATAATGCAGAAAGAGAAATGGTTGTCCTTTAGCTGGTGAGGGGAAAGAAGAAGATTTTAATGTAATGAACGACTAATCAAGAGAGTGGGGGTAGAAGAAGGAAAATCTCCCCTGTTTTCTCTTTCACGGGTGAAAAATGAAAATGTCAGAGAGAGAAGGCTCGATACCACAAATTTGCGGTGAGATCACATGAGTTTTCCCCTTTCTCTTCTGTTTTCTGTTTTCTTACCTTTCTTCTTCCTGCAGCCTCCAAATATAACCTCTCGCGTTCTGCCACACAGTCACAGTAGCAGCAACGTAGTGACAACAGGGACACTCTGCTACCGAGAAAACAGTTCGGCCAAAAATGGGTATATCCCAATTTGAAACGTTTCAAGATCGAGCCTTTAGTCATACCTGATATCGCATCATACTCGTACAATCCAATGTTATAATGCCTTTTAAGCAAATTATTTTTTGGTAGAACCTTTTACGCAATTTTTTTTTTGGGTAGAACCTTTTACGCAATTTTGATGCAAGATAAGTAGGTAGCCACTGGACGGCAACATGACCATCACTAGTTCGCTACAACTTAGCTGCTGCATCAGAAAACAATTGAGATCAAACCTCACTTGAATGTTTACGCATTCAAGACTACCATGTAATCAATGAATTGAATTATAGTTACAGGCTATACTGTGACTGCATGATTGAAGCAAACGACATAGAACAACATTGCAGCGGTGAAGTCAATGACTCCAACACTTAAATTTTGCAGCACCAGAGTTTTTAAGTACAAGAATCAAAAGCAAGACTATGACGATGAAGAAGCTCTTGTTATGATACCTGATAAATTTAGAAGCTAGCTTATACATTCGATGTTATCAGCATAACAGTTGCAGTAGAGGAAAGAAACTGATGCAAATAGGAAACCAAAGGCCTTGTACAAAGAAACCGACTTTCAACTGCCAGGAGAAGCTCGATAGCAAAGAAGGTGCACAAACAAACTCAGAAACCTCGAAATCTATCAGTGCTAAGTGAATTACTTTATACATATGAATAGATTTGAATGCTAAACTCAAATCAGATGCTCTCGCCTGTTTGTAGCAATGCCTTCTCAGTGTAAAGTAAATGACCATCACAGAACACTGATGCTACTAAAGGCTCAACAGCTTTCTCAGCTGCTGCATTATGTTGAACAGAAGAGAACTAAATACTCGAAAGTACAATCAAATTTACATGCAACGTATATACGCTAATTGACTTATTTCTACCAGTAGAGAACGGGAGATGAAAACTGTCTGTGTCTGTCTCTTTGCAAGAATAAGAAAGAATACACATTGCTAAGCTACCCATTTATTCTTGTAGTGATGACACATTTAGTAAAAAATCAAACTCACAAAAGAAGAACCTGTTGAATTAGGATCCATGAAAGAAATTCCTTTCCCATCTACAAAGAATTATATGCACAACATGCCATCGTCATTACAAAAGTCTATCATACATGTTTCTCTGCTACTAGACGGACCTTTTTCAATGACTCTTTAAATGCTTGCCAAGCAACCATATAGTGGTCTTGAGATACCATTCCTTCCTCGACTACCTGCATGGCTCGTCTGTACAAATGATCGAACCACTGAACTGGGTTAGATGCATCCACATTGTTGGACCCAAGTTCCGGAACATAGATTCGCTTCAAATCCTTCCTCCATCGACCTAAAATATAGTGGGAAGGAATCTCTTCCACGCCATTGTATTTTAGAATATATAAAGCATGCCGACATAGGTAACCCTTGAAGCTGAAGCAGCCACAGCTGCAGCGAACTTCAGCTCCTGCTTTGTCATACATGACCTCATAGTTCCTAGGATCCTCGAGATTTTCCTCCCCTCGATGTTCTTTCACCGTGTATGTAACCACAGGACCACCGGCATTGACTTGTGATATGCTGAAGCAAGACGGCATCAGCACGACTTCATCCTGGAATTTCTCGAATATCTTCTTGGTGTAAACTTTCGACACCTGTAACTCATAATAGCTATTTGTTCTCAATGGCGGGGTTGAATTTCTCGATTCAGAATCATCAAGGGATTCCTTCTGATGTATCTTTTGGAGAGCTAATTCATAAATGTCCAAAAACTCTTTCAAAGAAGTCTGTTGGTGCAAATTCCCTTCGAAAAATGGACCCATAGATTCTCCCTTCTGGAAAACAGAAATTCCAGCGAAATACGTATCTTTGGAGTAAACAGGAGCCCACTGCTCCTTGTCTTCATAAAGAGTTCTCAGCCAATCATTACCTGCAAGACCAAAGTGCTGCAGCATATGGTCCCACGCCGTCTCAAATTCATCTACTTTTGATGAATCATAGATAGTTGCATTCATGATAATTTCAAATGTTCCATAGTCCTGCAGATATCCAAAACTTTCCATTATACTTTGCACAACATGTGGCAAATAAAGTCGATGATGAGCCCTAGGAAAAACCTCTGCAATTGCACTTTGCATAGTCTGACAATGGTGGTCAGTAATGATGGTTTGTGGAGGACGACCTAACATGCATGTAAGCCATGCCCTGAACAGCCAGATATATGTTTCAAATGACTCATCCAGAAGCAAACCACAACCAAGGAGAATACGCTGTCCATGGTGATTTATCCCTCCAAATGAAAAGAGTGGAACTTCATATTTCTTTGACAAACACAAGGACTCGAATATTACCACATCCCCAAAGTAACCATATGCAGCCCTGGACCTAGATCCGATCCAAAAAACATTCCTAAGAAATCCTTCATCATTGAGATCCATCAGGTAGAAAAAGTCCGGATCTTTCAGCTGAGCTTGAGAGAAGTAGCTATACAAAACCTGTGTATCCCCTTTTTGAAGTTTCAAGCGCTTGGATCTATCTGTTTGGTGGCTACCTTCCCCTTCATTAGAATTGGAGCTTCCATAGCCTAATGGGTCAGTCGTAGGTGTTCGATAGAGCTTGATTGTTCTCACTTCAACGTCAACAGTTGGTTCCATCTTCCTTTTAGTTCCTGAATCCATTTTCTTGTGGGACTTGGAATTCTGCACTCTGTCGGGGTCAAATGAGTGGTTGTGGTCAAGTTTAACCTCATCCACCCTCCACCTATTGGATTCTACTAACCTCAGCCTTACCATTGCCAGACAACCGGTTCTCGTTTCCCTTCGTCGACTGTTTGCTTCTTTCATCGTCTTAAAACCCTCGCAATTGCAACAGAGCACTGCACCACGCTTCTCTTTGCTGTTACGTTTTGTCCACGAGGATTTAACCCGAATTGCAAAACCCAAATCCTTGGCATAGCAACTGTAATAGCTGTATGCATCGTCGTATGATTCAAACTCCATCCCCACAACAGGTGCGGGATAGACATTTACCTGAGGTTCACCATTTTCAGCATCAGGGGTTGCCATATCATTGCTGGTATGACCATGTTCTTCAAATTCAAGCATTTGCTCACAATCGTTCTCAAGGTCATTGTCTTCTATCTCAAGATTGTTCTCTTCTAGCTCAAAGTTCGTCTCTTCTATCTCGAGATCATTGCCCTCTAGCTGAAGAGCACTCTCCTCAATACCAAGGGCATGGGAATCTATATCAAGGTTGGTGTCATCAATTTCAAGGTCATCAGTCTCGATTTCAAGATCGTTGTCGTCAAAATCGAGTCCATTTCCGTGATCCTCAAGAAGTTGCTCACTGTTTTGCCCATCTTCTCCTAGCTGCAAAGGAAAATCAATTATGCCATGCTTCAAGAGGAGAAATTCTGAATGAAAGAGAAGAGGTGAAAGCAGAAACAAAGTCGTAGCTGCCAATAACAAACTGGACTCTAAACGCGATAATCTTCGTCGAAATTGGGATTCAAATTTGACAAACCAAGTCCCCAATTCAGCTATGACAGACTTAACATTTTGCAGCAGCTAAGACAGTACGTAAAGATGGCTACTTTTCAGAATCCACAATCATCAGGACAGTCATGCCCGCAAGAGAATAAGAAGTACCTCGATCATCGCCACGGGCAAGGCTTATATCTCCAAAAATCCGGAGGGTGGAAATGAATTCAATCTCTCGAACTGCACTCGGAAACTGTTTCCCGAGAAAGAGACTGTGAAGTCGAGGACTTGGAACTGTTGGGCTACTGGCCTGCACCCAACCCCTCAACTCTCCGACCAGTCACCGCCGGAGAGAAAGTGGGAATTTCTGCTTTCACCCCAAATGGCAAGCAGAGGTAGATGGTAGAGGAATCAATTCGGTGTTTAGGGTTCCTCGTTTCTTCAATTCAACTTTTGGGAGGGAATAGGAATTTGACAGAGTGACGACGAGACAGGGGTCAGGCCGTTCAACCGTTTCAATCGGCAGCTGGAAAGTATTTGACAGAATTGCCCGAGTCTGACCTTATTGGTTCAACCGGTCAGGCGGCTCGGAGCTGACGATAATGATTTGGCAGTCGTAAGCTGATGTGGAAGCAGAGCTGGACATGACGTGGATAGAGGAAAGAGACAGCTGGCGTTTCTCCATTCCCCCCAAAAGAAACTGACCGAAGGAGGAGCGACTTCCTGCCCGGGAAATGAGCGAAGGAAGTAGTAGGGATATTAAAGAGGCCGGCAGAAGCCGAGTCGCTGTGTTGAGCTCTCACATCGTTTCCATGGCTTCTGAGAAAGACGCTGCCCTCGCGGCCGCCGCCGCTCCTGTCCCCTCCGATTCTCCGACCATGTGAGTCAGAGACTCATACTCTCCTTCTCTCCGTTCGATTCATTGTTTCTGCTACTCAATAATTCCCGGACTAGGGTTTTTGCTGTATCCATTTCACTTTCGTAGATGCTCTCTGTATTCGATGATTGTCAAGTCTCTCAGTTTGTAATCTCCAAAACCCAGATTTTAGGAAAAGAGAACTGGAATTGGTTGTAAACCGTTTAGTGGATGATGATGATTAATATAGACTACAGTAGCTTCTTGAGTTGAGTCCATGCGCTCCATACAATGCCCAAAGATGGAGTTTTTTTGTTTCTATTCTTCAGTCCCATGCTTTGTAATTGATTTCACGGTGCTTAATTCAGATAATCATCGGAGTTGTAATGGGGGTTTTCTGTTTGCTTATATCTCGTCGTCATGTCGTGCATCGGTCACTTGGAAATTGGAATGACAATTTGCTAAGTAGCTTTGCGTGGAGTCTGCAAGGATGAGTATTGGGATTCGACTGTGTTCTTATTTAGGTTTGTATGAAATGCAGATTTGACAAAATCATCAACAAGGAAATCCCATCAAATGTGGTTTACGAGGATGATAAGGTACCCTCTATTCATTCGTGTCTTGATATGTGAAAGATTTCATCTTTCTTCTGTAGAATGTCTTATTGTGATTGCAACGCTGCCTACTGCTTAAAAAAACTCGCGAGTTTCTTCTCACTACGCTTCTCCTTTGCTTCCCATGGCAGGTGCTAGCTTTCAAAGACATAAATCCTCAAGCGCCCACCCATATTGTCATCATTCCGAAAGTCAAGGATGGCTTGTCAGGCTTATCTAAGGTATTAACTATTATTGACCAGTGCTCCCATTTCGGTTTTTCATTGACTAATAGCATTGTTCTTCTGTAAAGTCTCTAGCTTTATGCCCTCGCGTGATGCTCTTGCTTTACCGCATCTACTTCTTACATTGGCTGATCTTCAACAATGCTATAATCCCAAGTGTCAGGTGTGTGGCAAAAGGATTATCCTATGCTTTTCTGATTACTATCGTCTGGGGATCTATCTGTGTAGGCTGAAGAGAGACACTGTGAGATCCTTGGCCGACTGATGTATACTGCCAAGCTGGTGGCAAAGCAGGAAGGACTGGATGATGGATTTAGGATCGTCATCAATGATGGACCAAATGGATGTATGTTCACTCTTTTCTCTTGTTATGATTCCTTCGAAGATATTTGAATTATGTTTATCCGTTAAACAAGTTAAAGATCATCACGAGGAAGCTTACCTATCGGTTTGCTGTATGGTACCTGTTGTAGGCCAATCTGTGTATCACATTCACGTTCACCTTCTCGGAGGACGTCAAATGAACTGGCCTCCTGGCTAAAGATTGGAGTTCAAATACTGTCATGCGGCGCGCGCGACTAGTGGCTTGGTCCTAAGGCTTTTTAGAGTTGATAAGGTACTGCAATGGTGGGATTTCTGGAATAATGGGTTCATATGCTCTACTGCAATGGTTTTCTCTTGGTTATTTTGGGGTCTCCTTTGAATGCTGGTTCCTGCATGATGTCGGTTCCTTAATGGTGACAACTGAAACATAACCGTACAGTATTGCTGTCGAGTACTTTCTTCTCCTTGTTAGCAGCTTATGTTGAATAGATTGGGCGAAAATTATAGAATCGTCAGAAAGTTGAACTTGGAAGTTAGAACTGAAAGAAACTGGTGAAAGATAATGGTAACGAAGAAAGCCAGAATAAGCAAAACTTGCACTAGCAACAACCAATTCAATGTGTTCCCAACTTGAATAATAACCGAAAAGACAAACCGCATTTCAGAAAAAAATGAAATCCACCGTTTAACCACTGGCAGAAGCGCCGGCAACGTCTATCCGAATGAGAAATCCACCCCCAACCGCATCACCTTCCTTCTTTCTCTAATTCCCTTTTCTTTTTCGGTTTTCGTTGGGCGGCTTTCTTCGAACAATGTGGTACATCGTTTGCATCGACACCTCGTAATCCAAACTCCATCTAAACCCAGCACCAGCAGCAGCGCCGCGGTCTTCTTCCAGTCTCCAGACGCTAAACGACCCTTCTTTCGAGTTGGCTGCTAGGCCAGGGCGTGGAAACACCATCCCTCGCAGAAACCCTTGTGACGCCCCGATCAAGAAGCTGTTTCTATCCATGTCGTGCGACCATAAATGGGAGCAATCAATCACGACGGGGCGAATCTGCATGTCCTCGAGGAAAGGGTCGAAGACGACAACATGAGCTTCCTTGGTCTTCCAGAACAGCTTCCCCATGGATGTGGATTGAGCGGTGATGGCATTGTAGGGTGCGGTGGAAGGCATGAGCTGAGATGGAGTGTAGGGGAAGCGAATGACGAAGTCGTGGTACTTCCATTCCCACGACTCCGAGTGGAACGCCATCATCCCAATCTGACCTCCAGCATTAGACATGAACACCACACGAAACCGGGGATTCTCCTGCACCACCGATCCATTGTCGTCGTAGGAGCAGTAGGGTTTGCAGACAAACCCGATCAGAGATACATCAATGTCAGAAACAGAACCCACAGGACGATGCGTTCCGAAAACGACTTTCAATCTCCAATAGCCCACTCTTTTAGATTCAGGGACCGGAGGCAGGGCGACACATTGTTTCGTAAACGGGTTGCACACAAACAACCTAGTGCCGTACCTGCAGTCAAAAAACGAACACTAGACCGAATTTCCTTGGTCATGGCTGTCTTCAACCAGCCCTTGACCATAGCATCACAAATCTTCCACTGGGTACGAAGAGCAGCATCGGTAGGTTGGGGAATAGAGCCATCAACAAAGCCAATCTTATTTTTGGCAATAAAAGAGTCGGTGATATCACCAAGCCACTCACCGTAATTGGAATCGGTAAGTAATTCGCCGACGAACAGTTGATTTGGGCTGTCCGAGTTATGAAGGATGAGCGCCGGGGGAAGATCGTTGCCGCTGCCCGACGCCGAAGACTTCTTCATGGTCTCGGTAGCCGAGGACTGCTCATCATCGGAAACCATAGCTTCGGAAGAAACGCCGCGAGGATCTACTCACAGCTCTGATACCATGATAAAACTCAATAAACCAATACGAGAACACAGCGATTTACGTGGTATCCTTGCTCGGTGTGAGCAAGACTAATCCACGGAAAACCCTCTCAAGGGGTTTTCGGCTATAGCTTTATTAGGGTTCATATAATTGCCCTATACACATACTAGTCGGCCGCTACACAACAGCAAGCCATATATATAAGTGCTAACCCTTTTTACATAATGCTACTAGGGTTTACACAAAATACTAAAAGGTCCTTAAAACAAGTAATGCTGACAAACATGTACGTGCTCAACACATGCAACTCGCAGCGTACACTGTAACATAGTAGTTTGTAATCAGGCTTCAAATGGTAACTATAAGTGATACATATATCCTTTAGGAGCGATTTTTAAATGCAACAATCTGAACCCTCCCTTCGAGTTTGTGCATAATGATCTGTCATCCAAATGCTGCTGGCCTAGTTGCCTTCTCCTTGGTTGGCAGCTGTTTACTGGTGATACGTGTTCTTAATCTTATGTTCTAGCTGCTTCCCCTTGGCAGGGAGAATTCGGGATGTCAAGGAAATTCCCAAGGAAGCAATCACCAAAAAGAAGAAAAATGGTTGTGTCCATAGTGAGAAAACTACTGGTGGCGAGACTGGACAATGGTGATCTCCACAAGGAAAAGTCCAGGACGTAATTCTTAATGCACACGCTGGGTTTGCCACCGTCTCACTGTATGTCCAATTACTTGATGCTATGGCTAGAATCTCATGGGATAACACTCAGAATTTTCTGGAGTTGGGACCCATGTAGGTCTACCCATCCCAGGGCAGTGTTTTGTTTGCTGTGAGGTGGTTTTTTATTCGTCCGTAGAGGATGCATTGGTGTCCAAGAAAGGTGTCAATCAGACTAGTATGATTGACCGGACTGCAGAATTTTCCTGTTTTCCGAGATCTTTCGTTTTATGTGGCACTTCAGAAAGATTGATCAAATTGAGACTACCTTGCAGTTATTGTCATTAACCTTGGACAACTGAAGCTGTGCAAATGTGCATTTCTGTTTCATTTTGGTCAAACAAGTAGTAAACAGTTTGATCTGGGCTCTTCCTATTTCACATCCACCCTTGTTTGTTTCTCAATTTTCACTTTTATCTGAAGGTGGCTTGAAACAGATATATCTATTGTTATGCAGACCTAATCTTTTTTCATCTAGATTTGAAGCTGGCTAACTTGAAAGTAATACAGCTTGCAGTGCACCCATTGTTCCTTCAGCCTTCGTGGGTTATTGGCTCAGCGCAGTCTCAATGTTTATTGTTCTATGTGGTCAATATGTCTTGATACTCTTTCTCTGTTTTCTGTGTTAATTCCTATTTTGGTTTTTCCCACTCATAATGAGTTAGCTGCCGTTCCAGGTTTCTTCTTGCTGGGATGAGAAGGGTGTATCTGGATTTACAGCTTTCAAGTACTCTCTTATGCGGTTTGAAGTGCAGCCACTGTTGACCACTAATTAGGTTCTTTACATGTCTTCTCTCACATTTATCAGTTCCGTTTTCTTGATCTCACGGTTCATCCCTAACGTTTTCTGGTATTGCTAATGCTGGTCATATGCATGCCTTCAAGCTCTGTGTTTTTTTTCTCTGTCTGGAACTTTTCAGTCATAACTTATACGTCATCGAAAAATTAGAATTCCTGACAGCGCAGCTGTAGGATGCAGTAATGTGTGTTTAGGATAATTTTTTTAGCTGAGATTTCCTATTTTGTCAAGTGAGTGATTGTACAAAATGATTAGAAAAGCCTGGATAAACACACTTGAGAGGCGTGTGAATCCTGAAGGGAAGAATTTTTACATGCTGTTGTGCAATGAAACGCTACTAGTAATGAAAAGAAGACGAGAGAAGCTGCATGTTGGAGAGATCTTTGAATCCAGGATCATCAGAGCTGAGAATCCAGCTGAGAGGTAGCTGAACTGTAAAAATTTCAGAGGTCTCTGGTTTTCGATCGACAGTTCTTAGCAGGTAAACTGCTATTCCTGCTCTTCTTCATCTACTGATTCTGTACTTAGATCACGTTTTTGCTATACTGCTGCTCTTGGAATCTTGATTTGATATCAGTCTGCGCGGTCAATTTCAACCAGTTCTATTCTTCAGGAATCTCGCTATCTGAATTAGTTTCTCTGGAAGACTTTCTGATCAAGGTACTGTTCCATCGCTATCTGGCTTTTCTCGATTTAGTTTAGTAAACTGAGATTCTGTCGATTACATTGCTTTCCGTAGTTCATTTTCCGTTTTCGTGCTCTAGAATCAATTGCGCGGACTACCTTCGGCGATCAACAGTTCCTCTGTTTGCTAATTTCAGGAATCTCGCTAGCGAAAGTAATTCTCTGAAATCCTATCTGATCAAGAAGGTACGGCGACCACGCTCTCTCGCGATTTCACTTTCCTTTGCTATCTCTCGCTCAATCGATAGCTTAGCTTCTGTCTGATTACTTTGTTTTACGGTTTTCATTTCCGCTTTCATCTCTGGAATCGCGGATTTGAGATTCTTTTGCTGGCTCGCTTGCAGTAGCCTTGAACGTTGATTTGGAAATAATTGCTAGATGAATGCGGTGTTTGGCCGATTATTTCCTTTTAGGTCAGGGATCCAAGTTCGTGTTTCCCCTTCTGTGTGTGCATTCCTTTTCTATACTCGTAGTGCATCAATTAGGTTTCACTGTATGGTCGTGTTGGGTCTTATTGGTTGGGCTTTATAACTATGTTCGAGTCTAGTTAGTGTGTCATTATGTGAGTCACGTTAGTATGTAGGCTTGTGTTAGTACTTAGTAGAATGAATTGGCAGCAGTATAAGGTGTCTAGTTAGTTGCTGATTTTAAGGGGTTAGGGGTGGTAGTGGCTGAATATCGGTGTGTAGTTAGAGTGCAGTAGTACTTATGTAAACTGTAAAGTAGAACACCATTCAATAAAACGATTTAGAGTTTTTCTCCAATTGAGTTTACATGTCGATGGCAGTGTTTGGCATTTAGCTTCAGAGGTTAAGTTCCTGCTTTTCAGTGAAAGAATATGCTTCCTTTTTTAGAACAAACTACTGATGCATCTATGCGCTTCTGACCTTATACTTTTATTGCAGAAGATGGATATTGTCGTACCTGAACGGTGTGCCCGCTGCTTCGGGCAGGGACATGATGTTTGTTAGTGGAACTGCCCTTTCCGATCCATACTGGGTATGAATCGCCCTGAAGATGTTCGAGCAGCTAATTCTGCTGATGAAATTTTTGTGGGTGTTATGCGAGGTCTTCCTCCACTCCAGAGGCTCGATGCAGTGAAGTACTACTTGGTCAACTTTCAGAGTATTTGCCGCTCTACTGCCGATGCCAATACCGATCTGTTGCTTGCAGGGCAGACATTAGAGTTGGCAAATAATGCTCCTATTGCCGATCTAAGGCAAATGGTCTTAGATTTACTCCTCTTGGAGAACCCATGGAGGCACTTGATCGATATGCGGCGACAGGCAATACTTGGTAAGCAGCAAGTTGTGGATTGCTGTAGTCTCTTCACTAATATGTTTTTTTGTACATTACAGGTGGGGTTGGTGGCGGGGGGGGGGGGGGGGGGGGGGGGGGGGGTCGTGGTCGGGGAGGTCGTGGTGGCCGGGGTGGTGGGGGCGCACCGGATGGCTTTCACTTGCCCGGTGTGAGGGCCCGAGTTGGTGTCGTTCGAGTTGCTCTGACTATATTTTTGGCTCGAGTTCAAGCTATCGAGGCATTGATCGATGATGGAGAAGGTGCTGCTGAAATGATCGCAGCGGGTTTTACCAGTTTAGACCGAGTTGACGATCGCCTAGAAGAAGTTCAGTTCATCCCAACTGAATTTTGACATACATCATACCATTATGATTATTAAATTCTCTAATCCTCTCCCATTTTTATTGTGAATGTTCATGAAGTCTTGATATAGGATTTTATGACAAAATTTGTCTATCATGACACTCAATATGTTGTTAGTTTTTTTAAGTTTGGACTAACCTTCCATTTATGGTTGTTGTCTAGATGTTAGTTTAGACTCTCAATCTCAATCCAAGACACTAATATACATTATCATTGGTTCTCGTCTTAACATGGTTATTCAGAGTATAAATTTCCAACCTTTTCAATTTGCGTAAAGTAAAATATCTTTATCTTTTGTGTTTTTATGGGACAAAAATTTCATTACTTATACTAATAATTGATAATAAAAAACATGTCTACAACATATACATATTTCAAGTTCATTTAAAACTAAGTATTGTTTGAAATAATTTATAATTAACAAAATTTATAAATTCATACAAACATTGTGACATTTCACATGCATTTAAATTCTTGGATGTATTGTAGGAACATTTATTGTTAATATCTAAACATATATGCATAAAGATTTTATTTTATAACCCCAATTAATACCTTTGAACTTGGATCGTTGGATGAAATATGAAAACAAATTTATTTTGCTAGGGTAACTCGATTTTAATATAAATTGCTTAATTTTACAGGCTAAAATTTTGTTGAGATATCGAGAAAGTTTTGTTACTACTAAAATTTTGTATGAAATTACAGGCTGACATCCATATTAAAGTCGTTCTTATTACAGATTGTTTTATTAAACTCGTTCTTATTAAAGATTCCTTATTAAACTCGTTACTACTAAAATCTTACAATTGTCTTATTAAACTCGTTCTTATTAAAGATTCCTTATTTTAACTTAGTACCTCGGTTTAGAGTCTTGTATCTATTAAATATTTGTGTTTAGATATCTCAACTAACACCTTAATGTTTATTTATTGCTTTAGTAGTCGAATTTAGATTTTTCTACCAAAATATTCAAATATTAAACAAAAATTCCGACCCCTATTTAATTAATGTCTAGGTCAGTGGTTGTTGAAACATGATGTTTAATGTACATCCTTAACAAAGATTTATCTAACTTTCACATGCGTCATTTTTCAAGTCAACTCATGTCTCATCCTAGGATATGAAGTTGAAGTTCGTCAATAATCATGCTTAAGTCATTTTGAAAACTTAAATTTATAATTCTCGACAATTAATAACTCCAAGTCTAAAAAAAGATTCTTAGCATATGACGTAAGTCCTCAATAGAGCTTGCGAGCAAATATTAGTAACGTGAACTTAGAATACATTGTAAATTATTGCACATGTGATATCTACGTTTTCACTTAATTAGAATGAATAGGATTTTTTTTTAATAAAGAACTACTTTTACTTGGTCAAATTTCTATGAAGACCTTTCTTGGTTTCCCTCTTTCCTACGTAATATTTTTCTATTAGACAGAATATTGTTATTTATGTGTGAGTTTGTTTAAATTGTTTATCAAAATGTAAATTATTGTTGCGCACATCGATATAATGCAAAAGTGAAAAAAAGGAATTATTATATAAAATAAATATGTAAAGAAAAGAGTTAACAAATGTGATACATGTCACTCTTTATATATGATCTATTTCTATGTACATAGATATCAATAATTTTTTATTTGTAAATAAAAATTCACCTTGATAACTTGTGAACTCTCCAAATATAGCAAAATATTATTTATGAATTTCTGTAATATTATGTAACACCCTACCTTGTATTCATGTTCCTAATATTTTTCTTGACCAATTTAGGCTTGGTTTACCTACACTCTTTATATGAAGTGCATAGAAAACAAAATGAAGTTGTATTTAAAACCGATATTGTCTTAAGCCTTAGCTTGCAAAAACTTTACTTTTCCCTAACTTTTAATTGAAAGATTTGTGGAGAGTTCAGTTCCGCCGCCCACCTTTTAGCCATTTGGCCGACAGTACTCATCCGTCTCGCTCTACTGATGTCGTTCTAGTCCTGTGAGGAAAAAATATTGACGGGGTGAGACGTCACTCAATGAGTAAACAATAACCTAATATAAATATTAATATGAAATGATATCGGGTTGTGTTGTGACTCGGAGTGTCTTTTGTCCATTAAATTCGGTGCATATTTAATCACTTGATAACTTTACCTATGTCTCACTTATGTAGATTCACACAAAATTTCTTCCCTCGTTCATTCGATCTTTCCCATATACGTTATATATCATACATGATTCGTTTAGGGTTTCACCTTTACTTTACCCTACCTGATGTTGCAAATAGTTCATATTTATTCTCATACACCATACAAAATTTTCATAATTTCATTATATCTTTATACTTCTACCAACACCGCATCATGAGAGGTATTGTAGACTCATAACATTATGTACGTCAACATCTCATGGTAGTATCATAATCAAATGAACATATCATCACTGCTTATAAAATAGTTTCCTGATTAATCGTTGTACCACTCGTCATAGGAGATTATCACAAAATATAACTCACCATGTCACCTGATATCACATATAAAACACATCGACCTTCACATATTTCATATATCGTATAGGGGTTCACCTTCTATATATCAAATATGGCAAATACTAAGATTGCCATCTCAATCACATATCACACAAAGATGACAAATACTAAGATTGACATTTAAGTACTCATGTTGCATCCAAAAGCACCCATGAATCAACATCCAATCACACAAGTGCATACATATAGTTAGCTGGATTCAGTAGCTTTTATTCTTTAATTTGTCAAGTCATGCACTCCCCGGGATCTCGTGAACTCGTAATCTCGTAGGCACAAAGTGCCAGATCTCGTAAACTCGTGGGCACAAAGTGTCATATCTCATAAACTCTTAGCCATGCCTGACATTACTCCTGAAAAGGAGTTATCGTATAACTCTTTTATCTCTTAAGCTTGAAGCCTCTTTTCACTTATAATGAGTGCATGACAGGGCGCCATTACATTTGCTTTAGGTGACCATGTAATTCTTATAGTTAGTCACAACTAAACATAATACTTGTGTGACCCAAGGCCATTTCATATCACATTCACTTGCATGACTCATAGGCCATTTTATCTCATCTCGTATAATTGGCAAAAGGCAACCTTTCTTGCCATTCTTTCCACTTGACCGCCTCAAATGACATTTCACATATCATATACTCATCACATAATATCGTTTAGCACACACATAACAACATGTATTATGACCTTCTGGTCATACCATCATACAATCATTTCGTCATACATTATCATATAATTACCATGCTATGGTAACCTCATCCAATCATACGATAATTAAATCAATCATTCAATCATGTAACCATACCATATACCGATATTCAAATCAAAATTAGTTTAAAGCTTACCAAACCATCATACACGTTGTACTCAGACCGCTTCATGACCCGAAATACCATAATCATATTAAGATAAACATTAGGTTAGAATTTACTTCACTACTCGATTACTCTGCTAAACCCTTATGCCTTGATGATTCTCCAGCATGCCCCTTTCCTTTAATAAATCACATACACATGTTTAATACATGAGCAATTAATTACCAACAACTTAATCAAATTCAGATAGTCTGTAAACAATGAATCCTCCCAATTAATCACCCTACTTGGAAAACATGTATATACTACTCTATCATGTAATTCCTTATTGACTCTTATCATGTAATTCCTTATAAACAATGAATTTGCTTCCCATAACTAACATTTTAACTTCATTAATCCCCCCATGTGAAGACCACGTACAGCCCATGAATGCAATTTAAGTGATTATTTCAATCAAACTTACTAATTAACATGCATGAATAAACACTTTTCCCCTCATAATTGAACTAATGATAGAATTAGTCTCAGGTCTCAAAAATAGTTACGGTTACATTACACAGAGTGAGTGAGTCAAGCTAAATATAGATATTGAAGAACGAAAAAGCCACATGAAACCTCTGCTGCCCCCCGCCGGCTTCCATGTATGATTAAATCCGCCTACCGTCTTCCTCCTCCAAAGCCCTTGTCATCCCCGCCGTCTCCGAATCCCCCAAATCGACCCCCGCCTCCAAACGAGCTGGAACGCTTCGAGCCAGAGTCACCGAACCCACTGGAACGGCCTGAGCTGAAGTCGCTGAACGAGCCACCACCTCGGTCCGACTTGCCAAAGTCACTGAACGAGCCACCGCTGCTACGACCTTGACTCGAACCACCATAGCCGCCTGGCTGAGACTGGAACCGTCCACCACCGCTGCTGCCTCCTTGTCGACCACCATAGCCTCCACCACGTCCTCCAGAACCGTAGCTACTCGAACCACCACCACCACTACCGAACCGGCCATAGCCGCCACTGCCACCACGGCCTCCTGAGCTGCCAAACTGGCCGAATCGACTACTGCCGCCCATGTCTAGGTTCATGGCTCCAGCATCAACAGCAATTTTTGGGAGCTGGAAAAACAAAGAGGACAAATTATGTAAGTCTGAAGTTCGATCAACAAGGGGAAAAAGAAGAAAAAAGGGATCAAGTTAGTCAACCAACCTCGGTGAATCGGCATCCTACTTCTCGCTCAAGGATCTTCACTTGCCTACTCTGATCCCCGCCGTAAATGAGAATGGCAGTTCCCTTTTTCCCAGCACGTCCAGTACGACCAGATCGATGAACAAATGTCTCGGTTGAGTTTGGAATAGCATAGTGTATAATCTGAAGAACGAGCCAAAGGCAGTGGACAAGTTAATTAAAAGTGGCCAGAATGAAGGGAGCCATAGTTTATTAAAGGAGTAAAGCTACTGTGAAGGTGAAGGACTTTTGATTATGAGGATGTAAACCTTATTTGGATCAAAAGGAAAGGCTTTTGGTTGAAACTAAAGTAACGTCATAGCATGATAACACTAATGGATCGAAGCAAAAGCCATGCATTGAAACCAAAGTATAAAGCATAAACCGAAAAGGAAACGAATCTTACCAGATCAACATTTGGTACATCTAGACCACGTGCAGCGACATCAGTAGCCACAAGTATATTGAACTGACCATCTCGGAAACCTGCAAGTGTCCTTTCCCTTTGCATTTGAGAGATATCGCCATGCAATGCTTCACATTTATGGCTTTTTGCCATAGCATAAGCCAAACGGTCCGCATCACGTTTTGTCTCTGTGAACACAATACACTTTCCTCCCTTCCCATGTTCCTAGCAAGAGCAAGATAAAAATGATAAATGAGAAAGAATGATTGCAACAGAAGGAAATTAGATCTCTTATAACAGCTAAAATGTAACAACTTTCATACTGCAATCAAAGGAGCGAGAACGCCTGCTTTCTGATACGACTCTGATGCAATAGAGTACAGAGTAATCCCATCAGCTAGCTTCTTATCCGAATCACCTACCTATAAGAGAAACACAAAGTTATTACTTCAAATGTTTTACAAAACACGTCAACTAAAGGCAACTTCCAAGCATTACATACTAACCAGATCGATAGTCAGCGGCTTTGTTAGGTAATTCTTGATGAGGTTCTTGATCCAACTTGGCATGGTGGCAGAGAACAACATGTTCTGTCGCTTCGGTGGCATCTGCTTGAAGATTGTTTCAATATCATCAACAAAACCGACGGCAAGCATCTGGTCTGCCTCATCAAGAACAGCAAACTGGACTTCCGACAAGTTCAGAGCTCCTCTCCTCATCAGATCAATAATCCTACCAGGCGTGCCGACCACAATGTCAGTGCCATATTCGAGTTCCCTCATCTGCCGCTGAATGGGGGTACCACCATAGAGGCAGATGGTGTCCAGATTAGGTGCTGCCTCACGAAACTCTTTCTCCACCTGGCGGGCGAGCTCTCTCGTTGGCGCCATGACTAAGGCCAACGGATTCTTTCCACGTCTAGAAATGTATATGCACATTTGGATTGTCAAATAGGGAAACCAAATTCTAGAGAAACCAAAGTTTCAATGATGTATAATGAATATACCCATGCTTCGCATTGTACTGAATGATCTTGTCAAGGATCGGGATACCAAAGGCAAGGGTTTTCCCTGTTCCTGTTCTAGCCCTCCCAAACAAATCCCTTCCTGCCATTGCAGGCTCAAGAACAGCTCTCTGCCACGCAAAATAAAATCACTAAAATGAATACTGATAGCTAAATTAAACCAAACAAACCCAAATCTTAGAACTTTTCAATAAAGATAATCACCTGAATGGGGAAAAGGTTAGAGATCCCCTTAGTAGCCAAAGCCGACACAATCTCTTGAGCAATCCCAAGCTTGGAAATGTCTAGCCCTTCCTCGCTTTGGCTATTACTAGCCACCTTCGCTTTCCCTCCGCCGCCGATTATGTTGTCGTCGTCGTCGTCGTCGTGACCATACTGATGATCTAAGGCGAACTCAGCCTGGGAAATCGTGGACGACTTGTAATTCAATCTCCCAGCTTGAGTGTGAAACCCAGAGCTTACCGAAGATAAAGCTCCAAATCCCAACGAGAGAAGACCCTTTCCCGCCGGAAACGAGGCCGTGCCGGGGGCTGCAGCGGCGGAGGAGGAAGGGGAATTACCGACAGATACTGATGAAGAGCGGCGGCTGCTGCTTCGCACAATGGTTTCGACGGCGGCCAAGGCGGCGAGGGTCGCCGGCCTGCGAGGCACCGGCAACGAGCGACTTAGAGATGCCGTTAACATGATTTTGCAAACGGCTGCGGAGGGTTTTGGGTAGATGTAGGATAAAGGGGAGAGAGCGGTGGAGGTAGAAGAAGAAGCAGAAAACCCCAACAAGTGAAGTGTAGGGTTTAAGGAGAGGCGCAGATTGCTGGAAGAGATATTTATTTATTCTTTCTTCCAGGTAAAGATATCTATTTTATTATCTTTAACCTCTGTCTGCTTGAATGGGCCTGAAGCCCTGACTGGAACTCCTGAGTTAGCCTGCTGAAGCCAAATTTGTTCAGATTCAGACACAGTATTACTGTCCAGATTGTTACGTTTCAGGGTAATATCTCAGTATTCATATTTGTTCTAAACTATCATTTACAAATATGCAGCATAATTATGCTCATTACGTTCGATCGGTAAAGATTTCGATTCGTCTAATCTTCTAAAATTTGATTTGATACGAACACTTGTAACTTTTTTTTAATTATGAGAGGTAGATGACGGATTAGGTAATTGTATTTATATCAAAGTTGAAATATGACTGAAGGATGTGAATACAAATAATAGTGGAGAGAATTGAGATATAACAGGTTGAAAGTTGAATTGAAGGGAAGATCAAGCTGCTCATAAGACAAATTGAGTCGAGCAAAACAAGTCGAAATTACCAAGTACGAGGAGAGGGGGATAAGGGAATATTCGTGGTTTAGTACAGAGTATTGACAATATACTGCTGCAGTCCCAAATCTGGTAATCGACTTCTGGTATGGCCAACCATCAAAGGGGTTGCTGCATTGGTAAAAACGTAGAACTTGGGACGGTTTGCTCTCGAGTTTTGAGTCGGGTATGCAGCAGCCGTTCAACATGTACCCCCTGATGGCCATCGGCAGGGTTGTGTGCTTCTCTTTAGCCACTTTTGCAGGTTGGTCGGGTAGTCATGGGATATCAGGGTATCCCTATGCCGAGACCCTCCAAGGCAGCTGCAGGAGCAGGACACCTTCTGGACCGGGTCATAAAACGTGAGGGACACCATTTGAGCAGCATTCCACAGAGCTATCTGTTAAGAAAGACAAAATGCTCGGGATCATGAACTTCAAAGCTCTCGCCAAAAGGCAAGGTATGAATCACTATGCATAGAAATGGAGAGAGTGATGGATGAAACAATCCACAAACATTGATTAAGTTTCCATTTTGGTATTACAATCTACAGATTAAATCTCTGCACAAACTCAGCTTGTACAGTCGCTTGTTTTAACTAACTATTCAATCATACTAATATAGATCGTCCTCATACATGCAGGGGAAAAACCAGCAAATGACTCAAAAATAGAAATGCTGAAAGAAGAATTTGAATCGATCTGTACCTTCATATAGAATTACATCAGCATAGCAAGATTGGATGCAATCCAGCAGGCTCTAGAGGATCAGGCAATGGCATCAATCCTGTGCTGTAGTTAAACACAGGGATCAGACAACATAAATTTATTTTACTATCAAAGACTTGTGCTCAAGCATCACACCATTACAGTCACCAACAGGCAGCTTACACTTAACAACCTACGGTTTAATCAGCACATAATATGCAAACATATATATATTACACTCACCTCTATTACTCAGTTCGGTCGACTTGAAATATCCCACGACTTATATGGGCCCTGTATCAAGATGTTAAGTACGCTTGCTCCTCCTCCTCGCACGTAGCACTCAGGATTTTGTTTTTATCTCCCTCAACATGTCACACTCGTTATGAATGTACTTTTGAAGAAGGAAGAGAATTAACTACCGAAGACTTGTGCTCAAGCATCATACGTTACATTCACCAACAGGCAGCTTAAGATGGCCTGGTATCTCAACAATCCAAGGTCCTGAGATGAGAGAAAAAAGTTGCAGAAATCAATAAGATCTATGGAAGAGGCAGGCAGGCACTAAAGAGCCCTGAACAGAGACATGCCTAAAATATAAGTTGAAAGACTTTAATTATTGGAATGTACCAAATACCAATGTGTCCTCCTTCTGGAAGGGGGGCATGGCCAGTTCCTGCTGATTTGAGTTCGTCATTGTTACTTCAACATGAGGAAACTCCACTTCATGATGCTAGCGGTAAAACTTGTCTGCCGCTTAGTTTGCTCTTCGTGTCAACCTGCGTGTGAGAGTATAACTGTACATCTGGTTCGACATGCTTATTAATCAGAGATGCAGCAAATGTAGATAACGAGAATGTAAGGATCTGGATCAGTTGGCAACAAGCTAAAGTAAACATAGGCAACAAGGATAATCAGATAACAGAAACTTACATTTTCTGACATCATTGGTCCCCCATTTCTTCTGTAACAATAAACAAAGCAAGAATGAGATTTCAAAATTATGCCAAAATTCCCTCAAGAAACAGTAAGAATTTGGATAAAGAATGAACATGGCAGAAGTATAGTACTTCCTATTCAGCCTCTTTGAACAGGAATGAACAACTTACTAGGTCTTTGTAATTTACATTCCGGCAACTCTCTAACTTCATACATTATCAACATGATGAGAGACCTTTCCAGGCCGATGTTCAGGGTGACTGGAATGTTTCTTCTTTTGTAACCGTTTGTCCCTGACACCATCATACAGAAGTTCATAGGCATAGTAAGTTATACAACCTTTCTTCAGCAAATCTTCAACGACAATCTTGGGTGCTGCAACTGCCCTTTTATCAGCCTCAAAAATAGTATCCACAACCTCCGGGACAATGCCATTTCTCACCATCATATGGACTATCCTAACTGACTCGGGGACTTTATCTTGGACACACAGACAGTTGATCACTCTTCCAAAGGTCGTTAATGATGGAACAAAACCTTTGTCAATCATTTCCATAAGAAACTTGTATGCAGAGTCAATCCTCCACACTTTGCAGAAACCATCAATCATGACACGGTATGTGTAATCATCTGCACTGCAGCATTCTTCATTGCCCATCTGATGAAAAAGCTTTTCTGCCATTTCGATATTCAACTTTTCGGAAAACCCATTTATCATGATATTGAATGTCGACGTTCTCCACAAAATGTTGTATTCTTGCTTCATTCTTTTGAAGAGATCGTATGCTCTATCCAAATCCTTTATATTGCATAATCCATTAATGACAGTGCTGAAACTGACAGTATCTAGAACTAGACCTTTCTTCCCTATTTCTTCTAGTAAGTCCAGAGCCTCATTTACTTTCCTAGATTTGCACAGGCTCTCTACGAGTATACTGTAAGTGATCAGATTAGGAACACATCCTTTCTCCAACATCATCTTGAATGTTTCCATAACATCTTCAGACTTTGCAACCTTGCATAGGCCATTCAAAAGAGTGTTGTACGTGATCACATCTGGCAAGACACCATGACTCAACATGCTATTCAGAAGCTCAAGAGCATTCTCCATTTTCAGCTGCTTGCAGTATCCATCAAGTAATGTGTTGAATGTAAAAATATCTGGGATGTACCCTTTTGCAATAGCATCATTCAGAAGGTTAGTGGCATCAGAGACACATCCCATCTTACATAATCCATCTATTATCAGATTGTAAGTCCATGTATCTGGGATGCAACCTTTTCCCAACATCTCGCCCATCAACTCCAAGGCTTGGAGAACAAGCCCTTGCTTGGACAACCCTTTAATTAGTGTATTGTACAGAATAACCGTAGGCTTTAAGCCCTTCCCCTGTGCCTCGTTGAAAACCGATACAGCACGATCCACAAGATTATCCTGGCATAAACCGGTGATCAAGGCGCAATAAGTAAACTCATCAGGCACAAACCCTTTAAAGATTGCATCACCAAGAATTTTGTCAGCATTTGGCATCATCCCCATCTTGCAATAACCATGAATTATAGAGTTGTAGGTGAAGGCATCAGGCTGTAACCCTTCATTCACCATTTTATGCAGATAGCCCTCTGCTTGTGCAACTTTATTTCCTTTACACAAACCACAAATGAGAGTGTTATATGTGACAACATCGGGAATTAGACCTTCCTTGTTCATGCTCTCCAACATACTGACAGCCCTATTTACTGCACCTTTTCTACAGAGCCCTTGGATGAAGATGTTAACTGTATACAAGTTGGGACAGAAACCCTTCTTAAGCACCTTGCTCAACAGCTTTTCACTTTCTTTGACTTGCCCTTTCTTGCAAAGAACATGCATGAGCTTATTAAAAGTAGCAATGGCTGGAAAAATACCCAATTCAAGCATCTGGTTGAACAATTCATATGCATCAAGTAGATAGTGCCCATCATAAAACCCACCAACAACAGTACAATAAGCAACATCATTGACTTCACACCCTTGAGAAGACATGTTGTTCAGAAGCCTTAGAGCAGCATGAGGCCTTCCCGTCTTGCAGAAGGACTTTATCCTAATCGTAAAAGTGTAAACATCAGGAGAGATTCCTTTATCTCTCATCCTCAAGTAGACTTTATGCACTTGATCGTGATGCCCATAGTCAACCAATATATTCATGATGGAGTTATACGATAACACCGAAGGCTCGCAGTTGTAGAAATCCATCCTCTCAAACACATCAACTGCTTCCATCCAGCAAGTTATTATCGACATTCATCCTAGTTTCCATGAACACTTGCTCCATTGCCTGGAATTCACCATGGATACCTAGCTTCTCAATCATGCACCTATAGGTAGGCAATGTGTGCTTAAACCCATCTTCTATCTTCACAGAATTGAAAGTTTCAAGAGCTTTCAGAGGATCCTTTTGGTACTTTATGACCAAAGCCACATTCTTGGGGAGCAGAGCATGACTCATTCTAGAGAGAAAAATCCTGTATAAAGCTACGAAGGTTACCCGGAAAACCCCAGCTGAAAATGAGGAAGGCGAGGAGAATCAGCCGGCGCTACGGAGGACAAGACGCCAACGACGAGGGAGAAGCTAAAAACAATCTAGAAGACGACGAGTTGGAAAGGAAGCAATTATCGGAGCCCGGCGTCGCTGATTGTTAAATAGAGAAACCCAGTGGCTAGAGAATCTAGGAGCCGGAGTCAAATCTACGGGGAGGCGGCGTTTGGAGAGACCTTTTGCCGGCGGCGGGAGAATAGCGATTTAGAATCGTAACTGTAGGGATGTTTTGAAGGGTTAACTCACTTTTAGGTCCCTGAATTAGACGCTTTTTGCAAAAAGCTCTGAATTGATAATTTTGCACTGTACTTCGCGAGGTCAAGGTGGGAGCAAGAAGTTGAGGAAGCTGAGCCGTAAACGATGTCGAGAGCTCTTTCTCTCCGGCGCTCAATCCATCATCTCCTCTGCCGCGGTCCCTCTCAACCCATTTCCACCGCCTTCCCGCCGACAAAGCCGCCGATCCCTCCAAACAATCGCTATCCATCAAACCCTGTTCGCACATTCTCAACCTCCTCTCCCGCGCCGGCTTCGTCGGAAGCTGAGCTGCGGCGGTACCTCGGCTACACAGCGCTCGTGCTCTTCTGCGGAGCCGCCACTTACTTCTCATTCCCCTTCTCGGAGAACGCCAAGCACAAGAAAGCCCAGCTCTTTAGGTACGCCCCATTGCCCGAGGATCTGCACACCGTTTCCAATTGGAGCGGCACTCACGAGGTCCAGACCCGGAACTTCCACCAGCCCGAAACTTTGGAGGAATTGGAGAAGCTGGTGAAGGATGCCGACGAGAAGAAAACCAGGATCCGGCCAGTCGGGTCGGGGCTCTCGCCCAATGGGATCGGGCTGTCGCGTGCTGGGATGGTGAATTTGGGTCTGATGGATAAAGTTCTTCAAGTGGATAAGGAGAAGAAGACGGTGAGGGTTCAAGCTGGGATAAGGGTGCAGCAGCTGGTTGATGGGATCAAAGAGTATGGCCTTACCTTGCAGAATTTTGCATCCATTAGAGAACAGCAGATTGGTGGCATTATTCAGGTTCTATGTCCTTCTCTCACAGTCTCACTCACTGCCATTCGTTGTATTTCCTTTGGATGAGATATTTTAGTATTGGATATGAGGCAAAAGATGCTTCCTTTTTCATTTGCACCATTTCGTTTGAGATGTTTGGGGTAATCTGATTCACTGCTGCAAGTTTGCTAAGACAATTTGTTAGGCATTCTGCTGTGGAAAGAGTATGCTGTCATGCTGTTGTAGTGATCTCTTGGATATGCACTTTTGAGATTGATTTTAAATTATGAAAATTGGCCGGTTTTCAGGTTGGTGCACACGGGACTGGTGCGAAGTTGCCACCAATTGATGAACAGGTCATTAGTATGAAATTGGTGACTCCTGCCCAAGGCACGATAGAGATTTCGAAAGACAAAGACCCAGATCTGTTCTATCTTGCTCGTTGTGGTCTTGGAGGCCTTGGAGTAGTTGCTGAAGTCACCTTACAGTGTGTTGAGCGTCAAGAGCTTGTGGAGCATACTTATGTCACAGACATGAACGATTTGAAGAAAAACCACAAGTAACTACTTGCTCATTTGGTTGCATGTGCACATGAATTAATGACTTTTGTAGAAGAAAGTAATTGCATATGTAAAATGAATGGTTTGTACATCATAAAGAAATTTTTCTTGGATAACTCATGCTCATAGCTTTCCCTTGGATATCAGTTTCATATATAGACCAAGTAAATGAAGTCTACATTCATGCATCTAGAGTATGCATTCTATCTATTATTTGTGTCCTTGTGATGAGACTATCATTCATTTGATGTCCATCCTGCCTACCTGTCTCATAATCCTTCTTTTAGTATTTTGGCTAAGATGCAACATGTTCTGTTTGCTTATTCATTCCCAAAAGAATTGGAATTCCTATTGCCAGTTCTCTAAAACTTTATAAAGTTGAGATTTCGAATTTGCTTCTCCTGATCATTTTTATTGATCCACTTTTTCCCCCTCTTATTCCAGGAGGCTACTGTCTGAGAATAAGCATGTGAAGTACTTGTACATCCCCTATAGTGATGCTGTTGTAGTTGTCACCTGTAATCCTATTTCAAAGTGGCGGGGTCCCCCGAAATTCACACCGAAGTATACTAAAGATGAAGCAATACAGCATGTTCGTGATCTATACAAGGAGTGCCTTGAAAAGTACAGGTAGTTCAGCTATTGTCCCTGTTCTTGGTTGTTCTGTACCAGGACATCATATATACTGCATGCTTCCAAGTCTTCCAAGGTCTAGAAATGCTCAGAGTCACTTGTAATTGGTTTGTCTGGTGGAAGGAACTGTGTGATTTGAGCTTTTTTGCAATAGTAAGAAGTGATAATATAGAAGCCAATGCAATTCGTACCTTCTCTTTAATTTTCTCTTGTTTCTTCATTTTGTTCTAGCTCACGGATTTAATTAACCTGCCTGCTTTAACTAAGAGAGAAATGGGTTGGAAACATTTTTCTAACACAATTGACATGGGAATTTGTTTCATACACAAACCAATTGTAATCAACTAAAACTATGGCTTTTGCAAAATATCGAGTCTCTTCTGATACCTAATAGTCTCATTCGATTCATATAATTCTATCCGTGTGTATGTCAGCTGATTGCATGTTGCAGTTGATTGCAGGAATGGAGAAATCACGGCTAATCTTGTTGATGAGCTATCATTTACTGAATTAAGAGACAAATTGATTGCTCTAGATCCTCTCAACAAAGAGCACATTGTCAGGATTAATTGTGCTGAGGCTGAGTTCTGGAGGAAGTCAGAAGGCTACAGGGTTGGGTGGAGTGATGAAATTTTGGGCTTCGATTGTGGTGGGCAACAGTGGGTATCAGAAACATGCTTTCCTGCTGGTTCCCTTTCCAACCCTAGTATGAAAGATCTTGAATACATTGAAGATTTGAAGCAGCTCATCGAGAAAAGACGGATACCTGCACCTGCTCCCATAGAGCAACGTTGGACAGCTCGTAGCCGGAGCCACATGAGCCCAGCCTCCAGCTCAAACGAGGATGAAATATTTTCTTGGGTAAGTTAATAATTGCTTGATTTTTTCTTTCCTTTGATTCTTGTAAAGGTGTCTGTCTTCATATATGTATTCTGAGTGTTTGAATCTCTTCCTTCAACATATGCTGATTGCCTTGGAATACAAATGCTAAACTAAAGCTGTTAACAGCATTTAATTCAATAAGTTTTTGGAAGAGTTAATGAAAACACTCCTCTTTTGTTCTTGGTATCAGGTTGGTATAATCATGTATCTTCCTACAATGGATGGCCGCCAGAGAAAGGACATCACAGATGAGTTCTTCCATTATCGACGTTTGACTCAGACTGCGCTATGGGATAAATATTCTGCTTATGAACATTGGGCTAAGATAGAGGTAAGAAATCACTCTTCGGTATTTTGCCTCCTGTCATATGACATGTAAAAACCGTCTCTTTGCCTTGAGTTCCATTGTGCATCAGTGCATGGCTGAAACCTCACAAACTTTGTGTTGCATTCTGTTGAATTCCAATGATATACCCAGGTTCCGAGGGATAAGGAAGAGCAAGCAGCATTGCAAGCAAGGCTAAGAGAGCGCTTTCCTGTTGATACATATAATACTGCCCGAAAGGAATTGGACCCCAACAGAATCTTTGCTAATAACAAGCTGGAGAAGTTGTTCCCAGTATCACAAGCTGCTTGATTTCTTGGTTGCTTTCTTATCCCCCTCTTAGTAGTGTGGGAACTTGTATACTATAAACCGCTGCCTCTTTGCTTTGCTTGGGTAAACCTAGGCCTTTTGGTCTGGTAGAACTAGATACGAAAACTGACTAACTGAGAAAGTTTCACCAGAAATAAATGGCCATATTTTCAAGCTCTGGGCCAATAATGCCCTGGCAGGCTACTCATCTGCTCGCAATGTGATTATGTACCATTCTTTTGGTATGATCAATAGAATCATTTTATAGTCTTGATGTTCAGTATTTGCATGGTAGCCAGTATAATTACAGAAATGTGTACTTGTAGAAATTTTCTTGTTTAGAGCTGTTTTCTCGGGTCACAGGCATCAGTTAATCTTGAGCAAATTCGGAAGCCTGCAGCTGCTCAGAAGTGATGGTTGTCGACTTCTTCCTAAGAGATCAACTGTTTCGTCTCAGGTACTAATCTGGAGGAATTGCTTTTGTTTCAGTATGCAATACATTCTGAAATGCTGTGATATACCTACCTAGAACTGAGAGTAGAGTAGGTAGACTTCTGATTGGATTTAGGTATTTTTTGTTGCTATATTTCCTACTAAGTTGAGTCACCCTTCTGTTATTTTGACATTAGCCTGTTATTGAGACTTGCAACGATTTTGGAGATCTACCTTTTGTCAAGAACCAAATAGCAGGAGTAATTGGATAAAGAGAACAAAGATCTAGGAATCACTTTATTTTACAACATTAGGGGGGGGGGGGGGGGGGGGGGGGGGGGGGAGGGGGGGAAGCTATAATCATACAAGCAATTTACTTTCCTTAAGACAGAGAAGGGGAAAGAGAAAACATTTAATCACAGATAGATGACAAGCAATGAAAGACTATAAGGTAGAAACTAGGCCATGTTGATTAAACTTAGCAAAGATTCAGAAACAAGCTTCACAAAGCCAGCAGCAGCACAGAGCAAAGAGACTGCACCCACATAGATAACGAAAACAAAGTTTAAGATCATGATTAGCAACAAAACATTTGTATTATAGATGAAACTAATTATCGTTAATCACTTTTTTATGTTGCACATATCATTGTGATAGACTGACTTACCATCCTTCAATGAAGCCTCTGTCTCCTTTCTTCTTTGTTTGAGGGCAGCACTTCTTTCCAGTAGGGTGAGTAGTGTCAATCTCTGTTGGGTATCCTTGAGAATATCAAAAGAAACCGAGAATTAGTTGATACGCCCCAAATCTCTCTTAAAACTTTGGAGTAATTCTTTCATTCATACTAACCATCTGGAGGCTGCTGCTGCTGCTGCTTGTCTTGTGCCTTGTTGTCTCTGTTTTTACCAGCCATGATTTTGCAGAAGATGGTTCCGTGCTTTGTAGATAGATTACATGTAGACACAGTTGCATGTATATATACACAAACCAGATAGCCTTTCGGCACTAGATTGATTCCTAATGAAGCTTGCTTTATAGTTAAATCTTTGTTGGCAGTAATTGATTCCTAACGAAGTTGCTTTTGTCAAATCTGCAGATTATATGTCAAATATATCAGGTTACGCGTAATTCATAGATTCTTAAGCACATCTGGGTTTGGTTAGTTTGCTATCTTCAGGTCAAAACACAACAGTAGCCATAGTGGGAAAAGATGTGAGAAACTAATGAAATTTTGGGAACACGGATTCGGTAGAGTGGAAGATGGCTTAGATTCTTGTTCTTTGCTTACCGAGGAAGAGAATGAAGGGAGAGAGCAAAGGGCAAACGGAAGTGGAGCTGTGACTCAGAAAGTATGTTAAGAAGTAAGCAAAGAGAACATTCTTTGTTCTTTATTTCCTGGAAACTAGTGTAAAATGACAGACTCACTACTTTGAAGACCTGATAACGAGTTGTCAAAGCCTAAACAGCACTTAGAAACAACACATGGGTAGTATATCGATCTCCGGAGTATCAACCCGACAGACACGGTTAATAGTCTGAACAAAAAAAAAGTAGAGAAACGTCCATTACATGTTGCTTAGAAGATGCAAGATGATCGCCACCAAAACAAACGTGAGATGAAATCTGTCGATCGTAGCGATCAATACATATATGTGAATGATTCGTTCCGAAACCCATCTCCCGGGTCACCCGAGATTCTCAACAATTTTACCTCGAGTGATGGTGTCATCTCCCACATTCTCTGAGTATATGTATGGAAGCATTAGCAGAAATGTCCATCCATCCCACATGGTCTTCTTTTCTTCTTCCCCATATAACCAATATGCTGTTGCATTATTATTATTATTATGATTCCCAAACCTCCCACGATACATGTTGCAATTGTGGACAATGTTACATACACACTCATAAAGTCATATGTGTTTCTTCCTCATAATTCATAAAGATGTGTTTGTTTCCATGGACATGCTCTCCCAAAAGGCCAAACCTTTGCCCTAACCACATGGCTCCAAAGCCCAAACATTCTTATTCATGGCCCAAAAAATGTCTGAACTTTATGCAGTTTGAATGATGAACAGATTCTTCAATTTGATTAGGGATTGCATATGCATGTTATCTAATTGGTAATTAACAACGTAACTAACATTCAATATTGGGTCGTTGATCAAAAAGAAGCTCTAATATTTTCATAGACAAGTTGTACTTGTGGGTTATGTTTGTGTGTTTCATTTCATGGGGTTTGAGCTTGACTCCCAACTCTTTTTTTCTTTCTTTGAATGAGTGAATAGATTCCAATGTTTCCACCACCAAATATGGCAAAACTTAAATATGGGTGTGGATTTGACCAAATGCCATCCACAAAAAAATAACACCACTCTACTGCCTGCCCTTAAGAAGAAAAAAAAAAGAAAAATTGAAAGGAAGAGGTTATAATAGAAACATTCAACCAATCAAAAAAGTTAAACTTGGGCATATCATAAAGGGGGAAATTTTTCTTTCCAAGAGATGATTATGATGATGAGGACCTACACATATATATTTTTTTGCTCCAAACATAGGGTTCCACCTAAGATCAAGGTCAAAGGTTAAATTTTTCCTCCTACTACATGTTGGCATGTAGGCATTGAGTAGAGGAGTACACAAAGTGACATGCTTAATGTGTACAATATAACCTACAAAGATCTTTTTACCGAGTTGTTTGGATGCATCATTTTTGTTCTGTAGTATTTCGAATCAAAATGTTGCATTATTTTGATATGTGACATTTCATATGGTATTTAAGTTTGGAATGTGGTAATTTGGTCAATTGTCTTGTTTAGATAAAACATTAAAGAATTGTGTTATTTTACCACTTAGAGAAGGGATAGAGAGAAAAAAAAGAGGTTGAGAGATGAGTTATTCGAAATAACTAGGGTGGTAGGTATTTCAAATACTCACAATGAGTTATTTCAATTCCCTCGTGAACAAAATATCGCATTTCATTTTATTTTTTCCAAACGAGTTATTTCAGCTTAAATACCTCATCGAATTACCTCATCCAAACGATCCGTACAAGTCATTGGTGTTAGAAAGGTACATCAAATAATTTAGGAATTGTTAGGATGAGATTTTTAGGTAGTAAGTTATTTGGGCCAATGAACTCGTTTGACAATACTTTATTGAGATGAGTTATTTGAAATAACTCCTACCTTCCGTTTTATTTGGAAATAACTCATTATACCCCTCTGTTAGTGTCAAATACCACTTGTGAATGGTCCAAACAAACGAGATATTTTAAATATCACATGTCAAATTACCACTGAAATACCACATGAACCGTAAATGAGTTATTTGACTCTACAAATACCACATTGACAATTAATCCATTCAAACAACCACTTAGACTAGGCCACATCGTAAACCAACATGTCAGTTGGAGTCCCATACAATCGTTCCCTCTTTACTCGGTCTCTTTATTCGTGATTTTACTCACAGTAAGATGAACTGCTTATTAGTTACCGACAACACAGAGGTTCCCTTCTCTCATATCCGTGAAACCTACTCGTCAATAGTAACATTGAAAACCGATGTAGGTCCGACTGAGAGTACTATGGTCTAGCTACTAACTAAATTCAATTACTTGGAAGACAAAAATTAGCTAGTACTCTAGCTAGCTAGGGAGATGCATGCATGGTTGTTGTATGTGGACCAACTCATACATCTTCATCACATGGTCAATTCCTTCAAACTATATATATGTGGTTAGGCCATCATTTGGTCAATTCCTTTGAAAGTATATGTAATGGGGGAGTTTTGTTGCCTTCAAACACTTATTTGGCCTCCTTTTGTGGCATGATTTATCAATTGTAGCTCTCTCACACACACCTGGAAAAATTGACAGGAAGTTGAAATTTTGAAATGGACTACTTCTGCTGATCATAAAGCTCAACATTGATAGAAAGAAAGGGAATTATCAATCCGTGCATTTCCAAAGATGGGGTCCAAATGAAGAATACATTCATGTGGAAAAGACATATATAGTTAGGCCATCTGAAAATCTACTTTAATTTATTTTCCATTTGTGTAACTATGTACATGTATACATTTTTCTTTGAAAGCACAGGGAATTGACATGACTATGGTATGAAACAAATAGTGACAATTAATGAGCATGTTATGCTATCTGATCCGGGGGGGCCTTGTACGTGAAAATCGTCAAAGTTTGAACCAATTTATCTAAATAATCATTTTGAAGATACATCGTCGGACAAATTTAGTAAATATATATAGTTTGGGAATCAGATGTTGTGCCACTAACTGAACTCCAAAAGTTATGATAGGATGATCATTTTTTTTTTTTTGGTAGAATGATAGGATGATCATTTGATGCCCCCATCGGGAAAGAGTTTTCCTAACAATAAATTTGTTCAACTAAGAAGCAAAACCTTTGTCTTACAACCACTCCCTCCAAAATGTGCTATACCACATAAGAAAATAGATCCTTAATGCGAAGGTGCGAACAATTGATAATCGATTCTACTTTTCATTTTTTTGTGGATGTATGCAAATATATGATACTATTGAACCGTTTTCTTAAAAAGATTATTTTTATGAAATATTTGCTACTCCAAAACTTACGATTAGTTTTTGTGGAATATTTTTGTTGTAAATATTGAAATTTGGGTGAATATATGTAGTAATAATCAGGCTCGACCACATAAACATGACCCATAGCCAACAATACAAACATTAGGGAATGAACCCTTTTCAATTATTGGAAGCAAAATGTAATTTAATAATTAATTTGTCCCAACTCCTAACCACAACCTAATACATTAACGAAATGAGATCAAGTGCATATACATGAAATGTTCCAACCATGTTTGTAGTAGACTATGCTTTGTGAGATCACATGGATTTTTCCATGTAACAATATAATTAAGGGAAAAAAAGACAAGTAATGAGAAAGGGTTTTAGGGGACAGAACAATGAGGCCGGTTCTCTTTCTATGGGTGTTATTAATGGGGGAAAATATATATTATTGATATCATCTCTGATCTCCGATTGCTGGCTTTCATATATAGTCCAAAATGTATCTCATTACGGAATAGTAGAGGACGTAACTATATTATTAATACACATACTTATAGAAAATAACACACTTGGCATAAGATGATACGACATAATAACTTTTGTTGTTGGGGAAATAAGATGTTTGAAAGGTAGACGTTCCTAACCTTTAATTATACTAAATACGAGAGATACGGAGGCATCAAATGTGTACATCATCGTTAATATGCTCAATATTGAATGTGTGTATCAGTCTAGTCAATCAAAAGATATTACGTCATATCATATAAGAGTAAGCTAGTGACCGTGTATGGTCTGCCAAGTAACATGTCGAGTGATAATAACAATATTCATCATATATAGGTACGAGTAAGATGCCAATAATTGTTCATTAATATGATCTAACGACATTACCGACGAGACTGACAACCTTAATGTAGTTTGTTTGATCCCACAAAAGATCTAATTCACCCTTAGACAAAACTTATAACTTGTCCTTTATACTCCCTTTTAATGTTAGTTTAGAATGACAAATGACCACTACTATTAGACAAGTTAATCACCAAATCTAGCTATATATATAGGATCCCATGTAAGTCTCCCCATCACCTTGCCAAAATTGAACATCAAAATAAGAATCCAATGATTGGACCCCCCCCCCCCCCCCCCTAATCCAAACTCCCTAATTAACCTCATTAGTCATCAACCCATAAAAACACACCATCAAAAGAACCAAATCAAGAAAAGAAAGAAACTGTTTTCGGGTCAGAGATCCTACAAGCGATGAGATCTATCTATCAACATCCCATTTTCAGGCATGCAAAAAAAGGGGGGAATTCAAAGGTTTGAAACAAACCCTTTTTTTCTTCGTTTCATGATCACATATTACCAAACTTAGAAAAGCTAATCAACAATCTCCAACTTATATGTCTTCCTTGTAATGTCCAAAACAACAATATCATCATTATCATCCATCCATTCTTATGTTGATTCATGCTTGAACCAAAGTACAGAGATCTCTTGCCGAAAGTGCTTTGCTTCATTATCAAAAAACCCTAATCCTGCAAAGCTACCACCTTTGTTTTGCTGCTTCGACCTTTCCTTTTTCTGCCCGGCCAACAAGCATACTGATTGTCAAGAGTGACTTGTAACAGCCATTCACCCGTCTTTTCTGTAAAGATACCCTCCTCTTGCTCCTTTCCCTTTCTTCCAAAACCATACACAACTAGAAATGACAATTGGGTTTGTGTAGGGTTTGGATTGACGACTCATTCTGATATGTGATTCGACGAGATACAATCATCGGCTGTTATAGGGTTAATTATGGGGGAGATTTTTGTGATTTGGGTCTAAAGATTGCATCTTTTTTGTTGGTTTGGGAAGAGGGTGGGATGTTTATAAGTTGTTGCCTTGTTGGGAGTATATGGCTATTTGTGATTGTGAGGGTACAGCATTGTGATTGTGGAGTTTGTGTGGAAGGAAAGAGAGAGTGGCAGAGAGAGAGAGAGGAGAGAGAGAGGTGAAAAGACAAGAGAGGGAAGTGAAAAGACAAGTCAAACGTCAAATCGAGGGGCTTGAAATCATAAGACAGTCAGTGGGGATGAATGAATGGTGTTGTCAATCAATTAGATTTTCTCTCTCCCCTCTCTCTCTCTCTATGTCTGTCTTCTTCTCCCTCTTTCTTTCTACTTAGCCCCTCTCCTTGCTTTTCATTCTCAATTCTAGATTCAAAACAGACAAAGCCCGGCTTAGCATTTCTTGTGAAAAAGTATTGGAAGTTATATCGGAAAAATTAGTGGTCGAATGTTTTCTTCTCTCTTTTTTTTCTTGTACCGCTAAAATCATTTTCCGATTTGGAGTCCGATACCCTGTATTTTCGATCCGATCGGCCGGTAGACTATACGATTTCTAAAACATTGAGTTTAATCGGGTGCGGCGGGTCGATGTATAAGTTTTTCATACTATCCTAGTTTACTAGGATAATATCCGATAATCGTGATTCTAGATTATGCTTAATAAAAATTTGTTAGCATATTGGATGCAACCCGATACAAGTGTCGATGGTTGCTGCTAAAGATGTTGGAATAGTGCATGCATTGCAAGCATCACAATCTATGTCGTTGGAGATGCATGTCTCGTTATAACTCATGTACATCCATATAATTAAGTAACCACATGCATGCAATCTTCTCGAAGATTGCATGCATATCGACGCACGCCCAAAACTCTCTAAAACGTACCAGCCCGCGTGCCGACGCTTGCTCGCGGTTAATCCCTCGGCACCGCGGATTGGTTTCGAGAGGGGAAACCGGCACGTGCACGAGGTTAATTTTACAGCCTCACGTGCGTGCATCTGATGAGGTCTCAGCTGAAAACCTGGTCTCTCAGAAAAACGAGCTCTGGTTGGTTGGTTGGTTAGTTGGCATCATTGTTCAAACCGTGGTAAAGAACAGTTCTAGAGAGAGAGAGAGAGTGGGGTTAATTAACTCAATACGAAAGATTGAAGGTCTAGGAAGGAACAGGCAATTGAATTCACTGATGAAGAACCATCGAGTGAGAGAGAGAGAGAGAGAGTCCGATTCCCGGCCGACACGGCTCCATATCTGTGCCCACCACCACTTCCACCACCGCCATCGCCTTCTTCTCTCTTCTCTCTTTTTTTCTTCGGTCTATATGCCACTTTCAGTCTCTTTTTCTTCCCCTTACATGTCTCTGTCACACCTCTCTTCTTTTCATTAGCTTCTCTCTCTCTCTCTCTCTGTTTCCCCTGCTCTGGTTTACTAGCTGCTATTAGGTTCTTTCCTCTCTCGAGTTGGGGGGGAAAAAAAGGGGGCACCCACACGTTTGCCTCTTATGACAAGTTTAATAATGCATTCTTTCATTGTACAAGTCTTTGTCTCGCTAATTAAAACCACTACTACTGCTTGCTGCTGCGTACCCTGTTCGTTTTAACCTCCTCGGGGAAACAGGGGAAGCTAGCTACGCTGCTGAACAATTAATACTACTCACGTTTTTGTGTGTATAATATAACTATAAACCCAGCTGGATTTGAATACGGGAAGCTAATCAATGACATGTTGAAGACCAATTATAACCTTGATTCTCAACAAATATCGTGTGTGCTCGTAGTTAAGTTCACTACTACGTGCGTGAGGTGTTTGGAACTTTAAAAACTTAAAAACATTCTTACGGTTTTATGTTACCAAAACGCTTCTATCTGGAATCGTGCTTTCCCCTTACTAATGTAGTTAAATTCACTTTGAAACTTGAAATTTTACGCTTTTACCCTTCTCCGTGTCACTTTAATTATGCGCTTCTACGTAGAATCGCATTTTTTGGCTGCATTGATTAGCATGTTTATGAGGGATCGTACTAATTTATAGCTGTTCACATTCGTCGAAACGCTGTGGCTGTTACTTGCAACGAGTGAAATTTGTACTATGTTTTTTTTTTGGGAGGATACATTTTTGTAAGGTTATTATTTGAGTTGGAAAACAATATGGTTTGTGATGAATAAGTAGTATAGGGTAATAGGAGGGCAAAGGGGATTAAGGAAAGGGCAATTGTTTGGAGAGTGGAGGGTGTTTTGGTAGGGACAAATGGTAAGAATGTGGGAACTTGGGAGGGCCAAATTTTTAAACCTAGCTAGCATAGATATAGTAGATCCAACCCATTTGGCTTCACTATATGGCATATTCTAACTCTTTTGAGATTTGGCAAATTAAAAAAAATAAATAAAACACTTCTTTTCATGGTTAATAATATTCAACATTTTCACCCCCCCACCCTCTTCTCTTCTATGCTCCCTTTTATAAGCACGTTATGTTAAGCGATAAACTATTTCTTTTAACATTACTATCTCGTAATATAAATACAATGGAATGCAAAAACTCTCGATTCTGTTTTGTAAAATCAATACCGAATATCACAATCGGTCAACAGATAAACACATATGAGACAAACGGAGATTATAGTTTATTGCTTTGTATAATTAAAAATAAAATCTTAACTATGGGTTCTTTTCTTTGATGAGATATTAGAAGAAACAAAAGGGTAGTTATACACAATAAACTATAATTAACGGGTGGGTGCATGATATCGGGGCCATTGTCATTGTGTCGTAGGAGTCAACATAAATGGTCCTCACTAGCACACCCTCAATGGTTGGAAAAAAAGAAGTTTATACAGAACCACAACTAATTCTACTTTACCAATAAAGGAGTTGTGGAAAAAAAAGGTCAAAGAGATGTAGTATTCGAAACATTTCAAAGTTATTGTTGGATACTACTAAAATCATACAGTAATATATATAAGTTATAACACAAAAATCTCAAAATTTAAACTTCGGCGTCATAACCATTCGATCATATATATGTATTGGCTTAGTCGAGATATACTCTAACGTATCGGTGCTTCAAGATGCTAATCGAACTTATACAATAACGTGAAATGTAGAAGTTCAATTTCTGGTATAAAATAATGTGTATGAAAAATACATATATATGCAGATGAAGACTAATTTTGTATCATAGTGTTACATGTAAAGTTCAATTTGTTTTGTCCATTTATTATTTGCCCTATACATTATGCATATATATGATTCCATTATTAAAGCACCCTCAATCTTCATGAACGTTCTCTTAATCTAATTATTATATTAATTCAGTTGACCCATGGTTGACAGCAAAAGACGTGTAAAATTATTAAGTGTGTGTATGTTTTTTTTTAATGAGGAAATTACATACTAATTGTGTGTTAACTAATGCAAAAGGCCAAAACTCTTTTTCCCCCCTTCTCCTCTTCCTAATTGGATTATGTTCTTTTCACTAATAATTGGATGCCTCTTTGATTTCTAGGTTAGTTTTTTTTTTTTTTTTTACGTCGGTTGGTGTAACAGGATTATCCATTTGGTGGCGCAAGAGAATCCCCTCTCATTGCTATCACATTCGTTACTGCAGGATTCGATTACTTTTTCCTAATTGTTTTCTTTCGTGCGATTCTTTGTATCTATAACTGTTGTCTCGCGTTAATACGAGCGATCTTTCGACATCAGTTTTAAGAGAGACGCGTACAGTAAATCGGATCGAATCATATCTAGATGTCAAGTCGAATATTTATTATATTTTTTTGCTTTTATCATTATTATCATCTAGATCACCCACTCTCCTTCCTTTATTATATTGGTTAGTTTAAATAGTAAAGAGCCGTCCATAACAGCCATCCATATTGCTCCCTTCTTCTCACTTCACAGAAGAAAGAAGAGGAAAAAATATCTAATACCACCACAGTTCCTCTCTCTCTCTCTCTCTCTAGAAAAACACAAAGCAAAGCAGAAGGAATGGAAAGAAAGCCACAGTAACCCCAAAAAAATCCCTCTTCCTTCCTCCATCCTCTTCCTTTTCCTCAACCCTAAATCATGAGCCAGCAGCAGCAGCAGCAGGTGGAGGAGTCGCTCCGGTCGCTGTCGCTGGACTACCTGAACCTCCTCATCAACGGCCAGGCCTTCTCCGACGTCACCTTCAGCGTCGAGGGCCGCCTCGTCCACGCCCACCGCTGCATCCTCGCCGCCCGCTCCCTCTTCTTCCGCAAATTCTTCTGCTCCTCCTCCTCCTCTTCACAACAACAGCCCGACTCCCCTTCCTCCTCCGGGTCCGGACCCGACCCGGCCTCCCCGAGACACGTGGCGGCCGGGATCGGCGGGGCGGGATCCCCTACCGGCGGGACCAGGCAGGGCGGCGTGATCCCTGTCAACTCCGTGGGCTACGAGGTCTTTCTGCTGATGCTCCAGTTCCTGTACAGCGGCCAGGTCTCGATTGTCCCCCAGAAGCACGAGCCCAGGCCCAATTGCGGCGAAAGAGGCTGCTGGCACACCCATTGCACCTCCGCCGTCGATCTCGCCCTCGACACCCTCTCCGCCGCCCGATACTTCGGCGTCGAGCAGCTCGCATTGCTCACCCAGGTATAGTTTCTTTTTTCCCCTTGTGGGGGTTTCCCTTGTGGTTCGAATCGGATTAAACTTGTGAGAATTTTGCGGTTAAATAATAAAAAAGACATTTTAGGACCAAGAACGCGCGCAATCGGAGTATATCGGTGGGATTATCTTCTTACTTCTTCTCCACCTTCCTGCTGCTCCATACTGTATTGTGTTGGCCTTTTCGCAAGTGGGTTTAAGTTTACCATAACCCTACCATTACCATTACCACTCCCACTTTTCTCATTGTTCCTAAAAGAAAAAGAAAAAAAAAAAACTCCTCCTTCTTGTTCCTCTAGCTAGTTAGATTTTCATACCACACGAATTGAACTCATTTCGTCGAATAACGCGACTCTATCGTTGATCTTCAATTTAAGATCTTCTCCAATGTTTCGAATCTCTTATGTAACACCTGATGATAAAAACAAATTCGTAAAAAAAAAAAAAAAAAACACGATCCCATTTCGATTGGTGGTCAAACTCATACTAGTTTGATTTCTTCACAAACGATCTAATCATACATGGCATTTTTCACGGTTCCTCATTTCATGTACAAATATGGATGTTTGCCCATTTCTCCCAAACCTAAACACAAACTTGCTTTCCATATTTAGCTCTCAATACGATTTGTACATAGAGAGAAGAAGCATCATGCACTATTACCACATTTGGGTTTTTCTTCTCCGCGAATCCATATCTCCATTTTTTGCATGTTGTTGTTCATGCTTTGAATGTTTGTTTGTTGTGTGTGTTAAAATGTTTGGTGGTGGGAGCAGAAACAATTGGCGTCGACGGTGGAGAAGGCGTCGATCGAAGACGTGATGAAGGTCCTCATCGCATCAAGGAAGCAAGAAATGCACCAGCTTTGGACAACATGCTCCCACCTCGTCGCCAAGTCGGGCCTCCCGCCGGAGATCCTCGCCAAGCACCTCCCCATCGACGTCGTCGCCAAGATCGAGGAGATCCGACTGAAATCCTCCATCGCCGCCCGCCGCTCCTCCTCCTCCACCGCCTTCCTCCCTCACCACCACGCTCACCACCACCTCGCCGCCGACCTCGAGGACCAGAAGATCCGCCGCATGAGGCGGGCGCTCGACTCCTCCGACGTCGAGCTCGTCAAGCTCATGGTCATGGGGGAAGGCCTCAACCTCGACGAGGCCCTCGCGCTCCACTACGCCGTCGAGAATTGCAGCCGCGAGGTCGTCAAGGCTTTGCTCGAGCTCGGGGCCGCCGACGTCAACTACCCCGCGGGACCCGCGGGGAAGACGCCGCTCCACGTGGCGGCAGAGATGGTATCGCCCGACATGGTGGCGGTGCTCCTCGACCACCACGCGGATCCCAACGTGAGGACGGTGGACGGGGTGACGCCGCTGGACGTGTTGAGAACCCTAACTTCGGATTTCTTGTTCAAGGGGGCGGTCCCCGGGCTGGCCCACATCGAGCCGAATAAGCTACGGCTCTGCCTCGAGCTCGTGCAGTCCGCGGCGTTGGTCATCTCGAGGGAGGAAGGGAACGACGGTGGTGGAGGAGGTGGTGGTTCGAATGCGAGTATGTATCAGGGTGGTGGCAGTGGCGGAGGCGGGAATCTGAATCTGGACTCGAGGTTAGTTTACTTGAATTTGGGTGCTCCGATGGGATCTTCGTCGGGGCATATGGGGATGAAAGGGGAGGACGAGAATCAGAATCGAAACGACGCGACAATGTACCATCATCAACAACATCATCATCATCAGCATCAACAACATCACCACCACCAGCACCACTTTCAGTAGTAATGCTAGTAGAAAGAAGTTAGTAGTTTGGAAATTTGGTTAATTATTAATTACATCCTTTCTCTACCCAACTTAATGTGATCTTAATCATGATTCACTCTTGTCTTGATTATGATTATTGTTACTTGAAATGGTGTTTTTGGGGATGGGAAAGAAAGGGGAGGGAGGGAGGGGGGCATGGAGACATGAATTCTTATGATCATGATTATGATAATGTTACTCCATGGAGATTAGGATTATGATCCTTTAATTACCATCAATGTTGGTGGTTAATTATATTGCTTTTGTGGATGATGTTTAATCTCTTGATTTGGTGTCTCTTTATTAATGATATCTTTCTAATGGGTATGGTGTATGTCTGCCTGACCAGTTTTTCTTTCATGACCTTTCCTTTTAGCCTTGTCACTTTCCTTTCCTTTCAACTTGTTCAATTGCCCTCCTTTCTTTTCCTTGTCTTTTTTTTTTTTTGGGCCTTTTGGGAGGGTAGTTCTCTTTTTTCAATTTAGTTTTTTTTGTTGCCACCATTTCTGCCCTTTGGGAGGGCTGTTTTGGTACACTGTTTGTAGGCTTTTCAAAGTGATGATATGAAATGAAAGGGTTTTTTTTCTTAGGAGATATGGATGGATGATGGGTCATGGGATGGATCAATATGATAATGAGACAAAGGAGGTGCATGCCCTTAAATATATACAATGGATTTATGAATTATGGTCCATTTTTTGAAGGAGTGGTTGATCAAATGTTGAAGCAAAATGAATACAAGGATAGAGAGAAGGGAGAAGGGTCAATCTTCTCTTTTCAGCCTGTCAACTCCATTTTTTGATATTAATTTGTTTTTATATAGATATAATAATATTTTATTTTTTTTATAAATAATAGAATGGGAGCTCTATTTATTGTGGCATTTTATTTTCTTGTCTCCCCACCCACCCTTCTTTTCTTTTCTCCATCATCATTTCATTTTCATTCATTCATCCATTCATCAACCTATACAATAATCCAGAACCATATTCAATTAATTGATTGATTGAATAATTATGGGTACTTAATATTAATATATACGTGCTGGGGTGTGTGGCTAATTAATTAATTAATTAATTAATTGAAGTTAAGGGACAATAAGGGAGGTGGGGATTTGGCTTGTAATGGAGGAGTGGCGGTGGAGCTGTTTTCTTCTTTATATCTGTTGGGTTTTGTTTGGACATGGACAATTGGTGCATTTTGCCACTTGATTGGGGGGCAAATGAGCTGTTTTCTGCCCTTTTCTCTGAGTTTCTTTAATCCATTCATTATATGGGGATTAATTAATAATCGGAAACGATAAGGCATGAGATTGACACGATATATTTTCGAGTTTGTTTTGTCTGATTGTCATTTTTTTAATAGTCGTATTGATAAATTTATAAGCTTGAATTATCTAATCTTATGTGTTGGCGAGTTATTTACAAGGTACAAAAATAGTCTGAAATGTATGTTTTATAATGTCGTTGAAAGAAAAATAATTAGGGCTAAATTGATTGGATGTGTTTGATTTTTTTTCTTCTTCTTCTATATTTGCATGCGAGTCATGTAGAATAATTAGCTAGCTAGGGTGATGGCGATGGATTGGTTTTGGTTGCTCCTAATTGCATGAAATATTATTTCCAAGATTCTGAGAGTGACTAGCTAGCTAATTAGAAGCTAGTATAGCAACAAGACACATAGCTGCTTGATTACTTAATAAATTACAAGATATAATAATTAATATGGTTGGACTTCATTTTCATGCAAATCCCTCTCTCTCTGTCCTGATTTGATTAATAATTTTTTCTTAATTTATGTTTATCTACTTTGAAACCACCCTCTTATGGAACGGTGCAAAATGGCGATTTAAATCGATAAAAAAATGTTACATACACAGAACATTTAGTTACTCTGATGAAAAACATGTGTGATCTGAACCCTGAAAATCACAATAGAATAAGTATATATGATGAATGACTATAACGTAGATATAACAAACTGTTTGTGTTAATTTGAATAATCAACTTAATAACGGGATATAGTAGAGTGCCACAACAAGTCAATATACGTCAATCTGCGACCCTGAATATCAATAACATCTTTTTGAAGTGATCTTGTAGTTCATAGAAAGCGAAAACAATGAGATCGATCTGAATTTTTTTCTTCGTGTCCCGCATTTTGCTGAAGAGTTGAGAGAGGAAATAGTGTATCAAGGACCCATCTTTCTTCTATTCTTTTCAATTTGTCCATTATATTTGGATCATATATGTAATTGCCAGTTGGGACATGCACAGTTATAGCCAGAAATTGTACTGTCTGATGTATCTATGTTTGGAAAAATCCCACTTGGATCTATTATGGATATTAGTCTAATCACCTTAACACATGTACTCATATATATATCCCAAACTCCATGGATTAGTTAGTTAAATAAACCTACGAGTCATCTACACATTCCTTTCATTGTTGATGCATAAGATCATCAAATTGTTGTCATCAGCACTTCTTATATTTAGTACGATATTAGTTATCCCGATTGGTGCAACATAATTTAGTACAATTCAATGCAAGTGCTACGACTTACCATGTACTAAATTTACATTCATATCCCAGAGCATTGAATGCTCCCCCAAACCAAAGCAAAAGGGAAGAGAGAAAAAAAAAAACATGCATGCATTTTGAAATCTGATGATCAAAGTCTGAACTGACAAGTCAAATCTGCTGCAATTTACAGAGCAGAGAAGAACCCACACCAGAGATGGCCTCTGAAATATACACATGACATTAGGGCTTACAAAAGCTTGGAACTTTGGACCCATTGGAGAGCACCCAGAAAGGGCAAGTCCCTAACAACATGCTCAAAACATACTGTGCTTAATCGTCTGTTTTCTTCCCTAAACCGTGAAACCATGGTTGCCCTGCATCTGCATTGTTGCACCAGCCAGCACTGCTAGTTTCATTATGAGCAAAAATGGCACTGACTCCCACATGCAAAAAGAAAACCCCATGCACACAACCCTAGCTGAAGAAGAGAAAATGAAAATTATCAGCAAAGTTAATGATTCAATGCACAGAAGAGAAGCAGTAGTAGTGTCATTGATCAATCTTTCAACATCTGCTCTCTTTCCCCCCTCCTTTCACATCTGCACTTTTATTTTACTCAATTGTTTATATATAATTTGATGTGTCTCTCATTCCTTTTGCCTGTGAGCAGCCAGTAGCAGGAGTTTGCTTGCCTGACATTGAATTGATCCATCTCTGAAGATAAGAGATCAGGTCTGCAAATTTATTGTGGACAGAGAGAGAGAGAGCATCTGCAGTGGTAGGTTTTTGTTTTATTGCAGGGTGTGGGGATGTTAAAATAAGTTAAAAAGATGTGCAACTCTAGACTGTGGAGTCACAGTTTTAACTTCAGTTTCAACCTCTGCCTTACTTCTTTGCTTGGTCCTTTCTCTTAACTTTCTTTTTTCACCTTTCAGACAGGTGTGTAAATGCTCAGCTTTTTACCCCTACCTACATGCTGCTACTACTACACACTTTGACACGGTCTAAACTTTAAAAACCAAAAGGTAATAGTCGTGGGATGACACAAATATGTTATCCCATGTAGAACAAACTTCAAAATTTCCCCCCCGGATCGATCAGATAGGGTAAAATTTGAATCGGGTGAATATACGGTGAGTTTCGGTCAAACTTGATCATGGATACACTTCACAACGGTGTTGATTTTTCAGCATCCACTTTGAACTAGTCCCATTACGATCAAAATTAGAAATGACTTTACAAGCGAAAAATGATAAAGGGTAAAAACGTATTACCCGTGGATATCCATAAATACACAAAAGGGTATGTGAATATGAACTTGAGTAAGCCATTGTCATCCCTACGAAACAAGAAGCTAAATAACCAGGACATTGTCCAGAAAAGCTACATAACCAGGGCATTAACCGTAACCAATAGCAGCTTAGCTCAACTTCCCTGGCAATTTTTGAAAGGCAAACCCTTGGACCAATCTTGTCAACACAGAAGATGATCCAAAAGTGAGCTCAGTCCACGAATTCCAGACTAACTGTTTGTAATTCTAGGAGTACTACTCGTTAAACACATTATAATTCCCAAGTTAAGGTAGAACCTAGTGCATTAGTGTTGGTATGATGAACGATGTTAATCAAAAGATTAAGGATTGATATGTTCATATACTTTACATAGAGAACCACAGACAGTATGGCTGAAGTGAGTCATTTAGGATTTTAACCAAGACATTGTCCAGAAAAGAATAATCCTTTAACCAAACTTGGGCTTAAATAATGAACATGATAACATTAGTAAGTCGAGCTCTTTAGACATACAAAAACCAGCAGACAGTTGTGCAGTTAAAAGAAGTGGTATTGCCTAAGCTCTAAGCAGATTACTTATACATCAGCTCAACTGTTTTACTCTACAGAGTTGCATACTACACAAAAGGATTATGGACATACCAGGGCAGAGAAAAGGAAACTGAGAACAGAAACTAATTGCCGGCCAAACCTGTCCTATTGCTAAAATTCTCAAGATGTACCGTGTATAGATAGTAAGCTGGCAGGTCTAGTCGTCGAAGAACGTTCACCTCAAACAATGGACCAAAATTTCTTCCTGCAGATCAACACAGTTTCATCCTTCTTCGCCTTGTTCTGCAGACTGTGTGATTCAACTTCCCACAAGAACTTCGGAGCTAAATTACGTATCCTCGATGTGATTGATTCATCGTCCCTAATAATCACAAATCCCTGCAGAGCAAAGAAGCAACATACATTCGGGTAAGTTTGGAGGCTATAATCTTGAACCAGGAATGTTGTTATATACATCAGAGCTTAGATCAAACAAACCTGAGGGCGTAGCATACGATCCATCTCCAGCATTATATCTTCTACTTTACAGCTTTCTCCATGGTTCTTATAGTGACTGAGTAGATGGTTCGCATGCAGTAAATCATAAGTACGTGGATACGTGGAGAATGGCTCACACCTGATGTTTGATTGATGCATGCAAGATCAGACTTTCAGTGTACGAAAGCACTACTCTAAGGTCAAGAATCCTGAATCTATACAACAATTGAGCGAACGGATGGAACATAGTAACATACCAGTCATGGAAGACACCCAACAATCCACGGTCATAAATTGCGGACAAAGTATTATTCATGGTCATAGGAACCACATTCATCACCCAAACAGGCCTTTTGCTTAAAGCGGCAGAGAAACCTCCTAGATATGCGTTCATATCCATGACGTTTCTTATCTCTGTCCCCTTCACATTCATCAGCTTCCAATAATTACGGACTTGATCTTGCCAAAATTGGGAATCTTCCGTGAATACCTCAACACTAATACCTGCATGAAGTATAACGAAAGCAGTCACTAAGTTATCACTCAGGAGCTTCACTTCAATAACACATAAAAAAACATAACATTACCTATTCTGCCAAGACTCTGCGAATATACTGAAAGGCGTTGAGGCCTAGGAGGTAAATTTTGGGAAGCTGTCTGTGCATGGGTTGTTATACAGCTTCTTAATGGCGTATTCCATGAAGATTTTAAATCATCAACTGAATCACAGATATCTATGAGTTTTTCCTCGGCATTTTGCTGGAGGCAAGCATCGTCTTCCTGTTTAATCCATACAGCAGTTTGAACTTTTCGAGCAATGAGCTTCCAGCACATTGCTGATGTCAGACTCACCAACTTATCCCAGATCACTGGGAAATCCTTATCCTTTCTGTATGCAGGTGGAGCGGAATAGATGAAGTATCCATTGTAGCGCAGAATACGATTAACTTCTTTGAGTAAAATGCCATCTGCAAATGATCAACAAGGTATGGATGATTAACTTGGGGAAGAGTAATTATTGTTGGAAGAATTTATCAAGAATTTGTTATCATTGAACAGCAATGCTAATTACCATTCTCATGCCAATCTACACGGCATCTCGAACAATGAACCATCTCGAAAGAATTAGGTGGATAGGGCAGTTGCTTTGTAGCTATGGCAGATATCATGGCACCAATTCCTCTCTCTAGAGCGAATTGAATCTGATTCTCATGACCATCTTTGGGTGCAAATGACATGGTATGAATATCTAGAGGGAGGAGATAAGCCGAGAAGCTGGCAACACCACAGCCAACATCAAGAACTTGGAAAACTCCAGCTGAACATAGATCACCCGTTTCATTAGTTGTCAGATTTCCTAACCTGCACCCAGATCAATAGAGGATTCAGATAAACACACACACAGTGAAATTGCTGACTAATCAAGTATAAGTTTATACAAAGGCAATACCTCTGTATATACTCAGGTGCACCATGCTTGAAATGAGTGCCTCCACCAGGGAACCACCAGAGCTGATCCTTCTCATGAACCCAATTCTGTCCTCCTTTCACCTCAGCGAGATGAGTATGATTCACATTGCTTCGCCATACATAATCTCGGCTGATTGGCCATTTTATAGGTAACCTATAGTCTTCTGGCGGTGGTACTAAGCAGAATAACCGCTTCTCAGGTGGAGGACAATGTCGTTCAAGTTCCTCTCTTCTCGAAACATTCAAGCTTCGGAGCAAAGTATGAACATAGGCAATGTCATGGCATGGTATGTACTCGTTGAACTTCAGTGGGCACACATTCACCCCACTTTCTGGAATCGTCAATGGCGTTTCTCGGTAAGTAAGAGCAACTTTGTTAGTAAACGTGGAGCTTCCTGCAAGACGAGAAAATTCTTATTTGACCTTCATTCATCCAAACTAAATAGTGGACAGAACCTGACAGTAGACATACAAACTCAGATTCATTCTCGTTATGCTAAATAAATACAAAACGAATTCCCCCAAGATCTGGTTCTTAACCTCTCAAAGAAAGGTGCTTTATAACCAACCCGGAACAGGAAAATGAAGCCCTATAAGCGAAGTGAATCACATCTAACAACCATTACTAGAAAATCCCTAGATGGGTAGCGTCAAATGCCATCAAAATCGGATCTTTCCATTCTTGAACTGAAACCCCACACCGTAACAACCAAGCAAACACACATCCACGCAATCCACATGCAATTCATCGGATAAATACAACAAATGAAGCAGAGAGAAAGCGTACCAGGGACAGAGATAGACGAGGAGGAAGAGGAATTGGAGGTGAGCTGAGAGACATAAATTGACGCATTGTTTCCCAAAAGAGTACCAAAGTAGAAAGAGCCCGCCATTAACATAAGTGCCACCATTATCAGTAGCCCCGACCTGGAATTGAAAGCTGAACCCATTGAAAAGCCCCCCATCTTCCCTTTCTTCTCTGTTCCCGTCACCCCGTCGATTTCAAACCGAGGCTATGCCGCGTTGATATCTTCAGGGGAAAACTAAGCCGGCGCGAGACTGAAGTTTCGCCATTAGCGGGAAACGCAGAAAGAACAGATCTTTTAACAGCTCACGAGCTTGGCACTTCTTGGGGCACAAAATCTGCAGATTAAAAAGAGTGAGGCGGTCACGATCCAAGAACCAGCCAGCTCTTTCCTGGTTCCCTTTTCTCCTTCGAGTTTTAGTTTCTTTCCCATTATAGTTACGAATCGTTAAATCAATAATCACCGACTTTACTCGAGGGAAACCAAACAATCAAAGACACTCCGTAACTAAAACTGGAGCACAACTATAACGGGCCACCGGAAACGTGTTTGGGCCCCAACGGATCCAGCTCCAATGGGCTCACATCTTCAGAATCAAGGACAGGAGATCCACCAAGCATGTGTAGTGATCTAGACCCGGTTCGATGCTGTACGTGCTTCATGGTGACAAACAGTGTGCAGCCTTCTCGTACTAAGCCAGAGTGGCTGTAACTGGATAGCAAGCTGAGGAATGTTATGGAATTCGGGGCGACTGATCGTTCCTCCGGCATCGTGTGGAAGAGATTTAGAGCTTCGAGGCCTAGCCCGTGGATTCCATAGCCATCGATCATTGATGTCCAGGCCACAATGTCTTTGGTTGGCATTCTGTCAAAGAGTTGTCTTGCTGATGATATGGTTCCGCACCTTGTGTACATGTTCAGGATGGAGGTGGTCAAGGAAAGGTGGTGTTGTTGGACTGCAGAGTGTGTGAAGAGGTTCTTGATGAGATAGCCGTGGATCTCTCTGCCTAGTTCATTCACCTCTCATGTGTCTGGCAGAACCGGCAACTTGAGAACAATATGGACACAAAAATGGCAGAACTCCTTGTCATCGTTGTCTAAAAGAAAAATTACAGGGTAAAGTTAGTTTCTTTTTTGTTCATACGATGATGCTTACACAGAAGATCAGTATACATACTATATAGACACTCTCCATTCTTTCATACAACAGTTTCATCATCATCTGTGATCTAACTTCGAAACCTGATCATCACTCAGTAAGCTCTTCTCGTCACTCTCATCCAGACCAACGTTGTTCTCCTCATCTTCTTTCCCATACTCGATATCCATGACGGTCTGCTCATCATCACCATAGTCATCATCCAACTGCTGGAGCTCTGATTCGATCAGTGCACTCATCTTTGCACGATCACGGTCTCTCGGATACGTGCAGTACAAGAACGAGTAGATGAGACAGCATACCGCCATAGGTATGCAGATTGCTGAGTAAAGCGCCTTAGCAAGCGATGCAGCGTTCTCCCTGTCTGTCTCAATTTGGATAGTACTCTCTGCTGATGATGATCGTTTGGGGACTTTGTAGCCGTAGACATGTTGAGCCAGGATTCCCACCACTGGAGGAGCAAATGAAGCTAAGATCGACTCGAATGATCTGTCCAGAGCGTAGATGCTGGTCCGTGATTTCTCAGGTACTATCTCTGCAAATATTGGACTGTGAATAGCCAATTCAGTCAGGCTATAGATTCGGCCAGAATAGAAAAAAATCTAAACTTTAGAAGTTGAACCCAGAAATAGTTGAAGAGAAATGAAGGGATGCTCACTTGTTGGTGGCTGGACTATTCCAAGATATCGAAAGCCCCATGACAAACAAGACCAGACCATGAACGAATCCTGTTGACGGATCATCAGGCAACACCAGAAGTAGAACAGCAGCTAGAGGTATGGCCGAGCCAGAACTAATTTGCGACAGAATGATCCTCCCGGAATTCGGTAACCTCTTAGCCAAAGCATCTCCCATTATCCCACCAAACAGTGCACCAATAGATATCGCAACCGTAAAGAATGTCATCAAAACTGCAGTCTTCTCATGCGAAAAGCCCACAAGTTCCAACCACATTGGAGCAAAAGATAGAGCAGACCAAGGAAACGAACCAGATACACCTTGAGCCACAATTATCTGGAAAGATGGTATCTTCATCACTGACCTGGCTTCTCTCATCAATTCCTTCATCTCAGAGATGAAAGTCCGAGGAGGAGAGTTCTGCTGCTGCTTGTTGTTGTCCTCGGAGAATTGTGGATCATGAGCGAAAAGGCGGACCAAAATGCCGACTACTACGCTTATTATGGCGACCAAATGGAAAGCCACTCGCCATCCTGGAATCCCCATTACGGTAGTTGAAGCAATCAGCACTGAACACAGGCCTCCAATGATTGAACCGAGGTTTGCTGTTAGCGCTAACCATCCGAATGCAGTGCCACGGTTGCTGTCGTCGGTGGAATCAGCCACTAAGGACAGAATCGCGGGTGTTACTATGGCGAGTCCAATCCCGTTCAGGCCTCTAGAAATTGCCACCTAAATGTTTAAGCAAATGCAGATTGTTGGATCAATACTTCAAATCCCAATTCGCATAGAAAGAGTTGTTCTGCAGCTTATCTCCAGGACTGAAATATACAATTGGAGAAGGCTCAAACGCGAAAGAACTTAATGGAACATTTTGAAACGAAATCAAACTTCAACTGGTAAACGCTATCTACCAAGGACTTGAGGAATGGAAATTCTGGCTCATTCATTGCAACATATCAAACTACAGGCTAGCCAACTTACCTATAACACTTCAAATTGCAAATAGAATTATCGCGTCTCCTTGTAGCTTTCAACCCGGGTTTGAATCCGGGCTGCTTCGATCAATGTTACACCCTTTTGCAGCACACTATCCCCTACAAATAATTACCAACTCTCCAATCTTTGAAAACTGAAAAAGATTAAGAAGACTCCATCAAATGCAAGGTTCCCAATGGGTACAAACCTTGTGGATCTACCCAATTCGAACCGAATCCAAATTCTCAACCTTCAAAGATTTACCAGAAACTAAATTGGTTTATGAACAAAATCGGTTTCCCAGCTCAACAGATCTGTCCCTTATATAGTCCCATCAAACCCAAAGACCTAACCTTTACCAGAATAAACACATACCCAATCATAGAAAGAAGCAAAGCAGTCATTCTCAGCTACCAAATATTGGGGGAAAAAATGTCAAACCGCAAATATAAAACCGAAGAGAATCGCAACCTGCAAGAAGCTGGAGGAAATGGCGACGAGGAAAGTGGCGGCAGCCCAGAGGAAAGCGCCGAGAGCAATGACGTGGGCGCGATTATGGCGGGAAGAGAGGTAAGCTGCCAGTGGGTAACAAGAGGACTGGACGATGGATCTGAAGAGAGTTAAGGAACCTAAACCAGTTGGGTCGGTGTGGAGAGCGGCGCCGACTTCTTTGTAGACTCCTGGTAGCAGCGATTCGTCTGCTCGTTCCATTATCGCCGCCAGATTCACCAGTATCAGCGTCAGCCTCTCTTGGTTCACCATTGTTCTTCGTCTGTGCTTTGCTTCGATCAGCTTCCGGAGTACAGAGGAAAAAGACAGAGATGCTCTGTTTCTTTCCTCCGTGCCCCCGGGAGAGAAGAGGGAGACGGTTGACTTCAAAGACTTGGAAAAGTCGATTTTCTCAATTAAAAAAGATTTAATTTTTATTAGTTCGCCACGTCACTTAGTTGCCTCCAACTAGGCTAGTACTTCTGCTCTGCTGAGGGGAACCCGGGAAAATCTCCAAGCCGCCGCCATCCCCTTCCCCTCTTCTCCACTCTCCACCATCGTTCAATGCTCAGAAGAACCGTAAAAATCCGTTCACAGTTCAAATATTCGTTTCCGTTTCGCCGGAATCCCTATTCAACCGCTGCGGCTCCGCTCCCGGAAACCTCAACAGAAGAACCCATCATCAAACCCCTGACCGAAACCCAGCTCAAGTCGCTCGTCCTCTCAAATTGCTCCTATGGCAAGTTCTATAATCTCATCCACAACGTTGTGGCCCTGCCGCAGGTCCTCCTCGCCGCTTCCCGGAACCTCATCACCTGCGGCAACGGGTCGTGTGCGGCCACAGAAACTTCCATCCACCGATTGGTCTCCAAGCGCTTCTCAATCGAGGACATGGGTCGCGAGGTTTACGAGGCTCGGCTGCACATCGAGTCTCATTGCGTCAAGTTCGCGGGTAAAGACGACTGCTTGATCCTGCCTGATTTGAAATTGAAGGTTTTGATTGAAGCTGTTAGGATGGTGCTGGAGATTGTTTATGACGATCGATTCCTTACGTTTTCCTATGGTGGGCGGGTGAATATGGGTCGGCACACAGCGATAAGGTACTTGAAGAACTCGGTTGAAAACCCTAGTTGGTGGTTTAGAGTTCAATTAGAACGTCAGGAGTTTGATAGTAGAAATGTGGAGATGTTGTGTTTGATTTTGGAAGACAAGGTGAAAGACAAGAACTTGATTGGTTTGATAAAGAGATTGTTTGATTCTGGAGTGCTTAGAATTGAACTAGGTGGGTTGTATTTGGGTAGGGGGTTTCCTCAAGAGTGCGGGTTGTGCTCGATTCTGATTAATGTGTACTTCAATGGATTCGATAGAGAAATTCAAGATACAAGGCTGCAACTAAATCGGGAGAATCCTAGAAGAATCAATGTTGATGACAGTAGTCAAATGTCGAGTCCTTTACACAAGCCGGTAAGGATGTATGCAGTGAGGTACTTGGATGAGATACTAGTTGTTGCATCAGGACCAAAGAAGTTAGCAATAGGTCTGAAGAGTAGATTTTTGAACAGTTTAGAGAGTGACTTGAAGCTAAAAGTGAATAAAGGGAGGACAATTGTTCATAGTGCAGTTTTTGAGAAGATGTGCTTTATGGGATTTGAATTGCAGGCTGTGAAACCATCAGTCTTACACCCACCCATGTCGGAAAAGGCAATTAGAGCTAGGAAGAAGTATCTACGCCAGAAGGAAGTTCGGGCTTTGGAACTGAAAAATGCCCGGGAGAGAAATAGGAAGAAATTGGGTTTGAAGATTTTGAGACATGTTGTCAAGAAGGCAAAGCTGAGCAATGGTTTCAAACTTGATAATCCAATTGACAACGAAGTTCAGCAAGTATTTGCAACTTGGGCTAATGAAGCGGTTCATGACTTCCTTGGCTCCCTGGAAGAACGGTGGAACTGGCATCGGTTGCTTACTACTGGCGATTTCCTTAACCTGAGACACATTAGAGACATGTTGCCGGAAGAACTTATCGAATCCTATGACAAGTTCCAAAAACAGGTAGAGAAGTACTTGTCGCCTGTTAAGGCGAGAAAAGCACTAGAGGATGAAGAAAGGAGAAGTGAAGAAGCCTATGAAAAAAAATATGCTGAAAGAACAATTAAAGACCTAACTAAGTTGTCCATGAAAGTATCTGCTCCTATTGAATTGGTGAGAGACGCTGTTAGGTTGGCTGGATTTACTAACGATATGGGTCGTCCAAGGCCTATCAGCTGGCTAACCAGTCTTGAAGATGCTGATATTATCAAGTGGTATGCAGGGGTTGGAAGAAGATGGCTTGATTTCTTTTGCTGCTGTCACAACTTCAAAATGGTGAAGACCATTGTAACCTATCACCTAAGATTTTCTTGTTTAGTCACATTAGCAGAAAAACACGAAGCAACTAAGCGCGAGACAATGAAACATTACACCAAGAATTTGAGAGTTTCTTACATGGAAGAGAATGACGAGTTGCACTTTCCTACTGAGAAGGAAGTGAAGATGATGGGGGACAAAAATCTTTCAGATCCTAAACCTGTGGATGGAGCTCTGTCTTTGGCGTTGATTAGATTGGCTTGTGATGAGCCCTTAAGTAGTTGTGTAGCTCATTTTTGTGATAGAACAGATACAATTACTTACCGTGTAAGGTTGCTGCAAAATCTGGTATCTGCAAATCCTGCCGATGAGAAAAAGTGGGTCACTGGGATGGGTGCAATACATGACAGCCTGCATCGGATATGTCTTCCTCTTTGTCCTGATCACATAAGCGACTTATACACTGGGAAAATAAGCCTTCAGGACATTGACTGCTGTTCGTTTGTGCATGTGGACTGAGCCTTTTTTGGTTTATCAGCTATTCTCAGCCTTCCCTCTTGCGATACACCTCTGTTCTAAGATAAGAACTATCTGTTGCATCCAAGTGACACAGAGAGTTTAGCCGGGTAACTTTCCGTGCTCCTTTATCTCGATGAACTAAATTGACCTATTTGTTATAATTTTTAGTTCTATTTCTGAAACACATGTACTGGGGTGTCGATGCTGTGAAATAGTTCCGTTTTATGTTTGCATATGCATGCATGTCCTTACTGTTTGGAATGAGGTGATTAATAAAACTTGTGCAGCTAACCTGCTTCAGATTACATCTCTTTCGTTGCGTCAGAACAAAGAATTTCCTAGAATAAGAATGGCAGAGAATTGGCAAAAGAGGACTTGTGTCATGCTTCTCAATATCCTGTTGTTAGTTTACCTCTTTTTCCCCATCACGTATCACCTGATAAGAGTGACAGAGAGGATTGTGAGGACTATCACCTCCCCTGTCAATCCTTTGTGCCCTTTTTTCCCTGTTTAATCTTTTCATAGGTTTGCATTTTTTACTGCTTCTTACTTTCTAAATAAAATGAGTTCACCATTATGAAAAACCCCCCTAGAATAAGAAGCTGAGTTGCATCTTCCTATGGTGCCTGTGTCTGGAAACTAGGAAGTAACTGAATTATTCTAATGTATTTAACAGGTAAAGGTCCTTGCTTATGGGGCTCCTTCATCTTGGATTCTTCCCCTGGGGAACTATGTTTGATGGTTTTCGGCTGAAAAGATGGTACTGCCATGAAGCACATGTGATGAAGTTGAACTATGGTGACAAAAGGTACACAAATCTGCTCAATCACCATGTGCAGGACTGCAGGAGGCTCTATTCACTTTATCAAACTCATTAAGATGTATTTTCAATCGTGCCAGGTGTTGCAAAAGTGGTCGTCCGGGAGGGAGGGATGGCGATTGATCGTCGGAAGATCAGTAGGGATCAAAGAAGAAGACGATTAGTCGATTACCATGACGTGCCAGCGCGATAGGGGATCGTCCTGAGAACGTCAAATGAAGTTTTTTCGTGCAAGAGGTAAGTAAAACTTCTTTCCAGCAGATGATGGCTCCAACACAAAGGGAAGTGGTAGGGCAGGGGAGTGTCTGGCGTGTTCTTTCATTCACTCCCAAATCACGAGTGTCTGCCTGCCTGCCAGCCAACCCCATTGCTGGGTTCCAAAACGTTGTGCTGGGAAGTTGACATTACGACCAAACGAGGAGGAGTACTATAATCGAGTGGTGGGGTTCGATTTAGAAGAAAACAAACGCTGTGCTGTTTCCTTCAAACATTGGTCGCAGATAGCTGCCAAAGTCGGCCGAGTTAGCGTTTTCCCCGTACGTCAGTTTCAGACTTGCAAAACAACTTCAGATGTTCCGCCCTTAGCTCGTTCAAGCTCAAGTTCTCATCTTTCAGGTCTCTCCTTCGTCATTTCCTGTATAATACAGGAAACTGTAAGATCGTTGGTACACAAACCGATGAATGGGTTGTCGTGTTCAGTAATGGCAGCAAATACAGACAAAGGTGAAATTGGAATCCATGGCCAGCTGCTGCTAGATAACCATTTTTTCTTCTTTTTCCTCCTCCTTTTCCTGACAAATGGAACCTATTCTCTCCAGACGAAGTTTCCAGGAAAGTAGAGGAAACCTACATCTTGTGTGTATTGTATCGACTGAAGAAAGGGTCAAGGAATCAGGCAGATTCATATAATCAGAGCCTTGCCATTTGGCTCAAATCGAGTTGGCAACCTTGTAATCATAACCGACAATGGCTTTCGAGGTTCGGTTCGCAGAATGATCTCTAACTAAATTTTTCGTTCTTCTAAGTTTGTCGGAGTAAGTTTTGGACCTATATACTCGACGATAGATACTACGATACATCGTATAGTAGTCGTGTCGAGTCAGATAGTCTCGAACTTATGTATAACCATGGAGGATGTTGGTTTTCTTTTTTTCCATATGAGGCGGCTTCTAGAGTTTTCAGGGGCATGTGGAAGAAACCATTAACAAAATAGACTGTGGTTGGAGCAGAGATTAGCTTTAATAAAATAAAAGAGGGGGCCTTTCTGTCGAATTGATGTCTTTCTGATCCCACGACCAAACCACTATTTTGTTGAAGACATTCCCCCCACTTACTTTATTAGACTTCAGTGAATAAATCACAGGGAGAAAGAAAGCACATGGGGTTGGTTTACTTGGAATCTTAAACCATACTTATTAAATAATCCACACAATTAATTACCAGATAGATACATATGTTTAGACTCTTGACAAGTTGATAATCATGGTGGTTGGGATTGAAATATCCCAGACATGTTCTAAAATCTCATCTCATTCTAACCACCAAAGGGGATGCATGTGGATGAAACTATGGGTTTAGTAGGGTTTGGTGATAAGTTTGATCTACACAATGTAAATTAGTAAGTTTGTATGTCCTAACTAATCATCGAATCATATAATTTTTGTTAGGTGGTCAAGGAACAACTAGCATAAGTCGGTTTCGGTGTGCATATGCTTTGTATCTCATTCAGATCAGCAACCAGTTCTCTTAGTAAACAAACCTCGTTAAATCTCTATAAACCCTGTGAAACTGGCTTCTGAAACTCTCGAATTGTGTTTACATTACATCCGTCATTTCGAGCTTAACCTATAGTGCCAAAATCGCGAAAGGTAAAGGATATACTCTATGCATCTGCACGAGCTATCAAACGAACGATAAAACATTGTTGGCCCAAAATGGTAACTGTATTTGGATGAAATTTATAAGGGATTAACAAATATATGAGAGTAAAAAACCTTTAGATAATGTATACCATCTATCTACATTATGTGGTGAGTAACTATAGATAAGATGTTGATTATGAGAAAAAATAAGTATAATTGCCCAATACCCACCGTTTTGCCCTTGTGTAGATTTCTAAATTAATTGAAATTTTGAAACAATGGGCAAAGAAAGAAGAAGAAATCATTCATCTTTAATGACACTCCAACCTAGCTATCATTTGTGTTATCTAATCATCTTTGGTGGTGTTAGTTACTTAGTTAGATATACATGAAGAGAGTATGGCCTACCTAATTATAGTCTTATTATATCATTTTGTTGAATTGGAGGCATTTTCTTACAACAAGCAAACAACATTTTATGCAATGTAATTAATTTAATTCCTTGGCTAACTATTTGTTTATTAATTATCTCTTATAAGATTCATTCTTCATATGAATTGTTAGTGAATATTATTTCTACCTGAGAAATCCACGAGATCGAACAAATTGTTATTATGAGTTTAAATACACTAGACGGATTGGCATCACAAAAGAAAAGAAATAAAAACAACCAAAATGTATCACCAAGTGAAAGGGGAAAATTCAAGGCAACTGCATTTTTTTTTTTTTGTTCGACTAATTTGTCCTACAAATGTAATTTATATATGACATCATCAGTGCATCACATGTAATTTTCATTTTCTTTTTTTTTTTCATTTTTGAAATTCACACGATGATCACCTCTGGAGGTCCATCATTCTACAAAAGTCCTCCAAGCAGACGAACCCGTCCCCATTCTTATCCACCTCGGCTATCATGCGCCGGCACTCCTCTAACGTGCACTTGGCGTCCCCGATCGCCGAGAACCCGGCCAGCAGCTCCTCCGCCGTGATCCTTCCGTCCCGATCCAGATCGAAGAACCCGAACGTCTCCTTCAGCTCGTCCGGGCCCGCGGGCTCCCATCCCGACGACCCGATCTGGCCCATCAGGGCCTCCACGGTCACGGTCCCGTCGTCGCCCCGGCCCAATTCGCTCAGCATCGCGGCAACCTCGTCGGAGCTGCCCAGCCGGCCCAACAGCGACGCGAGCTCCGATTTGGAAACGACGCCGTCGTTGTCGCGGTCGATTATCCGGAAGGCGTGCTGGAGGTCGAGGTAGGTGAGCTCGGAAACGTCGGAGGACCACTCGCCGGAGGAGGAGGAGTGGGGGAGGACGCTCTTGGGGGTGGCGGCGGCGGCCGGCTCGGAGGAGGAGGTGGTGGTGGTGGATTCGGCGAAGGAGGAAGGGTCGGATCTGGAGACGGCGGCGGATTTGGTGGTCTTCCTGGAGGCGGCGCGGAAGAGGCGCTTGGGGCTTAGGGATTTGGGGTTGGTGATGATCTTGAAGACCTTCATGGCGGCGTGGGAGAAGAGAATTGGAGGAAGAAGAAGAAGAAGAAGAAGAAGGGAAGAGAAGTACTGATTGGAGGAAAGTTTGAGAGGAATGGGAAGTGGGGGATGGGGGTTAAATGGAGTGGGAAGGGAGGTGGAAGAAGGAGCAGAGCCATGGCGGAGGCAGCTTCGCGGAAGTTTCCTCGTGGGGGGAGAGAAAAAGAAAGAAGGTACTTTTTCTGGGTGATAAGGTATTTATAGCGTGTTTAAGCGTTTCCCGCAATAATTTAACTTTCCCGCAATAATTTTCTTCCTTTTTTACTGTTCGGTATATGTGTCACTCTCACGTTAATGGTTAGATTATAAAAATAACGAACTCATGTAATTACAGTATAAAACACACATTTCCGGTAATTAATTCTCACCCGACCGTCACAATAACGTGTTGATTTGAAAAGAGTTAGTGTACTGATGACGAATTTGAACTATTGACGAATTTGTAAGGAAGTGGTTAAGCACCATACACGGGCCTGTATATGATTCAGCATAACTATTCTCCCAATAATTCGAGTAATTGGGACCAACTGGTTTATGACATGGTATCAGAGCTGGTTTGTTCTTGAGGTCACGTGTTCAAGTCCTCACGAACCCCAATATTGACCGTTGTCTTTCAAGCACATGGTATGGCGGACGTCCTGTATAAGATCCAACATAACCTTCTCCCAATAACTCGATAGGAGAAATGGAGGTTTGGGCTCCAGAGGGATTTGGTGTTTCTCATATTTTACAGAATTTGAACTATTGATGAACTATTAATTCGTCACTTTTTTTATAGCATATGTGGATTACGAATCGGATGTGACGAACTAATCTATCCATGTGAATGGACTTTAAAAAATGACCTAGACCTAGTAAAAATAATCAGTGGACTCTGTTTTTTTCTATGGATTTGGTTTTGTTTATTGAAAATCATTCATTGCTATCATCGCCACCAGCTTCCATTTTCGTAGCAATTTTTTTTTCCTGGGAGTCACTGTCGAGATTACGGCTTCAGATTGATAAACACTTCATCTCTTGTGGAATTATGAAGCTCTTTTTTTTTCTTCTGTCCTTTTCACCCCACGCTGAATATATTAGCTTCTTTAGTTGACAATTGTTACTGTTCGTCCCCACTTTACCTTCAATTGTCGGCTTGGAGAAACCGGTTCATTTTCATTCGAACCCCCGGTTAGCTCTCTCCTAATTATACCAAAACCGGTTTTTGTAACAAATCGAAGAAAAAAAACCGATCTTATCACCTGCTAGTCATATTACAAAGTACGTAGTCGAATCATCGCGCGCTCATGCCCTTTTCATTGTGAGGAACAAATGTCGTCCGTTATGCCTATGCAGTTGGTGTGGTTCTGCGAACTAAATGCGTTACCGTTATCTCTCTATTCGCACACCTGATCTGTTCGATCTTTTTGTCTGCCGTAAACTATCTCGATCAATCTTATCTCGATCAATATGCAAAACAACGACTCGATCAACTCTTCCTCCGTCTCATTTTCTATTCCGATTTCGTAATCACCAATCCGGGAGCTCCGTGGCACGCTTACCAAAACGACAGCAGCAGTTGAGCCAGTCAACCGCAATCCATGTGGTGGAGATTTTTGTATTTTTTTTTTTCTCTCTTAACGTTTCCATCTTTTGTCACTTTACCCATCTCTGTTCTCGTGAAAAGACTGTAACACTTTCCTAGTGGCTTTCTCTCCCAGCTGTGGATCGATCGAAGAAGACAAAATTTGTATAGTGCGTTGTTCTTAATAACCTCACAAATTTACTTTGTTAACATCCAATTGACCGGCCACAGCTCACCGGCGACCAATTCACGTAGGAAAAAAGTTAACCCTTTTTTCATTACCACCAAAACACTGAACCAACTGGCCCAAGTTGGAGGTCGGCCGCCGACGAATCTTGGTGCTGCACGCGCAATTTGCAAATGGTTTTGTCGTTTGACACGGCACTCACAACAATCCAATTCTACTCGTCATTGTTTGTGTGAAAACTGAAAACTTTTGAGACAATACAATTCATACAAAGACCCTTGCTCAAGAAAGGATGGAAAAAACCAGTGGTTCATCTGAGATGGAGAATAAAATGAACCAGAAATATGCTAGGTCGAGAAACAACAGAACAGCCAAATAGTGTTTGCAGTACCAATCCTCCTGACTAACTATTATGAATTTCCCACAAATCCAATTCCTTTTTTCAAAATTTTAACAAAAAGCATCTGGCACGCGTCTAAAAGAAACCCGAATCTCGCATTAAGCAACAATAGATGGCTTGGAAGCAGCAGACAGCCTGGATCTCTTCTTGGCCAAGCTCTCGCTGCGACGATCTCTCTGTTCCTTCAACCTGGATGCAAGCAGCTTCTGGTACTCAGCAGCGTCGGCATTGGCCTTTGCGACTCTCTTCTTCTTCTCAGCAAGCCTCGCCCTCTTCCTCTGCAGAGTCAGTGGAGTCACCAGCCTCTGGATTTTAGGAGCCTTGCTAGCTTCCTTCCCTGTAATCCCCGCCCAAACGAAAGGACATGAGAGAAGATTCAAAAGATGGAGCCTTGCAAAGGGTGGATCACGTTACTAGATCAGAAGATGGTTACCATTTTTGCGGGTGAATGTACGGCGGTAGGTGTTGACGTACTTCCTAACATCATCATCTTTGGAGAGGTTGAAAAGCTTGCGGATCTTGGATGCCCTCTTGGGTCCCCTCATTCTGGGCTTCTCGGTGTCGGTCAGCCCGGGGAGATCGTTCTCACCTTTCTTCACGATGACCAAGTTGAGAACAGATAGGTCCTGGCTCACAATGCAACCCCGGACCGACTTCCTCCTGCGCTCCCCATTGCGCCTTCCATATCCACGGAAGCATGGGGTTCCTATTTTTAGGCAGGTCAAGTGATCTCCTCTCAGCAACTCACGTAAATAAGGGACTTTATAAAAAACTGCCTCAAACAGGAACACCTACCTCTGGTAAGCAAGAGGCGGATACGGCCAGGGTTCAAGACACCCTGCTTCATGGGGAACCCCTGCTTGTCACAACCTCCCATGATCTTGAAAACATACCCCTTGAATTCCTACAAAACAAAAGATTATACAATGATTATCTGAACAGGTGCATCAAGAAGGAAAGAATAATCACCCTATATATAGATAAATACCTCTCCGAGGGCATCACCACTAACTTCCTGGGAGATCCTCTTGTCAAAGAACGCACGCCTGCATAAGCGAGAACATGTCACTAAAAGGCATAAATTTGCTACTACAAGAATAAAAACAAAGGCTTTTTACCAGCCAACTGCCCACTGCATTACCCTCAAGCACAATCTTATTAAGCCATGACTTAACTAAGGCATCTAACCATTCAGCTAACATCAACTTACTTAAATGGATTACCGTCACTTAGACACTCATTTTTAGCTATTCAAGTGGAGATCAATGAGCAAAACTTAGCAAACACCAACTCGATTCAGCTTCCTCTAGTGACAGATTAAATAGCAATAGACGCATTACAACTACCAGAAACCAATGTTTGCACCTTGTCCATAAACGTTCCAATCCAAGTGTTCTTGCCTACTTCCAAAAGAAGAACATCCTCACCCAGGCCATCTACACTGTAAATTCAAGCTAAATGAGCTTTCAGTACAACTCTCAGCTCGAACTGGATTCTCAGTATACTAGAGTAGACAGCTAAGCCATCACTGATTAGCTATCGTTCAAGCAATACGATCCAATACCGCTCCCTTCTTTCAAAATTGAAAAAAAAAAAAGACAGTTGTTCGAATCAGAGCTATCCTTTAACCGCACCAATTACACTCTTCGAAATCCAAACGAACGTGCATAGCAGCGCATGCCTGCCTGCCTTGTTCACAAGCCAAAGTAAGAAGACAAGACGAAAATGACTTACAACTTCTGGTCGTCATCGATTTCAAGCTTCTTCTGGCACCCCGTTGTGGGGTTAGCGATATTGAACTGCGAATCAAATCAGAAAGGACCAAGTTCAGAAACCGAGACGGAGAGTCACAACGGAAAGCAAATTCTGAAAGGCGATCAAATGCCAACCTTCATGGCCGCCGGCAGAAGATGATAGCAGAGAAGGCCCGACGATTGTCTGCCGATTTCTTCTCCCTGCCCTGCTTTCCTATCGCCTCTGGTTTCCTAGGGTTTTCAGAGAGATTTTATTGTATTATATATCAAGGTTGGGCCTGGATGGACTAGGCCTAAACTCTTATCACAAGCTAAAGGCTTAAAATCAGAAGGCCCACGAGCTCGGCCCTTGCCATTTGTCCAAGTGTATATAAGACCAATAAAACAATTCCATTACATCTATCTTGAAAAACCCTAACCAGGGAGAAGAAGAAGAAGAACAAGTACCCAAGTTCCCTGTAGTTGCCATCCTCGTTGCAGCCGCATCTGCTCCCTGCCCAACAGCCATGAAGGTGGGTTTCATTTTCTCACTTCTGAAAGATCCAACCTTTTCGGTGTTCATGGGGTGAAAATCTTCCAACCCATTTTGTTACTTTCTCTCGATCTCACGATTGCCTTCGGTTTTGTGTTCTGTTCGTTTCATTGCAGTTTAACATCGCTAACCCCACAACGGGGTGCCAGAAGAAGCTGGAAATCGATGACGATCAGAAGCTGTAAGCCATTTCCTCCTTTCCTACGTTTTGTTGATACTTCGTGATGTAATTGCTGATAGGATTTTCTAGTCCGCCTTACGTTGATTCGAGTTCGTTGAGTAGTGTGAGGGTGTAAGAGGATGAAATTGAACATTGTCTGGTTTCAAGTTGAATAGAACTGTGCAGAAATGGGGCTTAATTGGTTCTGGTCTTGATTGTAAGAGCAAAACGAATCAGTATATTGCGTTCATTTTCCCATGGTATTGTCTTCTTAGATAAGAAATGTCCTTTTCATACTTGGAATGACTACTTGTTCTGAACATAATAGCTCCGTTCTCCAGCATTCAACCAATTAGTCTGATGGGAAGGGTCTTATTTACCCATGAAATCGTCAAACTAGATTTGTAAGAGATTCAGATAGCTCAAAATGATGCTTCTTTAGCTGTTAAAATTCTACTTAATTTTGGGTGTGGGAATGCAGAGTGTTCCTGGGATCTAGTAATGCTGGATACTGGATAGGTATTTATAGTTATACACAAAAAAAAAAAAAAATCAGACCTGGGTGCACCAGCGGTGTCCTAGCAGAGAGTCTGCCAACAATAAGCAGTAGCTCACTAAAGCTTTCTTTTTATTCCTGTTGTAATAGTATATTTTCTGATATAAGTTTTACCCCACATTTTCAGGCGTGCCTTCTTCGACAAGAGGATCTCGCAGGAAGTCAGTGGTGATGCACTTGGAGAGGTATGTGTGTATGATGGTTTTCCTTCTTGATTCTTACCTATTTCGATTCTCATTGGCTATTATCTTCCCTTTTAATAGGAATTCAAGGGCTACGTGTTCAAGATCATGGGAGGTTGTGACAAGCAGGGTTTCCCTATGAAGCAGGGTGTCTTGAACCCAGGCCGTGTCCGCCTTTTGCTTACCCGAGGTCGGGGTTCCTTTAAGATGCACTTGTTTGAAATTCCCCCTCTTGTCCCACTGAGTTGCTGAGAAGCTACTGCTTAACCTTGTGCAAAATAGGAACCCCTTGCTTCCGTGGATATGGAAGGCGCAACGGAGAGCGCCGAAGGAAGTCAGTGCGTGGTTGCATTGTGAGCCAGGACCTTTCTGTTCTCAACTTGGTCATTGTGAAGAAAGGTGAGAATGACCTCCCTGGGTTGACTGATACAGAGAAACCCAGAATGAGGGGACCCAAGAGGGCATCTAAGATCCGCAAGCTCTTCAATCTATCCAAAGATGATGATGTCAGGAAGTATGTCAACACCTACCGCAGAACTTTCACCCGTAAAAATGGTAAGCATCCTCTGATCTAATAAATTGAGAAAGCACATACAAGTTTGGATTTGGCTTTGATTATTTCTGCTTGTTTTTTTGGGTGTACAGGCAAGGAAGCAAGCAAGGCTCCTAAAATTCAGAGGTTGGTGACTCCATTGACTCTTCAAAGGAAGAGGGCAAGACTTGCAGAGAAGAAGAAGAGAGTTGCCAAGGCCAATGCTGATGCTGCTGAATACCAGAAGCTACTTGCATCGAGACTGAAGGAGCAGAGAGACCGCAGGAGCGAGAGCTTAGCCAAAAAGAGGTCCAGGTTGTCTGCTGCTTCCAAGCCCTCTGTTGTTGCCTAAAGTGATGGTCGGTTTTTATAGGGTGCCAAATTGTGGTTCGTTGAAGTTACTAAGTTTTGAATGAGGTACCAATTATTATGATCATTAGTAGGCATGAGGTTCGGATTGTTCATTGTTACTACAGAGTTGACACTTGCAGCTGAGTTGTACTTCTGTTTTTCTCTTTTGTTTCTTCTCTTCAAATACAGTCTACAAAGCCGAATATGAATGCTTTATCACTACTTTTGATTCCAGGTCTTCTTTATTTCCATTCCACTTAACTTTGAAAGAAAGCATAAAGCTCGCCGAATCAAAATCAGATCGCTTTGAATATAGTCAAATTGATTTGATCATTATTCCGTCCGATTATGAACTATGGTGACATAGAATGGTCCTTTTTTGTTGGATTTGCACCATGGTTATAAAATACGGGCATCCACAGACTTTGGTGTTTAGTCCAACGATGGAATCTCTCTGAATAAGACGCCATTTCTTGTCTGCTATATAATAATATTATTATTATATCAACGAATTTATAATACAGGCAACACTGTGAAGTCAATAGATTTGGCAAATGCGAAAGATATACATAAAAGCCTATCAAGCTTGATCTAAGAATGCATCATAGTGCCTCTGTTTCCTGCAATTTCCAGACTAGAAGATTCAGCTCCCAAGCTTCTGTCCATCTCGTCCAAAACTTAGGCATTAACCAAATCTCGGCTATGCCCAGGGACCCTAGATTCATCAGCATCACCAGTAGGTGAAGCTTCATCGTCCGCTGGACTACCATCGTCGTCGTTATCAGCAGCATATTCAGATGCCGAGCTGGCATCCGTATCTTTCTCAGGACAATCGAGCATAACAGATTCAGGAACATCAGTTCCACAAGTTCCCTGACTATGAGGCCTTTGACACCTCGTCTCCACATCTTCCTTCTTCACCACATTCAACACAAACCCGTTATGAATCCTTTCGGGATGTATGACATCGCCTTCAGTTACCGTTATGCTCGAGCCACTGGTCGACGCTGTGTCCCTGGGTGAGGTCTGGTTAGTGTAAGGATCCCTCGTTCCGACCTGTGCACTTGGGGAGTTGGGGGAGGTATGGACAGTATAAGGCTCCCTCATTCCAACCTGAGCTCCTGGAGAGTTGGGGTACCCCGTCATCAACCCTCGTCCCATCTCAGAATCTGCATCGAGATTCTGGACGAAATCCACGAACAAGTCCGCGGAAGTAGTCCTCATCAGTGGCCCACCGGATCTGGTCCAAGAATGCACGTCGTTATTGGTCTCTGACTCGCTGTCGCTTCCATCTCGATGCTTTCTTCCTCCACCAATGGATTGTTGGAACGAGTTGGCGACATCTATCAGGAAGTCCTCAAGCGATCCTGTGGAGTTCTCCCGGGCAATGCAGTTCCATGAAGGAATCCTTTTGGAAGCGTTGAACCTGACTGTGTTGTTGCTGCCAGCTGCGGTGGGGGGGAGGCCGTGGGAAGCAGCAGCAGCTCTCTCGGCGCTCCGTTTGAGCCGGCGCATGTGGTTGAGAATAGCGACACACTCGTCGAGAGCAAGCTCGATGCCGCAGTTTGCTTTTATCGCAGAGAGCTTCTCCCATGTTCCCCTTCTCCCTTGGTTGACCGCCTTCTGAAGCTCCACGTGCGTTGGATTTTGTATGATTTTTGAGTACTGAAACAACAATCAACAGCAAATGTAGCAATTTCTGATTTCAGCTACCACCCAACAAATAGTTCTTGCCAAAGTTGCAGTCTTTAACGTCATTACTAAATAATACAAGCCGAGTTAAGTTCGAAAGGGAACATTTTGCACAAACCTGAGCGAGTGTTGCCGGCATAACGACAGTGACATCACCCTCCCAATCTTGAGCGAAGAGTTTGGGGAGGCCTCCCAATGGGAAGCCAAGTTCTAGTACCTGGTTGCATCTATGTTTCACCTCCATCTCAGTAAGATGAGCAAGCTACAAAAGCCCAAAAATCACGAAAATAAGATTCATTCTGTCTCATTAAAACACCTTCCCTAGAGAAAGAAACCGAAGAGTGATATCAATAGAGTTCAACAGGAATTTTACCTTGGCTGCAAAGTTGCCTCCATAAGCCCGAACAATTTCCTTCATTCTCAATAACGGTGCAATATGAGGGTTTGCCTGGCTCACAATAAAATGATTCACATTGAATAGCTCCTTCAACTGCATCATTGGTAAGTCAATCTCTAAGCTACCATCCCTCCATCGACGAGCAGATGTGCCTGACTTTTCGTCTGGACCAAGATTAAATGGTGGGTGATATGGAACAATTTCTCCACTTCTGTCCTTCGCCATCAGTTCCTGGGCCTCGAAGAGCCCAGGAAATGCACAAGAAGCAGTTACAGCACTCCATATGACAACATGAGGGGAGTTTAGGTAGTTGAGGCATCTCGGCGGTTCATGCTTCCTCGGGGAGCAAACTGTAATTCCGAGAATTCGACCTGTCATATCAAAAGCTTCCTGAAATGTCAGGTTACTCGTTAAATTCCTCAACATCCATTGCAACTGCCGGATATCATGAACAGCCCCCTGTATCATGACTCTCTTCACAATGGAAAAAATCCCACCCAACTGATCAAAGAACTGCAATGACTGCATTGAATCCTCAAAGAAGCTTTGCAACTCTGGCCAGGACCTAGTAGCCACCATGGAACACATAATCGATCCCACACTAGAACCAGCAATTATACGTGGCAAGAGCTTATGTTCCACCAGGGTTTTGACAACACCACCATGAAAGGCTCCAAGGGAAGCACCTCCGCTCAGAAGCAAAGCTGTCCTTCCAAACGCATGTCTAGTTTCATGCATAAAAGATAGCTTTTCTTCAAGAGAAAGCTCCTCAGAGTCCGAGTCACAAACCATTCTCAACTGAGTAGATACTTCATCAATGTAGTCCTTTATGAGCCTGGGAACATGAAGCCTGCCCTTGTGAAGCTCCGGATTGCACATGTTGCCAAGATTCCTTATGAGATCAGCTCTCATAAAGAACATGATATCCCTAAGCGATCCCTCCTGACGACGGTGGAGCAGCTCTTGAAGCTTGTTCCGCACCAATTCTTCATCATAAAAGCCCGATTCATTCAGCTTTGGGGTCTCCTTATCGAGCATCTTAGCAGCATGAGCCCACTCCTCATGAGTCAGAGCAGATCTCATCATATTCCTCCAGAACTTCCTCCTATAGGCCATCTCGGCCCTCATTTTCACATTCGTGTATCGCTTCAACAGAAATGCTATGATTGTCACCATAGCCAGTATCCACTGTGGGTTCCTGGGATGCAACCATGACAACATGGGCCCCAGAAAGTCCCTAAATCTATAGATGTACTTCAACAACAGATGGAAAATTTGATTTCTTAAGCTACCTATTGACTTGCAAAACAAAACTCGGAAGGCAATGGTCCTACCGAGGATGGAGGATGGTCCAATCGGGAAAAGATCAACGGAGGCTTCATTGCTTATGTCCATTCCTAAGGTTCAAAAAGCTTCCTTTCTGGGAATTGTTTTGCTCGCTATATCAATCTCAGAATATAATTAAACGGGTAATCAATTCAACAACGGAAGCAATAATCAAAAGGGTTCAAATCGATGGCAAACCTAAGAGATCGAAATTAGAGAACTTTTCAGATGCCCTCTAACAAGCAGACAATCCTAATTCAGACACAGGCGAAAACATCAATGAGCTGAAACTGGTCTTTAATGGCAATGTTCATCAAATTATGTACCCTTAAAAGCCTGGAAATTGCAGAAGAAGTTGGCCGATTGAACAAATGGGCATGCAGGAGATCAAACAAACGAACCTATTCCATCGGCGAATTATGAAATAAATGATGATCAGAACCCACCCGCCAAATCCCAAGATCCAGCTGACCGAACCCTAAACCCCGTGAAGAAATTGGAAGAAATGGAGGGATCGACAGCGAGAAAGCAAAAGAATCCCAAGACTTGGTGAGAGAAATGGAATCCAGGGGCTCCAGATTTGTAGGACTAATTGGATTTGCTCTGCCGCTAAAACAATGGCGTAAAGCAGGGGGGGAAAGGCAGATATAAAGGGATGATTAGATTAAGTACTTGGAACTCATGAACTGGGAAATGGAAATGAAATGGAGCCCATGGAAGGAGAAGAAAGAATCAGCCAAGTCTTGGGATTTGTGAAAGGATAGAGATCGGGATACGGTGACGCGACGAGTTTGAATGGGATGGAAGAAGATGCGTGCGCAGGCATGGCGGAAAATACAGGTTTCCGGATAAGATAAAAAAAAATTATAGTTACAATATTGATACTATTTCTGTTTATTTAATTCAGCACGCAATCCTCGCCGCGACATAGGAAATACCACGTGTCGTAAACCCAGAAATACGGTAAATTTTACCGAAATACCACGTGTCGGACCTGCCTCAAAACAGGTCGGATAAAACGGGTCAGGTCGAAATTGTCATCCCTATGTAAACGGCATCCGGCCAACTGAAAGGTAAGAACTAAGAACCCATAATAGCAAGGGTAAAATACAGAGGAATCCCGGCGACAGCGATGGGAAGAGATGTGAGAAAGAAAGAAGATGATCCAGGAAGCGAAGATATATAAATGGTAGGAACGAATGATCCGATTAAGTAATGAGATGATTGTAGATACTTCAGAATTCAGATGGGTGGTAAATGATGACGGTGGCTGATTGCTACAATTGTTGAATGCTCTGGCCGTGGGTGGGTTAATCTCTAAGTTTTAACGGCTTTCTATACTACTTACTCTTCAAGTCAAAACATGAATATCTAAGCATGTTAAAGTCGAAAATGAGCAACCCTCCAATAACCTCTCTCCAGACGGGCACGCCAGCAATTCAAGTGTTTCTTGGTTCGGCCGATCGAGGATCAGGAGAAAATCCTTAACGTCTTGAACGAAATCGATTGAAAACTCGACTCTACTGCATCTCTCTGAATAACTTGACGAATAGATCCGACTTACTGTTACATTTGCAGTCGGCTTGATGAGTGAGAACTAGTCGTCGTGTCCATGGAAGTACGGACATGAACACCATTTCTCTTTAGAGATCGGTATTATTGTTCCCCCATAGAAAGAAAATTGGGATATTTATGATCTTCCTTCTTCATCATTGACCATTATTATCATCATCATCATAATACAGGCTGCGACAATGGTGGTGCCTAGTGCTTTTGTCGTTTCGTGATAATGATTTGGAGGGCCTCCTGCCATGATTCATACGGTTCCGCTGGGAAAACTGAAGAGGGAAAAAATGGTTGTAATCGCACCAGATGTTGATGGAGGAAGACGGGTTGGAATGTGGGCTTTTTTTTTCTCTCCCAGATCGAGCAATAAAGCGGCCCATTTAATGGCCCATCAATAGCTTGTAGGTGGTGATGCTTGGGAAATGAATGCAGAAAGTTCAATGATAGAGCCCACTAATAAATGGGCCCATTTATTAGTATAAGCCCATTTATGAGGGTCTCTTCACCGAATTAACGATTTAACGTGTGCATGCATGCATGCGCGCAGACGTATGTAAGAGTTTCCACGACGAATAAGAAGGAAACCTTCAACAAGGACTTGGGGAGTGACGTAGAAGGGATGACGATTCTGTACGAAGCTGCATATCTCCGCATTGCACGCTGAGAAGCTATGCGAATGTTTCATCCTTTTAAATTTGTTGTACCCTATTTTCATCTGTGTACGGACCTACGTGTTGCGTAGGGGTGTCGTCCGACACCCGACACCCCTTCGCCCGAAAATTTTGTGAATAACTTATATTTTTTGGTACAAAAAATTTTAATACGAGATTTTCGACACCGCTTTAATAATTATAACCGACACTCGTTCATTAGACGACACCCCTCTTCAAAAATTCTGGGTCCGCCACTGTGTGTACCCGAAATTAATATAGCTGCTAGCTAGCTAGTTTCTTCAATGTTGTCACCTCTCTAGCACAGTTGGTCTGGGGACAATAGCATACACGACGGTAGGGCTGGCATCATCATGCCCGACCGCCAGCGAGTTCCTCAAAACACACGACCAAAACTTCGCCATCCGGCCGTACATGCCGTCCGGCAGCATCGTCTGCTACGGCGGCAGGGACATCGTGTTCTCGTCGGAAGGGGACTACTGGCGGCGGATGAAGCGGATCTGCACCACGGAGCTGCTGAGCAAGAAGCGCGCCAGCTCGCTGCGGTTCATTCGAGAGGAAGAGGCCGACAACGTTCCTCGATACTTCAATCGACTACAAGGGTTTTGATTTCCAGCTCCTCCCATTTGGATCCGGACGAAGGGTATGTCCAGGCATAAACTATGGGACCGCAGTTGTTTATAATTTGCTCGCAAATTTGCTCTATCATTTTGATTGGGAACTCCCAAATCAAACCTCAAGATCTTGACATGTCTGAGAATTTTGGGGGTGCAATTTCACGAAAAAAGAATTTATATCTCATTCCTATCCCTTACCATGCACTTTAAACATGTACGTTACCTTAAGATCATAAGGATGCGTGAGGAATTGAGGATCATGTATCATTATTTTCACCTTTGTTTCTCATAAAGAGTCGAGCGTGATTCAATGCTTTAAATGTATGCTTTAAGTTTCATTTGTAATGTGAATTCAATCTAAACAAGAGTTGGCGAAAGAGTTTGTTATTACTTTCTCCTTTTCTTTTCCTCCCTCTCTCTTGATCAGCTTCACAAAATAAAAACCAAATTAAATTAACATGACCTTAATTTGGAGAGACCAAATTTCTCTGAAACAAAAGACTAGCATATAAAGATGGATCATCACCAGAATTACAATATTTGCAACCAAATTACCTTTGGACAAACAAGATTACTAAGTCCGCGCAAGTTTTTCGCTAGGCTCAACTAATGTAATTTTGATGTTGTGGTTGCAATCAGAGTAGTCAAAATTTCGATTTAAATTCTAAAATCTTACGATTTTACTTACCTATTTCAATTATGATTTTATTATAAAATATATGGACCTTAAAATCCTACACTATTCACGATTTAAATCCTTAAAATCTTACGATTTTTCGATTCAAATCTTTGGGTCAATTTTACTTATGTTTCCCAAAATTTGCAAAATTAAGCCTCTTTTCCTTCCCCTCTACCAACATCATCTATTTCTCTCACACTAACCACCATCGACCATCATCAATTCACATCAACGTATAAATCATCATCGTATCATCACTTCTCAACAATAACCTTGATAAATTATCATTCTAAGTGTTATGTGTTTCTGTGTTGTTCATGATTTTCCGTATTAATACTATTTTTGCTTTATTTTATTATGGACCTTAAAATCCAAAGCTTTTACGATTCTGATTTTACCCCATTTTCGATTTTATATAAAATCCCGATTTTGACTACTATGGTTGTAACAGAATTATGACATTAGATCAGGTACACTACACCGAACAACCCAAGACCAAAGAGCTTAAGTTTATGGACCCTTAGGTTTCCACATTGCGTCCTGTTATAAACGCGCTGCTACGGATCGAGAAATCGCCGGAATCGATAAAGCAAGAACACGAAAGCAAGAATCGAAAAACACAGACACACGATTTACGTGGTTCACTAACACGATGTGTGTTAGCTACGTCCACGGGCGAGAGAGAGTCAGTTTCACTATATCGAGGAGATTACAGATTACAGAGGAGTATGAGAAGTATTTATAGTACTTCTCCATGTGGGTCTAAATCTAATCCAATCTGGCAAAGGAAACGGTTACAGACCAGGCCCAGAACCCGAACCCAAATAACATTGAGCCCATACACCATGGGCCCGGTCAGTGAGACCCCCGATTACCAGTCGTAGCGGCTGATAGTTCGATTCAAGTCACATCAACAAATCTCCACCTTGACTTGAATCCTCTTCCTCTGAAATCTCTGATGTACTCTGCTCCTTTTCTCTCTCTCTCTCTCTCCCGCCATCAATGCCCGCAGGGCGGAGTCACCCACTCAAGACATTCAGCAAGTCCAAGTAGTGTTGGAACTTGCCATGTGGAACCGGCTTCGTGAACATATCAGCAGGATTATCCGCGGTGCCAACCTTCTTCACCTTAATCCACTTCTCTGTCCTCAAGAAATGATACCTCACATCGATGTGCTTAGACCTCTCATGGTGGACTTGATCCTTGGCCAAGCATATTGCACTCAAACTGTCGCAATACACCACTGCCTGATCATGATGTAGACCAAGATCACCAACCAGTCCCTTCAACCATATTCCCTCCTTAGCAGCTTCTGTCAACGCCATATACTCTGCCTCACTGGTAGACAATGTCACCGCCGACTGCAAAGTTGCCTTCCAGCTCACTACAGAACTCCCAAGAGTGAATACATAACCGGTCATCGATCTCCTCGTGTCAACATCTCCAGCATAGTCCGAGTCAGAATACCCAGACACCAAGCACTCTGTATCACTTCCGAAGCTAATCCCCACATCAGGTGTACCCTTAAGGTACCGGAAGATCCTCTTCACAGCCTGCCAATGCTCCTTCCCAGGTTGTATCATAAACCTGCTGATAACACTAACAGCATGTGCAAGATCAGGTCTAGTTCATACCATAGCGTACATCAAGCTACCTACTGCACTAGCATATGGGACTCTCGACATGTACTCCTTCTCAGCTTCTGACTACGGTGCATAAGCTGAGGATAGATGAACATTTGAATCACTGGAAGTATTTAAGGGTTTTGCTGAAGACATGCCAAACCTCGACAGTATCTTCTGGATGTAGCTCTTCTGTGACAAGAAAAGCTTCTTCTTCGACCTGTCCCTGTAAATCTCCATACCCAAGATCTTCTGAGCAGCTCCCAAATCCTTCATCTCAAACTCAGCACTGAGAAGCCCCTTTAACTTCTGGATATCAGACTTTGACCTCGCAGTTATGAGCATATCATCCACATACAGAACAAGATAGATCATCGAACTATTATTTTTCTTATGAGTATACTCCAGCTGTATTATTTATCTAATTTTGCAAGCTTTGCACTTGTTTTTTTCAGGTGTGGCAAAAATTGCAACAACCAACAAATATTACGTGCCTGAAAATTTATTAACCTAGTTCAACCGACTGACATACCACTAATATGATAGTCATGTTTTACACCCACTGTGATTGTAGAGTGGAAGCACAATGCGATATTTGGAAGATATTATTAATAAGAAATCAAGAGTTGCAACAGACCAAATCAAACCATTAAACACTAAGCACTAGCACTTAACATGATCTTTTTTTTTAACTTGGAAGTGTCAGGTTCAAACTTCTTAAATATCACCTAATACTAATAAAAAGCCTATATCACCCTCTTATAAAAAAAAAATCATTTTTCTATATCAAGTGTAAGGTGTTTCTAGACATCCCATATGTAATCAGTAATGTATTAAAGTAAGCAAGCAAAACGAATATCAGTTTCAAATACCAACTCCCACAACAATTTGGAATCGTGATCAATATATACAAATAATAATTAGATAACTTTGCAAGTAGTTCCCTAGGAAACAAAGATGTGCTAATAATGCACTTCTTATATCATATACAAACCAGTAAGTTATAATGTTGAAAGATACATCTAAGCAAACAACCATGTTGAAATAGTTTAAGACCAATAATGATGTCTTTAAGGTATTAATAAATTATGTCACCATTATTAAAAAAAATGATGTCTTTAAGAAAATCTAGCATAGATTCTTAACGATTTGGCATCGTATTATTTTATTCACAAAATGACAAAATCCTTTTTTTTAGAGATGATGAGTGATGCCATAAATTTATTTAGAACCCCAACTAGGATAGAAAACAATACAAGGGAAGGCCAACAACTACTCTTATTATTGGCATAATAATGTCAATGAATATACTCTTGAAGTCGTTTGGATGAATAAACCCCGAATCAATGAATTTAAGTCAAAAACCTCAATTGAAGAGCTCACATATATATTTTATTATGAGATATTTGTAGTAATTACCGTTTGCATTGAGATACAGAATTTTAACTTAAATCCCTCAATCACATTTTTAACCCTTATCTCTGTGGTATCCTTAATTTCAATGACCTTTTGACAAAAAACTAACAGAAATATTCATTCATCATGCCAAAGGTAATATAGCCTAGCGGTGAAACCATTGGTCTGGTTGGCTCAGGATGTGAGAGGTCCTGAGTTCGATCCCCAGTGGCGCCGTTTGTGTGTTCCCGGAGGCATGTCTGAGTGTCGGGGACGAAGTCTCCCGATGTTGTGTCTTGTACAGGTGCGAAATAACTTCCCTCGAAACGAAATCGGGGTGGTGGACCAACAAGCTCGACTCTCGACACTCGGTGCTGCTTCATGTAGCACTCCACAGACAAAGCGACGTGCCCTCTTTTCTGCTCGAACTAACGACGATTTGGAAAACAAAAATTACTGGCTGGTGGCAGTGGCGGATACATGGCCTTTAGGGGTGTCCCTTATCCAACTCCCGGTAGTAGTTTCGTATGGATAAAAAAAAAATTATAATTGGTAATCTGAGACACCCTTAAATTTTGAAAAACGATTATCTTGTCATCGGTAGTAGTTTGCGTATGATTAAAAATATATAAGTAGTACTCTGTGTTATTCAAACCTAGGACACTACTATTATTAAACATATTCTCTGGGTTGCAACTCATTTGTTTTTTTATTTTAAACACTATGTTATAGTAATAACACTATTCTTTATTCCCAATTATTTTCAAAACCTAACAATTAAACTCATTCGAGCTATCCTTAATTTGAATTGATTTTATAGGTATAGTGCAAGAGTTGAAAGAGTCTTTCAAGTTTGAGTTACATCAGGAACAATGTTAGAAATTGAATATGCGATCAGTTCGAGAATTATTGTCTAATATGGTATATTTGCACTAATCAAATATTTTTTTGATTTATGAATTATTTAATTTAATTTTTAATTAAATTTAATTTTTGGAAGAGGACACCCTATAAAAATTTCCTGAATCCGCCACTGGCTGGTGGTGATACTCATATATATATTGTTAGAGCTAGCTACTAATGATCAATATATACCTCGTGAGATACGATGTCATCCATGAGGCGACAGTGATCGGAGACAGCGACGAGGATCTTGGGATCCGCGAGCAGCCAATCGAACGCCTCCTTTGGCGCCTTTTCACCCATCCCGGCGAGTGCTGAGTATGTCAGTAACGGGTAAGCGCAAGAGTATATCCCCACGCGCCGGTATTCCTCTACCGTCGGCACCTCCCCTCTGGCAAACCATCTTGCCTCTGTCAGGTACGCTCTCATTTGATTCCTCTCCTGCACCAACAATTGATCATATGTTATTTAATTAATTAATCAAGAAATTAAGTGTTATTAATTATGGAAGTAATTGAATTACCTGCTTTCCATATTCCAAACAGTAGGACCTTCCTTCTCCGGTTGTAATCGTGTCCACTTCATGCAACACGTCAATAAGTGAACCAAAATATATTTTCATGTAGTCGGGGAGATCCTTCATGCTGGTGTCCCATCTACTGATTAAATTATTAGTTAGGTTGCAACTAATTAATCACCTTGCGAAAAAAGAAAAAGAAAAAAAAAAGAAGCAAATTGAAATCAATTCTTACCCCTCGACGACAGTGGTGAAAAGCTCGAGTTCGTCGATTTTATCGTAGATGTCATCAACCATGGACACAAGCATGGTGAGTTTGGACAGAATGTACCGAGACGTCGAGAATTTGGGCTCCCACATGGCTCCCACGGCCCAGAAGTGAGAATGGGATGGTGACCTTCCATCTGCTCGTACACAGGGATGAAGAAGAGCTGCTCGTGCCTCTCCACGCCTTTACGCAAGGACCTCTTCAACGTATGAGCAACCCGTTTCGCCACCAACTTACGCTGTTGATCATCATCATCAACCGTGTAGTTAGTGATCAGTTGAGCCGTCGCGAACTCGATGGCTTGGTCTAGTATCGTCTCCCCGTGCTTGCGGAGATATGCAGCTTCGTACAGGTTCATACATGGCAGAAGCGAGATGGTTTGCCGAAGGGAAAGTTCCGACGATAGAGGAATACCGGCGTCTGGGGATCTACTCGTGTACTTACCCTTTGTTGTCCTACTCAGCCCTCGCCGGCATGGGTGACAAAGGACCGAAGGAGGCGTTCGATTGGCTGCTCGCCGATCCCAAGATCCTCGTCCCCGTGGTGGATCTCTGTCGTCTCATGGATGACATCGTATCTCATGAGGTATCCATTCATTCATCGTTAACATACACGCGACGTATTGCCACTAGCTAGCTAACTAGTAAGTTTTGTTTTTAATCGTTTCGGGGTATATGCGTAGTTCGAGCAGAAAAGAGGACACGCCTATTCAGCAGTGGAGTGTTACATGCACCAGCACCAGGTATAGAGAAGCGAAGCGGTTAGGGTTCTGAACCAAATGATAAGAGGACGACTAGAAGGTCATAAACGAGGAATGCTTGATGGTCAACCGCCCCGATTTCGTCTCTAAGGAAGTCATCTGCATGTTTGTCGGGCTCACGAGGGTGATGGTGTGGAGGTTCTCTACAAGGATTTCGACAGCTACACTTTCTCCGACGACACCACCACCCATGAAATGATGACTGCTCTGCTCGTCACTCCCATGGAACTAAGCTAGGTTGTTGTACCCACTGCTGAGAGATTATGGGAACTTAATTATGTAGCAATTATGTATGTGCTTTATTTGCTCATGATGTTAATCCTTTTTATGGTGCCCAAGAATATGGCTGGTATGTATAATGTCAACTCCAGCCAACACTGTTGATGTCCGTTTGTTGCAACTACAACAACAAAAATACATTAGAGACGAGCCAAAGAAAATCTTGCGCCAAACTTAGTAATCTGGTTTGTCCAAAGGTAATTTGTTTGCTATCACTGTAATTCTGGTGATGATCCGTCTTTATATGTTAGTCTTTTGTTTCAAAGAAATTTGGTTTGTCCAAATGAAGGTAATGTTGATTTGGTTTTTATTTTGTGAAGCTGATCAAGAGAGAGGGCAAAAAAGGAGAAAGTAACATATACGGTTAGGAAATTCCTACAATACCTTGAAGTTATTGTAACTTGATGTTTTTACCTGCTATAACAGGTTTTACAAGTCGCATTACGTAAAATACAATAAGCATTACGTAATGGTTACATAATGGGTGTTTATCTTACGTAATAGTTGAAAAATGTCATTGCGGAAACCTTACGTAATAGACACTCATTTTACGTAATGAATATTAACCTTTCGTTACGTAATCTATTAAATCATTACGGAAGACTTACGTAACGCTTCTAATTTGACTGTTACGTAAGAAATAACTATCGTTACGTAACCTTTACATAATAGATGCATACTTTACGTAACAGTTGTAAAGTGGCATTACGGAAGCCTTACGTAATAGATGGTCCTTTTACGTAATGAATATTAATCAAGTTACGTAATGTGGTAAGTCATTACGGAAGTCTTACGTAACACTTCTAATTTAACTGTTACGTAAGATATAACCTTCGTTACGTAACCTTTACGTAATGAGCGTGTATTTTATGTAACAGTTGTAAAATATCATTATGGAAGCTTTACGTAATAGAGGATGCTTTTACGTAATGAATATTAACCTAGTGTTACGTAAAATGATAAGTCGTTACGGAAACCTTCCGTAACGCTTTTAGTTTAACTGTTACGTAAGACTAACAAGCATTACGTAATTGTTACGTAATAAATATTAGTTTTACGTAATGTGACCTATAAAACCTGCTATAGCAGTTAAAAAAAGTCAAGTTATAGTAACTTCAAGGCATGGTAAGAGGTCCCCTGTCTGTTTTCCAACTCTTATTAGATTGAAAATTTGAAATCACATTACAAATCATACATTTAAAGCATCAATCACACTCAGACTTTATGAAAAAACAAAAGTGAAAACAATGATACATGATCCTCAATTCCTCATGCATCCTTATTATCTAAAAGAACGAACATATCTAAGGTGCATGGTAAGGGATGGGAATGAGATATAAATCATTTTTACGGGAAATTGCACCTCCAAAATTTTCGGACATATCAAGATCTTGAGGTTTGATTTGGTTTGGGAGCTCCCAATCAAAATGATAGAGCAAATTTGCGAGTAAACTGTAAACAACTGCAATCCCAAAGTTCATCCCTGGACATATCCTTCGTCCAGCTCCAAATGGGAGGAGTTGGAAATCAAGACCCTTGTAATCGATAGAAGTGTTGAGGAACCTTTCGGGTATAAATTGATTTGGTTGGATCCAATGTGATGGGTCTCGACCGATGGCCCAATAATTGATAACCACCCTTGTCTTTGATGGTATTTGATATCCATTAACTACAATTGTTTCCGGACCTTCTCTTGGCAAGGACAAAGGAGCGGGAGGATGTAATCTGAAAGCCTCTTTAACGACTGATTTCATATATTGCAATTCATTGAAGGAGGCTTCATCAACTACTTTACCTCTTTTGTCAAAGAACTGCCTCACTTCTCTTTGTACTTTTTCCATCTTCTCTGGATTTTTCATCAATTCAGACATGGTCCATTCTACTGTAATAGGCGCAGTGTCACCAGCAGCCACAAATATGTCCTGCGGTGTGTATTATATATCAACATATTAAGTATGATAAAAAGTCACCACACACATATAATATACTAGTACTGAAGCCCCCGCTGCGCGACGGGTATTGATCCTGAAAGCAAATCAATAGGTATTCTTAATTTTGTCAAAGTGTTCAGAAAGATAAATAACTGTACTAAACAATTGTTTTAGAAAGGGATAAATTTAATATCATGAGTACCAATCTACATAAAAACTTGTTTTTATCAACAATGTTAATGACGTGATGCAACAAAGTGGAAAAAGAAAATCCCTTAGCTAGAGCCTATGGAGAATGGAATGCAAAAACCTAACATTCTACCAAGAAGAAAACAAAATAAAGATCACCAGTATTTGCGACCAATACAACATTAACGAAGAAAAGGTATTGGAGACAAACTGGTTGCGACAACGCTAACCATGTTTACTTATGTATCAAAATGCACGTCCTATAATGCTGACACACATACTAACTTACATTCCAAAGCAATATCATTGATCATAAAACGTTAATAATGTCATTAGAAATCATTGGAAGAGGTCATGACTAGATAGTTATAAACATGTTGTGAAAATGTGAATCGTTAGTAATAAAGATGTAAATCAATGATATAGTTATTCAACTGTTAATGACCATGTTAAATAACTTTAATGATTCATTCATAGGCGTTGATGACGAAACTATAAAACGGTAACAATTGATCCAAAATTGTTAATAATGTAATTGTAAGGAATTGATAAGTATATTGAAGTCGTTAATAATGACGAGGTATAATAATAACAATTCATTTCATAAATGCTGAAATGTCATTGCAAGTTGCCACGAAGTGAGAGAGCATATATATTTTAATTTTTAATTTTCATTTTAAAGAATAAAAAATATTAAGTTCAAATTTATTAAATATTAAATAATAAATATTTAATTAAATTAATTTCGAATTTCCTTTTAATTGTAGTGGAGAGAGAGGGTTATGGACAAGGTTGTCAACCCACGGGTCAATCCGGGGGTCGACCCACTTTAACCCTGACCCGTTGAGAAAAGCGGGCCGCACGCACCCGTCGGGTCGACCGCTATAGGTATCGTGTTGGAGGTCAAATTGTTTATTTTTTTCATTGGTTTGCGAAATGCGCCTTTTTCGATTTTTCTTTTCGCCTAACTCAATCTTTGAAATCCTTAGTTGAACATTTGAATATTGATGTTATATAAGTGTGTATGAATTTTCACTATATGTTGGATCTAAGTACGATATGTTACTTTGGTGTACTGTTATATGTTATTGCTCATATTTTAGATAAAATTTGATATAATTTATCAGGATAAGTACAATATAATGACTCTTTCCATATTTTCGGGCTAAAACGGGCTAAAATGGGTGACCCATTAACCCTTGACCCACTAGCTCGACCGGGTGTCCGGGTCAACCCGCTGGTTGACAACCTTGGTTATGGAGAAGATAAGGGGGAGAGAGAAAGAGAATCATTAATGAGTAATATTAATTATATTTTCATAATATCTTATTTATTCCAACTAACTATTAACTACTAACCCCCATTAACTACCTAATCTAGTATCAACCAATAAAAATGGTTTAAGAACCTCCTTAAACAATGAGGATTAAGGACCTGATCCAACCCGACTAAAATCGTATAGGCCCCGATGTTTTTATTAATTACAACATATTGAAAGCATGCCATTTTAACAATAATCCCCACTCGACAAAATCCGACAACTCGAAAAGCGGGTAACACACACCTTCGATCCAAAACTTATCAACACCGGTCACCAGGTTCAACCGAGATTGATCGGGTCAATCGTTTTGCTTTTGGGTGGCTGTCATATGGAAAAAGCTGTCGAGTTTTTATCAAAATCCACACGAGACCCAACCATCCAATTATAAAAGCAAAATTCACTCTCGATCGAAAACTCGTAAACAACCGTTTCAACTCGCTTTGGGCATGTTTGATTAGGTTGGAAAATTATAAAGAGGTCCTCTCGATGTGGAATGGAGGAAAAGTAGAAAGAATTAAGAGGTAAAAATGGTAAAGAAAGAAAGGAAAGTCATTAAAATCATAAATCCCTCAAGGTTCTTGATAATTACAAAAGATAGAAAGCGAGCCGAGTTTTAATCCAAATCCACACCTGATCCAACCCGTTAATTACAAAAGCAGATTTAACGCGCTTCCGATCCAAGAACTCAACAACACCATGTTCAACCCGAATTGATCTGGCTTATTTTTTTTATGCGAGGTGGATGGAAAGCAGGTCGAGTTTTTAACAAAATCTTTACTCCACCCAACTCGGCAATTACAAAAGAAGGTAAAATTCGCTCTCGATCGAAAATTCTTCAACACAGGTTCAACTCGGTTTGACCATATCATATTAGGTTGGATACCCATAGGTTTGGACTCATTTATATGTAGACTCTAAGGGAAATTAGACTTGACCTGTTAGTAACCAGCCGTGGGCCGTTGATTTGGGCGGAGCGGCATCAAGCGGATGAGATGGAAACAAGGTGGGGAGGGCATATTTGTCCATTTTCTATTTTTAAATTTTGTTTTTTTATTGATCCAGTATTTAATAGCTGATTTTCATTGGAGGAGAGAGAAATGTCTTCTCTGCAACTCTGCTTTCTCTTTCTCTCTTCCTTTTCTTTTCCTTTCTCTCTCCCAAACTCCTCCTACGTATCTAGATCTACTCCTTTCTCTTGTTCTTCATTTTTCTTTTCTACATCAATCGATAAAGAAAATTTTCAACCTCCATGTTTCATTGCGTTTCTTCTCTTCATCAAATCGTTGACCTCAAATTCGATGACACTTCAGATCCTTCTTCTCTCGAGTTGCTCCTTCTATTCTTTCTTTTCTCGGCCTCAAAATTGGTGACACTCCAAATCGATCAAGAGGAGAAAATCTAGGTGATTCGAGTTTTTGCATGTTTTATGTTTTAGTTTTTGTTTATGAATTTTGAATTCCGATCTTCCTCCTTTTTTGCCATTTGGTGTTCTTGATTGCGAAAGAGTAGATGAGAGGAGACAGAAGACGAGTTTTTTTTTTCTCCCTTCCATTTTTTTCTTTTAGATAATATATATTGATATTACCACACTATACCATATGGTATTATGTGGTAACGAAATATATTTTTATAGTCACGAGCTTTCTCATGATGGTACTGGGTGGTAATTGACACCAATTCCAAGAAAGAAGAGTTAGAAGACAATGAAGGGGAGAAGAAAGAGAAGAAAGTCGTAATTATATATATAGAGAGAGAGAGAGAAAGAGAGAGAGAGATTACGACACTATATCATATTGTAATGTGTGGTAACGAAATATATTTTTATGGATAACATGTTTTACTATAGTCGTAGAGGGTTATAATTTTTTCAAGTATGTTATACCATATGGTATTGCATGGTAGTTGGATTTTTAATTTTCTGTAGCATGTGTTTACCACGTTATACCACATAGTATTTTATGGTAGTTAGATTTCTAATTTTATTTTAACCTGTTATACCATATGGTATGGTAAGGTAATTAGACTTGTAATTTTCTGTAGCATGTTTACCACGTCGTATTGTGTGGTAGTTAGATTTGTAATTTTATTTTAGGAAGTTATACCATATGGTATATGGCATGGTAATTAGATTTGTAATACCGTTTTTAGCACTGAATTATTTAACGAAAAAGTCATCATTCAGTTTGAGTTGGAATTAGAGGAGAGATAACTGAGATTGTTAGATTCATTTTTGTTGTAAAGATAAAGTTAGAATGTAGAGAGCATATACATTTACCTTCTTTCTTTTAATTGTAGATGGAAGAGAGAGAAGAAATAATGTACTTTTTCTATTTATAATAAAACAAAGAGCGGGAGAGAAGAGAACGCGCGTTGAACATGGAGTGAGGTCCGTGTCTGGTCAACAGTCAGCGTTAGAACATTAGCATTAAATGGGGGTTGGTGCAATTTACCCCATTACCCCTCCGTGTTCAATTTAAACAAAAGACAAAGACTTACATGTGGAGGACAGATAAAAGAGTTACTGACAGGGGCGGATACATAGGCCTCTAGGGGTGTCCCGGGACACCCCTAAATTTTGGGGAAACGATTATCCAACCTCCGGTAGTAGTTTCGTATGGGTATACAAAATATAATTGGTAATCCGGGACATCCTAACATTTGAAAAAATGATTATCCTACCCTCGATAATAGTTTGCTTATGATTAAGAAAATATTATTCCAACGTAGGACACTACTATTATCAAACATATTCTAATTATGTTGCTACTCATTTGTTATTCTAATTTAAACATCATGCATCAGTAAAACGCTATTTCTTTATCCCCAACTATTTTCAATACCAAATAATTAAACTATGTACACGCTACCCTTAATTTTGAATTGATTTTATGGTTACACGGCAAATGTTGAAAGAGTCTTTTCTACTTTGAGCTACATTAAGAACAATGTTAGAAATCGAATATGTGATAAGTTCGTGAAGTATTGTCTAGTAGGATATGTAAATTTTTTTTAATAGTGCAGACACGGAGTTTATTTATATTTTTTTCAAAATATGAATTTTAATTTATTATTTAATAAAAATTTTAACAAATTATAAAATTATGATATTTTTAATATACGAATTATTTAATTTATTATATAATTAAATTTAATTTTTGAAGAAGACACCCTTGTAAAAAATTTCTGAATCCGCCACTGGTTACTGACATTCCCTATGTTTGGCCCGGCTTTTAGAAGTGCTTTTCGGGTTCAAAAGCTAAAGCAGGGCCAAACACCTGTAAAAGCTCGGCTTTTGAAAAGCCGAAAAGCGCTTTTGTATAATATAAAAGCAGAAGCTCCGATTTGGAGCTTCTGCGAAAAGCTGTTTTGAAAATACAAGATTATCCTTACCATATTTTAATTTTATTTCAGAAAATATAATTTTACTTCATTTATATCATTTTAAAAATAAAATAAATTATAAAATCATATTATTCAATAAAAAAGAAATCTAACAAGATCCATTTTGACTACTTTTTATTGTTTAGAATTTTATTCATATTTTATATTATAAGTCCTTTATAGTCATTTTACACAACCTCTTATATTAAAAAGCACTTCTAATAGTTTTACAGCCAAACACTCAACTGCTTTTTTTTTTAAAGTACTTATCTAAAAGCTCCAGCCAGAAGCTACTTCTGCAAAAGCTACAGCAGGGTCAAACTAAACTATTTACTGATTGAAGGGTTACTGAACTGATCCGTCCTGGAAAATTAACGTATAAAAGTAATTAAGAAAGAAAGGTAAACCATTAAAATGATAAAACCGTCAAAGTTTTCACTCATTACAAAATACCCTAATGATTTGAGTCTAAGATATGGTGGAAAAAGTTTCCACACCCAATCCAACCCGTCAATTACAAAAGCAGGTAAAACACGCTTCTGACCCAGAAACTCGTCAACACCATGTTCAACACAGATTGACCGGGTCAATTTTTTGTATGTGGATGGAAAGCGGGGCGAGTTTTTTTTAAAAAAAAAAACCCACACCAACCCAAACAGTCAATTATAAAAGAGGATAAAACTCTCTGACGACCCAAAACTCGTCAACACCAGGTTCAACTCAATTTGGTCAAGCCGGATTGGGTTGAGTAACCCATGAGTTTGGATTCATCTATATGTATACTATAATGAAAATTATTGAACTTGATTTGGTCGGATCGGATTGGGTTGAGCACCCCATGAATTTTGGTTCAATTATATGTAAACTCTATGAAAAATTAAGGTGTAAAAGTAGGAGAAAAATTAAGAAAGAAAGGTAAAAGTAAAACCATTAAAATAATGACCCCTCAAAATTTTCATTAATTACAAAAATACCCTAATGATATGACTCTAAAGAATAGTGTCAAAGGCAATCCCTCTTTTAATATCTTAATTAATTAATAATTAAAATTAATTAATTAAAATACTCACCCAAAAATACTTACCATGATGACGCCTTTAACCTCAAGGTGGTTGTCAGTGGAAGCCAAGAGCACATCAACTAGATCCTCATCGTAATCTTCTTCGGCTGTGTCCGGATGCTCTTTATCTCTTCCTCTTCTTCTTCTCGACACATGCTCGTCAATTATTCCCTGGAGGATGACATCTGCCTCTTGGTGAAGCTTCTTCAGTTGTCTCTCTGTTCCACTGATTAAACGCAACAGCCTGTTTGGATGGAGCAACTTTTTGTTGTCATGATCATGATCATGAACATAATAGTATTATTTAGACCAATTAATAATGTTCGCGAGATGCGGTTACTAATTCATGAAAGCTTGATTCACGATCGAGGAAATTTTATTCGTGAAAGCCAGCAACGTAACGTAACCTGTTGGAAGGGAAGATGTCCCCGACGCTGAACCCACCAATCGTTTGAGCGATTTGATGGATCACCGGCAGGAAAGATCCCTCTAGCTCCCGGATCTTCCCGAACGCCGTCCTCGACGTGATCGAGTTGCCAACGGCGGACAGCAGCCGGCTAAGGTTCACCGCTGCACAAGGCTGGCTCCGCCCAATCAACTGCATCAGCTTGCCGGCCTCGTCTTCTCGAACCGGCCGCAGGGACTTGACGCGCCTCTCGCTCAGCAGCTCCGTGGTGCAGAGCTTCCTCATCCGCCGCCAGCCATCTCCTTCGGACGCGAACACGATCTCATTGGCGCCGTAGAAGATGATGCTGGCGGACGGCATGTAAGGCCGGAGGGGGAAGCTGTGGTCGTGTGTTTTCATGAACTCTCTGGCTGCTTCAGGGGACGATACGACGACGTTGGAGGTCTCGCCGAGCTGGAGCTGCATCATTGGGCCGTATTGTTGGGCCAGTTCGGAAATGCGGCGGTGGACTGGGCCGGAGTTGGAGGAGAAGGCCAGCTGGTGGATGTTGCCGATTATGGGGAGCTTCCATGGCCCTGGAGGCAGGGGAAAGGAGGATGCTCTGTTTTTGTTCTTGCTCTGTTTCTTGAGGATGGATATGGTTGAGAAAAGGATGATTAGAATGGTGATTAGGATGATGATTAGTGGAGGATTGTTACTCATCAGGAGAGTCTCATCATCATCATCATCATCATGCCTAATTACTTCTTCCATTTCTCGATCTCTTACTCTCTTTCTTTGTGCTGGTGGTGGTGGTGTTTGAATCCCTGTGTGCGTGTGTGTATATATAAAATCTCTAGCTAGCCTCCAAGTCCTACTAAAAAAAAAAAATCATCCAAATAACTTCATCCTAATTACTTATTGTAGCAACTTGTGGCAACCATATCAATTCCACAACTTTGTAAGTTTTCACATCAACGAATTAGCTATTGAGAGAAACATAGGAATAAGTGAACAACAAATTACGTTGTCTCTATTATATACGGAATTGGCAAATGGGTTGAATTCATGGATTTGTGGATACATGAATTGGTTAAATGGACTGGTAGATCAAATGGATTTGGTTGGTGTTTAGGTACTAAACGCAATAATAATAATAATAAAATGTAGGTACAAAACATAATTTTTCAATGTTATGGGTACTAAACTCTTTTTTTTTTCCATAATCCATGAACTAACCCACCAATACATGCAGTTTTTGCTTGGGCTTGCAATCTTGACCGAACAAATAACAATGAATAACGGGAGCGTTGGGCTCGGGCATGGGAGAAGCGAAGATATATTTGTTAAAACCGCGGTACTTACTGTGTTAAAACTTAAAATTAAGGATTGTGAAATCATAAGACAATATTTACCTGCAAACTAGGTTGCAGGGGTTCCTGCAGGCTGTCCAGGTGGGATTCCTCCAATGGTTCCTTTTCTTTCATTTTTCTATTTTACTAATCCTAAATTAATAGCCAACGGAACAACTAACGGGAAAAAGGTAAATGGTAGTGATTGTATAATAATCAAGGGCCCACTTAACTATATATTTATTTCTTACCCTTCTCTCTCGTTATTCCAACTACACATATGTTTTTGTTTTCCAGACGATAATTGGCCAATTTGAATCTCAACCTTTAATTATTGGTACAATAAGATAGAATCATGAATAAAATTTTGATTGCAATGCCTCCAAGCAATATTTCGATACTATATTCAAATTTCAAATGATTACCATGGTTATCATGCAATTTTTAATTACCTTCCAAGCAACATTTCAAAATTGTATTAATTTTATCGGTTGTAACTCTAAGTGTTGAGAGATCTTTTTCACCTTTGGGTTACTTCAAAAACAATTTTTGAATAGATTAAGAGATTAGTTCGTGAATGATTATCTAGTAGGATATATAGAAAGAGATTTGTTAAACACTTTAAACAGTGAGTTTATTTTATAATTTTTTCAAAATATGATAACAAGTCGTGAATTTTTGTTGTAACTTGTACTTGTCAGATACTTTATTATTTAATAATTTTATTATCATTTTAAATTTTGAAAAGGATACCCCTATATAAAATTTTGTATCCTCCATTGCATGGAATACAATATCTTAACAAATAGATCAAACTAATACCAAAACCAAATTAACCAAACTAAAGTTTAATCAGTTTCGTTAATCATGTCAACCAATATAACATAGCTTTAAGTTTGTCATTAAAAATATACAAAAAAATGGTACGAGGGTAATGATTGGGTGTCTGTGTGAATTGTCTTGATCTCTTAACAATTATTAGTGATTGCAAGGGTCATTTTTTTCATGTTTCATCCAACATAATATATGAGTTTTTATCTCATAAATTTGTTGGAATAGATCATACTTGTGTTGCATTTTTTTCTATGGACTAATTCTTTATGTGAGAGATAAATTACATTTTTTTACCGTGTTTGATTACATGTTTATAATTTTGCAAAATAATGGTTTGAGTTTCCTAAATCATTGTCATAAAGTTAGCAATCAATTAAGCTCCATGGAACAGGATGCAAGTTATTCTTTTGTTAAACAAAAGAACAAAATTAATTTATTCTTCCTAGTCTACCCGAGAGAGAAAAGGAAAGATACATATTCAATAGGAGTATAGGACCCACAAGCAGCACCGTTAACCTTTTCCCGTTAGATGTTACGTTTGATATTAATTTAGAATTATTAAAATGAAAGAAAGGAACCAATAGAGGAATTCCACTTGGACAGCCTGCAGGAACCCCCTGCAACCTGGTTTGAAGGTAAATATTGTCCGAAATCAGATAAGTGATTGTACCGAAAAGTCATTAGTATGATATTTTGTGATGCAAATGTGGTTTAATAATGATTCAATAGTTTTATACTATAAACAAATGTCTATTGGATTAAAGTTAGGTCGAACGGTCTCTACCGTTTTATACTATGCAAATTTTGTGAATTCTGAGTTAAAACAGATAAATTTTTAAAAAAAAAATGCATTCTCTCTCCGGATCCGTGTCAGACTGTCAAAAAAAAATCACCGAGGGGTGGCAAAATTACCTATCCATTCCTGCTTTTCTTTTTTTCTGAATTAATGTGAACCATTAGATAGTAGAACTGTAGAAGTAATGAAGGGTAGATCAATATATATATATATACACATAACTAGGTAAATGTGCAAGTAGTTCCCTAGGAAACAAAGATTGGCTAATAATATTAGCCAAAAAAAAAAAAGAGGCTAATAATGCACTTCTTATATGGTATTTAAACCAATAAATTATAATGTTGAAAGATGCATCTAAGAAAACGACCAGGTTAAAATAGTTTAAGATCAATAATGATGCCTTTATGAAAATCTAGCAAAGTTTCATGACGTTTTGGCATCGTATTATTTATTCTCATAATCCTTTTTTATTGATGATGACATCAATTTATTAAAAACCCAAACTACGTTAGAAAACAATGCATGGGAAGGGCAACAACTATTCTTATTATTCACATAATTTCAATGAATGCTCTTGGGAATTATGAAATAAGGAATTTGTGTCAAAAACCTCATTGAAAATTCCAAGTTGTTTTCTTATGAGGTATTTGTATACATTACTCAATTTGGATTGAGTAAAACCCAGAATTCGAATCCCAATAATCCACCGATTCCTTCCGATTCTTCTTCAAGCAAACTAGTACCCGACATTGCAAACTCATAATCGTGTTTGCTCTGTCGGTGGTGCCGAGAGTAGTAGCGAAAGCTTTCTCTGCTACGATACATCTGCGGAGCGCGGGAATTCTCGGTAGAACCAACTCGAGAACCCTAGCTGCCGTCGAGCTGGTGGCACAAGGTAATTCGTGGTGATCATTTTTACCATCAGAAGATTTTTCGGATCTTTGACATCAAGTTCTTCGTCATTAATTCAATGTGAAATTATTATTACCAAAGGTAAGATAGTCTACCGGTAAGCTGCCGCGACAGTGAAAGTTTGAAAATTGTAGATCTCAGCAGGTTCGAATTCAATCAAGGGAGATTGGTGTTCCCGGAGGTATAAAACTGCTGGGGGAAGCCCCGTGACGTCGAATTGAATGCAGCTCCACGAAAGATGTGGTTTGTTCGATGGCGCAACATCCAAGTGAATCAAGTCAGCCAGTGAGACGATGGGGGTAAGCTTCATCTGAGAAAGTACGAGAAATTTGCCTCGCCCCGCTCTATCGATATACTTGACCTGACTCGCTTTGGGGCCAAATTTGTTAAACAAGACCTAATAATGATAATTTTATATCACTCTTATAAATAAATTCGATTTTTCTACGTAAGTGTAGTAGTTTCTACTTTCTAGATATCTCATATGTAATCAGCCATGTATTGAATTAAGTAATAAGTAACAAACGATGTCAGTTTCAAATACCAACTCCCACAAATATTTGTAGTTAGATAAAAGTGCAAGTAGTTCCGTAGGAAACAAAAGATGCGCTAATAATGCACTTCTTATATCGTACATAACCCAATAATTTATAATGTTGAAAGATACATCTAAGAAATGCACTTCTTATATTGTATATAACCCAATAATCTATAATGTTGAAAGATACATCTAAGAAAACAACCATGTGTAAATCTAAGAAAACAACGCCTGTATTCACACTTAATTTATGCACTTCAATATATCTTTTGTTAAATAAGATCTGTCGGTTAATATTTTTTTAGATTAAATGAATCCTGTGGCTTGGGTTAGAGAATCAGAGACTGGAGTTCACCCATTAGAGGTTAGAGTATAATATCATACCACAAACTCCGGTTAATTTGTGCTCTAAATAGTAAAATTCGAAGGGCGTACAATGTACGTCTGACGTAAGCTAGCCTGAACCATATGCTATGTGTGTGTGCGCGCGCGCGTGTGTGTATGTGGGGACGACTCGTATGCTTCAGATGATCTGGCGGTTAGATGTACGTATTTCGATGAGCTCCGACCAATCTCAAATGTCAATTGTTGTTTTCTTTTAAATTGAAATTTGGGTTGGGGTATAGAGAATCAATGCCTAGGGCTTATCCATTAGAGGTTAGGGTATAGTATTATGCCCCAAACTCGGTTTAATTCATTGTCTAGATAAATATATCTCACTAGGAATACCTGAAGCATACTATGCTTTGGGAGCATATATATATGGTGGTTTCTATTCTTTGTACACTATACTCTTGCGTTCACACTTATTATTTGTACTTTTATAATTTTGACAAATAATAAACGTTGATTTTTAAGATTAAATTAATTTTTTTAAGATAAATTGATTTTCATTCTAAGATTAAATTGATTTTTAGTTTAAGATTGAATGAAACTATATAAATGGAGATTACTTGTATGCTCCAAACGATCTGGTCATTAAATGTACTTCGATGAGCTCCGACCATTCTCAATGATCAATCATTCTTTTCTATTAAATTGAACTTCGAGTTTGGATTTAGTGAATCAGGGCCTCTGATTTATCCATTAGAGATTATGGCATAGTATCATGCATCAAACTTGGTTTAATTCCATGGATTACGAAACCGTACCGGCCATCAAACCGGAATCGTTTTTGGCATGGTAAATCGTGGTACAACCATGGTTCAACCGTTTCCTACCGGCAAATACCGTTTTTGGAATAAAAAAATTATTTTTTTGTTAAAAAACCGTACCGACAAAATTAGGGTACCATACCGGGAAAATACCGGAATAAAACCGGATTATACCGCCTGAGAAACTGTAAAAGAGTAAATAAGCTTAGGTAACATTCAACAAAGTGCGAGATTTCAATACCTAATAAACCTCATAATCCTGAGAAACTGTTGACACTCGTGGTGTACTAAAAGCTGCTCCTTGCTCAACTGCCGGGGTTTCTTCCCCGCTAGCCATTGCTGTCACAATAAAAACAATAAACATAATGTTAGTAAACAATAATAAAAAAAACAACAATCAGTCAGCCCCCATCACAGGTAGAAATTTGTTCCTTCTTTTACTAGCTAGGCTAACAATCAATACCAAATCAATTCACCATGTTTGCATTACCAAAAAAAAAAAAAAATTCACCATGTTTGTTATTTTATCCTGATCGACATCTTTGTTCGATTCAACAATTTATCCATAGAGATTTTATATTAGAATGATTTTTGTGCGCTACACTTATGATCTTGACATTAACAACCCATAAAAAAGAATTCAGCCGTAGAAAACCATAAATTACACCTGCAACTAGGTATGGGAATTACGAGGTCCACACAGACTAGGGATAAGAACAGTAATTGAAAAAAAAAAACAGAATACAAGCTTCCCAAATTTGTTACAAACCGCTGTTTCCACTTTCCAAACAAATTTCAGTTTTCTGTGATTTAAAATGGATTTTGAGGTTGAAATGATTTTGTTTCTGCGTGCAGGGAAGAAGAACAGAGAGAGAGAGAGATCCACACCTGCAACTTGGATTAAGAAGAAGGAAGTGATGGCGGGGTCGCGGGAAAGTGGCAGCCACGATCTCTGATCGTCGGTGGTGTTGATCGCCGGTTGCTGGGGATGCTGGCGACGCGGGGAGAGTGGAGACCAGAGCGGCGCGACGCGGCTGCTGAGTGCTGGGAGAGAGAGACGAGAGGCAGGTAGGGTTTTGTGAGTCTCTGCTTCCCTTCCATTCCGTTTTTTTTTTCATCAAACGGCGCCGTTTGTGTTAAATGAAGGGACCGCCGGGTTGATTTTAAACCGGCCAAAATTTCGGCCCAATGCGGTCCAACCGCAAATACCGCCCAGCAGGTTATTAAAGGGTACAAAGCCCTATTGCGCCGGTTTACCTCCGGTTTCCGGTTTTTCCGGTTCGACCGACCGGTCCGGTAGGGTATCCTGGTCCTTGTTTAATTCATTGTCTAGATAGATATATCTTACTAGGAGTAGATTAGTCAAAATACTGATTTAAATCCTAAATTCCTATGATTTTACTTACCTATTCGATCCATTCTTATTTCATTATTAACTCTATGGACCTTAAAATCCTACACTATTCACGATTTAAATTCTTAAAATATTAATATTTTACTATTCAAATCTTTGAGTCAATTTTACTTATTTTCCTCAGAATTTGATAATTACGCCTCTTTTCCTTCACCTCCACCAACAACATCTAGTTCTGCGATGACCAATATTTGGTGATTTGATTATAGTTCGAATATATGAGTGTTAGTGTTTGGTGCTCATTAAGAATTTGTTAAAATTTCAAGGACGAAATTTTTGTAAGTGAAGAAAGAATGTAATGACTGGAACTTTTAGAAGTTGGTCAAATTGAAATTTAGTCTTTTCCAAACCAAAATTTTGGAAGCCCAATCTTGTTTGTTAGAAATTTAACTCATTTTGTAGCCCAACCCAAGTTTAGCCCAATAATTTGTGTGGAGACTTAGCCCAACGTGAAAACCAAGGTAAACTATATGGCCCACCTTTGCCTACCCTAGAGAGGCATGGCCCGCCCAACGTGAAGACCAATGGATTGATGATTGCACCTTATATTGAACCTTATATTCGACTAAACTAAATTGAACCTTATATTCTATTTGGAAGTCGATCTTGATTTCAGGGGAGTAATGGTTGTAACTTATGACATCAAAATTTAGTATTTAAGTATGATTTGTGATTTGAAGCTTTGATAGTGTTTGATTATTTGAACCGAATTCTTTGGCAATTTGAAATGATTTGTATCATACCTCTATTTGACTTTTGAAGTGATTACTGTGATTTGACTATTTATTGTATCCGATTTGGGTGCATCCTTACCTTTGAAGCGTGTTTTTTTTTAACTGCAAAATTCCTATTTGATTTGATTATAAGATTACATGAATTCGTCCTTTTAAGTTGTTTGATCCGTATTGATTTTGGAAGTGTGATAACCATTTTGATTTGAGTATCTGGACAATTTGTATCAATGTTTTGAAACTCGATATCAGCCACTGGAGACGATCAGTTTCTGGATTTGTATCAGTTATCTGTTTCACATGGTGTGTCTAGAGACATTTCATTTGCATAATCATCATACCCATCATAACTACATAATACATTGCATTGCACTAACATACCGTGGAGGAGGAGGATGGTCTGTACATATCTGTTTGGTTATGCGCAGTTACCACTATATGTTGTCTGTATATGAATCTGTTATCTGTTGACTATACCGAGTGCTTTTCTGATTTGATTATCTGAAGGATTAAGAATGATTGATTGATCTTATTCGTTTTGCATATTCGTTTACAAAATTTTGGGATGTGCATTTGAAATGTGTTTTATTGGTATTTATCTGATTTGTACTTTTGGAAATTGTAGAGAATATGAGTTTGACGTCTTCCAATGATTTGTTGAATTTTTCCTACTTGATTTGAAGACATAGAAGTCTGGATTTTATTCTTTGATTGATTTTTAGTTTCTAAACCAATTTAAATTTATTGGTACTTTACTAAAGATAGTATTTGAATATTTTTATTTGTATGTTGTGAGTTATAGCTATTACTTATCGAGCGTCGACTCATCCATCGACAACTATTTTTTTTTTCCAGATAAGGTCTGAGTAGTTCCTATCGCCTTAGACTTGGCCTCAGTGGATTCTAATTGGGTTACTTAGTGGCATCGGAATTGAGGATCACTCTAGCTAGATTGTTAACGGTACTTTGTAATCATCTTTGTAGCACTCCGCAGTTTAGGTTGGATTTGTATTAGGAGTGTGCAGTTTAAGATTGTATCATTTGTCATTTGCGATGAGTCTGGTTGAACTGTAAGAATTCAGTTCATTGGTTGTTATCGACCCAGTATTTGATATTTGAAGTATGGAATTTAGGCTTGTGTGGATTTTGAACGGTTTGATAGGATTATCCACACGCCGGTCACAACCAGGGTCGGGTCGTGACAAAGTTGGTATCAGAGAGCCCGGTTCTACCCTTTGTGGTTTACTTCTGGATTAGTTATTTAAGGGTGCCCGTAACTGCGGAGTATCGATTTCTCAACTCGTATCAACTTAATTTGGTTAGTATCTCATTCTAATTTTTAATAATTACAAGTGTCCCACTAATTTTTAATAACTACAAGTGTGCCATCCCTTTATAAATCCACATTCATTGTGATAAACCCCTTATAATAAATAAAAAAAATCATCAAACCGAAATATTGATATTGGCTGGAATGAGTGTTATAGCACCGTACTAACAAGAAAAAAAAAATTGCACCCTTACGTTTGTTACTGTTGATTATAGCTATTATATTTGTAACTGCGATTACCATGAGTAACAACCAAAGCCGGCACAAACATTCATTCATCATCAGAATTACAATAATAATAATATTAAGAACACACACATCATCACTAAGTTCAAAGAAAGGAAATTTATGTCACACGAGCTAGGGAATACATAACAAACGGATATCGCTAGCGTAGCAGCCTTATTATTCTTGCACGTGCAGACAATAGCACACCATAAACAGGATCATAGCTAGGGCCGGCCGACGTCCATGGGAGTGACGAGCAGAGCAGTCATCATGTCCATGGTGGTGGTGTCGGAGAAGGTATATCCATCGAAATCCTTGTACAGAACTTCTATCACCTTTGCAAGTCCCACTAACATGGAAATAACTTCCTTGGAAACGAAATCGGGGCGGTTGATGTCGAGGCACTCCTCGTTTACGATCTTCCAGTCGTCCTCCGCCATTTGGTACAACGCATCAACCGCCTCGAATCTCGACACTTGGTGCTGCTTCATGTAGCATTCCACCGATGACGAGACATGTCCTCTTTTCTGCTCGAACTAATGATCATTTGGGAAACAAAAATTACATTACTGGCCGGTGGTGGTGATACTCAACACTCTATTTTTGTTTTTGTTTTTGTTTTTGTTAGAGCGACTAATTGATGAATACCTCGTGAGATACGATGTCATCCATGAGGCGACAGTGATCGGAGACAGCGACGAGGATCTTGGGATCCGCGAGCAGCCAATCGAACGCCTCCTTTGGTGCCTTTTCACCCATTCCGGCGAGGGATGCGTATGACAGTAACGGGTAGGCGCAAGAGTATATCCCCACGCGCCGGTATTCCTCTACCGTCGGCACCTCCCCTCTGGCAAACCATCTTGCTTCTGTCAGGTATGCTCTCATTTGATTCCTCTCCTGCTCCGATCCACAATTGAAAGGTACGTACGTAAATTATATGACACCAATTAATTAATCAAGAATCAAGAGTTATTAATTAATTATGGAAGTAATATAATTGTATTACCGCCTGCTTTCCGTATTCCAAACAGTAGGGCCTTCCTTCTCCGGTTGTAATCGTGTCCACTTCATGCAACACATCAATAAGTGATCCAAAATATATTTTCATGTAGTCGGGGAGATCCTTCATGCTGGTGTCCCATCTATTGATGATTAATTAATTCAATTTAATCAACTTGCGGGGGAAGAAGAATAAGAAGAAGAAAAAAAAAAAACAACAACAAAAATAAAAATAAACTGAAATGAGTTTTTACCCCTCAACGACAGTGGTGAAAAGCTCGAGTTCGTCGATTTTACCGTGGACATCATAGATGTCATCAACCACGGACACAAGCATGGCAACTTTAGACAGGATGTATCGAGCCGTCGAAAATTTGGGTTCCCACATGGCTCCCATGGCCCAGAAGTAAATCTCGATCAATCTGTCTCGCGCAAAAGACAGCCTCGTGGCGAAGTCCAGATCGATCCACCATCTAATAATCATTACGATTTCCATCATTACTAATCATCCGCCAACACGTACGTACGTACGAGTAATGATGAGATCGAGCAAATTAAAGGAGGATGCACTTACATACATACATACCGTGTAAAGCTCCTGAGCTCTTGTTGGTACAAGTGTTGCACGGAATTCCAGCTCAACTTAGCCAGCTTCAGGAGAATGGCGTCGTGACCGTCCATCTGCTCGTAAACAGAGATGAAGAAGAGCTGCTCGTGCCTCTCCACGCCTTTACGGAGTGGCCTCTTCAACGTACGAGCAACCCGTTTCGCCGCCAACGACTTACGCTGTTGATCATCATGATCCAACTGCCCTTGGGACGATTGCTCGATAGTGTAGTTCGTCAGTTGCGCCGTCGCGAACTCAATGGCTTGGTCTAGTATCGTCTCCCCATGCTTGCGGAGATGTGCAGCTTCGTACAGGCCCATCATACCTTCAACGTCACTCCTCAACTCCTCCTTGAAGCTTCCCTCCTCCTCCTCCTCTTCTTCTTCATTCAGCTGGAACCTCTTGAATATGTCTGCAAGGCAAGGACATGCATGTAATTAATTATTTTGTCACTTGATGCATTCATGCATGCATGCTGACGTACCACCAGACACGTTGTAGCCATGTTGCCTGAGCAGTCTGAAGTACAGTGCAACGGTGAAGAGATCGTCCTCGTTGTCAATGTTATTCCCATGATAGATCTGTCGGAGCTGCTCTTCGATCTCTTCTTCGAAATGGTATCCGATGCCAAGCCTCTCCACCACGTCGATCAGCTTCAGCTTTTCCGACAACGTCGTCGGAGCTGACAGTAGCATCGCCTTCACGTTCTCCGTCAGCGCGTCAATCCCCACGTTCCACCCGTTTACAGTCTATATATATATATATGTACACAACTCATGATATTAGCTATCTACGGTCGTTCCCATACTTATTACGTAGCTCAGTAGTAGTTATGGTATATGTATTTTTATTACCTCTTGGTCGGCGAAGACATGAGTAAGAAAGAAGTCGCCCCACACGGTTGAGTGGAAATCTACAGTCCGCCGCTCTTGAGCAGCTGCTGCCGCTGCTGCTGCAGTCGCACTTGTGCTGGAGGAGGCGGCCATATCGATCGATTTTATTTATGGAAAAAGAAAAGGAAACAGGGGAAGTGCTATATATTGAAAAATTCTTAGCTTCAACCTTTTTTTATTGATGGATTCACCTTTTTTATATATTTAATTATGCTAAGTATCACAAGAAAGAGAAGAAATGATTATTCCGTCTCTTTTCCTTCCGTTAGTCATTAATGTTTAATGATCAATGGTAATAGAAAAGAAAAATAAAATAATTATTTCAGTCAATAGACTGAGCACATGTGGACGGGTTGTAGGGAGAGCCTCCATACCAGGTTGGAGGTAAATATCGTGAATCCACCAACGACATTGTGATATGACCAAGATTTTGCAGGTCGGGATTGTGTACCCTATATGTTTCCTTTAAATATTAATATTTGTTAGTCAATTTGTAATATCGTATTTTATTCAAATATAAATGTAGATAGTTTAAAAATATGTTCAATACATGGTTAAATTTATTCGATGCTAATGATTTTTCACATGAATACTAATTTTGTTTAATTGGTATGAACCAGAATAATCTGGTATATACCTGGAGTACCCCTAGTTAACAATATATAGTTAGTAAAACACGGAACGAGATAGTTATGTATAAAATATGTACGGGTATTTTAATTTGTCTCTAAATTAATATTACGTTTAATAGTATGTTAATAGTCGTAAATATATAAAATTATTTATTTTAAAAATAAATAAATAATAGTATAATGAACAATTTAATTTATTTAATGTGAGCCAAGATGTGAGTAAGAGATATGAAAAGTTTGCAAGAGAGGAAATTCAAATTATTCTTCCGTCTCCCCTTTTTCCGTTAGCGTTAATGGTATTAGGAAAGAAAAATAAAATAATTATTTCAGCCAATAAATTGAGCACATGTGGACGGGTTGCAGGGAGAGCCTCCATACCAGGTTGGAGGTAAATATCCTCCATAGTTGAAATAAATAATAATTAGTACGATGCAAATGCCATCCACAACTCTTTTGGAATAATGCTGTGGAATCTATTCACTTTGTCTTCCTAGATGTACCTTTCGGCTTTCACCGTCACTTATTGGTTTATATACGAAAACATAGAAAGTGGGTTATTAGCCAATCTTTGGTTTCTAGGGAACTACTTGCTAATTTATCTTTTTATTATTTACTTTTATTAGTATTGATTGGTTTATTTTATACGATATAAGAAGTGCCCCATTTGCTCATCTTTGCATTTTCAGGGAACTACTTGCACATTTATGTATACATATGTTGGTCAAGATTCCAAATTCGCTTGGGAGTTGGTATTTTTTGTTGTTGTTGATAATGCTGAATTGCTGATCTCATTTTATTTATTAAATAAAAAGTTCAAAGGATTTAAACATGAAACCAAAGGAAACAGCTATTATGCAACTCCTATGAAACAGCTGCAAACCCCTCAAAAAGAACAACCTGACAATACACAACTTCTAAGAGCATCTCCAATGGTGCAAATGGAGGGAATTGCAAGTTGAGGTGGCAGCCATGTGCAATTGAAAAAGTGGATGACATTGATGCAAGACCACTTTCAAGGGATGAAAATTTGCACACCATGAAAATCTGACATGCAATTGCAAGTGGGTCCTTTGTTTGTCTGATGTGAACATCTAACAAGTTCATCCCAACTTTCCTCCATGAATTGGCGGTTCTCCTCCATGGCCTGGAGGTTTTTCTCCATGGCCAGGCGGTTCTCCACCATCATCTTCTGTGTCTCCTCCACTATCAAATGGTGTGACATGGCAGTGGTGGTTACTTTGACAGAAGGTGCCGGCGGTGGCAAAGCCTCTACCTTGCCATTGTTTCCGACCAATCCTTTTCCTTCTTGGCCAAGTTCAAAATTGGCGACAAGATCCATCACGAATCCAGGTGAAAGATCACCTTCTTGTTCTCTCAGTCGTGGAGCCATCAAATCAAACACAATTGTCCCACCAGGTGTGCCAAATTTGTTTCCCTGTGAGAAACTTGCGTTGAAAATAAATTGATTGCACCTTTGACTTCTTTGGACAACGATCACTAAACACGGTTCACGCCTCTTCAAACACAATTCGAACGAGGGTGTTCGATGTTTACACGACTCTCGAGACAGATCTACATTAAGTTACTCCTACTCCTATGGAGGTTCTGAGAGAGCTCCAAATCTACGACTATTAATAAAAATTTGCAGAGGAAAGACAAGATTGAAAAACTTGACAAGTGGTGTCGAGTGGTAATTTTTTTGCGGGCCTCTCCTCTGTCGACTCCTCCTCCTATTTATAGGCCTTGAGATGATAACCGTCGTAGAAACTGTCATAGAGTAACTTCCAAAAAGAACTGCTCCCTGCTTCCTCGGAACATGGCTGACGTGTCCTTTGAACGTGGGATGAGTAGCCGTTACTTCTCAACTGCCTAGGTACCTCTCTTGAAACCGTCGTAGGATCTTGTAGCTTGCCTCATATATCACGGTCATGGACTTCTTTACTCATGTCCATGGCCCTCTTGGGACTTAGTCTCTAGTGATATAATATTTCATCCCCATGTCATTCTCCTTCGTGTCCATGGCTCCTCTCGTGAGGCGGCATGGCCCCTCAGAATTATCATATGGCATGGCCTCTTGTTTGCACCCATGGACCTCTCAATCATGGACATGGCCTCCCTCATGAAGCAGCAAGTCCTTTCCATACTTAGTATTTTCAATCATTTCTAATGCTTCTTGCTTCGCGTCCATGGCCATCACATGACACGGCCATGGACCTCTTAATCATGCACATGACCCTTCTCGTGAGGCGGCATGACCTTCTCAGACTTAGTATATTTTGGATCATGAGGCGACATGGCCTCCTCATTCGCGGCCATGGACTTCTCAGTCATGTCTGTGGCCCTTCTCGTGACACAACATGGTCCTCTCATACTTAGTATCTTTTCTTGCGTCCATGCCCCTTCTCGTGAGGCGGCACATGCTTCTCCTTGAAGTGGCATGTACCTCTTCCAGACTTAGTTTATTTTTTCAGTCATTAGGCCTTGGTCATGGGGCGACATGGCCTCTTCGTGAAGTGGCATGCCCTTCTCGAGATTTAGAATATTTTTGACTGTATCGAGGTCTTCCTTGGGATGGCATGTGCTTCTAAATTCTAGATGGACATGTTTTTATGTCGTTTGGTCTTGGTTATGAGGCGGCATGGCCTCTTCATTCATGGCCATGGACTTCTCATACTTAGAAATTTTCATGCCATCTCGTGGCATGGCATGGCCTCTTACGAGAGGCCCATGTCCTTTATTGAATCATGTCCATGCTCATTAATGAGCTAGTGACTTGGGTTTAAAATCAATATCCATAAGGCCCAATTTAAACAACATTAATTGTTATAATGGGTGTGGCCTTATAAACTCCTTGATTATCTTGTAACTCACCAATGTGGTACAAGACAAAATTTATGGTGTAAACAAATGCCCCCCAACTACTTAGTGCATAAGGATTATGGACTAAGTAGTTGAGACCAACTTGACCACTTATATCCCTTCTCTAACTGGTCCTCGAGTAACATGGCTTGTCTCTACTCACCCATGACCACAAGTTCAATAAAACTTGAAAATTTTCCCCCTAAAACAACACCATGATACCTCCGTCTTTCAAGTGGCTAGCTATGCCTCCTATGTTGTCTTCATTCATGTGTAGCCACGAGAAACCCTTGCCTTGTTGGCTTTCGTCAACAATTCAGTGAGGCCCCTACACTTTTATTATTATACATGATCAAGCTGGCCATGAATTTTCCTCTGCCTTAGATGCCTCTCGATTGAGACATGCTTACTCTCCTCATGTTGTGGGAGAAGATGTCCAGTCTTGACAAGTCGGCGACCACCCATGTGGCCCACTTGACTTCGTCTTTCAACATCCAAACCTTGTTGGCCCCTACACTTAGCACACATCCATCCTTGGTTCTTTGTGAGGTCATGTTTGGTTTGTGCGTATGGTGCCTTCTTATACATGCCCCTATGTCCATCATTCATGATTGATGGCATGTACTTACTACTCATAAACATGGACTTGCCCCCCTGTCCACACTTAGCCAAACTTGTGTACTTATCATAAGCATGTGTAGGCTGGAATGCTTTTAGCTTCTTGGACATGCCCCCTACTCCATTATTTATGGTGGGTGATATGCCTCCTTTCCCATACTTAGCTAAATTTTCAAGACTACGAGAACTCTTTTTGGCGTTCCCACATCTTTTCTTGTTGGACTTGACCTCATGCCCACTGTTGATGATTGGTGGCATGCCCTCTTGTCCAGACTTAACCATAGTCTTACACATATAAAAGTCATGGGTGGCTTGGAGCTGTTGTGTCTTCCAACACATGCCCCCTACTTCATACTTCAGGATGGGCGACATGCCCTCATGTCCAGGTTTATCCAGACTAACATGCTTATCATATGCATGTGTGGCTTGGATTTCACGTGGCTTCTTGGATATGCCTTGTCCATAATTAGCTAAATTTTCACATCTACAATAAATTTTTGTGGCTTTATCACATCGTGTCTTATTGGATACGCCTCCATGTCCACTTTCTGTGGTTGGTGGCATGCCGTCATGTCCAGACCTAGCCATATCAGTATGTCTCTCACAAGCATGTGTGGCTTGGGCTTCATGTGGATTCTTGGGCATGTTTATCCGTCTGTTGTTTGTGGTTGGTGACATGCCCCCGTTGTCGACCGTTCATGGGTGGCATGCTACAAAGGGCCTTGCCTCCTTGTCCACTCTTTGACACGCTGTCAAAGTTATGAAAATCATGGGTGGCATGGGTATCCAACACCCACTTAGGCTTGCCACTCACTTCATCCTTCATGTCTGATGACATGCCCTGCTGCCCACTGCATGGAAATGGAGATATGCCCCCCATGCCATATTTAGAAAACAAATATGGTGTTCTGTTGGACACACCATTTTGTTCACCTTTCTTAACATCAACTTGCCCCCCAGCCTGACTCTTCATCTTCAACTTGTCAGGTGGTAGGCTGCCATGCACCTCTTCCTGCCCCTTAGGTGGTTTGCATCCACCATACCCATTGACTAGGGGTGGCAATGAGGGTGGACAAGCTTCTGGTTCTAGTTGATCAAAATCGACTTGATCTCCACTAGCCTTCCCATTACGAGGTGACATACATGATCTTGACACCAAGACAGTTTCTTGTGTAACTGTCTGCATAAGCGGTTGCTCTACGTGGGTGGAGAACTTGTGAGTGAGATTCTCTCCATAACCACCACGTAAAAAAGGGGGTTGACTTGTCACCGGAGGCGACGAGTTCCCTGACCGTGGTTGGGCAGTCCGACCACCGGAGACCATAATAATTGTATCCTTGGTGGTGGATCTATACCATTATTTGGTAAAGATATTTCTTGCACCACAGGATCTAAAAAATCATTTTTAAACTTATCCAAGCAATTTTTATTTTTTATAACTACTTCAAATAATTGGTCCAACCTTCTATCTAAGGTGGAACTAAGAGAAGCAAGTTTGAGACTTGTCTGATGTGAACATCTAACAAGTTCATCCCAACTTTCCTCCATGAATTGGCGGTTCTCCTCCATGGCCTGGAGGTTTTTCTCCATGGCCAGGCGGTTCTCCACCATCATCTTCTGTGTCTCCTCCACTATCAAATGGTGTGACATGGCAGTGGTGGTTACTTTGACAGAAGGTGCCGGCGGTGGCAAAGCCTCTACCTTGCCATTGTTTCCGACCAATCCTTTTCCTTCTTGGCCAAGTTCAAAATTGGCGACAAGATCCATCACGAATCTAGGTGAAAGATCACCTTCTTGTTCTCTCAGTCGTGGAGCCATCAAATCAAACACAATTGTCCCACCAGGTGTGCCAAATTTGTTTCCCTGTGAGAAACTTGCGTTGAAAATAAATTGATTGCACCTTTGACTTCTTTGGACAACGATCACTAAACACGGTTCACGCCTCTTCAAACACAATTCGAACGAGGGTGTTCGATGTTTACACGACTCTCGAGACAGATCTACATTAAGTTACTCCTACTCCTATGGAGGTTCTGAGAGAGCTCCAAATCTACGACTATTAATAAAAATTTGCAGAGGAAAGACAAGATTGAAAAACTTGACAAGTGGTGTCGAGTGGTAATTTTTTTGCGGGCCTCTCCTCTGTCGACTCCTCCTCCTATTTATAGGCCTTGAGATGATAACCGTCGTAGAAACTGTCATAGAGTAACTTCCAAAAAGAACTGCTCCCTGCTTCCTCGGAACATGGCTGACGTGTCCTTTGAACGTGGGATGAGTAGCCGTTACTTCTCAACTGCCTAGGTACCTCTCTTGAAACCGTCGTAGGATCTTGTAGCTTGCCTCATATATCACGGTCATGGACTTCTTTACTCATGTCCATGGCCCTCTTGGGACTTAGTCTCTAGTGATATAATATTTCATCCCCATGTCATTCTCCTTCGTGTCCATGGCTCCTCTCGTGAGGCGGCATGGCCCCTCAGAATTATCATATGGCATGGCCTCTTGTTTGCACCCATGGACCTCTCAATCATGGACATGGCCTCCCTCATGAAGCAGCAAGTCCTTTCCATACTTAGTATTTTCAATCATTTCTAATGCTTCTTGCTTCGCGTCCATGGCCATCACATGACACGGTCATGGACCTCTTAATCATGCACATGAACCTTCTCGTGAGGCGGCATGACCTTCTCAGACTTAGTATATTTTGGATCATGAGGCGACATGGCCTCCTCATTCGCGGCCATGGACTTCTCAGTCATGTCTGTGGCCCTTCTCGTGACACAACATGGTCCTCTCATACTTAGTATCTTTTCTTGCGTCCATGCCCCTTCTCGTGAGGCGGCACGTGCTTCTCCTTGAAGTGGCATGTACCTCTTCCAGACTTAGTTTATTTTTTCAGTCATTAGGCCTTGGTCATGGGGCGACATGGCCTCTTCGTGAAGTGGCATGCCCTTCTCGAGACTTAGAATATTTTTGACCGTATCGAGGTCTTCCTTGAGATGGCATGTGCTTCTAAATTCTAGATGGACATGTTTTTATGTCGTTTGGTCTTGGTTATGAGGCGGCATGGCCTCTTCATTCATGGCCATGGACTTCTCATACTTAGAAATTTTCATGCCATCTGGTGGCATGGCATGACCTCTTACGAGAGGCCCATGTCCCTTATTGAATCATGTCCATGCTCATTAATGAGCTAGTGACTTGGGTTTAAAATCAATATTCATAAGGCCCAATTTAAACAACATTAATTGTTATAATGGGTGTGGCCTTATAAACTCCTTGATTATCTTGTAACTCACCAATGTGGTACAAGACAAAATTTATGGTGTAAACAGCAGGTTCACTAAGGAGACTTGGAGTATCATCAGAAGGATGTGTCATCATTATAAAAAAAAAAAGATATTTAGTAGAAGCTACGAAATGAAATCCCCCAAGTGTATTTGATGAAATTATGCTGATCATGAGAATATTTGTTGGCCTTTACATGTACGGTTTTCCAACCGTTAAATTACAAGTTTGATCATTGGGATTACTAAAAAGTGTCACGTTTGGTCACTGCAAATTATTCCATTGAGTATATAATATTTATGAGATTTATGATTAATATTTATGAGAATAGTTGTAGACCACAACATATGGACTTCTAATTTAGATAAGATTCGTACAATATGTTGAATGAAAACTTAAAGAAAGGCCTTTTTCCGCCTATTATTTGAACAAAATACACGCAAAAAATTTACTTTGTACGATAACTCGTATATTAATTATCATCCACTTAGCTCGCCAAAAGACTACCTGTGCTCACCCACAATTTTCGACGGGGTCAATGTGAAACATAAGAAAGAAAGAGCAACGAATCAATCATGTTGGGTTGGTGGTCATTTAAATATGGACATAGAGCCTAGTGAATTAATTGATTTTTAGATCATACCCTGATGGTGGTTTAATCAACGGCTAAAAATGAATTTTAAAAAACTCTGATGGTTTAGATCTACTCATATCGCCTAATTAGATATTAAGCCGAAAGTACGGTATGAAATCCCCAACAAGAGTATAGTATTTGTTGAAATTATGCGGATTAAGACAATAGTTGTTGGAATGGCATTTACATATACTGTTTTCTAACCCTATTTGGTTCGTTAATAAATTTATATATTAATGTCGCCTTCATAAAGCAAGATAGTTGAAATAATTAATACGATGACAAATGGTCATGAACCTTTGCTAAATTTAGGCTGTCTTCTTATAAGATGTACCTTTCAGCTTTCGCCATCACTTATTGGTTTATATACGAAATAGAAAGTGCATTATTAGCCCATCTTTGGTTTCTAGGGAACTAGTTGCTCATTTATCTCATTATTATATATTATTGGTTTGTTTATTTTATACTAAATAAGAAGTGCCTTATCTAGGGATGGCAATTTCGACCTGACCCATTTTATCCGACCTGTTTGACCTGTTTTGGGGCGGGTCCGACCCGCCCCGTAGGCGGAGCGGGGCGGGCATGGGTAGTCTCATCGACCCGACCTGCATTGAGCCGCCCCATTCTCGACTCATTCTTGTCTAAATCACATGTAATCTTAATCAAATTACTGAGAATTTTCCTTTTATTGCATCATATTTTAGCTATAATAAAGTTATAAATTAGTAAAAATCTCAATTTCTCCAATAATTTAACTACAATTGTCATAATATTGTTTGTTTTCTTAGTCTTATAATAAAAATAACGAATATTTCTAATGTTTTTCATATAAATTGCATACCCATTGGGTCGACCTGCCCCGACCCGCGACCCGTGATCAATTACTCGGCCTGGACCAGACCTGCCACGGGGCGGGTCTGGGTACCAAGAAACCCGCCCCGGACCTACCTCATTGCCATTCCTAGCCTTATCAGCTCATTTTTGCTTTTTTTCAGGGAACTATTTGCACATTTATGTACACATATGTTGGTCACGATTCCAAATTCATGTGGGGAGTAGTTGGTATTTGAATCGAACATTCGTTTGTTTTTTTCTGGGCACTCAGCATTAGAGAGATAACCTTAGCTTGTTCCCCAATTTAATTGAACGGTCTATATATCTCTTTTGTTTTAAATTTTAATTCTTTTTTTACACAAATAATATCATATTATTGTGATATTCAAAATGACATTTGTTTTTATATGTTCTGAAAAAAACACTAAGAAATATGTAATCATTTTATTCCATTATCGTAATGGTTGGTAATACATAAGATTATATCATGGATGACTTAGATCTACTCAAATCACCTAATTTTATATTAAGTAGAAGCTACGAAATGAAATCCCCAAGAGCATTTGTTGAAATTATTCTGATTATGAGAGTAGTTGTTGCCCTTTACATGTACGGTTTCCTAATGGGTAAGTTGCAAGCTTCATTACTGCGATAACTAAAATGTGTCATTCACGTTGGATCACAAAAATATTTAATTTCATTCGTGGTCAACAAAATTAGTTTTATATTATGAATTTGGAGACTCTCTCTCTATTAGTCTCCGTGAACAGCATTAGTTTTCTGCTTACATGACTAATAGAAGTCTTGATTCACCACACTCCATTTTAACCCGCCACATCAGACCCATTGCATAACCCAACCAAACCCTTGACCCGACCCCATCCCTTTCTCTACCCGAATTCCCCTTCGCTGTCTTTCTTCATTGAGGTTGAGAAACCAGATCCCCAACCCGCCCCTCTATCAAAATCCGGAGTAGCTCTCGTAGGCAACCTCTGCCCTCGACTCCAGCATCTCCTACTGTCCGAGCTTCATGGAGGATCGCCTAGGCCAGCTTGGATGCAATCGCCGAGCATGGCTGTGACGGGTTTCAATGACGCGGAGGGTTGGGTATGATTTTTTCTTGGTTGAAATAGACTGATTAGGCGATTTTGTTAGCCACGACAGCAAAAGAACTTGTGCCGTGAATGAAGACAAACAGAGACCAACGGGGAGCGATCAAACTAGGGATATTAAACTAATTTTAGTGACCACGAATGAAATAAAATATTTTTATTGACCAAACGTAAAACATTTTCGTAATCCCAATGACCAAGCGTTGCAATTTAACCGTTTGTTAACATATCTGGTTTGTTAATAAATTTGTATATTAATGTCATCTTCATAAAGAAAGATCGTAGAAATAATTAATACCATGACCAACGGCCATGTATCTTTGCTAGATTTTGGTTGTCTTCTTATTAGCTGTACCTTTCACCATCACTTATTGGTTTATATACCAAATACAAATTAGTGCATTATTAGCCCATCTTTGGTTTTTAGGGAACTACTTGCTCGATCATTTATCTATTTGTTATTATTGGTTGGTTTATTATATCCATGTTTGGCCTGACTTTTAGAAGTGACTTTCGACTTCAAAAAGTGGAGCTGGGTCAAACAACTCTAAAAGCTCGGCTTTTAAAAAACTAAAAAGTGATTTTGTATAACATGAAAGTAGAAGCTCCGATTTGGACCTTCGACGAAAAACTGTTTTGAAAATACAAGATTATTCTTACCATGTTTTAGTTTTATTTTAGAAACTACAATGTTCTTTCATATATATCATTTTAAAAATAAAATACATTATAAAATCATAATATTTAATTTAAAAGAAATCTAACAAGATCCACTTTGACTATATTTTATTGTTTAAAATTTTAATTCATATTTTATATTGTAAGTCATTTATGGTCATTTTACATAACCTCTTATATTAAAAAGTACTTCTAATTAGTTTTTCAGCTAAACACTTAACTGTTTTTTTTTTAAATACTTCTCCAAAAGCTCAACCCAGAAGCTGCTTCTACAAAAGCTACAGCAGGGCCAAACTAACCCTATATACGATATAAGAATTGTTGTTTATGTTTGGATGATCTTGTCAATGCCTTGCCTAGCGTCTAAAACGTCTAAGCAGTGTCTAGGTATGATAAGATAAAATTATTTTTTATAGAAATATATTGTAGTTTAATTCAATTTCAAATGATTAATAACTTAATTAATTCACAACAATAAGCAAATTATGTCTTGATTTCCTAGACTCAAAAGCCTATTGAAGTAGTCGATTGTGACTTCTTTATACTTGGCGAAGGTGAAGAGCAGGACATAGGGTCGAGTCAAGCAGAGCTAGAGAAGTGCTGAAGAAGTTGTGGGTTGTGACAACTCCGCGTTCGATGTTGTCGAAAAGAAGGATAGAGAGTCGGATCGAGCAGAGCTGGAGAAGATTAGCTACAAATTAAAAAAAAAAAAAAACGTTTGTGTTCTTCCAGGACGTTTAAGTGCACCTCACTTCGTTTAATCAAGTTTCAAGTAGACTAATAGTAGCTTGCTTCGCCTAGGCACCCGCCTGAGCATTATGAACACCTTATTTTCTGCCTATGCATTTTGTCACTGTCTAATCCTAGGCGTAGTTGGTTTTACGCCTTCTTGAACCTTGATTGTTATTAAATAATAATAAGAACTCCCAGACAGGTGAGTGTTTGTTATTGGTTAGGTTAGATTATTGATCCCCATCACTTAATCAAGATGATTATCTGCTGGCTAGGGTTGGGCTGGCCAATTGGAATTGTTTACAGACTTATATAGTCATCAGATCAGATCAAAGATGCCATATTTGAGTGCTACTGCCCACTCTTTTGTTTCTTTGCGGTAGAGTATTACATGTCGTACCTGGGAAACCCTAGCTTTCTTTCTTTGGTAATATTAAATCACTTGAACCATATTATTATCTTTTGTTTCTTTGCGGAAGAATATTACCATAAAGTTTGCACTAACATCAAGTACTTCGTCATTGAAAGTAAAATAATAATATTAATATTAACACATCTATATCATTCTTAATTATAAAAAAAATCATTTTTCTATATAAGTATAGTAGTTTCTAGACGTCTCATATGTAATCAGCCATGTATTAAAGTAAGCAAGCAAGAAACGTATGTCAGTTTCAAATACCAACTCCCACAAAAATTTGTAATTAGATTAAATACGCAAGTAGTTCCCTAGGAAACAAAGATGGGCTAATAATGCACTTCCTATATCGTATATAACCCAATAAGTTATAATGTTGAAAGATACATGTAAGAAAACAACCATGTTTAAATAGTTTAAGATCAATAATAACTCCTTCGGAAATCTAGCAAGGATTCATGACGATTTGGCCTCGTCTTAATTATTCACATAATCCTTTTTTAGTGATGATGACATCAATTTATTAATTATACACTATATATACATATTAACATATATATAGTAAAGATGGGTATATTCCATGAGTACAGTATACTGTAGATTATCTAGCTGTTAGATGTACTTCGATAAACTCCGACAAATTTTGACGGTCAATTTTTGTTTTCCATTAAATTGAACATCGGGTTTGGGTTTAGATAATTGGGGTATGGAGTTTATCCATTAGAGGTTGGGTATAGTATCATATCTTAAGCTCGTTTAAATTCATGACTTAGATAAATATATCTCACTGGACCGTAAAATTGGTTTGAATTTTTTTTTAAGTGTAAAAATATATCGAATGTACATGTAATTTGTGCAAATATTTTTGTCAACCAAAACTTAGATGTCTAATTAATAGAATTATTATTAATATTTATTCGGACATATCTACTGACAAAACAGTAGCTTTTAATTTGTTCTAATCAATAGTAATATAAAGTAGAGATGCCTCTTGGCCAGGAGGAAGCACTCCAATCTAGTACTACTACCTAAGCAATTAATATGGATGCGACTACTGCAATGATGGAGGAGCTTCTCGAGGCCCAGCCCCGGCTTTGGGATCACTGCCTTAGCTACATCATCGGAATGACCCTCCAATGTGCCGTCGAGATGGAGATCGCAGACGCGATTCAGGGCCACGGCGAGCCCCTGTCCTTAGAGGGGCTCGCCACGGCCCTTGACATCTCTTTGGCCAAAGCCCCATTCCTCTCGCGCCTCATGCGCATGCTCGTCCACTTGGGCTACTTCTTCTTCGTGCAAGAAGACGGAGAGGGGCCCCACGGCTACAGCCTGGCGCCCCTCTCCCGACTCCTGCTCAAGGACAGCCCATTCAACGCCAGGTCATTCGTCACGTGCATGAGCCATCCCAACATGGTGGACCCGTGGCGCCACATGACCACTTGGTTTCGCAGTGACGACGGCGGCGACAAACCACCGCCATCTTCTCCTTTCGCTCTGGCTCACTCCGGCAAGAAGCTGTACGACGTTTGCTCGGCGGACCCAGCGTACGGGGAGTTGTTGGCCAAAGCGCTGGCGGGGGACAGCTGGATGTTCAGTAGGGCTCTGGTGGGTAAGTGCAAAGATACATTCCAAGGGTTGGGCTCGCTTGTGGACGTCGGCGGGAGCACCGGAACCACGGCCAAGGCTATCGCCGAGGCCTTCCCCGGGATCCACTGCACTGTGTTTGATCTCCCTCACGTGGTCGCTGCTGCAGAAGAAGAAGGCCGCCGCTCCAAACATCCGTCCAATCTGGACTTCGTAGCCGGCGACATGCTTGCCGACAATATTCCTCCAGCTGATGCGCTGCTCTTCAAGGTGCGTGCGTATCTCACATCTCGATCGACCGAGCCTATAGCTAATTATTAGTAGAGTAAATATACAATTTATTAATCGAACCTCGTAAGAAGAAAAAAAATTACAAATAATTATTACCTGTACTTTCTGAAATACAAATAATTAGTCAAATGTTTTGTAAAACATAAAAATAATAGTCATTTGTGTACTATCGTCAATAACATTTTTTTTCTAATTAAAATACTAAAATTTTGAAATGTTGAACACCACGGGTCTGTTTCCAACTCAAAAGTTAGCGTTACTTACAGAATTGCTAACGAGGAGTTAACGCGCGCGTTCGGCTAGTACTTTGCATTTCCAGATATTTGTATTTTTTTAATCACCTATTCAGATATCTCCGTTCAATTGGTTAATTGTCTATTTAGTTATTATTTGGATTCTTTTTATTTTGATTTTGTTTGATTCAATCTATCAAATATTAAAAAAAAAAATCTTCATCTTTCTAAGTAAAACCATTATGACTCTTTACTCCAAATGAAATTAGATATATATTTAAATGATTTTCTTTATTAATAATTTAAAAAAAAACATTGGACCACATTTTATTTATAGAACATGCCGTCTCTGAATTGTTTGTGGGGGAAAAAAACGTACTTAATTACAGTGGGTGCTATGTGACTGGCCGGACGGACTCGTGGTCCAAGTGTTGAAGCAGTGCAAGTCAGCATTGATGAAGAGCAAGAACGGCGGCGGCGGCAAGGTGATGATCGCCGACCACGTGCTGGGCCATGAGAGTTGCAGCGACAGGACCTCCATGGGAACATCCTTGCTCTTCGACCTCATCGCTATGGCAGTCGCTGAGGGTTCTCTCAGAACTGAGAAACAGTGGGCCAAGCTCTTCTCTGATGCGGGCTTCACCAACTACACAATCACTCCCGTCTGTGGGCTGCGAGTCCTCATCCAAGTCTACCCTTAATTCATTTCTGCTGCATGTTTACCAACAGTAACAGTAGTGGTTAATTAATAATAATTAACCACAGTTACGTTGGTCGTGTCTGTTGTATGTTGTTGGTGGTTAATCTCTATTAATGTCGGTTGTTTGTTTGTGTAATAAAGGTACCCTTTTCGTGTGTTGTTCTATTATATGTTTTATATGATTCCGTCGAAGCATCGGTTGTATGAACACGTACAGAAATTAAGCTTGTCGTTTCTTCGCCGCGCGTGTGATAACTTGGACGCGACTATCTTGCCGCGCGGTTATATAAGAGGTTAAAAGGCTTAACTATCCATTTCCCAACAACTCGAGTTATTGGGACCAAGTGGTTAGTTCGCTAACATGGTATCAGAGCCTAGAACCGAAAGGTCATGGTTTCGAATCCTCATGACGACCTCATTTTCAGCCATTTGTTTAGCACAAGGGATGGTATGTCCAACCTGTGCAAACTAAAGCCTCGTGGTTTGGCAGCACAAGGGTTCAACCTGTACAAACCGTAAAAAAAAAAAATCCACAATTCGGCATCGGCTTTCGTTTGAGGGGGCGTATATCCATTTCCCAACAACTCGAGTTATTGGGACCAAGTGGTTAGTTCGCTAACATGATAACTTGGACGCGACTTATCTTGCCGCGCGGGTCTAGATTTTCACACTCGTATCAAGCATGTTGCCGTTCACTACCGTTTCGTGCGACGTGTAACAGGGAATGAATCTTGAAATTTCATCTGCAACGGTACGTCATTTCCTTTCAGCAAAGAAGACGGTCAATGCGGCAGCGTTTTTCTCCTTGGTTTCCTGCCGGCGTCGTTCTAATAGCCACACTTATGTTTGACAACGGTGTCCGTTTGGTTTATCTGCTTTCTTCGTTTTCTTTCGTCTCCAGATAGGAGATTGTTTCCATTCCAAGCTAACAAGACAAGAATGTGTTAGCTGGGTTGTCTTCTTGCTTTGTAAGGGATGAGGGGGTGTGTGGCGGCGTAACCGCTGGATGTTCAGTACTAGAGTTCCGGTGACTCACCATGTAAAAGGAAGTGGTCAAAATTCATATATGATTTCTCCCGGTACATTGACACGAGTAGGTTTGTGACATGATGTCAGAGATGGTTTATCTTTGAGATCACTTGTTCAAATTCTGATCACCTCAAAATTAACCGTTGTCTTAAACACACATTGGTATAACGCACATGTGCAAGCGTCTGGTTGGTCTTGTCTTGTGAATGGGCCCTGGCCCGATTTCCGAGTTGGTGGATGAAGGTCTCTCCTATGAGCTATTTGGACCGGTCCGTCTATCATCATCATCCAAATAACAACATCGACGAGGACCTCTTCACCACCGCACTCCGGTTTCGACTGCTCAGGCTACATGGCTACAATGTGCCTAGTGGTACGTACGTACGTAACGTAATTAACGTACACACGCCTGCATCTGCCATGCATATATCGTTTTTATCATATATTTTTTTCCCTCTCCACTTACGTACGTAGCTATCTATGCATGTGTGCATGCAGACGTATTCAAGAGGTTCCAGAACGAAGAAGGAGAAGGAACCTTCAAGGAGGAGGAGTTGGGGAGCGACGACGCCGAAGGTATGATGAGCCTGTACGATGCTGCATATCTTCATATGCATGGAGAGACGATATTGGACGAAGCCGTCGAGTTTACGAAGGCTCAGCTAACTAACTGTTGTTAGGACGGAACAACAACAAAACGAGGTTACCGAATCTGGAGCTGAGTCGGGGACTAGATCGCTCTCTTTAAGACGTTCGCGGCACTGCCCTCGATGCGCACGGCAGACTATCAACTGGTCGTCTCCAGGATATAACAACTCCTCTCAATACTCGCGGTTTTGTGCGAAAACCCTCTCTGAACACTCTCTCTATTGTGTTTATGCTCGTTGTAGTGTATTTAGCAGTGTTATTAAAGCCGAGCCGAGCCGCTCGGCCCGACCGGTAAAACCGCTCTGACAACATTGGTATTTAGAGGGGCTGGGGAGGCGGCTATTTATAGGAGCCAAACCCCTAGGAATATACCCTCTTACTTGGGAAATAAGTCGGATTAATTAAGGAAGATAATTACTTCCTTAATTAAAACCGTCGGTTAAGATAAACCCTGCGGGATTATCCTTCGAATATTCTTTTTTAGTCGGTTATCCTTAGAATGTTCCTCAGAATAACCGATTAATAATTAATTATTAGATAATTAATCTTGTCTGTATAGGTTGATATTTTATTATTATTATCATGGATTTATAGTTTTTTTTTTTTTTTGCACCATGAGACATGAGATCCACAAATTTGCATTCCATCAACTAAATTCCAAAAATAAAAGGAAAGATCTCCAAATTTGTGGGATCCACGTGCTTGTGTTCCAATTTTTTACCTCAACGAACAATGAAGTTGTTTAAACTCATAATGCTTGAAATTCGAATGTCAAATCCATCATCCAAATCCTACGATCAAACGGCCCCTTAATTTCACGACAAGAGTAATTAGGTTTTCATACATAAAACTTTTGAGTTGAGGTACAAAGCCTGTTACAGGGCGAAGAGAATAAATTCCAACGAAATCTTGAGATGGAAGTTTCACGTCTGTGGTCTAACGACATATATTTGGGTTTCTGGTTTTGGCATGTTTCGCAGTATTTTCCTTTTCGTCTTCTGAGTTCTGTCTTGTATATAGTGAGTATATTGCATCCCTCAAGAAAGACCATCAATGATGAAGACTCCCGACCTATATGACTACACCCATTTACATTTAAGTTGGAGTACTTCATATCCAATCCAAATAGTTTGGATAATTAAAAACCCATATGCATATATAGGTAAAGTTGTCATCCCTAGAATTAACCATTTAATAGGTCAAATTCTTATTAATCAACATCAACACAAACCAAAACACACAAAATGCTAATAACAAACACATAAACATAAACACAAGAAAAAACAACCAACAAGCTGATAGATAGATAGTCTTGACGCTCAATCAAGACTCTCTCTAGGAATATAATCATATCATATATATCAGAATTCGTCAAGAGAAAGTCCGGTTCCTTCCAGCTTGACTCGTGTGAGCTGGTCGATGCGTTGAGCCATCTCGAGCGTCAAGCAGTTCTTCCAGTCCCCCACGGTTCCTTTCCTGAACAAAGCGCTTTTGGGCATGTTAGGCAGCTCCCAGACGCCGCTTTTGTTGACCTCCAGATCCCGGAGCCTGCCGATGCTGCTCCTCCATAGCACCTCGTCCAGCTCATCATCATCATCACCACCGAACGGCCTCCCCAGAAACGAAGCCAGCTTCCTGGCCTGCTCTCTGGGGTCCCCGCAGAGCTCCTCGTACCTGAGAAACAACACCTCCTCGGGCCGCTTCCGGCTCTCTTCCCAGTATCCCACCACGTGCTCGTAGAAAGGCCCGTAGGGCATCACCCCGCTGCAGAAGCTCTCCACCGCTCTCTCCACCGGGAACCGACCCTCGGGAGACTCGTCGCTCTTGAAGAACGCGTTGTAGAAGTGCCACATCGAGGCCACGGTGTCCTTCGGGTTCCGCGCCACGTACACGACCTTGCACCGGGAGTCCTTCACGGCCTCGGGCAGGTAGTTGGAAGGCACGTGGGTGTGGAACAGCCGGCCGGGACCGGACGACGCCGGTTCGAGCAGCAGCATTTCCTGGATCTGGTCGGCGAGGAAGAAGGCGTCGAGGGTGGGGACCACCTCGTGCGGGTTCAACCTCGCCAGGGCGTCGTCGTTTTCGTCCACGTGGCGGCGGCGGCGGTGGAGGATGTTGTGGCAGAGAGCCATGAGCCACGTTGTTCCCGTTTTGGGGATGGAGGCGAGGAGAATGTCGTCGCTTCGCGGCTGGAATCGGGAGTTGAATGCATCGATGGATTTCGCGTGCAGTTGCAGGCACCAGAATCCAGCTGCTTCCATCCACTGCATCTCGATGTCATGCCAAAACACCGCCGCCTTTTCCTTTGGCGGAAGAAGTGCATCGTCGTTCATCGTCTCCCGACTACTACTGCCCATTTTGCCGGCCACGAGCTATAGGTAGTGCAGTGGTTGGAGAGAAGTGATTGTGATCTTCTTCCTTGGGCGCACTTGGTTGGGATTTATATCAAGTATAGTGAAGGATAGGTTTTTTTTTTCATATTTGATCCGATCTCATTTTCTCTTGAAAAATCGTATCAGAAGTTCTACCGAAAAAATCAGTGTAGGGTATTTGTTATATGCTGAAATTAGGGGTGGCTATACGGTCCAGTCCTGTTAAATTGGCCCGAATTGATCAGGTTTTGGTCCGGTCTTTTCGAGAATATAAGGATCAAAGATTGGATTGGATACAGTCCAGTCTTGATCCGGTCCGGTCTTGTACCGGTCTGGTCCAGATTCGGTCTTGATTTTAGATTGAGCTCGCGGCGATTTGAGTGGCCTAAGGCCTAAAAGGTTTAGGAGGTTAAATTTTGAGTGTTGGAGTCTCTTATCCTGTATTTATCCGGTTTTTCGGTTCGGTGCCAAATGATTTTTTACCTCAAATCTAGGCCCGAAAATTGGATTGAATTGTTTGCTATCCGGTCCCGGTCCGGGTTATATGGTCCGGTTTTGAGTAAAATAAAAAAACCTGGACCAAATAGCCAGCCCTATCTGAAAAAATAATTTAACCGTGATTCAACCATTAAATTCAGTCTTATATACCAGTTTCGCTTCCGATAATATGTAAATTTTTCTGGTCGAACCATTGATACGATACGAATTTTCAATTCTTAGTATTTTTTTTTTCCTTTGGTGATGAATTATTGTTTTGGCGTGGATGCCAAATTTTCTTTTAGAATAAGGCCTACTTGTTGTGATGCCGATGTATTATTCAAACGTTTTTCTTCGTTAATTTCATTTGAGGGATTTCTTACTAGAGGATCTCATGATTCCCATCAAGATTTGGTATGGCGCTAAATACCTTTCTCTTTCCATTGTTGGATTCTTAGATCATTTCCAATAATTGATCAAAGTGCTAAATTTTAGCATAAAGTTTTCTCCAATAACCATGGTTGTCATGCCGGTGGCATGCCACCCGGTTGAACCTGGTTCAACCTGTGCCGGTCATGAAACCGGCATGACACCATCGGTATGACCGGTATGATCGACTTACGCATTCTAAGTAAAATGACATCATTTTAATGAACTTAATGAATAAAAAAAATAATTTATTATTCATTTTATGAATGTAATAGCTAAAAGTTGATGATATTTGGTGGATTGTAACTTAATTGTCCACAAATATGTTTTATATATGATTAAATACATTAGATATTAATTGTTTTCACATTTTTTTTAACCGGCATGAACCGGCACAAACTGGTTATACCACCGATCGTACCATTCCACTTGTCAAAGCGGCACAACGGTATAAATTAAACCGGTTTGACAACCTTGCCAATAACCATCCAAAAAGCTGAAAAGTCAGAATTTTTATAGTTGAGTGCTAAATCTAATACGATAAACGACAAAAGGTGCTAGATTTTATGAGTTACGAATGTTCCATTTGGTGACTTTAAAATAAAAAAATAAAAATTATCAGTGAAGTGCAGTTGTATTAAACACTAAGCACTAGCACTTAACACAATCTTAAACCATTTTTTATTTTATTTTATTTTATAAAACCCCATCCTCGTATATTAATCAATGATTGATTGGGAAAATGGTGGAAGTAGAATTTGGTGATACCTCAATGATTAGTGATACCTCTATTTCCTTAATAAAGATCGTTATGATAATAATTACTTTGGAAAATATCGTCCGGCCAAGTGAATTGACTGACTATATATGTTATCTCTTTTTTATTTGATAACCCAGGGAATCTCAGCAACACGTGGCGCTTGAGCGACAACGGGACCTACTAACACATCGGGGTACCTGCATACTAACCGGATTAGATAATGGAGTTAATGTTTGGGTAGAATTTGGTGTATTGATTCATGTCCTCTTCATAAGGAAAGATTGTAGAGATAGTTAATTAATACGATGACAAATCGCCATGAATCTTTGCTAGATTCGGTTATCTACTTAATTGATGTACCTTTCACCATCACTTATTGGTTTATATAGTAAATAAAATGTGCATTATTAGGCCATCTTTGTTTTCTAGGGTTTGTTTATATTATACGATATAAGAAGTGCCTTATCATCTTATCTTTGCTTTTTCAGGGAACTATTTGCACATTTATTATGTATACATATGTTTGTCACGATTCCAAATTCAGGTGGTAGTTGGTATCTGAATTGGACATTTCGTTTGTTTCTTCCGGGCACTCAACAATCTCGATGGAAACCCTTTCTCTTACTTTACAATACATCACTAATTTCCTCATAACTAATGAGAAACTAACCAAAACAAAAATGCATTCTAAGCTAGTTCAGAGAATTTACTAAACTTGTACCTTTATGATATAATTTGAAATTGTACCATAACATAAAATAGTAAATTTTATAGGCTAGACTAGAATTCATTGGTTGATTGGAAAAATGGTGCAAGTAGTCTAGCAATTGCTAGTCTAGTCTTAATAATTCAAATTGTTTGAATAGGTTCATGTATGAATCTTATACCACTTTTTTACACTTCTCTCAAATAAAAATAAAATCATGTGGTTGAAATTTGTATAAGCTCGTCATACAACATACTTAACCAACTGTCAATATTGGATGTCGTGAAAATTCGAACACACGTCCTCCTGGTCAATCTAGGTTTGATATAATGTCGGAACCGTTTAGTCCCAAGAACTCAAGTTGTTGGTAGAGGCTCATGAGTTTTTTACTGGTTTTTTACGAACTTAGTTTTTTTCTTGATTGGGTTGGTTGGATGATAACTTTAACACTTACATTTTTCAAAGATGGATTTCAATGAGTAATAGCAATGTTCTTTCTATAGTAAATTCATACATGCATAATTGAAACTATAATAGTTTGAAATAACTCAGAAATACCACGTTCACAAATAACGCATAAATTTGCTCCAAAATGCTACGTACTATGATGTTTTTGTGGAACGATCAGTTTACCTAGCTAATCTATTCTTGACCATGCATTTGCAATGGACTGATGTTGGTTTAGTTTGTTGATACATGCAACAACGTGAACAAGACAGATCCCATCATGGGACAAAGAAACAGAATATATAATTAGTGATACCTCTGCTTCCTACGTCAATGATTAGTGATACCTCTGTTTCCTTAATAAAGATCGTTAGGATAATAATTACTTTGGAAAATATCGTCCCGAGTCAATTGACTGACTAAGTTCTCGTCAGTTTTAGTTGAATAACAATAACTTTATGATAAAATTGAACGTAGGGATAAAAACTCCTTGTGAACCGTACCAGTAAAAAAAAAAAAATTTGGTAACAAATTAAAATATTGTTTTTATATTTTATTAATTATAAGATATCCTCGGACAGTAATTAATGTAATGCTTGCTATATCAGAACCACCATCGAACGTGACGTTGAATCTTGAGCGTACCTATTGCCTTTTGCCAAGGGTTTCCCGGATCTCGTATAGTTTCAGTGAAGAAACGGCAAATGGGAGCCCTTATATAACCTTTGATTACGGTGTTGTTAGCGAACTAATCACTTGGCCCCAATAACTCAAGTTGTTGGGAAATGGATAATTAAGTCTTTTAATTTCTTATAAATGAGATTAATTAATTAGGGATACATCTTAATTAGGACTGCAAATGAGCCAAGCTACTCGCGAGCAACTCGAGGCTCGAATCGGGAAAAACTCGTTCGAAACTCGATTCGTTTACTGACGAGTCAAGCTTGAGCTTAGCTTTGTTCAACTCGTGAAGCTCGCGAGCTAGCTCTACTCGGTGGCTTGTTGAGCTCAACTCGTGAGTTGGCTCATTTAAAGCTCACGAGATGTCTCAACATTGTGGTTTGAGGGCCAACTTGATCACCGACTTATGGACTAATCGATCTAATTTGAACTTTCATAATTCATAGGATTGTTAAATTATATATCTCACATAATGTGAAGTTTAACATGTTGAACATGTAAGAAAATATGCCTTATTTTTAATTCTATAAAGAAATTATGTACAAAATTGTTTCGATACTATGAAATAACATGATTTGAAATAGTTAAAATTTATTAACTAAACAATATGACACCTAAAAATTATAATATAAGATTAATTAATGTTGAACATTTGATTATTTTTTTATCGCTACATCAATCACATGTACCATGCACGACATACAAAATGAATGTATCAAATACAATCTAAGAATTTAGTAAACAAGCCTAGATCGAACTCGACTCAGCTCGTTAATAAATGGCTCGGGCTCGAGCTCAGCTCATTTGTTAACGACTCAAGCTCAAGCTGAGGTAAAACTCGGCTCAGCTCGACTCATTTGCAGCCCTAATCTTAATTAATCGTTGTCACGAGCTAGCTAAAGACTATATATATGAATACGACTCGTATGCTCCATACACATAGCATGCTCCACAAACTTGCACCGTTGATCTAATCTAATGCTCATTATTAATTCTGATTAAATCAATTAATTATAAATAATTATAATTACTACATGATCCCCTTAAATAATTATACAAACAATATGATCCCCCAAAATATTTTACCATTATATTTTGTGTATAATACCTAATTCTTTTAATCATTTTTTCAAGCACCCACATTTCGATTGTGGTCTATGAAGATGTGTTTAATTTTTTATACAATTAAACTCCAACCAAAAACAAATTATATACTCATGCAAATGAATGGCAGTTAACTTCACAGAATCATCTTCCCTAACATATAAAAAGTACTCCCCAGAAACGTCCAATATTTCATCCCATCTTTCCTTCGTTGCCGCCGTTTCATCCCTGCCCTCCAGCCCTAAATCCGGCGGTGCTGTCGTCGCTGACGGGACTCATCGTCGCTTGCTGCTGAAGGTGTAGGATAAGATGGTTGCCGGAGACGTCGAAGAAGAAGAAGGTCGTTCGCTGTCGGGACCCATATGTCGATATTCTATCCGGCACCGGATATCAATAGTTTTTTTTTTGCTTCTGCTCGCAGTTAAGGGGCGGGTAAAATTGAGTTCTCTAGAGCACCAGCAAGATTAATTACGATTGGGGGATCAGAGAAGGGGCAGAAGAAAGCAGCAGCAAAGTGGGTAATGGTGATTGAATTATTGAAATAATGTCGAAGAAGGGTTACTCAACTATGTTCTTGAAGGAATTCCTCGGCGGATCAATTCCGTCTGATCTTACTCAACTATTTTTCCTTGGTATTATCTCTCCAAAAACATCATTCAATTTGCTAGGCGTAAAATCAATAGTGTTATAAAGGCGTTGCTACGGCTCGTAAAATCGCCGGAATCGATAAAGCAAGAATACGAAAGCGAGAATCGAAAAACACAGACACACGGTTTACGTGGTTCACTAACACGATGTGTGTTAGCTAGTCCACGGGCGAGAAAGCCAGTTTCACTATATCGAGAAGATTACAGATTACAGAGAAGTATGAGAAGTATTTATAGTACTTCTCCATGTGGGTCTAAACCTAATCCAATTTGGCAAAGGAAACGGTTACAGACCAGGCCTAGAACCCGAACCCAAATAACATTGAGCCCATACACCGCGAGAACCCCGACTACCAGTTGTAGCGGCTGATAGTCCGGTTCAAGTCACATCAACAAATAGTTTTGTTATGATGTCTCTAAGGTAGAACCATATAGATATAAAGATCGAAGGTAGGTACCCACTGCATTGATGAATATCGTTGCACTCAGCCAGCAGCTTGAAGAGAACAAGCAACGAAAATCATTCTTATCATGATTCAATAGATACGACGGAATAAAGTGAATAAAACAAACAAAATCATGCTTTGAATGGTTTAATAGATACAATGTGTCAGCAGCGGATCCAGAATAATATAGAGCATTGAGCTACTTTTGAAAAAAAAGATGAAGAGGGTTGGACTGTAAAGCAATGAACATTGAGACGCTGTGTGTCAGTTATTGTACTTTTCCCATGAATAATAACCTTAAGCAGTTGGGAGTTCTTTTTCTTAACAATTTTATTCTGTTCATGGGTTTGAACTAAAGGTTACAAGATTGCTTCTCTTAATGCAGCTTCTGACAGAACCATAGACATTATGCCAAATTGCAGCAGTAGAGCACTGAATAAGTCACATTCCCAAATAAAATAAATGCATTGGTTAAAGAGAACAATGAATAAATTGCTCGAAATGGAGATAAGGCTGGCGGCGGCTAAGACTTTCACTATCCATCTGCAATCTCGTCTTCCCCTTTTTCTTCTGTCACCCCGCCCCGCAATCACCATCGATTTTTTCACTCCCCGATCAAAATACCTATTGCTCCACTACTGCATACCGCTATTATCCCTCGCTCTCCCTTCAGCTGCGGGCAGAAAACAATCACAAATCAATCGATCCTTTTCCAGAGAGAGTGCGGATTGCACAAGACAACGTTCCTCGGCGCTAGATTGTGAAGGTTTGGAGTTGTGGGAAGGATTTCATGATTGGCCGCCATAGATTGGATTGTGCTGGAAGTTTGGGGTTGAGGGGGACTAAGGGATTGGAAAAAGAGGAGGAGTGAAAGACGATGAAGAGATGGCAAAATATAGGTCGTTGGAGAAGAGTGAAAATTCAATAGAGGAAGCAATTAAACAAATTTAGATGATAAAGGATGATCATCGATGCATCTGATGCTTAAAACTACATTCAGAAAAACTAAGGGTACGTTAATATAGGATGTAATGGTAAACATTATTGGGGGACTATAATACAAGTATAATTATTTTTCGGATGCAGTTAGTAATTATAATTGTAAATTAATAATTAATTTAATCAAGAATAACAATAGACGTTAGATTAGATCAACGGTGTACAAAACATGGAGCATGTTATGTGTCTGGAGCATACGAGTGTTACCCATATATATATATACAAACGCAGAGAGGGATTTAGCATTCACCACCACAAAGAGAGAAAGACGACAGAGAAGAACAGAAATGGAACAAGCTAATGAGATCCTCTTGAGCAATAAGCCTCCACTACCACTAATAATCATCCTAATCCCCATTCTAATCATCCTTTTCTCAACCATATACATCCTCAAGAAACAGAACAAAAACAGAGCTGCAGCCACATTTCCCCTGCCTCCAGGGCCATGGAAGCTCCCCATCATCGGCAACATCCACCAGCTCGCCTTCTCCTCCGCCCTAATCCACCGCCGTTTGGCTGAGCTAGCAGAACAATACGGCCCAGTGATGCAGCTCAAGCTCGGCGAAACATCCAACGTCGTCCTATCCTCCCCTGAAGCGGCGACAGAGTACCTGAGAACGCACGACCAGAACTTCTCCATCAGGCCTCACATGCCGACGGCCAGCATCCTCTTCTACAGCGGCAAGAGCATCGCCTTCTCGTCCGACGGGGAACACTGGCGGCGGATGAGGAAGCTCCTGGCCATGGAGCTGCTGAGCGAGAAGCGGGTCAAGTCGCTGCGGCCCATTCGAGACGAAGAGATCGGCAAGCTGATGAAAGTGATTGGCAGCGAGCCTGCCGGAGGAGCGGTGAACCTCAACCGGCTGCTGGTGTCGGTGGGCAATGCGATGACGTCGAGGACGGCGTTTGGGAAGGTCAGGGAGCTGGAGTCGTCTTTCCTGCCGGTGGCGCGTCAGATCCTGAAAGCGGTTGGTGGGTTCAACATCGGGGACATCTTCCCTTCCAACAGGTAAAGCTAATTAACCGGTTTCGACCGGGTTGATTCGGTTTGGTTTGGTTTGATCCAGTACGGATTTGAAATCGAATTGTATGAATCAAACCGGATCAACGGTTGGGCCAGTAGAACCACCAAACCAGTTACAATAGCGGTTCGGTTTAGTGCTTGAACGGTTATTAATGGACCAAACGGTTTTCACGGTTCAACTGGCACCATAATTTTAACTTGAATTAAAAAAGTTATGATTTCTTTTGTGATACGGTTAGAATGATTTATTATATACTTTGGCGATGATATGAATTTAAAATTTTTTATGGTCAATAACAACTTCATTCTTAAATTAGTGTAATACAGAAGTCTTGTATGTAATATATCATGAACGGTTCTATCAACGGTTTACCAACGGTTTTTGTAACGGTTAACCACTAAACCATAAACCACCAACTTTTCCGGTTCAGCCTCCGATCCGATTCTAAAAACAGAGCAAATAATGCATATTATATTTTTTCACGTTTTGATTCCCCTTAATTGAATTTCTGGCTACACCACTGATTATAACATATCCCCTATATGAACACTTTTTTTATTTACAGGTTGTTGCTTATAATTAGTGGAGCAGAGAGACGGCTGAAGAAGATTCACCAAGAAGCAGATGTCATCCTCCAAGGATTAATTGATGAGCATGTATCGAGAAGAAGAAGAGAAACAGAGTATCCTGACACAGCCGATGATGATGAAGATCTAGTTGATATGCTCCTGGCTTACACTAATTACAACCACGTCGAGGTTAAAGCAATCATCATGGTACGTATTTGTGTGTGTAGTAATACATGTAAATGGTGACTTTATATGGTTTAAGTTGATACATACACATAATATTGCAGGACATATTCGTGGCTGGGGGTGACACTTCTCCTCTTACGGTGGAATGGGTCATGTCTGAACTGATGAGGAATCCGGAGAAGATGGTAAAAGTACAGAGAGAGGTAAGGCAGCTGTTCGACAAGAGAGGGAAAGTGGTAGATGAAGCGTGCATCGATGAACTGCAGTATCTCAAATCGGTCGTTAAAGAGACTTTCAGATTGCATCCTCTCGCTCCTCTGTCTGTTCCGAAAGAAGGCAGAGAAGCGGTTGCGATTAATGGATACCAAATACCGACAAAGACAAGGGTCATAGTCAATTACTGGGCCATCGCTCGGGATTCCTCACACTGGACGAACCCGGATCAATTTATACCGGAAAGGTTCCTCGACACTTACATCGATTACAAGGGTTTCGATTCCCATCTCTTTCCATTTGGAGGTGGACGGAGGGTGTGCCCTGGCATGGACTATGGGATTGCTGTTGTTTATGCTTTACTCATGAATCTGCTCTACCATTTTGATTGGAAACTCCCAAACCAATTGAAACCTCAGGATCTTGACATGTCTGAAGATTTCGGAGTTACGGTTTCACGCAAAAATAATCTATATCTCATTCCCATCCCTTACCATGGACCTTAAACAGACATTTCCCCTTCACATCATATAAGGATGCATGAGGAGTTGATGATCACGTACCGTTTGTGACTGTTAATAAATAACCTGTTTTGTAATGTGATTTCAATCTAATAATAGTTTCGAAGCATTGTGTATCTCCTTAAGTATAGTGAAGTTGGCTCTCTCCCGTTCACAGACTAAATAACACACGTTGTGTTAGTGAACCACATAAATCTATGTGTTCTTTAATTTCTTGCTCATCGCGTTGTCTTTTCTTGTATTGTCGATTGCCGGCCCGATCCGTGCGTGGCAACAACATCTCCTTCTTTGTTTCGTGTTGTGTAACTTAGACGGGTGTAATTACTCTATATGTTGTATAAATGAGTGTTTTGTAAAAATATGTTCACACATATTTATTGTGCATGGTCACTGTAACATAGTTTTTGAACTTATAACAAATCTATTCGTGCATCTCCATTCAAATCTGTCAAATTGGCCCATTAGCATTCCAAATCATAAAAAGTAACTAACAACATACCAAATTCTACCTAAACATTCCAAAGTAATTATCGTCCTAACGATCTTTATTAATGAAATAGAGATAGGATGCCAGTGTCAAAGCTATCATCCAATCAATCCGATCAGCGATCAAGAAAAACAAAAACAAAGTTTGTAAACACTAATAAACAATTTGACCAACTTGAGTTCATGCACGTCATTTTTGGTGCGCCATATCTAGCTATGCCCCAACCCAACCTTCATTTTCACTGATTCGTTAAATACGGACATTAAATGTGTTTCACAGGAGGGATTTATACGTGTTTAGTACGAGAGTCATCAAATAGACGGGAAAAAATGAAACAATCAGTCACTAATATTGAAATAAAAGTTTTAAACACATAAAATACGTACGACCATATATACGAGTATTAAACATAGTAGTTACTGAGTTGAAAACAGCAACAATTTGGTACCACCAGATCTCAGTAGTTAATTATTGGGTTAATATCTTATTTTGGCCCGAACTATGACCATATAATCAACTTTGGCCCATGGTTTCAGAAATTAACATCCTAGCCTCAACTATGCAACATATAAACTCAATTGGCCCGACACATAGTTTGACCGTCAATTTGAACGGTCAACTCTGTTGACCGTTAGTCAACATGCTATGTCATTGCCTAGTCAGCATAAAAATCATTAAAAAAATTCAAATTATTTTCCTAATTTCTATTATTTATCATTTTCCAATTAATCAAAAAATAAAATTAATAATTTTTTTTGCGATATTTGAAAATGATAAATTTTATAAATTAACCAAAATTATAAAATTATATTTTAAAAATTAAGAACATTATCATATAAATTATATTTTTTGGGAAGTTTTAAAAATATAAAATAATTTGATAATTTTTGGTTAATTTATAAAATTTATCATTTTCAAATTATCCAAAAAATAAAAATAAAAATTTATTTATGTTTTTTATAATTTAGTTTTGGTCAATTTGATAATAAATAATTTTTTTAATGATTTTTAGGCTTACTAGGCAATGACATGGCGTGTTGACTAACGGTCAACAGAGTTGACCGTCCATGTGTCGGGCCAATTGAGTCTATATGCTGCATAGTTGAGGTCAGGATGTTAATTTCTGAAACCACGGGCCAAAGTTGATTATATGGTCATAGTTCGGGCCAAAATAAGGTATTAACCCTTAATTATTATACCAATGCATTAGATACATACACAAAAATGACGTGCATGCATGCATGCATACCGATCGAGTCATTTGAATAAGAAAGCGTCTCTGCTGTAAAGCTTTACTTTAGAGCGTTTTACCACTAAATCACTACCTTTTGCAGCGCTTTATTATAAATCGCAAACAATCTTAGATATTTGAGGGAATTAATTTAGTAATTACTAGGGGAATCTGAGAAAAGATCCTCATTCACAGTGGGTGTAAGGAGATTCCCACTACCATGATATGGGTTCTAGAAACTTTAAAATGCCAATTGATATATAGACTACTTGCACCATTTTCCCAATAACTAATACATTAAGATGAGGTTTTATATATATAAAAAAAAGTTTAAGGTAGTGTTACGTTAAGTGCTAGTGCTTAATTAGTGTTTAATGATACGATGATGGGTGTAAAGAGCCTGCCAATACCATCATGGGTGCTGTAGAAACTTTAAGATTGGCAATTTCCAAGCAATCATTGACTAATAGTTTAAGGTAGTGTGTTATAAAATAAATTAAAAAGTAGTTTAAGGTAGTGTGTTAATAAGTGCCAGAGCTTTGTGTTATTTGGAGTGTTCCTCCCACTCTTGATTTCTTATTAATAATATCTTCCAAATATCTCATTGTGCTTCCACTCTGCATTCACAACTGAGTACTGTAAAGCATGATTGTCGTGTCAGTGTCATGTTGTCCGGTTGAATCAGATTCTACTGATACTAGTAATAATATCTGGTGGAATACCATCGGTAGGATGCTCCGATGAACAACGTTGAAAACTGGAATTCCAATATAAAGACAACAATGTCGGTTTGATCCTATCCGTTTTACCAAGCGATGACAACAATGCCTTAAGCAATGACAGCCTAAGACTAATATGCTTGTCAGTTTTACGTATTTTCTCGTACATGTTACGTTGATTAATTTTCGAAAAATTAAAACTTCCCCCTTTAAATTACGGTATCATTTTAAATTATACCATAACATAAAATATTAAATTCAATTTGACTAGACTAGAATGCATTAATTTGGTTAGTTTCTCATTAGTTATGAGGAAATTAGTGATGTATTGTAAAGTAAGAGAAAGGGTTTCCATCGAGATTGTTGAGTGCCCAGAAGAAACAAACGAAATGTCAAATTCAGATACCAACTACGTACCACCTGAATACATAAATGTGCAAATAGTTCCCTGAAAAAGCAAAGATAAGATGATAAGGCTTAGATCAAAATAATAATAATTAGATAAATGAGCAAGTAGTTCCCAGAAACCAAAGATGGGCCAATAACGCACTTAGTATTTCGTATATTATAAACCAATAAGTGATGGTGAAAGGTACATGACATCTAAGAAAACAACCGAAATCTAGCAAAGATTCTTAAAAAAAACAAAAAACAAAATCTAGCAAAGATTCATGGCGATTTCATCTTATCAATTATCTCGACAATCTTTCTTTATGAAGATGACATCAATCCATTTATTAACAAACCAAATAGGTTAGAAAACATTACATGTATAGGCCAACAACTATTCTCATAATCCGTATAATTCCAACGAATACTCTTAGGGATTTCGTGTCGTAGTTTCGGCTTAATATTAAATTAGGCGATTTTGAGGAGATGTAAACCATCGGATCGTGTAAAATTTATTTTTAGCCGTTGATCATAAGAAATAGAAAACGATAAAATAAAAAGAACATAATATGGTTTGAATACACTCGGTTTTGTCATGTACACTACATAAAAAACCCTTTGTAACGATATTTTTACCACGACAGTTTCAAAAAATATCTTTCTAGTATAAAAGATAAATAGTTGTGCCGTCATTTATGTTTCACATTGACCCCGTCGAAAATGTGGCCGGGTGAGCAAGTGGTCTTTGGCCAGAGCCAAGTGGGTGATAATTAATATAACACTATATATAGAGCATCCGATGTTTCCTTTTCCTTTCCATAAATAAAATACAGCTGATCGAGAAGTTCGGTTTCACCCAAACAAGACGAAAACTGCCAACGAATCGATCGATATGGCTTCCTCCAGCACAAGTGCCACAGCAGCAGCAGCTGCTCAAGAGCGGCGGACTGTAGATTTCCACTCAACCGTGTGGGGCGACTTCTTTCTTACTCATGTCTTCGCCAACCAAGAGGTAATATATATATACATTATAACTGTCATAAACCCAGTTGATCCCAATAACTCGAGTTGTTGGGAGAGATTCAAATCGTGGATCATATATCACACTAACCATAACTACTACCGAGCTACGTACGTACCGTATGGCAACCGTCGTATACGGTACTAATGATTGAATTTGTGTACGTATGTATATGCATGCAGACTGTAGACGGCTGGAACGTGGGGATCGAAGCGCTGAAGGAGAACGTGAAGGCGATGCTGCTGTCAGCTGCTCCTCCGACGACGACGTCGGAAAAGCTGAAACTGATCGACGTGGTGGAGAGGCTCGGCATCGGTTACCATTTCGAAGAAGAGATCGAAGAGCAACTCCGACAGATCTATCAGGGGAATCATCATCCAAATAATAACATTGACAATGACGACGACGACCTCTTCACCGTCGCACTGCACTTCAGACTGCTCAGGCAACATGGCTACAATGTGCCTAGTGGTACGTCATGCATGCATGCATGAATACATCAAGTGTGACAAATAATTAGTTTGTTAGTTATGCGGACCAGAAAACTAACATATGTTGTACGTCCTCGATCGCAGACATATTCAAGAGGTTCGAAAACGAAGAAGAAGGAAGCTTCAGGGAGGAGTTGCGAAGCGACGTCGAAGGTATGATGAGTCTGTACGAAGCTGCACATCTCCGCATGCATGGGGAGACGATACTAGACGAAGCCATCGAGTTCGCGAGAGCTCGACTGACAAACTACACTACCGAGCAATCGTCCCAAGGGCAGCTGGTTGATGATGATGATGATGATCAACGGCGTAAGTTGGTGGCGAAACGGGTTGCTCGTACGTTGAAGAGGCCACTCCGTAAAGGCGCGGAGAGGCACGAGCAGCTCTTCTTCATCCCTGTGTACGAGCAGATGGAAGGTCACCATCCCATTCTCCTGAAGCTGGCTAAGTTGAGCTGGAATTTCCTGCAACACTTGTACCAGCAAGAGCTCAGGAGCATCACACAGTACGTACTTCTATGTCGATCGTCTCTCACTTTTTTTCTTTTTGATTAATTAGCTGTGATGATGATAATTTTTGCGTTAGGTGGTGGATCGACTTGGACTTTGCGACAAAGTTGTCTTTCGCACGAGACAGGTTGATCGAGGTGTACTTTTGGGGAGTGGGAGCCCTGTGGGAGCCCAAATATGCTGTGGCTAGGCGCTTTCTGACGAAAATTACCACGCTCGTGTCCATAAACGATGATATCTACGACGTTTACGGTACGATCGACGAACTCGAGCTGTTTACTGCTGCCGTTGAGAGGTAAACTCCTGTATATATCATTGCATGGATGTCCGATCCGATGATGGTATCATTTTTTATATATATACTGAGTAGAGAGGTGGCGAAAATTGATTGACGTGTTGGATTGGTAGATTCATGGATCATATGAATCGCGCGCGGTGGATTGGATTATGGATTCAAGTGACATCGAAACATTGGACAAATAAGTAAATTTTGAAGAGTTTAGGTACTAAAATATCATAAACAAAAAAAATTAGGTACCGAAGCATAATTTTCCAACGATATTTTTCGTATAAATAAGATAAAATTTTAGATACCAAATGGGTAAAGTATAAATGCTAAGTATAGGTACTGAACTGTAATTTGTCGATGATAACATGAATCCACCAATTCAATTGGATTTGGATGAAATTGGTTGAATTTGAATGAATTAGATTTTAATTAGTTGGGTATTTAATTGGATGGATTAGATTGAAATGAACTGGTGGATTGGATTGGGAATTGCGACAACTCTGAGAATCGAATCGAACCATTAATAGGTGGGACACCAGCATGAAGGATCTCCCGGAGTACATTAGATTGTTTTACGGGGCACTTATTGGCCTCATGGACGAAATAGACACAGTTACTACCAGAGAAGGAAGGCCCTACTGTTTGGACTACGGAAAGCAAGCGGTAATTAACTGAATTGAATTGCAATAAGTTAATTAATCACTACAATCATTAAAAAAAAATTGTGGTGTACATGTAATAATGTAACAGCAATAACCATTAAATTTTGTTGCAGGAGAAGAATCAAATGAGAGCATACATGGCAGAAGCGAGATGGTTTGCGGAAGGGAAAGTGCCGACGATAGAAGAATACCGGCGCCTGGGGATCTACTCTTGTACTTACCCTTTGTTGTCCTACTCAGCCCTAGCCGGCATGGGTGACAAGGGACCAAAGGAGGCATTCGATTGGCTGCTCGCCGATCCCAAGATCCTCGTCGCCGTGGCGGATCTCTGTCGTCTTATGGATGACATCGTATCTCACGAGGTATATATTCATTTATCCTTAACATACACGTAGGGGGTGTCAGTTCGGGTCGGGTTCGGTTACCCGAACCGAAACCCGAAAAAACCCGTATACCGAAACCGAAAGCCACTAAAACCGAACCCAAACCCGATAAGGACTTGCGGGTTCCGGTTACCCGAAACCCGAAAAATTCTTATCGGGTTCGGTTAAAGCAAAACCGAAACCCGAACGCCTAAAAAAACAGGTTGAGTTCTATTCATTGGAGGTTTTTAGCCGGAACCCAAAAAATCGATAAGCAAAACCGAACCTGAAACCGAAAAATCCGAAACCCGAAACAAACCCAAACCTGAAAAACCGAAAATGTATATAATCGGGTCGGTTTCGGGTGAACCTGAAAAACCGAACCCGAATGGATACCCCTACATACACGTCGTATTACCACTAGCTAGCTAGTAAGTTTTGTTTTTAACCATTTTCGGGCTAATATATATGTGTACATGCGTGTGTAGTTCGAGCAAAAAAGAGGACATGTCTGTTCAGCAGTGGAGTGCTACATGCAGCAGCACCAGGTATTGAGAATCGAGGCGGTTAATGCACTGAATCAGATGATCGAGGACGATTGGAAGGTCATAAACCGAGAGTGTTTGATGATAAACCGCCCCGATTTCATCTCTAGTCATCTCGATGTTTGTTGGGCTCGCGAGGGTGATGGAGGTTCTCTACAAGGATTACGACGGCTACACCTTCTCCGACACCACCACCCATGAAATGATGACTGCTCTGCTCGTCACTCCCATGGAACTAAGTTAGGTTGTACTCAGTACTGCTGAGAAATTATGGGAACTTGATTGTGTAGCAACTATGTTTGTGCTTTATTTGCTCGTGATGTTAATCCTTTTTATGGTCGCTCAAGAATAAGGCTGCCCATTGTATCAACTCCAGCCAGCCAGCACTGTTGATGCCCGTTTGTTGTATGTTATTGTTACCCGTAGGTGTGAATGATGATTTGATTTCTCTATTTGAACTTGTGATATGTATGTTTCTTGCTATTATACACATTCTGATTCTTCGATCGGTTTTGGAGGTTTATATTACGCGAACTTGTTTCTTCCGCTCGCAAAAAGTGCACTACAAATGATTACCACAACTGATATTACGTATTTTTCACTAAATCACGGTCACAATCAAGTCACTGAAATAGTCGACATGTTTTGCCAATCAATCTCCAAGTAAACTCTTGATTGGAGTTCAACCCAAATGATTACCACATGATTGATTCAGTGGATGAAAGATCATATTAATTATTCTCTTTAAGCATATCTTTCACCGCTCCTCTCCTCCACCACCAGCCTCGCCACCAATCTAACTGCATCAGCTTAATTGAGTAAAATTAGTTGAAATATGAAGTTTTAAATTTATTCAAGTATCTGAGGGTGAAAAATATGATATAATATGTTTTCCAACCGATTAACTGAACTATATAATCATTAATCAGAAACTTTATCTCTAAACTGGCTCGCTCTTGGCAAAAACAGAAGTTCCAATCGATCACATTACATGGAGAGGGAACATATGATTCATATTATCATATATATATATATATGCTCCAAAATCGAGTTGATAAACCAATAATTCGTATCAAGAGAGCAATTAATTAACAAAGATTGATTATTTATGTACTCATCAGTTTCCTCTTGCATTGGCATGAGAACAGTTTGCTGGTCTCTTGCGCACTTCTAGTTGGGGCGGCCCATTGTATTTTGTATCATTTCGATGTTTGGTTGGTTCAAAGTTCTCGCTGGACTGCTTCAGGTTACGCCAAACTAACTAGTCCATTGGGCCTCCCAGCCCAAAGTTATTCTGGTCCAGAAACTTACCAGGATTGACCCGTTCGTAAAATAACTGCAGGTTTAAAACATGTTTTTTTATTTTTATTTCTGCTATTTTCCCCTGCCCAAGCCCAACGCTCGTGTGATCCGCTGCGGGCTGTTTGGTTAAGATTGCAAATTTGCAATCAAAAGCCCAAACTGCCAAGGCGGCCCATTCTTATTTCAACCATCCTATACGGACGAGGAGAAAGGATGATCACGATCAGGACCCCAAAAGATAGTATGTATCAAATCTCCCCAAATTGATCCAATGAGTTAGATTTGAGGGGAAGAAATGTTTATGAAATATGGAGTACTGCATAACTAATTGCTATATATACAACCATTACGACATATTTATCCCATCTCAATCATCAACTCGTGCTTTACTGATTTCGGATCGAAGAGTCACCATTACGAATAAGAGATCGAAGAGCAAATCCGAGAGATAAATCTATCATGGGAATCATCCGAAAACAATGCTAATGACGATGAGGGTTTCTTCACCATTGCACTCCAGTTTCGATTGCTCCGGCAACATGGCTACAATGTTGCCTAGTGGTACGTAAGCTTGCATGTGTCAAGAACCAGTTGATCCCAATAACTCGAGCTATTGGGAGAGGTTCAATTCTGGATCATATACCAGTTACTAACACCCCCTTCAAACTCAAGCCATTCAGATAGGCTTGGAGTTTGGACATGCATAGGTCCGGTCACCGTGTGCTTAACAGAAACAGATGGAGGTCACCGGGAATCGAACAGAAGACCTTTCGGTCACAGAAGGCTCTGATACCATGTCAAGAACCAGTTTATCCCAATATCTCGAGCTGTTGGGAGAGGTTCAATTCTGGATCATATACCAGTTACTAACAACATGCACGTGCATGCAGTGAATTAATATATATATATATATATAGTAATTTCCCTGAAATCAAAATTATCTCTCTTCAAAATTTAACTATTGGGATCAATGGTCTATGGTAGAAAGATCGAGCTGGGGCAAAATATATATCAAGATTTACCTTCTTCGACGATCAAGTCGAGTTATTGAAATCATGCGTTCTTGATAAAAAAAAATAGTTGGCCAAAAAATAAAATTTTAATTAAATAAGTCCCCCCTGTGATATATCACAATAAGAAATGAGTTTCAATTCCAAGATTGCTGAGCCCCGGAAGAAACAAAAGAACGTCGATCTCACAATTATACCAACTACTCCCACAAATTATAATTGAGACAAATGTGCAAATAGTTACCTAAAAAATCAAAGATCTGCTAATAATGCAGGTTGTCGGCCGGCCAAGGGCCAAAATGGGTACGTATATTTTATAGTCTTATATATCCACACAATAAGTGTAGATAATTAAAAAATAAATAAATGATAGAGTCGAGTAATTAATAATAAGGCATCGGCTTGGTATGGTGTTCTATCGGGTTTAATTTTCACCGCAAGTGAACCAGTTGATCACAATAACTCGAGTTGTTGGGAGAGGTTCAATCGTGGATCATATACCATTCACTAACACACCCCCCCAATCGAAAGCCAGTCACCTCATAAGGCGCTTTCGTTTGCACAGGTTTGAATACACGATACCATGTGCTTCACAAACGGGGTCACCGGGGATTCGAACATAAGACCTTTCGGTCACATAAGGCGGCTCTGATACCATGTCAAGAACCAGCCGATCCCAATAACTCGAGTTGTTGGGAGAGATTCAATAATGGATCACATACCATTCACTAAGGCAATACGGTTTTTTTCTTTCTATATAAAGGGCTGGACAGAGAAGGGCAAGTCTCACTCACCCAACTTTAGAAGCAACTGCAAGCGAGATATGGCCTGCTCCAGCAATAACACTGCTGCTGCTGCAATTGCAACTGCTCACGAAAGGCGGACCGCAGATTTCCACCCAACTGTCTGGGCCGACTTCTTCCTTACCCATGTCTTCAGCGACCAAGAGGTAAAACCCTAAATACCAGCCGAACCGTTGGCGGCATGGTGGTAGAATTATATATATATACACGAACTTTTTTTCTCTAACTCGTGGTGCGCTACGTGCTATATTTGCATGGCATGCAGACTGTAAACGGCTGGAACGCGGGAATCGAAGCGCTGAAGGAAAACGTGAAGGCGATGCTGTCAGCTCCGACGCCGGAAAAGCTGAGACTGATCGACGTGGTGGAGAGGCTAGGCATCGGTTACCATTTCGAAGAAGAGATCGAAGAGCAACTCCAGGAGATCCATCATCATCCAAATAATAACATCGACGAGGACCTCTTCACCATCGCTCTCCGGTTTCGACTGCTCAGGCAACATGGCTACAACGTGCCTAGTGGTACGTAACGTAACGTAACACACGCCTGCATGCATGCAGCATGCATATACGTTTTTTTATCATTTCATTTTCCCTCTCCGCTTTTACGTACGTAGCTATCTATGCATGTGTGCATGCATGCAGACGTATTCAAGAGGTTCCAGAACGAAGAAGGAGAAGAAACCTTCAACAAGGAGGAGTTGGGGCGGAGCGACGACGTCGAAGGTATGATGAGCCTGTACGAAGCTGGATATCTCCGCATGCAGGGAGAGACGATACTTGACGAAGCCATCGTATTCACGACGGCTCAACTGGCTAAATACTCCGAGGAGCTGGCTGCGGCCGCGGGTGAGCATCAAAACGGTTTGTTGATGAAACGAGTTGCTCGTGTCTTGAAGAGGCCACTGCGTAAGGCCGTCGACAGGCACGAGCAGCTCTTCTTCATCTCTGTTTACGAGCAGACGGAAGGTCACGATCCCATTCTCCTGAAGCTGGCCAAGTTGAGCTGGAATTCCCTGCAACATTTGTACCAACAAGAGCTCAGGAGCATTACCCGGTATGTAAATTAGTTTTCCAAAACTATTGATTTGATTTGATTGTAATTATGATGATAATTAATGATATTGTGAATTTAGGTGGTGGATCGATCTGGACTTCGCGACGAAACTGTCCTTCGCGCGAGACAGACTGATCGAGATTTACTTCTGGGCCGTGGGAGCCATGTGGGAGCCCAAATTCTCGACGTCTCGATACGTTCTGTCCAAACTCACCATGCTTGTGTCCGTGGTTGATGACATCTACGATGTCCACGGCACGATCGACGAACTCGAGATTTTCACCACTGCCGTCGAGAAGTAATATAATATAATTAAGCCAAAATAATTTAGATCATTCAATCATCAAATTAAATTAATGACGACCCTGTAAGTACATAACTAGGGTGTATTGATATTGAATTAATTAATTGATTAACAGATGGGACACCAGCATGAAGGATTTCCCAAATTACATGAAAATATTTTTTGGTGCACTAATTGATGCGTTGGACGAAGTAGACGCCATTACTACAGGAGAAGGCCGACCCTACTGTTTGGAATACGGGAAGCAGACGGTAAACCTCCAGATTGTAAATTAATGGTTGTTATTAATGACACGTCAGTTTTTTTTGTTTTTAAATGTGTTTAATAATAATTTTGTTGCAGGAGAAGAATCAAATGAGAGCATACATAACAGAAGCAAGATGGTTTGCGAAAGGGGAAGTGCCAAAAATAGAGGAATACAGGCGCGTAGGAGTATACTCTTGTGGTTACCCTTTGTTAGCCTACTCAGCACTCTGCGGTTTGGGTGACAAGGCACCAAAGGAGGCGTTCGATTGGTTGCTGGCGTTCCCCAAGATCATGGGAGCCGTCGCGGATCACTGTCGTCTCATGGATGACATCGTATCTCATGAGGTATGCGCGTCCTGATTCGTTTTTTTTTTAATATACATTTCATTATGCGGCCACTTAACATCTGTATTCTATGTTTTTGCAGTTCGAGCAGAAAAGAGGGCACGTCGCATCATCGGTTGAATGCTACATGAATCAGCACGATGTGTCGAGAGACGAGGCGGTTAATGCGTTGAATCGAATGGTGGAGGACGACTGGAAGGTCATAAACGAGGAGTGCCTCTTGATCAACCGTCCTGTTTTCGTCTGCAGGGAAGTTATCTCGATGTTTGTTGGGCTCGCAAAGGTGATGGAAGTTCTCTACAAGGATTTCGATAGCTATACGTTCTCCAACACCTCCACCATGGACATGATCACAGCTCTGCTCGTCACTCCCATGGACGTCGTCCCCAACTGAACTATGTACCTCAGCTCCCTATAATATGGATGTATCATGTTTGTGTTTTCTTTCCTTGTGATCGATGTATTATCCTTTTTCTTGTGTCCAATTGTCATACATGTCCAAGAATAAGGTTGCTAGCTATAGTTGTTGCAAACCCTAGCACTGTTGAGATTTGTTTGTTGTCTTTTCCCTCTTGTAACAATATTTCCCTTTCTTTGATTATTGTAATAATTCTGGTGATGAATGTTTACATAGTTTTTTTCTTCTTCCTTTACATGATTCCTTTCTTTTGTAAGTTAATTATGCTCCTTATTTATGGTAATGAATGCCGACACCAACTGAAGATCGTATAATTTAGAGAAACCAAATACGGTACGCGTTCTTGACAAGTCTCGAGACACAGGCTATAGAAATAAGCTATAGGTCGCAATTAATGAGATTTCAGATTTCACAATGTAATTTTAGAAAATTTTCAGAATATGAAAAAACATACATAAACTTTTGTTGTGTTTTTTTTTTTTCACCTTAAATGTATCTTAGATAAAATTCTGAATACGCAAATAAAGAGATAGAGATGTGTTTGTAAACTCACAATTTTGTGTACTTGTCCTCCCACTTGTGTAAAAATTGACGAAAAACGCTTGGGATCCACTTTCTATAGAAGCGATCGAGTTCTGAAATACTTCTTATACCTCCAAATGACTAACTGAAATCATATGTTCATTGTACTCAAATATATGGATATTTACTAGGTTACATGTAATTGTAAATTCTACCATCATGAGGAATTTCATAATGCTTTATAGTATCGGTATTTTGGTTTAAAAAATTATTATACAAATTGTACTTTTACATTTAACGCTATGGTACAAATTCAATTTGTAATTATGATATAAACTGAATATGTACCATACATAAAAGTACGAATTCTTTTATGATATGAACGAAATTTTTACTCTCGACATTATGGTACAAGTTCAATTTATAACTTAAAACACCAATACTTTAGAGCGTCTCTCGCAATTGCATGTACACAACCAGCCAAATGATCACTTTCATAACACGCAATCAAATGGCCTATGGTGACTTCCGTAACCAAATCCAAGAAATGATATATTCTGTTAAATGTATACTGTCTAGATTGAGAAAATCATATCTATTTGAAAATCAATCAAATCTTTGCTACCAAAAAAACAAAAGAACCAATCCATTTCACAATGATCAGTCCATTTTAACGACAGTAATTCATGACGATGTCGCCACATTTCTCTAAAAATCTACCTATATGGTGGATCTGTCGAATCTATTTATTTTCCACGAGAATCTGTCGGATCTATTTACAGCGACATATATGTATATAATTTGCCTCAGCGGCGGGATAAAAAAAAGGGCATGCAGAACAAAGGAGTAAAACGCATGATCATCACCTAAACCATCCCCATAAGAATATTGATGGCAATTTTAACTCGCATTGTAGGGTATTATCCGATCTGATTCGTGTTGGAGCGAGTAATATACTCGATTTATAATAGCGTGAGGTGGGACAGGGTACTACTTCCGATATGTCTTCCTCTCCTCCATCCCGAATCTCTTCAAACAAAATCAACCTCTATATCCAAATCCTCTCAAAGAATATGATATCCTGATTATTACTATCTATATTTAAGAAGATCGTATCCATAAACAAATCAATCAAATCTTTTCTAGAAAAAAAAAACAAAAGAATCAATCAATTTTCACAATGATCCATCCCTATTTTTGCCTCAACTAGCACTGCTAACACATGTATATAATTTGCCTCAATTAATGGATCGACAACGAAAGGGCAGAACAAGAGAGTAAAACACATGATCATCGCCCAACCCATCCCAATATAGGAAGAAGAACAAGATTCAAATTTCTAACAGTTCCAAGAAAAATTAAAATAATTGGATACGTATCTACCACAAGAGACAAACGGTAGGAGGGATTTCTCGAACTATATACAATCATACCAGTAAGTCAGTAACAAATGCACTAATCGCAGGTTCCCGTCTCAACACTCATCAATATCCAATCATACGACTCTATTTAAGTTGGATCAATCGGCTGCGACGACTAGGATGAATCGAGTGGTGGGTCAATTACTCTCCCCATTTGATGATAATAATAAAAAACAATATTATTTCGGACCTCATGTAATTAGTATTAACATAAATAAGTTACGTTTTATATGGATAATTTCTGAATCAACATATTCTCCAACAATATATCATAACATTTGTAAAAAAAGAATTGTATTCTAACATGAATCTTGTACTCTCTTTACAAACTAAGTAACTCAAATTCTTGTATTCCCCCACTACTATCATATCTCTATAAATCCTTGCACGCCCTCAAAAGATCTCTTCAAACAGAACGTAAAACTCATCCTTCTTCTTATTCCAATGGACAACGACTACTTAGCCGCCGATCATCAGCTCCATTCCTCCACCGCACCACCACTCCACCTTCTCATTATCTTCTTCTTCCTCGCCGCCGCCGGCGCCAAAATTCTGATCAAAAGGAAGAGCTCAAATTCCTCCACCCAACAGCTACCTCCAGGCCCATGGAAGCTGCCCATCATCGGGAACCTGCACCAGCTGGTGGGGGCCCAGCCGCCGCACCGCCGGCTAATGGAGCTGGCCCGGAAACACGGCCCACTCATGCACCTCCAGCTCGGGGAGACCTCAAACGTCGTCGTTTCCTCCCCTGAGCTGGCCAAAGAGATCCTCAAGACACACGACCTCAACTTCGCCAACCGGCCGCTCTACCCCGTCGCCAGGATCCTGTCCTACGACGCCAGGGACATGGCGTTCGCGCCCTACGGCGACTACTTCAGGCACGTCAGGAAAGTCACCAGCGAGGAGCTTCTCGGCCGGAGGCGCGTCAAGTCGCTGCGGCCGGTCATGGAGGCCGAGATCGCCGACCTCGTGACAACCCTACGGAATTCCAAGGTTAATTATAGATCATACGTTATTCACTTGTACACGCGCTTTTGAAAGCTGGCAAGCTCACTAGGTTAAGGAGTTTGCACAAGTCCACCGTACATCGTGCTTTAATCAAGCTTTAATCAACTTTTAATGTTAAGAGTCGTGGAAATTTGAACACATAAAATTAGGGATGACAAAGAAATACACGCGCAACTCGGTATTTTGGTATTGTCCAACGTACCCATATCTAATTTTTTTAGTTTGGTTCTAAATTAGATCTACGGTAGTATTGGAAGTCCATGAGAATAATGGGTACTCGATTATAATGCAATTTTTGTATTTTTTTTTTTGTTATGAAACGGATAGAAACGTGTATAATTGTGTTGAAAATAGTTTTTTTATTTATTTAGGTAAGGGTGATATAATTTATTTATTTTATGGTTAGGTACTACTCAAGGGTTTGAGTCTGAGACATCCAGGTTCGATGTTAGTTGTATTATCAGTTGACTAAACCTTTGTTCGTAATTGTGTTGAAAATAGTTAATGAAACGGTTGATATTGTTTTTTGTGTCTGCAATCATCTAGACTCAATTACACTAATCATTAGGTCTAACTCAAAGGAATTGACCATATTAGGACTGAACCCTAACCCATAATCATTAAAATGCATATGGATCAATCCATTTGAGTCCGCCAACACCGATATAGGTCATGACAATTGGATTAAATTATCCAATGAGTCCACCCCTTATCATGTCTACACAGCTATATATTTGGTCAAATCAGTTGTGATATCACGTCATAAACTAACCGCACGGTACCACTAACTCGAGTTGTCAGGGTGCGGTGGTGAACTTGTGCCGGATGATGGACGCGCTGGGGAACACCCTGATCTGCAGGGTGGCGTTCGGCAAGATGACGCCGAAGCAACAGGAAGCCTTCTTGCCGCTGAAAGAAGAGATGGTGAAGGCGTATGGCGGATTTGGCCTGGGAAATTTCTTCCCGTCCAGCAAGTTGATACGTCTCCTCTCTGGAACCGAGAGAGCGGCAATGAAGCTGCACAAGGAGATGGATGTGATGCTCGAAAGTATTGTCAGTGAGCATATGGTGACAAGGAAAGCAAGATCGGAAGATCTTCTTGACGTGCTCTTGAATTTGATGGAGGCGGAGAAGAAGAATCAAGAGCTTGGATTCTCCATCACCATTGTTGAGATCAAAGCTATCATCTTGGTAACTAAGTAACATAAAAAAAAAAAAAATTATACACTATGCATAAGAGAGAATGAAATATACTTATATGCTTGGATTGGATGTACACAATTGATTTTCACAGGATGTAATCCTTAGTGGCAGTGACACATCCACTGGAACGGTAGCATGGGTGATGTCAGAACTCATGAGGCATCCACGCGTCATGGAGAAAGCACAAGGAGAAGTGAGACGAATTTTCGATGCGAAAGGGATGTCGATCGATGAAGCGGGAATCGAAGAGTTAAACTATCTGAAGGCGGTCGTCAAAGAAACTTTCAGGTTACGTCCCATCACTCCTCTGTTGGTCCCCAGAGAGTGTCGAGAGGCGACTGTGGTTGGTGGATACCATATACCGGAAAAGACGAGGGTTATGGTCAACTCGCTGGCCATCGGCCAGGATTCTCGTTACTGGGCCGACCCCGAGAAGTTCTCCCCGGAAAGGTTTATCGATCTCCCGGAAATCGATCATCAGGGGACGTGCTTCGAGTTCCTTCCGTTCGGAGCTGGCAGGAGAATGTGTCCGGGCATGACTTTCGGCTCGACTGTTATCGAACTTCTACTTGCAAACCTGCTCTATCATTTCGACTGGCAGCTGCCGGATGGAATCGAGCCTCGAGACGTCGACATGTCTGAAAAATTCGGTCTTGCACTTAGAAAGGAACATGATTTGCATCTGATTCCGATTCCCTACCACCCTCTAGCTAGCTAAACCGCCCGTATAATGTATGCATAATGCACGTACTCCTTTTACCAATTCTCTATGTAATCTGCTTCAACGTTTTCCTGAATTAGCTTTCCTTTCCATGGTTCTCGCTCTCACAATCCAAATCCCAAGGGCGGAAGTCGGTGCTTGATAATAAAGAAGAAATAGAGTAGATACAAGACAAAATAAGACAAATAAAACTATTGGAGAAAATTAGGTGCAAAATGATAAATAAATAAAAAAAACCAATTGAGGAACAATTCCAGATTGACCACTTCTACCATGCTCTAAAGTATGGGTGTTTTAATGTACAACTTGAAGTTGTACCATAACGTTAAATGTATATAAGTTTAGGTTATATCGTAAAGGAATTTGATCCCTTATGTTATGGTACAACTTTACAACTTAAAATCGTATCATCACATAAATGTACAAGTTCAAGTTGTACCATGAAAGAATTGTACAAAAGAGTATAGATACAAATACAATCTAAAATTGTACCATAACATTAAAGGTATAACTTCAAATTATACCATAAAGGGAAAAAACTATAGCACCAATGCTATATAGCATAGTAAAATTCCTCTTCCAGATGAGAAACAACTCAACAATAGGGTGGCCCATTTAGTGGCTAGAAAGGCCCTTTCTTTGTACCCGGCTATGAGTCGGCATTTTAATTTTCTGGCCTGGCTTGGTTCCAGGGTGTAACTATCGATTTTGCTATCAATATATGATTATCTTTTGTCAAAAAAAAAAAAAAAACTCAACATCATTTTCTTATTTATAAATATGTCAATATTTAAAAAAATAAGTAGAGAGTTTTTTTTTTCCTTTTTACAAGGTTCAGTTTCATTACAAGTTATTTTCATTTCGTCGTGTATTCTCCAATTAGGATGGTTTTTTTATTGACCAAGTTTTTTCATTTCGTCATATTTTCTTCAAAAAATAATTCATTACATCCTTTCAGCAGTCAGCACTAGTTCCATCTCCCTTCGATGATTTGTGTAGTACAAGTTTGCTTAAGGGGATTTGGTTGATTGGGTATGAGTGGGTGCACTGTAAATCTTTTGCACCCTTTTTCCCCAACTTTTTCCCTCATTCCATTTGTGCCGGTTTATGCCCTTCCGTTGATTAAAATGACGATTGGCCAAAAGTTTTTTCATTAATTAGTGTTTTCTCCATTTTTTTTCATTACTTTCTCTTCTACATTAGTAGTTTCGTCTCCGACCGATTATTTTCTTTGCAATTAGTCAAATTATTTTTCATTTTTTTTTTTTTACAAAGATAGAATTTCATTCATTTCAACGGTGATTGTAGTACAAACTAATCGTATTACAACATAGGGTAAATGATGTTAAGAACTTGAATCCACCCCTGATGAAGTGACCCTTTTGCAGCTTCTTTTGCAACCCAGTCCGCACATTTGTTCTCCTTTCTTGGACAAAAAGCAATCTTGATCCCACCATTCGCATGGAGGATTTGCCTCATCCATTGAATCCACGCCCTAACTTGCCAAGGTCCAGCTTTGCTTGTATTAAGAATCGTATCGACCAAGACCTTACAGTCAGAGTGGATGGTCGCCGGTCGAACTCGCCCATCAAATGGTTATAAAAGTATAAGGAGTAAGCAAGGATTTAAGAAGGATGTGCAGAAGGTGACAACAAAATTAGATAGCTAGCATGTAGCCTTATTCTTGACAACACACATATTGCATCTGTGGATCATTTTGACTTATGGTTCAAAAAATTTAGCTCGCCTATTTATATGGGCTACCAAAAATCCAAATCCCAATTGGGCCGCTCTGCCCAAATTTGTTCTCGCTCTAAAAAGTACCAGGCCAACTAATACACTTTCGCAGCTACCCATTCCGTGCTGTAATCCTCCGCTGCCGGGGACTATGAAAATGGACCTCCTTTTGTGGGCTTTTTTTGGGCCTGGATTAGCAGTTGGACGACAATGGGTTAAGCCCACCTATAGTTGGGCCCCAGTTTGCTATCTATCTGACGGTGCCGGAGGAGGACCCCGTTGGTTCTCCGGCCTAAACCCCACGCGGTTTCTCTTTAACTCCTCTCAATAATTTTTGCTAACCCAATCCCAACCATGTCAATTATGATTTTATGAGATGGGAAAACTTGGGAAAAAGAAAATGAGAACACATCACAATAATACTAAAATTCAATTAGGGTCAATTTGGATGTTGAATTTGATTGATGGGTTGAGAATCAAAAATCTAGGTAAAGCGGAGTGAAAAATGTGTCATCTGAATAAATTCACAAATCATGAGAGTAAAAATGCGAGCCTCGACTGATTTGACGAATTTATATATAGAGCCTCTGTAACTGTGTATTTTATCCTTATCAGTTTCGCTGCTTCAGATTTATCACCAACTAAAACAAAGTAAAAGAAAAGAAATAAGCATCGATTAGCATTACTAAAGTAATTTTTTAAAACTTACAAGTCAACAATAAATTCATAAAATCGAGCATCCAAAAAAAATTTAAACCCAGAACAACCACAATTCATCACTTATAAACTATATATTGTTATTTCATAATGCCTCATATCATACACCCAACAATTTTAAAATTTTGGTAGTGATCATCATCATGGTTAACTATTAAACAGATAATTAAAGGAGCTTACACATTGGATAATGCTTGATTAAGCATGTGAGACGGTGGCAACTGGCATGCTTGCATGTTCTTCTGGATCCACCTAACTCAATAGCTTATTGCCATGAAACTCATTACCACACCTAACATACAACCCTCACATTTAACTTTTTTTTTAGACAAGTCGCAAATTTCTCTCTACTAATACGTTTGAGATCACACGTAGAAATATGTTATATCGCTTAAATACACGTACTGATAACTAAAATAATATATTTAAATGATAGAATCGTGAATTCTAACACAATTTTTTTTTTTTTACTAGTTGAGTTGATCTTTCCATGCAGTAATTAACTTTCCTCCACCATTCATGGCAACAAATTGCTGAAAGATTATGGGTTGTCCCATAATCTCCATTAATGAAAAGTCAATTAGGTGAAGGGCCAAGTCAACAGAAGAAAAAAAAATCATCTCTGGTCTGGTCGGGCTTCAGTTCACCAGATTTTCAAACACGACATGGTCTTCGATTCACATTGACTGACTGTGATAATTCCAGTGGCTCAAAAGATTGCATCTTTTACTTTTGGTATTGACATCACAACAACAAAACTAGTTAGAAAATTCAAACTTCCACACAGAGAATAAAGAAAAAGAGAGAGGGAGGCAAGCCAATAAGATTATTAGCTGTGTTGATAATCGAAATCCAAATCCACAGCTTCTGGAATCTCCCTTTGCTTGGCCATTCCATTCTCAACTCAACCAATATTTCCCAAATCCCCAGTTCTCGTGATTCAGCTAACAAAATGGATCCAGAGAAGGTCGAGCCTGGGAATGCCACAGATTCTGAATCCTCAGTCACATCTTCTGATGCCCATTCTGTCACCTCAGAGCAATCATCTTCTTGTTCTTCATCGGGAACTCCCAGCAGCAGAAAGGAATTTGAATCAATCGATTTCAAACAGCCAAACCGGGAACAACAGTCTGGTGTTTCTGATGATGCAGCAGCAACTTCATCGCCTAATTACATGAAGACCACCACTTCCTCTGTAGCAAAGAAGAGCAGCAGCAGCAGCAGCAATTCCCAGGTAAAGAGAGGAAATTTCCCTTGATTCCTTAGATCCCACCTATGGTTATGAATCCCGCATCTGAAAGTTCCTTTCTTTTTAATGGGGATGCAGAGATCAGGAGGTGGAAGTCTTACCAGGAGAGGCAGTTTCGCAAAGCCTGCAAAGGGTTTGGCAAGGCTGTCTAGCTCGAAATTCAGGATGAGGAAATCTTTCAGAAGGGGCAGGCGAGTTAATTCAGTATCAGATGATGTTGATTGGTGTTCTTCTGATTCAGAGGCAAGCCAAAAAGACAGCTTTTTTCCCCCATTGTCTTTTTACCCTTTTTAGCAAAGTTTCGAACTTTGTGATCTGGTGCTATTTGAGAGGGATGACTCATGGTTTTTGTTTTCCAGGGAGGAAGGAGTGCTAGTGGGACTAAATCTGTGAGGACTTTAGTAAAGGTGGCCAGTCTGAGAATAAGGAGGCAGTCTAAAACAAGTGTAGTGAAAGCCACTTGTTCATCAGCTCTCAAGGGTTCTAAGGCTGATGGAAACCACTCCAATGGAAGTTCTGCTGCTGCTGCTGGAATGAAGGTTTGTCCATATAGCTACTGTTCATTGCACGGCCATCACCATTCCAATAGTGATCAAGTGCCTTCACTGAAACGGTTTGTATCAATGAGAAGGAGAATGTTGCAACCCAAGAAGAAGGTTAATAGTTCATCTGAGAAAGCTAGCCAGCAGTCTTCTTATAGTAAGAGTAGGCCAAAACGTTCCAACAAGAAAAACCAAGGGGATCAAACCAAAAAGGGTGATGTCATTTCTGAAAGTTGTGAACTTGGGCAGGCAGCAAATGGCGGCAGACAAGATTCTCGTGTTAAAGTAAAAAGTGGGCCATTAGAGACCGATATCTCCAATATTTGTGAAGGTCACAATCAGCCACAGGCCGGATCAAGAGAGATTACAGACTTGGTCACTTCTCCTTCTGATAAAGAACAGAATGCAGAAATGGAAGGCCGTCATTTTGCAGATCATAAGCCGGATGGTGCCCATCTTTCTTCTGAAAAATCGATGGAGAAGAACAATTACATGGGGTTATGGGGCTTGATCTATCAGCATATGGTATCGGGCACTGCTGTGACAGATGGTGATGAATCTCAGCAGCCTGAGAAACTTGGGGAGCAACATGTTGAGGAGTCTTCTGGAATGGATCTAAGAGCTGATATAGAAGTTGATTCCCACCAGGATGATGCAATCAAGTTGGTTCAGGAAGCATTTGACAACATCCTCTTGGAGATTCCGGACCCTTTATCCGATAACCAATCGGTGAGTTCTGTAGACACAGCTTCTGATGAGCTTGGAGACAACAAGAACAACACCAGTGGTTCAATGGAACAGGTACAACAAGAGCAAAGGAAGCTGGAAGCTGAAATTTCTATTGATTCTCAAGGAGATAAAGCAGAAGCAAAGGTAGGAAACAAATCTGGTCAGAAAAGGCTCAATGGTTGGAGCAATCTGAAAAAGATTATGTTAATGAAAAGATTTGTCAAGGCAATGGAGAAGGTCAAAAACTATAACTACACACACAAGCCTCGAGGTCAGTCTATAGAGCAAGATGAGGAAGCAGCAGAAATGGTTAATCTACGTCCTCAATCGATTGGACAGAAGAAGAACTCGGAGGAATGGATGCTTGATTATGCTATTCAGAAGGTCATTTCAACAATGGCTCCAGCGCAGAAAAGGAAAGTGGCTCTTATTGTACAAGCATTTGAAACAGTAGCACCTCAAGGAGAAACTGGCAGTCATGCAGCTTCGAGTACTCCGAAGACTCCAGTTCAAATAAGTCGCGACATCTCAACTCAGAAGTCTCATGAGCAGGAGGAAGAGAAAGCAAGATTTGGCATCCTACTACGGAAGGTATCTACTGGTTCCAAAGAGAATCATGATCAAGATGCTGGAGCCTGCACAGTAAAACAGCACATCCATGTGCCTTGTCCTGAACCAGCAGTTGACGAACTAGCTTCAGAAACTGGTGATGCAGATTTGAATTCAGCTGGGCATGATGATACTGGTGATTTGATCAGGGTCGAACGAGAGTCCGATGGACACATTGGTCCAATTGGCGAAAACCCAGATGAACCAGGATACCAAATTACAAAAACCCATCAGGAGGAACTGATTCTAGACGACAGTTTCGATAATGGTACATCTGAAGAAATCACAAACGAAAATGGGGACACTCAAACAGCCACTGCAGCTGAAAGCCCTGTGGGAAAGCAGCAACATATGAAGCTTTGGTATCTGATATACAACCACATGGTTTCAGGAACGACAGAACCACTTCAAGAAAATGGTGAAGAGGCAGAAGAAGGCACACCCAGTGGGAAGGAAGAGTCTCGCTCTCAGCTCGAAGCCATAAGGCTTGTGGAAGAGGCTATCGACGAAATCCCTCTTCCGGATACTCAAGACGATGTACCTGCCTCGATCAACCCGCATGTAGAAGAAGCTTCAACTGGCTGCAACAAAGTTAGACTTGAAGAACTCAATAGTTCAAAAACAGAGGTGAAACCAAGTTGCGAAGAAGATGTTAAAGAGAAGGAACAAGCAAAGCCACCAATGAGGAAGAGCTGGAGCAATCTGAAGAAGGTGATATTGCTTAAGAGATTCATCAAGTCATTGGAGAAAGTGAATGACAGCTGCTTGACTTCCTCGGCGAGAAAGGTCATTACGCCAAGGGAGCCACAGTTTCTGGCTATGGAGCATGAAAAAGAGGCAGAGAAGGTCCAGCTGAGGAACCAGGAAGTAGGAGGTAGGAAAAGTGGGGATGAATGGATGCTTGATTATGCTCTTCGACAGGTCGTAGCTCAGCTGACACCGATCAGGAGAAGGAAAGTCGAGCTGCTGGTTGAGGCTTTTGAGACTGTCACTCCCATTGGCAACTGAAACATTGCCTTCCAATTCCTGCTGATAATTCTTTGTAGGTGTCATGGTTTCATAAATATACACTGTAGTGAAGTGGATTATTCTTTTTGTCATTGTTGTGTTGGTTTTGGATGTCTGCAAGTTGATCTGTACACTCTGTTTGTAATATTATTACTGCACATAATATGAAGCTTGATAATAATGATAAAGAGTTTGGCAACAAAATTTCATGCAGAGAACTGGCATACTAAAAGAGGATAATAATACAGCTCAGGACTATATTGGTTCTCCACTTACTACTTAACAGAAAAACTTCTCTAAGAACTAGTTCCAATGAAACTGCATAACATATTACAGAGAAAAAGAAAAACAAACAAGGAGCAACTAACTCTCCCAATAGAGATAGCATACGCACAAGCATTTGTGGGGTTTCATCTAGCAAACAAAAATGCGTATCTCCAGCCTTTATCATCATCTATTCTTCATCTCCATCTTTGTCCTTCTTCTTCTTTTTCTTCTTTTTCTCACTTTTATCAGCCTCGCCATCTTCTTTTCCATTAACATTTGCTTCTTCACCCTTCTCACCAGCCTCCTTCTCTTTCTTCTTTTTCTTCTTCTCCGACTTCTTATCCGGTGAACCAGCCTCTTCATCATCCTTCTCCTTTTTCTTCTTCTTCTTCTCCGACTCCTTTTCCACTACTGCAGCTTCCTCTTCACCACCCTCTTTGCTTTTCTTTTTCTTCTTCTTTTTCTCCGACTTATCATCCCCACCGTCCTCCTTCACCTTGGGAGTTTCCTCTACCTCAACATGATCAACCTTAACCTTCTTTGCCATCGCCTCAGCATCATCAGGGGTATCGTCATCATGTTTCCGCTTGCTCTTCTTCTTCTCGGTTGCCACATCAGGAGTAGGGGCAGCAGCCTTTGTCTCTGGTCCATCAGCAGCAGCAAGGCTAGCAATCATCGAGTCTCCGCCAGTAGGCAGAACCAAGTTCCTCGCCCATTCATTGGGTGTCTTCTCATTTGGCTTCCCATGCTTATCCAACTTCCCTTCCGAAATCAGCTTCTTCTTCATCGAAGCCCTCGGACCCAGACCCCATTTCCTGGGATAAGTATCCCTATCCATAACCACCCTCTTTATCTTCGCCACAACACCATGATCACAGGTAGCCATCACAGCAGTGGTCATCTCGGCAATCCCCAGCGCAATCGCCTCGCCCTTGGTTGTCATCAACACAACTTCCTCCCCAACTTCCACATCATTCTCAAACCTCAACAGCCCAGGAATCATTAGCTTTGCACCATAGCAAATTGCATTCACAGCAGAATCTTTAACCACCAGCCTCTTGTAGCTAGTCAACAGCACCTCGAGCGGCATAATCACCCTCCTCAAATAAGACTCATCCCTATAGTTATCATAAGCCCATTGAGCGTCCATCACATCATGCATCGTCACCATGTTATCCTTCTCACCCAGAATCCCAGACCTAACCCTCCTAAGCTCCTGCATATGACCTCCAACACCAAGAACCAGCCCCAAATGGACACACATGGTCCTGACATAAGTACCAGCCTCGCATGAAATCCAGAACACAACCAAATGCCTATCGACATCATACTCAAGCAGCTTGCTTTCATAAACAGTTCTAATCCTGAGCTGCCTCTTGACCGCAGAGATCAGGGGAGGCCTCTGGAAGACAGCTCCGGTGAGGGTTTCAAGAGCTCTGGCGACTTTAGCTACATCGGGGACCTTGTCGTGTAGCCTGGCGACACAGACGTACTCTTTCCCAGCTCCCTGCTGCGACTTAACCAGACGGGTAGCTCTATCAATGCAAACAATCAGGTTACCTGTGACTTTCGGGTCGAGGGTCCCGCTGTGGCCGGTCTTCTCCGAGCGGAGAATCCGTTTGATCCAGGCGACGACCTCGTGGGAGGAAGGATTGGCCGGCTTGTCGAGATTCATGACGCCGTATCGGATGTACTCGGCGAGCGGACGCTTGAGCGGGGAGTAGCCGGAGGGTAGTGGAGTGTAGTGGCCGGTGCGGACATTCAGGCGGTCGTAGTTCTTGAGCAGGATGGGCCACTGGGAAGTGTCGATCGCCGGTGTGAAGCTCTGGGGCTTGATCAGGAAGTCTCCGGCGGCGGCGGCGGCGGCGGAGGAGCCGTCTTTGGATGGGGTCATCATGGGGTCAGCCTCGGTCTCCGGGGCTGCCTTCTTCTTGTGTTTTTTCTTCTCGGAGCGGGAGACTTCGACTTCCGACATTGTTGTTGTGGGTTTCTCGGGCGAGCTCTGTGGCTCTTTCTAGGGATTGTAGGGTTCAGGAGTGGTTGGCTGGAAATGGTGGCGGAGGTTTTTGCGGTTGAATTGAAATGCTGAATTTATAAGTGTTAGGGTTTTGCATTGAAGGGTTTTTGCTGGAGAAGACGATGCATTTGGGAAAGAGTGAAACTCTGTTTAAATGGGCTGGAAGGAATGGGCTTACTTCCATTGGGCCTCAGTTGAAGCAAGCTATATTGGGCTAAGCCATGGGCCTAATTAGCTTCGCCTAGCTTCTAGGTAAGACTAGGGATGGCAATGGGGCGGGTTTGCTTAAACCATCCCCATACTCATCTTCAAATACCCAAACCCATACTCGCCCCATATCCATGCGGGGAATGTTTTGCAAACCCATCCCCATACCCGTGGGTTTCGGGTACCCATGGGTAATACCCATACCCGTACATCCAACATTATTATACATAAAACTTACAAGAAAAGTTCTAATTATAACTCTAAACAAACATATTATATCATGAAGTCAACAAAACACAGTTATTTTTTTTAATATGGTTCAAAGATTATGATCCTAAAATATCCATTAATACATAATATAGAGTATAATATTTTTCAAATTATTATGTTCTAACTCTTATACATCTACTAAATAATAATGGGTGTGCCTACGGTGACATGCATGTCACGGTGACTTACACTTTCCGGTCGACCTCAGTTAGGATTAGGTCGACCTCATTTAGAATTCGGTCGACCTCATATAGGATCTGGTCGACCTCATTTAGGATTTGGTCGACCTCATATAGGATCAGGTCGACCTAATCTGTTGTTTCAGTGTAAAGACAGTTCATGGTGCATACTTTGGATATTCATCAAAAGGCTATGCCAAAACTGGGAAACTGCCTGGAAATGGCTAAGTGTGGAAACGTGTTTGTGAAGCCTATTTTGGAGCTCAATTCGAGAAGCATGAATGCGAGTCGAGTCCAGGAGCCTCTACCAGGTTAAATTAGGTATGTTTTTATACAAATTCAAGGCATTAGATGAAAGATTGGATATCTGTAAGGCTTAAAACAAAAGGGTCGAAGTTGCTACGAAGGTTGTTTTTCTGGCAGACTTAGAGCACAAGCAAGCTGCTAGAAAAACAGCCTTCGTAACAACTTCGAGCCTTTTGTTTGAAGCCTTAAAGATATTCAATCTTTCATCCAATGCCTTTCCTTTGTATACAAAAATACGTAATTTAACGTGGTAGAGGCCCCTGGACTTGACTCGCATCCATGCTTCTCAAATTGAGCTCCAAAGTAGGCTTGGAAAACACGTTGCCTGACTTAGCCATTTTCAGGCAGTTTCCCAGTTTTGGCATAGCCTTTTGGTCAGGTTCAAAAATGGTCTTCTGGACATTCTATTGAGCTCCCAAGTACTTTAATGTGTAGATGGACACTTCAGCTTCAAAACAAGCCTATAATCTCCAATTTCCATCTAGCCAATTGTAAGATATGAATCTCCAAAGTAGACACCATGAAACTATTTTTACACTGTAACAACATATTAGGTCGACCTAATCCTATATGAGGTCGATCGAAAAGTGCATGTCACGGTGACATGCATGTCACCGTAGCAAAGTCCAATAATAATTGACTAACATAATCTTGTTGACAAGGGGGAAAGTGAAAGAGTGAAATGAGAATTGAGAGAAATGAATTAGATTTTGATTAAGGTGGTCACTCAATTGCATTTCTACTATTTATTTTCTCAAGTTATCCTCGTCATCATTGATAGATTATAATTTGATGCACATATTTTTTTATATATGAAGAAATTATCTTGGTGGGGCGGGTATGGGGATGGGTATGGGGCGGGGAAGGCTAAAACCATACCCGCCCCATACCCATCAAACTTTTTGCGGGTTTTACCCATACCCGGTCAAAGCGGGGATTCCCCGCGTTGACTAGGTCGGGGGCGGTCGGATACCCGCGGCCATGGGTTTGATTGCCATCCCTAGGTAAGACGCGACGGGGAGGATTAGTCGATTCTCTCGTTCTGTAATGACAAGGTAATATAGTATGGATGAATGTAAAATTCATTATGTGTTTAATTATTTATCATTTTGAAAATTTCAGTGAGAAGTTAATTATTGGTTTCAGACGGTGACAAAAATGTAAGAAAATAGGCGGAGATAAAAGATGAAAAGGTGCCAAAAATTATTCCATCGTTAAGAAGGATAAAGATTTTGAGTCATTTCTATCGAAGTATGTATGAAGATACTCTGAACATATTTTTTAATGATCACAGTACACATGTTTATGTATCTCTGTCTCATACTCCATCGACTCTTAACAACCCGATAGTAAAAAATAAGCTTCATCAATCGTTAACCTAACTTCTACATCATATCAAGATCGCTCAACATTCAGCGATACCTCCTCTTATTAAACAAGTCCCTCCAGATTCGCGTCCTTATCATGCAGGTAGTTTCTAGTAGATTCCATTGTGATGAAACCATTGTAGCAAGAAATTTTGTGAAAGTCAACCGGAGAAGCTTCTCCATCTAGAACCGTCACAAGTCCGAGGTGGAGACGGACACATACGTACAACAATCCAAACACAACGAGGAAACCAAATGTTGACTTTTCTGCATGCCGGAATCCGCAAGAAAGCCGGCTTGAAGCCCAAGCCTAATAAGTAATAATTAACTTTCCTCCTCATTATTAATTTCCCTATAAATTCAGCATAACCAAACAGGCTTTCCTTTCCATTCACCAATCCTTCAAAGAAATCAAAGCTCCTCAGCAAACAGACGTTAGACAATCCATTCGAAATTTCGAATAATGGCCGGCCAGCAGTATTACTTCTTTCCCACGGATTTCTACTACCCGCGCCCACCACCGCCGCCGCCGACAAAAGACGCTTTCGTAGGAGCCAAGCCACCGGCGGCCGTCGAGAAACACGCCGCGGCACAACCGCCACCGCCTGCATCTTCCCAGTTCGCAGTTGGTCGTGATGAGAAGTACGGAAAGGCAAAGAAGAAGAATGTTGTTCCCAAACTCGATATCTCCTTCAAGACGACGTCCTCAAAACGGATCGCAACCAGCCGCACCGTGCTACGAATTAACGGAAATTAACCTTTCGCCGCCGTTTTCGGTGACTAAACTGTTACCTTCCACGTGTTCTTTCGGCTAATTGCTGATGATTTTTTGTACGTATTCATGATGTATGTAATTTGTTTAGATTGTTTTCAAGATCCCTATCAGAAAACTCTATTTGTTGAGGGTACAATGTAACAAAGTATGTTACCATCTTATCATTTATCGCTTATTTCAAAAGAGTAACAAAAACTAGCTAAATTTTGCTAATTGACAAATTCATCCCTGATTTTTTTTTAAAATAACAACTATAATCATTAAATTTTCAATTCATAATGATCTTTATATCTAATTGTCAATCCTTCAAGGCTTCAACTCGATTATGTATTAACAACAACAACATTGATAGTATTTGTTGTTCGTAACTAGACTATAGTGATATACACATGTGTTGTTCGTGAGATACAATTTTGTACATCGATCTTACTTAACACGTAGATTTTTTCTTTTTGAGTTAGATATTTAACTTTTGTGTCAGAGAGCTGTGATTTCATATTTTCCCGACTAGGGGTGAAATATGACAATTAAATATGATCTTGTATTTTTTCACACAAAAGCAAAAACATAAAGTCACAAAAGGTGTTCACTTTTAATGAATTGATTATTCTCCACCCTATCGGCTATAGTGTTTTATAAACTAACAAGTTCTTACATAAAACTGATTAGGTGTGTCTTTTTTATTTGGTGGCTACTTTAATTTTTATCATCGCACTTTTCACATACTATTATATTATAAAGTTAATTCACTAAATAAATATAATTAGTGTGGTTATTGTAGATTTTGTGGGTTAACCGCGGTGGGTAGTGGATAATCACTAACCACAAAAATCGTTATTTTACCACCCACATCCAACTCACTACCCACAACTTGTGGGTATGGTTATCCACAATAGGTGCGAGTTGGTGTGGTTTGCGGATTATCCACAACCCAAACTTCCGCCACTAATTTACATAGAGCAGGAGATCGAGCTTTGGCACCATTAGTGGCCCCTCAACTTTGACTCACTTACTGACTGATGATTACGGGGCTCCGTTATCAGAGAAGGCTATTTAGCTGCTTCTTTGGATTTTGTGGACGGCTGCTCTGTTACGCCATCTTTTTAACATGCTGGTTGCTGGTTGCTGACTTTACTGCAGCATGGAGCATGCAGATGCAGTCCCACGTTATCATTTTATTTTTTAATGCCCCACCATTTTCTTTCAGGTTAGCGAAGGAAGAGATTAAGAACCACATATTAGAAAACAAAAAATATCTCTCCAATGAATTGAAGAGCTTCTCAACTACCGTTATGTTTCATAAAATTCTTTAAATTTTTTTTTTTAGGTCCAAACTCCAAGCAATTATTGAATTATTTTGTGTCGAAGTCACTGCTAGCATGCGCAGTACTCCATTATTTAATATACAAAGAGTCCCACAGTGTCAGAGACCAAACTGTTTTTTTAATTTTTCCTTTCTGTGGAGGTCTACACATTTGAACACTACAGTTCTTATTTCTCCAAATCCCACACGCCTCTCTCTCCTCATGGGTTTGATTTGCAAAATGACCACTAAAGCTCTGGAATAAGCTCACCATTGAACTCTCTAATTGTTCTTCTTAAGTAACTAACAAAGTATCGATATACGATTGTCGAGATTTTTGTTCGGGTTGTTTGGACCGACGTGTCAATTTACTCGAATTAATGGTGGAAAATGACCACATATGTTGAAACTTTAGTAGTTTAGCAAAGCTGTCGAGTTGGATCGAAGGAGTATTTTAAGGTGACATGGGTTTCATGGTATTATATATGGTCATAAACTCTAAATATTTTGTTTGAATACGAATGCTTCAATCAAGTAAGAAAAGGGGTGAAGTTCGCCCATCAAACGTAGCATACAATTAAGAAACTAGATCAAGTAATGGGTTAAGTACGAAACGAGTTATAAAGCAAGACGTAAAATCTAAATATTTGCCAATAAGGGTGTGTGTATCACATTTTATATTGTCAATCTTGGTTGAGCTGGTACACTGATTCAGACAATCTGAATCGAAAAGGTGACCAATATTTTCACCCATAAAAAAAAGAGTGACCAATGTGGACAAAGTGACTATTGTGTTAGACTATTGGTCATGATTGCAATCTTTTAATGATGAATTCGTTAAAAGTCAAAAGTTTGATGACTAATCTTAGAACTACCTCAAAGTTCAAGACCCTCTAAACAAATCATAGTGAGGATTTCTTTCAATCAAGCCTTCCCTCCCCTTCCTCTATAAATACCAAAGGCAAGGCAAACCAAAATGATCAAAATTCCACCCAGCAACTGCCAAATCTCCCTGAGATCCCTCCGCTCCTTTCCGTATCAGAAAATATTCCTTGCCATGGCCGGCCTCCAATACAACTTCTTCCCCACAGATTTCTTCTACCCTCGTCCAAAGTCCGTCACCGTAGCCACTGATGCCGGCCAGACTTCCTCCTTGCCCTTAACGCGACCCGACGGAGCAGCCGCCGGCGACCACCCCGCCAGTCTCATCGTCCACACCAACGGCAACAAGTCCACCACCGCCATAGAGTACAAGAAGAAGTACAATCACCTGGATGGATAGATGATCCGAATAACCACCATCATCATCAAATCGCAGTAATCGTGATCTGTTGTCATCGGATCCGCTGCTTAATTAACTAATATATATACCGTAATCCCTTCCTTTCTTTCGTTCTTTTTTTTTCTTTCTTCCTCTCTCTGCTCTTTCTTCCTCTGTTTTTCTCCGCCGCCCCTGTTTTCTGTTTGACGGTAATGGAAATTAGTACTACTATGTATATGTAACGTTTGGGTAATTTAGAGTTATGAGTAATGATGTGAATCGCAGATTCCTGATTCCCCTGTTTCGTCCTGCTTAATCGTCGGTATTCATGGTGATGGTGAAAAACCATATCTGAGATCGTGCCTATAATAGGATTGATGGTTCTAGATCGTTAACCAAAATCTCTGTAATAAGTGTGATTATGTCGGATTTAATTTGAACCAATAAATCCACATAATCAAGCACATCCTTTTGAGCCACCGCAACCTCACTGAGATTTTCACCGGCAGTCCGGTCGGAGTTCTCTTTGTATATAAAAGAGAAAAAACCCGACAATCGCTCTTTCCATGAATAAGAGTTCAACGCTTGGAACGTGTTTGTGGTTGCTAATCCTTTTTTAATAATCACACAGTTTACAGTCAAAATCCTTGACCTCCCATTTTTTTCGCGTTCATATTTTTCTAATCCCAAGTTGATTAATATTATTCTTAAATTGGAATTGGAATTATCATTCGTGATAATTCACAAGTGGGAAATGGGAATGGCCGGTGCGGCAGGACCAGAGGAGAGCGCTCCGGCGTGGTAGATTCCGCGGGGCGGATTCTGATTCGGATTCTGGATGGTTGATGTTGCGCCACGTGTTCGTTTCTCATGGAGGAACTCTTGGGCCCCCAACTGGGCCATCACAATCAGAGAGGGCCGAAAGCCCGAAAGTACTGTTAGGTCATGGGTTTCAACTTTGGACGGCCGGGAATTATTCTGCATTTTTTGCAAAATATTAAAATATTTGGGAAGGGCGGGTTTGGCGCTAGCGTCACGTGCCCAGAAAAACGAATATGCTTTTGCACCAGGCAGCTACCAAACGTCCAAACTGCCCTCACCCAACCAACCTAACAGAAAACGCCAAACACGAAAGAAGGAAAACCTAACTAACTTCCCCTCATCTCCCGCCAATTTCCTTCCATTCCGCATGTGATTTCCTTTCTGATTGTTCTGCACATGATTCTGAAATGTTTGGGGTTAATCAGGTATGGAAATTGTTGGATTGCTTCTGTGTGTGATTTATGTTAGGGTTTCAAGAACGAGTGAAATGTAGGTTTAAATCAAATCGTAAATAACGGAGTTATGAAAATTTCGATACTATGTTATGAACTGTTTGGTCTCAATATATATTTCGAATGCTTGAGAGAACGTTAATTATAAATCTTATATAACTCTCTTGCCGATGAGACACGGGATGCATAATCGTGTTGTGTCTGCTCCATTATGGTCATACCAAATATGAAAGATTAATGATGCAAAAGCATGATTTATAAAGAGGGAATATTCACACCTATGGGTTAAGGTCCTTGACTTGGGTTTTCTGTACATTTTCTTGCCTTGTATGATTCGTAGAGAGACAATTATTTTGGGTCTTAACAATTACGATCCTATTTAATACGAATTAGTGGTACAAACTAATGGTTTAAAAAAGAATTCCTTTTCTTTAATAAAATCTATATCATCCTTAACAAAAAAAATGGTTTAAAAAAGAATTGAAGTGACAAAAGACATACATGTGCAACCGCCTTATAATGCTAATGATGAAGTAAAACCATACAGTTGAGTAGTTGACCTTTCTACTCACAACTTATAACCAAGACTACTTATCTGTCAATTAAATTATTATGCAGGCCTTTTTGATTCCCATTCCCATCTTATATACTCAATCAATCAAGCCTGCTGTCGTTGATATTCTAGAAAAGTACATTGCAGTTACAGTTGACTTTTCCATTCCAACTTATAATCGCGATCACTTATATTAATTTGTATCCCTAATTATCATAGTTAGTAAAATACGATACGGGAAAGTTACGCATAAAATACGTACGGGTATTTTACTTTGTCTCTAAACTAAGTTACGTTTAATAGTACGTTAATAGTCATAAATATATGAAAATAAATTATTTTTAAAATAAATAAATATATAAATAATAGTAAAGTTGACAATATAAATCATTAAATACGGATATTAAACGTTTTTTTTTTGACAACAGGATATTAAACGTGTTATATGGGTTTTATACGTATTTTGTACAGGAGCCATCAAATGAACGGTAAAAAATGAAACGGCTTGACAATAATACGGATACAGAAGTTTTAAACGGATAAAATACGTACGAGTACATATACGTGTATTAAACGGAGTATTTACTAACTATGCTAATTATCACTCATTCGCTACAGAAGAGGCAAGACATGGAAGCTGTTGGGCTCAAGCCCATACCTCCGTTAGTAAGCTCCTACAATGAAAGCCCATATGACCAATTTCTTCAAACCCAAATTTCTTGCTTTGTTCCATTTACAATCCCCAATCATCACACAAAACAATAATGCAATTGGAAAAAAACCTCATTTCCAAATACACACACACACTACCTTTCAGACTTCACCATTACAAGATAAATTGAATTAGATGTTCCCATTTGCCTTTGTTCTTTGATCAAGAGTATATGAAGGGAAAATCAAGGGCATTTGGGTCCTCCTCGCTTGGTTTTCCAGTTGTTGTAGCAAGGGCAGGATTGCTTGTTGCCGTAAAACCCAGAAGGGACGCAGAGGCACTTGGCGCAGCACTTCCGGCAGAAGAACAAGCACGGCTTCTTGTACTGCGTCCTCGAGCACCTCGAGTCGCACCGCCCTCCACATTCTGTGCAGAAGCGCGGTGGACATAGCGTTCAATCGACGCGGTACATAATAACATCGTTGGGAATCCCAATTACTCGCGTTGTTGGTAGCATTTACGTATCGAGTCCAAAAAAAAAAATTCAATCCTACTTACCTTGCGGCTGAAGGCTGCCCTCAGTAGTCCCAACCTGGACATTTCGACGACAGAAACGACACCGAACAATAGTACCACAGTCAAATTCATGCAGCTAATGTTACAAATTGGAAGAGGGGGAAATGGGTGTGTTATTTAAAGGAATCTCACAGAGGACAGGCCGCCGTTGGGTTGGGGCGTCGGCGCCGGCGCCTCGCCGGTGATAGTCGCCTGCAGATTTTTTTAGAAAATCGACCCATTTGATTAAAAATTGAAACAAAAATAAGTAAAAAGACTCGCCGTTGCCGGGGATCGAACCCGGGTCACCCGCGTGACAGGCGGGAATACTTACCACTATACTACAACGACTTGTTATTAATTGTTGTAATTAAAGGTTATAATTAACTACTCTAAACCATCTAATTACCCCGTTAGCTTTCTCACCAGCTATGGCTTAGCATGAACAATCAGGCAATAGCTCACCAAGAAAGGGAAGATGAGAGAATGGAGACAAGGGAAGAAGGAACTTACACCATTGTGGACGATCAGGAAGTTGAGAAGAAGGAAACCAATTGCAGCAAACAACATTCCTTTTCCCATCTCCTCCACTACTCTGCAGTGCTGTATCGAGTTTGATCGAATATGGAACTATACAGAAGAATGAAAGGAAAGAAGAGACTATCACTCTCCTTCTTCTTCTTCTATGTTTGGAGCTAAGCTTTAGCCTGCTGTTTTTCCTGCTTTGCATGCGGTGAGAAGCTGTCCTTATAACATTAAGTCCGGGTAAGTACTGCCAAATGAGGCAAAAACTGCATCACATGCAAACTACGAGACACTACTTTCTCTCCCCCTTCAGCTTCTTTTTTGTTGGCTTCCTACCGCATCACATGACTCACAAATCGCAAATCAAACTTTTTGATGATGCGGAATCAATAAGGCAATCTTCGGTATCACGATCGTCGGTTGGATTACGACGATATTTAGCAGTCGATACTTCTTACGAAATGATGTTCTTCGCAATGATGGTAGTGAGATCTGAATCAGGAATAAGGCAATGTACCATGCTACATTTACTATTGCAATTTTTGTTTACTTATTTGCGTGCATAAAAAAAAAGGGGTAACATGTCTCATTTAGGCAGAGTATCCCGTGACTATACTTTGTTTTCTTGCCACAATTTGATTGGAAGTACCCTTTCCAAGGTCATGAGGAGGATGGGAAGGCTGTGGTTGGAGTTGTTCAACGAGGTGATGTTTTATTTGGCAGAAGAGAATACAGCGGGAAAAGGACACAGTTAGGAATGGAATGTGTAAGTTGGTTATGTTAGTTAAGCTTTCTCTGTTGTTTCTTTTTCTTCCCCCTCGTGATCCCTTGTTCTTTTGTTTTTGGGCTGTGCTGTTCTTGTTTTGTTCTTCAGGGTTTCACTGTTTCTTTATTCATTCCTCTCAGCTGGTTGCTTTCAGCAGGGAACTCAAATTCATTACGCCAAAATGAAAAGGCAGAAAAAGAGAGTTTGATCTTTGTTGTTGCGTGCTGGTCTGTGTTGGCAGTAAGGTTGCATGTGATTGTGATGTTGCTGGCAATGGCATAGCTTCTGTTTTGGCACAAGATAAGGATAAGATCTTCGTGAAGGGCCAAGAAAGCTTTACTATACTGTGAATTTGGAAATGATTATCTGAGTGCTGAGCATGATTGGAAAGAAGCCAACTTCTTAGCACGAAACTAACTGATGCATGGCACAGCTCAAGGATTTATAATTAGATAAAAAAATTGAGATATCATCATCAAGTAGCAGAAGAAATTTTGCAGCCATTCTCTGGATAGCATAGAAAAGCTGAGAAATGTTTATTTTGATCATTGCAGCACTGAAGTATAGTTCGATTCGATCAATCTGTTTGATTCCCAATGCACTAACTACTTTCCTATTTCAGTACTACAAAGTACAGAATTTCCCTATTTGTTTATGGAAGTGTTCCCTGTTGCTGTATACCTGCTGCACCAATCCTTCCCAAGCAGCAAAAAATATAACGTGGCAAGAGTATGAATTCAGGGTTTTCTGCACGTTATAACAGAGAACTTGATCAGATCCTTTTTGAATCCTTCTATCATCAATGGCATCACCAATGCTCCTCTGATGGTTTTCATACCTGTTCCACCATCATCAAATCCTAGGTAAGCTCAAATGGGTTACCAGGAAAGACAAGACTTCCTCAGCTAGACTTATCTGTACTTGAGTTGGATCAAATCAATGGCGAAAAGGAAAAACCAAGGGTTACCGGTTCGGAGGAGGGAAGTGAAGCCCTTCCATGTGAGGGCGGACCGGATAACTGCTGGCCAAAACGGAGCAACGTTCTCAGACCAATCTGCTGTTCTTATATCCTGCAAGTAAATAAGGCAAGGTTGCTTAACTGTGGGGGGGAAAAAGGCGTGCCGTTTGGAACTCAAATCAGTTGGTGGGTTCATTGGTAAAAAATCATATGCATACCTGGAGATTGAGGGATTGGAGTAGCCTGACATAATCAGAAGTGGAGCACCATTCAGGAAGATAGTATGCCTTGCAGATTTTATCAAGGTGATCTTTCTCCCACTTGGTCAAGGATTCCTCAGCAGGCCCAAGATCTCTGTGGCACCATGTCACAATTATTATGGTGGCCCCTGGTGCTGCAACTCTAGCCAACTCACCCACAAACTGCAACAAACACATCCAGTTCCCATATAAATGCTAAGATACTATGATAGTGAAGTATATTTTGAAGTAACAATTGGATTACTGTATAAAAAAAAATGTTATAGAGACTGAAGTGTCAAAAGGGGAACAAAGACCTTGGCTTTATCAGGCATATGCTCTCCACTCTCCATGGACCAAACCAGATCAAATTCCCCATCTGGGAATGGCTGATCCAAAGCATCCCCAACTTGGAAGAATGCCTGCTTCATTCAATTCCCCCACAAAAACAACCAACCATCAAACTATTACCATCTTAAACAACATTAATCCAAAGCAGTAAGCACCACAGCATTGGATTTTGGGCGTAGAAGAAGAAGTTTCAGAGAGAACACAAGACCTGGTCAGCTAAACCTTGAGCAGCTGCTAGAGCATTGGCTCTCTGTGCCTGAACAGGACTGAGAGTGATCCCCTGACACTTGGCTCCATATTTCCTCGCCAAGTACCTGGAGCTTCCTCCAATCCCACACCCTACATCCACAACTTTCTTTGGCCTCTCCTCTGCCTCCTCTGCCCCCAAATTCAACCAATCAGAAAATTACCCACCTTCTGAAATCAGCTAAACTACTCAACAAAATACAATCAACCAATCAGGATGAACCGTAAAGTTAGAGAGAGAACCTGGGACGGCGGCGAAGCGGAGGGATTCGTCGATCATCCGAATCTGGGCGGCACGGTGGTCAGGCTCCGACCCGGAAACCCGGGAGTCGGGCTCGTAGAACCCGTGGTGCATATGTTCTCCCCAAATGTCCTCCCACAGCCCGGAAGACTCGTCGTAGAGCTCGGCGATCCCCTTTTTAAGCCGCTGCTGTTGTTGCTGCTCCATCGGGGTCGTCTCTGTCGCGGCCGCGATGGTGAGGCTCCGGCGACGAAGTGGGGAAGCTCCGGTACGGAAAGCGATGGTTGGTGGTGGAAGGAATGTGTAGTGGGAGTTGTTATGAGCCGCCATCGGAGTAACGTGGCCATGTGATAAAGAGGTCAGAACTTTTTTTCTTGTTAGTTCCTCCTCGATCCTGGGTTATGGGACCGGCAGGATTTTTGTGCAGACTGCAGAGTGACAGAAGAGAGGAAGGAATGGGGGAATTTTTTTGAGGGAGAGAGAGATGGTAATGCGGATGAGTAATGTTTCATATCAACAAGTGACACATTTAAGTGATAATCAATTTTGTGTTGTAAAATTCGATTTGCTCAAATGACATCTGATCCAAAGAATTTAATGTGTCATTGCTTTATCGATTATGAGTAATGTTTCATATCATTCATCAAAATCTGTTTGACTAACCTGCTCATGAAATTCATGTTATGCTTTTTATATATAAATAAATTCTCAACAATTCATGGTGATCTAATAGGTTATGATCGAAAATCCCGATAATAACTCGTTCAAATATAATCAATTGATAGCGATAACTCTACCATCTTTATCCTACTCAACCTAGACCATTTATCAGTAGTAGAACGTAACACAGACACATAAAGAAGAAATCAATACAATTAATTAAGTGTTCCACCATGACTTAAGCCCGACATAAATGGTTCTCTGTAAATTCATTGAGAGTTTCAGTTTCGATGAAGTGAAGAGAGTGAATTGAGTAATCAGTAAAAGCTAACAAAAAAGCTTTCAGTTTCAGTCTCATTATTAGGAACCCACATTCAACTGAAGACATTAGAAATGGCAATGCAAGATCGGAACACAGTCTGTGTTGGGTTTGGGCAGGTTGAATGCAAGATTGGAACTTTTCTTCGATCACAATCCTATAGCTAAAAAAAAATACCGTCTTTCGACACTACTTTCTACTTGCAGACACATAAACGAATTTATATGCTGTTTATGAATCAAACCCATCAGAGACTGAACCCCAAAGACCAAGACCCATAAGTGGCAAGTACCTTAATGGCCTGTTCCCCCCCATTCCCACTTTTGAATCGAATTCCCAGCTTCAATAAATCCCCCCTCCATTGCAGCTCCACACAGTAAGAACTCATCATCCAATCAAGAGATCATTTGAAGGATTACCATTGTTAACCATGGCTGGAAGGCAGACGAAGCAGGCATTGTTGATGGTTCTCTGGCTCAGCACTTGCATGTTCACCATCTGTTCCTCTGCTTCACTGAGCTCTAGAGTTGGTGAGCTCTGTTCTTAACATAATTGGGTATATGTTATGTTTGTTATCAGTCAGTTCTCATGAATGATGCTGCAAATGTGCAGGTGGGAACATTTCATTCACTTACAAGGAAGGAAAGGGGGAGAGAGGGCCAAAGGAATGGGGATCATTGAGCCCAAAATGGAGAGCTTGTGGGAATGGGAAGTTGCAGTCTCCCATTGATGTTCTAAGCCATGGTGTTGAAGTCTCCCCTGAATTGGGGAAGTTACAGAGAGACTATAAACCAGCTCCTGCTACTGTCAAGAATAGTGGACATGACATCATGGTTGGTAAAAAAAAGATTATTAACAATTTTACCCTCGAAAGGCTTGATCAAAAGATTTTCGATACACATAAGAATTCATGATCTGATTTTAACGACGCAAACGCATCTAGTTTAGACGCATTAGTCATTGTACTCTTTTGTCTCATCAGATCTTCCTTTGTTTCTTCTCAACTTTTTTGTTGTCTTTTGTGTTATTGGTTTTTGGGTTGTAGGTCAAATGGAAAGCTGATGCAGGGCAGATTAGGGTAAATGAGACTTACTACAAGTTGGTCCAATTTCATTGGCATACACCTTCTGAGCACACATTTAATGGCTCAAGGTTTTGGTTCTTGCCTAATTTTCCCAAGATATATATAACCCAAGGACAATATTATCTCGAATGATAAGAAATTTATTTACTCATAATAAAACAACTAAATTAGATGACTGAACTAGCTAATTAAGAGGCTTGATTTGAAGGTATGAATTGGAGCTACATGTGGTTCACTCAAGCTCCAATGGAGGAACAGCTGTGATTGGAATTGTTTACAAGTATGGGAAGCCTGATCCATTCCTTTCCAAGGTAGTAAAAAAACTACCATATTAATTTTGTGATAAAAGTTTGCGATTTGATTTTAATCGATTGTAAGATCATTGTCATATCAATTTGTTGATGAAAAACGTCTTAATTTTGTGTAATGGCAGTTGTTGCGTGACATAAAGAAGACAAGAAAGGGCGGAAAGGATATAGAGGTGGGGATCGTGAATCCAGGAGACATCAAATTCGGGAGGAGAAAGTACTATCGATACATCGGGTCACTGACAACTCCCCCATGCACCGAAGGAGTTGTTTGGACGATTGCGAAAAAAGTGAGGACTGTTTCAAGAGCACAAGTCAAAGCATTGCGTAATGCGATTTATAAGGTAACCCATCTTTCTAAAATACGTAGTGTTTTGTATAAAATTACAAGCTCCAAACAACACTCTGAATTACTAACCTGGTTATTAACCCTTTCTCTTATTTTCCCTCCATTTTTCTTAATTGTCATCTCTTTCAGGGATTTAAGACTAATGCAAGACCAACTCAAGGAGCAAATGAAAGGGTGGTCAAGTTATACAAATAATGAATCCTCTTTTGCATCGGATTTAGTGGATGCTCTGCACTCCAGCTTATTTAGCTTGTCTTTCCCATAGGAATCACTATTACTAAGTATTTGATTAGTAACTTATTGGGTGTTTATTGTTTAATGAAAACTCTCTTTTCCTTAATTTTTAGGGATTCTAAATAAATGCACGCCCAAATCAACAGTTACATGGAAGATCAGTTTATCTGTACCAGTAGCCAGTAGGTCATCAGTCACAACTGAGAAGTTAGATTTTTTACTCTTTTCTTTTCACTGTTAGCAATCCAAAAAGGAAAAATACTACAAAATATGAAATTAGTTTCCCTATGGTTCTCATATAATGAGTTAGTGATGGAGACTACATAAGTTACAAATCACAAGTCATAATCCCAAGTGAATCTTCATTAGCCACTTGTTCCTTCAACTGCAAGAAAACATGTTCCAAAACACCATATATCAACTCACCTCCATCATGTCCTCTGTCTTCAACAGTGAACTCACATAGCTTCCCATTCACTTCAACACAACTTTTCCCTGGAGACTTCTTCAACCTGTTCTGTTTCATCAGGCTTCTCACCCCTGCAACTTGGTCCCACCTTCCAGCAGATGCATATATGTTGGCCATCTCCACGTATGGAGCTGCGGCCACAGAAGGCTCCAACTCGAACAGACGGGTGGCTGCATATTCAGCAATCTCGACATTGTTATGAATCCTGCAGTAACACAGTAATGCACTCCAAATGGCCCCGTCCGGATTCACTGGCATGTTTAAGATGAAATCTAATGCTTTATTTAGCTTTCCTGCACGTCCGAGTAGATCAACCATGCAAGAACAATGATCCACCCCTGGATTTATTTTGTATTTTCTAGTCATGAGATTGAAGATCTCCCATCCTTTTTCCAGGAAGCCACCATGAGAGCAAGCTTGGAGCACAGCAAGGAATGTGATACTGTTTGGCTTTAGACCAGATTCTCCCATCTGATAGAAAAGATCCAAAGCTTCTGTGAACAGTCCATTCAATGCACAACCTGAAATCATTACTGTCCAAGATACGACAGTTTTATCAGGCATGGTGCAGAATAGAGCCCGGGCGTCACTTATGCTTCCACATTTTGCATACATATCTATCAAAGCATTGCAAACTGGGACATGATTCTTTAACCCAATCGACTCCGCATAATTATGAATCCATCTTCCAGTTTCGAGAATCCCAGCATTACCACAGCCTGAAATCACAGAAAGCACAGTGACTAAATCGGGGTTTTCCCTGGTTCTTTCCATGGCTTTAAACAATGTCAATACCTCATCCAGATCTCCTTTCTCAGCATATCCACCGATCATAGCAGTCCAGGAAACAGAGCTTCTGTGACTCATGGCGTCAAACAAGAACCTTGCAGAGTCAATGTCACCACATTTGGAATACATAGATATAAGTGTGTTGCAAACGGAAACATCAGTATCACAACCAATTCTGACTCCATGAGAATGAATCAGTCTACCTTGACACAATACCTCAGTCCGAGTGCAGGAAGAGAGCAAGCTAACGAGTGTACTTATATCCGGCCTGAATCCTTCCAACAGCAACCCTTGGTACGCATTCCAGGCATCACCATATTTCTCAGAGTAAGCATACCCACCAATCAAAGAGTTCCATGAAACAAGACTCCTCAACCCAGCTTCAATCCCGCCAAAAACCAATTCAGCCAACCTCAAGTCGCCACATTTAGCGTACAGAGATACCCAAGTATTAGCCACGGAGACATCATAATCGACCCCTATTCGAATACCAAAGGCATGCAACCCTCTGGCCAAATCCAAATTCTCCACACTCGACACGGCTCGACTGACTCCCATCACCGTGACTGAATCGGGGGACATCCCGGCAAACCTCATCTCCCTGAAAATGGCAAACACTCTATCGTGGGTACCCAGTTGAGAAAACCCCACTAGCATCGCGTTCCACGACGTGGCGTCCCTCTCAGGCATTCTCACAAACACGTTGTGAGCCATGTCTAGTCGATCGCATTTCAAATACGAGTCCAGCAAAGACGTCTGAACGAACACATCGGAGTAGAACGGAGATTTCAGTAAGTGGGTATGTAAACTCTGGGAGCAACCGAGATTGGCGAGCTTGGCACATGCCTTGGCAACAAAAGGAAAGGTCAGGTTGTTCGGCTCGACGCCGTCTCGTTTCATCTGGCGGAAGAGGGCGAGCGCATCGTGGGGGTTGTTCAGACCAACCGAATTCCGTATTCGCGAATTCCAGGCGTTGACCGGAGAAGCATTTGGGAAGAAGCGGTTGATAGTTCGGAGGGGCGAAGGTGAAGCCATCGCCGCATTGTCGCCGCTGCCGGCAACCGTTTGCTGAGTTGCTGACTCACTGTTCGCGCCTTCGGAGCCACAGCCCATCACAATTCACAACTAATCTCCCTCCAAGACTATCTTGGTCTAGCCCAAATAAATGTCAGCCCGTTACGTTCGTTTCTAGTATAACAATCAATCAAGCCCTTTCATCGGAAGTTCGACTATTGGTCGACTTCCGCACGATGTTGAGCCCTGTACTTTCACTTTGTGACTCTCCTTTCTTCTTGTTGACTATGTTCAAAAAAAAAAAAAAATCAATCCTTGGACCAGAAGCCCAATACTTGGTGGGCTTCAAGGGCCGGGCCCCAAAAGCTCTATTTTGTGTGCTATCTCGAGAATGTTTGTGACAATATGTCAAATAGAATCTCAAAAACTAAAAGCTATACATTATAGCACGGTGGAATGTCAATCGATTGAATCTAATATAATCAATGTTAACTATAAAAATATTATAATTTATAACTGATTTATCTCGATAGAATCATATCACTTACTAAACCGATATAAACTCGACAATCTTCGTTATAACCCTTTATTGCTAAAAAATCGGCACACATGGAAAACGAGAAACTAGCATTGGACTTTGTAGGGTAGTGGCCGCCACGAAGGAGACCGCGTTAGGTGTCCGGTGTCCCTCAAGAAAATATAAATACCTCCCCATTTCCTCGTCGTTTCCCTTCAAATAATTTGTTGTTAGCATCATGGTTGTCATGTCGATGACATGCCACCCGATTGAACCTGGTTTAACCTGTGCCGGTAATGAAATCGGCATGACACCACCGGTATGATCAACTTACGTATTCTAAGTTTAATGACATAATTTTAATAAATTTAATGAATAAAAAATTAATTTATTATTCATTTTATGAATGTAATGGTTAAAAGTTGATGATATTTGTTGGATTGTAACTAAATTGTCCACAAATATATTTTATATGTGATTAAATACATTGGATATTAATTATTTTCATATTTTTTTTTAAACCGGCACAAACTGGTTATACCACCGGTCGTACCATTCCACTTGTCAAACTGGCACAACGGTATAAACCGGTTTGACAACCTTGGTTAGCATTGAAGTTATATATATTTATTAATTATTATAATCTAACTCCTCCGCCTACCCAACATGCCATGTGTCCCAAACGCGGTGGAGGCGGCGGCCGCTTTCATTTCAGGCCTTCGCCGGAGAGAGAGACCACCCGCCGCGAAGAGGATAATAAAATAGTACCTTACCTAATCCAACGTGGCCCCACCTCCAAGGTCCACGACGTCGTGTTGCACATCCAACGGGCCACAACGCTCCATCCTGACCCTTCATTTCTTCAATCATCGACCGGGGCCACGCGGGAATTCGTTTCAATAATAGCAATCACATGGCTGGGCCCCGTGCCCACTGGATATTCTTTCTTCGAAGGCCCAAATTGACAAAACTGGGCCCACCATGAGTTAGTGAGGGAGGTTTTCAGGATTACCCAAACTTTGATTGTGATATTTCCCCCCCATTTTTCCTAATTAATTAAGAGAAGCCACCATTTTTAGGTGGATTGGTGATGAGATCTGGTATTATGTTATGATATTTTTTGTGTGGTGGTCTTTGCTTGATTGCATGATTTGTTAATTTTGGGTAGGCAATTTGGAGGGTCTCAGCATGAAAGTGATGGCAGCAAGTGAGAAGAATTCCCCATGGGTATAATAATAAAAGCAATTTTCTACCCTAAGCTTGTCATTGACTTGGCTCCAAATTGCCTGTAGAGTTTGTCTAGCCATTTTCACCCTTTGGATATGTTTATATATGGTTATATGATCAATGATAGCTAAGTATGTGTTGCCAATGTAGAATTGAAAGTGACGCACTTTCTTGCAGTTATCAGAGTGATTGATTACCTGATGTGAATACATGTCATTTATCAATTATCGAGGTGAATTATGAGTGTTGATTTTTTTTTAATTGATCGAGAAAAACACGATGAATCCTCAAATGACATATTCAAGAACACAACGGTGACAATGATTAGCAGCAGGCACTCATCTTACTCGTATCCTAACACTTGTGGGTCTTACTCCTAAAACATATATCATAAATTATGAAGGTAAACTCACTCTGTAAACTCATGCGTGGATCCTTCGACTCTACGATACTTGTACATAAAAAAAAAATTCAACGATCAACAAGATCAAATACCGAGACAATTCTTCATGCTGATATACTAAGCGCACACCACAATTCGTTCACTCCGAACTCATCAATGACATAATCAAAAGTAATATCCACCTCCTATCCTTGTTGTTTCCCTTCATAAAGAAGAACACAAATGAATTTACAAGTAGTGTTGTCCTAATCTTACTGAAAATGGGAAAGAAAATCCACTATCTTGACACAATCTATAGCTAAGATGCTCTCCCTCAAGAGCCATCATATGCAACAAAACACCACTAATAAGTAGGGGTGGCAATTCGGTTATAATCGGTAACCGATTAACCGAAAATTGACCGAAATAGGCTTCGATTTCTCGGTTACCTCGATTATCGGTTAACCGAACCACTTTTAAGACCAAAAACCATTTTGGCCAGCTTCCGATAACCGACCAAAATTCGGTTACTCCAATTACCGGTTAGTGGATACGCTGCCAGTTATCAAGTTAACCGGTCGGTTAACCGGTAACCGGTAACCGAACGGCCACCCCTACTAATAAGTGCCTAGTTCCCTATATAGCTATTTAGTTGTTGCACGGAACAACTCACAATCCTCAAATTCCCTTTCTTGGCAAAGCCCTAATCCTTAAACATGGCCGATTAAGAGCATCCTAATGGGACAATTTTAGTGCATAACACGCTGCAATTCACTTTCAAATTCAATTAAGTAAAATTAACCCCATTAGAGGTGACACGTAAGCAACCAGCAAAGAAAAGTCAAAAGTCAGCAGAAAGAACTCCGTGTGCTACATGCCACAGATGACGACAAAAACAAGGTTTTGCTAAAAAAAATTGCCACGCTGGATTGGTTCGGCAGCCTGTGATTGAACAGTCAGCATCTATTTGAAAACAACCGGACAACCGGAGGTTCGGCATTCGCAATCCGAGCCTCCTGGCTCGGACCTCTCCGAACCAAACCTTCTGGTTCGGATTCCGCCCGCGCTATAAATACGCTAGCGGACCCTTTCTTTGACGAAGAACTCTCCATCGTCGCCTCCGCGTTATTCTTCGGTCAGTCGTCTCTTTCGTCGCCGGTCGGGGTTTGATCATCGCTTCCGCTTTCCAGGTACCAGATCCTTGCTTCTCTCCTTTGTGTCATCCTGTGGTGAATTTGTTCGTCTGTTTGGTTGCTGTGGGAACAGAGTAGGAAAAAGGGGAGAGTGATCCATTCTTCCGGAGAACCGGGTTTGTGATTTTCTCGGTGAGCAAACGGTTGATCGATTGTGAGGATCTCCGATCTTCTGGAGATGATAATTTCTGGTGTTCGATTGTGACCTTTTTTTAGTTCGAAGTTATTCCTTTTGGATGATAGCGATTTTCAGCTGGCATCGTAGTCTGGCGAACGAAATTTCTTTGAATTTTGAGCTGGGATTTGTACCAGGGGATTCAAAGTAGGTGGGTTAGAAGTTAGTGGGAAAGGGTTGAGATTTTTTTGCCTTTTGACCTGATCCGAGAGATGGAAATGGTCGTCGGGAAATGGATGAACTGGGTATGAAAATTGAGAGATCTCCAGTGATTTGTTTGTCTTCTGAATCTGATCATTGGGTTTGGAAGTTCTGTTCCAGTTAAAGATTCAAACTTTGAACTTTTTGGTTTTCAGGACAGAGAAGCTTGAGGAGAAAGAAACAAAAATGGCGGCAGTGGTATCAGGAGGAAGGTCGACACTAAACCCAGATGCCCCTATGTTCATCCCAGCTGCTTACAGGCAAGTGGAGGACTTTTCCCCGGAATGGTGGCAGCTGGTGAATACCACAACATGGTTCAAGGACTACTGGCTCAGCCAGCATCAGGAACAGGAAGGCTACTACAACAATGTTGCTGAGGAGGATAGTGATTTGGCCGGCTTATTGCCCGATACGTTTGATCTCGATGTTGTGGGGGATGATTTTGCTTCCTTCGAAGCCCAGTTCGACGAGTTCGTGGAGTCTTATGAGGCCGAGAAGATGTCGCCTCGAGCTCTACCCTCCTATGGAAATGGTATGCAGTACAAGCGTCCGAAACTGAATTGATGTTTGCTTGCAGCATTTGTTTATACTTTCGCCACTGCTGTTCTAACTTTCTGTGTGTCTGGCGAATAGGGTATGGAATTGGAGGTGGAGCCGGAGGGATGGAAGCAGGGTTCAGGGCAGGCATCACTGCCACAGTGGGGAGCCCGAAATTCGGCTATTAGAAGGTGACGATGAAGTGAAGTCTTTGTTTGTCTCCCCAAAACCACCAGTTTAAGCAGCAATGTCAGTCAGTAGAAGAACGAGGAAGATTTAGTTTGGTGTAGCTTTTTAAAATTTGGTGTATCGTGTATAGAGTAAAGAGGCATTGCAGCAGCAAGTCTCTTTGTTGTATCAGTACTCTTCTGTCCCTTTCTGTTGTTGTCTTTGTGTTCCTTTGATCAAAAGGAAACCCAAACAAACCCAAAAAAAAAAGTGTAAAATAGGAAGGAAAAAATGTAAATTCCTTTAGCAATGAGAAACTGAAAGTTTATTACTTCATTTCCCACCCTTAACAGGAAAGCAGCTCAGAATTTCTTCTTCTGGAATCCCCCTTTTCTCTGCTTGATCAGTGCCATGATTGCAAAGTAGAGTGTCGCATTGCAGAGGGTCGCACAGTGATGGAACCATGATATGGCTACTTGGAGAGGTTCGATGAAGTCCATGCTGACGCTCTCCCTAACTCGATCTTTTTCACTCCCCAGTGCGGATTCAACTCACCCACCTCCTTTCCCTTCTGAAGACGGCATTTATGGTGCATATCATTCATTGTTGTTCCACTCAATCAATCAATTGATGGGTTCCCGACTTCTGCTTTACATTAGTTACTTTGGCACTCTCTCGCATGTCTTTTTCTGCCGGCACATGGGGCAGGCAACAGCAGCTCACAGTTTTTTTTTTTTTTTGTCAGCTGTGGGAAAGAAGGAATAAAACTGAACCTGGCCAGAGACAAAAGAGAGTTGATCGGCGGGGCCCATTGGCTGCCGGTCGGAGTGTCCTATGGGGCATTAAAATACAAGAAACCAAAACGGGACGGCGCCCAACTCATCGATGACTTTCGCACACAGAAACGGAGAGGAAAGTGCTGGCCAGTGGCCATGTTGCACGACTTGGAATGATGGTAGCTCCTTCTCCTTTTCTTTTCGAAATGGGAGATTTGAATAGTATTAGATTGATTCTATTTGGTAGTTGTTTCCCAGAAAAAAAAACCATTAGTATATAAGATACATTTTGATAGCTTCCAATAATTGGTATATGTAGTAGGATAGGATGATCCGGATGTTAACATGATGTATTGTATATTATACAACGAAGAAATTAGATGTTCGAGTTATGACTTATGACGTCGATTTGAATGAATGACCACGTGTATTGAAATAACAATCTGTGTTATGTGCATACGTAGTAACACGCATGTTCAAATATACACAAGAATAACTACAAAATCTGCACGAAATACTCTCCAAAGCAAATCGAGGAATGGGGATAACCATGTTCTAATACATTTTGGAAGTTCATTGACAGCTTAGGCTTAATTTAGAAGCTTAATTTAATCATAACATCACTTTGATCACCACTTGATGATGTCTCAAAAATCAAAATTATGATAGGTACATCATCTGCTGTATAGGCTATGCATTGTAGAGTTTCCTTAACAATAGTTGGATCAACTTATAGAAGCCATTTGACAGCAGCAACCTGATTGGGAATTCACTGCCTCAGACTGGTTTTCATCTCCCAACAGCCTTGTCTTCCTAAATCTTTCTCATGTGTCCCTTTCTCGACAAATGAAATTGTCTCTGTGAAAGGGCCTCGGCGAGGAATCTTGGCTGTCTAAGGACATTTCGGAGAAGTAAACTCCTCTTCTCTTTGACAATTGGCAATTGCAGCAAGTTGGAACTTGTCAATATAAAGAAAATCAGCACCTTAAACTGGGCCGTCTAAGAAGCCACCTCGGAGGCAAGTTCTAAACTCTGCTCTTCTTCTTGTTCTTCGAGTTGTTTCCTCTTCTTTGCTTCAACCCTCGTCTGGTTACCAACGGCATCTGATATTGCCTTTGGTAGCAAAAACCCTGGCCTCTCCAGGAAAGGCGCTCGGTCGAGAACCAATGGCTCTCTCAGAGTGATCTCGACCTCATCGTACGTTCGTAGAGTCAGTGTCGCTTCGCCTTTAAGACCAACCGAAAACCAACCTAACCCAGCTATCGAAATGTCGATGCTGTTTGTGTCCCAGCTGCTGCCGCTCACCTTGATTTCCCTACTCTCCCATTCCCCCAGCTCACTTGCTCGTTCTTTGCCCACTGGCGGCTGCAAACCAAAAGTCAGCATCAAATACATCCTTCGAGCTGCGTTAATAGTCAAATAATATCCATGAACATCAAAAGCAAATGGATAAGGGTGCATGCATAACAAGAATACCTGCAACCGTACACCAACATGGTTATCGTAGAACTCATCTGCAGTTTCCAACTTTCCCATGTGAAGAGAAATGTTTGGTGATGCCCAAACTGTGATATATATTGTATCTACAGAAGCTTGGTTAAGGTCCAGTCTCACCAGACCTCCCATATGAATGGCATTCCCAGCCTGTGAAGTTTAGTAGTCATTATTGTCAAGAACAGTAACCAGTTCAGCTAAACTAAATGGCCACAAATACAACATCATTCACACATCTTGAAGTTAGGGAATTGTAGGCGATGAAATGATCTAGAGCAACTTACTTTTACTCTATAAGTTCGAGGCTGCAACTCCTTACGTATCTCAATCATCTTCTGTTCATCTCTGTCCAATCTCATTGACATTAGGTTCGGATGTAGAAGACCCGGAGTATCATACAACTTTGCTTTGGCTGACAAAATCCCCCCTATCCTCAAAATCCCAAGAGTCGTACCAGGAACAGGAGCCTCTGTAAGCTTGCTAACTTTAGCACCTCCTTTCTTTGCAAGCGCATTGATCAGTGTAGACTTACCAGCATTTTGAGCACCAATAACCCACACATTCCCACGAGGACCACCCAATTCCTTCACAAATGACAGCAAGTTCTTCACCCCAAGATCCTTACGCGAGCTCACCAAAAAGACCCCACTCAGCTTAGGTGCTCCTGCTGCCCTAGCACGATGCCTCACCCATTTGTCCAATCTAGTAGGTGATATTTGTGTTGGAAGGAGATCAACCTTCGTAGCCACCAGAACAAGCTTGGGCAGCTTTTTGCTCGCTCTAGGGTCAGCTTTGGCTCCTTCTAGTGCCTCAAACAACGATTTGGCTGCACGTTTAGGGAATGAGCCATCAAAGTCGACACAATCGACGACCATAATCACGACACTTGCATTGGAATTCCCTGTGGGCTTTATCAACCTGGTTGAAATTAGCCTATCAAAATCGAAATCAGGTATCAGATTTTCTGCTGTCTGGTTCTTCACTTGACCATAATTCCTGAGAGAATGGCACCTAGCACATACGGTGACCTCATCTTTGTCCCTGTGAGCTTCTCTAGCTTTCCTTTTCCTCTCTGCTTTGGAAACCTTCTTCATCTCCTTTCTTCTCGTTTCTTTCTCTACCACCTCTTCTGTAATGTTCCCGTACCCTACACCAGCCGGAACGAAACCATCCAAATCCATATCATCCTCATTAGCATTCAACATTGCATCAATTTCATCATAATCCAAATCCAACCCCACCCCGCCAATAAACGCTTCACCCTCCCTTCCTCCTTCATCATCATCATCATCATCTTCTTCTTCTTCAAAATCAGAACTTTCTGCATAATCTCCAATACCCAACTCCTCATCCTCCTCAATTTCATCTAATTCAATAACAGTGACTGTCTTGGGTTTAAAATACCCAGGAAGGTTTTGATCAAGATCCTGCATAAACACTCCACAGCCAGGACAAATAAGGCCATGCTTCTCATCCTCATCCCTCCCTTCACTCAGTATAAAATCCCTACCTCCCTTTCTAGGTCCTATTCTACCAGGAGGCCCTTGCTTCGTCTCCACACTCGTTTGGGATTTCGCCACTAGTGAAATGAACCTCTTCTTATCATGTTTCTTTCTCTCCACTCCCAAACCTGAACCAACCAAGCAATAGACCACACTGGATTTAACCAACTAGCTATATTCCTACCCTCTTATAATTCAAGAGATAGAACTGTAAAATTTGGGGAAAAGTATTGGAGGGGTTATCAATACCTGTGGAAAGGCCGATTCTGGATGAGGAAACGTCGTGAAAGAAAGGATTCCAGTATACAAATTTGGAGCTGAGCTTGGTGGCTGACGCAGATATCAAAACGTGCATTTTTATCAGAAATGGAGGTTGGGAGAAGAGAACCCGCCGCAGCAGCCAGCAAATGAAAGACAGACGAATTACAGAGAGCAGCTTGGGGCGAACTTCCGCCGGAAGAGATAACAAACAGCCTGCAAATATGGATTGAAGATCCTGAAGGTGGAGCGCGCCGCAAGAAACGCACCGTTTTTAGGGACAAAGCTCCAAAGACTCTCATTTCGTCGACCTGGGCTTCCTCTTCTTTTGGGCCCATTAGGGCCTATGAATTTCCAAGCGAATCAAAGCCTTATTTGGCATTTGGGCCCAGAAAGAGTTCATGAATCATGAATCCTCCGTTTCGACATGGATTCCATCAGCGGTAAACACGTGTCCTTCATGCCGGACAGTGCGTGGCACTCAACGTGGCATGGGAAAACCATGCAACCAAATTTAACTGTCCGACACTTGCCACGTGGCCCATCGGTTCGGTGAATTCCCAGGTAATGAGAGAAGATATATCTATGGTCATAAGATGCAAGCTGCTGCTAGCTAGCCTGCGAACCTGAAAATCTCAACGACGACAATGGCGAAGGCAAAGCGAGATAAACCACCTCCACAACCGCCGGCGGCTTACGCAACCGCCACGTCACCGTTATCAAGAAGCCTTTCCATTTCCACATCACATTCTCCACCACCGCCGCCGCCGTGGGAAGTTCTAGCTCTAGTCTCCCGCCACCTGGACCCCAAAACCCTAGCCATCGCCTCGTGCGTCTCGAGGACATGGCGGGCCGCCACGTCATCCGACCACCTCTGGCGGCCCATCGCAACCGCCCGCTTCCCTTCCCTCGCCGCCGCCCTCAAAACCGTCCACCCTTCCCTCCCTTACCGCCGCCTCTACGCCCTCGCCCACTCCGCCGCCACCTCCACCCGCCGCCTCAAGCCCCTCCCCAAACCTTCCATCTCCCTCGACGACCTCGTCTTCTCAATCGACCTCTCCGGCACAAGCCACCACAAGCATCAAGACAACGACGTCGTCCTGCTCAGCATGGCAGGGGTTGTGGATGAAATCGCGACGATTGACCCCGGCGGTGTATTTCGTTTCGACGTGGGAGCTGCGAGCGGAGTCGTACTCGATGCGGACGACGAGGTGAGGGTGATGTGGCACGTGGTGCTGAGGAGCGGTTGGACGGCGGCGTTCACGTTGATGGACGTGGTTGTGAAGGTGAGGCCAGAGGCGGCGGCGGGGGAAGTACGAGGTTTGTTCTCGCAGGAACTTCCCCCGCCGGGGTGCTGTCCCTTCGGCGGTGGGACTAGCGGGCTTGCCGCGGATTTGAAGATCGAGTTTGCGGATTGTTGGAGAGGAGATGATAACAGAAGGAAAGTACTGAGGGTTGAGAAACTGAGCTTCGGGCTGCTCAGCACAGTCGATTGGAGGTACGTTAGTGTCGAAGACGGGCTTAGGTACTTGCAACACTTTTTGTTGGACACTAGATTTAGTTAACTAATTATGGAATTAATCAAAGCTCATAGGGGTAATATCCGTCTTTGGCGGGTGATTACATGATAATCGTTGTACTAGAAATGTGTTTTGAGACCACATTTCCCATTGTAATTATTCACTTAATTAATTACTTTCCTTAATCCCAAATTAGTGGAATTGCATAGGGTAAACGGGACTTTTATCCGGGTAAAACATCCCCCAATTATTCTCAATACCAGCCGGCTGCTTCTGATTCTCGTTGAACATGGCAAATATGTACGCCTCCATCTCCTCGCCGGGCCTTTTCGGCGTCCCTCTTCCTTTCACAATATGCTTCACCAAATTATTATTGTACAGCCTCGCATTCTCCACCGTCGTGACTTCCGCCCCTCCTCCGGCCGTCGGCCACCCGGTCTCGGAAACCACCACCTTCACGGAACCGGCGTCGTATTTCTCCAAAGCCGAATAAACCGCGTCCACGCTGGCATCCAAAAGGTTGCTATACGCCCGCCCCTGGTCCACCACCACATTCCCACTCGCCAAAAACAGCGCGTAGTCACGCCCCACTTTCTGTGGGTCCCCCTGGTAAGCGAAGAACGGGTAGACGTTGACCAGTAACGGCGCGCCGTTACTCTCCAGGAACTCCAGCAGCGGACGCAAAACGCCGTCGTATTGCTGATCGAACGAACCGGCTGACGGCGGGAATGACTCGCTGAGGATGTAACTGACGGAGGTGGTGACTTTGGTTCTGCTGAGGCCGCCGCCGGCGGCCGAAATTGCCGAGTGGATGTTCTGGATAGCCGGGACGATGTACTGGAACGAAGGGTCGGTGGGTTTGACCTCGTTCCCGACGGCGATGTAACGGAACTTGACGGTGCCAGCGTGGGGTGCCACGTGGGTCCGGACCCATGACGTGGCGGCTTCCCGGCTCGAGCCGAGGGCTTGGAGGCTCTCGTTGGGGACGTCGAGGAGGAGCTGGATGTTGGTGTCACGTAGCGCTTGGAGGGTGGCCGGGTTCGGGTCGTAGATCCGCATCCGGGTGATGTTGTTCCGGTTGAAGAGTGAGATTACCTCCGCCGCCGGCGGGATGTTGTCGCCGAGGGTGCCGTAGCAGACGCCGATTTCGGCGGATGCTGGTCGGAAGGTGGCGAGCAGGTGGAGGACGGACATGATTAGGAGTAATGGAGCCATGTCTACGATTAAGAGTGTGATTGGAGTATAGGATTTGTGTATAGGGGAGCTATTATATATAGGTGTATTTGTGATGTCTAGAGAAGCGACATTCCATATGCATAGTTTGAAAACACTTATATTAGGAGACATTCAACGTGCGATTTGGCCATATTGCTAATCGCGGTGCTGCAAATCGCGATTGCTTGTAGCTTGGTATTGTTTTATATATGTGTGTATGTGAGAGCGCATGTCACATGATTTCTCTGCAAAAGGAAAAAGAAAATATGAGTGTCCTTTATAATCCAAACTCGTGTTGGTCTGTCGCCAATTCTATGTAATTCTCAAGCGGAAATGACAAAAAAATATCCACGCACATGTGACTTGTCTTTAAATCTGACCTAATTAAGGATAAATTTTGAGCCTAAAGACTTCCAATTGGTATGGGAAAATTGGAGCTCGTATATGGTGCTGGGTAATGGATTTGTATAGTTTCTTATTATTCATCGAGACCAACCTGATTATATATACGCATGTATATTTGTATGGTTTTTTTTTTTCCAGCATATGTATATTCCAGGTTTATAGTTTTATCTAGATGAGTAACTAATTTTTCAAGTTTGTACTCCGTTTTAGGACCCCCAAAAGTGATTTGCTATTGTACTTTTTTACTTGTGTAATTTCAATATATGTTTAATTATTAACACTGTGAAATTGGATGAAAATATTAAATTGAAATAAAGTATTTATGGATATCCATATAAAATCAAAAATCGGTCAAGTATAAATATAATTTTGATTTGTTATGCAATTTTTATGTGAATATTGATACTAATAAAATTTGAACTCTTATGGTTGATGAGTAGGATAATGGATATTTAATATATCTTAATGAAATTTTTAATCACAAAAAATATTTTTAAATAAATAATTTTTTTTTTGTACAGAGTAAATAAATGAAATAAAAGTCATAATCCTATTTTCACCCAAAAAAAAAGTCATAATCCTATCTTTAAAATAAGTCTTGGGCCGTAAGAAACTTCCTTCAGACTTAAAAAATCGAGCCCACGGTGATGAAAGGGCCATGAGACCCAGAGCCCAGAACTTCAGGAGGCCTAATAGGACAGTTGGTGCCGACGTAGCTCTAATATTTTCCCCAAAGGACTGGGTTGTCAAATTTCAATAGTATAGGGGCTAACGTGTTATTCGATTTAACCAAAGGATCTGGTTGTGGTCGCAGTCGGCAGCAAAGAGACTGCGACGACGAGCTTCGAGGCTCTGTTCTCTCATTCTTATAAATTAAAGCTTTACAGAAGAATCGGGGAAAAAAACCACTTCCCGCCGGCGATCTCTCCGTGCTCCGTTCTCCCATTCTTCTCCCCTCCTCCGGTCAACCAGAAGCCCAACCATCCTATTAGAAGAGTTCATAATGTGGTGTTGTTCTTGTTGTTTAATAACGTGTAATTTGTGGGTTTCCGGTGATTCGGCCGCCGGCCGGCTGTTTTGATGGGAGTGGAAGCCGGGACTTGTTTATTTCCATACCATTTTCCAGGGTCGAGCTTAATATGATTTGATATTCGTCGAAAAACCAACGCAAATAGAATAAAATTCCCCTTTTTTTAGTTTTCTAATAGTTAAATGTCGACGCCAAGATGTAATTTTGTCAGAATACTTGAGGCGAACACAAAACCAAGGCGAAGGATAGAAGATCTCCTTCTCCTTCTACCATTGAACTCGTCAAACAAAGATCACATATATTTGCAAAAACAAAGAAACAGATAATATAAGGGGGAAGAAGAAAAAAACTTTCATTATTATTTTTAAGATTTGTTCTTGTTGCTCTCTATTGAAGTATTTTCCTTGCTCTTCTTTCCTCGCATTGGTTTAACTTGATTGAGAGAACAACATTGTCCGATCAACCCCATAACTCTGAATGATTCCTGCATTTCCAAAGCAAAGCAATGTCAATAAAATTAATTAATGATCAAAGAGGTTACCAAGCAAAGTGAACTTCACCATGCTATTTTCATACTATGCAAAAGTGCATTAAAAATGGCAACTTCGTACTTAGCTCCATTTTGAGAAGTTGTTGTGCAATGCTATAATGAGTAGTCGTGTGTACACACAAACCTGAAATAAAATACGAAGAATATATGTGTAAATTGAAAGAACACATACCTAAAATAAAATGCGAAAAATATATGTGTAAATTGAACGGAATGTGTATATGTGTGGCAAAAAATTATTGTGACGAAGTTCCTGTTGTGTTGTGAATTCGAGTATGAAAATCGTTGCACATTATTACCACACAACATTTTTTTGGGGTAAACTATGCATCTTAACCGTAGAAATTTAAAAAAAAAGATCATAGAGGAAATATGAAACTTTTGAATTGGAGTTTGAGAAATTGCTACTGAAATAAATTCACGCGCGTGGGACGAGGAAATGCAAGAGAAAAGAAGAGGAGAGGGTAGAGTAGTATGGAAGAAGGGAGAGGGGAGCTCCCTTCACCCCAAGCCGAAAGGATGGAAGTGAAACAACATCTCCTGGCGCATGCAAACCCTCAGTCTTTGCGCTGCTATTATCCATGCGACGAGCAGGCATATAATAGGTCGAAACGCGCGCAATGCCATGGGTATTCATGAACCAGCAGGTGTGGCCACTCCTCGACATCCCGTTCAGAGATGGGGGAGGAGAACTCCCCTCCTCACCGGTTCGAAAACCAGAGAGAGAGAGAGACTAGAAATGTGAAGAGAAAACCAAGATGGAGCAACTCAAGCTCATTGGTAGATGATTATACAAGAAGAAGAAGTTGTGAGAGAGAGAGAGTTGTAGTGTTGCATACCATGTGGTGGAGAAGAAGAGGGTGGGGATTATATAGGACTCTCTTCAAGATCTATTGGGCGATCGATCGCGAGTGAGAATGCAAGCTGGGGGATATTGTGCAAAATATTTGAATTAGTTTTTTATTTTATGAGATGATGTATTTCCCTCGTTCATCTCTCTGCCTTTTTTTTTTTAATTCTTTGTTTATAGGGTTGTTCTTGGTTCGGAGGCTATGATTCTGGACTCGGCAGTGGTTGCCTGTTCCTTTCACCGCCCGTCTCCTTTTTTTCCCCTTCCTTCCTTCCTTTTCCCTCCCTCCCTCGTTTCTTCCATCATTGTGCTCTGTTTCTTGTCTTCTTGTGTTGTAGTTTTTGCCCCTGCTCTCCTGGTTGGTGCAGCTCTTTTTTCTCTTCTTTATTCGTGATATTCACCTTTTTCTACAGTGGGTTTTGGTATTGTTAATGGGACTTCGACAGAGGCTGCAAAAAATACCTCTAATGGCCAGCTAGTGCTCCGAAACAGAGGCCTCTCCTTCTCGCCCCCCTTCTTATTCCCAACCTCAAGTCCGTCTCTTTTCGATCTCATCGTCTTCCCCACAATCAGAAATCCAAAACCCACATCTCAGTTCTTCGATTTCCGAACTGAATTCATCCATAGAGTGGCTGTAATTGATGTCGGAGAGGGGGTGCTCTGTTTTAGCTTCGCCGGCGAACATGGTATTTGAATATCGCTTTTTATCATTCTTATTTTTTTTCTATATATATCTCTCAATTAATGATCCACAACGTGAAGGATGATATGAAAGGAATGATCTACCGCTTTTCTTTCCGTCTTTCCCTACTTCCTCATTGACGGAATAAGTGAGCTGCTCTGCCTCTCCGGCGAGTCCTGTTAGTTCACCACCACAGGTATGACAAAGTCGAATTACATAAGTTATGTGAGGAAAAATTTCTCCTCCTTGGTTGGAATCCAATTGGTTTGATCCAAAAACTTCCCCTGAATCTCTAGCGGGAAGTCATTATCCACTTCAAAAATGTCAATTTTTGGTGCTTTAATCGACTAACCTGCATAAACCGGTTGTACCATCGATCGGAGCATATCACTTGGTCGTGGAGGGATTTATGGTCGGCGGTGATTCCGGAAAGATGGAAGGAAGCTATCGTAGGTGAGGTTTTGGTCGTGGAGGAGGTCGATCGGCCGGCGGAGATTTATGGCGGCTGGATTTACAGTCAGCGGAAATTGTTGCTGGCGAATGACAATTGTGGTTCGAGGACAAAAAAGTCATTTGCTTCAAAATTGTGGGCGGCAAATAGTAATCTATCGGGCGGCAAATAACAACCCTCTTGAAAAATTGGCATACTAGCATAAATGAGTTTGACAACTTTTGATTGTTTCAATGTAATTTACTTACATTTCTTTTGATTAAAATTAATAGTTAATTAATGATGTAAATGTAGGGCTTATAACACATGCCAGGTGCATATCATACAGTAATGGAGATTCTATTATGAACCATATATATATATAGATGTATATTAATTTGGTATGCAATTTTTTAATTAGAAAATCTGTTTTATGGAGTTTATATCGATCTTCCTTTTTTTTATTGTGTACATATATTAAAATAAGGACTTCAATGAGCAAAGGTAACTTCAATTTTTAAAGTGAAGAATAATATAATCTTAATGGAATATTCCCATTAATTTAATATGGTAGATGACTTCTTTCCACAATTTTAAATTTGCCCATTAATCGACCAGGGTAGGTATATGCAATTCTAATATCTTCACCGGAGAACAAAATATAGCCGTATCATCATGGACCCTACTTAACGAATTAATTTTTTTTAATTAGATAATTACAGAATAACAATTTAATTGATCTCTATTCTAGAAATGCTTCTTCGTGATGTCCGCAGTCAAACCCAGTTCCCCACTTTTCTTTTGTTGCATCCGGTTTCTGTCTGTTGCTTTGCTTTATTTCTCCAAAGGTAACACAGCCGAGTTGGTCGGGAGTGTGATCTTTCGGGTTTGAGATGTGTGAGGTCTTAAGTTCGAACCCTGCTACACCACTTGGTGTTCCCGGAGGCACCGCAAGTGCTGGAGACGAAGTCTCCCTCCAGTATCAGGTGCTAGGCCTTGAAAATGTTGCTCATGTAGGTACTCCCCACCACGTGGAGTTGTGTCCAGAAGTCCAAGAAGCCGGATAGCTCACTTGGTAGCACCCATTCAATTATGATAACAATCTCACAAAACTTGGTAGCACCAATTCAATTATGATAACAATCTCACAAAAATGATCGGGATAAACCAAGTCACCTATTAATTCCATAAAATATGGCAAAGGGAACAAATGAAAGAACAAGTTTGTGTTTCTATCTGCGTGAGTAAATGATCGTAACTGAACGTGAATAAGCATTGAATTACGTGAATAATCACCAAATGACACGATTGAATGCAAATATATATGAGTGTCGTGACTCTTTAGATGCAACCAAACATTTTTCTTCGTGAAGAGGGGAAGAACAGAGACACAACGAAAAGGGAATCATTAAATTATATACACTAAAACTAGCTTGAAAAATAAAGATCTCGTGCCTATGTTTGGTGGCACGGCACCTAAAGATTCACCAGATATAATTTACATAATTTAGTTTTTTTACATCATTTGATGATTATTCACTGTAAAAGGTTATGATCATTCACGCAAAGAAAACTTAATAGTTTTTGTTTTGTTCCCCAAATATATTTTATTAACCATATTTTATGGAATTAATTTTGAATGTACAATTTTTATGTAAAAATCAGTTAAATGTACAATTTTGTTTCTAATAGCTGGTCCCAAAGTCTTTGTTCTTAGTAGTTTCTTTTGGGGGCCCAAATAGCTCATTTAACATCATCAGGCTTTTATTTTGCCTTTCGCGGCCCATGCGGCTCATCTAACATTGGGCCGTTTCCCAGTCAATAAATACAATACCCTCAGGCTATGAGTCGAACGCTCGAAGCGAAAGGAGAAGGGCGAGGAGCAGAGCGGCGGCGTTGCCAAGGAGGGATCCGGCGGCGAAGATCAGAGAGAAAAATCGAGAGATGGAGCGTGAAGGAATACGGTTTGGCGGCGGTTTGAAGCAGCGGTAAAAAAAAAAAAAAGAACGATTTCTAATCATGTGGAGAAAGCAAAGATATCTGAGGGGAGCGTGATATCCCCATTTTCTACGCAATAGTTTTCAATCTGAATCCAGAAATCGTTTCTTTGTAGCTCTGTTGCTCGCCCTGTCTGCCGTACTCTTTGCACCATCTTGGGACCTCTCTCCCTCTCTGTATCTCCTCTGTTACCTCTCTCCACCGGTCAGTCCGCCGCCTGCAAATCTCGCCTCCCTTCGCAGCCTTGTGATGACGGAGCTTCTGCTAAGAGTCAGTTGTTGCTTCTCTGAAGGCTTGAGATCATAAAAGATTCTGCTTCTCTTGTTGGGTTTCTTTTATTGGTTTTGAATTTGTCTCGATTGATGGTGGAAGTGTCAGTTTTCTAACATCCTTTCGTCAATTGGTGAATTGGGTTCTTCTTCGATTGGAGTTTTCTTTGTGTGCAGGAGTGTAAATCCATGGCATTAATCGACTTAGCAGCCATTCTCTTGGAGAAGTATTGTTGGCGGCGAGTTCTTTCTATGAAAGAAGATGATGGTTGACTGGTTCTGCTCTACTGATTGCATCTCTTCCCTGCCATCCAATGGTGGCCTGAAGGGCAGATCCGAAGGCTGAGAGGGCTGAATCAGAGCAAGGTTGAAGGCACATTTCAAGCGAATTCGAAACGAAAATGTTGTAGAGCAAGCACATTTAGTTCATTAAACCTGTATAGATAGGCTTCAGCTAGTTGAGTTGTGTCGTATCTCAACAAGCTTGTAATCTGATAAGCTGCTTCAGTTTCTTCAAACAAGCACTGGTAATACAAAGTGGGATTTAACAATTGTACAGCAATCCCCTAATAGCATCAAACAGAACAAGTTCATTAAACCAACTGAGCAAACTAACATCAGGTTAGAAAGAAAGCAGAGACGGTACATATCAAAAGTAGGCAAACAACAAAGCACGCAGTTAGATTAGCTACTTCAGTTTCTTCAAACCAATCCAGCATTGGTTCAGATTCCCCTAGCAGTCTCAAAACAACTAAGCAAATGTGACATTTAGAAAGAAAGAAAGACAGCAGAAAGAAGCTGTTACTTCAAAGGATACCCACATTACAGCATATCAAAAGGTTATAAACAACAAACACTGAAAATCTTCATCCCAGCTCAATCTTCTTCTGCTGCTACCCGCGAGTTAAGTTTCCATCTGGACAAACGAAAGTACCGAAGCAAGCAATGGCGTCGAAGACCTCCCTTCTTTCATCGACCGATGGAGGAATATGTTCTTCGTCCAATTCCACGTCATCACCATCCACCACCACCAAATGCATTTCCTGACTAGGCCTTTCCTTCTTGATATCATACCAAACAAACCTGTCACCAGCCACATGATATAGGTTATTTTTTGTAATTAAGTACTATTGAAGGGATTCGAACCTGGGACCTCTAGGTTCAAGGCTAGTGGTATTACAACTAGACCAATCCCTTGTTCGTTACCATTAATGATTCTTTTTTTTTTTTGCTAAGAGATCGCTCGTATTACCGAGAAAACAACCAGATACAAAATAGTCACATAGCTGAAACAACCAAGAAACAAAATTGAACCCCACCAAAGAACGGGACAACGAAAGGGCTTTTCTTGCCACCAAATGGACAACCCTATTAGACTCCCGACCCACAAAAATAACCCGAAACTCCTGGAACAAGTCACGCATACTTCGAATCTCCTCCAACAACATCCCTCCATGGACATCATCTACCTCACCATCCCGGATCTTCCCCACGATCACTTGGGCGTCACCTGCAAAAATCATCGACGAGAATCCAAACGCCAAGCACCATCGAAGCGCATCCCGGAAGGCCAGTAGTTCGACAAGAGCCGGCTCCCAAATCCCCACATACAGAGTTGCCGATGTTGCCACCACCATGCCCGTGGGATCTTGAAGAGCCCAACCTCCCGCTCCATGTGAGCCAGGAGTCGTAGTTCCATCCACGAACACCACAAACTTTCCCAACGGAACATCCTCACGACCTCTGACACCTGAGCCCCCTGAGTAACGACAAACACCTCAGCCGGTAAGTATGCCCTCCCACTCCGCAACCTGCAAACAAAATTGAGATAACAACACCAGAACAATGTACTGAGTCAACTCAAAGACCACCCAATTACGGGCCTTCCAAATGCGCCAGAAAAGGGCTACAATATGCATCATGGCCCCCTGATCAAGCTCCCGCCACTCGAGTAACCTGCGCCAAAAGTTCCCAACAATGCAATGGGGGAAGCAATCGCGAATGGCCGGTAGCTCCGCCCCTTCCCACAACTCCACCGGTACTCGGCGGCGGAAGAAGAGATGTTCAAGAGATTCCCCCTCCTCCCCGCATACTGGACATGGCTCCAGCCCCCCTACCCCCCGAGTACTCAGTGCCTCACCAGTTGGCAAGACACCGCGAACCATCTGCCATATGAAATATCGCAACTTGGGAGGTATGGGAGCCCCCCAAACCCTTTTCCATAGACTACGATCCCACGCCTGCACTTTCGCCTTCACCCTTAACTCCTTATACCTTCTTAGCTCCACTGCTAGGTGATAGCCAAACTTGACCTTATAGCGACCTGATTGCTCTCCATTCCATCCCATTAATGATTTGTTTGAGTCTTTCATTATGAAATGCATATTTTAACCCAATTATCTGGATGAAAATTATATTTGCTGACCCAATTGGAGTGGGACGGGAATGAGATTAGTCAAGTTCATTTATTATAACTACTACTATGATTGCATCAGAATCATAATCCTCCAATTGTAAAAAAATTACTACGGTGATGTTTTGAATACTAGTCTGTGCTATCTAGATACTCAGCAGACTTGGATATTAATTCATACATTTTGGATATTAGTTAGTATATACTAACGAATCTTCTAGTTAGCCGAATAACTAGGCTACTAAAAAGTAACCTCCTTAGTTACCCATTATAAGAGATCTTGATTTGTGCGTGCAATTAACCCACGAAAACCCTAATCTCGTGTCATTGAGCAGTCAAAAGAAAAGGGGTAAAAAAGGATAAGAAAATCAAACTCAAATTAACCGAACATATTACGTTAAACCGAGCCGTTGGATCTCCTACGATCCAAGGGTGGGGATTCACCTATATCCTAACCCTCAATCGTCTTCCACATCAGACGGCAGATCCTTTATGCCGCCGATCTCCGTCGTAATTCTAAAATTAGCAGTTCCCTTCCCCTTTTTTCAAGCCGATTCTCTCAGCAAGTAAACGACCATGTCCGATCACCTTCCCGCCGATGTTGTCACCAGAATTCTCGTCCGTCTGCCTGTTGCCGCACTTCTTCGCTGCCGCTCCGTCTCCAGGGCTTGGCGGTCCCTGATCGACAGCCCGATGTTCACAAATCTCCAAATCGAACACTCCGCCGCCACCGGCGAAAACGCCATCCTCTACATCAGCGAATCCCACGGCGACTACGTCGCCGCCGAATACGTGAACGGCCTCCGCCGCGGAATCGCTCGCACCCCTCCTGCGCAAACTGGCGGCGGCACCGATCCGCGCCAGGTCGTTGCCCTCTTGGGCTCCTGCAACGGGCTGCTCTGCTTCGCCTGCGACTGGGAAAAGGTAATCGTATCGAATCCCGCCACCAGAACCGATTGCTTGTTGCCGTTTACACTCCTCTTCAAATCACACACAGTGGGAACTTACCGCTACTACGACGGCAGCCGTAACGTAATTTACAACCACGGGTACGGATTCGGGCACGATCCCATCTCCGACGACTATAAGGTGGTCCAGATTGTCCAGCTGTTCAAGCCCGAAGTGCATTCTTTGAATTCTCACTTGGTTAGCTACGGGGTTAGGTCGAATTCTCAGGTAGACGTGGAATTCCCCTATGTGCTATTTGATTCCCGGGATATAGGTGTGTTTGTGGGTGGGGCTATGCATTGGATAGTTGGTAAACTAGAGGATCCGAACAGTGACGATTTCGATCCGGATCCGGATATTGTGCTGGTTGGCTTCGATTTAGGGCGCAATGAGTCCAGGGAGTTGCCTCAGCCAAAGTACACTAATGGTGGGGAATCTTTCACCTTCAAACTTGGTGAGCTGGGTAAGTGTTTGTGTATCTTTGCTGATTACAAGGATCGGTATGTGGAGGCTTGGATGATGAAAGAGTATGGTGTTAAGGAATCATGGAGCATACTGTTCTCGGTTCCATATCCCGGATTATGTTTCAGTGATACGATCAATCCTCTGGGATTCTCGGTGACCGGTCAGGAGGTTCTTCTGCAACTGGATGGCAAGAGGCTTGTTTGGTATGACATGAAGGATCCTATGAAGGTTGTTGCTGCAGAGGAGATCACCGTCAATGGGTTGAAGGGGGAGTCCTTGGATGCAGTTTTATGCTATGGAAGCCTGGTTTCGCCCGGTGCCAAGATTCCACGGCCCAAAGAGGAAGTGAAAGTTGACAAGCGACAAGAGAAACCAGGACCCCGAAGGAAGAAGAAGACCCAAAGGAACAAGAGGTTTGTTCTTTCTCCTGGAACTTGTGTGTGTTCAAGTACACTAGCTACTGTGTTTGTTTGTTGGATTGATTGTGTGGTCATATGGTGATCCGTACTTAGAACTCCATTGTGTTTTTGTTGGCAGGGATGAATTCTTGGCTAGTGGGTTCAAGCTGAAGCTGTAGTCAGTTAAACAAGGTTCATTTCTGAGTTACTTGGATACTATGATATAATGCAATAGGGTAGAAGAAGAAGTTAGTTGATAGGGTAATGCAGTGGAGTAGTGTGAAGGCCGGTGGAGATGGGGAGTTTTCAGTATGTCTCCCACTCTACATTTTGAGGCATTTTGGGCCATTTTTAGCTGTGTAGGAGGTTGGCATTGGTGTAAGCTCCAAATAGCATCAGACAAATTGCAGTTGCTGCAAGGAGTTATTACTTGGAACGAGTATGGTATATGTTTAAACCCTAATTGTGATGATATGTTCCAGTCTTTTCAGACATTATTTGGATGAAATGGTTTGTTTTTGGAATCGGTTGTAGCTGAATGATTAATATTTATACTCATGAGGTCATGCCATGGCGATTTGTAGTTAGTCATTTACTGTTTTATATCGTTGCGCCACTAACATTAGTGATGGTAGGGATGGCGATGATACCTCAATATCTTAATATTCATGGTATCCCATCGGATCCAACCCGGTCCAAAATTGGAAAACTCTTTTAGTAATTTTTTTTTTGTCATAGTAATTCTTGCGGATTAGCCAGTTAAGCTTAAGGGTAACCACAAACATTACAGTCAGTTCACAAACTCAATTACAAACTAGGTAAGAGAAATCGTACAATGCAGAAGTGAGACTGTGATAGCGTAAGGTCATGTGCGCTACATAACGGGCAGCTTGATTCGCTTCTCGTGGAGTGAAAACAAAATTAACGAAAGGTAAATGTGATCGGAGCCCTCTTGATTAAGATAAAATCCAAATTTGTCATTTGCGAGCTCGTTATGTTGCGAGGTTGGGACTTGGGACTGATTTTATCATGCATCCGATCCGTACATGAAATGATTTATTATAATTGAGTGTATAATCAAAGATCATTTATCGGTCCCGATGCGATTCATTTCAAATGTTAAAAGGTTCATTTGGTCTATCGAATTTAATTTCCCTCGATATGCATCTATTGAAATTACATGAATGCAGTTAATCCGAGCCGTCGCATATTCGCTAGTTCTCCGACAATCCAACGGTGGTGATTACTTAGGAGTGATTACTTATATCCTAAACCCTCGCCTTCCGAATCAGACGCAGACCTTTTCGCCGTTGGTCGACACTCCAAAACCTTCGCATTTCCCTTTCTCGAAGCCGCGACTCTCTCCGCTGCTAGTAAACGACAATGTCCGACCACCTTCCCGCCGATCTCATCACCAGGATTCTCCTCCGGCTCCCGGTGCCCGCACTTCTCCGCTGCCGCTCCGTCTCCAAACCGTGGCAGGCACTGATCGACAGCCCAAGGTTCGTCAAGCTCCAAATCGCACACTTCGCCGCCACCGGCAAAAACGCCATCCTCTTCATCACCGAAGTCGACGGCGCCCACGCCGTCTTGGAATACGACGACGGCCTCCGACGCCGAATCGCTATCACCCCTCGTAGCGGCAGAGATCCAGTCTCGGGACTCGCCGTTTTGGGCTTCTGCAACGGGTTGGTTTGTCTCGCCCAGGACTGGGAAACGGTGCTCATATGGAATCCGGCCACTAGCAACGTTTACCTGATGCCGTACGCGCTCCTCCTGAAATCGATGAATACCAAAGTGGGAGTTTACAGCTCCCGCGACGGCAGGCCTGAGGTAATTTTCAGCCACGGGCATGGATTCGGGTACGATTCCGTCTCCGACGACTACAAGGTGGTCCAGATCATCCAAACGTTCAAACCCAGAGAGAGCTCTCTCCAATCTCTTTTGGTTGGTTACGGGGTTGGGTCGAAGTCTTGTTTTGACAAGGAATTCCCTTACATCCTGTTTGGTTCACTGCAGAGAGGTGTGTTTGTGGGTGGGGCGATTCATTGGACAGTTGGTAGGAACGGGAAGGTCAGGCTCAGTGGTGACAATCATCTGACCAGTGATATCATGATTGTGGGCTTCGATTTAGCGAGCCATGATTTCAGGGAGGTGCCACTGCCATGGACAGGCCGCAGAGTTGGGGAATCTTTCAGGGATGGTGCTTGGCGAGCTGGGGAGGTGTCTGTGCATCTTTGCCAGTTACGACGGCAAGTGTGTTGATGTTTGGACGATGGGAGACTATGGTGTGGAGGAGTAATGGAGCTTATTGTTCTCGGTTCCACATCCCGGGCTGCGCTTCAGTGACAAGATCAATCCTCTGGGATTCTCTGTGACTGGTCAGGAGGTTCTTCTGCAGGTGGATGGCAAGAGGCTTGCTTTGTTTAATATCTAGTCTAACCCATATTAATTGGCTTGGATTGGACAAGTACAACCCACATTTTATATCTTTTCTTCCCTCACATTCTCTCTCAATTGTCCTTAAATGTCTTGTTTTCTTGCCCTAATAATCTTATTACCTGTATTCTTGCCCTAATACATAAATCCACCCAATTTGTGAGTAGGCATAAATAGTTGTTTCTTATTGTTTGATGACAAACCATAAACAATTACATACCCAATTAGAATAGGTTAATACCAAATCAACCCAATTGGAATGCTGTCGGCCACGAGGTCGACAGTCACATTTGTTTATTCCTCTTTGGAAATCTCATGCCTAAACCATTTGGCCATACTTTCAACTCTCATGCATGCATTTGCATGCAATTTGGCACGACAAGCAAATCATGAGGGCAAATAACAAATCAATTTACATCCATAATACTAATAGCATCCTCACTAGTTCACAATTTGGGGTAGTGAACACAATTAAGCAAAGGCACACATCTACCTAAACAAACACCATTTACAAGCAGTCTCAAGGCTAATTGTAATAGTAGGTCATGGAGCAACAAAAAGGTCCTAAACAACAAACACCATTTCCAACCAAAAGGTCCCTCAAGGACAAAACAAAAGTAGAAACTGATAACCTGCAGATTTGATTATGCATGAAGCAAACATATTCTGCATCACCCTCCATCGATCCATGGCTGCTCCCACCTTACATAAAGAATCAGCAGCAATGTCAGTAATTGTAATCCTAACGGGTAGAGGAAACATTCCATGGCTGCTCCCACCTTACATAAAGAATCAGCAGCAATGTCAGTAATTGTAATCCTAACGGGTAGAGGAGACATAGAATGGATAAGGGAAATGATCCATGGATTAGTTCAGTTCACCTTGGCTGCTGCATCCGTACCAGTACTTCAGCTTCATCGTCATCTTACAGAGAATAGTAATCGATCTGCAGCCATGGAAACCGGGGAATCAAAGGATGGTGATCTCTTGAGCACCCTTTCCCTTCTCCATGTCAAGCCAAACAAGCCTTTCCCCATCCAAATGCAGCAGAACTTCATCACCATTCATGGACAGCCCTAGAGGCACCAGCGAGAAATGATACGACAAGCCCGAATTCGGAACAGAGAACAGCTTGGTCCAAGAACTCTCCACGCCGTACTCCTTCATCATCCACACATGAACACTACTCTCCCCCAAGTAGTTAGCCAAAAATGCACAAGCAGTTCCTCAATTCCCCAAGGCTCAAGAAGTAGCCGCCACCATTCCCATCCCCCATACTCCGCCGGCTGTGGAACTTCCCGGCATTGATTCAGCCCCACATCATACGCAACAACAACAAACTTAGAGCGCGAGGAATCCATTACCGTCCAATGCAATGCCCCACCGACGAAAACCCCCCAATTTCTGATTAGTGGAAGCAAGCACGTAAGGGATTTTAAGTACCTGGCGAGGAATCCATTACCTCCATTAATTCTTCATCCATTCCGACAAAGAAATTGTGTCAATGTTCTTCCTTCGGCCTTGGCAATCACTGAAGGCGTTTTCCTTTCCAAGCCTTTGATGTTTTCCTTGTTTAAGTAGGATTTGGGTAGATGTTTAGCTGTTCTTGTTCAAGTAGGATTGCGGGAGGCTTGTCTGGTATGACCCGAGAAATCAGAATGGTGCTGCTAAGGAGATTACCCCCCCCCCCCATGGATTGAAGCAGGGGATTACAAGTGCCTTTGTTTGCTGTGGCAGCCTGGTTTCACCCGATTGCAAATTTCTGCCCGACCAAGTGGAATTCGACAAGAAACAGCAGAAACCAAGTCTCGAAAGAGAAGAAGAGGTAGGTTAGGTTGCTGGTCTTTTCTCCTCCTGCAATATGTTTGTTTGTGTTGTTCAATACACATTTACCCTGTCGATACAGTCATTCACTAGCTGCTGTGTTATTTTGGTCTGCAGGGATGATGTCTCGCCGACTGAGTTTTAGCTGGTAGAAGGATGCAACAGAGTGCGGATGATGGAGGAGAGTGGTTGTGCTTTAGCTAGTTTGCTTCCTAGTCTCCATTTGGAAGCTCTTTTGGCCATTTTAGACTTTTAGTTGTGCGTTCTGTCTATTTTTGGCACTTTTGGAAGCTCCAAATAACATCAGAGGGATTTGCACTAACTACTGTTGCAAGTTATGTAATGAATGTTGTTTCTGTTATCTCTACTTCGTTGTTGATTGTGAATGGAAGGCAGTAAGTGAGTGGCTGTTTTTAGCTAGTCAGCTTCGATTCGATCGCAAACTTCGACCATAGACGTTGAATTCTATGGTCGAATCGAAGTTGCAGACGAACAGAGACATCAACGGGAACCAACGGCAGATGGCTTCACGGCGGCGGTGAACTTGGCGCCTGGCGGGAGTCGACTATCACTACGTTTCTATAATTGATTAATTAATAAAAAGAACGTGAATAACGCAATCTCTCTCATTATTTTAAATTAACACGTGGCGAGATTTGATTTGTTTGGAGAACCATATGAAAGCAGTCCTAGCTGGTCAGCTGGTCAGCGCCCATCCATTCCAGAGTTTTTCTTCACGTCTCGTCTCCGTCAAGAAACTCTAAATTTTCACATTTTCCTCCTTTTTCCCGGCAGATTGTCAGCAACCAAAAGGAAAAATGTCAGACTACCTCCCCTTCGATCTCATAACCAACATTCTCCTCCGGCTGCCGGTGGCCGCGATTCTGCGTTGCCGCGGCGTCTGCAAACCCTGGCTGTCTCTGATCGACAGCCCAAGGTTCGCGAAGCTTCAAATGGACTACTCCGCCGCCACCACCAAAAACGCCGCCCTCTTCGTCCTCGAAGACGACGGGTGCGAGAACGGCGACCTACACTTCGCGCCTTACATCGACGGCATCCGCCGCGAAACCTGTCTCGACTTCCGTAGCAACCCGTCTTCTTCGGCCCAAGTTAGCGTCAAAATTCCACGGGAGTGCGTAACCCTATTCGGCTGCTGCAACGGGCTTCTCTGCTTCGGCCTCGACTTCGAGAACGCCATCATTACGAATCCGGCGACGCGGAGGTCTCATGTCACGCCTCCCTTGACGAATCTGCTGAGTTTCGGAAGCAAAGGGGACTGCATTTATCGCTACGGCTGCGGATTCGGGTACGATTCCGTGTCTGGGGACTACAAGGTCGTCAAGGTAAACCAAGTGCTCGAATCTGCAGAAATTGAATTTAGTTTCCATTCAGAACTGGTTAGTTATGGGGTTAGGTCCAATTCCAGTGCGTCAATGACATTCCCTTATTACCTAGCTTCTGCTGAGAAACTGGGCGTGTTCGTGGGTGGGGCGATTCATTGGCTAGTTCACAAGGAACCCTATGTACGCAACGTGATTGTTGGTTTCGATTTAGGGCGTAGCGAATGCAGGGAAGTCCCACAGCCAGAGTATAGACATGGGGAATCCTTGAGCGTGAGAATTGGCGAGCTGGGGAAGTGTCTGTGCATCTTTGCGAACTATGGGGACAATGGGGTCGATGTCTGGATGATGAAAGAGTATGGTGTCAGGGAGTCGTGGAGTGTGATGCTATCTGTTCCACATCCCGGGTTGTGCTACGATGATGGGATTCGATCACTCGGATTCTCCACGACCGGGCAGGAGATTCTTCTCCAGTTGGATTGCAAGAGGCTTGTGTGGTATGACCTGAAGAAGAACCCTGGGAAGGATGCTGCTGAGGAGATCACCATCCATGGGTTGGAGAAGAAGTTCATGGAAGCCATTGTTTGCTTTGGAAGCCTGGTCTCGCCCGATGGCAAGTTCCCATCCGATGAACTGGAAGTGGACAAGCAGCAACAGAAACCAAGGCTGCTGCAGAAGAAGAAGAAGAAGAAGAAGAAGAGGTATGGTATTTTCTCTATTGGAATGTGTTTGTTGTTGTTCATAAGAGAATGCTCAATTAGAGTTTACTGTGCTTGTTTTGGCTGGCAGGGATGATTTCTTGTCTACTGGGTTTAAGCTGAAGCTGTAGTCCTCTAACAGACATGGTAGGCTATGAATTTTGACAGGTGCATAGTAGATGATAGATAGAGTTAGTGTAGAAGAAGAAGAAAATGAAGTTGCAGAGTAATGGAGCAGTGATGGTGGGTAGTAGCAAGTGGCTGGCCGTTTTCAGTTTGTTTCCCAGATTGCACTAAGTAGGGCAAGTAGTTATTACTATACGAATGTAACTGAGTGATTAACGTTTCTCTTCATTCGTAGAAGCATAGTGGTCAGATTTGATGATGCCAGAACAAGTATATTACACGCAATGTTTTTCTAGTGGGAATTTTGTTCATTCATTAGAAGTTACGACTTACTTGAGACATATCATAAGCTTAGTAACGTAAAGTGTAGATTAGTCTCAACTCTCAAAGCTTGAATAATGAACTTTCATGGGCCGACCTAAATTATATACGGTGATTGTCATGCACAGGCTGGGATTAATCAACAAATACAACGTGTGTTAGTTTGTCCATGATGGGGACTCGGGAGAGAATTAGCTTCAATATTTATAGCAATTCTCTTATGACCTGACCCTAATTCAATCTGATAAATAATAAATCGACAATTGCTGTTGCTGTGCATTTTTATTCTGATTAACTAAATAAAAATTTAAAGGATAACCTCTCGCATCACTCTAAATTGTTACGTGGCGGAATATGATTTGCTGGAAGCACCACGTAAGAAATCCTAACTGGCGAACCCATCCATTCCAGAACTTTCTTATCGTCTTGTCTCCGTCATAAAACTAGATTTTTTTTTTTTTTTTTTTTTTTGCATTTTCCTCCTTCCCGGCAGATTCTCAGCAAGTCAAGCGAGCAAGGCGAATATGTCCGATCATCTCTCGCTTGACCTCGTGACCAACATTCTCCTCCGGCTGCCGGTGGCCGCAGTTCTGCGGTGCCGCGCAATCTGCAAACCCTGGCGGGCTCTGATCGACAGCCCGAGGTTCAGCAAGCTCCAAATCGACCACTCCTCCGCCACCACCGAAAACGCCGTCCTCTTCATCCTGGAAAACGATGGGCACGGCAATGGCGACCTCCACGGCTCCACATCGCCCCGTACATCGAAGGCCTCCGCCGAGAAACCTGTATGGACGTCCGAAGCAACAAATCTTCTCCAGCCCAAATCAGCGTCAAAGTTCCACGGGAGCGCGTAACCCTAATCGGCTCATGCGACGGGTTGCTCTGCTTCGACTACGACACCGACAAGGCCATCATAACGAATCCGGCCACACGGAATTCACACGTCATGTCAGCCATGCCGAAACATCTATGCGGCGACGGGGATGGCGTTTACCACTGCGGCTGCGGATTCGGGTACGATTCCGTCTCCGACGACTATAAGGTTGTCAAGCTTAACCAGATGATGTTGTTTAGTGCAAAAATTGCTGATTGTTTCCAATCTGAACTGATTAGTTATGGGGTTAGGTCCGGTTCCAGTGTAGTTGTGAAATTCCCTTATATCCTAGCTCTCACGGAGAAGGTAGGCGTGTTTGTTGGTGGAGCAATTCATTGGGTGGTTCACACCCCTGATGTTAGCAACTTGATTGTCGGTTTCGATTTAGGGCGCAATGAATGCAAGGAAATCCCTCAGCCGGAGTATCGAAACGAGAAATCGTTGCTCTTGAGAATTGGTGAGCTGGAGAAGTGTCTGTGCATCTTTGCCAATTACCGGGGCAGGGTGCTCGATGTCTGGATCATGAAAGAGTACGGTGTTGAGGAGTCATGGAGTAAAATGCTATCCGTTCCACATCCTGGATTGTGCTACGATATTAGGATTCGATCTCTCGGGTACTCCATGACCGGTCAGGAGTTGCTTCTGCTGTTGGATTCCCAAAGGCTAGTTTGGTATGACCTGAAGAAGAACCCTGAGAAGGGTGATGCTGCTAAAGAGATCACCATCAGTGGATTGAAGGCGGTGTTCGTAGATGCCATTGTTTGCTTTGGAAGCCTGGTTTCGCCCCATGGCAAGTTTCCTACCAAAGAGGAAGTGAAAGTTGACAGGCTAAGGAAGAAGAGGTTTGGTCTCTCTTTCCCTATAAGGTGTTGTGTTTTCAATACTTTGTAGTTTGTACCATCTGGTGATGCTAGATTACAGGTACTGTGTTGTTGTGGTTTGCAGGGATGGTTTCTTGTCTTCTGGGTTTAAGCTGAAGCTGTAGTAGAACTCCATTAACAAGGTAATCTGTTGATTAGTATTTACGTTATATGGATCATGTAGTACTTATTTATCATACTCTGTACTGAATCACTTGGCAATGAATTTTGGCAGATCAATATTAATGAGATACAGAACTAGAGTAGAAGATGAAGTCGGCTGGATGATGCAGTGTAGGAAGTTGGCCAGCTAGTGGAGTGGTGATGGTGAACATTTTCAGTTTTGTTTCCCACTCTCCATTTTTTGAAGCCCTGGCCCTTTTATATGTAGTGTAGGAAGTTGGCCAAGTAGTTATTGCTACATGAATGTTACATTTACTGAGTAATCTTCCCTTCTTCACCCTGAGTAACATAGTTATCAAATTCGTATGAAACTTTATGGTACGAGATCGAGTACTTGAACGATTGACTCGAGAACGAAGACATTAGATACATGCCATTTGTGGAAACTTTCGATCAGATGGTATGGTGCGAGAACTGAGTACTAGTCGTGTTGTGAGAATGATACTGGCTACTTACTAACTATGTAATCGAGCAACCCGTCGACGAATTTCTAAAGCATGGATTGAAAAATAACAAAATACCTCATGCGGGTACTCATATAATTTGTTAAACATATATATATCTTCACTAAAATTGTTCCTCAGCCACATGCATATATATATAATTATCATTACTCCCAACTTGCTGATTAACCACTAATTAGCCACTCAAAACAAACTCATGAGAAGTAAAAGGAAAGCTTCTGTAACAACCATGAACACGAACTTTCATGGGCCGACATATAGGCAGAAGAACTTTGGATAAAGCCCATGACTTCAGCAGGACTAAAATTCGCTCCTCGCGACTCGCCTCCTCTTGGACCGGTCGCCAGGCCCACCGTTACTGGACCGGTCCAGCAACGACTTGAGCGCATTCTTCAGGAAATGAATGGACTCCACGCTGCATCCGCCTCCACCGCCGCCCTCGCCGTCCGCCGGCGCAACCATCAGCACGTTGCGCGTCCTCCCGCCGAGCGTCACCATCTCGGCGCGGACCGTCTTCAGGTGGAGCGACTTGAATATCTCGATCAGCTCCGGCAGCAGGTCCGTCCTGTCCTCGCAGCAAACCGACGCCTGGAACACCATCTGCCCGCCGCCGCCGCCGCGGCCGTAGCCGTCGTGGTGGCCGGCGGCGGAAAGGACGGTGATTTCGTCGGACTCCGACGGGAAAGTTTCCAGGCCGGCGATCTCGGATGTCTGCTGCTTCAGCTCTTTCAGCCTCTCCACTACCTTCGCCAGCAGCGACGCTTTGTCTGTCTGCGGGTGACAACATGATGGCATCACCGTGATGTAAAAAATAACTTTTATCTGTTTTTCAGGAATTCAAATCGTATTTCAACAAAGCGATAAAAGAGACAAGAGACAACGGAAAAAAGGGTTGGGGGGACAATTCTACTTTCCGGCAGAATGTACAAATTGTACATCAGGGAATGTCCAAGTGTTCAAATTGAGTCCTCTACATTTTATGGTTGGCAACAATTCGATTTACACGAGATCGAAATTGATTTGAGATGGTGGCTAAAATTCGATGGTATTGAATATAATTTTGTTCGATTTTATTGTATTGAATTCTCTTTACATAAGAGAAAAATGTATTATTTTGATATTTGATTCTCCTGATTTTGTTTTAATTCAACTTGATTTTATTAGGTTGTATTGAAATATCATAAAATGAGAGGGGAAAAAAAAAATGTAGTATTGTGATATTTGATCGATATGATCTTGTTAAGTTGATAGGTTTTAAATCATTTACATCCTCATTTTCTCCCTAATTTTGATCCATCGAATTAGATAGGTTTTATAATCGGACTAGGCCACAACCCTGTCATTTAGTTACATATTACTACTAAAACATTATACAGTAACTTATTCAACCCGTAATCATGCGACCGCATCGACGCGTAATCAAGTGATAACATTAACGATTAACCATATACGTTCACTAAATATAACGAGCGACTAAAAGTCCAACAAAATTTGAACCCACCACTTTAAAATTGTTTTAAACGTTGCTAACATCCTCAGACCAATAATCGTCATAAACCATCCAGTTCCAATAACTCGGAATTGTTAAGATAAGTTCGTGTTTGAGTTATACAGTTTACGTACCTTGGAATTGCAAGGGAGGAGAGCACGGAGCTTGTGGAGGTGGGAATTGATCCTCTCCCTCCGCCGCTTCTCCGCCTCCTTGTGATTCTGCAGAGCTGCGTACGCTCGATCCTGCGGCGTCGCCGTCGTCGTCGAATCCTCCCCCGCCGTGATCACCGACGAGCCCCCGCCGGCGGCGGCAGATATTTGGTGGTGGTAATCATCGTACGAGAAGTAGTTATTACAAGAGGACGAATTATTGCTGCTGCACATGAAGTTCTGCTGACCAAACCCAAACTCTTGTTGTTGCTGAAACCCTTCTCCTCCGACGCCGTTGGTCTCCGCAAGAAGGCGGAACAAGTAGTTCTGGGACTCCGACGGCGAGCTGCCGACCCAATAATTGCTGGCGTCGTCCATTTTGACGAGATGATGATGATGATCGAGGTGGACGAAGAGTGAAAACTTAGGTAGAGTATGAAAAAAAAGAAAAAATGGGGTTTATTTAAGTTTTTTGGGTGCTCTTCTTCTAAAATGATGGTTTTGTAAGCAAAGTTTAGTGGGTGTGTGAAAGAGTATATGATAACGAGAGGTCGTAGTGGAAGAGGAGAATAGTGGTGGGGGTCACTTATAGAAGAAAGAAAGGTCATTAACAAACTCATCACTAAAGTTTAGTGTTTAGCAAAGTCGTCATTGAAGTCTGATTTAACGAAACATAATAGTTGGTTTATTTAGCTCATGAGGTTTGGATCAGATTTGTTCGCATATATCGACGTGTTGTCTTGCCCGAGTTTGATACCAGAATGACAACCTCTAGATCGCAGTTAGTCAACATGGACTGCTCAATTTTGCAGTGTAGACAGCCTGGACTGATCGATCATATGCATTATTTTATTATCGACCTTGCATTCTCTGAGATCACCCGTAAGATATGCTCCCCCAATCCAGCTCACGCAGGTAATTAGAGACTTTACGTTACCCTCGTTATTTTCTAATTTGTGTGATTGTAATCTTACGCGGTGTGTTGTGTGATATATATGAAACTGAAATTTTTTTATAAAAATCGAAGAAAATGACGATTGTGTCAGTTACTACCCAAGTCAATACGAAACGATAATGTCAACCCTTGTCAGCCAACATGGACTACCCATTTAAGTTCACACCCAGACTAAAATCACGATAAGCTCTTCTTCCCCCACCCCCGACTCCAAAGTAGCTAATTGGCAAGCTTATGTTATCCTTTTCATTAAAATGTGTGACTTTGATCTCACTTAATGTGTGTTGTACAACTTAAAACTAAAAATTCAAACATAACCTAACGAAATACAAAATAACGCCTATATTAGTCATACAAACTTGATCGACAAATTCGTGAAGTGTCGAAATTTAGCGATCAATTTATCAGTAATCCCTAATATCGTGGCCTGTTTTTGTAATTGGACCCCAAAAGTGGAGAGACTTTCCCTATTACTGATAAATCGATTTTTGTATTCTTTTGGGCTTACCTTTCGGTGGGTTTTTGAGCATTTTGTCATCCTTCCTCCTCTCTTCGAGCTCCATATTTCCATGGGTTGGATAAAAAGTCCATAGTCCACTTCTGCTGCAATTATAATCCTTTCTTTTCATATTGCCCTCTGATCCCTACCTTTTTTGGGGGCCTTTTTTTTTGTTTGTAATCATGATTATATAGCTCGGCTTTGTTAGCTTTTGCTTCTTACATGCGCGCGCGCGTGTGAGCTCCTCCCCACCATCCATTTTTCTAATCATGGATTAAGAAATGAGAGTGTTTTAAGAAAAAAAGTTAGTTGGAGGGGTTAAAGGAAGAACTAGCGAGAGTGGGTTCATGATTAGCACGGTTTAGCTAGGCTAATGAGGGTAATTTGGTAAGGTTAATGGGTAGTGATGTTAATTTGGATAAGTTTTGTTCCATGGGGGCATCATGTTATTGTTGTTGATGATTGTGAAGATGCCAATTGTCTATTCTTCATGTGGGTGAGTAAGGTTTTAGCTTTTGGTTCGTTTTAATTTGTATTACAAAGAGAGAGATTAAAATGAAGTCCATGCGAGACATGTATTTCAATACTCATACGTATTTCAATACTCATACGTATTTTTGTAGTTAAGTTGGATGGGATGAATCTACTCAATAAGTGAGTATGAGTCGGAGGTTCGGAGTTGAGGTCCTCTATAATGTGATATTCTCCTAATAGTGAAAAAGCTAGCGATATTTATTTAATATATAGATATATGTATGTCGATACTCTTATCTATATGTCAATTCTAATTATAAGTTTATAACCTTTCGTCGTATTAATCTAGCTCTCCCGGACTCAAGTCGGGTGAATTACTACAGATAGGAGGATAAGGTATGGATATCCATCTCAAGCCATGTTTTTCTCCAAAGCAAAAAAAAAAAAAAAAAACAACACACGCAGTTTATACAAACACTAGATCCGATTGTAGATATCTTTCCAAAGCCTCGAATCCAAGATGAAGATCTCGATGGGTAACAATTTGGAAAGTGCACCATAACTTCCAAAAGAACATTATCAATCAACGAAAGCAAAATTGTTTTCATGCTCCCAAATTTGAGAGCAAATCAAGTATGTGGTGACCCTAAGCTAAAATCATGCTTTCTCGCCTCACTTTGGTTTCAACAACTAGCCTTTGAAACCAACTAGCAGATAAACATGTTGCTGCCTCGATTGAACTCTGAACATAAACCACAAGATTCAAATGAATCGCGGATTGTTCACTCGATTCGTTACTCCGTCTTTTTAGTGTTTTATTCCTCCTCCAGTTATTTATCATCGATGATATCTCTTTATTAGAGTCGGTTTATCTTCTATCTCTTCGAATCCAAACTACAACAAGCAAGTTGGGGGGAAAAAATTGTTCTCGGTTTCATAAATATCATTCTCTTGGATCGCATTTCTTTACTTGGACAGAAATATCCATTGAAGAAGGGGGAAAAAAGGAAAGGAGAAAGAAAGGCCGATGCCTCTTCTAAAATGGACAGAAAGAAAGGGCATGGAGCAGGGATTGTGCACGCCTCCCCGACAATCATCAACTCACACCACCCCATTTGTTTTATTTTTTTCTTGAAGCAAGTGATGATACAAACAATGAATCGAAAACGGATCATAAAACGCTGCTTTTAACTTTCCGGTGTTAATTTTGTCATAAACCAGTTGATCCCTATAATCCGAGTTGTTGGGAGAAGGTTATACTGAATCTTATACTATTCTCTAACACGTCTCTTCCTCCTCAAACGACGTACCATGTGCTTTTAATCAACTGTTAATATTGGAGGTCGTGAAGATTCGAACACACGGCCACTTGGTCAAACCGGCACTAATACCGTGTCATGAACCAGTTGATCCCAATAAATCGAGTTGTTGGGAGAAGATTATTATGTATCTTACGCCGAAATTGTCAGACCGTTGGTCAGTTGCCACCCTCTTTGGGCTTAATAACAAAACTGGTCCGTCGCCAATCCCATTCACATCCATGTTCTTTAGCAATTTGCAACACAAAGAAAACAGTTGTGTCAGACGTGCCGAAAAAAATCACACACGACCAAAGGACACTTTTTCTTTTCCTCTTGTTCTGTGTTTGAAAAAAGCGAAATAATTACACAAATTAGAAAAAAGAATAAAAACAGTACTGCTAGTCTGCACTCAATTCATTTGACCATAAAAAAATTTCTTCCTTTTCCCCTTCCCCCCCGCCTGCTCTCATCATTTGAATATCCTGTGGCTTTTTAGAAAGTCTGTCAGTGCGTTCCTTCCTTTTTCTCCCTCGTCTTTTTTCCTTCCTTGTCAGGCCCATTCGTGTTAGCAATTAAGGCCCAATCAACTGGCCTCATACTTGGCCCAATCGATGGATTTTGATTTACGAAACACACAAGAACCATACAGTTTTATACAACCCATGAACCACAGAGCAATTATCCTTCATCGGAGCAAAAGGCCATAAAAGAAAAAGAGAAACATGTTACAACACAGGGGAAGGTTACAGGGTTATTCATGCTACATATGGAACTTGGGTACAGGAATACTACAAGAGGTTACATTATTACAAGGATGCATTTACCAGACGCATCGGTATGTGACATGGGACTCGGTGATGTCGCCGGAGTACGTCACCTTGACCACCTGTCCCTTCTCGAGCGCGTAGTAACGAGCGATAGCATCCGACCTTAGCATCCGAGGGAGCTGCCAAAGATTGAGACATCAACATCAGGCGGCAATAAGCTTATCGTTAATGCACTTGTATGGAACTTTACTAGGATAACTGGAAGAGTCAGATTTGACCAGATAACACTTGAGAGCTAGTCGTAAATTTGCTGTCCATGGGAGAAATGGAAGGATATGTACTGAAAAATTGCAGGAACTCTTGAATCCCTAGCCTATACTGAACTATATGCCAGTATTCTATTGTTCATCTGTTGATTCTCTTTGATTTGATTCTGATCGGATAACTTGACAAGGGCAAGCTTCATGATGCGATCAAGCAAAAACCGAGAAAGCCAATGCCACACACAGAGAAGATCATGCACAAAGTCCAAACAAAAGAAGCACAGGAAATATGTTCCGCAAGAGAGTCATTGGCTTTCAGAATTGCAGGCACTGACCTGTTTATCTTCTATATTATACTCTTTTAAGAGCTTCTTCTTCTCCTGACTGGTTAGTATCTGGTGCCTCGGCTTCAACACATGCTTGGTAATGTTGACGAGTAACTCAGTTATCTGCGATCCAAAACAAATCACAACCAGCATTAGTCAGTAACACGAAGTGCTTCCATTTTGCTATTGCCAGATGCAATAAGCAATTCGCTTAACACTACTACTTTCCATGACATCATAATAACATACAGAAGCAAAATTAAACAAGGGTTGCAGTCAGCATGCAAGATCCATAAAGAAGCAAAATCAAGCAAGGGCTGTGAATCATCTTCACTAAACTTTTGAAGTAACTCTCTTTGCTTCAGCGCAAGTAGATCGATAACTAAGATTACATATCAAACCCACAAAATTTGAGGTAGCAAACGTACCTGAAAGATCTCAACCTTGAATTTGAAAAGCCTCAGTGCATTCTCGGCTTGTTTCGTTATTTGGCCTTGCAGAATCAGTATGAGGCCACTCAAGCTGTCTCTATTAACAATCTGAGCCGAGATCAGGCGCACAGTATTGACTTTAATCACTCCAGTTCCACCGAAAATAACCATCGTCTGCAGTGAACAATTAACTCAATTCACTTTCCCAAAACCAGAAAATGAACGAAAAAATGAACAGCCTTTCTCCGCATTCATCCTCTCCAAAACTTGAGAGCACCATTACACACATTCATTCTTCTACAAATTAACAGTATCCAACATTGAACAGTGGAAAAGGAAACCGATTCAGATATTTAGCCAAAAAGATGATTCAACAACTGTAGAAAACGACATGCAGAGGCAGAAATTAGATCAATCGAGACATGCAAATCCCACTCAAATTCATCAAACCGGCCACGAATTCAAATGCAGAGCTTCAATTGATTGAGAGTGCGAGAGAGGGAGAGAGAGAGAGGGAGAGAGTAGTACTCGTTTGGAGGGATCGGTCTGGTGAGTGGCGGAGAACTTGAGACGGTCGATATCAATGTCCTGAGAGTGAATGGCGCGGAACTCTTGTAAAGAGACGGAGAGGTCGGATTCAGGGACGTAGTAGCCTCTGTCCTTCAGCATCTCCAGGACGGTCCTGCGAGCAAGGAAGTACCTGTGAGTCTCGGCGCTGCCGTCGTCGTGGTAGCTGCTCAAGCAGTTCTTCAGCCCGTCCATTTGGAACGCGGCGGAGCCCGATTCGCCGTGAACTTCTCCGTTCGTCTTCCCCGCCGCCTCCGCCGCGCCGTTCTGTTCCATTTTCTGGTGATTTCCCGATTTCCCTCTCTGACTCCCTCCCCCTTCTCAGTTGCTGTTTCAGTTCAGTGCGTCACAGACTCACAGTGCTAATGTGAAGTGGATTTTGACTTTTGTTCGAGTGTATTTAATGGTAAAGACTAAAGAGTAAAGAGTAAAGGCTAATCGTGTACTGACCAGGTCCAAATAGAGATCCAGCTAACCCACTGAGGCCCAAGGATGTCTTCAATTTCAACGGGCCAACTTGGATCCAAGAAGATCAATGCACGCCTGGACCTTGGCCTATGGAAAAGCCCAAGAACAAAACGTTACAGCCCGCACACGTTACAACAGAAAAGAAGGAATGCTCGACCCAGATATATGCCGCTAATTTGAGAAGTTCGTAAGCACTATCCTTTTGTAGAGAACTAGTTCTAATTGCATGCATTGAGGAGATACATTTGAAATAACATGCATTTACTTCCAAACCATGATTTTGTAGTTTGGAAGTTCTAATGCATGATTTAGCCAATACATGCATTGAGGAGATTAAGGGGTCGTTTGGAAGTTGTTATTTCAAATGGTGTATTGATCTAATTCATGTATTTGTGAGATTAAGTCGTTTTTTTGGTTTATATAGAACTAGAATACATGCATTTACTTTTTGGAGACCCCACCACAATCACTCAATATTGAGGGATTTACAATCTCTGCTTATTGTTGAGATTCTTCACAATCACTCAATACTAACTTTTTTACATTTGGAACAAAAACACAATCTAAACCTCCAAACAAGATATTTACCTAATACATCAATTAATTCAATCCATCAAATGATAATACACTAATTGTCCCAATACATCAATTTGAAGAATCACAACTTCCAAACAACCCCTAAGTTGGCTTTTTGGTTTAATTTGGGCTGAAATACATGCATTACTTTTTTGGGCCCACTCACAATCCTTCATAATGGATGATTTACAATCTCTCCTTTAATGAGAGATTGTAAACAAATGATTGTGGCCTAACTTTCTATTCCATTTCTATCCCTATTTTCTTTTCTTTATACCAAGATTAACCTCATCCTCCACCAACCCTCTCTCCTTCTATTTGGATTACCCGTTGTATGCAGCGTCCTAACGGTTGCAGGAGAGTCTCACTTGCAAATTACAGAGATTTCTTCTTGGTCGTTGTCGTGGATTCGCCGGAATTGTCGCGTATCCGTCATTTGGCTGGAACCCACTTCTATTTTCCTCTCGTTGCTGCTTTACCCGACCTAATAGCCTTCCCTGCCAACCTGGAATGGATATAAAGGAAGGAGGAGTTGGTGAAGGGCAATTATGCCCATCAATATGAAAAGTGTACTATTTTTAGGTTAGGTGAAAAGTACAATATACAACACCAAACAAGGGATTTACCAAATGCAACAATTGATAGAATGCATATATTTACAATACACTAATTGATAAAATACATCAATTGTATGAATCACATCCTCCAAACATGCCCTAAGTATTCATAACTGATAGTTCAATTTCAATATTTCTATTAGATGGGTAAAGATCTATAATGTTTGGATTGTCTTTCCCAATCTGGGATGACAAATTCCAGGATTAAGTGAAATTTCTCGAGATGTTGAATTAAATTACTTTCAATGTTTGACCTTTCACGTATAGATGAAGACCAAATGTGCTAAAAAGAAAGGTATTTTAGAATACCTTTATTTACTTTGTTGCGGTTGAATACTTGGATGTAGCTAGCTAGAACTACATTTGCCCAAAGTATCAGCAAACAACAACATTTTGCCTATTCTTTCTCTTCTCTCTTTCAGTCCACCAATCCTCGAACCAGGGTGGAGACTACGGTGGCACAATAGTAACTTGCACCAAACCCTCCCCGCCACCAGTCCAACGAAGGATTAGTGCTCCATTGCCACTCAGTTCCCAAGTTAAACACTCGAAAACAAGTAACACAGCTTGAAATTTGCAGCTGACAGTAAACCAGGGAGACAAGCTTTCAATCGTAATCTAGATCAGTCTCTGTAAGTTATTATTGTCTTACATACATCAAACGAAACCCAGAAGCATGTAACAAGAGATTTTTTTGTCCCAACCCAATTGCTCAGAGCTTGCTGGAAATGGCGATGTTCCTCACTCTGGATTGCTTCGAGGAATTATCTTTGGGCACGACGACGGTGAGAACCCCGTTCTCCACCTGAGCCTTGATCTGATCCACCTTCACATTCTCCGGCAGTTGTATCTCCCGGGCGAATTCCCCCTTCCCGCCGGCGCCTCTCTCCGCCAGGTGCCACACTGCGTCCTTGGACAGCGCCTCCTCTCTCTTATTATTGCCCTCCTCGCCTTCTCCCCTGACGAGAAGCACGTTCCCTTCTTGCAGTTGCAGCTTTATCTCTTCCTTGCTAAACCCTGCAATTGAACCAAAAAACAACCTTTCTGAATCATTCACCCACCAATTCCCCCCCAGCTGTTGCAATTAAAGAAACCAGGGGACTGGAAAAGAAGAACAACCAATTGGTAAATTGATTGGTTGTTAAGACAGAAGTGGGTACCTGGAACGTTGATTTTGAAGATATGGGCAGTTGGAGACTCGAGCCAGTCCATGAGAGCTGTGGAACCGGACCATTCCCTGAAGATTGGGGGGCTCCAGAACAGTCGCCTGATTGGGTGCCCGAAAATTCCGTCCGCCATTGTTGTCTGATCCTTGCCGATTGAGTCTACAGCTTGCGGGAAGATGAGAACACGGAGATGTGTTGCCCAGAAGCGTAGACCTCTTCTTATATATTAGAAGATGTGAAGCGGGTGCGCGGCTGAGTCTCCAGAAGGTTCAGGGACATTGGAGAAGCCACGATGGAACTAGTTTTTGTTTGTTTGTAGCTGAATGCTTCCGTCAGATTTTTTATTTTTATCACGTTAACATCGACGCATAGTGACTTTATATCGAACTTGTTATGTTAGATGATCGAACAACGATGAAAATTGTAAAGAAAGAACAAATCATAGCAACATTTAACGAGTTAGTGGTACTACGACTCACAAATCAATTCAATGTTCAACTCCATCACCTACAGACGAATTGAGCAATCCAGATGTTAAAAAGGAAGGTATTTTGGAATACCTTTATTTAGTCTACTACTGCATTTGCAAGCATACTTGGATTCGATGTAGTTTGTAGACTACATTGCCCAAGCATGCCAGCAAACAGCAAGTAATCATCATCATTGAATCATTGCTTCTCTTCCTCCCTCCACCAATCCTCGAACCATGGTGGCGAGCACAGCGGCGGCACGATGACTCGCACCTTAGCCTTCTCGCCGCCAGGTCAACGAAGGAGCAGTGCTCCATTGCCACTCAGATTCCGACTTGAAAGCAAGTAACACAGACAAAGCTTGGCCATGAAAATTTGCTGCTAATCCTAACCAGGCAGACGAGATATCAACCTTCAATGTCTGGGAAAATGGAAGCAACCTTGCCAAACACACATACAGCTTAGACAACGAAAAGTGGAAAGGGTGGGGAAAAAGAAATCCCATCAAACGGAGCAGCTCCGGCAACGAATCAGGCCGTTCTCGTTGCAATCCAGGCACCGCCGCAGCCTCTCTTCATCTTCATCGAACACCTTCCTGCTGCCATTGCAGTTGGAGCAGAGCACGAATCTGGCATCCCCACAAACGCCGCAGCCCCACCGGCAATCCCTGGCCGGAAACCCTTTGACGAGCTCCGACAGCTCCCCGGACTCGTTCAGCCGCCGGATCTCCTCCGCGCCACCGACGTGCTTCCCGCCGATGAACACCTGGGGCAAGCTCCCTCCTCCCCCCGCCGCCATTTTGTTGCCCACCGCCAGTAACCCGCGCAGCTCCTTCCCGTACGCCGAATGCATCGAGACGTCCCTCTCGTCGACGGCGACTCGCAGGCCGCGGAATATCGTGCGGACCGTGCAGCAGTCCTCGTACGTCTTCCGGATCCCCCTCAGGCTCGTGAAGAACACCACGATTTCGCCACCACCTTCCCCCTTGCCGCCGCCGCCGTCGGCGGCGGATGCTGGTTGAGGGGAGCAGCCAGATTCGGAGTCGGAATGTACTGATTTTTTGGGATTGCTCTTGCCGAACAATGCGCGGCGGTAGCTGGAAACCACGACCGGGTCCAACTTCAACAGAAACGACTCCTCCGAGAAATGCTTCCACAGCGGCTTCGACGGCGACCCCAATTTCTTCTCCGGCTGGTCCGGAAGCCCTAATTCTTCGACCCAGCACGAATTCCTCGTCGGTGGCAGAGGTTTCCCCAAATTAAAATCGACACCCACATTGCCATTGCCGTCGTCGAGGCCGTCCATGAGCTCCCAGGCGTTGATTACGGAGTCGGGGGAGGCAACCGGCTCACCGGACTCTTCCTCCACGGACCTGTACGGCGGCGGCGGGGGAGGAGGCGGAGGAGGAATGTGGAGGACGGAGCCGTATGTGGTGGAGGTTAAGTACACCAGATGCTCGGAATCGCCTTTCCCCGACGGCGGGTGGTGGACGAGCGGGGCGGGGTGGGACACCGCTCGCCGGCCGGTGGCGGGACCTGGGTGGAAGGCGTGGATTGACGGCGGCTGGTCGACGAGGAGGGAGTGGTGGGTGTGCAGCGACGAGAGGATGGTGAATCTGGAAATGGAGCAACCCATCGGAGCAATGGGATTGAGTGAGTGAGTGGATGAGTGAAGGAATCTCTCTTTGAAATGGGGGAAAAAGCTTAAAGGGAGAAAAATGGTGTGGGACTGGAAATCATGAATGAATGAACGAAGGAAGGAAGAAAAAAATATGTTTAGCTTTTTTGTCTGGATGAATAATTATCAGCCAGCCTGCCCGAAAGCCTCTTTCCTTTGGTCCGGTCGTTTTCCATCGACACGTGTCCATGTTGGGTGGCTTTGTTGGGCTTTTAATGGGTTGATATTTTGGGCCAGATCTCCAATTAATTTGGTTTTTTGCCAAGTTTGTGAAAATGGGAATGCAATGATGTAGGGTTAACAAACAAAATTGAATGCTTATTATGATGTTACTATTGTTGGTAAAATTTCCCTAGATGATGATGTCATGATATCAATGTGTTAGTTTGATGATATGATTATGGAGTCAAATCCGACATGATGAGGTTTTACTTAATTCATACTAAATCAAGCTAGTGATGATAGAAAAAAATAAAAATAATAATGGCATACTCAATATGGAGATCTTGTTGTTTATTATTATTATGTTGATTTTACTTGTGGTTAATTCACCGCAATATAGATACGGAACGTATAGTCATAATGTGTTTCTTCAAATGTAAAATTCGACCTATGAATTTTAATTATAGAATTCATAACAAGAGGGTTTCGTTAACTATCGTTTGCCTCCCAGAGGCAAAATGGTACCTAGGTATGGGGTTACCAAAACAAATAAGATGTATGAGACAGGTTTTGAAAACCCTGCACTGATAAGAAGTTTATGATATCTATTTTAAATAACATCATTCGATACACACGTTAAAAAAAAATGGCGGATCCAACCAATGTATTTTCATTTTAATGTTAAAAGTATGAAAAAGAGTATTCAACAAACTAACAATGTACATTTCAATGACTTGTTTATCTCACTTCTATGTTTCAATACGACAATGCCGATTACAACTCTCTACCCGCTCTGTATACTCCGAAATTTCGAACATAACAAGTGTCATCCCTAACATGAATATTACTCCAAATAGATTCTGCGGGTGAAACTCATGAACGGGCTAACAGAAGTAATGCGAAGGTAGTTTTCAATTCGGTGGACAATGCGGGTGGGGAAGGTTGGCGGCAGTTAGGAGCAGTAAAAGGGAGAAAAGGAAAAGCATTGATGATCGGAAAGCTGCCTTAAGTATCAAGTGTGTAATAGAGAAATAAATGAAAGCGAGAGCTCATTTGACGCAGAGCTTTCAACGAGCTGGGGCTTGTAAGTAAAGCCAGAAGAAGTTGAAAGTGATTGGGCAAAATGACAGATTACTCTGTTTATTTACACCGTTTTTGTTTCGATGAAGTGATATTAAAGTATTGGTGGCTATATATCTGCTGTCAAGATTCTCGGGCGACACCCTAGTCAAATTTTTTTTTTTCTGCTCTTGGATTTTGTTGTTCAATGATCATCTCTATCTCGAAAAGTGGGCAGACTGGTGAATTGATTAATACCTCTAAATCATGTAGAATAAGTTTGATGACATGGGCCTCATTCATTCTTAGAGTCAGACCTGGACATATCGTCCGCTTTCTTCTCTGATCATTGTGTTAGTTATAAAAATACAACTCGTACAATCTAAAGATATTAAGCAACCAAATGTGAGGAATGATTATGTGTGTCCTTGACACGACACACATTGATCTAGACAACTTGAACAAAATATTTGTTGGAGATACAAGAATTGAATTCTATATATATGTTAGTTACTCAATCCAAACTTCAGTGAACAATATGTCAAAATATCAAAGTTTAGTGACTAATTCGTCAGTCACACAAAGTTAGTTGTCATTTCCATAATAGTGATGAAGTCCAGACGGACAACAAGGCCCGCGGCCCGGTGCTGCAGCAGCTATCTCAGTCTCTGCAGCATAGAGCCATAGACGACGAGTCAGACGACGGCGGCTGTCAACTGGTGAGAACATGTCGGAGGTAGGAGGAGCCGCAGCGGTGGAGGACGAGCAGCGCCGCCGTCAAAGGACGCTGGAAGAGGCTCTCGAGGTCCAATCTCTCCGCCGCATCATCAGCGCTTACCTCAAGTACTCTCTCTCTTGCACTGCTTCTTTCTTTTTTTTTTCCTTCTTCGGCTTTCAATTTCGCGGCTGCTCAACCTGTATCATCCGCCATTGAAGCTGAAAGCATTTCGTGCGATCACTCGGCCGATGAAGATTTGTGAACCTAATTGCAATCACTTTCTTCGCTTTGTTCTCTTCTTGGCTAATTGCGTAATTGTTTACGAAACGGAATGCCAATCAATTTTAAACTATAATTAGATGATCGAGTGAAGATTGCATTATGTAGCTCTTTCCTTCTTGTGGTATTGAAACTGCAATGACGGCGTCTTCGCTTGAAATGGACTGTTTTCGTATCCGGCGATGATGGCTGTCTGTTCGTAACATTTTGTGTGCAGCTATCCTGAAGCAGCAGAAGAAGATGTCAGAAGATATGAAAGATCTTTTAGGAAGCTTTCACCTGCACACAAGGTGGTCTTAACCTGCTGTACTGAATGTTCTATCTGTCAACAAGCATCAAGCACTGAGTTTATCTTTGCACCATAACCAATTTGCTCCGTTGTTAAATGATTAATCATCTAGCTTGCATAACATCGAAGTTTTTTCTTCTTCTGAATTTGTTTAATCAGGCTTTACTACCTCACTACCCCATGAAGTTTCAGCAACTAAGAAGGTGATTCTACCTTCAATTGATCTTCCTTCGTTTCTTAAGAGTATTGGGTATAACTGTTACTAAGAAATGTCCGCCTTGTTAGAATCTGCCTGTGACTAATTATTTCAGAAGCTCCAAAAGACTAATTTTGCTTTGAATTTGGCAGCTGTATAGCTACAAATTCTTATTTCATATTCAACATGCTTCAGGTAAATTTGTAGTTTCTTTCTTGCCAATGCTCAATCCCCAAACATCCTTCCATTCGGGGGATGATCAAGTGCATGGCCATTCCATTGTTGGCCTTTGATGATGAGTTGTGAATCACAATATAATGGTTCTTTTGCAGGCTTTTGAGCCTCCTCTAGATATGAGCCAAGACCTGGATTGCTGTGATGACTTGCATCATGAGCATGCATCAGGACATCATTGTTTATCAGAACAGAGGAATTCTTGCTGTTCACCTGCTCCATCTAGTGGAGCTAATTGTTGTTCCAGACCTGAAGAGACATGTCAGGGAGAAGGAAGCCATATGCATATGATGTCAACTGGAGAGCCTATCAGTGAGGTATTTACATGATTTCTTGTTTCAATTACAGCTTGTGCTGGACTCTGCTCCCTTATCTGTTCTAAAGTTTGGCCTTTTTCGATAGCCTCAGGAAGCTACAACTGGAGGTTTCCATGACCGTCCTGTGGATACTAACCGGAGCGAGGAAAATGTTAGTGCAACTCTACAAATGGAACATGATGCCGCGGAGTGCAATGGCGATGTAATGTCAATTAAAATTTGTTATATAACTGATGAAAACATTTCGAGTTAAAACTGTAGTTAGAAGGGTAGTGAAGTGTACGCTGATCCTGATAGTTGGCTATCCTTTGTCTATGAAGAGTTGGATGTAATCATGGCTAAAAATAATTTAAAGCACAAAGTTTCTAGAATGCAGGAATATTCTAAGTTGGAAAAAATCCTATTTTCTGGTAAGTAATGTTTATTTTCTCCTCATTTTAGGTCAGCGCTCCCAATGATTGGTTGGATCCATCAATTCAGTTGCATGTTCCCCTTGTCGATGTTGATAAGGTAAGATTCGAACTTTTATGTGGTCTGTTGGTTCTTTTGTATATCTTGACATAGAAGTCATTGTTTCTCTCTAGCATGATATACCACTGCATTTGTGATCACCAACCATTCTATCGTGTGCCTTAAAGCTGTAACTATGAGTTCAAGGTTTAAGAAAGATGGATTCATAGCGGACAAAGATGAAAGCCATGGCATTGGCATAGTAGTCTGTAGTGTTGGCTATATGCGCTCATTCTAGCAAGATCAAGTACCTGTGGCATTACAGGTCATTCTTGATGCCTAGTGTTTAAGATAATGAAGTACTTATTAAACCTCTGCTTTTCAATTTTGGCAGGTCCGTTGTATAGTAAGGAATATAGTTAGAGACTGGGCAGCAGAGGTAATAATTTTCTTGCTTTGAGTTTGCTCCTCATGTCTATGGTGGATTTATCTTGGTGGTCCTCTTATTGTAGGGACAAAAAGAGCGCGATGAATGCTACAAACCTATCCTTGAAGAACTAGATTCTCAATTTCCCAATCGTAGTAAGGAGAGGTAGTGTATATCCCCTCAAGTCATTTATGGTTTATTATATATAGTATACTGCATTGACTGTCATCTAGCTTTGTTTAGCATATCTTTTATTTTGCAGGGCTCCTGCCTGTTTAGTTCCTGGTGCTGGGCTTGGGCGACTAGCATTGGAGATTTCACGCTTAGGTACACATACAGAGCGACAGAATGATTCCTTCTAATTAAATTTTCGGGAACTCTCTTTCACTTGCACTTTATTTACAGCCAAATTGACATTTTCATGATGACAGTTTAATGCTTGTCTTGTCATGAAACAGGTTTTATGTGCCAAGGAAATGAATTTTCATACTACATGATGATATGCTCGAGTTTCATTCTTAATCAGTATGAGATATCCTTACACTCTTACTACTATAGCTTACAATCCAACCATTTGTGGGCTGTTGTCACAATGACATTTTATTGTTTTTTTTTGGGTAGTGCTGAAACTGTTGGAGACTGGACAATATATCCTTGGATCCATAGTAATTGTAATTCACTTTCAGATAGCGATCAACTTCGTCCTGTGCCAATACCAGATATTCATCCTGCGAGGTATTCTTCTGCTCCTTCAATCTAAATTTCACCATTGACTCGTTATCCACGCCCAAAGCATCCACTATTATTATTACTAGTCTTAGGGCATGATTCGTTAACTTTCATTGCTAGCAGTGCAGGGATTACTGAAGGATTTTCTATGTGCGGGGGTGACTTTATCGAAGTCTATAGTGATGCAAGTCAAGAAGGTAGGGAATTAAGTACTGGTCTGTAATCTTTAAGGTGGAATGATATCTGTTTACATGTGTTGTCACCGTGATACATAAGCATTGCACTAAGATTCTGTTCCGTTGGAATAACCATTGAGCAATCTTCTGGCCATGCATGCAGGATACTGGGATGCAGTGGTGACATGTTTCTTCATTGATACCGCACACAATATTGTTGAGTACATCGAAACCATATCGAAGATTTTGAAAGATGGAGGAGTAAGCCCCAATGATATGGTTTTCTTTCAGCTGGTTTGTTCATCCTTTTAGGAACTTCTCGTACCAACGGTTTGTCTTTCATTATGGACGAACAGGTGTGGATAAACTTGGGTCCACTGCTGTACCATTTTGCAGATATGTACGGGCAAGAGGATGTAAGCTCTCTTTGCCTCTGTTCTTTAAGAGAAACCATATCCAAAAAAATTGGACGATCTAAACTGTGAGCTCTTTGTGACTTAATCTCTCTGTTCTGTGATTTTTGCTGTACAGGAGATGTCTATTGAACTGAGCTTGGAGGACGTGAAGAGAGTTGCTATACACTACGGGTTTGAGTTTGAGGTAAACCATTATTGTTTTCCGCCATAAGCATGATTGTTCCTTTCGAAATGCCAATTGGAATTTATGAGTTTGGACGTTTGATGATCGGCTTATTAATCAATTGTAGAAGGAGAAGACAATTGAGACTACATACACGACAAATCCTCGATCCATGATGCAAGTAAGCGCCCCACTGGTTCTTGGATTCTCTCCAATAGCCAGCTTGTCGTCGTTCTTGCTTTTTAGGTGGTGGATATACAATTCTGAAACATTTATGGTATTTCTACTTGCAGAACCATTACTCTGCTGCATTCTGGACTGCAAGAAAGCGGTCGAAAGCGACTACAGACGAGAGGCTGCCGAGCGTACCATAGTCATCCAGAACATGTTAACCACCCATGATAATATCTTAGATTGCAATCAATCTTTATGTTCAACCTGGCTGGCTGGCTGGCTCAACTGCTTGAAGGATCCTCCGATTTTGATGGTTTTGGCATCTGGTCTGGTGGGTTGTACGATGTAACTTAGGCAGGTCAAATCTTTCATGAGCTGTGTAATTAAGGGAGTCTCATTTTGTTAACTATTGCTATCTGCGATTTGACTGCATGACTAATTAGTGTTGGAGTAATCAGATCGAATCAAGGATGTTGATATATACGATGTTGATGATCTCTCGTGGCTGACATCATATCACATCACATGCTAGTTCATGTTAATCAAGAAGATGACGACTTGATCATGGAAAAGAGCTAAAGGAGGAAAGGGTAGCGAATGAAGAGTTCCGATGAACACGCCAGTCACTTGTACTTTATAGTTTATACCGAAGAAAAGCAGTGTTCAAGAAGACGCAGGCAGAAGGAAATCGCCCCATCTAGCCCCGGGCGATTGATCTAGGCACCTAGACACTCGGAGGCGCGTTTTCACTCTGGTGGGCGACGCCCAGAACAACTAATAAAGAGAAAAAGTATAGCCTTTTTGTGAAAATCTCAAACCCTATTCTATTTCTCATTTCCATTCGACCAGCCGCTCCCCCTCATCGACCAGCAGTGAGATCCCTCTTCATGGTTGGCGACTTAGGATGTTTGGGATTGTGGAAAAGGGTTGGATGTGTATATGAATGGATGAATAATGATATGGGGACTTGGATTTTTGTGGAATATGGCTTATCTATCATTTTTTTTTTCAACGTTTAATCTCGCCTAGGCAACGACTAATCAGCCTGGGCGCTGGCCGGTACCTCTTCGCCTAGATAGCGCCTAGCGTCTTCTTAAACATTGAAGAAAAGAAAAATAGAGCAAATACAATTAATCAAAGATTGACATTCATTCCTTTGAATTTCTGAGACAGTCTTCAACCACATCAAACATTCTAAACATCAGTACTATATCGATAACTTAGCTGAGTTCAACAAGTCAAGACTCCCTCTTTATCTAGTTGCCTTAAGCGACCACTTCTTGCATCCAATGCTATAAGAACAACACCGGTACCTTCTCATCACAAGCTTTCATGTAGTCTTGAAATTCTAGCAATTGATCATTGACGAGAGTGGTAATGTCAGAAAACACGAGAGGAAAAACAAACTTTCTTGCTCATATCTTTTTTCCATGAGTGAGTTTCGAAACCTAAAAGAAGATGGATAAAATTTTGACAAGCATGAGTACTTACCAGTGAACAAGGAATTTTTATCAACTGCTCCGGTGAACCAACAGGTGTTGCTGCTTCCATCAAACGCACATCGCAATTCCTTAAACTTTGGAATTGGAGTAGGCCAGCAAGAGAATGTAGGATGCAACATCCTCCAACCAGGAATAAATTCACGAAAGGCACCTAGCTCTCCGTTGCTCAAATCGCAGGACACAATCACATGTCTTATTCCATCAAAACCAACATGGTGCAAGAAGAGAATTTCTGGATTCGATGGATGCAGACCAATTACCACACAAGTGTCGAGCTCATACTTACACCAGTCATACCCTGAAGATACCTTCAACAAAACTTGGTGACGACGACGCTTCCAGGATTTACCGTCTTCTTGCAGTCTCCAAACACGCGCTCGTACCCATGGAGGGTCACCAACAAGTTCAACTATGTAAAAAGCACCTTGTGAAACCGAAAAATTCCACCGGATCGGGGACGACAAAAATCTGGATACGAGGACGGTATGAACGGGAGGAACATCAAGGCGGAAAGGATTGAATTTTGTCAATTAGAGCAGTTTAGGCACATCAGTTTGGTATCAGAGCTCTGGTTTTTGTTAGATTTTTAGTTGATTTTCGTCAAAAAAAAAACCCCCAAAACCCCTATTTTTTTAGAGTAACATTCCCTTTAAGAGAAGGAAGGACGAGTGTAGAAATAAAGGTGGAGCCAACCTTGCAATCTCTTCAAGAATCTCTGCTTCAGCTTACTACAACTGTTCAACAATTGGTACAAAACCAACAACTTGATAGAGGCAGGATACTATTCTGTGCTATATGGATACTATTCTGTGTTGTCTAGATATTAGTTTGTGAATTTGGGATAATAGTTGATTCATGGTGGATATCAGTTAGAAAACTTTGAATACTAGTATGTGCTCTCTAGATACTTTAGTACTTGGATACTAGTTCATGTATTTTGGATATCAGTTAGTATCTGCTAACGAATCTTCAAGTTAGCAGATTAACTTTTCCCCTGCAAAGCACCCCCAAGTCTCTGTACAACTCCGCCACTGTAATTAACAACTAACTAATCAAATGAATGAGTAAAGTTGTGACACGTGTCCTTGATCGTTAACCAACACTGTTTAACAAAGCCGTCACTAAGAGACAATATGTTATTAGCTACGCAGGGGACCAAACGAAATGACAGTGTTTCTGAGTCAAACACTTGTTTCTGAATTAAGACTGAACGCCATCGTTTCAACACAGTGCCAACACCCAACGGTCTTCTCTTCGTTTCAACAGCAACTACCAGTTGTTGTTCATTTCTTCACTCTCTAGCTGTTGCTACATCAACAATAGAAGATGATACTCAATAACAGGCAAAAACATGAACTGGCGCTAGAGGGGAACTCTCTTCACAAAGGGTCCATAACCTGAATGACAAGTGGCTGGAGTAGGTAACGAAAAACATTGTACTATAAGTCTGTTCAATTTTCGATATCAGAAGTAAGTACTGTGAGGAAGACCACAACAGAAGATTCTAAAAAACCTGGTCTACAAACATTCTATTGATGCTAAGCCCAAAAAACATACATGTAACTGATAACCAGGCCGCCACTCATGGCTTGAAGAAGTCAGGTGCACGCCTATCCCTTGGGGGATAGCGGGGACCAAGAGCACCCCTAGCTCGCCCTCTAGCCACTGGCTCGTGAACTTCCCCTTGGTGCTGAAGAAAACCTCGCCCATGTCCACGCCCACCAGCAAAAAATGCTCTGCCATGCCCTCTCAAAGCAGCACGACCTCTCGCTTGCAGCATGCCCCATGGGGGGGAGATGAGCTTGAAGACCATTTTGAGCTCTACCACGCCCTCTGAAAGCGACCTTGTTGCCCATGCCCGCCCCATCCAGCTCCGGGGAGAAGAGCTTGAAGACCATCTTGAGCTCTGCCAACCCCACCTCCTCTTCCCAAATCAAGCAACCCAGCAGCTGCCTCTGCCTCAACATCTTCAAAACAAACAGATATCAGTAAACACAAACAGTATCTCTTGTTGGAATTATCACAACAAGACCACATACCAAGCAACTCATCAGTTGCCTCTTCCTCAGCTATCACTTCATTGTTGTCATCTTCAAAACAAACGTAATATTGACATATCAGTAAAACACAAACAGAATCTCTAGTGAAATTGACATATCAGTAAAACCCAAACAGAATCTACTAGTAAACACAAACAGTATCTCTTGTTGGAATTATCACAACAAGACCACATACCAAGCAACTCATCAGCTGCCTCTTCCTCATATATCACTTCATTGTTGTCATCTTCAAAACAAACGTAATATTGACATATCAGTAAAACACAAACAGAATCTCTAGTGAAATTGACATATCAGTAAAACACAAACAAAATCTACTAGTAAACACAAACAATATCTCTTGTTGGAATTATCACAACAAGACCACATACCAAGCAACTCATCAGCTGCCTCTTCCTCAGCTATCACTTCATTGTTGTCATCTTCAAAACAAACGTAATATTGACATATCAGTAAAACACAAATAGAATCTCTAGTGAAATTGTCAAATATCAAACTACTACTAACCTTGTATGATGGGCAAGACTACAAAAGGTTCTTCAGTGTTGATCATTACAACCCCAAACTCTACAACAACCCAAAGTATCACAAAGCGATCTCTCATCCCAGTAAACTGTAGCAGCAGATTCCCAGCTGGACCAATTGATTCTTTGATATCTTCAATCTCAACTTCAATATTATTGATTTCAACCATGCACTTATTGAGCTGTCTTTGAAAAGCATCCCAATGTACAGCAAGATCTGTACCTTTACTCCTAAGCTCTCGCGCGGTGCGACGCTCAGTTTTAACACTAGCAAGTAACTCAGACAAAGTTATTGTGACAAATGTAAACATAAACAAAGTTAGAAAAAGTTTAAAATCAATTCTAATCATAATAATAGATAATAAGCTTATCTGCCCCAGGGTTTGCATAGGCCAACCTATATTGCTCTGTAAGGACTTCAAGAACAGCTTGACTAGCTACAAGGGACTGGTCAACCAAACCAGAATCCTCAAGAAGAGAGTCCAACTTATTCTGAAGAACATTTATATCGATCTTGAGAGTGGATTGGCGCTGTCTAAGAACATTATGAAGTTGCGAAGACAAATCTTGATAGTTAACTAAAAAGAGAAAAGGGGTTTTTCATTTTTAATATGGCAATTGAATTGAATATGGAAACAAAAAATAAAAATCAAATGGAAACTCTAGAAAAGTATAGTAGAATATGAATTATTAGTTTTAGAATGTAGTTAGACCAAATAAAGATTTTCTTTTTTCGAACGATCTGATCTACTCGAGGAATCCTTTTTCGAAATATTGTAATATTATGTAAATGAATCCACTAATAAAAAAAATTAAAGAAAAAGGATAAAAATCCAAAAGATTTTCCAATCTCATTTCGTAATGATTCAAAGAAATTTTATCTGAATGAAGTTATACAACATAGTTTAGTTCTTATTATTATTCTTTTTTCTTCTTTTTCATTTAAAATGATTGAGAAATTCAAAATTTGGAATTGAACTTATTCTTTAAATTCCTCATATCTTTCATTTAAATTAGGTAAATGCTTTAGAAACATATGTAAAAAAATTATTTAGCTCTTTCATGCCTACTTTAACGAGTTATTTTGATTTTTTACTAGCAGTTTTAACTATAATCTCAGTTCTATTTATTGGTCTGAGCAAGTTCCGACTTATTTGAAATTAATTGAATGAACAATTCAAAAAACTTCTGCAGTATTCGATCTATTTTCAGTTCTTTACCACGTAAACTTACAATTTTTTGTTATTGAGATTTTTGGGCAATGTGGATTAATATTTAAGAATAGATATTACCTCTCTTTTTCCCTTTTTTAAACAAATTGAAATGATTGAAGTTTTTCTATTTGGAATCATCTTAGGTTTAATTCCTATTACTTTAGCTTGATTAATTAACACCTTGTTTTGTTTTGTTTTGTTTTGTTTTGACCTCCTTCGGATTTAAAAAAGGAGGGGGAGGGTCAAATTTAGATTGCTCTTCGATTTTTTTCCATAAAAAATGGAGCCCGAACAAAAGAGTAATATAATAGAGTAATATAATCACGCTCTGTAGGATTTGAACCTACGACATTGGGTTTTGGAGACCCATCTTCTACCGAAATGAACTAAGAGCGCTTTCTTATCCCAAAGAATAGAAAAAGATTCTTTGTAACCCAAATAATCTCAAATGCTATAACTATAATATAGCATAAATATTATAATTAATATTTATACTCCTATCTCAAATGGATCTCGCCTTATTGCTCAGAGGCGAAGTAATAGGTAGAGATGACATGATTTGAACCCGTGATATTTTGTACCCAAAACAAACGCGCTACCAAGCTGCGCTACATCCCTTTCTTTCAATTGGTCTACAATGTCATTGTAGAGAATCCTTGTTTTGTTTTCCATATATTTCTTCCTTACTCTATTCCTATAAACAAACCAACTTATGTTGTCATTTTGTCTTTTTTCTTCTTTTTGGTCTCATATCATATAAGATAATAATAAAACAGAATAATGAAAAAGACTTATGTACTATTATGTACATAGAAAGAAACTAGGAAATCCGACATAAATTTCGTGAATGCTGGGGCGTAAGACGTAGTGTCTTTTTCTTTTCTTAAAAAAAAGTTATCGTTGTACATTTCCAATTTGAATTATGTTATGGATTTCGTATACAAAACAAATCCAAGTGGTCCTTAACCGCATATAGATATGATCATATATGTATTGTCATTCTATTTTGTATTACAGTAACTAATAATATTATTTATTACAATACTTTATTATTACACTAAAGAAGAAAGAAAAGGGGGAGTTTTTGAAATGCGAGATCTGAAAACATATTTATCTGTGACACCAGTAATAAGTACTTTATGGTTTGGGTCTTTAGCAGGCCTACTGATAGAAATTAATCGATTTTTCCCGGATGCGCTGACATTTCCCTTTTTTTGATTTTAGGTATTAATGCCTAGAGGTGAAGAAGATTAGAGATGCAATTAAACATCTACCACTCCTCATTTTTTTATTAGAAAACATTAGAAAAGAGAAAGAGGAAAGGTCGATTCAATCTCAATGAAACTCAGAAGTCTGGCCTAGGCTTCAAATAAATGAACTTCAATTAAATTAAGAGAACAAAAGTGTAAAATGAAGTTAAGGTAACAGTATCGTACAAGATATTTCAATGAAATACTGTAGTGCGATTCTAATCAAAACTTCTAATCTAAAGAGAGTTGAAAATTCTTGTATTACCTATTTTTTTCTTAATTTTCTTACTTATTATTATATTCTCTAAGATTGCTATTGATTTTGATTGTAAGAAAATCTTTCAGAATTTGATTTCGAGTTAGTAATTTTTAGTTTTTTTCTTTCTTATTCGCTTCGGGTCGGAAAATCGAAAAGTTGAAACTCAAAAGGAGGTTCATGGCCAAGGGTAAAGATGTTCGGGTAAGGGTTATTTTGGAATGTACCGGTTGTGTTCGAACCAGTCCTAATAATAAATCAAGAGGCATTTCCAGATATATTACTCAAAAGAATCGACATAATACGCCTAGTCGATTGGAATTGCGAAAATTATGTTCTTATTGTTACAAACATACGATTCATGGGGAAATAAAGAAATAGATGGAATCGATTACCTGCGTCATACCTTTTCAAAGCCGAAAGGACTGAAAAATAATATTAATATAAATTAAATACTAAAATAATAATATATTATGTTATTGACATATATTAAAAAACATATATAATAAGATATATAATGAATAATATAGATAATAGTAATATATTTACTAAATATATTAACTATAAATAAATAATAAATAGAAAGAAGCGAAATCCTATTTCATTTGATCGGATAAAAAATTCTTTAGAAATTTAAAATCAGAATTAAGAAATAGTCTTTTCGAAATAAGGAAAAAACCATGGATAAATCCAAGCGATTTTTTATTAAATCCAAGCAATCTTTTCGTAGGCGTTTTCCCCCGATCCAATCGGGGGATCGGATTGATTATAGAAACATGAGTTTAATTAGTCGATTTATTAGTGAACAAGAAAAATATTATCGAGACGGGTAACTAGATTGACTTTAAAACAACAACGATTAATTAATATTGCTATAAAACAAGCTCGTATTTTATCTTCGTTACCGTTTCTTAATAATGAAAAACAATTTGAAAAAAGCGAGTTGGTTGCTAGAACTGCTGGTCTTAGAACTAGAAAAAAATAGACTTCTTCTTCACGTGAATCAAAATTCCAATCCGAACTCAACCCTAGATTGATGTTTTGTCCAAAAAATTGGAAAATCGATATTTTTTTGTTGTGGCCTAAGAAAAAACGAATTGGAAAGAATAACTTTTTTTTTTAAAGCTTTGCTCAATTTACCTAATTGATCATATTATCATCGTATTTTATCATACTAATTTCTATTCTACCTTCCCGGAATTAATTCTACAAAGAATTCCATGGAAAATATTCTGATGACCTCTCTTTATTTGAAGATGTCATTAGAAATCATATAAAGACAATTCCTATTTAATATAGTTATTTGTGCAAGTATTTTACGATTAAGGAGCAATTTTCCCTTATACAAATTGTTTATTAATCTACTATAACTTGAAGATACCATATTCTCACGAATTCCTGCATTTATTCGAGTGATCCACAAACGACGAAAGTTCCTTTTCTGTCTATCTCTATCCCGATAGGCTGAAACCAAAGCTCTTATTTTTTGTTGAATAATAGTTCGACTAAGTCTTGAATGAGCCCCGCGAAAGCTTGATGCGAATAAACGAAGTTTTGTTCTCCGCCTTCGAGCTATATATCCTCGTATAATTCTGGTCATTGAATAAAGAAACTTTGATTGATAACTAATCGATTTTTTTTCTTTCAGTTATTCTTTTACCCTTTTCTATAATAACAAAACGGATTCTTCCAATATATAAAAAAAAATTCCAAGGGCTTTTCTACTATAACCTTCCCAACCACGATTTTTTTCTAAGCATTTCGCCTCGAAATAATAAAATTGCATTGATACTAGTACTAGGTATCAAAGTAAATATAAATGGATAAAGAAATTGTGGGTTCCATCGTTTTTATGGTTTCTTATCAAACGGTGAGGTCTTCTCTATACACCAGAGCTCCTTCTTTCATTTAATCAATGATATTGTTAAGTTGTACAGTTCACACTCTTTGGCTCTACCCCTGAATTATCCAGTAATAGGTCTTTCATAACGAGATCGATCTATACAGTAACAGTATTTAATTATGAAGATTAGCTAATTAGCGGGCCCTCTAAGTCCGTTCTTGTAAGAGCATTGCCAATTTTCGGCCTTTTAATTTAAATAGGATTTTCCCAGGCTTAATGGATAATCCTTTATTATCAACGGGGAATTTGTTCTCATTTTAAATTTAAAATTGAGGTGATTGAATTTATACCGATGGAAACCATAAATGGGATACACAATACAAGGATAGAATAGATTTTTTTTAGATATTTTTTTTAGATATTGAAGAAGGTTCCCCCTTTCTAATACTATTTATCCTTATCCGACCCGATCACGAATAGTGTAAAATCGGTTTCCTCTCTCTTGTCCCAGCTCATGATCTAAACGAGTTGCACATACACCCTAGTACATGTTCCTCGGCACTGAGGGCATCCCCTAAGAGCGAGGGATTTTGTGAGATTTCTGATTGACTGTCTTGTGTTTCTAATAAGTTGTTTAATAGTTGGCATTTTGAATTGTATGTATAATAAGTCGGTTTAGATCGCATTCGGTTGGTTAGCAAAACCGATTATGTTCCGTCGGTTCGCAAAAAAACATCGATCGGTATTGTAAACAAATATTAATGACACTTTCTTGATCGTCACAGAAAACCAAGGATAATTTTTTAGTATATAATTCAAATTCGCACAAATTACATGCAGCATACGAATCGACCATTCAAGTTTTGGAAGTTTGAAGCATCTAGTATACAGAACAAAAGTTGCTTCAAGTTCACTACATTGCATCACAAATTTCTTGCTTCTGGGTGATAAAGCTGTAAGCTCGAGCTTGAATCCTGAAAGTTTATCTAAACTAAACAAACAGCTACCTAACTTAGTGCGGACTCCTCATGTCAACTAGACACGGCAACTCTTGGCTAGATAATCGCAGTCTTTATAAACTTCTAAACCTGGCTGCCCCAATTGTTCTTCTTTGAAGCATGCGCATCGCCTGCTCATTTTACCCGTCAAAGCAATCTCCATTGGTCGCTGCACTAACCTCGGGAACCCATCATCACACCACACCTGCAACCCAATAGAAACATGCCCACCACCACACTTCTTTGAACTTTCATTGTTAGAACATGGAGAAAACTAAGTACTACTTCAAATATATCATTTTCATACCTCCCCACCCTCGTCTTGACTCCACCTGGAGTTGCAACTGGTTTGTTTGGCTTCTTCCTTCTTCTGCTTCTCCTCGAGCTGCTTGCCTCTTGCTGCCTTTGCTTCGACACCTTTCAGTGATTTCGTGGGATTTCCATGTTCATCGTAGTAAGGACCGACTAGCTTCCCCACAAACCTAGCAAGTTTAATTTTAACAAACATGTAAATAAAACATTTTCTTGCAGACATTTGAATATTTTGCATCAAGTGTGTACTAGAGAGGGTACATGTTCCTGGAGTTCAGGTTACCAAACTCAAATGATTCAACTTTTTGTAAGTGTGTGAAGAAGTAAGATAACTCCACTGGATCTCATGTTACCAAACTCAATCTATTAAATACTTTTCCTGGCAGTGGTTTCATTGCAGAAAATTTCAATTTTATAGGTAACAGCAAGATAGCTGCAGGCATCTAATATGGACCATTCTCAAATGTAGTAAGTTATTCTTAGAAGACGCATATACGAGAAAAACTGTACAACTTACGTGTATGTTCGAAAATAGAAGTCTCTCCATTCAACAATACTCTTGACCTATCAAAACCCACACAGCCAAATCACATCTTTAACAACCCTGTTCTTTGTATCAGAAGAAAACTGGTTGACCAAATAGAAAACTGAAGTAAGATACCAGGAAACAGGAGAAGGGAATGGACAAATTTCCTGTTAAACTTACCAAATTGCTGCAAGATAGAGCGAAGGTTCTTGGAACGATAGCAAATATAAAGATCAAGTCAAATATACAACTCTGTGAGTCTCTGCTATGATTAAAGATTCTCCAATACAATGCCATGAAGAACTCTTTTGAAGCTCTCTAGATTCAGACTTGCATTAAAGTTTTGACAGTCAATATGTCTGATATGACAAGTTTCAAATCTGGTTGAGATCCTGGAAAATCTATTGTGCCATAGGACTTTAATTTGAAGCTTGGTATGGGAATCAGTTCATAGAAGTAGACCACAGCACACAGAGGTCTTCTTACCCAAACATTCAGGGCATTTTGCGTTTTTATGCCATTGAATCTATCTCGTACTTTACTGTCAAAAGTAGACCTCATACCAGTGACTTCTTAGGAGTTCACATGCTAACGACCATTGTGATACCTAGTCACTTCTAGACAGAATTCCACAAAAAGGATTTCAGCGAGAGAGATTACCTCTGTGGTGGACAAGCCACGGACAGAGTCTGTCAGCCCATCTCCTGCAAAGGAAACATTTTAAAGTTAATTTGGTAACAAGCTGGGATGACATTTTTGTAACACAAGGTAACAAAGAAGGAAAATCTCCATTGGTGGTAAATTGCAGTAGACAAATACTTCATAGCCTTTCTACTGCAAGCATTAAGGGCTGTAGAATAGGGATTTTTCATGGATATTCGGGTAACCAGAGCCCAGAACTACTTAATAGCGCATTTGGAAACTTTAGAACCCTAATAAGTATCAAAGCCTTGCTTCAAGTAGCACTTAACACAAGAAGTTGAGTTTTAGTTATGCTGCTGTAAAGTGGTCAAGTAAAACAAAATTACCTGTAAAGTTCCCAGAAACAAATGCTCGCGAAGCATCCCTATGCTTGCAAAGAACACAGAGAGCAAATGAGTCAGTAAAGGATATAGTTAAGTACATTGCTGATTGAGTGGCCAAATGCAACATATCAAGCATATTGATAAAGACTCGCGGTAGAAAGGAAAATCCGAATGAACAATGACAACAGACAACCAAGATATGATATGCCGTGCTAATCGTGGTAAAAACACTTGAAAGTGCAAAGCAGCATTGCATCTAAAGAGCTCAAGGCAGTAGTAGGTCAAAGCAACCCATACTTCAAACCAGGTAACCATCAGAGTTGTGACCCTAATCAAGAAAACTGCTGAGAGTGTAGCTAACTAAACGTATGCAGCAATCGATCTGTCTCCCATAACATCCAAACGTTTTGAACGACTGACGGAATTGACAAAGAAAGGATAAATTAACAGACCTTCCAGCGAAATGATTGTAGCCCCCTCCAACTCCATAATGGGATCTTCCTTTGGTTACATCGAACACCGAACTACATAAACCCCAAACACAAAACAGCAAATTCGCAGTTAACAAGAGAAAACAACTGAAGCTCGCCCCATGATCTTCCTAATAAAATGCGCTAAACATACCCAAGGATGCCGAGAAGAATGGGTAATGATTCGTCGGTCCCGTTGTACAGAGCAAGCGCCTCTGCAGTGAAGAGTCTCTGGCGAATTGGCAACAGGCAAGTTAAACCGCCAAGTCAACACATAAACGGAAGTGCGGGAAATGGAGTAAATGAAGACGAAGAAATGGCGGTGGTGGCCGGAAGCTACCTGGGGTCGCTGCAGAAGCGAATTGAAGTTGAAGGAGGAGAAAGTGGAACCGAGATTGAGTTTCAGCGGGGAATTGAAGTAAAGAGCAGCAGTTAACGTGCCGAGAATAGCGATCCCCACAAACGGAGATTGCAAAGCTCTTTTCACTGCGTCAGACATTTCCCCCTTCTTCCTCTCTCTCTCCCTCCCTCCCTTCTTAACGACCCATGGAGTCGCCAAGACAGCCAGCGATTACTGCTTGTCGGGAAAATAGACCAGACCGTTAGAAAAATCGTGGTCCAAATTGTACCACACAGTTTGGTCTAGACCGTTTTAGTATGGTTTGGTCTGTCCATAATCTGTATTATTTTATGTTTTGATCTCTTGGTCTGGTCTGATCTAGACCGCGGTTTACTAGACCAACCGACTAGTCAATACGTGTTAATAGCCCACTCGATCACTCTCCCAGCTCCCACAACGACACCCATTTAACCAGAGAGTAGAGATAATCGTGTCTCCATATGACATTATGTTAATGTTCATAACGTTATGGTGCAAGTTGGGATGCTTTTACTTTGTACCTTTGTTATGTACTAAGATTTAGGGTATCAAAATTATCCGTGCATGTTAGGATTAATGTTTTAAGGCAAATAACAATTATTTTTCTTGGTTATTGGTTCAATTTTTTCCGTGGTTGACTAAACAAATTATTCATTTTTCTTTGAGTGTGGTCTATCTGGACCAGACCAGACCGAACCAGACCGCATAGGCGTGGTATGGACCAGAGCGTATAGTCTGTGGTCTGGTCTGTGGTCTATACTTCAGTCTCTCAGTCTGGATCATAGACAGTATAGACCAGACCGCACCGTTTTCCAGCCCTATTGCAAGTGGATAATTATTATTATGAATTAATATTTTAAGTGGCGTAAATGAATGTTAATTGGGCTTACATACAAAATAAGGACTTGGGCCGGATATTCTTTACAGTCTAGGTGTAGCGAGTTCGTCGGGACTTCCGACGTTTTCCGTGTCCGACTCGCTCTCGCCTCTCATCAACCGACTCAAACGCGGCATCCCAGAATCTATAAATTAGAACGCAGTCTCGAGTTTCTTGCCCACTGTTTCTCGTCATCGCAATTCGCACTTTCCCTGCTCGTAATTGAGAACCGAAAAGCCTGATCGCATTCGAAGCTCCCTTTCAAGATCCGAAAGCCTGTTCTCGTTCCAAGCTCTTTCTCAAGGTAAATCTAGGGTTTCCACTCGCATCTTTATCTCGTCAAAACTGTTCGATCTTCCTCCTTTGATCTCTTCGTCGAATCTTCAGTTATTATGCTTGCCAATCGTTCGGAGTTTGTACGTACGATCGGACTTTCTTTGCGATACTGCCTAGCGAGTTCTGTCGTGATTCTGAATTCGATTCATTGGATTTCTCTATAGCGTGATTGATCGTATAGTTTTGAGTATTCACGTATGATCCTGATTCTTGAATCTGATATAGCTTAGGGGTTTTCCTCGAGATGTTGTAGAATTAACAGATAGGTTAGCTAATCCATCGTGCTAGATGTGCTTTCCTCGCTTTTATGAAGAATCGAACAACTTCGTTTGTCTTGACTGTGATTTGTGTATAGGGTTTTCTTTTGTGATGCTGTGTATAGTTCTGCTATTGAGTTCATCCATTCGGTTGATTAGGGCATCTTCCTGCCTCTCAAGTTTAATGCTAGAATTGGCTGCTTCAAAGTTTGTTTAGGCTTCTTCTTTTGTTCATGCAATGCATTGCCTTCTGGAATTGAAAAAATTTAGTTTACATGTGTCCTGATGGCTCTTTGCTAGTTAATCCGAACATGGTTATGGTCTCGTTTTAGTTCAGAATGTTCAGGTCTCTTCCATACACTTAGAAGAGGCTTTTTGAGTTGGGTAGTGATTTCAATAGCTTTGTTGGATTAGTCTCTGGTTAATTTCATTGTTTCTGATCGTTTTTTTTTTCTTCCTAATTGTTCAGATGCAAATCTTTGTGAAGACTCTCACTGGAAAGACAATCACCCTTGAGGTGGAAAGTTCTGACACTATCGATAATGTGAAAGCTAAGATTCAGGATAAGGAAGGCATCCCTCCTGATCAACAAAGGTTGATCTTTGCTGGTAAACAGCTTGATGATGGCCGTACTCTTGCTGACTATAACATCCAGAAGGAGTCCACTTTGCACCTGGTGCTACGACTTAGGGGTGGAATGCAGATCTTTGTGAAGACTCTCACTGGAAAGACAATTACCTTGGAGGTCGAGAGCTCAGACACCATAGATAATGTGAAGGCAAAAATCCAGGATAAGGAAGGTATTCCTCCTGATCAACAGAGATTGATTTTTGCTGGCAAGCAGCTTGAGGATGGCCGCACCCTGGCTGACTATAACATCCAGAAAGAATCCACCCTTCACTTGGTCCTCCGACTCAGGGGTGGGATGCAGATTTTTGTTAAGACTCTCACTGGCAAGACCATCACACTGGAGGTTGAGAGTTCTGACACTATCGATAATGTGAAGGCGAAGATTCAAGACAAGGAGGGTATCCCTCCTGACCAGCAGAGGCTGATCTTTGCTGGAAAACAGCTTGAGGATGGTCGCACCCTGGCGGATTACAATATCCAAAAGGAATCCACCCTTCACTTGGTCCTCCGTCTCAGGGGTGGGATGCAGATCTTTGTTAAGACCCTCACTGGCAAGACCATCACACTGGAGGTTGAGAGCTCTGACACTATCGATAATGTGAAGGCAAAGATTCAAGACAAGGAGGGTATCCCTCCTGACCAGCAGAGGCTGATCTTTGCTGGAAAACAGCTTGAGGATGGTCGCACCCTGGCGGATTACAATATCCAAAAGGAATCCAGCCTTCACTTGGTCCTCCGTCTCAGGGGTGGGATGCAGATCTTTGTTAAGACCCTCACTGGAAAGACAATCACATTGGAAGTCGAGAGCTCAGACACGATTGACAATGTGAAGACGAAGATTCAAGACAAGGAGGGGATCCCACCTGATCAACAGCGGCTTATCTTTGCTGGGAAGCAGCTTGAGGATGGAAGGACCCTTGCTGACTATAATATTCAGAAGGAATCCACCCTGCATTTGGTCCTTCGTCTTCGTGGTGGTATGCAGATCTTTGTTAAGACCCTTACCGGGAAGACCATCACCTTGGAAGTGGAGAGCTCCGATACCATCGACAACGTGAAAGCCAAGATCCAGGATAAGGAGGGGATCCCACCAGATCAACAGCGGCTAATCTTTGCTGGGAAGCAGCTCGAGGACGGAAGAACCCTTGCTGACTACAACATTCAGAAGGAGTCCACCCTCCACCTTGTCCTTCGTCTTCGTGGTGGCATGCAGATCTTTGTTAAGACCCTCACTGGGAAGACCATCACATTGGAAGTTGAGAGCTCTGATACCATCGACAATGTGAAAGCCAAGATCCAGGATAAGGAGGGCATCCCACCGGACCAGCAGAGGTTGATATTCGCAGGGAAGCAGCTCGAAGATGGGCGGACATTGGCCGATTACAACATTCAGAAAGAGTCCACTCTGCACCTTGTCCTCCGCCTCCGCGGTGGCTTCTGAGGGAAAGCAGAAGGCACAGCTTGCTCGTGATGGACGGATGGCGCACCCTCTTCTGATATGATGATAATGCTGTCATTGCAATAACTCTGATCGTTCCTTGGGCATTATTTTGTTTGAGAACAGCTTTATATTTGTGGTTTGTTGGAACTTATCCTCGTCTGTTTTTGGTACTGTCTTCTGGTTTTCGATGAACAATGTTTGGTCGGGTCTGATTAGGCTTTTTGAGTAATAAGATTGTAATGGCTTTTGCTCGAAACAGGGGGAAAGAAAGAAAGAGTTGATTTCTGTGTTTGTCTATGCTTAAACGGCTTTGATTGTCTAGTTTACGTACCTATAACGTGTCAGAGTGGACACAGTTATTAGTCACTTACTAGTTGGCTCATTGCAATATCAAAAAGCAGAGTCCCACTTTGTAGCCTACTAAATAAGTCTACTAAGTCCACTGCAGCAAGTGGCTGCGAGCTTTAATGGCGAGGAAGAAAAATCCTTTCAAGTCCCAACCACACAAATATATCCACCGAGTCCACGGCCACAGTCACAAGTCTTCCCCAACTCCAACAAATGCCCATTCTTCCACGCGGAGAATTAAATTCTGGAAATGGAGTCTTCTTCTCTAAGAACCCAAAAAAAGGGGCAAAGTAGGAGCTCCTTTCAGTTCCCCATCTGGTATATAAGTCCAAACAACTTCAACCGAAAGTCACATATCTCATCTTTCCCCCCAAGTTTCTCTTTTTCCCTTGTTGGAATCCGATGGGTTGCCGCCGGACATGGTTTCTGCAGCTGTTGGCGGTGTTCCTCCTGTGGAGCAGTACGTCGGCGGTCTGCCGGAAAAATATGGCCCGAGCTCAGGCTAAGAAGGCACTCCGGGTTGCTGCAGGGAAGCCTTCCTTCAAGATCGCCATCTTCGCCGACCTCCACTTCGGCGAGAACGCATGGACCGATTGGGGCCCCTTACAGGATGTCCTGTCCACCGGCCTCATGTCTTCCGTTCTCGAGGAACAAAAGCCAGGTGGGTAAATCGGAGTCTAACATCGCGTTTTAACACTTATCGTCACCAAAACGCTTCTGCGTAGTATTGCAGTCAAAATTACGCTTTAAAGTTTACATTTTTAGACTTCTAACTCACTAAAACGCTTAAATCGCGATTTTCACTGCGTTAACCGCGCTGAATAGGAGTCCACTTGCTAATTGCCATTTTTTTTTTATCTCTGGGGTTTTGCTAATTCCCTTTGATGTTGGCTTTCCCGCTAGATTTCGCGGTGTACTTGGGCGACGTAATCACGGCGAACAACATGGCGATTGCGAACGCCAGCGCTTACTGGGACCAAGCCATTGCTCCAGCCCGCGACAAGAGAATACCGTTTGCAACCGTGTTCGGGAACCACGACGACGCCAGATTCGAGTGGCCGATGGAGTGGTTCTCCCCGCCGGGAGTCCCTAAAGTCAGCTGCCCGGCGGCGGCGGGAGCCGGCGACTGTAGCTTCAGGGGAACGGGTCGGGTGGAATTGATGAGGAAGGAAGTGGAAAGGAACAGGGAGCTGTCGTTTTCGGCAAGCGGTCCGAATTCCCTGTGGCCGAGCGTGTCCAATTATGTGGTGCCGGTGGGTTCTTCCAACGGCAGCGGCTCGCCTGTTTTGCTGATGTATTTTCTGGATTCCGGCGGCGGTTCGTATCCCGGCGTTATTTCCGGTGCTCAGTCGGACTGGCTTCAGGCTAAGTTTAGAGAACTGAATCCCGACGGCAGGTAACTTTTGTTTCTTTCTCAGTTCGGCGTTTCATTAGGCCCACTGGGCCCAGAAGTTGGGGTATAGTTACACATTAAGAACGTGGGCCTACTCGATCCATAGAAGTTTACCGTAAAGGCATAAACTGAACATTTTTTTATGGGACATAAACTGAAATTTTGGATAATGTTCTAAATGAGTCAATTTGATTCAATTATGTATTCTCTTCTCAATTAATTTATATTACCGTAAAAAAAAAAATTTAAATTGACGCAAAATGAAACAATTCAAATTATATCAACCTAACTATGCATTTCTATTTTGTATTGTCAAAACAAGACAATTTGATCCAATTGCTTCATTTTGATGCGCATGTTCACAATTATCATTTGTTTAGGTTTTTCTTACCCTCACACTCTGTTGTTTTTTGTCTCTACACTTCTTTCATCGCTCTTTCCTTTGTAAATAGGATTCCGGAGATCATGTTTTGGCACATACCAAGCACGGCTTATGCCAGCGTAGCACCAAAGTCGACGGCGGGAGTGGCGCAACCATGTGTGGGCTCGATCAACGCTGAGAGTGTCGCCTCTCAAGACAAAGAAATCGCCACGATGGACATTCTCGTTAAAAGACCTTCTGTCAAGGTCACACTATCTCCATTTGTCTCTTTCTTATCCGCTTCTAAATATAATTTCTTTCTAAAGAATGCTTGTTTGAACTTTGTTGATATTTTTGCAGGCTGTGTTTGTAGGGCACAACCATGGAATGGACTGGTGTTGCCCCTACCAAAAGTTGTGGTTGTGCTATGCCAGACATACTGGCTATGGCGGGTATGGCAGTTGGGATAGAGGCGTTAGGCTGGTGGAGCTCATCGGGAAGCCATTTTCTCTCAAATCGTGGATCACCATGGCTAATGGTGAATCCCATAGCGAAATCATCCTGGCCTCCTAGTGTAAATAAGATGGATGTTTTGATGCATATGTCTGTGATGACATACATGCCAATGATCTTTATTTTTCACACTCTTAATTATGCTTCCAGAACAATTGTATACTTTCGTATTCTATGTTACTACTCTTATATGAAGATGAATGAAGTCGTTATTAAGGACACGAGATGAATTCTCAACATATATGGATTTCCATTGTTCGTTTCTTTAGCATGTTAGCTCATTTCCTTGTTGTTTTAGCCCTGCGTTTGGTTTTCAGATTTGAGGACAAGTCTATTCTCAAGGGATCGAGATTGTAATGAATGGGGGGTTTAGATGTATTAGAATTTAGTTGGGGTAGTAATTTGGTTGTCATATAAATAGGAGTGTAAAGATCTGCGGAAGAGAATCGAATAACAAACAAACAGATTTTGCTTCTTTCTCTATTCTTCTTTTGTTCTTTTCACCTGCTTCTTCTTCCCCAATCTCACCTTCTCCTCTGCTAATTCCCTCTATGTTCTCGAAATTACAATTTCAATTCCAATTCCTTTCTCTATAATCCGTCGGGAAGATCCAGAGTGTTTCAGAAAAGGATTCAGAAAGCTCCAAACCTATCAGGGGTGGCCATGAAGAGTGTTATAGCGAACTACATACTGGTACATAGGGGGTTTGATAATATTTAAATCAATTAGGGATGGCAATGGGTCGGGTCGGGGACGGATAGTGCATATCCGTTACCCTACTCGAAGTAGTTCGGGTTTTACCCATACCCACTTGTGAAACGGGTACAAAAATAAAACCATGCCCGTGCCCGTTCGGGTTTCGGGTATCCACGGTTATTCATGGATAATAATTTCTCTTTATAACTCCAACCAATATGTTAACATTCACACGTATTCTCACATTACGTAAGAGGAAAAGTACGACAATAGTTCACTAGAATGAAGAAAATTAACTAAAACAACACAATTTCATGAAAATATTATATTTATATGCTAAATATAAAATATATTAGGTAAAAATAATAATTATTTATAGAGCAAATACACATGCATGCGTATAATCGGGCGGGTTCGGGTTGGATAGTTAGAAACCCATGCCCACCCATTACCCGCAATATTCGGGTTCGGGTTTTACCCGTACCCACTAAATGTCCTTCGGGTTCGGGTTTTACCCGTACCCGATTAAGCCGGATTCGGGTGGATATCCACGGTTACAGATATTTTTGCCATCCCTAAAATCAATGCATTATGATCAATGCAATTAAAGAAAATTATGTACTTTACTTTTTGTGGGAAATATTTGTTTTTTCCCTTGCTTTATGAGAGCATATATATAACAAAAAAGAAACTCAACAATTTCTTTCAAACTATCTCAACAATCTCAAGTTTTAGTAAAGATATTACTATCACTCATTTTTGAGTGATAGTTTCCATCAAATTAACAAAAGAATGGATGTATTGTTTAAGTAAATAAACAAAAAAAATGAAGCATTATTAACAACGCACACATTGTAACAATCTCACCTAAACTATCACCAAAACCAAACGACTCCTTAGTATAGTAAGTGGCCGCGGAAAATCGTTACGGCGTCGTTGCGCGTGAGTACTTAGTTACTAGGAATGGAAATGGGACAAGTCCGGGCGGGTTTCTTGGTACCCAGACCTGCCCCGTAGCAGGTCGGGTCCAGGTCGGATAATTTATCACGGGTCGCGGGTCGGGGCAGGTCGACCCAATGTGTATGCAATTTATATGGAAAACATTAGAAATATTCGTTAATTTTATTATAAGACCAAGAAAACAAACAATATTATGATAAATGTAGTTAAATTATTGGAGGAATTGAGGTTTTCACTAATTTATAACTTTATTATAGCTAAAATACGATGTAATAAAAGGAAAATCCTAAGTAGTTTGAATAAAATTACATGTAATTTAGGCAAGAATGAGGCGGGTCTGGGCAGGTCGGGCCGATGAGAGTACCCATGCCCGCCCCCGCCCCGCTTACAGGGAGGGTTGAACCTACCCAAAAAGGCCATACAGATCAGGTAAAACGGGTTAGATCGAAATTGTCATCCCTGTTAGTTACTTACTAATAGTCTAGCTTGATAATTGACACGACGTCAGGGCTTTTTCCTTATTCTCTCTCGTTCTCAAAGCTCTCCTCCGCTCCGGCGTCTCTATCCCTATTCCCTACTCCGCTCTCATTCTCAGGCTGCCGCCGCCTCTCCGTGCTAGCTTCTTCCAGGTAACTCCGGTTTTCCTTTCCCTTATCTTGTAAGGCAAGCTAGGGGGATACCCCTCCAAGTGATTGATTCTTCGGCATACAAGTTTTCTGGCCAGTTCTTGTTTGCTTTTCCATAATTACATATTGAGTATTGGTGTTCGTGAGATGGAAAGGATATAGAAAGGGTAGAATGTCTCCTAGGGAAAGAACTAGAGGATGACCAGGTATTGTGACTGTTCATACTTTCCCCAATTTAGGGATTGGTTAGGTCTGAAACTGATTCTGGGTTTTTTTTTTTTTTTGTTGTTGTTGTTGTTGTAGTGTTTGCTACTTCTGTACGTGTATACGATAATGAGTGAAGGTGAGGGCAAGGCGGTGATAGGACTAACATGGCAGCCCAAGTTGCCTACAGCTTCTCTTGCTTCGTCGTCGTCGTCCCGGAAACCTCAGGACGGGGGTTCTCTTTGGAAGCCTACTCAGGAGCTTGTCGATGGCCTGTTTTTGCCACCCAATAATCCTTCTCAGTTGAAAAAGTTGCAGAAGAAGCAAGTCAAGGACACTCTTGGCAAAGGATGGTATCAAGCAATTGTCCCTCTTGTTCTTTTTGCTTTAGTTCTTGTCCTGTTTTGGTTGGAGTTTACTTTAGCCTTGATGTTTCCCTTGCTTGAAATAGCTAGACTGATACTATTGCTGCCCTAAACTTCACTGTAGGTTTGATATGCCAGCTCCAACTATGACCCCGGAATTGAAGAAAGATCTCCAGATACTAAAGGTAACCTTCTTCCCCAATCTTATGCAGTGTTCTTCCTTCACACTGTTTTGTCTGCTCGGATATCTGTCAATGGCTCCAGATTCCAGCCACCATTTAGCCATTTGTCTCTTCTGTGATACTCTTTGTCCAGACCAGGACAATTTTATTATGTAGTTCTTGGCAGTCACTTTGTAGTTTGTGGTACCCTCATCGTTGGCTTCGGGATGCTTGCCAATGTCGGCCATTTAAGTGTTTTTCACCTGTTGCTACTTTTCTCCAAAATGGCGATACTTCTGTACCATCAACATTCATTACGCCTTTTATTGAAACCTGAACCTCCTCTTATGGATTCGTGATTGTAAGTTTGTAAATGGCGAGTCTTCAAAGATACTTTGAATTCTCCCTAGCAGTGTTCATATGGCTGCCTCTGCCTCTTTTCTCCCTGAACACAAATGGAACATGCCGTCTCCTATTTCATTTTTGGTTGAGATAGCATCTATGTTCTTAGCCTGGAAATGCAACCCCCATGGGCATTGCAAACCCTAGTTACAGTTAGACATTAGGCTCAATGGCCACTCACTCTTCAGAGCCAACATTTAGCAACGGGTCACCAATATGCATATTATTATAGAACGTTCAACTTACGTTTTTGTATTTATATTTTTCTCTTCCAACTATTAGTAGCTCAGGTTCTAGGATCACATCTTTCCTTGTATCTGGAATGCTACCATTCAGATGATTTCATTTTTCTACAAGACACTGGTGGGGTGGCTAATTAGTACCTTCAGAGCTAGCGGCTTAGGCGCCTAGCTGTGCTTGCCTTGCAGTTTGCTGGAATGCTTGTGACTGTTTTAGATAGCTACTGCTTGTCTTCTAGAATTAGATGATATTAGGATTGAGTCTGACTTAGGATTTGGGAACTTATTTGAGAAGTCCTTGACTTCTTTCCATCTGGAAATCAAATATCCAATGCATGGCACGAAGTATGGGCCTGAGTAAGTGTCATGGACACGGATAATTGGATTAAGATACACTCTTGATTGCTCTCCTATAAGTAAAGTACTGTGGTTCAATAAAGCATGAACTGTGTTTGTGGAGTTAGTTTGTGGACCATATTGATCTATAAATTGATTAACTTTTGGAAGGCATGTTTTCTGATTGTGTGTATAGATTCTGTTCTGATAAACTAAAAGTGAGGTATTTGATCAATTTTGCAGCTGAGAGGCGCTATCGACCCAAAGAGGCACTATAAGAAAGGTGATTCAAAGTTAAAAGTTCTTCCCAAATACTTCCAGGTACTTTAAAGTTGTAAGCTAAACCTAGTGCCCTGATGATGTCCTTAACATCCTTCGGCAAAAGAAGCTGAAGCATGTTTTCGCTCTTCGTATCTCAATCAGGTGGGTACAGTCGTCGAGTCACCGATGGAGTTCTTCTCCGGCAGGCTGACAAAGAAGGAGAGGAAAGCTACTATTGCTGATGAGCTACTTTCTGATCAGGCCTTCAAGGCTTACAGGTACAATACATGTTCCCTCTCGTCTAAACTCTCTAGTTGTACGCTGACATGCAAAGAAGCCAGTGGGCCTTAGTCAACTTACGAGAACTATCCTGCCATGGTATGATGCAGGAAGCGCAAGGTGAGAGAGATCGAGGAACAGAATCGCCCTGGCGGGAAGGACAAGTGGAAAATCAAGGGGAAGCAGACGTTCAAGCGAGCAAAGGATAAAAGACGCTAAAGCATCCTTATCATTTTTTGTACTCTTCGAAAAGAACCTTGAAAGAAAAAACCAGAGCTTCTCATGTCGATGCCTGAGGCCTGGGCAACCTCTCTCCCTTCTTCAATTTTGGGTTGGTCAACGTCATATGTATTAGAACAGGTAGAAATGGGAAATAGGAAAATGCAGCACTATATCAGACGCTTTCGGTGTACTAAGCCTTAAATTCTTTTTTTGACTGTGTTTCACTAATAGCTTCCTATTATGAACATTGTTGCAACAAATGTCCATTATAACTTTGACCCAGACTTTGACACGATGGCAACGGTAGGTTGTGTGAGTTTTGGTGTTAACTATGACCTATTTATTTGCATTTTTCTTCGAGTTGGGTTGGGTGGGTGATGGATTGAGTACCGGTTGGATTGTGGGTTAACTAGCAAAATCAATTTTTTCAACTAGCCATTAAGCAAGTCAACTAACATTTAGAATAAGTTCTGTGTACACTAGTAACACTATAGCAATTTAGACATTTCTCACTACATCAAAATTTTCATTACTCCATCAACTAATTGTAGAGAAATTTTAACTATTTTGTGACTTTGATACAATTAATAGTTTATAATTTGCATTTCACTATTTAATGGATACTACAAAACATTGCAATCAATAATAGTAGTCCTAGAATAATTTTTATCCTCCACATTTAGAATTTGATGGCTAGTGTGTAGTGCAGTTACGAAATATGATGGCCATTCGATAGTATAAACAAGAAATAATTTTCTGTCATATAAAAATATGGTGCGTGTCATTCGGGTGACCCGCAGTCCACCTACCACTCACCCATCTAACTCACTGTGGTAGGAGATTTATCACTATGCAATCCATCTAGGTCAATCACCCACTCATTATGGTTCGAATTATTTCAGGTGAATTGATATCAAACCGCGGATTAACCACCCATGTCCATTTAATAATTGGTAAGGGAAAAAAACCCAAAACGGAATCATTATCTATCTAATCTAATCTAAAGAATATATTGTACGTTTTCCCATTAAAAGCTTCTCTATTCAATTTTTCTCTTCATTCACGCTTCCACGTCAGCAAAACTTTAACCAATCACAACTCACTTTCACTTTAAAAAGTAACTCCTTCCATGCGGAAACAGCAAATCCCTCTATTTTTCCTTTTATATTTTTAAATTTAATGTTTAATATTTATCATGTGTGGCCGTTTAAAAAAAAGAACTTCTTGCCCTTTTTTATAGGTTAATCTCATCTTTATCTTTTTATTTTACATATCAATTTTCTTATCCATAGATGTTTCTAATCTATAAAGACATAGTTTTCCTCCTGACTGAGCTTGCTTCTTTCTCCATTCCTTGTAACCTTATTGAACTGAGTATCTTCCTGATTTATCTCTACCCCAGACTCTTATATCCGGTCTCGAATGAATAGGAATTGGGATTTGTTTGATTCGTCCCGATCATTTGGTTGGAAATTGGGTTGCAATAGATTGCTTTTCCATGACCTGGTGTCTCTATCAGTCAATCTTGATACATTCTTAGTGATTCCCAGCCCTAACACTTGTGTCTGGATTCGAAATCTGCAGCTATTGGGATCCAATGATCCCACCAGATTCTCACACTTTCTCCATCACCTATTCTCCACCTTGTTCTTTCTCTAACAAGCGATTGTGCTTGCATTAGGTTGTGCCAAATGTAGCTCGAGTTGTTGCACACTGATTTTTGAAGTAGGTTCCAAAATTTTCTTCCTAATAGGGCAATATTAATGCCATAAAGATTCTGAAAACCCATACCTCCCTCATACTTTGGTCGACAAAGCTTGTTCCAACTCATCCAAAGGATCATTTTTTCCTCACTTCTTTTACCCCCACCAGAAGCTTGCTATCATACTTTGTATCTCTTGTACCACTCATTGAGGAATCATAAATCTTGACATGGCATAAAGGGTATGTGCCTGTGCAACAGTTTTGATCAAGACTTCCTTAGATGCATTTGATAGGAGTTTACATTTCCACATCTTAATCTTGTTTTGAGGCCAAGATATCTGGCAGGAGTTCCTTCAAATCATGAGCATCTGGGCAGCATTTGAAGGATATCGTACCACGGAACCCATATTGGTTCCTAAAAGCGGCCAAAGTTATGGCGTCTTCTGCATTTTCTATGGGAATACACTCACGAACTTTCAGTTCCTCTGCCAAGAAGTGGATTCTTGATCTTGCACACGCAAGATCATCCTCTTGAAGAAAGGTTTTTGTCGTAAGCCAATTGGCAAAGTATCTGAGGTATTTTATGGTGCTTGGACACTTCTTGTTCTTCTCTTCTGAAACTTCCAGAAGCATTTCCTTATCAGTGGCTGGGATCTCTAGATTCATCGGGAAATAATGATCCGGTGTGAAACTCAGTCCAACAATGTCACTCTTAAGGAAAGCCTCCGCTCGCATAAGTCGTAGATAGGATGAGAACTTCTGGAACAGCAACAAGACGGTTTTCCCTTCGCTGGTGCCGAGCTGCCCCACGGTGAGCCGACGTAGATCTCGCGCGGCAGAGAGAAACAACTTTCTCGCCCACGGAGCCGGAGCGGTGGGAAGTGCGTCGAATGCGACCGGCGGAGGAGGTAGATCCCGATCGATGAGAGCAAAGTCTGACGGAAAAATGAGGTCCAAAAACTTTATTGTTTAACAAAATAAGTCCCCGCACAATAATTTTAGCATATGCCATCGGGGAGAAGTATCATTCTTTTTCTTTTTTATGTCATACGCATGTGCAATGCGACTTATCTATTAGTAAACGTAAGAGAATATATTCAATTAAGATAAAGATTTGATGATTAATGTTTATTAACCAAATTATTGATGGATTGCATGCCATATGTGTTGTAGATTCGTCTTTTTCCTCATAATGACCTCATCCACCATCAAATCATGGAGGTAACCTTGAATACAAGAGTATATGTGTTAAAATAAGATTTTGTTTCGTACTTAAATCTGTGAATGTGTCCAATAAGAAAGTGCAAGTCCAAACCCTAGTGGAAGACCACTGATATGAAGCGGTTGTCAAATTGATAAAATACGACCAAAGCAGGTCAAAATTGGAAGATTAGTGGTCAATCCGGAATTATCAAATTTTCAGTGTTCAAACAAATGACACCATTTAGGTGGATTATTTTATTTAAAAAAATAAAGAATTTTGCTCAATTCAAATATGAATGTGTAGATGTTGATGGTATTCATTGTTTTAAGCATAAACGTTGGATGTTATGTTAAATACTGTATTTATATACGATTGTCAGAATTTTTCCGAGCAAAATTAGGAATAATTGACAAAAATTATCATAAGATTGTACTAATAACAAAATTATCACAAAAAGATTAAAATATAACAAAAATATCACATATACACCAAAAAAATATTATTATATTTTATTTTTTCCATTTAATTTGAGGAAGTATAATTAGTTGGGGGAATCAAAAGTGAAGGTCCAACAACTATATTGTCTAACAAAATAAGTACCCGCACTATAATTTTTTTCTTTTTTATGTCATACGCATGTGCAATGCGACTGATCTATTAAGAAACATAAAAGAGTACATTCAATTAGGTTAAAGATTTGATGATTAATATTTATTAACCAAATTATTGATGGATTGCATACCATATGTGGTAGAAGAGTCTAAGAGTCGTACTCATTTAACTTTTCAAGAATGAAAAACGAGCTTGTGAAAAGTACTAATTTAGATATTTTGTCATTACGAGTACTAATTTAAAGACCAATTGTGCTTAAGAATGTGGTTTGGAATATGAAGAAGGAATGAGCAACTCATTGTTGTTAAAAAAAGTTGTTTATATATTAAGAACAAAGGGTATTTAAAGGGTTGTGAGTGTAATTATGGTGACAGTGATAACACTTGTTCCCCTGCAATTATTTATTCCCTTGTGCTATACTAGTATGTAATACTTAAGGTGTATCTTTAATAAAAATAAGGTGGCAAATGAGTTAATATATATGATGGCAGTCGGCAATCTTAATATTCAATCTCCCAACTTTGTGCCTTTAAGTAGTCCAAGTAGCACATGCACTAACAATATTGACATGGCCTTCATAATTAAATGGTCAAAAGCATTCATGATTATAAACTAATTTTTTGACCAAATTCCTGCTGTTAATTCAGTTCTTTGGTGATTGTTCTTAAGTTACTTTCAAACTAAGCCGGTGATCATATAATAGGGCGATCGGAAACACCGATTTTGTCACTTTCCAGTACCATTACCTATCTAGATTTTCTGTTGCTAACGTATGAGGTTAGAACCTTGTTTAGCTTATCAATAAGCATACATAATTCGATGTATTTTTCTTGAACTCTCATTCGTCCTGAAAGCATTAAAGACCAGACGTGGAAGAGCAGGTACTAGTTATGGAAAATCCATCAAGTTCAGGGACCATAATGTAATGGTGAAAAAACATATACCTCAAAAGACACTTTCTTGCACTTGATCATTGACATATGTTAATTAAGGTAAGGATTATATTTGAAGTTAATTAGGCTGTGGTGGGGAGTGGGCACAAACTTCATTGCAAAGGGGAATTAGCTGCTGGGGACTTTGAACAGCTCAAAAGCCTTGTTATTTGGGGGTGCCATCATTTGGTAAGGAGAATTTAGAACAAGAGAAAAGTGGATTTGCATTGCTTGGTTGGGACAGCAGAATTTAGAACAGATAAGCTCTTTCCCTCAATCTTCCATCCCACATGGCTCATTATCATTATCAGTCACACCCCATAAAAGTATTGATTGATCACACTTCAACTTGGCCAAGATGACCAAGTACAACTATTGATTGGAGTATAATAGATGTTAATTATTGGACTAGATAATATATTTTCATGATATTTGACGTTCATGTAATGTATACTGTTAACTTGACCGTCGTTATAATACGAGAACTTGATTATTATTTATGCCTAGCTCAATTATTATTTGGGCATAGCTTACTTGGGGTTAGACATGTTGTGAGATAAAGATGTTCACAAGAGCTACGATGAGTGTAAGACTAATGCGGAATATATTGATCTTTATAAAGTTTACGAGAGTGTCACTAAACATTTGAGAGAATTTACTTTGCAGCTAGGATGAGTTTTTCACACTTTACTCACTAATAACGAGGGATGACACTCCGATATATAAATTTTCTTCGCTTTAATTCGCAAAGGACGTCAATTGTTTGGTCAAATGCCTGCACGAGTAGTCATGGAATGCCATCAATCTATAGACAACAGCTTATGTGTTTTGCTCTTTAGACTGAGGCGTTTTTCAGTCTTAAATTGCTTTACGAAACTGCGATCATATTCAACAATTGTTTTCTTATCTATCGATTGTAGTCCATATGATCCGATTTTTATAAAGATTTTTACCGTCGAAACACCACTTAAATTTTCTCGATGCGAGTAATCACACGAAATGATGGACCAAATTCTGTTATGGATGAATCACTATCACAATCTTGATTGACAATGGAAATAATGTCAAGGTAGTAAAACGTAAGAATCAGAAAGAAAGGGTAGGGAAAGAGGAGTAGAAATGCCACTTGTAACCAAAAGGGCAAATTGCCTGGATGAAAAATCGGGAGGGAAATTTTGAACAAGTCAAATCTCAGTTGCGGAGAAACTGACAGTTGGGACTCTGCAGATGATGACGTGGACGAGGTCAGCTGAGATAAAAAAGTAAGCAGAAAACCCCGCCAAAAGTTGCGGGGCCCGCCTTCTGTTTTTTCTCTACCTCCTTTTTCCCATTTCCCCGTCCCAAAATAATCGAAATCTAAAGCGAAAAACAGAGAGCGACAAAGAGCCCTACTCAGCCTCCAATTCATTCCCCTCAGCTGCATTTAATCACTTGCGAATTGCGATTGCCACCCACTTCTCTCATTAGCCTGCTCCCTGATCTCCATCTGCAATTAGTTAATTAATATCCTCACAGGAAACAAATCATGCTCTGTTTCAGAGCAGCATGAATCACACTCTGTTCACACAATTGAACTCGTCATTGGATCGAGTTCTTGAGCTACCCTCTGTTTCTAGAACGGGGAAAGATGGGTTCTTTGTTGTTCCGGGAGTCGATTACTGAAACGGGTCGCTTTTGATTTTGCGGTAATCGATTGAGCTCTCGTTTGGTTCTTTTTCTTCTTCAATGGCGGATAGTAAAGGGGGCTGCTGGTATGGCTGGATGAAGAAGATTTTTACTTGCCACCTGGCAGAAAAGGTTCCTTCTTTCCCCTTCTCTGTTTTGGATATTCATGGCGTCCTGAGGGGGAGGAAAAAAAAAGAGAGACGGAATGATTTTTTGTTTCTTTTTTGGTTTTGGGGGTTTCCAGAAATTGAAGAGAGGGAAATGGAAATGGGTTCCACGGCGGCTGCGGTTGCTGCGGCAGCACCCTGTTATTCCGTCACCAACCACACAGCTCACGGAAGCCAGAGAGCGGCAGAAGAATTACGCTCTCACCGTCGCCATGGCCACCGCCGCGGCGGCAGAGGCGGCTGTCGTGGCCGCCAAAGCCGCCGCCGAGCTCGTACGCCTCACCGCCACCAATAATCCTCACCGGATTTTATTTAAACGAGACAGGAACCGGGCTGCAATTCTGATCCAGAGTGTCTTCCGTGGCTACCTTGTAAGCTTCTTAATTGATTCATTAATCAATTCAAATTTTTTGAGGGTTTCATTTTGGAAAATTTGGTGGGAATTATTAGGCTAGGAAAGCGTTGAGAGCATTGAAGGGAGTTGTGAAGCTACAAGCCATTGTTCGCGGCGAGTTGGTTCGACGACGACAATCTGTCATCATCAACAAGCTCAAGCATTTGGCTCTGCTAGACGATGTTGATGATGCTAACTGTACAGCAGCTTCCATGGATGAACATGAAGAGAAGGACTTCAAGGTTTCCACTTTTTGATACTTAAAAAACTAAGTTCAGCTCAAAATGCGAAGAATCATCAATGTGACACATTTGCTTGCTTCTTGTTTGAATGTTGTAGCAGGGGAGGGGAGAGCACAAGCATCTTGAATCCCTCCAACCGGTAATGTTGTTCGATCCAATAAACGATTTATGTGCTTAAGCTGAGTTACAGACAGTACCTCAAAACTGCCAAATGGGTTGACATTTCAATTTATTTGATCTGTTTTTCACTGATTACGAGCCACTACAATTGCCATTGTAACGATGATTCGTATGGGGATCACAGCTTAGATGCAGCAGCCATAGAAGCTGGGATTTCAGCAGTCTGTCCAAGGAAGAGCTAGAAGCTGTATGGTTAAGGAAGCAAGAAGGTAGCATGAAACGAGACAGGATGATGAGATACTCCTTCTCCCACCGGGTAAAAAAACTCGATCTCCAGTCTTCTTCGCTCTTTTCGCCACTGATCATTCATTATACGAACAGCAAAATTGATCTTGGAACTTGGGATTCCACTTCATTGTGGGTTCAGGAAAGGAGGAACTCAAAGTTACTGGAGGAATTACTGATGGAGGAGAATGAGGGGAACAATGGCAAGCATTGGATGGAGAATCTGAGACTAGTCCCCCTATCCAATTCATTCAATGGCGAGACCGAATTCTGCTCGCAGCTTGCTAAAACCAGCAAAGACAACAGCACCAATTCGCCCGTGGCAAGACGGTCATTCGGTGGTCACCACACCAGACGGGGGAGCAGCTCAGCAGCACGAGACGTGGACAACGATGACAATGGTGGCGAGATCACAAGCTCGTCGATCGTGCTGCCAACGTACATGGCAGCAACACAGTCCGCGAGGGCCAGGACGAGGTCGATGAGCACGCCGAGGCAGAGAGTGGCAGTGGGCAGAGAGGATGATAACAGCAAAGGTGGGATTGTGAAGGTGCTCTGGTCTTCTGACAATGGCGATCTGTTTGGGATATCGTCTGCTGGTAAAGAAATGACGAGCAGGAAATGCCATCACCGTGGATTCAGCCTTGCTTCTCGAGGTTAGAAATTGGTGTTGGTTAATTGGTGAGATGATACAAGAAATCTGAAGTTGTATAGATATGAAAGTGTCCTTCTTTTGGTTTGGCTGGTACATGATCATCATATTCATATTTTTGAACATCGCTTCGTGTGAGAGGAGTTTTGTTCTTTGCTATTTGTGGCTGAGATTTGAGTGTAAAGAGTTCGGCTTGGTGTTTTGAATTCCAGCTAAAAAGAAGCTGTTTGGATGGTGGAGTGAGATTTGATGCATGAATTTGAAAGAACCGCAAAAGGCCGATTCTCACAGCACAACCAGAGGCCCAATGGTAAATGGTGTCTGTGGCCCAACTACAATAAACAAGCCCAAATAAAATCGCGCCAAATTGACCTACCGGCTACCGGTACCGGAAGCGAGTAATCAACATATTTCCCACCGGCGGCCGCCGCCTAGTGAACCTATATGCAAGGGAGTTGATAAAGGTCGTCCTAACAATTACTAATGATCGTCCTAAAAAACAACAAAGTTACACTTTTAACCTTTTGACATCTTTACCTTTCCTTTAGCAAACAAACACCACATTCACTTAGAAAACAAAAAACACTCATTCTCCCACACTCTCGAATTCATCATCGACATTTGGAAGCCGAAATCGTCGAGCATACGTCCGAACAATGAGTAGCGACTCCGACGAGGTAAAAATCTCGTTTTAAAAAAAAAAAAAAAACCCCAACCGAATGTGATTTTCGGTTGGTCCATGGTCAAACCGAATGTTGACTTCGGTTTGACCATGGCTCAACCGAAGTCTTCGTTCGGTTGCAGGCGACGCGGAGCTTTACCTTCTTCTCCGGCGAGCACGGACGGCAGGCGAGAGGAGGGCTGACGGCGACGGCTGGGCGACCACGCGACAGCTGGCGCTGGGGGCGAAGACGGTGACTGCTGGCGACGACGCTGCGCGACTCCGACTCCGGCGGCGTGGGTTGCGGCAGCGGACGACGCTGCGGACTGACGCGACGCCGACTCCGGCGGCGTGGGTTGCGGCGACGGACGACTCCGGCGGCGTGGGCTGCGGCGGCGGACGACTCCGGCGGCGTGGGCTGCGCTGCTTGTTGTCGGGGGGAGGGGGGGTGAGTTGTCTGTGTCGGGGGAGAGGAAGGGGGTAAGGGGTTGTTTGCTTAGGGTTTATTTTTGAATTTTAGAAAGGGTAATTCAGTAATTTACGTATTAAGTTAGTACGATAGTTAGTAATTTTTAGGACGACCTTTAACCCTTCAGATATTCAAACCGCCATTTCGTTAGGGTTTTTTTCTTCTTCTAGCAAACCTATATATATCTGTTGATAAACCTGTAAACAGAAGATTTAACTTGGAGAGAGGCCTGTCATCTTTGTGGAAGGAGAATACTTCTGTCTACGATGGAAGCTGAGAGCAGCAGCTGCTGCAACGGTAACGCTGATGCCTCCGAATTCGAAGAGAAGAAGCTATGGAGAGCGGAAGATGCAATAGCCGGAAATCGGGCGGCACTTGAGTCTCTCAGGGAGCTCATTATATTTCCTTTGCTCTACTCTCGTGAAGCTCGAAAGCTCGGCCTTAAGGTAAGCCAATAAAATTTCCAGTCTTTATGTGCTTCATCGTTTTCTGCTGATTGCTCCGAGTTTTGGTGAACAGTGGCCGACGGGGCTACTTTTGTACGGTCCACCTGGAACTGGAAAGGTATTCTTCTGCTAAAGGTGTTCTGTAATTGTCGCGTAATTTTGAGAACCTGAACATTAATAATGGTGTTGCATTTCTCTTGTTTCTCTGTCAAATGCTACTAGACGAGCATTGTTCGTGCCGTGGTTCGGGAATCGGGTGCCCATCTAGTTGTAATTAGGTACTGTTTGCTTGCCCCCTTTGTCAGGTTGCTTGCTTTGATTGATAGATGCTGCATTGTTTTGGGATATGGTTCTTAGATAGCTATACATATTGTGGGTCCTGTAGTCCACATTCTGTCCATCGAGCACATGCTGGGGAAAGTGAAAGAATTATGAGAGAGGCTTTTGCAGATGCATCGTCACATTTGGAAGCAGGCAAGCCGTCGGTCGTGTTTATAGACGAAATAGATGCACTCTGCCCTCGTCGTGATTCTAGGTAAGTTGAGAAAGGTTGATGATGGTAGAAGAAGTTTCATTTCTCGGTGTTTACTCTCCAATAATCCTTATGTGTTTGCTGCATTCATCACTGTCCCTCGTTGTTTGAGGACATGTGAATTCTGCGACATGATTCTATAACTGAACTTTTGTCCTTTCTTGACTATTGTGCTTCGATTGTTTTTTTTGGGAGAAGTGAATTATGGTCGGAATTGGGAGGGTTCAGCAGGAGAGATTTTAAATCAGTAAAATGAGGGATTTTTAGTTAACTTTCTCCCTCATTCTCAGAGCTGCTGTTAGTAGCACCCTTCACCAATTGCTTGTTGCTTGCAAGAATCAGTTACAGTTACCCTAAGAAGTGAATGTTGAACTTGTTCACGATAAGATAAAACAAAAGACTACACTGCACATCAACATGCTTGGCAGCATAAATAATTAGTTAAAAGCTGTATTTGAGTTATTGCATTGTGGCACTTCTCTTTGTCTAGATATTCAAGTTGGCCTTATTTGCAGGCGAGAGCAAGATGTTCGTTTGGTGTCTCAACTCTGTGCACTAATGGATGCGATCAAGCCCTCTTCTGTGTCTTCAGGGCATGTGGTCGTGGTTGCATCAACTAACAGGTTACTTGCTTACTTGTTGCATGTTGATTATTACTATAAAATAAATTGATGAAAAAGAAAGCAACCCGAGTTATATATTTCACTGTTGAAGTCTGAGTCCAATTGTTGTTCTTTTGCTAAGAGTTGATGCAGTGGATCCTGCACTCAGAAGATCTGGGCGTTTTGATAGTGAAGTAGAAGTTATGGCACCTACAGAAGAGGAACGCTTAGAAATCCTGAAGGTATAAATATAAATGCATTGTCTAGTGAAGGCTCGTCACATTCATGCTTGCTTTTACTTGTGTAAACCAAGTGCAAATGCAAGGAATAGTAGCATGTGATTCATTATTTTTCTTGCTCTGACATCCAGCTCTACACAAAGAAGTTAGTGTTGGATAAGTATGTCGATTTGCAAGCTGTTGCTGCTTCTTGTAATGGATACGTTGGGGCTGACCTGGAAGCATTGTGCCGTGAAGCTGCCATGTCGGCTATTAACTCGGCCAGTGCCAGTGGAGATGCTGGGGTTCTTTGCTTAACGACAGAAGACTGGAAGCTTGCTAGGACCATTGTTGGTCCTAGCTTAACAAGAGGTGTTACTGTTGAGGTTCCAAAAGTATCCTGGGAAGATATTGGTGGACTACAGGATTTGAAGGTCTGGTAATAACTTTGTTAGTTTTGAAATTACCTGGATTTGCAAAAACAGCCAAAAGCTGTTGACTTCATGGTGTAGGTAAATGTTAACATTCTTTTTGATGTCTACATATGGCCGCTGTATTCCCAGAAAAAACTCCAACAAGCTGTTGAGTGGCCGATTAAACACCAGTCTGCATTTTCAAGAATGGGAATTTCACCCAAACGCGGGGTTCTTTTGCATGGACCTCCTGGATGCTCCAAAACGACTCTTGCTAAAGCTGCAGCAAATGCTGCTCAAGCTTCTTTTTTTTCCTTGAGGTATGAGCACCTAGTCTATGTCTCCAATTGAAGTTGTCTCAACCACTTTATCTAGTGCTAGAATTTTGGTCAGTCTTATGATTTACAGTTCTTGGTAAAACAGGTTGCTCTTAGTTACTCTATTGGCAGACTGTAGAATCAGATTTCCACATGGTTCTACACTTTGTATATTATGCTACAATCCAATTGGTGTTTCTACTTGAAATTGAAAACTTTGTATTCAGTGGTGCAGAATTATTTTCCATGTATGTTGGAGAGGGCGAAGCATTGTTGCGCAGTACATTCCAAAGAGCTCGTGTGGCAGCTCCGAGCATAATATTCTTTGACGAGGCTGACGTTGTGGCTGGTAAACGGTATGTGCACTTTCATTGAAAGCTGACGTTTCTACATATATTGTTAGAGTGGAAGCAGTTGAAAGTAGAAATTTCTTTTGAGTTACCATGAGTTAAATTATGTCAGTTTAGTATGGTTGACAATTATTTTCTGGTCAAATTATGGCTGGCAGAGGTGACAGTTCAAGTAACTCGTCCACTGTAGCGGAGAGGCTTTTATCTACTCTACTGACTGAAATGGACGGCCTGGAACAGGCGAAAGTAAGTCCTAACAAGCAACAACATTAAGCATTTACTTCACCATCCGAAGGATTTTCCAAGCCACGGCACCATATATTATGTCACAATAATGTGCTTCCTTTATTATGCTATCAGGGCATCCTTGTTTTGGCTGCCACCAATCGTCCACATGCAATAGATGCAGCGTTGATGCGCCCCGGACGCTTTGATTTGGTACGTCGGCAAACAACATGACTTGAAATGCTCTGCATTCTGGTCAAAGATTTCCCTAGAGATTCAGTATAATTATGTCTATTATGTTCCATGTCTAGGTGTTGTATGTGCCGCCACCTGATAAGGAGGCTCGACTCGAGATCCTCAATGTTCACACACGAAACATGACCATCGATGATGATGTCGACCTCAGAACGATAGCAGAGAACACCGAGCTCTTCACAGGTGCTGAACTGGAGGGCCTATGTCGAGAAGCTGGGATCGTAGCTCTGCGGGAAAACATATCTACTGGTGTGGTATGCAACCATCATTTTCAGACGGCGTTGAGTTCCCTGAAACCAGCTCTAACAAGAGCTGATATAGAAGAGTATTCATCGTTCATGAAGACGCAGCAGCGGGTGGCATCACCTCTGGGCGGGACTGGATCAGCTGCTGTTGTTGTTGACAACAGCACTGGGAAGAAGAATCGACCATTCAGTTCTTCTTCAACTCTGATTAAAGTTGGTGTGCTCAGTGTTTTGGTTTTAGTTGCTGCTAAATATTTGAAGTTTCATACGAAGATAGCTGGGCTGGAGTTATCTGCCACATGAACTATCTTCTTATTTAACTTGCGTCGGCAGTTGTAGCTTAGTTATGCGCCTCTTTTAAGCTATTTTGATCGAAGAAACACTGGTAGTGAAGTGGTGGATTTGTTTCATCCTTGTGGCTTCTTTTCGTGAAGTTGTGCTTTCTTGTCCCGTCTTCTATGAAGTAAAAAAGAAAACAAGCTTGTTTCTTCTCTAATTTTCTTCAAATATGTGAAGAAAGAAGCAAAACAAGGTCGAGGAAGGAATCACTTTCAACCAAATTTGTTCATAATCACTTCATTGTGTCTCATTGATTCTTCTCCTCACTTTGTTTTATGTTTCATGGATACTGATACACAGGTCTTCCATCCAACGGCTGAATTGGCCTTGCATTTGCCTCAAATCCCTAATACACAATAAAACTATTAGTTCAATGCAATCGAGACAAATCAACATTATCTAGAAACACACCGAACCAAGATATGGTCGATCTGATTGATTTAGCCTGCACTCACATCATGAACAGCTTCCCTTAGGGCTCTAACTTGTTCCTTTGACACTGTCCTCACCTACAAAACCACCACTCAAACAAAACCATTTCGGTTTAATTAGCTTTGTAGAACCCAACGCCAAACAATGTTACCTAACCGAACCGACAACCGAATTGAAAAGATGGAGAAACCTTCTTGACAATCGTCCATATGACGCCTTCGGTGCAGGGAGGAACAGTGAGGGAACCAAGGTATCTGTAGTACTTCCTGCTGCTGCCAAACTTGATATCTCCTGGATTCACTATCCCCAATTCCTTGTCTTGCTTTGGATCCACTGACTTTATGTGGTGGAACAACTGTTCATCAATTCAAACAGAAAACAAGCCACATTAAGCAGGATGGATCAATGTCTTGCAAATAGATCAAACCACAAATTTGCCTGCTAACCTTGGATAGCATTCGATCAGGGCGGCCATATTTGTAGACTATTGCAACCACTGCCAGATTCCCTTGAGAGCATTTGTGCACTAAGTGCAGCTCCAACTCGTACCTGCATCGTTTCGCTCATTGATCGATTATGGTCTCATGGGCTGATTCTGTTTCTCAGGATTTGTGTCAGAATGAATCGAAATGAACCGAAAATTTGTACCTTGTACCATTAATAGTGTGCTCAGAGGGGGAATGCCAATGACACTGCAGCAGCTTATACTCTGTACCATTGATCTTGATCTCGTCTGCATCTCCTTTCCACATTATCTGTTCATCATTTAAAAAATAAAACATGAGTAGTTGTTCTTCAGTGATCTGATCCCCATGCTCGTGACGAAGGAGTCAAAATGGATGAGTGAGTGAGTGAGTGAGCGAGTGAGCGAGCGAATACGAACTACGCACAGTGATATCATGGCCTCTATTTTTGACAGTGGCAGGAGCTGGTTTGTAGTCTCTGTTGAGCCTACCCAGATGTGAAAGGACTTGGACCCTTCGGTCCAGTAGGTCAATTGGAGACTGCAAGGTTGGACTCTGCAATTTGAAAAAATCAATCCCCAAAATGTGTTGGACTCTGCAATCACAGAAGGAGAAGGAGAAGGAGAAGAAGAACTGCTGGAAGAAGATTGAATCTGCAAACTCGAAACACCCTTAGAACTAGCAGCTGGGAAGGAGTGAAAATTGGGGAGTTGACTTACCAACTTCGCCAGAGTTATAGTCTGAAGAAGCAGCGGAGAAGGTGACAAAGAGAGACAACAATGGGACTCCTATTAGGAGATGAACAAGGAAGAGAATGGAGACCAAGTTCTTCTCCATTGGAGTGATCTTTGATTTTGAATGAATAGATGGATTACTCTGGCAAATGGGAGAATTTGTTTGTGCCTTTTATTATGGGGCTAATTTATGTACAAATATCCTTCAATCGATTCGATGCTTCATGAGAAGGGCAAATGCAGAAAGACAGCATGAGAATGAATGGGAAGAAAAGAAGAAAATGAGTGCCTGTAACGGTAGTAATGGTGTCAGTCAGTACACATTTATTCTGATTTCGCTGTCTCCTTCAATATATAACCTAAATAAATGCACGCAAATCCAAAGATGCACATTCAGAGCTGCATGCCTAAATATTCCGTTTTAAGTATGAACACAAAGAAGGAATTCACTCATCCTATTCATATCTACAGCATTGCTACTCCTTCTATCGGCAGGAAACAACAGCTCGTGAAACTCGAACAACGAGCAAATCGACCGTTAATCCTACATACTGCACTTTTTGCTCCTTTGATTGACATGAAAGTTGGAAAAGCAGCTTGTGAACTCGAACGATGAACAAATTGACCATTTACCCAGGCAAACACACTTCTACTCCTTTAATCGGCATGAAACAACAGCTTGTGAACATGAACGATGAATAAAGTACTAAACCTTTAGTGCCAAATAGTGGAAGTGTTCAATCAATGGTTCATATGGTTTGAAGGAAGATCCTTGCCTTGATCCCGGAATGCTGAAAGCCCAGCAGCATTGGTTAGCCCCAAGCCCCCAGCTATATGACCAAAGTTGTAATGGTCATTCAGAAAACTAAAGAAGTACAATGAAACTGGAATGAGTTAAAGAGGACAACTACAACTTGCTATTGATAAAGAAATGACAGGTTAAACCATAGATGTTTACTTTCTCATGAGTTGGATATCATTTCATCACATGAACTACTACAACTTGCCATACGATACAGACCCAACCCAAAAGCAGTCTCGAGTATTTTTCATTAGTCTTCTATGGAACGTCGACAAGAACCCCGGACGAACAGACAGCCTTCCACTTTCATGCACACCCGTATCGTCTACACATGGCAGTCCAAAGTGGTAGTAGCTCACTTTCCCCTGCAATGTACGAAGAACCCATTAGTAACATGCGTGTGAGTGCGCAGGTTGCACACACACGTACAATGTGCGCTGACAAACTTACGTGTTCATCATGAGGGTAATGTTGTCTCCTTTAAGAAGAATCCTCCCTGGAGAATAAACAAGAAAGAAAATGTTAGTTAGAAAATGCCAGCAGGAACTAGATGAAAAGAAAAGAATGAGCAATGATGTGAGTTTCCAAATACCTAGAGACTTTCTGCTCTTCTTCTTGACATTGACCTCCTCGGCATCATCCAACACCAAGTTCATGTACTCATCAAAGCCCTGTTATGTTAAACCGAACAAGAGAATGAGTCATGCATCTCAATTATTCAGCCGTACTTGAATATATGTCAGTTGTCAAGCTCCGAAACAAAAGAAGTGAATTTTATGCAAACATTTACGCGGAAGTAAATGGATGCAAAGGAACTAGTGCAATAGAATCCAAAGTATTGCCCTTAATTCCTCACCAAGAGGTAAAAAGTTAACTGCCTATTCCAAGACAAATGATGAAGTGCCTCCAAACAACAGTAGCTCTATAACAGATCACATGAAAACACAATCTGATATGGCTGACATAGTGGTACTCTGCTTAAAGTTTGAGAGTCAGTACTCAGTATTTTCAGTACACGGAAATCAACGACAACGAGCTACTTCACGGATTATTGAAGAGGCTCGAGAAACATATCAAGAGCTAAAGTGGAAATATTTAACAGGCAACCACACGTTCTTCACACAAAACTCAAAACATGAGTTATTTGGGCTGCCCTATAAGCTCAGAGCATATTTATTTACAGCAGGAAACTGGCAATACAGAGCACAAGTAAGGTCCTGGGCAAGACCTAAATTGGGATCACACCACCCAGTGCCAACGAGCAGCAAAATCTTACATAGGGCAACTAATAAAAACCATGGTGGCTGGTACCCTGGTCATTAATTAACTTTTCTCGAGTTTCTGCTGCCCCATGATCTAAATCAAGTATCATACTGACTTGCAGCTTGTCTAAAGCATAAAGCCAAAGTATGCAAACTCGGCCACCATACCTGCCCTACTTCCATTAACCATAATTCAAATTCCTAGCCCAACCACAGGAATACTGCATACAAAGAGGTACTTAAGTGGCATTCTAACCATAAAATAACCCAAGTAGATCAAGAACTAGAAGATCTAAACAGTCAGAAATCAGTAGTTGAGAAGCCACTCACAATGATTCGGCCTTCAATTCTCAAATCCTTCTGCTCAAACAGCCAAATCTGGATACGAGCTTTCTGAAACAACCAACAACAAGAGAAAGCACCATCATTTAAGCTTTAGTCGCCATTGCAAAACAAAGAGAGTATATGCAAACTACAACCAACGAAATATTGGAGAAGAATATCCGGTGACTTACGCTTTGAAGAAACCTGAAGATCAGGTTCTACGGCGCACAAACATTCCAAAGGCGATGGCAGCAAAAGAGAACAAACGCAGTTAGCAGACGAAAAAAAAATGGAGTCAAAAGGAGGACAAGCGGAAACGAACAGCGAGCTTACAATGGGTTGGGTCATAATCCTCTGAACCTTAGTGCTCGCCATGGCTGCAAAATCTGCGCTGATCGGCCTAGGGTTTCAGTGGAGGGAACCGGCGAGATTTTCTTCTTCTCCGAACAAGAATCGCAACTCAAAATTTGACCACTAGCAGAAGATCCGATCGGATTCCACCGGCGGCTGTCTCGTAACCCTTATTCGAGGACGCGGGAGTTTTTAGAATTAGGGCTCTTGTTGGGCTGGGCTTTCCCTTTGCGGGCCGGAACTTGGTTTGATTAGATCTAATATGAGCGTAGACTCAACTAATCCATATTTCATTAGGATAGCAATTTCTGAAATCGCCGATACGTCATGTCGTTTTTGTCTCTCAATGAAAGCTGAGCTGAGAGATTTACTTCGGCGATTCCAAATTCCCAATCCTCTCGCTGTCTCAAAACCCTAGCGTTCAGTTTCTATTCCTTTCCCCTCTAAAACTCCCACACTGGCCTCGACGGCGGCGAACTCGAATCCAACGTCAGCAACCATGGCGACCTACGATCTGACTCCCCGCATAGCTCCCAACCTGGACCGGCACTTGGTTTTCCCTCTTCTGGAGTTTCTCCAGGAGCAGCAGATGTACCCCGATGAAGAGATCTTGAAGGCCAAAATTGAGCTCCTGAACAAGACCAACATGGTCGATTATGCCATGGACATCCACAAGAGCCTCTACCACACCGAAGACGTCCCGCAAGGTTGGTGATACGGGACGCTGACATATTTGCTGGGTTCAGGATTTGAGGAAAATGTATGTTGAATTTGTGTATGTGTGGTTGTAGATATGATTGAGCGGAGGGTGGAGGTAGTGGCGAGATTGAAGTCCCTGGAGGAAAGTGCGGCGCCTTTGGTGTCGTTTTTGCAGAATCCCAGCGCCGTTCAGGAGCTGAGAGCTGACAAGCAGTACAATCTCCAGATGCTTAACGATCGCTATCAGGTTGGTTAACCCTTTGCAATTCATCGTTTTTATCATCTGGTATGGAATATATCTAGATGAAGGATGAATTATTGGTGTTTGAATTGATTGTAAAGTTGATGTTTTGGGTAATATGTGCCATTATTTGCACCATGTCTGAGTTAAGGAAAGCCTATTGCTGGATACTCTGTGGCGGTTTCGATTGTTTGGAATGAGATTGGTTCATGGCCTTGGATGCAGTTTGTGTACTGTGTGGATCATAAGTGGATGTTATTGTCCGGATGTTGTAGTTCTACTGTGATGGCAGGCGTGCTGATAAGTTTTCCCAATCTCTTTGAAACAGATTGGTCCGGACCAGATTGAAGCATTATATCAGTATGCCAAATTTCAGTTCGAATGTGGAAACTACTCTGGTGCTGCTGACTACCTTTATCAGTACAGGGCACTGTGCACTAACAGTGAAAGGAGTCTGAGTGCCCTCTGGGGAAAGTTGGCTGCTGAAGTACTCATGCAAAATTGGGTTGTTGCTGTCGAAGAACTTAATCGATTGAAAGAAATAATTGATTCCAAGGTGGATATTTCCTATATGTTCATGTCTCTTTTCTCATATGCTTTTATAGTTTGGAGATCTTTTCTGTTTCATGAGGCTGACACTTTGGCTGATTTGTTTCAGAGCTTTTCCTCACCACTGAATCAGGTGCAAAGTAGAATCTGGTTGATGCATTGGAGTCTATTCATTTTCTTCAATCATGACAATGACAAAACCCAAATTATTGATCTCTTCAACCAGGATAAGTACGGGCTAGACAGTAGATTGCAAAGTTCCTAAGTTCCTCGAGCTGTTTTCTATGACATGACTAATTGCTAAGTTTGTCTTACCTTTTGTTTTAGGTATCTCAATGCCATTCAAACTAGTGCTCCACATCTTCTACGTTATCTAGCAACAGCGTTCATTATCAACAAAAGACGGCGTTCCCAATTCAAGGACTTCATAAGGGTTATCCAGCAGGAACAACATTCATACAAAGACCCAATCACAGAGTTTTTGGCTTGTGTCTTTGTCAATTATGACTTTGATGGGGCACAAAAGAAGATGAAAGAGTGTGAAGAAGTAAGCTTCATTCTCTTGAGTTATTATTTTGCAATTGTGCTTAGCTGCCAGTTTTCATTTTATTTTTCTTTCTTGCTGTAGGTGATCGTGAAAGATCCTTTTCTCGGGAAACAAGTTGAAGATGGAAACGGGTCAACTATGCCACTGAGAGATGAGTTCCTTAAGAATGCCCGTCTCTTCATCTTGGAAACTTATTGCCGCATCCATCAGCGCATTGACATGGGGTAAGCTTTTATTATTTATTTAGTAACAATTGTACTGGTAAATCAAAGGTTCTCTCATGTTGGTTTTGCTTGTTTCTAATTAGTAGTATCAAACCACCTAAGCCATCTGAAAGCTTAGCTTGTACCGTCTTCATATTTGTGCTATCTTCAAATCAATGTTCTGTTATTCGCAGAGTGCTAGCAGAGAAATTGAACATGGACTATGAAGACGCTGAGAGATGGATTGTAAAACGCATTCGAAACTCGGAGCTCGATGCTAAGATTGATACAGAGACAGGAACTGTGATCATGGAACCCAATCATCCCAACGTGTAAGAATATATCTTTTCCAACCTCGAACTTCATATTTATCACTGTTTAAATGAGTCGATTAGTCTTTCCCTTATCTCCGTTTAGACCCACGCAAAGATTAATTTGTTTTATATTTGTCTTCTTTCCAGATATGAGCAGTTGATTGAACACACTAAATCGCTATCAGGGCGTACTTACAAGTTGGCCAGCCAGCTGATGGAACAATCACCCGCCCAAGCTGCTAGATGATTTTAAGTTTCTTATTAGGATTGTCCTTTCTACTGTCAATTTTGGTCGTTAGTTATGGCCCCCCACTGGAATTTAAGGTTCTCGCAACTAGAGGGATCTGGTTCTAAGTTCTTGCTTGACCAGCTTGTAGCATTACTTGACCTGGTTGATTTTATTGAAATTCAGATAGCATTTCTTTTATATGGCCATATGGATACGGCGAGTTTGTTTGTATCAATTTGGTTTTAGGTTGTGCATTGGAGTGGCTTGGCCAAAGGTCTTGCGACCCACTCATGTGACCGTAACTTCATCTTGTACTCATCAAACTCGAATCGATTCAAGGAGTAAATCTAAAGAGAGCATTTTGTAAAGAATCAGAGACTAAACACGATCAAAACACGAAATTTGGCACAAGAATACCCGCCATTTTGCTGCTCATCAAGTATTATTAATCGCATATCGATAACTAATCGAGAATATGTTTTGTCCAAAATGAGGTTATACAAGATACAGAAAGCATTCGAGCACAAACTCTTCCCTCATAATAAACAGTAGCCTGCTTATGCTTTTCTCTGCATTCTTTTTGTTAATGCACCTAAAGTCCTGAACCTTCAATCATCCTCTTCCTGACTGCAATGCAGTGTGTGAATTCAGATTATTGAGGGGGTCGTCTCATATTCTGATCGAACCAAGATGCACAAAACCCAACGCTTAGATGCCTGGTTTGCCGTGAGCAATTCCGAGTCAACCACACATTGGTGAAAAATGATTAATGCTTGCTCTTTCAGTTGGGGACAATGATGGTCTACCATCGAGAATATGAATAACCATATGTCCTCCAAGAGTCTTGTTGTCTGTTACTCCGTCGATACTCGCTCTTCCCGAATGGAGTGTATGCAGAGCTGAAAGGAGAGCTGTATGTGGAGCTGCTGTGGTCAGCAGTTCTTCTGTTAGAGCTGTTCCCCTGATTTTCTTTGGACAACTTTCTGATATCCTCTTCATGATCATACTTTGATCGCTGAATAGTTTACCAGGAGGAGCAACAATGAGAGTCTGATAGTAATAGAGGCTGAAGCATGCACTGAATGAATATCTCAAGCTGGAATAAATTTATGTACCTTATCTGAGTCCGAGAGAACAGCGTATGCTTCTCCAATCATTTTGAACAGTCGGTCAGCATCCACATGGACCTTATCAACTATTTCCTTCCAAAGCCCATCGCCACTTTCACTTCTTGCAAGCAACTGGCCAGCCTAGAACCCGAGAAAAACAGAGCTTTTACGACGTTAATAAATGAATCTCACACATAATACATTTGCAGACTTAAGGGGAAAGCCTCGAACCTTGTCTGGATGATGTCTCAGTGCTGCTTTCCGGTATGCCTTCTTAATATCGGCTGCTGAATCAGATTCTTTGACGCCCCTAAGATTAAGACATAAGTACTTATTAAAAACTTGTCACAGGAACATACAGACAAACAGAGTATCTAAATCTTACAACTGTTTAGTATCATTCTCTGATATCAATCAATCAAACTTACAGTATCCGGTATAAATCCATCGTGGTTCCTTTCTTTGCTTCTTCTTCCATTGAGGATAATTTCCTGCGATACTGCTTTAGCTCTTTTGAGCCGCTGGTGGATCTACGTGGCGTACTGGACTGCCCAACATCAGGTCTATTTTCTCGAATGGTAATAAATCTCTGAAGATCACTTGCTGCTTGTCCATAGTCTCTGATCATCTCGTGCAAAGTGGCTCTTCTTGAAACCGCCTATGCAATAAGAAACTCCATCAGTCATGAAATTTTATTATTTCTCAAGCTGGTACTAGGGCATGACAGAACTCTTAATATAAGTCCACGAAGAAAGATAAAAACCTTCGAGTAATTTCCATCAAGGGCTACTGACAGACTGCAGTCCGCAATGGCATCAGCTATCTGACCCATAGCTTGGTATGCAGCAGCACGGTTACAGAAACAGATAGCAGCAAAGGGGCGTGATTCAATGTTGCTTGATAAAGCAGCTGAATACTGCTCGACTGCTTCTTTGTAATTTCCAGACCGGAATGCTTCATTCCCTGCAGTCTGCAATTGGCAAATAATGATGTTCACGAAGAAGGATGCCAACGAATTCAATATTGAAAATAACAACATCAGCTGAAGATAAACGCAGCCCATACCTTATGCTGCAATAGATCACGAATGGTGGCTAAAACTGAGATTGATGACTCGAATAGCCGACTTGCATATCTGAATGATGTAAAATAGAATAAGTAATAGGGATGGGGGGGAAAATGCCGATAAGAAGGAATAGCAATTGTCTATCCATATATAATGTACTACTAACTTGTCGCTGAAGGGTCCCATCTTCTCTATCTTCCCAAGTAAATCAACAGCATCATCAAGCTTCCCCAAATTGAAGTAGGATTTTGATATTGATCGCCACCTCCATAGCCTTGAGACAGAACAGCTTTGACTTTGAGAGCTTATAGTATTGACTGATTGGCTATCATTGCCAAAGCCATCGATTTTTGTTTCACCAGCAGGGAGAGTCTGCTCACAAAACTTAATCACCTCTTCATATTTCCTTAACTGCAAGAGCCAACAGAATGCTTCAAAGTCAAATTCAGAAGCAATACTAGAAAAACACTCTCAGCTTTGACAATAAGTACGCAGAAATCGAAATGCTAAACATAAAATGGGAAGGATGGGATGATAAGAGGCATGTCGAAACAATACAGACCTTGAACATAAATTCTGCTTTCATTTCTAGCAACCTTTCCGAGTATGGACTAATTGATAAAGCGTCATCAATGCTCTCTAGTGCAGTAGATGAAGTATCAGGTGTTTTTTGTTCCAATAGCTCATTGGAACGATCTATACAGTCAGCAACTTTCTGCAAGCAAAGTAAACCAACCCAATAAGATAGATGATGATCTTAGACAGAGATATATGCATACGCATCCACACATAGCAACTCAATACATCCAAACCATCCATAGTGTCCAGACTTTTGACTTCAAATACGCAAGGAAACAAGAAAATCAATTTGACCTTCCATTCAGCCCAAGGGAAATATTGAGACAGTATGCTATGAATCTATGATGTAGACCGGATAGGGAATCTGACGCTGGCACAAATCTCACGTCTATCCATATGAAACCGGCAACTTTGAACCAAGATTTATTTTAGCTTTCTTTGATTTTCTAAAGAAAAGTGTATATACGTATTGATATGTGACAAAAAAAACTAATGAATTCTCCATTTAATATTTCATACCTTAGCCTTATGCACCCCCTCAGCTGCTTCTATAGTGATTCTTCTATCCAAACAAACACCATTGCTAGTTTCCAGGCATTTATTGAAACACAGCAGAGCATCTTCAACTTCTCCCAGCAAAAGATAACAACTAGAATGACAAGAAATCCGGAAATTAATCAAAATATTGCCATTTCCCATCTGATGTATATAAATTGGAGATGCATCAGACAGAATCATCTTTTAGAAGACAACTTCTATTTTAGTCTCTGCAATGCATCCATCAGATAACACTATAAGGTACAGAACCTCATTTGACCGAGATATCAAACAATTTCTTACTTGGCAGCTCTTATTTGAACTTTGAGAAAGCTGGGATCCAAAGAAGCAGCCATCAAACAGTCTTGCAACGCTTCCCTGATGTTTCCAAGGGACATCCGTGCCGCTGCACGGTTGCTATAGCAAATAACAAGAGGCTCAAGGCACGCTAACAACTCAGACGAAGGCACAGAATTTATCCCTTGTGAGTAGAAATCCTCTGCCCTTGAGAGCTCCCCATCCCTATAAGCTTGATTTCCCCTGTCAACAAGACAACATCAACATCACTGAAACATCAACTGGAAAACACTCAACAAGGTAATGGAAACATCTCTATAAACAGCATTCATGAGCGGTATAATCTAAAGAATATCATGGAATCAACCTGAGTCGCCATGCTTCGCATGCTCCAACAATCGCAACAGTGGGCGGTACAAAAGGCCGTGATAAATGATCCCTGAACTCGGACTCGTTCCCCGTGATACCTTGGGAAGACAAATGTCCAGTTCTGTCTTGTGTACTGTCAAAGGATGAGGTCGTTGTGTCATGGGTAAAATTCTGAACAGAAGATGAACGAGACTTGGCATTCGGACTTGTTGAATTGCCAATTGATCCACTGGTTTTCCTCCCATTTTTCTTTCTATATCGATGCTTCTTTTCTAGTAAACCACTCGCGGAACACCCAGCAGAAAATGAGAATCTTGCTATTTTCGTTTCCTCTGATTCAGAAGCAAAACAAAACTGAGCCTGCTGACTACTGTTGTCCATGTTTAAACTGCCTGGAACCAAGCAACTACTGCTGTTACTATGGGCTGGCTCAGAAGTCGAACCAGTGAGGCTCATTCCCATCCCCAAAGAAAAATCAGTTGACGGAAAACACCTTTCAGAATGAAAACCATAAATCCCTGCATTTTCCGCTAGCGATTTACCATGATCTTGGCAGTTATTTACTCCTACTCCATGTCCAGCAGCATTGACGGTTGAGTGTTTGTCACAGTCATTTGATTCTACCGGATCCCTCAAAGAATATTGCCTTCCTGTTGCATTGCCATCATATGGTGAAAAATCCATGGGCGAGTAAGTTTGTGGGGATTTCATATTCACTTGGGGGCTATCCCCGTTTTTCAAATGACCTTCCTTAGAGAAGAGAATATTCTGGGATGGATGCTTCATCCTCCCCTTAGTTGGCTTCGACTTCTTATCCCTTCTCAATCTAGTCTTTGAAGTAGGACTCGGTTTATTATTCAATTCAGGAAATAAGCTTGCTTTCAAACAAGAAGGATCCCATTCTGGTGTTCTGAATTCTGTAACTGGGACCTCTAAGCCCTCAGAAGCACTTGTAGAACATGAATAATTTTCACCTCTTTCAGGCATAACACCAGCTGCCTCTGAATCACCAGAGCCGATTCCGACCCATGACACTGAAGATTTTGTACCAGCTTGGCTTAACTCTGCAACACCATTAACTTGATCCTGCTCTAATCCACCTTCAAAAGCGGTACTTGTGATTCCTGACGGCACAGTGAAAGAATCAGAAATAGGACAGCCAGTTGAAGCACCAGACATCCCATGATTCTGCTCTTTGTATAATCCTAAATTTTCACTGTCAGTATCCTCAACACCTGCAGCCTCTGCTGGATTCCCTTCATGAATATTAGCATTCACACAACTAGCAGAAGAAGACATAGCAACTTTCCCACTTTTGAATGCAAAAGAAGGAACGTCATTTGTACATGGATTCTTATCGGCACCATCAAGACCCTTGGATTCATCAATGTTCAACTTTTCCAGTTTATCCGGGAGATCAGCCACAGGATTCATTCTAACAGCACTATCTGAATTTTCAACATCCTTATATGATGCTTTACCACTGAGGGGTTGGAAAGATACACCACTCACCTGTTCCTCATTCCTAACGTTTCTAACTGTGCATCCATATGATGTGGAAGCTTTCTCACTACTAGTATCAGATGGAAACACTCCATCGCCAATAGAAATGGTATATCCTGCTACATTCGCAGGTCTAATCCCTGCTGAATCATCTGAAGCTGAAGTTTGGGGAGTCTCAGCAGATTGATTATTTTGCCCGTTCGAACTCGATGCTGGATCCAAGGAATCCTTGCTAAAAACAAAATTTGCAGCGGGAAAAACCATGTTGCCAGACTGAGCCTTTGCAGTTCCGAAAACGAACCCAGAACCTTGAGACCCTAAGTTGAGGAAATCAAAACCGCCATCAAATTTATCCCCATCATTTGCTTGCTTCTTCTCGGCAGCTTCAGACACAGAACTCGCGTTCTCACATCTAATAGGCTTCATTTCACAACCGGAGTCTTCTTCCTTCTCCCCATAATTAAACTTCAGAGCATCATTCCAGCTGGATTGAGGAGCTACAAACACATAACCCGCACTCGTACTTGAACTCGAACAATCAATCCCATTCGACACATCTTTCGCAGAAATCGCATCGGAACTACTGAACGGGTTAAACCCCGTACCATTGGACGCCACCTTGGCCCGCCCATTGATTTGCCTCCTTACCTTCACCAGCCTGGGCCGGGTCCGCCCCGATTCAGCAGCACCAACACCCGAGCTGTTCTTCGTCGCCAAATCACTCTCCAACTGACTTGCACCACCACCGCCACCGGAAGCAAACAAGCTTTTGGGATCCGCGGAAGGGATCGGGCCGAAATCGAAACTGAGGCCGGGACCGAAGAGGTTGTCGGCGGCGTCGCGGGGAGTAGTCATCCTGGAGCCGATATCCAAAGCCGCCGCCGGCATGGAATCGACGGGGCGGCCGGAATCAAGCAATTAGGGTTAATCTGGAGGAGGCAGGTGAGCTTGATCTTAATTAGGGTTTTGCTAGGTTGTGAAGCAAGCAAGGAAGACTCAAAGCCAAAGTCGCTCGGTCGATCGAAGAGCAAAGTAGAGCGTACTGAAGAGGAGCTTCGGAAAAGAATTTGAGGAATTTTTCTCTTGGCTTTTATATCGTTATTAATCTAGTCGGCGAAAAATTTCCCGTTGGTTAGTTCCTTTCATTCATCCATTTTATTTCCCTTTCCTTCGTCTTCGCCTTCGCCAAAAATTTGAATTCTTGTCCTGAGGAAGCCGAGACAGTCGTCGGAGAGAGACGGGCCGTTGTCTACAAATTCATTCCTCCGCAGCCCAATGACTTTCGGGCTTGAAGCCCATTTCACAACGTATTGATATTTGATACGGAAACCATACATTGATCAGAGTTTTTTTTTTATAAATGGATGCGATGCATCCCAGCTTTCATTTACAACAGGACGAGGCTCAGAAATGCCTTGACAGTCATACAAGATACAAAAGGATAGTACAGGATCTGAAACTAGAACAAGATGAAAACCCAAAGGTAGAGAGTGACCCTGGCTAGCTAGAGCATCCACACACTTATCTCCCTCCCCGTAAATGTGGTAGATAGAAACTTCCCAATCACGGGCAAGCAAATCCTAAAAACGGTCGATGATGGCAGCATGGTGGTGATCTGTGCGATCTGGGTTCTGTAGCAGCTGAACCGCACATTGTGAATCGAGCTCTACCCGAATCCGTCGAAAACCCCGCTCCCAGGCCAGCTGAAGACCTTCAACAGCGCCTCTCAATTCTACTCAGGTTATAGAACAAACACCCAAGTTACAAGCGAATGCTGCAAGGCAGCATCCTGTGTGATCTCGAATCAGGCCACCTGCAGCTGCATGACCTGACTCAGGAATGACGGAGCCGTCTAAATTGAGAGTAACCCACTCGGGAGGTGGGGGCTTCCATGAGATCTCAACCTCCGTTCTAGTGGTTACCATGGTAATTATCGAACTAAATAAGGATAAATTTTATTAATTATGAAATACAATATCATAATCAAATTGTCCAAACTAATACAACAACCAAATTAACCAAACTAAAGTTTAATCGGTCTGGTTAATTGGTTAACTAAAATAACCAATATACCATTACATTATCATTAAGTGAGAAAATTTTCCGGTTAGTGCATCAATTCGCAATTTATATAATGAGTAACACATAACAATCAACACAGAATTATAGTTAATCATTATCATAAATACATGTAACTAATACAATTGTCTTACATTTGACTATTGAGTGGTTACGCAAAGTATTAAGTGTGTATATAATATATTAGATATATAGCTAAATACTTAAATGTTAGTTTGGTTTGATCGGTTAGGAGTGTCTGAAACCAAACCACCTAAATCAAACAAGCTAAACAATTTAACCAAACCAAACCAATTATCCAAATTAACCAAACCAAATTATCCAAATACTACTGATTAAAACGGTTACCACGACAACCACACCGTTTGAACACCCCTTTATGTAAGCTACTGCATGTTATTGTAGAAGATGAGTAGTACAAAGAGAAAGAGTAGCTAAGCCAGTAGCTTATAAGTTACAGCTTCTTCAACACGGTACACCAACGGAAGGAAACATACTGTGATATTTACAGTTTCTTTGCACACAATAAGCTCCCTAACTTCAGCTTAAAGGGCAAATTCCCTTGATGCCCATCGCTCTTCGTACCTCCCCAATGAGTAAGGGTTGGCGGTCGCTGCACTGAGATGAAAAGGGTCCGGTTCGATGCCATAATCCGTCAATGGCCTATGCTCGAGCACATCGTCATGATCTTGCACGAAATCAGGGACCTCAAGTTCCCCTTTCTTAATGTCTGCCCACAGGTACTGAAGGCGGCTCACATACTTGATCTTCCAATACAAGCTACACCAGAAACAGAATTCAAAGCAAATTAGGACATGTAAGGACAACCAAAACAAAAACATGTACTCAAAACATTGGTATGCAACTGAGAGAGATGCTTACTTACCCTCCACTTAAGAACAGTCGACCAAGGGTGGCGATAGCAAGCCTTGACCGGAGACACGGGTGGATGAAGTACACGGTTTGGAGTCTTCCCTTGAAGTTCCCTGGAAGTTCTTCGTATATCCACCTCAAAACAGTTATCCCTGGAGAGTTGTCCTCCTTCTGCACCGTGCTGTGCATGTAAACGATACAGAATGGTCCTTCAGGCAACTGACTGCATATTTTGTGGAAAATATACTTCTTCAGCCTCTCTGCACTCACAACTTGAGCTGCAGGTGTGCCACACACGGAAGCAATGAAGGACATCAATCATCAGTAGATGTTTCAAATCAGGCGTATAACAAAGGATTCCACATACCATTGTATTAAATTAATTCTGCATACCAGGTTTCACCTCGACGATGAGTATGTCAATGTGAATGATCAAACATAATTTGGCAATCTAATCTAATGCTCATTTTTGCATCAGTGAGGGTCAGCTATGACTACAGACTACTGCTAATGAAGACACCTAGTAATCGCAACATCACCATTATGTAAGTGGCCTTTCTTTAGAAGGATCCCAAGAGAGAGCACAGACCAGATTCAGATACCTATCTGAGACACGAAAAATGTGCAGAAATCACTACCTCAGTGAAACCTGCACCAGAGCTTCGCAGCTCCAACTATCTATGGTTCAAATATACAAGCACTAATATTAACCAGACTGGGTATCTATTGGCTATGGCCATTCGATTAGGGTGCTTCGTGTTCATAGACCAGTATAATCTCGTCGACCTAAAAAACTCCACAAGTTAAAAGCGGATGCAATTCTGCATCATGGGTTCACCGTTAAAGCTAGACATAATCACGACATGGCTAATCTAATCTTGAATCAATCGGGAAACCGAATTGACAAGCTGTAATTGAAGCCCACGAAACCATGAATTGGAATGCTATTGAAGAGCGATTGATTGATCGATTGATTACCCGGAAAGTGCTTGCCGACGACGCGGAAGATGCGACACCCGGAACGGTCGGATCCCTGGAGGGAGAAGAACTGGAGGAGATCGAGGTCGGAGAAATCTTCGTCGGCGACGAGGTACTGGGAGCAATCTTGCCAATTCTCGTTGGTTTCTTCGTCATCCCCTAGGCCGGATCCTTGACTGGGCTGGTTGGTCAAGAAGGGAGTGGCGTCCACACCCAAATCCGATGCCAAGACGAACACCGAGAAATCGTCGTTAGATGAGCTCCCCATTTTCCTTTTTTCTGCTAGTGTAAAAGTTCGTTTCGTGTTTTCTATTTTCCGGGAAAATGGCTGCGGAGTGCGGATGTTCTCTCTCCTTCTTTCTTCGGAGTTCGCCCGCGGTTAAGAGTCCTAAATTATCACTATAGTATGGTCTTCTGGTCAGATCAGTCACCAAAGTTTTCCTTTTGTAGTGAAACTGTCAATTAGTCCATAATTTCATCAACTACCACCCTTTGGGCCGAACTCGACTACATTTCAGTTTCCGCCATCGTCCTCCTTCTTCCTTCGCAGACTCCCCTGTGACTTCTGCCGATTTCTCGCTCGAGATATCAAACTATTTATTTTATTTGCCTACTATTTCATTGCATATATATGTGCCATTTGAATCCACCGCTCGCTCGTCACAGTTTCCCTCCTCTCCGATGGCGGGTCCAATCAGACCCACATTCCAGTCTTCTTCTTCTAATGCCTTTGTTTTCCGTCTCCTCTTTCTTCTCACTCTCCTCCCCTTGACTCTCGCGGCTTTCGCATTCGTCCTCCAATGGCGTGGCGGATTTTCGAGCGACCCCATTAACAGATGGTCTCCCGAAACCCATCAGTTCCCCGGCATGATGACAACCGTCGCCGAGGAGGCTGATGCCGGCAGTGGCTCCGCCAAGGCTGTCGTCAGAAGTTCGGATTCCGGGTGCTCTCTTCTGGGTCCCTCCCATTCTGCTTCGTTTCCTTACTACCGGAATTGGAAGTTCGACTATGGGTCGGATCTGAATCCCAAGGTGACTTTTCTGGGTTGACGGAATTATGGCTGTTGGTGTACTCTTTTCTTTTGTGTTTCTGTTCGTGGGTTCGGATCTTGCACCGGAAATCCTGATCGCATTTGCCCATTTTATTCTGTAATTACTATTCCATGCTTCTTGTAGTTGTAGATGCTTGGTAATTGGTATGTAGGAATAAACTTCACAATCTGCATGTGAATGAGAAATGTGGAGTATTACGTCTGGTTTTATAATCTATCGTATATGGACATCTCTGTTCCCAGATATCTATAACAACGAGCACTTCTGCTGGCTTGGAGCAGACTTTGCCATGGATATTCTATCATAAGGTGCTTGGAGTTTCCACTTTTTTCCTTTTCGTAGAGGGAAAGGCTGCCTCCCCTAGCGTATCCAAGGTTCTGGAAACAATTCAGGCAAGTCATATCTGTTGACAATCACTTCTCCTGCACTTTAGTTCAACTTTTCCGCTTCTACTCTTCCTGATGCTTGGTTTCGAATTTTCAGGGTGTGAAAGTCATATACAGAACTAGAGAACTCGAGGAGCAACAAGCTAATAGGTAAGCCGATCATTTCGAATCTTCCTTCATCAATTATAGTTCTATAGGCAATGCTTTAGTTTCATGTTTAGATGTTGGCCTTAAGATAACCTTGTAGTGCAATGTTTAAGCCTCTTAACTTTACCGTCGAGGTGTGAGTGAGATATTGTTGTATGTTGAAGGCTTAAGTTTGAATGACTAGGCACTGCATGAGATTACCAGACAAGTTTGAGAGCCCGTATACTTCTGCTTGTGTCATCTAATCATAAAGAGCTGATTAATTCTCTCTCTTCTTTGTTGATTCGCTGTGGGGTTGTCAGTCGCGTTTGGAACGAAACTTGGTTGTCAAGCTTCTTCTACAAACCTTGCAATCATGAGTTATTTGTGAAGCAATCACTCAATATGGAAATGGCCATCGTCATGGCAAGGGTATGGATAATCTTATTGTATTCTTGAGATCACATACATTTTTAGCACACTTTTAAGAATTGAATGTCCTTTTGAAATTTCAGGACGAAGGAATGGATTGGATAATCCACCTTGACACAGATGAGCTCATTCATCCTGCTGGTGCTCTTGAGTATTCATTGAGACGGCTGCTGTCCGATTTACCTCAAGATGTTAATATGGTTGTCTTTCCAAATTATGTGAGTAGAACTGCTTTTGGTGATTCAGATTCAGATAACTAAAGTTTCATGGGAAAATCAAGATATAGTTTATATTCAAAAAGGAAAAACCTCTGCATGCTCCAGTTTTTATTCATTGGTAGTTTGACCTTCTTGCTGTTGTTCTCTTCTCAACTTACCTCTTGGTATGTAATTGAAACCACGGTTTGTTTCAGGAGAGTAGTATCGAGAGGGATGATATCAAGGAACCTTTCAGTGAGGTAGTATGCACATATTACTATTTTTACCCTTCTCTACTTTTCCTTTTTGCTAGTTGTAGTTAAAGAATCTTCCTGATCATCGCATTTATTATTTTTGGAGGTTTCTTACTTCTGCATCTGAAACTTCTCTGTTTTTTCTAGTGGCTCTTTAGCATCCTCCATAACTATTTGTCTCAGCCAAATAGCATAATGTTCTATATTTTCAGGAGAAGCTTGTGTAATTTTCATAAGCTACAGTGTACTAATCCTGAATAGCAAAATCTAATGCATATATAAATTTGAAGTACTCCTGAAAAACTCTTTCAGGAATTTGTCCATATACCAGGAAATAAATATATGCTATGACTGAGCTTGAAACTAAGTTATGTGGACCATCTTGGATTGCATCCATATCTTTGGTTGGTTAGCATTGTGCTTACTCCTGAATTTGGCTTTGTGTTGGCGCAGGTCTCATTATTTAAGAAAAATTATGATCATCTTCCTAGAGAGGTATACTTCGGAAATTACAGGGAAGCCACCCGTGGCAATCCAAACTACTTTCTGACATATGGAAACGGCAAGTCTGCTGCTCGTGTACAAGATCATCTTCGTCCCAACGGGGCACATCGATGGCATAATTATAGGACGACTCCCAAGTATGGAAATATTAGCTCTTATGATTATTCCTCAATTGTTTGCTTTATTGAATGCACTGATATGCTTTTTCTATGAAAGTTGTGAATTAAATAAAAGAAGCATTTGGTTCTTCCAATTTGGTAGAAGGAAAATAAAGCAAAATACAAAAATGATGGTAAATTGAGGCAGAATTAGTGGGCCAAATTTGTTTTCAGCTCTTCATTTCTACTCATATGAGCATGCATCTTCGAAGGATTGACAGTATTGCTTATTTTTGTTGTCTGCAATCACTTAATTTTTCTTCCTGATATCTTGGCAGTGAAGTCAAATTTGAAGAGGCTGCTGTTCTGCATTATACATATACAAAATTTTCTGATCTGACCTCAAGGAGGGATCGCTGTGGGTGCAAACCCACTAAAGAGGATGTCAAGAGGTGTTTCATGTTGGACTTCGACAGAGCTGTGAGTTCTCATATATGATGCTGTTTCTCCGACTATTTATTCTTCGTATTCTACATGAAAATCACTGGATACCAGCTTCCAACTTCTCAAGACTTTACTAATGTTCCATGAAATTATGTTTAGATGGAAAACATAAACCTTATCATATATAATGCAGTAGCACTAGTTTGCTTTTTGCATAGTTATAGTTCCCAGAAATTAGGTTATGCTCATAAAGTTACTGATGCCATCAAGTTAGTAGACAGATGTGTTTCCTCTGCCATCTTCCCATCTCTAACCACTGAAATAATGCCACATTGAAATGAGTAACTTGTTTGATTTCTGAGTTACCAGTTGAATACAAGTTCTGAAACTTCTGATGCTTTCCTGTTTCTACTTGCCCATAATGTACTATTATAAACTGTTTAAATTCATTTTGCTAACTCCCCTGCCATGTTTTCACTTGATCAGGCCTTCATTATTGCTTCAACTGCCACAGACGAAGAAATGCTCCGCTGGTAATGAAGATACAAAATTAAAACTTCCTATTCTGTTTCTTCAACTTTTGAGGCTGCCATAGTAAAGCTTTAAATAAAAGCTGATGGTTTGGTTGGATCTTGCATGCCCTATTTGGAGAATTGTTGCCCAGCATTGGTATCTTAGATGCAATGGAATAGCTTCTGATACCCTCCCCACAAAACAGTTTTGCTTATTATGTCTAAATCTCATTGCATCAGGTACCGGGAACATGTTGTGTGGACAGACAAAAATTTGATCCTCAAGCTCCAGAAAAAGGGCATCCTAACTCGCATTAACTCTCCCATGGTTAGTTCAAAACCAGCACTTGTATTTATTATCAAGTCACACGAGCATATCCCTGAAACATTTCTGATCATTGTTCTACTACTTCACATAACAGGTAATTATTCAAGCACTAAGGGAAGCTGGAGTATTTAGCTCAGTAATATCAGAAGCAGCAGCAAAGAGAAACATCCCGATAGGGGACTTCTCATCGTCAGTGAATACTACTACTACTAACCCTAGTAGTCCAGACATTCCCACCGGCTTGATGTATTCTAGAAAGATTGGCCAGGATAAGAAGAAGGCAGAATCCGATCCAGTAGGTGGAAGAAGGTTGTTGGACACGTCTTCTCACCCGCCAGCAGTGCCTCCACTTCCTCCACCTGGTTTACAAGACAATATTGAAATAGTCTCAACATGAACTGCTACAAATGAAGTATGTCCTTCTATACCTCTTCTTTTTCCACCATTTCCACTGGCATTAGATTTTATCAAAGCACAGTTATGGTGGGTGTTCCTTTAGTCATTCCTGTACATTTAGGTCTAGTAAATTTTGTCTTCCATTTTGGTTTATCCACTACATGAGCTCTTCACAGCTCTCTATAGATACATCATACATAGCCGAGGAGAGAAGATTCTGATACAAACAGACCTCACTTTACTTTCCTTTGTTTTCTTGGCCATGTGGTTAGGACCATCATAGCCTAGTTTTTCACTTTGGGAATTGTTTCCCCCATTGTTATCAGTGGTTACTACAAACTACAGAGTAATATGATATGACATTGGTATGAGATCATTACTGTGAAAATGGCTTCTTTCGTTGATATTTTTGGTGAGTGATGACTTGTTCCTCATTTTCATTGCTGTCAATTTTCTGCCGGCTTATTTACTTTAAAGAAACTACAGAGTGAGTAATATGATATATGACATTGGTATGAGATCATTACTGTGAAAATGTATTCTCTCGTTGATATGTTTGGTGGGTGATGACTTGTTCCTCATTTTCATTGCTGTCAGTTTTCTGCTGTCTTATTTACTTTAAATTTCTTCTCACTTTCTGTCTACGTAGATACAGTGACATGCAGTTGAAATGGTACCATCTTCTTGTGAATACCCACTTTCTTTAATAAATTGGGGATTTGCAAGTCAATGGGATGGAGAACGACCCAAACTCCTTTTACCACATCAGGTTACACCTGCCTGCTTTGAGGTGGGGACAATGGAGAGTTTGATTATGGTTACCATATTTTGATATAGGAATAGAGGGAGGGCCAATGGGATTCTAGGGTTAGATTGCTCCCCTCACATTAAAGATTCCAACTTTCTTGAAAGCCATTGATGGGGTGTTTGGCTTCTGGGCCGCTAACATTACAGGTGTGGAAAGAAAGTAGGCAGGCAGGAAAAAAGCACTAAATATGGGTGTGGGGATGTGATTTGAAATTAGGCGAATCCTGAGGATTTGCTTCGAAGAGATGAGGAATAATGGGTGGTGATGGTGGTGGGAGACAAATTGCTTCATAGTAGGGGCAAGCAACATCAAATAATAGTATGCAAGCATGGAGCTTGCGTTGGTACTTAGTACACCAATACCACCCCTCTTCAATGTGTGCTCTTTGGTTGGCCTACAACTTTTAGCATTCATTAATACTTAAAAAAGTGTTTAATTGATTTCTTTTCTCGTATTTTTTTTAGAAGAGTGATATAAGTTTGGTTGTAGTTAGGGGCTATTTGATATAATTCGAATCTGAGACCTCCATGTTTAACATCACTAATATGACCGCTAGACCAGCTTCATTGTTTGTTCCGTTGATGTCTGCCTAAAGAAGGTGAAAGGCAAAGGCTCGTGTCGTTATCGAACCATTTTCATTATCCTTCATTCCCTTGATGCCTAGCTAAAGGAGTCCATGCCTTTCGGCCTTCTTCATGCACTGTCATATGATCTGTTCTCTACACGTTAGATGTAACATTCTTATCTATCATCGAACGCATACCTAAACTACTCGCTAACCTGACTTTTGTTAAAACCATATATCCTAATTGTGCGAAACATCTATCTGTAAGGGAGAGAGTTTCCTTCTCCAGGTAACTAGCGTTTCTGAATCATGTAACCCTTTCTACTTTGATTTGTAGAATTTTTTTATACGAAAGAATTGGTCGTGTCCTAACGTTGAACACATCATGTCAACTTGCTCTCGCTCTCGACATCGAGCCAAAGTACACGACCGCCAAACTTTAATCTATCATGAAATCAATATGAATATCGAGTTACCTAGCTCGTCTTACCCATTTTACCTTTACTACTGACTTATGGTCAAGCATCTTTGCTACTCGTGTTAGTATAAGAGAAAGAAAGGAAAGGAGGCGCGTAGGAGTTAGCCGAACCTGCCTAAGTCACAAGTGTACAGTCACCTCCTCGTGTTCTTAGATTAGAACTTGCTGAGTTGGGTCTTACAGTGCAGTGTTCTTCTTCTTCTTCCTGCTGCCTAATCCATTTTTGATTGCTTATTTCACACATTATTTTCGTTTTGGGCGTTACCCATATTTGGGCAGCTAGCCTTGACTACTCTCATACCTTCTACTTTCGTGTTTCATTCTCCCATGACAATGTTACATCACCTTATCAGAATGAAAAATTATAACCATTGCCATTTGTTTGTAAACCAGGCAACCCGCAATCCTAATCTTTATCAGAATCGAGAGGTTCTGAGTTCTAACTCGATTCGCTACTATCATATTGCGTGTTTTGTATTTTTTACGGTTGCTGAATGCATATGTGCAATGACATTGCATATATTTAATGTCGACTGTGTGTATATTTTTGTAGCCATTAACATGTCAGGATGTCCTTATCCCGATAGACATTGAATGGTTACCCTGTTCCGTATTGAAAGTAGTGTACACATGACTAGGAGTGTGAAACGATTCACACAAATTACACTCTATTTCACATTTGGATCAAATAGTCCGATTTCTCGAGTTCAAAAGATTTGTCGAACCAAATAAGATATATACCTTTTTGTTGTTTCTAAACCCAAATATCAGTGATGATATGCTTGTGGATTTTCGATTTGATTTCTGAACCAAATCAAACCCACGATCGAGGTAGACACAGCCGATCTTTGGTGGTTGATATTTTCTTGACTGGAAAAGCAGAGAAGTTTTACCATGAAGAGCCCAAGAAGTGAGAGAAACGAAAGGTTTAGAGAGAGAAAGGGGACTAGGGGCGATGAACCTTGGGAGACACGCACACAGAAAAAAAAAAAAAAAAAGAAGAGAGAAAGCTTTCCAAAACCAGCAAAAGTTTGAATTGAACCGATTCATGAATAATAATCAATGTGAAAAAATTTGATTATTTGAAAGATTTGGGAATAAAATGATGAATGAATGTCAGCCCAATCTCTCTCCCACCTCCCTACAGTCCACAACTTGCCTCTTCCCTCCTCCCTCTTGCCTAAAATTAAATTACCCAAAAAAGAAAGATAGAAAAAAACAAAAGAAAAATGTCTCTTAACAAATAACAATGAACAAATTCAGTGAATCCACCTCCTCAAAATCATCTCCCCCTACCAAAAAACATCCCAAACTTTGCCGCTTCCGTGCTCTGTTATTATTATTACTCTGTATTCTGTACACTGCAAGTAGCCTCCTAAAATTTCTAACCCACCAAAAGCGGAAACCTCTCCATTTCCTCCTCCTCCAGCTGGTGGAAAATTAAGCTCAAAACCCAAAAGGAAGATTTCATTAATCCATCCTCTTCCTCTCCCTCCCTCTTCTTAAAAGAAAGGAATCATCCACACAGAGAGTTAAGAGATTAATCTTCTTTGCTGCCTTCTTCTCCTTCTGCGAACAATACTTCACTGGCCCTCCATTTTCCCTTCATCAGCAGCTTCGCAGGTTCATTTCATATCTTTCTCTTTAGTTTCATGTTTTCGTGTGGTGCTTCCAGTGAGCCAAAGATTCGAACTTTGTCCACAATTCCGAGCTGGGTTTTCGAATCCAGGATCTGGGTTGTTGTTGGTTGATGGTTTCTGTAACTGGGCTTTGATTTTTTCCCCCCTTTTTGTTTATTCACCACCCAGAACCGACCTAATAATCGTCTCCTCTGTTTTTTTCTCCTTCCCTTTTTCCAGGCTCTTGATTTTCTGGGAAAACGAAATTTCAGCTGCTGTGGGGTAATTGAAATCGCGAGAACTCTAAAGAACTGGCGGATGAGTCGAGGAATTTCTGGGCAACTAATCACGGGATGTTAGTAGATTTCATCATTTCCTTCTTCTGTCGCGAATCTTCCGCGCTTCAACCCGCTTCATTTCTCTAGCATTTCAAGCATTCCGACAAGTGTCTTCAGATTCCACAAAATTTTTGGAGCCTTGCGTTGAGTTAAATGAACTTTGGGAACTCCAATTCTGATTCAACGCCACAGCCGAGAATCCCGATCGATCTACAGAACCATTGCGTGACCGGCATTATGGAGATGATGACATCAAGAAACAGAGTCTCTCCTCCGCCTTCGTATTCCTCTTCGTCCGGTTCAATTCCGGCTCCGCACCATCTCAGGCCGGAGGTGGAGAAGAAGAGGTTCGTGTATGATCAGAGATCACAGATTGGGAACAGTAGTAGTAATCAGTCAAGAAGCAGGATGTTGCCCTCTGGCTATTTCAGCTTGGAGTCTCTGTTTTTGTTAATTGGGCTAACTGCGTCTTTGCTCATACTGCCTCTCATTCTTCCGCCGTTGCCCCCGCCGCCGTTTCTGCTGCTTCTGATCCCGATAGGGATAATGGTTCTGCTCATGTTCTTGGCTTTTACTCCTAGTGCTAGGGATATGACTTATACATCTCTGTAAATTTTCCTCTCTTGTTCGTTGAACAAAAAAGATGAAAGAGCTTGGAATTAGTAGGTTCACAAGAAAACAAGATCAATCATTCCCCCTATTCTGTTTAGATGAATTAAGATTAAGATTCGAAAGAAATATACTTATGTGAAAGAGTTAAAAATATGGCAGATTTCGAAATTGATATTTTGTTAATGAATCATCAAGAACAACCACATTTTATTTTCAAATGTTTAAAGAACACAAATTTGATCAAAATGGTTGTTAGCCAAACCAGCCAAATATCATTTTACTTTTAAGCATATCTTTAATTTGTATAAATTCGTGATAATCTTTCTTAGAAGTATGTAGTCAAGAATTGAACGGAATTCTTATTTAGTAGTTCGTCTTTTGTGAAATATAGATTTGAGTTCCGTTTCAAAATTATATGACAAGTGACTCGAAAATAAAGAGAATTGGAAGTAAATAACATTAATTAAGAAGATTTAGGGGTCTTTTGGATGAGTTATTTGGGCCAAAATAACTCGTTTGGGTATCTATTTGGCCAACGTGGGATTTTGTACCGCGTTAGTTAGTAATAACGCGAAAACGCGTTATTTAAAATAATAGGTGGGAGGGTGTTATTTCTAAATAAAGCGTTGCTCGCTTTTTCGTTCCTCTTCTGCCCCTTTCTGTTCTCTCTTTCCTCTCTTTTTCTTTCCTTGTTCTTCCTCGGGTTAATACCTTAGTGGCCTGAACTATACACATACTTTCTACTTTGGCTCGTGGTATTGAAAATATCAGTATCACCTATTATTTATTATCATACAGGTGGCGCATATTTATTGGGAGGGAGCACGGCTGAGGTGGTGCTCCAGGAGCACTCAAGAATTCCTTTGAAGTATGAACCCTTCTCATGTTTCCCCCTTTCTTATCAGTACCGATTGATAGTAATCTACATTCCGTTTTATGTTGTGTAATCCGAATGGGCACGAAAGATTTTGATAATTTTGATTGGTTATGATAATGTTGAACTATATTGCTACTTGTCGTCATCAGTGATATTTAAGTGAGCATCGTTGTTGGATATGTTATCGTGCGATCTCTTTGTGGCTTTGAAATCGTTGTTGGCTTGTGGTAGCATAAGCAATAGTTTACCCCCATACAAACACGGTAAAGCAAACCAAGAACGTTCTAATGCAGACCACAAATATATTAAAACAAACCAGAAATCTCGCAAAGCAAATCACAAATATATTAAAACAAACCAGAAACCTCGCAAAGCAAACCACAAAAAATTTGAAAGCACACCAGAAACACAATAAAGCAAACCAGAATCCTCCTAAAGCAAATCACAAATATATTAAAACAAACCAGAAATCTCGCAAAGCAAACCACAAAAAATCGAAAACACACCAGAAACACAATAAAGCAAACCAGAATCCTCCTAATGCAGACCACAAATCTCTTAAAACAAACCACAAACCTCACACCAGAAACCTCCTAATGCAAACCACAAACACAGTAAATCAAACCACAAAAAAGCAAACCGGAAACGTCCTAATGCAAACCACAAATATATTAAAACAAACCAGAAACCTCACAATGCAAACCACAAAGTTTTTGAAAGCAAACCGGAAACGTCCTAATGCAAACCACAAATATATTAAAACAAACCAGAAACCTCACAATGCAAACCACAAAGTTTTTGAAAGCAAACCAGAAATTTCTCAATGCAAACCACAAACACGATAAAGCAAACCACAAAAGGCATAAAAAAATATGAGAAACCAAACCATAAATCTCACAATGCTAACCATAACATCCGGTGATCATTGACCGTTGACCGAACTCCGGTGACCGTCAGTGAGCAGATTCCGACGCCGATAGGCATATTCCGGCCCCGATGACTAGATTCCGACGCCGGTAAGCATATTCCGGCGACAAATAGCATATTTCAGTGACCGACGACCAGTTTCCGGCGACCGGTGGCAGAAATCCGGCAACCAAATTTTTGGGTTGAAAATAAAAAAATATTTTATTTATTTATTATTATTATTATTTAAACATATTTTCATAATGACAATTATACCCCTGCTTTTGATTTTACACTAGGTCAACTCATCTAATAAAAAGTCATCACAATCCTAGCTTCCTATTGGTTGGAGACTAGTGTTGTTACAATAACAACACAAGGGGTGTTGTCATAATAACCGGTCCCACTAGAGGTTCAATTAGTCTTTATCAAACAAAATCGATGCTATGTCATATCCACATGGACCGATGAAAAGTTGCATTACCGGTGCCGCAGTTTTATATTATAACCGCACCTTAATATTGGCCATAGTTTAATTGCAATGATCAAACTCAAAACTGGAAACACTGTCGTGCCCAAATCCAGTGTTTTTAAGGGCCCATGGGAGTCATTATAAGAGCCCAATTAGAAGAAGTCGGGCCACGGAGGCTAACAAGCCCAAAAATTGCCTCCTAAATCCTAATCCGACATTGTCAAGGGAAAAAGAATCCTAATCCGACAAGACAACGAAAAAGGAAAGCAGCAGCATGGGGGAAATTTATTGGATTAGGGATTTTGAATTTTGATATCCTCTTCGCTCTCTATGTGGCTTCTCCATTGTAAATCCCAAGCTTGTGCCGCCGCACAATCTCCTCTATACTCCGTTGGCGATATCTTATCTACCGGCTGCCGCCATGGCCACCGAGGGCTGCCCCTGGTCTTGGGCCTCCAGAAAACGGCGTCGCATCAGAAAGCCTCCTCCCAATCTCGCGATGATCGGCAAACTCGGGGACGATCTGCTCGTGGAGATTCTGATCCGCCTCCCGAACCATAGATTTGCCAGTGGCTGCAAACCGGTCTGCAAGCGTTGGAGGTCCTTGATCTCCAGTCCCCGTTTCAATCGCCGCTTCATTTCTCACCACCGCATCAACCAACCAACTATGCCGGACAATCCCGACGACCTGCAATCCATCATCTTGAGCTTTCTCCCTCCCATGCCTAGTGCAGTTGCTGGCTGCTTCAAAGTTTTGGACTGCTTCAAGGACTTGGTTTTATGCGGGTTTTGGGATTTAGATTCCGACAACAAGGAACTCTGCCGATCCTACTTTATCTGCAATCCATTTACCAAGCAATGGATGGGTCTTCCTTTAGCCCCCGAGAAGGCCACGGGATACAAATCGCATTGTACAAGGTTTGTTTTTGAACCCCGCATTTCTTATGATCTTGATATGGAAGGAGGAGATGACGAACAGAAAATTGTTTATTCTGAGTATCGTTTCCGGGTGGTGAGTATGTATCAGCATGATAAGTCTATTAAACTGGACTGGTTTTGTTCCCAGTCTGGTAAATGGACCAATGAGGCTCTTGTTCTTCGTGGAAAGACGAAGATGAACGGACAAGTAATTTCGTGCAATGGGGAGCTGTTTTGGACGTATCATGAAACCGAAGATTTATGTGCTGACAGGATTATTCCTTGGGTGGCTGTGTTTAATCCTTTCCGCCCTGATGTACCTCCTACTCCTATTGATACTTTCTCATTCTTCGGATTAGGACCTTGGAATATTTCTGAGTCACAGGGTGCTTTGTACGTAATTCAATATCGATCGGCTTCTGAACGTTTTGTTTGGAGACTGGAAGAAGACGGTAAATCTTGGAGTAAACAGTATGAAGGGTTGCTGAAAAAATCAGGGATCGGTACCATTGAACATAAGTACTGTATTTTACCTTTCCTGCATCCACATAAGCCGGAAATTATCTTCTTCCATTATTACGATCGTTCCAGTCCGCGAACCATATTGTCCTTCGATTCGAGGACGGGAGAGCTAGAGGAATTCACTAAAGTTGGAGAAGGTGCATCTCGCCTTATGGTTTTCCATCCTATGGCCTGCTGCTTGCCTACTCCAATTCCAAAGTACGAGGAACTGCGAAGTATGTATGATGGAAGCTACAACTTTTGGGTTCAGAGCAGTAGCACTGCAACGACTCCCTCAATAACTGGTAAGTACTTCTGTCTGTAATAATACACATTCTTTTCTGTGTGTTGCTTCTCTGTTAGGTTCAGAAATTCACTACTATGAGAACAATAAAGTAAGTTTTTCCTTAATCAGGTAAGTGGAGCAGTCATGTGCTTGCTTACTACCTGCTTTGTCGCGTTAACACATTAGTTAAGTAGCACACACATTCATGTTGAGTTTTGTTTTTTTGGTTGCAAACTCTTTGTCTTATTAACCTAATGTATGTTACCCTCTCATTTTCCGGTTTCTAACCTTGGCTCTCATCTCACTCATGTTGTGGCTGGTTAATCTGCCGGACCAGCTGAAGAATGCGAACCAGTTGAAGGAGTTGGACTTTGTCCACAATTCCGAGCTGGGTTTTCGAATCCAGGATCTGGGTTGTTGTTGGTTGATGGTTTCTGTAACTGGGCTTTGATTTTTTCCCCCTTTTTGTTTATTCACCACCCAGAACCGACCTAATAATCGTCTCCTCTGTTTTTTTTCTCCTTCCCTTTTCCAGGCTCTTGATTTTCTGGGAAAACGAAATTTCAGCTGCTGTGGGGTAATTGAAATCGCGAGAACTCTAAAGAACTGGCGGATGAGTCGAGGAATTTCTGGGCAACTAATCACGGGATGTTAGTAGATTCCGTCATTTCCTTCTTCTGTCGCGAATCTTCCGCGCTTCAACCCGCTTCATTTCTCTAGCATTTCAAGCATTCCGACAAGTGTCTTCAGATTCCACAAATTTTTTGGAGCCTTGCGCTGAGTTAAATGAACTTTGGGAACTCCAATTCTGATTCAACGCCACAGCCGAGAATCCCGATCGATCTACAGAACCATTGCGTGACCGGCATTATGGAGATGATGACATCGAGAAACAGAGTCTCTCCTCCGCCTTCGTATTCCTCTTCGTCCGGTTCAATTCCGGCTCCGCACCATCTCAGGCCGGAGGTGGAGAAGAAGAGGTTCGTGTATGATCAGAGATCACAGATTGGGAACAGTAGTAGTAATCCGTCAAGAAGCAGGATGTTGCCCTCTGGCTATTTCAGCTTGGAGTCTCTGTTTTTGTTAATTGGGCTTACTGCGTCTCTGCACATACTGCCTCTCATCCTTCCGCCGTTGCCGCCGCCGCCGTTTCTGCTGCTTCTGATCCCGATAGGGATAATGGTTCTGCTCATGTTCTTGGCTTTTACTCCTAGTGCTAGGGATATGACTTATACATCTCTGTAAATTTTCCTCTCTTGTTCGTTGAACAAAAAAAGATAAAAAAGAGCTTGGGATTAGTAGGTTCAGAAGAAAATGATCAAACTTTCCCCCCTGTTCTGTTTAGAGTTTAGACTAATTAAGGTTAAGATTCAAAAGAAAATTACTATACTTACGAAAAAGAGAGATTGAAAGATGGTAGATTTGGAAATTGAGATTTTGTTAATGAATCACAATTTCACCAATAACAACCACATTTTATTTTTCAATTGTTTATTTTCGGGGAAGAGCTTGTTGCAAATTTTCAATATAGAGTTCAAAAAAAAAAATGCGATTTAACGAAATAATAACAAAAAAAGTATGAATAATAGATATTGCGTTCCATCTTTACAAAATGTAACACGGCAATACATTTTTTTTGGTAGAAAGCACGACAAAGTAGACGAGCTCGTTAGAGATTTCCACAGCATTTCGCCGATGATTCTTGTTGATAAATCATATACACAAACAGAGACGCGAACACAGTAAACAAAGTAGATTCTCTTACCAACAGAGACGCCGGTGATTCTTACGACTGCTCTGAACCAAAAAGCTGTAGCTTCCATCATACATACTTCGCAAATCCTCGTACATTGGGATCGCAGTAGGTAGGCAATTACAGGCCATAGGAGGGAACACCATAACGCGAGGTGCATCTTTTCCAACTTTAGCGCGAACTCCTCTAGCTCTCCGGTCCTCGAATCGAAACGACAATATGGTACGCAGACGGGAACCATCAGCAGAAGAATGGAAGAAGATTATCTCCGGGTCACGTGGATGCAGGAAAGGTACAATGCAGTGTCGAGGTTCAAATGCACCGCCGCTCCTTGATGTCTTAAACTTGATGTTCTTGATGTTTCAGATTGTATTTGGTGTTTCACTTGCATATCTCCTAATTTTCGAATGTGGCTTTGTAGGTGATCAAATGACATTTTCACATGATTCAAACGAATCATTTGAGCTAAAGGTTGGGGATGTCTCTGACATCTAGGTGGGATGAGAAACATAACTCACTTTGAGCTTTCCTGATACAGATGAGATAGACGCACTTGCAGAAATCAAGTTTCATATTCCTGACAAGCCTTCCATTCATATGAGTTTGTTGACACAATTTTTTATAATGCTAAATAAATTATTAAAGATTAATAATAATAAAGATTTAAAAATAATGGAGTATCAAAAACATTTTTTTATTATGATAGAGTATCAACTCATCAAAAGAATAACACACAACAAGAAATTGATATACGTAATTGGAGATGAATAGAGAGAAAAACAATAGCAACTACATGATTCAAAGAGAACCATTATTTTGGATACCAAATTATTCAAACTTGAATTCTTAATTCCAATACCAGGGTAAATATTGACAAAAATACATAACATGTCAATTGATTAAACCCCCTGGTTACCTGTAATTATTATTATTCAATCAAGAGCGGTATATAATACTCAAATAATTCAAAAACCAAAGGAAAAAAAAGAGTTTGATGTTTTGAGAAACCTAACTTATATGAACTAAAGTTTTATCACCTCGGTTGCTTTGAAAAAAATGTTATACAAATACCACATTTATAGAACTACACAAAATTGAATTTCTTCTTACTTCATGTATTTAAGAAGGAATTGGGAATCCTTCTTATGAATCATGAAGCTAAGTTTTGGTCCATTCTTCATCTTGATAAAGAGCTTATACTGTTTGCTACTAGTAATGTCCTTCGAATCCGTTCAAACGCGTGTTGTTAGTGGCCAATTGACGATCGTGTGTCTCGTATTTCATCATCAAGTCCTTCAGCGAGGAATCAAATTATTCTCCGGCAGAATTCATATGTACCCCTAACTAGCTGAAACACAGAGTCTACATCTATACCCTCTAACTATACAAATCATTCGTAAAATTGAACAAAATCAAGAGCTATTGACACAAAAAGATTAGGGTTTAACGGCTCCAGGCGGAGACGGCGAGGGAGTAGCTTGATCTCTGTAATCTGCCATGCCTTCCTCAGCACCCTGGAGAAATCATAGAAATCTTGACGAATGGATGTGTTTTGTTACCGGGAAAGAACAAAGAAAATAGAAAAGAGCAGTGAGAAAGAAAGAAATCGGCGAATGTATGTGTTTGGTTACCTGGAAAGAGCAAAGAAACTAGAACAGAGCACTGAGAAAGAAAGTGAACACTGACAGAAGGCGTTGGTTTCCGATATGAGAGAGAAAAGAAGAGGGAAATGTTGTTCTGAATAGTTCCGTGTGGTTATAGTTATAGATTCTCCCGCCAGCTACTTAAACAAATCTTGTCATGGATCATCTGACCAGAAGCCACATTAAACTTGATGTTTATAAGTGAATCTACCTTATATGAATCATACACAAGGAAGCTGAAAGAGTGAATGATAAAAAGAACTCATAATCGAAGCCAATAAACATGAAAGAGTGAATGATAAAAAGAACTCATAATCGAAGCCAATAAACATGTAATATTTTCTATGTTTGGTTTGAACACCAAATTGGTATGTGGTTTTGGTCGGCGGTGTGGAGTTTTGTTCCATACGGGGTGTGGCATAACAAGATGATTTACACACGTAATGTATTTTCTCTTACACTCACACAAACCATGCCCATAAGACACATTTATTTTTTTCATGCAATTCTTGAAATCTTATTCATCAATCAACCTATCTTCTCATCTAAGCATGAAATTCCATCATCTAATTATAATCTTTGTGATGAGAAAATCTTTTTCCATTTGAACAATCGCAATGCACCATTAATTTTGTTCGTCACGTATTGTGTCATAGCCTCCTAGGAACCTTATTCTTGTAGAAACATATTTTAGTGTATTAATATGTTACATCCTATCGTATGATAGTGATAAAGATTTCACCAATCTTTATAAAAAAAATACTTTGTCAAATATAGAGCATTCTCAAATCTTAAACTCTAGATATTTGTAAAGTTGGAAGAGGTTGTCAATCGAAAATTTGTCATAATGTTTTACAGTACTGGTATTAAACCATATAAGTAGGATGTAATGTCAAGTCGGAGCAAACATGTGAAATCAAATAAGTAATTCATCCATAAAATAAATGTTCTCGAGGTTGGCGGTGGTCGGCGGTTAATCACTCCGACCAGGATATAGCTTCCATATTTACCGGTTTGGTCATCCAACTTTCCTTGTTGTGTTATAATAGTAGTATACTTTCGCCCTCATATCCTCCATAGTTGGGCTGTCACTAGAATGGGCCTTGGCCTTCCATATTTCGGCTCATTTATATTTCCCCACGATAGGCCCAGCCCATGGAATAAACGACAAAACTACGACTGAGTAGTCAAACTGTTGGCAATCCCGCAGGTGTCTCGCACCATGGAGCGCCACGTTTACGAATTGCGGTGGCCGTCCTTCCATGGCGGCGGCGGCGTCGAGCCCAGAGCAGGGCTAAAACTTTTGCCCTTCTCTGAAAGACAGCAGCCGTGCAGCGATAGTCAGGCAGGAATCGACTCGTTTCCGGTACGTGTTTTTTTTTATACCTTTCGCTTCTGCTCATTGTATTCAACTCCGAGGTTCGTAACTCTGAACTCTGGAGATCATCTAATGGAGTGTTTCCCAATTTCTCCAAGCTTAGAATTCATCAATTCGTAGACTGGAGTTCGTAGCTTGAATTGCCCATTATGGAAAAGAAGTCGCCTGAACCTTTTCCTGGTACCAATTAAGGGGAAGGAATTTCACTTTCTCCCACTTTTGGAAATTGCTAATTGTCCTGAACTTCTAACCCCTCTCTCACGACCCTGTGGATTGGGTGGGATTTCGATTATCTTGCAGATGTGGATGTTATCGACGAGAAGACGGGACCAAATGTTCACAGGCAAGGCGTGGAGGAAGGTTCAGCTTCCCCTGAACGTAATGAATACAAGTCTTCTGGGGATGTAAACATGGAAGCTGCTATATCGACTGACGATGTCATGCGAGCTGGAGGCTTTGGGGCTAGAGATGATATAGGCAGTGTTCTCCCTGTTGCTAGTGACTCGACCGACTTCGAGGAGATGATCCTTAACGCTAAGGACTACGAAGGGCCACAGGCAGAACAACAACGAAGGCCGGGTCTTGGCTGGACAGATGCAGCTGAAGAACAAAACCCGTCTTCTGTTCAGCCCTAATCTGTGAGTTTTCGATGAGTTAGTTCTGTGTTTCGTCCTTTCGGGACTTTGTGGCATGTGGGCATATCTGGTTATCTTGTGGTACAAGGTATTCAGTGAGGCTTGTCTGGTGGAAGAAATAAAGTAATGTACTTGGAATCAGCTTCAATACTCTTTGCTATACCCGAATTCAACCTCACTTTTTAGTGAAGCTAATACTACAATATCTTCTCTAAATGGCCCCTTTTGTTAAACATGATCAGGTTAACTAGCGAAATCTTGTTTTCGGTTATTCCCACTGTTATGTCCTAATAATGAACTCTGTGGAATCAAACCTACTATTATAGGACTTGGCCTGTAATCATTTACAAACTAGCTTTTAGCTAACTATGGCTTCATGTTTTCTTCAAGAGCCCTTCAGTGATGCTTTGCTTTCGGATTTCGTATTGCCTCTTAAAGATTCTGTGTCCAGGTGCTAGGATTGCCAAAGGATCATAAGTCGATTTCCTCTTTTGAAAAACTTCCCATTTGGGCCCAAAGTGACCCTTCCAGTCTTCTTGGGTGGTATAATGAGGCAAGTATTGCTTCAACCCTATACCGGCACCCGAACTGTAGTCTAGTATTTGTTGGTTTCGTGCTAAAATGTAGTCCAGACCATCTTTTCCAGTGGAAGATGGCACTGCTGATGCCAAGAACGAGACATGGTAAATAACATCTTCTCTTGGAATGACCAAAGATGTTCTCTTGATGTTGTTGTTCCACCTGGAAATTTGAATAAAATCACAACTTAAGTAGATGATCTTTTATTTTACTTTATTTTGTTGAAATTGATCGTATTGATGGGAAGAGAATCAATTACCTGGACTGGTTGAGTGCATAAATGAGGATTGGACCATTGCTACTGTCTGTGACAATGCTGCCAAACACCTGACTTGCAAACTGATCCATCTTGCTTCCCGGAATGAAAAGGCATAGCCATGGATGTGGAACTTCCCACAAACCCTGCTCTCTGAGTTTCATCTCGGCGACATGGACTCTGTCCAGAAAGCCGAGGTAGGGAACTTCAGAGACGAAAAGGGTGGAGGTAATGAAGTGCAGCTTTGACAATAGGCCTTGGATTTGCTGCAATAAACGGAGGGCAGTAATCCAGTTTAGTGATGAAGAAATTAGCTTCTGTTTTCTATTATTCTCCTGAGAATAAATGAACATACCATGTCGATAGTTTCAGCGTCGTCATGGTGTGAGTTGTAGTACTTGGCAACTTCCAGACAGTAGAGAGTTTTCCCATCTGAAACGAATTGGCTAGCTTGAACTGGGTCCTTGGGATGGAAGGAGGATCTCCAGTTGTTGAGGAGGCCAGTTCGGTTTATGATCACGAATCCTTCGATGTAGTCGAATGATTCGTCAAGGGATATCAGATGTTCTTGGTCAGTGGAAAACTTGGAGAAATCCGAGTACAGAACTCGAATCCATCTCACCTACAGAACCAGCAGAAAGTCGAAATCAGTTCGCCTATCTGTTATAATTTCTGCTGCTGATTTGATCTTGAATGGAAGTTAAAGAACTGTTACCATGTTGGGTGCTGGTTCAAGAGAGATTCTTGCTCGAGTTATGATCCCAAACTGTCCAAGTCCTCCAAGCACACTGAAGAACAGCTCTGCATTCTGCTTCTCAGAACAGGTAACCACCTCTCCTTTACCTATATAAAAAAATGTTCATCAACCAAATCAAACTCAAGCTCCACACCATGGTTAACTGGACCAACCGGCTCAACCACGATTCGGTTTCCAGTACATTGGTTCACAGCCCAGCTCCCTGTTTTCCTCTATTTCCCCCACAAACTGAGTATAGCAACAGACTACAGAGGTATGTGTACCTGTGACAACCTCCAATTGTTGAACGTTGTTGATCTGGGGGCCATGCCTGAATGCCTGGCCGCTGATCCCGCCGTTGGAAAGCGTCCCTCCGACGGTGAGATGCAAGTAATCCGTCCACGATTTCGGCGCCAGCCCGTGCTTGAGCGTCTCCTTCAGGACATCGATCCACAGCTCTCCACCCGACACATCGACATAACGACCACCACCACCACCACCACGAAGATGCCCCTGACTCGGCCGTCGAGTCAGGGACTCCATGTTGACAACTATCCCGCCGTCAGCTTGCGATTGGCCCTGCAGGGAATGGCCGTGTCCTCTGGCGGCCACGGTGAGCCCCGAGAGCGGGCCCATTTCGTAGACGTGCTTCACCGTGGCAGCGATGTCGGAGACCGAACTCGGGTGGAGGACAGCTGCTGGCCGGAAGAAGAACCGGTTGCCGAAGTCCCGAGCAGCGTGTGCAGTGTTTTGGTAGCTGAAGTGGCCGTCGAGGTCTAGTGTGTCGAAGGCGGCGTGAGGATTGCTGTCTTGCTGCTGCTGCTGCGGCGGTGGTGGCGGTGAGAAGATCTTTTGGTGGTTTTGGTTGGCGGAGAAGAGCTTGGATTCGTGTGGTGTATGGCAGAGCAACATGATCATCAGGAATCTGAGGCGGAGAGTGGTGAATTTATTGGTTCGTTGGGAGGTTGGTGATGCCATTTTTGTGGGTCACGAGGGGGGGAAAACAGAGGAAAGTTCGAACAGAACAGAGGTTTGGAAAGTTGAAAGTGGGGAAGTAGTGGCGAGGGAGGGAAACGAGAGAAGGGAAATTTAAAGGGGGAGGGTTACTTCAAATGGGTTCTCGGTTCGGCGGTTTTCCTACGTTGATTTCGAAATAATAATTATGATCGTCAAAATATCTTTTTTGGGTGTTTTTTTTTCGACACATTAGAAACATTTATTCGTTGTGTTGTACGATCGAGTCCTAATAAAGTCGTTGACGATCAAAATTAACAATCTTATGAGTTAGGTCAAAATTATTAGCCAACTAAAAGGGAACTACATTGAGTCCCTAAGGAGAGATCATAACCCTTTTTGAACTTCTAAAGTTAGATACAAATATGTGTAAAGCTTGTAACTTTAAATAAAAAATAGTGAAGCTTGTAATGGATTTGACCCTTTCCTAACTTTCCACGATTTGATGCTCTCGAACTTAATGCTTCTTTCTCTCTCGGACTTCTGGTTCGACCACTAATTTTGTCGCAGATAATAGCTTGTTTTCATGTTACATACTCACAGTGGAGCTAGGTTGAAGATAGAAGAGGTTGTAATCTCTCTTCAACTTTGAAATATATATAAAATTACAGGTAAATTTTGTACAAAATCAAGAATTAGGATATTCGACAAGACGTTAGTCCACCTTCCTTAATTTCTACAATTCAAGGAAATCCACTCATTTAGAATTCTGTTTTTTACCACACTAGACACTACCATTGAACTTGGGAGAGAGTCTATGACCCATTGATAATTATGAGTGATTGGTTAATGGCAACCACAATAAGCATTAAACACTCTTTTATGGGAACAATTTTTGTTTTCATCCGACAAAATGTTGACACTATGATGATTCCGTTGAAACTAATATAAAAAGATTAAAAAATTTTCTACCTTTATTGTCCAATAAATGATGAAAATATATATCAAACTTGAGTGTAAATAAATAAATTAAAATACGTGGCTTGTACAAGGTGTATAGTAAATAATAGAACCTATTTATGGGTTCCACTTCCACCCGGAAAGGATCTCGGTCGTGTTGGCGTGTAAGTGTATTGCATGCAATTTGGTGATGTCACATAATTTGTGTTGTAGTTGTAGTTATACCGCTGTAAAAATAAACTATTCGAACGGAAAATAATGACTACAATTGTGGTCTTAAAATTGCACAAATTAAACATGATTATCGTTACAATTCCGTTAAAGTTGTAATTCTACAAGGGCAAAAACAATGACTACAACTATGATTGTACTGTGCCAACCTCTTTATAGTTAGCAAGCTAACCGTGCTTTTATATTGATCACAAAGTAGCTTGAAATAACTTTTAAAAGTCCCTAATTATATATGAAGAGGCAGTAGCGAAGCCGAGAATCAGACCGATGAAGACTGATTAAGAAAATCACGAAAAATCTCTATGAGGTTGAAAAAAGACTTTTACTATGTTGATGTTCTCACTTTTCAACATTTGTTCAACACATGATTCACATATTATAGTTGTTTGTGAACCCTAAATGTCACTAACTATTGTTTTTGAAAATCGGAAGATAAAAGCTTATCAATCCCCTCATTTTTATGTCAGGAAAAGCTAATGTATAAGTCCGAGACGATCTCACTCCTTATGAATACTCGACAAGCTAATAAGAGCGTATTATTCAAGTCTACATATTTGCATACCATTGCTCATCGGAATTATATCATTCCAACCAGTGGCGGAGGCAACATTTCAAACCACCCATGTCCTCTTTTCATAATATAAATATTGAAATATTTAATTAAAAATTATTTAATAAAATTATTTATATTTAAATAATTCATTCATAGATGAAAATAACCGACTATACAATTATTGTTCTCTTAAACAATCACGAAGGGGTTTCATATTGAGAAAGAAATGCAAGAACATTCGTTGTCTACACTATGAAATAAGTCACTTTCAATGTATCTCACTAAACAAGCATTAGCAAACTAGTCGCCAAATCGACTTGGAAACTTGTTCTTAATACAACTCAAAACTGAAAATGCTCTTTTTACGCTTGCAGTTGTAATTGGTAGAATATCGTTGCAGCTAGACAATTTCAGGGTTGCTTGGGAAAACAGATCAAATATGCACAAGGAGAAAAGAGATCCGATTAGGTCTTTATTGCAATTGAAATTTCGTTTATAGTATATAACAAATCAATTGTATGTCAATTGTTGAACAAATAATGAGTTGTGCTACAGTGACAAAATACTACAATACGACTTGTAGTTGTATTGTCCCATCACCAATATATGACTTATTTTTGTTCCTCCGAAATTTATCCCCGCCTCCGCCCATGATTCTAACCTCATGTATTATCACTTGAGTCGCCCATTCGTGATTTTTTTCAAAGGGTGTAGATGACACGATGGAGGTAGCAAACTTATCTTTAATTCTTTTATCTCCTCCAGAAAGCTTGTGCGTAAGTTCCTAAGCCATTATAAGATCTCGATGTCTCTCTTTGTGAGTAAATATGTACGTGGAAAGGAAAAGAAAGGATCATTTAGGAAAGGTAAAGAAAGGTGGTTGTGTACCCAAGTTGTCGACTTCCTTTTGGGCATATATAGTCGTAGTGGGAATGAATGAAGGCAACAGTCGATCGACACCAACGACAGCCTCTGTCTCAAAGCCTTTATTTAGAAAATGTTGCTACTAAGAGAAATGGCGATGTTCTTCCTTTTTCACCCAAAGAAAAGGCCATGAAATCGATGGTGCTAAACTGCTAATTTGCCCCCCCTTTTGCTACTTAACCAAGCTGCTGCTGCCAAGTTTTACATGTACTTCATTGCTGCAGTGAAAAAGAAACGACAAGACTAAAGTTTGGTGTAGGGATGACAATCAGGTCGGATTTCTCAAAATTCAAATCCAAACTCAACAAGTGTATCGGCATAAAAATTCTGTAAAATACCTACTGTGGAAGAGAAATCCTACCCAACTCAATGGATAGCTGGGCACCCGTGGGTGCATGGGTACTCACGTGATCACGAATATAACGAAAATAATTTCTCCGAACACGCACTTCCTTATGTTAACCAAAAAAAAAAAAAAACTTCTATAACTATATTGATATGAAGGCTAATAACTTCAATAGTTAGATGTCTTATTAGAATTATGTTAGCATAGCAGGCAGCTAATTGCTTTTATACATTGTATCATATTATTAGGGTTATAAACAAAACAACGTAATTTTTCTATTCATGAGTGGGTTGGGTGGATATTGAGTTAGATTTTGGCTAAACTCGTATCTCATCCAACTGACCAATTCCAAAAGCGGGGTTTACCCACACTCGATCCAAAATCCGTCAATGTGAGTGTTACTCGCTTTGACCGAATTGGATTGAGTAGAATACGTACCCATGGGTAATGTTTCAATTACCATCCCTAATCTGATGCGTTCTCACAGACCAACCCACAATTTTTTCACTTCTAACCCTCTGTTCACGAAGGATGAAAAATAGAGGTGTGGAAAGCTGGGTTAGAAGTGAAAAACTGAATATCACTTTCACCTCATTATTTCACTATCGTCAACTTATCACTCTCTCCAACTTTTCCTTTCCTCCCCAATTTTCTCCTTTCTTTAATGAACAGAGCCTTAAGCTAAGTAACCTTAAGAGTTAAGAGCAATTTTGGTGCACACATAACTAAATAATTAATAATATGATTAAGTAGCCATCAAGGTCGATCATCTTGTCTCAAAACCATGAATCTAAGCTTTTGAGGCTCAAAAGAGAGTCCAATCCAAAACTCAATAACAGCGGGTCAAACCCTAACTCTAATCTATATAAAGATCCTTAAACCTTTTAACAGAGATTTCTTCTTCTCTCTCCTTCTGATTCCTTGGTTTAAAGGGGTATTTTGAAAATGTGATTGAAATCATCGTTTATAATTTACAATTATACACGTACATATTTATCATGTATCATCAAGTAACGGTTATATGAGAGATTTTATTTGTAAAACTGTATGAGTTAGGTGTAATTCTTGATTATATTACTGCAATAGTATGATACTAGCGATTAAACTTCGAATTCAAATTTTTATTTTTTTGGATAAATAACTTCGAATTCAATGAATGAAGGATATTTTTATATCAGATTGTACAATGTACAATCATTTTTGTGAATGACTAGAGATAAATTCTACAACATGTTCTTACATATATGACCCCTCTAGAAATTCGTATCATCATAAGTTCAATAATAAACAGACCCTTCTTGTCTTGTGTGTCAATCAATCTATCAATATTGTAAGTCCTCGAGACTCGAATGCTAGAGCTCTTGGTTATTAAAGCGTTTACCCTTTATATTATAACTGCGCTGTTACCGATCGGGAAATCGCCGGAATCGAGAAAGCAAGAATACGAAAGCGAGAATCGAAAACAGACACACGATTTACGTTGTTCACTAACACAATGTGTGTTAGCTAAGTCCACGAGCAGGAGAGAGCCAGTTTCACTATGTCGAGGAGATTACAGATTACAGAGGAGATGATGAGTATTTATACCTCTTCATGTGGGTCCAATTAAACCTAATCCAATATGGTAAAGAAAACGGTTACAGACGAGGCCCAAAACTGACAACCCAAACGTGTATCGAGCCATACACCGTGGACCCCCGTGACTTCCAGTCGTAGCGGCTGGATAGTCCGATCCAAGTCATGACATCAACACTTTAGTGTACAACAAAAGGCTCTATCACTTATAAGCATGATATGCATCCAAATAACTTACACACGAAAGAATTCATATTCCAACTTAATGGTATAGGTTGGTGTAGTCCGAGTGATCACATGCACACACGTACTCTAAACTCGATTTAATTCATGGTTTAGATAAATATACTTCTGACACAATATCATGACCAAAACCCTATCATTTGAGCACCACATGCACACATGTACCCAATTTCATATTCATCAATCAGCATATATATACCAACTGATGTCAATAACCCCTAACTAACTCTCCTCCACTTATGAGAAAATGACAGTACATAGACTGTCCAATCTGATAAGTGCACACCACCAACAAAAACAAAGCTGATGCATGCAACCATTACTCTCTCTTTCTCTGCATGTGCGGTATCTGGCATCAGAAAGTAGAACAAGCTAGCAGGGAAGCATTTTTTTGGGGTTGGCCCCTACCCAAAAATCCTCCTCTGCTCTGCTCTTCTCTTCTGCTTCCAACAAGTCGCCAACCAACCAAGCACAAGCAGCAGCAGCAGCTTTAATGGGTTCGAAGAAGATAAGTAAATAAAAAAGGGGGAACAAAGAGTCGTCGTTCGTTCGTCAAGCAGCTAGCCAGTCATTTGTAAGCTCTCTCTCTGACAAGACTAAAGAGAAAGTTCTCCACTTCACCAACGGCTTTTTCATGACCTAACCCTTTCTTCGTCGTCGTTCTGCAGCAATATTCCCACGGGAGGGAGAGGCGATCGACGACACCTTTGTATGTATGAAGATGATGTCTATAGCTAGTAGATAGTCTAGTCTCTCTGATGCGCCAAAGTTAGGACCACGATCCTAGCTAGATGATGGCCGGTGGGAGGTGGCGAAGTCAGAAATCCGAACGAGCAGGCGGGGTATGTGCATGTTACGCGATATAACAGACCCTTTTCCCAATAACTCGAGTTATTGGGATCAATAATATTGGTTAGCTCGCTAAAATGGTATATTGGAGTCTAAAACCCCGAAAGGTCATGATTTCGAATCCTCGTGACGACCCCCATTTAATGCCCAATTCGTTTAGCACAAGGGATGGTATGTCAAACCTGTGAAAACTAAAGCCTCGCGTGGTTTTAGCAGGACAAGGGGTTTAACCTGAGCAAACTGTACAAATCCACAATTAGGCATCAGATTTCGTTTGGGGGGGGGGGGGGGGTAAGAGATTGTAAGGCTTAACAAACCATTTTTCCAACAACTCGAATTATTGGGACCAAGTGGTTAATTAGTCCACTAATAGAGTCATCGACGATGTTAACGATGGTGATACCTGGTGGACTCGGTATCACCACGTGTACTTATAGTAGTCATGTGGGTATTTCATATGTAGTAGAGCAAGTCTTGACAGACAGGGGAATCGGTTAATGATAACGTTAACGAAGGTGGTGGTGAACTTGACACTCAAGTTCGTTGTGACTACTTGTGTAGATAAGTCATAATAAGATCACTAACAATGAAAATGTGTGATCGATCGACAATGTTAACAACAATAGTTGGCAATGTTTGAGCATTGAAATATGAGTAATTTGAGGGGGACAAAATTTAGGGTTTTCATCTTTCGTTTGATGAGCAAGTCATCTCATGAAATGGCGGGCTCCATATTGTACGGCGGTCTCATTATCCACAGGACATTGCTGGCCTAACCCACGTGGCTGTTTTGACAATATGGGTAGTACTTGGCGCCATTTCTATTGTCGAAGTATAAGATGGGGATATACAAACATCGGATATCGATCCTAACACGGATCTATGATTTTTAAGCACAATTCATGTAAATCGAATGATCGTAAATTCCTTATAGTAAATCGCAGAATATACGATCCAATGAACATTAGCGTGTTAATATGTGCTTAAATCGAACCGAATCGCACCCCTAGCTCGATGATGGGGTACTAGGGGTTGGATCATGTTGAGCTAAATAGCTAAATCACCAAAAGGAAGATGGTGATGATTATGTCACTGACCCATGATTTGGAGTGGCAGAGGAGAGGAGAGATGAGGGTGATGACAGTTTGAATGTGGGAAACACACTAACATCCCCATCCTATCACCTTGAAGGGAATAGCTTTCTAGTCTTTAGATGTGATATTCCTAAAGAGAAAAACAGTGTTCTTCAAGGGGGGTTTTTTTTTTGTGGGTCTCTTGAGAAATAGAAGGGTTTAAAAGAAGTACTACATATTATAATATTGTTAAAATCGAATTGGATTGACCGGGTTGATTGAAAATAATTGGACCCGATCGTAAATTTGTTTTGGCCAGTCTCAAATCGAAGCAGCTTATGCACGGCCGAGTTTGGACCAGTTCCGGTGATGTCATGTCCAAACACAAATTGTTGATTCAACATAAATTGTTGAAATTCCTTAGCCGGAACTTTAACCGGCTGGGTTTCTCAAGGGAGAGTCAGATGTGACGACCAACTAGAGTGCACATATCCGGTGTTATTTTCAAATGTAGAGACGGTAAAAGCTAATTTTTCATTAATATCATCAATTGATAACATTTTCTTGCAAAAAATGTAAAGTGTTTGGTTTTCAAAATTACAATGGATTCAACACAACTTCCCCACTCAAGACTATACCAAACTCCAACCAACTACAACTACTTATTAACACCTTTAGGAGAGGAAATCTACAAATGGATCATAGCAAGTTGCATTTCAGAAAGAGAAAGTTGAGCACCAATCGACCGGCCACTCTAAGCTATAAAAAAAGACTCACTCTAAATAGGAACTAGGTAGAGAGCATAATTTTGAGCACACACTAGATAGCACAATAGGTGCACAAGGAGAGTGGGGAAGAATGGGTAATGAACATGTCGGGCAAGTTCCTTGTTAAAACTCCAATGTCAACATCCGAATTTATGCAATTGGACCAAGGCTAGTTATATGGGTCATCTAGTATAGTGTAGGGAGCATCTAGGTAAAGCACATAATTGCACAACCATTATTTCGATATGTTGTTTTCGAGGTTTTCAATATCGACGACTCCTTTTTCTTCCCTTGCCAACCATCAAACTGAAGACCTAACTCTCGCGTAAATTGCACACCACGACCATTTTGTATTAGAGTATTAGTACGTAGTACTATGTGTTCTTTCTACATTTGCAATGAGCAAATTAGCATGTGCAAATCTAGATAAGGCTTAGGCCTTAGTGTCACTCACAAGTATAATGAAACATGATGAGAAATGGACATGCATGGAAGGAAGATGCTAGCTAGGGTTTGATCATATACGCCTAACTAGCTCTAAAGTTATGTATGAGAATCAAATCAAGGAAAGAGGGTTTGACAAACATAAACATTTATCGGCTTCCCATACCATTTTTGGCGATGAGGATATAAGGTTGGACATTTCAGTTTGGACATTTAACAAATGCGACTTATTCGATTTAGAAACCAACGACATTTTACTTGTGCGTAGTATAGTAGCATCACGATAACTAGTTAACTACTCACTAATGATGGGTGTCCGAGCTTCATATCGACTTACGACTTTCTTCGAAAGTCGACCCATCTCATGCTAACACTATACTCAAACTTACACCCGTATTTTGATAAAGATAACGTACTAAGATCGTATTCCTTCCATTGAAAAGAACACCGAGTCTCTATCGTTTGAGAGGGCATAGTGAAGTCAAATGAACTCCAGGCTCTGTCATTTTCGACACATCTCTTTAGGAATGGATTCATGGGATATGCATAAATAGCGAGCTAGCTAGGAAGGCGCAAAAACGAACTTGAAATGACAACTTGCAAGACTTTGGTGGGCTTTCACTTTCACTTGTGGAGGTAGGGGGGACGATTTATAGGCATATAGTATAGGGAAATGAACATGAACACAACATATTAATGTGTCATTTCTGTGAAACCCAACTACAACACTATAGAAAGCTATTAATCCCACGCCACAAAATTTTGTGGATTGATGTGAAAGAATTTCTAATCGTCGACGACTATAGAGAAAGGTTTCATGGCAGGATTATACCAAAATAGCACGCGCACAAAGTAGGGGCAAGAGGGAGAACTCCTAGACTTGCTTACCATTTTGTGCTATGAGGGGATTGAATATATAGCATTGAGTTTGAATCGAGTGCGAGGTAATCTATCTACGGACTGTTGATCTAGCAATATCAGCGGCAGAACGATTTTTGTGATTGTCAGTTAGAATTTCATAGGTGTTTTGCTTGTTGTTTTATGCATCTATCGACAGAAAGATACGCATTCATGAGCATTTCCCTCATATGTTGTAGATGAGTTCATTAACAAAAGAAGTAACAATATGCAAATTGTATGTTTGTGAACACAACTACATCACCATCGTCTGCGTATAAAACGCAAACAAAGGTCGTGACATGCATTGTTTATGTTAATATATGGGTTATTAACATGATATAACTATCGAGGGCGATGCGTCGGAGGGGCTAAAATAGAATTCCAATCATTGAAATTGGTTAAATTTTTTGTTTTTCGAAGTTCGATCACCATAAACAAAGATGAGAGTGATTAATAAAACATAATTGTTTAATTATATCGCTAGAATTATTTATATTCAATTAGTACCCTTGGATCCCATTTCTAGAACCTCCTCTTTTTTTTGTAATCTATGAATTATCAAAATTCATGACTTTAGGAATGTTTGGATAAAGAAAAGAGGAAGGCAAGTACAATGTTTGATTGACATTTGGATTAACACGAGTGGTTGCTATCAAAAGTTGGTCTTATGCATCTAAGTATCGGCTTTTTGGCTACTTACTAAAGATAATACAAACAACAAATTACTATACTTCATAAACCACATCATTGATCATGCTAATAATGTTGTTGTCCGTTGAAGAAAAGACAAGAAGAAAATTGAGAATAAAATAAAAGGAAATCACATTAGTCATAAAAAAAAACACATTGAATTATAAAATTTAAGATAAACACTATAGGAGTTTTAGGAATAGTAGTGTATATTATTATGAAACCACAAAAGGGTTTATATAGATTACAAGACTTGGACAATAAGTAAGAGAACCACAATACTAAAAGGACACGGTAATACTAAGAACTATACTATAAGGACAAGGAAATATAAGATTATTCCTAATCTATCTCTAACACGCCCCCGCAAGATGATGGTGTGAAGAACAACATCAATCTTGACCAAAATACGACAATCTTGAAGAACACGCCCCCACAATGTGATGGTGTATAATGTGCTGCAAACTCGTCGAACTCTCGTGCTTGAAGAGCGAAGCCAACTAACCGTCGTCTTGGAGAAGAAGAAATCATCAAACTTGCAATTCATACGTTGCAACGAAACTCAATCGTCGTCAAAAATTGACCGGAAACGAGATGAACAATAATTAATTGGTTTTAACGATACCAATAAACGTAAACTGGTGTAGGACACGAGGCACATCCGAATGACCGTTGTCGGAGAAGCTTTCTTCGTTCCATACACGTAAAGAAGAGATGGCTGGAGGATGACCGTGGCTCCGCTATATAATTCTGCAACAGTCTGAAAATAAGATAAGAACGATAGCATCGGCTATAAAAACCGGATCTTCATCTCCAATGACAATGCGGCAGTGGTCAATCGACAGAGAAACAACTATCAGAATCTCCAACGAAAAATAATGATTATGATATAGAATGAAGGAATGCTTTTGGGAGAGTGGCAATTGGAAGCTAGAATTATCACCGCTTGGGACGTGGGGCTGGGAAGCAAGCAGTTAGGGATAATGGCTAGGGGTGCGGGACAAGAAACAATTAGCATAGGGGTTTTTTTATTGAGAAAGGAAAACCGAACTCATTAGGATTATAGCTACGTGAAAGAAAAAGCAAGGTAAAGAACAAGACTGCGGAAGGGAGGAGGGAATTAACCGGGTGAGTGAGGACTCATCTCGGTGGTGAAGGGGGAAAAAGATTTTAGGGTTCCTGATCAAGGCTGTTAAGCTAGAGGCTCTGATACCATATAGGAGTTTTAGGAATAGTAGTGTATATTATTATGAAACCACAAAGGGGTTTATATAGATTACAAGACTTGGACAATAAGTAAGAGAACCACAATACTAAAAGGACACGGTAATACTAAGAACTATACTATAAGGACAAGGAAATATAAGATTATTCCTAATCTATCTCTAACAAACACATGCTCCAATATTAGTCGCATCACAACTACAGGTGTCATATTTGAGTTTCTAACTCAAACAAACAAAAAATTTACATAAGCTATATGAAAAAACATATTGAATTATAGAATGCTACAACATTAATAGTATCAAAATTATAGTTGTCACATTCGAGTTTCCCGGAATTCACATCGAGTCTTCACTTCACATCAATTATGTTGGTAACGTAGTTCCTATATAAACAAAAGATCTACAAAAAAGTTACCTCCCATATATAAAGAGACATGATGTGATAAGGGGGGGAAAAGAAAGAAAGAAAAAAAAAAAAAGAAGGAACCAAGTGATCAGTTGTTACATAATTAGTGGAGAACATGATAGGACATGTTAAAGGTAACAACCACATAGCTAGAAAGAGTGTTGTGTTTGATATGTGGAAATCTGATATGGTTCCAATAATTTTGGGTTTTGACAACAAATTAGAGACACAAACTTTATGTGGTATGATGTTCCTCACTCACTACATCAAAAGGACCAACATCAATGTTTGAAATCCATAGTATTATGACACACTACCACAGAAGAAGAAAAAAATGACTTGGACATATATATATATATATAGAATTAATAATTAGTGTATGTTCTTTCTATATTAAAAAAAAAAAGGAAATTTGGGTTTAACTGTTTTGTTCATGAAATGGAACGAAAAGAATAGTAAACATATGTGGATTGGTCCACCAACTTTTTTGTGGGGAATGTTATCATGGGTTCAAAGAAAATAAGATGGTAATGGCAATCACTAAAACAATCTTTGGGGAAGCCCACAAGCGATTTAATTTGCTAATTAAGTAGTTGCACCTTGATAAACAACTGGTTAATTTGTAATGAATACATACATACATGAAACTCAATTACATTCCGTAGAATTAGGGTGGATTCGGTTCGGTTCGGTTATAACCGATAACCGATTGGTCGGTTACCGGTTAACCGAACCACCATCTCCCCCTACCGAACACCGACCGACGCCAATGTCTCGGTTAACCAATATCCGACCGGTCGGTTATCGGTTAATTGGTCGGTTAACCGAGATAACCGAAAAAATGATGGTGGTTCGGTTTTAACCGGGTAAAATTATTAGAATTGCCTAAAATGAAAGGTTCTAACTTACATTTCTACATCTAAATCACCAAATTAATGTCTCAAATTCAACATAAAATTATAAACTTCATTACGAACAAGGGCTTGGTCTAGTGGTAATACCACTAGCCTAGAACCTGGAGGTCTCAGGTTCAAATCCCTTAAGTAGTACCTTAATCACAAAAAAGAAACCTATATCACCCTTATAAAAAAAAAAAATTATAAACTTCATAACCGGGTATTTTCACATCGTTTTGGTGAGGGGGTGGTCGGTCGGTTATTTTCAGTTACTGTCGGTTAACCGGATAACCAGTTTTCGGTTACTCGGTTTACCGAATTACCTATTAGGTGCTCCGACCACCGACCAAAGCATATAATTTTCGGTTTGATTTCCGCCCCTTCTAATTTCAAATGGGTTTCGAAGATAATTTTTTTTTATCGGTTATCGATTAACCGATAACCGCCGGTTATCGGTTTAACCGGCTGGTTAACCGGTAACCGGTAACCGAACCTCCAGCCCTAGGTAGAATCGTCAAATTAATAGATATTATATTCCATAAACCATTGAGTGTACATCAACTTATATGTCATAACTAACATGAAAAGGAACATTTGGATGAAGTTTAAAAAAAAATGGCTGAGAAATCATGCTAGATGGTCGAAGCCTGAATCCGAGATCGACTGGGAATCCTTGGAAAAGAAATGCACAAAGGAAAAATGACATAACAAAAATCAGCAGGCAACCCCAAGAGATATGTAGCAACAGTCAAAATTCACACCTACTGATCATAAAAAAGCTGTTGGGTACAAATAGTTCATCTGAAACTTCATTCAAAATTTAGGAACTTCCAACTCGAGGACAACAACAACCCTTCGGCACCACATAGAAAAAAGCCCTCAGTCTTAAGCTACAACAGAAGGCTTGGAAGCAGCAGACAACCTTGACCTCTTCTTGGCCAAGCTCTCACTGCGACGATCTCTCTGCTCTTTCAGTCTCGAAGCAAGGAGCTTCTGGTACTCAGCAGCATCAGCATTGGCCTTTGCTACTCTCTTCTTCTTCTCAGCAAGCCTTGCCCTCTTCCTCTGCAGAGTCAATGGAGTCACCAGCCTCTGGATTTTAGGAGCTTTGCTCGCTTCCTTACCTGCACCGCCAAAAAGCATACAAGAAAAAGTTGAAACCTTTACTCGACACTGAAATGGGTTACTCACGTTATTGGTGGGTCAAAGGATGGATTACTCACCATTCTTTCGGGTGAAAGTTCGGCGGTATGTATTGACATACTTCCTGACATCATCATCTTTGGAAAGATTGAAAAGCTTGCGGATCTTGGATGCCCTCTTTGGCCCTCTCATTCTGGGCTTCTCTGTGTCGGTTAGCCCTGGGAGATCACTCTCACCTTTCTTCACGATGACCAAGTTGAGAACAGAAAGGTCCTGGCTCACAATGCAACCACGCACAGACTTCCTTCGGCGCTCCCCATTGCGCCTTCCATATCCACGGAAGCATGGGGTTCCTATTTGCAAAAAAAAAAGAAGGGGACGTCTCAAACCAATGCACAACATTTCCACTCACTCTATGCTTTACAAAAAAAAGGATGCCACCTACCTCGGGCAAGCAGAAGGCGAACACGACCAGGGTTCAGGACACCCTGCTTCATGGGGAAGCCCTGCTTGTCACAACCTCCCATGATTTTGAACACATAGCCCTTAAATTCCTATATAAAACAGAACACAAAAATCAACACCGAGAATTTGAAGAGCTGCGCATCAAGAAGCGAGGAGAGAAAAAATACTATATATACAAACCTCTCCAAGCGCATCACCACTGACTTCCTGGGAGATCCTCTTGTCAAAGAAGGCACGCCTGCATAAGAGGGAAGTAATCAGAGATGCAGTCTCTAAACGAGAATAAAAAACTAAGCTTGCAATAAACTACTGCTTTCTGTATGAACGACTCCGCGAGCAGATATCTTGATAGCTACTCATAAGATGTAAACTATCTAAAGCATCTAAGCTGCAAGCTACTTGTAGGTGCAGCTATAGTGGTAGACTATTCCATAGAAGTACAATTTACATATGACCAAGGAAACTAATTCCCTTCCCCTAGACCAACTTGCCTGAATTCTTGAAATGGAGCTACTGCATTCAGATTTCAGAACAAACTGTAGTTGACAATATGGAAAGTAGAAATGTTCTTCAATATAGTAGATAAATCAACAGAAAATTGACGGTATTCTATTGATCCGTTCTGTAAGTACATTCAAATCTTAGTCATTAACTTCTGCAGATTCCCTTCCAACTCCGCACAACTTCCATTCTCCTTCAAATATAACCTATCACGCTTCCATCTTACGGAGCTCAAACTAGTGTACGGATTCGAACAACAGGAAGCCTAGTGCATCAAAATCACGAGCTAAATACGAAGGTACCCAAAGTCGGAAAAGGCTTACAGCTTCTGATCGTCATCGATTTCCAGCTTCTTCTGGCACCCGGTGGTGGGATTAGCGATGTTGAACTGCAAAAACCGAAGAAAAGACAGAGTGAGATCGAGAGTGTTCAACAAATGCGAGCTAGAATTTCATCCCATCGGATTTAACATTGAAATTGTACAAGATATTCAATACTGAAAATCCAGCAGCTACCTTCATGGCTGTCAACGGAGAGCAGATGCTGCTGCGACGAGGAGCTTGTACGACGCCACGGACGGGTTCTTCTTCTCTCTGATGCTGCTTGCGGCCGCCGCTTCTACGTTCTAAGTAGGGTTTTGTTGTCTTGAGATATGTAATGGATTCGGTCGTGCTCGCTTGGGCCGTAGTTGACTTGACTTGGCCCAATCTGAAATCTCCTCAGGGCTTAGAACGCAACACAAATCTGCTCAACAAAGCCCATAAGCCCATAATCATTTCCTTGTTAGATTTATTCGTTCATATTTTCACAACGTCTGACAAGATTCGGGAAATTATTCACCGTTATCGGTCTTTACTACAACTATATATAAGAATGAATCAATTCCTTGTTAAATTTATTTGTTTATCTTTTCAATTTGCATAATGTGTGACAAGATTCAGAAAATTATTCACCATTATCGGTCTTTGCTACAACGATACTTGTCGAATTATTTTTCCTGCGATCGACTTATCGTCCTGCTAGTATACGATGGGTGTTGTGGTGCAATGTGAGAATTTGGAAAGACTAAGTTTCCATAAAGAAATGAAAATTCATGAACTGTAAGAATATAATTTCTGCCTACTAAATTCAAAACAACTCTGCTCCAACATTCTTGGTAAATATAAAATCCAGATTGCAAAGTTCTTCACTCTTCTCATTCTCGGTTTAACTTGCCAAACTCGGCCAGCCTTTCTGCACAACTTCTTGTCTAACCTTTTGCTTTTCTTCTGCAGAACTCAACCAATCATCGGCTACAGCTTTTGATACTCCAGCAAACACAAATCAGATCGAGCATTTTCTGATCTTTCTGAAAATTCGGTAGCCGGGTTATAACAATTTGCCTCAATCAACTGATTCCCCACTCATTTGTCCTTAATTATACTCTACTACAACAGAAATCATGTACGCTCGCAAAACTATCGTGGCTAGATCCCGGCAGAGTGCATCACTTAAAATGAACCAACACTTTTCACCTATAAATATAACCATGGCTGACCTAGATGGTCATGTCCTCACGGCAGGACTAGTGCAACTTCTTTGGTGGTGGATTGCCTCCGGAGATGAAGACATGTATGTAGAAGCACAGCATTGCAGCACTATTAGAGAAACAGAAACGGATAAGATTAGAGATCCCGCAAATAGAATGATTATTGATAATTTGCATATATGTACGGTATCCTGAAATTGCAACAAAGAAGTACCTAATAGCAGCAAAAAACCCTGCTGGAAGGAGGCTCTTGGTCTGCGTTAATGTGGCATCACAAAGTTAGCAAATGAGCAAATTATAAATCCTGTTCGACAGGAAACTTATGCTCAATCTGATTACTAACCAATGAGTAAACCTCAATGTTCATCCACAAAAGAGCTGCCGAGAGCACTGCAAGGATATAGGTAGACACCAATTAGATAAAATGAAGAAGAAAAAACATTCAGCTTCTGCAGTATTGGATTCTTGCTGGAAATCATTTATGACCACGTATGTAAACTGTCATACAGCAGGATAAACCTAGAACACCCTGCCTTTGCCCATGAGGCATTATCAACTGCATAAACAAACTACTTACTAACACCAGAAAGAAATTATACTTCGTAGTCTTTTCTGATAAGCTTTATAGCATATATGCATCAATGATGACAATGCCAAGAAAGTTGAGAAGAACATCTTTTGCAGGAAAATGCAAATAATGAGTTTGTTTGAGGAGCGATGAAGAAATCATTCTCTTTTTTACCAGTTGGTAGTAGGCATCACAAATATTTGTAAAGCTAGAACACCCTGCCTTTGCCCACTCAATAAGCTAATTATGAAGGATCAACCAAAGCATTTGAAGGAGCTCAAGAACGGACGAATTCACAAAGATATTAGTAAGGGATGATATAGACCATGGGCAAATATTAGTCGCAACTTCTGCTATGCCGAGTTAAGAAGCTTCGAGCAACTTCACATATTCTTTCATGATAGACCGAGTCCTCGCAGTAGCAGGACAGACAAATCTCAAATGAGAGCAGAAGGTTCTAATTTATCATTCCGTATGCCTCAGACAGACTTCTTACCAGCTTGTCCGAAAACGAATGGCAAACTGGACTTCCCTTGTCTCCAGATCTTTAAGCTATAAGTGCTAAATGCGAGTAAGCCCCCTCCGATTAGCACGCCACTGAATGTTGCATAACTTCTTGAGAATAACAAACCAATGAGCCCACCACTTAGGACAAGACCCCCTGGCCATGAAATTTTTTAGCATCAGTATCAATCATAACTATAACAGGTTGAATGAAATATGCATCACTACTCAGGTTTAACTGATACCGAGACACCATGAACCAATTCGATTCAAACCGTTACTAGATTCAATGCCACATCTCCCAGATTCATTATTTACAAAAGATTACTACAATCACCTAGCACCCTTTCACAAAGATTACTATATGAATGAGCCTCAATGCCACAACATTCGACAATGAGAAATTCAAACTCACCAAAGGGAATGCCAAAACAGAAATCATGGATCATGGCGGAACCATAGACACTCTTCTTCTCCACAAAGAGATCAGCGTTCTTACTCGTCTCTTCCACGCTGGTATCTTCTCCATAGGGCATTGACTTTGATGCCGATTCATAACCCTTATAAGGATCCGAATCCGGATTCCCCCTGGCGCGGCCATCAGCGCTCATAACAATCGAGAACTGTTGCGAAAACAAAACAAATTATGAAACGAAGGAAAATCAAAGCCAGGAACAAACGCAATCAGAGAAGACGGATCAAAGGGACGTTTCATCGGACCTTGGGGAGACGGGGAGAGGACGGGAAGGAGATGAAGCGGCGGCGGTGGAGATGGAGCTGGTGGAGATTGCGGTTGATCGAGGAGAAGCAAGAGAGCTGCGACTGAGTAGCGGCTGATGTCGCTGACGCTGCCGCCATGTTTGATTATTTCTGGAGATTTTTCTGAACGAAGAATGGATCAAAAGACAGAGAGCTGGAGTGCGAGTTGCTCTCCAATTGATTTCGCAATCGTACTTTCTGAATTGTTTATTCTGTTGGAACTCGAGAGAAAACAGGTATGTAGCCACGTGTTACTTCGCGGGGTTTTTCCTCTTTTTTCTTTCTTTGGAGCCAGATTTGTTGACTTTTGAGTGGGGATTGAAAATGCTGAATGTTCGATGCTCGAGTTTGACCTAATTATTTTCCTCTAAATACTGTTTTGTAAAACCAAACTAGTGAATGGTCACCCTTTCTATCTTAGGACGTTTTAACGTGTTAGTGCTCATTGTATCACAGTCAACAACTATAAATCGCGCTAGAACGTCCTAACTTTAACGAACATTAGGACCATACATCAACCTATCCAATAAATTTGGTTATTGTGCTAATTGTCCCTATAGATTCATTGGTCATTATGGTATTTGATCTAGTGATTGAAATAACATTAAGGTAGGCCCCGTTGGCATTAATCCGTATTTATCAAACCGAATTTGAAGCATTCAACTGGTTCTTGTCAGGTCACTAATCACTAACAAAGCGAGGTCACTTGCACTTGATTAAGTCGAACGATAACTGACGATTAGCCGATTACACAAACTAACAAGACAATCATTTCATCGGTCTCCATCCAAGTTAATACGTAGTATGTACATGGACCCTAACAACCCCCTTGTTTCTCAAAAGGATCAATTTGGATGCAATGAAGATTTAATTTATGGCACAGCAGCTAAAGCACACAGCATCAAGGTTACACATTCTCTAAATAGTACTCTCTACTTTTATCTTCTGTTCTATATTTTCTGCTGTATAAGGGCTGACCGATCGACCTAGGAGAAATGTGCAGTACCTTCCCAGTATTGACCAGTTAAAGCGAGGGAGCAAGTTCGTAGAAGAACAGTTAGGAACCAGATTTCTGCCGCATCCATTTCGTGGCTGACCACTTCTCTCCGGAGAGAACCTCGCATCCTCCATGTATGCTCTTCGGATCCGATTGTCCATCCAGCCCCTGACAGTAATCAAAGACAGATCAACATCAGGGTCTCCGTAAATTTATCATTGCAGTCCGTCGTAAAAATGCAGTGTGTGGAAATCGTACCATGCTCCAAAAGAGCACCGCGTCGCCTTTGATTGGCTCTACGGACAAACCTTGCATGAGCTTCCCACCACAGCTGCACTCGCCTGATCCAGCCTGAAATGTACTCTCAGCTTTCAGATGCAGAAACAAAGAGACACGACGTCCAGAAATAGTTCTGTAGCATGAAATGTCAAGATTATCTTAAACAAACAAGTACCATAGGGAAATATGTTTCACCACCCTCGACATTGTCACTCAAGTACATCAACATTGTTGCTACTCGCTGGCCGCCACGTTGAATGTTAAACTGTCGAGAAAAGATAAAAAAAAATGTAGTAAAGATGACATGTAAGGTAATCTCGGAAACTGATAGATGACTGGAATTCAATGGACCGTTATATCACACAATCAGAACACATGAGGACTGGAGTACTTACAGTGTCGGAAAAGTAGTCATGATGAGCCTTGTAAAACTCTCCCTTATCGTACCTGCGCTGCTGATGTCAGCCTAGGCATGAATATGGCACTAGTTTTCCCCTTTAGTGAATAATTCTTCAAATGTAAATAAGTCAGATACCCACCTCAATACTTGGATAAGCTCACCGTTCTCGGAAGGAACTTGAGAGTAGACAGCAATTCTTTTCTCAATAGCCTGATCATTCAATGAAAAGAGTTGAAATAGCATCAGGACAGGATTCCCAAGAGAGAGAACTAGAATGTCAGATAAGCAAATAAAAAAACAGGAAGTACGAGAAGACAGATAATATTGAAGGTTTATAAAGGACAATCATGGTCTGATCAGCATCAAATAATACTCTTTCCCTTTTGCTAAAATGGTTCCAATGATCCTATCTGAACATCATCGTTCCTTTTAACAGAATCTCATCACCATCTCATCTTATGTGAGACGCCCTACTTCAGGTGCATCATTTATAAGTACAGGGGCATAAAAATTCAATGCTATGGTTAAGGTATTTGTTGTACAAGTATGACTTTGCCTGTGTGGTTTTGCAGATTTCAAGTATGTTAACCATGTATGAAAACCCTATAGTCGAATCTTTGAGGCAGTTCAACAAATTTTGGATCTTGGGAAAGCTACGAGAAGAATAAAAAAGCTCCAGTCTCAGGTCATCAAGAAAGATTAGAAGTGGAAAGTTGAGAACTGACTAACCTGTACCGTAGAATACTTTCTCTCGGAGGAACTGAGAAACATTCCAGAGCTTGTCCTCACATTACTCTTTACACCCTGTACAAAGACATATTCACTGTTAGTTACCATTCAAAAGAAATCAAAATGAATCCAGAACGATACAGATTAGAAGGATACTTATTCACATGAAACGAATCAGTAGCCATGGTTCATTTACAAAATTACTCACTAGTAAACATGCAAAACAATAAAGAAATTAAACAGCAAAAAACTGCAGTACTAGTGTAATTTATCCACTGAATTCTTGTCAAAGTGATTCACATTAACAAAAGTGGAGGAGGAATAGATCCACTGCACATAATTCAGTAACCGTGAGATGAGCACTTCCTTCAAAAATTACTAGTAATACCGGTATATAATCAATTCTTATTTTCTTAGAAGCAGTCATTTTGACCCTTTTAATATCATACATATTTCATTATTTTACAAGCACAGGTATTGATAGAATAACAACATACTAATGAAGCCTATTGTCCATAGAGACAAATGAGACATAGTATCAAGCACAGACCAGTAAGCAAAGCGTCCAGTTTGGGTAACTGTTCCTATAATCAGAACAAAAACTATCACAAGTGACGTGAATAATGCATCAAAGATAGCGAGGAAAATTAGAGCAGAGACTCATACGCCTTCTACGATGATAAATACCATGATTCTCTAATCCAAGACAACAGGTAACTCCTATAGAATTCCAGGGAATAAACTCTTCATTCAATCCGTGCAAGTGGATTATCGAGTTCAGCACAAACATCAGCAATGAAGGAAAAAAGAAAGATCCAACCAGTGGAGATATTATAGTATAGTGTAATATACCTTTCCAGTTTTTGTATCCACCACGGTGGATACCTGAAGGCGGGGTTTGGCTAAGGCCCGAAGATAGTCACATTCCTGCAGGTTATCAAAGTACTCATTATCATCTCTCAAGGCCGCATATCCATCATGACATTCCCTAAGCTTATTGCAGGATGAATTGCTTATGATGACTTCAAGTTTACAGTGTAAGAAATAGTAAGGGAAAATTGTTTCTTCCCCTGCCAGCATCAATTAAATTATAGGTTTACTCTTCAGATACGAGCATACCTCCATACTTAAAAAATTATGTAATACGATAATTCTTGGGGACCAGCTAATGATTTCAGGTTGGACCTGTCAAAGAAGGAAAAAGGAAGATATTAAGATGGATTTGATGTTATGAGTTATCCTCGATGAGGTGCATATAAATTAAGAGCCAGAGTTCCACACTACAAATACATTGGCCAATATGCACATACAACTGAGTAGAATGGAATATATAATAGTCATATAAGAAACAAATAATCATAACTGAATGCAAAAGCCTATAAGAGAAAAATTGTTCTATAGAAACTAAGAAAATGCAAATCTGAAAAGAAAACAAAGAATAAAAGAGGCCCTTCACAGCTCATTACATTAAGAAAAGCAAACAATTGCCAGCACTGCATGCAACGGCAACTCGCCCATGCAGTGCAACCAAACATGAAAGAGTATGACCTAACATACACTGCCCTTGACCATTCCACATGAAAGTTTTGGAAAAAGAATGATAACTGATATAAAAATAGATAATAGTGCAGAGTCCTTCCTAATAACTGTTACCAGAAGTTTGGTAACATAGGCAAGTAGATTTCAGGTATACTAAACAGTAAACTGCATTGTATTGATTAGTCCCACTCTTTCTCACATTTATGTTCCTTCTGCTCTTATTCACCTTATAGAATACAAATACAGGTATGAAAAGGAAATTTCAGTAACATCGGAAAGAATTGCTTACATGTCCAAGCCTTAGGACCTCTGCTTCTTTAAAATTCCACCAATGAGAAATTCCTGAAAGATGATGCAAATAGGACAATTACAACCACATAGAAGCCATGCAATGTTAAATACAATGAAAGGAATTGAGGTCGATATCTTCAACAACTGCAGTTCTCATATAAAACTAGTAACTCCAAATACTAAAATAGATAAAGTAAATAAAAAGGATGGGAAGACCCTTGCAAAGACACTTTGGATCGGAACAGTTTTCTTCGGTTCCTATTGCTGAATCGAAACTGGGTATCTGCTATAATAAGCTTTTTCACAATCAGCAACTTTATGAATAAAAACCTATAGTAGAATGTAGAATATTATACTTGTTTGGCCCTATGAAGACTTCAGCCTCAAGACATTTAACAGATCCATCTAAAGCTCCTTATCACATCTTACTTCAGTAACAGGGTACATTCAAAAAGAGCTGAAAGGGTTAATCTTAAATATCATTTTTTACTGAGATAACCAAATCCATAGTCAGTTCATTTCAGGAAAAACCATCTGATGATGACAATAGATCTACCGTCCATTCATGATTGAGATAAGATTTCAAATCCAACAGCCAGAAAGAATTCACAACAGCCAGAAAGAGAGGGACGGATACCATTCGAGGCTTCCAGCTTCCATATAAATGATAACTGGCATAACGCACCTGCAGCGCAAATTCGAATTGATGTTTCAATGGTTAAGAGTCAAGTTAGTCAATCACTGCCATCACAGGACACATGCTACCAAATAAGCAAAAGCATCACACAAGATATAAAAAGGAATGAAAGTGTTTACTCATACCAAAACTGCACAAAAAAAAAAAAGACCAATTGAGCGCTTATAGCCATACTTGAATCAAAATGGTCTGAAAATCATTTCACATAAGATGACCAATCCCAATAGGTAAGCAAACGGAATTTTAGATCCCGTTCAGAAGACAACTCAAGCAATCCATGGCCGTAGATATTCAGGCAACGGAAACCGACTAAAATGCCGCGAGAGAAAGCCTAATAACACACAGCAGCTACAGCTACTTCCGATGTACCATTCGATCAAACTGGAAAACACATTGAATCGTCCAAATGTCGCTCTAATATATTCAAATTACGCGCGCAATTCACATCAGGCATGAAAAGCAAAGCAAGTTGATAGACCCAATATGAAATGGAAGCAAGGGAAATCGGCGGAGCAGCGGCAATGGATATGAGGATTACCGATAATCATCCCGACGGTTACGAAAGTGAGGAGGCCGAAGATGATCTTCATCGACGCCGCCATCGCCTCCTCCTGAAGGCCGCGTATGCCACAGAGACAGGGAGAGGGCGCAGAAGGAAATGAAGGAGATAACGAGTCAGTCAGTGGAATTGAAGAATCGAGGGAGAAAGAGTTCTTGACTAGAGAGAACCTACTTTTCTGTGCTCCGTATCCGCTCACTGTTCGTTGCCCAGTTCTTGGGTTTCCACCACGTATTACGCCTGTGTCCTTATTCAGGTCGGCATGAGAAAGCAATCGTTTGCTTTTGTCTCTGTTTGTACGAACACAAAGTCATCGGAGGTCAAACTAACTTGAGGTTGAGGAAGTAAACAAAAATATTCTTGAAGTTGTTTTGAATTTATTATTGTAGATAAATCCACATAATTGGAATTTCAGCACGATATTGTAAAAGTTTTACCCAATTTTGTTTGTCAAATTCAGTATTTTGATCACGACGCAGTATCATAATTTATATTTCGAAATTACATGCAAATTAATAAATAAACCTTAACAGTTTAGTCCTCCCGAGCATTGGAGTAATTACTAATTACACTCCTTGTGTCCAAAGTCAAGGAACTTATTGGTTTGACAAACATAGTGGAAGCACACACATGTTGTAGATGCAAAAACATTGTCCTAATCTATTTTAGAATGATGTGGCTACAAACACAAAGATGTATTGCCTTGAAAGGGCCTTTTTGAACCATGAGAAGGAAACCCATGGTACATTTTGATTGGATGATATCGTCAACAACACGAGTATTAACTAGTAATGAGATACGAAGTACAAATACTGGCATCTTGAAGACATGGCTACATCACCTAAATGCTCAGGTACAATGACTCAAATTATAATATCACATCTTTCTAGTATCATATTTACCTTGAACCTCTTTAACCTCTTTAGAGTTCATTGGACGAGTAGATTCGGGGCCAGTTCTTGCACACGAAGCCACATTCGACAAGATGGACATGGCAAAGGAGCTTTGTGTAGATCACATTCTAGATATCTGAACATAGATAGCAAACAACGATGATGCTTTGCCCTTCCCCTGGCGCTGATCTCGTGTTCTTGCTCATCATCCTCTCTCGATACAAAACATGAAATTCTCAATAAATGAATGTGACAAGGGAGCCATGTGTAGACCACATTTTAGATATTTTGACATAAATCATACCACGGACAACGACAGTGCTCATCTATTCCCCTTACTCTGATCTCGTGTTTTCACTCATCGTCCTCTCAGCAATAGAAAGCATGAAGTTCTCAATTATGAATTAACAAGAAAAAGCATGACCAACCTTCACAAGAACACAATCCTCTTCCGTTATGTTATGGACATGAGAAATTGAGGATTGGGCCTTTGAGAATAACGGAATTTTGGGCCAAATCTCAAAGAGAGGCCCAATGGCCTATATCGCGCTTTTGTCGCCTCTTATTGAGAAACCGAGGAGGAAATGAAAATAAAACTATTTCTATTTGCAATCAAGTCCTCGAAAAACAACCCAATTGTCTGCAACACCATCATCCTCCTCATCAGTCATCAGGCCAGCACCATGCAATACAACTCTCTACTAAACTCGCACAAGGAAACTGGCTTCAAACATTCATCACATACACGAGCATGAAAATTGAAACATACAACCCACCAAAGAAAATACAACATCTCACATGTCTCTTCAGTAGAATTCATGAAGCTTCTGCCTCTCAAAGGGTTACCCAAAGCCTTTTGACTCTTTTATAACTTTCGCTCGTCTCTTATGCAATAAGGAACGGCAGGACCGTTAGCATGAAAGTCTCGTACGAAAATGTAGCTGAACCTGTGTACGCCATGTCCTTCTCCTTGAACTTCTCCGTCAGTCCCTGTCCCAAAACCACAAACCGTATCAGTATCAAGAAGAGCCAAGTAAACACACAAATCTTTCTTCTGTTACTTAACTATCACTTTAACTTGATTTGAATCTTAATGACGAACTCGTATAGTTGAACATCAATATATATATATGATATGAAGATGAACTCACCTTGACAGTAAGACAGCACCTGCATTGCATTCCCAGAAGCAACAGAATCCAACCCGGGAAAGGAAAGACAAAATTAGATCAAGATTGAACACTTCTGAAAGAAAGTTTGAATCTTTAACAACCAAAATAAGACTGAGAGCTGAAGAGATGGAAGATAATAGAGAGAGAAGGGGTTCAGAAGGGGCTAAGCTAATTACTCGATGAAGTTGTCATATTCGATGGCCTTGTTCTTGCCACCCGACTTGTCAAACTTAGACACCAACAAGTCCAGAACAACTGGGGAGACTGCGAATCCCAAACTCAACAGTGCCTCCCTCAGCTCGTTAGTATCGATCTTCCCGCTCCTATCCCTATCAAACCTCTCGAAGATGCCCTGCAGTGGCGTGTGCGCGTAAGAACACAAGCAGATATCATTACCCTCTTTATCATACCAGCTAAAAACCCATCAAGATCAAAGAATGACACCATATATCTCCAACAGTCTCACTTACCCTCCAACTCTGAAGGCTGTAGAATACTTGTATGAACTCCTTTGGACCTGTCAATTCGCAAATTTTACGTCAAACCAGAAGTAAGGAATACCCCAGGAACAAACAAAACAGTTCCTTCACCGTCCTTATAGTTTTCCAAATGACTGAACACAATCATGAAAGTTTCACTTCTACTGTACGTTCAAGTTGACACTTGACATTAACTATGTCCAAGAAAATCTACTGTTATTTGTTAATTGTTTGGCTGATTGCCAGACTTTGAGAAAGTCAACCAAGTGACGAATAAGAGAAGGTGGTAGTAACTAGTAAGTAAGACCCAAACCTTCTGCAGTTCTACGCCACTCAAAGGGCCAGTTTCGTAACTTCCACACGACGTGGTAATCGAAGTAATGGATCTCACACAAGAATTCTAACAGGAACCCACTCCACTCAAAGCGCAAATTAGAAAGCGCGGGTAGCAGGTGGCTAAAATGCACGGAGAAATCACGAAGCGATTGAGACTTTTTGATAGAGGCAAAGGGGGAGAGAAATTCAATCGCTCACCGATCTTCCTGTTGTTGCTGTTGGTGAAGAGGTACATGAGCAAGTGAACGGTCCTCAAGCTGAAGCTCTGATTGTAGCTAGACAGCGCGCTCTGGAGCTCCTTGTCGTCGATGAAGCCGCTCCCGTCCCGATCGGCCATCTGGAAGCACGCCACGACGCTGGGATCGGTCCCTGGAGGGAACGCCGACGGGACAAGGGAAGCGAATGGGCTACCGTACGGCGCTGACGGAGGATATCCACCTCCGCCTCCGCCTCCTACGGGAACAGAGGCACCGCCGTATGGCTTCTCCTTCGGCGGCTTGTCCCCACCCGGCGGGGCTCCGTACGGTGCGGCGTATGGAGCCGAAGGCACGCCGTGGGGCTGCTGATTGGGCGGTGGAGCGCCGTACGAGGGAGAGGAGCCGTACGATTGGGGCGGCGGGGGCCCACCGTGAGACTGCTGATTAGGCGGTGGAGCGCCGTACGAGGGAGCCGAGCCGTAGGGTTGCGGCGGTGGAGGTCCGCCGGATGAGCCGTAGGGTTGTGGCGGTGGAGGACCGCCGGATGAGCCGTAGGGTTGAGACGGTGGAGGAGGGCCGTATCCGTAGCCGGACGGAGGGTGGTAAGGGTAACCAGACATGATCGGCGGTCGGAAATGGAGGGAAAATCGGATTTGGTGTTCGTCCAATTTGGGGGTCGAGGAGAAAAGGAATATCTTCTTTGGGTCAGTTGCCTGTTCTTGCTTTGCCCGGGCAGTGGGGTAATATAAAAGAGTGGAGGAGAGTGGGGCAGCCGGGCAGGTGGGAAGGGAAAGGATTTGTTAACTGCAGATCTGCCTACGAGTAAGTAATTGACCATTTGAGCTATTCCTCTTCCGCGTCTCGATCTTTGCTTCTTCGGTTAACCCGTAAAGTTTTGAGCGTGTAGCGTGTTGTGAATTGTGATATTACCCCAGGACCTACTCGTTTTCGAGCGAACCAAAAATCATAACCACTCAGCCATCCCTTCAATGGAATTGCTTTCCCAGGGAACTGGGCTGATCGGCCCAAAATGGCGGAGTCCATAATGGCCCAATCCACTTACTGGAGCCTGTACGCTTTGCCGCTCTCTTTTTTTTTTTTTTTTTCTTGGACTTCTTCGATCGTCGCCGTCGTGAAACTCCTACCCGACTGCCGTCGTCGACACGTAGTGCGCGTTAGCAGAGATGTCACCTACCCGGCTCACGGTAGCATTTCATGCTGCTGTCCTCAGTTCCTACGATGTCCGTCTCAACCCGAAAAAGTTAGTCTCCTAACTGATGTTTTTGTTAGGAGATGCTGACACGACATGGATGTTGTCCTTGTCCACGCAAGCCCAGCCGAGATCCAACGGTTGCAAGAGACGGGCCCATTTTAGTTGCTTTTTTTGGGGTTTTTTAGTCCAGCCGATAAAAGGGAGGCAGCTGATGGGGGAAGCCAATGTTTGGACGGGAGAAAGTGGGAAAAAGGCGGGAAAGTTAATATGCTAACTTGAAGATTCGTTAGCATATACTAACTGATATCTAAAATACATGAACTAATATCCAAGTAATAAAGTATCTAGAGAGCACAGACTAGTATTCAAAGTTTGCTAACTGATATCCACCATGAATCGACTAGTATCCCAAATTCACAAACTAATATCTAAACAACACAGAATAGTAACAGCACATAATTAGTATCCAGATAACACATTAGAGTATCCAGATAACCCATAAGAGTATCCATATTGAATACTAGTTGGTTGGTTGTGGATATTAGTTGGTATCTGCTATCTGGATACTAGTTTGTGTTGTTTTGAATACTAGTCTGTGCTATTTAGAGACTTAGCAGACTTGGATATTAGTCCATACATTTTGGATATTGGTTAGTATATACTAACGAATTTTCAAGTTAGCAGAATAACTAGGCTGCTCTTGCTCTTAGTAATTGAAATGATTCTCTCATGCAGAAAAAAATATGGCGTCCCTTTCAAAAGTTATGGTTATAATTATAACTGTCACAAACGTGAAAGTTGTGGGTATAGTGTATTTTGCTTTTTCGTTGTTAACCCACATGTATCGCCAACTCAACATTTCCGTCATTCCAGTTATATTGTCAAGTGACACCGTTAAGAGAATGGACGGAAGTTGATATTTTATGTATTTTGAAAGTTGTGGCTATATCTGTCACAAACGTAAAAGTTGTGGTTATAAAAGTGTGTTTTGCTATTAATTTTTTTGTCAAAATCATGAATAGAAATTCTTCATCCAAAAGATCCGGGAATAAGCATAGCCTTATCGGGCCAGGGGCCTGGCCCACTCCGTCAATGGGGATATGCTTTTGTGAGTTTCCATCCTATGGGTGGGCCGAGTCTTCGACTCTATCTGGTGACTGGTCTTATTAGGTAGCATCGCCCAGTTGAACCTCTTCCTCTTAATAAATAATAATTAATTTTTTTATTTATGATTTAGCTGTCTAGCTATAAAAAACCAAGTTAGTTGGATTATTTGAAGAAAAAGTTAAGAAAACAACCGGACTTGAACGCCTGCGCTGCGCCAGTTCCGTCCGCCCGCCTTCGTTGGCCTTTACCTACCGCCGCCTTCTGCTTGCAATCGACTAGAAGAAGCAGCCATGGATTCCGATTTCGGCATTCCGAGAGAACTATCACCACTTCAGCAACTCCGATCTCAGTATCAGCCGGAGCTCCCTCCCTGCCTTCAGGTGCTTTCCTCCTCCTCCTCTCCATTTGTCAGTGAGTCGTCATGTTTCGCTGTGAACTATCCTGAAGCCGTTTCTAGTCTCCCTGATTCATCGGAATTTGCTTTCCTACTAGCCTGCCTTTCTTCTTTCGTTACAAACGATGTTAGTTAGCTCGGATCAGTGTTTCCTGAGGATAGATCTGCTTAGAGTGACGAAAACCGGAGATTGAGGAAAGGTTAGGTGGATTTGGCACAAGCAGATCTCGTTGCAGCCATTGCCGCTTCTCCTCTGCTTTAACTGTTTTTTTCTTTTTCTTCTTCCGATTTTTGACCTGTGGATGTGGAAATTGAGTGGACTCTTGGAAAGGATTACAGACTGTTTATTACGCTTGGAACCGGAGAAGACTGTTTTTTGTTGTTTCAGTTCTTGTTCTTAATTGCTTCGTGGCCATGGCTTGTCACAGGGAACAACTGTGAGGGTGGAATTTGGAGATGGTACCACAGCAGCTGATCCAGCTGGGGCCCACACCATAAGTCGATTCTTCCCTCACACATACGGCCAGCCTTTAGCCCACTTCCTTCGGGCAACTGCACAAGTTCCTGATGCTCATATCATCACTGAACATCCACCTTACAAGTAATTATTATTTTGTACATTTGTCCTTCCTTCATCAACCTTGGTCTGTTCCATTCTCTGCAATCTTGTTGAAGTTTTGCATTTGTTGCCTGCAGGGTCGGACTAGTCTTCTGTGGAAGGCAGTCCCCAGGTGGGCATAACGTCGTATGGGGCCTTCACAATGCTCTCAAGGCTCATAATCCCAACAGTGTGTTGCTCGGATTCCTGGGTAACCATTCTTGTTTCTTTCTGTGATTTTTAGTTGAGGGTTTTGGGACTAGCTCAGTTCAGGATCAGTCGGTCAACCAAAATCAGCATGATGTAACTGCCATTGCTGACTTCCAAAAAAAAAAATGTTAGGTTGATGGTTGGTAATTTTTGTTTGCCCACGTCACTATTTTCAAAGTAGTGAATAGTGATTTCGTGAAAGATGCAAAAGCCTGCAACAAAGTTGTAATATTAGATACGCTGCATTGAATGTGCTTCGTATGACAATATTCTGTTGACAGGTGGCTCCGAGGGATTGTTTGCACAAAAAACTCTTGAAATCACGGACGACGTTCTCACTACCTACAAAAATCAAGGTACCTAATAGAATCATATAACGATTATTTTGACATTGTTTATTCTCAGATACCTATACAGTTTGAGTAATTCATACCATGATGCACTCTGCAAGGTGGTTATGATTTGCTGGGAAGGACCAAAGATCAAATACGAACAACTGAACAAGTTAATGCTGCATTGGCTGCCTGCACAGACCTTAAGTTGGATGCCCTTGTTATCATTGGAGGTAGGTTTAGCGCTAAGGTTGCGTCAACTAAACTTGATAAACTTTGAAGTGTAACTAACCATACCTGCTTGGCATTCCGAAGGGGTTACATCAAATACAGATGCTGCTCAACTTGCTGAGACATTTGCCGCTGCTGGGTGCCCAACCAAGGTACTTGTCCTGCGCATTTGAATACTGAATTGAGCACCTGCTGGTAGCTGTTCTATCATTTGGATGTTTATTTAGAGCTGTTCCAGTTTTGCCAGTTACTTCGGCTGGTTAGTTACGTCTTTCAAAATACTTCAATTATTGAGGTGTTTGCAATTTGCAGGTGGTTGGTGTCCCTGTTACTTTGAATGGAGATCTCAAGAATCAATTTGTGGAAGCTAATGTTGGGTTTGATACAATATGCAAGGTTTGGTTACTTTGATGCTTCATGTTCTACTTTTGAAACTGCTCTTCCATGTCTGCTAAAGAGGGAAACTCTGGTTCTCAAACTTCTTTCTTTATGAACTTTTTCTGTATGTTGATCCAAACACAATTTAGGAGAATGTGCAATCTCATTTGTTTTCCTTGTGCAGGTTAATTCCCAGCTGATCAGCAATATGTGTACCGATGCTCTTTCTGCTGAGAAGGTATATCCATAATTTTCTTATTAAGTGCTCCGATGGGAATCGATAAATGAAGCCTCACATATTGTCTTTACCCCCGGTTCTGGCAAAAGTTTAACCTGTTGTCTCCTCTGCAGTACTATTATTTTATTCGGCTAATGGGTCGTAAAGCTTCTCATGTTGCCTTGGAGTGCACTCTTCAATCTCATCCCAATATGGTTAGGATTTGTTGATTTGCTAGTTTATTGGTTTCCTGTATTTTTATTTTTATTTTTTTTGCAGTGCCGTTCTTGTCTGTTCATCTCACTTCCCTTTTTCAGGTCATTCTTGGTGAAGAGGTAGCAGCATCAAAACTTACCCTTTTTGACATCAGTAAGCAGATTTGTGATGCAGTCCAAGCCAGAGCAGAACAAGGTTTTGAACAATTTCTGAAACCCTCTCAGAGCTCTCTAAACTCATCTCGTTTTCTTTATGTAATCTGATCCGACATGATTGCACCAGATAAAAACCACGGTGTTATTCTGCTACCTGAGGGTCTAATTGAAAGCATTCCTGAGGTGTATGCACTACTGAAGGTACCTCGCACTTAACAAAATGAGGAATTGTTTCTGTGTTATGCAGGAGAATGTCTTTACTTTAGGTTTCTGGAATTGTTTATCGTTTCGCATCTTACTCATAAACATAATTGTTTCCAAATAAATATGGTTACTCACTTTCAAATGTTTTTTCGCAGGAAATACATGGTCTGCTCAGGCAAGGCATTACAGCTGATAAAATTTCATCTCAACTTTCACCATGGGCATCTGCTCTGTTTGAGTTTTTGCCAATATTTATCAAGAAGCAGGTATGGATCCCTCTGAAAGATTTGGAATGGTTCACTGTGCATCAATGTGTATGAAATGTATCTAAAACTTTATTTTAATTATGCAGCTGCTTCTTCACCCGGAATCTGATGACTCTGCTCAGCTGTCCCAGGTAATAAGTTTGAGGTTTTCACGTACAATATACTACAAAATTATATATTTCTCAATTTTCAAACATTGTGTTTTTCTCAGATTGAGACAGAGAAACTATTGGCACATCTTGTGGAGGTAGAAATGAACAAGCGCCAGGTATGCTGTTGGCTCACCTTTAATTAGTAATTACTTGTTGCATGATGACTCATATTCTTACTGAAGTGAAACTCAGATGTATCATTATCCATTTTATCCCAATGATTCTCTTCTTTTTCATTGTGCTTTGCAGTTGATAGAACAAGTCGTTTTAACTTCTTATGACATTTCTTTTCTTTGCAGAAAGAAGGCACATACAAGGGCAAGAAATTCAATGCCATCTGCCACTTTTTTGGTTATCAGGCTCGTGGATCTTTACCATCGAAGTTTGACTGTGACTATGCCTATGTACGACAAATGGGAGGCTCATGTTCCTAAGCTTTTGCAGTTTATAATTCACTCAGTTCTTATTCATGTAAGACTGTCATTTTGCAGGTTCTTGGCCATATCTGCTACCATATTCTTGCGGCTGGTCTAAATGGTTACATGGCAACTGTTACTAACCTCAAGAACCCTGTGAATAAATGGCGTTGCGCTGCTGCCCCAATCACAGTATATATTTCTACTTTCATCTTCTTACACGCTATCAGATTTTTGCTTGTAGATGGCAACACCATAAGACTTGTATTTATTATGCTCGTGGTTTTATATCATACTGACTTCCACGAGCTGTGAAATGTTAGGCAATGTTGACAGTGAATCGATGGGCTCAAAGTCCCGGTGCACCTTCAATTGGAAGACCTGCCATTCATCCAGCTACTGTTGACTTGAATGGCAAGGCATATGGGTGAGTGTTTCCAACTAAATCTCTTCATCCCCCTTGTTTTTCTGTATTGAGCTAAAAAAACATGGAAATCTGGATTATAACTTGGCTTCTACATTGGTGTTGGTTACAGGTTGTTGAGACAAAATGCAGTGAGATTTTTGTTGGATGATCTGTACAGAAACCCGGGACCGCTACAGTTTGACGGTCCAGGGGCAGATGCCAAAGCTGTGACTCTGTGCGTTGAAGACCAAGATTACATGGGCAGAATCAAGGCACTGCAGGAATACTTGGACAAGGTGGGTTTGTCGTAGATCACACTTTGCTCTCAGTTTCTTTTCTTTCACTTGTGAAGTCATGTGGAAACGATAATCAACAGGTCATTGCAAAACCTGGTAATGAATGCTACTGAGTTAAGAATTAGATCACACCTTCTTCCACATTAGTCAGCGATGGTTAGCTAATCGAGTAGGATTCGCTTGTGGTCATTACGTATTAATACGTTTTAGAATTGACATTTTTTTTTGTTTGTATGTATCATTCACAGGTTCGTACCATAGTAAAACCAGGTTGTTCGCCTGAAGTTCTGAAGGCTGCTTTGAGTGTAATGGCTTCAGTGACAGAGGTTCTTACCACCATGTCATCAACTCCATCCAATGGCCTCATCTCCCTGTAGAGAGAACGTCCTTTTTTTTGCATTTGGGGTTGGAGTTTTGGAATTGACTGACTGAATGAATACTCTATTTTTGTCTTTTCTTTTTTCAGAGATACAAAACTTGTTTTGATGTATTTAGATGATGCTGAATTGCTGATGGCAGTCTGAGTAGAGTTTTACTTCACTGTCTTGCCTTTTTGGGTGGTAATAAAAGCAAAGGAAATGAAGCTCGTTGTTTATCTTAGCATTTAGATTCTGCATACTTGAATGGTGATTTGGGTGAGTGTATAGAAGGCAAAAGGAAATGAGAGACGTATTAATAATTTAACTAGATATGTTTGCTAGGTTGCACTCTGCGACGAGTTGAGGATAGTACTGTAATTGTATCGTATGAAATAATTAATAAAATGCAACTTATACGACATAATTCCAAGACCGGCAAAAAAAAAATTACTTAGATGGTGATGCTTTTGGAGAGAATTTGTAGTAATGTGCACTCGCTGGCTAATAAAGTTACAAATTAGCGGATGACAATTTACATATTTGGAACTGAACAACTATTACAGCATTTGAAACCAAATACGAACAATATGCCACTTTCAGTCTCTTCAATTGGGTGAGAGATTTCTCCATTGCCTTTCTATCTGAATTCGAGCTAGGGACATGTGTAACAATACAAATCCAAGTACGAACAAAGATGACTATTTCAACATAAAAGACATGGTGCAAAATATTTGATATGTAGAAATGCCACTAAAGTTGAAGTTATTTACGGTTTTATCGGTTAATAAATAGTAAACCTAGTGATAATTATATTCAGCATCCACATCTTCCAGAAGCAAGCTTAAACATAATATTTGTAGTACATTTGAGAAAGGAGGACGGTGGACTAGAACCACTGAAAAGCAAACTCATCTAAAGTCGGGGATTTGGAGCAAACAACTCAGCTACTAACAAACCAGACCCGGATCTCAGTAAGACAGGGAGCTATGGATTCAAGGCTTGAACATGGTGGCGGATGTGGTCTTCGATGAAAGTGGATATGAAGAAGTAAGAATGGTCATAGCCTGGCTGCCTTCTTAGAAGAACAGGGACTCCCACGCTCCTGCATGCTTCCTCAAACTTGTTCACCAGCAGCTGCTCTTGCAGGAACTTGTCGTCCTCCCCCTGTCCAATATACGAACGAGTAATGATCCACCATGTATACCGAAACATAAAACCGGAGACATAAGATGGTTTCTTACCTGATCAATCAGAATGGTAGCCCTTACATCATGGAACTTGGAGATAAGACATGTAGCATCATATTCCTGCATTTATAATAACTTACATTCACCAAACTGTAGCCAACTATGATAAGTATGCAATTATGGACTTCTTCGTTGTGCAGTTGAGCATCTTATTACCTCCCAATCTGCTTTATTGCCACCAAGGTAGTTAGTGAATGCTTTCTGGCCCCAGGGGCAGTTTACAGGATTGGAAACCGGTGCGAAAGCAGATACTGACTGAAAACAGCACAAACATGCAACGCTATATGAGTTGTACGAAACTCAAAATTGTTCAGCAAGTAGATGTCACCACGCAATATATTAACATACCTTGTACTTATCGAGGTTTTTCAAGTAGATAGTGAGAGCTCCATGTCCTCCCATTGAATGACCAGATATGGACGCCCTGGATGTATCAAGCTGGGGGAAGTTCTCGATCAGAAGTTTTGGCAGTTCCTTCACAACATAATCGTACATTTGCCAGTTCTTCCACTTTTCTTGTGTGGCGTTGAGATAAAATCCAGCACCTAAGTTCAATAAGAAACTACACGAAATCAATGCGCGGGGTTCACAAGAATGGGTTGTAAGAAATGGATATAGCAGAAAATTTAGTAGATGGTGTCATCTCCATTCTCCAGAGGGTTACATTAAGTTCCATTTAGAGTTATAGACTTCATAAAAAGAGCTTCTACCTTCCACAAGTATATAGCTCCAGCATTGAGTCATTTCCAACCCCAATTTATCCAACATCTCCACGGCCAAAATTTTCACACTGGTCACTAGTTCCTACTTAGAATGCCAGGACAAAGCATTCTGCATTCTTCCTGTTCTCCTCTCTTTGATTACTTAGACCAAAATGACCAACAAATTTGGCCACACAGAGATAACATCACCATTGCCTTATCTAGGAGGCGGAACTCCTAATTTTAAAAGAGTACCATTGCATTGATAACCAATTCACACATGACCCCTTAAGAATGTGGAGTATTGTGATGGAAAATTAGCAGCAAGAAATACGCACCGACACCAAAATCCCAGCTTTCAGACTCTCCTTCCACATTCAGTCCTCCTGCACAGTAGAGATTTGACAAAAAAACCAGTTAGCAGCATGTATAAGAGTAGTGTGAACATTCAAACAAACACCATCCAAGAAGGTAAGAAATCTGAAAAGGGATTGCAGATGTATTACTTGGTGATGTATCGGGAGCAATCAATGCGACACCCTCAGCCGATGCAACACGCTGTGCCCCTGACTTTGCTATGAAGTTCTCATCATTGCAGGTAAGGCCAGAGAGCCAGTAAAGCACCTATTGAAAAAAAAAAACGGAAATGCTTAACACTGCATATATCCCCAATACCAAAATTACACACCATTTGAATTGAATCAAAGCCAAATGAGAAACACAGACAGCAAACCCTCCCATCAGATTCCTTTCCAAATCCCCAATCAAACTCCACATCTTCAGTAAGCCCAGGGTATAATTTAAGCTCAAATTTCTCCCAAACACTTCAAATCATATTCCCAACGATCCAATTTCCCGATCGCTTATTACTCGTCTTACCGGCAGTGAATCACATCAGAAAAACGAAAACAGGGAAAATCGTGCAAAAGTTGCGATTTTGATGAAATTTGGCGTAAGGGTTTGTCAATCGAACTTAGAAAGACGAGAAATTGAAAGCAAGGAAGGATGGAGGAGTTACAGGGAACTTCTGGGAAGGCGAAGATGAAGGTGGGAAATAGACGTGGAACGTCATGGAGCAACCCAGTGTTGGGCTGTAGTGCTTGTATCTCTTGTTGTACCCTCCGAACATCTTCGAGCTGCTTATCTCGATCGGCTTCGTCTCCATCTCTGATTCTTGAGTGACTGAAGCAGCAGAGCTATGGCGGATGAAAAGGAACTGGCTTTCTATGTGGTTCGAGAGTGTAGTGTAGACTGTAGAGACTAGAGAGCTCTCTGCATTCTGCACTGCAACGGCTTCCGTTTTCTTTTTATAATCAACGCTTGGGCTGCTCTGATTATCAGCAAAATGAAAATCGTCCATAGAAATGGAGGTTAAGGTTAGGCTTCTCATGGCGGGTATTGGGCTCAACCTTTTTGGGACAGAGATATATGGTTTTATGGGGAAATATTGTGGGAAGAACAAAACCTGACTTTGGGCTGAACTCAAGGTGACAATAAAAGCGCCCATAAAAACATCAACCCCATATTCCAAATTTCGAAAATCTGAAGCCCAACATGTCTAAAACATCAAGCATCTACCTTGGGCATAGGTGGTAGGAGAACAAAAGAGCTTTATGAGTCACCTAATTTCTTCACATAATCACATGTCCAAATTGTCTTCAAGGATTGCACCCATGAGCATATGCACATGCCCCGATGAGCATGGGAAAGAATCTCGTGTGGTTGTTTTCTTTCTTCGATCATCAGAAGAAGAATTGTTGTTACTTTGAAAAGATTTACGTGGAAATCGGAATTCATTTACCGACGAATGTAGAAGATTGGTTTCAAACCCTAGTTCGAATAGGAAAAGTACGTCATACTAATATGTTTCCTTTCATTCGAGCAACTTCATTCATATCCTGCCAGTCGAGCAATGTTCCACACTACTTCTACGTTCCTTATCAGTAACAAATAGCATCTCGAAGCACTAGGAGCTCCACAACGAACGGATTAGTCCTGTTACTATACATAAACATTGCCTTGTTCTTGGCACAAAACCGTCTATACTAGCACAAGGTAAAGAAGGCTGAATTCGGTTTAATGGGTTGATTTTCATTTTAGCATATGATGTACTATTCAAAAAACTATGAATTGACTATTTGAGACAATGAATTCAATTTATGCACCAAATTCGATGGCTTCCACTTTCCAAAGAGATGTGAAGATAGGGAAATAATGGAGTTACAGAGAGCAATGTCCAGAACAAACAACAAATGGTATTAATGAGGCGCAGGGAAGGGAGTTGGCAGGAACAAAAAAAAAAGCACCAAGTCCATTAATGGCGGCCCCCATGTACCGAAAATCAACTGTGCCATCTATCAACCTCCCCTTCTCATTAAATTTCTTCCACCTCCTCTTCCATCTTCATCATCATCTTCTTCTTCTTCCCTTTTCCCCCAACTGTACACGCCTTTCTCGTTTTCCCTGTGCCTCATCAGTCCTCATCACATTTCCACTCTGTTTCGTCTACTGCAAATTCTTCATGATTACTTCCTTCCTTCCTCTTTCCTTCCTTCCATTCCATCGCCATTTTTGCATGGCGTACTAGAAGCTCTCACCGCCATTGTTTCCAGCTGTGAATTCAGGTCGGTGTAGATACAAACCGGTTGCCCAATTAGGTCGGCAAATTTTTCATTTTGACTTTTCGACCAATTACGTTGCCTCTTCGTATTCAATTTCTCTTCACTGTAGAGGGCGAAGCATTCTTAGATACACTAGGAAAAAGCCATGGATTTGTAGTTGTGGTAGCTGAACAAACTCACAGGCGGACACTCCAAAGCTAAAAAACACTGTGAGAGAGATAGAAAATCATAAATCCCCCCGCCTTTCTTTGTCACTTTTACTGTAAATCTCCATTGGAAAATCCCCTTCCCATAGTTTCCTTCCCACTTCGGGTTCTCACAAAGGGGGCAAATCAGTACGAAATTCCAGATTCTGGGTTGTTTTCGTTTTCAATTTCTGGAACAAACCCAATTCGTGATTGCGATTGAAAGAAGAAGGGGGAAGGAAGGGAGGGAAAGAAATGGTGGGAAGCATTGAAACGATGGGGAGCCCCGATAATAATAATCATCATCAGCAGCAGCACCAGCAGAATGGGTACTCATCAGCTCACCACTCAACCAACGGAACCAATTCCGGGCAGGAAGAGAAGCTCGACGAGCTCCGGCGTCTACTGGGCAAAGCCGACGGCGACCCGCTCCGAATCGTCGGGGTCGGAGCCGGCGCCTGGGGGAGCGTATTCGCCGCTCTTCTACAAGACAGTTACGGCCAGTTTCGGGACAAGATCCAGATCCGAATATGGCGTCGCGCGGGTCGGGCGGTGGACCGATCTACCGCCGAGCACCTGTTCGAGGTGATAAACTCCCGGGAAGATGTGCTCCGGCGGCTGATCCGGCGGTGCGCATACCTCAAATACGTCGAGGCCCGCCTCGGCGACCGGACCCTGTACGCCGACGAGATCTTGAAAGATGGGTTTTGTATAAACATGATCGACACGCCGCTGTGCCCGATGAAAGTGGTGACGAACTTGCAGGAGGCGGTTTGGGATGCCGATATCGTGGTGAACGGCGTGCCGTCGACGGACACCAGGGAGGTTTTCGAAGAGATTAGTGTTTATTGGAAGGAGAGGATTAGTATGCCGATTATCATCTCGCTGGCGAAAGGGATTGAGGCAGCGCTTTCCCCTGTTCCTCATATTATTACTCCTACCCAGATGATCAAACTCGCAAGTGAGTGTGACTGATTTGATTCGATTTGATTTGGTTTGGTTCCCCACTTTATAATTATGGTTTGAAGTTTGAACGTATCTTGATGATGATTATATATTGTTTAGTACTTTGATTAACATAGGAGAATGTTGGGAATCATGGAGATTACCGGTCAATTACTCAATTAGTCGAGTAATCAAGTCGACCGCAAATGGATCAACTCTTGGGTTCGACCTGATTACTCTACTGGTTGTGTCGGTCAGAATCTTGAGTTCAGTCCTGAACACGTTAAGGCTGGTTATGAGGTTACAATGCTCATGGCTAACCTACTTATTGCCTGGTTCTTATAGCTGGAGTGCCGATGGAGAACATACTCTACCTCGGTGGACCGAACATCGCGTCGGAGATCTACAACAAGGAGTACGCCAATGCTCGAATCTGCGGAGCCGAGAAGTGGAGGAAACCCATTGCCAACTTCCTGCGGCAACCTCATTTCATCGTGTGGGATAACAGTGACCTCATTACCCACGAAGTCATGGGTGGACTGAAGAACGTCTACGCCATTGGAGCAGGTTTGATTGCCAAGCTTTTCGCTTTGTTGTTCCCTCGCTACGATCGAAGAAAACTCGCGTATTAAGCGCCTTTGGTTACTATGGACTGTCTTTTTTTCTATGGCAGGAATGGTGGCAGCACTGACTAACGAGAGTGCTACGAGCAAGTCGGTGTACTTTGCACATTGTACGTCGGAGATGATATTCATCACTCATTTGCTTGCTGAGGAGCCGGAGAAGCTTGCAGGGCCATTGCTGGCGGATACGTACGTGACATTGCTGAAAGGTAGGAATGCCTGGTACGGACAGATGTTGGCGAAAGGCGAGCTCAGCCGTGACATGGGTGACAGCATCAAAGGGAAAGGCATGATCCAGGTTGGTGTTATAGATGATTTTGAGAACTATAATGTGATTGCTTGCTGGCTGGTGCTGCCTCTTTTTGGCTAGAAATCGAGTAAAACAGACATGAATTGTTGATTGAAACTTATCATCACTTAGCAACATTACACACTGGAGAGACATTGATCATACTGAACATGCCAAGACTTCATGTTCTTGTGGGATTGTCGGGGGGTTGAGTTACGAATGTGAAATGCAGGTTTTCGCAACGTGACTCCCTACTGATGAACCGTTGTTTTTTTCGTTGTGGAAAATGAATGGTATTGCAGGGTGTATCTGCAGTCGGGGCATTCTACGAGCTGCTGAGCCAGCAGAGCCTGAGCGTGTTGCACCCCGGTGTAAAGAAGCCCGTGGCACCCGTGGAGTTGTGTCCAATCCTGAAAACGCTCTACACCATCCTCATCTCAAGGTAAAGATTCTGCAAACTGCAAAAGGGAAGTGATCAGATGACAATGAACGATTCGAAAAAGGGATCTCATTTCGGTTCTGTTTCTTTCTTTTTTTCGCCACTGTGGGTGCAGGGAGAGGTCGTCTGAAGCCATTCTGCAGGCACTGAGGGATGAAACATTGAACGATCCAAGGGAGAGGATTGAGATTGCCCAAACTCATGCTTTCTACAGGCCTTCTCTCCTTGGACAGTCTTAATCAAATTCCTTCCATTGATTTGATTTGGTTGCCATTTGTGTTTGTTATCACTGAATCAACGATGAAAATTTTTAATTTCATTGTAACATATGAATATTATAGATATGGACTTTGCAATAAAGATAATCGATATGATACATAGTGTATTGTGTTCATCATCCTGAGACTACGAATTTACCATTTGTATTGAGTTGTGCTTACTTGGTACTTAAATGTTGGATTTGGGTGTTAATTTTCTTCCTAATGTGATCTAAATGGATTGTAATATTAGGCTAACTTAACTAGAAACCATAATGAATTGCTAATTTAAGTACAAGTGATTTGAACCAAAGCAATCACATTGTCTTTAGTTTGATTGAGAGTCGTCATGCTAGACAAACTAACTCGTTATGCCGTCAAAGTTCGAACGATCAACACTTCATGCGATCGTTCACTCACAACCTGACGAGATCTAACTCGTGCAATATGAAATCGTAAACTGATGGGCATTGAAGGAGATTCTGCTCATTCTCGAATTAAAAGCAATTGAACCCCACTTGGTGGAAAGCTCATAATCTATGGGTATTGAAGGTTCAACCCATTCTCAAATCAGAAAGCATCGAATTCGACGAGTGTAAAAATGGTTAATTTGCTTACTATATAGACGTGATGATATGTCAGAAAATTATTGTTAAATATTTTGTTAGTAATTTTAGTTAATGACCATTAATTGATATGATGCAATGTAATCTAAGTATCTAACAAAGAAAATAAAATATATTGTTTCTCTGATTGGCTAATTCCCTTTCCCCCTTCGGAAAGGTGAGCAGTAAACCCTATATTAAAGCTGAAATTGTGTACTATATTTCGAGAAAACCCCGGGAAGGAAATAACACAAAGCCACCGGCCTGAGGAAATAACCGAAAACCTCAAAGATTCTCTCTCTGAAACCGGAAGAAAAATGGCGGCTCCACAGATTGACGGAGCCGGAAACGAAGCTCGGGAAACCCTCAAAGCATTCCAGCGCAGAGCTTCCGAAGCCGAGGTTTGAATTCGATTACCCTCCCTTTTTCCATAGTTAGTTTCAACGATTTTCTCTAATCTTACACCAAAGATCCTGTTGCATACGCTGTTCACGAACCTCCTGTGCTTTCAAGTTTATATCTTGCCCGCTCTGTTTGGTTGTCTAGAAACAAATCATCAGTGGACAGTCTGAGTGGAGCTCGAGAGCCCTGGATGAAACTGAATTGCAGAATTTTCACATGTTGGCTGCAGTAACCCTGTTTGGATATGAATTGGTTTTGTTCATGGGGCTACTGTGGGAACTAGGTCAAATGGAATTTGGGGTTTTCTAGTGTTCCTCAGTTCAGAAATTGGTTTGCAGGAACTGGAAAATGCATAGGAAATTTGGGATCTTTTGAAGGATGGGATGATGGGTTATGGAGTGAGATACCATATCGTGACGCCTGCTGCATTTTGTCTGCCCGTGCTTACTTTATATCTGCAAACTATTATGCTATTGCCATTGTTAACCTTTTTACATGAGGAAAGCTCCTCTCTTTCGTCAAGTTGATGTATTGTATCCTAACAATCATATCTGGGCTTGAAGGATCGGCTGTCGAGACTGGAAGCTGCATTGGCAAGTAAGGCAGGCAAGTGGGTTTCAAAAATGTGTTTTTGACATTTGAGGCATTTTATTTCTTAAATATATAGCACGCATTCTTTCTAGATTTGTCCAACAATGTATCCTTTTGGAATGCAGATGGTGGGGATTCAGAGCTTCTGAAGACTATAAGTGAACTCCAATCGAAATTAGAGGATGTAACTGCAGAGTTAGCTTCGGAAAAGCAGAAGGTTGGTTACAACTATTTCACAATTTTGCTGGTCCATATCAACCCACGTTACCTACTTGCATAACCCTTTTCACTTTTCACCCTTCTGAGTTCTTCAGGCACAAAAGCTTGCTGTTGAGAATGGGAAGCTCCAGTACCGAGTTACACATCTCGTCCGTTCAGTCAGAGAATCTGACTGAAACTCTTACAAACACTTCGATGGTATAGCGAGATACCGAATTGGTTTTTTTACATATTATGAGATTCACAGCTAAAGAATCAGAAACTAGTCTTACTATTACCTCATTCTTGCAGCAGGATTTGATCAGAAGCTAGATTCTGTAGTTGATGATGGGAGGAATCCTTCTGTCTGTTCGAATTATCATTTCTAGTATTATCATCCAACTTTGTTATTACTTATTAGCTGCTTGGTGTTCATCGTTCTCCTCCTTTCATGGCGTTCGCTTCTCTTGCAAGAAAACTTGATCTTAAATATTTGTGTATTGTTGATATAGACTTGGTTCCCTTTTGGGAAAGAGTAGGTAGTTATTATGAAGTCTGCCGGTTGAGGTGCCGTTTTCTTTGTTCAGATCAGCTGAAGAAATGACTCAAAGCTCCTATTTTAACCTACTGATTTGACTCCCCTTGGTAGTTGGAATTACCAAGAACATGAAAAAAGCTACTTGACATAGTAATTTCAGTGGGAATTGCTGGACAATATTTTCAACGGGGAAAGTGATGGATCCTTTGCTTTTTACTTATCTAGGGTGTAATCCAAAAACAGTATTACTGGTTAACTGTTAGAACTTGATGACATTGCAACCACCTAGGATGGTTCAAGTGGGTAAAACACGAAGTTAGCAAGTAGCAACTTGTAGACCTTGTAAGTTGTAATCACATAGGATGTCTCAAGTGGTTAGACATGAAGTTGACACGATGTATTCGCTACGAATTCGCAAGAAATAGTATATAGGGAATCATCTCTTGGTGGCCGCGGCAAGGTGGTAAGCATGAATCCTTAGCTCTAACGATCCAGTGTCAAGAAATCGGGGTTTGGATTCATGTCATTAAAAGAGAGGGGGAAAACAAACATTACATTTTTAATTTTTCTGTTTACTTCTCTTGAAATAATAAGTTACAATCTTTTGTTTGATCGATAAATTCTAAACATTCTTTTGAAACATCATAGGAATTCACAAAATGAATATAGTTTGAGCTTATTCATAGATGACAAGGATCAATGACACAAAAATACTTTCAAAAATTTTAGGTCAACATGTCATCATTCACCAATAATCCATCATAGATCATCAAAAGAGCTACACCTTTTGTCAAAACTAAAAAAAAAACCTTTTTGGGCCATAAGCATGGTTTGTTATCTACAAACTACATTGCTTTTATGAATCTAAACGCATCATTTTCTTAAGAAAAAACATCAAATTAAAGGCATAGTTATAGTTTCAAATGCACTTAATCTACCTTTATGTGGTTTGGTGGTAACCAACCTACCTTAATTCAACAACTACCTTTCACCTTTGTGTAGCTTATGGACAACCGAAACATGATAAACGTACACACAATTCCTACGCGTATTTGATCGTCCAATTTGTAATCTCACCCGTCATCATATAGAGCATGCACAATATGAGTCGGAATAAAAACTTATAATGTGTTTGGTTCTCGCAATAATACAATTGTTTGATTCTCAAACTAGCGATCCAAAACATATAAACACGTACTTGTACCTATCTCATTTAGTCCGCTAGTATGCCTTCTCTTTGAAGATAATTAATTAACTGATTAATTAATCAAGCAGCGTGGGATTTGGGGACACGCGTCCGACGAAACAGGCAGATTCAGACACAAATCCTGGGGGAAAAACTAAAAAAAAATTAAAGAGAGAAAATAAAACAAACAGACTATTTATCAATCAACCACACTCCAATTCCCAGGAGAAAGAAAACAAACGGAAAACCAGCTGCGAAGAAGAAGAAGAAGAAACAGAAAACTCCGGTCACCACCGCCATTATTTTTTTTCTCTTTGGATCAAGAGCATCACCTCCTGATTCAGAATCGCAGAACAACCCGCGACCGACAACAATGGCGGTTTTACTATCATCTTCTTCTTCCTCGGGACAATTGTCCGCATCTCCGTCGTCGGCGAAGAAACAGGCGCTGTTCATAGTCTCCCTTGTAACCCTATGGTACTCGTCCAACATTGGGGTCCTTCTCCTCAACAAATTCCTCCTCTCCAATTACGGGTTCAGGTTCCCAATCTTCCTCACAATGTGCCACATGTCCGCCTGCGCCATCTTCTCCTACATCTCGATCGTGTTTCTCAAGGTCGTGCCTCTGCAGACCTTGAAATCCAGGCAGCAGCTCCTCAAGATCTCGACGCTCAGCGTGGTGTTCTGCGCCTCCGTCGTCGGCGGCAACATTTCCCTCCGTTACTTGCCTGTTTCTTTCAATCAGGCGGTCGGTGCCACGACGCCGTTCTTCACGGCCGTGTTTGCTTACCTGATGACGTTTAAGCGGGAGGCTTGGGTCACTTACTTTGCCCTCGTCCCTGTGGTTATCGGCGTCGTCATTGCCAGCGGGGTAATCTGATTATATGCCTGATTCAATTTTGCCCTCTTCATGATTTTGCTCGCTAGATCCTGAATGGCCTGTTTTTTGTGCTCAATTATGGCAATGCAGATCTGGGTTGTATTTGGATTTGCCATTTGTGCAGGATCTTAGCTGCTCTGTGATTTGTACTTCCAAAATGCATGCTTTCATGATTTTGCTTGTCCTCTTTTGGTAATAATGCTTTGGGGTGATTTCTCTGGCTTCTTATTCTTTCTTTTTGTTCCTTGAGTTGATTGTTATAAGCTTGGTAATGAAAATTCCGAGCTAAATGTGATCTCAGATTGCAGGGAATTTGGAATGTGTAGGCTCTAGATAAATGTCGATTTGGATAATGTGCAAGTTGTTCGACGGAGTCTCTTGTTTGAAAGTTAGTTAGTAGTATAACTAATTTGGAAGTTGTTGTCTTTCTCATCAATGGTGGTTGCTCAATTTATCTACCACTTTCTTCTTGGTAAAAGTGGTAATTTCTAGACTTATTTTTTACCGTTTTACAATTGCGATTTGGTGGGTTTTATCCCAAAAGCTGTGATATACTCATTCCCTAAGCTAATGGTGTTGTTGCATTGTCCGTCTAACTTCCTTATTGCAACATGCATTCCTTACTTTGATGCTCCTTTCTCTCTTAAAAATGGTGTTTCATAGTTATATGTGGGGTGCCGAAGTTAACTAGTTTGTTTCATCAATGTGTGCTGTTGTATGTTGATACTTTGGTTGGTTCTGTGCTGCGTGTCTGGGTTAGTACGCCTGAGCAGTATTAAGTTGTTTGTGTTTTAACTATGTCATCTCTTTTCTTTGTCTTGGAATCCAAGTCACCTGCTTTTATACAGTCCATTTATAGGTTTGCCTATCACAATCTTTTAATGAAGAAATGGTTTGCATATGGTTCAAGGTTTCACAAAAGAAGAATGTAAAACTGTTTTGCTTAAGCCGTTAACTTTCCCGCACTGGTTCTGAACTTCTGATGGCTCAACAGTTTTATGACATCAATTCATGATTCTATTAAGATATCTTCGGGTCACCATGGTTGTTAGTTTCTTCATTTTCAGTTGAATCTTGGCTAAATCTTTGTTGCGTTGTCTAGTGGGCTGCTGCATTAAACAGAAAAAGGGAAGAAGTAAAACAGACTATAATGTCATCTAGGATAGGAGCGTTTTGATTTTCACCTCTTTCATTCAACGTTAACTCCAGCTGAGGCTGCCCCTCTTGCAAATTCGACAGTTGAACTGATGAAGTCTTGTGCTCACGGCAGGGGGAACCAGGCTTTCACTTGTTTGGATTTATCATGTGCATCAGTGCAACTGCAGCCAGGGCTTTTAAGTCTGTTCTTCAGGGCATTCTGCTTTCTTCTGATGGGTAAACGTTCCAATGCTTGAGCTGATACAACGCCTGAAATGTTATCGCATGCGAATCTCGTGTGTTTTCTTCTACCTGGAAGACTGCTTAGAATGTTAAGCAAAGTGCTCCCCAGATGACGATACAAAGATTGTTGTTTGTTGCAATGCTGCAGGGAGAAGCTGAACTCGATGAACTTGCTCCTGTACATGTCGCCAATTGCTGTCTTCGTTCTAGTCCCCGCGGTGATCGTGATGGAGCCTGACGTGTTGAATTACACATTGGCACTCGGGAGGAAAGACAAGTTCATGTGGTTGCTACTCATACTCAATTCCTCACTCGCCTATTCCGCCAACTTAACAAACTTTTTGGTCACCAAACACACCAGTGCATTAACCCTCCAGGTTTGGATTCTTCACTCTCGCTTAATTCAAACTTTTCAAGTCCAGCATCGTGTGTATTAACAAAGAACGTCGGCCAGATTGCCTCTGAACGAATCTCCGGAAGCTTGAACAATTCTGTTTGTGTTTTTTGCGGTGGTTTCTTTCAGGTGCTGGGGAATGCGAAAGGCGCAGTAGCTGTGGTGATCTCCATCTTCATATTCAGGAACCCGGTTACCTTCATCGGGATCGGTGGGTACACCATCACTGTACTTGGAGTGGTTGCTTATGGAGAGACCAAGAGAAGGTTTAGATGAATGAATTTCCCACTTTCTTTTTCACCCTTCATGTTTTCACAAAAGATGATTAGGGAATCCCCCATCTCTTCTCAGTCTACTGCATATGGGAGGATGAATTTTGATTCATTTACTAGGGAGAGAGAGAGCATTTATATGTTGTATTATGTATATTTAAGGTAGGAATGACTTAAGCTGGAGATTGCTAGCAAACAATGATGAATGATCTTTCTATTATATCCCAAGTTAAATTTTACCTACGAATTCACATCGCTCCGATATTTTACAACGGAGAAACATTGATGCATACGTCTGAAACTAATCCGACTTCATAACTGCTAGCAAAATTCGATGCATACACCAAATCAACGAGAGGAAGCAGATTCATGTTTTTACAGTCCTGTCATTCGTTCACCGATGAACTCAGCAGCGCACCATGGCGATTTCCTTACCGACGTATATCGAAAAGGTGAGATCTCTAATAATCAAAAGAGTCTTTTACAGATGTACTAAACATAAAATGTTAAACCGTGGAGAAAGCACTTTCAATGTTTGCAGTTGTTCTTTCTAGTTAGCAGAATCGCTTGCCAATTCTCACCCACAAGCCCTAACATAGAACCTCCCCCTTTCTTTACACGACCATCCGTTATATCTCTCTTCCATACTCAAAACAAATACCAAAAAGAGAACAGTTTCCATGGATATACCAGAAGCTGAAAACCCAAAACTTCAAGACTGTTCTTACTACTACTTCATCAAGCCATGTCTGGACCGGTAGGAAGAGCATCGTAACCATCGTGTTGCTTAGGCGATGGTGGCCGTTGGTTTTCAACTCCAACAGGGATGCATTTCAGAACCACCGCGATCACCAAGCTAACAGCTCCCAACAGCACGCTGAAAAGCCACATTTCCCAGCTGAGAGGGACGGTGCTCGCAAATGTTCCCAGGAACTCGACGATGATCACTTGGAAAACCACCGTGACTGTCATCACTCCCACGAATACCCAGCTGGTGAACATCCCCTTCAACACGTTGATCTTTTCGATCTCCCGGCTGTTAATTTCGTTGAAAACCTGCCAGTAGTACAAACACCAAGAACAACAAAAGAGACCAATAAAAAAAACTGCCGCATCCAAGGTCTACACTCTGCAGCAAGAATTGGTCGACTTTGATTGATTCAGAGTTCCATTTGGAAGAAGGTATTACCTGGCAGAAGACGAAGGAGTTGAAAATCAGAGTGTTCAGAGTCAGCGTAGCATCTGGACCTTCAAGTCCAAGCAGCTGCTTGCCATAGAAATTGAGAACTGCGAGCACAATTAGCTGATAGATGCTCTGACCAAAGATATTCCTCCACATCGTTTTCGTGATGAAGCTCGCGCCCCTCCCTACTGGAAGTCTCTCCATCAGAGCGTCATTCGGAGGCTCAGTTGCCAGTGCCAATGCGCCAAGAGTGTCCATGATCATGTTTACCCACAGCAGCTGCACGGCAGTCAGAGGAGCGGATCCTTGGAGATTTTTCACAGACCGAAACGATGATGATTTAGTAACCAACTCCAGATATTTTCTAGTAAACCGAGAAAAAGAACAAACGGAAGCCCACCTGATATACATGCAGAGATGAAGTTGAGAACCAGTGCAACAATGTTGACAGTGAGCTGGAACTGGACAAATTTCTGGATATTTATGTAGACAGAACGTCCCCATTTCGCAACGTTTACAATGCTCTTGAAGTTGTCATCCATTATAATTATGTCGGCATTCTCTTTCGCAACCTGCAGAAATACAAAGCTCAGATTTTGTACTAGGAAATTAAAAAGGATAGGAATGACGAGAGAGCTTCAAAGGAGGTCAGTGGAAACGTCTGGCCATAAGGGGTGTGACTAACCGGTTCAGAGCAGATTCAACAATCAACTAAAATGAGATTTGACATACCTCTGTTCCGGCTATACCCATGGCAAGTCCAATGTCAGCCTCGTGCAAAGCTGGAGCATCATTAGTACCATCACCAGTGACTGCCACGATTTCCCCAAACATATTCTTCAAATTAGTAACGAGGGTATGTTTGTCCAAAGGCAGGGATCTTGCCATTACCTGCACAAATTGATAAGAAAAATAGTTGAATATCAAAAGCAACAGGGGTTAAGAAATGATAAAATCCTTCTAATGCAATAAAATGGTAATAACCTGAATTTTTGGTATAATGGCTCTCATTTCATCAGGGGTCTTGGTACGGAACTCTGGCCCTTCGATGGCCACACCTCCTTCAGTAAGTATCCCACATTCTTTGGCTATGGCTCTAGCAGTGTTGATATTATCTCCAGTAACCATGCGAACGGTTATTCCAGCAGCCAAGCAGGTCTGAACTGCTTCTCTAACTCCAGGACGAACTGGATCTTTGATTCCAACAACTGCCACCAATGTGTAACCGGAATCCGGGATAGCGCTTTCCTCACACGTACCATCTCCTACATCTTTATAAGCCAGGCAGAGAGTTCTCAATGCATCACAAGCAAACTCATTTATGATGTCAGAGATAGTGTTAATCTGTTCCTCCGACAGCTGGATTACATCCCCATTCTCGTCAACAACTCTATCACACATTTTCAGTACTATCTCCGATGCACCCTTACAGAAAGCTCGGGAGCCGCCTTCAGGAAGAGCCACTAGTGTTGACATCTTCTTCTTCACTGAATTAAATGGTTCAACTTTCAGTATGTTGAATTCGCTACGTTGTGCATCCCAGTCCCCACCCAAATGCAAACCGAACTCGAACAAAGCCTTGTCAGTCGGTGTTCCCAAAGTCTTGGACTTCCCATCTTCATCTTTGGTCACTTCACAACCAGTGTTTTGGAATATAGCCTGCAGAAGAAGGCCTACCACTCCTTCAGATGCTTCAATTCCTGAAATGCCTTGGCTCTTGTTATGGCTTATGCTTATCGTTTTCCCAATTATGCATATCTTATCAACTACCATGTGGTTCGTTGTCAAAGTCCCAGTCTTATCTGTGCAGATGCAACTAGCAGAACCCATTGTCTCACAAGCAGATAAATGCCGAACAAGGGCCTTCTCGTCCATTAGCTTCTTCATCGCAAATGCAAGACTCAGAGTAACAGCCAATGGTAACCCTTCTGGAACTGCAACAACAATGATGGTTACTGCAATAGCGAAGTAGTCCAGAAGTGTCAACGCATCAGCTGTAGACCATTCTGTGAACTCATTGTTGGAGATTTTCGTCCACAGTAGCCTACCAGTCAGCACCACGAATGTGAGCACAGCAAAACCCAGACCAATCTTTCCAATGATGGTCGCTACACCATTTAGTTTCACCTGTAAAGGTGTTTCATCTTCTCCGCCTTCATTCAGAGTTTCCATCAGTTTTCCCCATTCTGTCCTCATCCCAACAGCTGTTACCAGCATTTTGCCAGAACCATCTTGGACTCTGGTTCCCGAAAGAAGAAAAGGCTTTGACTTGTCTATATTCACTGGCTCACTCTCCCCTGACAAGCTGGACTCATCAATCACTAAGCTATATCCCGATATGAAAACACCATCAGCTGGCACAACGTCTCCTATTGATAACTGAACAACGTCCCCAACGACCAAATCAAAGATGGAGACTTCTTGCTTTCGCCCATCCCTGGTGACCTGAATAGAAATCTTCTTCTTCTCCTTATCCAAATCCCGGAACTGCAGTGACTGCTTGTAGTCGCTAATAGCAGTGACCATGACGACCAAGAGAATGCTGACTAAAATTCCCAAACCATCGTACATCCCTTTTGGCCACCCTTCAGTTGCAAGCCCTACCCCGATAGAGATTACAGCACATACCATCAGAATAATCAAAGTCAAGTCTTGCAGTGCCTCCCAAACGAACATGAAAAAGCTTTTAGGGGGCTTCTCTGTATAACTATTGCTGCCATAAATGCTTTGCCGAACAGGGACATCATTTGTGTGTATGCCCTCGTTCAAAGAAACAGCAACCTTTCTTGCTATCCCTTCCACCTCACCGCTTCTTTTCAAAGCCTTGGCATCATGATCACGAACAACTGAAGCGAGTTCTTCAGCTTCGATCCCGAAACCGGATTTTCTGACCTCATCCGACACCTTGCTCTCTGCGTGGTTACCAGCTGAAGCTTCTTGGGCAGCACCGGCTGTCGAAATCAAAATCAAGTGCAAAATCTGAATGCATTAAACAATGAGAAACGCTTGGCAAGATGTTGCACAAAGATAAGAAAGTTTAAGCATCATACCATCAATAAACTGCAGTGCAGCCTTTTTTACATAGAGTGCAACTCTGATCTTTTCCTGCATTGTGAAAAGAAGAATCAACATAGTAAACAGAAGATCTCAACATATGCTTCTTTCATCTGTCCACAATACAAACCGTTTTAGCCTACACTCAACACAAGCAAAACTACTAGTCCCCCACATCAGTTTCAAGTGTCAACAAGCCACTGATGTGTTTTCAGTATATTATATTTTATGAAGATTCCATATGAAACACCTTCAATTGGAAGACAGGAGCTCAAGTAATCCAGAACCAGTTGCAGTTTCATTGAGTAATTCAGTAACTAACCTCACTCAAATCCGATCCCATTTAATTTCAACATGAATGTCTTTGTCGAGGTTAGCAGAGTCCTCAAGTATCGTCTAAATGAATTCATGCAGCTTTTTTTGCCTTTTAGGTAGAGAAAAGTCATTAAGCTTTGATCTGAATGATTGACCATTCTATTCTTAACAAGACTTGACAGACATTCATTTAGTGGAGAACAAAAGGGTAGACCTTTAGCAAACAGCGCGTTGAACGCAGTTGCCTCTACATAGTGATGTAATTGTGACTAAAAAAACTTGGACCTGTTAATTAGTAAATTATTCATGTCATCCCCGTTAGGTGAGTCGTGACAATGGCCGCCATTAAAGGCCCCACAATGGCACAACAGAGAGACTGGCCCATTACCAACTAATCTTCAGAAAGAGAAAAGAACTCAACCAAATGAAGAAAACTACAGCAGGTTCCCATGTGCCAAGTGGTAAACCAGAGAAGAAAATGATTCCCAGATTAAAAAATATGCAGTATTCCCCTCTGTACCTATTCTCTGTCTCCTTTTCCTCAGAAGGTGGGTGGGTGGGCAGGGTGTGGGGAGGCTCAATAATGACATCCACCCAGCACCTATTTTTAGACAAATGGATTCAGGCAACCATCAAGTGTGCTTCGTATTTTGCTTTAACCTAATTTAATCTTCTTTCTGGGGAACAGTCCACCATCCTCGACTCTCCAGGAGTCACAGGAAACACTAGGTTAAACATCAAAATTTTATTTCCTCCTTAACGAAAGAGGGACACCATTTGGAAGTTTTAGCAAAATTACTTGTATTCAATATCTATGCACGAAAGAGACACATGTTAATGCTTCAGCATATTATATATCGGAGTGAAGGTTCAAGGAAGCTTCGTGCCTTGACATTATCTGAAGCTAAAAGTCAAAAAGAGTTCGCATTTATAATTCTGATGCCTTGCTCCATACACTCCCCAGCTTGCTAACTTGGATTGGACCATGACTGGCCCCATATCTATTCGATATATGCCCCATAGCCCAATTTTCCTTGAAGGAAAATACCATATCTTATCTTTTCCTCCAATCCTAAAAGTATCTCATTCACTCAATCAAAAGTACAAACTAACAGATACCCAGAATAAATCAATCAGCTAAAGAAAAGCATCAATAAATTAATCACTATGTTTGTTGTTAGCAGCAGTAGTGGCTCCATTACTTAGGACTGTGAGGATTACAACAAATCTTAGTGTAAGCCAAAGAGGTTAACTTTTCTGGACTTTTACTTAATTTATTCACGATTATTAATACTATTGGTATCATCAATCAGTAGTACAGTGGCTCCATAACTCTAGAAATTTTCAGGAGAAAGAGGCTGGTTAGCTTTTCTAACATTTTTATTCAATTAGTTGTGCGTAAAGGAGGAAGAAATAAAGCTAAAACACCTCAATAAACCGATTGAGAATGACCCAGCAACAGTAAAGCAGAGCTAACTGCTGACATAGGGTTCCATGGCGTTGACCATTTTACAGTTGCAAGTTCGGTTAAAAATGGCGGGGGAAATGAAGGAGGAAATGAAATGGAGGGCCCGCTACCAATGGTTTCACCTACAGTTACGGGCTGACGTATTCCACGTCAGCAAACTTTACCGGACGTTGGACCGTGACAGCGGCGGGTCGACCGCGGCGGACAAAGTCCGGCCCGGCGGGCGGTCCCTTCCAAGAGGATACGTAGAATAAATTTCATAGAAATGAAAGAAAAATTCAATTAATCGACTCAAATCTACGCGGATTAACTTCGTAACGCTAACTTGCGCACAGTGCGCATCTCGCCATAAATCGCTTTCAACGCAAACAAGAATACAAGGACAGAAGGAAACTGAAAAGGGATCCGTAAAACAGTATTTTCCGGGCAATTTTCGGCCGCGTAAGGAAAATTGGTTGAAGGACGATTTTGAGTTGACTGGAATATAGAATGAATGAATTGAAATCTACTGTTGAGTGACGGAGAAGATCTAAGCTCAGCTACTGAGAAAATGAAAGGCCTCCATAGTTAAGCCCACCGTACAACGCAGATCCGAGAACAGAGCAATTAAGATAGCTTGCGCTACAGCTGATAGCTCTGTTTGTTTCGCGGGAAAGCAAAGCAGACGAAACGAAACGGAAATCGGACTTGAAGATAAGACTATTGAAATCGGGGAGACACTAACCTAATCTAATCCGGAAGGAGTTCCGGTTCCGGATATATACTACGTGTTTGTTTCCCGAGAAAAAATGGCGAGAAAATAGAGTGAATCTGAGGAGAATAGAAGCGTATTGAGGTTCGGCGATGGAATCCGAAATGCAATCGGGAGAGATATAGAGAGGGAGATCCGCCCTAAATCTACAGGTTTAGGGCAGCGTTGTTCTAAGGCAACTGCAGTCAAAGCAAAAAAAAACGGGCGGAAACGAAGAGAGGTAGTTCAATGGAAAACGGGAGAAGAAAGACAGACCTGGATGCTTCGCTTCCTGCGTTCGGCCTCGGAGCGCTTGGTGAGATCGGCGACGTTGCGGAACCGCCGGCGGGGGTTCTTGACGATGCTCACAGCTCTCCGCCATCGCATCAACGCTTCCTCCGACGGATTCTTGTGGTCCAGGTCGAAATCCTTCTTCAGATATCTCTCCATCTTTTCTCCGGCGAAGGGGACGGACGCCGGCGATACGGAGAGGGAAGAGGGAGGGAAAAAAAAGAGGACGGAGGGGAAAGAGCAGATTGGACTAGGCAGACGGAGAGGGGTTTTACTGTTTTAGGAATGGGAACAAAGTGGCGTATAAATGTACGGACACGGGTGGGGCCCAACACGACTTTTGGAGAATGGGAAAAGTTGTCACTATTTAAGCCATTGTATCATGGAAAATTCACAAATGAGTACCTTCTCTCACATTTTTTAACATTTATGTCCTTGTGTCACAAATTTATTGAATAATTACCTTCTAATATATTGATTTGATGCTTGTCTTATATTAATTTGGTGATTCAAATGAGGCTTGACATCACTAAGCTTGAATTATATATGCAAAAGATATTGATGACTGATTAGCAAAAGCTCAATTGAAGTAGACAACAAAAATCATTTCAGGAGTTTTTAGATTTGTCTATATTGAACAAACATAAGAGTTGACATAGTTGTCAATAGAAGAAGATCAAGAAAAATAGCTAAGACCAACCAATACAAACACTAACTTGTCAAAATAAATATAAAAAATTAGCTTAGTTTTAATCTCTTTCCCTTGTTTTGAAAAGGCCATGGACTGCGAGAACGTTCACTTGTTATTCTTGTATCATTGTGACGGATCGTGTGAATTTTTTATTGTCTTAACAAAAATTATTCAATATGATCTATAAAAAAAAGCATGAACTAACGGTGAAGACATAAGCATGCTCGGTAAACATGTCCCAATCATCATATATTCAAAAAGAAGTAACTCTAATTTAGCTAGTCAAAATTTTTCTCCTCGAATTACATTCTAATTAATTTCTCATTTGTGATTTTATAAAGTGATAAATCACATTTGAGGCTTCGATTCTCAATATAAAGAACATAATGAGTAATAAAGTAAAACTTATTTTTAATCTATGGATAGATTAGTAATTTGCCTTTTGTCTTTCTTCTATTCTTAACCATGGCCGCACTGCTTCACTACTACAATCAAGTTTAATCGACGTCTTGGATTTTCTCAAAGGACGCCGGCGGGAAGGGAATGAACATCAAATTTGGTCCATAGAGGCTGCGGGCGGCGGGCCCTGCAAGAGCTGAAGCGCCTCGCCGGCGTGCTTGTCAGTGACCCGCCGAAGCTCCCTGAACCCATCGTAGCTGATGGGACGGTACAGCCGTGGGTGTACATCGTCCACGAACGCCGGCGGCGGCTCCACCACCGTGTCCCTCGGCGGTCCCAGCAAAAACGTCGCGATCGAGATCCGAACCGCCGCTTCCTTACACTGAACCCTGTGCTTCACATTCCGCAGCTTCCCATTGCTCCACACCTGAATCCCAACCGAAGAAAAAAAGATCAAAATTAAACAAAAAAACCTGTTGTTTATCGAAAACGAATCGAGTCCGTACCGTGGCGAGATCACCCAGATTCACGAGGAAGGATCCGGGGACGGGATCGACGGGGATGTAGCCGGCATCGGAGGGATCCATGACCTCGAGGCCGCCGACGGATTCGTCTTCTTGAAGCAAGGTGAGGAACCCGGAATCGGTGTGGATCTGGACGCCGGGAGACCCGACGGTCTCCGGCTGGAAATGGTACTTGTTGATCCGAAACTGACACGGCCATCCTTCGAACAATCCAGCTCCATCATCACTCCTCCCTACAACTCCCAAGCTCTCCGCCATCTTCGCCGCCACTTGCATCGCCACTCCATGGATCGCCTCCGCATAGCTCAGAATCGTCTCCCTGCAAATCAAATACTCGTAATTCGTCCCCAATTAGGATCCAATTCATTACTGAAAACTGAGAACCTGTGTTGAGGAGAGGCGGCGAGCTGGTCGCAGAACTTGTGGACGGCGGCGGCAGAACCCATGTCGTAGAGCCCGAGAGCTTCGTAGAGAGGGTTCTTCGACGACAGCGCGACGTAGCCGCTTCCGGAGAGGACGTCAACGTTGCGTCGCTTGACGTCAATGGGGAGGTCGAAGAGCTCCCCGACGACTGACTTCATCTCGGACATCAGCTTTACCGGGACGCCGTGGTTGACTAGCCTGAAGCAGCCCCACTTCTCGCACGCTTCCCGGAGATTCTCCGATGACGACGACCCTTGGAGTTCCTGCAGATCGAGGATTGGAAGCGTGCCCGCCATTTTTGCCGACGGGATTGTGGAGCTCGGCAGTGGGGTTTTATAATGGGAATGTCTGGCGGGCAGTGAATGTGACGTTCTGATGTGGGTCGGGGCTGTGTTCATATAAAGACGAGACATTGATGATCACGTTTGTCGAAGCTTAGGCCGACAATGGTTGATAAAATAGAAAGGGGAAAATCGAATCATCCTGTTTATACATCGTTTTCCTGAACTCTTCTGGGCAGAGAAGAAAAGCAATTCTTGCCTTTCTTCTTCTCACTTGTCTACTACAAATGGAACTGAGTGCAATAACTTACTTCTACCTAATTTGTTTTTGGCAAGAACTTCATTTCGTCGACCTAATCTGGACATGAGAGATTCAGGAAAGTGATTCTCCAGCCAAATTCTAACGCTGTCATGTACCTTATTAGTACAGCGCGGCAAGTGATTCTACTATAACATTGTGTCTAAGTGCAAATCATAACATAGCTTTCCAAAGGGATAAAGAGATTCGTTATCATCAATAGATCAACAATTCACTGATTGCTGTGAGTAGCAGAGCAGGAAATGCAAGACTTTTCAACACAATAACCTCATCTATGTTCTTGGTTCCAGATTGGCCAAACATGTTTCCACTTCATTTCTAGATGCAAAAACAACAATTAGGGCCAAAGCTGAGTTCCATCTAAATCATCCCTAAGCCGAGTACACAGAGTACAGAAATTTTAGCTGCTCTCTAAGTCCACATCTAAAATTCATTTCAAACCTGCTGTTTCTCTGCTGCAGCATCGGCCGTCTGTCCAACCATCGCTTCAAGCTTCTGCAACCAGCTCACGTACTGACCTTGCTCCTTCGTGTGCAGGTGGTGAAGGAGATAGTTAACGAGCAACTGATCTACACCCCTCTCTGCTAGGTACTCTTCCAATGCATTCTGTAGATCAGGGTCCAATGTACTGCCACAGTGTTCATAAGAGAATCAAATTTCAGTTCACAAACACCAACAAGATTACTAAACCTACAAAACAAGGATCTATGCAAGTGGTTTCTGACCCTATGGTAAGGTCAACAAAATGATGAATTGGTTCATGAGAAGGAATTGGCCTTTGGATAGGGTTATATTCTTGGATGATCAGGACACTACAATAAAAGGGATGATACATGGGGAAAGGGTGGAAATTGTTTTCACCTGAACAAAGGACCTCTGTAGGAGGAAGGAGACTGGTGCTCGGCGGATCGAAGGAAATGGGCGGAGCTGATAAGGAACGGAGAATTCTCCTGAGCTCGGCAATCGAACTGCAACACAGAGCTCAAGCCAGGTTTTGTAAGGCAGACCTTCATCAATATTTCTCTAGGGTAAGTTGGACGAGAGGGTGTCTCCGGGAGAATCTCGCCCAGCAACGCGGAAACCGCGACTTCCTCGCCGGACCCTAATTTCCTCCTCAACACGACGTCTTGGGATTCCGTGGAGTCCCAGTCGACGGCGAAATCCCCCGGCGAGCCGGCCGAGTTGTCCTGTTAAAAACAAGCGAGTTTCGCTCATTTTGTATCCAGAGTTCGGAAGTTCGTCATCGGAATCTATCAATCAATCGATGTTCGACAGCCATGGAAGGAGAGAGAGAGAGGGGGGGGGGGGAAGAAGAACCTGGAAGGACGAAGGGGAGGAGAGTTCGTGGTTGATTTCGGATCGCAACACTTTGATCAAATCGACATCTTCGAGAGCTCGAGCGGCGCGGCGGAGGACGGGCGTCAACCGAAGAGCCATTCCTTCTTCTTCTTCTCTTCCGGCGGCGACTGATCCCTTAGCCGCTCAGATCAAAGGACGTTAGCCACTCCAACTTGTCAGCAAAATTCCGATCGCGGATCGGGCCCAAAATCTAACACAAGATTTTACAGCCCAAACTCGGGACTAGCATAGACCTCTTCAGCAAAAAAAAAAAAAAAAAAAAATAGCATAGTCCCCAAAATAATTAACCTAGAATCACTAGATTAGTATTCCAGCAATGTATAATTACTATGATAACGATATAAGCCTCTACGCCTGAGTCTACAAACATTTTCGTCGATACATACATTTGATCGAGATGATGCATACATTGCTCTACTACGATGACGATTACACGCATATAATTCGCGATTACCTATCCACCTCAACGTGAAGTATAGAATGCTGAGATAATCACTACACACCTTGTTATTCTTATCTGTCACATTGCATTGTGTCTTCCATATGATGACGATTACACGCATATAATTCGCGATTACCTATCCACCTCAACATGAAGTATAGAATGTTGAGATAATCACTAAACACCTTGTTATTCTTATCTGTCACATTGCATTGTGTCTTCCATATGGATATGATACTCCAAAACCAGTGTGGACTGTGGACAATGTAACAGAAAACACCAATCTTAATCCACTTAATAAAGATTAAAGAGCAATAAGAGCAAAGTCTTCATCCGTCTAAAGTACTACTTTCTTCCATATTTGTGAATTGAACTGCAAAAAATTAACTCATCTCCTCAATTTTTCCCCCCCTTTCTCTCTTCTTTTTTCCTCCCTTCTTTTCTTGGGGTTTAAGAAAAATCAATTTCAGCCTCTTTTTCTACATCTCAACAGAATCCCTCGCATGGCAACCCGACTCCCAACTCCGAAGAGCAAAATTCTAGTGACCTAATACTGAAAGGGATGATCAGTTGCCAGAAAGGGCGCATCACCACGGAACACCAAGACCAAACTGCTGCAGCCGAATCACGGACTGCAGAGGCTCTTCAGATCCTCCTCCTTAGCATACCAGCTGGGTATTATCTTCGCCACGTGAGGGTAGAGATCCTTGTACGAGTTCCTGATCGTCCCCTCAGCCACACCCGTCGCAACTGATATGTCTGCACACACACCCCATCCACAACATTTAATCAAAACCAGCCATCACCCGTTCCTGCAAAATATTCACCAACCAAGGACCGTACTCTAATTGCAAGAGTAAGAATCGCAAACCTCTGAGGTGTTTCTTGTCCTCTGTAAGCTGCGTTATGATATATATTATTGCTGCTGCGATCGATATAGGGCTCCTCCTGTAGTTCGCAACCGAAAAAAGATTAAGGGCTTATAAGAGAAGTGAAGAGGAAAGGGAATGATTAAAAGTGTTTGCTATGAACCAGATGGGGTCTCTCAAGCTATATACCTGATATCGAACTCTTCCGACTTCTGAACAGATTCTTGGGCGGCTTTCATTGCTTGATTAGTCATACCAAGATTAGAACAGAACCGCCTCTACAGTCCATGGTTTAAGGCTTATCATATCAGTAATTACACTCAGTGCTACTAACATATACACTTAACCGTGAATCTGCATAAAGCTAACAATGGGTTTAACATTTAGCCACCCACCATGAAGTCTCCAGCATGTATTGTTCCCATTTCAACCGACTGGCCTGTTTCCAGTCCCAGCTGTTTCACAATGTATTCTTTTGCTCGGCCAATTTCTTTCTTTGTGGCTCCATTGGCAACAGAGCAAATTTCTAGTCGAAAATTCCAGAGTTTTCAACCAAAGCTCAAAATACCATAGAGAAAAGATATAAACCAGGGAAGGCACCATTAGGTTAATAAAGGATATTTAGGCTGTGTACCCTTTACAGTGCGAGGCTTGTCTTCCTGTCGACAAGCTATGTAGAGGCAAGCTGCCAGTAAGGCATCCTGGTTTCTTCCTCTACTAGACTTTTGATCCTCCACCCTCTTGAATATCTCATTCGCCCGGTCCTACAGTTAAAGTAAATGACACGGTTAAGGGGAAACCCATCAATGCAAAATATCCAAGCTTCGAATAGGATAAAGAAGATCAATCACATGAAACAGAAGATAGAAAATTGACAGTTTCATTGGCTTTCTAATTATGCTGGAAAATGGAAAACAACCCAATGAATGTTGTCTCGGACCATTGAGCTGCATCTAACTTCCCTTTTTTATCAAATAATCATTGGCATTAGGGCAGTAGGGCACTTAAACAATGCTCAGCAACAAGAGTTCATAGAACTGCGAAGTTCTTGAATTGAAACCAATGCTTAGCAACAAGAGTTCACCCTTGTAACGGTAGGGCACTTATACGACAGTTGTAGAGATACTTGAGAGCAAAACCAATTACCAAAACTCATTGCACTCGTCACCCATCAATTCTCAAAGAATCTATGAACCAAGCATATGTAGCGTACACATGACATGAACGTATCAAGGATTCAGAAACTAAATAATATAGCAGTATCATACCTTGATAGTTGCAACAAGTCCCAACCTGAAACAATAATTTGAAGCTCTTAGCATCAATGATTACAAAATATACAAACTAGATGAAACTAATACAGTTAGCGAATATAAAACTGAATACCCATTAAAGTCGATTCATTTTAGTTACCATAGCATTATAATGAACAAGAACCATCAAGCCCCTTACTTACAGAACCCACGTCAAGCTCCAACAACATGAGTGTAGTTTGTAACTCACTGTAGCCTCTAAAAACCACAATGATCAACAATTCTACATTAACAGAATTTACAAATCCACCACCACAAAAACTTATTACCAGCAAATGTGTAAGCACAAATTTGTAGCAAACAATAGAAGGTCACCAAGAAAAGGATCCCACTACATTCAAAGGCTAAATTCTGGCACTAGACCCCAAGGCAGCGAGCTAAACTAACACACCACTTTCAGCTCGTTAACAACTCTTTCTTTCTGTCATTCCTAATATCGAATTCAGCAATTCGAAACACGTTTCAAGATCCACGAAATGCCTATCCAGAGATGCCAACCCCAGCCTAACCGAGAGATCTAAATCCTTCCACGGAAACCACATACATCCAGGGGAATTCAATTCAATCCAACCCAAAAAAAAAACCTCATCATCACGAAAGGAAGACCACTAACAATACCTATCGGACATGGTGGCTATAGTTTTGAACGCCATAATCAGCCCCCGATCAGGATTGGACCCCCTGTTCTGCCACCGTCCCAAGGAAGAGGAGAGGAAATCCCCGGACGCCCCGTTCGGCTTGGCGATTACGGTGGACAGCCCGCCGTCGGCCAGGAGCGGGTTCGTCGGACCGCCGACACGAACGGGATCGTTGTCCCCGGACTCGTTGGCGAAGGTCCTCCACTCGGACGTCTCGTCGATGGAATGCGACTCCAGGACGAGCCCGCACTCGGAGCAGACCGTGTCCCCCGCCGAGTGATCGAAGACCACCTCCGTCTGCCGCTTGCAGTCCGAACAGTAAGCGTCCGACATCCCGCCGAAATTGAAAGACGAGAAACTGGTGACCAAAATTCGCCGGAGAGAACAGCAGTCGAAGGAGGAGGAGGAAGAAGATTCACAATTACTCCTCTCCCTAATCCGAATCAGACTGAAATTCACGTTTTCCCAAAGAGATCTTAATTAGGGTTAGTAACGTTCGTTGAGCTTCTTCAGCTCTCTCCGCTTGTTCCTTCCGTTCTCTCTGCGTTTCGAAACGGGTGGCGAAGTTAGGGAGGGAAGAGAAGCGCTGTTTAGAGGCTAGGAAGGTTATTTATAGGCAAAAGATCGCGGAGGCGGTGATGAGTCGATGAGTAGATCTGGACCGTTCAATTAGAAAAGGGAAATCGGACGGTGAGAGATTGTAGCGCGAGAATGAAGCAAAGGTTTTAGAATTTAGACCAAGGTTGTCACACCGGTTTATAGCGTTGTGTCGGTTTCGCAAGTGAAATGGTACGACCGATGGTAAAATCAGTTTGTACCGGTTCATGTCGGTTTAAAAAAATGTGAAAACAATAAATATCCCATGTATTTAATCATATAAAACATATTTGTGGACAATTTAGTTATAATCCAACAAATATCATCAACTTTTAACTATTAAATTCATAAAATGAATAATATATTACTTTTTTATTAATTAAATTCAATAAAATGATGTTATTTTGCTTAGAATGCGTAAGTCGATCATACCGGTGGTATCATGTCGGTTTCATGACCGGCACAGGTTGAACCAGGTTCAACCAGGTGGCATGCCACCGGCATGACAACCATGTTTTAGACCGATAAGTGCTGCGTTGGTGGTGGTTAGTTGGATTGTTAGGGAAGTCATCCCTAATGTTTTGGGGTATTTGTGGTTTCATTAGAAAGGGTTCATATTTTATTTTCCCACAAAGAAAGGGCATATGGAAGGGAAAAAAAATACAAGAAAATTATTGTAATAACTTGTTTTTTAAGTAAAATGAATAATTATCAGCGGTTCAGATTCATTGCATATAATTTATGACGTGAAAATAATGACGGTAAATATATAGTTGAGATGAAATTCCTTATCATTGGTCTTTTTTTTTATCTAACTTCCGCTTCTTTGGTTCTAGGCCAGTGCGGATTAAAAATCTAATTTTGAACGAGGCTATGATGATGATGAGAAGGAATTCCTTTCATGCGTGCAATGAAGTCTATTGTCGTTGGATGAAATTCGGTCTCTCAAAATCCCTTTATCGTTTTACGATACAGAAATGTCTCTCCCCTTATAGAATTGAGCCTAGAATTTAATTTACGAGTTACCCACACCTAAGTCCACCTAAGGAAAGTCATCCCAATTAAAATTTGTAGCATAAGTAATTAGCTCTAGGTCCACTTTACGTACTTAGCCCACACCTTTGGCCCATCCATAAGACCCATTGTTTGGCTATCATCCTTAATAGTTAACACAAACACATAAGGCTTTCCTAGATAAAAATTTCGAGTATTCTAAAATCATCTAGGTTTTCTTTCTTTCATTTAGTACACAGCGGCTCGTAATAGCATAATTTTCTGCTCAAATTATCGAGCGATTTTGTGAATTATGGCAAAGCATTGTTTTCGACTTAAGAGACTCGTGAAATTCTTTGAGTAACTAGTCGACATTCCTTATCTCAAGAACAACAGGAATTATGATTGGGAGGCGCTAGTAAAAAGCGTATACCATAACAAAAATAAAAAAATATTATGTCTTAAACTCGTTCACTGCACGATGAAATAGTATCTTATTTTCCAGAATAATTTGCAGTATCACTGACACCGATCAGACTCGTTTATGTTTCGTGTGTCGTTTCCCCCATTGCTCACCAGCTTGTGAAGCGTTCTGTGGAGAGGTCTCCCCCTGCACATGATCACACATGAAAAGCTAAGATCATCATCACCACCAATGCACATGACTCAAACGTGCTAACTTGAACTTCCAATCCTTTTCGAGAAAGGAAAAGCCTAAACACAGGGGAGAGGCAGAGCTCTCGATCAATCATTTTTTTTAGTTTGTTCTCCTCTGCCTAATGGCTTCGTTGAGTTGTTCGTTTCACTGATTTCGTTATCTTATTAAACTCGACTCGAATCAGTAACAACTAACCAGCTCTGTCAACGGTTAGAATAAGCAGAGAAAACGAAATTCACCGATCAATCTTGAATGAAATCGAGACCCTTTTTTGAATTCACGAAGTCAGGTTTCGTAGAGAAGTGAAAAAGCACTTTCCCTAATCCAAGGCTTTTCCTTTTTCTTCATTCTTTTGCTTGCTTGCGAATCCCCCAACCCCCAATAACACCTCCTTTCTTTCTCCTTCTTATTGTTAAGATGGGTGATCAAATTGATAAGAAAAGCAAGAAGCTTGGTTACTGGAAGGAAGCCATGGGATTGCAGCAGCAGCACCATCTTCGTCCCAAGAAGGACGAACAGAGCCATTTCCATAAGAAGCAGAAGTTTTTATTAGATGGTCATGAGGATGAGTTCGTGGTCTCGAAATCGAAGAGAATCACACCGAGACCAAGCGCCAAGCTTCTCTCTTTAATATTCCTCTCCTTCCTCTGCTTCTTCATCATCCTTTCCCCTTACTGCTTCCCCGCCGTAGGTAATTCCCCTGTTTTTTTGTTTTCCGTTTCCTCTGTTTTTTTTCTTGTTCTTATTGCTCTGCTCTGTTTTCCTCACTATTGGGTACAATTTCAATTCTCGCCTCAGATTCATCCAGTTCTTTGGCGGGTATTGAGTTTGATCCTCCGATATCTTCTTCTCCTCCTCCCGAAGGTAGAATTTGGTTTGTTTTGTTCTTCCCCTGTTATTTTTCCCGCGCTTTTATGTTCATCTTCGTTATTTTCTTTCTAATTTCCTTCTTCTTTTTGTTGTAGATTCAGTCGATTATATCACCGGCAATACTGACGCAGATGCTCCGTTATCGTCTTCCACGTTGAATTGTATAATTACCTCACTTTCATTTGTTGATTCTCATGACTCGTCCTAGCCTTGTGGAATTATACATCGATAAATTAAAATATCTATGATTTTGTCATTAATGAACTCAAATTGCTACAAATTTTTTTATGTATTGTTATGTCATCTTGGGTTAACCAATTTTGTGTTTTGTAGACTCGTTCGATTCTTATCCTATGATCGACACGAATTCGAGTGTTCCTTTGCCTTCTTTCGCGCTTAATGGTATGATCACATTTTCTTTGCTCGGCTAAGAATACGAGTAGACTCTTAATCTTATGTTCATTCCAAAATTTTGTGTTACTCCAATTTGTGTCACAGATTCATCTGATTCTCCACTTGATAAGAACTCGAGTGCTCCTATGCCTTCTTCTACCTCTATCAGTATGACTATTATCTTTTTGTTCGGAAAACGATTTGATTTGAATGGTATATTTAATTTCTCTATTCTAATTATCTTTTGAGTTATTCCACTTCTTTTGCTTTTAGCACGTTCACTCGAGTTCCCTACTGATAAGAATTCAAGCGCTCCTCAACCTTCTTCCGCTCGTAATGGTACGATTTTCTCTCTCTTTTTTTTTTTTTGATAATACGATTTTCTCTCTTTCGTTAACTTTTCTCTTCATACTTTTCTTTTTTGTTTGAAAATTTTCACTCAAGTCAAATGGTCAATTTCAGTTCTCAATTCTAATTATCTTCTCACCTTTTGAGTTATTCATCATGGTTTGCTTTCAGCGCTTCCATTCGAGTCACATAACGATACAAATTCGAGTTCTCCTCTACCTTTTCCCGCTCGTAATGGTATTATATGATTGTCTCTCTCTTCTTACTTATTGTAATCCTTAATGCTCTTTAGTCTCTCATATAGTGGATCACATAACCCATTCTCACAAAAAGAGGAAATAAACTCTTGCTCTTTTCCCTTTGCTAGAAACCATATGGTGTGACAGAAGCGGATTCCGTTCAGACATCTGTTTCATGAGAGGAGACATCAGAACTCAATCCACCACGTCCTCCGTCATATTATACACCTCATCCAACACAACAACGACGGCCGCCGCCGCCGCCGGCGGCGGAGACAAAGAACCAAACACAACCCAACACGAGAAAATCAGACCCTACACCCGAAAATGGGAGACGAGCGTGATGAACACCATCGACGAGCTCCACCTCATATCCACACCAAAGGAAAACCACCAACCACTCCTCCATTGTGACGTCACCTACGACGTCCCCGCCGTGTTCTTCTCCACCGGAGGGTACACCGGCAACGTCTACCACGAGTTCAACGACGGGCTCATCCCTCTCTACATCACGTCCCACCACTTCAACAAGCGGGTCGTCTTCTTCATCCTCGAGTACCACACCTGGTGGATCTCCAAGTACGCCGATATCCTCTCCGAGATGTCCGATTACCCGGCCGTCGATTTCTCCGGCGACAACAGGACCCATTATTGCTTCCCCGAGGCCATCGTGGGGCTGAGAATCCACGACGAGCTCACCATCGAGCCAGCCCTCTTACAGGGGACCAAGGAAAGTTGCCTAATCTCTGCGTTAATAATTCTAATACTAATACGGAAATTACTTTAACTTCTACGTGTTTTTTATAAAAAAAAATTTATAATAATTGTGTCAAATTACATAACAATACTCTTAATATGAAGTAGTACTAATCATGCCAGTCATACTCTAACACTTAGCACGTAAAAAATTTGCAGTAAAATTTCCACACTGTGTAGAGGTGGCAATTTTACATCCAATCCATCTCGCTAAAACATTCAATTAATCCAATCCATTTTATTCAAATCCAATTCGATTGAATGGATGATTGAAAAATTATAGTTCGGTACCTATGCTTGTTATAATTTACATTTCCATACCTAAATTTTAATATTTTAACATAAGATATCATGCGTTGAAAAATTTACGTTCTGTCACCTAAAATTTGTTATTAACTTTTTTGAAATTTACATATTGGTCCAATATCTAGATCTCATTTGGGTCCATGATCCAATCTACCAATCTATTCGATCTAATCCACCAATCCAACCGACCAATTCGTAAATCCAATTCATTTGCCACCTCTCTCTGAATTCCTATCACTACGTTGCGTGCAGGAAACCAACAAGACCATCTTAGACTTCCGCAACCTCCTCGATCGAGCCTACTGGCCTCGAATCAGATGGCTAATCCACGAAGAAGAAGAACGATCCCAACCGCCGCACCATCACCACCGTCGACACCAACCCGACGCCAACAAACCGAAACTGGTCATCGTGTCGCGAACCGGTTCGCGAGCCATAACCAACGAGCCGTCCCTGGTCCAACTAGCCGAAACGATCGGGTTTCGGGTCGAGGTCCTCCGGCCCGACAGCCGGACCGAGCTGGCCAAGATCTACAGGTCGCTGAACTCGAGCGATGCTATGATCGGGGTCCATGGCGCGGCCATGACCCACTTCCTGTTCATGAGGCCGGGTTGCGTCTTCATCCAGGTGATTCCCTTGGGGACGGAGTGGGCGTCGGAGAGCTACTACGGGACGCCGGCGAGGAAGATGGGGCTGAAGTACATCGGGTACAGGATTTTCCCGCGGGAGAGCTCGTTGTTCGATAAGTACGAGGAAGACGATCCTGTGCTTCGAGATCCAGAGAGCGTGTCGGCGAAAGGGTGGCAGTACACGAAGTCGATCTATCTGGATGGCCAGAACGTTGTGCTGGATCTTAAGAGGTTCGAGAAGAGGTTGATGGTTGCTTATAACTATTGTTTTGGGATTGTGACGAGGCGGCAGAAGGGTATGGCGGTTGTGGGAGGGAAGAGGAAGAAGAAGAGGAAGCATAAATAGGAAGAGAAAGTTCAGAATTGATACGTGTACTCTTGAATCTATCAAATATATGCTAGAGACCACAAGGATTTGACGTGATTTTTCTGAGATGATTAGTACTAGTCAACGAGAGAGATAAAATTCTCCAAATGCAAACTCTTAATCTCGCTCAATTGTTTTGGGTACAGGTTACATATATATAGGTTTGTCATGACAAACCCTAGATACAAAAGCCAGGGGAACAGAGCTGCATTCCAGCTTCACAGACTTTCCACCATGGCTAAACCCAAGATGGCCGGCGACGTAATAGGTATCGACCTAGGTACGACATTCTCCTGCGTAGCCGTCGCTCGCGACGGCAAGATCGAAATCATAGCCAACGACCAAGGCAACAGAATCACCCCTTCCGTCGTCGCCTTCACTACATCCCCTGACTCCGAGCGCCTGATCGGTGAAGGCGCCAAGAATCAGGCTGCTCTCAACCCGCGCCGCACCATCTTCGACGCCAAGCGCCTCATCGGGAAAAAATTCGACGACCCGGAGGTCCAGAGCGACCTCAAGTACCTGCCGTATCCGGTGGTGAAAAACAGAGACGGGAAGCCCTGCGTCGAAATCGAAGGAAACAAAATCAATTCTTTCACCCCTGAAGAGATCAGCGCGATGGTGCTCGGGAAGATGAAGGAAACCGCCGAGTCGTACCTCGGGAACCCAGTCAGCGGCGCGGTCGTGACGGTCCCGGCTTACTTCAACGACGCGCAGAGGAAAGCCACAAAAGACGCCGGCACCATCGCCGGCCTCAACGTGCTGCGCATCATCAACGAGCCCAACGCCGCCGCCTTAGCCTACGGCCTGAACAACAGAGCCAGGTTCAGGAAGAAGAAGAGGTATTGGCTAGATTAACTACCCGTACTAATTTCACTCTCGTCATAGGAGATTTGGAATGGAGTAAAAAAAATTTCACGAGGGGCGGACCCAAATTGGTGAAAGGGGTTTGTCAACCTTAGATCCTAATTTGGGATACGAGAAGTATTTGTAAAATTAAGTTTGAGTGATGATAGTATTTCAAACATTAGACTATTTGACTAACCCTCTATGATTTTGATCTATTGTTGAATACTCTTGATCGCAAATGTTTTTTTTATCATCTCACTGTTATTATATTGTGTTAGATAATAACGTTGTGATATTCGCTCTTAAACAGAAACGTTCTAGTGTACGACCTAGGAGGGGGAACGTTCGACGTGAGCGTGATGCAGATCGAGGACGGTGTGTTCGAGGTGCTGGCGATTGGCGGGGACACTCATTTAGGCGGGGGAGATTTCGACAACAGGGTGATGGAGTATTTCATCAAATTAATCAAGCGGAAGTACGACAAGGACGTCGGCGGGAACCACAAGGCGCTAGGGAAGCTGCGGAAGGCATGCGAGAGGGCCAAGAGGGCGCTGAGCAGCCAGACCCAGGTGGTGGTGGAGATCGATTCATTCGTGGAAGGAATGGAGCTCTCCGAACCCCTGACTCGAGCGAGGTTCGAGGATTTGAACCTAGATCTGTTCAGTAAGACGATGGAGGTGGTCAGGGCGACGGTAGCAGACGCGAAGCTCAAGACGAGCGACATTGCAGAGGTCGTGCTGGTGGGCGGGAGCACGAGGATCCCCAGGCTGAGGGAGATGCTGAAGGAGATGTTCCATGGGAAGGAACCCAGCAAAGGGGTGAGCCCCGACGAAGCCGTGGCCTACGGTGCTGCCGTCCTGGGAGCCAAGCTCAGCGGCCAGACGGTTTCTCGACATGGTATCGTTGTCTTTTTTCGTCTTATTCGTCTCCAAATTCTCGGATTCTGTGATTGCATAAAGTCTTCCAATGATTAACAAAGAAAAAAAAAACATCTTTCTCTTTGCTTGTATATATTCAAGTATTTCCAAATGTCAACGGACTAAAATTTAGAAATTTATGATTAGAGTCTCTCGTTTCACGATTTAATATAATTCTGACACTAAAAAAACAAAGGTGTACCCCTGAACGCGCACCGTCTAAGAGAAACCTGCATGACGACGTGCAGGTTTCACTTTGTTTGATGTTGCTCCCTTGAGTTTGGGAGTTGAGGTCTTCGGAGGTCAGATGTGTGTGATGATCCCAAGAAATACGGCTATTCCAGCAAAAATTTCTAAGGGATTTTGGACTTTGGCAGACCAGCAAACCGATGCGTCTGTTAAGGTTGGTTGATTATTCATTGTTTAGTGTCAGCAGATTTTCATACCGGTACACTTCCCTGGAAATTTGATTTTTCGGGTTTTCAGATATATCAAGGTGAAAGACCCCTGACCAAGGATTGTATCGAGCTTGGAAGCTTTGATCTGTCCGGCATCACCCCTGCTCCAAGGTACGTAACTCAAGGTCTCCCTCTTCTCGTATTTCTCGATTCTGTATGTTGACGGAGAAGAGGGATTTGATCGATTTCCAGGGGGGTAACAAAAATGGAGTTCACCATGGAGATTGACGAGGATGGAATACTGAAGGTGACGGCCAGGGAGAAGATCTCCTCTGCGAAATCGGAATCCCTCACCATCACCGGATACAGAGGAGGCCTGACGAAAACAGAGATAGATCGAATGATCGGAGAAGCGAAGGAGATGGCGGAGGAAGACAAGGCAGCCAAGGCGCGCGTGGATGCCTGGAATCGGCTGGAGCGTTACATCTACGACGTCAAGAACGCCATCCGCCGTGGTGGTGGTGATCAGGTGAAATTGGTGGAGGGTGCTGCTTCTGTGGAGGAAGCTTCACGGTGGATGGAGGATAACCATGGCGCAACCAGAGAAGAGTACGAGAAGAAGATGAAGGAGTTGAAGGATGCTTGGGATCCTGTTCTAGCCAAAGTTTAAGAAATGATGCTGCTGCTGGGAAGAATTAGTTCTTTGATTTTTGATTCCTATCCTCTGTTTTGGTCTTTTGGAGAGGGACGAACAGAGAGCCTTTGATTGTGGGAACAACTTTTGTGGTGGTTTTCTTTTGTTTTAAATTGGAAACGAATTTTGGTTGTTAAATTATTTTAGGAGCGTGGATTTTATGTACCGATTAAAATTAATTAAGGTTACAGATATTTGAGTTAATTAGAGTAAAGAAACCCACAATGGATCTCAAAATGGAATGGTATGGATGGCTAGCTTCGTAAGAGAGGTTAATACCATCCTAATTATATTATCGGCCGTTAAATAAAAATTGAGTAATTCTACGGTGATAATTAATTAAGGTTATTTTTTGTCAAATAAGTACCTAACTCCCTAAACCCGATATATCCATTAGATTAAATATGAGAATGAATGGTTAAGATAATAGTTAGAATGGTGCTAACCCTAGAGGACTAGCACTCTATTTTCTCCCATCTCAAAATTAGAAGTAAATCATATTCAATCTATTACAAACAAATTAACAAAACTTTCGGAATGTGATATTCGGCTTTAATATATCGGATTATTGGACTTTATGTGATTATCTGTGGTATGTTTTAGCCAATTGGTGCTATTTTAGGGCTCGCTAACCCGAGAATGGTTGAAAAACCATTACTGCCTAGTGCCATGAGTTTGATGTATTACAGGTGAAGAAAACACGAAAAAGAAAGTGCACCGGCAAACAATTCTCGAATGCTGGGCTAAAAGCCCAGCTGGATGGGGATTTATGACATGGGCCAGGGGAGCAGATTTTTGGACGGAAGTCCAATGAATTGGAAGAGGAATTCTGTCAAGGCAAATTAATAATAGTTGGCGGCACTTTATTTGGGTTGTGGACGGAAAAACAAAGGGGAATTAAGTGTGGGCTGTGAAAAAAAAAA